GAGGGCAGGGATTTGACCCCAGCTTGCAGGAGTATGAGATGTGCCACCGGGTTGCCCTGGGAATTCGCTCGTACGGAGAAAAAAGAGACTGGGATCACACGGACACTATATTAGAGCATCCAAACCGTCGGTGTGTGAATGTCATGGTCATTGCGAGTGCGAGCGGGCTAGCTAGCTAGCTAGTCTATTCTCCTATACGTAACAATGGTGATCCCATAGTCGAGCCGTCGACAATTGTAGCAGGGAGGTTCGGGACCCGTCGACAGGGGACAGATTCCAGACTGGTCGTGCACGGGCACGATCAGCGGTGATCCCTGCAGCGACGACAGGGATTTATCTCAAATACTTGCCGTGCTGCTGATTGGTGGAGACCATCCACCCGGGTGACATGTCACATCTTCAAGCCCTGGCCCTATGTAATTGCTTGCCGTTGACTAACTAGTTACGGAGTACAGTAGTATAGGCTACTGGACGGATCTCCGGAGTTTACGAAGGAGTAAATTCAATAGTGTGCGGGTTGACAATACTCATGGAGTCATGGCTCGTCGTTAAGACGACTCGGTTGCTAAATGGACCTGTGCTTTGTTTTGTTTTTCGTTGTCTTCCTGGTTAATGTTGCAATGCATACCAGGAGGGCGGTTTCGTCTTACAACGGCTTTTTTGGCCCAGAGGTACGGAAACTCGATCGGTTCACACGAGGTGATCTTGCATGGTCCTGGTCATAGTACATACAACTAGTCTTTACTCGTGGCCTAGTCCTGGTTGATGTTTTCCCCCTTCCAGTTCTGTTTTCTACTCGATATCGTCTCGGTCTGTTCCACAGGTTTCTAATCTTCGTTTGTTGATGCTTTCCCCACAAACTACCAAACAATATCAATTAATATGGAAAAAGGGGGGAATGTTTGAGATGCTGTACGAGGGCAAAAATAGCACAGCCCTAACATTCAGCTCCACCACGTCGGGGAGGAATTTTTCATGGCTACAATAATATGCCTTCAAACACTGTGTCTATCGTGGTTCAGGTCCTCCTGGACCACAATCTACCTTTTTTAGTAAACGAAGACGACCATAGTGGAGGCTTCTAGAGTGTAGCTGGGGAAGGGCCGTCTGGAATAGATTAAATATCGTCAAGATTACCCCCCGGGAGTCTGTCGATACCCGCCCTACGATCCCTACTAAAATAGGAACAATGACAAATACCTGAGCCAATTGGGACTGGAGAAAGAGGTTCGTCACGGTGGGTCACAGTAGCTTGGGTTCTTAGAGGGGGGAGGCCATTGTATTGACAGGCCTCTTGTATCATGTATGTAGTACGGAGTTATACTCCGTACGCTGTACACTATGTATACATACAGGGTATGCTATGTACGAGTATACTGTATGCAAACTACAAGTAGAGTGCATTGAACGATTAATGGCGAGTTGACAAGTTGGAAGCAGACTGAAATGTTATCTATACTGGTTTTAGAAGATTTTGGGTATATTCGTTGGAGAAACTGTACGTACTTCAATATTATCTACAGTATTTCAGTTAAAAATTACATACATACCAAATAGGCTCTGATAAACCATTCTGTCTGTGAGCACTTAAGTTGTTTGTAAATAAAACCAAAAGCTCAAACAGTTGGAGAAAAAAAAAAAAAAAAAAAAAGGTGTGGCTTACGATTGTCTTTTTCTTGCTGTCTTTTTCAACGGTTTCCACCAGAGTGGAGAGGACCTGATGCGAGCGTCCCAAACAGGTAATCCCACAAAGGACAGTCGATCTCTCTTAGCCCCTCCCGATTCTGATTGAATTGGATCTATCGGGGGGCTCTTAGACCATCCGGGTAGTAGGTCTAGACAAATTGTGTTGGGTGCCGATGACCCTCATACAGTAGGTTAGCAAGCCATAGTGCTCCTAAAGGAGGGGAGGAGGGGACGTTAGCGTTGTGTTCTGGTTGACCAGGGCGTTAGGGTGGGAATAGTGTGGGACGAGGGACGGGATGTAATACTGTAGATTGGTTCCCAGGGGTTGTTTAGACAGCTCATTGCACGCAGCGTGCAGCTGGTCGAGAGCGACGATCACCAACCCCATCGTGATCCGTGATGGTTCTACCTTCTGGCTGGTCCGATCGTGGATAATTCTTAATTTTTCTCAGTCTATTATTTGATTCATATTTTTTTCGAATTCTTCTTTGCTTTTTCCTTCTCCTCCTCCCTCTCCCTTCTACCAACAACCTGGTTATACATCATGTCACGACCGGAGTTCGACCTAAACCGCGCGCGCCGTGACAGGTGGCAGGTGGTCCATGCACTAATAGACCTCCGACCTTTTACCTGCCCGGTTCTGTACAATAATTAAGCACAGTACTAGAAAACAGTAAGTAGATATACTATCGCGGCGTTGCTCGGACTACACAAGCGAAAGCCCCGAGTCCCTGCAGGCGTCGACTATTGCGTCCAAGATTAAAATCTTCACATAAAATTTAATAGTTGAGGGGGCAAGAAAGTGGACAACGGCAGAGATGCGTGGGACTGGGAGGGACAGGCGCTGTCACGGCAATCACGTTGCTTCCAGATTTGATTGGAGAAGAGAAGGGGGTCCAGGAGCTGCAAGGCACGACAGAATGAGAGGAGAAGGGGGTGTGGTGTGGGATGTACAATTCGTACGTACTGTAGGCTATAGCATATTGTATGTAGGTAGAAGTACTGCTACATACTGGGAAGAACCAGACAGACGTGTAACGCTCACCCGTCGATCCACATTCCCGGGAAGACATAATAATAATAAACGTCCAACTCGGACATGCTCGGGGAGGAGCCAGTGCGCAGTGACAGACTTCAATAATGCCAAAGATGGGAGAAAAATAGATTGGATCGATCTCCTATTCCTCCAGCTCCCGAGTCAGCACGGAGTTGCCGTTGATCCCAGCAAGCCAGAGCCCAGCGCTTGTGACTTGAGTGACAGCGGGTCGCCCAGTGGCACAGACAGGCTGAGCACATACAATCGAGGACAAGGAGCCTGGAGAGGGGGGGGACTTTCCCCATATTTTCCAATGGTCTTCTTCAGAAAGTCAAAGGACCCCGGTTGCAGGGAATTTGTCACGATCCGATCTCCACTTGGGGGACGATCCACCACGGTGGATTCAACCGGGCGGAACCTCGTTGAGCTCGAGAGGAGCCGCCGATGTAACCAATGAGATCTCGGAGATGGCCGATTGCAGGGGCATCGGATACGATCGGGCGGCGTGTCATGCATGGCTGGCTGAGTGACTGGGGAACATCATGACCCTCCTGGCGCCTCTCGCTTGTCACTTTCGGAAGCTAAGATCTGCCCCTGGCTCGTTTGGAGGAAGGGGGTTGGAAGTTGGCCATGTTGTAACTTGTCAGGGGTGAGAACTCCGTAGATACTGTACAGGATGGCTCTAGTCAAGTCAGGAAGCGAACTGAGCTGAGCTCTCTTACAGGTTGAATCTACCAACCTGGAGGATTGCGCTTGGACGAGGTCCTTTTTTCCCCTGATCTGCGAGAAGGCGTTCCTAGTTCCCAGTGTTTTCTTGATTCAGTATAAAGTACGAAGTACTCCGTACAGTAGTACATACTGTACTGTAGTAACTATGTACATTTTGTATGTACGACCCTATGACCATCGACCACAATCCTCCCCCCTTCTACACTCCCGTTCGGCATTCGACAATTTTGACATTGTCAATTTGAGTTAAACTTTGAGATCACCGTCCAGACCCAGACAGGTGCATTTGCATTTGCATTCTTTTTTCTGATTTCTTTCTGATTTCTTGCTCCGCGTTGCTTTTTCCTGCGTCTTGCGGTGCACCCGCATTCTGAACCGGCGCTTTGGGACTCTTTTCCATGACCAGAAGGATTGGAAGAGTCCCGCCCGACTGGCCGATGGGGAAGACATCAGTCACGACTTACGACTCATGAGGAAAAGATTATCGAGATTGGTTTAATCTCTATATTTTAGCTTGTTTATTTTTTTCTAATCTCTAAAATAATCTGCATAGATGGAGCCCGATTCAGATATATTGATCTATTTTGGAGGGATAGAATAATTAATTAATGTTGACGGGGGAGGCGCTCAGATACTTTTTTCTGCCAGTTCTGTTTTTTTCTTTAATATTTTTCTTAAAAAGAAATAATAGTTTCCTTTTTAGCGCAGGCAGTGATTTGGAATTCCCGCAACGGGGCTCAGGGTCGATCCCTCCGATCATTACGGTATTTTCCTCAGCCCGGATTCCTGGGTCGTACCGACGATCGCCGGAGCATTTTTGGTTTGGATAATGCATGGACTACAGTAAGTACTTATATTCGAGATACAGTTATACACGACTGTGCCATTACGACGTCAGATCAGAGCAATTTACCATTTAATCAATCTATAATGCTGGATCCGTGGTTGACCTTGTTGATGATTATCTCCTTTTGGGGGGACGAACCAGCGCGAGGACAAGTTTGGTTCATACGATACGGGAGGAGTATATCGTGTACCACCACGAGATCCGAGAGAGACTGGCTTCTCCAGGTTTATTCTTGTAGAGTATTGTATGGAGAAGACATAACTTACCTCTTAAATATTGATTAATCAACAGACCAAAAAGAGAAGTCTCAAATACGACGCTAGCCGTCCATACAAGCCATACCAAACAATACGAGTATTGTTCCGAACTGTCAGCTCCGAGATCGTGGATCGTGATCTTCTTCTCATAGCGTGTTGCGGGTGGAGCTAGGCATTTTATTTTTCTTTGGACCCGTCCCCCTGGGTTGCAGATATAATTGTCGCCGCTGCTGCTTTGTTGGTGGCTTGGATTCTGCCTACTCCAGTCCAACTTACTTCAACCTCAACTTTTCCCCTCTTCGACCATCTCCGACCTTCTATATCTCAACTTTCAACCTTCCAACTTTATATCCATCTTCCCCCTCGTCTCTATACGACTATCCTTGGTATAAACTCGTATACCCCTCTGGATCTCTCTACCTTCTCACTCTCCTCCCCCTCCCTCATGGCTCCCTCCCACCGCCGTGGACCTTGGGTCCCCGAAGAAGATCAACTACTCCTCCAACTCGTGCGCGAACAAGGCCCTAACAACTGGGTGCGCATCTCTCAACACATGCACTACCGCTCTCCCAAGCAATGTCGTGAACGCTTCCACCAAAACCTCAAGCCCTCGCTCAACCGTGAGCCGATCTCCGCCGACGAGGGCCTCTTGATTGAGCGTATGGTCAACGAAATGGGCAAGCGCTGGGCCGAAATCGCCCGCCGTCTGGGGAATCGCAGCGACAATGCCGTCAAGAACTGGTGGAATGGAAGCATGAACCGCAAGCGCCGTGGCTTGTCCACCCCACCGGCCTCACGTACTTTCAATGGCCGCATCGAGGCACCGTTCGCCCGTGCCTCGATCGTCAGCCCAACTCGTCCTCGCTTTGCAACTCGTCCCTGGGCCGAATCTTCTCCTATCGATTCGTCTGAGGTCTTCTCCCACTCGCGCCGCGAGTCTACCGTCTCCACTACCCGCCAGCTCTCTCCCATCTATACTCTGCCTTCTATCAACCGCCCCATCGAGACTCCCTTGACCTCGCCTGCCTTCTCCGAGGCCACATCCATCGAACCACCCTCCATGGTCTCGGATCACAACTCAGTTTGCTCTTCTTCTCCTCGCACATTGCCATCTCCACAGCTCCTCCCCATGCCCGTGGATTTGCGCGCCCAGTACGATGTCCGCCGGCAGAGTGTCGTCTCTGTCCACGTTGTGGATGATTCCCCGCCCAGCTATTCAACTCGTTCGCTGGAGTCACTCTCTGAAGTCGCCTCTAAGCGGCGGTGGATGGAACACCAGCCGGCATTGGCATCATGGCACCAACCGACAGACTCGTTCTCCAAGCCCTGGGAGACGAGGCCTGTCGAGCCTCCCCGTGATACGAGGATGGGTGTGAACAACCTCCTCAATTAAGGGGAGAAAATCCTTCACAAACAAAACGCCCATCCTCTATCATTTTTTTTCTACGGATCTCCTTTGTGTCATGATTGTACGAATTTTCTTGTCTATTATTTTCTCTTTGTTGAATACTTTCTATTCCCCTCTTCGCCGGGCTCCTCAGCCCGCGAAATTGTACATGTGCCAAAAGCTTTTCCCCCGCTCGCTCTCCTTTTTCCTATTTGTGGTCACCCTCTCCTATGTACTCTTAATGTGTATTACCATGGTTCGGATCTTCAAAATATGGTTGTTTTCGGTCATGTGGAGACCTTTAATCTGGGGGTGGTTTTCTTACTTTTGTGTTGTTTCCCGCTCTAATTCCCCGTCTTTTGTGTTTCATCGGGTTTACAGCAAGAGTGGAGGGCGAAGATTCTAAAATAGGGAATGGGTGAAAGTGATCCGCTCTATCTGGGTTTTGGGTTGTCTAGCATAATACCCCTGCTTATGAGAATTGAAATGTTTCGAGTCTATTGAAATCTCAGACACTATAGCAAGTAACGAGTAATAATTAGTAAATGATTAGCAACTCATGCTTGATGGGCACCCCTGCATATGCTGAGATTTAGACCTCAGCTACGCCGTCCACTTTTTGGTGGTACTGACTGTACTTGGGATTGCTCGCATTGTACCTCCGTTCATTGACAGTAACAGGGGCCTACCAGTGCACCATGTACCGACATACATACATCACTATGGAGATAGTTTTATGCTATGCAGCTAATCCTCGTACTGACTGCATTACTCCGTCTACTGTAGTCTTTCCGATAGGACTCCTTCCTCCAGTACCACAGGACTCAAACAAGGCACAGTATGTATCATAAGTTCATAATTCATCAATCAACCTATCAGCAGCCAAATTACAATTTCCAAATCAAGATCAGAGGGGGATAATCTCCAAGACCCACGGTTCACGAAGAATGCGCCACTAGAAGCGCTCACGAGGTCAGAATGCAAGGGGTCGCCGTCAGCATGAGGGGAAGATCATGTTGTCCGGGAGGCAAAGGTAAAGACGGGGAAGAAAGGTTCTATCGAGGATGAGGTAGTAGTGGTGGTAGGAGTGTACTCCGTAGTAGGGGAGGAGAAGAGGTCCATGCAGGTTATCTTTCATGCACGGCGCCTTATTCAAAGCGAAAAAAAGGGCGGCAAGTCACTGCATAATGACGAAGTCTAAAGAAAAAAAGTACTGATTTTACTTTACCTTACATCTGCCTCTGTCTTTACATCTCGATTTTCACACACTCTCGTTCTTCCCTCCCCAAGTATCTGCACCTAAACACCTTCTAGCCCAAGCTAAAGTTTAAACGAGAGGTTCGTCCGCGCCTGCAGCAAGGCCCATCGCTCAACGGTCCCCGTCACCAACCACGCCGCTCCAATCGCTGGCGGATGCGACTCTCTCTGCATCGGAGTGGCGCCCTTCGTGCCCCCCCCCCCGCCCGCTGGGGACCCGCCTTGTCTGACCAATCGTGGCATCCCACCATCAGACTGGTCACTTCTGACGGGATGAACGGCGGGGCGGGGTGCTCTCTCAATGCTTACCGGACCCAGTGCGTTTTAGGCATGGGTAACACGGTTTGCATCGAGCAAGCACACTTTGCACGGAGTTCGGGGGACAGTGGTTGGTAGACGCATTTTCATGGCTTTTGTTATGAGCGTTGACGCCTTCGGTAGGGAAGCCGGGGTATGCCGGGCGGTTTTATTCATTCTGAGCGACTCCGAGACGGTGGCATTCTGCATTCTGTACTCTTTGACACCACGCTCCAAACACCAGATCCCAAAACAATCGCCTGCATCCCGCTGCACAACTACAACGTCCGGACTTGATGCCCAGGCGTTACAAGACGTACAGACGTACTGTATGTACCCCTCCCCACCCAACCCAGCACAAGCGAGATCTCGGACCCCAACGACAACGTTGGGCCGTTGCCGATGCAGTGGTTCTCTCCTTTTTTTTCCCTCTCTTGTTAGGCCGATGGAACACTGGTTTGGCTTGCCCTGAGTGGGTGGCGGCACGGGTGATCTGATCCACTTTGTGGTTTGGTGGGCGGTTCTGGTCCTCTGCCGTGCGATCGAGATTGTTATTGTGGGCCACTCTGCCCGCTCTGAGCCTCTGGCATTTCTGGTCCTGGGCATGGCGTGTGATGACGCTGGATGGTGTGGGGGCGCCCGGCGGTTCGATCCTGGAGGCGATGGCTGCAGGAGAGTTGGGACAGGAATTATGATGGGTAGGTTTTGGGTTGGCGATGTGATGGTGATGCCGAGGTTCATCAAGGATTAACTATTGTACAAGGTACGTCCCGACACTAGCACAAGATGATAACGAGTGGCTTGGGATTGATCATGTAGGATTGCGACCTATCAGGATAGAAAGCCACCATCACAAGCCGATGAGATATGCTCACGACATCTAAACTGGCGGGCCGTTTGATGTGGCATAGCAGGTTGACCTGAGCATTGATACCATTTTCAGCTAGTCTTTTGCCACTGGCATCAGCCAGCCATCGTCCGCAAGAATCATACATCAGTCTTTTGTCCAAGCTAGATAACCAGGTTCAAGGACCGCCCCTCCCCGAACAATCGCGAGAAAGAAACACCAACGAATGGACCTCGATGAACGAGGTGAAATGATGTAAATAATGATATGAGATCAGACGGTCGAATCAGCATTGCCGAATCACCCTCGAGTGTGATCAGCAGAGACATCAGCACTCAATAGTCCAGAGCAGATCCTGGGCTCTCAGGTCACCACTAAAAATCAAAGCGACAACCCAGCACTGTGTCCCTAATTTTCCGTAGGGGGTTATCAACCCCCATCCCTGGTACACGCCTCATAGTGCTACCCCCCGCTGTGGGCACTGGGCAGCACAGTCTGATCTCGACCGGTCAAAACGAGGCATGACTAGTGTGCCAGCTTCACGCTAGTGACCAAAAAGGTTAAAGCTAGCTGCCGGTGATTTGGAATTTGGAATTGTGGTAATTGTCCGGTATTACGGGACGTGCACTTTTGTCTGTACCCCCATCAGTTGGGACGGGTCATCAGATAAAAAAAATTTGAAAGAGAGAAATAAAAAATAAGATATCAATATTAAGAGACCCGGTGGAACGGTGGAACCGGACGGGAAGAGGAGAGAAAGATTGGGATCATGGAAGAGGAGAACAAAGAAACCACTTTTCCAGGATCCCAAGAACCCAACAACCGGTGAAAGAAAGACGGCTCTTGGTTTTCCAGGAGACTGGTTCTGGACTATGTTGACTCCATCATGACTCCATTGAAACAAAGAACAGGAACAAAGAAGAAGAAGAAGAAGAAGAAAAAAAAAAAAGAAAAGAAAAATCAAAAAAGGATCTAGGACCTTGGGGACTTCCAACCCAAATTCCAACTTTCCAGTACCATGTTTTCAAGCCTTGCAGCCTTTCATCCTATAACGGGGGGCTTACAGAGTTATGCTCAGTAGTTGACTGTAGTTCCCACTAGAGCGGAACCATCCCCCTCCCGAACTATGGATTCAGTACGGAGGTCCATCCAAAAAGTATTGCGCAGCGCACGTACCACCATTATATTACCACTAGCGTTATACCAAGCGAATACACACAATCCCCCTGAATAGAATAGCCTTCATCGTCTGTCTACTACCTATCTACTACTACTGCTGCCTACATCTACCATTATGCCAAAACAATCAACCCTTGCTGATCGTGTGACTGTCGTCGCATTAAGGGCGTATACGACGAAAACGTCTGCTGAGATCGCGAAGATAGTAGATCTATCAATTGCTACTGTTAATCGTATCTACGCGCGCGCGATAGAGCGCGGTTTTGACCCAATCCATACAAAGATCACCGACGAATACGTTCAAGACGGTGCTCGCTCTGGTCGGCTAACTAAGCAAGATCCTCAGACGGTTAACACTATTCTGTCGAAGGTGCGCCTTGATCGATTTGGTCGAGAGAAAACATGCGCTGATCTTGCTGGAGAACTTAGCCAGGAAGGGATCGAAATTTTATCCTCTACTGTCTGGACTATCCTCAGGAAGGCCGGTTTACGCAAGACGAAACCGACGAGGAAGCCTGGACTGACGAAGAAGATGCGCGCTGAACGATTAGCTTAGTGCTTAGCTCACGAGCACTGGACTCTTGACGATTGGAAGAATGTGATCTTCTCTGATGAAACCTCGGTTATTCTTCTACATCGTCGTGGTGGTTATCGTGTTTGGCGTTCTAAGGATGAAGCATTTCTACGCTCGTGTATTCGTGAGCGTTGGAAAGGCTCTTCTGAGTTTATGTTTTGGGGCTGTTTTACCTACGATAAAAAAGGCCCTTGTCACTGTTGGTGCCCTGAAACTGCTATACAAAAACGTGAAGCAGAGCAAGAGATTGAAGCTCTTAATCAAGAGATCGAACCAATTCTACGCGAACAGTGGGAGCTAGAGACTGGCGTACGGCGTATCAATCTTCGTCGACAGCCTGCTGGTAAAAAGCCTACCTGGAGATTCAATAAGCAGAATGGAAAGCTTTCACGAGGATCTAAGGGTGGAATTGATTGGTATCGCTATCAAAAGATAATTCTTCTACCAAAGCTTATTCCTTTTGCTAAGGAATGCGCTACAACGCGGCCAAAAACGATCGTACAGGAAGATAAAGCTCCAGCGCATAATCATTATATTCAACAGCGAGTATTTGATGCAGCTCAGGTGCAGCGATTAGTGTGGTGCCCAAATTCGCCTGATCTCAATGCTATTGAGCCTGCGTGGCCTTGGATGAAACGAAAGACTACTAGAAAGGGAGCGCCTAAGTCTAGACAGGAAGCTATTGCTATATGGAATAAAACCTGGCAAGAGCTACCGCAGGAAAAGATTCAGGCTTGGATTGAGCGTATACCCACGCATATCAAGAAGATCATTGAATTAGAAGGGGGGAACGAATATAAGGAAGGCCGGTAAATTATACTATGTAGTACGTTAATGTAATTTAATGGTGGTACGTGCGCTGCGCAATACTTTTTGGATGGACCTCCGTACGGAGTGGTTAGTTAGTTGGTTGGTATGGCCAAGTCACATGAATTATCGCCCCCTCTCGTATATTCCCGGTCAAAAAAGAAAGAAATATAGACACGCATTCAAAGAAAGAAATAACAAATCCCCATTTCCTGGTTCTCGACAAGCTCCAACTGCCAACTCCTTTCCAAATTTGTCAGTATTCGTAGTAGAGTTCGGCGGCGGCCACTAGTTCCTGACCTGCCAGGACCAACTCCCGGCTCCTGCGCGCGATGACGGGCAAACGGGTGCCAAGGCGATCGGTATACAAAGTACTGTATATACTGTATTACTATCTATACCTTGTAAGTATACACATACCACAACGATCGTTCTCTTTATTGATTTCCATGGTAGAACCATCACCGTTGTAACCGCCGTTGAGTCGCTACCAAGGAACTTGGATATCGGGTAGACGAACCATGGGTATTCTACATTGGGATCAGGGGTAAAATACCCCATCTTTGAAGCCAGCAAGATCTTCATTTTCCTAATTCGTTCAATCTGTGAAGATAATCGAGATGTTCGTTGGAGATGAAATGATGTAAGAATGATGGACATGTATACCAAGTATTTGATGTATTCGTAACGGTATGTCTATACTGTATTCTGTATTCTATACTGTTTGTACTGTATTCCGTATCGTAGTATCGACCGTTGTGTTCCAAGCCACCGGATCCTGCGATCGACATCGCTGCTCACCCGACTTGGTAACCTTGACGCGCGCCCTAATTTTTGGCCATGAGGTGAGTTTTCGGCCTTCTTTTTTGTTTCGATCGTGGATTCGTGATCGCCCCGATGGTCATGGCAGAGTCGTATCCCGGATTTGATGTACAAAGTATAACTATGACTGTATATCATATACACTATGATACAGTATACAGAAGTGAGGCGGTCTTCGTAGGAAATCAAATACAAGTCCTTTTGTTTTCCCCCTACCCGTTATACAGAGAGTTGGCCTTTTGATGTACAACCTCCAAGTTGTCCAATTACCATGTCCGTATTTGAGTAGTTATACAATACTAACAAATTGATATAGTGGAACGAGAAGCTTTCGATAAAGATAGTACTATCATTTCTAAGTAAGGCTCAAGACAATATCATACAAAACACGTTTGAAATAAACAAGGAGGCAAATCGTCGATATCCGTTCATGTCTCAGGAGTCAAGACGTCCCTGCTAAGCCCTGCCTGTGCCCCAGTGACATCAACCCAGCCCCAGCTAATCCGCAATAGTATAATAGTTTAATAGTGTCAAAAGAACCATCAAGGTGCAGCTGATGCCCCCAATCACTTTCTCCCTGCCGGTCTCAGCTTCTGATTGGCCTACGGAGGATCTCGGTGCCATCTTTACACTAGTCTAGATTAGATCTAGCGCAACAGATGTTACCCGCCTGTCGGGATGAAGGTTTGGAATTGGGCATTTTTGATTTTCCATGTTTGTTTTTGAAAGTTTCTTTGAAGTTCGTGCGGAGTGCTTTTTCAGGAGGTTTGTGATCTGGGATTTTCTAGATTTCCGATTTTTTTGTGGCTTGCACTCCTTTGAGAGCAAATCATGTCAGATCTGAAAATCCTTTGCCCTGCATTTACTGTACACGATTATCCTCCGAGCCTTTTCCTTGTTCCTATCCACTTCGACCCGGTACACGGGTCCATCTAAAGCCATGACCGAGGGCAGTTCAGCTCAGCATGTCAATCAGTAAAGCACGATACACTCAAGTATCTCGCAAATTATCAATTCCATGACTCGTGAATACTAGAATTTTGAAGACTGCGGTACCTAGCCAAGCCTTTCTATCTCTAAAGCACCCTCAACCAAGGGTCCAGACGCTTCGATTCAGCCTCAGAGTTACCACTATTGACAACTATCCGTCCAAACACTCGCCACCACATCCACCTGTGGCACGCCCGAAAACTAAAAATTGAAACATGTCTACCAACTCCAAGATTCTCTACACCCACATTCAGAGCTCTTAACTAGGCCCACGCCAGGCCACCTTAGGCTCACCGTTGTATCCAACCCCCATCGTCCCACCGGCCCGGTCCCAGACCACCAAACAACGGATTTCGTTTCGATATCCGAAACCATATGAAACCGGTGAAGTTCGGTGCGTACCGTGGCTGGAATATGGGGAAGGCTTCGACGTACCGAATTCTTGGTTGTGCTATCTCTAGTTCTCTATTCGGTAGGGTAGGTATCCACATCGCGCTTACGTGTCTCTGCCCTCATCCGTTTGTCATGGCCACATCTCGTTTTTGAGGCTCGCACTCGATTACTAGAGAAGTAAGGTGCGTTTTCTGTCGAGCTATATGATCAACTATTAATGCCTACTCGAGCTCGTTATCGTATACTAGGTAGGAGGTCGAAGTTTTGCGTAGAAGGTGGTTTTGGTTGTTGATTCGATCAGTGCTGCGTCTGATGGCGAATTTATCTGCTAACTAACTCGAATGCCCGACCATATTGGACTGTGCCGAGGAAGTTTTGGTGGTGAGTATTGTGGTCGTAAGCTATGGATACGAGGAAAATTCTATGAAAACAACATGGCTCAGCGTGGAGAGGTGTGCCAACCCTGTGAGCTGGACTTGTTTTTGAGAGAACACTGAGTATTTGGGCAAGTTCAGTGTTGAGTATCCGCCTATAGAGAACTTTCAACGACGCTGAATAATGTAGCATCGTAGGGATGTCATGATGTGATCGATTTCGTCCTAGAGTAAGCCGTAGCTGGTTGATCACAGGTACCTGGGATGTTGGGTTCATCCGAGTCATGCTGCCGTCAGAGACCTTACGAGGTGCACAGTCCAATGATCATGATCCCATCTCTGGAAATGAATGCATTCCCCGGCTTCAGTGAAGCCTATCGTAAATGTATCCAAAACAAAGACATTCTATATAGCAGCTAGAAGTTAGGGAGTCACCGCATATCCCAGGTCCCGACTTCCAAGTGTACAAATCAGGCACAGACACATGAATCTCAATTTGAAGAAAAGAAGCAGAACTGCCAGTAGGCAAGTCGATGGGAAATAAGAATCAAGGAAGGAAATTGTAGCAGGTCATTCCAAAGATTGGGTAGAGGAGTATTGTGGGCAAACCACGGCCATCTCTGGTAGAAGGCAAATCCCAAATGGGAGAAAAGAAAAGGTTACGTAAAGAAAGATCATATCACAAAATCCAGTATAGATCAGAAAGTACCCAGGTAGATGCAAACAAATCTCAGACATGTCCAGATCCAGTTCCAAACCAAAAGAAGAAAAATCGCTCAAGGGGTATAATTCGCTGTGCACATCATAACCAGATATCGCCTTCTTCGCCATTTACCCATTGCGCCCATACCGCCTCGTAAGCATCTTCCAGGTCACGCACCCAGCGCGCCGTGTCAAATAGCTTGTTCTTGTATCGCTGCATAAACAGCATCTGTCGAATGTCGGCCAATCGACCGCGCGCGCGGCCCTCGCCACCAGGCATGTATTGCAGATCCATGCACAGTCGGATGGCTTTGTTCTCGTAATCGTCATCCGAAGTCGCAATGAGTTCCCCGCGGGCCCGTTGGCCCTCTTCGCCACCTGGGAGCGCGCTGCTCAGGATGCTGCTTGCCATCCGCGAGCACATCTTGTACTTGTACCGCGGGAGCGTGAGCAGCGGGGTTCCACTCCAAAGAACGTCGGTTGCTGTCGTGTGTGCATTGCACTCGGGCGTATCAAGGAAAAGATCCAAGACCTTGGCCCGCGCAATATGCGTGTTCTTCGGCGCCACGTCGGTGAAGATGATTCGGGAAGCCGTTTCTTCACCGGCCCATGCCTTGGCAGTTTCCCGAAGATTCTGTTCACCCGTTTCCGGGAACCGCAGTAGCCAGAGAACAGAGTTGGGAATACGTGCCAAAATACGCAGCCATGTTCGAAATGTAGTGGGTTCAATCTGTTCAGAAAGTTAGTCAAGTAGAAGAGGACATGATTGAAAGAAGCTTACCTTGTACAGCTGATTGAAGTTGCCCAAAATAATAGTATCATCTCTAAGTGACGGAAATAGTTCCTTACGCATCCTCCAGCGGCGCATCTGCTCTTCATCCCAAGAGAGCGGTCGCTCCCCTGCGTCTGGTGCACTCTGTCGGTGGTCGCAGCAAAAAAACGTATCGCGAGTGAAAACGATCTTCTCGCCGTAGACCCAATCCTCCATGTCCTCGCAGTTATCATCCTCGAGCATCCGATCCTCAATCCTCGTAGTGCGTCGTCCGGGGCTCAAGGTTTCCGGGGGAATGGAGAGCTGATCAGCGAGGATGTAGTCGCACCACTCTGCGCCGAGAGTGCCTGCAAACCCCATGAATGACATGTGAATAGGTGCAGGCCGAGCGGCAAAGACCTCATTGCGCGCTCCGCGCGTGTAGCCATTCAAGTTGATCAGGATGTGGATCCCATCGTCAACGATCTGCTGGACCAGTCGGTCGACCGGCCATCCGCTGGCGTCATGGAAGACAGGTGCCTCCTTCTCGATCTGTTGGCGGTGGATTGATTTATCGCTGGAAGTCGTCGCGTAGCAGTACGCTTTCACCTTGTTGGGATTGTGCAGCCCAAATACGGACTGCATCAAGTGAGCCAGAGGATGGTTGTTAAAGTCCGAGGACACATAGCCAACTCGAAGGTAAGGCTTTGGGGGTGCAGGTGGTCTGTAAACAGTCGCAGGAAGCCAGGGCAAACGCAGTGTTGAGCATGAGATGCGCAGGCCATTGCGTTGGGAGATTTGCCGGATCTGCTTGGCAGACAGAGGGCAAGTGAAGGTATGGAAGGGGAGAACTGTAGGGGCATTCGGAGCCGTGAGAGCTGTTGGCAGTTGGGGTCGACGGTACTTCGAAGCAGGATAGTCTTTGCCATAAACATAGCGATCCTGATACCACTGCCATGTAATTGACCGTATAGCACGCTCAACCAGACGGACAATTCGTGACCCCTCCCATTTCTTGCCAGCCCAAGACTGAAGAACCTTGGCCAAGGACAACAGGCGATTGGAGGCCACTGGACCAGAGTCAAGTGCAATGGCTAATTGAGCAACGAGCTGCTCGGCCGTGTTCGGGGTCAAAAGTCCCCGGCCCCAGTATTCGCCTTCACGCAATTGTCGGTCAACGATGTCGACAACTCTCTTGACCCAGCCAACTCCCGAGTCGCTACTTTGGGCATCCCGAAGCATACCCTTCTCGTCCACGTGCCAGCGATCGCGGAAGCCACGGCTATTGACAATACCTCCGCGACCGACCCAATTGCACACCGAATTCAAAGCATTGGCTAGTCCACATACCGCCTCGGCGAAGTCGGGATTCACCTTGACTGCACGCTTGTAGTAGGAGATGGCATCGTTGACACGACCAGCGTCTTTAACAGCGTTGGCCAAATTGGCCAGGGCGATATCAAAGTTACCATCGCATTGAACGGCTTGCTCGTACATCTTGATCGCGGCCTGGAGTTGACCAATATCCTTGAGTAGACTGCCCAGGTTTGTATACAGGTGAGCATGGCGAGAGTCGAGATGCAGTCCGTAGTTGTAATATGCCAATGCCAAAGAGATACCGCTGCCAGGCACAACGCCGGGTATATGAGGATGCTGGCTCTCGCCGTTAGGACGGACCAATCCCCGAGCCGGTGGATTGTTTTGAATACCAGCCAGCAAGATGCCAACATTGTTAGCAGTCGATGGGCTCGGCTGCAAGGAGAGAGAAAGGTAGTAAAGAGCGAGGATATCCCGCACGCCAGGTGTGGACTTCGGCGCTCCAGACGAAACGGTCGACATTCCATCCTGATAGATTTTGGCCAAGGAAAGGAGGGAGTTGCTGGTAGTAGAAACAGCGGCATTCCGGGAGATACCTTCAGCCACGTATTTCAACCCGGGCGGAGTTCCACCACCCTGGAAGACGAGTTTCGAAGTCTGAAGAGCTCTGTCTGGATACAACAGAACGCTCTCGTTAGACTCTGGCTCGGGCTGGTGGTATCCGTTGCTTGTTTGAGACGAGAAGGCAGCAAATATTTGCTTGATAAGGCTCTGGATACCATGCCGTCTTCTACCAGCAGCAATCAAAACGGCATCCTCGAAAGCAGACGCAGCTCCTGCATTATCACCGAGGGCATACAACATGTTTCCCTTGGCATGTATCAAAGCCAGCATTCGCCCATTGTCTGAGCCAGGTATAGCATACCCACTGGTCGCAAAGCCAGCGGGTGTAGAAGTATCGGGTGAACCCAGATTGAAGCCATGGACCTGTCCCATATCATCATCGTAGTCGAATGATGCCTTATCATACATCGCAATATCGGACACGTTGCTCTCGACATCGCTTTCCGGCTCGCTGGCATGCTCATCCGCCTTGAAGCAATCCCCATCCTTCGGATGGCGGAGGGATGTCTGCACGAAGTCGATGATGTTGACAGCTTCCCTGCCGCGGTGGCTGGTGCACAACAGGCCAATCAAATGCTCGACGGCCTCAAAGAAACTCGGTCGTAGTTTGACGGCACGCAGCCAATTCTGCAGAGCCTCTTCTCGACGATCAAGCGCCAACAGCGTTGCGGCAAGATTGGAGATAGCTTCCACGTGACTGTCACCAGGTCAGCATAAACTTAAAATTTATTTGAAGGGAGATCAGTAGGACTCACGTCGAATCACGAGCAATAATCCTCGAATACCATCGCATAGCCTTGTGGTAATCACCCAATCCGTAAGCCAAGCAGCCACCAAGAAGCATCCCATCAATCCATTCCCAATTGCTTTCCATGCAAAGATGAGATAGCATTTCCAGAGCAGATGCCGCGTTGTTGACGGGAGACCCTTCATTGAATGGAGAGCCCGAGAACCGAGATCCAGTTGCAGATACTGAGAATCGACCAGCATCTCTTATCTGCGAGTCTGAGCCCCTGTGGTGGTGTTGAGAGAATTGGCTCAATGATGGACGTCTACCGTGTGTGCTGTTTTGTGGGAGTGGGGTGGAGTGGGAATCATTTATCCTGGGATTAGCTAACAGGTCGAGTTTTTGCCGTCGTAAATCATATTGGCTGGATGGGTAGCTATTATGACGGGGGATATTGGAGGGATTCTGAGAGAAGTCGAGGCCTGGCTGGCGGGGAGGTTTTGGGTAGATGCTCGGTTTCAAAAAACGTTGGCTGTGGCCACCAGCACCGCTGTTAGAGATACTGTTTCGGCGAGCCTGATGAATTGTGGCGAGGAGATCGACATAGACACCATGGGCCCAGGAGAGTATCTTTTCCTTGAACTCAATGTTCCCAGTCACTGCTTGGCCTGGGCCCTGGAAACCGGGTCCTGCCGAAGGACGGCCATTCCAATTCATGGAATTGTTGGTAGATAGATTCGATGGAAGTCCCGAGATGGATCGACTGACTCGAGCATGATATGGTAATTGATCTGAATGTCGTGGAGGGAAGATGGGTTTCATGAGAGGGTCCTGCGTGGGCAAGCCGGGCGCAGATTGGCCCCAGGCAAAGGATGTATCTGGACGGCTGCCCAAAGGTATTTGAGATTGGATGAAAGCCGGCTGGTTCGGATCAAAGAAACCAGTCGGGTGAGGATAACCGAAACGCGAATCACGAATGGCTGCAGGGCGATATGGAATATATACGCCGTCCGGCCAGTATGGACCATACGGGCCAGTGCCGGCCGAGGCAGTTGGTCCAACACATTGCTGAAGAGTAGCTGGCAGAACAGTCGGGATGTAGGCACCGTTATGCATGACGAATCGTTGAGGTCCTTGCAAGGGCAAACTTTGATTCAAGACCGAGTCGATGCCTGGCGGATAGTTGACGGGACGCACCCAGCTAGTACCGTTGGCATCCTGAACAAACTCTCCAGAGGCCACAGGGTTGATTACATCGTTCTTGAACACGGGCGGGAAGTTCATGGGCTTGGGCCCTGACAGATCGGAGCCAGGCTGTTGCCAAACGTCTCCTAGCAGTCCTGCCTGAAGGGACAGAAATTGGTTCGAGTCCATCGGCGAGACCAAGATGTGTTTTGTAGCAGGCTGGATTGTAGTATCGCCGAGTGTTCCATCGTAGCCAGCAGCTAGAGTGCCGTTCGGAGTCTTTCTTCTCAGCGCATGCTCAGCCGTAGCATGACCGTTGGGCCCAGAGGCCGTCGCATCGGGGACATCGAGTCGTTGGACAGGTTGCGGCAGCTGGATGCGTGATCGCAAGATTGGATTATAGAAGGATTTGGAGGGGTCATTCGTTGCGGGGAAAGCGGAGTCATTCACTTCGTAGGGAGATTGATTTACAGCATCGTGAGGGGGATAGGGGTGCATATGGTGATGAGGATGCACCGAAGGAAAAGGCGCGACGGTCGGAAACATCTTAACCTCCACTAGACCACGAAGGCCCGTCTCTTCGAAAGAGGGTCCGGTCGGTCAGAGAGGGGGTTTCTGATTTCTCAACGGAAATCAACAAAAGGTCAGTTGAACTCGTAGGTAATCAACAGGCATCCTCCTTGAAACGTTTTCGACACCGCATTATGGGTACCAAGCCAGTTCTCGATGAATGTTGAGCGAGGAGGGGGTAGCAACAGGGCGCTTGTGTACGGCAGGCATTCACGATATCGTCATCGAGCAGGCGTGGTTGGGACAGAGGTCGAGTAGGTAATTGTCGCCGGCGAGCGGGTCTGATAGTGGATAATGGAGGTTGATAAGGGCGCTCAAGAGGCCAGGTGTAAGGATAAAGAATTATTTTCGATATTGAGGACGCAAGGGAGAAGGGGAGTTCAACTGGCGATCTGCTGGTGTCCGAGACGCGGTGGGCCAATAAAATGCGGGCGATCTTGGCAAGAATTGTGCGAGGGTCACAGGTGGATATTAGGAAAAAAGGAGAGTCGATGGCGTTAGAGAGAGGGAGAGGAATTCTGATGAGATCAGAGACGGTTAAAGAGGGGCCTCTTGTTCTCCAGAGGGGAGGAGAGGGAGAAGAGTGGTGAGAGAGAGAGGAGACGAGAGGAAGAGTGGAAGAAAGAGAAATGAAGGTGCTCGAGTCTCGAGGCCGAGAGTCACGACGTAGTCAAACACTACATACATTACCAGTTATGTAGTGTCCTAATTAACTAGTCCACCAAGTACTCAGTGCAAGTAATAAGAATGGAAAAAGGCTCCATAGTAGTAGTACTTAGTATTAGACGGCCCGCAATATGAAGAGAAAAGGATGTGCGGATCGCCCGCTATGCTTTTTTTCTGGCTTCTCCATTCAAATTCTCTTTCATCTCATCTATATCTCTTTACTTTCACGACCTCCTCTTTTTCCCAATCCCTCTACTCATGATTCCCCAATCCTTTTCCTCATATTTCTCTTCCATCTTCCTCTCTCCCTTGTCCTCTCTTGTCCGTCTCCTCCCCTCCTCCTTCGCGACCCAGACTCCACCTCAGACCCACTTGATCCAACGGCTGAACCCTCTTCTGGGCTGGAGTCTCCATCCAACAGCCCACGTCAGTGGACCATTGGTCCCGTCCGGGCGACTAGTCATGGATCGGTGACGCCCCGCCGTGATGATCGAGTCGAGCCCGTTCTCGTCCTGCGCTGTGTGAGGTGGATCCAGTTGCTGATGATTATGGGACTGGTCCCAACCAGCTTAGCTATGGAGTGTAGGCTGAACCTTCGCTCCAAGTTGTGATGCTCGATGGGCTCCTCTCATCACACAATATCCAGGGCAATGTTACTTACTGCGACCGCCGCTGCGGCGCCACAGCGCGCCTCCTCCCAGTCAACAGAGACTAACAACAAGCTCCGCATAGGAATTGGGAAGGCAAAATTCATGGGAAGAGTCCAATAATCTCTTGTGAACCCCTCTCTTTTTCCCCTCTCGCTCAAAGAGTCAAAGACCCCGTCGGCAGCAGGAGAAAAAAAGGAAACATCGATAACTAATAATAATAATAATAAGATGACTATTATCGACTGCGGGCAGCCTCTGACTTGCTTTCCACTTGCTACACCCCATGCAAGCCACCTCCTCCACCGACCGTCTCGGTTTCTCGTGTCCGGGTGACGGGCGCAGCAGCCCCCCTGTTTGCCTCTTTGGCCGCCTCATCAGCACTGCGATCTTTTCCTACTTGGGCCCAATTTCTGGGGTTGCTGGCCAGGATTGCCTTCATCCTTCCCCTGCACCTTGATTTTCGAGAGAGTTTTCTCATTCCGAAACCTACTCAAACTGATTGATTGCTTTGTGTATCACTTCGAGGAATAGCTTTCCATCTTGCATGTCTTTCAAGGCTTTTAATAAGTTTATCATATTGCGAATGGCTCGCAGGGCATCAACTACTGGAAAATCATGGATCTGCCCTTCTCGCGGATCCCTCGTTCCAGATGGTTGGGCATAGTGCACGGTCGTACTGGGGTATTATCGAATCTTCCATACTGGTATGCCTCCAATGCCTACGTCCTCCACCTCCTCCAGTCCTGGTCCCCAAGCAGACGTATGCATCAGCCAACAAGATGAGCTAGTTATGTTTACTATGGAGACCTCGTCGATGCTTCTGTCGCGACAGAGAAACTCCATACTTATTCACACTTCTCGGAGTTGCTTGTATGCTGTACTCTGTCTGTCCTGCAATTTGAAGTATGTAGATTAATGTGCCTCGCCCACCCCCATGTCTCCAGCCGCAGCGATCGGCAAACTCACCCTCCCCCACCACGGCATCCTTGGCCTGCACAACGTCCAAACGGCATGCGGGTCGGGTGGTACAGGGTGTCCTGGAGTCTTGGACTTCTGGTAGCTCATCCACTGTTTACATTACTATCCACACCGTTCGTTTGACAGGCCATAACACATACGTCCATACCGGTTTTGAGGTGGACTCAATCTCCATAGAATTCTCCATATTCTGCACTAACACTTAGTATATCCCTGATAGGCACAACTGTAGATACTCACCTTGAAACAAGCCATCCATCGCATTATCACAATAGACCTGACAAAAGACAAGGAATGAACTACGAATCCTCCACGGAGATGTGGACAAACCCTCTCCTCCTCATACCTCAATTAACCAATCCAATCCCCCATTCTCAAAAACATCAGACAAGTAAACAATATTCGCCTCCATATAACATCACATATATCGCATTCAATCCATGCAAAATTAAATTGATCAGCACATTTATATCTCCCGCCAAGCCCCATTCCCTCTCTGCCTCTCTCCTCATTTGCCCATCAATATTCCACGACCCCATCAAACAAGGACACCCGTGCACGACCGCTCCAGTTGCATGCAACTCCCGAACACCATTCCCCACCACCCCGACGCTCCCAGACTCCCAGTGGAGGAAGCCTACACCACCGCCTTATCAGGGGCGACCAACCAGCAGTGATCGGCGAGGGCAGTGGGTGGAGTCGGTCTTGGGCCTCTTGGGGCCAGCGCCTACGTTAGTACGGTAGCTGCATGGCCCATCGGTTTCGGTGGTCTCGGTGTGATGATGCTGACGGTGTCCACTTGAGCGACCGTGGTCAGATAGGCCGACGATGAGATGAAGGATCTAGGCATGTACTGAGTGGTCTTGTCTGCATGGACTATGAGAAAACAGTTAAATACAGCCGCAACATAGCCTGCTGGGGAGTCTGGTCAATCGTGGTGCCTACGAAGGCGCGACACGTTGCTCGAGGCTGTTTGCTGTGCGACTTGCGGGTGTCGCTGGCCGGGTCGGAGTGTGATGGAACGGCCGTTTGGATGTTTTAGAGTCGTCCTTTTTTTAGGAGGACTAAAACTCGCCGGTTTGGTCGGAAATGGTCAGTGATGGCGTAAACAAGCTCATGGCCATATGGCGGTGGGGAGCGGATTCACCGTGTGGGCTGCAAATATATACAGTGGAGGCTGACTCTACTGCATATATGTAGGAGGTCGAGTAACGAAAACGAAAAAGATATATAAATTCCCTCCACTTCCATCACGCGACGCCCAGGCATCAATTAAAGCTACATTGGAATCTGTATGTGGATGATCGCTGCCGGCTAAAAGCAAGGGGCGGTAAACTGTAAATCAAATCAAATAGACCGGCGACACCGAGATATGTAGTCTGAGATCATACTTGAAGGAAAGTGGACTGCCTATGTATATCTCACGCACGTTGCCTGCACGCAGAAATACCGGGGCTATGCGGATATCCGACAGCCTCACTTGAAACAGGGCCACCCACAGATGAGATGTATGCGTCGAGAGCCGATGATTAGGCTTCTGGCATGGGAATAGCAAAAGAAGAAGGCGTTCTAAATCATGGCCACGGTCAAGTACATATTCTAGAATCAGCGACTTCGCGGGCTTGAGACCAGGGCGATATGGATCTTGCCCCCTTTCCATGTCAAATTGGCATTGGCAGCATTCAAATGGTAGGACATGGACTGATTCTACTTTTGTACTCTGCTTTATGTTGTAAAAGGCTGACCCTGTCCGTTGACCTTGAAGCGTCAATAGAAGAAAGAAGGATAGAGTGAGATAAAAAAAAATAAGTCCATTGTCACTATATAATCTCAGGCCCAGTGGGATAGATGATCCCAAAGGCTTACGACTACGAACAAGAACAGAACAAGTTCTTGTTGCAAGGATGTAGACCACAAAAATGGACCACTGTAACCACAGCGACATAAATGCCACCAGTTACCGCGGTGAGTAGCGGGTCGTTGCTCTTCGTTACTTAAAATAAGCGTAAACCACATCGAATAAAGTCCAAACCCCGCAGGGAGAGGACGGTAAGCGCCAGAGTGTTGTAACGGTTCCCCGAAGGGAGACTGAGAGAGATGGAGATGGAAAAATCGACTGCACCGGGCAGTGATGAATATGCCTTGCTGCATCCCCATCGCCAATGGGGTTGAAACGAGGGGAAGCAGATCAAGGTTAAGTGGAAACGAAATGGAAGAGGATCTATACGAACAAGGGAGAAGAGCGCGGGCGATCGAACTGTTCATTCGGATGCTCGCAAAAGAGAGAACGAAGAAAACAAGGTATCAGGTCATAGCTCATAAAATGGTATGTTTTTTGGTTGTGGAGACCACAGTCGTATTCTGCAACTAGCTCCGCATTTTTCAGCAGGTATGCTTGTTGTTACAAGAGTAGATAGAGTCCTCCTCTTTTCCGTTCAGGAGAGTAATTTACTCCTCAGGAACTAAGTGATTATCAGCAACAATGTTCGAGTAGTTCGGGGCAGGAATCGAATTGATTCCAGGAGAAAACTCACCGTCAATCTCGCCAGCCTTGACGTCGTCAGAGACATCCTTGGGGCTGCGGCCATCGACCTGGCAGCCGACGGAGAAAGCAGTACCGAGGATCTCGAGAACAACACCCTGGAGAGACTTGGCCATGGAGCGGTGCTTCATCTGGCGGGCGATCTCAACAATGTCATCGAAGGGGATGGACTTGGTGTGCTTGATGTTCTTCTCCTTCTTGCGGTCACGAGGGGGCTCCTTGAGGGCCTTGATGACCAGGGAAGAGGCGGAGGGAACAACAGAGACCGCGGCCTGACGGTTCTGGATGGTGAGCTTGACAGTCACACGGAGACCCTTCCAGTCACCAGTGTTCTTGGCAATATCTTCACCGATCTTCTTGGGAGACAGACCAAGGGGACCGATCTTGGGGGCGAGCGCAGACTGGGCGCCGACCTCACCACCAGTCACACGCAGGTGGATGACCTTCACCTCATTGGGATCGAACTTGGGAGCTACAGGAAAATAGAAAGATTAGTCGCCATTGTAGAAATGACCCAGGTGATGATACTTACGCATGGCGAGTGCGAAAGGTAGTCAATCTGCCTTGGGTTGTCGAAAGGGTTGGATGAAGAAGGAAGGAAAAGTTCCTGTCGATTTGCAGAAAAGTTGTAGGGAGCTGCTGGGGATCCACTTTGGCGGCTAGTCTAAGCGAGTGGGCCAAACAGGAGGAAGGGCACAACCCTATCACGTGACAATACATCAGATACCTTCCCGTTTGGGTAAAATGTTACTGAATTGCGGAGAAATCGAGAACCTCGGCTTGGTTATAGGACGGCTGGTGGATTACACAATGTCATACAAATGCCTGGGCATCAATCATTCAACCTACTAGGGACTATATTGAAGAAGTGGAAAGGAAAAAGGAGCTAAATCACCGCTAAAGATACACATGACCATTGAGGTCGATGTAAGACCGCCCGTTACTTCTTATGGCTTATCGTCTCGTTTCAATTAGCTCGTACCAGACACCGCCAGCCTAAGGAAAACGGTTAGCAAATGAAAAGACCGTGTTATCTCGAAGAGAATGGAATACTCACTTCATCAGGTGGTCCATGAATGTCTGCAGTGAGACGTCATCAGTAAAGATGGTTTGCGACGACACGCCGCCACCGTATCCACCGGTGGTGTGTGTGGTCGACGGGTTCAGCTTGGACAGCAGGAAACGAGCCTGAGAGCCACCGGCATCACAGACAATGAATCGGGGCAGAGGGAAACGGTCGGAGATGAGTTCCTGGTAATAGGGTTAGCTGGAGAACAAAGGCTTGCATAACGTGAGAACAAGAGTTGAACATACCCTAGCATCCTCCTTAGGCTGCTCAAGAAGCGCCTTAAGGTTCTCGTAGCCCTCCTGCTCCTGGTAGCCGGCCTTGCGCCATTCGGCAATCGTCTCGCCGTGGAAAATAAGAATGTGGAAGAAAGTGTCGAGGAGGAGGATGTGCGCGGGCTGAATGGAGGCGGAGTCCAGGAGGACGGGCTGGCTGCCCTCCTGCTCGAGAGAGTACGAGTCCAGAGTGGGCTGGATCATGACAAGCGAGTCACCGGCATCCTCATGGTTCAGGACGTGACGGTAGAAAGCAGTCTCATCAGGGGAGTTGTTAAACACCTGCAAGAACTGGCTTCGTCGCAAGTGGAACATGAACTGTGGGTACAGAGTGAAGTTCTTCTCCAGGCGGAAGGATGTGGGATCGTCCTTGCGATAGTCGGCGAACCGAGAGCACAGTCTGATCAACATGCGGTCCACCCAGCGCAGGACATCAGGGCCATCGTCAACCTCAGCCTTGAAGACGGCAATACGGGCCATCAGCACAGCAGCAGCCTCCTGGTCGAAAGACTGAGCCAAGGTGGGATCACCAGCAGGACCACTGAGAGGTCGTGCGACGGTGGTCACACGCAGGTGGTAATGCCCTGAAGAGTGCTGGTAGTATGTCAAGAACTGCATCATACCCCGTTGAGGGCCGGCCTGCACAGCGGCGGGGCCGCCTTGGTTGGCAATCTCAAAGTAAACACCGTAGCTCGAGGACGGGTCAATACCGCACATCTTCCATGCACAAGTGTTGCCAATACCGCATTCCGTCTCGCCAACGGAGCTAGACTTCTTGTTCAGGGAAATTGCGTGACCAATGAGACCGGTCACCTTGAGCTCCTTGGTGGTCAGGACTTCTAGAGAGGCATTGAAGCCCATCAAGAGGTTGTCGTTGGCATCCTTGTCGAACACCCTAATGAAAGATTGCTTGAATTGGGACGAAGTGAAGCTATCCGTAAGGAGCATGTGACCACCGGTGTAGTTTGAGAGGTTCTTCATCTCCAGAAGACCGACCTGGTCGAGACAGCCGGCAAAGATATCAACAATGTGACCGTTGTTTGCAGCACGCTTGGCAAGCGCATCGTAGAACTTGACGGCCTTCTTGTAGTACTTGATATTATCCCGATCAATGTCGTGGTGAGAACGGATGGGCTCCTTCAACTCGGGTGAAACAACGTGACCGGGGCCCTCTGTAGCCGCACCACTCAGGAAGGCCATGATACGTCCACCGGCATTCTGGAAGGAAGTCTCGAGCAAGCCAACGGCGACACTCAGGGCGACACCAGTGCAACGGAGGGGCCGCTTGTCATTGGCCACGGGCCATGGGTCGCGTTGCATTTGCTCGAGGACATTGGTGATCTGGAACTCGGCTTGCTGGACGGGTAGGAGGAAGCGGGCAGCGGGGCCAAGGGGAGCACGTTGCGGTTGCTGCTGAGGGGGCACGCCAGGGCGAGGGGCGCCGGCAACGAGGCCCAGCATCTCCTGAACCTGCTTGGCGGTGTAGTCCTTGTTGCCTCGGAACACGTACGACTTGGCGCACTCGGCGTAGCCAAGCTCATGCACTTGGGTCTAATATCCTGGAGTCAATCTTCAAGCGCTTTCGAATATATTGAAGGGGTGGCGCATCCTACCATAGTGCCGTAGGTAATCAGACCGACAAGCGCATTGGGCGGCAACAAAGACAAGCTCATAACGAGCGAGTCCCGAACCGCCTGCAGGCTGTCCTCCTCCTGGCAAGTATCGACAACAAAGACAAAGATCGGGGGAGCCGGGGCGGGGCGGGCCAATTGGTACTCGATGGTAGTGCTGGTCGGGTGAAGCTCTGGGGGTATCGTCTGCTCCGTGATGTCCTTATAATGCGGCGGTAGAGGGTTGCGCATCAAACAGAAAGGACAGATCCAGACTCTTGCGCGGATGTCGACGTTGCTAGCTTAGGGGTTAGCTCACCGCAAGATCCGGGGAAGGAGCCCCATCACGAAGCCGAACGTACGCAAATGGATTGAGTACAGCCCGGCAGGGTTGCTTGCAGGTAACGGGCTCATATTGAAGAATTGGAGTATCTGGCTTCTCCTTGAGAGGAGTGTAAATGGCACCGATGGGGACGACCAGCCGAGAAGCTTCCTGTATCCATGTTTAGAGAGATGATGCGACGTGGGGACCAGTAAGAGGGGTTGTCCCCGGACCAAAACACGCACCATGCGAGAGCTCGGGAAGGTGTTCCAGCTGAGTCTGAGGCCATCACGGTCCTCCACATCACTCCATTGATCCTTGAGCGCTTCGTAATCCATCGTGACGGTCGAGGTTCGAGGTGTCGGCCCGGTGTTGACAAGGGGAGGGGGGTTGCACGGGGTCGAGTCAAGTCGCAAAGGCACCACGAGATCGGACTACTCCAAGAAAGTTTTTAGACAAAGAAAGTCCACCAGAGCATAACCCAATCCCAAAGACAAAAGCTCCGGTGTCAGCTGGGGGAGATGTTCGAGCACAAGGTGGAGGAGTATGTTGTGTGAGGATGCCGGCCCAGCACTAAGGCCAGGTTGCAGCGCTACTGGTCTCTCCCGCCTGCCGGATCCAAACATATTAAATTCTCGGCCCCGTCCCGCTTTTCTTTCCTTTTCTCTTCTTCATGTTTTTATCACGCCGACAAAATATCACATTACGTCGACAGCTTCCGTCATTTAATGATGATGTCTGTTTTCGCGTCGAGCGAAGAGCGACTTGACCCGTTGCTGGGCACCTGGTCTTGAAAGGTCGTTTCGATCCTTTCGGATTTACTGGGAATCAGCTGTGGTCACAGACCTACCTTAATAATTCCAAAAATTTCAATCAAATGCAATACGTGTGCCATTATACCTATGCTTCTCTACCTAAATCCCATCTGCAATTGTACAAATATCCCTGCTCCCAACGCCAATTGGCCCTTGGAGACCGCCGCACACGTGCTGGTGATGAAGGGGCCGACATAACTTCATAAAGAGAAATTTCACATGCGAGAGGGTCAAGCCTCGCCTCGGGGCGGAGCCTTGGCCAGCGTCTTTAGCAGATAGCTGCGCTTGAAGTAAGTGTTGGGATGGACGATCGTGTCCAGATCCGCCTGGCCCCATGTCCCATCCTCCTTGACTTTCTTGATTTCGGTCTTGTGGCTCCATTCGAAGACTCGGTTGCACGCAATATGATACCGCTGCTTGCCGACGTCCTCTCGAACGCCACGGAGTACCTCCTTGTCATGAACACCGGTGGATTGGAGTAGTCCGACCAGGTTATCGACAGAGAAATGGCGGTACGGGCATCCGTGTGCCTGTCCAACTCCAACGTTGTTGTCTCCCAGGATCTTCTGGCATGAGTAAGGTGGGTAGCCACGACCACGACGGTTCACGTCACCACCAACATCGCCGTAGGCGTGACGGATGTTGTACTTGTATTGCGAATTGAACTCGTCATCTGTCTTTCCCTTGAAGGATTGACGCCAGAAGAGAATACACTCCTCGAGCGATAGGCCAATACCTTTCAAGAAAAGCGTGTATTGAAGTCGTCCGAAGTGTTTCAGGTGATTGTTCTTTCGCAAGTTGATGTGTAAGCTGCGCATGCACAGGGGGAAGTGCTGGGAGAGCGAGTCAATGGAGCTGGCGGTGATAGCTGCGCCGTCGACATGGCCCTCGCCTTCGGAGTAGACTGATTCGGCACTGCCAAAATTCTTGGACAAGTGGTTCAAGATGGGAGTCAGGCGGTCGTCTTCATCCAGGCGTGGTAGGGCTCGGCTTGTGAGCTTCGACATGTCAGTGAGGGGAGAAACCAGCTTTTCCATGCAAAACATACCTCCAATGAACGCTCCAGGCGAGCGGTGAATTCAGCCATGATCATGCTAAGCTGTTCCCTGCCCGGCACATAGGCCTTACCGCGCTTCATGAACACAGATCGTCGCTCAACCAGTTCCGCAACCTTCTCCCAATCAACTTTGTACCAGGTCTCCTCATCCACACGTCGCAGCGCGGGAGTGGCAGCGAGCAGATTTTCAGCAACCTGATTCCGTTCCTCCTCGCTCACGGGCTCCCAATCAAGATTCAAACTCTCGATAAACGCGCGCCTCTCTCTTGAATCATCCTTCTGGAAGCGGAATCTAAATAGCATTGTCTCGGCGCGTGCAAACCGTCGGCGAAGATCCTCCGTCGCGGAGAAGGCGAGGCGGAGGATAAAGTGTGAATAGTGATCCTTTTGGCGTTCATTTTTCAAACGAGGATCGGCAGCACCATTGGGAGAGGCAGTATTAGAGGAGAGGGGGGAGGAACTTTTGGAGGAGAGGTAAGATGTGGGCTTCAGTGTCCGCGGGGGTCTTGTTGCGGTAGGAGCATGCTTCGATCTCGGCCAGGACTATTTGATATTAGCAGCTAGCGGCGGGTTTGATATTTGGTTTTCTTCTGTAAGAGAACATACCCTTAAGGCGATCAATAGCCCATTGCTCAAACTCCTCGAGAGTGATTTCCGCCGTGGGCGGCGTATCGTATAAGTTCAGGCGATGCGGATAGTCCTGCTGCTTGTATGTCGGCGTAGCGAACTGTCTTTTCTTAGGATCGATAGTTGCCCGGCGTTTCGGGTCGATCCGATGCACATCTTGACGGATCATGGCGACAGCTATGCGTATTTGGGTCGATGTTGTGCCGAGTCCAATTTGGAGTGATGCTCAAGATCTCCCCGTTATCACTCGTCACTAAATTGATGGGGACGCGACGCGCGCACGCGACGGGCCATGGTCACGTGAATGTCAAGTGCCGGATTACTTGTGGCCTTAGAATTCAGGCCAAAGACGGAGCTGTCAGGCATTTACGGTATTTAGCATGTGAGCATGTGAGAGTCAATGTGCCGAGAACCCTCCGACTACTTCCTAACGGCTTGAATACATTCGTAGTGGTATATATTGGAGGATATTGGGATATCTGATTGACTTCCCATCTGCATTTGTGTCCTCCACTATACGGCGTACTTTTCGTCCTCACGTCGTTTCCCTCGGAGCTTTTCTCACCGGGGTCCGAAGAAAGAACCCGCAATACCAACCCCACAGAATCGGGGATTGGTCATATGCGCTAGACAGCTGTGGTGCTTATATCGAGCCTCTTCCGACATTCTCTCGTCCGGCATGTATCGACTATAAAGCGCATTCTGATCGTCGCGTCCTTCACCTCCGGCTTACTCCTGCCTCGCGATTCAACCTGGTCCAAAAAGGGTTCCAGGAACCGACCTCGGAGATAATTTCTGACACCGAACTTATATACCCCAACAACATCACCCATTCGACATTGCCTGAGCATGTCGCACTCAACAAAGCAGCTCAAGAAGGCTGCGCGCATCATTCTTGTTGGCGCGCCGGGGGTTGGAAAGGGTACACAATCAGAGCGCTTGTTGGCTCGGTTTCCCCAACTGGCCTCAATCAGCTCTGGAGACCTCCTTCGCGAAAATGTGCGCCGTAAGACGGCACTTGGTGAGTCGCGCCTATGAACCTACTTTGCCCAGCCTATCTCTTTGAGCGAGCAATTGGATCTAACGACAGCACCAGGTCTTCAAGCCGAGGCCGCAATGCAATCCGGCAATCTGGTCCCAGATTCGATGATTCTCAGCCTAATCTCCTCCGAACTGAAATCCAAGGGCTGGCTCCCTCCCTCGTCACCTTCTGAATCCTCCTCCTCCAACGACTCTCAAACCTCAGCTTCTCAGTCCTCCACCTCAGCCCCCACACTATCACCCTCCGCTTCATTCATCCTCGATGGCTTCCCTCGAACAGCCGTTCAAGCAACCAGCCTGGACAGCTTAGTCCCGGTGAACTTTGTGGTGAACCTCATAACGCCACCCTCGGTCATTCTCTCTCGCATTGCATCCCGCTGGGTCCACGAGCCGTCAGGTCGAGTCTATAACACGGATTTCCACGCGCCAAAGGTTCCCGGCAAGGACGACGTCACAGGCGAGCCGTTGACACAGAGACAGGATGATTCAATTGATACGTGGAAGCAACGGCTGCGGAAGTTTGAGGAAACTAGCAGGGCTCTACTTGAACATTATGACCGCCGTGGTTGTCTCTTCCGCGTGGAGGGCAATTCGAGCGATGAGATTTCTCCAAAATTGTTCGCAGAGATCGAGCGCAGGTTCTGCTGAATAGCATAATTGATGCTGACATGGCATTTGAACGCATTTTCATTCGGGCCGCATTTTACTAGGCGCGTGCTTTGCAGGCTGAGGGGTGCCTTAGCATTATTACCTCTCGTTATGACTCGGGACCAAGGGGTCTCGACTTGAGCACTTTGTACAGTTACAGCTATTACCACCTTTGGTGTACGATATACATATTTAAAACTGGATTGAACTGATCATCATGTCTCTAAACCCGTAAGACATGTGTAAATTTACAATATGGTCATGGATCGTCTTATCATGTACATATCAAAACACTTTCCTCTCAGCGGAGAGGGCGTGAGGGGCAACAACATCCTGCGGCTATGATTTGGTATTACCGCCATTATCAGAAGGGTCGCCCATTCCCATCCGATTCTTATACTCTCTCGGACTTTCGAAATTAGACCCGATGCGGTGATAATCCTTCCAAAGACCCTTGGACCGTGCTTTCGCCCACCACTCCGCACGGCGGTACTTCTGCTCCAGCTTCTCGCCTCCAAACTCGGCGCCTACCTTGGCTTCATATATCGTAGCCAGGCCGCGCTTCAGCATTTCATATGATACATCTCTCCGGCGATATGGGGGAAAATCAAAGGCGCGCCGGACAAATACACTGGCAACGACACGACTGTACTGATCCTGGCGATGGACGGAGGCCCGTACGCGGCGGTTTTGGAGGTAGGAGGTGAGCCATTGGTGGGCTTCACGGGCGAATGGTTGTTCGGGCCGGCCGAAATGTGCCAGTTCAGGGGCATCTATGCCTGCTAAACGGATGTGAATCTGCTCGTAAGTGAGGATGTGTTAGCTTGGAGAGCCAGAGAAGTTGAAGCCGGGTTGGCAACAACAGGACAGAGAGACGAACGGTATTATCTTTCAGCTCTTTCTTGGTAGTAGGAACTTTCTTCCATGGCAACCAACCCCATCCAGCAAGTCGGCCACCAGGGGTGTGAAATATCCTGAAGTTATCACCATCGCCAACACTGGTCACTTTGCCGAAGATAGTCCGGCGGCGGAGGAACGAGGGTGAAATGCTAGGCGCGTCGGGGATACGGCGCAAGTAGCTGCGATGAAAGCGCACCGCGAGCAGGATACCGCTCGTCAAAAGTACGGTAGAGATCAATGTCCTGGACTCTGCGAAGTCGCCCCAGTCCAGAACCGAGTCGGAGTTGTTTGTTGCGGGTGTGGGGTATGATGACGCGGTTGAGGAGTTGGCTTTGCGCTCCGGCAGTTCTTTATCGTCATTGCTTGACTCGGTGCTCCATTGTGGCCATCGCATGACTACCCAGAGCCCTACTAAAAGGCAGGGCGGGGAGGAAGTAGAAGGGGTGGGAGTTGTTCAGGGAAGAGTGGTGATCACCGCGGCGGAAGCTTTGAGGCGCCGCCGACGATCGTTGCCGCAGATACATACTGTGATTGTACATAGGGACAAAGTGTCTATAACTACGGAGCAACTAAACTACAGAAAGGCCTTGGTTCGATTCTGCCTTTCTAAGCTGAAGAAATACCAAAGCAGCTGGATACAGGAAAGAAGAGATTAAAGAATTCTCAATAAAGGGAAAGAGGAGCGGGCGCTTAATAATGATGATAACGTTTGCACGCGGGGCTCAAGCCTTGATTATACCTGAATTTCCGCGAATTTCAACCTTAATGAATTTCGACGGCGAGCTTTTATTCGATGAAGTTCTCCTTTTTGTGGAAGACCTAAAAAATCACTATAAACGTGACTTTGATATAATCTATCTTCCACAAGAAAGCCCCGTTAAAAGTCGCTGCCCTGCTACAGGTTATAATAAAGAGATTACGCAGTAAGCTGTCTAGCTACAGAATAATGAAACTATACTAATGTTCTCAGTCTAAAAAAACGAACACAGGAGTACCTATATTCACAACTATGTTCGACGCAAGATTGCTTTAGATCTTTAAGTCTCAGAATCAGAGTTGAATTTTGCTACGAGTGCATAAAGTAGTTTCAGTTAAGTTACTAGCGAGACCACTGCTCTTCCTACCTCTAGTTATAGGGAACTTAGTACTGTGAGGTAGTCGTATATCGTCACACTGTAATCTGCCCCGGCTACTACCCTTTTTGTTTATAGAAAAAGGATCTTACTACCTAAGACCGCTTACACTACTAGCTAACTAGTGGTAATCTAAGGTAATATATTAAAGAGCAATATATAAATAGAGATCAGAGTTATAGAGCGAAGTTAATATGCTGATATAGCCAAATTTTCGACGATAAACGTAGTCTCCGACACTATTTATACAATAGAACGTTTAGGTTTAACAAGGCAGCATACCGGGCCTGGGGCACCGCTACGTTTGGCAATATCTGCATCTCATGTCACGACTACTTTTCCCGATGCTGAGCCATTCTTACTTTCGATTGGAAAATTTATGGCTCGCATACTTCGGCATGAAGTCCCAATGACTCTATTAAACAGCGGCATACTTCCCTTTAAGGATGTCAGGGTTTATGATGATGGTCCGGAGGTTGCATCTTCAAAGGATTTTGAATGGATTGTCTGGGTACCGAAGCGAATCATTGAAGAAGGCATCAAGGGCCTTGCGGGGGAGTATTGAATATTTACCGTGAAATCATTCACCTTCCAAGCTTTCATTTAGCCATTGAGATTTAGGCCAAATATGCATCCACATCCCTGGCCTTGATAATGCCTCTTGGTCTGACTGCTTTTGTTAAATCAATGTGTTGAAGGTAATGCTAAGTAGACTCGTAGTATAATACAGCTGCCAGAATTATGATGATTGATGCGATAGAACCATTTTCGGAATATAATGCCTCTTCTTGCCCTTCGAAGTCAATAATTCCTTAGTTAAGCGCATCCCAATACCCCATGGGAGGTCTTGGATCGCAGACTTCTCCTGCAATCCCACTGGACTGCAAACAACAACAACAACAAAAATGACCACGAAGTGGATTTCCAGATATCCTGACTTCACTAATCGACTTTTCTGAACTTGGCAAACCTCTATATACTGACATAATTATGAGGTATTCTATCCAGTCATCAAATTTAGAACGCTTCAAAGTGATTGAACAGCTGATACAGAAGTAACTTCGCCGGGATCATGCGAATCCACGTAATTAACACTTTGTTCTCCCCTTTCCGCACCATCGCACTTACAGCCGAGGACCGCCTATCTGTGCAACCGCCATTCCCTCATTCTCGCTTGGTATTAGTCATCTAATAAGTTTATAGGTTCTAGCTCGTGTAAAATAGCCACTGGCTTTGACAACAAGCACTAGTGCGGGTACCCCGGAGTTTCCCGCATGGATGTGGGACTCACCCAGATCAAGATGGGAAAATGAGGGAAACTTAGGTATTTGCGGCGATATTTGCGGCAAAGTACCGAGAAAAGGCATAGTCGACTAGATCCACGTTTCTCACATATTTGCCTCTCATGAACATATAAGAGGAATGATGGTGTTCGGCCTGACAGAATATATGTGCTAGTGCATCTTCAATCCCCCCTTAGCTGAAATATTTCAATATGACTGTCGACTTCGATCTTAGATCGAACTTTGTTCAAATCATCAATGGCAAGAGCTCTCCTACGGAGTTCACTCGCCATGGATTGAACCCCGCGACCTTGGAAGTCCTGCCAGAGGTTCCAGTTGCAACACCAGAGGATCTTGACAAAGCCACTGCGGCCGGAAAAGCTGCTTTCAAGCTCTGATCTGCGACGCCATATGAGGATCGGAAGAAGGCCGTATTGGCATATGCAGATGCTATTGATGAATACAGCGATCAGTTCCGAGATCTCTTGATCACCGAACAAGGCAAGCCTGTATGTCATCACTATCTGATATTGTATATGCACTGTACTTTTAACACATATTGAACAGATTTTCCAAGCGACGCTCGAGACTAATAATGCCATTAATTGGATTCGTGGAATGGCTAGCCTTCCACTTATCGAAGACGTTATCGAAGATGATGAGACGAGGACGGTGATAACAAGACATGTTCCTCCCAGTGTCATTGGGGCTATTGTGCCGTGGAACTTCCCCTTGATGCTCGCAACCGGAAAGATTGCACCTGCTCTTTTGACTGGTAACGTCATTATTGTGAAGCCTTCGTGTGTTTCTTCATGTTATCATTACAGTGGTTTATACTAACAAATCGAATGCAGCCCATTTACACCATACGGCGGCTTGAAGCTTGTCGAACTAGCCCAGAAGTTTTTCCTTCCGGTTGTGGTGCAGTCTTTGGGTGGTGATGATAACTTGGGACCCTGGCTCACAAGTCATCCCGGCATTGACAAGATCAGTTTTACTGGCTCTACCGCTACCGGGAAGAGAGTATTACAAAGTGCTAGCGGAACACTGAAGCGCGTAACCCTTGAGCTGTATGTTGAATCCAGGCGGTATGCACGATACATTGACTGAAATAATTATTAGCGGTGGAAATGATCCTGCAATTGTGTTCCCCGATGTTGACATCGAAAAGGTGGCCGAGAAGGTGGGGATCTTTTGATATGAAACGAAACTTGTACGCCAAGCTAATCGTTACTGATTGCATTCTTCGCATTCTTGAACTCGGGTCACATTTGCCTCAATTTGAAGCGAATTTATGTGCACAGCTCCATTTTCGAAAAGTTCAGGGATGCCTTAGTTCGCCAGGTGGAGTCCTACACTGTGGGTGATGGTTTTAAGGCCGGAATCAGCCACGGACCTCTTCAAAATGATATGCGATACTCGCGTGTCAAGACTTTCTTCGATGATATAGAGAAGCAGGGCTGGAAGGTTGCTACTGGTGGTCGGATTGAGCCCTCATATGGTTACATGGTTACTCCCACAATTATTGACCGACCCCCGACAACTCCCGGATTGTAGTCGAGGAGCCATTTGGTGAGCCGAAGCGTGTCTATGGGATTTTATATATGAGAGCCTTTGCTAACTTTTAACAGGTCCGATTGTACCTCTGCTGTCGTGGGATGATGAGGCCAAGGTTATCGAACGTGCTAATAACACCTCGATGGGACTTGGCGCTTCAATTTGGACCGCTGATCTGGACCGCGTGGCCTGAGTTGCACGCCAAATTCAAGCTGGTACTATTTGGACTAATGACCATTTCAGCTTAAGCCCTTCCGCTCCCTTTGGTGGTCATAAGGAGAGTGGCGTTGGCGTTGATTGGGGTCTCACCTACCAGAGGATTTCCTCATTCGCGGTCAGTCATGGAGTCGGCTCTACTACCCACCCGGATTCTTCAAAGATGCCCCTCCGGCATTCGACAGGCCAATCTTCGAAAACCCATCGGCCGCCATCTTGAGAAAGCACCGGTGCCTCTGGTCAGGCATGCGCATAGCAACGGTTTGTAACATGATTTTTCTAGTCTTGTTTACCTCGTAATGCACGGGCAGCAGCGCTGACTATTCTGAATCGCAGTTTCGTCGGTGGATACGCCTCCTGCTTTCCTCCTTTCCTTGTTTTCCCGTGTGCCTTTTTTTACCTTCCATTTCTTAGGATTAGAGTTTTCCTAAAACATCCCATATATCACTAGTTTTATCATTATCACAATGTGCTGCAGTCGCCTCTGAGCTAAGGGCTACTGTCTACCATAGTGCTCAAAGTTACCTTATCTTCTAGGTGGTCACTAAAATTAAGCTTTTGCTTTGCTTGTTGGCTATACCGAAGCCGGTTCCTGATATTCTCCTGCAAGTAGCGCTTTGATAATGTACAAACTAACATTCATGGTTGGCATTGCCATGCGAAGATGTGTGCCAACCAGGTTGAACCAGATTCCATCATATCCCGCCTCCCGAGACGCCCTAATTTGCTTGATAGATCCTACAAGTCTTATTGCACCCATGCTCTGAGAAGCAAACAATGGCAATTTGTTCCCCAGATCTTCATCTTTGCCTTCGTCTTCGATCATGGCCATTGTTAAAGGGAAGATCATTGGAAAGGCTGTCACCTCCTTCGCGGCCGATTGAGCAAAGGACAATATATGCGAAAATATCCCATTTGCAAGCTCTCTTGCTATCTCATCTTGAACCCCAAGGGGATATCGAAGACGATGGATTGCTAATAAAGCTGCCAGACGATACACATTCGCTTGCGTTATTATCAGTAGGCGCTCATGCGGTCCATGTTCAATAAATAATTGGGGTGGCGTGGGAGGCTTCCACTCTGTGATGGTTTGCTGTATACCGGCTAGTCGATCGTGAAAACCTCTAATATCAAGAACACCGCTCTTCATATTATGGCTGCATTGGCAAAGATCATATAGAAGGGGGAGAAGTGTTGCGCAGACGCCTGCGTAGCGATCAATAATGACGTGATCTGTGCTAGGGAGTCGGATGATAGGGACCTCCCGGCGCACTAAACATTCGACTGTGTCAATCAGAACGGGGGTTATGATGAACATTTGTGTGATCGGAGAATGGATTAATCTCGGCACCCAGGATTTCGCTCGTATGAGTGCGTTTTGTACGACCGAATGAGCCTTGAAAGCATCGGACGCAGCGAGAACATGGAAAGCGTACATGGTTTGGCCTAAAGAGAGAGCACAGACAGCATCGGTGTCCTTTTTGATATTGATATCGCGGAGGTGTTGTAGTCCCTTTGCGGCTTTAGCAATATCGGGCTCAACTTGGCGCATGATAGGTGTTCTTTGGTAGCGCGTCATCAATGCGGTATATGCCAAGTATGCGTCGGCTAGAACTGGTGCCGATTGATATAACAAGGTGGAGGTGACCTTTTGAGACATAGGAACGAAGCTAGGCCCAATCAGAAATGGCATGTGTAAAGCAGAAAACTGTTCGCGGACAAGGAATGTGCGAAGGGCGTCTGAAGCTGTTTTAAGTGTGGTTGGAGATGCGAGTAGCTTTCCGGGCCCTAAGGCTATCGCGTCATTTCTATCTGGCGACCACACTGCTTCAGCAGAACTGGCGAATTCGTCGGACAAAGCTAAGTCACTTGCGGGCAACGTTGAGCTAGAGCGTCGACTTAGAGGCCCAAGGATAGAATGGCTATCGCCTGACCTAGACACGCTTCGTTGTAGGTTGGGTAGTTGCGTTGAGTCGACACTCCAGATATGCGCCTCTCCGTAAGGAAAAGCTTTCACAACAGGCAAGCGTCCAATACGTCTTCCACGCCGGGATGTAGAGCATGCGATTGCGAGGCTACAGCATCTGGTACACCGCTGGTTGCTGCCGGCGAACGCGCATTTTTCTTTTCTCGTGTGGCATCGGTCGCATGCCTTCAGAACCATGGTTTTAATAGGAGAGGCTAGCGAAAGGTGATGGTAGGTCGATCGGGATCGAGTTAGAACGTAGGATCATGTGAATACGGACTGGACGAGTAGATCGAGTGACGTGAATGGAATGAGGTAGTGCGCTTAAGAGGCTATATCAGAAGGGAAGCCCCTATTTTGCTCCCCCTTGCTTGTAGAGACCACTAACGCAGGTTTAGGGCTTCGTATGGTCCACAATCGAGATGCAAAGAGACAAATGCCGCAGTGGTCTCCTATTCAGTAGTGTGTCTGGTATGGCAAGACGCCGTGACGATACTACCGGTGAATGAATGTCGTGCTCGAGGATCCTGATATTCTGGGCTTGCTATTACTACTTAACACCTGCGAATTCGGCTTATCGCATGAATATTGCTTTTAGAGAATCGTCCTCAATTGTCCTCAATCATCCTCAATCGTCCTTAATCGTCCTTAGTCGCCCTTGAATACCGTTCTAGTACAGGCCTTCGTATTCTGGGGAAGGGGTGCCAGAGGTGCCGGAGGCCTGCCTACTCGGCCATAATATTTATGAGTTGCTTGCACCCCAGCTGTTAAAAAAAAAGGTATTCTGCGACGGTCAATGCTTAATTAGTTGACCATAGTCTTTTTTCTGCCCTCGGTTACATTGCACGCCTAGACCTAAGTGACCCAAATGACCGTTTAATTATGGCTTCAACACGGTCAACGGAAGAGAACGGCGACCAGTGAAACCATATTTTATTTTCAATAATCCAGGTATTGTAAAACAGAGCTTGCAAAATCTGGGGGAAAGCTGCTGGTTAAACATAGCCTTCACAGATTATCTGCATTCAGTTTTTGATCCTAATAGATGGGGTTTTTCAACGTAGCAGTGTTCTACTCTCGCCTTGGAGCACGGTTAGCGAAACCACGTACGGAGTACTGGTACACGTATAAAAACTGCTAATGCGCTGCAAAGTTGAGACTACTTAGCTAGTTAGCCCCCTTGTTTTATTTCCTCTCTCCTTCGCTTGCCTAAAAGTGACGCTTGAGGCATCTCTTTATTCGTGGAAGTGCTACTTAGCAATGGCTACCGCACTACACACCCGACCGGGTCGATTTGTTCCGAGCAAGAAAGCCAAGCGCCAAAAACAGTGTCGTCGTAAATCAACTCTGATGACAAAGGCCTGCGAGTAACTTAGTTAAGTTGACAAAAAACTGCTGTGTGTGTAACAATTCCCGGTTGGGTATGTGTGAACTTTTTTGGGTACGCGTGAGCTGGGTGCTCAGAGGCGTGCTCAGATCTACTCAGTGAGTAAAAGCGGCGAGGGGCTGAGCACTAAAACGGAAAAGGAAAGCCAAGACGTGTCATAGGAAATCCGGTGCGTAGGACCCACTACTTAGGTAGCTAATTTTCGTACACACCATTCATTGATCTTTACTCCAGGAGGTAATTCGCTTCGAGCATTCAAATAACTGTATGGATAAGCTCCGAGTCGATTTATGTACAATTCCAGATGAGAAACAGACGCGTTTCTATATTGCATCAGGCGTCTTCCAATGATCACACAGCCCAAAGATGTCTAGATCGTTCAAGAGTATCAAAAAGAAAGCAGAAAGACCAACACGCCATGGTCCGAAACATGTAAATGGGGTACAGAAGAAAAAAGGCATAAATGAACAGATGTTATCTACTTCAGGGTCGCGGGCAGGCTGGTCTTAGCCTTGGCCGCTGCAGAATCCACTGCCTTTTGCAACTTCTCCTTCCTGATCCGCTGGAGGTAGGCAAATAGAAGAATGAACATGAGTTCCATCCTAAGAGAATTGTTAGATCAAAGCCTATAGAATTGAGATGGAGATTGGGAACATACCGCTCCTTGGTCATCATCAGGAGACCCTGGACCAGCAGACCCTTTATGATCTGAGGGCCGATGCCCTTGAAAAGGGAGAGAACACCCTCGTGCTCGATAATATACTTCATGACCTCACCAAAGGTCTTGAAGGGCTTTCCTTGCCGGCCTGGTGGGGGACGAGACTGCAGACCGACCTTGGCGACGATAAGAGGCTGAGTCGCAATGGTGGCCAGAGCCTTGGACATGGCACCGAGGACTGCGATGGTTGTTAGTGAGTCTATTAATCAACGGCACCAAAACCCGATTGTACTCACGGAATGCCTCCCAAGGCTTAAGGTTATTCTTTCCAGGGAAAATGACCTCCTTCAGGCGCTGGTAAGCTCCATAGGTAATGGCGGGGTTGACAACCAGAATCAAACTGGCCTTCAGGCCGCGCCACAGGCCGGACCAGCCGTCCTCGCTGTCAACGACCTCCCGACCGGTCTCAATCAATCCCTTCTTCTCGCCCTTGGGCTGTGTTTGTTGCCGGGTGGTGATCACTGCCACGGGAATGGTGAAGACCTGGGCGACGGCACCAGCCACCGCACCGAGAGACAGCTCGACCGCAGTGCCGGGGTTCTGCGAGCCCTTGTTGGAAGCCATGTAGAGAGTGCGAACAACGCTGTACCAGTAGAAGTAGGCAAAGTTGGTTGAGGCAACTCCGAGCAGGGAGCCCGCAATTCCAGAGTACAGGCCAGTTAGACCCTCCTTCTCTACAATCTTCGTGATAGCGTCCACGGTTCCGTCATAGTGTTCGACCTCGTTTTGTGCTTCGGCGCCTTTCGTTTGCTTAACTTGAACCTGCAATTTAGTCTTCACACTATAAAAAGCAAGCTTGGTCAGTAAATTGTTGCGCACTGTTGAATCTTGAAGATTGTAGCTCCTCCGCTCAACCGGGGTATTTCTCACAGGTCCAATGGGTATACCATTGCGTTTGCCAGAACGGCGCCCGTTGCACCCGCAACTGCGCTTCCCCAAGGGGACAGGCGTACAGGCTTGGATTGACCAGCCATGATGTATATTGAATAGACGCGCTTGACGTCTAACAGTTGTTGTAAGGGAGGAGAAGCCCGTTAAAGCGGACGCAAAAGAGAAAGCGGAGCGGGGCCTCTAACCGACGGACGCTTGCTCCGAAGACGGAAGAAACCAAGGACAAATGACAAGTAGGAGACAAGAGATTCGATCAGGGGCTCATAGAAGAAGATCTCGGAGGTATCGCCAGGATACTCAAGATCATAGTAACCGATGTCACCCGAAAAGAAAACGACCGAACCTAGAAACCGGAATGGCACAGGCGCTGAAAAGCACCTCGGCGCGCGCTGCGGTGAAGCGCTGCGAGCCGAGGTCCCTTCGGAGGTCGGCCTGGCTTAGGTCAGCCTTCCTTGGGGGATCTCTAGAGCTACACAGCAGCATGTCCGTCGGCGCGTTCTATGTAAATGGCTCGGATTGAACCGAGCATCTACGAAATTACATATCCCGAGATTCGACCGCGTATCAGCGGTTGTTCTAGTGGTGATAGAGGGGGTTGATGGCTTACAGGCCAGTCATTCTTTGCGGGGCACGTCGGCTTCCAACCACCTTTCGGCTGCCGGCAAGATTCCCACTTGTTAGTTTGACTACTATCCAGTGCGACGATCGGCTTTCCTAGCGACCCCAGCAAAGGTGCGAGCCATGTCTAGACCCCATGGGGCTACGTTGAATTCGCATGTTTCCCAAGCGTTGGTAAGTATGGCTCCCCCCCCCCTACCTTATTTCCCCAGACTGGAGACATGGAACTGCGGAATCGCTAATCGGCAGTTAGCAAGCCGAAGGAGCGATAGCCTCCGCCACCTCTCAGAAAGCGGCTCTGGAAGCTGCCATCAATGCCGCTGAATATTACATGAAAGCTCTGCGTATCGCACCCTCTGATGATAAAGTTCAACTCGATGCTAAATGCAAGGAACTCATCACCCGTGCGGAGCGGATCAAGGCGGCCGCGGACTGGCAATCGGCGGCCCGCCAGAAACCTGTCTCCAAGTTGCAGCCACCCACGTCCAAGCGCAAGCTCACGACTCGTGAAGAGATTATCGTGCTAGAGGGGGCAAAGCTTAATGGATTTATCTTTCCACCATGGGAGCGCGCACCGACCCCGGTCGAATTCGAACAGCCATTCACGTATGTGCAGAATGAATGTTTTTCAGATATTTCCCATTGTCCGCCTTGTCTGACATTTTCTAAAGAGATTCTCCTGATCTGCAAATATCTGGTTGCCAAACAAAGATCTTCGCTGGGTGGAAACGACCCTTCGAGTTACTACATGCCAAAAATGTTGCAACCCAGACACAAGATGTGGAGAAACCCGTAATGTCTGTCAAAGGGACTTCTGATCTAGTGCAAGATGTCCTCACCGATTGCTCTGTAGTTGCTAGTCTATGTGCGACTACGTCAAGATCAGAGCGGGGGCTGGGAGAGGTATGTATCCAGTTCCTGAAAGCATTCGAGTGTTATACTGATTGAAATTAGCATGCTTCGCCAGCTATGTATCCCCGTGAGCGTGGCTCGGATGAACCTGCTCTCTCACCCTCAGGGAAATACATCTTTTGTTTTTACTTTAATGGAGCATTTCGAAAAGTCGTCATAGATGACCGGTTACCATCGTCAAATACACAACGATCACTTCATGTGATTGACCGCAATCACTCAAATTTCTTATGGCCTGCGTTGGTTGAAAAAGCATACCTGAAAGTCCGTGGGGGCTATGATTTCCCAGGGAGTAACTCCGGGACTGATCTCTGGGTGTTGACTGGATGGATCCCTGAGCAAGTCTTCCTCCATAATGAGGATGCCACGTCAGAGGAGATCTGGGGCCGATTGTACCAGGCATTCTCTTATGGCGATGTTGTGCTGACTATTGGAACCGGCAAACTGACCGAGAGGGAACAACAAGGCCTGGGCTTGGTCAGCGAGCATGACTACGCGATTCTCAACATGAAGGAGAACAACGGACGGCGCCAGTTCCTACTCAAGAACCCATGGGCAGGCGCAGAGCCTAGCATTATACAGAACGGCAGACTCGACCCGATACACTCTGAAAACCAACCATCCCCTCTGTCTCCTGGCACCTTCTGGATGGATTGCGAGCAGGTCTTTCAAAACTTTGAAAATCTCTATCTCAACTGGAACCCTGGCTTATTCAAGTATCGTGAAGACATACATTTTACATGGGACCTTACACAAGGGCGGGCTCTTTCAGGTTGCTTTGTCAGGAACCCTCAGTTTTCTGTCTACAGTGAAGGGGGAGGGACTGTTTGGTTGCTGCTGGGCAAGCATTTCAAGACGGACGACCATAATTACCTAAAGCACAAAGGCGGTGCTCTTGGTTTTATCAGCATCTACATTTTCCAAGCTGGTGGAAAAAGAGTGTCCCTGAATGATGGGGCTTTGCATCGTGGGCCCTACGTTGATTCCCCCAACACTCTCATGAGACTCGAAATGCCTCCACGGACTACCTACACTGTCGTGATATCGGAGCAGTCCTTACCATCATCCAGTCAGAACTTTACACTCTCAGCGTTCTCGACATCTCCAGTTTTACTGGCCCCTTCCAGAGACAAACACATGTGTCTAAAGAAAGCGAGCGGCTCTTGGACAATATTGACAGCCGGCGGCAACGCAGAGTCTGCGCGATACTCCTCCAACCCACAATTCAGTCTCGAGGTTTCTGAAAAGACCGACGTATCAATTCTCCTGGAAACTGAGGCCGAGCTAGCAACGCACGTGAAACTCTTCTGGTCCAACGGCCAGCGCATCGCGAGAGTCCGAAGCCGCGACATCATTGCAGACAGTGGCGACTATCGCCGCGGGTGCGCTCTGGCCGAAACTAAATCCCTCGACAAGGGTCTATACACCATAGTATGCTCCACCTTCGCACCGGATCAACTTGGCCGGTTTGAACTTTGGATCTCATCCTCGATTCCATGCGTGGTGCGACCACTCGCATCTGAATCCGCCGGTCGTCGAAGAACTGTATCTAGTATTGGTATTCTGACCCCAGGACAAGACCGCATGCTGGCACCACTACGAGTGTCTCGAATGACCCGAATCAAATTGATTGCGAAGAGCAAATCATCCACGATAGAGTCTCGTTCTGTTGCCCCATCGCCTGTCTTGATGACCGTGGAACTGGGCCAGGGTCCATACAAGAAGACACTGGCTGTGTCTGAGGATGGCAGCCATTGTGATGCTCCCTCGGGGGTGCGTGTGGATGACTTTGATCTCTCGCCGAGTCCGGACTCCCGGGGGAAGATTTGGATTGTCATTGAGCGCATTGGAGGGCCTGGGGGACAAGTGGAGGATCATTTCGAGGTTGAAGCTCTGGCTGAAGAGCGAGTGGAAATTGGCGAGTGGATTGTCGAAGATGCTTGAATCTAAATGACAGGTAGAGATTAATCGAACCAGAGATGTTCACTACCTAGAGATCGCAATGAAAACCAAATCTTCCACCTCTACCATGGCATCTTTAGTGCCTCGAAAGTTATGGTATGATGGGCTGCGCCGCATGGCGGACAATTCTTCTGCCTATTGAAACATGTATTGGTAGCTATTAGTATGCGGCATCTCTAACTAGTAATCAGCACCACAGCCATCAGGAATGGCCAAAGTTTGCTTTTAGAGATCCTCTTCTGGATCAAGTTATTTGGAGTACAATAATAGCAGGCAGCATCAAAAAAAACACCAATCAAACAATCGCCTAACACTGTACATCCCTGGGCCCGCAGCTTCCCAAAGGAGATAAGGTTGTCTTTTATCGCATCTCCGCACGGGCGGTGGGATTCAACACTGCAAAACGTCATCTGGCCCCGAGCTCCTTTCCACCAACCTTGCTGCGACAACCTCAACCATGGCTAGCAGTATTCCGGCAGCGTTACGATCCGCTGATATTGGGCGCTTTGCCATCAGGGCAGCGCAAATTGAGAAGGCAAAGCCCGTGGTCGCCTACTGGTGTGAGTGGTGCCGCTTTCCCCGCGATGTGACCCCCCACTGATCAGTTCGCCCCATACGATAGGCAATTATCATATTGTGAACCAGATAATCGAGAGAGGGCTTCACAACTCCGACGAGGAAATCAAAGCCTACACGATCAATCTCGTTGATAAGCTTGAGCAAGTTAGTCGTACCGGTCCCTCATTCCAACCCCAGCATCACCTTTGGCCTCTGCGCGAGCTTGGCCGCTAATCATATTCCCCTGGAACCAGTTCAAAAGCGAGAACTCTGAGAATGAGGCAGTTACAGATAATGATGCGGCAAGTGCTTATGTGGAGCAATTTGGACTGGAGGTTTTCAATCGCGCCGAGGCTGCTATGACTGCCAATAAAGTCACAAAGTGAGCTTCCGAGCGCAACCAGACAACTAAACACCTACTTATCTGTAGATAGGCAAACCGCCGATACGTTCCAAGCAGCAGCTATCTTCCTCGAACTATGTCAAATTTGGGGGGAGCTGGACTCGGAGATTGCAGGGAGGATCAAGTTTGCGAAATACCATGCGATTCGAATCGTGAAGGCCTTCAAGGCGGGAGAGGATCCCAATGCAACCAACCCTGCGCCAAAGGAAGAGGAAGAAGTCGTAGCACCAACCGATCCAGAAGTGCAAGCTTTTGATGAGTCAGTGGCAGAACAGGCCTCGAAGCCACGACAAGCGTCCGTCGAAGAAGTCCCAGACGAAGCTGATCGTCTCGGCCGCCAATTGGCCCATCAATCTACCTTGGACGAGTCGCTGCATCCATCCCGGACGTCTTCAATGCCGCCACGAGCTCCTGCTGCCCCGGAATTTGAGATCCCCTCTGTACCCAGCAACCCACCCGGTACCCCGGGAAGAGCAAGAGATATTGACTTGCCGAACGCTGGTGGTGGACTGGACCTCCCATCCACACCTGGAACCATTGGTGGCAGAACTGGCGGCCCGGCTCCCATCATAGATCTCCCGGATACGCCAGGATCTTCGGATCTGCATTCTTCTCACGCACCGCATCACCCTAACACCTTCCAGTCCTTCCCTCCCCCATCTGCGACAAGCCCAACAATCGAGGCCCCAAATCCAGCTTCATTCTACGATCCATCAACTGCCAGTGCCCATATTCCTCCCCCAGCAGCATCTTCTTCGGTACCAGCTCCAGCTGCCCGTATTCCTGTTGCGCCAGCTCCTGCAGCCCCAAGTCAGCCATCGCACTCGGTGGATGATCATAATATCTCACTAGCACAGAAGCATGCTCGCTGGGCAGTCTCAGCTTTGACATTTGACGATGTGGATACGGCGATCAAAGAGCTGAAGAACGCATTAAGGCTCTTAGGTTCAGAATGAGGTTGTGCACTGTACGATTGAACAGTCTAATAATTTGTGGCGGTGTTGAAATATCTTTCATAGCATGCCTATATTCCGCGTTCTTTCTTATTCTCCACATATCGACTAGTCAAAGCACAGCCTTGCTCCTTGATTCACCATTAGAAAACTATCTGAGAAGCCAGTTTAAAGTAGAAAGTAGTTGACGTCTTTGCTCGTCTTTTTGATATTTAGTCATTAGTTTCTTAAGGCATACCTGTAGGTATTGCATTGGATATTTTGTACGGAATTAAACCCCAAGCATATTATGTTTGCTGTTCAGCTTAATCACCTACCCCAACTCCTTGAGTTCTGGTCATTCTAGCAGTCCCTTCACAAATCCACAATCCCTCAACATCTTGCGATTTCCCACGTTCAAACACATCCATCACACAACCCAAAACCCCAACACCAACACAATGCTCAACCCACCTCGTTCAACTCGAAACAAAAACCCATCCACCTTCCCAGAAGCAATGGATGCGCTCCCAACCTTCACCAACCAGCGACTCACTCCAAAGTGTAAGCTGGAAGACTTCCGCGAGTTCTTCGACTTCAAAGTCGGACCCTGGAAGACTTTCCACAGACAATTCAAGGAATATGTCTTGCTCTCCTCGACTTGGGCAGAGGTCTGGGAGAGTACGGCAACGCGTGAAGCTGTTGCAACAACATTCCTTGAGCAAGTTGGGTCTGAGTACTGGGGGAAAGAAAATCAGGAGAAGTACCTGATTCAAGCGCATGTCAGAAATGGGGATGTTTGTGTTTTTCCGCGAGATAAGAAAATGTGAGTGATGCTTTATTGCCGCGGGTGGAAGTGATGGCTCTTGGGCTGAGCTGACATTGACTAGACTGATCAAAGCTCTTGCGCTCTTGCTGGAGAAGGATTCTAAGAATCGACGGGAGTCGGCCTCGCAGGACGTAAGTCTCTCTTTCTTGAAGATCTTTCTTTTCTTTCACCTCGTCAGCTGGATTGCGTGATACTGAACAAGATGCAGATTTCCGAGACTCAAAGCAGCCCTCTGTCTGACCCGCCTGCCTCGGACTTTGAGATGGCTGCACCAATGAAGCAAAGCAGCAGTCGAGCTTCGACTCCTACTGGGTTGTTTAGAATACCTCAGTCTCTTCAGACTCCTATGACCCCGCAAAACCCTCAGATCACACCAAGCGCGAGAGGCACGAGTCTAATGGGAGCAGAGAGGACAACCATGCGTCCAGCCTCTACCACTCCGACCCCAATGAGCCGAGCGCCCCTCGACACAGTGGAGAGTATGGACACAGTCGAGAGTACTGCAATGGTGTCATCAGCCCTTGCAACTCAAGGCACTCCCAACCAGGAGGTTACTCAGCATTGTTGTCAAGGTAAGTCAAGTCACCTTGATACCAGAAATCCCCGGAAAGTCAGTATCGCTAACATCTTAAGGAGGGTACCTGGGCATCTCTGAGACGTTCTACACTCAATTTTCAGACATTGCCCCCAACACCCTAGCGACCTACTTCCTCGTCCAAGAGTACGGTAGTCAGAATGCGCCAGTCTACGTGCCCTTCCGCAACTTCGAGGATTACAGGACCACCGACGATTTCCTGGATGAAATGGAGAAGAGATGCTGTTGTGAACATGATCCACCCCTGCTGCAGCTTTTCGAGGGTGTGAGGCAGTTTTCGCAGGCTGTGGTCTTGCTCCAATGGTCGGGAGTGTCTTTTGTGATGCGCCGGGGGACGGATGATCTTCGATCGTTGGCGAACCGTATTGGGTGTGCGTGGCGGGCGAAAGAGGAAGGGGAATTGCGGACTTTTGAGTTTGTGATTCGGGTGACGTTGAAGAAGGGTTGAACTACATCAGGGAGCAAGAGGAACGAGTGATGAGCATGAGGCTAATGGATTCCACAGGATATTGAACATTTTTTCGCAGAAATGGTACTCCATATCTGGTACTGTATGAGATGAAGTCGATGTAGAGTAACCCCAGGTCCCAGTAAACTTAAGGATTATCCTTGGTACCAATGTTTGGGTCCGGGCAGATCCCAATGCTTTTAGTTCCCTCTGTTCTCCGACCGTACCATGGTGCTGTGAGTGCTCCGTACATCGTGCTGCAAGAGCTACACGTTGGAGGAAGTTTCGACGTCACTGGGGGCGACCGGTGCTTCAACCTTCGATTGTTTCGAATCAGCGGCTCGCACGATGATACGGGGACTCCACCATAGCCCACTTAGCGCGGCGACTATAGATCAACGGCGTCGTTAGAGCGGTTGAAGCGGAGGCGCTTGGCAGGGGAGTGGCTCACTCCGTTTGGGAAACTCTGGAACACTGGAACACTGTGTGGAAGTTGGGATCTTCCCGAATTTTCTAGCGATGCATTAGCGGGCCTTGAGTTTGGGGTTCCTTGGGTCTTGGTATCTTGGTGGATTATGATTATTTTGGGGGGTGAAGGTGGTGATAAAAGTGGAGGGATGAAAAGATGGAGTATCTAAAGAATAATAACTAAGACTGGAAATTAAAGAGAAAAAGGGAGAGTTTTGAAAATACTCCAGGTCTCCATACAGACAAGTCCCCAAACGCACACGATGGCGATTTAGTCGATTTAGTCTTTGGCGCTTTTCCCTTTTTCCTCTCTCGTCTGTTCTCTTTCCTCTCCCCTCACTTTCCATTCATCTCATCTATTCACAACTCGCTTTCTCTCCCTCTCTCACACACACACCCCCCGCCTCCCCTTTCAGTCGCTCCCCCTCTCTCCCCCCCTTTTTTTCTTTGTTACCCCCCCCTCCTCTTCCGTCTGGAAACTTTGGCTGCGGGCCGTTGCGATTGTACCACAATCTGTCCCTTCATCATGGCCGACGCCAAAAAGCCTGCCGTGTTGATCATCGGTGGTCTCGGTATGTATTAATTCCTCATCCTCCTAGCCCATTTCGAAAGGAAAATCATGTCAATACTAATCCTGGTCATCCATAGGTTTCATCGGTCGCCATCTCGCCCTTCACATCCATGAGAACAACCTGGCCTCCGAGGTCCGCATTGTCGACAAGGTTCTGCCGCAATTAGCCTGGTTGGCGCCCGAGTTCGAAGAGGCGTGCTCCAAGGAAAAGTTTGTACAGGCAGATGCCAGCCGTGAACGTAAGTGGAGATTTGCAAATAACCCGTTTACTTTGCATGGTCGGAACCAACAGAATATATACTTACACCGTTCCTCCTCGCTATAGAACATCTCCCCCGCATCTTCGACCGCGCCAATGGCGAACAATTCGACTACGTAATCAACTGTGGTGGCGAGACTCGCCATTCCCAGCCCGACGATGTCTACGAAGCCCGCAGCTGCAACCTCAGCGTGACCCTGGGCAAGGAGTGTGCCAAGCGTGGTATCCCCGCCTTGGTCGAGTGTTCGACCGCGCATGTCTACAAGAGCGGATCTTCCCCGCGCAAGGAGGCTGACAAGGTGCAGCCATGGCACAAGTTGGCCAAGTGGAAGCTTAAGGCTGCCGATGAGCTTCTGAAGATCCCTGGATTGCAATACTGCGCTCTCCGTCTGCCGCATGTTTACGGCGCCTATAACCCGGGCTACTTCGCCATGGCCATCTGCTTGGCCCGTGTGCACAAGGAGATGGACCAGGATCTCGAGTTCTTGTATACCAAGGATGTCAAGGTGAACACACTTCATGTCAAGGATGCTGCTAGTGCCCTGTGGATGGCCGCGCAGTGGCGCGCCAGCAAAGGCAAGCTTGACCGCACCAACGGCTCAATGCCGGCGATGTTCAAGGACCCCGCGATGCCCATTGCGTTCAACGTCGTTGACCACAACGATACTTGCCAGCAGCACGTCGCGAACGCGATGGCTGAGGTGTTCGACCTCAAGGTCTCATTCCTCGGCTCTTTGGCCTCGCAGCTGGCCAAATTGAACCTGGATGATGTGGTGGACGACATGAACGAGGTCAGTCTGCAGGAGTGGGCCGACCTAGTTTCCAAGAGCAAGATCGAGCGGCCCGGGCCTATCGGCCCGTTCTTGGAGCTCGATGTGCTCAAGGACCAGGACATGTCCATTGATGGATCGCTATTCGAGTCAACAACCGGCTGGAAGCCCAAGTATGAGCACTTTGGCGCCGACAGCGTTCGCGAGATGGTTGAGAGTTACAAGCGGATGAACTGGTGGCCATAAACAGGCTCGTCTGTCTGTCCCCTTCTCATCTCGCCACGGTCTCTTGCATTCTCTCCTCTTCTCGTATGATTGTGTTCACGGTCTCCTTCCATCGTCGAGAGAGACCCCCTGATCTCCACCGCATCGCATCGCATCGCATTGTGTCTGCAAACAAAACATTTTCCTCGCCTTGACACGACACGACACACCCTTGATGACTGATTCCTTCTCCATAACTTCCTCTGGCTTCGGCCTCTTGCATTTTTCTCTCGGATCCCCAGATTCCCTTATATATCGGCGCGCAGTCCAGTCCCGCATATACCTGATTCTGTACTAATAATCCTGATTCCATTGGGCGGGATTCTTTTTTTCGATCTCCATTTCTTGCATATATCCTCTTTCCATTCTCATTCTCATCTTTTTTTCTGATTTCTCTTCTTGACCGAGCCTGCATTTTGCATATTGAGCCCATTCTTCTTTTCTCTGGCCGGTTCATCCCTTCTTCATCTTGCTTTTTTGGCATGGCATCGTGCCTGCATTGGCACTTTTTTTATTTTTGGATCTGTATGTTACTTTAGAATTTGATTTGAATACTGTCAGTCTCCAACTGCTTCCTTGGCTGCTGTAGTAACACCAGCGGATCATTCTTTGAATTTTTGAGTCCGTGGTTCAACTTTGGTACGACATGTATGCAGCATGCGTTGCGTGCAAAACCAACTGCAGACATGTGCAATCTTTTGTAGAATAGTCACAGTATCCGATCTATCTAGGGAAGACCTGAGCTAGCAACACTGAAAACAGGCAGATCTCTATCGACCGCCGAACAAGAACGGGAACCTCCCTCGTTAGTGGAAGGAAACGGTAGGAAGTCTAGAGAAGCAGCCAGGAATCTGCAAGGCCAAACATAAAGAGACCAGACGGATCATCTCATAGACGGAGAAATATCCATTGAAAACTATGTGCTTACCGGGGGGTCCGCTCCCCAATGTCCTGATCTACTTGTATTCTACGAAAAATGCCATAAAAGATATGGTAGAATACATTGTGATCTTCCATCCGAGCTGTGTTAGGCTACTATGGACTGATCGAAAAAAGACAGGGCTGAATGCAAAGGCAACGTCGCAATCAAAAACAACCGAGTTCAATGCAATGCGACTGAAGTCTTTTTTTTGCAGATTTTTTTATGTTTGCTGTGGTTGGAGTCTCCGTGGAGAGCCATGAACGGCATCTGGCGCCTGTATTGTGGTAAACTCCTGGGATTGTTCTTCAAGGGTGTTACCAACGAGGTGGGCAAGCATTGAAATGCGGCGAGAACCAGCATCTTGCTTCGTGGGAAACAAATGCCATGGAAGAAAAGACAGACAAGGATGAGGGAGCAAAAGTCAGCTGTCCACTGTCCAGGGCCCGAAGAGGCAAAAAGACGATAATGTACGGACAATCACGACCGCGATGTGCAGTCATGATTGTAGATGGGAAAAGCTCAGAACTCCCAATCCTCCTCAACGGACTTAATGGCCCATTCGAACTTCTCACGAAGAGCCTTGGAGAAGAACTTCTCAATGGGCACATTGAACTTCTTGCTGAAGACAACGGTGAGACGAGGGTCGATGTAGTTCTTTAAAACGCGTGTTAGCCAAGTGCAACGTATTCTCTTTGAGCAACAGTTCAACACTCACAATCTTTGAGGTACCCAAGGCAACCTCCTTGTTATCTTCCTTGTCCTGGGCCTGGAGCAACATGGCATCAATGCGCTGCTCCATCTTCTTGATGCTGCCCTCGATCTTTTCAATAGTAGGGCCACGACCCTCGGCCTCTACCTTGCCAGTCTTGTTCTCCTTGGTATACTTCTTCTCGAGGTCTTTGACGACGCTCAACCGCTCGGTGAGCTCGGATGCCTTCATTGGCTTCTCGCCATCCGCTACGCGCTTTTCGTTCTCCTTTTCGAACTTCTTCGTGGCCTTCTGGGTGTGCTCCTCAATCTTGAAAGCTTGATATTCCTTGACCCACTCGGGGGTCAAGTCCTCATCCAGCTCGAAGAAGGAAGCACCTCTCTTCTTCTTGAGCGAAGGCTCGAGATCAAGCATCTGCATCTTCAGGCGCCACTTTTCATAGCGAAGTCCCTTGATCTAAAAGAAAAAAGCCGGTTAGTTTGTCAACATAACCACTCTGGTTTCAGTGGAACATACCCGTTCGCTCATCTTCTCCATCTGATTGGCGTGAGCAGCTCCGACCGTTCGCTTATGGTTACACAGAATGGCGACCCGGCGGTTGGCGTCGTTGTAGGCCTTGATCTTCTCGGGAATCGTGCCAGCAGCCTTCAAATCCTTGAGCAACTCACTCATGGTGAAGGAAGCATTGTAGGTACGGAACACCTTGGCTGTCAGGCCAGGCATGTAATTCTGCAAGTGCTTGTTGAGTGCGGAGGTCTATGATTTGTTAGCCGGATCCATGACAACAACGGGGGCAAGGAAGAGGAGTTCTTACAGTCAGACGGTCGAAAATCTCATCTCCGTTCTTCTTGGGCGCCTTCTTGAAGATCTTCAAGTTCTTAAAAACTTGTGGGTCTACCGTAACCTCATCGTAGAACCGAATACTATCTTTACCCAAGAAGTCGAAGACGACGGTTTGTGGTGGCTTCAGAGTGATGTTCTCGTACTTCAACGAGCAGCAGCCGACAGTCTCCGCCTCGTCTTCGCCTTTCTCGTTGCCAGCACGCAGAGCAAACTTGTCAATCAAGTAGACCGCAGTCGCCTTTTGACGCTCCACCATCAAGTCGTTCTTCATGTTCTTGGTGTAATCCTTGCGGATCTTGTCGATGTGCTTCTTGAGCTCGCGGGCTTTCTCGAATTTCTTATAGTCGCTTTGGCCCTTGACATCGGAGTTGGCAGCCAGCATGACATACTTGTAGTTACCGTTGATGTTCTCCTGCCACATAGCAAGCCACGTGCCCTCCTGGTCATGCTTCACCTCCTTCCAGTTGTGACCGGGGGGTGGCGGGGGAACCTTGGCCTCCTTGCCGATGTTGATGGTGACTTGCTCGGGCTGTACGCGGGTCTTGACGCGTCCAGTCTTGGGGTGTTCACCTCGGCCACGGAATAGCGAGGGCGGTTCAACACGGAAATTGCCGACCTTTTGCTGACGACCATCCCAGGTGCATGTCATGTAGGGAGCTTCTTGCTCATCCTTCTCGGCCTTTAGACGCTTCTTCTCGGCTGCAGGGAGATTTCGCTTCTCCTCACGCTGCGCATCGTAGTACTCGAAGATAGGCTTGAAGTCGCACTTGACAAACTCCTTGATATCAACCTTGTTGCCCTTGGAATCCTTGGCACCGCCGGTTTTCTTCAGGATGTCCTTGAAATCCGAAAAGAAGTTCTTTTGGAAGACAGGGTTCTCCACGTTATGCGTCGAGTTGAGCATGGTTCCGAAGAAGCCAGCAACCTCCTCGGCCTCGGGATGAAGAGTCACAGGAATGCCGTCGTACTTCAACTTGACATTCTTGGGCAAGGGCTCGTAGGGCGGAGGGAACACCACACCGTTGTGCTCAAGGGTGGTCCACTTCTTGGTCCCATCGCCCTTGGTAGGATCTTCCCACCAACGATATTCTTCCTCCCCGTCTTCGACATCCTCACTCTCCGCCTTCACCTTGGCTTTGCCCTTCTTCGGAGAAACCGGTTCGGCCTTGACCTTCTTCACAGAAGACTTATCATCCGCAGTTTCCTTCTTGACGCCATTGGTGGCCTTCTTGGGCATAGCTGCAGGCTTGGATTTGGAGGCCGAGGGTTTGCGTGCGATACTAGCGACTTTCTCCGCCCGCTTCTCAATCTTCTTCTTCTGTGCGGTGAGTTTGCGCTCAATTGGGACGTCAGAGTCGGATTCTTCGCCAATAGCAGTCTCAGAAGCCTTTGGGAGCTTTCGTCCGTTGAGGGCGAGAGGGACATCATCATCCGACTCGGGGTCCTCGTGCTTGACAGAGGTTCGCCGGCGCTTGCTCTGAGAATGGTCAGTCGCTGAAACCAAGAGACATCAAAGTCGCGAATAAATGCTGTTTCGGGCCAAAGTATAGCGTACCAAGGGCTGGTCATCTTCGCTGCTCTCGGGCTCAGCATATGACATTTTGTTGTCAATGCTGGCCCGAGACTTGCGCTTGCTCAGGGCAGGCGCATCCGCGTCCTTCATTGCCACGTCTTTATCTCGCACGGGGCCAAAGCGAACCGACATGCCGGGGTCGAGATCACCGTTTGTCGTGGGAGACTTGTTGGAGGAGGGAGTGGCTAGAGAGGTAGAGGATCGCAAAAGGTTAGTTTAGCTCAAGATCATTGTAAGCGGGGATATGTAAGATCAATGAGAAGGCTAAGAAACCTAGCCAAGGGAAGGTGAAGATGCAGAGATATGTGAGTTGATGCGATGGAAAGGTGTCCTCGAAGGAGAATAAGAGCCGAAGGATGTACATGCTGCGGCGTCACACCGGGAAAGCTTACCCTTGGCGCGGCCGTTCGCGCGCGCGAGAGGGATGTCATCCTCAGATGAGCTCATGGTGGTGATTCGAAAGCCTTGAAGGCGCACAGGAGGATTGGTATGAAATGAGCGAGCCCTGAGGCTGGGAAAGAGTCCTCGTGCGCCGAGTCGGGCAAACCTAGCCGCCTGATAGAAGGAACTACTCAGGGAGATTCTGACCAATGAAGACCAGAATCGACTTCAGCAGAAGTGACGACGCATCAATGAGACGCAGAGAGATTGGTGTGGGGGTGATATTCAAGGAGAAAGAGGAAGGGACGGGCGCCGAGTCAAGCAGAGACGAGAGGAGAGGAAAAGAAGGTTGGGAAGATTGGGGGGGAGGAGGAATGGAGGGAATGGAATGGAAAACGAGGCCTTGACCTCATTCTGCCTGAGGCCCCGAAACACAGTCCCAGCCCGGAACCTCAGGCATGATGTACACAAAAACTTTCTGAGAGGGTAAGGCACACAGGCACCCAGGCATCAAGGCGCTAAGGCCACAAAATACGCCGGAAGTCGGGACAGCACACCGTAGACCCTCCCCCTTTTGGGTTTAGCGCAGGAGCGGCTGCCAGGAGTTCGACTTCGCACTTCCCGACAGTCCCAGCAACGACAGCAAAGCGAGGCCTCTGCAACTCTGCCCTGCTCCCCCTCCTCCGTCTCCGCAGTTCTCTTCTGCTCTCTACCACCTCAAAAACTTCTTCGCAATGTTCTCCCGTACCGTCCGCCCGGCCGTCCGGGCTGGTAGCGCTGCTGTCGCTCGGTAAGTCTTCTTCCGATGCCCGCCTCGTGGGCAGGTCCTTTCACCCGACGTACTCGACACCACCACCTCGATACCGTCTGCATTGAATCGATCGTCCTATTCAGCAAAGGAAAGCTCAATTGATTACTAACCCCTATACAAGCACTGCTCCGACCAATGCCGCCAACTTCGCGACTCTGCGTGAGATTGAGGGCCGTCTCAAGTCCATCCGCAACATCGAAAAGATCACCAACACCATGAAGATCGTTGCCTCCACCCGTCTCACTCGCGCCCAGAAGGCTATGGATGAGTCTCGCAACTACGGTCAGACTTCCAACACCGTCTTCGAGCAGGCCGAGACCAAGCCTTTGGAGGACAAGAAGACTCTGTACGTCGTGGCTAGCTCCGACAAGGGTCTCTGCGGTGGTATCCACTCCGGTCTCTCCAAGGCGACTCGCCGCCTGCTGGCTGGGAACCCCGAGGCCGACATTGTCATCCTCGGTGAGAAGGCCAAGGCCCAGCTGTCCCGTGTCGCTCCCGAGAAGATCCTCCTGAGCTTCGCCAATGTCTGCAAGGATATCCCCACTTTCGCCGACGCCCAGGCTATCGCCGACCAGATCTCCCTGCTGCCCACCGACTACGCCAGCATCAAGATCGTCTACAACAAGTTCATCAACGCTCAGAGCTACGAGGCTACCACCATTGAGGCTTTCTCCGAGGAGGCTATTACCCAGTCCGGTAGGTTCTTTTTACACTTTAGGAAAGCTATTCAGCTTCAATAACTGACATTTGGCCTTTCTAGCCAACATCTCCGCCTACGAGATTGATGACGAGGCTCTTGCTGGTCTCCGCGAGTACGCTCTTGCCAACAACCTCTTCTGGGCTATGGCTGAGGGCCACGCCTGCGAGATCTCGGTATGCTTTCTAATCTTTTACTTGTAATCAAACTAAGTCTAACCAACTACTAGGCCCGTCGCAACGCCATGGAGAACGCCTCCAAGAACGCTGGTGAGATGATCAACAAGTTCCAGATTCTCTACAACCGTCAGCGTCAAGCCGCCATTACCGGTGAGCTGGTTGAGATTATCACCGGTGCCACCGCCTCTGCCGACATGTAGAAGCCTTGATCTGCTTCTCCGGGATGAAGTCACATTTTTAGTGTAGACTTGTTGATAATTAGATCGACCCGCCGTTTTTGTAAAATCAGTGTCAATCCATTCCAATTTCTTTTGTGCTTTTCGGCCGACTGAGTAGGCTGATGGCCATGATCTTATTCACAGATTGGCTAATTGTTTTACTCGTAGCCTGCCTTTTCCTGGTAAAACTGATACGATCAAATGTTTGCTATTTTCTCCAGTCTTCTACGGCTTCCGGCCATTTCTACTCCTTGCTATTCCTCTTGTCTTTTCTACTCTCGCGATCTTCTCTCTTCCCTAGTTTCTTGCCTCGCGATCTTCTCCTCTCACTATTTGTACTCTTCCCACTCTTCGCCTTTTCCCTTCCAGCTATCTTTACCTCTCGTCTTGACCTCTCGTCTTGACCTCTCCTCTGTACCTCCCCTCGTCTTCTCCCCTCACTGCACCTTTATCGTCCCAGCTTTCTGCGCTTGGGTCATCTGTAAATCGGATGCTACTCTCACCTTCCAGACTCTCACGAATTTTCCTCTCTCATTCTCCTTCAGTTTGCTCCGATCTTTTGAACACATTCTTATCTCGTGGCCATATTCAGACTCGAGAGCGAGAACCACCCACGCCGCCAACACCGCGGTCACTATCGCTACCAGTCTCTTAGCTCATTCGTCGTCAAGAAATCTTCACTGAACGGTTCTCCCTAAAACTCTTCCAACCGCCAAGATGTCGACAACCATGTTCACCAATCACTATGATGTCTTAGGCGTATCACGCCATGCGTCTATCGAGGAGATCAAGGTCTCCTGGAGAAAATTTGCCCTCAAGTATCATCCTGACAAGACCAGGGGCGCCAAGACTTATACCGAAATGTTTCAAAAGGTGAGCTACCCTTGACTCTACAAAAAATGTCACCCACGGCCCTTTGGATACTCTCGACGGATACCAGGGGCTGACAAATTGTACATCACAGGGGCAGGAAGCCATCGAGATCCTCCGGGATCCTAGTCGACGTTACAAGTACGACAAAGAGCTTGAAGCACATTCTTCTCACCCTTGGGTCAGCAGCACAGGGGATCATCCTCCTCCTCAAACCTCTTCAGTTGACTCCCAGTCGATGAATTCGCACTATCATCACAGAAACTGGACGGGGCATCAGAACCGTCAAAACGGAGCCAAGTATGGTGGTAGATCTGAGATTTCATCGGGCAGATACAGAAGTGAAGCAGAGATGGAAATGATCTTCGAGACCGTTAGAAGACACGAAAGAGCGCGCACCGAGGCTCTGAGACAGCGACATGCAGAAAGGCTCAAGCTGAGCCAGAAACCTTCCGACAAGATGCCGAGCCGGACATTCACTGATGGGGAAATGATCCTTACCCATACGCTGATTTCGAAAGTCAAAAGCCGCAAAATGAGCCATACAAGGAGGAGATCCGAGCTCAAGCCAGCCGTGACGTGCGGAATTCGGCGGCCAGCTTTAACAAAGCAGGCAAAGGGAGTTCGCTAGAGCAGAACTTGGCTACCTATCCCAACGATAAAGGTGTTATGGGTGACACGAGCACCCTCCATTACAAGTCGACTGATCACGCGAGTGGGGAGATCTATTGCTACTTGCTAGATAAATCTTGAAATATATAGCGAACCATCCATAATAGTTTCTTTTTATACTTGCGGCCTCCGTGGCGACAGCGACATCAATCACCAAGTCTGTACTGCTGCTTCCTCGTGCAGTAGCAATGGCACCTCGTCCGAGTTGGGCGGAGTGCTTCTCGCTGACTTCGAGACCCCAAATGATGACGAAAAGACATACACTCCTGACACTCTCCGTTCCTCTCCCCCTGTCCCAAAATGTGACCTGGCAATTCCCAGCTCCAGCTTCAACTCGGTGAACCCAGATCAGTTTGCCGGAGGGAGCCACAATCCTGTCATCAACAACGAAACGCAATGGCCACTACGCGCATTCATCCCGTACGACAAGGCCAAACTAGACGACCCCAGAGGTCGTTACACGGTCGACGACATGTATGATGAGCTGCATGGCCTCGTTATGGAGTCTGTGTATTCGTGGTTAAAAACCACTGACCTAGCTGGTTCCAATACCAGCCTAAACACCGCCGCCGATGCTGGCTCTACTTGTCCCCATCTCGGCCTCTGGCACAAAGAAATCGGTCACTCTAATGTGACAATTGCCATCTCTGGCAGCCCTTTTCATCTTGACTTGCCAGGGTTGCGGTCTGAAGAAATGTTTACGAAGCAAGTCCGGGGCTTGCTATTGAGATGAGAGAAGTGGCCTTGTCTGTTTGAAGATTTGTGTGTCATGTATCACTATCCTCTGTCTTGAGAAGACTCAACCCTTTGGTTGGACAAGTAGCTCTGCTCAAGGACTGGCCTATCATGAATGAGAGAGTCACCGAATCAACATTCCCTTCATCGATCAAATCTGTAGATCACCAGTTCACGGTTATCCGTCTCGCCTATGATGTATTTATCACAACCACAAAGTTTGGCGCGGCCAGCAAAATCCGAAACTTCCCTTGTGACCCGGGTCTTCTCCGTCTCAACAGTCAAATATATCGACTCATCTAGGTAATCATTTACTTCGTCACTGCTGAAATGGATACGGAGGGCCACGCCGGATCCACGATCGGTCACCTGTGCGATGATATTGTACCAAGACTCGTGCAAATGGCTCATGTTGAAGAGGAGGAGGGGCAATTCATGGGCATTGTCGTTGCTTCGATACGCTGTCAGGATGAAATCGGGAGTGAATCGGTTATGAGGACCAATTCCAGTTGTCGGGATTCCGGTCACGACGGTGTCAGGCACACCAAGCGGTGTAGGCAGTTCAGTGGCATCAAAGAAGCGAAAATTCTCGGTGATGTACACAGTCTGCCCATCATCCGAGACTTCTAGCTGCTGGATACGTGGGAAGCCCCTCTGTCGAATGCGGAAGTGCTCAAGATCTTGGAATCCGAATCGAGCCACAATAGACGGGGACTGGTCTACCTCGGGGCCTGTTTGTGCCCCTGAGGGGTCGAGGGATGGGCGATAGTCTGATTTCTTTGAAATATCCCACACGAACAAGGACTCGATGGGCGCATCCTCATCTGCCGTGTACAAACTGCGGTTCGGTTGCCAGATGTAGATGACATAGTGTGTGTCGCTGTGTGCAGAGAAGAACCGATCGCGCTCACTGAGTGGATGGCCCAGAAACATGATTTTCCACTCATTGCGCGGAATAATATGCCATCTACCATCGTGGTCATATTTGTCACTCGGGACCACATTAAAGGATGTGGCGAAATGACGATGCACGCCATCGCTTTCATTGAGCCAGTGGAAGGCTTTTGGTTCGGCCCATTCTACAACGAGCACGCGCTTCTGCAGTCGTACTCTTCGAATGATCCTGCCATCAAGGACAAATGGCACTAGGAATTGTTTGTCGCTGCTCAGATCTACGAGCATGAGCATCCAACGGTCTGCTGAAGGGAAGACCAACAGTCCATCTTCATATGTCCACATTGCTTCCGTAAACTGGCGGTCGACCTCACCCATGTAGTGACTGGCATGCCCCTCCCACGGCTGCACTGGGTAGAACTGTCGCTCCCATGACCAGCCCATCTCACTGCATAGACTGTGTCTCTGCACGGAGCGGGGTGTTCCCCGTTCTAGGTGATTATATCGGGCGACCGCTTGGTCGAAGGCATGGCGGATGGATTCTGCCGTAACAGAGGAGCCATCATATTTGGAAGATCCAGGTTGGAGGTTCTTGAATTCTTGCGTCCATGGAAAATGTCTCTTGAAGAGTGGAAGCACGATGTCCGGGTTGCTGAAGGCCTCGTTCCACGCTCGTGAGACGCGGCGACACCATACCAGATCCTTGGGCTCCAACAACTCGAGGATGATCAAGAAAAGGTCCCTCGGTAGGAATGCAAGGTCATGGCAAGTGGCCTGGCCACTGGAAAGAGGGACAGTCATTGTGGTTCAGCATTGTAAGCGATCGTCATAAGAGTCAAGGGACTTCACCGTTTCACAGGGGTTCCAGACGATCAACAAACGGGCGGCGCTTGGTAAGTTTGATCCCATTGGAGAAAGCTCAACTCTCCGCATGCCAAGAGCTTCAGGACACCTTGCGTAATACAGTAACACGCCGGTTTTTTCTTATTGATCGATCTGGCTTTTTCCCTCTGAACTTGCGATGCTCGTCGAGGCGACCGCATAGCTTTTGCGACAATCTTTATCTACATCAATCCCAACTTCACTCACATGATGTTGCCACAAACCTCGTTGTTGTTGGTCGCTTCGTTGCTGGCCGCACTGCCCGCCAACGCCGATGGACTCTACACCAAAAAGTCGCCGGTGCTGCAACTCAACCAGAAGACCTACGGGTCGCTGATTGCGAACTCGAACTATACTTCAGTAAGAAATACCCGTCACCTGATATCTGCCCGAGGGAACTAAGCCAGGAGCTAAACGCTAATCTCCAATTCCTATAGATCGTCGAGTGAGCTCTCCCCGCACGGCCGAACGATTCTATTGTCCGAAGATTTCTTCCATACTAACTGACCTGCGCTCTCGCTAGATTCTATGCACCCTGGTGCGGACACTGCAAGAACCTCAAGCCCGCCTATGAGAAAGCCGCCCAAAACCTGAACGGCCTGGCCAAGGTCGCCGCCGTGAACTGCGATGAAGACGAAAACAAAGCCTTCTGCGGCCAGATGGGCGTCCAGGGATTCCCCACCCTGAAGATCGTGACTCCATCCAAGAAGCCCGGAAAGCCGCGCGTGGAGGACTACCAGGGTGCGCGTACCGCGAAAGGTATCGTCGATGCGGTGGTCGACCGCATCCCCAACCATGTGAAGCGCGCAACGGACAAGGACTTGGATAAGTGGCTGGGACAGAATGAGGAACGGCCCAAGGCCATCCTGTTCACGGAGAAGGGCACTACAACCCCCCTGATCCGCGCGCTGGCCATTGACTTCTTGGGCGCCATTGATATCGCTCAGGTGCGGAACAAGGAGTCCGCGTCGGTGGAGAAATTCGGCGTTTCTGAGTTCCCATCCTTGGTCGTTGTCTCTGGCGACGAGGAGCCCAAGGTGTACGAGGGCGAACTGAAGAAGCAGCCTATCACCGACTTCCTGAAGCAATTCGCCTCGCCCAACCCAGACGCTACCGGAGAAGCTGCGTCGTCCGCGGCCAAATCCAAGAAGTCCAAGCCTTCCAAGCCCGCGAAGCCCGTCGCCCCCAAGGTTCCAATCCCCGATGACGAGGACGAATCAGCAACCGCAGAGGAGACTCCTGAGGCTAAGCCCGTTCATGTCCCTATTGTCCCTCCTGTCCCTACCCTCGCAACCCCCGAATCCCTCGAGTCCGCCTGTCTGAGCGCAAAGTCCACCACCTGTGTGCTGGCCCTCCTCCCAGCAACAAGTGAGCCGGACGCCGGGCTTCCATCCGCAGCTACTGATGCACTTGCCAGTCTGGCTGAGATCGCGCACAAGCACGCCCAGCGTGGCACGCATCTCTTCCCCATCTACGGGATCCCTGAAGTCAACTCTGCTTCCCAGACTCTGCGTAATTCGCTCGGCTTGGGTACCAGTGAAACATTGGAGATCATTGCTGTCAATGCCCGCCGCGGGTGGTACCGTCGGTATGGCCAGACTGAGGACTTTGGTCTTGCCGCTGTTGAGGGGTGGGTTGATGCGATCCGCCTCGGAGAGGGTGCTAAGGAGAAGCTGCCGGAGGGTATCATCGCTGAACCGGAGGCTGAGCCTGAAGCTGCAGCTGAACCCGAAGCTGAGCCGGAAGCTGAGCCGGAGCAGGCCAAGGAGGAGCCGGAACACGATGAGCTTTGAGATGTGACACAGTTGAATGATCTGGTACGGCTAATTTGTCCCATCTTGTATCTCCTAGTTTGATAGCCAGTCGCTCTACTTTATGTACTAAGGTGACTCCCAATTGTCAGAATATACTTGTTTTACTTCTACAGTAAATCACCACCGTTTTGGAAAGACATGTCAAGTCATTCATATATATATACAAGAGTCGATTATCCAGCACAACATGGAAACAATGGAACATCACTCTCTTCAAAGAGTTACATATGGGTAGCAAAGCCGTACAAACACCGTCAGAAAATGCAGAGCAACGCCGTCAAAACACTGGAAATCTCACAAGAACAATTTACTTTTTCCGACCCTCAGTACCCTTCTTGATCATCTTTTGACGCTTAGCGTCGACCTCCTTGTCGTAGATATCCCGCGCAGTCTCGCCCTTCTTGCGCTTCGACTGCTTCGTCTTCACGCTAACGGTGGCAGCACCGCCAGCACGAATCTGCTTCTCAGCATCTCCCCAAGACGCGGCACCGTTATCAATTTCGTATCTGGAGACTGAGAATCAGTTATTGTTCATTCACAAGTTCGATTACAGAAGCTTGCAGCGAAGGGCCAGACTTACTTGTCGAGCGGAAGAGCGTCGATCAGAGCACGCTGCTTCTCGCGCATCTCCTGGTCGATTTCCTCGGCACCGTCACGGAGCTCATCTTCCAGACCAGTCTCCAGAGGCTTGAATCGGTCCTCGACCACGGCGTCGTCGTGGGCAGCAGAGGGGGCGGGGACAGAGTTCCTCTCTGCGGGCATGGTGTCCGCAACAGCACCCTCGACCAGACCACGGAAGTGGGTCGACATCTTGCGCATGATCTTGAGGAACATGGCAAGAAGCTGGGAGGACGGGAGACTCAGTTCCTTCTCCAGATCATCCATGCTCTTACGCTGCAGGCCAATAGCCAGGAGAATGGACTGCTGAACGCCCGAAAGGCTGACCTTACCGCCAAGGCGGTTGGCAAAGTAGTACTCGGCGATTGCGGGAACCATGTCCAGAATGACATGGTAGTCAAGGAGGTTGTTCGCATAGCTGTCCAGACGCTTCAAGTCGAAAGGCGAGAAGGCGGCATCGAGGTCGCCCTTCTTGAGAGTGCGCACGATGGCAGAGGAATCGAGCTTGGCGCCAGAGTTGGCTGACTCGCAGATGCTCAGAGACAGAACCGAGGGGAATTCGCGGAATTGGTAAGAAAGCAGGGCAAGGAAACGGCGGTGGAAGTCACGAGAGAAGGCGCCCAACCAGCCGGCATCGTTGGCACCGGTGGTCAGAGTGCGCAACATGACGCAGGAGTGCTCGCCAGTCAGCTCGTTGGGGGTCTGGCGCAGATATACCGGGTGGAAATCAGAGCGCTTCCAGAACTTGTGCAGAGTAGGGGTCAGGCCGTAACTGACGCCGAGGTAATCCAGAGAATCAGGGCGGCGCTCGCTAAGCTTGCCGAACAAGGGCGGCATGGCGCGAATATCACGGACATGGACATTGTCATCGAGCAGGCTCGAGTTGGCGAGCTCCTCGTCGGTGACACGAACCATCTCCTCCTGGGGACCAGCCATATCCTCGTCGAGACTGGTGAACTTGCCCTCGTAGAAATCCGTGAGAAGCTCCAGGGCTCGAGAACCGTAACCCATGCCAACATACTCGGGGTTCGTAGCGATACGAACAACGCGAGCTCCTGAAAGACCCGCAAAGTCCTCGTCCTGGAACTGCTGGGACACCAGCCAAGGGATCAGATCACCGCCAGCACGCTGGCCACGGCTCAGGCTGTTAAGGACGCTTTGCCTGCTGATTCGGCCTTCGAGAGCAACCTGAATCACGCAAAGCGGCTCTGGAAGCTTGGTGGCCTCTTCGTCAATGGGGGGAACAAGCACATAGAGTTGATGGGCGGGGGCATCGCTCATTAGCTGAAGATCATTAGGCGTGTTCTTGTAGTGACTGGCAACGTACAAAGCCATCATCTGCTGTAAGAACTTCTCAGAAACAGGGTGAAAAGAGAAAAGAGTGTCGCGGTTGACCTGAAGCAGCTGGCACTTCGACGGGTGAGGGCAACCTTGCGTGTTCATACGAGACTTGGGCAGAGTAGCGTCAAGACACAAGACCTTGTTCAACCACTTCTCAACAGAGTCACCAGGGGCGTAACGAATAGGCTCGGAGAGAGTGATCTCACGCAGTGACCGACCGCCAAGGTTCTTGTCTGTGTTCTTGGAGATCTTGCCAGTGCTACGGTCGGCAACGTCAGCGTCGGCAGTCTTGATACCACCGCGGGCCTGCTCTCGAAGCTGCTGGATCAGCTTCAAAGAGAGGGATCGACCAGTTCCCTCATAGCCATTGATGGTGGAGGCCATGAAGACGAGGTAAGGACCCATCAGCTTGCGCACAAGAGGGAGCGGAATGGCAGCCGCCTCATCAATGACCAAGAGTTCTGCCTGGCCCAGGACATGCGCATCCTGGGGTTGAATGTACTGAATAGTTTGACGGTGATTGCGGTGAATGTTGACGCGCACGATAGCCTTGTTGAAGTCCGGGTTGGTTGATTGCAGGATAGTGTAATCGACGTGGTCCAGATAGCCCAGAGCATCGAAGCCCTTGAACACGAATTCAAACAGAGTCTTCAAGTTCTCGGGGCTAGGAGAGGTAATGAAGATGTTGCTATAGCCATGGGCAATGGCCGCGGCGATGGCAACACCAAGGGCAGCAGACTTTCCTCGTCCACGGCCAGCAGTAAGAGCAACCGTGCTTCTCAGAGTCTTTTCAGCAATGGCGTCCACAAAGGTGAGGAGAGCCTTGGCCTGGTCAACAGTACGAGCCAAGCTGAGCAGTGGCCCAACGGGCTGCGACTCTGCCAAGCTGTCCTTGATTTCCTTCAGTTCCTTCTTGGTACCGGAGCTCGATTCGTCCGTAGATTCGGGAGGAGGGAGGGGCTTGACATTCTTGCCGCCGGAGATGGGCAGCACGTTCAACTCGTCGTCCACGACCAAGCAAGAGTCGCAGCTGCCCAGGGACAGAATAAAGCGCTCATTGAAACGTGCAACCACATCATCGTGGGCCTCTGTGCGGTAACGGGAATGGATATCCATGGACAAGGTGTACAGTTGCTTCAAGCTGTTCATGCTCTTCAACAACAGCAAAACAATACCACCACCCTCGACAGTCTCGACAGTGCGCGCGAGCAAGTTGGGGGTCATTGCCTCAAAGTCCTGCAAGATACACATGCCGTAGGTGTTACCCAGAATCTTTTCCGTTTCCTTGTAGTACACATAGCGAATCTGGTTCAGGGTGATGAACAGCTCAAAAGGATCCTCCTGGTTAGGCTCACGGATGCCATGCTTGACCTCCCTCTTGATCTTGTTTTCACGCTTCTTCCGATGACTTGTGAAACCCAGCAGATCCTTCTTGTATGCCCACAGAACAGACTTGTTTTGCTTCACATCCACGCTGGACATGATGTAGTGGAGATGCACAATCACGTCTTTCGCCCGGTCTCCAACGACCACGAAGAAGCTGCGCTTCTTCTCCTGCACACCATTTCGGATGAGGGCCGGGATACGCGAGTCAATCGCTTTGCGCGGCATATTGGGGATGCGGAGCTGGCCGCGAGTGTCGTCAGGCCTTAAACGCTCACTATCGGATTGCCTGTCGAGCGGAAGGGTAGGATGGCCGAGGGCGATTGGAGAATTACTGACGAGTTCAAGCTTCGATATGTCTCGGCAAAATCGAAGTCGTTGATCAGAAGATAAGATCTCGCCCGGTTTCCTGCGTCCCAAATTGGTCCAAACGAAAAAAAATCATATTGCTGTTGTACACCGCCTACCATTTCCATAAGATGCACCTCACCGCCTCCATAGGCTTATGTCATGTCAACTCCAAGTCACGTGTTTGCCAAGGGTCCCGTCCTGGCGATGATTTCCTCATCGGGTAATTCAGTCTCCATTCCGCATTCGACCTCCTCACAGGTCCACAATTCCTTTGAATGATGCATGCGTCAATGGCAACAACAGTGCTCAAGTGATTCGATTGGTCTAGTCGGGAGACGTCGATGGGATTGGAGATGCTTTCACAGGGGACAATGTACGGAGTACATGGTTAACTCGTGTCATTACGATTAGCGTGCGCTCTGACACTCCCAGTGCGCCAAGTGGAGCGGCGGGAAGCCAAGTCTTGATTCTGGCCGCCGATCGCCACAGCATATCTTGCTTTCCTGGACGCATTCCCAGGCGTGGAAATTCAAGGGCTTCAGAGCGGACTCCAGTTTGCTTGGATCGTCGCTTATTTCATTGGCTGGGAACTGCCAACATGGAGAGCAAAGGCCCATGGTTTCGTGCTCAACCACAATCAAGCCATTTCCCGCTGACGCAACTGGAGCGCCAGTCAGCATTGGAGGCGCACATCGTCTACTACTCTGTGATTAGCTTCTGGCATGTCACAGGCCGATGTCTTGGTCAAAGTCTCCGGCTGGTCCATGAACCCTGTTAACCCAGCATGTCAATCCCCTGGAAATCCCCACCGGGCCAAAGTCCCACGTCCTGTTCCTTTTTCTCCATGCACTCCAGCTTTTCTTCTTTGCGCCTTCACACGTGTGACATACAGCTCTTCTTCCTGGCTTCCAAATCGATCGCAATGTGGCGCGATGGCTTCTGAGATAGTTCGTATGGAACGATAAGTAATTGGGCGCATAATGGTCCTATTCTCCGCCGACACGGGGCTTAAGGTCTGTGTGGGGTAAGTAGGCTTTTAAGCAGATGCCATTTTCAAGCTTGAATGCCAGAGGAAAGAGAAGAAACTCATACTGATGATCGCATTCCCTTCAGGATCTTCTTTTTGAGCTCCTTCTTCCTGGTGTCGTCTTACAATGCCACATATGCCTTTGGTAAGTTGGTCTCATCTTCAGCGATTCGGCGAAGCAGCCGCAAACTAACTTCAATGACCATTTAAGACCGCCCGGTCAGTACGGCTGTTCTGGTATGTTTCCTTCTGGGAACACACTTGTTGGTACTAGGTCGGTTTGTTCCAGTGGTGTCCCAACCTTCATCGCCGATAGGGAAACGATTCAACATTCCTGCAGACCAATTCGAACTCTCACCACGGACCTCATCTCCATCTCCAATTCTGGGTTCCCTTGGGCCTTCACCATCATCATACCGCTTCTGGTTGAAAGTTGGCCTGCTTCTATGGATTTTTGGTTTGCGTATCGAATTATTTCGTCGAGTCACCCTTCACAATGAGTGTGCTCCTGCCGGATATGCTGTAAGTTTTAGTGGTTTGTGTCCATCTTTATATGGTGTAGTTGCTAATCTTCTTTTGATGCATTTAGTATGCGATCCCGTTCGTCATTTCATTATACGACTACTGGCGACATCAAGGACCACGTTCGAAAGCTGGCTATTCTCCACTACAGCCGTCCCACACCCTATCTTCCAATATAGCCTACTCGATTTGCCGACGGGGCTTGCATAATCTTACCCAGAGTCGATTTAGGGGGATTTTCGCTGCGGCTCTCATCTCAATCGGCGGATATGCGGCTTCATCGCTCCTGGCAGGCAGCCAGTCCACGTACATCTGCCCGATCGTCCTCAATGGTTCGGCACGTCTTCAAGCCATGAAGGCCGCCAACGTGGTGATAGACTCAATTCTCCTCATTGGAATCACCGAACTCTGCCGAAGTGGGACCGACGGTGAAGAGTCTCGAACAAACCGAACAGCTTTCTCTCTTGGAGCCGGTCTTCTGGTAAGCCACAACGCCGGCAAGTTTGATAAGCAATATCTCTGACGGTATCCGATAGCTTGTTGCCTTGATTTGGACTATCATTGGACATTTCGTTCGGAACAGTCGCCCTGAACACAGCGGTCAGCCCTTTTTAGATGCAAAGTACTCGCGCAGTGCTTTCGGTGAAGCGCTGTTGGTTGTCATGTTTGTTCTATCAAGCTTGCCAATGGTTGGTCCTCCATCAACCCCCATGATTTATCGTATTAGTACTGATTTAATATTCAGCTATCGCATTTCGGGATTCTCGGGGTATCCATCCTGAGCGGATTTGTGTTCGTCTTCTTCCCGGCAATGTCGACTCTTATCTTTGAGCAGATGCCATTCCCATACATCTCCCAGATTCATGCCGCAATCCCCGTCATTGCGTCTTCAACGGGTGTAATCCTGTTTCTTCTCTCCAGAATATTATCGGAGGAGGAGTCAAAACCTCTCTATCGCACCAACATTGTGCTACAGATCCTATTCCTTCTCGTTGGTGGGGTCGGCCTAGCCTTTTCCATGACCAAACATCATTTCCCTCACACTCATCCGATTGATCTCCTGGTTCACAAGGCCACTCTCAACTACGACAACTACCTTCTGCAAGCGAGTGCCAGCAAAAACCTAGAAGACGCCGTTCGGGAATATCGGAAGAGGCATCGTCAGCATCCACCGCCTGGATTTGATAAGTGGTTTGAGTATGCAACGAACCGGTCTTCGGTGATCATCGACGATTTCGACCAGATTCACGAGAATATTCTTCCATTCAGAGCAATTAGCCCTGCGGAGATCCGGGATATGACACAAAAATTAGCGACAAATCCTTTCAACGACCTTGGAGCAATCAGCATTCGCATGGGCCAGGTAAAAGTCCAAGAAGGGATCAAACCAACACATGCATGGATGGTGAAAGGAGCCGCCGAAATGATTGAAAATTTCGCCCAGCACCTACCAGATATGGACCTTGTGTTCAATCTCAATGACGAGCCGCGAGTTGCGGTACCGTGGGAGAAGATGTTGCTGTTGAAACAGGCGGCACAGGCACGCCCACCTATCCCCCAAGAAGATTTATTAGACCGGTGGTCGGGAGACCGACATCTTGGCTGGGCGCCAGTTGAACCCGCTGATCAAACAAACCAGACAATATTTACAGACGGTGCTTGGAGGGGGGTTTTTGATCCCTATGTCAGTGCAGTCTGTCCACCCTCATCCCGAGTCCGCACACGACGTGTATGGAACCGGCACGACATTTGCCTGAGCTGCGCGGCACCCCATACAATGGGCCAATTCCCGTTGGATTTCAATCTCGCCACAGAAATCTGTCATCAACCTGATCTCGCCTTTCTTCACGGCCTCTTGATATCGCCTGCGTCATTCAAGGTGTCCCAAGAACTGATCCCGGTGTTCAGCCAAAGTGCACTTGCTGGGTTCAGCGACATCCTCTTTCCCAGTCCTTGGAATTACATGGACAAGATTGAGTACAAGCCTTCAAAGGAGCATCCAGACCCTGAGTTTGCGCAAAAGGACAATTCTCTGTACTGGGTCGGTAGCACGTCCGAAGGCTACAGTCGCTTCAACGAGTGGAAGGGCATGCCGCGACAGCGATTCTCACACCTGATCAATAACAACACTCACAGCCAAGTCTCCGTGCTCTTACCCGCCGGTAAAGACCAATACCAATACAAAATCATGGATGGATCTGCTCCAGGCAAAGAGCTAAACCTGCGCACCGACGTTCACATCGCCGACCCAATTACTCGCTGCGGTGACTGCGATACTCAGCGTGATGAGCTGGGAACCCGCTCCTGGGTTAACTTCCAGGCACACTGGTCCCATCGGTTCCTATTTGATCTTGACGGAGCAGGATTCAGTGGCCGTTTTCTGCCTTTCCTGCAGAGTCACAGCCTTCCATTGAGGACTGGTCTTTTCCGACAATGGTTTGACTCTCGAGTAATCTCTTGGCTGCACTTCGTCCCCGTCGACATTCGTCTTCATGGACTCTGGAGTACGTTGGCGTATTTCGCTGGTGTACCCAGTCCCAATGCTGGTGAACATAATACAAAGGAACCCAAAATGCTCATGGATGCACATGTGAATGAAGGCTGGTGGATCGCCGAGCAGGGCCGCAAGTGGACAGAGATTGCACTTCGCAAGGAGGATATGGAGATCTATTTCTTCCGGCTGTTACTTGAATGGGGTCGTATTACGGATGATCAGAGAGATGTGCTTGGGTTCAAGCTGTGATGGCAATGACATTTCGAAATGTATCTTACTTAGAATTAGAGTTTAGTAAATATGGGCTTTATGATTTACACGAGATTAGCGTCACCCAACGCGCACAGTACTCCCGATATAGATATCCTCTTCATGGCTATTTACAGGGTCATCTAATCTTACGATTCCAAGGGTGTAGTTGTCGCTTTGGCATCTGAGGATTCGACTAAAAATGCGCAATACTTTTCTATTTCAATGCACACGCAATCGCCATGCAAATGAATGCTTTGTGAACGAGTGTCAGGGGGTATTTAAAAACATCAAAAACACATCATCGCCCAAATCCGCCATAAATCAATCAGCAAAAAATCGCAGATAGCCTGTAAACAGACACCATGCAGAATTTCAATAAAAAGTCCAGCTGAAGAAGAGAAGAAGAAGAATCAGAGAAAAAAGAATCACAAAGGCCTCAAAAAACATGTGAACAGACCTTTCCGAAGTCATATCATCACATCAATCAATTCCAGTCAGACGAAAACCAGTTCATCTACTGAGCATGACCATGCTGATATTGACCACGGCGGTGCTTCCAGGCCGGCCGGGGCGCGGGCCGCACATACGGCGCAGTACGACGCGACTTGACATCACCGACAGCCTGGTTATCGCGGGCATGCACAGCGGCATGGGAATGCGTATCACGCTTGGAGCTGCTACTCTCCTGGTACACCTTGAGCGAGTTGATGCGCCAGTAGGTCTCGGTGAAAGCGGAGGGGTTGTTCTGGACGTAGGAGTTGCATGTGCTAGCCTTGGAGGCACAGCTACTAGAGGACCAGACGTTGCCGGCCCAGTCTCCGCAGAAAGTAATGTCGAAGACCTTAATGTGATGTTAGTCGATTAATTTTTTTAAAAAGATTTGATGCAAGGAAGAATAGGACATACGATTTGCAGATTGTTAAAGTGCGAGTCAATATCGCAGCTTCCGGAGAACGCGGCAGTGGGAGTACCCCAGCCTGAAGGGTTGGGGTTGCCACTGGTAATGTCCGAGGGAATACTGGACTTGGGGAAGAACCAGATGTTGATGCCAGAGGATGTCCATTCGGTGGCGTAGACGCCGCCGTTGGCTTGGTTGAAGCCGTCACCGTAGGACTGGGAGCTGGAGCTGAGGATGGCACAGCCAGAGTTGGGAGATTGGCCCGAGGCCTCGACGTAGCAGTTGCTTGTTTCGAGGGAGCCGCTGAAGCCGGAGTTGGTGATTGAGCAGCCATCGCTTGTGTGGAGGGTCATCTGGTTGTTGGATTGGGTGTTGACGCCTTCGATGATGTCGATTTCACCGTTGTTGGGCCAGTTTGAACCGAGCATCCAGCTAGGAATCGTTAGTATCACCGACAAAGGGTGGTATAGATGTGGAGTTGACTGACAAGGCAGGCCAAGTGCCGCAAACACTGCCAGGCATGTGTTCCAGATCTAGAATCACCAATCCATGGGTGTAGGTGTTGGTGCTCTCCAGGCGAACACTCTGACGACCCGGGCTACTAGCAGTGTTTTTAGTGTCAACACCAATGTACACCGAGTTACCAGAGGTGCTGATGAGACCACCACTGCTAGCAGTCGAACGATCGACGTAGCTCACGTAACCGTTAGTGGGGTCCGAGCTCTATCAGATTGTCGAGTCAGTATTGGTGAATCACTTCAGATTAATACAACAATGGTCAAACATACTGTGTAGAAGTTGAACTTGTCAAAGAACGAGTCGGTGGTGCCATAGTCGTCCCGCAACGTATAGGCAGCGGCACTGAGATGGGCAAAAAGGCCCAGGCTCGGAATGAGTGTGGAGAGGACGTGCATTGTTCCCGTGTGCTATATAGATCGCGATGGAAGGGAAAGGATTGGACGCAGTCTATCAAAGACGAGCTGTCCTATGTAGATCGGATACTTGCACAAGGCAAGTAGTCTCAAAAAAGGAATGTAAAGACCAAAAAGAAGGCGATATACTACCCTTGAGAGATTGCAGGGACAGTGTATACCAAAAAGAAGCAAGGAATGAAAGGCGATGTATACAGCACAGGGTATGCGAGACAAAGGAAGGACTAAGCGCCGATGCAGAAACAAAATCTCCGACAGGGACGGGAGGGCGACCTTCTATTCTTTTATACAGGACAAAGCACAAAGAACAAGGGCACAAAGGACACAAGGCCAAGGAAAGCCACCGCGTGGCGGCAGCGCAACGTAGGCCCTGAGCCCTGGGTTCCTGAGTTACACCCACCCGACCCGATCTTGAGACTGGATGTGGGACATGCATGACAGGACCACACTCTAGGACAAGATCCATGTGAGAGATTGAAACGCGGAGGAGTCTTCCCTCTACGGTAAGAGGGGAGCCAGGAAAAATTGCAATATTATTGCAAATATTTCCAGAAATCGAGGAATCCCTGCACCGAACGACGGGTCCCGAGGATTGAAACGCTTCGGATAGGATGAGTCCTTATCCACACGACCAAACAGAAGGCCAGCCGTAGGCCGCGTTATCAGGACTCGTAGTTTGGGGTCAAGGGCCGTGGAAATGATAGCCACTGGTTGGATCTCCAAGGGTCTGCGTGGAGCCCGGAACCGAACATCAGAGAAATCCATGATGGGGAAGAGAGGGCCTAGTCTCGAGTCTCTTTGAGTCTCTCTGGACAAACCGACCGACGGAACCTCTCTTCTTTGTCCATTACTGCTGCCAGTTTTCTCTCTTCGAGTCTGATTCGATCCAACCCAGCTGGAGGGTGTTGATGAATGTGGACTGCGGATCATCTGCGCGGCATTGACAATCCACGCACGAATTTATGCATCAGATGGCAGGGACACGCCACCTCCTGTATGGGCTGGGGAGGGTATAGACATGGCCTTCCGTTTGGCTGGCAGACTCGTGGAGAGAGAGCCGTTAATTTGCGGCATTCCGGTCTCTCCATAAGGTCTAGCTCTTGCATTTCTGTGCATTTCTACTATAGATTCTGAATGTAGTTAATCCAGAGTACACTATTCTCAAGAAAAGACTTTCCCCAGTGCCTCATATAGTTGCCTCGAAACCCACTAAGCAAGCTTAACTCCATCCCCCAGCCCCTCCCTAGTTTCAGATTCAAGCGCTGAGAGTTTGCACTTGCTGGCCTGGGTGTTTCGGAAGTGCAGGGCGATCACTGCTCTGCGACTGCTGACTCGTTCGTGCCATAACGACGGAAATGGAAGAGCTGGTGCCGAGTGCATGAAGATTCTTGCCAGCCTTCTCACTGGCTGAAGGGTGATGCAGCCACCTGCTTTTTGTCTGGCTCCATGAGTGCTTCGGGCCTCTCGGGAGCTCATCTGGCTCGGTCTGCCGCTGAGAACTCGTCGATCCCTGGCTGGTTTGAGCCGTTGCAGGCTTGTCACTGGTTGTGCTCAGCTGCGCGGCCGATCCAATCATGTCCGTCTACTCTGGTGGCAAGGCGTAGATCCGCCAATCGTTCGTCCAGGTTGCGATCCCATTTAAGCTTTTTTTTTGATTTTCGAATTTCTGACCTCATATTTGTTCAGATCATTCAGAAATTTAAGGGGGAACGTCGAATTTTCCATGGTTCTTTCGCTTAGGCTCGTCGGCAGATGAGCAGATGAGCGAGATGAAAGTGGAAAAGCTGATCGGAACGGGGCCGATTTGCCCGTTTGGACAACAGACAATCTAGGCTACAGATGCTTGGTCAGTCTCGGCTTGAAAGAAACAAATTTTACAGAGAACCAAGTATTGGCAGTCTTTCGGTTTGAGAATCTATCAATCTGTGGCTCTGTGCCCTGTCAGCTCTGTGGTGCTACAGTGTTACGCGCTCCCCCTAGATCTATAGACTATCCCGCATCCGCTACGGACTACCACCCTACTCGCCCACCGACACCAAGCACGATGATCGCAATATCCCGGCACGCGGCGAGACCTGCCGAAGTATCAGGAGTAGATAAAGGTCACATTTGACCGTCCCGCCGATATATCCGGTGGTCTTCAACATCCATATGCCGTTCGGACAATTCTCTAAATTGACCCCATTCGGCATGGGGGCGGGCCGACAGACGATCTAAGATCCTGCGATGTGACCCCACACGGACAAACAGCACGCTCGTTGCAGATAAAGGCCAGACGATCTCGGGACGCACTTACTCTGGGTTGATATCCGCCATTCCGCGGGGGATGGTGGACAGGGTGTATACACTACAGTAATATCCCACCCCAGACGGGGTAATTATGGACAGGGATCCTGGTCCATGTAGCATGCATGCTTGGCATTTCGGGCATGAGACTAGGTCAGGAGGGGCTTATTTGAACGACTGTTCACGGTATGTGACTACGAGAACGAGGGTCTTAAACGGATAACGGGATGGCGGTGATGGACCAGTCCAAGAACGGAGTATATCCCCGACACTAGAAGGAAGTAATTACGGAGAAAGGATGACGAGACGGATAATAGTCGGTCTTGATTCAATTCGCTCGAAGAGATGATGTGATTGTGATTCGATTCCAGGGGAAGTGATATATATGACACATCCATCCTACTTGTCGCGCAAAATGCTACCTATAGAGATCTTAGACAAGGAGAAAAGAAAAATGGAACAAGTAGAGTCACATAAAAAAAGGAAAGAGTAGAGAAAAAAGAATGCGCTATCGTCGCTATGTACAAGCCGGACAGAACAGTTCAGCTACCGGCCAGTCGGGATGCTCACGTCGTGAGACCGAGCCGTGCGCACCAGTGGGTCGATGAAGCCCACTAATCGCATCAAGAACGCATTGTCGATGATAGAGATGTCTGCAGGAAAACACCACCACCGGTTCAGTAGGATGACCCTCCCCATCTACCGCAGTCCCCGACCCAGTCAAGGCATCATTGCCTTGGCCAACCGAATGGGGCAGGGCAGCAGCTTTGCCCTTTCCCCGCTCAGAAGCAGGGTCATGACTCTCCTCGAGACGCCTGGAGATGCGACGCTGGTGCTCGCCAGCCTGCCTTTCCTCCCATGACGTCCACTGCGAGGAGCCCACACCGGGGCCCCAGATGCGCCGCCGGCAAATCTCGCAGACCTGCCCACGGGGGCGCCACCCGTGCTGCCGCAGCCGAGTGACCTCGTCCACATGTACGAACAGGTCGCGATCCAGCATGCCGTTGGCCAGCGTCAGGAGAGACTTCTCATAGGAATATGCAGAGAACACTGAAGCGAGAACGGCGCGCAACTCGCGCAGGGATGGGGACCAGCTGGCGGCACGGGTGAGGAAGGCTCGCAGGATGCGGAGGAAGGACAGGTCGGTGCGTTCGCTGGTTGATGGACTGCCACCTTTCACGGTGCTGGCGAGCAGCGAGGTGAATACCTGCTGGACGAGAGTGCGGAAGGAGACTGTCAAGCGGCCGGTATCTTCACTTAGTGAGACAGTGGGCGATGTTGCTTCAAGGTCCTTGATATGATGAGTCCGCATCAGGGCAAATATGTTACTTGCAATGCGAACCACAGCCTCGATGAGGTCTAGCCAGAGCGTCTCATCAAAGGCTAGAGGCTGCTCAAGCGGCGATACCCCCCTTTGGCCATTGCTGGCCGGCCGTGATTGCTTCGCTGTCTTGGTCTGGCCCTGGCAGAGCCAGGTTCCAACTCCGGCGTACTTGTTTAGAGATTCGAGAAGGTCATCGATCGCCTCAGTCGTGCTAGCAGCATCCGGGGCCTCGCCAACGCTGTGAAGAATACCGACGAGGCCTGACTCGAGCGTACTCAAGTGTGCTACGAGACGATCCAAGGCAGCCCGCACTTGACCCTGTCGGGCTAGCAAGATAACGGCGGCATCAATGGCCCCGCTCTCCTCAATGGATGGAAGCAGCTCTTCGAGATGGATGTCTCCTACCCGTAGGCCATCGACAAAGTCTGCGACGTGGGATGGGTTATATTTGCACAAAAGCTGCACGTACCGTTCGATCATCCGGTTCTCGACCGAAGGAGCGGATCGGTTCTCGCCAGCTTGTCCATGAGGATCGACCAAGACCTGAAGATACTGATATTGGTTGAATGGATCATCTTCCAATACATGGAGGAATGTGGAGTGAGTCTCGGGAGCCAAATCCTGCATGGCTTGGGCCGCTCGCTTCACGTCTATGGCGGCGATTGCTTGAGCATGCTGCTTGACCACCTCGATGACATCCCGCCTCTGCTTTTTACCAAGTCCGGAGCCCGAGCGAAGACAATCATACAGAGCTGTAAAGATAGCATCCTTGTCGTGCGGATCATCCAGGTAGGTCATGATCCACTGCGGATACTGTTTCTCAGAGCGATAAGTTGACTTCAGGATGCGGAAAAATCGAGCCTCCTTGAAGAGTGGCATCATGCTCTGGACATCCGGTGGGTGATAGAAAGAAAGCAGGTACTCCGCACTCAACTCGCAGTCATCGGCCATATCCTCCTCCGGATACTGGCACAGCCGGACAAGCACCTGATGCAGAGTCGTGCCTGAAAGAAGAATATACTGCGGGTATTTGGGAAGATTGCGTGCAACAAACATGTCCAAGTAAATGGTATCGGAAGGGGCGAAGAACGGTGTACCCATCACTTGAAGCAAGATGCTGATCAAGTACTGCCGATTGATCGATACCCCAGAAGTAGGAGCCTCTTCGGACTCGGGCTCGTTCAAGAAGCTGTCCTCAAAAGCCTCGTTAAGCATACTCATGAAGCTGGATGCATCAAATTTGAGCATAGCCTGCAGCTGGGCAAATGAGCCAGTCTCATTAGTGGCATTCATAGACCCCGTGCCAGACAGGTGGCCTGAGAAGAGGTATTGATACAATGCGGTTTTAGCACGCAAAGCTTCCGCTTCATCCATCTCATCACCGGTAGGGTAGATGCGGCCGGTAAAGACAAAGGAGAGGTAGGGGAACATTTTCATTGCGTTCGTGTGGCGCCTCATCTCAACAGCATAGTCTCCGTTGACCAGTGGCTCCTCTGTTTGAGCGGGGATTAGACGTAGGAGATCCTCCAATGGCCCCACATAGTCCATCAGACAGCGATTCCAGACGTATATATATGCATCGTATAGGTTGTGCTGCTTGCATAGGGTGGTGACTTGGTCAATGTCCATCGTCGTGGTGTCGAGGAGGCAGATGATCTCTTCCAGTCGGCCAGCGGAATGGGTAACGATGAAATGGTTGATGAGAGCTTTGACTGCAATTGGAGGCAGGGATCGAATGGTTCCATCGACGATGTGTGGTTCCAGGACATCCAAGAAGATCCCTGCGGAGTCGTGCTCCTCGTACCAATTGAACACTTCCTCCCACAGGAACTCCTCATCCGCCATTTGGAGACTAGCAGTCACAGATACCTCGGCAAGTTCCTCGAGCTGCTGAGTTTCCAGCTGATCATTTCTTGCTTCAGCATTGCGACCGAAAGCATACTTCAAAGATGCCGAAATCATCTCGAGAAGCTTTTCTTGAACGATCGGTTGCCTCAAAGCATCCTCATCGGGAAGCCCAACGGTAAGCCTCTCTGCGCTGCCCGTGTAGTATGAAGTCGCCAAACGTATAGCGCTGATGAAATCACCTGCCTCCATCAGTGCCAAGAGCCGATCCGCCCAATTTGAAAGGCTGCCGACCTGGGCTTCGGTATAACCAAGTAGGAACAGACGTCCTTTATAGGAACGGAAACTCATATAGAAGGCATCGGCCACCACGCCATGCATGGATGTGTCTTCTTCGTCGAGCTGCTCGACCAAGTTGTGGAGTTGTGATGAAAAGAGGTCGGTATGGTAGATATGTCGGTTTGCGAGGTCAATTGAATCCGTTACGTGCATGGAATAGTCTTCCAGGATAATCAGGCGCTGGGTGATTGTGAGCACTGCTAACACAGAGCGGCTGAGCCACTGGACAGCCACGATAGCCTCATCTGCCTTCCATCTGCTGCGAGCTCGGAAAACGAGGCTTGGGGGGCGATCCCTATCCACGGGCTCGTCCGTCTCTGCTTCAGTCACTTCCAGCACGGTCAAGACATTCGACCAGCAATAGACAAGCTTCGTGTTAGAGGTTTGACTATCTTTGCCCTTCAGCCGGATTGCAGGGAACCAGGCCAGAGCACCAGTCATAGCACTATGTGCAGGAACTTCCTTCGGGCGCGGCGATTTATGCTGAGTTCGAGCGACAGGGGTAGTCGATACGATGACAAGAAGGTATGGAGTCAGCATAGCAACAAGGCCTAATGAATCAGACGGTTGCTCTACATTCCCGAGGGGAAGAGGAGAAAAGGCTAGAACAGAGCTGGGCTTCCGTTTGCGCATCTCCTCTGCCGCAAGTTGTGGATATCTACCCAAGATCCGAGTTGTCTTGACCGTTCGTCCAAGCGAGCCCGTGCCTCGTGTTGCCAAATGCGAAAAGGCCATTCCTCTCGTATCTGCCGACACGACCGCCGTGCGCCGTGTGCCAAGGAACCCCACATGGATCACTGCAGAGCCAGCAATGTGGCCATCGGATGTTCGGGTCTCGACTTGGTTTGCGGGGATTGGAGGCATATGCAGGAATGGCCGTGCAGACCGTGAGATTTCCCAGGTAAAGATATCGCCGGATTCATGGCCGCCGGCTATAGTGGAATGGTCTGCAGATAGTGCCAAAGATGTTATCGGTCCGCATTCGACAGCTGTAGTATGTCAGCATTACATGACTTCCAAAAAAATCCCCGATAGGGGAGCCCTAAACAAACCCTTTGTGCCTGTTCCAATAATCGTCTTCAAGCTCTGCTGATAATCAAAGACCAAGATAATTCCCTTGGAAGTACCAATCACAATTGACGTTGAAACCGCCAGACAAGTTGGTCGCCCAAAGTTGCGCTTGCCAATCTCCGAGAAAGCTTGCCCAGTGATCTTCCGCAACTTTGTCCATCGCACGACATCCCACGGGCTTGGTGGAACTTCGTTGTCTGCTTCCGGGGTCGGTGAAACTTGGCTCGTAATTGATGATTGGCGGGAGTGTAAATGTGCTAGAAATGGAGAGCCTGATCTCGGCGCGCTCAGTGGGGACGAAGATAACCGGGACTGGAAGCGAAGGTCGAATGGACGATGGGCTGGGCTGGGGCTAATGCGTGGTGAGCTTCGAAAAGCCAATGCACTGCTGCTCTGGGAGGACAATATAGAACCCTAGAATCATCAATTAGATACTTGTCCGGTTGGAGCAATACCCGAAACCCGCGAGTCGCAGCTACTCACATGTAGAGAGGGGGTATCGTCGGGGGTTGAAGCTGTCTCATCTACACTGCCCGGGGTCGCATTCACCGGCGCTTGCCTAAGCGGCGGCGTTTGTGGTAACTGGGGGCCGTCTGCTTCCAGCGTCTTCTCAGATCCCTGGTCTTGCGCATTGTCTATTGTGTCCAACTCCTCCACCTCCGCTCCGACCGGCTCTAGCTTCTGCGGGGAAGGCCCGGGGTATTCGTGGTCGAGGGCGGCATCATAACCGGGGGATTGGGAGTCGTGCTCATCCTGACCCAGATCAAGCTCATCCTCTCGTTCCCAGCCCTCACTGCCCTCAGCCATCGAGCTCATGAGCAAGGTCTCCGAGTGATCATTGCTGAAGGCGGGTTAGGGAGTGAGGCGTGGCCGGACCAGCAGGGTGCTCCGATAATCTAGGCGATTCGGTTCGGAGCAAGAGAGGCGAGCAGATCCGGCAGAGTGAGGATGATATGTGGATAGGTGTGAACGGAGGAGGGGAGTCGAGCTCGGACGTAAACATGTGGAGTCGCCAGAGTCGAGCGACTAGAGAGAAGCTCCGGTTGCCTGGTTCGGCCCGTCGGACGCTTTGGGGGCGGAGAACAGAGCCCCAGCCACTTGTGGCTTTGACATTGTTGATGGAGATGATCTACTTCTATTTCACTGGATTTCAAGAGGAGATTCAATGAGTTGTAGAAGTGTCATACTATTATAGTATGGATCTAACCATGCTAGAGGCTAGAAGTACCAAATTTCTAGGTCCAACAATGATCAAAACAATGCACTGCCAAGTACTCCGTACAACGGTAGTTCAAAAGTCCGAGTCTAGAGACCAGGGAAAACGTCTAACAAATATGCTTCCATCTCATGTTTTCTGGAAGTCTTTCTGAATAATCATCTTTATTGATAGCTTAGGTATCATTTTTGGTCTACTATTTATCTTGTGACTGGTAAGATGACTCTGAACATTGGTCATAGTTTCAAACTTATGAAACCTCACTGTAGTACAATCGTCCTCCTATCGTAGTAGTCCGAACCATGTAACTGCTCTAAACCACATGTATGGAAGATGGTTCCTGCAAACCGATATGAACTCGTCGGGCGGAGTATATCAACGATCCTTCCCTCTCAGTAGCCTCCGAGTACATTTCCTATTCCAGAATGTGCCCCGATGCGCATCACATCTCCCAAGCATCGCACTCCCGCCCCTGCAAGTGCTCCTGCACGCATCTCACGCCCTCATTGGCGGAGTCCTCCAGCCCAAGTGCGACCGCAGCGAAAAGCCCATCGCTCGATCTGTCGCTGAAGCCCGCGACTAAGATCGGTATCATTTTGAAAGTTCGACCCCTCCGCTAAGCTTCCCCAGTCGATCCCTGCCGACCGAGTTGGTGTCTCTAGTCATCCCGCGGGACATGCGGTTACATCGAGTCACAAGGGTGTTCGCGCTCCCGTGTCCTATCATTATGGTGGGAGCGACCATGAGGTCGTGATCTTGACTACTTCGTGTGTTTTCCTTTCTGGCTAGGGATCGTCGGCATGTGGAATGCTGGGGACTTTCGGCCTCTGGTCATCTCTCCCCGTCGGAGGGGAGGGGGGCTGCATGACCTCCGGCCTCGCCGATATATCAGTCACGATGTTCTATTGGAGTTAGGATGGTATCGAGTGGGCGCTTAACCCTGTGAAAGACTTGAAAAGAAACCTGAAGCGCCTTCGGCGACTGTTGTTTCACTCCAGATTGTCAAGACCTCGTTGCTCCTTGCTGATGCATCTGATAGACCACACACAATGAGCTCTATTACCAAGATGACGCGAGCTCTGCTCAGCATCATGATGCTTCTTCAGCCAGTGCTTGGAGTCCCGGCGGCAGAAATGCTCCCTGGAGCTGATGCAGCGACCTGCAACGGGCGATCAGAGTACTGCTCGCGGTCCTACTCGAATATCACCTTCGTGGCCTCTCACGACTCAGCATTCGTGGGAGAACTCCCCCAGCAGAACCAGAACATCGATATCACGGCGCAGTTGAATATGGGCATTCGGTATCTACAGGCACAGACACATCACTCGCTTCTAGATAAAAATGTCTTGGAGCTGTGCCATACTTCCTGTCTATTGGAAGATGCGGGGACCTTGGAGTCTTACCTCGGTACTGTGAAGAAATTCCTAGATGCCAACACGAACGAGGTCGTCACAATCCTGCTCACAAATGGGGACTCGGTCGATATTACTGAGTTTGGGAAGACCTTCGCGAGCAGCGGGATCGATAGCTATGCTTTTGTGCCATCGTCGAACCCGCTGCCGATTGGCAAGTGGCCAACTATGAGTGAACTAATCTCGAGTGAGAAGAGATTAGTCGTTTTCCTAGGTATTTTCTCCCTCTCGGATTCCTTCTAAAAGAAAAGATATTGGTCAATCCCTTGTATCGTTTCCTCTTGCCCGTGAAGCTTCAATATCCTAACATCACCCGCACACCATAGACTACGGCGCCGACACAAGCAAAGTAAACTACATCCTTGACGAATTCGCCTACTACTTCGAAACCCCCTACGACGTCACCGACTCGAGCTTCTCCAGCTGCAGCATCGACAGACCCTCTGGAGCCTCCGCCTCCGGTCGTATGTACATTGTCAACCACTTCCTCGATGTTGACATCCTGGGAGTGAAGATCCCAGACCGTGGGGCGGCGGGCACAACGAACGCGGCGACTGGTAAGGGCAGTATTGGGGCGCAGGCTGCAGTGTGCGAGGGGCTGTATAGTAGGGCACCGAATGCCGTGTTGTTGGATTTTGTGGATAAGGGAAATGCTATTCAGGCTCAGAATCAGTTGAATGGGTTTTAAAGAGAGTTGGGAGGACGATCGCAGACAAATTCTATATCTTCGAATTTCTTTGAATCTGATGTTCATAATGGGGATATCTATGCAAGTGCCAATGCTCTTCATGTTCTTTGATGCTATGCTCATGGTTTTCCGTGTATCGATGCCAAATATCCAAGTGTTCCCAATGAGTATAGTACCATCATTCCTCTAATTCAACATGCATCTCGCGCTCTGCAATCACTGTCAGTAATCGTCCACTCGGGTACGATAATCTTGAAGCATACTCCATATCTTGTTCGCAGACGCAACAATAATTTCCGCCTTCACCAAGAGCTTCGCAGCATATCGCTCTGCTTCAGTAGGATAAAGCTGATTCTTCTGGGTCTTGCGCGGATTAACCTGATAGTTTGCGCGATTAGCAGGCTGTCCTCGACGCTCAAAGGCCAATCACAAGTACATACCATCATGAGCACTGGCACCAAATCCTTAGGGTCCGCCTCCGCCAAAGCCCTCAGATTCCGGAACCCATTCTCTCTCAGACACCGCGCTGTCCAGCTTTTGACGAAGGTCACCTGCGCCATTTCCAGTAGATCTGCACGTGCACCAGCTTCCAGCCGGTCGCGCATATGGTCCAGCACAGCTGCCATCATGCCCCAGTTCATGCGCTGGCAGAACTTGACGATACCAGCAGCGAAGCCATGGCACTGCTGGGCAAGGGTCTGGACCGTGCCACGGGGGATGTGGTAGCGCGCTGCAATTGTGGAAAGGGGCACTTCATTGCTCAAGTCGCGAAGTTGAAAGGCTGTGTAGGCGCGGCGGTATATGCGGGCTTGTTTTTGTTGGGCTGGGGTATTTTCTTTAAGAGAAGCTCCCGATTGGACCCTACAGGTTCGGTGAGCTTTGCTCTGTTCATCAGTTGGGGAGGTTGAGGCATCTTACATTGTGTTGACGAATCCTGGCTGAACGCCAACGAATTGCAGTGCCCGGAGGCCGCTCTCGTCCAGCCGGTCCAGCTGATCACGGAAAATTTGCCAGTCGATCGGTGTTTGCATAGCAACTTGGAATGGAGTAAACATATAGAATATGTGCATATCGCCATCCATGACGAATGCCTGTAGGGCACGTTTGAGTTCCTCGTACACGAAAAGCCCATCTTCGGGGGAGAACGCTGAGGCGACGACTGCCTGGCCCAGCAGGCTTGCTTCGTAAGACTCGTCTTCTTTGAAGACAATGAGCGACTCATTGATCAGCTCCTGCAAAGCTGAATTCATGATGTTATACACAAGCTTTTTATCCAGGGTGCGGTAGAGCAATGTACAGCGCACATAGTCTTTGATAGCTTCACCGCCAGATACCAAGCCCGTTGCTATGGCTTCGAGGAGGGCCCTGCAATGTGTGAGTGAAAGAAAATGGGGTCCTGGAGCGAGTACCATACCTTTTCAGCCCTCTTTTCTCGGGTGCCAAGCAGCTCTCGATAGCGGGCATGTCAGCATCTAGTAAATTACACACGGCTTCCAAATCAGCCTTGATGCATATCAAGTACGTCTCGCCCGCATCGTCCTTGCCTTTGCGACCAGCGCGTCCGCACATCTGCCGTCTGTTTCTGTCAGTTCAAAACCCTCATGACATTAGACCAATTAGCACATACAGCATTGCAGGCCCAACCAACTCCCGGCCCATCCTTGCTCCATTGATGATAACCCGTCGAGCGGGAAGATTGACACCAGCAGCAAGACTACACGTAGCGACCAATACTCTCAGCACGCCTTGATCATAAGCTTGGGCAATCAGTTCCCGCTCTTCGGTAGTCATGCCAGCATCTATGAATTGTCAGATTCATGCATCAGCCGGTGTACCCAGGAGAGAGAAAAAACTCACGATGAAAACCGCCTCCCTTTATGATTGTCTTCTCGAGGACTGGGTCCAACCCACACGCGAGACTTCGCAGCTCTGCAAGTAGATCCAACCGCTTGCTCAACTCTTCCGTCTCATCGGGTGATAGGCTAGGCATTGCCTCGCTGATTGTAGCAACATGGATCTGACACGCCCCGCGACTGCTGCAAAACACCAGCGCACCGTAGCCCGCGGATGCAGTTTCAACGGCCAGCGCTACCATGGAATTAGTAGCAGCGTTACTAAGCTCTTTGTACTCCGAGACATCGATGAGTCTCTGGGGAGGAATTGAGTCATGTAGTGATGCCGAATTTGCAGCTGTCAATTTGGATGCCGTCTGGAATAATTGTCTCGAAGTCGCTGCTGGATAGATAGCATTCTCATAAACGAGATATTCATCGATAGGAACTGGACGGTAGGTAGAAATGAAAAACTTCGCGTTCATCCACTGTGCAAGCATCTCCGTATTCTATTCTCTGTCAGTGGTCAATCATTGACTGAACATTCGAGTACAATCTCACAGATAACGTTGCACTCATGCTAACAATCTGGATATCCTGTTGGAGCAAGAGCAGTTTCGTAACCATCAGCTCCAAAAGGTACCCGCGATGCTCATCATCCAGCATGTGCAGCTCATCGAGCACCACCACACCCAGTTCCCCGATACTACACTCCTCGATAGTAGCGTTTATTAGAGAGTTGGCCTAAGACACACATCAGAACACATATCAGCAAATCCAAGCATCTTCAAGAAGCACACCTTCTCTATTGTACAGACGGCAACATCGGTATCCGCCCAAGTCGCCGTCGTCCGACTTCCACCGAAGAAGCCAGTAACCCGAATCTGTTTCTGCAGCTTCTTCCACCGCTTGCGCGGGAAAGGCGCATCATGGTCCTCAGGCTCATCGGGCACATTCCTTTCCACGCCCTGAACAATCCGACGCATCCATTTCAGCTTCTCCTGTACCAGGGCCACATATGGCAGGACCAGGAGCGCCTTGCGGGTAGGATTCTCAATAATCCGTTTCAGTAGAAGTACATCAGCGACTAGGGACTTGCCCCCGCCGGTAGGGGCCGTGTAGACCAGGTGCCGCTCACCCGACAGCAGCCCACGCGCAAGCAGACATGAAGCTTGCCACGGATAGATAGTTTTGACACCGAGGGCGGCGAAATTGCCGGTCAGCGACGGCGGCAACCCGTACTTTGGGTTGGCGAGGGATAATAGTGGGTTTTGGCTGGCGCCCCGGGCAGAGGCACTCTTTTGGCCATCCTTGGAGTCTTCAGGATCTGTTGCGCCCGCACCGGGGCCTGGACGGATCCTGCTGGGATGGAAACGGTTTAGAGAGCCGAGCGAGGCTCGAGAGGACTCTAGAGATCTTGATTCCTGGATGTCATCAACGAGGTTTCTCGTTTTGTGCTGAAACCCATCCTTGACGGAATGTCCTGCCTCTGGGATGAGAGGCTCGGGGGACCTCGTCGCCGACGTCCTTTTGATTCCTGCGACTGGCGCCACTTGATAGGCCTGGCGGCGGGCGATATCAATCGAGGTCTCGAACCCGCGCGACTGGAACACCGGCTGGCCCGATGTCGACATGCCGGGGACTTGTGCCACTCATGTAGGCTTGTTTGAATGGGCGTTATTCCTCCCTGTGATAATTACAGTCATGAGATATCATCCAACTTTTTGGGTCATTATTGTTTTCATTTGGAGTCTACGCGACCATCGCGTTCGTTCGTCGGGCAGGTGTGCCTCAGGCATGAAAGACGCACGGGACTGTGCCCGGCGGGCTGGACCTCAGGCAGCATGCTTAGATAATCGGTTCCCGGGTCCATGGATCCATACCTAAGGTTCGACGTGGCCCAACGATGAAATATTGCTAAAAGAACCCCGCGTGGAAATTGTGAAGAGGACACTCTTCCCCCCTATATACAGTTTAGAATTTTACATGTTTAAGATACCGACTAGTCACTACACAGGGTAAATTTAAACCTAAGACAAGCCTTCGAACTCACGTGCTCTTTGAGGAGTTAATGGACCAACTAAGCGAACATGCGTCTGCTATCTAGAGAGATGATTGAGTGTTGATTCAAAAGACCTTCCGAAATAAGTGGAGCAAAAGCTACATCGCCAGACATTCCTCTGCTCCTGAATCATTCAAAGCTTTGAGCTTCACTGTAACTATATCAGGTTCCTTATCTGTTCACATCCAGAATTACATATGCTGCACTAGGCTGAAAATGGGAGTGGGGTGTCCTATTAGTAATTTAGGGGCATGCCTCGGGCAATAACTACTCCTGAACTACGACGATTGAATAATAGTCCATGCCTAATAGTAAGGCAAGGTTCTCGCCGAGAATCTAACGCGCGATGGGTTTTGGCCAAAAGCATTCAAGTCTTGGTTTTCCTGGCTATGATTATTGACCCCTTACACGACATAATTTGATACCTAATGTGCGGAGTACTAGTCCGTGGAGGGCAGATTCTTTATATGCCTTGGCTTGATGACCATCATGCTATGTTGCATGTGGATTGGATTGTCTGCAGGACTATTCGTCCGAAACCCCACCCGGCCCCACGGCTGTCTGCTACTGTGTTACCGTGCTATTGTCTCAACATCGATGAGAGAACTTTGCATTTTGCACTGACTCGAATGTCTTGATATGTTTACATGTTTATATGGATATATGGATGAGCCAGACATTGGTGTATGTAGTTGTTGTCTGTCCATATAGTCGATTGCATTTTAATTCTAGCTTTTTATGTCTGGTAGATCAAGATATGGTGGGCTTGCGCATTCATCCCCGAGACCCGGTCGCGTCGGGTGGACCGCGGGTCTGGAAAAGTTCCTACTTAAAATGGAGCTGGTGGCGTGTATGTGGATGAAAATTTCTTCCAAGCACGGTAGAATTTACCGGATCAAAAGAGTAGAGACACTATACGGATCGACAGTCTGGAATTCTAGCCGTGACACACATTGAGGTGGAATGTGGGTGGTGGTTGACGAACAGGCGAGGTATATATATCTCCTGCTGAGCGGGCAGATCAGAAGAACTTCAATGGGAAGTACGTCGGGTATGAACCAATAAGCCTTCCCCAGAGCAGTAAATCAAGTAAAAGACACTAAGTTAGTTGATCGGAGCACCAGACCGTATATTCCTTTAGAACAACGTGGTCGAATCACACTACAGTTACTGGTGACCCTCTTTGGAGTGTCGTGTGCGTCCAAAGTGCGACGGATTAAGCGGCTGGCGGAGAGCGTCCCGTATGTAATCCATACTAATTATTACCTCACCCAGAGAGGTCTGATCACCCTACATCACAAGATAGCGTCCGGCAACCCCAGGAACCAAATACGATTGCGGCTTTTCAGCTTACAGTATGGAGTATATGCTTCTGATCATATTACTAAATCTGACAAGGTACATATCTCGAATACCCGGCGCAGCTTAGGCTGAGCTACCCTTACCCAGCCCTATCCTCCGATTTAAGTCCGATGGAGAATATTACTGTCTCTGGTAAGACCCCATCCACCCTTTCCCTTTCCCTCTCCCCCCCTCTAAGCCTCAGTGCCCAGCACGTTCTGGAGCTTTGGCCTACCCAGAAGTAAGGTGGCGACACGCAACAGCCGCCGGGAGCAAATCATCCTCGGCCATTAGCGGACCGTTCTATTCGGCGCCTTCGATCGTCATTGGACCGAGTGAGCGGTAGAAGTTTAAATTAGGGGAGGGAAAAAGGACAGACAGGTTCTCATTTATCAGGCCGTCCTTAAGATTAGAAGTGTGAATACATATTGAATAATACGGAGTGCACTTGATCTACAATATGTATTGAATGATGAAAGGGAGGTACTTTCCCTGCCTCCTTCTTTACGGTAGCTCCTTTTGCTGCCCTACGTATCATTTGGTGCGATCCGACTGGATGAAATCTTCCTTCGCCGTTCGTCCTGTTGGTCGGTATTTCGATGGTGACCGGCACGAACCATCCGTTTCCCTTGCTTCCATCTTTCTTTTCTTTTTTCCTTCTTCTTCTCTTTCGTCTTTTGCTTCTTGCTTATTTCGTGTTTCGTCTTGGTTGTTAAACGATCCCATCGACTTTGGTCAGTCAAGAAATATCATGTTGGGTATTGTATGTATTCTGGATTATAATATTGTCTCTATCTACCTCTATGCCCATTCCCTAGCAAACCTCGTCACACCTGGACAATCATGGGAGTCATGTACCACTACGAAATGATGATGTCTAGTTTGTCGCCAATGTAGCTATAGATCAGGGAATCCTGGGGTATTTTCGTCGAATATGAAACTCTCTTGTATACCGTTCGAGCGACCGACCATGTCTATAAATTACCCATTATAGTCAAGGTTGGATATGGTTTGATATGGTTCATTTGCTCTGTCTAAGGGGGGAAAGAGGGGGACATGGAAAACCCGTGCTCGCTTGCGGTGAAGGAGACGAAGTGGTGGTACAGGACAAATCATGGCTGGGTATGGGCGGCCCCATCCAAACCCTCAGTGCGGGAGAGCCCAGCGCGGTAAATATCGTAATATTCCCAGTGTACGGAGCTGTAATTTTTCTTTTTCCCACAGGGATCGTGGATAGAGAAAGAGGGTGGAGTCTTAGTGTCTAGCCTAGCGCCTAGTGCATTTGTGCCTTAGTGCACCTGCCCACCACGCTATGTACTCTTCTTTACCACAACCTGCGTCCAATAATCTGGCATGGGCGTTTCTCTTCGGCTCGCTTCGTATTGCACTCCCTGATAACATATTTTAACCTGCAATTCCATATCTGAATCGCTTTTTAAAACTATATCATCCGTCAATATTTATATAAGGGTCGCCATCGCCATCGGCACATGTTGATCGGGTCCTGCTTTGGTCGATCGGTATGTAACTTATATCACCCCCCCGGAAAACCCACCACGGGATGGGCCTGCAAGTCGTCGAGCTCAAACCAGACCTCACACAACATGGTCTCCTAAATATGGCTTGGGGTCATGGAGAGATGGGAAGGCGCTGGGGAGGAATTTATACGGAGGATTTATAATGGATGAAAGTCTGGAGAGAGAGATGGTAAAATATGGAGTATGGAATAGGGATACTGATGATCCCATCCAATGAGCCGGACCCAATTCCAACTCGGGCCATACGCGCCTCCTACGTGACGGCATTCCTCATCCTTGACGGGCTGGGGCCATCCACTCATCCTCACTGGCGCGATTCCCGACCCGTTTTCTACGACTTTCTGTTGAACGGTGTGGAGGATGATTAACCTATTTAAATAGAGTAATGAACTAAATAGTCGCTGGAGTTCATGACCAGTTAGTCTTTGCATCTGAGTATTATCATATGCTTCTAAGAAGTTGAATAAGTACTCGTCGGGACTGATGCCTTGTCCCAAATACCGCTGGATATTGTGTGTATGGCCTTATGATTTTCTCTCTAACGGTCCTCGACAAAGAGATCTGGTCGGCCGTTAGACCCTCCAATCTGCTTGGTATTTTTAGTCTGGTAGTTTGTTCCGATAGAGTATCTCCCCCCTTCTTTAGAGGCGAATCTACCTCTTTCCCCCCAGAGGAGTCATAGTGTACCGGCCCGAAAGCTATTGCTGTCTGGTCCAGACCCCGTGAAGAGTCTATCGTGTCTGGATCTTGGGGGAACTAAAAAAGGGCGACGAATGAATCCCAGGCCCGTCAAAGAGTCGAGGGTCCTTGGGTCGAGGGTGGTGAGGATCCGTCATATTAACATATCGGGACTAGGGGCACGCTCGGGATCCTCGACGCTTTTTTCCATCATCAACCCTTCTCTTCCTTTCCCTTTCTATTCTCCCATAACTCCCTCCCCCATATTCACATATCCCCAATCTTCCAGATTCCCAGATTCCCATACTTTTCCCTCCTCCACGCTTCTCCAGAATACTCCCATATTTCTCCCACATCATCCCACCTTTTTGCCTCCTTCCCATCTTTCCTCTTCATACAATCCCGTTACATCTCCTTCTCCCGACTCTCTCTGATCCATCCAACCGTCCATTCAGTCTCCAATTTGTTTTGGATCGGCGCTTCTCTTCACCCTCGACCATTTCGCGTCTCTACTTTTCTCTTCTAACTGGCCCCTTCGTTCCACCGATCTATTGGTAGGTGCATCGTTCTCTCTCTTGCAACTCTTTCTACTTTCCTTACTCGTCTTTGTGGGGTTACCGATACCGATTACCTTGATCTGCTCTATGGTCTTGGTATCGGCATGAGACCCATGTCTCGATCTCCCTGTTACTATATTGCCCTTGACAAGTGATCTTCATATCCTGCTGCCCTCTCATATATCGCTATTATTTTCCATCCCCTGCGCGATCATTGATCCTCGTGTATAATGATCACTTTACCCCAAATATCGTCCCATCTTGTTCCTTTCATTCCATCTGCCCGTTTCGCCTCCAGTATCTCTCTGCCTATCTCTGCGTATCTGCCTTGGGGCCGCCCTACCACTGCGATCACCGACCACCAGCATCCCACGAAGGCAGAAACCCCTGCAGTGAATCAGATCTGACACGGTCCACTCTTTGTGCCCGCCATGCCTTCCTTCTTTTCTTTTTTCCCTTCTCATCTCTCCCAAACTCTCCAATCTTCCCATTCTCTTTTCTTTCCTCATCCCCAGTCTTCATTCTCTCTCCCGTTCGTGTTTCCCCTTTGTGATATTCCCCCATTCATCCACCCGCCAATTTCGAGATTTTCGCCCCCCGGTCCTTTTAGTGTTCCCACATTTCCACATTTCCACATACCACCCGCACCATCCACGTCCATGCATCCGCGCCACGTCTGATAGCGTGTTTGTCCCTTCTTACCTTTCCTTCCCACCGTCTCTTTTTCCACCATCCCTCCATTCTCATCTCTTCCATCCCCCAAATATCCACCATCCACCATCCAGGCTCAAGACTGACCAATCACTACAGCCTGTCGCTTGCTGGTCAAGCTTCTCAATCTCTCACCCAGGGTCTCTCGTCTATGTCCTGCCGTGGATGACTAAGACTCGTACTCAATGACCACGAGCAACTCTCCGGAGGCTGTGGCCGACCCGGCCAACGGCTCCGCCGTGGCCCCTTATGGGACTCGATCCAGAGGCCGCAACGCTCCTCGGCCGAATTACGCTGAGGACCGTGACATCGAAATGGATATTGATGTCGCGCCCGCGGCCAAGCAGGCAGGCAACAAGCGCAATAGTGGCGTCGGCCTGACTAGTAACATCGTCAATGGCTCCAAATCCGACAGCGAAAAGTCCTCGCCAGTGCAACCACGGAAGACCGTGACTAACGGCACTGCTAACTCCACGCCCAAAGAATCTATCCCCGGTACTTCGTCTTTCTCGGCGCGTCCCGAGGACGTAAACGGAACGAGCTCGGCACGGAAGCGCAAGCAACCTGCGAGCAGTACCCCGACTTCCAGTTCCACCACCGGCGGTAATCCCGCCAAAAGGGTCTTCACGGCTGCGCCGGGGGATTCCGACGGCGGTTATTTCACTAATATGATGAGTTTCGAGGCCTCGGGCCCACACCTGAAAGACGGTCAAATCAAAGCAGACGATGGCACCACACTTGCCGTGAATGGTGAGCTCCAAAAGTTTTGCCGTGGTATCATGGCGCCTGTGCCCCCAATCCACCAAGCTGACCTCATATGATAGATCATGTGTATCTGATTTGTGAACCTCCCGGCGAGCCATACTATCTGGCTCGAATTATGGAGTTTCTACCATCTAAAGACAAAGAGTCGGGTGTGATTGAAGCGTTGCGGGTAAACTGGTACTACCGTCCTCGCGACATTCAGCGACACAGTGCCGACACCCGACTTGTGTATGCGTCGATGCATTCTGATACATGTCCCCTCTCATCATTACGTGGGAAGTGTCAGATTCGTCACATGTCCGAGATTGACGACCTAACCGCGTACAAAAAGACGCGAGATGCTTTCTGGTACGACAAGATGTTCGATCGTTACATTCACCGCATGTACGATGTGATTCCGACGAATGATGTGGTTAATGTGCCGCCCAATGTGAAGCGCGTCTTGGATGATCGATGGAAGTTTATCCTGGTGGAAATGGGCAAAGGCAAGGAATTGACTGGCGCCGTGAAGACCTGCAAACGATGCCATCTGTTCGCCGCAAATGCCGAATCTGTGGATTGCGCAGTTTGCCACTCGACGTACCACATGTCTTGTGTCCGACCTGCCCTCACCAAGAAGCCCGCCCGCGGATTTGCCTGGGCCTGTGCACCCTGTAGTCGTGCTCAGGAGCGCAAGCTGGAAGCACGCAATACGCCGATTATTGGCGCGGCCAAGGGTGAAGGCGAGGACGAGGTCATGGAGGAGGAAGAGGAAGAGCACCACACGAGTGGTGTTGCAAACGGAACCTCAGTTAGTACTCCAGCTGCTGAGGACTCCATGCCTCAGCCAGAAACCGCAGAGCAGATGGCACAGGCCAGGATGTGGCCGTACCGCTACCTGGGCATGCATTGCCGCGTGGAGGATGCTCTCGACTACGATGATCGGATTTACCCTCGTGCCAGTTCTCGACTTGGACCGCGACACCAAGCGATCGTCAATCCCTGGCCTGGACGCCCAGTTGAATACGTGAAGCCGCTGGAGCTCAAGAAGAAATACTCAAGACAGTCGGGCGGTGCCAAGATGGCTCCTAAGGCTGCAATGGAGGCCATGAAACAAGAAAAGGCCACGCGACCTAAATGGGTGCAGGATTCACCGCCAGGCTATATTCAACGTGGAGAGGACGAACCTGTCACCATCACAAACACAAAGCAGGCACGCACTGCTGAAATCATGTTCAAGATGCCGACTGCCGAGCAACTCCCCGCTCGAGGTGAAGACGACGCTCCCGGCTCTGATCTAAGCCCCGCAGACAGGGAGGCTTTTATTGACGATTACATGCGACGCGCCAAGGATTTGGCACCGGATGTCGGAGTTGAGAAGTACTCCACCAACTTCTTGGACAAGGCGCTTGAGCTGCTATATTCCGAAGGCTTCAATACCGACGCCGCTCTCGCCAAGTTGAAGAAAGTTCACAAACACAAGGATCTGAAGGAGCCCAACCTTAAACCAGAGGAGCTCAAATTGTTCGAACAAGGCGTGGCCAAGTTTGGATCAGAATGGCGCAATATCACCAAGCATGTCAAGACGGTTCCACACTACCAGATTGTGCGATTCTACTACATGTGGAAGAAGACTCCCAGTGGCCGAAAAATCTGGGGCAGTTACGAAGGTCGACGAGGCAAGAAGGAGGTCCGCCGGCAGAGTGTTGCGACCTCCAAGCTACTCGACGATGTCGCCGATGATCACGACGATTCTGCCTTTGACAATGACAAGGCGGTTACTCTGAAACGTGGATTCCAATGCAAGTTCTGTTTAACTCGCAGCTCTCGACAGTGGCGACGTGCTCCTTTGGTCCCACCGGGCACCACTGTACCTTCAGACCCTTCGGCAAAGAAAGACAAGGGGCCTTTGCTCACTGTTTGCCTCTGCCTTCGTTGTGCCTTACTGTGGCGGAAATACGCTATTCAGTACGAGGATATCGATGAGGTTGGCAAGAGAATTGCAGCCAGTGGCAACAAGTCTTGGAGGCGGCGCATTGACGAGGAGTTACTAGCTCAGATGATTGTGGCCACCGAAACACCCTTTACTATCAACAGCCTCACAGCCACCACAGCAACCTCGATTGGAATTCCAGTCGACATCAACCCTCACTTGCAGCAGGAAAGCAAGGACAAGAAGAAGCCGCGCACAGAAGTTCCGAGCACAACAACTTCCACCGCGACCTCAGTTGAGCCCATGCCTAAGAAGAAGGAGAAGGCCGTGGTCGTCGACAAGATCGCTGCTGATGCTGGACCACCCGTCATTCCTGATCCACCTAGGGCGAAGACACTTCCATGTGCGATTTGCGACAAGGTTGAGCCATCTGGTGACGAGCATCTCTCTTGCCGAGACTGTCGACTAACCGTTCATCGCAACTGTTACGGAGTCCCCTCATACCGGGCTGGTAGCAAATGGCTCTGCGATATGTGCTCTAACGACCGCAGCCCGTCGATTTCTACCACATATGAATGCGTTCTTTGCCCGGTAACATACACTGAGCACGATCTAATGGAAACCACAAAGAACACGAGCCGGAAAAAGTCCGATCGTGACAAGGAGAAGGAGCGATTGGAGAAAGAGATGGTCACCGAAGCGATCAAGCTCTATCGCCAACGCCAAGAAGCTGTCGGCAAGCCTGTCGGTCCTCGGGAGCCTCTGAAGCGCACCGCCGGGAACAACTGGGCTCACGTCATGTGTTCCATTTGGACGCCTGAGATCAAATTCGGAGATGCGACGGAGTTGGAGCCCGCCGAAGGCTTTGGTTCCATCCCCAAGGATCGATGGCGCGAGGAGTGCAGTATTTGCAAATCCTCCAAGGGTGCCTGCGTGCCCTGCCATTTCACAGGTTGCAATACTCGCTTCCATGTTGGTTGTGCCTTCCAAGCCGGGCACCGCTTGGGATTCGATGTGACTCCTGTCAAAAGTACTCGCAAAGACAACGTGCAGACCATTCGTCTGGGAACGGAGCTTGGTGTTGCCACGCCTGTTATCTATTGCCCCAGCCACAGCGTGTCAGCTACCGTTCATGATGTTGGTGAATCTGTAGGCCCAGATGGTCTCAATGCGCTCCAGCTGTTCGCTCGGACATACAAGCAGGCTGATCTCACCCTGACCGGAACTTCTCGAAAGGCGGCGTACGTGCAGCAATCCGTCGCAGCTCCCGTCCATCACGGCAACGGTGCGGCTCACCGACGCACTTCGACAAGCACTGGCATAGTGGCTGTTACCAAAGACACCCACAAGCCTCAGCCTGCTCCCGAGGATGGTGCAGATGAGATGGACATTGACACGGAGGAACACGCACCTGCGCCCAAGCCGGTGACCGGCGGTGTATCGATCAACCGAAAGTGTGTACGATGCGCGACCGATTACAGTCCCAGATGGTGGCCCAGCCAACGACGTAGCGACCCTCGAACTGCCTTTGCGCCTAACGGGGTCGGCATCAATTCTAACAGCTCGTCCTTCCCCCCTCGGCGTCCGTCATTCGCGCACTCCAACGGGGACAACCTTGGGGAGCTCACCTATGAATGCCACAAGTGCCACTTGAAGCACCCACCCGTGCCCGAGCCTGCCCCCGAGCCCAGACCCTCGCCTTATTCGGCTCCGCGCCCGACTATGTTCCCAACTCCACGCATGGCTCCTGGTCACAACGGCCACGGTCCGAGCAATGGTCACGGACCTAGTCTCGGCCATACTTTCGTGCCGCATACGCATTCACACCCTCCTCCAACGGGCGTGCTGGGACGGCCACTACCTCCTGCTCATTCACACAATCCTCTTCCAGGCTACCCTGGGTATGACCAGCGAGCTGGTCGCAGCCCCGACGTGCGCAATGGCATGTCACCCTCTCCGTATGCTGGGGGGCCGCCGCCTCCTCCCCATCATTTAGGTGGCTACCCTTCCGCTCATCCACAAGGGCATGCTCCGTCACCGTTCGGCACTGGACCTCCTCCGCCGCCCCCGGCGCAGGCGTACCCGGCTCACCAGAGTCCTTATGCTCCCATGCCGGCTCGATCGCCACATCTCTCTCAGCCTCCGCGTGCGTACCCTGCATCTGCATCTCCGCCGATCGTGCAGGCGACCGTCAATCGGTCTCCACAGACCGCTCTCAGTGCGCTGAATGGAGGCCCACCTCCGCGCATGTACTCAGGTGAGCGTGATATGGGGGCTCCTTCCCACTCACCCCCATCCGCTCAAGCACGTCTCGATCCGCGTGGGCCTACTCCCCCGACTCGAGTAGAGTCGTCGCAATCCTTGGCCAGCATCCTGGGCGGAACCCCCAATGCCCGACGGCACTCGGGGATAAATGGCACGAGCGGCGGGTCTGGGGCGAGTGCGAGCCCCTCGCTCAAAAACCTCCTCTCGTGATCTGAGTCCTTTCCACCTTGACGTTTCTCTGAGCGTAGCATCGATTTGTATGATAGCTAATTTCATGTCTTTTCCTTTTCTGTTCTGCACCTTCACGACTGGTATCTTAACACCAAAAGTACCCAGGGATCGTTTTGTTTATCTCAAGTTGAAGTGTGGCGTTTGCGTTGTTTCAACCTCCACCTCTCATATTGACCTGAATGTGTTTTGTCTGTTTGGTCCCCTTCTGTCACTTTTATTTTCTTCACATTTCTCTTACTTTTCTCCCATCTTTCCCTTTGTCTGACATCTTCTCGGCGTCTTTCGGTTACGGCTGGAAAAAATCAAACGTGGAGTCTTGGACTACACTGGATGGGAAGGGCCGGATAGGATCGTGGGTTGCATGGAGTACCTTGAGGCTGGTTACATTTTTTTCTTATCCTTAACAATCATGATGATCGAGTTATTACCATTGGCCGTCTTGACGGCTAGAAGAATTGAAATGCACTTTTTAACAACTCCGACGGACTTGGCTTTCAATTTCTAGTTTCCAGTTTCCCTTTTCCACCAGTTAGAACTCACAATCGATTCCTTTGATCTTGTAATTGGTCTCTTTAAGCTTATACTTGTCGGTACCTCGGCAGAAATATACATAGTTGGTGCCGATTAACCGTGACGCGCAACTTGGTAGGACTGTCCTGATTTTGCGGATATCCACCTGCGGGTGGACTGTTGAGGTGCTGACAAATTCGCGCTTCATCCGCTGCAGAAACTCCAGCTTTCTAAGCTTTCCTTGAGCTTCCCAAGTACAACACTACTGAGATTCGCGGTATTATAAAAGAGAGATAAGATCCTGCAGCTAGGTCTTTCGCACATCTCAAATCAACTCATTATTCATACATACTGCAAAATGACCACCACAATGCGCGCGATTGGTACGTCATCTCTAATTCAGTAACCCCTCCATGATAACCCCGCGAGCTTGTGTCGTGAGATATCAACGCGTATCAACTCCAATGGCTTCTCACACTCGTGCCTCTTTGACATATTACATTCTACCCGATTACCTTCACTTCCACGAATTCATGCATACATAACTAACACTCTCGATAGCCATCGAAGGCGGCAAGGGCCCCGCCACGGCCATGCACGTCACCGACATCCCCAAGCCCGTCCCCGCACCAGGCCAAGCCCTCGTCAAGATCCGTGCCTTCGGTCTGAACCGCATGGATCTGCTCCAGCGTGAGGGTCTGTACCCGCTGCCCCCGCAGGCACCGGAGACCATGGGTGTGGAATTTAGCGGTGTCATTGAGGGATTGGGTGACGAGGCTGCTGCTGCGGGGTGTGGGTTTAAGCTTGAGGATGAGGTGTTTGGGTTGGCGTATGGTGGTATGTTTTGCTTATTATGTTGATTGTGAGAATGATGAAGAGGGATGTGCGGCGAGGCTTACAGTGGGATAGGTGCTTATGCCGAGTATATCGTCGTCGCGACGAAGATGCTTGTTCACAAACCGAAGCAGCTGTCATGGGAAGAAGCTGCCGGTGTACCTGAGGTAAGCTTTTCATCAATTCTACAGTCTACACTTTCGATATCAAGATACCTGTCTGATACTAATATACTGATCCTTACAGACCTGGATCACAGCCTCCCAAGCCCTCTTCCTAATCGGTGACTTCAAACCCTCCCAATCCGTCCTCTGGCACGCCGGCGCCTCCTCAGTCTCCATCTCCGGCATCCAACTCGCCAAAGCCTCCGGCGCCTCCGCAATCTACGCAACAGCAGGCTCCCAAGAAAAAATCGACTTCCTCGAAAAAGAGCTCGGCGTCACAAAAGCCTTCAACTACAAAACCGACGACTGGGCCACCGAAATTTCCAAGCACACCAACGGCGCCGGCGTCAATCTCACCGTCGACTTTATCGGCGCGCCCTATTTCCAGGGTGACCTGGACGTTGCGGCGCGGGATGGACGCGTCGTGCTTTTGGGGTTGATGGGTGGCGGTAAGTTGCCGGATGGAGTGAATATTGCGCCGTTGTTGTTTAAGAGGGTAAGGGTGGAGGGGAGTACGTTGCGCAGTCGGGATGTGGAGTATCAGGGGAAGTTGAGGGATACGTTGGTTGAGCATGCTTTGCCGAAGTTTTGTGATGGGACGTTTAAGGTGTTTGTTGAGAAGGTTTTTAGGTTTGAGGATATTGTGGAGGCGCATCAGTTGTTGGAGAGTAATCAGACTAAGGGGAAGATTATTTGTGTTGTGGGTGGTCAGGAAGAGTAAGTGAAGGTTGTGGTTTGATGGGATGAGACGGAGGAGGGAGGCCTTGGCAATTGTCTTTCTGGCTGGGCGATTATGCTTGGTATCACATAAGTCTTGGTCGAAAAATATTATGAACTGACTATTCCCTTCTTGCTGATGGTGGCGTTTCTATCACAGAGTGTTCTTTCTTAAAGTTGCAGATATAAAGGGATCAGCTTATCCATAAATAGGACTGTTTTTGTTAGTTGTATGGATGCCCAGTATAGACTATGCTTATTATGGTCATCGGAGGGGGATGGATCGGACAATAATCGGCAAAACGAATTTCGATTAACTTTTTGGAGATGCGCCTTACTGTCTCCATGCAGATGCATTAGATTATTGGTAGTAAGTGTGTACTCCGTGCATAACAAAGTCTAGAGGACTGGAAACTGGAGTACATTTAGGCTCTACGTGGGGCTTGCATCGCCTGGTCTAGGTGGCGAACGGCATCGTATGAAGGACACTACAGTATGTACTTCCCCTTCGTGTCGGGACTGTCGGGCGAGGGAACGATCCCGGTGATAGGAATGCCTACCTGATAATACGGGGTAATCCCAGATGAACCCCGGACTAGATAAGTTGGGGGACCCTGGCCGATAAACCCTGCTCGATAGCATGCAGACTAAGCAATCCCCAAACAAGCCGACACCAATCAGCAATAGCAGCGCCCAAGCTCAACCGGACTGCACAACTCTTTCTGGCGTTCTTCGCTGCTGCTTCCGCGGGTTCAGCGTCGAAGTGTAGGAGGTCGGATTAGTGCTGGCTCGAGCAAGTGCCCAATGGGCCGGTCACCCACCCGTACGATAGGATCGCCCTTCAACCACGGACGATCACGTCGCAACAGTGGGTGGATATTATTATTCATCAGAATGATGTCGACTGGAGAAGAGTGCTGAGAGGCTGAGACAGCCATTTGCCATAGGGTGTGGATTTTGGCAGAGGGAGTTTAATTTTATTTTCTTTTGGGGGGCGTGACAACTTACAAGCGATGAGCGATGAATCGTTAGTTATGAGGACACACGCAACATTCAGCAACACACCGTCCAGGAACGGTGGCGTTTCTGCCCGGCGGAGGAGACTGAAAGGGACCCGAAAAAGTGACGCATCCAGTCGATGAGATCATCGCGGAAAGTCAAGCAGCAAAGCGGGGACCCGAAGGATAAGGGAATTCTGGAAGCGAGGATCCAGCCGAAGAAGGCAGTGACTAGTGTGTGTGATCTGGAGAAGAAGAATAATAATAATACTGGAGATAGGGGAGTTGAGGGTACAGTTCCCGTCTGCATAGCACTATGCAGGAAGGTACACAATTAAAACCGCCCCCAAAGAATCATCTCCGATATGCGCCCGTTGTCCAACCCCGTCGCATGCTTCAGTTTTAGACTGGATTAGTGCGGTCGGCCTGTGCAGCAATTGGATGTCTTCGTTGAGTGCTTTTGCCCGGCGGACTCCCCGGAGCCTCGACGGGATCCTGCAGATTTGAACCAATCAGGAGAAGAGAAACACTGGTGGAGGAATCCGCAGGGGGCGCGCCATGGAACTTTGACTGGGCTTACCTAAGACCGTGGGCCTTCTAGAAAAAAAAATCAAGCACAAATAAGAGAGAGGCGTCATGGTCCACTGGTGGACTGGTGGGATCGAGGCTCTGCAGGAATATTGGGGGGAAAGAAGAGAAAAAGAAATGACAAAGGGGCGAATAGGAGGGTAAAAGTAAGAAGAAAATATTAAGGAAAAGAAGAAAAGAGTTACCAAGTATGTAGAGACCAAGTCGAGTCACGAGATCGGAGAATAAAGTGTTACACTCCAGCGAAGAAGAAGAACCCAAGGGCCCAGACAAGCAGCGAGAGGGAAAAAGGTGAAGGTGCAGAGACGATCATCCCGTCCCGCCCCCCCCTCTTCTTCGTTCTGCTCCTCTCAGGCCTTCTGGAAGGAGGAAAGAAGCCCCCTTCCCCGTGTACTCTACCCAGTCTGGTCTCTCTCACTCCCTCCTCTCACTCTATTCCTCCCCCTCCCTCCCTTCCTCCACTTCTGGACTTTCTATTCCCTTTTTCTCTCCCTTTCCCCTCTCAATCTTCCTATTTCTCATGTTCTAGACATCTCATCCATTTTCCTATCTATCTCTTATTCCGTCCTCGACTACACCTCACCCCTGCTGATCCAACCTGTTCGACCATGTCGCCCTGACGACTTCCTCTTGGAATCCGACCGGCCTACCGAAAGCATCGTCTCTTTTCTTCGCCCCCTTCCCTATTTATCAACTCTCCGACCGTTCAAAAACCACCGTCCTCACGTGTCGGGAATCATTATCGCCTTCTATTCACGACCATCACCGGTCGGGTTGCGCGCAAACCACTCCTCACCCATCCCCCCCCCAGTGCGCGAGTGCCCGTTGCACTTGTCTCGGATCCTCTCAGTCCGCAACGCGACTCGGGCTGCCTGCAGGGAAACAACTGCATTGTTTGATTTTGTCCATTAAAGGGTTGTGGCCGACTCTAGTCGTTCCTTCGCTCGGGATTCTTTGTGGACATCTTCCTTTTTTGCACCGTTGATTCGGGTTCGCTTCATTTCCGACTCGCCGCTCGTTATCTTCCCTTTTTTTCTACCCTCTATTCTTTGATCCGGTCCCGAAACGGTCATCCACCACGACGCACTTTTCTGGGCATCGACCATTCCGCCTTTCATCTTATTTGTCTCAATCCCATTCCCTTTACGCCTGCGTGTCCAGATTTCCCGACCGTCGCTTCTTTACCCTCCTCTACGTCCCGACGCCACATCCCGGTCCTTGGAACCATATGCGAAGCAGGACAGATCTGATCGCCTCGTTTTCCTTTTCTCTTCTATACTCTAGGGCGCAGCCTTGTGATTCTGGCGGCAGAGCCTGAATCGGCGCGACCGCCCTAAAACCTCCCGTGAGTAACATGATGGGAGACCGCGTGGAATGTATAGGCGTCTACGTCGACGACCGCGTCCGATCGGAAAGATGGGTGCGCCGAAATTCAATCGATACAACGACATCGACTCTGTCGTCTGTCAGTTCTTTACTATCCCCCGACGAGCCAGACGCTTTGCGGGCGGATGTGGAGCAACTGTTGGAAGTGTGTAAAAAAGGTAGGTTCTTGACCCCAGAGTTGCGCGATTGCGGAGCTCCTGTGAGATCATTTACCCTGCTAACCATTCCCCCTCAGTTTACCTCTGTCACACTGGAGCATCCTTTGCGACCAAGCTGGCCGAGCTCAGCGACCACTCCGGCAGTGACTGCACCCCGATCTTTGCTTTCTGTGGCATTGACTTCAACATCGACGAATCCAATCTGGCCCGACGGAAAGCCGGTCGCATTTCATGGGGAGATACGGCTCCCCCGTCTCCCGGGTCGGTTCAGCGTACTTTTACATTCTCCACACATTCGGACGAAGCGCCAGGCCTGTCGCTCCTTTCGGGTGTGTCCACTGATATTCAAGTGCAAGACGGCCCCAGCCTCGTCGTTCCGATCGCCCTTTTGCGCGCCTCTGGTTCGGATGCGCTCAGTGACGCCGCGTTGGGCCCTACCAGCGAACCGCAAAGTCGGAGTCCAGTCACTTTGGAGCACAAGCAGATTGCTCGATGCCTCGATGCGGGCGCAATGGATGTCTTGCTTACTCCACTCGATCGCGCCCGCATCCAGGGTCTGGTGGTCCATGCGTACCGGACGCGCCGAAATGCTCAGAAGGAGATGTCTCGCTTTCTCGCACGGAAGAAGCTGCGCAAGCTGTCGTGGGTGGGGATGCACGAAGAAGAGCCATATTCGTATTTGAGAGAGGTCATGGTGTCGAAGCTGATGAACGGCATTTGCAACCCCGAGGAAATCATTGACGAGTTCCAAGAACGGGATCTCAATGTGACCGCGGATCGCAAAGCACTGATTAAGGAGCAGGTTGGAACCTGGAATTTCTCCGCCCACGATTTCTCGGAAGATGAGCTGGTTTTTGGTGCCTGCCAGATGATCACTCATGCGTTCAGCCTACCCGGACTGGAACATTGGCGGCTGACTCCCGGTGAACTGCAAACATTCCTTCTCGCCTGTCGGGCGGCCTACAACTCCTTCGTCCTCTATCACAACTTCCGCCATGCCATCGACGTCTTGCAATCTGTGTTTTGTTTCTTGCTTCGTATCGGCGCTTTACCCCCGTACGACCCGATTGGTCAGACCCCTGTTACGAAATCCTCCATCGCCTCTCTGATCTCACCCTTTGACGCCCTCACTCTTCTGATCTCGGCGATCGGCCACGACGTCGGTCATCCTGGTGTCAACAACTTCTTCCTTGTGAAGCTCAACGCTCCCTTGGCACAGCTGTACAATGACAACTCTGTCCTCGAAGCCTTCCACTGTGCTGCTTTCTCTCAGATCCTTCGCCGTCACTGGCCCGCCGCGTTCAAGGACAAGCAACTCCGAAAGCTCCTCATCAGCTCGATTCTGGCGACCGACATGGGTGTGCATCAGAAGTTCATGGAACGGATGGGGTCGCTGCAGGAGAAGTTCTACGCAAACAATAAATCGGTCGATGGCTGGAAACCCCAGGATATCGAGATGTACAAGACCCTGTTGTGCGGTCTGCTGATCAAGGGCGCTGACATCAGTAACGTGGCACGGCCGTGGCCAGTGGCAGAGAAATGGACTCAGATCCTGCAGGAGGAATTTGCCAATCAAGGCGAGATGGAGAAGGAAGTGGGCATGGAGACTGCGCTCTTTGGTGGACCTCCCGAGCTGGGCAACATTTATAAGCTGGCCACCAGTCAGATTGGGTTCATGTCCATCTTTGCCCTTCCCCTCTTCGAGGGTATTTCCGACCTTCTGCCACAGTTGCAATTCACGGGCGACCATATTTGTCGTAACCAGGCACAGTGGCAGCAATATGCAAACCGCGAACTGCGCAAACAAGGCTTGCCCATTCAAGAACGGGCGGAGATTGCGGTTTCGCCTCGCTCCCGTAGCCCCGCCGTTCCGGTCGTCGAGTCCAGCGAGAGCACGCCCAGAGCTACTCCTGCGGAGGACTCAGTTCCTCCTGATGATTCTGATTCGCCTGCATCATCGGACCGCACGGAATCACAGTCTCGTGGCTACAATGAGAACAACATCGAGCCAGTGGTGTCACCGGACACTCCAGGCCCACAAATTGAGATCACCGGAACTCCCATGGCGCCGGATATCACATCGTCTCGCAAGTCCTCCAGCGCTATGCCCGACCTCTCCTATTTCTCCATCCCGGCGGCACCGCAATCAGCACGAGAATCGAATGCAACGCAATATCAAAATCCTATCACCGACACAACACGTCCTTCTGGGGACCCGGCCGTCTTAGCTGCTGCTTTGTACGCAAACTCGGCTACAAACGGGACCGCATCAACAAACACCGAAGGACGCGATTATGCAAACGACCCATCATCGAACGACCGGCCGAGTAGCTCTCGCCAGGGGCAGCAGCCGGGATCGACGCGTCACCATGCACACCATAGCTCGTCCGTCCGTACATCTGGCCCGTCAAGTTCCAACCGTAACAGCTGCACTCGTACCCAGAGTGTCAGCACTTACAGCAACAACATGACACCGATTTCGCCTGCGACTAACGCGACGAGTTTCCTGCAGGTGGACAGCGGGGATGAGAAGCGTGTCTCGGATGAGAGCGCCCCTCAGAGTGACCTCGGAGCTCCTGATGACAGCAGTACGCGCCCCAGCACGTCGTATGCTTCCCATGCGGGAGATCAGGAAAGCACCTACAGCCGAAGCCCCAGCTTCTCTAAAGACATCAGTCATCCGCGGTCCGAGAATGGAAACCACCTCCTTGATTTCTCTCATCCCGCACTGAACGGTTCACGCAGTCCGACCCAGCAGTCCAACACTACCGGTGAGAGCATCAAAAATGAATCTCCGCAGGGATCCCCTGAGGATTCTCACAACGGTCTCTTACGGCGTCTTCCTAAGCGACGTAGTCGGCTGCGGCTTGCGTTTTGGAAACGTCGCAATCACCACCAGCAGGAGGTTCATGGTGAATCTTGATTCATTTATCTTTTATATCCCATCCACCCCCTGCTGTTTGATGTTTTTCCCGCTGGTTGGGTGGCTGTATTATGCGATCATGGTCTCACGAACGGTGCATTCTGTTTTTGTCGGTGCTTTGATGAATGTCGAGGAATCGACGCTGCGGCATGATTTTCACGATCTTGGATTTCTTTGCCTTCTTCCTGCCAATATCTTTTCTGCCCTCTTGGGCCTGAGCTTTCTTTGGTCCGACGATCTCGATGAATATCCTATCTTTGCGATATAATTGAGGCATTTTGGTAAAAAGCAATCGCAATGATCTGGTCGTGCTTTGCATAACCAGAAACAAATTTCTTGTCTATCTTATGCTCCTACGTTCCCATCCTCTTGAAAAGGTGGGATCCTCACTGGGTCATGCCACGCATGCCTCGGTATAGTATGTATGAGCATACCCAGGCTCCGGCACCGGTGAACTTTTCTTTCCTACTTTTCTTCTCGAGTCGGATTTTGCGCGACTCTTATAGCATCGGGTTTCGCACCCGCTTCTGCTTTTTTTTTTTTTTTTTTTTTTTTTTGATGATCCATGGATATATGCTCGACGTTTTCCACCACTGTTTTCTTGTTAATCTTTGTTCTATCTGTTCTATTTGCACGTGCGTTGTGCTCTTGGATGCTGCATTTGATACGGATTTGGGTCGGTTATCTTTTAGAATTTGGACCAGGGGGCTGGTGGCGTAGGTTTCAACCCTCTTTTTTACTCATTCGTTGTGTTTTTCATCTTGGACTCACTTGGGTCGGATCTTGTGCCTTTTCATCTTCTGTGGACGTGAGGCTGATCAGCCCTGTTTACGGTTTATATTTCTCGAGACATATATTGAATTTTTGATGTCCACAATTATCGATTCGTAGTTTAGAGATATGCCAACACTGGTTATCAGTCAGTGCCCGCCCAGCAGTGGGTTATACTGACTGTATGTGCAATGTTGGCTATAATAAACATCGTCTGAAGGATCGCAGTCCACCAATACATATCACGTGCTTCATAGTGGGGTAAATCAGCTGCTTATTGTTCTTGCTTCTTGATCTCCTTCGCTTTCCCTTCTAAAATCACGGATTATCTTGAAGTATTGTGTCACAAGACCGGTAAGAAGGCCTTACTTACTGATATGCGATCCTATCTAGCTACTGAAACTCACAGAAGTGAGCACCATATGGCCATAGAGAGTGATTACGGGCATCAAGAGTTTCCATTTCTACGTTTACCTCCTGAAATTATCCACCATATCGCAAGCTATCTCGAAATATATGAGCAAGCATGCCTTATACCATCATGTTGTTTCCTGTACAGGTGTATGGGAACAAAAAGCTGGGAGCAGCTATCAAAACAACACTGCTCTTCTTCTACATTTGAACAGCAGATCCTCTTCCTACATTTAGTAAAGAGGGACCTTCACCCATCACATTCATGGCTATGCTTTGAGTGCAACTCTCTTCATCTCACCCTCCCGGAAATACATTCTCTACGAAAGGTGGACAACCCTTTTTCATCTCTAATAGTGGAAAAGGGACTTTATTATTCACCACATGGGTTCATCTCTGCTGTACTGGACCAGCACAAGCAATTAAGTAATATGCTTGCCCTGGAACCACTCATACGTGATGTAGAGTGGAAGGTACCGTCAGGGTCAGGGTCTGACGGCCTCGCCAGTGCTAGATAGAGTACAATATCGCCCGTTAGATATCACTCGCTTCGGGGGTGGACAGATCCGCAACTCACGGTACTATTCGCATTCCGGTCTTTAAGAATATCTACAATGCGATATGACATTTGTCGACATTTTTGTTATGTCCGACAGAAGAATTCGATCATTGTTTGCTTGATACCCTTGTGGAGAGCACATCGGGGATCAGGAACATGAAGTCAGCCATCGGCCAAATATAAATACCTCTCATGGCGCCATAGATCCTCGATCACTGATGAACGGTCATAGTTATAAGTGCTCGCATGTTCAAACTGGTTAGTACCGACTATAGTGGGAGTCAGGTTAGCGTTTTTCATAGATTTCGTATGTCGGGGGGAACGGCGTGGGAGCAATTACGAAATCTTTTTACTAGGCGTAGTCAGGTAGATATTTAGTGATTCCTTTCCTTCTGGTAGATATTAGTACTATCTTGTCTGTTGACTACATATATACATATGTATGATGATAGGTAGCTCCAGCTCAATACATCATCATTAAATTACAACATTCGTATCCTCATCCAAACTCCTCGTCAACTCCTCCAAGGTCCCAAAGATCCGCATCGCTTCTTCCAAGATATCATTCTGTTCTCGCGCACTCAACAACGACTCCACATCAGTCATGCGAGCACGATACTTGGCCTTAACCTCCCCATCATTATCGATATGCCAAAAAGACAAAGGGCACGGTATTCTCTGAGAAGTAATTTCCACCACCGACAGACCCCAGAAATCAGAACCAGCCTTGAGAAGAAGGGTGCGGATATCCCGGCCCCCGTAAAGAAGGGCTGAATACATGATCCATACATAGGCGACTAGGATATGTGGTTTATCTTGAATCCGGTGGCGGATTTCCTGTCCGACGCGCCGTCCGGTATCTTTATCCTGGTCATTGTCCGAGTGAAGAAGGACCGGGGAACTGGTACTTGGTGGGTGCAAGGATGTCAGGAATCGGATATCATTCTGGAGTGCCTTTGTGCGTAGAAGTTCGGGGATGTAGAGCATTCGCAGCACGGTTTGGATGCGCTTTTTCGTATTTGATTGTGGAGAGGGATCATCGTGTTCTTCGGGATTGGAGACATGGACATCGGCATTGGTATTGGCGTCGGCGTCGGTATCGTGGGATATCCAGTCCACGGGGTCCCCGATTATTGAGAGCCAAGCATCTTCGATTACGTAAAAAAGCTCTGCGTATCGTGATAGACCAAATAAGTAGAGGGCTGGTCTGTCTGTGTGTGGTGGTAGACAGAGTGGGATGCGAGAGAGATTTAGTCTGTGAATGGATGTATGTGGTTCTCTGTTTTCTGAGTTAGAAAGGAAAAAGAAAGAAAGGTAGAGCAAGGTTTAGGTGGGCTGTTTTGGCTTCTGGGTGAGAAGCATAACTGAGTAAAGAGAGTACAGTATGATAGAAAGATGCTAAATGACGTACTTAATGGCATAGCGTAACTTGGCGAGTAAATCACCAGTTGTCATGGCGGGATGTGTGTGGCACCGCGCTGTAAGGAACTGTGGGGGCAACTGTGGCCCTGCATATGTGGATGATCTCCTTGAGTTCTTTCTCCGTCTAGGCTGATGATTTGGGTATGTAGTGTTGGAAGAAAGAAGAAAGGTAAAAAAAAGCAAGGTTGGAAGCCATGATATTAAATCTTGAAATTGTGGGAGAGTCCACAATTTGGAGTCTGGGCCGTCGGAGGTCGGCGTTTACGCCACAGTTCAGGTAAAGAGATAACCAAGGCCTATGTTCATTTCGTTATGGAGTATAGAGAGGAATTTTGAGTATTTTGAGGGAATTCAGAAGTATAGTTTATAGTTTAAATTAACCTATTCTAAACAGCAGTAGTTCTCATTATTCTAATGCATTTTATTATCGCATGAACGGTCGGGGAATTCAGTCGAGACAAGCAGAGGCAGTGACGGGACGGGCTAGACGGACGAAAAACTGGTTTGGGGCCTGTTCTATTCAATGGATGACATCCAGTAGCGAACACTGGACACTACTAGTCACTTATTGCTCTACCTAAGCTAGCCTAGTCTAGGGTTAAAGCACTAGCTCAACTTAGTTCACCATAGTGACCATGCTACTACAGTAATAGCTCACCATTTCCATCCTCGCGGCATCACATTCTCTAGTCGTCATAAAACCAAAGATTCCAAGTTTCCCAACCTCGACGCAATAGCAATCAGCAATTAGCAACAATCTAGATCCCTGCTTTTTCGACATTTCCATTCAAGGAGCCTCGGGTGTTCATTTGTCGTCAACGTAACGTAACCAGGGGGCCCGGATACAGAGAGCAATGACGAACGATGAGATATGATCATCCCGATCTTAATGGACCCCTTTAGATCGAAGATCAAACCCTCTCTCCGATAAAGTTTTGGAGCTAGATCGGATTTTTGCGGGGCTGAGGAACTTGTTTCTTGTCGATCGCGTTCGTCGCTGGATGGGTGATGGGATGAACTGGTATGACGTTCAAGGATGGAGATGAATGTATAAATAGGAGGTCGTTTCTCGACTCACTACAGAGAATCATCGATTGCGATTGCCAACAATACAAGCACTGCTTTGCTCAACTTCTTTCTCCAAATTATCTGAAGAAATCACCTCGATAATATCATAATGGCCGACGACTACGTGACCAACGACCAGGACATCCCCGTTCAGGACGATATCCAAGACGTCGAGGATCCCATTGATGAGGGCATGGCCAACTCGGATCAGCAGCTTGGTTCGTCAGTCACACTCTTTCACTTAAATATTTGCTAACATGGATATTACTATGGTTTAGCCAACGATGAAAAGGAGGCCATCGATCGCTCCAACATTATCAATGAGCGGACTCGTCACGCAAAGCCTCAGACCGACAACGGATATAACGAGGGTCCTTCTGAGGAGGAGTTGCCCTAGATGTTCTCAATATAGGGGTGAGAACCAGAAACTTGTATGAATATCGTGTACAATAACCGGTGGATAAATGAAGACATGGATACTATATCGCTACACTTTCATATTGCTTTCAATCCCATCAATAGTAGTCCCCTTTAAGAAACCATCCTAGCCCAAAGGATATTAAGTACAATCCTCGCACTCTTTCTTCGGCTCTCCTTGGTCTTGAAGATTTTCTTCCTTCTGGCCCTTCTCTTCTCTCCTTTTCTCTTCTTCCTTCTTCAGAGCCCGATCTGTATGGCCCAGGTCCCTATTTGGAGCGATGATATTTCGAACAAGAGATTTGAGAGCTTTGACCTCTGTATGCGTATATGGATCAATGAAATAGTTCTATCCAAAAAAAAAAAAAAAAAAGAAAAAGGGATAAATAGTAGTGAAAAAGGGAAGGGAAGAGAAAGGATTCAACTTTCATGATCGTACCTGGAAATCCGCCATCTCGCTTCCGGTCCCAAAGGAGAATCTCTTGCGTCGTGACTTCTCCCTCTGAGGAGGCTGTCGCTGTCGCATGCCAAATGGTAACCGTGAAAACACCACCGGTCACAGGAACCAGGGCAACCTCGCCCAAGTCCGTGCTAAATGTGGAAAGGAGTTCTTGGGCGAACTGGACTGTGTTAGCATTGATTGGGTTACATGAAGCGCATATTCTTCCTAGATGATACTGCAAAAAGGGATCAAATACGGGAAAACAGGAAGTAGGAGGCTAAAAGAGATGACCATACATATGCAGCACGGAGCATCCATCGGCATTGAGTACAGAACTTAATCGCAATGCGGGGTAGATGGACACGCTCGAGTGCAGTCTTCTCAACCTCCGAGGACGGAGGAGCTGTAGTAGACGAGGACGCTGCTGTTCCTGATGCGAGAGTATTCTCGATTGGAGCCGTTGGTTCGGTCATGGTGAGTCTAGAAGCTTGAATAGCCCAGGTATGTAGGAAGATCTGGAGATCCGAGAAATCCTACGGGGAAATTCCGGTAAATGCCCAAAAAAAGTTGATGGGAATTGGGAAGTGTCGGCAAGCGTGAGGAGTTCTAACAGATTCGTTCCTCGGTGAGCTGTAGTTGATGGTGAAGAACCTCAGTTCGCAAGGATGAGTTTAGCAGCCGTTGGTGGGATGATGTCAGCGGGGGGTGTTGCCTGATTCGGCAAGGTTCGTCTACAGGAACTAATCACTTCTACAATCGTTACGGGGCCTGCATGGCCTGTCTGCATCTTCCCGGGGACGGATACCAGGGGCTATCCTATGGGACATACCAGTGGCTTGAGGCTGAAACACATTCCCAAGTGAGGGGGAAGTTTGGGACAAGACAAGCCAAAGGAATGGCCCGAGAATTAGAATTATATCGGTTATTGTATTTAGTCATTGGATGCAAATCGAATCTATGATACACGAATGGCAACCCGACTCTCGTGCAGTGCAGAGAGGCTTTTGGAGGAACCCAGAAGAACAAAGGAAAATTTGGCTTCAAAACACACACAAGGACGACAAAGGGGGTAATGGTGCTATAGGAAGATAGGACGAAGAAGAAAGTAGAAGTAGACGACAAGGAAATTAACAAGGAAAAAGGCGAAACAATAGAAGAGACAAGGTAAGCAGGGTCGATCATATCGTCCAGTGTATGATCTACCGGAGCTACCATCCGGGGAGGTGGTGGGTGGATTGGACCTAGGAACGATCAATCTACTCGCGTGATCCCGATTAAGGCGTAGGAAGGAGGTTTCGTGCAGAGCCAGCAGACGATTTCTTCGGCGCATGTCTTTTCGCTTGTCCGCGCCCGGCAGGTGAGCGATCGGCGTGGTTGTTCGTCTCCCAATGGGAGGGGAGGTTATCGAGAAGGGTCGAAGACGATCATCAGGGGTGGTGGAGGTGGAGGAGGAGAAGTAAAAAAGGATCCAGAAGAATTAGATGAAGAGGACGGGAGGGAAATAAAAGAAATCGTGTCGTGGCGATGGAGAGAAGCTGTTCGTCATGAGGACCATTACATGACGGTGCAGCAGCCACCCTGCTGCTGGGGAGCGTAAGGGTCCTCCCGCTTGTCGACCTGGGCGAATTGAGTTAGCGGGATTTGCGCGCATGCGCCCACCTATTGAACGGTCGCATACCTGTCCCCATACGGAGGGCACCATGAAATCGCGAGTGTTGTTGCAGTAATTGATGAGCCTATCAATGGAGAAACCTTTAGGTCAGCTCTGTCCGATTGTGGGTGGTAAAAGTGGTCCACAATTCCGAGGTGGTCATAGTGACCACTTGGGGGGCCAAACTTACGAGAGAGCCGCTTCGGACACCTTGACCCGGGGACGGTCGAGATCCTCCTTCAAACGGGCATTGAGCTCGGTCAATCGGCGATACTTGAGGTCGGCGACACTCTGCTTCTTGTTCTTAACATCACCCCCAGAGCGAAGTTCGTAGGCAGGCATGGTGACGGTCGGCGAGTCGAGGTATGTGGGTGAGTGTGCGTGGATAGAGGCGCGCGATCGAGAGAAAGGGGGGTGGCCGGGGAGGGGGCTGTTTGTGTGGACAACTGGGGGGAAATGGCCGGGGGGATACGATTCCAAGAGAGAGGAAGGTTCTGGAGGGCTTGGAAGCTCGCGCGCACTTCTTTGAAGTGAGTCGACTCGACGGAACAAAGAACAAAAAAACGAGAGAAAGTGAGCGGCAGGGTCAAAGGAAGGGACGTGATGGATGATTCGGGGGGAAGGGATTATTGGAGAGGGATTTTCCCCGTTGGCTGTTTTGCCTGTTTGACTGGTTTGTTACGCCTGGGGGTTTTGGGTGATACGGGGTGACAATACAGGGGGTGACAAGAAATACGGGGTGGTCCGTGGGTCATTTCTAGTCTGGCACTATGGGGTGGTATGTTATTTAGTATCAGATATGTAATGGAGCTACCATAATCCTTCCTCCAGCGTACTGTATGTATGCACATCTTTAATACTGTACACTCGACTCATCAATAGTGCGACAATAGGTCCAGCCCGCCGAGGTACCCGAGTCGACTCGCAGATCTGACCCGTCTGAAAGAATCATCGTCCAGATGCAAATCGGACGACTTGAGCTGAGTAGTCATATTTCAAGGATTACTATTTACAAATCCAACCAGCTGACATCAGGCCCGACATACATAAGTTACTAACTTATCTAGATTCTAGAGCAGTGTTCATTGTATTAGATCCACTAGTGTATGTATGGTATTGCTGTAATCTAGATACACACTGTATTGTAGTCAGCTTTGTTCTCTTTTCCAAACCTCAGGCAGCCAGATTACACGTGACTGCCCCATCGCTTAGCCCGAAGTGGGAACGCCGGGCAATTTTCGCTGGCTCGCGCACAACAGGCACTTCTCCCCCTCAAGGTTAAGGGACTTCGCGTGGCAGCATTTTCAACGTCGGTCTAAGACCACTGCCCGTGTGTGTGGCGCCTGCAACTCGTTGCCCTCCAATATTCGACTTTTTCGAACCTCCAAAAAAATCTATCGCCCCGAAGGGCTGCGTTGCCCAACATGCCTCCACCACCTCACATCAAGCCTGAGAATGTCCTCAAGGTGCGTTCAAGATCATCAACAACCGCCCAAAATATCAAAGAAAATTGCATCTAGGAGGATTCGGGTTACTAACATTCACGATCATTTCTATAGAGGGCCCAGGAACTTATCGCTGTCGGTCAGGCTCCCGCCGCCTTGACCGTCCTTCACGAACATGTCACCTCCAAGCGCACCCGCAGCAGCCCGATCGCTTCGCTCGAGCCGGTGATGCTGCTCTTCGTTGAGCTGTGTGTCGATTTGCGCAAGGGAAAGTCTGCCAAGGATGGCCTGTACCAGTACAAGAACATCGCCCAGAACACCAACGTCGGCACCATCGAAGTCGTCCTCAAGAAGTTTATCGAGCTTGCCGAACAAAAGGTCACCGAGGCCCAGGCCAAGGCCGACGAGATCCAGTCTTCCCTCGAGTCCGGCCCTTCCTCCTCCACCAACGTCGAGGACCTGGAGGCTATCGAGACCCCCGAGACCATCCTGCTGGCCACTGTTTCCGGTGAGCAGTCCCGTGACCGTACTGACCGCGCCGTCGTCACTCCCTGGCTCAAGTTCCTGTGGGAGACCTACCGTACCGTCCTCGAGATCCTGAAGAACAATGCCCGTCTCGAGATTATGTACCAGGCCACCGCCCTGCAGGCCTTCCAGTTCTGTCTGAAGTACACCCGCAAGACCGAGTTCCGCCGTCTTTGCGAGCTGCTCCGCAACCACGTTCAGAATGCCGCCAAGTATTCTACCCAGATGCATGCCATTAATCTGAGCGACGCGGATACCCTGCAGCGCCACTTGGACACCCGTTTCCAGCAGTTGAACGTTGCCGTTGAGCTGGAGCTGTGGCAGGAGGCTTTCCGCAGCATTGAGGACATCCACACCCTGCTGAACCTGAGTAAGCGCCCTGCCAAGAACGTCATGATGGCCAACTACTACGAGAAGCTGGCCCGTATCTTCCTTGTTAGCGAGAACTATCTCTTCCACGCTGCTGCCTGGAACCGCTACTACAACCTGCTCCGTCTCTCCACCATTGCCCTGGCTACCGGCTCGAGCACCAAGAAGGAGAACCCCTCTGTCACCGAGGCCGACATGACCAAGGCCGCTTCTTTCGTCCTTCTCTCCGCTCTGTCCATCCCCGTTATCAGCACCACTCGTTCCCGCGGTGCTCTGGTCGACGTTGATGAGGCCCGCAAGAACAAGAACACCCGCCTCACCAACCTGTTGGGCATGGCCCAGCCTCCTTCCCGCCAGGTCCTGTTCCGCGATGCCCTCAACAAGGGTCTGCTCAAGCGTGTTCGCCCCGAGATCCGTGATCTGTACAACATCCTCGAAGTCGACTTCCACCCGCTCTCCATTTGCAAGAAGATCACTCCAATCTTGACCAAGATCGGTGCCGATCCCGAGATGGAGAAGTACGTTGTCCCTCTGCAGCAGGTCATCCTTACCCGCCTGTTCCAGCAGCTGTCGCAGGTCTACGAGTCCGTCGAGCTCAAGTTCGTCTACGAGCTTGCCCAGTTCCCCGATCCCTTCCAGATCACTCCCGCCATGATCGAGAAGTTCATCATGAACGGCTGCAAGAAGGGCGATCTGGCCATCCGTGTGGACCACATCTCTGGTGTCCTGACCTTCGACTCGGATGTCTTCTCTTCCTCTAAGGCCATGCACGCCGGCAGCGCTGCCGGCTCTGCCGAAAGCGAGATTGGCGTCCAGCGTCTCCAGCACACTCCTGCCGAGATTGCTCGCTTCCAGCTCGCCCGCCTGGCCAAGACTCTCCACGTTACTTGCATGTACGTGGATCCCTCCTACAACGAGGTCCGCCAGCAGGCCAAGCAGACCGCCCAGGCCCGTGCTCTGGCTGGTGCCGCTCAGGAGCACGAGGAGACTCTGGCTCGTCGTGTCATCATCGACAAAAAGAAGGAGGCTGCTACTGATGCCCTCAACCGCAAGCAGCGGGAGGAGGAGACTCGCAAGCGTATCCGCACTCAGCAGCTCCAAGAGGCTGAGAAGCAGCGTCTTGCTGATGAACAGCGCGAACGTGAGCTCAAGCGTGTTAAGGACGAGCAGGACCGCATCCGTGCTGAGGAGCTCAAGAAGCAGCTTGAGGAGCTCAAGACCGGTGTCAAGGGTCTTGATATCAGCGAGTTCGACCCTGAGGAGCTGGATGCCAACCGCCTGCGTGCCATTAAGCTGGCCCACCTTGAGAAGGAGAAGAACGAGCTGAACGACCGCGTGCGCACCACTGCCAAGCGCATTGACCACTTGGAGCGTGCCCTCCGTCGCGAGGAGGCTAAGCACGTCCCCGCCGATTACGAGGCTCAGAAGAAGCACGACTTGGAGCTCTACGAGGCCCAGAAGGCCGAGACTCTCAAGGAGGCCAAGCAGAAGCACGCCGAGGCTGTTGCCCTCAAGCACCGTCTGGGTCGTCTCGTGCCCCAGTTCTCCAGCTTCCGCAAGGAGCTGTCCGAGAAGCGCCACGAGGAGTTCGAGAAGCGCCGCAAGGCTGCCGAGCGGGAGTTCGAGGCCAAGAAGAAGCAGCGTGTCAAGGAGGTGCAGGAGCGCCGCCGGCGCGAGAAGCAAGAGCGCGAGGAGGAGGAGCGCCGTCTCAAGGAGGAGGAAGAGCGTGCCGCCCGCGAGGAAGAGGAGCGTGTGGCTCGCGAGGAGGAGCGTCGTCGTGCTTTGGCCGAGGAGAAGTCCAAGCGCGAGGAAGAGCGAGCGTGAGTTTATCCCCACTCCTATTTCGTCTTATATACACTTCAGACTAACATTGATGATATAGCAAACTCGACGAGATTGCTCAAAAGCAGAAGCAGCGCGAGGAAGAGGCCGAGGCCCGACGCAGTGCCCGCAAGACGGGTGGTGGTTTCGTCCCCGAACCTACTGCGGAGCGTACCGCGCCCCGTCTCAGTCTCGCCTCTCGCCCAGCGGTTGCTGCCGCCGGTGGTGGTGGTGGTGGCTGGAGAGAACGTTTGGCCGCCAAGGAAGCCAGCGGTGGTGCTGCCCCCGAGCCTGCTGCTGCGCGCGAGGAGCCTGCTCCTCTCCGCAAGGGCGGATACGTGCCCCCTCACCTCCGTGGCGCTGCCTCTGGCTCCGCCCCGCCAGCTCGTGAGGACGGCCCCGCTGAGCGTTCCGACCGTTTCGAGCGCCCAGAGCGTACTGAGCGCTTCGAACGCCCCGAGCGTGCTGAGCGTTCAGACCGATTTGAGCGTCCCGAGCGTACTGAGCGCTTCGAACGCCCCGAGCGTGCTGAGCGTACTGACCGTTTCGTTCCCCGCCACCTGCGCGATCCAACCTCTGCCACCCCCGAGGCTCCCCCAGCTGATAAGCCCGAGGAGTCCAAGCCCAGCACTGGCGGCAAGTGGGTGCCCCGCTGGAAGCAGCAGCAGTCTTAAGCTGATGCACGGGTGGATCTCTATGTTTTCTTCTTTTCACCTTCACTTATAGGGAGCGAACTAAAAAAGTGACTCGGACAGCCTTTTTTTTCTATCCGGCGCATGTTTCTTTTTCATGACCCATCTTGCAATGACCCTGTATCATCGGCCAGGACTCCTTGCCGCTCTCTTTACACACGGTCGCCAATTCTGGCCCATCGTTCCTATTTGATGTGTGTGTGTCTTCTTGCGTGTTTCATGTTCTTTAATTTCCCCATCTTCTTGTTTTCCTCCGGATAGGTCTATATTTTGTCATCCGTGATGCCAATATCATGCCCTGTTTCGGTGCGTCGTTGGTCCCGAATTGGAATTGGGATTTCAGTGAATGAGATCAATATTAGACGAATCAATGCCTTTTTTAGGACAATTCTTTCTTCCATTGTAGCTTGGTCCTCTGATCGGAGTTTAACGGTCCTATGTTGGTAGGTATGCGGATTTAACGGATTTAGCCCTAACTTCTGTGTTCAGAACGTCGAATAAGATGATCACCAGGCGGTTTTTCTAGCTTTCATAAATTGATCCTTTTATTGCACGGTCTTCTATGTATCGTTGATTCTTCGTCCTGTTCGGGAAGAAAGTAATCCGAGTTGCCAGCACAAAATAAGCGTTTTTTACCTCTAATATAAAGCTATATAAGATCCTATATTCTCGTGTCCATACCATCATATCAACCCAAAACACATCTTTACTTCAATTTTTATAAACCGATTCATCCACCTCACCTCTCAACCCCCAAAATGCCTTCAAATCGCGCAGCATGGCAAGACGCCGTCGGCATCCCCCTCTCCATCCGACAAACCCCCTACCAAACCAACCTAACCCCAACCCAAATCCTCATCAAAACCCAAGCATGGGCCATAAACCCCGCCGACCACATCCTCCAGGACATATCCCTCCCCTTCGTCAAATACCCCGTAATCCTCGGCGAAGACATCGCCGGAACAATCGAAGCCCTCGGCAGCGAAGCCAGTGCCCATTTCCAGATCCATGATCGTGTGCTTGCTTTCGCGCAGGGCGCAACACGGGGATCAGATATGGGCGGGTTCCAGGAGTATGTCGTCGTGGATATGGCGTTTACATGTGGTATACCGGGGGGCATGAGTTTCGCTGAAGCGAGTGTTTTCCCGTTGGGGTTTACGACCGCAGCTCATGCGTTGTTTAATAGTAAGACTCTTGCTTTGCCGGGGCCGGAAGTTGATGTCGTGCCTGGGAGCATGGGGAAACGAGTGCTTGTATGGGGTGGTGCGTCTTCTGTTGGTGGGAATGCGATTCAATTAGCCCGTGCGGCGGGATTGGAAGTTCTTACCACGGCGTCGAAGAAGAATTTTGAATTTGTGGGGAAGCTGGGTGCGAGTATGGTCTTTGATTATACTAGTGAGACTGTCGTGGCGGGTATCGTTTCTGAACTGGATAATAGCGGCGTTCCTTGTGTGGGAATCTTTCAGGCTGCTGGGCACACTGATTCTCTCGGGCCTTGTTTTGAGATTGCACAGCGGGTGAAGGGGGATATTTTTGTTATTACGACTTCCCCATTGCAGGAGGGTGTTGTTCCTGAGGGGGTGAGGGCGAAGATGTTGCTTGGGGATAGTCATGATGATATCCTGGTTATGTGGAAGGAGTTCTTGCCAAAGGCATTGAAGGAGGGTAAGTATATTGTTGCTCCTGAGCCGCTTGTTGTTGGAACGAGGGGGTTGGAGGGGATTCAATTGGGATATGATATTCTGAGGAAGGGTGTTTCGGCGAGGAAGGTCGTTGTTCTAGCAAAGTAGGGTAGTTGGTTTTCCTGCCTTTTACACACTGGCGTGCTAGTTGAGCTTGAAAGATAGTCATTGGGGGACGAAATGAAGAGACCAAGGGTTTCAAAGCAAAATACATGATATTTCATAGCCTTAGTGCCACCTCTAATAGTATATGTTGTAGGGATATAGCGATCTAAGCTTCAAGGTAAGGGGAATGTGGTATGAACAAAAAACACCACCTGGGTGGGATGGGGATGTATCACAGGGCCAGTGTAAACACAAAGAAAGATAATCATGAATAAGGGATATCAGACAAGAAAAATGACCCAAGCAAAGAGCATGAGGGTCAAGGTGCACATCGGGAGGTAATGATCTCCTCCCAAAGTTCAACCTTAAAAGCAATTAGAATAATTTGGCATGGAAAGGATGTTAAGCGGCTGCCACTTCGGCACCAGGCCCGAATAATTTCTCGCGCCATTCGCCGCAGACAGTCTCAAAGCCGCTGACGACGTCTCTGCACTCCTGGCCTGCCTCGCGACCCTTGAGCCGACGGTCCCAATCACCACGCTCAATCCATCGCGAGCCCTCCTCGCGGCTTTCTTCCTCGCGCCGGAGATCTGCAACGAGTTCACGCGCAGATCGGAGACGTCGAGATGCCGTGGATGTTAGTTGGCGGGACTCATAGAGGGTGTCGCCTAGACTACGGAGGGAAGCGGTGATGTCCGCAGTTTGTGTGACGAGAGCTTGCAAAGAGACAAGGGGGTTCTGGGTATTTTGCTGCGAGGGTGTTGAGGGCCGAGAGCTTCTGCGGGGCTGCTCGGGGAATGGATATGGGAGGTTTGGCAGGAGGCCTTCATCGATGAGGGGCATGAGGGAGTCAATGGCGTCTTCTGAAAGGAGAGGAAAGGGTGAGAAGAGTAGTGGGTGGATTAGAGATTGGAGGGTGCGTGTTTGGTGAGTGAGGTGGGATGTGATGGAAGAATGGGCGGTGATCAGTCTATAAAGGACCATTAGTTCTTAACTGAGCACGAGGGCACCCTGCTTTGTGTACTCACCGCATGGCGCTATTCTCAATGCCACTTTGTCCACCAAGATCTCGGAGTGCTTCAACCGTTCGTTGAATGACATGGTCACTCTCACTCCCATTATTCTCAATGCCTCGGCGCGCCAGGCTCTCGATATCGGCCATTTGCATCTCCAAGGAGGGGGAGATATCTGCCTCGTCGAGATCCGAGTCATTCCCATAATCCGATCCATCGTAGTGAGATTCTTGTCGCCGGTGCTGCCGAAGCTGAGTGGCACGAAGCCGATTCCTGCGATCTGGTGAGTCCACTGTTGGAGACGGAGCGCGCATATCGCGAGCGGATTGTATGTACCCATCCTCTTCATCGCTGTGGTCCATCTGCTGTGACCCCGCAGCTCCCATTTCTTGCCCCGATGCATAATCATAGCCTTCTTCCTCCTGTTCCCACGCGTCGGCCAGTTCATCAGCCAGGTTCCCTAAACCACCGCCGTTCGTTTCGGCAGAGAAATCCACGGACTCTCGGTGCGACCCGTTCATGGCAGTTGTGCCCGGGCGGGAGGTGACGGGTGATGGCGGGGCGGACAAGCGAGGGGTTCGAGGCGAGAGAGGGCTATGAAGACCAAAGCCATTGACTCCTCCTGTTCCAGGAGAGATTTGCGAGTCGTCCAGGTCCGAGGGGCGGCGGTGAGAGAGTTTCAGGGGAGATGGTGGGAGGGGCGGCATTGTGGCGGACAGGAAGGGTGCGCTGAGTCTGTTGTGTATGATAGAGAGTGTATAGAGATCGAGGTCTGTGAGGTACGAGATTTGAAGTCAAGAGAGCATGAAACGAAAGAAAGAGACCATGGACACGCAGTGTTGATGGTCTTCCGCAAGCAGGAAGTGTGGGACAGTGTAATAATGGTATCTCGAGCCGGCTATCGCAGCATAACCCGGGAAAGGGGAGAAAAGGAGAGATTAAACCCCGTTTGAAGGAGAGACAATAATCCAAGGACCGAACTCATAAATATATCAACACAAGCTGGTTGCGCATCGTTAGTGAGTCGCTTCGGACGATAATCGATCATCGTATTCCCCGGTAGACAATAGAGGACACCGCGGGATGAATCGCATAATTAATAAGCACAGTTATGCTGCTTTTATGACTACGCTCAACCACGCGCCTGGCTGACTGAAGCTATGCTCTTGTGCCTAGATAGAATGCCGAATAGCCTCCTACTGCGAAGGAAGTATGTCCATCAGATCATGTTTAATTTTCCGACAATAGGTAGTTGGGCGAGACGACCAAACAAATTATCTATTGGTCCATAATTGGTTCTCCGAAATCATATTCAGGTGGGGTACAGAGTACTTAATCCAGGATTCCTCAGATATTTTATATAATGGCAAGGTGCCCGAGTGGTGAAGGGGTTCGCCTGCTAAGCGGATGGCTTCGGCCGCGCGTGTTCGAATCACGTCCTTGTCGGTTTTTTTACCTTTTGGTTTTTGGATGGAGGCCTTTTTGGATATCCCGTTGAAGTCATTAACCATCCTCATATACAACCAGATGGCCGTCACCGGCCGTGATCATTGAGCTCAGATATGGTGTATGGTGGACTATTGCGAGGAATCAAAATGCCGATCGTACCAACTGACCACTGTCCTGGTACGTCTGTGTCACTGTTGGCTTGGGGCACCAACAACACTGTCATCAAGTAAGAATTAGCCGCAGTGGGTAAAGACAGGAGTTTGAAATACACAAGCCTGTTATTTGAGGAAACCTCGAAGCTATTGCCAGTGTCGCTATGCTCGAAAGTATGGGTTATGCGGTGTTTATGACCCGTTCATGTAGAATAACTTTGTAGGTTATAGTTTTTAAAATACCCCAGATTTTCAACAAATAGTCACTTTGGCCGAGTGGTGAAGGCGCGCCCCTGCTATTGCAGCGACTGGATTCTGTCGCAGAGTCCAGGGAACTAGCTCAGGGCGTTCATTCGTGAGCGTAGGTTCGAATCCTGCAGGTGACGTTTGTTTTTTTGGTTATTATCTTTGGACACAACTTTTTTTCCACGCCATTCTAATTAGCCATGTCCGAGTTTGCTGATTCCCTAAGGTGCCGTGAGTATCAAGGCCTCGTAGTAGCCTCGTTTATGTACGAGTACCCAACCGCGGTGCTACCTGAACCACCCCATTTGTTATTGCTGTATATGGAACTCGAACCATATTTGAATTCACACCATACTAATTTTAGATATATATCTCTCATGAGAACCTTGAACGTGAACCTCTCCAACACTCGTGGTAATGCTTAACGGATGATGTCGAAATGATGGAGTTGCTACTTGGACTGCGATATGTCTCCATGGCTCACGTCAATAATAGGAAACATAGACGGAACCCCCCGCTAAATTACCAAGACACGCTCTTACTACCTATAAACCTTCCTAGATATTCTCTAGCATATTTAAGTATATAATTTGAACTTGTGAGTGACAAACTCATTATTCCATGCCTATCTATCGGATATCACCCGATAATCAATCACCACCTCACATAACGATATATCATTTGGAACAAGTTCACTTTCCCTATGTCCTGTCAACTCGCGCATACCGAATTGATAGGCATCACTGGATAAATTACTAGGTCTAGATGGAGACCGAAGTGAGCGGCACACTGCTGGTGGTCCCTGTATTTGCTGAGGACCCCGGGGAGTTCTCGCAATCGAAGCAGGGAGGACCTCGAGGGCAGATTAGGATGGTGTGAACATTTAAAAGACTCTTTCTGCCCTGTGAGAATTGTGTCCTTCTCGCCGGTCGTTCAATCTGAAGATCCATTCATTATCAGGTCATGTCGAATGGAACCGTTTTCGACATTTCGATATCACGAGGAGATCATATACCTCCACCATATGGCTCGTACCTTATCCTGCCGGCAGTCTACAATCGACTTGAACCAATCCTAGCAAGATTAGGCTAATCAGGCTAATGAAATAGCATCCGACAGAAACCGAGACTATTCCCAAGATGACTCGCACGCCGATTGTATGGGATGTGGTACATACCACAGACATTTACATCAGGCTACGACTTCGACTACAAGGACAAAACTACTTAATCAGAATTGGAAGCAAAAATCATGCCGTGAATAATGCATTAAGCCAAATCAACGCAATGTCTATTCCGAGTCGTCATCAGTGCATGCTAGGAAAGAAAAAGAGAAGGAGAAAAAGCACAAGAAAGACGAAAGAAACATCCAGCATGGCCACTTTCGCATGTTTCGACGCAAGCTTTTTGGCCTGCAATCGTGCTCCCATCCAGGTTCGTGTTGAGTCACCATCACTGCCACGGGCCAAACCATGCCCTCCACCCGTATGAGTGCGCCTGCTCCGCACCTTCTGCTGACATCCGAAGGATATCGAAGATGGACAAAGGAAAGAGAAACAGAGCAGACGAGACGAAGGTCATGTTGTGGCCTGGTGCGAGGAATAAGGAGATTACGAGATCGAAAATAGGAGATACACAACGGTGCGAAGGAAAAAAAACCATCGGATCTTCCAGTCTCTTCACAGCGAACGCCATTGCAAAGCAGAAAGGGTGGATTGGCGTGGTGGGTTATATTGTCCCATCCACATCATGAGGGGATACGAAAGAAAAAGAAAAAAAGAAATCACGGCTCCGGACACATCTCTATCTCATCGATCTAGGATGGAGAGGGACGGCCAGTGCCCCTTCACATGGTATCATAAGCGAAGTTTCGTCAAGTCGGCCCAAAGAATTGAGCTTTTGATTTTCAGCTTCCCCGAATCATTCACACGGCCTGATCGTGTTGGACCATCGCGCGTTTACTGCGAGGCGCACTGCACGCGCTCGGCGCCGGGGGGAACGTCGTCATCGTCCTCGTCCATGGCGCCAGCGGCACCGTGGGCGCGGGCCTGCGAGTTCTCGTTGCCATCAATGTCCTCGAGCTCGAAGTCCTCGACCATCGCGTCGGCCGGGGGCTGGTTTTTCTGGGGGCGAGGGGGCAGAACCTGCTCAAGGAGCTCGAGGTTCTGCAGCTGGTCCTTCTCGGGGAACTTGACGTCGAACTTGATGTAGAGGTTGCCGAAGTCGTGGTGGCGGAAGGAGGGCATACCCTGACCGGGGATGACCTTGATGGCATCTGATAGCGGATGGCGGTTAGCGGGAGTTAAAAAAGAGGCACCCGGTGATTTTGGACGAGTCCTAGGATCAAAGGGGAAAAAAAGACCAAACATACCAGGAACGATAACCTCGCCAGGGGCGATGTTGACGGTCAACCACCGCTCGTCGAGGTGCTCAATGTGAATGGTGCCGCCAGCAAGAGCGGTCAGAAGGTCGATCTCGGCTTGGTAGAACAGATCGTCGTTCTTGCGCTGGAAGCGGGCGTGGGGCTTCTGCTCAATCTCGAAGACAACATCACCGGGCATGACACCGGGCATCTGGTCACCCTCGCCGCGGAACTCAATCTTGTGGCCGTCGCGCACACCCTTGTCGACGTGGACATGCAGCACCTTGCGCTCCACAATGGTCTTCTTGCCGTTACACTTCTTGCAGCGGTCCTTCTCGCGGATGATCTCACCCTCGCCATTGCAGTCGGGGCAAACAGTCTGGAAGCGCTGGATCATAGGACCCATCTGGCGCATCATGGTCTTCATACCGCTACCATTGCAGCCTGTGCACTCCTTGACGGCGCCGTCCTTGCCACCGCGGCCCTCACAGCCAGAACAGATGACAGACTTCTGGAGGGCGAGCTTGGAGACCTTGCCGCGGTAAATATCCTCCAGGTTGACCTTGTGCACATGGTGGATGGTGCGAGCCTTCTTGGGGCCGGTGTCGCGCATGCCACCGCCGAACATCCCGCCGAACGCACCGCCACCGCCGAAGAACTGGGAGAACAGATCCTCAGCGTTCATACCACCGCCGGCACCGCCGCCTTCCAGACCCTCCTCACCATATTGGTCATAGATTTGACGCTTCTGGGGGTCGGAAAGAATCTCGTAGGCGTGCGACAACTCCTTGAACTTCTCCGCGGCATCGGGGTTGTTCTTGTTCTTGTCTGTATGAAAGCGAAGGCATTTCGTGTCAGCCAGGAGGGTTCCAGGCGATGAAGGGTTGTAGATGGGAGGGATTCATATTCCCAGGGCATTCACGTACCAGGGTGGAACTTCAGGGCACCCTTCTTGTAGGCGCTCTTCAGCTGGGCTTCAGTAGCCGAGGGATCAACCTATAATGTGAGAAAAAGTGATCGGTCAGTCTCCATGCACATATGAGGAAAGGTAACTAGTGTTTGAACATACTCCCAGGCACTCGTAGTACTTGGTGTCTTTGACCATGATGTCGGACTCGGGCGAAAGAATGTGGAGGAGGGGAAGAGATGAGGAAAGGAATCACGATGAGAGACAGGGTAGTCGAGGAGGTGAAAAAGGAATCGCTGGCACCTAAGAGCAACAGGAGAAGAAGGCGACACCCGGAAGATCAAAGAAACCAGGAATGAAAGGAGGGGGAGGAGGGGAGATGGAGATAGAAGGAAGACGAATCTCTTTTTTGGATAAGAATCGAGACTGGAGAATAATAGGGAGCCCACCACCCGATGGCTGAGTAACTTTTTTTCCAGGTACTGTACGGGGCGTGTAATCCGACCAGAATAGATAGATTACCAGGGCCGATTCGGCAGAATGTGAAGTGAACAAGAGACAACCGACACAGTAGCCGATCTCTTAAGGAAATGCACGATACTAACCAGCCACAACCAAGAGTGATTTTTTTAATTACTATTCTAACTGTAAACTAGGAACACAAGTCTTTTCTACTTTTCATTCACAATGTCGTCCTCGGCTGCCTGCTTTCTGGTGGCTTCTTTCACACTGGGCTGTGGAAGTTGATTTGGCCCGAGCGCCGGTTCGACGGGATTCCGCGGACTTCGATGACTTTCGCTGGAATTCGCCGCTCTTCCATGGGCCACTGGTATTCCAATTTCACCATGTACTGTAATATTCATATCATCTCATCCCATCTCATCTACTGTGAATACATTGAATAAAGGATCGCTCAGAAAGAGGCAAATACTTACAGGTACTCAGTGAGATATTGAGACGACGGAAATTCGGAAATCGGTGGTGATCACTGACATCCAATGGTAGTGGCGACTGGTGCAGGATCTGATATAGTTCCAAGGTTCCTCTGTTGAGGAGGCAAAACCCCATTGTCTGTATGACTGGTACCGTAACCAAATTACTGTACACAAAAGTGAAGGACATGACCTACAGAATAGTCTGATGAGAAAGCATTTGGACTGATGACACAAAGAAGCCTATGGTTATTTCAAATGTCTCTCTTATTTACAATATTACCAATCCATGTAGATATTGGTATTGCTGATCGAGTATAATAGTCTATACTATTATGTACATTACTGTGCTTAGGTGCTGCCCGATGAGGCTGAAGGGATCTAACCCAGCCACACCTTCCGCCACAGCACTTATCGATAAGTCGAGGGGAAAGGTTCTTCGGAGCTGCTCCACTCGTCGACTCTCGCGTCAAATCGTCATCGGTCCTCTCCGAAATTTAGCTGGAAAACTGTCTGACTGTAGATAAGCCCGTAGAGTCATCCTTTCCCCGCTCACACCCGCCGCACTCTCACTTCCATATATCACCCACCACACCACTCAATTGCATCAATTAAATCACAATCACTATGGAGCAGGACCCCGGTTTCATCGCAGCTGTGGAGGAAGCGAGGCAAGGTGCTGCCGAGGGCGGCGTCCCCATCGGAGCTTGCTTGGTCTCCAAGGACGGCAAGATCCTGGGTCGTGGCCACAACATGCGCGTGCAAAAGGGTAGCCCCGTCCTGCATGTTAGTATACTATTTCTAATCCATTCTTGACGCCGAGGGACTAGGAAGATCGGAGAACACGCCGAGCTAACAGCACACTTAGGCCGAGATGTCTGCCCTCGAGAACTCCGGCCGCCTCCCCGCCTCGGCTTACGAGGGCGCTACCATGTACACGACCCTATCCCCTTGCGACATGTGCACTGGTGCGTGCATTCTTTACAAGGTCAAGCGGGTGGTCATTGGCGAGAACCAGAGCTTTATGGGCGGGGAGGAGCTTCTGCTCAACCGCGGCAAGGAAGTTGTTGTAGTGGACAACCAAGAGTGCAAGGACTTGATGGCCAAGTTTATGAAGGAAAAGCCAGAGCTGTGGTAGGTCATGCCGTTTGTCGTTTACGGTTCAGTCGTTGGGCCGCGGGGGTTGTAGATCTTATAGAAACTTTGCTAACAGCAGTGCGCGTCGTATAGGAACGAGGATATTGCCGTTTGAAGACCATAGATATTGTTTAAAAAGTCCAAACAATGCGCTCTGGGGGGATCCCTAACGGATTGCCTCAATTCATAACTTATATTTCAAGGATTGGTAAACGGCTGTTCTAGTATGTCGTGAAACTTTTTTAGGCTTCTCCGCCTAGGAGGAGGGGTTGAGAAGCCCCGATTTCATTAAACGAGAAGGTAAACGATCTATTTTGTCAGACGGTGGACTTCCTCAAAGAAGAACTTGAGGTGCTCCGGGTCGACGAAGGGGGTGACACCTGTTAGGAGATTAGTATCACAGCGTCCGTCTCGAAGAGTCCTGTCAAACATACCGTGTCCGAGGTTGCAAATCCAGCCCTGCTTTCCTTTCTGGAATCCCTCAACCATCTTCTCCACGGTAGCAGTGATGGCGGGACGACCTCCATAGAGCATACCGGGATCAGCATTACCCTGAATGACCGCCCGGCCGTTGGCGACACGGAAAGCCTCGGCAGGATCGTGCAGCCAGTCCAGACCGACGACATTGTACCCAGACTCACACAAGTCGTCCAGGGCGTACCACGCACCCTTGGCGAAAACAGTCATGGGAACAGGCTCCAGACCCATCTCCTTCAGACGCTTGGGCAGGTTGGCCGAGATGTGACGTAGGTAAGGCAGGGAGAAAGAAGCAAAGGAAGCGGGTGACAGCTCGCCAGCCCACGAGTCAAACACCTGCACCAGCTGTGCACCAGCCGCAACCTGGAGTGCCAGGTACTCGACACAGATCTCGGCAATCTTCTGCAGCAGTGCTTGCGACTCCTTCGGGTACTTGTAGACCCAAGTCTTAGACTGGACAAACATCTTGCTACCACCGCCCTCGACCATGTAGCACAGCAATGTCCACGGCGCACCACAGAAACCGATAAGCGGCACGCGACCCTTCAACTTGAAGCGGGTGAGCGAAATCGCCTTATAGACGTAATCAAGCTCCGACTTCACGTCCACCTTCTTGGCCATCACCTTCTCGTACTGTCCGTCCGTCGGAGACTGGAGAGGCTCGGGGAAGTGCGGGCCCTTCTTGTCCAGCATTTCCACCACCATACCCATGGCCTGGGGGATGACCAGGATATCGGAGAAGATAATGGCAGCATCGATCAGGCCCTCATAGCGGTCAACCGGCTGGATGGTCAAGGTCGAGGCGATTTCCGGCGAGCGGCAGCATTCGAAGAAGTCACGGCCGCCCTTTGCCTCATGGTACTCAGGGAGGTAGCGGCCAGCTAGAGACGAAATAGGAAGAATAAAACGGTCAGATTGGAATGGCTCAGAGGAGTTGATTGGAAAAATTGTAGTGGCTTGAGAACGCGGGGTCAGACTCACCTTGTCGCATAACCCAGATGGGCGGACGCTCCACCTTCTCGCCTGCGACTGTCAGCGGTCATGTATGAATTAGACATCGACGAGAGAAGTACCTCGTGCAGCCCTCAGCAGCAGATCATTCTTCAGTGGCTCGAATTGCTCTTGCATGGTGGGCGATTGGTATATTTGGAGAGGGAGGGGAGGTGGTGGAATTCTCGGGGAAGAGCGGGCCAACCGAGGAATGTGACCTTCCAAGCTGTGGACAGTGACAGAACCAACGACATATCTAATCAAAATTATCAATTACTTAAAAAACAATTAATACAGGCAACTTTACACTGGCCTTTTTAAATTTCGATAGAAATATATTTTCTAAAATCCCTCTTCAAACCGAGTCCACCAATTTGTTGATCTAGTTAGGGCGGCCTGTATCGTTCACTGTCGAAGCGAAAGCGCAGAGCGTTAGTATAAACCTTATTTGTTAGCCAGGGACCAGCGCGGTTTAGAAGTTATAGAGCAGCCTAGCAATTTTAAGAATGGAGGGAGGCTGAATTATTTGATTGGGGTCAAAAACGGAGCGAGCAGTAGAGGGTGAAGAAAAAAAGGAAACCGAAAACCAAAAAAGAAACGTCACCTGCAGGATTCGAACCTACGCTCACGAATGAACGCCCTGAGCTAGTTCCCTGGACTCTGCGTCAGAATCCAGTCGCTGCAATAGCAGGGGCGCGCCTTCACCACTCGGCCAAAGTGACTATTTGTTGAAAATCTGGGGTATTTTAAAAACTATAACCTACAAAGTTATTCTAATGAAAGGGTCATAAACACCACATAATCTGGTTTCCTGGAAGGTATTCACCTATTTTTTTTCCCTATCTACATCAAGCTGTACTCCTTCTGAATCGAAATTCAGTTCCTCATTATAATCTTCGACTGTAGTGATATGGATTACTGGGGTGGAAAGATCTGCAACGAGAGATGTCCACTTATGTTACCGATAGCGACGATTTAGGATGATCCAAACAACCTCTCGGTAGACGTCGCATTTCGATACGTTTGGGAAATCAGAGGACCTATTCAAGTGATGTCGGAATCTCTTCAACTATCTGTAGTGCAAATTCCGAGCTTCAAAGGGTGGTTATAGAATCGAGCATAACGAGCACCTCCATGTGCAAGATATATTCCAGAAAGACCAAGTTGCCCAAAGAAGAGAGAAGCACTGAAAAACGGTTATGAAACCCGTGTAGCTTGTATCAAGCTCAAACAACCTTTACGAGACGGAAAAAAAGGTTGTCACTTCGAGTATCATGTACATGCTTTCAATGGATCGCGTCTTCCAGTCGAAGAGCTAGCATGCCTAGTCGGACTTCCAACGGATCTTCGACCGTGAACACCAGTCCATGGACACGATTCAGGTAGTCGACCATTACCTGGTTTGTCTTCAGCTTCCCCCTCTCGCTGATCCACTCATTGAAGGTCTTGCCATCTTGAGGCTGGGTGGTCGTCTTGTCTTTGATCTTAACGGGGCTCGTTTTGTCCCCCCAGTCGACATGCTTGTATTGAGAAAAGCATGAACCGCATAGGATTCTGCCCAATTCCATGCTAGCGATCGGATCATGATCCATGATCGCCCAACGATTTGCCCGCAAACGGCCACAAGCTTCGCAAGGGACTTTCAGATCTCGCAGGTGCCCAGCGGTGATTCGATGACAGTGATGTGTTGCGATGCATCTGTTGCAAGCGTTGCAGTACCACTGTTTAAGTGTGGGATTCCAGCATTTTCTGGGTTTCCCTGTGAAAGCTACACCACAATTATGACAGTCTGATCGATCCCGACTCAGCTTTAGACCAGCGTCTGCTTTTCCCTTATCATGGCAATCCTGACAAGTTCGTGGTGTTGGCCATCCAGAGGATTCGGTACAGTGACACACATGGCATCGATACCACCCCCACAGTCGGATAAGACGGCCTACCTGCCTGACTCGCTCTTTGTTACAAGAAGGACACCGGTAATCACCAGTTGGGTTACCAAAGGCGTCTCGTACTGGTGACCATTTCTTGTTCTGTGCATCGGATTCGGATTTCCAACAGCTAATGCAACACTTCTCTTGTTGCATCCTAACCCAAACATGCATGGGACGATCCTTTTTGAACTTCCAAAGCCACATATAGCACGGGCAGCAGAGAACGCTATCAGCCAGATTCAAATGCCATCTCCATCGAGTTGTGGTGGTGATATTGCAATTAGAACAGGGTCCATGCTGTGGAGGGTTTCTCTTTCCGAGCAGGAATGAGGGCCTATCCACACCCGTCCTCCATCTGTATCTGTAGCAAGTACGACACAAGTAAATAGTCGCTACTTCGAAATTGCCAATGTCATAGTACCAGCCGAGAGACTGAGTGGTCTTGCAATTTCTGCATTTCCGTGTCCCTGTAGCATCATTAACGGCTTGCTTGGTTGGAAGTGCCTTGTTGAGGGGCATGAATAGGCTCCGCGGAATCCCACATTGGTCCAGAGCGCTGTAATACATTTCAGAGGTGACACCCCATCGAATTCGATGTGTCATTTCAGTGCAGGGCAAATACGAGTCAAGTATTAGCATCATCACCGTCTCAAGCAGACGAACAAGCCAGCCCGCATTGGCGCAAGCTATTCCAGCTTCGGAAATATCCTCGGGAAATAACGCAATGCGTCGAAAGCATGGCTTCAGATCATGTCGTTGCACTATTTCTCGGTGATAGTAACGCCCGTTCTGAGAATCATGATTTGCCAAATCCGCCTCCTGGTGGTCCACACGGGCTTTCAGGTCGTCAGTGCTTGAGCCTGTGTAGAGTGCTGTCATGAGAGGAACGTTGGCTGCTGCACCTGCTGGCCGAGAACTATCACATTGAGCAGCGCAGTCAATGTACACTCCAACTTTTCCACTGCACTCGGCGTCGACTCGAGGGAGAGACAGCAGATGAGTGTTTGTGATCTGGTCATGACCCAGTATGGCCATGGTGGACTCCGGAATAGCCGCCGCGAAGATTTGGAAGATCGCATGGGGTTTTGAGCGGCGCAAGGGTAGCCAAAATGCCAGATTGATCCACGTGTTTTCGTGAAGTAATTGCTCAAGGGTGGTTCTCTGGGCTTCTTGCTGTAAGAACTCAATGACCCGAAATATCCTGTTTCGGAAATTTCGGATTCTTTGTGTCCTGTCAGGATCCAACGAAGCCGGTGAATATTTCAACGAAGCAGGTCGTGTACGTAGCTCAGAGTTTCTGGGACCATGATCTGTCTGACGCTCACTATGGCTTGCAGCTGCATCTTGAGACGAATGTGCAGGTTCGGCCGAAGCCAAGGTGTCACCACGAGACGTTTCCTGGCAGCGGCCTCCGACCTCGTCAACAGTCAATTTTGAGGACTGGAAGCGCACAATCAACTCCAAAATCTCTGTTTCCCAGCATTCCTCCATATCATCTTCACTGTCGTCAAGTGGCAAGTTGTTGGGAGTCTCGAATACGCGGTCTAATGTGAGCGGAAGGAAATCGTCTTGCTCAAAATCGTCAAGCAGTTGGTTCGCAGGGCTGCAGGTATGTGGAGCCTGAGGTGTCTCACAGTCACCGTTATTGTCAGGCTTGGTCTTCTCAAAGATACTCTCACGGGGGTCCTTTACGTAAAGCTTATTACGCGGAGAGGCTTCCTCGTCGTCTGGACCACTCTCCTGACTGTCGGAGCCATGGGGGCCTCTCATCGTGTCAAGCTTTCGTCGAGCCATCCTGGCTAGGTGTAATGGAGAGTGTCAACGAGGCAGTTGTATGAGTGTTCTGTGCAGCTCACGGTAGCTGGTGGAATCAAGATTAGAAACCAAGATCATAGAGATTTGGGTGAAAGATGGAAAAATGTTTGCTTTGTCCCATGATCTCACAGGGTTCACTCATATAGTAGATATGATCATGTTTGTCTGTTTTGATAACGTGCTCTGTGGTTGTCATAGCAAACTTCAGCTCTGTCGGGATCAGATTCTGCCAGTTGAAGAAATCGGTACTAATATCATTTGTCGAGACACGAGCGAGGGGAAAGGCAATATATCATGTGTCTCAGTAGGTTTTATATCTCACCATGAGGGCCATTTCTTCGGGAATTTATTTCGGTCACGACGCTTGATTACATTGAGCTGCTATTTCCGATTGAAAGTGCATGTGCTTAGGATATGTCATTTAAGTCCCTCTTTTACGTTGAGTCATCAGCCAATACGGCTTTAGAAATGAATATTCTCTGAAGCAGGATTGGACGGTAAGCAAGGCCATCTACCTTGACACCGAGAAATTCATCGTTTTAGCTCCACGATAAATTTCAGGCACATATAGTTGAACGGCCTCGCAGTACTCTTGCTATACGGCGGACGCGGGTAGTTGCTACGAGAGCTCAGCCCATGCAAACCAACTGGGCCTTGTGCTATATTGCAGTAAAGACAGCGAAGAATGAAAAGTTGATCGTAGTAGCACTGGAATTGGTTATGGTACTCCGGGAGTACTCATTATCATTATTACCAAGAAAAGGAATCGTCATTAACATATTTGAGTATCCTATCTCTCGAGAAAGATACATTGGCTGGACGAGGCGGATGACATTGTGACTCGTCGACAAATAATACGTATGTGCATACAGAAATTCCCAATTTCAGTCATCAAAAGTTCTCTTCCGAAGATTGCCCAAATTGTACAGGGTGTCGTCAATTGCTTTCTTTTGCTTGGCATCCAGCGTAGCAGAAAGACCCGAAGTAACACCTGCATTGATGCAAGCCGTTCTTGAGTCTTCACACACGGCCCACTTCAGGCCTCCGTCGGTAATACTGATCTGGAGACATTCAGTGAGAATCTGGGCAGATGCCGGGCTCTCCTTCCACGTATCGGTAGAGCCAGGCGCTCGAACGGCATCTACTGAGACGACAATAGAGCCATTTGAATCGAGGGTAGTTAGGTCTAGCACGTTTCCGGATAGCTGAATAACGCCTTGGGACTTGAGTGTGTTGTCACTCTCAAGGGTATAGCAGAGGAGCTGAGGGGAGCTATTTCAACAATTAGCAAGGGTTTTTTCATTTGTTCACAATTTGATACATACCCCTCCAGACCAATTAAGACTATGTTGATAGATCCAGGGGTGCCAGCAGACTGGTCAAAAGAGACGTCCCAAATTCCACTGATAATGGCATCCTGGAACGAATCACCCAACGGGACACTTTGGTGTACTTGGCCTTCGCTCCAGTTCCACACAAGCAGATGGCCATCACCACCGCCGGAAATCAGAACATTCGGTGCCCACGAAGGAATGCAGAGCTTGCTAATAAGTGAAGTGTGGCCGAAGCATTGTTGCTCAATAACATGGGCCTGAGGAATACCGCGAGAAACACGAATATGCTCATCCCGATCCGCAGTCAGGATATAATTGCGAGGGCGGCTTCCCGGAGCCCCAGGTAGTGACACGGCGATGACATCAGTCAGCATAGAGACGTGGCCAAGGATAAGCTGGTGCTCAAAGTTGAGCACACCCTTCTCTTCGCTCTCCTCTTGAACCTTCTCGGCCTTCTCAGCCCGCTCGGCATGGAGGTGCTGTTGCTCCAATGAACGAAGGTTACGCTTCGAGTGTACAGTGAGCGTGGTCGCAACCGGCTTAGGCTTTTTAGCTTGGGTCTTCGGCTTCACGTACTCCCCAGGGATCAAGGGCAGAGAGTAGACATCGCCAAATTTGTCTGCACATAGGATAGTCTGGTCATCGGGAGTCAGATCCAATGCGCATGGCTTCTTAGCCATATTCCTTCATTTAGATTCAGCAACTGCTACAAACTGTATAGTTCAGGGACACTTACCGAGAGCTAAGCTCCTTGAACTTTCCATCCTCACTCAAGCTGAACACTCGAATGCATTTGTCCTCGGCGGTCAAGACTACTACATGCCTGCCATCAGATGTTGCCAAGACCATGGGGATATTGGTCCAGGTAAGAGCATTGTTTGCGCTAGGCTTTCCTTCGGACTCGGTCTCTGGTGATGAGAGCTTGATCCTCTTCTCAGGTGGAGCCTGGTCCTCCGAGGTGGACGTTGGTCCAGAAGCAGCTGCGCGGCTGGTCTCTACATGCTGGGGCCATACATCCAGGCGCTGGCCGCTCTCGGCTGCGTAGGAGTAGATATGTGGCCCCGCGGATGCCACCAACACATTAGAAAGACCCTGTGACTGCCGCTTGACAAGTTCCAAGCTTTGAATGGGGTGCTGAAAGCTGGCCATCGTGAATGCCGGTTTGATTCGACTCGGCAAAATTTGATCGGCGCAGACGGCCGTGTTGAGATTTTGAGGGAGATGATCTGGAGACAATTGGTGAAATAATTGGCGAAAAGGAATTTCCAAGGTACACAACGCAATCAAAGATATCGATTGGGAATTTGAGTCAATCAAAAGATCTTCGAATTCTCTCCGCAATCCTCCATCCTTCCTCAACTTCTCCAAGCGACAGCTGCTTGACCATATGTCACGTGACCCACACTAGCCGAAGCCGCACCAAAAAAAGTCCACAAAACCCGCAACCGCAACTCCTCCTTCCTTTCTCCAACCACACAAATTCAATACCCTTGTCCTTAAACAACCTCTCTTCAGGTCAAATAAGAAGAAATGGGGGGCAAGTCCGCAACCAAGGCCGCTTACTTCGATAAGCTGAAGGCCCTGCTCGATGAGTACCGCACCGTCTTCATTGTCGGTGTCGACAATGTCAGCTCCCAGCAGATGCACGAGATCCGTATCGCTCTCCGTGGCCAGGGTGTTGTCCTGATGGGAAAGAACACCATGGTCCGCCGTGCCCTCAAGGGGTTCGTTGTCGAGAACCCTGAGTTCGCCTCTCTGATGCCTCACGTTAAGGGTGAGTTCCGCACCGCCATGAATTATTTGCTCCCCAGAAATCCATTGACTAACTAACTCATGCGTGTTCTACAGGCAACGTTGGTTTCATCTTCACCAACTCTGACATGAAGGACGTCAAGGCCAAGATCTTGGCTAACCGTGTCGCTGCTCCCGCCCGTGCCGGTGCCATCGCTCCCGATGATGTCTGGGTCCCCGCCGGTAACACCGGTATGGAGCCCGGTAAGACCTCGTTCTTCCAGGCTCTCGGTGTCCCCACCAAGATTGCTCGTGGTACCATCGAAATTGTGTCTGACCTCAAGCTCATTGAGGCCGGTAACAAGGTCGGTGCTTCCGAGGCTGCTCTGCTCAACCTGCTGAACATCTCTCCCTTCACCTACGGTATGACCATTGCCCAGGTCTACGACCAGGGTCAGTGCTTCAGCGCCGATGTCCTCGAGATCGACGATGAGCAGCTCCTCAAGGCCTTCAGCCAGGCTATTGCCACCATCACTGCTCTGTCTCTGGCTACCAACATCCCCACCCTGCCCGCTGCCATCCACTCCCTCATCAACACCTACAAGAAGGTTCTTGCCGTTGCTGTTGAGACTGAGATCAGCTGGCCCGAGATTGAGGCCCTCAAGGACCGCATCGCTAACCCCGATGCCTACGCCGCCGCTGCCCCCGCCGCTGCTGCTGCCACCTCCGGTGGTGATGCTCCCGCCGCTGCCGCCGCCCCCGCTGAGGAGGAGGAGGAGTCCGACGACGACATGGGCTTCGGTCTCTTCGACTAAGCGCATCTTAATTGATGTGTTATGTCGGCCATGTACTAGATACTTTTATTTGACTCAGCTCTGAAAGGGGCTGGGGAATGACAAAAACGACTATGACTTGGCAACGAAACTTGCTTGTTTCTCACTTTTGACATGATTTCTGGAACGTAGAAACACGCTCCAGATTACCTGTCTTGACCTAAATGGTGAGTTCTACAACCTGTTCTCTGCTTGCTTGCCTTTTCTTTTTCTTTTCCAACCCACTCGGTTATACCTCGCACTCAATCCGGCGGATGATGAAACATTTTTAACCCCGAGCATGCGTCTCCCGTGAGACCGCGCTGACGATTAAAAACGCAACAACAACACTCTAATTTTTTGCTGACGCCTTGCCTTGTTTTGCTCTTGCTTTGCATCATATACTTTGACATGATTTTGAGAAGCAATTGCTAACTTACGCTCAGCTTGACAGGTTTTTCTTCTCATGAGTCACGGTACTCTCGTAGCGCTTCTGGTATTCACCACGTAGCTGTTCGTAGAGCGCTTTGACGTTCGGAATGGTGGCACTGGGCAAGGTTTACATGTGCTGGGTCGGGTTATGTTTTATGATATCAAATGAAATGTCTTATGTCCATGAAACTATTCGTCTATGAACTAGACAATCCTTTCCTTTAGCTATGCTGGTAACCCATTGAACGTAGTGTGAGTTTAAACACAACTTGACCAAAATCCGGGAGCAACTAAAATCCACATATTCTATTCGTGGTATCAGTGGCTTAATCACAAAATATAATTAACAACCCCCATCTTCAGTGAGATGAAGAAACAAGAAGGTATCTTAGTACACAAACCCCTTGATCATCAAGCTCACGCAGCATCATCGGCGCCTCGTCCAAACCGACCCCCAAAGCCACCCAGATCACGACGGAAGAACTTTCCAATATTCTTCAGGTTCTCGTTCAAATTAGCGGCAGCAGTCGATTCCGATGGAGTATGCGCATGGCCAGATTGTTGAGCAGAGGTCATTGGCGCAGGAGAAGGCGTGCCGGATGTACCAGCAAAACCAGACGGGGGCGTGCCCGTGATGCCAGGAACACCCGAAGCACCAAGGGTGCTGAGACTGGGGTTTCCGAAACGGTCGACACCGTCCTTGGCGGCGGACATGATGGCAGAGCCGAGCATGGAGGCATCGAAACGCGAAGGCATCGATCCAGCGGCACTAAGACCTAGTCCTTGGGAGACTGATCCGGTTGTGGTAGCGGCGGGTGCTTGGAGAGCTGTGAGAATCGGATTGCTTGGTTGGAGATTGGATGCGTAGCGGTCAGATGCACGATGTAGCTGGAAGAGCTCAACGAGATGGTTTTGCTCTTGCCGGCTGCGTATGCCCTTGAGGTCGAGGATCTTGCGGAAGTTATTGTTGTTTCGGTCCGCGATGTGGATGAGGTATGCCTGCACTAAGGCCTCTGGCGGTGATGGCCGGACTTGTAGTGTTTTGAGGAGAGTTTCGATCTTGAAGAAGCTGCTGTTGACACGCTTCACGAAGCCAGCTGGAGCAGGGGCAGGGAGAAGGGATGAGAGGCCACTCTTGAGTGTATATGAGTCAAGAAGCATCTAAATAGAATAGTCAGTTTCACAAGCTCGTAGACCAGGTAAACATAACTGATAGGGAGACATACTTGTTCGGCGCCTGTCTCGGAAACAGGCCTGCACTGGAAGACATTGCTGATGAACAAACTTGACATCAGTTCGACCAGGTGATCAGAGAAGGCACGGGCATACTGTTGCTTATGCAGCAGTTGCAAGATCTCCGATGCCTTCGCTTTAGTGCGCGATAGTAGCTCGCTCACATACGAGCTTTGGTCACTGACAGCCTCAATTTTGCTCCAGGGTGTGTTGCGCATTTCACGCCAGCTTGGTTCCGATTCGACCTCAACTTGCCGCACAAGTCCTCGCACGGCCGCGGACGCAATGCCCATGAAAGAATCTGCCTGACTCTGGAGATCCACTGATTGCTTGAGGGACTCATCCAATCGACCCTTGATCTTCTCTTCCAACTGAGTACACGTGGTGTAGCAGTAATCAGCGGTATTGAGAACGGATACCAAATCCTCAATGGTTGGCACCTTTGAAGGGGTGTGCCCGCTAGGCCGTTCACTGATATAGTTGAGGAGCACCTGCTGTGCGTACTGGTCCAAGTATTTTGCAAACACCTTGGCCAATTCGGCCAGACTTCCACCCGTTGAAAGCTTGGCGCATTGTTGTAGAGAGTGACGGTAGAATGCGAAGAGCTCGGTCGAGGAAGAGATCACTATGTGAGAGTTGAATTCCTCGTCAGGGGGTCGCAAAGGCTGTTGGCGGTACTTGGGCAACAGCGCGGCGAGCTGCTTGTCCTGTGCATCCACCCAGACACTCAGATAAGGCTCGAAAGCCTCAGAGATAGACTGGCCGAACACCGGGTTTTCATTCGAAGAGGTGAACGTGTCCGTGGATGGGCGCGAAGGCGCGAACCGGCTTTCGAGCGAATGTTCAAACTCAAGGGTTTCTTGTAGGCAAGAAAGCAGTAGATTGACGTCAATTGTCTGTCCACTGCGCACTGACCGGGACAAAATGCCCTTGAAATCATCCCGAGTGCCCTCACAAAAGACATTGGCCAGGATTTCATTCACCCTCCAAGCAGCCGGGAAGATGGCTGCGATCTCCTCATCGTAGATCTTCAGTATGCGCCGGAACCAGGAATATCTGCGGGAAATATTGTCCAACGATCCTGCTTCTTCATTGTTGCGGAAGACCTGACGGTACTCGCGAAGCTGCGTGTTGCAATACCAAGTCACAAGTCGGGATCGAGCGTGCTCGCCCAGCGCATCCACAACATGACATGCCTCCGAAAGAACCGCGCGCTTCTGAGCGACCTCGCTCTTGGCAAAGGCAATCTCAAAGTCCTCGCAGACTTGTTCTAGAAGATCTCTTTGTATGTCCGCCACATTCCTGCTGAGGATCGCGATTTGGTCGATCGATCGGTATGACTTGAAGTGGGCCATTAACTGGATCACCGCCTGGAGGAGCTGCGCGCAGTCTCGGTATTGTCGGGTCCGGCTCAGCGCTTGAAGCTGGTCATAGGCTGTGGTAAGCATCTGAAGCCGTTTCAGCGCCGTCATGGACAGCGTGAGGTTCTTTTTCGCGTTGTCTAATTGCTTGATGTCGGCCGTCATGTCTGTGATGGCCTGTTCGGTCTTCATCGCGCGCTCTCGTACGTCGTCGATCTTCTTGAACAGCTCTGACAGATCAGCCTTGGCTGTCTGGATGCGTTCCACGCTGCCCGCATTGGATGTGACTTGTTCTTCGACCAGGGCGCTGATGTTATTGTCCAATTCATCTTCGTAGTCGTGGAGGGTGCCGGTGACCTGGGAGACGGAGGAAAGGGGTGGACGGATGGGAGAAGATAGCATTCAAATGCTCGACTGGATCATAGTCCACTATAATCACACCAAGCCAAGTCAGTCATTTTCATGCATAAAGCAGTGGGTGTTGATCTGTCTGTACCTGCATCCAAGGCGTCCGGGGTGGTCTCCTCGTTTGGCGGCATGCCGGTGGTCGAGACGGTAATCGCAGTCATCCCATGAGCACTTCAAGATAAACTCATCCTGCTCATGCCCGGGAGACGAGTTCGGTGTCAAGCCAATGCGAATTGTGTGAGGACCGAGACCGTGGGAATTGGAGATGTCCAACGCGGGTCGCATGTCTTCGCGGGCCAGGTGGCTCGGGGGGTCGGGGGCAGCTTGGCATCTTACGCAACCAAACAGCGGTAGTTTGGGGAAGTATAACCCCCCACCACAGGACTGTATCTATCTTCGACCATGTTGTTTATCTACTATCTTACAGTTTAAATTAGTCTGGAACTATGGGTTTGAGATTGATATTTCTCATTGTCATTGACCACGTGTGGCATATGTTAAGATTCTAAAGTACATGTTCATGAAATCCTTGCCCTTTCGCCTGAGCAATGCAAAATTCAGAAAGCCACCAACACTACCATCGTTCCTTGTAGCATGCAAACTCCCCCGGTGACTCTGGCATTGATCCATAGTCACATTTCAGTCCATTCCATCACGGAATAGAAGCGAATTAGAGATATGGCCTCGCGATCGGGTGAGAGAGACCGCCTAGGCCGGAGAGAGGAAAGCGGTGGCAGGAAGCGACCCCGATGCCTGATAGTAAATGAGTTAGTCTTGGTATTTCAGTATATCAGTTCAAGTAAGGGTGCATACCTTGAGCTCTTCGAAATTCTTCCAAGCAGCATCCAGGTTCCAGCCATTGCCAGACAGGGCCATCTCCGAAAACTGGAGAGTCATGCCCGACTTGGCACTCATCTGTGCCACCAACAGCTCCTGTTGGACCTGGGCGTCCGTTTTTCCAGGAGCAGGGGCACCGTATCCTTGCGGGATACCAGGCTGGGCGACGGGCGCGGGCACCGCGGCTGCAGGTGCAGGGACAGCGACGGGTGCAGCACCGGCAACGGGAGCGACAGGAGCCGTGGCGTAAGGAATAGCCTGGTTCTCCGGGCTCCAAGCCTCATGGCCGCCGTAGGCTCGAAGGCACAAAATGTCATTGATGACTCGGATGCCGCCCATGCCACCACCGGGGCCAATGATGAAGGTTCGATCGAAACTGCGTGTCTCGACCTTGCCGCCGACGCTTTCTTCGAACTTTCCGTGGACCATGATCATGAGACCACCTACACCAGTAGGGCTTTGTCCAGTGGGGTCGGGGAGTCCGGGGACTGGATGGCACTCAACCAAATACTCCTCTGGGTGTGCGGACATATCAGGGTGCCGGGTTTGCGGGAGACTCTTCCATAGTTCGAGAATCTTATCCGCACCAGTGTAGGCACGCGACATGCGCGCAGGAAGGTGGTTGATTTTGAGGAGATTTCGGCTCTTCTTGATGTATGGGTCCCAGCCTGCAGATTCAGTCTGCTGAGCCTTGGGAGCGGAGGTGTTGACGTTCAGGGTGAATTCTGATTGAGAGTCGTAGACGCTCTTGACGAGTTCGTCCCGACTGTTGTCGTAGCGAGTGAAGAAGGCACGAATGAAGTTCTCCGCGATCTGGCCATCGTCCTGGAAGTGGGGTGCTTGGACAGGAATGGGCGTCTTCTTTTGAGCCGCAATCTCCTCTGCAGTGCGAACAATAACATTGTTCAAGGTCTGTAACTTTGGATACCACTTCATCATTGTTTCTTTGAAGTTTGGCTCAGCACTGAACGGGTTTTCGGTCAGATCAAGGAATTCGAGGTTGCGGAATTTCCAGCGCCATGCGTTTATCGACCGGTAATCCTTGAGATTGTTGTGGGATAGGTCCAGGTTCTTGATATCCGGGAAGGTCTGGGAGAGAGTGGTCACCGCCGTGACGTTTGTGAGGGAATTGTGAGCCAGACTGACGCTCTCCACGGCCTCTCGTCGCTGAGCTGCGTTGGTGAATCCCATTTCCCAAACCTTCATCAAAGCAGGGAAGAACTTGGACTCGGTCGAAGTCTGGTTGAAAATGCCCATGGCCACCAGATCTGGGTCGGCTGAGAGTTTGGAGAGGTCGAGGAGTTTGGTATCCGGATAGTAACGCTTGGACAGGATCAACGTCATCTTGGACTTGGTGTCCGCGGTAGAAGGGGAGGTGCCGGTGGCAGTGCCCAATTCGCGATCAAGAACGGCACTTGAAGAGGGGTCGTAGGGCTCCACGACGAGGTGAACACCCGCGAAAAGACTGTCATGAAGCCGAAGCATCCTGTCCGACAAGTCGGGGCGGACGAACACCACGAGAGAGTCGCCTTCGACGCGCGACTATTATCGAATGTTAGCAAGGCACGAAAGACCTTGTGAAGCGCAGTGGGTTGAAGAACAAGAAAAAGCCAGGAAGGCTGAGGAAAGTCGGCCGTCGGTTTGCCATCATTTGAAAACACATGAAACGCCGGTTCGGGTAGTGTCGAGGTTGGTGATTGATGCGATCGCTCCTTCGCATGTTGAACATACCTTTGTGATTCTAGCGCGGGGTCCAGATTTGGAATGGGCGTTCATCCGTCTCTCGAGAAATGCGATAAGGTTTTCGACGCCCCCATCGCGATGGGATGAGACCTTGCTCTCCTTCCAGCCAAGAACGCTGAACAGCTCCAGGTTGCTTGGCGCGGCGTTCTTTCCCTGGCGGATGCTGACTTGGGAATCCCGAGTATTCGAGATTGCTTTCTGGATCGCCTCCAGAGTCTTGTCGCGTGCCTGGGGACGATCACCGCCAGAGCGAGCGGGACGACCAACTCCAGCGCCAGAGCCTGAACCAGACCCAGTCGGACGACCAGGGCCACCACGACCACCCCTCTTGCCTCCCCGACCGCCGGGGGCATCCATGTCCATGTCACCATCTCGGTCGGTGCGAATCGGGCCCCGCTTGCGAATGCCCCCGCGGTCACCACCTGAGCGGCGGGACTTCATGGTCTTCATGTTGGCCCGGGGGAACAAGAGACGGGAGAGTGAGAGATGCCGGTGTGGGAAGAGAAAGGAGGAAAGAAAGAAAGAAAGAAAGAAAGAAAGAAAGAAAGAAAGAAAGAAAGAAAGAAAGAAAGAAAGAAAGAAAGAATGGACGTTGGCCTTTCAGGCCGATTCGTCAGGTGGACTGCGCGTTGCGCGCCTCAAATCGAGTAGGAAGGCTCGATTCTTCTGCAGGAGAATCGGAAGAGTTGTTGGAGGGAAGAAGGTGAAAAGAGGAAAAGAGGAATCGCAGGGATGAGGAGATGAGGTTTACAAGGAAGTAGAGGCGATTCAGGCAGCGGAGGGTGCCTCCAGCTTTCTCAAGGCAGTCGCGGAGTGAATCGTGAAGCCCAAAAAAAAGTGACGCACGGGGTCACGTGGTTGATCGATGTGCGGATAGGCAGCCGTCAGGTGACTTGTGGAGATGACTCAGCCGGGCTGCCTTGGCCCGGGATCAGGCAGCCAATGAGCGATTGTCTTCTGTCCTTTCACTGCTGTTCAGATTAATACGGTAATTCCCATACAATCGGGCTTGCCCTTGGTTCCGAGTATACGGCGGAGATCAATCTAGCCAGCTTGCAGTATCTCAGTCGGGCTCGAGGACGAACGGGGCTAAAGAGGCAATTGAGTTGACTCTTGCTAGGTATGTGCATCTATGGGAGTTCTGAAACAATATCTCGATATTATACTTGTGAAATACTTCCCCCCGTTCACTCACGGAGCTTGCGCGTTTCATGAGGCCCTAGCTAACTTCTCCCCACGCTATCTTCTAGAAATCCCACGAGTCACTGCACCACTCCCCTTCGTTCATTCCCTGGATCTTCGGATCACTCTATGCTCGCCAATTGCCCCGCAAGATGCCCGCAAAGTCGCGATTCACGAGGCTAGACGCCTTCGCCAAAACCGTCGAGGATGCGCGCATTCGCACCAACTCCGGCGGCATCATCACTATAGCTTCGTTGTTGGTAGTGTTGTGGCTGGTCTGGGGAGAATGGGCTGACTATCGCCGAGTGGTTGTTCAGCCCGAGCTCATTGTGGACAAGTCGAGAGGTACGCATTGGAGAACTTGAATCAAGGATGCTCGAGGCGAGTCGATGTGCATTCGCAACAAAGCTGACGTGGAGGGGTTCGCCTTGATATAGGAGAAAGGATGGAGATCCATTTGAACATGACCTTCCCGCGACTGCCTTGTGAGCTATTGACCCTGGACGTCATGGATGTGTCTGGCGAGATGCAGGTCGGTGTGGCACATGGCGTGAACAAAGTCCGCCTGGCTCCAGCTGCGGAAGGAGGTCGAGTGATTGATGTCCAGGCCCTTGACTTGTAAGTTTAATTTCCCGAAAGAAGATGCCTCCAATTGCACCAACAACCCGCGCAACATGTTGATCACAAGCTCACCTGGGTCTTCCATTGATTTGCAGGCACTCCCCAGCCGATGCCGCCGCGCATCTGGCCCCAGACTACTGTGGTGAGTGCTATGGAGCAGATGCGCCACCAAATGCGATCAAAGCAGGCTGCTGTAGCACCTGCGACGAAGTGCGCGAGGCATACGCAAACAAGCAATGGGCATTCGGCATTGGCGACAACGTTGAGCAGTGTACTCGTGAGGGGTACGGCGAGAAGCTTCTGGCCCAACGGCGCGAGGGCTGCCGCATTGAAGGCGTTCTCCGAGTCAACAAGGTGGTGGGCAACTTCCATATCGCTCCTGGTCGCAGCTACACAACTGGAAACATGCATGCCCACGATATGGACAACTACTTCATGCGCGATGCGCCCTCGCCCGAGCAACACACCATGACCCACGAGATCCACGAGCTTCGATTCGGTCCTCAACTCCCTGCTGAACTTGCGGATCGTTGGCAATGGACTGACCACCACCACACTAACCCGCTGGACGACACTAAGCAGGTCACCGAGGAGCCCGCCTTTAACTTTATGTACTTCATCAAGGTTGTCTCGACCTCCTATCTGCCCCTGGGCTGGGACCCGACATTCTCGTCTGCGATCCACAGCGCTTATGATAAGGCTCCTCTTGGCGCGCACGGTCTCGCCTACGGCTCCCAGGGTAGCATTGAAGCACACCAGTACTCTGTGACCTCGCACAAGCGCCCTCTCGTGGGCGGCGACGATGCTGCCGAGGGCCACAAGGAGCGCATGCACGCCTCTGGCGGTATTCCCGGCGTCTTTTTCAACTACGATATTTCCCCTATGAAGGTCATCAACCGCGAAACCCGTCCCAAGACGTTCACCGGTTTCTTGACTGGTGTTTGTGCCATCATCGGTGGTACCCTGACGGTGGCCGCGGCCTTGGATCGTGGTCTCTACGAGGGTGGTATGCGTATCAAGAAGCTGCACTCCAACTAAATTCTGCCCCCTTGGCTCAGAAATGAGAGACATGGAGTGCATCGCATACCCACTGTAACCTCCGCCCCAGAAAAGTCAGGAGACGGGAGGAAGGTGGGCATTCGTGGCGTTATTTTGGGATACCTTTATACATTGATTTTTGACTTTTTGTGTCTTTTGGTTTCGGTGTATGTACGTATCGATTTATCAGGAAGTACTGGTTGCCTTGTTGAGCAGCTACTCGTTTTATGTTCCTTCGAACCCTATATTCATTCTCCCAATAGGTATCGTGTACAGAAATCGACATACTACCTCCCCGCGGGCCCGACGAGCACCTCGGTCACGCAGGGTAAGAAATGATCGCATCACAACATGCTGTGCTCGAAGACTGCGCATGTATACTCAGCGAGAGAGTTCTGCTTTTTTGCATGCAATGAAAGTAGTCAGGCCTACGACTCTTTAACAATGTAGAAAGTACTTATAAACACTTAGCATATATGACCCCCGGATCTACACTACCAATCTACGAAGAGGAGACAAAAATAGCCTGTATCAAGAATTCCATTCTGTACAACTCTAATCAAAGTTACAGACAAAAAAAAAGGGATGATAACCACCCAAAGAAAGAAAATGTAGCACTCGGTGAGGTAGAAGCGGCAGCATAAAAACCTAAGAGATAAACAATGACAATGAGAGGAGTAACAGAACCGCATGCAACAAGAAAAGAAGAGAAGCAGACCCCCAATGCGCCAAACCAAATCTGCAACTCCATTTCTGATGCGCAATGCAAAGATGATGATAAACACGATATGACTGTAGTAAAGAAAAGAAAAGAAAATGATAGTGCGGGGAATGAATGCAAGTTTCAACAGGACAGGAAAGGAACAAAAGTGAAGACGAGGGATCGAGGACCGTAGAAGTGTGCAGAAAGTCTAGATCTAAGTTGGGAGGGTATGCAGTTTCAAGTATGAACAGGAAATAGAAAGGAAAGGGGCTGGAAGGACAGTAGCGTAAAGTAGAGTTGAGTTTAAGTTGGGCGCGATTCATCAAAACAGGTAGGAGATCGTAATGTTTTATGAATGCGTGGTATTGTAGTTGGCAGGGTAGCCACCTTGCTGAGTAAAGTGCTGGCTCTGCTGGTAACTTGGCGGTACTTGCGAGGAAGCCTGGGCGAGCTGGCCATACCAAGACCGCCGGCGGGGTTCATCTGAACGGTTCATCTGGTGGAGGGCGTCCCAGGTTTGGCTGGCGCCGGGGAGATTGTACATCCCATCCCGAGTCGGGGGTGGGTACACCGAGGGGGCATACTGGGATGCATATTGCTGTGGGTGCTGCATCATCTGGTGGTGCTGTTGCTGCTGCTGTTGTTGTTGCTGGTATTGCTGATGCTGCTGGCGCTGTGCAATAGCATGCTGTACCATCTGGTTCGACATTCCCTCTTTCATTTCACGCCTCTCACGCTCACGGGCATCAATCGTTGACACGAGACCCATGGGATTCACTTGAGGCTGAGGCTTGTTGGTGTTGGTCGACATATCGAAGAACGACGAGCCAGTCATGCGGGCGACATGCTCTTGCTCACGAGCAGAAAGGTGGTTCCCCACATCATTGTAGCCGGTGATCATCGTGTTGGCACCACGAGAGGAGGGGCGGTAATTGGCATCCGGATAGGAAGTCATGCGGGAGTGAGGTCGAGTCCAATCTCCCGATACCGGACGTGCTGGAGGTGGGCTGTTGTTTGACGGGACACGCTGGTGCATGTGCACCGGAGGACTAGGTGCGGCTCGCTGCTGCACGAACTGCTCTGGGGTAAGACCGCCTCCGGGGGTCGTGGGACGACCGCTGGCCATGCCGGGCTGCCAGAGAACACTACGTCGACGTTCTTCCTGGCTTGGAGAGCGAACGTGACCGCGCTCCATGGGGCTCGTTGGAACATATAGTTTGAAGTCAGACTCGTTCCGTTGATGCGAAGCCTTTTTCAAAGTGTCGCCAGTGGTCGGACGTCCGGTGGTGGGCATATAGGTCAGTGTTGGACCGAAGTCAACGGTGGGAATATCTGGGTTGGGCTCTGCTGGCTTGTCGGTCGCGTAGCGAGCATCGCCGATGACAAGATCCTGCTTGGCTGGCTCACCAACAGTCTTCTTAACACCCATGCGCTTGGCAGACTTTTTACTGTAGACAGACTCATGGGTGCTCGCATAGTCAGGAGAGACCGTAGACGCATCATCATACACGCTCTCCTCCTCATTGGGGGTCGGGGACATTGGAGATGGAAGATGAGGGGCGATTCGGTTCAAGGCATCTTCATCCAGGGTATGGCGCAGGTCATCAAAGCTAGGCTCTCCTCCATCGGGTGACAAGGGTGGCCCACCAAAGAGCTGTCTTTGCGGGAGAGGCTTACGCTTGACAGCCTTGCTAGTGTCGATTTGTAGGTTTCGTTGAGGCGAGGGAGTGCCTGTGCTGGGAGTAACTGGACGCTGCTCTGAAGTAGGTACTTGACGCGAAGGGAAAGCAAGACCCTCGTCACTAGACTGGTTCTTAAGTGGAGACCCTCTTGCTGCAACGGGTTGCGGGGCGTAGACATGGTAATGGGCCTGGTCGCGGATCTGCTGGAGCCGCTGATCCATGGTGGTATCAGGGTGCTGTTGCTGGTAGTAATGGTGGGGATCCTGGTATGCGAGTGCAGCACCGTCCATTTCCATACCCGTTTTCCCAACCTGATGGAATTGCATTAGAGTCGTATGAGACATACGGTTATTAGCCAGTCTCTGCTCATTGCTTGTTTTCGGGCGGTTGGTAGGCATTTCTCGTGGCCCATGTGCGAAAGTCGGCGGCTTGGTGACGGGGGACGGCGGCGTGCGGGGAGGAAGCTGTTCTTCAAGTTCGAATGGACGTTCAAGCAGTCCCGAATTGCGATCACTCTCAGAGCTGATCCGTTCAGCGATAGGGCCAGCCAAAGCTTGCGCCCGGTCACGCTGCACCAGATCCTGGGCTGATGAATCAGGGGAGCTTTCAATCAACGAGCCGTAGCCATGTCTGGGCCCTGTCTGCAGACCTGTGGTATCCGACATTCCCCTAGAATGATAGCCCACAGGATCGTTCCGAGGAACTTCGTGAATAATCGCCTCTGCAGAATGATTGAATTCGGGTTTAGAGTCTGGAGCAGGAAGGTGTTGACGGGATCCATTCAACGAGCTTTCACCCGGGCGACTAGAGATGCTAGCACGATAGCGAGGTCGACTGCTGTTCACACTATTGGTCCGACTTCGGCCAGTGCTCATCCGCTTCTGCGTGGCATCCTTCAATTGTTTCCTCCACTCGGCTTCGCTCCACTCCTGGCTTCCGGGAATCTGGAGAAGATTGGTGATATCCAAGACTTCCAAGTATCCGTAGCGGCGCTGCTTAGGGAAGGCGAACATGATACTCTTGATATGGTTCACGTCGGCCACCAGGCGAGTCGGACGGCCGTAGAGGTTGAAGGTATCGAAAGTTGGGAATAGGAAACGAAGCATCATCTCGAAGCCGGAGACCGCAGCGTGCAGCTCGGGCATGACAAAGACAAAGCCTTCCGCCGACGTCTGAGGCCCTGAATGCAGGGTGATCCGACCTTCCAACTTCACCAACGTAGATTGATCAATGAGCGCTTTGGACTGCGGGTAGATCGCATATGCCGAGTAAACATGCGTCACTGTCGCAATTGGCTGCACCTTTTTCGTCTTTTTCGTCTCGTAGAACTTGATACTGCCGGTGACCGGCATCGTTAAGCGATCGTATGCAGACCTCTTCATCAACTTCCGGGCCTTCTGGAGCTCCTTCTCATCTGGTGGGTTAATGACATACCAGCATCGCCTCCAGGGCGTGCCAGCGCCGAATCGCACTCGCGCCCAATCCTCATGCTTGAACTTGGTGGGTGCCAGAATGGACTGGATTCCATTGAGAGTTTTACCTTTAGCGGCAATGAGGGAGCCAGTATACGCTTCATAGAGAGAAGTATGTTCGTACATGGCAAGACGAATGGCTGCAGTCCATTGGGTCATCGAGTGGAAGGAGCTAAAATGCAGCAAATATCGGTTCTTCCCCGCGGAGGATAGACTGAGGACGTTCTTCAATGGTTGCACGGCTCCGTTTCTAATGGGTAGCGTTTCGATCTAGCCAGAGTTATGGTATTAGCGTATAATTATGGGACCGCAAGCTTGACTAAGAGCATACCATCTTAATCGACGCATCCGCCAGATTGATATAAGTCGCGGGAACTTCTTCTCCGCCTGCTGCGTCCAGCGCAGCAGCCTCCCAGAGGGAAAGGACGGTGCCGACAAGCTGGGCGTAGCATTCTACCCACTGTCGATCGCCGCAAGGTCGTCCATCTGCGCATCTTAATCAGCTTACTATTTCCCCGCACACAGAGAGGGGGAATGATAAATGCATGTTTGAGCATTCCATCGCATAATTTCAACATACGAGAATCCTGATCATTCAGTTTCAAGAAATACCCTTCATGATAGACCTTGTTGGTGTGGATATTCAGAAAGGAGAAGATCGGCGAGAGCTCCGGTGGAGTATCATGCTCATGGGTCATGAGCGGCGGGTTGCGCGAGAAGATCATCGACGCCGGGCGCGAACTAATTCCCTCGCCGCGAGGGTTGGAGCCACCGACAGGCGACAGTTCCGACGGCGGAGATGGGGTATCAGGCGAAGGCGTCTGCCACCTCGGAGGTGTTTCGGCGGGAGTAATGTTGCGCGAGGATCGCTTACTCTCCTTTCCGGAGTCATTGTTCTTGGATCCTCCCCAGGTTGACATAAACGAAAGGACTAAAGCGAGGACGCAAGGGCGAGTCAGTAATGCCGTTATGCCGAAAGCTTGCGATCCAGCGGAAGCAGGTCAACGGTTCACTTACCACGCGAGCGACCCATGACGTCGGGTGGGTGAATAGATCACCAGCCAAATCCTCAATCTGGCCTTTCGCCAGCGCTGAAGGAGCTGCGCAACGTCTCTAAAAGAGAGAAGGGCGAAGATCCGAGAAGATACAGGGGGCAACGAGAGGACAATTGGAGAAGGAGACAGTAGCGCACGGTCTAGGTCGGAGGAGGGAGAGTGGTGGAGCTAAGAAGCCCGCTAGAACCGAAACACGGAGGAGCAAATTAATCCATGGAGGGGGACATGTGAACAAAAGGGGTCTCCTTGGATAGATTGAGGGGGGGAAGGGTTCACTGGCGTGGAGGATAATAAGAATAAGGAGCCAGTACTAAAAAAGACCAAGAGAACCTGGACGTGGACCAAGAAAGTCGGCAGGAAGTTTTGCTGGACAGGCGCCGCCAAGCGGGTGTGATGACGTTGCGGTCTTGGGAAAGTCAGTCGCCGGGACTGGGTTTAGGCAGCGGGTTCAGCAAGTGGTCACTTCCAGTAGTGGGAGAGGGGGTAAAAGGGAAAGGGTAAACGAGAGGAGGTTGGGAAAGAGAAAGTAAGAACCAGAGAAGAGAGAGAAAGGAAAGATAGCATGACCCGACGGAGAATAATGTGATCACGACGTGTACTCCGTCCGGAGACTGGAGACGGGAGATACTACGGAGTAATCCTATAATACCATAATGCCATAATGCCATCGAGGAGGCAAATGGCCGCATGGCCGTGGGTCTTGCTAATCAGCCATAACCATAATTACCACGCCCAGGAACCAGGCCAGAGTTTAGTTTCTTTCAAGAACTCCAGAGATTCTTCCCTCCTTGATTATAGACCACTAGAGAGTTTCGTCACTAGGCAATGACTATTGGCAGCTGGTGGGACGGCCTTAGCGACTAAGTTTACGGAGATACTAGTAGTAGTGATGGAGTTCAGTTACGGCTGTTAATATGGGGTCGCTAGTTCATTATTAGGAGGTGAGTAGTTACTCCATTTCTAGTCATAACACTTTACAGAATACCATTATCTCTTAAAAGCGACCATTTTGTTGAAACTCTATCATGACAAGTCGAAAGCAAAAAAAAAAAAAAGACATACAGTAATGCTGCGTCATGCTGGACCCCTCGGGTGGGGGACAACCTGTCTTAGACTTTTAGTCCCAAATTTAGCACTGTCTTAGCCAAGCTCAAACTATACGATTCACTCTGATTCTTCCTCATAGTACGGAGTACACAGCTGGAATGTTACAATAGAGTACATAATGGTAATGTACGATGGTCACACAGTCGTAGCCTTATTTCCCCCTTTTCTGCTGCGATGCCTATTTTAGGCTCTCTGGTACTCCATACATAGTCCACATACTCCATACTGGCAGGCCTAAATTCCTCATGGAACATTCGATTTAATCCGCCACCACCGGCCACTGGCCATCTCTCGGCACCGCCTCCCCTTTTCCCTCGCCACTTTCCGTTTCCAAACCACAACTTTAACATTATTAACATTAACATTTTGTACTGTACTACACCTACACACCACCACAAGGCCAAAGTTTGCAAACCCAGTTTTCCCGGCTTTCCCCTGTGATCCAATGAAAATCAAATCATCCAACAAAGTCCAATGAAATCGAATTCAAGCGGGTCAGCGCGGCCCAAGACCACCCCAAAGGCCCATTCACGATTCATTTAAATTCTTTCCCTTTTCGTTCTGCCGGGACGCGCAACGCCTGTGCGGCGAGGCACTTTACATTGGCCAAGACGCACACACCGCCGGGTCTGTCACGGCCCAAGTTGCCTGTCCTCGCGAGTTGATTTCAAGCTTACCCGCTTGCTGGGCCTGCATACCTGCAGGTAGATCCAGAAGGCTCGGCGATCCAGCTGCAGTCGCACCCCCTCGTACCTGTCATGGCCGCTGCCTGCCCGGCAAGTTGTTCTTTGTTCCAGGCTTTCTCCTCTAAGCCGGTGGGCCCCCAGCCTCACCGAACCCGAGATCATCCAAGATCCCGCTGGTCGCCTCAGCTTGAGATGCGAGGATCCGAAAACTCATCACGAACATGCAGGTCTTTTTCTCATTATTTCTCCTACTGTACCTCGAGGCTTGCCTCGCACGCACTCCTGCATTAGACCTCTGACCAACAGCCACAATTTGGCACTTACTACTTTTTAGGCCCTAACCGATGCTCTTTTTGGGCTGGTTACTTACTGGTTAGTTGGTCTTGGGGTCACAGGTGGAGACTTGGCATTGGCACACTTGGTCCGAGTCGATGTCCTCCCGGCACTTCATGTCCAGGTGGTCCTCCCCAGTTATCGTGATTCATCCTGATTTGCTGGTGATTGGCCTGGGGGATCGAGATTGGCTCCATTGTTTGCTATCCCCCAGAAAGAAGGATCCCTGACCCCTCCATGTCCAGATCAGTGCGTAGATGCCCACATTCTTGACTCGAGATTCTTAGGGTATGTGTGGCCAAAGCTCCGATCCGATGCACTGTCGCGCGCCAACAAGTAGCTCTCTCATAGGGCTAATGGGGTCTGTCTGACATTGCCCGCGAGTTGCGACCCCTATAAGCAACGCGTAAGTCAACCCCGTGGCGCCGGGTAAATCCCATTCGAGTTTGGTGTCCGATACCTACAAAATCGCATTCACGATTTCTCTTTGTTGATGGGCTGTTTCAACCTGAATATTTTGTGAGGTTTCTCGTTCATTGAATTCAAAGGAGTACTGTACTGTAGTCATGGTTATTTTTACAATTTGCGTAGATGTCTCAGGTGAGACACGGAGACTTCCGGGGATACACCATTCCAGACGTTGGTGGATCTCGTGGTTAATTTCAAATAGGGCTCTGTCATGAGGTTCTTGCCCCTTCAATGTTCACCCAGTGACACCCACCCCTCCCCTGTCCTGGTCCATTTGTAGGGCGCAAGACCCTGGCACATGGTCCAAGGGGTCATGATTGATCGCACAACGTGGTATTTGATTTTAGATACTATAGACGAATCAGGGTGAGACAGCGGGGAGGTTAGTTTTTACAAACATTATGGATTCAATCTTCCTGATTATACGTGCAGGTCTAGTCGGCGTTCACTCGGTATTACAATATGTACACCTCGTGCAAAATTTTGGCAAACTGGAAGAATCAGCTTGCTGTATCCTCGCAGCTCGCTCAGTGAAGAATACTCCGCTAGGGTCATACAAGCATAGCACCTGCATAAATACTATGTTTTGCTTTATCTCAAAGCATAGAGCGTATTTGATCCATCGCATCTTAACTGAATGATCTGTATGGCAATAATCTATATGAATGCACCTAATAAAGCAAATCATTCATTGGAAAATCTCGCGCGATTCTCATTTTTCAAACATGGTCATTAAATCTCCTCAAAGGCCCGAACAATAAAAGACTTTCCTTGAATAACCACCTTCTCCCCAGGAACCCTCCAAGAACCCTGGCCCTCTCCTTCAAACCCATTCTTCATCGAGGGCAGAGTAGCTCCATCAGGACCAACAACATACTTCTCCTCCCACCCAGAACTCCATTCCTCCCTTCTCGCACTAACTTCAGCACCGGTCCTCTTCAGAGACAAGCTACCCTCCGCATCCTTCTCTTGAGAATGAATCTGGACCTGCTGGAAGGCTAGATATGTGCCCCAAATCCGACCGAAAAAGATCTTGGTCACGGTGACCTCTTCTCCATTCTCGGATACGTTGACGTTGCTATCATCCGATTCGAGGATCCACGAGAGACCTTTCTTGGCACCCTCGGGGCCCTCTCTGAAGGGCAGTTCCCGCCAAACCTCCTCGAAGGCCGTCATGGGGGCGCCGGGTAGATCGGTGCGGGGCATCTCTCCAGTTTCGAGATCATCGCCGTTGGGCAGAGGACTGAAGTTGGCAGGGTCGACCATGCCGATTTCATTAAGAGAGTCCAGTTCGCGGGTGAAGCGCACATTAACTGCGCGCACTGTTAGCATTGATTCATCGAATCATGGAATTCGTGCCTAGATCTTGGGGGGTAACATACGCGGTACTTCACCCGGATTCTCAACAATCCGTGTACCAGCCATAGCCCAGTCAATTGCGCCAGATGCCTTATCCATCCGCAAATCTATGAAATACTCTCCCACAGAGAGAACAATTGTATCGGTCGTCTCTGCTGGGGGCTCGGGGACCCATCGGAGAGAGATACGAGTTGAAAAGCTGCTCGTTGAACCCAGCATAGCACCGGTAGCCGCCATGATGTCGCACAGAGGTATAGATTGAAGGCTGGTTAAATGCAAGAATTGAAACTCTCCTCACGGACAGGCGGGGTAATATCCAGTTTCTTATATTTGAACTGTGGAGGGCGTGGGAGAACTACTCTGAATCGGGGGAATCGACGAATCGGGAAGCTGCAAGAGATGGCGTGCAGCCCTTATCGCTTATCGCTTATCGAGTGGCCTGGTGCCCCGCGAAGGTAGGATTACGACCGATTTGGAGGGAAAGTCCACATTAAATCTTGGTTTCTCTCTGGAATAGTGTTGATTGGAGAACCTGATAATTTCAATTGGCCCAATTCAATGAGAATATACTTGGCTAAATCATTGCCAAGAGGTCAACTGGGAGCCTCAAGACTATGCATTCAATATCACCCCACAGCGGGCCCTCCACTGAACTCGAGGGAAGGCCGATTATGTCAGGCTCTGCCCTATCAATGAATTGCATGATTTGAGAGTCCCTCGATTTCTGATATCTGTCATGATTTTTGAATGCACGATACTCCGTTTAGACAAGGCTTCCATATCAATACTTGTAATGATTTCATAGAGCGCAAGGAATTGGGAGATCCAATCTGATAAATGTAAAACCAGGATCATCACCCATTAAGAGGTCTCAGAAGATTTACATTATCTACTGGATTTGCATGCTGGAAGAAAAAAATGAGTTTATCTCACAGCTATGAATTATTTTGCGATTTTGGACCCTGTGTACATCCTTCAACTAAGTAGGTTAACTGGCGTTGATGATGCGCGAAGGTTGTAACTGAATGTTAGGAAGCACCGATCAAATCGGGTGGGTTTGAATGTATTTCGGCCCAGAAAAAATTGAATTGAACATTATACACTGCTTGATATTGATGAAAGAGCTCAATCGCTAGGTTTGTGTTGGAGTTGTCTTTGTACTTCTCAATACAGTGGCACCTATCAATAAGGAGATGGAAGGCCTTGGCTCAAAGTTAACGCTTGAGATTGGGAATCTTAATTGTTGGGTTATGCCCAGATCAATACTTGAGTGAGCTCAAAGATAAAGATTGAGTTATAAAACTTGCCAGGCTCGATGCAGCTTTTGGTAGTCGTGTCGGTCCTCAACTGGAGCATGCCAATCAAGATCGATGCGGGTCTAGCTCGTCAGCTGGAAATCATCCGTATGGACTTAAGACAGGTGTAATACTGCATTAATATTTGTGAGTTCACCCCGCAAATTACTCCATGCAATTGTGATTCAATCCACCATCCCCGCATCTGCATCGAGAGACCATGTTCATACGACGCCAGCCGAGGTCCCCGGCTTAACCAGTTTGAGCTCCTCGCCCCACTGCGAGTCCCCACCGAAGCATCCCCCCAGACTTTATACTTCATACTACAAGCAATACAGCTCCAACCCCTAGACATTGTGTGTTCCTCGAGAAACCTCGCATTACTCTTGCCCACCATGTCGTTCCAAACTCCACCTCCGAAAACAACCATCTTCGAGATATCCTTCCCCAGTCCAGGAGTCCTGCTCGCGACGATCAATCGTGAGAAGCGCATGAACTCGATCCCTTTGAGAGGTCACCACGAGGGAACAGCACTATGGAACTGGCTTGACAGCGAGCCGTCTATGAGAGTAGGTATCATTACCGGCAAGGGGGCCAAGGCTTTCTGTGCGGGCGCCGACCTTATAGAACAGCGTGATATCAGCCGCGGTGACGAGGCCAGACCTGAAAAGGGCGCCGAAGGCGGCTTTGCAGGGTTAAGTCAACGACGAGGAAAGAAGCCAGTTATTGCTGCGGTCAATGGGCTGGCACTGGGAGGCGGATTTGAAATTTGTCTGAACTGGTTCGTGCATAAGTTTGATTATTGCAGCCTCGGCTGAATTGATGGTTCATTGGCTAATTGAGGTTCTCGTTTTATGCTTAGTGACCTGATCGTTGCATCCCCTAAGGCTTATTTTGGCTTACCTGAAGTTCTTCGCGGCCTGTACGCTGGAGCTGGTGGGCTGTCGCGTATTGTCCGTGATTGCGGAATGCGCATTGGCAGTGAGCTGGCACTGACCGGGCGTCGGGTACCTGCAGAAGAGGCGCTGCAGCTGAGGTTGATCAACCGTATTGCGAGCTCCCCGGAGTCCGTTTTGGATGAAGCCCTGGCGCTGGCCAAGGATATTGCTAGCAAGTCTCCTGATGCGATCATTGTCTCTCGGTCGGGTCTTCGTGAATCATGGGAAACCGCGAGTACGATCGAAGCGGACAAGATCACAGCAGAGAGATACGGCAAGGGGCTGCTGAGCTCGGAAAATCTGAGAATTGGACTGGAGGCCTTTGCAGCTAAGAAGCAACCGCAGTGGGTGGCTTCCAAGCTTTAGACCTTGGGATTGATCTACAACATTCAATGCCATCTACTGTATAGGTAATTTGATTAGTAGTATAGAATCCAGAAAGACAATATACTGGTCAGCATATACGATTGTCTACAACGCTATTTACACATGCGTCTTCACATCTACCACCCTATATCTTAGAGCCCAGAATCTTGAAAGTGTTTCTCCCAGTCTCCTGATCCGAGCCCACCCAAATCGATTTTCCAATTTGCTCACTTGCCGAACCAAGGTCCTTCAAAGTAGAACCATCAGTCGTGATAGCAATGAATCGAGAGCCGTTCTCGTCCAGGCGACCCAGGACAAAGCCCGCCAGAGGTGAACCATCACGATCGTATTGAACTGTGTATGTCTTTCCATTTTGTTAGTCACCAGTGATTTTATCTTGATGAATCAAACACTACTCACCTCGATCCTCGCGCTGCCATTTGCTCTTTCCGCAATAGCTGGTTGGGCATCGCTCACATGCCGCGGAAGGGGATTTCGGTTCGGATAAGGAGCACCGTCGCCTCGTGGCCGTCGAGACAGACACACTGCATGGTGATGTGACAAGACGCCGCCGTTGGCAAGTACGAGACCGATACGGCCATTCCCCCTTCGAAGCTGGCGCACCATCTCTGTAATTGCCTGTTTGAATGGTAAATGAGTGTTTGAAGTGTGGCAGAGGATCGAAATCAACATACATGCATTGAGTAGTTGTTACCCGCCCCGCCAAATGAAGTGAGGCCTCCTAGCAGAGTCGTCGGTCTTTTGCCGCCGTAAATAGGAATACCCAAGTGCAGAGAAGCTAACTTAGGAACAACTGGGAAGCATCTACATGCATTCAGCAAAGTGTTTCTTAGGCACAGAAATATACAGTACTCACGAATAGAAATCGTATAGATCAATGTCCTCTGTCTTCACGTTCGAGACGGCCAAGGTCGCATCGAGACAGGAGGATAAACTTCGACTGGAGTGGAACGAGCTGCGTTCCCAGACTGTTATTCCGTCAGAAAGATTTCATCAATGCATTGCTCATATTAGGGATTCCTCACAATGCTCATAGTCATGAGTTCCCGCACCTCCTAGGGGGAAGATCAATTGAGACTCGGGAACGCCCAGTTGGCGCGCATGCTGGAGGGAGGTAATAATACATGCTGCCGACATGTTCACGGTGTTGAACGCGTTCATCACCAGAGGATCTGCTTCTAGTCAACAAAATAGGGACCGACGCATCTCAGGCTTCCTCTTCTCTTACAAGGTAAACAGATCATTCGGTTTCTTTTTGTAACCTTGCCAATAGTGTCCCCTGTGTCGGGCTCTTTTCCGTGGGTCCAAGCAATGGGATTCTGTGCTGCTACGCGCGCATATTCTGCGTAAAGTTCACTCGATTCTCGGTGGTTATCGGCCAGGCTCTGTCCACGATGTGCACGAAGGGCAGCCTCGTACAACGGATAAACCTGCATCGGTAGGCCGAGTCCGTAATTACTGGCCAGATCTAGAGATGATCAGCCTTTATTAGTGTTGCATTGGATGCCCAATGGCAATATCACATACTACTCTTGTGTCTCCGCTCCCAAATAGAGGTTGTATCATCCACATGTGTCCAACCCGGGGAGGGAACTTTTTCGCAGCTTGAAATGCACCCACTGAGTTTCATGTGTTAGTCAACTTGTCGATACATTTGAGGCCAGCGAGTGTATTGGGAAACTTTACATGATGCAAGGGCCTCTCCACCAGTGATAATGGCCACTTTGCTCTCTCCACTAGCGATGCGCCGGGCAGCTTCATCAAACAACTCGGCTGGCGCATTACCACCATGTTCGCTCTCACGAAGATAAGTAGCTCGGCAGCCTAGTCTGTTGGCCAGAAGCTCTGGGGTATTAGGATACGGCCATGTCCAATTGGCCACGACGGAGATGCTATCGATGCTCTTTTGGAGAGCCTTCCCATCTTGAGTGGAAATCCCAGTATCCTTCAAAGCCACCGTGATGGCTTTTAGCATGAGCTCCAAAGGCTCGAATGCATCCTCCAAGCGATTTGAACGATTCTTGAGGTCTCCAACGCCAATCACGACGGGAATTGTGGCTGACATCATCAATATTGTATACGTGGATTGGGGTTTACAGCGACTTCACAATTGAGCGGACCCGAGGAAAAGGGACAGAAAATGAAAATATAACTTGGTTTACTCTCTCCTGCCTTCGGCTGCTATTATAATTTGTAGTGATGTTGCTGGGTCCTTGTGGGGAAGCGATCGTCAATATGTGCTAATGAATTCCCGTCGGCTTGCACGACGCAATATACCGAGGGTAAACGGCTCCCCCTCAGTAGGTTTCTAATTGCCCCCAACCTTACCATGGAAGGCTCTCGGACTTCACATGACTAATTCATAATATTTATGAAAGTAGGTAAGATGAAAACCTGCTATGATTTAGCTGCTGTTCAGATTGTGGGGCTCTTGGGCTAGCTATAAACCTTTATCATAAAGCCTTTATGGCATCCCTGGTCTTTTCCTGTTCGGCGACAATGGGCATGGTCAGAAGGATCCAACCTGCCACAGTGAAATTAATCAACATTCTCGCTTTCCCGCTGCTCCTAAGCGAGTTGTAGAAGACGCAACTATGTATAGCTCATCGGCTGAGGGCGTGCGAGGCGACGCCGAACCTAAAGCCATCGAGGCTGAAAGTAGTATATAACTGCAAGACAAGCTGTCTAGGATCATTCGTATCCTTCGAACTCGAATTAACGGTCAATACGTTATCTCAAATGGCTGCTTCAGCGATATTCAAACAGCAAATTGAGCTGGTTCATGGAGACTCGACTCGTGGATAGTTCGTACATCGGTTCAAGTCTAACAAGGATTAGTATGCAAGAAAGCCGTTGAACACCCCTGTCAGCAGATAAGAAGCGAAACCCAGCCTCATGCTGCATCTCCGTCCCTCGAGACTCAAGAGAAACCCTGGGCCCCTTCCAAGTTATCAGCTAGACTCTTGACGAAGGGTTGTAATAAGGTCGATTTTGTATGCTCGGCTGTGGATAAGAATGTCGCTAAATCATGGAATAAAGATTGATATCGAGCTGAATCCATGTTTACTGAGGCTGAAGTAGAGTGACCTTCAGTTCAGCTCCCAGGCATTTCCCCACGCAATCACATGATCGCCATTCAGATCAGGTGGGGGCCAACCCACTCCTGACTGACAGTCCCAGCTATCGTTAACCTCAGAAGGCAGGGGTACCAAAGAAGCAATCTCCAAAATGCCACGCATCCGGCTTTCGGCTCTGCTCAAATTTTCCAATTCTTAAAAGTTATCCCCAAGCGAGACAACTCAATTCATGAGCACGTGGACCCAGATTCTTCGTGATAATGGGTGGTAAACCATGGACATCGAGTGGCTGCAAGACATGCAAAAAGCGCAAACTTAAGGTTAGTGATGTTGAAGACCCAAATACATGGATTTTATCTGATTTTGGTTTTTAGTGTGATGAACAAAAACCCAAGTGTGCTCGATGCATCAAGCGTGGTATTGAATGCCTTGGATACGTCGAAAGACGGATCTTCGTGCATCAGGCATCCGCACAACCAGAACTTCTAGACAACGATACGCAGCGGTCTACACATTCACTTCAATATTCTCGTCGGGCACGAGAATTTGTATTACCTGGAGCGCCAAGTACCAGTCCGGTCATGCGTGTCCAGCTCTCTTCGTCATTTCTCGACACATATTTCCCCAGCCACATGGAGAAGATTGCTGGTATCGACTCTTGGTACTTTTTGTTCAGCAGTTGGGTGATGCTTCCGAGCAAAAACGAGCTTCTTGACCGAGCTCTGTCCGCTCTCTCTTGCATCTGTTTAGGCAGGACGAATGATGATCGAGGACTGTATCATCACGGGCTCTTACAGTATAATAAAGCGATACGTCTCCAGTCTAACATGATCAATCGAGGCTTGTGTACCGAGGAGATGTTGTATTCTGCACTTGTGTTCATTGAAGTTGAGGTGAGATCAAGTTGAATTTTTGAAAGCCACGTTGAGACTCATACCAACTAAACAAGAGTTACTCCTGTCCCGAGGGCATGGAAGCATGGTACACCCATGCTGTAGGGGCCTACGCACTTATCAAAAGGTACCGTAGTACAGCGGAAACATCAAAAAGTCCTGCAATGACTTGCCTGTTGAATAGATTTGCGAAGCTTCTCATGGCAAGTTATTCTCCCCACGCCTATTTTCAACTAACTATCTAACCTTTGACACCAGATACTCATTATCTCATCACTCAACGTTTCTGGAGAGGAATATAAGCAGATCGTGCAGTCAAGCCACGAAACCCCTTTTGATGGATTGGTCAAGTTATACGCAGACTCTGCAATCATTGCGCAGGCGGCCAACTCTATAAACCCACGCGACTATAAAGCTTGTCAATTGCTGTTCCATCACAGCCTTGCACATGAACATAATATAATAGCATGGTATCAGCAGATCCAAGAAGAAATAGGCGGAGCTCCTTGGGAATGCGCTGAAGGAGAATCATTATGCGGCAAACTTGCTCATAAAGATGATTTGTTCGGAACATCATATCGATTTACCTCTCTTGAGAATGCCAGGATGCATATCCTGATTTGGAACCTACTACGAGATCTCCAGCAATACATCTCCAAAGCTCGAAGCCTCGTGGGCGCCTTTGCACACGACAGCCTCTCCAAGGACCAAATCAATCGCGAGAGCCAGCTACTCGCAGGCTACTACGCAGATCAAATGGCACGCAGTGTTCTTTACTGCGTGCAAGACGACTTCAAATCATGTGGCATCCAATGTTTAATATTTTGTGTTTGCCAAGCCGCCAAGACATGGATCGATGTCAGAAGAGCAGACAAAATTGCCTGGTCCCAAGAAATTTTTGACTTTGTAGCGAGCTTAGGCTTCGACTATGCCAATCGATTGAAGGAGACCATGATGTCCCAATGGATCCAAGGAGAAAGGTCCACTCTTGGGGGCCTGACTCCTATCAAAGACGAGTTTGAGCGCGTTCGCGAAGTTCGTGATATGGCAGGCGTGGGGCTGTCAGCACGTCCGGGGATGCTAGGGAAACCTTCCATGTTAGACGTGCCCGAGCTTTCCAGTATGTCATCAAAACTGCCAGATGCCAGGTTGAATGTGAGGATACCCATGCGAGAAAGGGGAAGTACGTTATGAATATAATGACTGCGACAGCATGATCGCTGGTGAATCACAACATGCTAGTAGCAGGTTCCTGTACAAAGACAATGTATAGGACTATTGGGTTAATGCTGATGTACCCTGGAATCGACAGGCCACTCGACCGGTAAATCTAGATTGTAGATGCCAATAGACGAGGCTGGGGGTAATTTGACGGCGGGATCTATCTTCGAAGCCAGGCCGAGTCTGCACACAGGCCGTAAGCTGTAGTGCCCGATCAGGAAGCCCAATTATACATTTAGTAAGTTAAAATCAGGCTTGCAAGTGATTCAATTTCAGAAAGTCAAAGCTCAATTTTAAGAAACCAACACCAATAAGACATATGTGGTATTCAGGGCATATCATGAGGTCGTAAATGTGGTGCTCAAACAAAAACTCCATGTAAGATACAAGTGCCGACGAAATATGAGCACTAAAGCTGAAAAGGCTATCAAAAAAGCCGTAGATGAACCGTCTTGGTCTTATTCATTCCTCCATCGGATGATATGAGTGAGCCGGGTCCATCAAAGCCAGCTCATCATGGCTGGGTATCATAGAATCAATGTCTGCGTCCGTCTTGATCGAAAAATCGGAGTGCATCAACATTTCAGAGTCCAGCGCAGTATGTGTTTGCGCTGGAAGAGATACGTTCGTCGCACTAGCAAAGCTTTGGTCGAATTCAAGACCGTAAATGCCGAGCGAGTTTCCTCCGAGGGCAGTCTGATCAGACAAAAGAGCACGCTGCATGAAAAGAGCTTGTACCTGATCCTCGGAACAGCCGTGCTTGGCATTCATGTGCACCCAAAGGTCGTAGTCGCGGTGGAATCGATGCTCACAGGATTCATCGAAACAAGCGATATGGCGGCCTGTTTCTTCGACATAGCCTTGGCCTGTGAGGGCAGCCAATGTCGAGATCTGGTGGGAATTGCTTGGCTTGTTGGTCAGGCCAAGTCGTTCTCGTCGCTCCGCCTTTGAGTTCTTGAATCCCATATGTGATGTGCGAACATGTTCCTCGAGAGCAAGCTTGGTACCATAACGCTTGCCACAGCCATGACCATCCCATCCCGTCACCTTCTTCGAGGCAGACAGATCTGTTTCGCCACAGGCAAAGCGCTTTTCACCTTCGTGAAATGTTCGAATGTGTACAGCCAGGTTCCCCTTTTTGGTAAAACTACGGTCGCAACCGTCAACAGTGCAGTTGAAGATCTTCCTATCTTCAAGGCTTACGTCACCGTGTGCGACTTCAAGATGGCGACGTAGTTCACGAGATGTGGAACAAGTGATTGGACACTTCGGGCATTTGGGAGGGTGTACCGTCCGGATATGAGCTTGTAAGAGAGCATAGGTAGGAAATGTGAAAGACTCATCGGAGACATTCTCAACGGCATCAATGGTTGAGGATTGCTCCTGAAGGTGCTCAATACATTCCGTACAGCTGAAACGCTTCTCGGTGTGTACTCTACTCTTGTGGGCTCGGAGATTGCCAGCGGTGTCAAATGCCATTTGACATTGCTGTCCAGTGCGCTCATTGACATGAGTGCATGGGAATGGTTTCTGGTGCAAGTGGACCGTTATAATGTGTTTTTGGAGGGTAGAATGCTTTCGGAAAGTCTCGTCGCATGGCGGGTACTCGGTACAGCGGTATTTATCTCGACCATCATGTGCAGCGAGATGACGACGAAGACGGGATCCAGTGACGAAACTCTTTCCACAGCCTGGGCGATCGCAGACATAGTCACGGATTCCAGTATGGGCGCTCTTCACGTGATGTTGGAGATGAGAGGCACGCAGAAAAGTCTTGTCGCAACCTTCAACTGCACATTGGAAGACTCGCTCATTGTTATGCGACCGAATGTGTTCTTGTAGTCGAGCAGGGCGGTTGAATGCTTTGTCGCACCCTTCGAACGGACAGCGGTGGGTCTTCAGCTCGGACGGGTATCGTGAGGATGTCGTAGAGATTGGCGTCGCAGGGGTATCGTTCATGTCATCACTGATGAGGCTGGGAGTCTCCGATCCCGAGTATTCAGCGTCGGAATGCACTTCCTCGTAAATTGGGTCTGTTGCGGATTGTTAGTTACTCGATGGGTCTTATCGCATGTGGATATTGTCGTTTACCATCATGGTCCAAAAGATGCTGTTGTCGCCGTTTAGATGGAGAAACCTCTTCTGTAGAGGCCTTTCGTTTCAAGGCCATGACTGAATGTCCCTCGGAACGACAAAGCCATTCACCATCAAAGTCAAGGATGGATGATGTCGTGGTGTTGGTGCACAAATAAAATTATTTTGCCGGTGTGAGAAGGCGGTGGGGCTGAGAACGGACTAGTGCGGTGGAAGATTTTCCGCCTTTTTTGCATCGCGAACCCTGACTTTCGATTGCGCCTAAGGGTTTCTCTCTCATTGATCCCCTCCGACTTCATTCATTGCCATTCAACATGTCGGACTACGGCGGCGACAACGATGCTGAGGAGAAGTATGATATTCTGCCGATTCAAGCTTCTGGAGACTCCGAAGGAGACCCTTCTAAATATGGGTCACTCTTGAGTTCCTGACAGCTTCGAAAAAGAGGAAAGCGCGATTGCTAACCCGGTTCTTCCTGCAGCTACGACTTCGAGCCTCAAGAGGAAGTCTTCGACGAAAACGAACCCGAGGATTTCATCGACCACGAGGGTCTCGAGGGTGACGATGGTGTCGAAGGCGAGTCATACGAGCCAGCCGTGAACGGCGAGAATGTGGTAGTTTCTGGTGACCCCAATGCCGGCTACTCGGGCAAGGTCATGGAACAATCGCGCGAGAAGAAGGTCCCGAACGACAAGCGCACAACTACCCCATACTTGACCAAGTACGAGCGCGCGCGTGTGCTCGGCACTCGCGCTCTGCAGATCAGGTGTGTTCACTCGGCAGCATGGCCAATTCGTTGCTATGCGACGAGGTAGATTCATATGAACTGGGCATAGCTAATATTTCTGCGGTACAGTATGAATGCGCCTGTACTCGTCGACCTCGAGGGTGAAACCGACCCCCTGCAGATTGCCATGAAGGAGTTGAACCAGAAGAAGATTCCCCTGATTGTGCGTCGGTATCTGCCCGATGGATGGTAAGAACAGCCTGGACTCTTGATGACGACGCAAAGCTCCGACTAATATTTTCTAGGTACGAGGACTGGTCTTGCGAGGAGCTTCTTTAGACTGATACCACCCTTCCTTCTGGGAAATTTGGGATTCTTTTTGCTTTTGGGTGGGTTCAGCATAGCGTTCGGAGTTTTGGGAGTCTAGAAACCGAGGCTCAGAGCAAAAAAACAGGCGCATTCGCCGTGGACATGGGCACGAATTGTACATGAGATCTACAAATGCCAAAAAATAGTAATGATGGTTTCTACAATATCTGCGGTGTCGAGCTGTAGTCTGTAGTGGTAGATAAGAGTGGTAGATAAGAGTGCTTCCTTCATCCACATTAGATACCACTCCTGCAAGCACGGAGTATGTCTATCCTGGCATGTTTGTTAATTCATATACTCTGCATATGATACTATACTAGTATATGTACTTCCGTCCATAACCATATCGCCCATTTCTCAACCACGTGAGCCGCGCATTTATCTCCGGGGAGGAACCTTCAGAAGCCGAAGTCCCACTTTTCTCCTTTGGCTCGTCCTCTCGCGCCCTTTCGCCCCCTCGTTCCCTGCAAATTCACGGCACTAATTGTTATCATGATTCGACCTACTGAAAGCTACTTGCGCCAGGCATCGCACAGATCGGCCCTGGGCCCCCTCTCGCCTGGGTAACCGGCACATCTCCCGGGGACTGTCATTGGTTACGCCCTCTACTTGACATCCCACCGCTGGCCTCGGGCTCGGGGCCAAGCAACATGACTTGCCCTCATCCTACCCCATGGTCAAGGCAAGTGGATGCCAGTGGGCCATTCTTGCCAAAATGCTGCTACTTTTCGGTCTCTCCCGCCCCTAGAGCTGCTGCTTTCCCTCTGAAGCCCCGCTTGCTGGCGACTCGGCGTTAGCCTTGAATTTATAATCCGCTCGTAGATTTTTCTCCTTATAATGCAGGACTCCTTCCTGCGGGTCACTCAATCGGCCTGCTTCTCTCTTTTGGGGCTTCGTTGACAGGCCCTCCGTACCATCTGTTCTTGAGGGACTCTTTTCCTCGAGCGATAGCCAGTGTCTGTCCGATACGCCAAAACGGGAAAGATGGGTACGACTAATCTGGATACAGAGAAGAAGGTCGTTGCAGACACTTCAATCATCAACGATGAGGAAAATCAGAATTCCTCGGGGATCAACTCCCCTGTTGAGAAGGCCCTCGAGGAGGTCACGTTCGACACGGGTTTCTTCTCATGGCTGCAGGTCTTGGGTTCGTTCTTCCTTTTTTTCAATTCATGGTAAGTTGCTCCGCAGTGGAAGAGGAAACTCCGTGAATACGAAGCAAAAGCTGACATATGACTCACCAGGGGTGTGATCAACACTTGGGGTGCATATCAAACATACTACGAGCAAAATCTATTAGCCGGCACTTCGTCATCCACCATCGCATGGATTGGATCGCTGCAGTCGTTCCTTCTCATGATGATTGGTGTCATTACGGGCCCTCTCTTCGATGCGGGTTATTTCCGCGGGCTACTCTGCTTCGCCAATTTCATGCTGCCCTTCGGTCTCATGATGACCAGCCTCGCGACCAAGTACTGGCACCTGATCCTCACCCAAGGTATCTGTGTGGGACTAGCGGCCGGATGTATGTTCGTCCCATCGGTTGCCATTCTACCCCAGTACTTCCGTCAAAAGAGAGGACTTGCCAATGGTCTTGCTGCCAGTGGTAGCAGCATCGGTGGTGTAGTTTACCCCATCATGTTCAACCAGCTACAGAATAAGGTTGGATTTGCCTGGGCGACTCGTGCACTTGGATTTCTCTGCTTCGGAACCACTTTGATCTCTGTGAGCATCATGCGCATTCGGTTTCCGCCAAAGGAGAAGCGCAAGCTTTATCAACTCTCTGCCTTCAAGGAGCCTGCATACTGCCTGTTTACCGGAGCAATGTTCCTGGGATTCCTGGGATTCTACAACTTCCTTTTCTACGTGCAGTCCTACGCTATCGATACGGGTATTGTCGATGGCAATCTAGGCTTCTACCTACTTTCCATGCTGAACGCGGCCTCGACCTTTGGCCGTATTGGGCCTAACTTCCTCGCTGACCACGTTGGCCCGCTCAATATGCTCACACCCGCTGTGACCATTACGTCCGTCTTAGCCTTTGCGTGGATTGGAGTGCACACTTTGGGCGGTATCATCGTTCTTACTGTCCTCTATGGGTTCTTCTCTGGCGGATTTGTCTCCCTCCCTCCAGTGGTTATGGCCAGTATGACACCCGACGTGCGCGATCTTGGAACTCGCCTTGGAATGGTCTTCGCCGTCACATCCATTGGTCTATTGATTGGTACCCCAATTGGCGGTGCCATCTTGGCTGACACGAACAAGTATCTCGGTGTTCAGCTGTTTACTTCTTGCTGCCTTATCGCATCTGCGGGCCTCATGGCTACCTTGAGGTTCGTGCGATCTGGTCCTAAGCTTCTCTGCAAGACCTGAGATCGGTCTTCTTGGATCAATATGTGAAGAGTGTGTTGCGGATTCCTTTGCGACAACGAAGCATATTCACTATCAGGGCCTCGATCAAAACCCTCGTCCTGCCCGCTGTAGCCAGGCTGAGACGAGTCCATCTCGCCATCAACCACAAAATACTCGGCCCTCCGTCTGTCGGGGGATTTCAAGTAAGATCTCCACTATTCAAGGCTTATATCTCGACCTACAGGATCACTTTCCTTGTGCGAGCATTGTGCGATCTCGCATTGTTCATGGAAGCATCCCACACCAGGACATTCTACTTTTAGTCCCCACTAGGACAGATTACCGGCATACGGTTCTATGAAGGATTACAGCTGTTGTGAGCTATGCCATCGCATAGCGCCTACGACCTTCTCAATAATAACATAAATCAATACATTGTAATATGCTGTCGCTCTATCAATAAGTTGTAGTGACCCGAACAACCCTGTACAAGTCCCTGATAATAGACAAGAAAAAACCCGTTCCTTTTGTTATACCGTAAATGCGTTGTTCTTCCGCGCTCGCCCTGTCATCCAGGATCATGAGACGTCCTCGGGGTGCACGAGGAAATCTTCGCCTTTGTCGCGCACATGCTCCAACTTTTTGTCCCGACTACAAGGCTTGCGCATATCGAACGCATCCTCGCCATTTTCTGACATGCCTGATGGGTCGTCGCTATAGTAACTCACGACTCGTCGGAAGACCGAATATCTGCAAGAGTTGTCGTTAGCTGGTGAGTTCCTTCCATCGATTACCTCACTTAAGTCTTAACTCACCCCATGCCCTTATACATATCCACCGCTACCTTGTTCCCTGCTCGGACATATAGATCCACAAACCAGGCATTATTGATATCAGACCCTTGCTCCAGCTGCTCGGTCAATCGACTGGCGTATCCGAGTCTGCGCCAGGCCGGTGCGACAGTCAAAACGGTGATGTGGCCGTGCCATGGGGTGTAGTGTTCAGAGTGTTTCATGGAGGGGTGTTGTTCTTCGAGTTTACCCATAACTGCGACATTGTTAGTCCGAGGTCTCCCACGTGTTTTGGAGGTCAATGGGGATCCATACTGTAGCCCACGACGCCCGCATCGCGATCCTTCACTGTGCTGAACAGTGACGGCCATTTTGTCAGGTAGTTGAGGTAGAAACCCAGGTCATAGTTCTCGGTCAATGGATCCAGATTCGTCAGGTTCAGGTCCAGCAGGTCCAGCGGGGACATGCGCGTAATGGAGCTCATCTTGTCGCTGGTGAGAGCTTGGAGGAATGTGGGGTTGAAAGAAAGATGCCTTTTCTACCGGGCGGTGTGGAACTACTTATCGGCTGATAGCGGCCACCAAGGAAATGCTTGGAGTCTGGATATACTACTAACCTAAGTTTAAATCGGTGACAAAGAAAATGAGATAGGCTGATGGAAGATCCATTTACGTGCGCCTCCTAATTCCACAGGGGGCATGAATCTTGTTTGTTAGATCTCATGGAATGCCTGGGTCTAAATGTAAACAAAATGTTCAAAAAAACATGTACATCTGATAAGCCTGACTGCCAGATATATATATATATTTACCAAGTAAATGAGCCTAACCACGCCCGATCATAGCCCGGCCAGGTATCTCTTGCACTCTAAAATAGAGATCATCTGAATTCCATAGGGGTAATGAGGAAAATAATGTCTCCGTTTTATAATCATCTATCGAGTTCCGAGTCTTCTTCACCAGAGCGGGAAAGACCAGTGAAGCCGTGGTGAGGTAAATAAGGAGGATGAAATGCATTTAGCAAAGCCAATATACATTGAGAACTTGGTTCATACTTTACTGATGAATTAGGTATTCCATTTCTCGGTGTTGCTATCATCCACCGCTGTATGGGGCACCAATCCACATTTCCGTAGATTATCAACCTAGTAGTTGTGAGGTGCTGACTGCAAGGTCCCTGTAACTCTGTCTAGAGATGGATTGTTGTGCATAATAAGCACAAAATCAAGATCAAGAGCCGAGAAGTGGCATATGAAGTTCGCAACTCAGCTAGAACTCTAGAAGAACATATACTTGAGATAGACATAGATCATATGCATGGTCGCATTGTAGGTAAGTTCTGGTTGAGGTTACGGTGATAGGTAGTTCGAAGTTTTGAAGACGTGGACGAGCCTTAACTTTTGATATCCCAGCAGTTTTCTCTACTTGTAACCTTTTAGATGGAATCCTGCCTAACCCCATCTTTCTACTTTGGCTGGGCATAGTCTTGCCGAGAAATGAGTGAATATTTCGAAGTTTTGTCGACCTCCCTAAAGTATCGCTTACCCCAGGATCACAAGGTGCGTCTCATCATCTCGCATATCCACTCTTAAAACCCCAGACAAAGCACAGCTGTCCAGTCTTAAGTGTAGCTTGAACCATAGCCACGAGGGCATTAGCATGACGGTAACACGCGCCCAGGGATCCCCCGCAAAGCACCGTTGTACTACAACACCCTGCATATGCACGATGCGGACATCCCGATCCAGTCCCAAGGAACCCCGAGCCACAGGGCTCAGGCTCCATCTACTACCAACCTGACATCATCTTACAGAAACCCACAACCGCAACTGACCGAGCTTCCCTCGAACGCCCCGAAACTTATACAGAAAGCAAAAAGAGCAGTCTATGCCGAGTATCGGGTCAGCCCGTAGATACCGGCGGATGGCGCGGTCTTGGGTCACGATGGCATCAGTCGGCCAGGCCCAGAACGACCAAAGTACGCGACCCAGGGTGAGGATGGTGTGCATAGCTGAAGCTGAACACCGGCGTTGACCGTGCGCGGGGGCCAAGAGGAAATGTGAGCTTGATTCGGTGTGGTGATCAAGGTCGCATGACGAGTAACCTCTTCGTATTATTGCGGAGTCATGGAGGAGAAGAAAAAAACAAAAACAAAGAAGATGAGAAGTTTGGAAAGGGGGCAAGTATAGACTCGCGTGGTATGGAAGTGTTATTGGTCGAGGCGGTTCAGGCGGCCGAATAGTATAGAGAAGCGAGAGAGAATGGATGATCGTTAGCTTCCTCCTCCATACCGAGGGAGTCCAGCCGAATCGAATCGTAGCCTAATCATTATTGTCCTGTAGCTTATAGCTCATATTCGGGGCGTAGTTAGTATAAGCCACCACGACCACATTGACACGATTTCGTCCAGCCACTCGCTAACCATCGGGATATAGCGAGGATATTGCTGGATGGACCATGGACCATGGGTTAAGAGTCAAAGCTCTCGGCGCGAATGCACCTCAAATATAACTTTTTAAAGTAAAAGGTAAATAATATTGATAATTCCAATCCCTAAGACCCATTGCCCCGGGTCACCATGAGCTAAATCTAATTTCAGATACATCATTTCATCGAGAAATCACCTCATCACGGCACCAGTCAACGCGACGGGGCCATCATCAACTAAGCTCCGCACTACAGTCCCGACTAATCGAAATAGGGCACTTAGCGACCACCAATTAAAATTAAAATTCTTAGTATTATTCTTGCCCAGCTTCCATTTTTTTTTAAAGTTGTGGACTGCAGCCGCGATAAGCTGTATGTCGTGATTTGGATCTGGATGGCGACTTTGTTGCAGCATCGATGAACCCGTCGAACGACTCAGCTGCAGATATCGTGCATATGTACTCCGTAGTACAGGTCGTAGTCCGACACAGCTACAACGCCCGTGGTGTGTGATGTCTCCGAGGCCCCACCGTTCCATGTGCGCGCCCCATGCTTGGATGTTGGCTGATATTTCTTGTTTGGAATATGCTGCGGGTTTCAAGACTGGGAAACGGTGCTGCAGATGGGTGTCGATCAGGAATTTCCAAGACAATACGGAGTACATAATGGGGCTATGTGTGGGAACTATAGTAATCTAAGGTAGGGAGATCATGAACTGGTATACAAACTCTTGTTGTTATGATTTCTATACTATGTACTGTATGTATGTGTTCAACTGTATACTAATTGCTACTTTGGGGCTGAGCACAATGGAATGAGATCAGGTGACCTCGGGGATCATTACGGGAATCAGAACCAACCAGTTAAACTCCTGCTCCTCGACCTAACAAATAGAGTAGGGACTACTTTCGAGAGTTCACAGTTTACTGAGTCTAGGGACCTACCCAAGTGTCCACCCCTGCCAAGGGCGGACCGAAAGTGGTCGAAAGCTGTTACTTTGGCCTGTTGCCCGTGCGTTTACTTTGTCATTCGGGCGCGTCAACGGGCCACTAGGGCCAGGGCCCCGAGTGGGTCGCCGTGCGTACTGTCAAGATTCTCTTCATAAGAGGACAGAGATACGAGAGGCAGATCAAGATGAACATTGGGGCTCCACGTCAGTTCGAACTATCCAGATGGAAGAGGATAGTGGACGGGAATGTCACTCCTGAATGTATGTGGGTGCTGACCTTGTTTGGGTTACAAAATGGATTCCTGATTAATTAACGTTATATTAAGCGATCTTGGAAAGGAAAAAAAAATCAGATTCATCAAATCAGCACGCATCCGTAGCTTGAGGCGAATTTCGACTTCCACGTTGGATCTTTCACCATCGGCGCGGGAGATTTCACCATCAGGGAGGGAGCTGATTGGTTCCGGGGCCCCGTTGTCGATCGGCGGCGTGCGTCTGCGTGAGATGATTCGTCATGAGAGTCGACTTGGCAGGGCTTATGTCATCCTTCGGGGTTCCCACGTTGTAGTTAGAGTTTGAGTTTGATGGTGGGAGATGGACATTCAAGATCAGATGAGAAACAAGACTGTATACTTTCCTGGTGATACTCGTAGAGAAAATATCAGAAAAAATATGAAAAAATTTTCTTTTATGAATCACAGAAACTGTAGATAGTATATACAATTAAACTGTTCGTTTAATACTATGTATTCTCCAGTGGAAACTCTGCTCCACGCTCCGTCGTCATCCAAACCCATCGCTTCCACTCTTCCAGTCCGCTTCCAGACCGTCCGCCTGGTTCCACCCCGACACTTCCTGGCTGTGCACTGCGATCTTCGGTCTATCGGTGGACCACCCCAAAGCCAAAAGGACAGTTAATTATTTCATTCTTATGGTGGTTCTCCTCGAAGTTCTTTTTGACTTCTTCCCATCATCTTGGTCCTGCCAAAAGCAAAAATCAAACAAGACCAGAAAACTTGCGGGCTTGTGCAGTACTGTACCCGCTACAGTACATCCACTAAATTCCGTTTAGAGTGAGAAATCTGGGGAGCTTCGATATTACGCCATCGGCTCCCGAATCACGCACAACGCCTCCACCCAATCTTGGTCGTCTTGGTGTGCCCCCTTTTGTTCTACGGTCGTGTCGCCTTGCATTCTAGCTCTTTTCTTTTTTTTCCCATTCGTTTTCGTTGGCCTGGTCGCCATGCGCAGTGCGTGATTGTCAACTTTCAAAAAATACCCGCCTTTTATATTCTGGATCCTCGCCACGTTTTGGAGAATCCTGTCAACAGAGATCTTCGACTACTATCCCGGTCAATCACCACCTTCTCTCCTATCGACCTTTGGTGGGCCTAGACCTGACTGATCCTGGACCCCGAAATTGGATCGAATCTCAATCCAGTGCAAATTGATCTCTCCTCTGGTTGAGATACTCGACCTGCGACTCCCTCGTCGGCGGACATCTTCATCATCCTCAACAACATGGCGGGTGGTGAACGTGCCACCAAGCTGGGCCATGCCCTCGCTAAGGGTCTCGGCATCAAAGTCGCCTATCGTGATCCCCTGGGTCCTGCGACGGACCCGGTCACTCGCGGCGAGTCGACTTTCTCAGTCGGCACTGTCGACACTTATTCTTACACTGAGCCTGAGCCTACTAGCATCGAGTGGATTCGCGAGATTACGCCCACGGGCCAGCAAGTGCTCAACTATCTGATCAGCCTGTTCCCTTTCCTCAGATGGATCAGCCGATACAACGTTCAGTGGCTGATTGGTGACCTGGTTGCTGGTAAGTGGGCGACCGCAGCTCCGAAACTCACACCATTTCTCTAAGAATCCCAAGCTGATGATGATTGAACAGGTATCACTGTGGGAGCGGTTGTCGTGCCTCAGGGTATGGCATACGCTAAACTGGCTGACTTGCCCGTGCAATTCGGTCTATACTCTTCGTTCATGGGTGTCTTGATCTACTGGTTCTTTGCTACTTCCAAGGATATCACTATCGGAGTAAGTTTGTATCAGGACGAAGATCGTCCACCCTCCTGAGAAACACTGTCGCTAACCGATGCGTTACTCAAACACAGCCTGTGGCCGTCATGTCTACTCTGACCGGCACAATTGTGCTCGACGTCGCAGATAAGTTGCCCCACGTTCCAGGCCACGAGGTCGCCTCTTGCTTGGCGGTGATCCTGGGTGGTATCGTTTGTCTGCTGGGTCTGCTCCGACTTGGTTTCATTGTGGACTTTATCCCCCTCCCGGCCATTTCTGCCTTCATGACAGGCTCTGCGATCAACATCTGCGCGGGTCAAGTCACGACCTTGCTCGGCCAAACCAAGACGGTCAACACCCGCGGTCCAACCTACTTGACCATCATCAATACCCTCAAAGCTCTCCCCAGCTCAACCCTCGGTGCTGCCATGGGTGTCACGGCCTGTGCGATGTTGTACATGATTCGTGCAGGCTGCACTTACGCCGCGAAGAAGCAGCCACACCGCGCGAAGACTTGGTTCTTCATCTCAACCCTGCGTACCGTGTTTGTCATCCTGTTCTATACCATGATCAGTGCTGCCGTGAACATCCACCGCCGGGACAAGCCAGCTTTTAAGCTGCTGGGAAAAGTGCCTCGTGGTTTCCAGAACGCTGCTGTGCCGAAGATGGACACCGAGGTCATCAAGGCCTTTTTGAATCAGCTTCCCGCCGCCGTGATCGTCCTCTTGATCGAGCACATTGCTATTTCCAAGTCCTTCGGCCGTGTCAACAACTACACCATCGACCCCTCCCAGGAATTTGTCGCTATTGGTGTCACTAACCTGCTGGGTCCTTTCCTGGGTGCTTACCCGGCTACCGGTTCGTTCTCTCGTACTGCGATCAAGTCCAAGGCTGGTGTTCGCACTCCTCTCGCTGGTGTCATTACCGCTGTCGTCGTGCTGCTTGCTATCTATGCTCTTCCCGCCCTCTTCTTCTACATTCCCAATGCCTCGCTCGCCGGTGTCATCATCCACGCCGTGGGTGATCTGGTGACTCCCCCAACACCGTCTACCAATTCTGGCGGGTTGCTCCTCTCGACGTCATCATCTTCTTCGTCGGTGTCTTCGTTACTATCTTCACGTCCATTGAGAACGGTATCTACTGCACCATCTGTGTGTCCTTGGCTGTTCTGCTCTTCCGCATGGCCAAGGCCCGCGGCCAGTTCCTCGGTAAAGTCAAGGTGCACTCCGTGGTCGGCGACCACTTGTTGGATGGCGATGGCAAGTATGGTTCCTTCGGTGCCTCCCGTGCTGTATCTGGGGACGAAGACCCCACTCATCGGTCCATCTTCCTGCCCGTCAACCACGCCGACGGCTCCAACCCCGACATCGAGATTGAGCAGCCTCACCCGGGTATCTTCATTTACCGCTTTTCCGAGGGCTTCAACTACCCCAACGCGAACCACTACACCGACTACCTGGTGCAGACCATCTTCAAGCACACCCGTCGCACGAACTCCAACGCCTACCGCAACCGCGGTGACCGCCCCTGGAACGACCCCGGCCCCCGCCCTGGCAAGAAAGACGCCGATGAAGACGACCAGCGCCCTCTTTTGCAAGCCGTTATCCTGGACTTCTCCTCTGTCAACAACGTGGACGTCACCTCGATTCAGAACCTGATCGACGTGCGCAACCAGCTCGACCTGTACGCCTCCCCTCGCTCCGTGCAATGGCACTTTGCCCACATCAACAACCGCTGGACCAAGCGTGGTCTCGCCGCCGCCGGCTTCGGTTACCCCACCCCGACTTCTAGCGAGGGCTTCCACCGCTGGAAGCCAATCTTCAGCGTTGCCGAGATCGAGGGCAGCTCTTCCGCCGCTGCGCACGCTGAGATGGTCAACAACAAGCGCGAGCACAACCTGCACCACGTTAAGGATGTGGAGGCAGGTCTGAAGGATCACTCTGCCACAACCGAGACCGAGACTCATGGTATCGAGACTGCTTCCGAGGACAGCCAGCCTGTTCACGACGACAAGCTATCCCGCGATCTGACCTCCAGCCACGCCTACAACCAACGGCGCAAGGTCGCCATCGTGCAAGGCATGAACCGTCCATTCTTCCACATCGACTTGACCAGTGCTCTGCAGAGTGCCGTTGCGAACTCGTCCAACGAGATCCCCCACGTCTAAAAACAAGAAAGAAACGAAATCTCGTTTCCTTTTTTATCGCATTTCCTCTTATCACACACACTCTTCATTCAATTTCGGGCTCTTTGCATTGCATATTACCTGCATCGTTCCATGGACAACTCCCTGGTTTGGAAATCCATTTGATATGCCCCCAGATATGACCTGTTAATATCTTTGCTCATCATCACTTTTTGTTTCTTCTCTTCTTTTGGTGTGGGGATGATCATGCTCACACTTCCTTCTCCCTTCTGTTTGCTTCCGGCGCAATACACACATTGTTTTACTTGTTGATGGAAATCTCTGTTTTGGGCTTGGATGGATTTTGGACTTTCAATTTGGCTGGATGTTCGGGAAATTAATCGGGTATCTGATCTGATCTGATCTGTCTGATTTTGTTGTTTTTGCTGTTTCGGATACATGGTTGATCTTTCGATACCTCTTGCCTATCATCATATCTGTCTTGCTTGGGCTTGAGCCCGCTTGGATTACTTGCTAGGGATACCCTCGAATCTATAGAACGCTTTTTGACTCTCTATTCTTTCCTCCATCGTATCATCTCATAATATACTATAGAGTGTAGTTCGTTCAGAACAGAGAACTGCAGTAAAAATGTACAGCGAAGATTACGATTTGATATCATAATGCGAATCACCTGTTGAAGACTGCATTGAAAGATTATGCCTGATATGTACCGATATGTACCTGGGGACATGATTGGAAGTACTAAGAAAGACATCCTTTCAGAAAGAGGAGGCTGAATCACATACAGACCCTTTATACGTCTCTAGATTCCCTGGTCTGTGCTCCTACTGTACTTGGAGACATAGCTATGCCAGCCCTCGGACCATATGATCTTCGTTCCAGCTTTCAAGAGATACTCGATATTGAATTGGTGATTCTGACTTCCTGCATTTCCTTTGCTCAAGCGTGATCATAACCGGCATTCGTTAGCATCAACGCTTGTTATTTGACCCATCATTATGCATTTAGCACTACTTGAAGCTTGACAAGGCAACGAATCTATTCCAGACCATCGCAAAAGGCCAATTATCTGAATAATTCAATCCTCACTCCCAGTACCAAGCAATAACAGGCTAGAAGAAATGACACCTAATAGATACTGTATTCACACAATTCCCCCCTTTTCAATCCTCATCACCACTCAACCATCACACAAAATACCCATAAAACCCCCTATCTCAAGACACCACCCACACCAGCCCACCCAAGCACAAACCCACTCAAAGCCTCACTAACCACACCCCCACCAAACCAAACATCCCTCCACCCACCGCTCCGCAACACATACCCCCCACGCTTCCCGGCCTTCTCCATGCGCACCGCGCCGCCCTCCATATTAATACGACCCTCGATCTCGCCGCCACTGCTGCCGGGGAAGAACGCGCCGGCGCCGGCGCCGGCGGAGCGCTTTAGGATGACGACGTGGAAGAGGGCGGAGACGAGGACTGTGCCGGTGAAGTAGAAGGCGAAGCCGGCGGTGGATTGGAGGGCGAGGATGCCGGCTGAGATGCCGAGGAGGAAAGCTGTCAGGGAGTGGAGGGATGATAGGACCTGTATGGATTTGGGAGTTAGATGGTTGAATTGAGTTGATTGAACTGGAGGAGGAGTGGTTTTTGTAGAGTGTAAAGAGGAGAGGAGGAGGAAGTGAGGTGTGGTTGCAGATTAGATTGGCCGATGGTGTTGGTAAGGTTGGTTAGACGTACCCGGTTGTTATGCTGAACAGCCTCGGGAACGAGGGGGATTAATGAGCAGGGAGAGCTCCTGCTTTGTTGGTGCCATTTTGAAAGATTCTTTTATGATCTAGCTCGAGGCTTTTAGATGGTGGATTCGCAGCAATTCACGCTCTGAGCTGCTAGCTGGCGGGATGAAGCAGCGGGCGGGCTTGCGTGATTTGCTTCAGGGGGTTATAGATTCCGAGCCAATTTGCAATCTGAAAAGAGATTGTTGGGTATTGATCGATGGATCGATGGATTGGATTCCGTACCCAGCCACCAAGTCGTAGTGGATGAGATTCATCAGCGGGGAGAGGAGAGGCGATGTTGCGCAGAGGTTCGGAGGTTCGGGCACGGGTTTCTAGAAGTGCACGGGCCATGTGGATTTGCTGCTTCGTGGAGTTACAGTATCCGGAGGCTTAACATAGTACAGCCATAGTCTACTTTAAAGAAACATACAGAATACAGAAACAAGTCACAAAAATAAAAATCATGTTCATATCTACGATTAGCCCAGCCATTTTCAATGTTCAGTAGCCCGAAGTGTCCCCTCATCATGAAGCCGTTTCTTGAAGACATCACTGCGTTTGATACATGTCGAATCTCACATCCATCGTATTAAGGTGAACAAAAGATCACAGAACGAATGAAGCAGAGGAAATGAAAAAAAATGGAAGAAGGAAAAAAAGAAGGAGGAAGAAGAAAAGAACCGGGGAGGTGCGATCAAGAGAAGAGATGAAACATCCACACATGATGGGATGCAAATGACAATCAGATGTGATCGCTGGGCAGAAAGATCGGAGCCGTGCAAGGGAATTCCCCAGCCAGGCCCCATGCCATACTCTGAATCAAAAATCAGAATCATATTTAGGAAAGATTTTCGAGCTTGCCCTCTGCGCGGGCTTCTCGGACCTGATCGAAGACCTAGATTGGAAGTGAATTAGTTGTCTGAAATTGACCCCGACGAAACATCGTACGAATGGAAAGGAAAATTACCTTCAGCATCTTGTTTCTCGCACCCAGTGCGTTGACACCACGGTCCTCCAGGGCCTTGTCATCGAGCTCGACCAGCTCCGTCCACTTGAGATCCTTCAGATTGTCGGTGTACTTGTGCAGCCGAAGGGATCGCAGCCAGCTGGGGATGTCCTTCAGAAGAGCCGGGTCTGTGGGGTCCTCTGGCGGCTTCGAGCTGCCACGACGACCGCGCGGCGATCGCCCACGGGTGACCTCCGAGTGGTCGGACAGGTAGCCCTCACCACCCAGACCGAATTGTCCGATGCCCAATGAGCCTAGTCCGTTGCCCATCAGCGGATTGTTCGGGTCATAGGCAGCAAGGAAGCCGTTGTTCTGCGGCGAGGTGAAGCTCATCGCACCGAGAGCACCACCCTGCATGGCAATGCCGGGAGAGGTAGGGCGAGATCGTCGTCCTGCCATGGCGGCTTGCTGCTGAGCCTGCAGTGCCGCCAATTGCTGGGCGTTGAGTAGCTGACTGGCCATCGAACCGTGCAGACCGGGGCTGTGCAAGCCCTGGGCGATAGTCGGGTTGGCCGCGGAGTTCTTGCCCTGGCCATCGTTGGAGCGGGCCCGTCGGTATTTGCGAGCATCATCCAGCGCAATACGATTGTTCACAGTGGACAAAGCAGCCAGCTTCATCGCGGTGGCGTTAGCCACCATGTCAGCCTGGGAGTTTGGTCCATTGCTCTGCCCGAAGGTCGCGGTCATTGGGGTGTTGGTCATCGATGCCCAGCTGTGGTTTCCAACGTTGTAAGGCGAAAGCAATGGCGGGTCGATCTCGGGCGCGGGGATCGTGGCAGTCTGGGGCAGAGGAGAACGCATGCCAGACTGGCTGAACTGGCCCATGGGTTGATGTCCGGAAGAAGACTTCGGCCGGGCAATCGGGGGCTGAGTATCCGAGAGACCACCACGCTGACCCCATGGGGAAGCAGGAGGCTGGCCTAAATTGTCCGAGCTATTGTCCGGAGCGGAAATGGTGGGTGCGACAAACGAGGTACGGTCTCCAAAGACCGCACTGTTTCGGTTTGATGGAGGGGCATTGCCGGTCTGCTGTGTAAACTCGGCTTTCTTCTTCGCGATAGCAGCCGCGGCATCCGGGAACATGGCATTAATAGTAGAGGAGTCGAGACCCGAGTTGCGCTTCGCACCCGGGGATGGCGGGGGCCGGCCCAGGGAATTCCGAGAGGTGTCCATATTGAGTTTGGACATTGCATCGCTTAAGCGGCTTGACATGGCATCTGATAAGAAAAAGAGGGTGTTAGTTGTATGCTATTTAAGATGAATAGAGATGCCAGATAAATCTGATTGCGTTCATATTACCTTTCTCACCAAAGTTGGCCGGAGAAAGAAGGCCAGACATAGGATGACTCTGGGACATTTGCTGCAGTACCTGGATGAAGAAACGAATCTGCACCTGGGTGGTCTGCTGCAGCAACGCATACAAAGCTGCTGTCCGCTCCGCCTCGCTCAGAACACGGAACCATTGCTCAATAGCGCTGAGTTCATCCTTGAAGTCCTGATCAAGAGTGGCAGCGGCCATTTCTTCCAGGGTTGTCTCATACTGATCGATATCCGCCAACCACTGTTGAGCAGCCCGGTCCAAGGCATCCTCCGTTGAGTTTTGACCTTGAGATTGTTGGTTGAAGAAAACCTCCGAGGACGGACGCATGCTGCGGGAGGACAGCGGCGAAGGGAACCCAGACATATCGGCGGATGCCCGCAGCTGGTGCGATCCGAGGTTGCGGGCAGATGACGGGGGACGCAGGGAAGAATTCGGAGCGGCCTCCGGAGTGCTGTTGCGGTTGCCGATGATATGGTTGGCCATGGCTCACCGGGGTGGGACAAGCGAGGAGTTGCAAGTGTGAATAGTAGATACAGTGGGAGTTTGGGGGTTGGAAAAGATTACTGCAAAACACCTGCAGCACCTGCTGAGTTTGCGTAACAAGATTAGAATCAAAGAACTTGATGGACCCAGACGTGAAGATTCACGATGATGTCAAAAAAGGACTGCGATGCCTAAAATCTCCAGTCTAGGCGACCACAGTTGGGCGGGCACAGACCAGGCCAGTGGGCTGCACCTCGAGTTTTGGGAGACGTTGTGGATTGGGGGGAATCCGAAATATTAGGCGGGAGAGGGGACTTGGAACGAAGGAAAGTCAGGGACCAGGAAGGCAATAGTGTGTCAAACACAGCAAGCCAGGCCTAGTACCCAAAAGAAAGGAAAAACAGGAGGGGAGGGAGGAAGAGGGGGAGAAGAGAGAAGGAGAGAGAGAGAGTGAGAGAGAGTTGTAAGTTGGGGATGGTGGAAAAAGGACGGAGGAAGAAGTGCGGCCGCCGAAGAGGGCTTTTCTGTTTCAGGGTCACGGGGTTCTGCAACGCAAACTCCGGGAATGAGGGAATGAAGAAAACGTTAACTCGGCATTCCTTGTCCACCGTCCTTAAATGACTTTTGATCAAGACTACTGCTTGTCAACTCGACGCTTTCCTTTCTGATTCATCCAGTGTATCGCCCCTGGTGGAGCTGTTTCTATGAATAAGCAGGGCTGCTGCATCTGAAACGCCTGGAGAGACTCGGTGCCGCGCCTTGACTATACGGTCTGGCCCGGTCCCAGCGCGTTGGTTCTTCACGCACGTCGCCTATCAGTGACATTCTGGAGACTTGCCAGACGATAAAATCATTACAGTCGCTGTCACTCACTACAGCTTAGTGAAGGTTTATTATTCCTGTGCCACCTTTCAAAATCTCTGCGCGGATGGTCCACTAGACCCCGTGAATCGTCATCGCCATGGCAGATCCTGATTATCCCATGGACTATGTCTCCCCTCCCGGAGAGCCATATACGTACCCAGATATCGACGAGACCATTCAGTACCCGTGGCGGGAGAATGATGCTGTTGCCGCTCAGGGCAATCCTGCTGACCCGGTGATCGACCCGCGTTTGTATCAAGATCTTTTTCTCTCAGAACGCGCCTGGGAACCCAGTCCAAGAAGATGGGGATCTGTCCGAGGATAGTCAAGACTCCCCGGGTCAAGGCCAGGGATTTGCTGACGGTATGGACGATGATGAGTCCGACTATGAGTTTTCGCAGCAGGGAAGCGGAAGGTATGCGTTGCTCCATATATCCTTCAAGTCCATTCTTGGATTGACAACCATCATAGTGAGGAGGGAGAAGACGACGACGAGTCTTTTGAAGATGATGATTCTGATGACTCCGCCGTGGCACGACGCCGTCGTCGAGGTGGAGGGCGTTTTTCCGGCCGTTATGGTGCCCGAGGTGGAAAGGGTATCAAACGAGGACCACGCAAAGCGCTGGATCCTGGACCAGAGTTCAAAATGTTCCATTCAGAAGCCACCTCCGCTTTCATCGATGGTGATTACGACCGCGCTCATGAGTTCGTGAACCAAGCAATTCAGATCAACCCCGAAATGTTCCCGGCTCATTCGCTATTGTCGGAAATTTGGCTGGCAAAAGGGGATAATGCCCGAGCCTTGCAAGCGCTTTGGAATGGTGCTCATACCCGACCAAAGGACCCTACCGTTTGGATGAAGGTTGCACGCCTTCTTCTGGAGCGCGCTGGTGAAAGTCGTGCGAGTGCATTGAACGACGTTATCTATTGCTACAGCCGTATCGTTGACATCCAACCTGGAAACTACAATGTCCGATTCCAGAGAGCAGCACTCTATCGGGAACTCGGACACAATGGTAAGGCTGCTAGTGAGTACGAGCGTATTTTGAACGACAAACCATACAGCACTCGAGCTCTTCGACACATAGCAGAGATCTTCATTGATCTCAACGATGTTGACCGGGCTATCACCCATTGGTCAAAAAGTGTCAACCATTTCCTATCGCTTGACCCAGACCGAGTTCGAGATTTCTCCTGGTCCGATATCAACATCTATGCCGAGCTCTTTGGATACGTGAGCCGGCCCAGGGAAGGGCTCTATCACCTCAAAACGCTCTCTAGATGGATTTTGGGTCGCAAGGATGACATTATGTGGGCGGATTTTGAGGACGATGACCGAGAATGGGACTCTCAGGATTCACCCCGCCGAATCAAGACCGACGGTTACATTCCTGGTCACTGGCCACGAGATAGCTATGGACTTGGGCTCCCTCTCGAGCTTCGTGTCAAAATGGGGATGTTCCGATTGAGGATGGGTGACAAGCATCATGGAGAGGCTATGGTGAGTTCAAAGCAGTACCATCCATGAATGATATTGGAAATCTACGAAACTAACACCGGAGCGCTCTAGCATCATTTGGAATACCTAAATCCGGACGATACCTCCGAGGGGGCTCGTATCTTTGACTATGGTGATCTTTTCCGAGAAGTTGCAGATGCCTTGAAAGATGTTGGGTTGCTTGAAGAAGCGCTTCGCTTCTATGAACCCATTCAGCAGACCGCGGAATATGCAGACGTCGGCTTCTTCCTGGCCATGGCCGATTGTTGCATGCAACTGGGCAAGATCGAGGATGCTGAAAGCTGCTACCTCACTGTTGCCGACCATGACTCAAGTAACATAGAGTCTCGCGCGCAGCTAGCAAAGCTCTACGACAGCCTCGGAATGCCTGATCAGGCATACAAGTATGTAAATGAGGCTGTCTTGCTCAGCCGACAGGAAACAAGGACTCGTCGGAGAAGAAAAGATGCTCGGCTGGAGCAGCTTGCTGCCGAATTTAGGAGGTCTGAACCTGTGGCTCTCAGGCCTATTGCGCCTAAACCTGGCCCAGTGGAGCCATGGCCTGCGACTGTTTCTGGGGAACAAGAGCCTGCTGTACGGCGAGGTGAAGCTGCCCGTACAGAAGATATCAAGTTCCTTTATGCAATGATGCAGCAACTGGAGCCCAAAGTTAAGGACGGAAATGCCGAAGCTACCGAGGACTGGCTCGATATTGCTGATGCCTTGCTACGCGAGTTCCGATCAAATCGGATATTTTACCCCATGGCACGCACGACCGAATTCCAGGGTTATTCCAGCCAAGCACAACGGAGGGCCAACGGGTCTAAGAACAGTGTCTTTTTGAATGAAATGGAGGAAATCGCGGGGCGCTTGCAGAAGTCGAGAGGTGAGCCCCCTCCTTCGGTACTGGAGATTAGAATTGGACTAACGGCAAAGTGCAGGTGGCGAAGACGAAGAGGAACCACTACAAGGTGCTATTCCAACGGAATATCACGGCATCTCATTTGACATGTGGTTGGACCTATTCCTCCAATATTCCCTCACTATCACCGATCAGGGTGAGCCAATTGAAGCCTACGAAGCCCTCGAAGGTGCCGCGACAGCTAGCGTTTGGTTTCACGATAAGCGCAAATCTCGCATGATCCATGTTTGTTGGTTCAGTAAGTTGTTCTCCACGTGCAATATTTCGTGCTTCCAAAGCTAATACAATCATAGCGTGTGCGCTTCGAGCCCAGGATGAGGACGCGCTCACGACCGAGGCTCGTTGGTTCGTGAAGGAGTATCAATTTGTCACAGACACCTATCGCCTCTTCTCGATGCTGAGTCACCTAGCTGGGAATCCTCGGAAGTCCCTCTTCAACTCCTCTCCGAGCATGAAATTTATGCTCCGCCAGATCAAGGCTATGGACTTCACCCTTCCAGATGCGGATGACAAGCCCAAGCCGCCGCGGCAATCAGTTTGGCGGGAACGTGCCGCTCTCTCCACCAAAGACGAGCATGGGAAGGACATTCCAGCGTCAGAGCTTGATATCGCTCTGCTTGTGCTTTACGGACACATTCTCTATTCGGGAAATAGTTTCTACCCAGCATTGAACTACTTTTTCCGCGCCTACGCTCTCGATGATCAGAACCCAGTTGTTCTTCTCTCCATTGCACTCTGCTTCATTCACCATTCCCATAAACGACAGTGTGATAACCGACATTATCTCATCATGCAGGGTCTGTCATTCATGCATGACTACCGCCGTGTCCGCGGGAAGCGCGGAGCTACACTGCAAGAGCGTCAAGAAGTGGAGTTCAATTTTGCTCGTGTATGGCACGGCCTCAACCTGTCTCACTTGGCTGTTGAGGGGTATGAACGAGTCCTCCAAATTGGCGAAGAGATCCATCAGCAGGCCATGAAACAATCCAAAGACTCAACGGACGACGCCGATGTGGATATGAATGGGGCTAGCGGTATTGCGGTGACTTCAGGCCAGAACTTTGTGGAGGACTTCTCGCGCGAGGCTGCATTTGCTTTGCAATGCCTGCATGTACTCGGTGGCGATGCGGGTACTGCTAAGGATGTCACGGAAAAGTGGCTTGTCATTTAATGGAGATGGATTTACGCTTGTTCATTTATTCAGCGGGTGGGGAGTTCTACTTGGGATAGCATAGAAGACGGCGTTTTTCGAAAGCTCATTGCTAATGAGCAATACTTCGGACATAATTCGGGCATGTCCTGCCAGATACGGAAATACTACTTGACTTGGAAGCAACATCAACTTCACTACAGCGATTCAGGAAGCAATTCTCCTCACGGGGATGGGTTGGCTTTCAAAAGTAATTTGCGCGACATGAATCTCCTTGCCTTTTCACATGCCTGGTCTTCCTGCGTTCCACCTCTGTCTTCTACCCTGTTAGTATCTCCAAAAACGGGAATTGTGTCTACCAATCAATTCAATTGTAACCGCGGAATCTCATACCGCTCTTTCCATAGCCCCTTGACCAGCGCCAAATGGTTCCACGCAATCAATCGAGATTATTAGTAGCACTCTAAACTGGGTCAATCCAGAAGTCGGCTCCAGCTTCGGCATCCATAGACTTTCTGAAACTCGGACCAAATAGGCTTCTCTGCGAAATGAGGTGCCGAGTTGTGCTCCGATCTCCACAAGATAACTCTAATTCATGCGTACCCCAAAATGAATCGTCCAATCCGGGGTTTCCCCGCATCATCTTAAAGCTTGAAGGAGATCTGCCAGCCACAAGATTTGCAGATCTTAGCTTGCCAATTTCTCGGGCGGGGGGAAGGGTATTCAAGGAATGTTATGTAGGGGACTCGTGTGCGGACCGACGGACCGATGGAGCTTTGGTTTCACGCGAAACTCTGCTTTTCAATTATTAGGGCCTACTTCACTCTACTCACCATTTTCTAGACTTTTATTGGTCAAAGTCTTTCTCGGGGGAGTTCCCGACAATAACTGCCGCTTGGCATTGAATCGTCATAGATTGCACAGGTTGAGCTCAGAATGTTGTTTATATAAGGAGGACGCGGAGTCGACTTTACTGTAAGATAGCTTCTTTGGAATAGTTTCCAGACGTTCTTCTAGGGGTGATCCTCCTATTCTTTTTATCTCAATTCCAATTTTCTCTCCAACTTTGCTAGACACCCGAATTCAATCATGACTTACGACAACAATCCCAACACCAAGGTTGGAAACAACATGTCTTCCTCTGATTCCAACACCGATGACATTGAAGTCGGCCGCTATGGCCCATTAGCCCATATAAACACTGCTGAAAGCCGCCTGCCCGCTTTCGGGGGTGAATTCCAACCCGGTCTGTACAGACCAGTGAAAGACAGGAAGATCGCCAATCCTGCGCCACTTGGGTTGTGCGGTTTTGCTTTGACGACCTTCATGCTGGGATGTATTCAAATGAATGTCAAGGGCCTCAATAAGCCAAATTTCATTGTTGGGCCGGCCTTGGCTTACGGTGGACTGGTCCAGCTACTTTCTGGAATGTGGTATGTCATGTAGGACCATGGACTTGGTGATACGAAGGCTAATATTCTCCGATAGGGAAATGGCTGCCGGAAACACTTTTGGTGCGACTGTACTATCCTCTTACGGTGGTTTCTGGATATCAATCGCAATCACTTTTATCCCTGGCGGATTTGGAATCATTGGTGCTCTTGAAGAAGCTGATAGTGGTTCACCTATCATGTTTTACAATGCCTTCGGCTTATATCTCATGGTATGTACTTGTACTCTCTCTCCTACTAGAGTTGACCAGCTAACAAAGATAGGCGTGGTTTATCTTCACGTTCATGATCATGCTTTGCACAGTCAAATCCACTGTGGCATTCTTCTCTCTCTTCTTCGTGGTCGACATTGCTATTCTTCTCATCGCCTTATCCTACTTTTTCCCGACTGCGCAAGAACTGCCAAATGAAGGTCTCATGAAGGCAGGTGGGCTTCTAGCTTTCCTAGGGGCTTTCCTGGCTTGGTACAATGCCTTTGCAGGTATTGCTGATAATAGCAATAGCTTCTTTGTTGTTCCCGTCGTTCATTTCCCGTGGTCTGAGAAGGGGCGGAGCGCGAGACTGAGAAAGACCGCAAGTGGGGCTGCTTGAGAGATTTCTCCAGGTTGAGTGCATATTCTTTCTTTCCTTACCCCAGAAACAAATTGATAGCTAGGGTATCTGAATGGCAATTACATCCGGAATGAGAGATTGGTATTCATTTGAATAGGCATAGTTTTCACCCATCTAAGTTGAAACAAGAGTATATCCATCCTAAGAGATTTCATATTATCACTCTATATAGAACATTAAGATTGCAAACCACTTCCTGACTTATACTTCGACCAGGGTGTTCCTTGTAAGACATGGGCTAGTCCCAACCCGAGCGACTCAAGGGAAGCAAAGACTTCTTGACACCACAGGTAGCGATCGTGAATATCATTGCGATAGAAGAATTGAGCGGCCATAGACACGGGGAAGAGCAGATTATGCCCACCTAGAATATGCATGTGTGGTTGAACAAAGTACCCCACGCCACGGCAGATCTGGTCGGTATAGAGTTCGGCCTGCTTCTTGTATGAACCAGGCTCGCTTTGGTCGAAGATAGGGATGAGATGTGAACTTTGGGATTCAACGAAGACGGCATTAGAAGATTCCTCTCGACGCTCGATCTCTTGGAAGAGGGTATAGATGACAAGTGAGGCAGCCCAATATAGCATATGTGCTTCTGCTATTTCAATAGAAGCAAAATGATATGTTTCGGGGAAGAGTGACTTTGTCACAGGGGATCTCGGAATGTCGGCTTTGTTAGGGATGGCCCTATACAATGGACTCGGCGATGTGGATTTTAGCCTTGTGTACCATGACTCGGTTTGCCGTTTTAATTGATTGCACAGTTTCATCAACTGCCTTGTGTCATAGTCAGAGCGTGTGTTGTCAATATATTCGAAGAACAGGGTACAGCTCATGAGGATGTCGATAATTTCATCGACTGGATCGGCCCAGCCACGGCTGTCGGTACATGATGTTAAAGATTGCCACATCGGGCAGAAGTAGAGTGCAGATCGTGATTTTCCGATGGCGTGAAAGATCTAGATATAAAGTGAGCAAATGGTGGCAAAAAGATAGGGCGGTAGGCTGCCAACATTTGATAGTTTTAGTTGACGGAATAACATGATGGATACCTGATCCCTCTCTAATGATTTTTCATGTTGAGCGACGACGGCATTGGCGCCTTGCATATGTGCCATCCACCCAGAGAAGCCTGATGTGGAGTTTATCACCTGTTTATGTTAGAAGACAAGGCGGAATCCAAGAGTAGTAGGCTTGAACCAACCTCGAAATACTGGAAAATAACATTAGCACAAAGAACCTCTCGAACAGGTAGTCCCTGGTGTGAGATTAAACGGGAGAAGGAATGTATTGCCTGGCTGTACAGTTCGACACCATGATGAATCATCTGGTTATTCTCAAACTTCTTGCCGACAAAGACAGACGCAAGTGCTGATGTCGCCCTGTCCAGTAACTGGCTATTCTTGCCGTTCAACATAGACGGGAAGGCTTCGAGCAAATTCGACGCATCCCTGAATCTATATGAGACTTGACCCGTTGGTGAAGATGGATAGTACGAGTCAATGAACAATGAGAAAAGTTGGCAGCGGATCTGAGCATTCACGTTGATAACGGCAATACTTGGCGTCTTTGTTGGCTGGGGAGGATTGTTTGAAGTTGGTGTAGATTGAAACCGCATGAACATGCTTTTCGATTCCTGGTCTTCGTCGGCAAATGTGTGGACTATGAATTTCGGAGGTCGAGAGTACCCCTCGCATTTATGGCCTCCGCGGAGGCATCTTGCACACAAAGGGTGTTGTAGATCGCACTGCTCAAATCAGGGTCCCGCTATTGCTTGCCTGAAGGTCGCAATCGTCATACCTTGACTTTCCTCCTTCTGCAAGTATTGCAACCATTTGATCTCCAGGGCGCCCCACCCATTATGAGTGTATGTGTCTGTGATGACAACACAAGAGAGCAGCTAGGCTACAATGCCTCATGAGCGATGTTTTCAGCTTTCAACAGTTTGGTTTGTTTCACAGTCCAAATGCGCGCTGCATGTCGTGACTCGCGGTTTAGGGGCCCAGTTAATAAGCTTGCGTATTTTACTGTATTTTACCGTATCACACGTGCTTTGTCTGCCCCAAAATTGGGCTTTTACAGCCTCGTAATACAGGCATCAGTTATCTTCCAGCTCATTCATGATCACTATGCAGCAGCTACTTTGAGATCCAGGATCAATAAGAGTGAGGAGTAAGTAGACCTTACGAGACGAAAAATGCAAAATTTTGGAAAACTTCATTACCATGGATTCTGAGCTAAGACAAGGCAATCAACTATGTGCTCCATGGCCCCGTTCGAATGAGCGTTCACATAGTCTCTACCTCACATCTGGTTAATTCCAGTCATAAATTTCCTCTGAGCATCCTGGCTATCATCCATCATTGTCTCTACAAAGTCCTCCAGCTCATCGCATAGCTGCTTCTCGCCTTGGCCGTTCATTCTGACCTGGCCTGTCTGGAAGTTCTCCGCCGTGGTATCACCGCCATTTCTGAGGTCCCAAAAACCGGTCTGGAAAATGGGCGCCTTGAAGAAGTCGGGTGACGATGCCCGCATATGGTGCTTATAGAAGAGAATAGAAGATGTCATGACTATGAGCCGTAAGCAAAGTTCCGGGAGGAAACCGAAGATAATATCGGGTAGGGATAATCCTGCACCGTCACATACCAAAGAAAGATGCCAGCTTTTGGGTTCGCTCCGCATCGTAGACCTCCATCATCATCCTTTTGAGGGGGCGATCTGTTTTGGCAACCACAATGACATTATGGAATGGGTCTCCGGGAGCTTTGGATCCCTCCCAGAACTCGAGCTTGTTGACTTTCCTGCATGGTAATGCATTAGAGGTGTGGTTCAGACGGTTCAAGATCATGCTAAAGGCCTCTTACCATTCCTTCTTGACCTCATATTCGCCAATTTTCTTCGTGCTCAACACGGTCCACTCCCGCACGATATCCTGAAGGCGGTTGTACATCTGCAGAACCTCTGTGACGAAGTCAGTAACTCCGACGAAGTGTATCGACATGCAATTCATACCATTCAGGGATCCAAAAGTCATCGAGATTGTCCGGACTTTGTTTCCATCTGGGGCATTACACACGATGGTCTCGCTTCCTACTATTTGAATATCGAGGCTCGGTACTGGACTGTGTCAGCTCTCATGTCCAATCTGGACCAAGGAAGCCAGACCCGCCACTTACAATCCTCATGAAAGATCCCTACCTCATCGATTGGCTTTGTTTTGCATGTGAGTCGGGGAGCTCGATCTTCCAGACTGTATTCGACCGAAAGACAAGGGTAAATGTAGGACTTTTCCGTGCCATCTGCATATCCTACTTGAACATGCTGGTTTCTGTCTCGGGCTGTCAGTGCCTTGATCATCTTTCGCCGCATTGAGTATCTTCACTATACATTACCTTTTTCCAGTCTTCGAGTCATGGTAAAGCTTATTGGGTATCCCAAATGCAAGCTCCATGCGCTGCAAGTATCGAGCAGCGTACATATGTCCCAAAAATTCCTCGCGATCTGTTATCGTGAGCATATTACCAAGTTTAGAAACCAGGCGATTAGGCATACCGCGAGAGTTTTCAAAATTCACCAGCACCTGTTCAGCTTTCGCGGTTGACCTGAGAGCATACGTTCCCAGTGCAAGGTGATAATCTTCCGGGGACTCTTGTGCCGAGAGATCATCGAGAGAACACGGGATGTCTTTCATATCACATCGCGCTATTATGAGACTCGATCTTCCTACCGGGACGAAAAAGCGATTCAGAGTGATCATCGCCAATGCTAAGGCATATTAGTCTTTATCCTTCAAAAGATATCAGCTCACTCACAATCTGTCAACTGCATGAAATACAGATCTCCCGCCGTTGGTCCCTTGAATAAGAGATGTACATGCATTGGCCTGACTGATTGATTGGCCTTGGATGGCTCGTCCCAGCCGCAAACCAGACTGATTTTCTGTTTCCCAATTTTTCTACAGTGGAACTGTTAGTATGAACTATGAATTCTAACAGCATAGCTATGTTAGAACTTACATTTCACAGACAGAAGTCAAATCCGGGCTATTGAGATCAGGAGCTAGTTGGCCTTCGTCTCGACTAATACCGTAAAATCCGGGTTCTTCCCAGCCAGCCGTCTTCGGACCGGGGATTATATGAGACGTGTCAGAGTCAGTGCCCAGAGTCACAGAGCTGGCACTGCTCCCAAGTGTAGGAGAGACGGCCCCGGAATCATCTGTCTTTTTCTCATCTACCGGACCTGAGTCGAATCCTGCTAGCTTCTTTCGCCACGAGAGAGGCGTTTTCACAGCAGCAGTTTCTGCGGGTTTCAGCGACAGCTTCTTCTGAACCTGGACGAGTATCTCCTCAATATTCGTCGTAGTCGTGCTAGAACACAGTGAGCATAGATCAGCCTAACCACCCGCAGAGACATACCTGGTCTGCACAGAAAGCAGTAGATCTAAGGAAAGCTTGTAGCTTTCCAGACTTCTCAACCTATCCTGGATATCATTCTCTTTTAGTGTCCACTTCACTTTCATCTTCAGTGAATCAAGCTTCGAGGTTGATTGCAGCCCCTGCAATTCCTTTTGCAGTGTGAGATATGTGTCCCCGCAATTGTCCAGTGTGGTATTGAGCGATTCCAACCATTCTGCACTCTTCGTTGGCTTTGTGGATTGGAACTGAATAATTTGCTGAATCTGACAAAGAATTCCACGGACAGCTACAACTTCGCGTGAAAGAGATTCCAGCCCTTTGTTGTTTTTGGACTTGATCGCACCGACGAGGCTTAGGATTTGGGTCGATATTGTGATGAGGCCAGCCACCGAGGCCGAGATGGAAAGGGGATCCATTACACTGTTTGTGAGACCTGGCGATGCCTATGGACTATGGTGGATGAGAAATTAAGAGACGACAAATTGCGTCTAAAATTTTGAGTCTACCTAAGGAAGTTTGATTAGCCCCTCAGGTTGTCACAAGTGACCTCGTATTCGCGGCTCGTTGGAGGGGTAAATTTAGCGTCGTGGGATTCCACTCGGGTCGTATACAGCTAAATTTGGCATTTAGCATCTTTGGCTGACTGTTAGCAACTTTTAAGATGTCTGATGAAGTGCTGGAAATAAAACATTGTTGTCTTCGACCAAGTACTCAATATTCGAGCCTCAAGCCCTACACTAAAGGATGCCCAGTAAATAGACTTGTATGTAAAGGAAGCTGAAAAACTTGACTGGTTGATAGCTTGGTTCAACTTTCTCGTTAACCCAGCGTGGTCTATAAAATAAAAACAAAGATCTGATGAAGCATAGCCTTTGCTAACCTCTTGCTTGTAGGCAATAAATCATGTAGATCATATTAGTGTATCACTTTCGAGTAGAGAGCCTGAGTTATATGACTCTTTATCAACTTTCATAATGTCCAGGTTCAGACATGGCCAAAAGAGGCAAAGGCCCGCTAGGCAAAATTGAGCTGTATTTCCAAGGTTCAAAGAATCCATTGAGAGCCAATCTATGCAGAAGAGCAAATATGGGAATCAAAACCTGGGGCTGAGACTCCCTGTAACTGCGTCGACAAGAGGCCAAGGCTGCCTTTTCAGGTCACTGTTACTGGAAATCATGGACAAGCAGCTAATGTGAATCATATCCCTGCCCAAAATTCGAAAAGGCTAGGAGCCGATTATTAGAAAGGGGCAGCATGAGTGTCATGACTGCGTGAACGTTTTACGATTGGTGAATACTTATTATTTCAAGAGCCTTTTTACAGGTTCTGAAAAGCTTGAGATAACATAAGTGAAGGCAGTGTATGTAGCCGTGGCTATAAACATACGTTACAGACTTCTATCCACAGTGAGCAGCTTCAGTTGGAAGGGAGCAAAACCTGGGCTTCAATTTACCGTCTCAAGGTTTTACGGCAGTAGAGTGTACTTTGTAACTGTAAGGTAGCGGGCCGCTATAATGAGCCTTGTTTATCCTTCCTACTGCCTCCAAATGTCTACTTGGCTTTTTGGGCGCAAGGCGCAGCAACATCTCAATCTCAGCATGCGGTAGGTCAAGTGTTGGATCTATACCGTAGCACCTCAGAATATACTTGCAGGAATTTTCGTCAAACCATTCCTTTTCTGCAAACTCGACATCCGAGGCGGCCGAGCAGAAACATCTGCACGAGCACTGCACTAAGTGCACTCAACTCAGTTACTCCCGACTCACCGAGTTATGAACCAACCCCCGATCGGCCCGACCGAACACTCATTGTGCATGGCCAAGCCCTGTAGCCGGTCGATCCCGGGGCGTTCATCTCGGGCTGGACAAAGTATCATTCTCGACACTGCCACTGTAAGTTGTAACAAACTGGACCAGCAGTATTTATCACGCCGTGCGACGGCTTGGCATTGGCAAAAACAATAGTTCGTCGCCCAGAGAGACCGCCAAGCCCTCCCTTTCATGCACACTTGGGAATCAGCAGGATCGCCGTGATCGCCCTTGGCGCAGGCCATTGCCAAATGACAACTTGTCAGGCTCCAGACGGCCAAGTTGTTGCTCCCTTTTTGAGATCAGATGCAGGCATTGCAGAGGCAGCGTATGTCTTGGCGCCCAGCGGACGGTGTTCCCCTGCAATGAAACTATACGAAGGTCAGTCGTCAGCAGGGACAGGTGCGAGGGAGATCTCTATCTTCTGAACCTTCTCTTGCAGAAACATTGCCAAGACCTAGGTCAGCAACATTGAGAAAGGGGGGATGAGGAGTCCGCCTGTTCGTGTGAGTCCACTCCACTGCCCCCAGATTTAGATCTGTGGGGTCTTTGTTATTGCTTCTTCAGGGGAGATTGGCGTTCAGCCGTCCACCCCCCTGACTTGGTCTTGGCTGCGATTGTGTTCCTCCGTCGTGAATACATTGTTGTTCTGCTTGTCTCGAAGGCTCGTCGGAGTCCGCGTAACACCGGTCGCATTCTGAAGATGCGCGAGGGCCTTGCCCAGGTCTTGGCGGGCTGGAATTTCAATTATTGTCGCCAAGCATTCCCGTGGAAAGCGTACGGGCTGGAGGTCGCGTCGAGTGAATGACCGAAGGTCTCACTGAGTCGGGGTGTCGGAGATGCTTTGCTGGCATCCAAGACTGATCTGTGCATGGATGAGGTGTGATGTTTCGTAGACATTCTTGGCGATTTCAAGTGTTATTGAGTTCGATAGTCTCTGTGGTGTTGATCTCTCATTGATGAGGCGTGTTTTGGGCACGTTCCTGGCCCTGAGCCACAGGGCAGTCGTATGATCATACTTGACTGTACAGTACATACGGTATACCCCGTACAAGGTGGATTGAGGAGGGCATTGAGGAGAAATTCTGTCAGGACGGCCATTAGATGCCCGAGGATGACATTCCCTAGGCATAAGCAAGTGGAAGTCAGGACTTGAGGTGCTTCGGGCATCGAGAAGGAGATCCAGGACTATTCATGCAATCCTTCCATGCAATGCACCTGCTAGGGACGTTGTCAGAGTTGTCTTTTGCAGAAGAAGAAAAACTTTATGCCCTGGTCTTTCAGGTTAGTTTCCACGATAGTCAGACATTAGGCCAGACATGGCAGGGATAGAGCATGGGCATCTACACCCAACCTGAATATACTGGCGGGATTTCTGGTCGTATACCGAAATGGCAGGTTCATCCAGGTGTCTGTCTGGCCCCCCGGCACTTGTGCTGGCATTGTCGAAGACAAAAGGCAATTCGGCATGCACGAGAGGGATTGACCACTCGGGGAATAAATTTCACTGCCAACATGCTCAATTGAGGTGTTGATGACCCCGCGTAGCAAACAAACATTTTCTCACGAGAGGAGAAAAAAATAGAGACAAGCTTAGCCCTGCAAAAGAAACGTCAAAAGAGGGGTTCAATGAAGCACCAAAATCGCCAAAGCCAAGCCAAGCGGGACAGCCGCTGTCAAAAGACTCTCCCCCTCATTTTGAGCCGTCGTGGCTTAACTATTTCCGGTTCACGTCGTAGATGGTCGGTGGAGAGCGGACCAAAATGCCTCATACAATGCAGTATTTTTGCTACGACGCCAGCCATCTCCTGCGTACTAATGTAGGAGATCCTTCGGGATAGTAAAGTAATTTAGCTGAATGAAATAAACATCGTGAAGTTAGTTAAACTGTGTACCACTTCCAACATCCGCAAGACTCGCTTTCCCCAGGATATTAACTGGTTAGCCTCGTCAAGCCAGTCTACCCCAGCTGTGGTTCGCATTGTTTGTTTTTCTGACTCGTTTCGCGCCCATACTCTTCTTCCACTTCTCCGAGCGTTGCGAGGGTTGCTGGCATGCAATTCGATATACTACGATGTCTCCACTTCCCCCGATTGTGCTCCGGTCAACAAGTGCTTCATGTCGAGTGTATGCACATTATTGTACAACACATCCTTCGCCCGGCTCCATCACCTAGGGCTCGAAGGGTTAGTTCTCTTGCCTGGTGCGGTGCTTTTGCGCTATTATCGTCCACGCTCGTGCCAGCTCTTGGCCTTAGTTCGGACTCCACCTGCACAGTTCACACCTTATTGCCCGTCCAGTAGTACAGTACAATAGATCTTGAATCAAATACCAATACCCGACGGAGAATCTCCTGAATGAGATGGGAGATCGGCTGGGAGAAAGGTAGTGTAATCCATAGATTGTGTAGCATAAGGAAGACAGGATCAAATCAGATCGCAGGAATGTCTCAATCTTCAGTCTTTCATCAAATGTCCGGTTTCATTCTTCACGGGCTCCAACCAAACACCCGTCTCGTCTGGTGCCACGAGCGCAACGCTGTCCCGCTATGAACGGGATAATTATCTTGGCCCCTCCGGACTATTGTGGATTAGGTCGCCGCTTGGATTGGTGACTTGGATCGTGAGTCTTGAAGTGTTTTGTAATTAGTACTGGGTATTGTGAGGGGGGCGGTTACAGAGAATTGGGGCCCTCTGTTCTGTTCAATTTCAATCTCACAGGCGTCGATTGCATCGAATGATTGGACTGGGATGTTGTTCTCCTAGTCTTGGGTGGGGGCACAGGATTGCATCTCTGTTTCTAAGTACGATTAAACCGCCGCGTACAGCGGAGAAAAGTCCTCTGTGGCTGGCACTCCACGTATACTCAAAGTATACTTGCATGTGTACATTGCCACTTTAGTTCTTCCCCAGTACGCGCCGAGGAAGGATTAGCTTGCGAATTGAAAGATTGATTATTAGCCAAACAGAAGGCAAGTGCATCTTTCTCGAAATATCATACGGAGTACATCGTACATAATACGAGACAACAACAAAAAGGCAGGATGGCCGATCAAACCGATCTCGTGCCCCAAAAAAACATCTGTAACCAGCCAGTAACGAGCCCCAGCAGCGTCCCATCAAGACCTTCCCACCCTCCCTCGCCAAACTTTCTCGCCGATCGGAGAAAATCTCCCTTTAACAAGTCGACTCCTGCACCTCTAACTTTACCGAGTCCCCACCACCCACCGGACGATCTTAACAGTATGTACATAGAAGTCCCTGCACCGCCGTTTCGTTGGCAACAAGCTTCGCCCGGTATTCCAAACACGACTGAGAAACTCAGAAACTCACGCTGACTACTGACCGGTTCGTGGGCAAATCTGCGCGGTCCACTGAGGACTCGCGAGAGCGACAGGGATCACGCCTGCTCGTCCAGGTGCAATGTGGGGGTGATCTCCTCGGATTCGAGAAGCTTGTCAAGATCTGAACGCCAGTTTCATCTGGGGATTACATGTTACTTGTCAGCTTCATCTTCACTAGTTGGTTTCCCTGCACGTACATGGTAGGAGAGACGCATCAAAGCGTAAGGTATTTTGTGCGCATCTACGTTGCTCGGGGACATTGCCGAACTACCGATCCATGTACTTTTACGGTATCTATGTCGCTACCTAAGTCCGGTGTACACTACTGTAGAGTCCTTGGGTATACATCCATATGTTTAGGTACCTATGGAGATGCTGACTGAGATGGCAAGATTGTAATTATTATTAATTCTCCAGTACGGACGCCGCCGGGGCTGATTCTGATTGCAATTGCGATTGCGGCTGACCGCTCCTCCTGCTCCAAGGTGGGTTGCCCTCGTCAACCCGTTGCTCTGCTTGGCGATTGGTGCCTATTGAGGTCATTTCTTTTACGAGAAGCGCCAATGATGTCGATATATTCAATCCAGTCATCTGTAATAGATGGCTGACAGATCCCATAACATATAGTACGTCGGTAGATTGAGCCGAGGGCACAACGCACTGATCCACCTTTCCTAGTTGCTCCTCCTATACGAAGTACATTACTGTAGTACAGCGGTGCATACACTGGATATTCCACTGCAGATCGGACACCGACAGTACGTGGAAGACCGATCATCATCCACGCGACGCGACCGAAGAGTAAATCAATCATGAATCTGTCTACCTAGAGAGGAGTATACCTGCACGATGTGAGGTTTGCCTAAAGCATCGCCTCGTCCGATGACGACTATCCCGAAGATCCTTCGAGAATCATATCACTATGGATACTTTAGGTACATACTAGGTACTAAGTAAAGAATCAGAAACAGAAACAGAAACAGCCTATTATTATTTTATTTGGCTCGCTGGGCAGGCGCAGGTTGCAGACAGGATAGCTCTTGGCGCCATACCGACGCTACCTTTGGACTTGGCATGCTTTGGAATGACATGCACGGAGGATCATGACGGTGGGGGTGGTTTTTTGGCTGACGCTGAGACGTATGTATACCAAGCCCGATCGCCCGGCACGGAGCAGGGCCAAGACAGTGTGTCCTGGGGGATGTGTACACTGCTATACAGTGGGGACCAATTTACATGTCAGAGTACAGTACAGGATACGAAACTCCTTTGATTAGCATTTGATACTTTTATATTGGAAGTATTTTTCTCATGATTGTTCCATGGAATCATCTTGTTTCATAATAATCATAGGACTGTCAATGTCAACAGAAATAATATAATGTTGAACCATAATGCACGTACTACTCGTCGGCTAATTTCTGTCGGAAGAGGTCCGAACTCCCCCCTTCCGATCGATCAACAATACTCCGTAGTGTTCTCCGTAACCCTCACGAGTCACAGTCAGGTCAATGTAAGTTACGTCAGAGGTGTCCGCATCGAGGAGCAAGGGCCAGGTGAAAATGATAATGGGTGGTAATTGATATGAACCAATTCAACCCCGCCAAGAACTGCGAGACCAGTAGACCGAAACCGCAGCATGAAGCGCGCAGAGCGCGTTTATAGTTTTAGTTTGGAGAAACAGGCAGACTAGTTAAGTTGGAGATCCCGTAGGTTTTATTGACTAAGTTCAGCATCGGGTGGACTAGGGATATACATACAGTAGTATAGTCCGTACGTAGGTGTGGACTCAGTTAGTTTGTGGGCTAGGGTTTGGTGGTCATTTTACTGGAGCCGAACTCTTGACGAGAGGGTTCAGGCACAGGCACACGGCCGCTTTTGGGGGGTTAGGGAGGGTAATTACCGAGTTGGGTTGGCTTGATTACGAAACAATACCGCCGATCGGCACCAGAATTAGCGCCAGTGACGTCGGATGACGGTACGGGTACGGCCGCGCCTCGTGGCCGCTGAATTCAGTAAATTCTCCTTGCGCCCATTGCTTTTCTGGTGATTCGAGATGCTTGAAGCAACATTCCTGGAGCAGGGCGAGACCGCATCGAGCAACGTGTTCTAGTTGGAATGATGGAGATAGAGGAGACTGAAGAATATCAATTATATGAACGGCAACTACATATTGAGAATTTTCTCTAGAAGTAGTTCTTCATTTCTTACGATACGCAATATAGACAGTAGGGTGGTAGTAATAGGATTACTACATTGTATTACTATCGCTCTGTCATCTGTGGACTTGAGCCCTGTTTCGGTCGGATCTACTAGCGTGGATGCCCTGAAGAGGATTAGCCGGCACAAAATGCCTCATAGTACTAAGAACAGCGGCAACCACCAGCGGACCAACAACCAGACAACCAGCAACTCACCACACCAGAATACGGGAGTAGTCATTACACTCCACCCGGTTTCATGGAGAGCAACGAATGAAACCCTACCAGTATGGCACTGACAGCGAGACGAGCATGGAAAAATGAAATTGAAATATTACCATAAAGAAAATACATACAAAGAGAATAAAGGACCCCCAAACTCACAAAGCATTTGCTATTATTAAAATAGAAAAATGATCCTCGTTGGGGGCTGTACGGAGTAGTTTCTGGAGAGTATCAGGGCGCAGGAACCATCATCCCCGTACTGTAAGCTGCATCCCTGTGCTGTGCAGCATTGAAGCCAGTTGACAAGTAGAAGTGGGGCCTTTGGAAACAGCGTGGAAGGGCTTGTACTACTGTATGTGAAGTTGTGGCGAGGGGGAAAAAAGAAATTGAAGAGAAAAAAAAGAGAGAAAGAAACTGATTTTTTTGAGACGCTAAGCCTAAAACGACCATGCCGGCCTGCCGTGTATTGTCACAGTATGGTCAGAGTATAGTGGTCATGATGAGAGGGGAACTTCCTCGGAGTGTGAGTGGCTGCTACTTAGAGAAAGTAGCTGGGGGCGGCACACTGAGGTCCATACCGTCATGACGGTTTGGTCAGGACGGTACCAAGTTTACCAGCTGCCTTTCCCACCAAAAGCCTCTGCCCCCCTCTACCTTGACCTTCCCTGAACTACGAACGACTACTACTACTTCCCGACTCACTGCCTTTCTATACCCTCTTTTCTCGTTTCTTTCCTTTTATCACTCTCCACTCTCCTCTCCTCCTCTCCTCTTTCCTTTTCCTCCTCCACTTCGAATTTCATCAGCATTCTTCTCTTTTTTGATTTGTGATCTGGACGCCCTTTCCTGCTCAGAGGCTTGGCGCTAAGACTAGAGGTATTCGTGCCCCGGTGCTCTATTGAGTGGCCATTCTTGAGAAACAATAATTCTTCTTGGCGAATCCTCTCATCGTCACACTCCCGACTTGACCTCCTGGATCTTTTTCCCAGCTATGCGTTACATATCATAGCCGCTGTCCTTCACGGGACTTTTGCTCTGCCCTCTGGGTTGATCGATTGCGATTTCTAATCGATATCGACTGAGCATCGCCGCTGCGAGTCACGAAATTATTCTACCTGGATACACTCGTGAACCTCGCAACTACTTTTGACCTTTCTTCAAGGATCTTCCTGGAAGACTTGCTTTGCTCGAACAAGAACAAAATGGCACAACCCCGTGGAGAACGACCATTCTCATTTCACAGCCTCCTCAAGATGCTCATCGCGCCAAACGCCTCCATGAGGGCGGCTCACGACGAGGCCGACCTGGCCGAGGACTTGGATGAACCCCCTGATCAACAGCATATTATGCACGCGACTTCTTTACACCACCACGACGAGACCGTCTTTGCACGACCCGCCATCGCCCACCACAAAGAACCCGAATCCCTGCTCACCCGCGCCCTCAAGAGCAGCCCGGAGATGTCCCCCACCGAACGTCACCCCGCTCTTCACGACTCTACCTACTCCTACCGTTCCTACCCTCACAGCAACATCAGTGGCCTCTCCCCCGCAGAGCTGACCAGCGATGGCGGCCTGACTAGCCCGTCTCTATCCAATACCCCGAGCCCACCTTTGCCACCACAGATGATGGGCAAGGCGGCTCAGATGAACGGCAAGAAGGACACTACCCCCAAGGTGAAAATCGCCGCCACCAACGAGACCACCGTCGAGGCCAACCTGGGACGTAAGCGGTGCATCAGCTTTGCCTGCGGCCGTCAGACCGAGGCCACCACTTCTCAAAAACCATCCGTGCCGCCTACCTCTCGACCCGGACCACCTAACGATACACTCGAACCCCCCAAGCGCAAAACCGCTCTCACCTTTGCCTGCCCCGGACGCGTGTCCGCCATCGCACGAGAGCGCTCGCCAGGCCGCAAGTGCGCTTTCCGAAGCCGCTCTCGTGGCTCTCCGGCTCCCGTTGCTCGCAAGCCCTCCCAGGACCGCGTAATTGGCATTCAGATTGAGAAGAAGCCCGCGAATGGTGTCCCTCAAGGAGTTCCGACTAGCGGACTGGGCAAGTTTGAGGAATCCGAGGCTACTCGCTTCCACGAGTTTGCCAGTTCTATGGATGAGGATGATGAGTGGGTGACCAAATCGACCGATTACGCCCAGAAGATCACCTTGAATGATTGCATGAAGAAGGAGATTGCAATTCGACGACTGGGTGAAGAGGCCGAGAAGGAAGCCCAGGATGAAGAAGATGAAGAGGACAACGAAGATGACGATGCTGAGGATCTCGCCGACGATGACTCCACTGTCCACCTCTCCGACGATGAGGGCAACGAGTCCGACAACGAGGCTGGCTTTGCGGAGTCTGACGAGAGCGATGACGATGGTTCAGACTACGAATTTTGGGCCCCATCGGCTATTGTGCCTGAAATCAGTACTCAGCCCCTCGACGCCTTCGCGCCAACCATGGAGCGCCGTGCTTCCAACACTTCCTTCGACTCGATGACTGATGACCACCCGAAATGGTTGCCAGCTCCCGTTCGAAAGATTAACAGGCGTCGCCCTTCCAAGGGGTGCAAGATCATGCGCCCTGGTACTCCCAACCTTCCGGATAGCACGGACTTTGTCTGCGGCACACTCGATGAGGATCGTCCGATGGAGGCTGCGTACAAGTCCTGCATGGAACAACGGCGCCTGTCGAAGCACATTCTCATCCCGCAAGACATTGACCCTAGCTTCCCGACTAGCGACCCGGAGGATGACGATGACGATTTGGAGGATATCTCCCACGGTGATTTTGACGACTTCGTCTTCGAGCCAGCTCGAGGCCGTACTGAGGATCCTATTCGCAAGCCCTCGCCTCGTCACTCCCCCAAGCGCATGGTGTCTCCCCCACCCCGTCGGGCTGGTCGGATTTCGCCCAAGCGTCTGAAGTCCCCTCCTCCCCGGTCTCGAGCCTGCCGGGCCAAGTCGCCCTCGCCTTCTAAGCGCTCGGCTTTCCCGGAGGACCTGCCTGCCGTTGAGTCTTCGTCGCCCCAGGGCCTGAACATCAGCCATCTGGTTCAGCGCCCGCATCTGACCCGTACCAAGTCGCTGCCGCGCACTCCCAACCCTTTCTTCACAAGCTTGGACAAGTCGCACCGCTGGCACGGTATCCCACCTCTGACGGAGTCGCCGGAGCGTGAGCACTCTCGCACCCGCGAGATGCATACCCGTGGACCCATTGACATCGTTGAGGGTCTTGAAAAGAAGCGCCAGAAACGCAAAGAGAAGTTCTGGCGTCAACATTGCCGCAAAGCTGCCAAAGAGCAGATGGTTCGGCGGCCGATTCCCGGCAAGGGAGCTGAACGGATGAAGGAGCTTGGCCTCGAAGTTGCTGAGAGGTGCAGGGCTTACGGTGTCGCTCAAGACACCCAGCTCGTCCTATCCGTTTAGGCTCCCCAAGGACTGGACTGCATTTTTTGCATGTCTGCCTTGTCTTCCCCCTTTCCCCCAATACCCCATTTACCCTTCACTTCTGTACATACAGTACCCTTTTTACCTCTTTCCCTTCACATACTATTTTCACCACCCAGTTAGCGATCTGGGTGCCTTTCGCTGATACATACTTATCCAACTTCATGTCATCCACTTGACTGGTTTTCCTTTTACTTTTTGTGAGGTGATCCATTTCTTGATCCTTCTCACCTACTATCTACCTACCTACGATACCCTCTTCTAATCCTTCCGGGGGAAACAAATTGTCCTTGCATATCCATGATCTTATTCTTGGTTCTTCTTTTCCCAGTACATACCTGTATCTGTCTTTCCAGCGCTTGTCCGAGGCGGCCACTTTCTTTTTACTACCTTGCATGGTTGTGGTGCGTATACCCCTTAAGTTGAATTTGCTGCATTATGAAAGGAACTTGTGTCGTTAGTCTTAGTGTCAGCCTTAGAGCTGGTGACCACGAATGAATTTGAAAAATATTCTTATCATATCCACATATTTGATCCCGTAAACTTACCACAGCTTCGTCTACAATATTGCCCCGATGTTATTAGAGTCCGGTCATAATTTGGTAGAAGGCTTGGTGACTCTCAATTTCGTCAAGTCCGCCACCGTTGATCCCTTGCTGCCTCAGGCACCCAAGCCACTGGCCGATCCCGAAAACAACATCAACCTGTCCTGACTTTCTTGCCTCTCTCCCCCTCTCCATCCACGTCAACGCCTACCTCTTCGTCTGCGATCTCGTTGCACTCGGTTTCCTTGTCCGACCTCTCCACAGTCACATTTCGTGTTCTTCTCCTCGCCATGTGGATCGTCAACTGGTGTAAGTTCGCCCTCCCGAACCCCCATGACCTGACCAAGTTCAAGTCCACCATCCCGCGCCCAAGACACAACACAGTACACCAGAAAGGTGGACTCGGCTTTTCGGATCTGCGAACTGGTCTCTTTGGTGTATTTGGGGACTATTATCGGCGATCAGGACCGAGTCCAATCTGGGTTATCCTAATGCCGCGGCTTCTGCGCCTGTGATTCCGGGCCCGACCTTTGCAAAACTGCGTTTACTGATGGATGTCTTTGTTCCGCTATAGTCTACGATGTTCTGGCCTCGCTTGGTCTCCTGAACAAGCACGCTAAGCTGCTGTTCCTCGGTCTCGACAATGCAGGCAAGACGACTCTGCTGCACATGTTGAAGGTGAGTTCGATGTGAATGTAGATGGTTGCGCGGATGGCGGGATACGAGATGGGGCCGATGTCGAGTCCCGAGACTATGTTGTTCTGGACATGGCTGCGGGATATGTCCGCTAGATGGGGTTATATACTTGCGCGGTTCTACGTGGTAGATGGAGGATTGGCTGGTTGATTGAGGCATGAGCTAACGATAGCATGGCACTATCTAGAATGACCGTGTCGCCGTTCTCTCGCCCACCGCTCACCCTACCTCGGAGGAGCTCGCTATCGGTAACAACCGCTTCACGACCTTCGATCTGGGTGGTCACCGACAGGGTGAGTTTACTGGGAGCGGTTGATTCGTTTGGAAGGAAAGAAACAACATAGCTAACCTAGCTTCTTCCCCGCTGTTTAGCCCGCCGCCTGTGGAAGGACTACTTCCCTGAGGTCAACGGTATCGTCTTCCTGGTCGATGCCAAGGACTACGAGCGCTTCCCTGAGTCCAAGGCCGAGCTGGACGCCCTGCTCGCCATGGAGGACCTGGCCAAGGTGCCCTTCCTCGTGCTCGGCAACAAGATCGATCACCCCGACGCCGTCTCCGAGGATGAGCTCCGTCACCAGCTCGGTCTGTACCAAACTACCGGCAAGGGCAAGGTCCCTCTCGAGGGTATCCGGCCTATTGAGCTGTTCATGTGCAGTGTTGTCATGCGTCAAGGTGAGTTGTTCCCTTTAACCCACAAAGCGGGACTATTGAGGGAAGACCGGTAGCTAACATTAACATACAGGATACGGCGAGGGTATCCGCTGGCTGTCTCAATATGTCTAAACATCGTCAATAATACGATGTTTAGCTTGAAACCCCCACCCCTCGCTCCCTCCCAATCGAACCCATAGCTCACCAACCCCAATACCGGCGCGAGCGACTCCCTCCCCACCCCACCCCGCGTCCCACACCTTCAACACGCAAATACCTACATCTTGACATGTCACCGCACTTTGAACACCCCCCAAGTCAATTGGAAGCCAAGCCAAGCCCGAGCCTGAGCCCGGTCTATTCCAGACTCATGCTCATGCCCATGCCCATGCTCAGGCTTATGTCTAGCACCTAAATTACCCAACCCTCTGTAACTCCCCCACCCCCAATACATGTCTCTATCTTCTCTTGCCTATGCTTTTGCTTTACTTTGCTTTGCCTTTGCGCCTTTTTGTTCCCTACACTATAGCCAATTAGCCGGTGAAGTTCTTTTGGGTCTTGCTGAATACAATGGTTTACATTACACGTTGGAATGGGTAAAATGTAATAAGGAAGTGATGTAGCTTCGAATATTCTGTTGAACTTGGTAAATTCAATCACTAAAAGCAGATCCCAGCGCAGAAGTACAGGCGAGTAGGTAGGTAGACTTAGGATTACTGTGCTGGATATCATGAGATTCGCACCATGGTCTCTTTCCAACTTAGTGCTCCAGAGTGGACTCGCTGCCTCGTCTACTACTAGAGGTATCAGTCACGAGCAAAAGCCTACAGACGCGAACTAGGCTATGATAGAAGAAGCATGACCTACCCAGGAACTACCAGAGAACGAACCGAACACCTTCAAGCTACGATCATACCCTACATGCAAGCCAATTTTTGAAAAGAAAAGCTCAGGCAAACAGACGCGATCCATTTAAACTCAAAACAACTCGACCAATAAGACAGAACGAATCAGGAAGGAAAATAAGAAAAGAAAAAAGGATAAGATAAACCAGGTTTCCCCGCCCTTCCAGGATGCCGAGAGTAATCATTCCGTCCAGATGATAAAGTGCGAAAAACGGCAGTAACAGTAGATGAGAAGGACTAGGAAAAGGGCAAAGGAAAAAGAGAACAAAGGGTACGAAAGATGAAAAATAGTCAAAAAGAAGAAGAATTGGGTTAATGGAGAGAGAAAAAACGGGGAAAAGCGAAATCATTCATCCGTCCCAAGAGGGGAGTGTACATGTATGTTGGTCGCGTGATCCGGAACCGGCCAGAAGAAATGAGGAGTGGAGGGGAGAAAGACAGACGAGAAATGGTCAAATGGCGCGCCGGGTCAGCCCGAAACGTAGATATCGGGAGAAAGAGAGGAAAGGTGGATTATCGGGTTTGGTGTAGTGGCGGCGATTGTGGTGAGAACGGGGGGAATTGTGGTCGTTGGGGCTAGACCCGGGCGTACATAAAGATCCTCGGTCGTTCATCGCTTCGTGGGGGGTGGTTGAGAGCGGGGGAATAAAAACCGCGAGGGAGGCTGGAGGAATGGGCGTGGGATATGGCTTGGACATGGACGGTGGATTTGGCGGGTGGTTATGGTGTTCCTTGTATGTGTCGATAGGCGATAGTTGAAACATGGTGTTGTTGCAAAAATGGCTTATCTCCGCCCGAACCTGCTGCACATGGGAAAGCTCGTATTGATTCTTCTTCTTTTGTTTTACTTCTTCTTTTGCTTGCGCGGAGGAGTGATGGGCCCGGGCCCGGCGCCGGAGCTGTAGACGTACTTTTGTTTCTTTTCGGCTGGTTTTAGGATCTGCAGATGGAAAGAGAAAATGGTTAGAAATGATGGACTTGAATGTTGCGAAAGCCAGATAGAGAAATTCTAGGATACGAGATCCACTCACCTGGAAGGAGCAGAGCAGAGACTCGTCAACGCTCATCATTGCACCCGCATTATCGAATTCACCACAGTAGTTGGGTGCGCTGAATAGCGTGACCAGCTGCCGCTTCGAGAAGAACTCGTATCCGTCCTCCACAACCTGATGCGCGCGGCATATCAAGTCCATATCGTGTTTCTGGAGGAAGCGTGAAACTACGTCGGGGCCGAATGTGAATGAGACACCACGGTCGTTCTCGCTCCAGCCCGTGATATCCTTGTCAGGGTCGGACCACAGAAGATCGCAAAGAAGGCCGCAGTCGGGGATCTGTTGGAATGAATGTCAGTGAACTTGGCCTTCAAGCCGCGGGAGACTCCACAGTCTATTGGGTAAAAGGTGTCTGCCAAATCTCGAGTCCACGCGTGTCTCGAGTCTGTGGGTGAAACAACAACACATCTGCCGTGGGATCCAATTCCAAAGGGATTTCGAAGATAGTCGGGGAAAACTTACATCAGTAGGACGCATAACACGACGAATCTGCTCCATCGAGTTAAGGTCCGGGCTCAAACCACCGTGCATGGTGAAGATCTTCTCGTCAATGATGGCGGCAATAGGCAGGCAGTTGAAGCAGTCGGTGAAAGTCTTCCACAGCTTGATGTTGTATCGTCGCTTGCACTCGTCGTAGAAGCCATAGATACGGTTGATGGAGGCGCACTCGTGGTTGCCACGCAGAATGAAGAAGTTCTCGGGGTACTTGATCTTGTATGCGAGGAGCAGGCAGATGGTCTCGAGAGACTGCTTACCACGGTCGACGTAGTCACCGAGGAAAAGGTAATTGGCCTCTGGGGGGAATCCGCCGTATTCAAATAGACGGAGGAGATCGTAGTATTGACCGTGGATATCACCGCAGATCTGTCATCAAAACAAGAGAGACACGTTAGACACGTGAGTTCGTGGTAGCCGGAAAGGCGGGAGACAAAAAAAAACTCGTCATCGGGGGAAGATGGACGCAGAATACGTACCTTGATAGGGGCTTCGAGCTCCAGAAGGATAGGCTGAGAAATGAAGATTTCACGAGCCTTGGTGCAGAGGAAACGGATCTCCGACTCCAAGAGCTGCACCTGCTTGCCAGGACGGCTGCCCCTCACCTCCAAAAGGCGATCGATGATTGAATCCAAATCCACTTCCTGGTCGGCCATGACGGGCGGCCTCTAACGAAAAAGAGGGGAAAGAAACTGAGGAAAAAAGAAAAGGGAAACGAAAAAAAGCACGCGCGAAGGGAAGAGATGACTTCCGGGGCGGGTGAAGAATTGATGACACGGCGGCTATGTTTCTGCAACGACACCAAGAATCACGGTCAGTTAGCGATGTGTTCACAAGTGACGGAGAAGCCAGTCCGATTCTCAAATTGTCAATTCGGCATCAAAGGGGTGGTCCAGGCGCGTTGTTCTCCGATGGAATTTTTTTTCTGCCTTGACCGGGAAGGGTCCAGACTTTTGCTACCCAGTAGTGGCTCCCCCTTGAGCGAGACGTGTAGAAAAAGAGACGAGTACGAGTAAGGTGAGGACATACCGACGTGGAATTCAGTGAGACCAAAGAGTCTATGATGAGGCCTTACGGCCGCGACGTGTTGTTGGGGGAAAAAGCTCTGGCAGGGATGCCAGACGGGAGGCGTTGACAGAGCAGAGCCTCTTGAAAATAACGAAAAACCACGTCAGAGAGGTAGCCTGAGATGAGCAGACTCCTGAACACCTCGAAAGGATTGAGAGCGCAAAGTGGTTCCGATCGCGAGTCGGTGGTTGATTCGAGCGGGATGAAGGGAGGGGGTGTGTCTGAGAGCGATCGAAGTTTTCCGGCAGGCTAGCAATAAACTGCGAAAGGGGTTGGATGATGACAATCAAGGGAGAAGAAAGTTTTCTACGGGCACAGTGGCACAAAGAACAATCTGAAATAACAAGAGCGCTGGTTGATGCGTTTGGGGGTGAGAGCCTCGACGGGAGGAAGAGAGGGAGAATCTTGCAGGGAGAAGAGGAAGCGGGAATGGGAAGTTCGGGTTTGGTGTTTGGGATGTTTGGCTTGCCGCGCGGTATACTTCGCCCTACAAAGTTGCCCTTCACCTCTACTTTTTGTATGAAAGTCGACTTGAAAGAGTTAGATAAAATGCGACCAGATTTCGTAGATTTCTAAACTTCTTCTCTATTTTCCTTCCCTTCTCCTCTTATTATCATCCCCCCATTACCACCGTGTCGGCGTCACCGTGGAGGGGCTTCCTGCAGTCGCTGTCGGTCGAGACCCTCTCCTCACCAGGCAGTCGCAGAGGTCCAAGCACCAGCCAGCATAAAACCCCCGCTAGTATCCATATCGAAAGTATACTTCATGACACTTTGCAACCGACTACACCATGGCAAATATCTTTGTGCGGTCTACGAAGGATCAAGCCGACCAGTTCTACCAACCCGCCGATCCAAACCCAGGCCTTCCATTGGGTACCCAACACCTGGAGTTGGTGAACCTGGAGCTTTTGCCGGGCGTAAATGGCTTGATAGTGGGGACTAGTTGCATCTACTGGGGGCCCCAGGGTCTGCAGGCTTATACGGGTTCATTGGCTAACTGGCCTACTAGTGACATAGACGCTTAGCAAGTGAGGCTAAACCTATGTTGGCTACGCGCTGAAGAAGAAATTTGAATCGAGACAGATATTATTTCCGAACTGGCTTATCACGCATGATAGCCATTGGTCTTTGCAAGAGGACATTGACAAAAAAAAAAGAAGACACCCGCCGAAATAGACACACGCAAGACAAGAGAAGAACAAAGACAAGAGGGGAATAAGGAATCATGCCACCAACGCCAGCATACCCAAACAGAAGAACGCAGGGTAAACACAGTAAGTACAGTCAGTGCGCTCTAGAAATCGAATCGTCTTTCACGGTGCCGTCCAAAAAAGATGACGAGCAGGAAGAGAAGCCGCAGGATGATGCGTTTTAATGCGGGCAATGAATGCAGCACAAAAAGCTGCAAAAACCGAGTCGAAAAGCACGAAAATCGAGACCGAAAGAGAAAACGACGACAAAGGGGGGAAAGCCCCAAAAACAAGACAAAAAGCAAACGCAAGGCCGTAAATTGTTCATACATCCAACCCCACCGTATTTCGTGAGTCATCCAACGCCGGAAAAATGCAAGTGAGGAGCAGCGCGAAGCTTGCTCAGAGTGACAAAATAGTCGGAAAGGGGAGAGTGTTTTGATGACTGCCTTGCCGGTGAGAACTCGGAAGCAGAGAGAATGAATGGCCTGGCCGAGGGAATAGAGTGTGAGGAGGCCAGGGCAGCAAGATAAGGATAATGTATGCAATATGCAATGTGCAAAAGGGTGAGGGTGGGTGAAGGGAGAACGAGGATGGGAGTAACCAGCAGGACGATATGATACTTTCTAACCCCCCAGCGCATGGCCTCCGCTCAGGATGGCATGGCTATTGGCACGGACGAGAGGTGCCGTCGGAATGACTGGATGGTCTAGCCCGGCCCCTGCCAGGTGATGTGCTGCAAAGCCCTTCTGTGCATTGTCCCAGGGATGGTCTCCCAGGACGCTGATCCAGCTATGTCCCACTTCCTGTCGCAAGGCCTCCAACTGTTGCCGGCACAGTTCTTCGTCCAAGGCCCAGTCTTTACTTGGGGTAGGCTGCACCACTGCATGGGGACTCGAGGATTGCACATGCTTGATCGGGCTCTGGATGCTGGAAGACCCGGAGGGAGTCCCGCTGTCGAGCCGCAATTGATGTTCATATGGGAGCACAACGGGGGTATTGGTCGGGCTGTGCAGCTGCTGAACGGGCAGTACTGCCGGCATGCTGGGCCCAGGAGTTCCTAGGCCATCGGTGGTGAACGGATTGTCTGTGGAGAGGTCGACAATGCGACGGCGCTGAATCTTCTTCCGACGATTAGTCCCGCTTTCAGTCTCTAGCTGTGGGACACTCTTTGGATGAAAGTCCACATCATCCTTTGGGGGAACAGGTGGGGGAGTCTCTTGGACAACGACAGCACTGATGGGCTTGTGGACTACGACCGACTGATCTGCCGCACTCGAGCGCACGACTGGGGCGCCCTCGGGCTCGGCAACACGGTCCACCAGTTGTTTTCGCTCGGTATAGCCAGGTCCACGACCATCAATAATAATGTCCTCGGAGTAGCCAGGAGTGCGACGGAAGAGATTCATGATGATGACACGATAGTTGGAGTGAGTCTTTACGAACGGGTTTCCAGACACCCAAATCTCCCGTATTTCAGGGAGACTGGTGAGTCGTGCCATTTCCGTCGGGTCCATGATGTTGTTGTCGCGGAGATCCAGGCGCTCCAGGGAGAGAAGGCGTTCGATGCCGGCAAGTGAGCGAAGTCGGTTGCCACGAAGATTGAGAGCAGTGATCGCGGGGAGTGGGTTGCGCGTCAGGGAGTGCAGGGATTCGATCATGCAGTGAGACAGGTTGAGCGCACGCAGAGCCATGAGGGATGCCAGACTGTCGGGAATCTCAGTCAAGAGGTTTGACGACAGGTCGAGGGAGTTGAGCGTGTTGGCCACGGGAGCAAGGCTGGCAGCCGAGATGGAGGTCAAGGAGTTCTCGGGAAGACCCAGGTGTCGCAGGAACCGCCATTTCGAAGGAGGAAGAACGCCAGGGAGAAGAGTCGCCGATCCACCAGTTCGATAGCCACCGGATGTATCGCTCGAGTTTGAGCTGCCAGAGCCAGTGCGACGAATCCGTGCGGATTGTCCACGGCTGTGGCGGTGACTGTGCTTGGTAGAAGGCCGAGTAGGGGAGATGCTCTCAGCCCGGGTGCGGGTCTTCGTCCCCTCGGAGCCGGCTCGCATCATGGGGACAGACTTGGGACTGGTGCTACTAGCAAGCGCAGTCTCAGCAACGGGAGAACCAGGCGCCGAGATTGAATGGTCGGGGGTGTGAACTGGCTGTGTACCCGTCGTGCTACTGGTCCAACCCAGCGGCGGCGACTGTTGAGACTTGGCCGAGCGACGGCGGCGCTTGTCAATATCGTCTAGCACGATCCTCGTCAATAGATCAGCTGGGTCATCCAAATGAGCCCGTTTGACAGTCAAGGTGCGCAGCTGCTCCGACAGGCGGTCCCAACCATAGAAGGAGCGGTAGTCTATGTCAATGATCTCCAGAGCGCCCAAATTTTTGAAGGAATGCAGCGGCACAGCCGTATCGAACGGGAACTCTTCATATCCTCGAATCAGGCGGGCGCGGTGGTCCGGGGCCAGGCGCAGGCAGGGGATCTTGGTAAAGGCCGAGTACAAGTACTTCAAGTCGGCTTCCAAGGCGACCTTGGCCTTGTCAGACTTGGAAATCGAGTCCTTGGAACCGAGGCCGAATGAGGACCACAGACCACTCATGCCGGACATGACACTACGGACGCTGGAGACGGAGTGGATCGACGCTCCATCGCCCTTGGATCGCTGGGGCTTGTTCAAAAAGGACACATAGGACTGAGAGACTTCGGTGTGGATATTCTCGAGTCGGACATTCATCGGGCCCACCGCAATAGACAAATCCTCGAAGCGCGATAGGAGGTAAAAGAGGTGGTGAGGGGTGAGGGTGAGTTTAGCGGGCTTGATGTTCTGCGAAGTGAATTTCAATGCGCCAAAGGACAATGCCGCAGCCAGGGTTAGGGAGGTGGAGGAAAAGGAGGCACCGGCGCTCGAGGAGCTGGTCGGCGCTTGAGGGGTTACGACATTCTTGGATTGGCGGCGGAGCTGCAAAGCGTTTGCAAGCGCCTTTTCGTGAGTGCGGACGAAGCTGGCAAGGTTCTAGGAGAGACAAACATTTTAGCAAATCCCGTCCACATCGAAGGACAAGGACAGCGCCCCGAGTATTCGTCGTAGCTTTTTCAGTCGAAACACACCTTGATGAAGAGTTGTCCATCCTCAGTGTTTAGCTTCTCCATGGCGGATAAGGGATCCAATGAGGCAGAGAAGAGCCCGGAGAACTCTGAAGATGGATGGCTCAATAGAGGGTATCAGAGAGAGTCGACATTTTGCTGGTACGACCAGATGCGATTGAAAGGAACGTGTTTCGTCGGTGTCGCCTAGGCGATGTGAGGAGTCAGCGTGATTTGGTCTTTTTTTTTATGGTCGCAGTTGAGCCTCTGGCTGTTTGCGGAACGGTGAGAGATAGGGAGGCAGAACGCAAGTACCTCTGAAAAGGAGCGCGGCGAGTCGACGATAAGAAGGAGTCCCTAGGATCGAGATCGAACTTCGACGTCGAAAGAGGTGTCAGGGGAGGATGGAGTGGGAGAAGGCTGAAGGGGGGGAGAGAGGGAGAGGAAATTGGTGGCACGGGTAACCGCTAAATACATACGATGTCTGATGATCGATGGGGAGGGGGGGGAAGGTATTTACGAGAGATACGCTGTTTACCACAGAAATTACGATATTTACTTTACGAATATGGGCGGAACTAAAGTTTCATCGGGTTTAGGGTGGAGGGTTTTAATGGATTTATTTTGGGATTATTATTAGGGAGAGATTAGACAGATTGTACACTAATAATCTACGCTTCCCATTGGCATTCTTATTGCCTTTCAGATACATAATTAAGATTGCTTTCTCTATCTTCTCCTCTCTGAATCCCAAGAAGTACAGTAAATTAAACCATGTCTTCCCCCCTACGGTCTGATCGCATCTGCTCATTTCCCTGATGATTTTTGAGACGTCTCTCCCCTCACGTCGGGGTTATCATCTCACGTCAACAAACATGACACCCGGGTCCAACCCCCCTCCCCCCTTCTTTCAGCGTCTACCCCTCCAGTAGATGAACAATGCTAATTTATTGGAAGTCTATGAAACGGGTGAAGAAACGGGATGGTTCCGTGGGTAGGAAGTCAACTTGTAACAGTCTTCTCCCGACCACGCAGCGAATCTGAATTAACGTGACTAGTTCGATCATGATTATAGGCTACTAATTATCGTGCAGCAACGCCGAGTGGTCAGTGGCGAGCCTATGGAGGGGTCGCATTAGGGCGACTCGCGTCTATCAGACCCTTCGGTTGGATCGACCGAACAAATGCTCCATCCTTGAAGTCGTGGGATAAGAAGAAAGACTGGAGACAAAAAAACTAAGTTCTTGGGATGGATCATGGCTGAACTTGGGAATGCCCCGCCGAATGGGTTGATGATCTTTGATCCTCTTGGTGACCCTCATGGCCCTCGATGATCCTCGCCCTGCGTGGCTCTGGTGGGATGGCCGCATTCTGAGGCGATCCCCCTCGAGTAAGGAAGCGTCTGTCTATCACGCTACGCAGTGGGTCTCTGTAGTCCACTGCTGCAGCTCCTCTCTTAGTCTCCTTAGTCGCTTTAGTCTTTTTAGTTTCTTTTCTCCCTGACCCGTTCCCCTCCTCCCCGATCGACCGAGAGAAAAAAAATAATCCAGTTGTTATACTTCATGTATACATATACGTATACTTCAATAGTCATACGCAGATATAATTCCATATCTGGTCATCCTATCTCTTGACCGCTTCTATGAATTGTAGTTCAGCTCGCCTTGAATCACAATTCCCAATCCCAAATCCTCAGCCACCAACCGCACAGCCCAGGTGGGAATGCCGCAGTTGCCCCGTGCTCCTTGGCCCGCTTTTTCTTTTTCCCTTTGGCTTTAGTGCCGCAATCAAAGCCCGCGTACGCCGTACAGCACCGGCGTAGCGTCCTGTAGGCTGGTCGGTAGCGCCGTGTTCCCGAGTCGGTCCTTACCGGATACTGTTGGGGGTCATCTGCAGAGTACACAGCTCTTCTGCTCGGGGCCAATCATACGGTCGCGATGCAGATGCAAAGGATATCTGCGTAGCAGGGTTTTGATGGTCGCCAACAACGGTACAGAAGAAAGCAAACTTGTGTCTTTCTGCATGCGTTCATAAAGTCCCGAGTTGATGGAGATTAGAGAGAATAGAAAGTTGGTCGAGGGAAGAAACAGACGGGCCGTTTGGCGCTTCAAAGAGGGGTCAATGAGCCCGGCATAGGCCGTCCGCTATCTACAGTGGCAGTTCGAATTTCCCAAGTCAGATACGTAAAAAGAGTGTCTATGAACGGTGGTCATCCGGGTTCGGCCTCTTCTTTTCTCGGGATATTCTCATAAATTCATATTCCGATCATCCTTCTAGATGGCTCAAGCATGATTCTTCTGTATGTATACTACTTCTCTCAATGTATAAATAACCAGATTGAAGATGCTATCAAAAAGTATGGTCGGGCTTTCAAACTTAGGAGACGCCACCGTACTGGAGAAACCAACTCTGCATAGGCCACTAGCAAATGGGACTTCGTGTCTATGGGGCGTTTCTCGGGCTCGTGGATTTTCCCTGGGACCCAGTCATCTCGCACTGACATCTGACATTCCACCGGGGCCACCAGTGGGCCCCTGATTAGTGGAGGTCGTCGGGAAGTCGTCCATCAGCACAGTCCGAATGACATATGGTGACAGAGAATGGGGACGAACGATGGAGAACGAACAAGAACGAGACTAAGACACATTCCATCAACATCCTCGTGATGGGTTGTTTTTTCTGTCTTCACGATATACTCCGTACTTCAGCACACCATACATCATCATCACTTTTGCTTATCGTCCCCCGCCAACAGTCACACCGCTCCCACACTTCCGGCCCGAGGGGAACCAAAAGGCAACGAAACAACGGGCATTCGAGCCATGGTACTCATTCGACCTTTCATCTCAATTTTGCATGAATAATTTATGAATGTCTTTATTACCAATGTTACACACTTCATACATATGGAAAAAGAGGGGCTGGTTATACGAATCAATCAATAACTAACAAGGTGATAGATCGACTCTACCTTGAATTACGCAGTCCATGGCTGGCGTCGTGTTTCAGGAGTCGAGTTTGTTTGATAGGGGGCACCATGGATAGGGGGACAAGATTTAGGATTCGGCATAACTTGGTACACAATTTCATTCGTAGCTCAGAGTCAAGGATCCAGCATCGTACAGGAAGTAGAGTGGTCAAAAGTATTCAAGTATCCAAGTATCCGAGTATCGACAATGTACCTCCATGTGTAGCCGTGATCGCATTGAGGGTGAAACTGTCAAAGTTGATCCCTGGAGTCGATCCCTGGCTGAGCGCGGGGTATGGAAATTAGACCTTTCCTCGGTATTTGACCTGGTTTGATTAGCGAGATGGATACGCTACTTGTCCTTGATATTTAATATAGATTCCCAGCATGATTAAGAGCAGGGAACCATCGCTTGTCGGCTTGTTTTTCTCCAACATTCCTGGGCTCCTGCGCCGCAAAGGGCGCTCGGTCCAACCTCTGGTCTTAACCTCGCTGCAGGCTAACCTCCCCTCTGCACTGGCCAGGAGTAGTTCGCATGCAGTCTGTCCTTGCAGCAGCCCCAGGTCCCGTGTGTACTACTCTTAGTACGGACAGAATCTACCAAGGAAGTATGGAGTAGGTAGTTATACTTGGCAGTATATGTAAGCAACACAGATATCGGAAGTATACTTCCATAGTCTATGTAAGTACGTGGTACGTACTCTGTATGTCGACCAAATGACATACATGGAGCTATCTGCATCGGTGAGCCTCTGCTGGACACCCCGATGCAAAAATCTTACGACTCCAGCACACTGGAGCTGTACAAATCCTCTCAGCCCCCGATGTTGCGTGACTGTGATAGAATTGACATGACCTTGGCCATGAGAACTGTTTTCTGATCAGGACCCCACCCCCAGCCCCTCCCTTCCAGCTGAAAGAATGCTCAGCGCACATGGGAATGGCCAATACCCCAAAGGGGGGTTGGGGCCTCTTGCCCTGTAGGATACACATGATATCTCGATCTGATCAGCCCTCTACCACCAGATCAAGCAGGAGAGTCAGCATCCCGAGAGGTTAACATTGTACATACGGTGGACGTTATAAGCATCCAATAGCCTCCAATAGATCAACGCGAGAAATTAGACGCCCTCGAGCGTTGACCGGTTCTTTGCCTCTCCCCACCGTGGGCGATCCATACAGCACGAGGATTCGAAAGGGAGATATCGCGGGGGGGCAGCTTATTGGGTGAGACATGGCACGGTCATTTGCGAGACGCAATCAGCCAAGCCCCTCGTGTGGCTCGCTGAGCCTGCATATTTCCCATGTTTTCTTTTTTCTTGTTGTTATGTTTTTTGCTTCTTGCCTTTCGCGGTGTGGCCATTTATCGATAATCGGGGGGTTACCATATACAGTATTGGGGTACAACCTACAAACTACGTTAGGGAAATTGATCGCTGCGAGCGGGGTGGAACCGTGGAAGGGGGTGATTCCCTGGCGCCACAGCAGTCAACTTGTGCGAAAGAAGTTTAACGATCTGCATCGAACCAAATGAGGAAGCGACCATTGGAGTTGAGCCGTTTGGATGCCGAGGTGCTTGAACGTGAGAGGCTGACGGAGGGGAAGATGTAGCCACAAAATGTTCGGGATATACCTTTCGAGTCTAGTTATCTAGTTAGTACGGGGTTGAAGGAGTAAAAAGGGTAGAAGATTGGATTCACCTCAGCCATTCATACTACTATACTATTTTTCATACTTTCCCCCTCCATGATTCATGAACTTTTTAGCCCGCTACTACACTCTACCATCGCCTCCCCCCCACCCCCTGTTCACATCCCGGTTTGCGAGTCATACTAGTGAGCTAAAAGGTAACCTAAAATGACGGGCGGCTACCGCGCAACCGAAACAATAAAATTGACGATGGAACTAATTTCCATTCCGAAGCCGTTGCGTAACGACCACAAAGTTGTCAGATCTATCATTCTGACCAAGAGATTCGGAATCTTCTACCAAGGATTAAGATCTGAACGAGCCACTTGAGACGCAGCCACCATATGTAAGTTTGCTTTTTTGCTGCTTTCTGTTTGAGGATTCACAGGACTTGAGTGGATCAGCATGATCAGCGCCAAGGGACCATAGAGGACTGGGAACTGAGTCGGTCCTAATTAGCAACCAATATGGATCCCGCCCGCCTGGGTGGTGCACGTCTGCATGTCTGCACATCATTTGGGGGTTAACTCCGATGGGGTAATCCTTATGGGCCATTATTAGAACATCAAGTACGGAATACATATGTAGTAATAGCTGCTATCTATACATGGAGACTATATACTAACTCGGTTGTAAAGTAGTTGATGTCCCACCTTCAACCTTAGTCGGGTGAGGAACTCCCTAATGGTTGGACGAGCTACCCGTGTACCGAGGAAACATATATCTGCTAGAGGTCCATCACCATTGGAATAACAACCACCAAATATAGATCACTAATGATTATTTTCACTTGGCTAGTACCTACCCACGATCTACACCGTATATCCCAAGTATCTTCCCGCCGATGCATAGGTACTCTACCAATATTACCTTCTAATCTCTCCGATATCGCCAACCCGGCCGCGGGCGGGTAAAACGATATGGTACCCCACCCCACCTCAGCCCATAGGGTGATTTCCTGTCCCTCCACAATGGATTGCACCACCAACCCAAATAAGAACAAAAAGGTGCAAAGCTTACCGGCCCCACCAATCACAGTGGCTACCACCCATCTACAAATGAGATCGGAATGAGACAGCATCTAGCGGTGAAGCTGTGCCGTGCTGCTCCGGAGCATTTGTTTTTCTTGCTTGTACGTCACTGTCATAATATAGAAATTTGATCGTCGCGTGAGCAAGATAGACTTTTCGCCACTGAGATTTTTTTGGAGGGTTGGTGGAGGGGTAAAGAGGGGAATGAAGTTGATTGTTGTTATCGTGACCCGGGCGACGAGAAAGGGATGCCCGGTAATAGCCCGTCCAACGAGCATTCCGCTGCCGCTACAGTACATACTACACACTCGGGCCAAGGTTGTGCCACGAGATTGACTTCCTGACGAGCATGCGCGAATTGCAAGCTGCGAATGCAAATGCAAGTGCATATGCGAGTGCCAAACTCTGCGTAGCATGGTGAGGTGGGATGGTGAATTGCAGATTTGCCCGGTATGCCTTCTCGTGCTGCCCCTCGCCCTCGGTTAGAGGATGAGAATTGTCAAATCGAATGACCCAATTGACTTGTATACTTGATAATTGGGTCATTGTGTGCGTCTGTACTTGACTTCGTATTCTTGACAGAGGTAGATAGCGGTCTGGAGTGATAAGAACCTAAAATGAACCAATTGTGCCGGTACCAACACCATGGACAATTCCAACCATGGTTCAAGTGTCTTATCTTTTGTTTGAAGAGATAACAACAATCGCGGGGTGCCGATTATCGAAGCCCGCACCAGCCACATGCACCAGCCACTGCCCCACTGTGGAGTGGCTCGGTGGGGTTACACGTGACGCTGACGTCGCCAGGAACTTGGAGCTCTGCCTACCCCAACCGGATTCGTTCATCAAGCTACCCCCAGATGCCCTTTCGTTCCTCACGATCTACTGCACAATGCGTTGAGCCATGTCACAACAAATCGCGGAGAAAGCAGTGCTACAGGACCCATACGACCCGGTTGGCCTGCCGGACTACGATCGAGAATTCATCACACCGGAAGAGTTGCACACCTTCGAGAAAGCACTGAATGTTCCAGAGGCGTTTGTGGCCATAAACGACTGGCGCCCGATCAACCAACGAGTACGCAAGACCCGTGGCCGTCGCAAGAATCCGAAAAGAAGCCGAGATGAAACGAGAGAAGGCGTCCTGTATACCCTTTTGAAATGGCCCTTGTTGGCTTTTGTTCTTGCGTGGATCGCCGTGCTTAGCTGCGGCTACGTCCTCGTCCGCGTCTACATCGTCTTGTATGAGCAATGGGTTTCTTGGCGTGGAAAGAGACAGCAGCTTAGGCGAGCACTCTGGGATCAGAAAGATTACCCGAGCTGGCTGAGTGCTGCCAAGGCGTTGGACGCCTATCTGGGAAATGACAAGTGGAAGGAGACGGACGAGTACGCTTACTATGATCATCTCACCATAACGAAGGTGTTGGGTCAGCTGAAGAGAGCGAGATACGAGACCGAGCGGGAGTTGAACAGTGGCACGCGTGCCGAGGAGGTACCGGCAATTGAGGAGATTCGTGCTTTGCTGGAAGCCTGTGTCAAGAACAATTTTGCCGGCGTGGAGAATCCTCGACTGTACAGTGAGGCCTACTCTGGGACGAAAGACTTGGTACAGGAATATATCGACGAGGTACATACGTGCATCCAGCTGGTCCGGGACTGCCGCGAAATCGACAAAGAAGTCAAGTACCAGCACTTCAAGCACCTCGATACCAACTTTGGACGCACCGCGCTCTGTCTGTCGGGTGGAGCGACCTTTGCATATTATCATTTCGGGGTTGTCAAAGCTCTTCTGGACGAGGGTGCTTTACCAGAGATCGTGACAGGAACCAGCGGAGGTAGTCTTATCGCAGGTCTGGTCGCAACCCGAAGCGATGAAGAGTTGAAGCAGTTGCTAGTCCCGGCTCTAGCTCACCGAATAAGGGCATGCAGTGAAGGACTAACAACTTGGGTCCCCCGTTGGTATCGGACCGGTGCTCGGTTCGATACCCTCGATTGGGCTCGGCAATGTAGCTGGTTCTGCCGGGGATCAACGACGTTTCGAGAAGCCTATGAACGGACTGGCCGCATCTTGAATGTGTCTTGCGTACCCTCGGACCCCCATTCACCAACGATCCTCGCAAATTATCTGACTTGCCCGGATTGCGTCATCTGGAGTGCGGTACTGGCATCAGCTGCAGTCCCCGGCATACTGAATCCGGTCGTTTTGATGGTCAAGCGGGATGGGAAGTTACAGCCTTTTTCTTTTGGCCACAAGTGGAAAGATGGCAGTCTGCGAACGGATATTCCAATTCGAGCTTTGAACCTCCACTTCAATGTCAACTTCACTATTGTCTCGCAGGTCTGATCGCCCCCATTACATTTATTTGAGGATCTTACTAACATTATGCTGGCTCTAGGTCAACCCCCACGTTAATCTGTTCTTCTTCAGCTCCCGGGGAACCGTAGGGCGCCCAGTCACGCACCGCAAGGGCCGTGGCTGGCGCGGTGGATTCCTCGGCACCGCGATCGAACAATACATCAAACTGGACCTGAATAAATGGCTTCGAGTCTTACGGCATCTTGAGCTGCTCCCACGACCCCTCGGCCAAGACTGGAGTGAGATCTGGCTGCAGAAATTCAGTGGCACTGTTACTATCTGGCCCAAGAGCATCCCCAGCGATTTCTTTTACCTTCTGTCAGATCCCAGTCCCGAGAGACTTGCCCGAATGATAAATGCTGGCAAGCAAAGTACATTCCCCAAAATTCAGTTTATCAAGAATCGCCTCAAGATTGAGAACGCTATCATGAGGGGCCTCCAGCAGTATTCCTCGACAGGAGGCCGCTCACTCTCTCCGATATTGTCTCGCCGGATGCAAGCTCCGGAGCTTGAACCTGCGGACGCGCTATCTCAGAGATTGGACGCAAGCTTCCCTGAACGGCACGAAGATGGTGATTCGCGTTATGTTGATGATAGCATGTCCCACTCAACGGGTTCTTCTCGCCCTCAGACCCCGACCCGGCGGGGTAGCCTTATGGAGGAGATACGACGCCAGTCCGCGGTATTCTTTGACGACCCGGACATCTACCGTGACGAAGATGCTGTTGTCACCTGAGGCGATCTGCTGGTACAGGCGGCTCAAGCGCCCTCTGCGGGTAATAGGGCGACAATACTAACATAGCCGATGACGTCGAGTAGGGTGTGTGTCTGCTTTCGGCTACCTGCAGGTTAACCCTCTATCTTCCGTCATTCTCAAAGGGTTATTCGATATGACAGGCGGCTCATATCCGTTTTTTAAGTCTGTTCACTTTCTGACGCGGATATCCACGGGGATCATTTGGAGCCTGCCTAATTTGTTTTCGCCGCCGTGCCAGCTCGAAGTTTCTACTTTGTATTTTCATTTTCTTGCCCCCGCACTTGCGAGATCTTACACTAGCATGCCAAGGTGTTTTTTCGTTAATTTTTTTTTTTTTTTTGCTGATTAGCCTGGATACATGATACAGCCTTTGTCTTTTGGTTTTGGGTTTTGCATGCCCCTCCTTTTCAGAACCATTTGCCACTTTGTGATTACTCTTCTCGGGTATATTGGCCCTGAGCCTTGTGTAATACATTACTTACATTAAAGAAGCGTACGAATACACCAGACACTATGTGCTGATATGATCACTGTGCTTCATAACTAACATAAGGATTTTGAACATGAGATAGCAAACTAATCTCGACTAATTAGCTCCTGTCGATAATTCCATATGGGGGGTGACGTCTGCTTTAACGCCGGGAAATCCCGTGGCTGCGAGGAGTGGGGATTCATAAGGCACGATGACGTCGCAGTTTACGTGCCTAAACTCCTCTAGATGAATATCAGACCCCGCGGAGCGCTAACGCAATGTACCATGTTGTCATTTAACATATTTCTGCAATCGTGTTGTGGGGATGGTTGCTAATGTGATATTTCTCGAAAAGCTAGGTTGAACCGACAATTACTAGTGTATTTTTGATGGAGTCTATTGCAGATTATAGGCTAAGATTTTGAAGAGAGAATGATGTAGATTTCTAGAGCGATAAGTCTATGATACGTGCTGTTATAGTGTTGAAGCGGGATTCCCCAGAGACTGAACTTCCATCTCAGGGAATCACGGGCAGCAGCAGGTAGTTCTCATGCTCGTTGTCGAAGTGAATATTGTTGACTCCGGAAGACTTCTCAGCAGGTCTGCAGATTAAGACTGATTAGTACAAGCATAGCGACAAGAAGGGTCTCTACATACCGGTCGATGGGAAAGTTGTGCTTGAAAAGGTCTACACCAGGGTTTGTAACCTCCGACGAAACCTGCAGCACCAACCAGCCTCCCTTTTCAACAACCACGTTGGTCGGCCATAGCTCCACGTCACATTCGTAGATTACACCACTCTCAACGGGCTGGACATCAATCGATCGATACTCTCGTCGAGGGAGGTATGGCCTGTGATAGGGGCTCTCGGTGTGGACCTTGCGCATGCTGGCTCGCAACCACCCCCTCGTCACGGCTACAGCGTCCCCGGACGATCCCGTGTAGGGAATTTCCTTGCCGGCAGCAGTAAAGTGCCGGAGAGTCAAAAAAGATCCAGGTCCAAGTTCTCTGGTGGTGGAGTGGCTGCGCTGTCCACGGAGACAGCGAGATGCGCGAGAACATGGCCAGTCACCTCGAGCTCTGGCTGGGCAGGCGGCGTCTTGAATTACAGCACCTTCACACATTTGACTGAGGACTCGCCCGCATCACAAGAAAGAATGGACGATTCAGCCTCTTTGATTCCCTGGCCATCGTGCTTCAGACTCAGATCGGAAGTCAAGAAGAATTTGGTATACTCCGTTCTCGCGATAGGCCACCCCATCTCATCTCTACGAGGGAAAGTCTTCTCGCTCTCAGGGTCATTGAACCCAACATCGCCCTTCCTCAAGCAAACACTAACCGGCGGAACCTTACCAGTCTTCCACCCGGCCTAGTCATTGTCCTTCAAGAACGCCTCCAAAAGGCTGCGGTGCACCTCGACCTCGACCTCCTCGTCATAATAGAAAGGCAAATCGTGCCGTCCCACAATGAATCGCAGGAACTTGTGCTGCGAGCCAGCCCACGTATATCCCTCCACGATACCACGAAGATGAAGGGTGTTGCCGCCCTAGTTCGCGACATTCAGCAGCGGCAACTCGATATCCTCGAGGTGGAAGACCTTGGACGAGTGATACTCGTCGTCAAGGAAAGGGTTCGCCGCATTGTCAGCGTTCTGGTCTCGGCAATCCTGCGCCAGCTCGGCAGCATCGAGGTCACCTTCGATTGTGTCCTCGCCCCAGCGTGACTTGGAGCGGTTGGGCCGGCCATATTGATTGGTGTTCACTTGCCGGTTCCACCAGAATTTGATGAAATTGTTGGATAAAATTCCACCATGTCTGCAACGATCACGGTAGTAATCACTCATACCCTCGTGAGGCACGATGGCGGCTAGGCCTTTAGGGCGCTTTGCTACAACAGGTCATTGGCTTCCTGAAAGGGTAGAGGTTAGACAGATTGAAGGAAGTAGCTCCTCGATCTTGAATCAACTTACCGGCATAGTAGCTCACGCCCAACAAGCCGACTTTGCCGTTGCACCAGTCTTGCACAGCTGTCCACTCAATCAGGTCAAAGAAGCTGTTGGCGGTGCTGGCAGACATGGTATCAAGTAGACCAGGTGACTTGGTCCAGTAGACAGGATCTGGGGTCTCCCATGCTGAATACTTCGATTTATGCACGGGGTTGACTTCGGAGAAGGGCTTTTCATGGAAACTAAAGTGAAAGAAACCTTTAGAATGACACCGAGGTGAACATTGGAAAGCTTCATAGGAATTGCTTTCTCTCCATAGTAGATATCCTTTCCATATTGGCCCATACGTGACAAGACTGGGGTATTTCCCCTCCACGATGGGTTGGTAGACGTTGACGCGAAGGACACCTCCGTTCCATTTGGGGGGAACAGAAACGTTCTTGTGGAAGATCAATTCGTTCTCCTCGTCCACGAACAACTCGCTGATATCACGAATTTGATTGGGTATTTTGGGGGGTGATGTTCAAGGTTGAATGAGAATAATCTGCTAGACCTCATGAACAAATATACGAAGCCCTTACACGCCGTTGGATCTAATTGCTAACGTTAACTTGTTAGTAGTGTGAAAAACATGCTATCGATGATCTGCTCCCGTCATTGCTACAACCTCTGGACCTTGAGCTTTTTGGCCTAGTTCAAGGCCCTATGACTGATCATGAAATGCTTTCTACGGCTTTGATCATTGATCAAACTGGCATAACAGATGCTCCTAATTCTGTCAAATCACTACCGAATCTTCGTTCAGTCGCGGTCATTGACCGTACAGCTGATGTTGAAAAGGCCGCTCAGCAAATCCTCCCCGCTCATCTTGCATTCTCCGGACAGTCACCTCATGCGCCGGATTTGATAATTGTCAACGAATGGGTCAAGGACAAGTTCATTGATACGATGACTCAAGAAAGATTGCGTTTAAATCGTGAGGTGCGCTCGAGTCATGCTGATAAGCATGTTGCATGGAAAAAAGCTGTGACAGATGCAGAGAGCAAGGGAGAAGCTAAGCTCATCAAGAAAGAGGGCCTATACATGGTTGATGTCCAACAAAGGTGAGTGCCCATGACTCGAAGTTTTTCAAAATGGTCCACTTCTAACGCGGCATTCAATCACTTAGGTCGTCTTCCATAGTCGCTCAGCGTGGTGACGGGCAATACTTGACTCTACTCACAGTTGCTAGTTTAGCTGATGCTGCTCTTACGCTGTGAAATGTTGGTTCTGCGAAACCCCATACCGTGGTAAGCGTACTTGCTAACACTACATAGACCCGAGTATCTCGTTGAATCTGCAGCTGGAAAGTTCTTGAGCCAACAGATAAACAGTTACTGGTCCTTCATCAACCATATTCCCGCCCAGCTCCTGGGTAAGAAATCACAAACTATATGCCAATTGAATATTCGTCCAAGTGCTGACTGTTTCCTGTTCTTTGTTTCACTTCAGTCGGACCCGCTCTTCCATCTAAGCAAGGAACATTTTCGCTTGGTCTACGATACACCCACTGGTCCGAATACCGTGACAGGATATGGGGCTAATAATGCGTCTGTAGTAATTGGTGTTTATAGAAACTTGATACTTTTTCTTTCCGATATCGCTACATATTGAATTCCCGTGGTAAAGGCTTAATTAATAGATAAGGAAACTGGAAACTAGACCCACAACGAGTCGTATTAATAAAGTGAGAGGCGACTCCGCATCTAGTCGTCTGAACCCCACCTACTGAGCTCTCTTCTCCAACTATCTTCGGACCAACTTATCAGTTCCTCAATCTCTCTCTCTGGGCTTCTTCGCGTTCTTGTCCTTGTCTTTATGCCCTCCTTGCCTACCAGAGGCCATCACAAATTTCCTGCTTCCAATCGCTATTTAGCCATCGCCGAAAATGTCAAGAAGTGCTTTTTTCTTCAATGGTCGCATTTTCACAACGACCACGGCTGGACCTCATGAAAAGCCTACTTTCGCCGATAGCATGCTAGTCGAAAATGGCAAAATCATCGCCATTGGGTCATCTGCTGAGGTCATCGCTTTGAAGACTACCTCAGATACGGAGACTCGCGACCTACAGCAGAGGAGCGTTTTATCAGGCTTCATCGACGGTCATATGCATTTACTTCTTCTGGGTCAGTCGCTACGCAAGCTCGATCTCAAGCACTGCAAATATTTTGATGATATTACAGCAACTATCAAGGAATACGCACTGGCGCATCCAGATGCACCGACTATTCTATGCAAGAATTGGATGCATGTCATGACACCGAATGGTGTCACGGCTGCCATGCTGGATGATATTGACCCTCGACCAATCTTTATTGATGCGAGCTCACAGCATTCCTGTTGGTGCAATACTGCAGCGTTGAAGGAGCTAGGTGTTGCCGATATTCCTGATCCTGCAGGAGGCACTATTCATCGCGACGCCGAAGGGAACCCATCCGGCCTTCTTGATGAGGGTGCCATGATGTCTATCATCTGGCCATATCAGGCCGTTTCTGCTTCGAAGGAAGAGCGCATTCAAGCCATATGGGCAGCCATTCAAGAGTATAACTCGGCAGGGTACACGGGTATAGTGGAGATGGCCATGGATGAAGAAGCATGGGATGCGCTTGTTACTTTGCGTGAAATGGAGCCGGATCTTCCATTACGAATTGCAGCATACTGGCTGATCAAGCCAACAGCAAACCTCGAGGAGAACTCGCATCAAGTTCAGCGGGCAATTGAATTATCGAAGATTTATAACGCTGAAACCAGCCCTGATCTCCGAATCGTCGGGGTCAAGGTCATCTGTGATGGAATAATCGATGCCTGTACGGCTTATCTCTCACAGCCATACGCTCCTGTCGGTTCTCCGCCACCGATTTGGGCTCCGGAACACCTACACCCAGTCGTCAAAGAAGCAGATACCGCAGGCTTACAGATCGCACTGCATGCAATCGGTGATGGGGCGATCAAGATGGCCATTGATGCGATTGAAAAGAATGCCACACCTGGTCGTCGGCATCGCATTGAACACATCGAGCTTGCATCGCCAGAGGATGCTAAAAGACTCGGCGCCTTGGGTCTAACGGCCTCTATTCAGCCAGTACATGCCGATCCATCTATCTTGACAGAATGGCCGCGATTGCTGGGAGAAGACCGGTGTCAACAAGCTTTTGCCTATCGGGAATTCGCCGATGCTGGGGCATTGATGGCTATTGGCAGTGATAGTCCAACATCGCCATATGCGCCTATGGACAACCTCTACGTGGCTACAACACGACGTTCTGCGAGAGATCCTCAATATACGAAAGTGGTAAACGAACACTTCCAATTAGGAATGTGTGAATCTATTGTTGCAGCATCAGGTGGTGCAGCTATGAGTGTCTTTTCAGAAAATCGAACTGGCACCCTGGCTGTCGGAAAGCTAGCAGATTTTGTCATCGTAGATATGGATTGGGATGCAAAGTCTCTCCTCCAAGCAAAGATCAAGGAGACGTGGTTTGGTGGACGCAAGGTCTGGGGTAAATAGATGATCAAATGCACACACCTGAGCATTGATGGCCCGCCTCTGTACAAATTTCCACATAGTCTTCCAAAGGCACTCCGAGACCCAGGGCTGGAGTTTCATTTGTACTGTTTAACTCTTGTGAATCCAAATAATAAGGCTAGTCAAACATATTTATACATTAGGGGAAATAGGACAATAAAACAGTTCAGGGAGGGCCAGGAGGGCCGCCCATGGGAGGACCATCTGGACCGCAGCAATCACCACAACAGCACTCGCAACACTCAAAACAGCAGAATCCAACACAGCTAATTAAAACAATTTTTTTAGTTAAAGAGCTCGGTAAGTATCTTCCTTGGGGTCACGGGCACTTACATCCCACAGCAAATATCCCCACCTCCACCGCCACGCATATGGACGACGTGCATAGACTGGGGAGATTCCTGATGTATTGTGTTATTATTACACTATGCATGGCATTCTCTAGGTATGAAATGGAAACAAGGTGCTTACTGGCTGCTCTGAGACGGCCTGACTCATAGCTGGGGCAGCAGGGCTGTTCGGCTGCTGCATGGTCACCGTATTGGCGTCCCACTTATTCTCTATAACAGGCTCCAGGGCTGGCTGGAACCAGCTCTTGATAGTGTCAACATGGCGAATTTATGAGTTCTTGTGAAGGAAGAATATGTGAGCTACAGCCCAGTGAATGTCGATGTCGTTGGGTATTTAGAGGTTACAGTGCAATGATTTAGGGAGTTCCAGGCAGCTACCGGATGAGCGACTCGATCAATAGATCTCCCCCTTCCATACTATGGTCCTTGCCCAAACTTCAATAGTTACTCTATAGTCTTGCCTCACAATTATGCTATTCACTTTGCGTATGTTTTACTGCCGGGACGCGTAACCCTACGCCACGTTCTATCCGATAGAGATCCACTTTGAGTGTTCTGTGGACGCGGGTAGGGCTATGCAATCCACTGCGAATTTGCTTGCGTGGACATCACAGGTCGTTTCGGACCGGCCAATGGCTCAATGACATTACTTGGTTCACAAATTGAGTGATATCACTATCCTTTAGGTCCTATATGCCTTCATGGGGTTTATTCTTCAGTTGTGCTGAAAATGAATGACATCTGAAAAACGGTTTGGTGTGGCAGAGCTTATTCGGAGGATCGCCGATAGCTTAAAACTCAGGCAAAGATCTCATCCGCGTGCCCCAAACTAGTTCCCTAAGCAATTATGTATTATTCAACAGTTAATCTTAGTTAGGCAACCACCAATGATCTCTCAATTGCGGAATCTCTTGGCATTGTAGGGCTGCCTGGCAAATCCAAATTGAACCAACACGCCACCGGTGTGTGACGATCATCCACGTACCCAATCTCGAGCTGTGACGTTTATTCTTAGCATATCTGTGTATAAAAGTCGCGGTACGACCCGTGGACGGTAGAATTAAACATCTTCCATTTATACCACTTTTTGTCTTCATACTTTCGAACTATCACTTCATTTTAACACAGAAGCAACCAACAATGGGTCTTTTCTCTCATCACCACCACCACGACCAGCCGCAGGGCGGTCCTCCCCCTGGTAACCAAGGACCTCCCGGCGGTGGCCCTCACGGAGGTCCCGGCGGCCCTGGTGGTCCTGGTGGTCCTGGCGGTCCTGGCGGTTTCGGAGGCCCTGGCGGTCATCAAGGAGGCCCTGGTGGTCACAACGGTCCTGGTGGTGGTGGTCCTGGTGGCCCCGGAGGGCCTCACGGCGGTGGTTCTAATGGTTCTAACGGAGGACCTGGAGGTCCCGGTGGCCCCCACGGAGGTGGCCCTGGAGGTCATGGCGGCCAAGGTGGTCCCGGTGGCCCAGGCGGCGTAAGTCAAAAACGTCTCATCCATTTGATTCTCCGTGTATAATCACTGACACGTTTCATAGCATGGCGGCTGGTAAGCGGATCATATAACGGGAAGCAAATAGTGTGTGTGGGAGGAATTAGGCTTGACAAACTGTATATAAGTCTGGGCAATGAACAGATTGCTTTAACGCACCACTTTGATGAATTCAGCCCAGTTCCTATGAAGTACTTGGAGTATGTAATAGTTGAATCTGTGCTGTAAGAAGATGATAATCGAAGCGTCAATTAATCGGCATAAGCCAGGTATCAAGTGCAAGTAGCTCAAAGATGTCACGTATCGAATGATATGTATTGAAAGCCGAGACTACAACGAGGGTATGTGAACAACAAAAAATAGACACGAGTGTTCAGTGGTAACACCAATAAACTCCATACACAATGGAACAAAGAAATCCCAGACTGCGCTCCTTGAAATGAATGTACCATATCAATGTTTTCGTAATCATTATCATAGCACCGATTCAACAGTGCTTGTTTGCTTGGTCGTGTAATGACAATTGTCAATGTGGATGTAAACCACGGGGTGCTTAGAGTCGACGTCCAGCGGTTTTCCGTTGCTGACGTTGGGCCTTTTCCAAAGCCCGATAGCGTGTGTTGTTTGCTCTCTGCTTCCGGGTTTGGTAGTTTCTCCAATACCGAGTGATCACATCCTTTGCCCAGGTGATCTGGTTTCTAGTTTGAACGACAGCCGCACAGTGTGCTGCGAGGTCGTGGGCGATTTTTCGACGGAACTCATCGCGCTTTGCAAGGTGGGTCCGCCAAGATCGCTGCAGTACGACCGCTGCGCGAGCACGTTTCGAGGCAGAAAGCAATCGAGAGCAGAGGAAGGCGAGAGTGCCAAGAGTAAAGTCTCCGTCAAGGAGATGGGAGGAAGCTTTCCTAGGAGAGACGAGAGATGCTATAATCGCACGTCAGTATTCTCCATCCACTTTTGCCTCCTCGTCAAACTTACCAAATTGAGAGCTGCATCCCAACAATCGCAAACGAGATGCCAAAGGCATAGAGACAGAGCGTCTGTCTGCAATATCGCAATCACCGGCCCCTCCGCCAGTGATAAACGGCTCGTACTCATCAACAATGCTGCCGTATATTTTGCCATCTGCGAAACAGGTGGTCATGTTGCGGATCTCCAAGCCTTTCAAAGCTGCCAGGGTCGCGGCCCACTGCAGGAGCAATGAACTATGGTCGGATCCATTTTGTGTAAACCACGCCTCTTGCGTCACTCGATCTTGACCAAACTGAAGAGTAGCTTTGCGTTGGAGTCTGTTGATTTCTTTGCGGAGATCCTCCCAGTCAACGAGGCCCGCAAGTCCGAATTTGCTGACAAGAGCCCATAAGAGCGCAACAGTCTTTTCACGGTAGCCATCCACGATGTGGTCTGCATTCATGTCGCCAAGAATTGCCCGGCCACCATTAACAGAGCTCAAGGCAGAGAGCGCAATCTGAGCATTGTAGATCTTTGCCGCTCGGCTAATGCAGGGATATTTGAGATGCTTGGACAGAGGCCGATCCCTTTCATCGCCTAGGAGTGAAAGAGCCTCCCCTGAAGATAGGGTGAGTTCAGACTGGTCTTCAAGGCCAGTCCGCACGTGCTCCGAGGTGTAGAAGAGAATTTCGACAAGTCTGGTCAGCCGCACACCATCTCTAAGGTCGACGGCAATGTTGTCAATTGTGTAGTCGTATTCTTGAAGCTCATGCTGTTTGTAAGTGACATGGCAGCCAAGATGACTTAATGTCTTTGTGATATCCCCAGTAGAGGGTAGTAGTAGACGGCCCAAGGCATGGAGAATCTCAGCAGAAGACTTGTAGGGAGATGATGACAGGAAAAGTCGACGAGGTAGACTTGTACAGAAGCCCTGTCTTCCTTGGTCCAAAAGAGCGACAAGCAAAATGCTTCGAAGCACGGTCCGAAGATATGCACGCGAGTGTGTCTCCCTTGGCACTTCGCCTAGACCAGTGGCGGAGGAGATCATATCGTCGTTTCTCAAGAGAAAGGCTTCAATAAAACCTTCAACTCTTCGAGTGACCGCCCTTTGCGCCTTGAAATCGTTCTCAGAGGACGGATCATTCTGAAGATCAAACAAAGTAGAGTCGCTGGTGATTCTTCGGCCAACGACAGTCTCCAAAGCAGGTACTAGGGCGCGAAGGTCATATGATTGAATCCAAATGTCTAAAAATTCTCTCCGGACACCCACATCATTCTTAAGACGACTGTTGCGAGCCTGGATATCCTTCGGCAAGCTGAGGGTTCCAAAAGACAAGGATGATTGGAGTCGCTGATAGAGGCTTGCGAACTCTCCAGTGTGGTAGAGTTCAAGCAGTTCCAAGCGAAGCGCATGAGGATCCACAGCCGTTGAGTCTCTGTTGGTGCATTCGAAAAATGCATTGATCAATTGCGTGATAACAGTTTCCTGGTGTGATAGCCAGTCATCCTCATACAGGGCAGGCTTTGATAAGTCCTCCGTCAACAGAGGGTATTTGCTGTTTAGTTCCCTCAAGTTTGAGGTATCTCCAATCTTGGAAGCCCGCATGGTCTGCGAATGGCCAAGCCGTTCTGACAACACGGATGCACGGGCCTTGAGGGATGCCGATACATTCCGCAGAGGATCCTGTGGCTCGTCTCGAACTTTCCTTCCAATAAAGAGAGAATTAGATGATGCATGCAAATTGTTTTGCTTTTCACCAAGGACATTCCCTTTCGGTGGCTGTTTCTTCGCGCCCACAACCGAGTTTGTGCTATCCCCTCCGTCCGTTTGATGCATTGTGGTACGGCGAGCTGGTTTCGACGTAAACGTACTCATCCGCTTGGGCTTTGACTGCACAATATAATCCAGTTTGCTCTTCTGGTTAACTTCAAGAAGCGATCCCGGTGGAATATTTTCTTTTCCGCCGTTCTTGCCAGCCACATCTACCCTGAAGGCAGCTTCCTGCGCAATCTTCGTACTAGGCTGGAGAGGCGCTTTGCGTGCAGAGACTACCGCAGACTTTCTAGCCTGTCGCTTTGCAATCTGAGCTTCAATGGTGTTGATTTTAGTATCCTCCGCCACTCGGGGCATAAAGTTTCCTTGAGACTTTTTGACGGGGCTAAAAAGTCCCATGAAAACGCTGGCCACAGTGGTATCGTCGGGTGGGATGTAAATTGTATTGCGTCGAACCTTCTTCTTGAGGCCATTGTTTTTCTCGCTCGGTGCTTCTTGGGTAGGTCGTGGGGCAGGCCCGAATCCATCATTTGTGCTAGGTTGGAAAGATCGTGCTTTTGGTTGTGTTTCAGTCTCTGGTTTGTTCTGTTGGAGTGGCGGGCTGGGAGCAAAGTTGACTTTCGGGCGGAATCTCTGAGCAGGTTGAGCCAACAAGGAAGATTTGCGGTCAGAAGGATCTCGAAGTCCTGCATTTGGTCTTCTCCGTTTCTCGACTGGGCCAGGCTGCTTGTCACTGATATCCTCGTAAATCTGGACCGTATTGGTAGCTCGACTGGCTCTTCGAGGCCGTACACCGGTCAAAGTTGGTACTCGTACTTCGGTGGTGAATTCGATTTGCCCCGTCGCATCGAAGGCCGAGTCATCATCCACCAAGCTATCGAATGAGTCGTTGCCGCCGTGTTCGCTCAACCCAGAGGACCGTGACCTGGACGGACATGGGGTGAAGGCTTCATTCAAGATCCCAGACATGATTTCAAGTCACCGGGGGTAGACGGTAGGTAGTTTATGGACGCATAAGGTCGTTGGAATGTGGTTTCGAGATTGAGTTGGTCACAAGTCCACCCTTGCAGCTTGTTGATCCTCGGAGAGGCGGTGTGAATTGAGGGGGCAAGGTGTGTTTTCAAAAGACTCGAGTTTGGAGATATGGTGTTGCAATACGATAAGGAGGGTTTTAAGCCTTGGCTGTCAGTCGCGACGATCGATAACCACCGCGTGTCTATCGCGTTTCTACAGACTAGACGCCTCGGCGTTGTTGACAAGGCCCGTTGTCCGGGGCAACTTGGATTACCTCATCGTGGAGGGGCAGGCACGTGACTAACGTCTTCCCAAAGTGGAAAAGTGTCGATCCGACCCAAGCGGGCAATTGTGCATGCACCTGCATAATCATCATTACAGTATGTATTCATGTTACAGGTTTCAACATTATCTTTGTCCCCTGGTCTAGCTGCATCCATCCATAGCGAGTTACAATCTCCAATCCACCTTGTAACCTTGGCAGGCTGCAGTCAGCCGGACGTACTTCCGACTCTGTACAAGGCACCTAGTAGCTCCAGTACCTTACCTAGCACGATCTATGTAAATTCCCTCCTCACCTCTGCTCTGTACAACCAAGAGTAATCTGTCGATTTGACCAGGAATACTTGAAGTATAAACTACCCAATCAGATTGATGGAGATCAGGGTCATGGTATTGGTGGATTCGCACTGCATGGTCAATCGATGTCATCACGAGATTAAAAAGGAGGCGAGTAGTGGGTCTGCTGTCTCTAAATTAGACTAATTAAACTCTCGTGACTTCTCCTTTCCCCGGACCAACAGTCAACGTGGCCACGCTCCAGGCCCCCTTTCCTTTGTTTCTTAGACAAGATCTTTGAACTTGATATTCTTATTGTGATTGGAGAGTGTTGGTTATCCTGCGACATGTTCCTAGGCGCGCGCCTGACCCTCTAACACCTATCCGCAACCTCCATCCCCCTCCTCTCCGGTCACGATTTCGGCCAGCCCACCACCTCCACTTTCGCATTCCTCACTTCGCTCTCCGGAATGATTCTCGGCCATGGAGTCTTTTGTGCCTAAGGATTCGCCTTTGGACGACTATCTCCAAGGTTCGTGTGTCTTGCGCCAAGGAGAATACGTGAAGACTTCATACTGACGTGCCTCGGTCTCTTAGGAGTGGGTGGTGAAAGTGAGGAGAACTGGCAAACGGCGGAAACGAACAGCGATAGTGAACATGACATCCCGGCCTCCGATTTTGCTCCTCGGGGAACTTCTCGCTTTCAGAGCCGAGTCCGCAACAAGCTCCCAAAGCCCTTGAACCTCCGGAGCTCGCCTCATGGAGCGATTGTTGAGAAGCTATACACTGCCTGCTCGGTAGGACCACCGCGGACCAATTTTAGAATCTATTCTGACTTACTCTGTCCATGACCAGTCTGCCCTAAACGCGCGCATCGCAAGAGGTGATAACGAGCGGTTTCTGGAACAATTCGGATATGTCATAGTCGCCTCTCAATTATTAAACGAGCACAGCGCGCCTTCCTACACCTCCGCCGCGGACGTCCTCGCAACTTCACAGCCTGCAGAGCTTCCATCACTCTCCACGACATTTGGTCTACAAGGTGCCATTGTCACGGCGTCCACATCCTTCTCGATTGTGTGGTTACTACACTGGGGCCGGTCGAAGACGGGATCTGGGCTAAATCCGCGAAAGTTTGGGATCTTATTGGTCCTAGTACCAGTTCTCGGGGTCTTTTTCTATGCATTCGCCAAACGACAATGGTTGAAATACTTGCGGCATCAGGCGGTGGAGGCAGCTGGGGCTTTTGTTGGGAATGCTCAGGGGTTTGACTCGGCTGCATCAGCTTCGGTGGTCTTTATACAAGAGGTGGAGCTCGTTTCTAGAGGCTATCGGATGTAAGCTTGTTCTCGACACTCTGTGGATGTGACTATCGACTAATTCCGCATTCCAGAAGCACTCCCCTCCCCCCTATCAGTCGACTGGAAGACCAGGTACAAACTCGGCGGTGCTTGCGACTTCGAAGAGCAGTGTCCGAATGTTTTTGGTCCATGCTCGAGCGTTATATTCAATCACAAAATACCCTGCGACCGCTTACCGACGAGGCCAACCTTGCTAAATATTACGACATATATGATATCGCACTGGAGGATCTCGAAGCTATAGAGGCAACACTGTCGCAACGATCTATGGATGACCAATACTCATTGCGTTCCCTACGTGAATCGTTCGGGAAATTGTATACTGTGAGGAAAAGCGTTTTATGCTGCTTGCTCGCACTCAGTGCCGATGGAGGAGGATCTGATATCGCGAGGTGGAGTTCAGCCGTGGAAGAGATGCGCGAACTTGCTGCTGTCACTGGATCAAGTATGACCAAAATGGCCAACATCCTGAATGAAGAGGACCGTGAGTATATTCCTCATATCATGCCAACCCCCAACGGAATTAAAGGCTAATCTTTACAGGGGATGTTATTCCTCCGTCACCATTACCGTCTGCCTCCCCAAGCAAGGAGCACATGCGCGCGCAATTCCGGCGGCTGAACTCCTTATCTCAGGGTGTTCGTGCCTTGCATGCTAAAATGCATATCGTCAGCGAGGAGTCCAATGCCAATCTTGAGCAATCCGAAGCAGGCGAATTTGAAGCGAGTCTACTGGTACAGTATGACTCCATCGGTAGCGACATCCGGGCTCTCCTCCAAGAATGGGAGCTCGGGAAAGCCGCTTTTGTACACAGCCAGGATCGTCTCAGTGTCGGGGACTTCTCCCGGCCCCCGAGTACAGCCTTTCCACTGTCTCCTACCCCTAGTCTTGGCGGTACTACCGCCGTGGAGGGTAGTCCCACCGATGCTCTCAAAGCGCTGAACGGTGAGCGTCCCGACTTGACGCACAGTTTTGAAGATGAGGAGATTTTCGAAGCCGTTGTACTTCCTGCTTCAAGAAATAAGAGAGCCTCTCTAACGAGAGATGAGCGTCTGGCACGCGTTCGTGAAGCACGTGCCAGTAAAGCGGCCGTTCAGGAAAAAGCAAATGCAAAGACAAATATGCTCAAGGAGCTGGAGATGGTCATCCAGCAAAGACCTCGCAACAACCCTTCCAAGCGAGTGACCAGCATCTAATTGTGTACTGACATTGGGTCTCCTCAACACCCAGCACACTCATTTGTTCTTTTTGATTTCTTGCTTCAACTGTAAAGCATCGCTTCATATTGCTATGGTCTACTGACACGATACCCATGAACTTTATAGAAGGATCAGGCGAAGATGGTGTTATTGAGGGCTCGAGCTTTATTCTTATTTAACTTTTTGCTCCATTGGACTTTACTCTTTCTCTCTGGTTTTGCCTTGTGTATTTCTTTTGTATTATCAGTTTTTGGAGGCTTTTGCTCCTTTGTTCATTTTCTTTCTGGCTTTCACGGTTAGTGTCGGACCTTGCTCCATTATCTCTCCGTCTTTGTGTACATTACAATTACTCTTCCTACCAATCGTAGATAATTGTAATTGTATCCTCCACAGCTTCTTTCAGCTTCTTTCCTTTGCTCCTTTGAAGGATAGACTAGACGCCTTACCGCCTTGGGCACTCACGCTAACCCAAAAAGGGCATATCGCCAAACGCGCTCGAGCGCGTTTCCCCACTAGCCCTCGAACGCGATTTCGCCAGAGAATCAGACCGCTGCCACTTCTACCTTCATCACAGCTACTCTCAATCACCATATTCCCCTCCTCCTTCTCCTACCACTCCTCCTGGTCTAGACGTTCCATCGTCTCCTTCTCCTGTTCTCTCTTCATCCATCTCTCTTTTCTAGAACCCACAATCACAACCCCACATCAACAGTAAGTGCTTGAACACCGTCGCCGACCGTGGTGCGAAAAGCCCAATTAACGTGGTGAAATAGTGCTTGAGGCACGATTGGAACAGGCTTCTCTTCTGAAGCGCGTAAGTAACCCCCAGAACTATCTCCTAGTCTTCCGGGCAAGTTCCTTTCCTAACGCTTCGCTCTACCAGGTTGTCGACGCCATCAAGGACCTCGTCCAGGACTGCAACTTCGACTGCAATGACTCCGGAATCGCCCTCCAGGCCATGGACAACTCGCACGTTGCCCTGGTCTCCATGCTGCTCCGTGCCGAGGGGTTCTCTCCCTACCGCTGCGACCGTAACATTGCTCTCGGTATCAACCTGGTCTCGCTCACCAAGGTCCTGCGTGCTGCCCAGAATGAAGACATCTTGACGCTGAAGGCGGAGGACTCTCCTGATGCTGTTAACTTGATGTTCGAGAGTGCCGAGACTGATCGTCTCAGCGAGTATGATATTAAGCTCATGGATATTGACCAGGAGCACCTGGCTATTCCCGAGACTGAATATGCTGCAACCGTTGAGATGCCTTCCATGGAGTTCCAGCGTATTTGCAAGGACCTGAACGCTCTGTCCGAGTCTGGTAAGTAGAACGTAACTTTTCTTGCCTGCCTCTTGCCAATTGCGATATGACGCTAATTCTCCGTCCTCTTTAGTCGTCATCGAGGCCAGCAAGGAAGGTGTCAAGTTCTCCTGCTCTGGTGACATCGGTAACGGCTCCGTTACCATCCGCCAGCACACCAACGTCGAGAAGCCCGAGCAGAACGTTACCATTGACCTCTCCGAGCCCGTCGCCCTGACCTTCTCCCTCAAGTACCTCGTCAACTTCTGCAAGGCCTCCAACCTGTCCGGCTCCGTAAGGCTGAACCTGTCCCAGGAGGTTCCTCTCCTGGTTGAGTATCCTCTTGGCAGTGGTCACCTGCGCTTCTACCTCGCCCCCAAGGTATGTCAAACTGCTTTGAAGTCGTTTCGAGCATCACTAATTCGTTTACTCTACAGATCGGCGATGAGGAGTAAATCCCATGAACTGGTCACGACCGGACAAAATGAAGCCCCTACGATAATGGAGATCCCCTGACGGAGGCCATGACTTGTTTATTTTTCTTGTTTCCCTGCACTTTGTCCCGAAATAGAAGGGATGGCAAAGCCTTTGTTTTTTTTTTCTATGCAAGTTTATTCCAATAACATCTCGAGTCGCCTTCAGAGGGGTCTCAGACTATTCATGTTACCCAGCCACCTTTTATATTACGAGTAGAAAATTTCTGCACTGACAAAACCAATTCAATTCGCTTCAAATTCTCTAGAAGGCCCTCAACTAATGTCAACGAGTATAGATTCAGATCCTGCCTGGTCTCCTCAAATCATCACACCATCCCAGCCCCCAGTGTCCAACACCCCTCCCACACCATGCAACGTCAAGCACCCCAGCAGGGAAAACCTAACGGGAACATGGCCCGCAACCCCACTAATTAGCAGAGTCGCCAAAAAACAATCCTTTCCAGACCCACTCCCAGCGCACAACAGTGCACCAGACAAAAGAGTGGAGGGGTTAGGGAATCAAAATACTGACCTGAGAAAAAAGTTGAAGCGCCATCCCCACCAGAATGATCGGAATCGAATGATACCGCTCTCATCTCCCTCCCTCCCGAAAGGGAAAAAAAGAAAGACAAGAACACAGTATGCTGCGTATTGCACTAAAGTGTCATCACACACAATCTCCGCACCGACTCTCCCATAGGGTCATCAAGCGCCAGTAGTCCCTCCCGAAGGAAAGAAAACCAGAACGAGAGTCCCCCGATGTTTCTGATGCCGAATGCAGGTGTGTCGAGTAGGTCACACCAGGCCCTCGCGGGCAGCACCGGCCCTCGGACTTCGCGAACGAAGAAAGGGCGGGTTGGGGTTTTTGAAGATTCCTCCGAATTTCTCATTTGCAAGGTTTCTCGGGTCTGAGACGGGATCTCAGAGTGCCGAGGACAGGGAGCGAGCTCCGCTGTCGTGTGTAGCAAAGAAACGCAGCATTGGTGGGGATGGCGCTTGGAGAAAAAGAAGAAGAGAAGAAGAGAAGTGAGTCAAGAAAGAAAATGGGAAGCTGTGGGTGGGTTGACCGCCTTCTATAATGGGTGTGGTTCCTGGGATTCTGCCGCCGCCCACAGAAGGAGCTTTGGAAGCTTCAGAGCTTGCTAAACGATTGATAGATTATCTTAGAATTACTTATTTAATACTTTTCTAATCATATTTTAGATATACTACGAAGCTAACAAGTAAACGAATAATCTCTATCAGTTCAGAAGACTATCAAAACGCTGGTCAGTCCGAGTAATCCCATGCTGGGTTCGAATATTTTGGCAGATTGACCCGCATTATTATCTTGCCAGATCCTAAATCTCCTCAAACGCTCGAACAATAAACGTCCTCCCACGAACACTTACCCTCTCCCCAGATACTCTCCAATACCCTTGCCCTTCCCCTTCAAACCCATTCCCAATAGAAGGTAGCTTCTCTCCGTTCACCCCAACCACATACCGATTCTCCCAAGCTGAGCTCCATTCCTCCCTCCTGGCACTAACATCAGCTCCCGTCTTCCTCACAACCAAATCTCCAGAGGGACTCCTCGTTCGGATATGAGTCTGGGTCTGCTCAAGTGCCAAATATGTCCCCCAAATTCGGCCTAGAAACGTCTTGACCACGGTAAATTCGCCCTCTCCTTCTGGTTCACCATCATCCGACTCCAGGACCCATGACATCCCTTTCCCAGGCCCTTCGGGACCTTCCTTGAATGGAAGCTCGCGCCAGACCTCTTCGTACTCTGTCTCTGGTGCACCGGGGAGATCAGGACGGGGCATGGACCCTGTCTCGAGGTCGTCACCGTTTGGGAGTATGACAAATGTACCGCAGTCAACACTTTCAAAGGCGTCGTGGGAGTCAAGTTCGTGAGTGAAAGATACGCGTACTGGATAAGTGATTAGTTAGGAACCGAGTTTCAAGAAGCGTGTATGGAGTGACTGACGAGGTTCTTGGCTTTCAATAAGTCGTTGGCCGGCAATAGCCCAGTCAATTTCACCCATTTGCTCATCCATTCGCAGATCAAGGTACCAGTCCTTGACGGACATGACGACAGTATCGGTCGTCTCGTGCGCAGGCTCCGGGAGCCATCGTAAGGAGATGCGCGTCGAGAAGCGACAAGACGAATTAGCGGGATTGCCGGTATTTCCCATGGCCGCGATGCAATTGAGATTTGATCTGCTTAGAGTGTGTGGTATCGGAGGAGTCGGGGTTCAGTAGTTTCCGAGAGCCTAGACACGCTTGCAGGACTTGATGGATATTTGAAGTCCGAAAAACGCGGGTCTGAAGCCAGGCCGAATTAGGTATCTCGAGGGAGAATGTTGCGCTGCTTGTTTAAGTGGCGTTGTTGAATGATAGGCCTTATCGGCTTCCCCTCATGCCCCGCATCGTCGGCTCGAGCAGCTCTTTTGGTATGGATCCCCTCACGCGGCAGACTCCGCGCGGTAGACCTCCTTGTTCAAACAAATCAACGTACACTGTCTTATGAATGGTCATGGATTCTTCGGAACCCGCGGAGACCGATTTGTAGCACATGATGCCCATCAAAGATTCATGACTTCTATCCTACATCGCGGAAAGAACACCACAGAGGAAAAGGTCCAGGATATCTCTGAAGCATTACATATGTGATAACAAGGTTGCGATCTAAATACAAGCATACTCGGCAATCAGGTTAGAGGTATTCGGAAGACTGTCAAGGGCGGAGCGATCAATCTGGTCAATTGACTGGAATCCAGCTTCCTCCATCAGAAGATCAAATTCGGCCAGAAAGCTCTTCGTAAGATGACGTACGCCATGTTCACCGGCGATGCTCAGTGCCCACACCCACAGACGGCCAAGGAATACGAATTTCGCTCCAAGAGCAAGGGCTTTAAAAGCGTCAGCTGGCGTACGCACTCCCGAGTCGAACATGATCTAATTCTGCTTGTTAGAATGGTCCTCTATTAAAGTAAACGCGATGAGGGCATACGTATATGCTATCTCCAACAGCATCAACAATCTTCTTCAGAGCATCAAGACTCGCAATAGCACCATCCACTTGTCGGCCGGCGTGGTTGGTTACCACGATACCGTCAATTCCGCTAACAACACGATCAGCAAAATTAGATACGGAAATTTAGGGGCAGACACTCACATCTCAACACATTTCCTGGCTGCCTCAACACTCTGAATACCTTTTAGACAAAAAGGCCTACCACCACTAATCCTCTTCCATTGAGCCGTTGTCCACTTCACCTTGTCCCAAGTATGAGCCCGACCATGCCAAATATTCTCGTCAATCCACTTCGCCCCCGCCTCTTTAGGATTCTTCTTAGGATCAATACCAGCCTCTTTCAGCCTCTTTAAAAAAACAGGATCCTGTAACGCAATATCCCCCGCTCCATGCTCATGATAGAAAGCATAGTTTCCCGTAAAAACGTCATTATGGCGCCATCCAAGAGACCAGGTATCCGTAGTTAGCATACAAGCATCAAAACACGAGTCCCAAGCACGTTGCATCATAGAAATAGCCAATTCATCATCGTGACTTTGATATAATTGGAAAAATCGCGGTCCGTTGCCGTTGGCTTTGCCGACGTCTTCGATGCTGTAGCTACCGGCAGACGAGAGGCAGTATGGGAGATTTAGTTCCTCTGCAACTTTTGCGACGGAGAGTTCGCCTGTTGCATGGTAGATACGATTGATGCCAATTGGCGCGAAGCCAATGGGGGCAGAGACTTTGTGGCCGAAGATCTCTGTGGCGGTATCTCTGATGTTGGTGTCGACTAGTGTGCGTGGTATAATTCTGTGACGGTAGAATGCCTGTCGATTCGCCAAGTGCGTCCATGAAAGACCTGCGTTGCAAGAAGAGTAATACCTGAGTGTGGGTTGCATGGTAAGCTAAATTCATCTTGAATTAAAGTATGGACAATTCTTGTGTAGCCTACCATCCATTTTGAGATAGCTTCTCCCTTGCGAGCTTTTCAACTTCGATGGGATCTACATCACCAAGAATTAACTATTTGCATCAGTATCAAAGAGGGAAGACCAAGTACCGGTGTTAAAGGGGGGAAATTGGCCAGAATTGGTATTCCAAAACGCTTCACGTCGGTAAAGTGACCATTGCGGAGTGGTTCTCGATTTAATGTTGGGATTGTTGGGGTCAGACATTTTGGCTGTGGCGAGTATGGAATTTATGAGAGAGCAGTATGATATCTCAGTCTATTGAGAAAGATAGTATAACTGAATCTTTAGCAGTGGCTAAAGACCGTGGACGCAAACGCTTCTTATACTTGAAGCTTATTAAGGTTTACTCGCCGCGAATTTCCTATTGGTGAGGAATGATGGCTCGATCTTGGAAGTCTGGTCAAGCCTACGCTCAAGCCAAAGCAGTAGTGTCTCAGTCTTGATAGGAGTATTGAAAGATCTAACTTGCAAGGAATAACAGCCGTAAAAGAGGTTCCAGAAACAGAGATAATCTTGTGGCGCAATGATTGGCGTCCCCGCCCCTTCCCGACGACCAGATGATATTGTAAAAACGGGTTTTTGTTTCGGCCGACATGATATCAAGAATACGAAAAGCATGCAAGGTTTCAAATAAATGGATATTTCATCGATATGGGTCTCTTATTGAAGACTCCTTGACCAGAATTTGTTCTCAGATGACACGTTTCGAGCTCTAATAATTGTGATAATCATCTGGGTTTTGGAAAGACATGTAAGTCGAGATCCGAGTAACAATTTTATTCAACCAGAAACATGAGTCATGATAGTAGGGTTTGCTCAAAGATAGAATCATTGAAAATGAAAGTCATCTAGATGTCTGTGAAAATCAGCTTGCAAGTCTGTCCCTTTGGCCTTGCCGAGATGATCTGATCGTCCAGCTTCATAGAGCCATTCATGTCAGGTGCCACAGTAGTAGTGAATCGAGAGTAAACTTCCCGAAGCAGTATTTTCATTTCCACCAGCGCGAGACTAAACGAAATTAGTAAATTTCCCAAACACGAGCACTAGAATGAAAAACTCACTTCTTCCCAGTGCATCCTCGTCCACCGGTTGCAAAGGCAAAGAAATGTCTGTTTCGCTCTGCAGGCCCTTCGTCTTCGAGCCACCGATCAGGATAAAATCGGTCTGGCTCTGGGAAAACCTCATCACAGCTCCGATGGACGGTATATGGCTGACAGCTGACGATCGTGTGCGCGGGAATAAAGTAACCATCAATAGATCTTCCACCAGCGGGTACATAACGCGGGAGAGACATCGGGATCGGTGGAGAACAACGCAGGGCTTCTTTAATCACCGCGTCAAGATAGACAAGACTATCCAAAGATGAATCAGGTGGAGTGTTTCTAAGCTCATGCTGTAACTTGCGCTGGAATTCCAAGTTTTGTGGTTGCGAGAGTTCCCACATCAAAAAGCAGAGACCATCACCGGTAGTGTCAATACCAGCTGCCATGTGATCTTTGCATTCAGCCGCTACCTGTAAGAGTTCGAGACCGGATTCTTTGCGCCTGAGCTTTTCTACAAGAGTGTATTCCTCGACGTGGCTTTGGGCTGTCATGCCGAGAACAAACTTGTTGGTCTTGGGTGCACTGCGTGGATGGAGGAATGTTGGGAAATAGGGCTCCCAGGATGGGAGGTAATATGCCAGAAGGCTTTCTACAACAAAAGTTGAGCATACGGTGATTTCAAGCCTGGAAGCAGAGGGAAATTCTTACTTTGGAGACTCTGATGGTAAGTAAGCTCCTCCATAATCTCAAAGTCCTTTTCGACATTAAGTGACTTGAGACCTCCTGGGCTGAACATAAAATGCGTAACACAGTCAACGGCATAGCAGTGGAGGAGTACCTAGCGTTGCTGGTAAGCAGATGTCAAGGAGCAAGATAATCTGACAAGCCTGGACAAACCCACATAAACATCGACGCTTTTTTTGCCTGCTTCTACACATTTAGAAACAAAAGTCGTTGCCCGTTCCTTTATAGCTGCTAGAGGCTCTGCCTTCATGACATTGGTCATTGCATATCGCTCCGCGAAAAGGCGTTTTCTCTTACTGTGCTGTCTAATCGTGAGATTCAGAGCTCATCATGCGACTCTTCACGCTAGAGTTTACGAACCTCATCTTTGCACAACGTGGAAAACATAGTTCTGTACTCTCCAGTTAGAAATGTACAGAGGAAGTTAGCTGCTATGACTTACTTGGTATTCAGTTGCTTGAAAAGCGAGTAGAATTCTGTCTTGTCGTAGCCACTACCTCCAGAGGCATAGATCTCCCTGATAGCATCGAGGCTTGTGAATGATACCTCATTCGGACCTAAACGGACAACCGGGCCATACACTTGGTGAAGCCGATGAACAGACTCACGTCTATTCGCCGTGAACTCCTGATACTTGATCCACAAGCTTGTGAAGCGGGTATACCAGGGGCCTGGTACCTTAGACACAGGTGATGTGACTCCTTGGGCCACATAATACCCAAAGAGGAGGATAGCAGCCACCCACAGTGAGAGCATGATGTTTTCCAAGACGGGGGCTAATCTTTGTAGCTAGAATGGAAAGCTGTCAAGGCTTTTGGCGATGAAAGAGTGTTTTCGTAGATCGCTTACTTCCCTAATCATTTATACCAGAGGTCCGAAGCCACCAGAGTTCCCATTAGTTAACTTGCGTGTACTAATAGAGACACATTTGGAGAAACTGTCGATCCGCCCAGTGTAGCCGATATCAGTTACCTTGAGGAGTCGTGCGGGGAAGGGCGGGCAGATGCGCGCTGAATGGATTGGTGGTGTCCCGATAGCATTTTGCGCTTGACCCTAAATAGGAAGCCAGAGGAGATGGCACGATTAGCGTCATCGAAGGGCCTAACTCAGTGTCTTTCTAGAGTAGGTTTCAAAGCCAATCTTGTTCTTCGGACCCCGCGGGCTGCTTGGCCTATCTGTTCGTTATCGTGGGGTAAGTATGTCACAAAAAGAGATAAGAGATATGACCGCGCAAAGTATGTGATTTTTAAACTGGGAGATTTGAATGGTGAGGATCCTCTTCAGGCTTAGGCTATCGAGCAGAGGGGTCATTAGTTTTCGTGGTGCTTTTATTGGCACGCTGTTATGTCATAGCTATAGTAGTATAAATACTTCAAAATAATCTTCCACCGTCGCAGGGTCGCCAACAAAGCTGCAGCAAGGCCGTAAAACTTTAATCCATTCGACTCTGACGTTTATTGAAGTACCTAAATCATGTGCTTGGTGGCCTTACTGCTCTGATATCTCTGCTGGATGAATCAAAATGTTGCTACCTCTCTCGGAGTGTTGCTTGTTCACGATTGGTTTCCACTGCGAGCGACTCACTTCATGAATAAGGCTACCGAGCGAAGCGGATGCAAATCGAATAAACATTTTGAAAAAGATGTTGTCCCTAGGGAAACTACAAGCAAGCGCGATGCTTTCCTCTTAGGAGCAGGAAAAATGATGCTCAGAGTATGTCTGAGATGAGGTTGTACCATGGACCTCAAGGCTGCTGCAATCGCTCTGTCCATCTGGCCCAAAACTGTGGGGAAGCTGGTAGATCAGAAATATGATAGTATTTCAGAAAACATTGCTTTCTATTTCCGTAGGCTTTAGTGCTCCAAATCGTCGTTTCCATTCGCTGGTTCTTATAGATACCGCCAGTATGCAGGGTGAAAAATTGACCTGTCGATGAATAGCATGGATGATTGCCCCGAAATTGTCGTGGACGTGATCATGTTCTATTGAGTCATGATCAATGGAGTCTTGATCTTCGTCTAGACAGCCTTCATCAAGTCCATGGTTCATAAGCCTTTCTTTATACCAAGTTTGTTAAGTACCCACACTCTAAATAATCACTCGGTGGCCAGGCCTTTCTTGTCCGCTGAGTAATATGGAGAATTGGAATCCTCGCTGATTGCGTTACACGGTTACACATGTACGATGGATCTGGACCTTTCAGCTCAGGCGAACCCCTGCACAGTTGGTCTGATCCCTGCATATACTCGCCTGCAATGGTAAGCCTCCCGCATACAAAGGCCCCTGGAAAAATCCAAACCAGAAGAGGTGCATGATCTTTGAATTGAAATTTGATGAGTTGTGCAGATTTAACTGTAGGAATACCTAGGAACAAGAGCCAGCCATATCCGGTGTTGAGATCGATTGAAATAAAAAGTAGAGGTACTTAGAGAGGACTTGTATGATCCGTAGAAAAGCCGTCTTACGGGGATTCCAAGCGATAAATGTGGGATAGACCATGTCGGAATCTCTTCCCAGAGGACAGGCTGAAGTCATTGAAAACTTTGAGGTTCAATTCAATGTTATGACTGATTCTAACAGTCATCCTCTAATGTCAGCAAGAGAGTGTTTATGGAAGACTTATGTAGTCTGACGAGGTTATCTCCCGAAGTGGTCAATGGTACCCGATCCAGTGTCAACGTGTCTCAGACCAGGCTCACACAAATACGACTTTACACTACAGAGATCTTTCAAACTCAACTGGTGTGGTAAGGGGCCGATCCTCGCAGAAGTAAGACCGCGAGCCTCGCACAATGGTCAGGCCTCGCGTGGCTTGCCTTACCAGCCACAGCCACCGTCCAAACAGTGGTTGGCAGGTTGCATTCCGCAGCCAGGCGTGCCCCAGCCACCACTGAGTGTTACCAGCCACAGCCATCTGACAGGCCAAATTCCCGGGTCGTGGTGGAGGAGCCGACGATGGCTGGCAGGTTCCAGCTTCCAGCCTGTAACTTATGGCCCGAGGACGTGTGGCTTGAAGGGTTTGAAGGGGTGGAGGCCGTGCCTCGGGCAATTGGAGAGGCAATACTCCGTACTTCGTATATTATTGCGAAAGCTACGTAGTGAAGCCCCGCGGTTTCGCAATAAGTGGACAGGGGCTGAGGTGTCCTGTCATGACGGAGAGGTCGACGATCGGCTCTGTTTTTGGTCCTTTTGGAAGAGGAAAAAGGTAACGGATGAGTCCGGAGTAATAAGTCACGCCGGAGAGGCAAGGCAGCCACCAAAAAAGGGCCAGGCGAGCAACTCAGCAATAAGAGTTCAGCAAAGCGATCCATACTTGGCCCAATGAGGTTTGGCGTACCTGTTTCGTGGTGATGGATCCAGGCCCCACCGGAACCAGGGCCTGGGTCACTGGAGAAACCCATCGAGTTGCGTGTGTCTAGAACGAGAACTGTGGGATTTTGACCGGGAAGAAAAAAAAAAAAACAGTAAACCAAGGGATGGAAAAAGAGTCCCCAGCAATGCAAGAGGAGGAGAAGGCCCAGAAGAGTCTAGCCTTGGGATTTGTGTGTTTGTGTATTGGAGGAAGGGGAGAGAGAGAAGAATTGAATTAGGTGACCCGCCCGATGCTGGTATGTGCCTGGAAGGTCCAGTGACTGATGACCCGTGACTGGTGAGTGGTGAACCCCGGATGGATCCCCCTTTTGCCTTTGGCCCTTGGTCCATGGTCCTTGGGCTTCCAACCGTTGAGGCTGTCGTTCATTGTTTTCCACAATCCACTTCATCTTCTTCCTCACCATTCACTCGTTCAACCAACCCTCTCGACCTTCTCCTGTCCGTGAGATAGACACAGAGAGAAAAGGTTCTTTCTAGCTTCGCCTTGCTTCCAATCGCTGATCCCCCGACTTTGTTGTCCATACCCCCCGCCGGCTATCCCCTGCGACCGCGACCGGGTCCCAAAAAATCCTCCAAGGCAGCAGAAGAGCGTGTTCATCCGAATCTTCCATCACCATCTTCACTCGTTTACAACTCGGCTGGTTCGAGCAGTGTACACCTTCACACCGTCCGATGTTCCTGCGGCTCGACGATCGAGTTTAATTCTATCCGACTCTCGTCCAACGAAATCGCCAAGCCACCGGGCACACGAGCCTCTGGGCGTTTCGATCCTCCCACGTATCAGGAACCGGCAGACGGCTACACTGCGTCTCACACCTGACTTGTCCTCCCTCGCCCACCCCCTTCTCCCCCTCTCATAAATAGCAAATCCCACCGGACTCCCGGTGGTCAACACCGTCAGTGTGTCTCTCCCCGTTCAGCATCGCGCCGACCCGAGCTCCGCTTCGGAGCACTTCGGCAAGATTCACTCTCACGGGTCGCGCGCCTCCCTTCTTGGAGGGGCTGCATTTGATCCTTCTTTTCGCCCGGGCGGGTTTCGTGGTCGTGAAGGATATACGAATGTGACGCCGAAAAAGAAGACGCACAGGATGTATATGCCCAACACTCAGTGGACGTGGTCCTTTGCCATCGTCACCCTAGTCCAGACCCTGGTGACGCTGGGTCTCGAATGGTATGTACCTACTTAGCCTTGAAATTTCCTTGCGACCCCAAATCAGAGAGCCATATGCTAATCCGCCGGTCGCGTCTAGTTACATTTTCGCCAACTTTCAGATTCAAGAGGAGACCAATACGAGTCCGTCCTCGAGAACTATCCCCACTTTCCTCGCTCTCTACAGTTTCGGGTTTATCTACGAGTTGGTCCTGGTGTATGACGCACTACGGATGAAAAATACCATTCAAATCATCGGATTGTGCGCGTGTAATTTCGGTCTCTTAATCTACGGCGCCGTTCAAGTGCGACAGATTCAAAATGCCGTCTCCGTCCTGTCTGACATGGACAAAATTAGCCCCGTCGTCTGGGCCCAGTCTCAGCCGTTCTTGATCATCATTCCGTGCATCGTCGCTCTTGGATCCCTCTTGATGACATTTGTCGCGTGGAAGCTGTACGATGAGTTCGCGTGGACCATCTACAAGCACATTAGCGCGGATCTGCGCATGAAGCGTCGCTACCTCGCCTACCAAATTTACATCGCTCTGCTTAAGTTCGATTTCTTCTTTTTCCTGGGCTTTACCGTCCAGTTCTTGGTCGTGGTGTCCTCCTCCAAGCACGATGCCGAGTTCTACCTGACCATCATTGCGGTTCCCGTAACGATCATCATCCTGCTCTGCGGTGCCTTTTTCGTCCGACGCGAATTCACTGCGGGCATGATCGTCATTATCGTAAGTTTTCCACCAACCTCGTTACAATCAGTGACCCCCTCTCCTAACCAATTCTTGAATAGCTGCTATTATTCGCGGCCATGGGCTACTTCTGCTTCAAACTCTTCCGCATGTATGCACCAGCGACTTTCCCTCAATACCTCCCGGCTCGTCCCTCGATGACATTCTTCGCCATCATCACTCTGATTCTGATTGTCACGACAATTATCAATGCCTGCATCTGCGTGCACAACTTCAACTGTGGCCTGAAGCCGCACATCAACAAGAAGAAGGGTCGTCCCGAGGAGAAGACTACCGAGCTCTCCGACAATGTCAACGGCCAGGTTCCTTCGCGGATGATGATTGACTAGTCAATCTCTCCCGTCGAGGGTACTGGTACTTTGTAATACATAGAGTGAACTTGATCACTTGTTGGCTGGCGTTGGATCTCGGAGTAAGTTTCCTTATCATCTTTCATCTCTACTTGTTAATTGTGTCCTCGGATCATTTGATTATTTGAGCCTGAATCTTTCTTGCGTGTTTGATTATTTTGGTTCCCCTCGATATGATACCTTACCTGCGTTAAAGCTTTACCCATCTTCCTTCCCTCCTTCTCACCATGGCCTCTTCTGCCCTGGTCCAAAATTCCTGTGATTTTATCTGGACTTGCTTCATTTCGTTCCCTTTTCTTCCCCTTACATATCCATCACGAAGTGCACCGGTGGCGTTATTCTTTTTCTTTCCTTTGCTTTTTTTCTGGATATGATTCCCGGGCGTGTGTTCTCGGCCCTTTGTTGTTCGATTCCATGTCACTTATGATTGACAGATGCCAAGTGGCTCTTACCCTCTATGACCGTGACTTAGTTTTCCTCTGGATATCAAGAATCTCAATATGTTCAATATATCATGAAACCGAGTTTTAAAAAATCGTGCACCGAGTCTTCATGTACTTCGTAGATTGTACGCAGTAGTAAAGCTAGCAGTAACCTCAGAACGAGCTGATGGAACCACAGGCAACTTTCCCCGAGAGTCAAGCTCTCTCATTGGTGGACTTGCAGTATCTCATACATAAAATTACACCACTCCATGAGGCGAAACCCCATATGTGACTGTATCATTACCGGCGCTAGTATCAAACAGGAAACCGCGATCGTGGCCTCAACTCCGCAACTTTCGGATCTCTCCCCTTCATCCCCAACCTGCCCTTCTTTCTCTCCCTCTGCCTCTCCTTTTCTTTCTTCGATCATTTACATCAATCCACACACAATGGTATGTTTATCTCCTCAATCTCAATTATTCTCGCAATTGGCACTCTCCCAAGCCAATGCCACCTGAAATCACACGACAAACCTCCTTTCCAACATCACCAATGCCAAACCTCAACTAATATCTTCCCTCTTTAACCAACAGGCCTCTCCCCGTCCTGCCTCTCCTCTCACCTCAGGTGCCGAGTCTGGCCCTGACTCCAAGTCCGCCGGCGCTGTCGCCGCCTCCGGCTCGTCCATCAGCCGTCCCTCCTCTCCCACTCCCCCCGGCGGCCCTCGTGCTGCTATGCGCCGCCGCGCCGCCGCCGACCACAAGGAATCTCTCCGCAATGCTCGCCCGGCTTCTACCCGCTCCGCTGGCGCTGGTGGCTCCTCTGGCACCATGCTGAAGCTCTACACCGATGAGAGCCCCGGTCTGCGCGTTGACCCCGTCGTCGTGCTCGTCCTGAGTCTGGGCTTCATCTTCTCCGTTGTCGGTCTCCACGGTAAGAATGAACCCGTTGTCCTAAATGCATGAATCTTCGGAATTGGAAAACTAAACCCTTTTTTTTTATTACAGTCATCGCCAAGATCACCCGCAAGTTCTCCGCATAAGCGAGTCATCTCCCAATTCCCTCAAATCCACGAAATCCAGGCCTCGCGCTTTGGACCCTCGAACTACTTGCGTAACACCGCCACCTTCATTCGCAACAACCTCCTTCCTCCTATACCCCGTGACAAATTCTAGTCCTTTCGAAACCTGGTCGGTGGCGGCGCAGGGGATCTCCAGTTTTTGGCCATGCTGGTGTGATTCCGTTTTCTTGACATCTGTGGTGTTCTTTTTTCCTTTTTTATATTATTTTGGCGGTGATTCTACGAATGAGCGAGCGAAGACCTATCCGCTGTATAGGTCGGGCTGGGTGACACTGAGCTGGGTATCTGAGTATCTTTCTCCTTGGTCTATATTGGGGTTCGCGCTTTTATAAGCTGCGGTGGCCCTGCGTGGACTGGGAATGCTTGGGTAGCGAGGTGGGCATCTGGCGATGTCTGTACCATAATAACCAGAAACAATTGTTTTGCATTGAAATATTGATGGGCACAATCTACATCATCGTTATAACATCGACACTTCCTTCCCTGGACTTAGAGCCTTGATATATCGAATAGATCCTGTAATCTCTCCTCCACCCCACCTGTATTGACTAGCTTAGCGACTAGCTTCTGCAAGCCACGCCCATGTCACTGATAGTTATACTTGTGTATACACGGTTTGTTCTGAGAGTTGACCTCCGAGTCTTTGCGAGAAACGATGGTCTTCCTCGGACTGGCTCTTTCGCCTTCGGGAGCTCTTGCTACTGAGAGAACATTTGATCAGTTTGCAGTTTGGTCTTGATGTCACCCTTGTTTAATCTTACGCACGTCGTCCAAGTTCAACCCAGCAGCCGTTCTATTTCCTGGCCTGGGCTATGCTGGGGAATTGGACTTTATTAGGTGCGAGAAAGGAGGCAATATTGACAACGGGGTTTAAAGCCTACTTGGTCTAGCAAGGCCTAAGATGCCGAGGTTCAACCTGTCTATAGTAATATTTCGGCGTATTATCTGTAGCAAAGAGTACATTAAGATATAAAACTCAAGTGAGGAAGAAAGTGTGGGGCAATGGTGTTTCAAACGTCAGGGTTCGCCGTTAGAGCTCCTATTTAGTGCAACCCCTTAATCAAATTGTAAAACTCGGCGACTAACAGCTAGCATCTGTGTGAGAGATATTGTCAATCCATGTACTCCGTAGAGGTGTTTGTTTTCCCGCTGAAACTCCGCGACGAATTAGGATTAAACCCTTTCCTATTTGGTGGGTTGCGTTCAAGGCTGCTCGGAACCGGAAGAGGGTGCCAAGAACAACATCCAAAGGTGCTCTATTTACAGAAGAATAGGTTTCGAATAGAAATTATAGTATTTCAAATGTGAGACATGGGCTAATGTTCGTGACGACGTCAACGGTCAGGCAAGCTTGGCAAGACGCATGTATAAGAGGTAGATATTGAAGCTACTCGGCCGTCTGCATTGACCATATTCTCAAAACTCTTACTTTCATTCTTGCGAAGGCTGGTTCCTATGTACAACATGAGACTCAACTCGATTGTACTCTTTGCCGCCTCGGCAATGGCACAATGTGCCCTGAAAAGAACGGATACGATCTCAGTCACAGGCTCAGCTCCAGGGTTTGCATACGGAGTCACAGGAGGCGGAGATGCCACACCAGTCTATCCCACCAACACATCTCATTTAATTGATCTTCTGGGCTCCGACGAGCCACAGGTCATCATCGTCGATAGAACATACGACTTTATCGGGACAGAAGGCACGACTAAAGGAACTATCTGCAAGTCATGGGGATCCTTTGAAGATGGATGCCAGGCTATCATTGATACCGGTTCAGGATGCGGCGATACTGGCTCCGAGTCTTATGAATGGGATACTGCCGGTGTCACGGGGATATATGTGCACTCGAACAAGACGATTATTGGGGTCGGGAGTGAGGGCGTACTTCTCGGCAAGGGATTGAGGATGGTCGATGTTTCGAATATTATTGTTCAGAACATTATGATCACTGATTTGAATCCGAAGCTTGTTTGGGGTGGTGATGCTTTTACGCTTTCTGGGACTTCGAGGATATGGATTGATCATGTTACGGTGAGTCGAGCTTTCTTTATCAACTTCCCGTGGAAATGCTAACTGAGCTTCAACAAGACCCAATATACCGGTCGTGTACACTACTCTTTCGGTCGAGAACCGAGCTCGTTGATTACCATCTCGAACAGCTTCATAAATGGTGCAACGAATTTCTCGACTTCATGTGACGGGCAAACATACTGGGGTTTAGAGCTGGTGGGCAATGATGATCAAATTACATTTTCAAGTAAGTCTGAACCACCAACTCGAATGGTAAAATAATGCGAATCGCTAATACTAAGCGTCACATCTAGACAACTACATCTATCGTACCTCTGGTCGAAGCCCAGCCCTAAGCGGTAGCACCCTCTTCCACGCTGTCAACAGCGTCTGGGAGAACAACAACGGCCACGCAATTGAGGGAACCGATAATGGCCAAGGTCTCTTCGAGGGGTGTGTTTTCAACAATGTCAGCCAGATAGTCGTTGACGGTTTTGTTGGCCAGCTCTTTAGTTCGTCCGGTGGTACGGCGAACAAAGCTTGCTATGATTATCTTGGGAGGGATTGCGTGGGTAATATCCAGGTGAATGATGGGTCTAGCTTTACCAAGGCTGACACGGGTTTCTTCTCGAATTTCACTGGCCTTAATATTGCTAGTCCAAGCGCTGCCTCTGCGGCTCAGACAAGTGTGCCTACTAATGCTGGAAATACACTTCAGAACGGGTTGTCTTGATGGATTATGGGGTTGATGGACGGCAAGTCAGGGTGGATTTTTTCTACTATGTCGCGGACAACCTTAGTTCCCCTAACTTATAAGCACTGCTTGGTAATCGGAGGTTGTCATCATCAGATAAGAATTAAAAGTACTTCTGATACCTATTCGTTCTGGCGCGAATAGCGCCTACCAAGAACTAAACTTAGTAGACAGAAGAACAACTTCGGATCTGGAATTGTTGAGACAAGCACATATTATATGTTATATAATAAGCTTAGGTTTCGCTGAGACACGATAGAAAATGCACTCTCCACAAATGGACTAACTCACCTTCCAACTAAACCCAAGATGGTTTATCATGGTCAATAATCCTTGCAGGATCGCTGAGTGGCCCATCGGCTGCCAGTGCCTTATCTCGCCAACCTTCAAGCCAACCATATACCATAGCCAAGCGGAGCCTGATAAGCCCGTCGACCACGCTGATAGGTCAATTTTATTCTCCTTCCTTCAATTCCTCTCCTCCTCTAGTAAGTCCACACGCTTTCTATCTCTCGTATTGCATTATTTTTTTTTCTCTATGGCCATGTGCTATAGCCTATGCGCCTGGGTCCTCCCACTGTGGGCGCAAACAGGGTCCCACCGACGGCACCCCCCGATCCCAACCCTGGTAAAAGCTCAAGCCATTACGAGAGTAATGCCATCCTTATCGGCGCCTCAATTGCGGGTCGTATCTGCTATCTAAGCTCAGGGATTCTCCATACGTTTCTTTCCGGGGTCGATGTGTGCGAATTCGGAGCTGGGTGACTTGCTTGGAATGCAGAATGAGCGTTGTCTCGGACATATATCTATGCATGTGTCCCCGCCTCGATATGAGTGTATTCTATATTCAAACGCTCTTGTTTCAGGTTCACTAGAGGCAGGATTTCTCTGTGGTACCTTCAATCGAGTTTGCGATTATCTACTAGACGTCGTACATTTATCTACTTCGGCGATTGTCTAATCTCAACCTTCTTATTTTTGTTTCATTGCCTCTATCGGCCTATAGACCGTACCCCTATAACCATGTCGGAAGGGACGGTCACCTTTGAAGCACCCTTGTCGCAGGGCTTCGGATATGGGATCATCCTAGGCCTGGGATTTGCCTTTGCATTGGTGATGATCTTCATTACATGGGCACTGAAACGGTAAGCATCACTCCCCGACCTGTTACAAGACTGGCTGACTAACTTTTTTTCTTCCGAACTTTAGCTATCAGAATGAAGTCCAAACATCTGAAATGTTCTCGACTGCAGGACGGTCCGTCAAATCAGGCCTTGTCGCTGCTGCAGTCGTGAGTAGTTGGACATGGGCTGCAACTCTTCTTCAGTCTTCTGCTGTGGCATACCAATATGGAATTTCGGGGCCATTCTTCTATGCTTCTGGTAAGCATCAACAGATATACTGTAAATTAAACACCATTGAACCTAACTCATGATCAACAGGCGCAACGGTTCAGATCCTCCTCTTCGCAACCATTGCCATTGAGCTCAAGCGTCGCGCCCCGAATGCTCACACCTTCCTCGAAGTCATTCGTGCCCGCTACGGAACTACCGTCCACGTCGTCTTCATCGTCTTCTGTCTCATGACCAACATTCTTGTCACAGCTATGCTGCTCACCGGTGGATCTGCTGTTATGACATCCCTTACAGGAGTACCCACTGCTGCTGCGTGCTTCCTGCTTCCAATTGGTGTCGTTCTATACACCCTGTTTGGTGGTATCAAGGCTACCTTCATTACGGATTATATGCATACCGTGGTGATCTTGGTCGTGATCTTCCTTTTCGCTTTCTCGGCATATGCGACAAATGCCGAACTCGGCTCTCCGAGCAAGATGTACGATGCTCTTGTCGCGGCTGCCAAGGCTCATCCCGTTGAAGGCAATGCCGAGGGAAGCTATCTCACCATGCGCTCCAAGGAAGGCGGTATCTTCTGGATTATCAACTTGATTGGAAACTTCGGTACCGTCTTCCTTGATAACGGTTACTACAACAAGGCTATTGCTGCTAGCCCTGTGCATGCATTCCCCGGCTATGTGATTGGTGGACTTTGCTGGTTCGCCATCCCCTGGTTGTGTGCCAGCACCATGGGTATCTCGGCGTTGGCTCTTGAGGGTTCTCAACGGATGAGCAGTTCGGATGTGTCTGCTGGTCTGGTCCTTCCTTTCGCGGCCGTCAAGCTTCTCGGCTACAGCGGTGCCGTCGCTACGACATTGATGATCTTCATGGCGGTTACATCTGCTTTCTCGGCTCAGTTGATTGCCGTCTCTTCTATCTTCACTTACGACATTTACCAGGCCTACATTGAGCCTTCTGCCAAGGGTAAGAAGCTTGTCTGGATCTCGCATATGTCTTGCGTTGTTTGGGCTATTGTCATGGCCAGCTTTGCTACTGGGCTGTACTATGCTGGTATTGGTATGGGATATCTGTATCTCCTTATGGGTGTCATTATCTCGTCCGCTGTCTTCCCTGGTGCCATGACACTGCTGTGGAAGGGCCAGAACTGGATTGCCGCCGCTGCGTCGCCGCCTCTTGGTCTGGCAGTGTCGTTGATTGCCTGGCTGGTGACTGCGAAGAAGGAATATGGAATCTTGACCGTAGAGACGACTGGTGCAAAGTGAGTAACTCCGAGGTATATCAACCATCGAGATATCATTACTGACAAGTCCCTCCCAGCTACCCCATGCTCGCAGGCAACGTCGCTGCCTTGCTTAGCCCGCTAATTTTCGTCCCTGTCCTCACCTTCGTATTTGGCTCTCAGAACTATGACTACGAGTCTATGCGTGCAATTCGCAAGGTCGACGACACAGAAGTTGCTGCTGCTGCGCATATCGATCTTGAACTCGTTCCCGGTGAAGGCCACGGTCCTTCCGCAACCGAGACCGAGGAAGAGGAACGCAAACTCAACCGTGCGGCGCTGTACTCGCGCACCCTGACTATCTTCATGACCTTTGCCTTGCTGATCTTGTGGCCCATCCCCATGTATGGCACGTCCTACGTCTTCAGCAAGAAGTTCTTCACCGGCTGGGTTGTTGTCGGATTGCTCTGGCTGTTCTGCACACTCTTCGGTGTGGTTGTTTTCCCGCTCTATGAAGGTCGCGAGAGTATCGTCCGTGTGGTCCGCATGATGAGCCTTGATCTTATGGGTCGCAAGCCGACTATGTATCGGGGTCAGAAGACAGATGGTGCGCAGGCTTCTGGTATTGCGACACCGACGGAGAAGGTCGGAGAGAAGGATAAGGAGGCGCTCGATGCGTCTGCTTAATTGGATGAGGCTTTTATAATGTCTGCTTGTTTGGATCTGTTTTACGGACGAGATCCATGTGTTGTCATATACCCCTTACTATGATTGTTATTTCTTAATGATAAGTTTGTTCACGATGTGATTCATTCCCAAGTAAAAACAAAGTTCCCAGAGTAAGCGGATGAATGGCATCTTCAAACACAAAAGCCTTGACGCCATAGTGTATTGTCGACAAAAGAAAAATGAAATTAAAAAAATGCATCCCCATCATGCGTAGTGAAATCTTCGCAAACCTAAGGTTGCTTCGATACTGGTCTGTTATGCAAGATGCACAAGTGAATGGTTCCTGGTTTCAGCATCACTTGTAGCTTTCAGGTGGTTGCTGAGCTCCATGAGCCACTGGAGGCGACTGCAATTGAGGTTGCTGTTGCTGCCACTGAGCGCCAGGGGGAGGCTGGGGACCCCATTGCATGTGTGGGGGTGGTCTTGTGTCAGGCGTAATATCAGGTCGGTCCCTAAATTTTCATTAGAAGGGATTCAACCCAATGCTGTGCCGGTGCTGAGACTTACCGTAGATCTTGGGTGAAGCGGCAAGTGTAGCAAGTAACCTCCTACAGGGGTGTTAGCCACCTCCATATTGGCAGCGCAATAACACAGATAATATGTGAGGATAACTGTAAGACAACAATACACTTACCTTGTACTTGTGCATGGCGAGTGGGATCACAGGCTGGTCAAGGTAAATCGTCAGTCATCATATACAAAAATTCAGGGTCAGATTGGGCCCAAAGCATACAACGAAGCAGACGGTGAAAAACGGCCTAGGTCATAATGTAAGTCACTTCTTGAGTCGTGGGAAAAGGTCTCATCAGTCACGTACCATCGCGTCAGACAATGTCCATTCCAATGTTGGCCTGAGCGTTGCGATATCATTAGTCGAGAATTCAGATGCATAAGGATCGCTCAAGAATATATCAAGCAGATGCCATGAACTCACAGTTGTAGCAGTAAGCGCGGACATTCTCGTAGCCCTCCAGCATGGAGGTGAACTCTGTGACGTGGGTCAGTCACCCGCAATATAGAGATAAGTGGATCAGGTAGGTCCCTGAGGGTAAACACCGGACGGAGACCAAACCCGAAGACAGCTTCTACATCAAGGTCTGAAGCTTCCTCAAATTTAAATATTACTCACCATGCGTGCCAAAGGTGATACAGATCGCCATGATGATGATAAAGGTTGGAAAGTTGAAACAAGGCAGATGAAAGTTGCATGCGAAGGCAGCGGCGTTTGGGGCGGCGCTGTGGCTTGGCTGCTTGGCGGCCGGCACGTGAGGCCATGTGATTCAAGATCGGAGCCACAACATTAGAATTCAAACCATCTGTATACCATATTTGCTTATGGATGGACAGATTATTACTAGAATTTCTTTCCCGCAAGACTCAATCTCATCAATATTTAGGTAGATAGGTAAAATAAACAAACTGTGTACAAAATGCGACGATTCTCGTTTAGAAAGCGCTTCGGCACAAAAGCTGAAAGTCATGAGACGAAGACAAAAAGATCGCTTTGAAAAGGCAAATTTACGAGGCTTCTTCCCGTGGAATTCCCTGACTCTTTCTTCCAAGCAGATATATCCACTTATTGGGTCTTGAAGAGGAGGATGGCGCAGTGGCCAAGGTAGAAGTAGATGAAGTGCTTGGTCTCTGCCGAGGGTGTTAGCCGAGTATACTTGACCATGGCGAGAGAGCTCACACTGACCGTGAGTGACAAAGCTTCCAAAGTTTCGGCCGACAACGCAATGCCAGGTAGCACCCTTTCGCGAATCGAACTGGAGGGGTTATCAGTGGTGGTTCAGGGAGGTATAGGACGGGCGACAACGGACTTCTTTCTTGATGTGCTGCGCAATATCCTATTGAAGAATTTATTAGTATTAAATTCAACTAGCTCGTTCTGAGAGCAATTGTGGGGTACTTACCTTCTCGATGTGGTACTTCTCCATAGCCTCGATCGCTAGGGAAATACATCAGCAGCAATTCGACTGGAGGGGGTGTTCGAGCTCATACCGAGGGCAATGGCCTCTTGCTGCATATCCTCCGTCTATTGAAGAGTGTGAGAGCTCATTTCCAGGGGTGGTATCAGCCAGTGTGTCCTACCATATCAACGGACTTGATTTGCGCTGCGCAAGAAGGTTAGTGGACGAAAATTAGCTCAGATTGAGGAAACTGACCCTCCATCTTGTCTTTCTTCTCGGTTGCCATGGTTGCAGTCGGTTTCTCGAGAACCTGGGGGATCTGGGTGTAGGGATATCGTCAGGGTGGGAAGATAGTGCTCGGCTGGGTGTAGCTGCATGATGGGGCGCGTCCAGTCTTTGACTCACCGCCCTCGGCCAGGTGACAACTGCCGGATGTTTGGTGTCCCCACTCTAGCCACTTTACCGCCTTCGGCCCATACAAGACGGAAAAAAATTTTCTCGTGAACTTTTTACAACTGCATTTGCCCAAGGCTTTCCAGCTGCAAACACTCATAATGGAGAACACTCGGGTGTTTGTCAGTGGGCTTCCGCCTACTTGCTCCAATGACCAGCTTCGCAACCATTTTGCAAGCCGCTTCACTGTCACGGATGCCCATGTCCTGCCAAAACGGCGCATGGGTTTTGTTGGCTTCAAAAGCAATGAAGCAGCACAGGAAGCTGTTAACTACTTCAACAGGACATATATGAAGATGTCCAGGATCTCGGTAGATCTTGCTCGACCGGTACGTGACAGCCATCGTCAACTCGCTGCTTCCCTCTGTTTCTCATTTTGCCTGCGTTCCCCGCTGACCAGTTCAGTTTTTCTTGAGACTGACCCGTACTATCGTAGATTGATTCTAAGCCCACAGAGAGAGCTCATCCTACACGAAAGCGTGATGCTGCAGAGGACGCGTCGGACAACGCCCTCAAGCGTAAGAGAGATGCCGACTCCAAGTCACAAGACCCCAAGCTGCAGGAGTACCTTGCTCTGATGCAAACATCTTCCAAGACCCGAACTTGGGCAAATGATGATAGCACGGCCATGGCTCTCGCAGCCGAGCAGGCCGTGGCTCCAATTAACCCACCCACACAGGACAACATCCCAACCGAGGAACTTCCTTCGCATCCGAAAAAGGTTCGGATACAGGAACCTACAGCCGATGGTGACGCTGGGAAGCCCCAGGCTATGGAAGTGGACAAATCTGATGAGGACGCGGAGGAAGACACACCGGCTCAAGAGGACGCTGAGGCCGAGCAGGATGAAGCAGGTCCAGTATCAGACAGTGACTGGCTTCGGTCGAAGACGAGTCGTCTTCTTGGTCTTCTGGATGAAGATGAGCAGGCTGAATTCGACCAACATCAAGCCGCTGAGCCAGCCGAGTCACAAAGCCCCGACATGGAAGAGTCTCGCACTGCTGTCTTCGAGGATGTTCGTCCTCAACCTGTCGCTGACGATGCGGCTGTTGAGGATGAGGATGCAGTAGAGACAACGCCCGAGCGGCCGGACCCGAATGTTGATCTCATTCGTGACTCTGCTCGCTTGTTCGTTAGGAACCTTGCCTACGACACCACTGATGCGGATCTCCAGCCGCTCTTTGCTCCCTTCGGCAAACTCGATGAGGTTAGTGATTTTTTTACTTTTTTTCTCCCATTTCTCCCACCAATTATGCTACCATGTGCCATTGCGCATGCGCTAGCAGAGTGCTCGTATGATGATCATCCTGATAGGGACAGCTTATGCAAAAGCAAGTGATGTCACCAGGCGAGAGATTTTAGTAGATGCTTCTCGGTTTTCTGATGAGCGACACTCAAAAAACATTTGCACATTATTTACAAAATATTGTCTGGCCAAGCGCTAATGATGATGCAGATTCATGTGGCTTTTGACACTCGGACAGAGACCAGCAAAGGTTTTGCCTACATCCAGTACACCAACGCGGATGCGGCCATCGATGCCTATCGCGCTCTGGATGGAAAGCATTTCCAGGGTCGACTCTTGCACATTCTTCCAGCTGCGACCAAGAAGACCTACAAGATTGACGATGTTGAGCTCTCTAAGCTTCCCCTGAAGAAGCAGAAACAAATCAAACGTAAAATGGGTGCTACCTCGACGGCTTTCAGCTGGAATTCTCTCTACATGAATGTGAGTTGCCTTGTTTTTCCTCAGGGTCGCCTTATATACTAATTACTTTTCAGGCCGATGCCGTCATGTCCTCAGTGGCCGATAGACTTGGTGTGAGCAAGGCAGAACTGCTAGACCCCACGTCATCAGACGCTGCTGTCAAGCAAGCACATGCTGAAACGCATGTCATCCAAGAAACCAAGGCCTTCTTTGCATCGAACGGAGTGAACATTGAAGCCTTCAAGGGTCGCGAACGTGGAAACACAGCCATCCTGGTCAAGAACTTCTCTTTCGGTGTGAAGTCTGCTGAGCTCCGGAGTCTGTTTGAGCCGTACGGCCAGATCCTCCGTCTTCTGATGCCACCCAGTGGTACCATTGCTATTGTGGAATTCGCAAGGCCGGACCAGGCACAGGCTGCGTTCAAGGGTCTCGCATATCGAAAGATGGGTGATTCCATCCTCTTCTTGGAAAAGGCCCCAAAGAACTTGTTCGACGGTACGGCTGTTCCCACGGCTGTTCCCGAGACTCAGGCCAAGTCTCAAGGATTCTCTACATCCGACACTTTTGCGGCTGATGAGCCTGAGACTGGCATGACCTCAACATTGTTCATCAAGAACTTGAACTTCTCCACTACGAATGACAAGTTCTTGGAGGTTTTCCGTCCATTGGATGGATTCGTCACCGGTCGCATTAAGACCAAGCCTGATCCCAAGCGCCCGGGGCAAACCCTCAGCATGGGTTTCGGTTTTGCAGAGTTCAGAACCAAGGCCCAGGCCCAGGCGGCTCTTGCAGCTATGAATGGCTACAAGCTCGATCAGCACGAGCTTGTCATTCGCGCCTCTCACAAGGGGATGGACGCTGCGGAGGAGCGGAGACGGGAGGACACAGCCAAGAAAATCGCGGCCAGGCGGACCAAGATCATCATCAAGAACTTGCCGTTCCAGGTTACCAAAAAGGACATTCGGTCCTTGTTCAGTGCCTACGGGCAGCTCCGCTCTGTGCGTGTGCCTCAAAAGTTCGATCGGTCAGCTCGCGGTTTCGGTTTCGCGGACTTTATCAGTGCTCGCGAGGCCGAGAATGCCATGGACGCGTTGAAAAACACGCATCTCCTGGGTCGCCGACTGGTGTTGGAATTTGCGAACGAGGAGGCTGTCGATCCCGAGGACGAGATCGCAAAGATAGAAAAGAAGGTAGGAGAACAGGTGGACAGGGTCAAGCTCCAGCAGCTTACGGGCGGAGGGCGGAAGAAATTCACTGTAGGGGCCGAGGAGGACGAATCGTGAGGGTAAATCGTGACCCTTTTGCTCTCCCTGCGAAAAAGGGCGCTGAGTGGATTGGCCGACGATGGTCATCCCTTGCGTGGTGGGGAGAGAACGACCATGTACGATTTCTTGCATATACTTTTTTTTTACCATGTACCTGCGCACTACTACTCGACAGAGAGAAAGAGATACCCCCGAACACGTTCCTGCGGCTGTCAATTTTTGACCCTGCAGTTAAGATCCGCACTCGTGTGCTTTTTACCTACTTTGTATAACTTGATTCCTTTTTTCCTTCCTATTCAAGGCCCGCCGCCCTACTTTAGCCCTAACTCACTACCCCTCTACTGTATACCTGCCAACACCTGTTCACTGCTTTTGCTCCCCCACAATTCAACACCAGACTTTCGGATGATAGTTAGGGTAATGAGCTATTATTTCTGTGTTACCAAATGATGGTCCGCGCATCACTCAGGTCATCGAGGGCCTACATTCCAACGCCAGTTGCTGTTTACCCTGGTGCTGCATTCTTGAGCCTGGGCAAATAGGAGGACACCGTCCATTGTTCAACATTCCTGCCAACCTTCAATTGCCACTGGAGATAGTCGATGTCCGTCAACACTGGCTTGAGCGATGGCGTTCAAAGGTCACTTCGTGCAGCTCAAAATCTCCGAAACGCTCGTCACTGGATCGTGCTGGTTGAGCATCCCTTGCGTGCGGAAAGACTTCCTTCATATCGTGCCCTTTCTTGACTCCTGATTTGCTGCGGCAAGGACGGCTGGCCGGTTGGTCCTATGCTACTCTGTTGTAACGAGTGCCTGGACGCGCCAAAGGCTCTCCAGTCCAGAGGGGTCCCTGTCCTAGGAGTATGGGGAGTTGGCGTTCGAGGGACGTGATGCCAGGCCAAAGCAGACCTGGCGTACTTAGCAATGTTGCTACTGGGACTACGAACCCCCTCTCCCCTGGGGGAAGTGTGCTTCCCTATAAACACCATCGTGCTCGCTCTCACATTCTCTTTCCCAGGTTCTGACATTCTCTTCAGACAAGCTGCGTTCTTTGCCAGGCAGTAAGCATTTGACGGTGCCTCTCAACTCACCCTCCTCTTTGGAATCTGTCATTCTTTTGGGAGACGCCCGTCCTTGGTACGCTCCATGGCTGCTGACTGGCAACCCGAGTGCCTCGTGCCTCAGAACCAGCCGTCCTTGGAGGCTGTGGGTGCTCATTCGGATCGAGCTCTTCAGAATACCTCTGGCAATGTTCAGTCATATTCTGATGGTCTTGTACACAATGATGCTGGTCGAGAGGATCATCTCCAGCAGCTAGCTTTCAAGTATCCTCAACATGCTGTTGCTCCTCACCCAGTATCAGCACCCGGCATCCACCATCCGGCTTTGGCTGCTCGGCTTCATGCAAAGAAGCTGCGTCGGTTGAACTCTGTCGGGCCCAATGCGGCACCTCGACGGGGAAGAAGCTATCTCAAGTCTCAGAAGTACTTGGAGTATCGGGCTCGTCCTCGACGAGATACCGGCAAGGATGGGGAGCCAGTTTGGTCTGATGGATTGGAAGATGCTTTCCAGCAAGGTGTGTACTTGAAGTTTTGCCCGAAACCAAGGCCATTTTCATCATACTAACAATCTTGGACATAGCCCTCGAAGCCAATCCTCCCATGGGCCGGAGAAAGTGGTCTGAGCGAGGAAAATCATACGGACGAAATGAGCTCATTGCCGAGTATATCTTCAAATTGACGGGCAAGCGAAGGACCAGAAAGCAGGTCTCGAGTCATCTTCAGGTGCTCGACTCGTTTCTGAAGGGTGACCCCGATTGTAAGTGAAAGCCTAGTGCAGTGAAAGTACCGCAAACATGGGATTAATCTTGATTTGCACTTTCTAGGGGAGCGACTCGTCCGAGAACAGTCCACAGACCGATCGAGTGGGCATGCCTCAGCTACCGGTCCCAAGTGGCGGACATCTATGGACCACCACGCAGCATCAAGTCACTATGGGGCTCATGGGCATCCTCAATATCACAACCCTATGAGGGCAATGCAGGCTTATGGAGACCTCCCACCCCCGCACTATACCTTGGGCTCCAACATGCAAGATGCTGGAACCAAGACCATCCATGGCTTCAGCTTCGACATGTGGGTGAGCGCACCTCAGGGGGCGAATCGCATCGATAAAGCCCTTCACACATATACTCGCCTTCAGGGAGACCTGCACCATCCAAATGCCCCTCCTTTGCCTCTTGAAAATGTCCCTGGATGGCGCTCTTCGTTCCCCCACCTGTCCTCGTTGATCGATGAGCTCAACGGGCCCCTGGAATGTGATATCATCATGCTGGAAGTGAACCTCCAGTTGATGACTGACTTCCCTCCTTCGGGCTCCCGACTAGGCATTCAGCTTGATCTGGACTTTGGTCATCCGACTGCCGGTGACGTGCTCATGGTGAGCCAGATGGATAACTGGTCCTGCAGCACTCGGTTATATGATGATGGACGCGAGATTCGGGAGACCTACCACGAACTTCAAAAACCTCACTCGACCAAGGTCAAGCCCCTGTTCGAGTCATCCTGGTGGGCAAAAATCTTCACAGAGCGGACGCAGGATAAGCGGATTGCTGAGGACTGTGGGCAGCCTGAAGCTATCCACGCCACTGATGAACGTACACGACGTTACTTCCGCTCCCTGTCCGCAGTGCAGGAAATCCGTGCTGTTCCGCCCAGCTCGCGCCGTCTTTCGAACCAGTTCCAAAGCCATGGCGATGACAGTGAGCGCATGGCCATTCTCGTCTGGAAGTTCCGACAGACTCGCCCTGGTGAAGTCGGAACTACTACGTGGAGACGACTGATCCCTCCCCCGGATCGCACTTCGACTAATAGCCCACACCCTAACTCTGGGGTTGATCTGCCCCCACTGTCCCTAGACTCCATCCTTCTCAACAAGCCATCTCAGGGTGTCTACCAAACGCAACAGCATCAAGACATCCTCGCCCACCAGGGCCAATCGCAGTCACAATGGCCCATGTATCATTCTTCCCACGACACCGTGGCTAATATTTTCAACTCCTCTGGCCATCTTGACTTCATGTCCGCAATCACCAAGGCCGAGGATGGCATGGGGGACAAAACAGCCGTTACTTCAGTGCTTGACTCCTTCTCCGCCAGCCTGGCTCCAGAAACCTCCCAGCCAACCAGTTTGAGCGTCTCCAGCGGCGGTCCTGTGATGATGAACTTGCACGACATACCTCTTTCCCACCCAAGTCTCGGCTACGCCATGGGCCATGACGCCAGTCAATACGTGCCATCACAACAGCACAGTGTCAACCTCCACGACAGCAACAGCGTCCTCAACGGCTTCTTCCCCGGTAGCGCCCAATCCCTGGATGATCTGAGTAACGGACAGGCCTCGTGGGGAGCCCACTCCAACTCTCTCACCGGCGACGTCAGCGCCGGTGGCTACCACCACATCCCCTTCCAGACGGAGCACCATGTGCCCGTGTCGCGCGAGTCGCAGCAGCCGCACCACTTTGACGGCCTCATGCCTCCTGACGATATCATGGACAAGATCGTCGGGCGTATGTCCAACACTTCCAGCATGCACGGGGCAGGCCCTGATCATGCTAATGGCACATACGCGGAGAATGGCACTGTGGATGCGGTCTGACGAGGTGAACTCTGAACCATCGCAAAGTGAAGATAAAAAACAACGTATTAGTAATGATAATCCTATTTCTGGATCTCTGTATTCTTTATACCTTGTGTGTGATTTTTTCCTGTCTTTCTTACTTTCTTTTATTTTCCCTTGGCCCTGTCTCTTTACTATCTTTCTTCTTTTATTTTTATCTTTACTTGGTCGACGCAGCCTCATCTGCATTTCTCCAAGTAAGACCCTGGAAATACTATCTAAATATTAGTCTCGATACATTCTTTTTCTAAACAGTACTCTCTTCCAACTTAACAGACCTAGGCACTCAAGTAGACGACTGAATCACAACAGGAAACTCAAGCGGTCGATGCAAATGTGCCAAAATCTCCTCATAATCCTCTTCATTCTCACCATTCACAATCCCATGCTCAATCAAAAAATTCACAATCACAACCGCACTATTCGGCTTAAACAACCCCCCTTTCAAAAACCCCACCGTCTCCTCAACACTATACAAACTAAAACTCTCCACTTCAGAATCACTCGGCGTCGGAACCATTCCACCCTCCAATTCAAGCTCATACGTATACTCAACCTCAGGCTGTAACAACCCAATTTCCCCACCAGCCTTGTCACCCCTCACATGGAAATAGCTAATCGGCCCCATAGACTTGATATTCGTCCTGATAAACGCGTATGGTATAGATGCTTCTTCTTGTGCTTCGCACATGACAGCGTCTATAGGAAGTGTTGCTGTTGGTAGACCCCCTGCTGCGGTACAATCCAGCATCCCCGGGTAGGTTTGCTTTTTGCTTGATCTTTTTCCGATCCAGAGGTGGAGACCTTTTTGGTTGGAGTTGGTATAGCAGAGGAGTTGGACGCCGTAGGTTACTATTCCGAACAAGGCGCTTGCGCAGCGCTCGATCTCGAGAAGGACGGTGCCGTTAGAGTCGTAGATTGGAAATGTTTCATTTCGCCATTTGTTCAGCATTGAGATCACACCGGCCTTTTGGGTGGCTTTTAGGGTTTGGATCAGTGCTTGGGAACGTGTCTCACGTGTGGCCGTGAGTGGCGTGTTTAGCACAACGGTCCTTGAGTCCTGGTCGATTGTCCATGTGTCGGTCCATTGGATTCTTCCAATTATAGATTGGGGGATATACCCCAGTACTGCGTTGCAGCCATTGACTTTGAAGGTATAGTATTGTTGCCAAAAGTCGGTTGCTATGGGCGTGTCATTATCCGGGGCTGTGAAGCTGCGGAGCACGATTAGGGACTGCAGGAATCGTAGATTTGGGTCTTTTTGTGGGCCGTACCTACTTGTCGCAATCCTTGACCACGTCTAATATGGTTCTTGTCATGGTTGGGTCAATTAACCGGGCATGGTTTTGACGAGGGCAAGAGATGTGTGGGGCCACAGGGCCAACCTGCCAGGGGGGGGGAGGCTGCTAATACTAATTCCCAGTGCCAACACCAACACCAACAGACGCGGGGGAGATGCATTTCTTGGCACTTTCAATTGGAGAGCCCCGCGTTCAACAATTTCTCCGTTTCGGATTCTCCGGAGTACAGAGCCCCAGGAAGCTAGGAAGACCTATGATATTATTACAATTTTAGCGAGACTCTAGACATTATTAGCATGGTAGATGATTCGGACTTGCGGTTATTGTCTTCTCTCTGGAAACTACACCTCTCCACGGGTGTTCTATGCCCTAGAAGGCTTGTCTCTTGGAGATATATGGACCAATATCGTGCTAGGGTGATATAGAGGACCTAAGTCCCCATTTAGAATATTACAGTTCTATCATTTGCCATCGGGGAATAATCGGAGCCAGTTCAAACCCCGAACACTTCCAGTCCGGAGTCTAACAGAATAGTCAATTCGGCATGCCGGTGTCCACTTTCCCTCGTTCTTTTCCCGAGTGACTCTTGTATGATTATTATTGCAACGGTTACTATCGCTTTTATCCTATGATCCACTCAAGGGCAAAAGGATCAAAACTCTAACCAACTCGGGATGAGGGTACACACTCACAGTACTATGGAGAGTACCAATCTACCGAGCCGCCACCTCCCGGTTTCCCAGCCATGCTGGGTTTTTATGACCATGACGTTGATTCGAGGGAAATCCGACTTCAACCGTGGAGGAAGTGGGGTGCAGGGGAAGAAGAGGCACAAATCATCAAATGACCCGAATAAAAGAGATCAAATTCACCCGAAGAATACATAATAGAAAAAAATCAAATTGACCCGTGTTCCAATGGGATTTTCTCCGCGGTCCAAGCCACTTGGTGACCCTCTCAGGGTAAAAAGAAGGAAAAAGTTGGGCAGAGAACTCAACGAGAGTTTCAGGGAGTTTAGCCGCAGTTGATTTTAGCCGAGGCTGGTGGAGACCCCGGAATTTCCAGATTCAATAGAATAACTAGTTGGATTATGGAATTGGAGGAGGGGTAGCGGAGGGGCTTAGACTCTTAGACACCAATTCGGACTTTAGCCTGTGCCGTGACAAAAAGTTGGAGTCGAAAGTGGCCATCGTGGTCTCTCTGGTTCTTTTTTTTTTCTTTATTAAATTGAATTGCGCTCGCTCGTGGTCTTCATTCTAATCTTCTCTCTCTCTTCTCTCTTCTCTCCCCCACATCCCAGTCTCCTTCACACTCCTCTCAAAATGTCTTCTCCCGTCGTCAAGCTGAACAGCGGCTACGAAATGCCCCTCGTGGGCTTCGGCCTGTGGAAGGTCAACAACGACACCTGCGCTGACCAGGTTTACAACGCCATCAAGGCTGGTTACCGTCTGTTCGATGGTGCCTGTGGTAAGTGCTTCATTCAATGCGCTCTACAATTCTCCCTCTCTCCCATACCCTTGCTAATCCAATCCCCTCCAGACTACGGCAACGAGGTCGAGGTCGGCCAGGGTGTCGCCCGCGCCATCAAGGATGGTCTGGTCACGCGCGAGGATCTCTTCCTCGTCTCCAAGCTGTGGAACAGCTTCCACGATGGCGATAAGGTCGAGCCCATTGCCCGCAAGCAGTTGGCTGACTTGGGCATTGACTACTTCGACCTGTACATCGTCCACTTCCCCGTTGCTCTGGAGTACGTCGACCCCAGCGTCCGCTACCCGCCCAGCTGGACCAACGCCCAGGGCAAGATCCAGCACAGCAAGGCCACCATCCAGGAGACCTGGACCGCCATGGAGTCGCTGGTCGACAAGAAGCTGGCCCGCAGCATCGGTGTGAGCAACTTCAGCGCCCAGCTGTTGATGGATCTCCTCCGCTATGCTCGCATCCGCCCGGCTACCCTCCAGATCGAGCACCACCCTTACCTCACCCAGAAGACTCTCGTCGACTACGCCCAGCAGGAGGGTCTCACCGTCACCGCATACTCCTCCTTCGGTCCTCTCAGCTTCATCGAGCTGCAGGTCGAGAAGGCCCAGGATACCCCCCGTCTGTTCGACCACGATGTCATCACTTCTCTCGCTACCAAGTACAACCGCACCCCTGCTCAGGTCCTGCTCCGCTGGGCTACTCAGCGTAACATCGCTGTTATCCCCAAGAGCAATGACCCCACTCGTCTGGCTCAGAACCTGCAGGTCACTGACTTTGACCTGGAGGCTGGTGAGATTGACTCTATCAGCGCCCTGAACCAGCACCTGCGCTTCAACGACCCCCTCAACGTGAGTTTGCATCTTTTCCTGTGGATTTTAGCGTCATTTGCTAACAATTTGAATAGTACGGTCTGGGCATTACCATCTTCTAAGTGATTAGATCATGTTGGAGTGAAACGTATGAGGATGCACCAATCTCGACACATATGTATATACCTTGACGAGACCCGACTTCATGACCTCGGGGGCTCATGTGTCATACGAAATGAACGAAATAGAAATCAACTGGATTGACCTGATGAAAGACTTACTGTAGATGTGCAATTCCTCAACAATGAAAGTAAAACATGAAATGTAGAGATGGTGAATAACCAGTCCTTCCCGACTCAATTAGAAGCTGTGACCACCCGCCAAGAGATGATCACATTTTCTCCGCATTCCCAACTCCAATTCCGCAACACGATTCTTTCCCTTCTCTCTCCAACATCGCCCAATTCGAATTCTCTCTCAAAATGACATCCAAACCCCCTCTCACCATCCTAACACGACTCACCTCCCAAGTCCACATCAGCGCAACCCCGCCACCAAGATCTCTCGCCGAAAGCAAGCAGATCTTTGCCGCGCTACAGGGTTTCGGCGAGATAATCAGCTTCCGGAATCTCAAGGTCTGCTACCCTCCACACGCTCCTCTCTTCTATAGCCTAGAGACTCAATTGTAATTAACACCGGAATACAGTATGACATCCGCAACGACACCGAACGCGAACGCCCCCTCATCGCCATGTTCGACACCAGCGATGCCGCCGAGCGCGCAATCGCCGCGTCCCCCTTGACAATTACCCTCCCTACACCAACACCACCAGCATTCTCACCAAATCCCTTTGCCTCGTCAACCTCACCCACCTCATCTCCAACCCTCTCCCCATTATCATCTTCATCCACCCCACAAACAATAACATGCACCCTCTCCCCCTCCCGGCACAACTACGAACGCTCCACCCGCCGCAACCCGTTCTACAACATGTTCCACATCGACAAAACCAGCGCGATATACGCGGACATGCGGAGCGAAGAAACGGGGACGCCGCTGGCGGAATTGGCGGATGTTTTGATGCGGAGTAAGGGGGGTTACGTTTGCGACGCAGCGGTTTGGGACGAGGGTGCATGCGCAACGGTTGGGGGCGGATAGTTTGATGGGGCTTTGGAGGAGGGGGGTTAGGGAGAGGAGGGCTAGGGAGATGGAGGGTAAGAATGGGGATGGGGATGTGGATGTGGATGGAAGGGAGAGGGGTGATGGGTTTGTGGAGGGAAAGGAGGGAGAGGAGAGGGGGAGGGCGCAGTTGAGGAGGGTTAGTCGGGAGAGGTTGCAGCGTGGGGAGAGGAGGAGGGGGAGTTTTTGATAACGGGGACTTGTGGGTGACTTCCAATGCTTGGATCTTGGATGAGGATTCTGTCTATTCTCAGTGAGGACTGTTTTTGCAAGACGAGGGTGGATCGGCGAAGGGTCCATCTTGTGCTTCATCTGGACTAGATCATACTGTCCTTGATGGCTTCATACAGATCCGGCCGGGCTCACGGATTCCAAGTCTGGGGAGAAACTCACCTAGACCAGAAAACTTTGTATAGAACATAAATGATACCCCATTTCATACATCCAATCGCCAAAGACACTATACCTACGAAGTGACACGCTACCCATAACTAGTAGGTATACCCAAGCAAACTAACTTCATGCCCTCGCAAGGCTCAGACTTGTTTCGTTTCTCATTCGGCTCTCGCCCTGCTAAAAGCTGATTACAAGACACAGGATTATCAAAGCCAGTACTCCTTCCACCCGTGCATCAGGATAAAAATCAAAAGGGCCATGCTGCATCTCAGACTCGTACATACGCTGCAAAAAAAGAACCAATGTTAGCCAATATCCCTCTCAACCAATTCCCGCAAACCAACGAAGGCGGGTGAAAAACATACTCGCATCAATCTGCTTGATATTCGGCAACGCCAAGCGCACCTTATTCCGGTACACAGCCGGACCACTCGTCTGCAACGGATTACCCTCGAAATAAACCGTCTCCAGCTTCTCCTTATCCTTCAGCTCGCGCTCGACTTCGTCAAAGCTGGTGAGCTGGTTATTTGATGCCCACAGCTCTTCCAGGTTCTTTAGTGTGCCGAGGTGTTCGAGGTGGGAGACTTGGTTGTTGGAGAAGTCGAGGACGCGGAGGGTGGTGGTGGATTCGAGGCCGGAGAGGTCGGTGATGGCGTTGTGCGAGAGGTAGAGTTCTTCTAGGTTGGGGAGGGAGGAGAGTCCGGTGATGTTGGTGAGGCGGTTGGATTGGATGGAGATGATGCGGAGGTTGGAGAGGGCGTCCAGGTTCTGGGAATAAGTGAGTTTCTCCGTAAGTGTAGGTATAGCAGTGCTGGTAGAGTAGAGTGCGCACCTTCATCTCGGTGATCTTGTTCTTTCCGAGCCAGAGTTGCTCTAGAGAGGCAAGCGTGTCGAGGTTCTCGATTTCCTATTATGTAAATCACGTCAATCCCGAAGCTCCAGATTCCCCTCTGTCCATGCTGCACATACCCTGATCCGATTCGCTCCCAATTCCAAATTCCGCAACTTATCCAACCCCTCTAGCCCTTCGATCCGCGAGATCTTGTTCTGGACAAAGTAGATATCCGTCAACTTCTTAAGATGTTCCACATTCTTGATGTGCTTGATCTTATTGAAGCTCAGATCGAGGCTGGTCAGGTTGTGGAAGTCCTCCAGGCCCTTGACGTGCGAAATGAGGTTATCGTAGAGATCAAGTTCGGTCAAGGTCTCGCCGAGATTGGATGGGAAGTTGATGCGTGTTATTTGGTTCTGGCGGAGGCATAGTCTCTGTAAGGTGCTCGTCGTTAGCTTTCTATTTCCCGCAAATTCGAGACTCGTCGATCACGAAGGACCCCAGTCGGGTCTTCATCTTCTTCCTCGATTCAGACACAGAGTGTAGGGAGTGTAGACCATACCTGTAGCTTCGTAAACCGCTCCAACTTCAGCGCAGAGAGTGACGACACGCGACAATGAACCAGGTCGATATCCTACACCGTCACCACAAATTAATCAGCGAAACACGCTTCCATCAAGCCAAAGCCAAAAGAACCCCAGGAAAGGAAGTTCACAAACCTCCACGTTGACATCCTCATCCGCCAGTAGATCTACCACCAATCAGCCCCAGTGTTCATCCCGCAAGAAACCGCGCGTGCGTCGCCGCCAAAAACCTTACCCTCATCCGCGTCGATCTCCTCCACAGGCGGTGCCTCCGGATCCGAATAGTCTGAATCCTCCAGGGCCTCTGGATTCGTGATAACAGCTTTGGGCTCCATTCGTAGTTTGCCGTCCCAGCCTTCCTTGTTTTTCATGGTGGGGTGTGTTGAGAGGGGGAGGTGAGAGTTGGAGGTGGCGGGTGGTGGTGGGATGGTGGTGCGATTGCGATTGCGGGGAGCTTTGGGAGCGGGCTGACCGAGGTTCTGGCGCGAGCCTGGAAATTCAGGGTGGGGGTTCGCCATCGTCTTGTGAATTGAATTTGTTTGAGAATGTAGGTTGGTTTGAAATGTGAGAGGTCGAGAAGGTATGTTGGGGTTGGAATTAACGTGCGCGCAGACTACATCCATCCCAATGCGGGCCGAGAGCGGTGCTTGATGCGGTCCTCCGCAGTCTCAACCAGGGAAAATCTACCATCTTCTCCAAGATACCTGATATTTCACTACAGAGATGTATCAAAATACGCCAAGCTTCTGTTAATTCGAATGAAACGTGTTCTCGAAGATTATGTACAGCGTAGAGAGCCGCTGAGCCGCAGCCGAACGGGGGCCATGTACATTGCATGGAACGATGCAATTCCCAATGATCACCTTGAGAGCAGTGTGCAGGAAGACGAGTATTAACTGACACTGTCCCCAAAGGTAAATCAGACTCGGCATGAACAAAAAGACAGCAATATGCAGAGTCTTATATGGGAAGAGCTGGACGCAGTGTAGCATTGGGGAAAGAACAAGAGACGCGGACTTGACAGGGGAGGGATACATGGGAAGAGGGGGCATAAAACCAACAGACGCCTGCGTAATGCATTGGAGAATGCGGGACTGGGGTAAATGAAATGGTGACAAGACAGCAAGGAAAGATCAGAAGGGGCGTGATAGAGAATCCGATTGATGGGACAGGGGAGAAATACTAGGAAATGGGGGATGGTAAAGTCGCTGGCCTGGGAATGGTCAGATAAGTGAGATCACAATGCCGAATCTGAGAGGCACAGAAGGGAAGATAGGGGACCAGAAAGAGAATATGAGGAAACAGCAATGTCAGGCTGATTGCGCGGATCATGACCGGGCAAAGCTGACGACCAATGCATCATCTAGGCCAGGACCCTAGGGAACCAGTTCCGATGTAAGTCGATGGCCGCACTTTGGATATGCAAAGTAGAGGCAAAGGTGATGTGAGTAGAAAAGCGCGAATTCACAGAAATGCTAGAATTGAAGCTGGGGGGGTTGTACTGGTACTGGGACGGGAACTGCAGAAGCAAAAGAGAGCTTTTTCTCGCGACAAGAAATGGGAAACCAAAAACAAAAGGAAAGAACTCGCTTAATGGGGAATCTTAGGCGTGAGAGAGATCCGGACAGGACGTTCGTATCAAAGAGTAATGTCCAGGACCATGCTGACATCTTGGACTTGGGCCCCAGCCAGATCCTCGAGAACCGGGATGAGGTCCAGCAGTTCATTGTCATGAGCGTCAGAGAACCAGCTGCTGATTGGTATCGCGTGTTGAGGGTGGAAGATGTAAGATGTAGGCGAGTTGTCGATGATGATCGTTTCACGTAGGTCGCGGCCCACTTGTGAAAGGTCCTGGTGAAAAGTTAGATATAGGGATCCCTTAAAGATGAGATGAGATGGGAGATGAGACGGCACAAACCTTGACGTAGTTTCCTTGGTGGTTGTAGCAGCTCTCGCGGAAGAGACGGTGATGCACAACATTATGAATGTCCAGTTGATCCAGCAAAGGGTCACCGTACTGTAGAGATTGATTAGTCGTCGTCGTGGGCTTGTCTTCGGCCCCAAGCGAGGCCTCATCGACTCATCAACTCACCTTGGAAACAGATGCCGTGAACACAACCACTTCATACAACTCTCCAACACGCTTCATAAATTGATCCACGCCTGGCCGTTTGATCACATAAATATTGTGATACTGGCCTTCAATCTCCACGGGAATCGTGAAATCGGCACGCTCGAGAACCTACGACATGTGTTAACCGGCATCCCCAACCGCGAGTCTCTCAGAAGTGGAGCCCTTACCTTGAAGCTGCTGTGTACGAGTGTTTCATCAAGATCCAGCACAAGACACTTGCGGTTCGACAGGTGTGGCAGCGCCGGCGGCAGCAACCACTGCTGCTGCTCACCTCCCTCTGATGCGGTCATCGGCTCAGGAGCTGGTGGTGGTGGGGGAGGGGGTAGCACAACCGGTGCCTGAACTACTTCCTCTTGATGCGATCGAGTCTCACCTTCACTTGCTGCGGGCGGGGTGGTTGTCCCCGTAGTCGTGACACTTTCTGTCGCGGCAGTCTGCTCATCTGATTTGGCAAGATCATTGTTGGATTCGGGAACTACTCCATTTGCCGCCACGGTAGTGTTCTCATGCTCGTTGGAGCTCGCGGGCAGAACGTCAGGCTTACTAGCAGCAGCAGAGGCCCCCTCACCTCGCGTATCGGGCGAAACCTGCGCGTTCAGCTCCTCCTCTTGAAGCTGCGGGTGGTCCGCCGTCACTGCAACGGCTTTCTCATCCCCGAAGTAAGCTGGGTCTCTGGATTCGGCGGTGCTGGAGTCTCCATTATGAGCTTCCGCTTTGTCAGGAGTGGGTAGCCGATTGGACATAGGGGGCTGCTTGGACGTTTTCTTCGGAGGCACGGTGCTATCGTCGCCATCCACATCCGGCGAAGAGCAGCAGCTCAGGAAGGCAAACAACTTGGATGATTTCTTCTCTTGCGGCTTGGAGGGTCCATTCATCTCAGGTGGGGTCGGAGTTGTCTTCTCCTGGCTCTTGTCCACAGTCGCCGCTTCTTGCTGAGTCCGTCGCGATCGTCTGCTGCTCGCCCGGCTGCGATCCCGGGTGATCTTCAAGATGCTGACCTTGGATCCTCTCCGACTGGATTCATCCTGTGTTGCCTCTGCGGTCTTTTCCGAAGTCGATTGCTTCTCCACCTTGGAGGATCGTCGCGATGGGATTGGAATCAACAGACGGTTTTTCTTGGGCGGCTCGACATTTTCAGTGGCACCCGAGGCACTAGGAGGTGATGCGACCGGTTCAGTGGCCAGCTGAGACGATGCGCCAGCGGTCGATCCCTGAATTTCAGCCGCGTCGGGGGCTGGCTGTTCGGAAGGCTGTTCGGGACCTGATAGCAGCGAGGAAAGTCAGCGACCGTGATATTTCCGATGCAATTGCATCAAGAATGACTTGCGATATCTGTTTCGAGGGGGGTTCCTTACCACTAGGGTCCTCAGTGCCAGAGGGGTTCATGTCCATGGGCTCTTTGCCTGTGGACTCGGGGGCTGAGGCTGAGGAGGGATCTTTCCCCGTGTTTGCTTCCACCATCGAGGCTAGCTGCAGATGGTGTGAGTTTGTGGAGTCCAGCGAAGGTACAAAGAGAGCCGAGACAGTGAGCAAAGGGTTGCAGCTCGCTCAGAAGCTCAATATGTCGGGGGCGCGGCTAATAACGAGGTCAACACACCTCCTGGAAGTCAGAGCGGCCCTGAAGCAGTGGGCTTTTTTCCAATTCACGTACCCCAGAGTAAACCAGCAACTTCAAAAGGCCAAGGCTGACAAGTGCAGCCCAAGCAGAGGGGGAGAATGCGACGAGAATGATGCCAGAGGGGAGAATGTTATGGCTGAGGCAAGAGAGGAGTCGGGGATGTCACGTGAGGAGTGACTGGGGCCGAACTGGGCGAGACGGGTGTCCCTTCACGCAATTCAGGTTTCTACTACTCGTCCTGGACGGGGTCTTTGATCCTTTGGGTTACTTGCGGTCCGCAAGATGCTCTCGCTCATACAATAACAAAAGCAGGGACCATATCGTTTGCTCCTACTATGTACGGGGTGTGAACGTCTTGTCTTACACTGGATCTTTGTGTACAGAGTCCTGCTTAGGCTGTCCTGACTCCTTGGGTATGGTTCTGTGGTTCTATGTGTGGAGTTCCCTGGGCTATCCGTATTCGACTTTCACACTATTGCCAGCCCTCGGCGGCTAAGCTCTTATTATCACTTTTGATCACACCGGGGTGGTCCATCTCCTCTAAGTCGGGATTAGGTCGGCTGTAACAATCCCATCCGCTGCAGGTTAGGGCCAGTAAAAAGGTACAATGCAGCCCCTCCAGGGTACATGGAGTACTCCGTACAGGGGGAACAGGGCTACCGCTACACACTCCGAAGATGTCTAGCGTAGGGCCTGGACCAGAACCACTAGGTCCTGTAGAATATACCCATCTACGATTCCGTTCGTGATTTCATTCGTGATACAGTACGGAGTACATAGACGATCGGGGGACTAACAACCGACCCCCACTCACTCGAGATCGAGTGGTTCAACAGTTCGGCCCAGGTCTGCCCCTTTTCCCCTGGTCTTCCAGCCCTCGTGCTATCGCGGACTTGCGGAGGAAGCTATGGCCCTGGGCAAAGTGGAGGCATTGACGGCCACTATTGGCGGAAATCAAGACCAATCACAGCAGCCATAGGACTGGATGTAACTGTGCCCAATCCGTGGCTAAGATACAAGCTGCATGATGGGGTTATGTATGTACAGTGGGGTTTCATAAGTTTGAAACCATGACCAACGTTCAGAATCATCTTATCAGTCACAGGTCGAATGATAGAATCAATAATGATACCTAAGCTATCGAGAAAGACAACTAAAATGACCTGTCAAAAGACCTTTCAATAACCAAGAAGTAGAAGCATATCTATTAGGGGGTCTCTCTGGTCTCTAGACTCAGACTTTTGAACTACCACTGTACGCCGAACCCTGTGCACTGTACGGAGTACAGTATTACACGTTATTTTTATAATTTTTTATCCAATTTGTGATCATGCATTACTTGATATTGCTCATCATTTTGTGGGGAAAATCGGAGAGGACGTAATGTAGGGGGCTGGAGGAGCTTATGATAGATGGTTCGGAAGGTTACCAATTGTTTACTAACCATACTGTAAAGACCAGGCGATCAAGTGGAGGTGGTGAGCCTAAGCTTACTGCCTTTGACACGGTAGTCATGCCATTCAGAAATGCCTTCAGTGATCCATATGAACCCCTGTTCTGAACACCCGTCGAGTGTGTCGATCATCAGCAGTTCTCTCGTTCATTAAGCATGTCAATATAATTTTCAGGATCTAACCATCCATCTAGCCTGATCAAGTAATCTTATCAAGGTAACACATTCTATTCCCAGCGTAGTGGCATGCTAGACACTTCGATGAATAACGGGGCCCATCGTTCCAAAAATCATGTCTTTTTCCTGTATATATATTTTTGTCAATGTAGCCACCTGGTACTAAGAGGCCATGCAGGCCAGTACCTAACATATCATTAGCTGTCTCCGTGACCGCCGTCGGATATACCATTCATTGTACATCCCCCGAATAGCTACCGTATATGCAGCATACAAATTTGATACTGGACCACCCTCTAGGCCAGCGGGGGTTTGCATTGTTCCCGCCTGAACATCTTCGATGGCTAAAGTGCGGGCATTAGTGTGCAGCCGCATGAAAAGTGAAGATCCGGTATTATTTGACCCACAATGCTATAGTATGGGTAGTACTACATATACTTGTCTACATCCTCAATCTTGCTACTAGATGCTATTTTCTGTGATTTCATCTAGAACTTGGTCTTTTACCTCAAACAGCTCGTATCCAGATCTCCACCGCAACCATTTGATACCCGACTCTACCTAGTTTCATGACTCTCCAGTCTGGTCAAAGGTAGACCAAGCTAGTGAGTAGAATTCATAAATTGGCACAGTACTCTTTCGCTTCGAATCATACCCCAAGGACCTCCCCGGCTTTGATAGAGTGGGGTTAGTCATCACCTGTGGAACCGCTGGAGCTTTCCCCGGGCACGTGCCCTCTCCGCAATCCCGAGGTTCACATGCAATGATGCATCACTCCCCTTGGAACCAGCCTGGTTGTCCTCTCGTGGGATCTTATCGTCTTCTCCAACTCCTCTATCCTGATACCTGACATCTAAATGCCCTAGGAGCTGGTCTCTGGTCCTGTTCATGGCATACCGCCCACGTTAACACGCCATTTGGGGTCGACGCTGTGCATTGGCCGACCTGGGCTCGACAAATGGCCGCCCAGTCGACACTCCGGAGGCCGGAGGATCCCCTCCTGGCGCTCTACCTCCGTTACTCAGAGCTACTGCGCTCACGCATGAAACATCCAAGGACGCAACTGATCGCTACCATTGCGCTGCTACTATCGATTATCGGCTCAGGCTATGGAGGATACAAATGGTTCCATGAGCGGGCCAAGGAGCGTGCTCAAGGCCATCGATTACATCGACGAAACTCTGGCATCAGAGGCAAGGATGGGTCCCGCACGATCTATGTTCCTTACAAAGAAAGTACCTCGAAGGTCTTGATCCATCCGACTAAGCCAACAACCTTTGATGCCCATCGGCGACTATTCTTGAACCCACCGGCATCAGCTCGCAGCAGTGAAGATGGGTCTGCGATCCCTCCACCAACGACCAAGCCTGGACTTAATTTGGCCTTTTTGCACCAGTTTTTGAGTTTAGGAAGCATTATGGTCCCACGATGGGGTAGCAAGGAGACCGGGTTATTGATGAGCCATGGCGTGTTCCTGCTACTTCGAACGTATCTATCGCTGCTTATCGCACGGCTTGATGGAGAGATTGTCAGGGATCTGGTTGCTGGTAAAGGAAAAGCCTTCCTCTGGGGTATCGTCAAGTGGTGCGGCATCGGTACCCTCGCCTCCTACACGAATGCGATGATCAAGTTCCTCCAGTCTAAGGTTTCGATTGCCTTCCGGACCCGCCTAACGAGGTATATCCATGACCTCTACTTGACCGAAAACCACAACTTCTACAAATTGATGAACTTGGATGGCGGCATCCAGGGCCCCGATCAATTCATCACGCAAGACCTGACCCTGTTCTGCACCGCTGCAGCATCACTGTACTCATCATTGGGTAAACCTATGGTGGATCTGTTTGTCTTCAACTACCAGCTTTACCGCTCTCTTGGTCCTCTCGCTCTAAGCGGAATTCTCACCGGCTATTTCAGTACGGCTGTGGTTCTCCGGAAGCTATCGCCGCCATTCGGGAAGCTTAAGGCCGTGGAGGGCAAGAAGGAAGGTGACTTCCGCGGCCTCCACTCTAGACTCCTAGCCAATGCCGAGGAGATCTCGTTCTACGGCGGAGCCGACACCGAGCGTGTCTTCCTCGTTAGGAGCTTCAAAGAGCTCCAGCGGTGGATGGAGGGGATCTACAGCCTTAAGATCCGCTATAACATGCTGGAGGATATGATCTTGAAGTACTCTTGGTCCGCCTTTGGCTATTTGGTCACCTCTTTACCTGTCTTCCTTCCTGCCTGGGGCGGATTGGGCGGCGCGATGGAGCTAGCCGATGCTGCAGGAGGCCGCGAGCGAGGCAGAATGAAGGAATTCATTACTAACAAGCGACTGATGCTCTCGCTTGCGGATGCGGGTGGCCGTATGATGTACAGCATCAAGGATATTTCGGAACTGGCAGGATACACTTCGCGTGTATACACCCTCATCGCTACCCTTCACCGGATTCACGCCAATGCATACTACCCAAATCGCGGCTCAGAACTGTACTCCCTTGCTGACGTCCAGGGTACTACCCACAATGGCTTCGATGGTGTCCGCCTAGAGCAAGTTCCCATTGTCGCCCCCTCCCTCTATCCAATGGGCGGCGATGAACTGATCGAATCCCTATCATTTATCGTCCACTCTGGCGACCACCTGCTCATTTCAGGGCCCAACGGTGTTGGCAAGTCTGCTATTCCCCGTATCGTGGCTGGCCTATGGCCTGTCTACCGCGGTCTAGTCAGTCGGCCCCGGCCCATTGGGCTCGACGGCATCATGTTCCTCCCCCAGCGCCCCTACCTGAGTGTGGGTACCTTGCGTGATCAGGTTATCTATCCTCATACCGAAATTGATATGCGAGAGGGTGGTGAGTCCGACGCAGCCCTGCAGAAGATCCTTGATGCTGTACACCTAGGCTACCTGCCTCAACGCGAAGGTGGCTGGGATGCTCGCAAGGAGTGGAAGGACGTGCTGAGCGGTGGAGAGAAGCAGCGGATGGCCATGGCCCGTCTGTTCTATCATGAGCCTCGCTATGCGTTTATCGACGAAGGCACTTCCGCCGTCTCCTCCGATGTGGAGGGCGTTCTTTACGAGCGAGCCAAGGAGCGCGGTATCACACTCATAACCATTTCTACCCGTGCATCTCTCAAGAAGTACCACACCTACAACCTGACCCTTGGCCTCGGCGAAGGTGATCTTTGGGAGTTTGAGAGAATCGGCACCGAGAAGGAGAAACTCGGGGTCGAAAAGGAGCTCCAGGAGCTGCGCAAGCGTCTGGACAAGGTTGACGAGTGGAAGAAGCGCCGGGAGGAAATTGAGAATGAACTTGGCAAAGTTTGGGCTCATGATGGGGAAGTCGCTCCTCCTCCTTACCAAGAAGAGGAAGCGAAGCCAGTATCTGAGACTGGCGCTGAGGCACCTGTTGAGGAGATTGAAGCGATCACGAATTGAACGAGACACATGGATGTCTCGGACTTGAGATGATTTTGAAATTTACGCGTTGGATTGTGTATATCAGAGCGGCTCATTCAATGCAAATTCACTTTTCCATCATACTTCAGCGATGAATTTGGCTAATACTCTAGCGTAGAATTTTAAGGACGATTGTCAACGCCCATCTCACGACTATTCGGAGTGACACTTCCCAAGTAGGTCCCAGCCCCACCTCCTAGACATGGGGGACTGGACAGTATTATAGTCTGCCAGTTACAGACTACACCGCCTACACCCTCTACATAGCAATCAGCTGCCCACTCACCGCCTTTCTAGTTGTCATCTCGTATCAATAAGCTACGTCACGTGTGAACCAATTGTTTAGACCATCAGGGACCTTGACTTCTTTCTTTCACCTCGTTTACTTTCCTTCACCTTGTTCAAGTAATCGCTAGCAAATATCGACATTGGTTTTTTCTTCACACCTGGCTATTAATCTCTATCCCAGGGGCCGTCTAGCCCCGCAAGACCCTTGCACTGCTTACCGGCCGCTTTGATATCAAAATGTCGAGCGACGGCGACCTCTCGGATGACCCCAATATGGTGGTTATTCCTGTTGAGGATGAGAAGAGTGATGGGCAAAAATCCCTATGGCCAGTGAACAGCGCAGACTCTCGGTTTACTTACCGGATTCGTGATGACGAATCCTGGCGGATCGGTCTTGCGGAGATGTGGGTAGAGAAACAGATGGGTGCCCGAGAAGAAGGTATGTAGCATCATGCCCGCTTTCGTGGCTCTTGTTCGATCTCGTCTGTTATTCTCAATCTTGAAAGCTACGAAAACTGACCTTTCATGACCAGGCATAACCTACATTCTCCAAAAGCTGCCTGAAGGCTATGCGCTCATGGACCGCCCTCGAGGAACTGATCATAAGACAGTGAGTTTTTCATTTCTGTCCCTGTTATTTGATGATAGGCTCTATCCTTGTCCCCCTCTTCTGATAGAGTTGGCTGATAGCATCATAGCGAGACAGCTTTCTGTTTGGGCACCCTAGTGGACGATACTTTCAGTCTCGTGTGACTTTCTTCGTGCATTTTTACTGGCTTATGACCGATCGTGCTCAACCTTGCGATTGCAAGCTATGCGCCAAAGTGCAGACAAGCTCTAAGCCGTTGGGGGAGTTCAAACCCCGAAAGCGTAAGCCTCATTCCAAGTCTATTCATGTCCTATAACCTACTGACCACTACTCTAGGGCGCACCAAAGCTGAGATGGAGGCTGACAGAGCCAAACTAGAGGGCAACGACAAGGCCATCGTGAAATTTAGCCATCGCAAGCTCCCTGGAGATGAAGAAGGCCCCGATTATTGGAAGATTCATATTATGGACCTTAAAGAGAAAGGCACTCTTGATGAAGAGATCAATCACCCTCTGAATCTGGACTGGGTTCTCACCCATGATGCCCTGAAAGACTACTTCGTCCGTCTCCCCCTACAGCCTGCATTTGTTCCGCGGCGTGGTGAAACCGTTCTGTGGACGTCCTCTCTGGAAGGCAGACTTCAATATAACCCAGAGACTCAAACCGTTGAGATGCGCGCCGAAGACGGCAAGTGGCTCGGTATGCCGGACTGGCGTGCTGGTGTTGTTACGCAGGTGTCCGAGGAGGAATCAAGCTACCTCGATATCGTTCAGGAGACCAAAAAGAAGCAACCTATCTCATACTCTGGATTTCGCGTTGAGACACTCCCTGATCCACTTGCGGACGATAAGTCCTATTCGCTGCACTATAAATATGTGCCACTCAAATGCATTAAGCCCTTCGGTGCTTTCGAACGCTTCCTGTGGCCGACCCCGCGTGAAAAGCTACATCCCTCTATCGAAAACGCGATGACGACTATGGCGTCGTACAGTCTGCTGCATAAGGTCCGCTTCCGTGGAACCTGGCCTAGCGCCCGAATCGACTGTAAGGGCATCTTCGTTGGCCCGGAGCTCCTCGCTATCTCGGATACGGTGCGCCTAAAGCCTTTCGGTATGAAAGCTGAAGATACTGAGGACCACCAAGGCGAGGTGAAAGCAGATCTCGGCCCTACTGTGACTGATGTGATGGTCATCGAGCAGATCTGGCTACAGATGGATAACTGCAACGCGGATCCAGATGACACGCAGCTCGCAAGGAAGATGGTCCCCTACATCGCAGGCAAAGTTTATACTCGCGATCCGAACCGACTAAATCGAGTGATGCCGTTTGACGCGGACCCCTTAGAGAAGCTGACTCCTAAAGAGGTGGAAGATTCATTCTCGCAAGGAGGCATGCGCGTCTACGGTAAATGGTACCGTGTCGCCGCAGGCAAAATCTGTGTGGTATCGCCCGGCATGATATTAGGCCGATGCTACGAGCCCGAGGCTACCCACCTGCACTACGGCACCTTTGATCTCGACTACGACCTCCACGGCATTTTGAGTGGCAGGCGCTACTCAGTGCAAGTCGACGCGCGAATCCCGCCCGGTCTAGACTTCTTCTGGGGCGATTCTCGCGTGGAAACCCTCGGCCTTGCTACCATGAACGGAGTGGAAGTTGGCCCGGCCGCAGAGCAGCGCGATGACCCTGTGCGATGGCAGGCGATCCTTCGCATCCTGCAGGGTAGCACGTCTGATATCGATGTGCGTCTTGCAGACCTGGGTATCTCGAAGGGTCCAGGCCGTCCGAAGAAAACGTTCAGTGAGGTCAGGAAGATGAGCAAGCTTGTTAGTACCGGGCTTGGCGCAGTGACCGAGAACGAAGATAGTGGAGAAGGACCTGCCGATGCGGCTGACAGTCCGTCGGATATGGAGATTTCGGACACCAAGCTGGCTGCACCGATTCCATTCCGTGAGCCGAGCGAGGGGGCTGAATATGTGCCTTGATTTTCTTTTTTTGGCTTGCTGGTTCTCATGCTCCGAGAGGATCTGTTTTTAGCAAAGTGAGGGTGTTATTACTCTCTTTCTTCTGCTTCTTCGGCGTCGGAGGCGGAGGCGGAGGCGGAGGCACTTGAACCTTTCTAATGAGTTACGACTCTTCATGTATCATCATATTCGAGCAAGGAATGAAAATAATCTGGAAAATTTGAGTAGTTATTACCTAGATAGCTGGTAATGACTACATCAAGAAACTAGGTACTGTAGTATTCATCCAACAATGCTGGTTAACGGCCTGACTAGAATGAATGAACTCTACAAGAATGCACCGGATATCAATGCACCGAACACCACATTTTCATTCATCATATATACCGTCCCCAATATCCACACACATAACATGCCCATCTAATAATTCTTCTTAACAACCCCCCTCGCAAACTCCGCAAAAGTCAATCCCTCCTGCACCTCCTCCTCAAGATTTGGCTGCGTAAACACAGCCAACGTATTCCTCGCAATCCGCTGCTTCCCACCCACACACCTGGCCCCCTTCACGAAATGCGGCACAGCCCGGAACTTACCCTGCGTAATCAACTGCAACGCCTCACCCGTCTGGAAGGCCAGACAATCCTTGGGGATATTAACTTTCACCACGGTGCCCGTGCGCGAACGGATGTATAGACCGGCTGCTGGGTCGGGGGATTGGGGTAGTTCGGGGAGGGAGGTTGTTGGTGTTGGGTCTGGGATGGGTAGGGTGGCTGCTTCGTCGAGGAACATTGCTGATGTGAGGCCAGTTAGACAGCCGTGGTCGACGTGCGTGGCGCACCAGTCGTCGTCCTCGACAGGAGCAGAATCACCCTCCCCATTCTCCCCATCATCCGAGGAGGTGGCGTCCGCAGGGAAATAATGCAACAACCTCGCCTTCGTCGTAAGACTCGTCTTAACCACATGCGCCAAATAACCCGGTTTATACCCCTCAATATTCGCCTCCGCATAACGATCACAAGCCCTCGCCACCAGCGCCGCAGTATCAATAATCAAGGAGCAGAGTTGTTCGACATTCGGTCTGAAACTGGGCAATTTGCGTTCTGGCGGCCAGATGTTCGGCGCCGTGTACTGGGGCAGATCGGGGAAGTTGTCTGCGGGGGCATTTTGGAGGGAGGGGTCTTGGTAGAAGGCGCAGTTGACATAGTAGGAGCCCTTGAGGGTATCGAAGGTTCCTGATTTGAGAGTTTCTTTGCCGCAGGACCAGCCGACGAGGTAGTTGGATTCGGGGCTTTCGAGGGATTCTGTGTGGGTGTAAGTTTGGTTTGTTGGTTTAGATATGGAGGAGGGAGGGTTAGTGCTGCTTGGTTGGTTCTTACCTAGATCCGACTTTGGGAGGGCAGCGAGATAAGATGCGTGCGAGAGGGTTTGGGCACGGAGTTGGGTAAACTTCTGGGGCAAGTCTTTCACGATGATGATGCCGAGAGACGAGGGGCCAAAAGCCTCGGTGAGGGTGTCGAAGGAAACGGTTCCTGTGGAGAGAATTAGCGATTATACATGGCATCGACTGATCTAAAGAATATATTACCATCTTCTAATTCTTTGAGACTCACAGTGACCGCCTGGGTCACGGGTGCTTGAATGGTACTCATATTGAGGCAAGAGAGTTGAAGTGGAACAGAATGAATGTTTTCCCCGCCTCAGATGATAAAAAGAGGAGATAAACCAGACGGGCCGCGCCGAGACGAGGACAAGCCACGGCTAGAAACGGATGTTACGTTAATTAAATACTGCATTGGTAGAAGAGATAACGAGTTAATAGTAGGAAAAGAGATGGTCTCAGTAAAGATAGGAATAGTGGCATGCAATTGAACCAGAAAAAAAAAGGGTATGAAGTATACACAAACTATCGTACAACACTTGGCCATTGACCAAGAATCTCTGCTCTACTCACTCCCTCCACTTCCTCCTCCAACTCGTCTAGTCACAGCCCTCAAAGTTCCAAACGGCAACACATCCGCAATCCTCTTCGCCCCCGTAAACAACATCACCAACCGATCAACACCACACCCCCAACCCCCCGTCGCAGGAAGCCCCCACTCCAATGCCTCCAGATAAGCCTCATCCACCTCCACCGCCTCTTCAGACCCCTTACTAAACCGAACCTGGTCCTCAAACTTGCGTCTCTGCTCGAACGGCGAGTTCTCCTCTTCATAGGTATTAACCACCTCCTTCCCTTCAATAAAAAGTTCACCGCGGGCGGCGACGACTTGTTTCGTCACCGGGTGGACGAAAGATTTCGAGAGTGGCGAGAGACATTCGGGCGGGTTGATGATGAATGTTGGGTCTGTGCAGGTTGGTTCGAGGTATGTGGCGCAGAGTTCGTCGAGGAGGCGCGGGAGAGTTGTGTTTGTGGGAAGGGGGAGGGAGAGGTCGTGGAAGAGGGTGTGCATGTTTGATAGGGCGTCGGGGGACGAGAGATTTGGTAGGGAGCGGTTGATTTGGGCTTCGATGCCGGTGATGAAGTCGATGCGGCGGAAGGGAGTGGTGAAGCTGGCGGTGGTCGGGGTGAGGGTGCCTTCTGTGTTGAAGGCCTTGATGTGGGCGGCCATGCCGGATAGGAGGGTTTCGGTGATGTGCATCAAGTCTTCGAGGTTGGCGTAGGCGTGGTAGAATTCGCAGGTGGTGAATTCAGGGTTGTGTGTTTTGTCAATGCCTGTAGAGGGGGTGATGAGATTAGTATATATCATATTCATTCGAATATCGAAGATGTATACCTTCATTTCGGAACGACGGTCCAATCTCAAAGACCTTGTCAAATCCACCAACTACCAACCGCTTGAGCCACAGCTCTGGTGCAATGCGCAGCGACAATTGACGATCCGGGAACTCTGTGGCTGAAGTATTGAACGGTCGAGCGATGGCACCTCCAGCCATTGATCCGATAATGGGCGTGCTGACCTCCATAAACGACCGATCCACGAAGAACTGGCGCAAATATTGGATCAGAGAGGCTCGAGCTCGAAGAATATCCGCCGTCGCAGGATCAGCCAGGAATTGGACATGGCGAGGATAGGGCGAGGTCTCGTGCGGACTATCGTGAACGGGCACATCGTGTAGACACGGCGAGAGCAGCTTGGGCAACTCTGTAGCATCGATGGTAAGTTCACCACGACCAGTACGATGAGGTCGTCCAGTTACAGCTGGAAAAGAGTGTTGTTAGTCGGAGCAGACAAAACCACCAGTCAGACCAGCAGCAGCAGCACATACAAAAAGCGTCACCCCTCCGCAAAAGGCGATAAAGTTTCTTAAACTCCGGACCCTCGACGCCCTCGAGTTGTCGCTTATTGCACATGACTTGCACTTTGTGTCCATCTTGCACGATATCGAAGAAGATCAATTTGCTCCCGGCAAGTCTATAAGTACGAATCCTACCTAACTAATCTAAGTACAACGGCACTGATCCACGACGACCGGAACAGACGACCTACCAGAGACCACCACCGAGTCATCCTCTACTGATTCATTATCCTTCAAATGGGCATACCGAGAGCGGAACTCGGCGCAACTGAGGGTACGAGAGTCTACCGCCAGCCGGGGATAGGGTTCGGCACAGGCATTGCGGATTTCCTGGACACGCTCTTGGAAGGCCTTTCCAGGTGAGGCATTGGAGCTGGAGTGTCTGGTAGACCGAAGCTGGAGCTGATGCTGAAGCTGATGCTGGGGGGTTAGTGGAACCAATCCCAAGGGGGACTGGATACGGGAGTTGGAAGGGCGGAGGCCTGCACTGCAAAGCCGAGTCAGCTTATGATTCTCAACCAACGATTGAGGGCAAGCAATTGAAGAAAAGAAGGCAAATAAATGTAATCAGAAATAGAGTTCCGGTTCGTTCATATGTCCCGAAGGACATCAACTGCAGCGGTTCTGAAGCAGGTGGGATAATCTCATCATGATAAAATGCAAAAACAGGACAAAGAGAAAAAGGAACTGTTATAGCTTACCTATTCCGCAGACCTACAAGGCCTCGCAGCGCCCGGGGGCGAATTGAATGCATGAAAGGACAGGATGCAGACTTTCCCACTCACATTGCGTGGGTGAAGAAGAGAAGAGGAAGAAGAAGAGGAAAAGAAGAAATAAGTAGGAGAAAATGGAAAAACTCGGCGCGGGCGGAGTCGCGGGAAAACGGAAAGTGGCCCGAGCTTCTTGAACCTCGAGACTGACGGACTTCTGGTTAATAGGAACTAACCATCACGACCTCAACTTCAACAAGCACAACAACTATGTAAGTGATTCTTTGATGTTTTCCATCAATCCTTCTCATTTACAAGGACTCCTTCAATACTAATAACGAGTAGCTCCAACCATCTCCTACCCCATCCACACTCAACCATCACAATGTCCTTCCTCTTCGGTGGCCAGCCCAAGATGTCCTCCGAGCAGAAGATTGCTGCCGCCGAGACCGAAGTCGAGATGATATCCGACATGTTCACCCGGTAAGCATTCATCAACCTCTGAGAATCAAACTCCATCTTCTACTGCAACCAACCCATTCTAACCCACCTTCTCTTCTCTAGCCTCACCGAGTCCTGCACCAAGAAGTGTATCCCCACCGACTACCGCGAGGGCGATCTGAACAAGGGCGAGTCCGTCTGCCTGGACCGCTGTGTCTCCAAGTTCTTCGATGTCAACATTAAGGTTAGCGAGAAGATGCAGCAGGGCGCTGGTCAGCAGCAGGGTGGTGGTATGGGCTTTGGCATGTAAAGTGTCTAGCCGGATACGAGATACCATACCAGCTGGAGGATGGCGGAAGGATTGAGCTGGGAGTATGGAATAGAGCTGGTAGATCCAGAATTGCTTTGAATTGTTAAGCACAATTCTGATCTGCGTATGGACTGTGCCAGCTCCGAAGCATTGCTCCCGGCTGTCGTGTCCTGTCCGGTGGATGTTTGATTCATGTCGTGATGGATACCACATTTATATCATCACAAATCGTTTATTATTCAATCGGCGTGGAACGCCGATGTCTATGTACAATAGGAAAAAAATGGGAAATGGGGACAATTACAAAGAAAAACCAGAGACCTAGATCATATTCATACAACGTGTAAGACGTCAACGTCACTGCGCCGTAAACCCGATCGACCGTCGCAGCCAAGTCATCCAGGAAACACCATTTTCTTCCTCGCCCTGCAGTAGGCCTTTAACCCGGGTTTCCACATTGACAATATGGCGCTCGAAATCACCTAGTCCTTCTTCCATATCCTCGACTTTGGACTCGAGGACGTGTAGCTCGTAGTCCAGCTTGGCGCCTAGCAGTTCCACGCGCTTCACGCTGTCGTTCAAGTGGGAGTGTTCATCCGTGACGAGATCGCTGGATCGCTCGCGCAGGCGCTGGTAAACATTGAATCGTTCCAGGTACACGGCGTTGAGCTCTTCGTGCCGCTCGTACAGGATGTTATTCAGACCATCGACGGAATCTACCTGCCGCTCAACCCAAGGCACGGTATGTTCGCTAAGATCCAGTATTCGTGTGCTGAAAATCCGCGCGTCTGATGCAAGCATGTCTTCTTGGACAATGGCTTCTTCGAGGTTCGTCGTGTCTTTGATCGTCGGTTGCGTGCCCAGCGGATCCCAGGTGAGTACAACTTCTTCGACATTGCTAAAGGACAGGTGCCGCGGGCAACAATCATCCCGTCGTTGGTCTTCGTTGTCAATAGCTCGAAGTTCTTCGCAGCTTTGTGGACGTCGAAGGGCCATCATAGCCAGGTTCGTGCTGGAGTCATCTCTGTCTTGCCCTCGCTCGCTGGATGCAGCCGTAGACCGGGACCTGACCCGCTCTATTTCCGATTCCTCGTCTATCGTTGGAATCGGTTGCAGGTCCGATAATTGGTCTACTCGCTCCGACTGCTCCTCTGCGTCATCTGGAGACGGGGCAGCCTCGACGTGAATTTCGGGAGTTTTGATCTCTGTGCTAGGTTCGGCCGTGGTGGAAGGTTGAACATCCTGCTCGTCCTCTGGTTGAGTTGCAAATTCCTCGTCAACCTTCGTTTCCGAGCGTCTGGGGCCAGTCTTGGGTTTGGTGGGTATCTCTGTATCGCTGTCGATCTGGGGCTGATAGGCGATGTCATGGGTCAAATCGACTCCCTCGCGGGAATGTTTGTGGTGATGTGAACGTAAGCCCGGTAGCCCGACTGCATCCTTAAACCGACCCAGACCAGCCCGGGCATCTGACACTCTCCCGCTGACTCCCTTTTTGCGATGGTCTTTTTCTTCCGTGACCAACGAGTCTGGCGTTTTCCATTGTCGATCGAGCCCAGAAGCCACACGCTCTGCGTGTAGCTCCTCCGTAGAGTGCTTCTTTCGACTCGTCCAGACATACCCACCTTGATCATCAGCCGTAAACATCATATCCGTGCCAGAGCCAGGCGCAAAGGTAGTGTCTAGCCCGCTCTTGCGTGTCTTCCCGAGCCACAGCCATTTCGCCCTGGAACCGTAGACGCACTGGACAAAGTTATCCAGATCGAGGGTCTCGATATCAGCGATTCCGCCTTTTTCGCGGCCGCGAACCATGCCCATGACCATTTCACCACCTTGTCCACTGAGTTCCGTCATGGTCGACTTGATCGCATCCGTCCAGCCTTCAGCATTTGCAGCCTTGGTAGTAGCACGGTGTAGTCTGTCCAGAGTCCGCCGGTCCAACCGTCGCGACCGGTTCATCTTCTGTGCCTTTTGAAATCCACCGATACCCCTCTTAAGATTATCGATGTCAAAGGCATCCTTTCCCACAGGTGCGCCGGAAGCATGTAGTCGATTGCGTGCTCCCAAAAGTGTCCCCAGCAATGCTGCGACACTAGTCGGTCCTAAAATGCCATCACTTGGTTCAATGTTGTACAGGTCGGTCCCGATATCCGCCCACCAGTCGCTGATAGCCTTTTCCGTCACGTCACATAGTAGACCGTCCACATACTCTGGGGCCAGCTTGTCAAACACCATCAACGCGATTTGGCACTGCTTGACCAGCTCCGTCACCGCAGTATACAGTGGAACCCGGTCACTCGTACGGTACAGCTGGTGAAACTTGGCTTCTGTCGCTGCAGACGGGTACTGCAGCTTTAGGCCCGCGCGACCAGCGCACCCGAGCCGTTTCAAGTCCTCGTTGACAATAAAATCATCTCGATGTTTTTTGATGTCACCCTCGGGTACTGGAATGATAGTCAGGGCCGACGGGAATGTTCCCAGGTCCGTAACCATGATCGCCCCGAACGGGGTATCCTTCCTCCGCGCACAGGACTGCTCCACGGCATCAAAGTACATCCGCAACCGAGGTGACCATGTCGACTCGTCTGTCGGGACACTGAGCACACCCACGACGACTGTATGTGACGGATCCCCAGTGTAGGTCGAGATGACAAACGTAGGATGTTGGCGCGAGCACGCCCATTGTTCCACAATGTAGATTTCATAGCCCTGCAGGGTCTCGCGGCGGTGTAGCACATCCGTTGAGGGGTCTTCTTCGAGGTATCGGAGGGCAACCGGGTCAGTGAAGATGAGTTTTTGGTGACCCTGGAGTTTAGGGCGAGGGTCTGGGCCATTCACGTTGGATGCGGGGCTTGCACGTAGGCTGTCGGACGCTTTGGCGGAATCGCGGCGACCGACCAGCGGTGCAGGCGGTGCGTTGGACTGCATGACCGCTACTGGTTAACGGGTAGGACTGGGGACGAGTGCCCACGCAGTCCTGGAAGGAATTTTAAGCAGTTCAGTGAGGGGTTAGGTAGGACACCATTTGAACACAGGCGAGTCCACCGCCACCACGGCTTTGGTCACCTACCAGGGAGGCGCCAAGCTTCTGTTCCGATCCTCCTGCAGTTCGGATCAGGTGGAGGCCACGAGAACATATCCTGGGAATTGCTGTCGAGGCATCGTCCAGCCTTGGTACCGGCGACCGAGGGAAAAGAGAAATGAGTGTCGTAGACCCTGTCGATGTTGAGGATATCAAGCTTGGTGAACCTCCGGACCCTGCAGAAAGGCCGACGTCACTGGAATGCGGGCGGTGAGGTTGTCAGGCACCAACTGACACAGCTTCGCCCACGCAAGGAGGCACCAGGGGACGGTACAACGCAGGGAAAGAGTGAGCAAGGAGCTTGGTCTCTCGCCCAGCTTCAGCATGGGAATAGCAGCTCACATTCGGGTTGGTCGACTGATTTACTAGTTACGACTCTTGTTTACGCAACGCGAGGGCCCTGGGTCCTACTCCATCATTAATTAAAGGGAACTCAAGACGCGATGCGACGAACGCGACATCTACGACTTCAACACTTATCTATTTGTTTACAAGGCTACTCTCTTCTCTAAAGACCACCAACCTGGGTGGCAACAGTAGTGAAAAGAAGACCGTGACAGCACTTGCAGACCGGCCACGTCCCCCAGAGGGTAAGGCCATGTCTGAAGCACCGAATCCAAGCCCGATGACCAGACAGCCAAGGGAGTTGGGGCAACTTGTTTGTTCAAAAATTCCTGTCCGATCCGAAGACCAGACAGAGTGGTCAATTTGGTAGTTTTCAACTAGCAAAAACACGATCTCGGATGTCTCCTCACTGATACGTGTAAAACCCGTGCACTAGGATGAGAAAAGAAAGAAAAAAGAAGAGGAAAGGAAGTGGAGGGGAGAAGGCATTTATAGCTGGAAAGGGGCCGCACTAGCGGAAGCGAGAGTGGGGCTAGTCCGTACTGGGAGAGCATGTGATTGGTCAGAGTGGCAAACGTAACTGAGATGAGTCATCCATTGATTTGCCTTTCCCATAGGGGACTAGTGCATTTTTGAACTGTACTGGTCACTCTTTCATCCGAGGTTGGGCTTATCAAACTTAGCATGCTTGACACTTGGGATGATTGTCCAGACCAAAGTGTATTCTCACGCTTTTCTACGACATATCTTCTATCATTCCCTATAGTTTTGGTCGAATCAGACGTAGCAATGAGAAGGAACGTTGGAGGAATAGGTCACGTGTCTATGTCGTAAGAACCGGCGATCATCCGGAACAGCTCAAGCCCGGACCCCTCTGGTCATTGTCCTTCGACTCGATTCACCCAGCATCCTCGCAGACCAACATACAACAGAGCTCGTGACGGCTTCTCCGAGTCTATAGAGGACCTCAAGGGACAGAAAGAACCTCTCTACTCTTTGTTGGCTCCTCCGTATGGCACTGGGATGCCTTGCCGGGTGGTAATCTGATCACCTCCGCACCGAGTACTCCGCAGCCTGTGCGCCACCATGGATCTGGTTCAAAAGGAGCATGACAGGCTTCTGAAGAAGCTGAGGACCTCCCAGGGCATTAACAATGTCCAGGCTACGATTGATATGCTCCAGTCCGCCCGGGATACTATTGCTGCTGGTCAGTTCATTGCCGTCGTCAACATCGCGGGACTCGGGCGGGGAAGTTCGACTAACTGAACTCGATCTACTCTATATAGACCCCAACCAGGCCGCCATAGCCTTGACCAGACTTCAGAATCCCGTCAAGGCATCCTTTAATGCAATCAACGATAGTTTGAAAGAGACTCACGGCGGTCTCAACAAGTACACCAAGTCATTGGATAAGGTACTTACCTACAAAGCCCTCTCAGCCTGACCTATACAATCAAACCCTACCTCTTCTCTCCCAGGCTACATACTAACCACCGCCACCCTTCAGCTCTTCAAAGATAGGCCCCTCCCTAGCACCGAGCACGATGTCCTCTCCGAACAAGAACACTTGATCAACCGTGCCATCGCCATGCATCTCCTCCGCGAAGGCCAATTCTCCGTCGCCGCCACCTTCCTATCTGAAATCGCCGAGAAGAAAGACTTGATGCATAACCCCGCTTCACCCTCCTCCTCCGCCTCCCCCGAATCATCTAGTAGCCTTCTAAACCTGGATGAGGTCCCCTCCCCGGAGATTCGCAAGGAGTTCGCCTCGATGTATTACATCCTCTCGCAACTGAAAGAACGAAAGAACCTCCTCCCCGCCATCGAATGGTCACGGGAGAACCGTGAGGCGCTGGAAGCCCGCGGCAGCAATCTAGAATTCGAGCTATGTCGCTTGCAGTTTGTCTGGCTCTACCATGGCGAGTCGGACATGTCGGGAGGTAACCATGTTCCTGGGAACTGGCGCGCCGCGATGGCATACGCCAAACGTGAATTCCATACCTTTCTGCCGCGATACATCCGTGAGGTGCAGCAGCTGATGGGCGCCATGGCCTTTTGCCCGAATTTGCATGGCTCACCGTATTCAGCGATCTTCAACAACACGTCGGCATGGGACGATGTGGCTCAATTCTTTACTAGAGAGTTTTGTTCACTGCTGGGACTGTCGGCGGACTCACCACTTTACATTGCCGCGACTGCTGGAGCGATTGCGCTGCCTACACTGCTGAAGTTGCAGACAATTATGAAGGCCAAGCGCACTGAATGGACGAGCGAGAATGAGCTACCGGTGGGTTTCACCATTAGGAGCGGTCCCAAGCAAACCAAAGCAATTGAACTAATGTGTCTATCATGCAGGTTGAAATTCCACTTCCGCCCTCATACCTCTTCCATTCGATCTTTGTTTGCCCCGTTTCTAAGGAGCAAGCTACTGACGAGAACCCGCCCATGATGATGCCCTGCGGGCACGTCATCGCAGAAGAGTCGCTCAAGCGTCTCAGTAAGGGCAGTCGGTTTAAGTGTCCCTACTGCCCGAACGAGAGCCACATGAAAGACGCCCGAAAGGTGTTCCTGTGACGAGCTGGCTCATCACTTCGTAATTCTGGACTGGCGTTCGGAGGAAATATCGGCGTTTTCATCTGGAGGCTTTCTCAAGCCATATATTATCTCTTATCTTTCTTTGATCGCATTATTATTCCGTCCATCTATTTCCCCTATTTTTCTTTCCTGTCCTCATCCCAACACTTGAAACGTAGGCAATACATATTACATACCAAATGATGGACCCTCCACCGACCAACATTTCATTTCCCAAGTTCTCCACTTCCAACTCCCCCTAATCCGCCGAGAGTCCGAGACAATAATGGACCCTCCATCTGGACCCCAACTGAACTCTGACTGGCTGATCTCAACGACGCTACTCGTAACTAGTGATCCCGTGACCACGCGCTCATTTGGCGACACCCATCCTGGGATCCATCACCCTTCGTACGCGTTTCAAACCTTTCATAACGCGTCGTGGACTGGTCTCTTGCCCAATCTGGTTATATTAGCAGGGTTGGTTAGCGGGGGTGAACCATGCAGGTACGGTATATAACCCCATCGTCTCATGACAGAACATGACTGCTCCAAAAACCCCGGGTTTAGTCTTTTTCTTTGTTTCGACCCGGGTGCAAGCTGGACATGTCACTCAAGTAGATGTATAAATAGCGACTAGAATCCCCCTGAATCGTAGCACGATTCTGCTTCTGTATCATTCCCTTTTTCGTACCTGTTTCTGTGTCTTCAGCTGCTGTGTGCTCTTCGCAATGGATGATCGATATCGCAAACGGGCCATGCTTTCGAGGAGGCCTGCCCCTGCGCCGGCCCTTGCGCCTGTTGCGCTTTTCTCCAGGTATCGCGCTGCGAAAGCCTCGTCTATTCGGTCGAGGCGAAATCTACGAGATAGCGCCAGCTCTGGTAGCTCCAGACGCATAGAGAAGAGAAGACCGGCTGGCCCACCAGATGTATCGTAAGTAGAGCTGTCTACCCCCCGTGCGCCTCTAGTTCTTTACCGGATGCGACATCTCAACTATCCACCTCTCATATTCCCCAATTGATTCACACCTCCCATCACCATCAGCCACAACTAACTCTCTTCTTCAGAAGTCCAACCCGACCCCCCACCTCCCCCATCGTAATCCTCCGCGTGGGACCCCAACAACGCCTCTTCGCAGCCCACGAATCCATCCTCAGCGCATCCCCCTTCTTCGCGGCCCAATGCTCCTCGCAAACCCCGAGTCCCCCTCCCCCATCCCACCCACACATCCACGCCCCCAGCAAACGCATCGACCTAGCAAACGAACACCCCGAAATCCTCTCCTGCGTCCTAGAATACCTCTACAAGGGCGACTACACTCCGCGCCTGCAACACAATCCTGCAAAAGGAATCTGGACTTTGGAAGATGACATCCCACAATCAACAACCACTCCAAATCCCTCCACCATCGGTGCAACCTCCTCAACCCTCTCCCCAACCGCAGTAATCTGGCACCAGACCGCCAACGCCCCCATCCTCCGCGACACAGCCATCTACTGCGCCGCCCTAACATACCGTCTCCCCTCGCTGGCACGTCTCGCACTGCGCAAACAGGGTCTACACGTGGGTATACCCTGCCGAACAATCCTGGCCAGTGCGCGGTTCGCGTATGCGAATACGCCGGACACGGAGTCGAGACTAAGGGCGCATTATTTGGCGCTTATCATTAGGTGTCGGGGCACTTTTAAGAGGAGTGGTACTATGCAGGTTGAGATGGAGAGGGGGGGGGAGGTTGTTTTTTGATTTGTTTGTTGCTATGTGTAATCATATGGTAAGTTCATATCCTATAACCGGGTGGTTTGTGAAAGGGAAGGAGGTGAGGATCTTGGATTTGGGTGAGATTGTGGTTGCTAATTTGTACGGTTTTGTAGGATGATGTGTTTCCGTCGGCCATGTCGGTTTGTAGTTCGGCGGTGCCGGAGGGATTGGGTCGGTAGGTATAGGTAGGATTATGGGGGGGTTGTATCGATTTGGGTTTTCGGGATTTGGGGTCTTGCGAGGTCTCTTCTGGTGTGTGGGATTCGTTTCTCTTACCGCTGCTGTAGCAGTGGTCTAATGGTTTATACCCGTGTACAACTATAGTAGTATCGAAGGCAAGGCAGACTGAAGTAGGAATGTAGATATTTTTGAATCTAAGAATGTGGAAGTGGATTCATGCTATCGGATCCTCTTTGTATGAATGTCCATCGTATAATATACTTGTAGCAGTTGTGCTGGCCTTCATATTACCTCTGGAATGGTGAAGAAGACGGTGCGGTATGAGGCTGGCCGCGATGAGCTAATAGTCTCTCGACTTCAAGTAGATAAGCATCTCCAGGATGCGATTGAATCCATCATGGCCCATGGGAGTAACGTTCATGATTCGCTGAGAGCGGCGGTGGGCTTTTGTAGCGGGGAGTTTTCAGTCTTCCTTGGACTATGGTTTAACTTGTTTCCAAAAATGCAGGTTATGGTTGGATGTCCGGTTGGAAATTTTGACCGAGTTCCAATGACTCCGTTAGGCTTAGACACCAGTGCCTGGGAAAGCGGTGTTGTTCTTGCTAAGAACGACCATTCCGCGTTCTCGCGCAATGTAGCCCTTCATAAGACCCTGTAATCATCAAATTGGCATGATCAGTCAACGTCTCTTTCAAAGTCCCCTTAATGGCATGGGGGATACTAACCTTGTAAATGAGATTGGCCAGCAAGCACTCAACCTCATCAATATCAACCCGTGTCCGACCCGTCGCATGAGTTCCAATTCTCAAGGCAGCCGCAAACTCGGCCACGGGCACACGGGTTCGCCGAATGGCTGGCTGGCCATCCTTTGGTTCTTCAAATCCACCAGCGATGAAAACCTTTCGGAAGAGATTGCGCAAGGCAATGTCGCGGCCACGCTCTAGTGGGAGGTAGATGCGTCGCTTGACAAATTCGGCTTCACCGGCAGACATCGCCTGGTCGAAGCCGACGAGATCACCCTTGCGGATGCAATTGGACAAAGGGCGGAAGAGTTGCTCTAATCGTGGGAAGGGTGCAAGAAGTCGTCTACTGGGAAGTGTGTGGGTAGTCACCAGGTGGCAAGGAATTAGGTATGTCAGGATCAGCCTAGAAAGACATGTAAGCAAGGGCCACGGTGCGAACAAGATATCAATACCCACTCTCGGTTCTTGTAAGCCTCCCGGTGGCACATTCTCCAGGCTGTAGTGAGGTGTTCTTCAGCCTAAAAGAATTGAGATGCATTAGACTCGGTCTCTCCTAGCCAAAAATGATTCCATACCTGTGTGTATTGCTCATCCAAGAAGTGGATGACTCCAAGATAGTACTCGAAGGTGACAATGTGGGATTTTGGGAATGCATCAAGCGGAGGCAGCTCATGGGATTGCGCATTAATGGCCCGAAGCAAGTTCTTGGTAAGACCCACAGAGTTGATCTATATTGAGTTAGTAATCGCTCGTGGTGGACTCGGGTTGGAGGTTGAGCATCCCTACCTTGAAGTATGTTTTGAACAACAAGTTGGTGGTTTCGTAGATACCCCACTTCCGGGACTCCTCAATGGGGGCGCTAATCGATCAGCAATGGTAATCGCAATAAAAGGTCCAAATCTCAACTCACCGATCACTCAAGCAAAGAGTGAACATCCGATTGATGATTCGCGCAGCCTCTTCTAAATTCCCGTTCTTCTCCACGTCCACCGCGAGGTCATCCTGGAAGCCAAAGCCCGAGGAGCCCTGTGCCGCAACCTCCAAGTCTGCCTTAATCGCAAAGGTTCGCAGGAACTTGCCAACTGTGTACAAACACGGCAATGTCCATGCAGGTAGTCCGTTGGGACCGGAATAGCCTTTGATGAGAGCATTGGCAACCTTCTTCCAAGCAGTGAAGATCGCAGTCGCACTGGCTCCAGGGTGCCGGCCCTCGAACTTGAGCACCTCCCCCACTGCTTCCCAGTATGCGGCGAAGATGTCAACCCATGCCGCTTGTTCAAGTTTGGGTACTTTCAGGTTCTTGCCGTGGAACAGACTTGAGGTGAGGTCGTTGGTGAGGTATTGGATATTGGTGTACTGATAGAAGGATCGCAGCCGGTCCGGGTTGTTCGAGGTCGCAATTGGTGTCAGGACCGCGGCGAGATCCGGGCCTGAAGCAATGCTGTAGGCATGTCTAAACTCGTTGGCTAGCTGCATGGTTCGATGGCCCCGAGCGCGGGGTGAATATTCCGAGTAAGTGAAGAGCTGGGAGGGAAGCGCACTGCAAATTGGTAGGGAACTCGAGGTGTCAATGAAGTAGTAAGCTACCCAGTCGCGGACTTGCGGTACACTTGGAGAATGATCCGAAGCGTGGCAGGCCTGGTGGGGCGCATTGTGGCCGTGCATGTGACTGTGGCGGTGAAGCCCTCCCCCAAAGCCCCAAGTGTGGCTCGTGTAATTATTGCCATTTTGGGTTAGCGTATTTCGAGTGCCTCCACTCGCTTAACCGAAGGGCGGTAGCCCTAAGCACATTGCAACACAATCTTTGATTTCTCTCCCGACGGCACCACTAACGACTCAACCACCACAGCGACAATCACAGTACGTGCTACCCCCAATCGATCAGTTACGAGACCACTGCTAACACCTATTCTTCCAGATGGGTAAGTGACCTTTTTCCGATATTCCAGCAATTTCCTCGAGACGATTACGGTGTGTGCGATACGGTCCGACGAAATATCACCCAACATGACAACTTCGATAACGACATGAAATCCTTGGAAGAACGTCAGAAAATCTTGGAGAATCAGTAATCGATTGGATTGGGAGGGATTGCAAAGGAGGAATGTACAAGCGCTGTCGTCAAATCCCACGGCGGGTCCATCTCGAAATTTTCAACTCGCACCACCCATACGTCTATCCCCTTTCGTCGGTCGGGACTTCATCTTCCGCAATCGCGCGCACCGTTTCATCGCCACGAGGAAATCAGCATCGGATATCAAAATTCGACACTCAACCGGAGCAATGACTGACGGATTCACAGGGCGTCTTAACGAGTACCAGGTTATCGGGCGTCACCTGCCCACCGAGGCGAACCCCACGCCCAAGCTGTACCGCATGCGCATCTTTGCGCCCAACACCGTTGTGGCCAAGTCGCGCTTCTGGTACTTCATGGCTTCCCTCCGCAAGCTCAAGAAGTCCAACGGCGAGATTGTCAGCCTGAACACCGTATGTGGAGGAACCTGCCAATCCAGACTTTCTCTATTCGGATCCATTACTCACCCGCCATCCCTTCATCTAGATTACCGAGAAGCGCCCCCTCAAGGTCAAGAACTTCGGTATCTGGCTCCGCTACAACTCGCGCTCCGGTACCCACAACATGTACAAGGAGTTCCGCGAGATGTCCCGCACTGAGGCCGTTGAGGCTCTCTACCAGGACATGGCTGCCCGCCACCGTGCCCGCTTCGGCTCCGTCCACGTACGTTTCGACCTGTCTTGCAGTGCCAAAATCAAATACTTACTATTTTTCTATACAGATCCTTAAGGTTGTTGAGGTCACCGATGTCGACAGCATCCGCCGCCCCTACATCAAGCAGCTCCTCTCCAAGAACCTCAAGTTCCCCCTGCCCCACCGCTCCGCCAACCCGGGCAAGAAGCTGTTCGCTTACTCTCGTCCCTCCACCTTTGCTTAAATGTGTTTTGTGGGTTTCGGGAATGGAGTGTGAGGATGGAAATAACTGCGATATGGCCAATAGCATGCATGAAAGATACTGGTCGCGCTGTGTACCCAGTTATGGGAGATGGTTTGGATGTCATTAGTCCCGTGTAGTGGCGTCCGAGGATAAATTCAAAAAATCATCGGGTTCAAGTTCAACCGTGTGCATTGTAGGCGATCTTCTTGTACCAAGGCTAGTAGGTTGGATCGGTTGAAGTATAAACGACTGGCCTCGCGACACCTACAGTTATACAGTCTAGGCCTTTTGCTATATGAGATGTGTATAATAGATCTCTACCATGAGCCTAATTCAGAGCCTCTATCATTTCCCCGAAATCTGATGGCCGATCCTTCGGGGATTCACCAAGCCCGAGTCCGAGCCTGGGCTCCCGGTAAGCTTGGGGAGGTTTCTAAGCATGGGCGGGTACGAGAGTGCAATCAGGACAACAGTATATCCAGCCAATTCTGGCCATGAAATAAGATAAATTGGTAAATTTGAACCTATAACGTTGCAACTTACATCAAGACGCTCGGATCTATCTTCTATGCAATAGCCAGAATCGTTATATTCGGCTGTCAGGAACTGCTATTGCGTCATTGCGCTGGGGGTGGACAACCGAGCGGCCTGTCCGCCTTCATTCCGATTTCTTCCCCCTCTGATCCTCCTATGCACCAAACCCTCTTCCACCCCAAATTGTTAATACCATCCCTTCAATTGAAAGTCACCATGTTCGCTCGCCAGACTTTCCGCTGTGCGCAGCCCCTGAAGCAGGTAAGCCTCGCGCTTAATCCTCAATTGTCCGCGGGAAAGAAAAAGAAAACAGGCTGACCCGTTGCTGTGTAATCACTAGAGCTTCCGCAAGTACTCTACTGAGGGCGCTCCCAAGAAGTCTAACCTCACCCCTGTCTACGTCGCTGTCGGTCTCGCCGGTGTCGGTATTGGTCTCTACCGCTATAGCTCTAGCTCTGCTGCCCCTGCTGCTATCAAGCTCGAGGACCGTCCTAAGGTCTTCACTGGCGACTGGGTGGATCTCAAGCTTGCTGAGATTGAGACTCTGAGCCACAACACCAAGCGATTCCGCTTTGAGTTTGACGACAAGGAGGCCGTTTCTGGTCTTCCCGTTGCCTGTTAGTTCTACCCTTCATGCGGTTCTACACTCTTGCTAACAGATCACCTACAGCTGCTCTGCTGGCCAAGTACAAGCCCGAGGGCGAGAAGGCTGTCCTCCGTCCCTACACCCCCACCAGCGAAGAAGGTATGACTTCTGGTTTCCCTGAGAATCCCCAACCGCATCCACTCATAACCCCCTCCTAGATACCCCCGGCTACCTCGAGCTCGTGGTCAAGGCCTACCCCGGTGGCCCCATGTCCGAGCACCTGCACTCCATGAACGTCAACCAACGCCTGTCCCTCAAGGGTCCCCTTCCCAAGTACCCCTGGGAGGCCAACAAGCACGACCACATCTGCCTGATCGCCGGTGGCACCGGTATCACCCCCATGTACCAGCTGGCCCGCCAGATCTTCAAGAACCCCGAGGACCGCACCAAGGTGACTCTGGTCTTCGGCAACGTCAGCGAGGAGGACATCCTGCTGAAGAAGGAGCTGCACGAGCTGGAGAACACCTACCCCCAGCGCTTCCGCGCCTTCTACGTGCTCGACAACCCTCCTGAGGGCTGGACTGGCGGCAAGGGCTTCATTACCAAGGAGTTGTTGAAGACTGTCCTGCCCGAGCCTAAGGAGGAGAACATCAAGGTGTTTGTCTGTGGCCCGCCTGGTCTGTACAAGGCTATTAGCGGTGGTAAGGTCAGCCCCAAGGATCAGGGTGAGTTGACTGGTATCCTGAAGGAGTTGGGTTACAACAAGGAGCAGGTGTTTAAGTTCTAGATGGACTTGGTATAACCCACCCACTTTGTAGATAGATTTACCCGGTCGGAAAATGGGAGGAGAGTCGCACGCAGAGCAGCGATATACATTGATGCATTGGTGGCCTAGTGAGCGCCGCATTACTTCCCATCGTTCCAGTTCCCCACTGTTTTGTTGATGCCATAGAATATTCGCGAAATAGATTTGTACCATTTGGAGGAGTTTATGTATCCATCTTAAATTTATAAATGAGTAGATAGCTGCAGGGAGGGATAAAGTACGTGTAGGGTCATGCGGCATTACTGGATGGAAGGTAAATTGGATAGTAGTAGCTTGCTTGTACATTTAACGGCACTGGGTGACCGGATATATATTCATGGATCGCTGGAAGTGATGAATACATAGATTCAACCTCTACCCGAGTTATATCTAAACTTAATTTAGATTATCGCTATATCTATATAATATATTATAGATGTCACTTCCTTAAAAAAATGATGTTTATAAACCATCCCAAAGAGGGCATAACATACATCTATTTCAGCTGAAAACTCCGCGCCCAAGATACCTAGGTGGGTGGTGGACTGAGCAACCTTCGATAATAAGTCACGGGGCTTGGGGGGTTGCCCGGGTTCAGTACGGGCAATACTTAAACCACCCGTATAATTCTAGAGGGAAAAAGAAAAAATAAATGGAACTCAGGTCCAGAGTCATGTTGCGCCGGGGAGGGGGAAGGGCATTACCGCATGACCCAAAGTTTGAGGGGACACAGTAGTTAAAACTAAGCGCCCATGAAGGAAGGAGGGGAAGGCAGCCAGAGAGCCAGAGAAAGGCTCAGCTTGAAGAAATGCTGGGCTCGAGCTTTTGGGGCGGAGGGGGAGCAGCCTAAGCCTAAAGCAGCCATGGGCGGGTAACTGGAAGGCCGAGCCTGCCGGGGTGGCCTTTTGGGGGGGGGAAGAAGGCAGGGCGGCTGTGTTTGGGTACTCTGAAGGAGGTGGGCGGTAGTGTGTGCGGGCTCTAGGGGAGGTTTGGGGTGTTTGGGGGGAGTTTGGCCTTGAGCTATGTTGGCAGTGCCCGTAGTGGGTGACGGACACCACCGGGGGGTATTTAGTGGGCCTAATTCCCCCCTCTGCGAGCCGAAAGCTGTTCCCCCCTAATTCCCTCTAATTCCCTAGTTCTTCCTTCTTACCCCCCCCCAAATCCCACCCGCTTTCTTTTCTCTTCCCCCCCAAACTCTCAACCAAAATTTCTCTCTTTCGCTCCCCCTTCCCCCTCAAAGTCTTACCTCTCACCACCACCGCCACAACCCCGTCATCACATCACCACCATTATGACTACCAAGCACGATTCCGAGGCCACTGTGGCCGTCAACATCGAGGAGCTGCGCAACTCTAAGGATGCTGTAAGTCATTAGTTTCTCACTCTCCCCCGTCTGTTTTATTCTCTTTTTCTGTGCTTTTCCCGTCGCGCTCTGCTTGTCCTTCATGGCCCGCTGCTCCCGCCGGCGCGCTACCCTACGCGTCGCATATCAACAGAGCTTTCGCGTCCAGGCAAACAAGCTCCATGGGTTCATCTGAGCTCTGAGTAATTATCGCAACATTGTTCTCTTGCTTCAGAAAGCTTTGTAATTTTGCTATGCCCTCTTGTGAGGGCAGCGCGTCGCCGAGGGACCTGGGCAGGCCCTCTCTGCGCGTGCTATGTTTCCCGCACCCAAAACCCTCCGGCCTGCTTAGCTTAGCCGCCGACCCCCCGAACCCATGCAACCTTCCCCCCCCGCAATCTCACCTGGGTCTCTGATGAACCCTTAATTCACATATTTGATCCTCATTCACTCCACACTTATCACTCACAACCATCTCATCTCCGTGTCTGCACCTCACTAACATACCTCCCAGGTCATCATGCGCCTCATGGCTCTGCAATCCTACATTGCCGATCTGAGCAAGGCCTACGTGGAGCACGTTAATAATGTTATCAACGGCGGCCCTGCCACCATCGACATTCCTGCCATGCCCACTGGTCTGACTTACCACGTGGAATCCACCCGCGCTGCTAGCCCCAGCGTCAAGGCTGAGGCTGGCGGTGTGAAGAAGCGCAAGCGTGCGCCCGTGGATCCTAATGCTCCCAAGCGTGCTCTAACTCCGTACTTCCTGTACATGCAGCAGAACCGCACCAAGATCGCTGAGGATCTGGGCGGCAGCGCCAAGCCCAAGGATGTTGCGGACGAGGGAACTCGCCGCTGGCAGACTATGGACCCCAAGGAGAAGGATATCTACAAGGCTAAGTACCTTGAGAACTACGAGGCCTACAAGCTCGACATGGCCGCTTACAAGGCCGGTCGCAAGGCGGGTGATGACGATGCCGCCAACGACCAGCTCCAGCAGAGCATTGCTGTTATTGAGAACGCAGAGTCCGAGTCTTCTGACTCTGAGACCTCCGAGTCTGAGGAGGAAGAAGTTGAGGAAGAGTCCCCCTCCCCTCCTCAGCCCGTGAAGCAGAAGACTCCTCCCAAGAGTGCCGGCGCCAAGCGTCGCCGTAGCGATGTCAAGGCTGTCAAGGAGGTTGCCGAGTCTCCCGTGAAGGCCTCGCCCGTCAAGAAGACCCGCAAGGCTGCTGCCGAGCCTGCCTCCGTCAAGTCTACCCCTGCGGAGAGCAAGCGCCGTACTAAGAAGCGCAAGAGCGAGGTTTAAGTGATGGAAGGTGAACTGTGGATTGTAACTGCACTAAAGCGGAGGGACATATGATATGATATGCTTGATGTGATGCGGAGGCACCTACGAAATGAGGAGTTTCTTTTCTTTTTTCCACTTTTCTTTTTTCCCACATTTTTGGAGAACAATCCGGGGACCAACGGGGAAGCGTGTCTGAGTCTGGGGGACTTTAATCTGATGGGCGAGGGCGTTTGTGTCAAAAGTGTATTTATTGGGCCATTTTTCTTGAATGGAATTGATGATTGATTGCTCCAACTCCACTTGGTATCTCTCGGGTCTTTATAAGGTCGTCTGTTTTCTCTCTTTTTATAGTTTTTACTTTCCCGTTGCTTACATTCCGGGTCCATCCTTAACTATAAGGCGAGAGCGGGGCGAACCGAGAGAGCTACTTAGACACTGTTGTATGACATGTACTCTAAACAAGTAGAGTGTAGACAAGATGAATATAGCCACCAATAAAACCATTCATCTTCACTCTTTCTAGTCTAGACCCTATCCTCTCCCTGTCACCCCCTTATCATCCACCATCATCTCGCCCACTCACAAAATCCCCAATTTCCCTTAGCAACGCCGTGACTAACACGGCCGAGCAGCCCCGCCATGCACACCGTCCATCCACTCGCCCACTCGCCCAATCGCCCATCGGCGAGCTTATCTCTGGCCGTTCGCTCCTTATCGCGGGGCCACGGCAGTCGACGGGGAAAAGCGAAAAGGAAAAAAAAGAGAGATTAAGAGGAACTACAATCTCCCGACCTCCCCACATTTCTTGATTTCCGTTCTCTTTCTTCCTCGCTTTCGTTGTTGGGGATATTGAGAGCATTGTGTTGATTTTGATTTTACTCCCATTCCATTCCCTTTCTACTCGTTATATACTTGACCTTTTTACCTGCTCACCCCTGCCACACCTTAACCCCTCTACCCCCCGATAACGGTTCCCTGCTGCTGTACGCCAAGCTCCGGGTTCCACCTGCGCCATGCAGCTCGTTCCGAAGGAGGTAGGGTTGAACATCACTACATAGCCCCAAGATTGGGCTAACAGAAGAATGACAATGACAATGATGCTAATATGTTTTCCGTATATAGCTTGACAAGCTCACGATCGCGCATCTCGGGTTCCTGGCGCAACGTCGTCTGGCGAGGGGTGTTAGACTGAATCATGCGGAGGCTGTGGTACGTTGGTCAACGCCTGGAGAGGGATTGAAGGGAGGCAGTTGTTTTGCGGGCACATGTCGCTGATAAGGGTGTTCCTTGCAGGCTTTGATTTCTAGTGTACTCCACGAGGTATGAATCGCGCTTATTGATGGCCATGCGCCCTGCGCCAACGCCTGACTAACACCGCGTTCTCGATGTACAGCTCATCCGCGATGGCCACTACTCCGTCGCCGATCTAATGTCCATCGGCAAAACGATGCTCGGCCGTCGTCACGTCCTGCCCTCCGTCGTGGCGACCCTGGTCGAGCTCCAGGTCGAGGGTACGTTCCCGTCCGGTACGTACCTGGTCACGGTGCACCATCCGATTAGTAGCGATGAGGGTGATCTGGAGCGCGCGCTGTATGGGAGTTTTTTGCCCGTTCCTTCGCGGGAGGCGTTCCCCGATCCGGATCCTGAGGATTATGTGCCGGAGAAGATGCCCGGCGCGGTGATTCCGGCTAAGCATGCGCGGATTGTGTTGAATGATGGGCGGAAGAGAATTCGGTTGAAGGTTATGAGTAAGGGTGATCGGCCGATTCAGGTATGTTGAGGGAGTAGGGCTGTACAGGACAGTGCGGGACTGCACTGCAGTGCAGAGAGACCACGGCTGACGAGTACTCCGACACCGCTAGGTCGGATCGCATTACCACTTCATCGAGACGAATCCGCAACTGCACTTCGACCGCTTACAATCCTACGGCTACCGCCTCGATATCGCCGCCGGCACATCGATCCGTTTCGAGCCTGGCGATACCAAGACCGTCACCCTAGTTGAAATCGCCGGTAACAAGGTTATCCGCGGAGGCAATTGGCTTGCCAATGGGCCTGTGGATCTGAGTCGGGCCGATGAGATTCTTACCAAGCTGCAGGCTGCCGGCTTCGCGCATGTCCCGGAACCGATGGCGGATAGTGCGCTGATTGCCGGGTTCTCGATGGAGCGCGAGGCATATTCGCGCATGTTTGGTCCCACGACGGGCGATTTGGTGCGTCTGGGTTTGACCAATTTGTGGATTCAGGTGGAGAAGGATATGACTAGCTACGGTGATGAGTGTGCTTTTGGTGGAGGTAAGACTCTGCGCGAGGGAATGGGACAGGCTTCTGGACGTTCGGCGGCTGAGTGTGTGGATACGGTGATTACCAACGCTTTGATTATCGACTATACGGGTATCTACAAGGCGGATATTGGTATTAAGAATGGTTTGATTGCTGGTATCGGCAAGGCTGGTAACCCGGATGTCATGGACGGAGTTCACCCGGACCTGGTGGTGGGATCGTCTACAGATGTGATTGCCGGCGAGAATAAGATCATCACGGCCGGTGGCTTCGACACGCATATTCATCTAATTTGCCCGCAGCAAGTGGATGAAGCGCTGGCATCTGGTATCACCACCTTCCTCGGTGGCGGTACCGGACCTAGCACCGGCTCGAACGCAACAACCTGTACCCCAGGACCCAACCACCTCAAGAACATGATGCAAGCCTGCGACACCCTCCCGATCAACATCGGCATCACAGGAAAAGGCAACGACTGCGGCGCTATCAGCATCGAAGAGCAAATCAAAGCCGGCGCAGCCGGTCTCAAGCTCCACGAAGACTGGGGCTCCACCCCCGCAGCCATCGACAACTGTCTAGCCCTCTGCGACGAATACGACGTGCAATGCATGATCCACACCGACACCCTGAATGAATCCGGTTTCGTCGAACAAACCATCGACGCCTTCAAGGGCCGCACAATCCACACCTACCACACCGAAGGCGCCGGCGGCGGCCACGCACCAGACATCATCTCCGTCGTCGAGCATCCAAACGTTCTCCCCAGCAGCACAAACCCCACCCGCCCCTTCACCCTCAACACGCTCGACGAACACCTCGACATGCTAATGGTCTGCCACCATTTGTCAAAGAACATCCCCGAAGACGTCGCCTTCGCAGAGAGCCGCATCCGCGCTGAAACTATCGCCGCTGAAGACGTCCTGCACGATATCGGCGCTATCAGTATGATGTCCTCGGATTCGCAGGCCATGGGTCGCTGCGGCGAAGTCATCCTGCGTACTTGGCACACTGCGCACAAGAATAAGGCGCAGCGCGGAAAGCTGGAGCAGGACCAGGGAACGGATAATGATAATTTCCGGGTGAAAAGGTATATTAGCAAGTATACCATTAATCCGGCGCTGGCGCAGGGTATGGCTCACCTTATTGGGAGTGTGGAGGTGGGTAAGGTTGCGGATTTGGTCGTGTGGAAGCCTAGTACTTTTGGTACGAAGCCGGTGCAAGTGTTGAAGAGTGGAATGATTGTGGTTGCGGAGATGGTATGCCCCTTCCCCCTTTAACCCCGACCCCGATGATTATAACGCGTGTCACTAATCGGTGTCTAGGGTGATCCAAATGCTTCAATCCCAACGATCGAACCTATGATTGTCCGCCCTATGTTCGGTGCCCGCTTGCCGAGTCTATCAATCATGTTCGTTTCGCAAGCTTCTATCGACAATGGAGTCGTGCAGAGCTATGGTCTGCGTAAGCGTATCGAGGCTGTTAAAGGATGTCGTACTGTTGGCAAGAAGGATATGAAGTTTAACGACGCGATGCCGAAGATGAAGGTTGACCCGGAGAGCTACGTAAGTTTGAATCCGATCTTTATGAAAAGGGATGATGCTAATCTCTGAATTTCTTTAGACTGTCGAGGCTGATGGTATGCTGTGTGACGCAGAGCCTGCAACCGAGTTACCGCTGACGCAGGCTTACTATATCTTCTAAGCCTGGGCTTCAAGCTGGAGCTGAAGCTGAAGCTGGAAGCTGTGTGATGTGAAGGGTCAGCTTGTGGTCCATACCTGGCCAGCTATGTTCTTCGTCGAGACTTTTCTTCTCCCCTTTTCCCTCCTCATTGTTTTCTATCTTGTCATTGTTTTTGTTTATCATCATCCCCCTGCATTGCCTGGTTCTAATATACCTACTCGAGCATCTACTTATTTTGGGCGTTTCGTTTGTTTCGTCATTGCAAGAGAGAGCGCTGTTTTCGTGTTTGTGTTTAGTTTTGATAGCTACGAAAGTGATGATTTCCTTTCTTTGATATTTGGAGTACATAGCAAATAGTGTAAGCTAGGTGATGGTAAAGCTGTTGCGTTGGGAAGTGATGAAGTGATCGGCTCCCGGAGGATAGGGCGAGTTAGTCACTTCGCTGCCGTTTTAATTAAATCATAGAGCACAATCTAATGAGCAACGAGGCGTAACCAGGACCTTCAAACATCCACACGATGACAGATAATCTAGTCAAATGTTGTTTCCGGAAGAAATAGGTACAACAATTCGAGCTTTATATCCATGTTCAGTTCCAAAAGCTATATATCGATGGCCAATAAGAGATAAAGACCAAGTTGACGAAAGAATGAGATAGATTCCCCGCATCCAAGGCAGAAAAAAAGCACTTGCACCAGTTACCGTCTCCTTCAACCATTACAGGTTCTTATTCTTGCTTGTTACCAACGATTCCCACGTTACGAAGCCCCAGAGAGCTTACTAGGAAGACAGCTACCATGCCAGCAAATATAGTCCAATACGCAGCACGATATCCCTCTAGACGATGACCGCTTGTTTGAGAAGCTCTACTTGTATCATTTGCCGAGCTATCATTATAGGCAGTGACGGAAGCGGCTATGACGGCCGTGACAGCCAATCCAACAGAGTTACCCAGCTGGGAGATGGTATTGAAGACACTCCCAGCCAGAGCCATTGAGCCATCAGGGAATGCCCGAGAAACGATGAGACTAGAAACAGTTCATAGCACTAGGCAAACAATAAGTCACCATTTGCATCATTCTTCGTCATAGCGGCGGAAGCTGTTTTGTCGTCTCGCGGTGTTAAGGACACAAAGGCAACTATTAAACTGATCCGGGGAGAACAACAGCCAAGTCACCTAGTTCTCTAAATAGTACGCAAAGAGTTTGAAGAACAAAATGAACACAAATCACGCCCTAGGTGCCTCCTTAAACCCGCGCGTTCTCTAAATGATCAGAATTACCTTTTCTGTCCTAGTGATATACAATCCCTGCAAGCCCATATCTACGTTCTCATCCTACCAGTAAGAAAGGAGCGGAGCCAGGGTATCTCGTGGGTTCTTGATGGCTTGCTGTGAATCGTATATACGGACCATGCTTCGAGGTCGACTGCCCCAGCTGGTTGCTGTCTAATTACCTATTAACTTGATCTGAAACGAGGCCATATCAATATTGCAGGCTTCGATACTCGGAGTAAACTGGTTCAAGTTGTTGCGTAATCCCAAGATTTCATACAAAAATATAGGAAACGAGGAATTAGGGAGCTACCAATTAGAGGACGCTGTAAGTAACTCTCCACTTTCGTTGACAGATTCTACGAGGCCCTCAGGCAGAAGCTCAAAGCCTAAACAGCATGCGCGAAACCAAAAGTAAGCTGTAAGCCGATTTATGGGCAGTACAAATACAGCGTAGGGCATCTAGTCCCTCAATTTACTAGTAAGCAAATTTCAACTACCTTAGATATATTTGGGGTCTTGTTAACTGCACTATGAAGTACCAGAATGCTTATTGCACGAAATAGTAGTCCCAATTAGGAACTCCATTGCCCCACCACCAAAAGCTACATTTGAGTCTCACTACCTGTATGAACCCTGCCAAGTCCTTACAGTAGCGTTGTAGTGTGATCTTCTCAATTAATCTAAATTCCTAGCCATTAGTCCATATTCAACATTTGCAGCTTAACACTCATTTCCATTTTTCCATTTTTGAGGATCCTCTAACTACATAGACTTGCGCTCGATCGATCGACACTAACCTTTTAACCAGCCCCGCCAATTCCCTTGCCGTCCGTCCATCATCAAAAGCCCATATGGATCCAACGCCCCCATTTCTCGTTCCTATACAAACAAACACCTATACAACTATAACATCTATACTGCATACTCACTTACTTGTACGCATGAAACAAATTACCATGGCTACTCTCACCCCCACACCAAGAATCACTCTATCTCCCCCAAACCACCACGCCTCCAAATCTCCAAACCCCAAAAACAAGGCTCCATCCATCGACTTTCTCACCGGTACCTGGCACGTCACACACTCCAGTCTACCCCTATGGAAAGATAAACGAAATGTGAAAATCACTTATACACCTATTCCCACCAACACCACCACCAACAACGCAGCAGGAGGTGATCTCACTAAGTTGGACGATCTGGTCCAATATCAATCGCGGAACCCTTCAAACCCCAAAATCCACACCGTCCATGGTGTAGACACGCCCTCGCAATCGAATCCCGGTGCGTGGGATTGGCGTGGGAAGGGGTGGTTGCTTATTGCGTCGTCGAATTGGGAGGTTTTAGGGTTTGGTTATGAACCCAAGACTGGGACTGTGACTGAAGGCGAAGAGGAGCTGGGAAATGCATGGGTAGTTACTTATTTTGCTAAGACGCTCTTTACGCCGGCGGGCATTGATGTTTATTCAAGGGGTAAGGAGGGGGTTAGGGGGATTTTTTGGAGGGGATTATGGGAGCTTTGCGGGAATTAGGAGTGGAGGAGATTGGGAGGCTTGTTGAGGGGGTTTTTGAGGTTCCGAGGGATTGAAGAGATGGATTGATGGAAAGATGGATGGGGGTATAGGAGGGTGCATGAGTAGGTGATTTGCTTTTGAGATTGTTGTATTCTTGGATTAGTGTATTTACTATGTCTTTTGTTACTTAATGGTTGACTCTAGTGCATTGATATGGGTGCTTGACTGACCAGTTCACCCTTTCATAGCGAGTAGCTTGTACATACCAAGTCCATAAGCATCGCCGCCCCATGGGAATTGAAGCAGTTCGCCGAGAGGGTCACTTCCCCGGCCAAATGAGACCCACCGGACTCCGCCGATTCAAGGGGATCATGGCCGAGTCCATGTCGGACGTATCCGATTCATGCAATGCATAGACTGGATATTGTAAAATAATTACTGTATATGCAAAGTGCTGACAAGAATTATGCTAGTAGGAATCTACGGTGCTAGGCTTAGTGTCCTACATGATACCTCTACTTGGGAACATAGGCCTACTGGCCCGGTCATATTGACATTCACTTTCATTGATGCACTGGAAATTTCTCCCTTGCGAATCCAAGATAAGAACTCCAGGCACACTTTCATAACTCACTAGCCATCTTGTAAAGCGAGGACAAAATTATGATGGCTCCCGCAAATATCATGAAACTCGCACAACGTTTCTCTGCTTCTCCACGCAGGTCCTTCCGGGCAGGCCTAACATTCAACGGACATTCAACCGGCGACAGGAGACCTGGGATATAACAGAATGACACACCCCTTCGCTACGACCGTTAAGCCTGTCGATCATCCATCGCAATTTCTGAAGACCTCAATATCCAATCAACGAAGTGAGACAAGTCCAAGAGGATACCACTCAGCTTGTCTCTAATCATTGAAAGTCAGATCGAAATCAAAACCTTCCCTTGAAGAACCTGCTGGGATCCGCATCGTTCACAGTTCCATCTCTTCCTCGCCGTGATTATCACCCGCTGAGGTGAGCATCCCAGTCCAGGCCGAGAACTTGTCCTCAAAGGCGGCAAGATACGCCTCGATTCGAGCTTCTAGTTGCACCGAGGCAGACCCATCCAGCCGATGCATATTGTTAAGCTCTTCCAGTCGCTCGCGGGTCAGACTGGTAGAGCTTGCAGATCCCACAGAGGGGGCCAGGTCGGACTCGGGGACTGAAATCTGGCTTTGCTGGGCAGGTGGAGATTGAACATTCGACGAGGAAGCTGCCTGGATTTGCGCAACCCCAGCTTCGTTGCGATGGACCATCACTCTTGTCCAATGGCCTCGGGGTGCCCTGGCTGGAGGACTATCTTTGACTTCCTTAGTAGCCTCCGTCTTTGCGTGCTTTGGCTTTGGGGACGTTCGCTGCGCAGTCTTGGGCTTTGGATTCCTGGAGTCGGCTGGACCGTCTAGGCCTCCAGACCAGGTGGGAGGAAGAGGTCCGACTTGCATTTCCGCCGGGTCAGTCTGGTCCTGGAGGTACTCCTGAGCGCGTCTAATTTCGTCGCGCTTTTCTTTGACCGCGCCAGGAGTGGGCAGATCCACAAGTCCAAGCAGCTTGCTAGTCATCCGTGTCTCCTGCTCGGCTGCGATCGACGAAAAGTCGTGCTCGACGTCTGCAAAAAGTAGCCATTTTTCATTGAGCTCCCGAAGGAGTTCATATGACATCCCAGACAACGATTCGTAAGAGGCAGGGTCCTCATTGCGTTCCTCGAGGAAAGCAGGTTCTGGGTAGCCCGCCTCCTGGCGTTCTTCCCTGACCTCTACTTCAGCTGCCCAAGCCTGTTCTGCCTCCTGAACTTGTTTCTTCTGCTGCTGAAGGCGCCGAGAGTAACCGGGTTGGTCAGTAAGCAAGTGATCAAAGAACTCGTCCACAAGCTCCCTTCCCCCCGAAACGTCGCGGTTATCTACCACGCAGGCATGAATGTCCTTGGGCTTGAAGACGCTAATGAAATGACACAGCTCAGAGTACGAAGAATGCCGTGCGTAGGGGAAGCGCTGTGAGAAGGGTTAATAATAGTCATTTCGCAGTTAGCCCAGGATAGAAAGAACTCACGATGACCGTTCGACGAGGGTTGCCCGTCACATTTGCTCTGTTTTCTACGGCCATATTCTGATCGTACTTGAGGACATTGGCCACAAGAAGGTCCGCGAAGTGATCGAAACGCATATCGCTATCCAAAAGGATGCCATACTTGCTGATCGAGAGTTTGCCCCCGTTGTTCTGCAGGTCACGGAGCATCCGCCATTCGAAAGTGAGTTTTTGCTGCTGGCTGTGGGAATTCATGCGCTTGAGGCAATATTTCACTAGATGCAATGCGTTCATCCCTGCTATGAAATCAAGTTCATGTCGCTGGTAAACATCACCCGAGCCACCTCCAGCGCCCATATCACACATTTCGAACCCGTCATTCCCACGACCCAGGAATGGCCTGAGGTAGACTGTCTTGGGCTGACAGGCAATAATACATGGAGGGGCACATAGGTGAATCCGAGCGCCGCAGATATCGTTAGTGAGGCAGCCTGGGACAATGTCGTTGCCCAGCCTGAAGCCATTGTAGGCCGCAGACTCGTCGACCCCTCTGTTGGCCTGACCAAGAGACTGATAGAGTGCCAGCTGATATGCATCGGGATGAACCTGTTGATAGGAATTGGTGAGAACGTGCTTGGAGTTATGCGAGACTTGGAGAGAAAGGGTTGAATTGGTTGAAATACCTTTGTTCGCAGTGCGGCGGCAAGGGTTAGCCAGACTTCCTCGTAGCCGAATGTCCAGGCTCCGAGGTGGAAGACCGTATCTGGCGGAAAGCTTTGGACCCGTTTCAGGAGCTCTGCAATGCCCTCGGCCTTGGAGCAGAAGGTCTCGGGGGGTACACCAGCATGATACAGGTACGTAGTGTCAAGATACAAGTTATCGAGCCGCTTGCCACCCAGAGTGTATGGGATCAGGAAGGGATTCCGTATCAGACTGTCGACCCACCATTTTTCCGCTGTGATTTTGTTAGTTTGGAAGACTGAAGACCTATTGAGTTGGGAGATAGGTTGCTGACCTCGGATGTCGCCAGTGTAGAGAATTGTCTTATTATCGCCCTCGATCAGGAACATGACACTTCCCGGGCAATGGTTGGCATCGATAAGGGTCACGCGAATCTTTTTAATCGGGGTAAGTTCAATCTCCGTCGGCGTGTTCAATGGAATTGGGCGCTGAACGAAATGAGGAATGAGTCGCTGTATCCCAAATTTTCAAAATATTTGCAAGCAAAATCACTTGATACTACTCACCAGCAGCTTGTTGAGATGTTTGTAGGTCACCTCTTGTGCTTCCAGAATCCCTCGCGCGATATTCATGCGATGGGGGAATTTCTCAAGCCGCAGCAGTAACTATTTTAACCCTGGTCAGTTGGCCCGCCTCGACCCTCGTCAGAATAAACTTACCTCGCGCGTGGTCGGGGAACAGTAGATGAACGGCGCCCGGAAGGACTCGAGGCCCTGGAGATGATCGGTATGTACATGGGTGAGGAAGCATGCCAAAGGCGGAGGCCGATCATCGCTCTTCCGAAAGTAGTCGACTTGATAATGGTGATGCTCTTCTCAGCTGATGTTTCACTCGGCCCAGGATTGTGTCATACTTACTCTGAATGTCCGGGAACTCTAGAATCGACTGTCAGCCGGGGTCTGTCTGAGGGTATCGGAGAAAGACTGAGGGAATGCGACGTACCTGCAAGGACCCCATTAAAGGTCGACATGATGGGCCCGGGCTAGTACTAGCCCTTAGGCTAGACGTGCCAGGCGGTTGTTCGATGCGCTGTCCGTGAGTAGTGGAGTGGCTGTGATGCGAATCCACCGAGTCCAGCTGGCGCTGCAGTGATCGTGCAGAAGCGACAACAACAAGAAACCCATCTCAACGTGTCGAAGCGGATTTGTGTTCCCTTTCGAGCCGCGCTTAGTCGTCGTTGTTGTCGCGTAACAATGCGATTCGATGTTTTCGAGGTTTTGGGATGGTTGATTAGTCGTCGAAATGCCGAACTGCCCGTGACTTTTTTGTTCCCAGCCCAAGTTGCCCTCCTTCCACTTTTCTCCTTTCTTACGCCGTCGACTCCGTGTTTTTCCTTTCATTCTTTGTCTTTCACTCCTTTTCGTTCCTCCTCCCTTCTTTACGATTCCATCGCATGTGTGTACATCTTCTTGTCCTTCGTTATCTCCGTAATCTCCTCTCTTCAGTCTTCCTTTTCCGCCCGTGAATTGCGCTCTATGACTTGTTTGTCCCCCACCAGTGTCTAGACCGCCCCACTGTTGGGAGCTGTCAAGATCCCTAAACAATTAGGGAATTCCATTAACAACAAGGAGGGGGCGACTCGCCTGAGCGCCTGAGTCGTTTCAGTTTCACACCTGCAGCTGGGTAACTGGCCAGCAGACTATTCTCGATTCTTTTCTCCTTCACCTATTTCATCCCTATCTAACCCTCTTCTCCCTCACCTTCGCCTTCACCATGCGGAAGCCATCGCTTACTGGGATTGTGTACGAGACGCTCTTCCCTCGGCAGCGCTCTACTGACCCGGGGTCCTTTGCCTCACACATTACTCGCAACCTAGTTCCAGAGGTGCGAATTGAAACAAATGCCTTTTATGGACCCCTCGACTGCATTGAAGCCCAATATCCGGGCCTGGATTATGCCTATGCTCCCCACCGCCTCAGACTGGGCCGCTTCCCGTGGCACCGCCGCCTGTTCCGCGCATTCGACGAACTCAAGCTGACTGAAGAGGAGATTTCGGGGATATGTTGCTGGGAGGGCACCAAGTCGGCGCGCCAGCGCTATGAAATGGAGGAGGGCATCACGGTGCGGGACACGACCGGCGATACTACCCGCGTTGCGACACCGACACCTCCGCCCGCAGTGAGGATCCATCCTGACTTCTACACCTTGACTGAGGAATCCGAGGAAGATGAAGAAGATTACTTTGACATGATGGTTGAGACCGGGAGTGATGACACCGTGCGCGCGAGTAGTTCGCGTACCTCCAGTGCTCTGGCCGACTACCGCCCCTCGTTCGGCGAGGACGAGTACAGCGATGAGGAAGTGGAGAGCTGTGGCCTGGCTCTCAACAATCGTCTGTTGGCTGCAACAGCCGCACGAGCCCAAGGTGCCAATGTGCCCGTTGATGCGGACTATGAACAGTGGCTGAAAGATGCCAACGAGCGCGGCGGCTACGACTGGATGGTGGCGGCAATTCGCGCCAACCAGCCATTGAACAATCCCGAGGCAGCGATCTCATCGCCCTCTAGCCCGATCGTTGATGATTCCGAACCACGAGACCAGGCAAGTGAGGTAGATGAAGCTATTCGATCTGCTAGTCTTGCGGCTGCAATGCGTGCGGCTGAATCTCGATACCCGCTACGATATCCAGATCCGCCTGAGATCACAGACTTTACACACATGGCCACACCTCGACGGAGTCCGAACTGGCGCCAGTTCCCGGCAGAGGATGATACGGATTGTCCGATCACCTCCCAACCCCAGACAGCTCGCACTTCCAACGCAGCACGCTGATCACGGGCGTACTTTTCTCCTTTCGATATGACTGACTTTAAAAAGCGACTCGACATGACCACACGGACTGCATTTAATGGCGCATTTCTCCTCGATTTTTTTTTTTCGCATTCTTATCTCTGAAATGGACTGGATCCTTTCCGGATATCATTACTCAATGCTCTAGTTATCCATATGTGTCGCTTTCTCTCACAGTTCTCCCCCAAAGCCTTTAAGATGGAAGACTCATTTCTGCATGGGCAGATCTTTTAATACCCCCTCTTTACATCATTCTGATGGTCGCTGATTCCGTCGAATTCTTGTTTTATTCTAAGACGTCTTGTTAAGGAATTCTATTTTAAACTCTTATCTATGTTGGTTTCAGAAAGAAGCATTGCGTAGTTGAAGTCAGTAAATCGCTTACCTGTGGTGCTCCGCGGTAACCCCGAAGCTCTGGCGGTGGGCCCGCCGATAAGCACTTTTGACCCTCCCGTCGCAGCTCCGAGTTCACCACGAACCTCAAACTGGGACTGCGGAGGCCACACTTTGTTTCTTTGCTCCTCAGTCACACTCAAAAGCACGAAACATGGATCGCTAAAGACCCTTCAGATCACTGGCTCCGTTGAATTCGCTCCGCTAGCTGCCTCTCGCACAACCCATCCCTTGGATACGGCATTCGCTTCACGATGATCAAGGCAATCTTCTACAGCAAATTCGACACCCAGGAGGGTCAGACTACAATCCCTCAGCACATATGATTCCAGAGAATTGCTGACAGAAATCTATTTCAGGCCCCAAGGTTGTCCATCAAGTCCCCGACGGTGCCATCGTCCCCTCATCCACCGCGCCCGCGCAACCCCTCTTCCTGACCTTCTCCGACGTCTCGTTCTTCGTGATCCCCCGCCAGGAGCTCTGTGGCAACCTGCTGCAGGTTTGCACAAATGGCTACCGTATCCTAGGCTATCCGATTTGCATGAAATCAGACCGCTATTCTCGCAATGAGTTCATATTCAATTTCTGCATTGTCCTGGCCGAAGAGGAGGACTTCAGCCAGTATAAGAGCGTGGTACAGAAGCTAGCAGACTTGATGCATGCATTGGAGGAGCAGAATGGGTTCCTGTCAAGAGACTTTTCCAAGACTGGCGAGGGGAAGGTGTATAGTCTTTGTGAGATGTTGATGGAAGATTTGAACAATTATTGCGAGTGCATGATTCCGATAGGTGAGTGGAGGCTTTTTGGTTTGGATCGTGATGCGATGATGCTGACAGTAACTCAGATGAGCTCAATACTCTGAACATCAAATTGTTCCCCATATATCCCTCACCACCGCCAGTCAAGGCGTGGCAGGTACCTTTATTCACAGTGCGGTACCAGGCTTTCATGGACGAGAATTGGGATCTGTCCCTACAGCGGGTATTTCGAGAACTATCGAAAAGGGAACCGAATATATCAGCTAATTCTAGCAGATTGTTCCACATATCAATGGTGTCAACAGCGTCCGGATCATCTCCATCCTTGCAGATACCGACTTTTCCCTCACATGCCGAGCAATCCGACATTTACTATACTATGGTTGTTTGTTTCTCTTGGATATCTTCTCATTTTCAGCCATCTACGCACCAACAGCACAATTCAGCCTCACCATTGGCTCAGACGAAGCCATGCAGCTCGAATGCGCACGCTACGTGAATACACGATTCGCACCACACCGGCCGATCGGCCCTCATACACCTCTCCCGCCCCAGATAGTACCGGTAGCAGCAGCAACCAGTGGCGGCAGTACAGGTGGTGCCGGACCACTATCAAGCCCGCTTACTGATCCTGCTCCAAGTCTATCCCGCGACGAGTCCCGCTTCGACGCAGAAGAGATATGGCCCTTGCTGGGCGATCCAGAAGACGTACCACACAGTGGCCGCAAAGTCCCCGACATACCCGAGAACAACAGCATCCCTGCCGGCCAGGGGCCTCGAGTAGTGGATGGTGTAGGCATCGTCGAACTCTACGCAGCCCTGAAACAGGGCCAGAGTGTGAAACAGTGGTACTCCCAGCACAACCGCGAGCTTGCCAACATCGATATTCGTCGCTTCATTACCTTCGGTGTAATTAAGGGCTTCCTCTACCGTGTCCACAAATACGCCTGCGCAACCGGTCAGCCAGCGCCGACCCCGCGCTCATCATCTGTGGCCCCCATAACTGCATCGGCAGGGCCGTCCTCTCGTGCCACGACTGGGAATAATACTCCTTACGCGGCATCTAGCGTCGGCGAGGACGCTCCTATTCACGCCCGTCGGGATGGCAGTCGTGAGCGTGCCGCATCCTTTCATAGTGGAAGCCGCGGTGGTATTGGGTCAGGCAGTGCACCCTCGGGGGTGTTTGAAGACGAGGAGGACGAGATTGATGATCGGACGCTGTCAAAGTTTCTGGACGGCACGCACAGCTTCGACCAGATTTGTACAGAACTGGAGATTAGCGAGCGCGAACTGACGGTTCGATTGAAGAGGTACCCCGGGGAGGTGTTAATCCTCCATCGGTGAGGCTGTTCATAGGAATGGTTGATCGAGCGTGTTTTCTGGATAGTTTTGAGTCGTTCATAGTTCATAGATACCCCTATTCTTCGCTTCGAGTCCTCACTCCTCAGAGCCGCATATGCTTATTATTAGTCGCGTTGGATCCGTGGCGCAGCACGGCCTCGGGCCGCAACGTGGATCGAGTGGACCACAGCACAGAGCCCCGCAGTTGATGCACCTTGTTGCAGAAGAGGGTAAGCAGCGCAAGCATACCTATCACCTGCCTTTGGCTCCGTCCCGACTCTCTCCCATTCCAACTCTACCTCATCCTTTGATACTACAGTTCAATATCGCTCCATGATGGCTCTCCTATGATCAGACCACATCATGTCTGACCCTGGCGGTACCTACAACCCCCTCCCCCGCAAACCCGGCGCGGGCGTACCTCCGAACGCACCAATACTATCCGCCATCCGCACGCGGTTTGAGGACATTGACCATCAGTCCTATCAAAATGCTCACCGTGTGTTTCCTGAGCTTCCCGGAGAAAGATCTGCTACTTTGTCGCAGGTTTACGCTTCGCCCGGAACACCGGCAATAGATATTGTTTTTGTGCATGGTCTCAATGGCGACCCCTACAAGACATGGACAACTATGTCCGGCTGCTTCTGGCCAAGGGATCTTTTGCCAAAGATGCTCAGCCCGATCCTTCACAGGGTTCTCAACTATAGATATGATACGAATGGGGCCAACGATATTAGTGGTCACGCGCGGAATTTGGCAGAGGTTTTGGCGAACGACAGAAAAGTACGTGATCCCAGTTCCATATCCTCCTCTGCATGAGCTGGTAAATGAACTATTTGCATGCTGGAGTCATTGCTTCGACCCTCAATGTGTTGTTATCTTTCTGGTATTTCAATGCTCGGACACGCGAGGTAGCGCAGAGCAAGAGCTGAACGTGGGTTTATCAGGCACGAACCTGTCTTGACCGACCGATCATCTTTGTCTGCCACTCACTCGGTGGAATAGTCGTCAAACAGGCACTGATTCACAGCCACGAACTGGCTACTGACAACTATGTTCAATCTAACTTCGTGTCGACTACCGGGATCATCTTTCTCGGCATGCCGAGCCGTGAAGACGATCTCGCCAATTGGGGCTCTATGTTGCGGAGCCTCAATTCAGCCATTCTATTTAAGAAGTTTGCAGAAGAGCCCCCACTCCTGGCCGATTCGCTTTCTGGCAGCAGTGCGGTTCTGCAACGAATCAATCGCCGTTTTGAAGAGATAAAGGGGAATTTTCGTATTATCTCCTTCTACGAGGCTCGCTCTACGCAGAGAACAGAGACTGTATCCATATCCACAGGTTCTTCTATACCCATGAGTCCTAGCATATGCGCGAGTGCTGCCATACCCGAAGGTGTTACCATATCCACAGGTGCCCCCTCAAGCCAAGGGCTTCTCAAACCATCGGACTCCGCAAATGAGCGAGGTAAAAAAAGGTCCCGGCTTGGGACTAACCTTTTGAAAAAGCTGGGACTTAAGACTGATAAAAAGGAGCCTGAGATCTCGTCAAGTCGCGAGGAGACGCTGTACGAGTACCATACCGTCAAGACCACATTCACCGTGGATGGAGTATCGGTGCCACCGGATTATCTCCCAGGCACAGAGTCAATTGGTATTCACGTAAACCATACCGATATTTGCAAGTTTCACGACGCAGATTCCCCCCGGCTACAAGGCCGTGGCGGAGGCTCTCCTTCAATGCTCACTACATGCTTCCCGTACTATCGCGGCTCGGGGAGGCCATGGTAGAGGGGCTCGTGCTCTTGGGGTGTCTCTAGGGAAATCTCCTGGTATGTGCGCTGGAGAGCACCCAATACATTGCTTGCGTACTGTTCAGACGATCCACCTGATCGCTGGGTACATGCCTACATAATCGGGACTTACCCTAATACCCTTCATAAGTAGGAACCCGTGAGCCAGATCTGGCTACAAGCTCGCCGCAGGATGCCTCGTTTATAACGACCATGAGGAGAAGTCTCTTCTCGGTGAGCAATATCCACTGCGCTTCGTGCGTGGCCTATGTCACCGAGGTCCTCTCTGAGGTCCCCGAGGTCCAAGACATCGATGTGTCACTCTTGACACATGAAGTGCGTGTGTCTCATGGGATCTCTGTGCAATCCGAAGACTTGGCGTCTGCTCTCATCCATGCCGCCTTCGAAGTTTATCGTGTCGCAACCTATGATGACCGGGGAGCCATCATTTACGAGGTCGATACCACCTCTTGGAATGACATCAAAGAAAGGCTACAGAATAGTCGAGAGAATAGACATATTGCCAACTGTGACGCTTGCCAGAAAGAAGAAGCTCAGCAATTCCCTCGCAACTCCACTCGTGAGCCAGATCTGGCTCCAAGCTCAGCAATGAGCAAGGTCCAGCAGCTTTTTGTCGCCCCTCTAGCTTTCCGTCCTAATACGGTCTTTGTTGGCATGCAGGTAGAGCTAGAAACTCTACATAGCCGCTTATTTCAGTCCAAAGATCAAGGTTATGATAACAGGTCTGTTCTGATTAGTGGTATTCAGGGATCTGGTAAGACACATTTGGCGCTGCAATACGCCTTCACCTATCGCGAGTCTTACCCGGGTGGGATATTCTGGGTCTGTTCTAGCTCTTACGAATCGGCATGCGATGGCTTCAAACAGATCGCTCAAACAGCTGGACTACTTGGATTTACTGACGCTGAGAATTCCGAAGACTCTGAAGTTCAACGGTCTCGGTGTGTTTCTGCTGTCCTGGAGTGGCTTGCAACGCGGGAAGATTGGCTTTTAGTCTTCGATGGGATTGAACTTGAGGAGGACGATGATGATGCAAGAGTCAATTTCAAACGCCTTATACCAAGGAGTCCAAAAGGAAGAATTATCTATACATCGACAGATGGCACTGGGCCACTCCTTCCCCAACCATATTGCATATGGCTCGGCCCACTGCAGGTTGAGGATGCTTGCAAACTTCTTTACGAGACTCTCGGCATAGACACGCCAACGGAGGAGCAAGTTCGTCGGGCAACCACGCTCGTGGAACGCTGCGAAAGTTTACCACTGGCTATTCACGCACTGGGCCGCCAAATTAAGGCGCAGGGCACGTCAATCGAGACTTTCGATCTGAATGATAAAACGGATAGACTTGGGATTGGAGTCTTCCACTCGATCGTGAATGAGATGTACCGCTTGCAGAAGCGCCAAGCCTTGAACTTACTTCATCTATTATCTTTTTTGGACTGCCACACTCCAGTGCGCCTCATTGAGTTCGGATGCGAGGCACTGACAGCACCTGATTCTGCCGATATTTTGACCAGTCCCCGAGCTGGAGAGGCTCCTGATCTTGGTACCACGATAGCAACTTTGCTCACTTATGCGTTGGTTGAGCGAACGAATGATACCGAATTGCCTCGCTCCAGCCCGTACTCTGAGAGAAATGTGCCTCAGTTCTCGGAGTATGCGTTAGCAAAAGCCTCAGGGAATGCTGGCCTGGATGACCTAGATGGCCTCCTCTCCATTGAACGGGAAATATTAGGACTTGATGTCCTTCGAACTCACGATGTTGTGCAAAATTTCTGCAGAGAGGACGTGAGACTGAAAGATATCAGTCAGTTGGAGGAGCTACAGCAAAAGGAAACAATCGGGAAAGATCAAGTTGGATTCTACGATACGTGGCTGATTCTGACACAGGGCTTTCTCATCAAGTCCTACGATACCGCCCAGAAAACTTCGGATACGCTTCAAGGTCGTCCTCTTGGTCTTCGTGATCTTCGGGAGTATGCCACCCATATCGCAAATTTGACCCAGCTGTTTGAAGAGAGGAACAGGAGGAGCTCAAAGCCTACGCCATGGTATATATCAAAGGCTCAATTGAGCTTGCGACACCTCAGCAGAAATATACGTCTCGAGCTCGAGCTATTACGTACAGCCCCATTACTGAAACCTACCGGCAGACAAGCCTCTATATTTGAGAAACTCCCTACGCTAAGCTCGGGGACCACCACACCACGGGATGACTTTGATGCCATCGACTTTGTGATGACTGAAAGGTCCGTTGAAGGGCATGTTCGGTCTGTCGTGGAACATGAACTCGATGTTACAATAGGGTCGGAGTCTCAGTATGTGTCTGATCGAGTATTTTCTGCGGGTCCACATTCTACTCTGGATACCCGAACAGCCCCAACCGCTCCTACGGTTCCAACTTCTGCAGACCCGGAAACAGAGGATTCACGAACAGTATATTCTGATACTCTTACCATGGACGGCTCGATCAAAGAGGCTTATGTCAACGAACTCGCTCATGAGCTTTTCAAAGCTGTTTCCACTTTCCGACTAGACTCCACATCTATGAGGCGTGTCGCTGATGCTATGCCTGGCTGCCTAAAAGCATTTTCATCAAGACTTGGGTGTACTACTTCGTCCGAACAGATCCAGCGAGATGTGACTGTGTTCATTCACAAATACAGACAGTAAGTTTGAGAAGGAATTTCTATAGTATTTTGCCAGCTGACTTTCTTCATAATAGTGAAATAGCCGGTGCATTCAATAACTCACTGGAGGATTCATCCACAGGCACAGGGTCCGCAGCCGACGAAGACATGCCACTGAATGATAAAATGAAACTCTGGTTGAGCCACTATGGGGACTCCATTGATGATACTCCATTCCACTGGGACCTCGAAGATGGCGAGGCTGGCCCTGCTGATATCCTCACACTTCTGCTCCCGATAATCGAGATCGGCGAAGAATCAAATCCCGATGCTTATCCTGTCATGCCGGGGCTTCAAAAATACCGCGAGTGTGTTCTCGAAACCCCGGCGTATGACTGGCTTATTGGTGATATTCAGAGACACTGTCTTCTCGAACCCTCTACTCCAGATGTAATGGCAGACATTGGCAGTGCAATCCTGCAGGGTCTGCCTTCACAGCTCCGATTTAGCAGACGAGAATCGGTGCCTTCTTACAAAATGACATATACTCTGGATTGGGACTTGGTCTCATTCATAGAGGATCAGGAATATAGCAAGGATAATGCCGAAGCACTCCCTTTGGTCATCACGCTCACCGGTTCTCGGGAAGCAGTCCAGGCACTGACTTGCTCACAATATCTGCATCAGACATGGCCGGCATCTGCGGGAGCGATGCTCAACGTACTGCAAGCTCTGCTAAAAAATAGACCCGCGGAAAAGGCTACCGGTACGCTATATCGTGTCCCTGAGTGAAATCGATTTTCTTGCCTGCTAACTGGCCTTTAGGCAACCTGCCCGATGGTACAAATCTTGTTGCTTCGTTTGTTTCCTCTGATACTTCGAATATTTCCAAGGTAACTTTTGAAGTGACGGGCTCTGCCTACTCAATCGCTGAGATCGGAGAGCAACTCTGCTGGCTTGGGTCGGCTCTTCGTTCTTCGCCCTACCCTGATCAAGTCGCATATTGCCAACCTCAAGTTGGTAAGCTGAGGGTAGTCAACGATGAGGGCCAGAGTGGCAAGAAGCAACAAGCTACCGAGTTCACCACACACATCTCCTTTGCAGTCAAGGAGAAGACAGTTGCCTCTGGAGTTCACGGGGAGTGCTGGCACAATCTCTTTCGAAGCGGTGCGATCGTAGAGGGCTTCCCAATATCTCGACGACCTGAAGTAGGTGCGGTGCAGGGACTTGAAATTCCCCTTCCAATGATGGCTCGCCTTGCACAGGCAAATAGTGTGAACACCTTCTTGGGCAGTGCAATCCTCAAAGGTTTCTCTGCTATGCTCATCCCCACCGAGAATCATGAAGAGGTGATTGTGTGGCACTTGGTGCATAACAAGAACGGCGATCGAATCTCGTTCCTCGATAGTACAGTGGTTCCTGTTGAGGGAGTGTCAGCTTCGCAGCTATCACAGGCACGCCACATTCTGGGATGGTGTTCAAATGCAAGACATCTTGCAGGTATGTACTATTCAAATCTCGAAATAATTCTCCTACTAACATGGCCTCCAGGAACGCGAGATGCAGCGTATGCCATATCAGGCTCCCATCTTCCAAGGCTACGAGAGGATGGGCTTCTCAGCCAGGCATTCATCTATAATGGGCAGATGATCAAAGGCGGCGCGCCATTCTTGGTGGGGTACAAGGACACCCCTGTTCATGTTTCTAGAGGTGGCTATCTCAGGAAACTCAAATGGATCATCCAAAAGTCCGTGGTCCTCTGGGACGAAGAGGCAAAGCGAGGGTGGTTACTAAACGGAGCAAGCGCCCTTTTACATCTCGTGCGCGCTTCCATAATGCATGACACCACAGGGCCTTTCAGTTCAGAGTGTCTATTCAAGTGGGAGAGTCTGGAAGAGGCAACGATTGATTCAAAAAGCACATCTGAATTCTCCATTGCAGTGCTTTTGAATCACAAAAATCGGGCTCTGCCGATCTACGAAGGCAAAGACGACCATGTCAAATTCGAAGATCGAGTTGAACACTTCTTGAACATCCTTGAGCAGATATTTGATTATCAGGTCCATGCTGCTGGGCCAGATGGCAGTGGATACAGTTCCAAGGGCATTCCCCGGGCACACTTCGAAGGCTGGGACTTCCATGACCTCGCCACTGAATTAGACTCACTCCATCCACGACTCGCGACTTTTGCAGCAAAAGGAAAAGCTTGGGTTGATTTCACTCGTTCAATTCACGCAATCAATCTTCTGGGTCGCGATTTTGGCGAGATTCTGGCGCCATCAAACATTTCTTGTCCCCACTGGGCTTCGCTTCCCAAAGATCAGTACTATCTGGCAGCAGGGATCTCTGACCTGAAGATGGTCCTGGAATATACGGGGGACCTGACGACAAATCCCATACGTCTGAGCGAGAATCTTGTGTGGCACAACTCGGAGATGGTCTTTGAGTCCTGTGGTTGCGCTTACGGCACTGGAGATCACGCCGATATTACACAGGTGATCTTGCCAGTCTCATTGTCAGCTGAGTCAGTGGGGTTTATTGATGCTGTCAACTTGGCACACGATGGGGCAGTAGTCTTTGGATATAATCGCAACTTCCAGTGGCGATGGGGTGATACTGGAGATCCTGAAAAGGACGAACTGTCAAGCGACGAACAAGATCAGCTTACCCCAACATGTGAAATCGAAAACACCAACAGCAATACGATTTCAGTTGGCTCTGAGAGTGATGTCCTTGACGTATCGAGCTCGCAAATCCGTTCGACGTCAACGGATATCACCATTGACAGTACAGTCGCTGCAACTGAACCTGTTCACCCGAGACCTCTAGTTCGATCATACACCAAGTGGCAACTAGAAACACTTAAGCCCGAGGACTACGCTGTTGGAATTGTGTGCGCGCTCCCGTTGGAACTCTTGGCTGTTCGCGCTTTATTCGACCAAACCCACCCGGATCTTCCCCTATCTCCAGCGGATTCAAATCATTACGCCTTGGGGAGTATGGGGCGACACAAAATTGTTGCTGCCTGTCTTCCGGATGGAGAGTACGGCACAAACTCTGCCGCTGACGTTGCATCCAATTTGCGAAGAAGTTTTCCTTACGTTAAGTTTTGCCTATTGGTAGGCATCGGAGGTGGTGTTCCATCGTCTAGGAACGACATTCGCCTCGGCGACGTCGTGGTGAGCAAGCCGATCGGTATGAGTCCCGGTGTGATTCAGTACGACATGGGAAAGGCCCTCGAGAATGGCGAGTTCGAGCAATCCGGGTTCCTCCAGCCACCTCCTCGACTTGTAATGACTGCACTCAGCAGTTTGAAATCAGATCCCCATCTTCCGCAAGCCCCTCTTCAAGAATACATTCAAGAAATCGCAGCTTGCAGAAAGGAGTATCGATACCCAGGACCAGAAGCCGATCGTCTATTTTCAAGCCATTACGCGCACAATTCCAAGCACGCCACCTGCGATCCCTGCAGTGCAACCTATCTTACGAAACGGCCAAGTCGAGCAGATCATCTTCCCCAAATCCACTATGGTCTCATTGCATCAGGCAATCGAGTCATGAAAGACGCAAAACTCCGTGACAGGTGGAGCATGGAGAGGAACGTGCTTTGCTTCGAGATGGAGGCAGCGGGTGTCATGAATACTGTGCCTTGTCTTGTCATCAGAGGGATCTGCGATTACTCGGATAGCCATAAGAACAAACGCTTCCAGGAATATGCGGCGGCAACGGCTGCCTCGTATGCCAAGCTCTTGTTGTCTTACATGAAGGATAGCAGTGACTTGGATGGGACGGCGTTCCGTTCAATCAAGGAGGACCAAAGCCTGCTGGGTGTGTTCCGGAGGGCTTTTTCATTTATGGGATGAGGGATTGTTATGATCGCCTGATCGAGCATGGTTCTTACATGATTTATTTCAGTTTAAAGCAAAGGAAATGAGAATAGACTTTGTCAAAACACCAGCATCGGACTAAAATCTACCTAACCACGTAGATATGTCCATGTAAGTATGTATGCGCAGAAAAAGTGATGAAGCCACGCCTGCCCTGTACTGCCGGAAATGTAAACAAGATGAACTCTACTTCTCGAACCCCCAGCGCCGAATCCAAGGCCTTGATTGTGGGAATTCAGCCTTATCGAGTAGAGAGAAAAAAGAGACAAGAAAACCCCCTGACGCCGTGTCCGTCGTACCAGTCGTGTCATACCCAGGTATCATGTGCGCGAAATAAAAAGCAAAAAAGACATGAAAGTCCGATCAGAAATTGAACCAGATGATAGGCGCAGTTGAGACAATGTGGGCGTAATGTTCGTCGTATGAGAAAAGATTTCTAGTGTCAAAAATCTTTACTCCTCGTCCCAAGCTTCCAATTCGGCCTTCTCGTACTCGGCCATGGTAGCGGGATCGAAAATTGTTTCGTTCTCGGACGGAATGGTGGTCTTGATATCCTCGAAGATGGGCAGGAAGGCCTCGTTCCAGCGCTTCCGTCGATCCATGACGATCTTAGCGGCATCACCGACGGCTGGGCGGGAAACGCCTGCAGCAACACCACCAGCACCGGGACGGTGCTTGGCCTGGGAGCCCTTTTTGCTCTTGCCCATGGTACGAGTACGCTTAAGATAAGCTTGCTGGACCTGAGAGTCCAGATCATCTTGGATGGTGGTGAATTCAAGAAGAGCCATGTGCTCCTGGGCAATCTTCAAAATGCGTGCTTTGCGCGCATTGTTGGTGATAATCTGCTTCTTAAGCTCGCCTTGCAGGAGACGCAGGCGCTCCGCTACTTCATCATCGTAATGCGCGTCATAATCGGGGTTGTCATCGGCCCCAAGGAATCCGATGTATCGTAGCTCTGCCTTGGCGCGCTCGTCAAGTTGGGCGTGGTCGAGTTTGGCAACAGAAGTCTTGAAGCCAGTTGGCGAAGCGTCTCGGAAAGTAGTAGCCGCGGGTAGGGGCTTGTTCTCCGAGGAAGATTTGGTCTCCAGGTTGCCATTTGGTTGGTCGATCTCCATCGCATCCCCATTCAGACCATCGGTGGCAGGCAAATCGCCATTAGTGGAGCCATTACTGTCATCGGGAAGAGTGCGGTGTTCATAACGGAGAAGAGAGACTAGGCGACTGAGCAAGGGTCCGATCGAGACTTCGTTGGTTTCGGTCTTGTCGTCAGTCAACTGGTCGATATTGCCGCGACCTTGGTTTAACGGGAGCTGGTCCTTTTCGTCCTGATTGGGGTCATAAGAGACCCCGTCTTCCTCTGCCCAGATCTGACGATAGCTCTTCTTTCCACGACGGGGGATGATGAATGGATTCGAACGGTCGCCCTAGAGTTTTGTGAGAAATGGAGACTCGAGAAACCGAGGAACAAGAAGTCTTACTCTTTCCTTCAGCCACGCGATATCCTCCTCAGTAAGAGCTCGCACATACGGCTCAATCCAAGTCTGGAAAGTGTTGGCGCTGACCTGGTTTGATGGCTTGGCGTTGCTGAAGTCCTTGTCCGGGGGCACACCGGCCATCATGTGGGCGAGATCGCTCTTGGGGAAGCTGGCCACACTGTAGATCTCCTTCTTTTCATCATCCCCCATGTCCGGTGTGATGTCGCGAATGTGGTAGACGGTGGGATCGTCAAATTTGAGCGGGTTGTCGCCAAAGACCTGAATTTGAGGTACAGCTGGCTGGGGTTCGGGCTGGTGAGAGTCCGAGCTAGACCCCGAGTCGGGGGAGCCAGGAGCAGCTGCGCCGTCGGCCCCGGTAGCAGCGCCATTGGGAGACAGCATGGATGGAGGTGAAAGTGAGGAGCTACCGTCGGAGCCTGCGTTCTTTGCGTGCTTGGAAACTGGAGAAGCCGCTGTGGTTGGTTAGTGACGCTGTCAACCCGAAGAAAAGTGGGTGGAGCACTGGGGAGAAAACAAAGTGGAGTGGGAGCTCAGTAGTCGGGCTATGAGTCGCATCACGTACCTCCCTCAACCTTAGTCTCAGCACCATCCTGCCGGGCGAGATCGTGGGCTCCATGGCTCAAGGGCCGTTCCTCTTTCGTGCTTGACCGTTCTTTCCGCTTCTTCAGCTTCGCTTTGTGTACCAAATCATCGTCGTCTTCGGTCTCCCGCTTCAACTTGGCACGTTCGCTAACTTCGCGGTTAATCTCCTGATCATCCATAACTTCCTTCCTCTTCTGAGACATCTCCCGCATCCCGGCATTGCAAGCCTCTCCGCGGGCATCTGCCATGTCACTGAGGCTTTTCAGGTATTCCACAAGGGTCTCCAGGGTCTTCGAATCGGGAATGTTTGGGCCGGCCACGAGGTCGAGTAAATCAGTGTATTGGCCATTGGCCAGATCAATGAGCTTCGTAACATCGTTCTCGAGGTAGCTTGGAATCGGCGGCGCTGCAACAGCAGGGATACCGCCCGCATTTGAGGGGGTTGTGTTGCGACTACGCGCCGGGCGCGCATCGCGACCTTTGCCCTTACTCTTGTAAGCGGAGGGCATTCTGTCGGCTTGGGATGAGGACGATAGCAGGGAAGGATGTCCAGGTCAAGTGTAGCAGACGCGAGACACGGGTGTTGGTATGGAGGTTCTTTCAGATGGCGTCCGTCAAGGTTGGATGACGCATGCTGCACGGGCCTGCAGGGTCAAAATTCACTCAAACGGGAATACAAATTTTCCCAGCTTTGAAGTACCGTGAGCAGTATGATCTAGCGACTTGATGTGAATTGATAAATGAGTAAATCACTGACTGATCTGTTGCGAGGTGCTCCGATCTGGGGGCAGCTTTCCCACGTGATATCACTCGCCCCGGCATCTCGGCCCTACCCTAAATCCGATTCAAGGCGGTGAGCTCCCGTTTCCATGCTGCCGCAGTCCTTCCATCATGTGATTGATATTGGAGATGTCAAATTTACCAGTAATCAGTAGTCCATAGACTTGTTTTATAGGATTGGTTATATGGTAGAGATATATTATGGAGACATAAAGTCCACGCATAGATGCCGTAGAAAATCAGCCTAATAGTAAGGTAGAGTTGTGATTCGTTTGGTGGGCACCTCCCATCACAATATATTTTGAGTAAGGTTCTAGTACGGTCCAGTAGCCCTAACCTGGTGGACAACCCTCCCAAGTCTTGGTTGAATTATCTTTGACCCTCCTACAATACCTATTATTTTCTTGTCTATTCTCTGCCTTTGACGATTAGAATCTATTTGTAGAAAAAGGTGCACCTACTCCGTACATATGGCCTAATAAGATGATTTCTTGGAATGGGGGGAGCCACAAGACCCCCGCAAGCGGTACCTCCGCAAACAGCGTTCTACCTAATCCGGCCAACATTTTACTATGCCACCTTTTACATTTTATACATTTTCCCCACTACACGGCGATTGCGGCTAATGTTTCTGTTTTTCCAAGTCTGGAATCAACGTGAAGGGCCCGTTCTGCCTCGTGGTCGGAGACGCCGTTCACATTCTTGCGACGGACACGATTCGCCCTTGCATTCCTTGCCCGATGCTGCTGTAGAATACTGTAGGTCATTGTAATCGGGTTTGGACTGGAAGTGGGTAGATGACTCGCCGCTTAGTCGTCGTTTTTGGGCATTCACCTAATCAAAACCAAATCACTTTCTCGTGAGCCTTCATGAACTTTCTCCCCTCCTCTGCGGTCTTCAGCGGTCTTCAACGAGCAACTCATCATGTGTATGCACCCCTCGCGGGCATCCCGATATTGACCGCCAACTCCATTATCCGCTCGTGCGAAAAGCCAATTCCACATACCTCGCCAGTTTCATCGCAACTATGTCGAGAACATCTGTTGCTCACTCGATGTCAACAGTGGCCACGCTTTTTGCTGGCCCGGGAAGCGCCGCCAACATCTCTGGCTCAGTCCATGTATGTAAACCCTCAGCCATGGAATGCTTCCAAGCAGCAAGTACTCACGCGAGATTCTCTTCAGGAAAATGTAGGATTTCGATTTGTTTTGGACCGAACTGTACAAACGTTGTCGACCAATGGAGTTCCTGACTCTCGTCAAATCTCTGGCCTCCTGTTCGTGCCTACTTTGGCGGCAGAAGATCCTTGCAATGATCTTGCCGCAAAATTTGTCCCGAGGAATGTCACTCGCCACGAGGACATCTCAAACTTTCGGTATCCGTCGATTGGAATTGCGCCATGGATTTCCGTGGCTTGCACCAACTCCTTTTTGGCCGCCTCGCGGGAGGCTGAGTCCGATGCGCTGGTGTTCTTTCAGCCACATAAGAACGAGTCCGGGATCCCTCCTCCGGCTACTGATCCTTGTTGGAATCTTGACGACAGTGACCAGTGGAAGAAAGACAACCATTATCCCATCTACGCAATCCCTGGACCTGCAGCAGCAACTCTCATGCGTGAACTTGCCTGGTTCTCCAACGGACAGACGAACCGAAGCGATGACGAAAATTATCCATCCTTCCAAAAGAGAGACAGTACTGTTCGGTTGTTCACGATGATTGCCAATGGTAAGCCATTCCAATTTTCAGGATCCTTCCCTGCACAGTCTCTAACATTTCGGATCACAGAAACCCAGACAGACTCGAGCCTAAGTCTATGGAGCTTCGCGGTCATAATTCTCGGATCAATTCTTGGGTTGAGCTTGATAATGTACATCATCTATCTGACCCTCAAGCGAAAACGGCTTTTGCGAGAAGCAGCATTTGCTGCTAATGGGCAGCATGATATCGAGGCGCTCCAAATGCGCCCCACGAACCCAGTTCTGGTGCCCCACGAGGTTGTCGAGCAATTGCCTCTTTACACCTATGCAGGCCCAAGGACTTCCTCCACAGCTTCGCTCGTTAAGGACGAGATTGAAACCAGTGTGGCAGAAATAGACCCCAAGAGTCAGTCTCCTGAGCCACCAACCACCGAGGAGGCCCAGGAGGCTCATGGGGAACTCCCCCAAGATACACAGAGGGTGGTTGGCATTCGAAGACCAACACCGGCCGTGATCAATCCTGGTAGTGGCGTGGTCGTGGCTTCTGCAAACCCGTATCGACTGAGCCATACCCAAACTACTTGTGCAATCTGCTTTGATCCGTTCATCATTGGATCGACCAGGGTCCGTGAGCTCCCATGCGGACACATCTTCGACCCTGGTTGTATCGACCCATGGCTCTTGACGCGGAATAGCGAGTGTCCATTGTGCAAGATGAGCGTTCTTTCATCGGCCTCGGTCAACAGCCCGGCCACACGAGGTGCCTGAAGATAATTGACACGTTTGAGATTTGGAGATTAAAATACCCTGCATCAATCAGCATATGTGTGTTTAGCGAGTTTGTTAGTGTGTGCATCTGTTTTACAACGTGAATAGATTTAGAGTGAGAGGATGGATCAAGAAATAAAGTTTCTCTCACAATCCAGTATTTACTAGAAACATGACTCCTTACCACCATTCTTTCGTCCCCCTGGAGCCAGGTATTGTCCATAGAAACAATCTGCAGTGACACCTGAGGCCTCAACTGAGGCAGAAAGAGGCGAAGGCGGTGTGGGTAATATCCACGTGATAAACATTTTATGATTGGTCCCACAGACCAGGCTCGGCTAATCGCTAGCGTCCCACACACATTCTCTCTAACTGACCTTTCTCCTTCGAACTTTTCGCAGTTGCGACAACGACAACCGACGACCTCGTGAAGCCGACAAGGTACGCTCCCACTCCCACGCCTCGCTTAATTTCGACATTCTATACATCGAGAAACCACCAGTGTCCTAACTTTCACAATTATTTCCAGATGGGTGCCCTCAAGTACGTCGAAGAGATCCAGAAGAAGAAGCAGTCCGATGTCATTCGGTTCCTGCTCCGCGTTCGCTGCTGGGAGGTAAGATAGAACTCCCCCGACCCTCGATTGCCTAACATCTCCGCCGAGCGCTCGTGTGCGTAGCCATAGGAAATGCCTGGATTCCTGGTATTACTGGACGGCTCAGAACCGAACCTCATTCGGCGGAAATGGTTTTTTTCTTGTGGCACAGCAATGAGACCCTTTGGGACTCATGTGTCTTGCTATACACTCGTTGAACATTGCTGAGAGTGCATCAATATAGCTCCGCCAGCTGAACGCCATCCACCGTGCTTCGCGCCCCTCTCGTCCCGACAAGGCCCGTCGTCTCGGTTACAAGGCCAAGCAGGGTTACGTCGTCTACCGCATCCGTGTCCGCCGCGGTGGTCGCAAGCGCCCTGCCCCCAAGGGTGCCACCTACGGCAAGCCCACCAACCAGGGTATCAACCAGCTCAAGTACCAGCGTGCTCTCCGTGCCACCGCTGAGGAGCGTGTTGGCCGCCGCTGCGCCAACTTGCGTGTCCTGAACTCCTACTGGATCAACCAGGACTCCACCTACAAGTACTTCGAGGTCATCTGTGTTGACCCCCAGCACAAGGCCATCCGCCGTGACGCTCGCATCAACTGGATCTGCAACCCCGTCCACAAGGTGAGTTTTCCAATGACGTGAAGAAAATTTCTTCCAACCTCTGTGGAATCGACCATAACTGACTGAATTTTCCTACAGCACCGCGAGGCCCGTGGTCTTACCGCCACTGGCAAGAAGTCCCGTGGTATCAACAAGGGCCACCGCTACAACAACACCAAGGCTGGCCGCCGCCACACCTGGAAGCTCCACAACACCCAGAGCTACTGGCGTTACCGTTAAGTGCATTAATGCACAGGCCTGGTGTTTTATGGTGGAAAATATTGGCTGCATGTGGTTATCTCTTCGATCGATTCTCTCCCGGATCGTTTCATTTACGCTGGGTTCGAGTTTAATGCAGACCAGCAGGATCTGTTTTTAGCCAAAAAGCCATCTTTGTTTTATGTTGAATTCCCCCCTGATTAACGAAGTATGACTGGTTCAACTCCATACCGGCGCTCCGGAATTGTAGAACACGTAAACCTTCCTTTTAGACTTGCTCTGCATTGAATTGCTGTACAATCACCCCATAGGCTCATAGTAATAGGCTTCGACGGGTGCTCGCGTGCTGCAGCGGGGGTCTACTTTGTACACACTTCAGCACCTCGAACAACGAAATCCACGAGTCTCAGTGGATCATCAGGCTAGATACTAGCCCGAATCTCTGACAGACTAATTGTCAGACTCCGCGGTGGGCGAATCATCATCACTCTTCAGAGACACCTTTGGCGTGCCAAAAATAGCCTGACTCTATGCCTGAGGCAGCAACACGGCCCTGCCCTGTTAATTAGCCACTTGCCCAATCCGTCCGTGGTCGAGGATAAGCTCTTGCTACGACATCTCCTCTAAAGCGATATTGAAACTGTTGCGTCACTTGAAGCTGAAAGGGTTCCCTTCCTTTGTGTGATTTGCTTCGTTGCAGCTTCAGCCCTTGGTTGTGGGACAGAGAAACACTGCCATTAACACTCCAGGCACCTTATTATAGCTTCCCCGCGGTCGATTCGCATGAGCCGAGTACGAACACCAAGCTACTCACGTAGGCCCACTACCTGGGGTATTCTAAAATCAGCAACTCTGCCACCCTCTGTCGACTAGATGCGCCCTCATGCCCTCCCGGCCTGGACGTGACCCGCCGCTGCCTCCACTGCCTCCGATCTTGAGTCCTGGCATCACCGCTCCTCCCTCGAACCTTCCCCGGGCACCTCCCCGAGCTCCTGCCTCAGAAATCACAAGGAAACGGTTACCCGAGCGTCAGAATGCGCCGACGATGGCCGCGATGAACGGCTCCGCGCCAACCAGTCCTCGTCGTGGGCACCACCGCTCAATCAGCCATCCATTTCCATTCCCTGGACTCGGCAAGAGGCGTGACAAAGGAAAAGCCAACATGTGGGAATCAGATTCGGACTCCGATGAGGTTACATTTCCCATGGATACGGTTGATGGAAGCCTTCGGAAGGACTCGAAGGGTGGAGGGGATCTTGCAGAAACGAAATGCCAAACTTGCAGCTCGACAGTACGATGGCCACGGAACTTGACCACATTTCGATGCTCCGCTTGCTTGACGGTGACTGATCTGGAGCCCGAACCGTCCACTGAGTCCCAAACCTACGGTAACCCGGACGCCAAAGACAGGACACGAGGCTGGCGCCTTAAGAAACAGCCCTTCGACGATCGTCCCTTACCACCGCTGCCACCATCCGCACGGCCACCAGAGCAGAAGCCAGGTATGTCCCCATCAAATTGTTCGAACACCTCAAATCAGCAGGCTTGACTGACTGCTGTCTCAGAGATGCCGTTGTCGGCCAGGTACATGAGCGATCTAATTGACCGATGCCTTTCAATGTACTTCGATGGTCTTTTGAATGGATCTAGATCGAGTTCGGGGCCAGATGACGAACGAAACGGCCGAGCACGTCCTCCTCAACAGGAGGGAATACCCTCAACAACCCGTGGCCCTGGTGGCCATCTATCCGCCCCTCGAGACCCTCGAGATCCCCGAAGCCGTAGCACATCTGGATCTGGCGAACGACTTGGCGTCCCAAACAACAAGTCAACTTTTTTGACACCGCACGTGGCTCAATGGGCAGGCAAGGTTACGCAAGTCCGGACTCGAGCCAATTCAGATCTACAGTCAAGTCCAAAGACCAATCGTCATCCGCAGGACCGCCCGGTACACCATTCAGATCTGGAGAACAAAGACCGCGAATCTCCCCATCGGGTATTTGAGCAATTAGAGAACTACCTGATTGCCGCTTTGAAAGGCATCGATGTTCTTAATACGTCTTTCTCAACTCATCAACCCTCTATTCGATCTGCTAGTAGTGGTAATCCTCCGAGGATGAAAATCGATCCTAATACTCTCATGGAACCGACTTTGAATGCGGCCGTGTTTGAGCCGGATGCCAAAACTCTCCTCCTGGGAGATTTGGCCGAAAACTCATCGTGGTGGATGACGGAATGGGCCCAGGCTGAGGGACAAATGCCGTCATCAGCTAAAGAGAAAGGAAGTCAAGATTCTCGTTTGGCATCTTCAAGATCTCCTCGCATCAACTGGGCTGAGGTGGCACGGTGGTATCAGTTGCTCCTGACTGCTGGGAGCTCTTGGGCTGAACGTTGGGTTGCCAAGAGACCTGAGTATCCGCGTTCCGACGCCGAGGCGGCTCGTCAAAAGAGGTGGGAATCAGCGGATCTTGCTCAACTGGAGAGAGAGATCATCGATTCGCGCCTGCATCTTCAGCGGACATTTATGAAAGCCGTCGAGAATCTTTTGAAGCGCCCGCGCCGGCTCATCAAGAAACCGGATGATACCAGATGGCTCTTCATATTGCTTGCAAACCCTTTGTTGTCATCCCCTAATGCCTATTTGCCCCCTCGGCCTGTGCAGGCATCCCACCCTGACAGCCGACGTCCATCCTACCCGAGCGACGGCCCACGGCCGACCACGAGGGAGGACAAATCTTCAAACAAAGACCACAACCGCCAAGGAGGCTCTAATCGACATCATGGAATTGCGAAGCGGATTTTTGGATTGATGTCTAATGCTCCCAATGAGTGTCATCATTATTTCGTCTCCTGGTTCTCTCGGTTTTCTCCCGGTCAATTCGAACGGATTGTTGAATTGGCCGGTGGCTTTGTCACTTATCGATTGACTCGTCAGCATGGCCGTAAGCGCAGTGAAATTCCAAAAGATGGCGATGAGCTTATCCCAAGTTTCGCCAGCGCGGCGGGTAACACGCCCGCGGAGCTACATGCAGCCATTAACAATCGCCGCAGCCCACAAAAAAAGTCGGAGAAGAAGAAGGAAGCTCCAATGGTATATGTGGAGGATTGGCAGATCAAAGCCGGATCAAGAGTCTTGTCCTTGCTATTCATTGCGAATACAGACGGTTCCAGGAAGTCCGCTGTGTCTCTACGAGATCTACGATCTCAGCGTCATCCTAATTCTGCTGGACAGTCTGGACGTCGTGACAATTATATGGTCCCCATTAGTGCTTTCTACAACACCTTGCTGGACTATTCAGACCTGATTGCTGACTTTGATGTCTGGGAGTCAAAAAGCGGCAAATTCTCGTTCTGCCAATACCCTTTCCTCCTAAGCATTTGGGCCAAGATTCGCATCATGGAGCATGATACTCGCCGGCAGATGGAGGTGAAAGCGCGCGAGGCCTTCTTCAGCAGCATCCTGACTCAGCGTGCGGTCAGTCAATATCTTGTACTGAAGGTGCGACGTGAATGTCTAGTCGAGGACAGCATGCGCGCCGTGGGCGAGTCTGTTGGAGCTGGGTCCGAAGAAATCAAGAAAGGACTTCGTATTGAATTTGTTGGAGAGGAGGGTGTTGATGCCGGTGGCCTTCGCAAGGAGTGGTTCCTCCTGCTTGTCCGGGAGGTCTTCGATCCCCACCACGGTAAGTAAACAATGGATTTCTAGCTGGGATCTGTGATCATTTGCTGACTCGGAACAGGTCTCTTCGTTTACGATGACGACTCCCAGTATTGCTATTTCAATCCGTATTGCTTCGAGTCCTCTGAGCAATTCTACTTGATTGGCGCCTTGCTTGGCCTTGCCATTTACAACTCCACCATTCTGGACGTCGACTTGCCCCCATTTGCGTTCAGGAAATTGCTTGCAGCCGCGCCTCAGAACACCGGTTCACATCCACCCAACCCACATACATCAAAGTTCAAGTGTACATTGGACGACCTCGCCGAATTCCGACCCGCTCTTGCCAAGGGGCTTCGAGGCCTTCTTGAATTTGAGGGTGATGTTGCCGAGACGTTTTGCTATGACTTTGTCGCTCAAGTTGACCGGTATGGAGAGGTTGTGACAGTACCCTTGTGCACCGGGGGCGAGAAGCGAGCCGTGACCAATTCGAATCGGCGCGAATTTGTTGACTTGTATGTCCGCTACCTCCTCGACACGGCCGTGACTCGGCAATTTGAGCCATTCAAACGGGGCTTTTTTACCGTGTGCGGGTGCAATGCTCTCGCACTGTTCCGATCGGAGGAGATTGAGTTGCTCGTTCGCGGCTCCGACGAACCGCTTGATGTAACATCGCTGCGGGCCGTTGCTACCTACGACAATTGGTCAAACCAACGGCCTGAGGCAATTGCAGTGGTGCAATGGTTCTGGGACTTTTTTGAGCGTGCCCAGCCCCAGGCCCAACGGAAGATTCTGTCTTTCGTGACGGGCAGTGATCGAATTCCCGCTATGGGCGCCACCAGCTTGTCTATTCGGCTTGCATGTCTCGGAGACGATTGCTCCCGGTATCCGATCGCACGGACCTGCTTCAACACTCTCGGTCTTTACCGGTACAGTTCTCGGGAGAAGCTCGAGAAGCTTCTTTGGGATGCAGTTGTGAATAGTGAAGGCTTTGGGTTGAAGTGATACCGCCTTCTTCTCGGGAACTTTGCTTTTTTGATTTCTTGGCGCTCGCTCATTGCCGTGCCCCTCATGATGGCTATGAATGTTTTGTATAGACACGCTGGGCGTTTGCTTTTATTTTTCTTTTTGGACAGGCATTTGTCTTGAGAGTCTTGAGAGAATGGAGTTGGCTATGCCTTTGCTCGGTGCGATGCACTGTGGACTCATTCTTTTTGTTCCTTTGCTGTATTTCCAAATGCACAGGGAGGCGTTTTACGGTTTCATTGCAATGACACACGATTTCTCCAGTTTGGAACCCAGTCTCCCCGCAATAAATGAACTAATTTAGCGGGGAGACAAGTTTTGCTACGTAAATCGACTACTAATAAGGTAAAGTCTCCTGGACTTTATCTACGTGAAGCCCGGACTTTCTTCGGGTCGGCTGGCCGCGCGAGATGCCGATATAGGCCGTTGTCTCCTTTGACCGCATCCCGTATATCTGCCTTCTCTGGTGGTCCCTGGGAAGCCTGGATGAAGAAACCCGAGGAACAGTCACACTAGACATAACTCAACTTTCTCTTTTGAAAGGTCTTGCCAATTGTGTTTCAAACTGTCTTACTTGATGGCTCAAGCATCATCTCACGGCTCATCTTTCCAAGTATGAATGACTGATGAGATGATTGTGCAGTCTTCTCGGTATTCGAACCCCACTATGCGCCTTTTCTCGGACGATGGGACAAATCTAGAGGGCGATTCCGTCTTCGGCGTGTATCCTGCTGACCGATGACCGAGTCATCACGAGAAGGGCCTTGGCCCCTTTGCCATGTTAAATCCGGCACTAGGCCGACAAATCCACTCCGAGATCCCGTGTGTAAACTGTGTATGCCTCGGGGAGGAAGTAGATGCGGGGGTTGGAAAAAGTTCTTGTCCAGATGGCTGATGCTAAGCTCCACTAAGGTTGGGATTCGTCCGCTGCTTGGCCACTTAAACCAAGGAAAACTCTCTTTTACCCACACTGGCCACGCGAGCCGGGCAACCAAACCGTGGAAAAGATATCAACAGCCACCAATTTGCGCTACCACGGTGAGAAACTGAAGTTTTTGAATGATTTTCAAGCTTCGTATTTGCGTATTTTGGACCTCCCCTGCGCAGTCCAAGTCTACAGTAATCACAATCCTTGCCGTGACCTACAGCACCCCAGATTTGTGAACCCCATGCGAGTCCTGCACAAAGCCCCACATTCAGCATCCTTCATCCCCACAACTCCGCGCTGTTGGCCCTCAGACCTCCACACTCTGTGCGGTAAAGTGTAGACCAGATCTTCGGCACTCCTCCGTGGAATCAGTTGGCTGCCTGAACACCAAATGAGAGTGGATTCTGCTCCTGGAAGAGGTTAGCACGAAAGGACGTCCGATAAATCTCCGTTGCTCTAGAATGTTCGCGGGTTGCTTGTGTGAAACATTCCCCAGATAGATCTGAGGACAAAGGATCGATAGAGTCCTGTGGAGGAGGAGACAAAGGGCAGGTAATTCCACAGTCCAAATAGGTGAGACTTCCAGTTCAAGTCCTGATATAGTTCATATAGACGCTATACTAAAGACCATGGAGGATGCGTATATCCCGAGGAAGCTCCTCATTTCTTGCAAAATCCTTTCTCTGGACCACAGGAAGTACTAGGGAGGCCGGGCATCCGAAGTTTAGCCAGCCCGAAAGTCAAAAAAAGCCACTAGTCGCGAACTTGCTCCGATAGGCCCCTCCACAACCATCATTTCAATCTACCCAGACCTAGAGCACAGACGCGGGGTTGGCTTTCTTCACCCCATGATGCCAAGTGTGGAGAGGAAGTATACTCCACGGCTCATGTCGACGACTCAAGAGACGGGAGCAACGCCCTGGGTATCGGCCAAAGAGGAAAGAATGAAGGAAGATCTGTCTCTGTATCCCAGATTGTGTTCGGACTCCCGGCAAATGTCATCGCCGACGAGATGCAAGCCGTGCTATGACAGCATAGGAGTACCTAGGAAAAAAATTATTTAGAGAAGCTCGAGTCGCCTGTCTGGTGTCCCTGTTGATCACGAACTCACTTCAATCCGATCACGGCTCGATAGAGTGTACCTGAGCACGATGGTCTCTGCAAAGCAACTAGCATTGGCTGCGGCCATGCTGTCTGTTTGTGGACTGAGCTATGCGGAGAGTAACATTACCTCCGATACTTATTTCTATGGCCAGTCTGAGCCTGTATACCCCTCGCGTAGGTTGAGTTCTTTCCTTTGAATCCCTGAGGGTTCTGCTAGCTAAAACCACACAGCCAATGCTACCGGTTCTGGTGAATGGGCCAAGGCCTATGAGAAGGCCGCTGCCATGGTCTCCAAGATGACTTTGGAAGAGAAGGTTCGTCGCAATATTAGTAATCCATATCTGACAGCGATACTGACCGTTGTAACCAATCTTCCAGAACAACCTCACGTATGGTATCAGTAGCACTGCGAATGGATGCTCTGGAAACATTCCGGCTATTCCTCGTTTGGGATTCACAGGTCTTTGTCTTCAAGATGCAGGACAAGGTGTCCGCAATACCGATGCTGTTAACAGTTACCCGAGTGGTATTCACGTCGGCGCTAGGTGAGTCTCATAGCTCCTCCGGAATGATGAGAATTTTACATCTAACATGCGTCTTCCATTAGCTGGAACAGGACTCTTGCCTACGAGCGAGGCTGGCATATGGGTGGGGAGTTCAGAAAGAAGGGTGTCCAGGTAGCATTGGGCCCAGTCGTTGGCCCACTGGGAAGAACTACTACCGGTGGCAGAAACTGGGAAGGTGAGTGCCAAGAGGTAGAGAGCGGCGATATTCGCATTGCTAACATTCTCAAGGTCCCTCCAACGATCCCTACCTCGGTGGTGCGCTCGCCGCCTCAACCGTCCAAGGAACACAAGAGCAAGGTGTTATCACAAGTGTCAAGGTATGTCATTCACCGGAGCAGTCATTGGAATGCATTGATACTAAATCTCAAACTATCTATAGCACTTCATCGCCAACGAGCAAGAGCTTTACCGCAACCCTACCACAAACTCCGATAACCAGACTGTCGAGTCCATTTCCAGCAACATTGATGATAAGACCATGCACGAGCTGTATATGTGGCCTTTCCAAGATGCCCTCAAGGCAGGTGCTGGAAACATCATGTCAGTTGCATCAAAATGGACAATTGATGGGATTTTGGCTAACCCTTCCCTAGGTGTTCCTACAACCGAGTGAACAACTCTTATGCTTGCCAGAACAGCAAGGCTTTAAACGGACTGTTGAAGACCGAGTTGGGCTTCCAGGGCTTCGTCGTGACCGATTGGGACGCACAGCACTCCGGTGTGGCTGCAGCCCTCGCTGGTCTTGATATGGCCATGCCCGACGGTCAATCCTTCTGGGGAAACAACTTTACAGAGGCTTTCACCAACGGTAGTGTCCCCGTGTCTCGTCTGGACGATATGGCTACTCGTATCATTGCAACTTGGTACCAGATGGGACAAGATGACTCGAGCTATCCCGCCCCTGGTGTTGGCATGCCGTACAACATCAGCGAGCCTCATACTATTGTGAATGCTCTCACTGCTGATGCCAAGCCCGTTTTGTATGAGGGAGCCGTGGAAGGCCATGTTCTGGTCAAGAACGTCAACAATGCTCTCCCCCTCCAGTCTCCCAAATTGGTTTCAGTCTTTGGCTGGGATGCTAAGGCCCCTGATACCATGATGCCGAATGGAGAGTTCTTCATTTACAACCCCTGGACTTTGGGCTTGGAGCCCGCGATCTACCAGACCGGCGACGTTTTCTTGAACTCCGGCCTTGACGTGCCTGACTACTACCAGGTTGCATTCAATGGAACCCTCTCGGTTGGTGGTGGCAGTGGTGCAAGCACTGGCCCTTACCTGAGTGCACCCCTCGATGCTCTCCAACAGCGGGCGTATGAGGATAACTCCCTGCTGATGTGGGATACCTCTGTGTTGCCCTCTTCCCGTGGTCTGATGGAGGCTTCTGATGCATGCTTGGTCTTTCTTAACGCCTTCGCTACAGAGAGCATGGACCGTCCCGGTCTGCGTGAGGACTATTCAGACGGCCTAGTGAAGCAAGTCGCATCAACTTGCGCTAACACCATCGTTGTCATTCACAATGCCGGAACTCGCCTCGTCGACCAATTCGCTGACCACGAGAACGTCACCGCAATTGTCTTTGCCCACCTTCCCGGTCAAGAATCTGGCCGTGCTATCGTGAACCTGCTTTACGGTGACGAGAACTTCAGCGGCAAGCTTCCCTACACCGTTGCTAAGAACGAATCCGACTACGCGACTTTGTTCCACTCTGGAGCAGTTACCCCTTACGGCCTCTTCCCCCAGGCGGACTTTGACGAGGGTATCCTCACTGACTACCGTTACTTCGACAAGCACGGTATCACCCCTCGCTACGAGTTCGGCTTTGGTCTCTCGTACACCACCTTCTCCTTCTCCGACCTCAAGGTCTCCGCCCCCAAGAAGAACATCGCCGCTTACCCCAGCGGAGCCATCGAGCAAGGTGGTGCAGTTGACCTGTGGGAAACTGTTGCGACTGTCACTGCCAAGGTCCGCAACACTGGCCGTAAGTCCGGTGCCGAAGTCGCTCAGATCTACATCGGCATCCCTGGAGGCCCTATCAAGCAACTCCGAGGCTTTGAGAAGGTCCTGATCCCCGCTGGCAAGTCTGTCAAGGTGACCTTCCCCTTGGCTCGTCGTGATTTGAGTACTTGGGATGTCGTTGCCCAGAAGTGGTTGCTCCAGAGTGGAACCTATAACATCTATGTTGGTTCTTCCAGCAAGGATCTTCCTCTGACTGCGACCATGCAGGTCACTAGCTCTTGAGTGGCTTAGAATTGTCTTTTGTGTTGCACCCGTTTGATAATAGACCAGTATCGCGGCCGCGAACTACACACTTTGCGAGATTTTGAATGAATTCTGGAATATAATACTACATTTTTTTCCCCAGCCATAATCTTCTATAAACGGAAATCATGCACTGAGACGTCTCCCAGCCTGATACAATAGCGCGAGACAGCTAACATTACCCCACCACCAAACCAAACCCCGAATCCAAGCCCACTTCGGCGTCCCAACAAAAATATAAACACCCCCGTAAACAAGACGAGCAATCGTATACGAAAAACCAGCAGCATTAATAATTTGCGCTGGAACCCCAGCATACGACGCGAAAAGCAGACTACCCACAAGGAGGGAGTAATTCTCGACCGAATTGGCATGAGCTGCGTCATTACGCTTGAGCATGTCGAGTTGTTTACGTGTGATTTTTCCATCGCGGACGGCAGCTTCGCCGTATTTGGCGAGGTCCTCACGCGGAGATACTTGGTGGTCGATGCCGTACCATTGCTTTAGTGTTCGCGAGGAGAGGACGCCGTAGGCCCAGAGGAAGTGGAATCCTAAGAAGGCGGGGCCGAAGTTTGGGATTGGTGAGTTGAGGGGATTGGTGGCTCGGAGACCGATGGCTGTTAAAAGGGAGGTCATTTTGATGATTGTTGAGGGATATTGGGCTTTATCGGGGGTGTTAGGAGGATGGTGCCTTTATGAACGCTGGTGAGGGGCTTTTGGCCCCCAAAAGCCGGCTTACTCGGATGGAATATATGCTGCTATTAAACAAGGGGGTGCACTAATGGCAGTCTGATCAGAACAGACAGGTCGAGGCACGAAAGGGGTAAGCAACTGGCACAAGAAACAAACAGCCCAAGTAGCATAGTCGGTGATGGACTGGAGGCCTCCAGTTCATGATAAATCGACAAATGACTTCAACCGCCTACTAGCCAATAGGACTGTAGGCCGTCAGGTAGAAGTGAAGAGACGGTACGACCGACTGGAATGAAAAATCGTCATAAAACCGAAAAAGAATGTACTGCGATTCAAATTGACTAGACTGACAGATAGTTGTCCCTCCCCTTTCCCCTCCCCTCATCCTCTCATCCTCATACATGAAGCCTTAGCCAGGGTTAACAGAACAAACAGGCCAAACAGTGCAAACGGAGCAAACAAAACGAACAAAACAATCAAGTAAAATATGACAATACCGAAAGAGAGCTCTTGCAGAAGGAATCGACCAAATCAAATAGAAAAGACTGTCGTTAGCAGCATGCCCAAAAATGATATTCTGGCAGCGGTTCCCCACTACACTAGAAGCACTTTAGCTAACTTTGATGCCCTACAGCCGAGTTCCAATCCAAACACGGTTGATCTATTGCCTCAATCGGAACAGTTGTATCCTATCCAGATCACGCACTTCAGATTCGAGATCGCAATCTTCCGGACTAAGCGGGTTATTTTGCTTCCGAACAATCGAGACGCCCTAAACCTATTTTTCGAACAACTAAAGGAATATGAGTTCTATTTCTACTTTTCTCCGAATAAAGAGAGATATTTGTCGCACCAAGAATCTAGAACAATCCCTTACATAGACTGTTATCCTCTTTGCATTCACTTTCTATTTTCGAGTTTGCGCGCTGTCTATTGCCAAGGTTGTCCTATACACCCTGTCCATTCAGGTCAGATAATGTCTGGGCAGACGAATAGCAGGGAGGAGATGGCCGATATAGTGAGAACTTTAGCTCAGGCCGCGATCGAACTCGTCTTGAATGCCCTAGCAGGGGCTTTTGAGTACGACAGATTTTGAGAAGAAGGGATACATTTCCATTGGTATTACGATCCCTGTTTGTTGGTATGGGGTCTCTGGGACGATTTGTCTAATGACAGGCACTTCTTGTCTGGTACTGTGATGTATGCCAGTTCGTAATAGAATATGACGAGACGCATCAAGAATCCTTAGAGAAACGCGATATCTCAAGATGGTTTAGTTCTGAACGCTTACTTTCTTGCCCGTTTCGACATGCGCCATGGGTGGGTTCCCTTTGGACACTCGTGTTCTGAAAATTTCGATAGCATAGCTTATGTAAAATCACAATGCAACCGGCAAAGACGCTTGCTCCTAGAATACTGACCGTCACTTTCAGGTCGCCAAGTTCAACCGCGAACCCACATTTACACGTCCCAAGCGAGTTCTGAACAGGGACGAGACAAACTATCCACCGGGGCGAGTATTATGGGCGAAGGTTAGAGGTGCAACTTGTTTAGCACTAAACCAACAGCCAGAACGATGAGCTGGCAATCTCCTCTCCTTGCGAGCGACTCGGGTATATTCCTATTATAGAAGCCAGAGGAGTAATTGGCGGACACATGGAGCGCGAACTTGCTTTATGAATCAATAGGAAAGATACATAAATAAGACAAAAGGTCGTAAGTATGAAAACGAGACTGAGCACGTAAATTTCCTTCATATCTATAGACGTCTGGGAAGTAGACAGTCAAAAGGTCAAGGCAAAGTAGAACCTTTCAGGACTAGAGAACACAAATTTACAATTATTGGACTCAGCAAGGCACGCGAGGCGGTGTCGAGGAAGTCCCATAGCTCCTATTTTAGCTGAGCGAGATGCCGCGCAACTCGACAGAGTGCAAATTGGCCGATCCCCCAGTCACCTCCAAGGACAGCCCGTCGGAGGTCTCGCTGGGAAAAATCAGGTCTGAAATGACAACTTCTCCTTCCCCACCAAAGACCTCCACCGAGCAAGTGTCAACTAGGACGCGGAGATGAATTACGCCAGAAGCATCTGGTTCCAGGGAAGCACTGTGGACTCCGCCTGCAGCGGGGTCGTAGGAGATGTCTCCACTCGTCGTTCGATCAACGGATATCGACGAATTTGTCTGGTCATACTGGATGATTGTCTGCTCCGACGCAGCCTTGCGCACTGCCAGCGAGAGTTTGGCGCCTGCGTTAATGGTAAAGGCAAGATTGATATCTAACGCGGTTCCGTGGATGGATGAAAACAACGTTTGGCCAGTGGTGATCGTTTGATTCCGGATTGACGCCAGCGGGGAACCCATGAGGGCGAGCTCGGTGACAGGCTGCTGGAGGAAGTATCGCTTGGAGGAAGTTTCCTTCAGGGTAAGGGTCCGGGGGAAAGACAACATCCCTTTCCAAGTATTGGTTGGTGGACTAGCGCCGTAGCTGTTCATAACGGAGGCAAGGATCCGCCGGCCATCTGCAACAGGAACATTTTCCCAGCTCAAGGCACCGTCGAAATCGCGACCGTGGTCGAGCCAAAGGGTAGAAGGATCGACAGGGTCAGGTCTGAATGTTGATCCGTCAAATGAGCCTGTCAGGGCTAAAACACCGTTACCACCGGCGGGAGATCCGTTTGCAGGGGTTATAATCAACACCCAGGTGGTCGCGTTTGTGCCCTGGATAGGGAGCTCGAACATATCAGGCACTTCCCACCCAGTAATTCCAGAGGGTAGACCCTCGACCTGGTCAGCAGAAAGGTCGCTCTTCCATGCCCAGGACTTTGCGTCCGACGATGTCCAAAACGTCAGCTTGTCCTGTCCGCCATGGGCCAGGACCATGACCCATTTCCCAGATGCCTGGTGGAAAAAGACCTTGGGGTCACGGGTCTCTAGTCCCCCGGTCTCGTCATGCGGTGACTCCTGGGTGGCAGAAATAATGGGATTGCCCGGGTACTTCGTCCAGGTCACGCCATCGTCAACGCTAAAGGCAAGACGCTGGTCCTGGGTCCCGTTGGAAGGAAAATAACCAGTGTAGTAGGCCAGATAGGGTGGGCTGGTAGAAGATCCCAGACCAGAGGTGTTGTCGGCATCATAATAGCTGGTGCCGGTGAACGCTTCGACGCCGTTCTCGCTTGTTATGGCAAGGGGCTCGTGAGTCCACTGGACCAAGTCACTACTAGTTGCATGGCCCCAGTTCAGATTGCCCCAGACATTTGCTGTTGGGTTGTGCTGATAGAACAGGTGCCAGGTTGACTTGATCTTAATCAACCCGTTGGGCTCGTTCATCCAGTTCTCCTCGGGGACAAAATGGTAGATTGGGCGGAAGTCATCCGCCATGACCCGAGTGGCGAGTGTGAATGCTAAGGCGAGGAACATGGTTGCTGCAACGATTCAAGTGTGCTTGTAAAGCGGTACGTAGAAGTGTGCTGACACCCATCCTCAGTTCTGACGACAAAGGCAATTTATACCCTCAAGATGCCATCAAGATCGTCACTTACGATCTCGTCGTTCAAGATCACCATCCAAGATTGCCATTCAAGGTTGTCATTCAAGGTTGCCATCCAAGATCGTCGTTCAAGGACGTCCTTTTTCACCCAGGCCAGGGGCATCCCAACTTTGAGTGGTCTTCAGATTGAGCAACTCCTGAAAACACATGCAATTACCACTGCATGTTACCCCTGCATATCACCCCCACTTACTCTGTACTTGCCCGGATAAACCAAACGAGAAGCACCTTGGGGCATCGCGGACCACCTAGTCTGTTCCGCGAGAACCTGGACCCACATTGATAATTCGTGGAGGTATTATTGTGGGGAAAACGCCATGGCTTGCGGGTTCGGATATCCCCGTATTGCTCTCGGGATGCTCGTCAGAAACATTTCGCAATAGGACCGGGCAGTTGCCAAGTTCGTCTTCTGTGATATCTGCTTCTGTCTTTGCAAAAATCTGTCTTAAATTGACTTTCGAGGCGAGAAGTCCAGCTCCTGATGTCATTCTTGGGGGCCGCAATGTTGGATAATCTGCGCGGACATGATGACTAAATGTAATATACACTTCTAACTATGTGATAACTATCCACCTTTCAATGGTCAGGTGATATTCTGGGTCTTTACTTTTCCGCTACTAGACACAGGGTGAGCGTGGACGAAACTTGTCATGTAGGGATGCATGACGGTGGTATTGCATTCCATGTGACCAATTTCTCCAATCCGCCTCAGCATTGGTGATGTCGGGCTGTTCCTTTAGCGTCGCGGGCGCGGAATATTCTCGGTAAAACTTTGTGTCGGGCGTCTGTATCCCGCTGCTTTGTATCCGTGCCTTCGCTACGGAGTACGCTGCGACCCACCCATCGGCTTACGCGTAAACGGATGGGTGGGTCCTAGCGAAGGGCACGGATACAATGCTACCGTTAATTCTTCCTGAAAGTCTCAATATTTGCCTGACAGCTGAATATCATCCACGGAGCAGAGGTGTACTTGCATATCAAAAGGGGATTTACTGGTCAGACGCAGAAGCTTTTTTAGCGTTTTAGCATCTTGCTCTTCCTCATGATCACGTTGTCGCCCTACGGTGCCGACGAAATTGAAAAATCTGGCCTGAGGGCATTTTTCTTGGCTTAATACGTGGTTAAATCAATATTAGCCCGTAACGGATCGGCCCAGATTCTGTTTCGATTCTGTTTCGGTATCTCGCTCAGCCGTGGCCGGCTTCGATTTCCTGGGGTTTGAGTTCCGATCGGGCAGTCTTCGGAGAAAATAGTCGGGGCCCAAACCCCGGTCTTGCTGAGCCGTCCGACTCGGCAATTCGGTGTGAGCTAGTAAAGTTCGCCCGTGCCGGTTCCTTCCGAGTGGGGGAGGGGAGGAATGTTTTTTGCCAAGTGGGCCTCAGAGTTTTGGGGCGTCGCTCATTTATTCATTTATTACTTCGTCGAGTTATTACAGTACTAGGCATGTTGGGCCTTGAGGTTCCGGCCATACCAACAAGGACCTAGTGCTTTGCAATGTTGGACCTGATACGCAGCATTCCCTGTTTTTATTGTATATATTCACACAGCCCCATAATAATACAAACCTGATACACATGCACAACGCTTTTCCAGAAAAGAAAGGACTTCATTGGCGGATACTCTGGGGACTTGTGGGGGTCTGGGGCATGGAGGCCGGGAGACAAACTTTTCGGCGAAACAGGGATTACATATAGAGGGCATTGGGGTCGTCTCACCTCCTATTCATTCTCTCTTCCCCTCTGACCCCGCACAATCCTTTTGTCAAGTTGATTCGACCGACTTGAAATGAGCGAGAAGTACGAGGAAAAGCCTGACGCCGTGGGCAAAGAGTTCAGCGATGAACTCACGCCCGAGGAGCGTGAGCACGAGATCGAGGCACGCGACCTGCAAAGCCACCAGTATCTTGACAACGAACCACTGTATGACCGGATGGCGTTCGCGCAGATACCAGTGCATATGAAGAGCCCTCGCATGCTAGTTATCACGCTGGGCGTGTTCGCGGCGTTTAGCGGCATGCTGAGTGGCTTAGACCAGTCGGTGATCTCGGGCGCGCTGCCTGGTATCCGCAAGCATTTCATCGCGTCAGGCGAGTGGGCGAGCATGGACGACCCGAAACTGGCAACCGACATTTCGCTGATTTCTTCACTCATGCCGCTAGGCGCAATGGCCGGCGCGCTTATCATGACACCGCTGAACTTCTACTTTGGACGCCGCAACTCGATTATCATCTCGTGTCTGTGGTACACACTAGGCGGTGGACTTTGTGCAGGCTCCCGTAGTGTGAGCATGCTGTTTGCGGGCCGATTTATTCTGGGTATCGGTATCGGAATCGAAGGCGGCTGTGTCGGTATCTATATCTCGGAGTGTGTGCCGCCAGAGGTGCGTGGCAACCTAGTGTCGGTGTACCAGCTGATGATTGCATTCGGAGAGATCATCGGATACGCCGCTGGCGGCGTATTCTTTGACGTCCCGTCAGGAAGCTGGCGCTGGATGCTGGGCTCGTCGCTGTTGTTTTCGACGATCCTCCTAGTTGGGATGTGCTTCCTGCCAGAATCACCGCGGTGGCTAGCATCCAAGGGCAAGTACGGGCGCGCGTGGCGGGTATGGAAGTCGCTACGCAACATGGCGGACCCGAAAAGCCTAGACGAGTACGTTACGATGGAACTCACGGTCAAAAATGATGTCGAACGGTCCGCGAACGAGAAATGGCACGAAAGGTACCTGGAAGTGTGCAGGCAGCCGCGTAACCGACGGGCTCTTGTCTATGCCACGGCTATGATCTTTTTTGGGCAGATGACGGGCATCAATGCGGTGATGTATAACATGTCGAACTTGATGGCCAAAATGAATTTTGATGACCGCGAGTCAGTACTGATGTCGATGGTGGGCGGCGGCGCGCTGTTCCTGGGAACGATTCCTGCCGTGTTCACGATGGACAAGTTCGGGCGACGCGTGTGGGCACAAAACATTCTGATGTTCATCTTGGGACTGACACTGGTGGGTGTCGGCTACCTATACACGAACAATGGTGTCGATTATTTCAATGAGCACAAGGCAACTGCCTTGGGATTGTTTTTCTCCGGTCTAGTGCTGTATATGGCTTTCTTCGGGGCGTATTCCTGCCTGACCTGGGTAGTCCCAGCAGAGAGCTTTGATTTCAACACCCGCAGTCAAGGCATGGCAATCTGCTCTGCATTCCTTTATCTGTGGTCATTCATCGTGACATACAACTTCGAAGGGATGCAGAAGGCGATGACCTACACCGGCCTGACAATCGGTTTCTTCGGCGGGTTGGCCGCGCTGGGGTTTTTTTACCAGCTGTTCTTCATGCCTGAGACCAAAGACAAAACATTGGAGGAGATCGACGAGTTGTTTCTGATGCCGACAAGTAAGCTGGTTGCGCTGAACACAAGCAATCTGGTCAAGCGCTTCCGGCCGCGACACAGGCCGGAGCGGGTCGACACCCACAACCCCTAAGACTTGTCCTTTTCACCTACCGGACCAATGTTCGTGGTACCAACAAAGAGCGACAAGGCTACTCAAGTTGAATGTATTGAAAGCATGAGCACCAATCCACAGCCCATTGGCGAATAAATTTTAACTTGATAGATATCTGAGCTTTCTCGGTAGATCCAATGCTGCCATTCCATAGCACATCTTGTCCTGTGAGAGAGGAAGCAACAGCGTAGAGCGAGAATCTCTCTATCTGATAAAGACACTTTTCCATCCACTACCTTCCATGCGAAGCATATTGTCACGGGGTGCACTATGGCTGCCTTAAATCCATGCAGCGGAGAGTATAAACGACTCTGAGGATGCGGGCCATTCACCATGGGAGAGGGTTCATTGCTAGCACTTGTTTGTCTCAGGCCCCCTAAGCCCACAACTAATCAGGCAGACCTCATTCGCGTCTAAGCCAACGAGCAGATCCGGCTGTGTGAGCAAAAAGAGAAAGAGTACAGCCAAGTCATCACAGCGGATTGTGACTACAGTGAATACAAGTCCTTCTCGGCGATAGGAGTAAATCCATAAGTTAACGCCGTCCTTTGAATGATGCTTCACAGACCAGGTCAATCAATATATCTCGTGTACTGCCATTCGCCTTTCCCGTCTTAAATCTGTGAAGTGCCGTGATGACACTTCCCCCCTTTTCGGCCTAGTGTGTCCCTCCAAAGTTGAACAACTGGTCCGGAGCTCGCGTGGCTTTATCCTAGCTCCGCTCGATGACATTAGTCCATATAATAAGCACGCTTAACCCCGGACCCTCGAACATTGATAATCAGGAACCACACGAGCCCTAGAACTCATTAAAGTCTCCCAGTCTATTCAGTGACAATTTACGCAATGGAGTCTTTGGATCAAATAGTTGCTTGTGACGCCCAGGATTCCAATCGTCGTCCACTGCAAGCAAATACTGTATCACTCTGGGCGCTGTTAATCAAGATGGTAAGGAAAATTAGTCCAGAAATAGCGACTGACCCATACACTTGATTAATGTTTTCGTGGAGGCACGTTCGAGTATGTAAAGTCATTTGGCTGTGCCAATGACGTGGATATCGAGCAACCTTCGGGTGATCCAATCTATGGCATCGCGTCATGCACGAAACTCATCACAACGATTGCAGTCCTGCAATGTGTCGAAAAGGGCCTATTGGAGCTGGATGGTGACATTTCGGAAGTCCTCCATGAATGGAAAAATCCGAAGATTCTAGTCAGATTTGACAAAGGTGGAGAGCCGGTTGTGGCAGATAGCAATGGCGTTATAAGCCTTCGGTAATGAGAACCATCTCTGCTCGGATCACTCGGATCGCGCTATTTATTCGGACCCAATCGTTCGCCTTCGTATCAAAAGTATTCGGCCTGAGTCGAGCGAAAATCTATCGGTAGTTACCCGACCGCCTCCCCCCTTACTAGAGAACTAATTCTGATTAAACTAGGTCTGCGCGCCTTGAATCATAATAATCCGCTAGTACGCTGAATTAAATGCTGGTGTCGGAACCTGGTGGACCCGCAAACGTCTGCCTTATATAGGAAGTGATTTCTGATAATGTTGGGACAGAGAGTCGCACCTTATAGAGAGTTTCTCTGAAAGCTACCAAGTCCATTATACCGTTTGACCCTCTCGTTCGCGTGACTGCTTAGTAAGAGCAATATATGTTGCATTTCTCCCCTAAGAATACAAAGAAGGGCTTTCTCGAACCTCACCAAACTGACTGACAAAAACTTAGGCTAATGTTTGACTATTTTTGGTGCTCTGTATATTGAAGTGCTTTCTATAGAAAAGTACCCGCGATTTAAGAGCTAGCCAGCTATAATATGTATGCCAATTGATGTTCAGACCCTAGTACAGCAGGAAATTCTCATTAGAAGTGCCTCAATGTTTCTTTGGTGGGTTTCCTCAAATGTAGGGAGCGGCTATATGTAAGAATATACTCTACAAGTCAGGGTAGAGGCCTGTCAATCACGTAGGAGAAAGGAGCCAAGTTAGGATGTCCGGAAAGTCAAGACTGTTTCTTGAGGAGCGTAGAATCTCCTCCTCGTTTCTCAGTTTATATACATTCTCATAACTCAGAACAGGAAGGAGATGCATCCTTGAATGGAGAGGGAAAGCGGGATAAACACGAGGCTTTTCATACTCTTCACCTGGGATCTTCCCTGCAGGCGCTTCCTGGGGTGTTGATAACGGATCGTTGGTGAATTGCTGCCGAAAGGCCGTCGATCTGCCGGACCCGGGGCCTCAGGCACCAACGTGTGAATAACCTCATGTTGAGGTATATCATAACACTATAGCAGCATTCAAATAGCGAAGAAGCAGATCTTCAGACAAGAGCTGTTACACTCGACTGTTATACTCGACTTATTTCCTTGCTAGACATATATGGATAAACTAAACAAAGTATAATAATCTATGGAATAGCCGGGTTTTTATTTTGCTGTCTTGGAGCGGGCGAGCGACACTCAATAAAAGATGTCAAAAATTCAGACGATGTCCGTTAATCGTGATTTATCCATATAAGTGGAATCCTGTCGAGGGCAGGGATTAAATCGAAAGTTTCAATAGATATTTCAGATACTTAAAAATACCAATCAAGGAGATATTCCCCTGCTCATTTTTGCTACAGCCTCAGCTAAAATACCCTGCATCGTATGTAGTGATGGACCAAGCTCCGCGGCATCCTCGAACAGCTGCACGGCAGCATGGATACCCTTCAAAATTTCCGGAGTGATAATGCTGGATAGGCCGGGGCTCTCTTTTGCTCGAAGTGCCGCCATGGTGATGATAAATACACTGGAATATCGTTTAGCGTACAAGAAAAGGCTACAGAAAATGATCGTCATACCTGGCATAAAGTGTCCATGTGTTCGGAAGGCACTGCGGGATACAGGCAACTGCACTCAGAACGAAGTGGTTATAAGATCGATAAAATTCAAGGCAGAACGACAGGAGCGTTGTATCGTATTGCTCTCTTTCTACCATGACCTGGTGGACTGCCGGCCACAGAATTGACGCTCTGTACGCATAGTATTGGGTTCGAAGAAAGAGCAATTGCGGATTGATATTGCACTCGGAAATGCAATAGCGATCGAAGCGTAGGTATTCCGGTAGGTGCGAGTGCCACTGCTCAAGCTGCAATTCCAACTCAGTCGATATAACGCGAGCGAAAATTTGCTTTCCGCTCGGTAATATTCGGGTCGATGTTGTACAGCGTTGGAGCATCCGCCGCATGGCGATCTCCGCCAGGAAGTATGACAAGAGCTGACTCGGGGACTGAGGACTGCTGAACGGGCGGCCAGGAGTGTCAACTGGCGTACTGAAAGGAGATGGCAGTACCTCATCTACATGCTGTGACCAAGACGGTAGAGGGATTTCGTTATCGAGGGTCCAGATGCCGCTACTAGCCAGATCCAGCTGGATTGCTAGCTCAATTTCGATCAACAGAGTCACCCATAATGCACGCCGAATAAGTTCCTGGTCTTCTGGGTTGAGAGAGGCACTCTTCAGCAGGTTCTGGGCACGCATAGACGCAATGAGAATATAATCGTGCGCTTGACAGGGCTTGACTAGGCATAAATAGTACGTGCTCAGAAATATTAGACATTGCAAGGCCGTGGGACCGCTTTCGAGAAGCACCGTCGGCAGTAGAAGCAGCGCCTCTTCCATTAATGGAGCGTCGGGTCGCTCTCTGAGCGCCGCATGCAGCGAGTCATACTGGGCCAGCGAACCTATCGCCACTAAGATCAGATACAGACAGCGCTCGGAAGCACTTTTTGGTAGGTCTCCTATGTTAAAGAGCTTATCGCGCAGCCGAAGGCTAAGGATAGGGTACCAGCTATGGATTTTGTTGAAAAAAGCCGTGAGAGCGCTACCAACCTCCATAAGTTAGGGTTTTGAGATCAGGCGGATTTCTGAGGAGACGGCTAGTTACTATGTTTCAGCACTCACCTGATCGGGCTGGAACCGCTGGAAAAGAACTTGCGCACTCCAAGGGACAAGGGATAGGGCGTCGGAACCATTGCTCGTTCAGCATCGGTCATACGGCGAGCAAGGTCGCTTTCGAGGCCCACGAGTTCCATAAAAGCCGCGTTCTGAATCACCATGTATGGAACGGAAGAAGATCTAAGTTCATCTACTTTACCGTTCTGCTCTCGGCCCCAGCCGGAGATCGGTATGGCGGCGGGCACCTGTTTAACCAGGCAACATCGGTCCTGCTGAGCGGAAGAAAACAGTTTCTCGATACTATTCAGTCGATCCCGGATGGTGCACAACTCTATTTCCACTCTGTAGCTGTTTTTAGCGTCTTTCAGATCCCCTTAGCTTTCTGGCAATATCTGTACCTCGATTGGGTCGGACTCGGCACTTCGGGATAGATGCAGTCAACTTTCCGCCGGGCGCAAGTCCCACATTTCGGCCGCGATCCGTCGCACTTTGTCCGTCGAGCACGACAACAGTCGCAAGCGCCGAGGTTGCGCCGTCGACGGTTAGTGGTTATCATGTTAGGTGCGTACGTTCGTACCTGAGTAAAACCTCAGTCCTCGCGAAAGACGCCGAGTCTCCGCGAGGGATATATGGTGAAACGGAAGACGGTCGCGTATTCGGACGAAAATGTTGCCCCGTACCACGCTAATCCTCACGGCTCCTTTTTCTTACTGGCTGAGGACCACGGGATTGGTCTAACCCAACCTATATTCTCGGTCAAGTTATAGTGACCTATTGCCATTGGGATGTAGTCAGCAGTGTCCGAGGGTGCGGAATTGATGTTGCAGTGTTGTAGAAAGACTGGGGGTTTTCCGGATAAGCCCCAAATCCTGGTCTATCCTCTGTCCAATCAAAGTTGATTGTTCACATTAAAATTTGTCCGACGCCTCAACCCTGTGAGTTTGGCACTGCACGATGCCGTCCCCCGCATTGAGACACCTCGCTTGCGCTATGCGGGACCGACCCACATGCATCCCGAGCCAATAGGACTCGGCCGGGGTATTCTGGAAGCTTGTCAAGTTTCTTTGCTCCTTGATCGTCCTGGAGTGAGTATGCAAGGTTTCCCCCAAGACTTCTAGAGGGGCCGGCAAGTAGATAGCTCACTGAGATTCTCCGCCATATTTCCGAAGAAACATCGAATTCTGGCTTCCCATGATGAGGAAGCGAGGTGTTATGCACAATACTCAACCGAGGCTGGACCTATATTGCAACTCAAAAAATCAGCGATCTCATTTTAGCAAATTCTCGCGTATCGCTTAGGACTGTCGTGGCACTACTACGTGCCGAGGATTGCCTTTGTGGAATTACATACAGCCCTGGGGATCGCAAATTCAGTTTACGAGGCTCAGAAAGGAGCGGGTTATTAATAAGGTTAAGTTCGTAACTTAACAAGTTTGTTAACTAACTGACCCGGGTTGACTAATTAATTAACTAAATAACTAACTAGTTAACTAACGGAATTCCCGCCTGAGCGGGACACCCAGAACACCATACTAAACGCGAATTTTTAAGCCATAATATATCAACAACAAAGAATGTTGGCTTGCTTGATTCTAAGATTACTATGATTTCTAATATAAGAACTTACATAGTATACCTCATTTATTCAGGAAATGATTGTTTACCCATATTACCAAAAATACACTCCGATCGATCAATGTAGATATATATATCCGTGTGATTGCACCTCAAAATATTTCTCGAGCTTATAAAATATCTAGTAGAATATATTCAATACTGAGGTACCATAAGATCATATAGCCAGCCTTAAGCGTTGTAATTTGAAGTTGTGAAATATTGCATTTAGTATGGTGTTTTGGGGTGTCCCGCTCATGTCGGAATTACGTTAACTGATTATTAATCTGCCCCGGCAAACTAACGTAATTTCCGGCCTTCCCGTACATCCCACCCAAAATCGCGTCTTCCTACTCGCATATCCGTGCCCTCCGCGAAGAGAAGCGAATGGGTGGGTCGCAGCGTAGCGGAGGGTACGGATACCAAGTTCAACCAACTAGTGCCAGTCGGTGCAGAACGAGTGCTTTCGGAGCTTAATAATATTTCTCTACGAACGCCTACACCACTAATCAGCCGGCCAAGCAGCAGATCTGGCCATTCCACACCAAAAACGCTCCGAACTATCCTCTAGCTACAAAAGCAAGCTTCTATATTAAATGATCTACTAAAGCGACGGTCAAGAAGCTCTCCAAGCCCGTCAAGAACCATATTGGATCAGATTATCAAAGGCACTGCAATGTCGTTACGGAGTACACAACGCTGCGTTGCTAGCACAGGAGAATACGAATTTACGCATGGAGAATGAGAAGATCGTTAAGAAGCGCAATCGGCTAACTAGGCAGATGCCTTATGGAGAGGGTTTAACCGTTGAAGAGGGCCTACAGCTAGGTTGCGCAGCTAGATTTGCCAGCAGAAGAAGTTGTGGTAGATTCGCATGCGCAGGTAGGCTGTGGCAGCATCCGCAAAAATCCAAATCCGCTCCGCATCCGCTATGGCAGCCTGTCCTAAGCTATCTCAAACATACTCCGCAGAGCCTTCACAATATGCAAAACATGGTACGTCTACTTGTCGAATCTGTCAGCAGTGGACCACATTTAAGGAATTCAGACTGGCAGAGCGCTGAACGCTTCTGGGACATGAGAGACTCTTGGTCATTCTTCCAAAAACTTCGACAAGCATTTCGTATCGATCAAGCATTTCTGAAATCACGTCACTGGCTCACATCGCCGCAGGAGCTGCAATACCGAAAGTACATTCTATCTCAAGCGATAACTAATGTCAAGAAATTTCGTCGACAAATAACGAGAGGCGATTTGAGTTTCGAAGAGATCAATAAAAGAATACCTAGTGTTTATGGAGCCTATGCTTAAGCCATGAATGAGATCGAAAATTGGATGGGTAAGTTAAAAAAAATTCGAAAGTAGGCAAGACTTTTACACTGGAATAGATTATCGATTCCCTACCACAACAAATCCCGGAGAGTTCTCTCTTTAATTTTTTGAGAGTTAGAGGATGTTCTAGAAGTAGGCGTTGAAAGCGAAGACAAACATAGAATGGAGGACTGATTTTCTGTAAACGTCCATACCACTTGCGCACTTGCGTCAAGACTACAAGTCTCGATCAAACATCCTCAAGCGGGCTTCCACGGCCTGCTCCTTCCAAAAATAGCTAGCTTGTTAAACCAGGCTTCCAAAATCACGAAGCACCATCTCCGAAAATCGAGATAGGAAACAGTGATCAAGCAGTAGGTTTCTCATTGGATGTCGGGACGTGAAGCAAATCGAGAATACCATGAATTTCCTTGTTTGGACCCAATGACATCTCCAACTCTTTAACATGACTGCGTGCTTGCTTCGTTAGCTGAGCTAAAGTTTCACGACAATACTGGAAGCTTCCCGTTGACTCCATGTACTGCACAGCACGAAGTTTGACCGCGTCGTCCTCACTGCGCTGCTTGAGGATATCGACGAGCTCTGTATTCCCAGGTGCTGCGTGGACGCTGTGAATGACTGGATAAGAGAACTTGCCCTCCGTCAAATCTTCCATCGACCCTTTCTTCTCAGCGTAAAGCCCACTTTGTAGATTCATGTAGTCGTCACGAATTTGGAAAATGATACCCAATAGCTCGATAAGTTCGGAGAAGTCCCTGGATCAGGTCAGCCCCACCACTATAGAAAAAGAATATCATGAGGTTCATACGTGGTTGACTTGCTTTGAATCTGCATCAATTCCAATGCTAGTCGAAACAACCCTCCGGTCTTATAGGTCACCATCCGGATGTAGTCCTCCTTTGTCGGACACACTACCGCATCACGCCAGTAGAGATCCATTCCTTGGCCCCGATGCAGATCTAGGAGGGCGTTGGTGAAGATATGAAATGCGCGTGGGTCACCGATCTCGCTGAGTCTTTCCTGTTGCAAAAAATATGCATAGTTTGCCGCGTTAATGGTTTGAGCCACGCCAAAAACTTCATGAGCCACAGGGCGACCCCGACGAAGCCGCGATCCATCCTGGATATCATCAATGCTAGGGGGGAGATTAGCACAAGGTACGGCACAAAGTGATTGAGACCCACAGTAATGATGCGGTGTGTAGCAAATTAATCACTTCCTTGACAATGGCAAGATTTTCGTCTGGTAGTTGAAGCCATTCATTGAAAGCAGCGATTAATTTGCCTCGAATGTCTTTTCCAGGGATGGAAAGTAGGTAGTCTAACGGAGCACGAATGATCTAAAGCAGGTCAGAACGAAATAAGCGACCTGCTTGAGCAGGCGTAAGGTATCACACCGTCTCATAGGGATCAACGCCCTGGTTTGGTCTATGGTGTGGCTCCTTACTCGGCCTAGTCGTGCGTGGTGCAAGATTCGGCTCAGCACGAAATGTTCGGAAGCTCTTCAAATCCAGCCTCCGATAACAGTCTGGAGGAACTGGGCTGTAACCATTCCAGAAGCCGAGGGGAAAAAACTGGGAAACGAAGCCGAAAAATGTCTCTGCGAGGAAGCACAACATATTTTCTTCCTGTGCGATGATTTTTGTCAGGATATCTTGATCTATCTAGGCAGGGAATGAGACAAGACATATCAGGTAATAAATGGCCCTTCTTTGTAGAACTCACTGTCTTACACAAATCCCCCGCGCGAGGTCAGAGGTACTTTGGCATTCCTTCGAGGACTTGGTAGCAAGAGCTGCAATTCGAACGGCTGTATGAAGGTTCAACTCAAACGCCAAGGTATACGCCCTGCAGTATGCAATGCCTTGGTCATGAGGTTTACGAATGCCTACCATGGTCATCCTGCGGCGTTACTGTAACTGGCCTTCCGTTTCTGGATTGTTAGATCTTTAATCAAATTCCGCAATTCTATCTGAAGTACTTATGTGTTTCGTGAAATTTGTGGCCAACGCATTCTAAGTACTGTACACAAGGCCCGACGGTGGGGGTTACGCAATTAACACTGTCTAGTCACAAAATTTGCAGAGTGTACTATTGAAACTTTGTTTGTCTTGTAAGATCTGTAAAAAAGTATCACGTCAATACCTGCAGTATCCTAAAACAGCATCTCGTTACAGTAACGTAAGAGTAATTTCAAGACGTGGTTGGCAACTCCACTTTTGGAGACTTCGTGGCCAGGCAAGCTGAAAAAGAAATATTTGATCTATAGCAAACAAAGTTATTATATGCACGATAACGAGTACAGTATGAAATTTGACCCAGAATATCCAACCAAGGCTTATGCCTCAGGCGCTATAGTAATACGAAACATGAAACAAACCAATTAGGAAACGTGGATCGTCTCGGGTAAGGCAGACCTACGTAGATCGGCGATCGATAGATCTGCAAGGCGTGCATATACTGATTACATGGATGCATGTAAGACGGCTCGTGTGGTACCCATAGATGCAAAGCCCGTGCATGAAGTATAGTTGCTATACACACATCACTGATTCTTTATCGAAGGAACTATGGTTATGTCAACAAGAGATAAATTGTTATCCGTCCGTTTCAAAGTACGATTTAATGAATTTATTGTATCATGGTGACAATCGCGTATTTTAATGCTGAATGTTCACTGTGAAAGTAAATAAACGATGAAAAACATCCCGAAACTGATAATATGACACGGAATTACAAAAGCACGCAATTCGTGATTGGAACATTTGTTCAACCCTAGCGCTTTATCTGCGGGGTTCAGACAAAAAACGCGTTCTCGGAAATGTAACGCAGCACCCATGATGATCTGCAGCGATCAGAGTTTGTGACGCCCTTTCTCAGTAACCGACGTCAATGTCTTCCAGTACAGCACCATAGCCACACTGCAAGGCCCCAGCAAGATCACTCCGGCCATTCCGGCAGTCAGTAAAATCCAAGAAGACTGGCAATTTCTTCGTCCGGTTGCCTGGCTGTAGGAGGCAACTGTCCACACTAGCATCGCCAATGCAGATAACGTATAGTCCCATTGGAGGAATTGCAGCACGCCTGCCTCAATATTCGTCACCTGCAGTTCCCTCCAGGGAGCCGGTGGAAAAAAGACGTGATATGAGGCCGTCTTGGCCCTGGCAAACCACAGAAATGCCAGATGTCCAGCAGTGGAACATGCAAAAGCAAAGGCACACGCTATCCTCAACTGCCAATCTTCTGAGCATCGCATAGGGCGCAGATAACGGATGATCAACATGATAAGTGAGGCGTAAACAGGCCAACCCTGCCAAGCTGCGATCAATTTCTGCTTTGTTTCATATGCAGTGACACCCAGGGTGGGTGATGCAGCAAATACAAGTGGGAGAATGTATGCAATGATCATTGAGGACGGGTAAAAGCCTATATCGAGTCCAAAATGCAGCTTGGTGTCATGAGTTGGTACATGGAATCTCGACAAAATCGCAGGAATCACAAGTCCTGGGCCAAGACATTGGACCAGTGGACCGGCTAGAAAAGCTAACCTGCAGTATTGAACTCGGTCAATCAAACTCCAACTTGTTGCATCGGAATCCGAGATGAGAACTTACTCCATCAATGCAGCAACGGGACGTCTTCCTCGATGTGTCTCGACCACGATCACCAACCACATTGGTATCACGGCACTAGCGAATGCCACTCCATATAGCGACAAGTTAGGTACCTCTCCTTGGAATACTGGCCAGAAGAATACATTGCATGCTGTCAGGAATTGATCCAGAGGAGTGAATCCGGTGTACTCGCAGTGCAGCCCATCAGGTAGCCCAGATAGAGACTTGGTGTCCGCCATATCAGATAAGAGACCAATAAAGCCGTTCCGGAATGACTGGTAGTACTTGGCATATGCTGCAAAGAGAGACAGTGATACCAGTGTCGCTGTTCTCGTTCGAGACATTTTCGATTTTTTTTTTTCAAAGTTGTAAACATAATGAGGTCTAGCTGAATGATTGGAAATGGCATGCGGGAGATGATACGATCGGGGCTACAAAAACACCAACCCAACAGCGATCGAGGTAAAGATTTGTAGGGGATGAGTCTTGCGAAGAAGGCACAGAATGCTCATTCATAATTCTGCGGGTGCTCACGTATTTCTTGTGATTAAAGTACCTACCAGCACAATTCGGCTAGGTTTGCTCAAAATGGGGCCTACGTGTCACAGGTACTGACCGACTAATGCAGAGAGATTGCCACGCGTCCTCGTTCCCCTATTACGGGAAATTAATCTATGCTACCTTAGTCAATGGCCTTCAATATGGATGAGCGAACTAACGGGTAAAACGTATCGAGGAATACCTGATATGGTCAAATATGAGAAGGTCTGATGGGTAGTCTCTCGGTAGTTGATCGAACAATTCAAACTATACATGACAAAGATAAGTGTACCAAATTCTCTTTACTCTATCATCTTTTTTCAAAATATGTGATTATAATAATTTATGGCTCTATTAGTTTTAGTAGAGACCAGTCAAAATTCAAAAAGAAAATTGCAGACTTCGTAGATTGCAAGGATTATAGAGAGCCTAACACTCAGGAAACGATTTTTCACCCCGAAGATGTCATAACAAACTATGTAGATGCCGACAGTTTCGGAATCCAAGCAACGAGCCACAGCCAGAAGACACTATTGAGTCCAGGTTTTCTCTCCAAATCCAAGTATACAGGATAGCAAGCATAATAATATACAGCATGGCTTGAAACCTCCAGCCGCGAAGCCGACTATTTCTTCTATATCGTTTCCATCCATCACCACTGCGCGTTGGAGGAGGTAGAAAGTCACACATAACTCCATCAGCAATGGTTTTGGACGCCATGTCGGCCGGTAGATCCCCTGCGTAGGGTGCGTAGTATCGACTGAGAAGAATATTCAGCAGGCCATCTCGAGCTTGAAAGCGGACCAGGAACCGTGAGTCACGGTAGATGGATTCAACCCGCTCATATCGAAGGCTGCGATATTGACGCAACATTGTCTCTATCTGGGCAGTACCCGAGGATAGTGTACTCGGTAATTTCTCCAGATTGCGCAGCAGGTTTGTCAGAGCTGCGGCATCCTCGATCGCCATATTCGCTCCCTGGCCAATGTTCGGGGTCATTTTATGGACACTGTCACCCAGGAGAACTAATCGGCCATGGTACCAAGTTTCGAAGGTGTTCTCTTCTAACACTGTCATTGAAGCCGTTTCCCGGTTTTCCCATACTTGCCCAAAAGTAATATCCCGGTAGAAATTTATGTTCCTCAATTCCTCGGCTGCGACTGAAGTATCATTTTTCGTGTAGCGAGGGCAGTTAGGATAAGTGTATTTCTTGTCCAACTTCTGTATGACAAACCAATACACGCGGCCATTCTTTCCATGGATTGTGACAATGGTCAGTCCATCGAATAATGCGTTCACTTGCTCTCCGACACTCAATCCCTTGATGGCCGATGAGATGCCGAAGATACAACGAAACTCCGCTGTCAAGCCTACATATTGGTTAGCTCCCATAAAAATGACCAAAGGCTCCAGGTTTTGACTCACAAGATCGTTGCTGTGCAACCATCTTACCTGAGCTGAGTTTCTCGCTCGCTCTCCAAATTTCCTGGCGGACTATGCTATGGACACCGTCTGCACCGACAACGAGGGCCCCTCGATAGACGGAGCCATTGGCCGTAGTCACTGTAGCACCAGAATCGGAAATTTTGATAGCGGTCACCCTCTCTTTCAAACGGATCTTACTAGGATCTGGATATCTCTGATAGATAATTTCCAAGAGCTTTTGACGGTCCAAGAAGGCAATGGGAAACCCAAACCTGTGCAACCCCGTAAAGAGCGTCAGACTGGTCCAGGGCCTGAATAAGAGATAGAAATTGAAGAAGACGAACCTTTTATTTATGATTTGGGGATAGGAGCTACTGAAGCTGAATCCGTCGGGAAGGCCAATGGTTGCCGTGTGTAGAGGCTCGATGCAATCCTCAACCTCAGACCATAGTTGGAGCTGGTCCAATATGCGAGCTCCATTCGGTAAAATACCTATAGAAGCCCCAATCTGGGGTGCTGGGCTACTCGATTTCTCGAGGACAATATGATCGATACCAGCGATTCGCAGGCAATGAGCCAATGTCAAGCCGCCGATTGATCCTCCTACGATTATCACTTGAAAGTGCGACTTGCTCATCTTTCACAATTTTGCTGGACATTCAAAGGCAGAAGCCTGGAGTGTCATATGAGACAAATTAAATTGAGCTGTAAGTAGACCGGGTGGCTGAGGTCTCCCCTCGAGTTCCATTCACGTGCATCAACAAAAGAGAGATAGGAAATTCATCTAACGCTCCATTTGCATTCAGACTGATGTTGTACACATTGTGTGACTTGTTCAACTCCCCGCATGCGTGCGCGTTTACCTTTGCGTGGGTCCCGCATGCAAGTGCTTTCTTTTTTCTCACTTCACTTATTTTTACTTGTTTTTGAATACTGTCACCATCTGTATTGACAGATCACTACGTAATGGTGAGATGTAAGATTTTATCTGGGTTTACCGGAAAGACCGATTTTACATGAGAGAAAGAATGACGGAGACAGCTAGGGTGCTACAATTCCCGACCACCAAATCAAGAGTTGAAGTTGCCTGCGAGACAGTTACTACACCACAGATGTACAGTGATGTTTATAAGTCTTCGTCCACCTGTTGATGAGATAGTATGTATGTAAGACTCCAAGACAAATACACGATATTACCATGACAATAACAGCTAGAGTATCCAAGAGAAAAAATATACCAATCAATTGGCCTTTTTCACCGGCTTCATGAGGACACTCAGTTCATACCGCTTGACATACCAGTAACATAGTCCATATGATCCATCCACAAGCAAGAAAACGGCCAGGCTCCACAAGACGAGGGGACTATTGAGCCACGAAAAGGACTGTGGCCAATACATCCAACGTAAGCCCGCAAATCCCACCGTGCAACACGATCCTAAAAAGCGAGACAGCCTAGACAATGTTGGCATATGTGTTTCCATCAGGTTCAAAGGACATGAGGGTCAAATGAAAGTGAAATTCACATACCATAGAGTATAAGAAGCCCCGCGGGTGCTACCACGACAAAGGAGCTGGCAGAGACCGCCAACACTTAGAAGAAGCTGACAGACGACCGCTCCCCAGGAGTAGGCCAATGAAGGACCAATCTCGGCGGCTAGAGCTAGGTGCCCAGTAAGAAAGCCGATGACACCGATGCAAAAAATCCACGGGAGATTCCGCTCAACTAGTGGCGCATGGCTCCATTCCTGGGACGAGAAGACAATGGCGGCATACATGACACCGAAATTGATGAGAAGGCCTATCACAAATACTCCCAGCTCTATTCGGCTCTTGGAGGGATGGACCACGCAATAGACAATCTCCCATGCAATGTTGCAACAGAGAGGCATAATGGCCATGCCATAAGTACGCTCCTTGAACGATGTGTAGACCATTCCAACGTAGTTTATCACCCACCCTAGTCCCATACCGAGGACAAACAAATCTGCAAGTGGCTTCACAGCCTGGTAATCTTGAGGGGCTTGGGAAACATCAAAACCGTCCATGATGGTGTATCTGGGGACGAGCAAAAGAATCGAGTCGGAATCAGGAATTGCACAAGGCTAAGGCCGGATATGAGGCCCGCCAACTACGCTTCTATTTATGTGTTATGTGCATGATCTGGTATGTCATGGAAGGCCTGATCTAATTAGACTATTTGAACGTGCGTTTCAATCGATGCGTCGTAATTTATGGGCAAAAGGGCACGAGTGGAAGGATCATACACAATGTTCACAATGAGTTGTTTCATAACCTTGGGGCTTGCAGCTTGCATGCAATCCAATGGACTAGAGTAAGATATATTCTGCATGGCAGTGCTAATTTATTGGTCATTAGGTCTTGGTCTATCGTCCAAATTTGACTGATACTGACAAGGTGATCTTGAAAATTTGTCCATGGCTCTAGTTATGCTTTTAAAACTCCACTGTATTATCCACGGGACTGAAAAGCAAATACCGTTCCGAGTCGTGAAGGATTGTATCTTACCATACATTCATACCGTGGATGGTAATTTAAGTACTTGGCAGAATACGAGCATGGATTCGACCTTGGCTTTTGGAAGTAACTTCAGTATGCACCTAGTCAGGAACAAAGTACTATTTCTATGCGTGCTTTTCGGAACTCGGGGAGCAGGGCGTTTACTTGGGTGAATTGGCCTGCAAGTGTCCCACAGACTAGTCATGGATCGACCTACCAAAGTATCAGACACACAAGGACAAACCAGCACCGGAGTAAAAGCAGCAAATATGGCATGAACTGTGACTATCTGGTTGTCCTCTATACATCCCAAAAAAGTAAGAGAAGCTGCTGCATTATGATATTCTGGTGAATATATATGATGGTGGGTAGCCATGCTTATCGTCAAGTTGATTCGTGCACACATCACTCACTGCCTTCTTCCCGTCGTAATCCAAGTCAAGCTCTTTACCACATCATGAACATTTTTCCAAGTCTATCAGAGATGGTGTTTTCAGGTCCCGGGCCCATATTGGGGGCGCTTGCAGTGAGCAGCTGCCTTTATTATTTGGTTGATCATGTTCCTATTCCTCGATGGTTGGATAAAAAGGCCAACCTGATCGGACAAATGAACCCCGAAGGGACTACCGGGCTCGAATGCCCTTATGAATACATTCGACAAATTTATGGCAAGTATCACTGGGCACCATTTGTTCACAAACTATCCCCGAACCTTCGAGAAGACGACTATTCAAAGTACTTGATGGTGTTGGAAATCATGGATGCCATCCACCTTTGCTTGATGCTAGTTGATGACGTGAGAACCAAACCGTAGAAAAAATTTCCGGAATAGCTCGCACAGATTATTGATTAGGCGTTTTCAGATTTCCGATGGAAGCGAATATCGCAAAGGGAAACCTGCTGCACATAAGATATACGGCCCAACCGAAACAGCAAATCGTGCCTACTACAGAGTTACCCAGATCCTCACCAAAACGACCAAGGAATTTCCAAACCTCGCACCGTGGCTGATGCGAGATCTTCAAGACATACTTGAAGGCCAGGATATGTCCCTTGTTTGGCGCAGGGATGGAATTGGTGGCTTTCCAACCGATGCCAAGGACAGAGCTGCTGCATACCAAAAAATGGCCTCGCTCAAAACAGGCTCATTGTTCCGTTTACTAGGCCACCTTGTCCTTGAGAATGACTCCATGGACGAAGTCTTCACCGTGGTTGCGTAAGTAATTGTTTACCATGATGAGGTACGTGATTGATGTTAACCAAAAATACAGCTGGTACTCGCAGCTGCAAAATGACTGTAAAAATGTTTATTCCTCGGAGTACGCGAGGTTGAAGGGACTTGTCGCTGAAGACTTGCACAATCGCGAGATGACATACCCTATCGTGCTGGCATTGGATGCACCAGAGGGGCATTGGGTGACAAGGGCCTTAGAATTTCCGTCGCCTCATAATATTCGCAACGCTTTGAAGGTCATCAGGAGCAAGTATGTGCGTGACAAGTGCACAGCAGAGCTAGCAGAGTCCGAGTCCTCCGTTAAAGAGTGGCTGGAATTGTGGGGTAGGAAGGAAAAACTTGATTTGAAGGCCTGAGATTTCCCGAGGTAACTATGAGGAAGATGGGTCGCTGCTCGTATCACATCATAGCAGAATCAATGAACATGTTTTCAGTTTGATATTTAGTCTTACGCTTTGGTCGGAAATAAAAATCATGGAGGAGGTAGGACCTTCCATTAATGGTCTTGTGTGTCTTTTTGTTGTTTCCCTCTTTCTTTCGGTTCAATTATTGGGAGTGAAATTTTTTGCAATAGATCAAGACTCCATGAATTGAGATACGTTGATATAGAATATCTTCAAGATAAAAAAGGTCCTAGAGTTCTTTGGACAGCCCAGTTAGGCACTAACCGAACAAATCCTCCTCAACCAGCACTGCCATTCCCGTCCATGGAAGACAGAAATAGAGATATATTACCCAATCTCATATTTCCGAAACCCATTTCTTGATAAATATCGGAGTAGAGACATTTGGCACAATCTTATCTCCAATCAAAAGATTCCGTGGCCTCTCCGTTTGGCCAGGGGCGAAATGGAATTCATACTCCACCAGAAATCGACTCAAGATCAACTTCATCACAACTGATGCAAAAAACCTCCCAGGACAGGCATATCGGCCCAAACCAAAATGCATATGACTCGGACCAGTACTCACAAATCTAGATGCCGGAACTTTCTGTTTCAGAAATCGGAAGGCGTCAAATACTTCGGGATTTTCGATCACTGCAGGATCTCGCGAGATGGGACCGGCCGCCATACAGATATGAGTGCCCTTGGGGAGAAGTAGCCCATCGGACAAAGTCAGATCGTGTTTCACAACGCGGTGGAAAGAGACTTGATTTTAGAAATTCGCTCATCAGCTTCGCAGATTTATCAAGATCCAAGGCTCGGTAACCACTCACGTTCTCCTGGGGGGTTAAATCTCTGTGATTCCTTCAAAAAACTGTCCATGACCCTCAAATTGTTCAAATTGGCTTGAGTGATATTATTCCAATCTGGAACCTCCGTTCGTATTTCGTCTTGCAACGGCTGCACCCATTGCGGCATGACAAGGAGGTCGTACAAGATGTGTGTCATACTCATGGCAGATGTATGAACGACGGCCATGCTTGTGATTCCAAGCAGCCGTTGAGCCAGATTGTGTGGGTGTGACTCTTTCTCTGTCTTTGCTAGATCCATCATCCATTGAAGAAAGTCATCAGGCTTCTCATAATTGGGATCTGAGGCTGCCTCCATGGTTCGGCGCTTATTGATAAGAGGTCCTAAGAGTTCCTCTTTTATGTAAATCAGCTGGCGGTCCAGGCTTCTACTGCTGGGAAGAATACGCCCGACGATAGGGTGGAGGAAACCAGGCAAAGGGCGCAACAGAGCAATGGTCAAGAAGATGTTTTTGGTGTAATCAATCGATGCCTCGAGCCATTTTTCCTCACGGCACAATTCATCACCAATGAAGATGCGAGCGCCCACCCGGGCAACGAGGCGCAGGAAGACTTCGTAGGAATTAATTGCAACAAATCGATCTGCAGCATAGCCTTGTCAGTACGAAGTTTTTGTTCGTTGTTTCTCACCGGTGATCGGCGTACTATCACACTTTGGGAACTCGACGTCGAAGGCATAGTCCAGTTCGGATATGATTTTAGGGATGAGTCTTCCTATATTATCCATCAGAAAACGATTTTGTTTACTAAAACAAAGGACTCAAAGTTTACCAATGGCTGGAGTTAACCGTTTTTGAATCGTCTCCGTATGTAGATGAGAATCAGTCAGAATAGTCGTATATTCTCCAACATGATCCTTTACATCTTATCAGTTTGAGGAAAAAGTTCTGAAAAGCAATATACTGACTGAAAAGGTTGCCTCCAGAGCATTGAGAGTCGAGGCTGGCTTTTGGCGGAGCTCCTCTGCATACTTCGTTGATAACACAACCAAATCACCGTCCGGTTTCAGAATCTTGTAACCGAATGAATTTTTATACTATGAAGCGAAAGTGTTAATGATAATACATACAGCAATGATGGTGAGTAGAATTGGGTTTAACTTTTGAATAGCCATCGTAAATTACGGATGGGGCGTTAGAATTGAAAAGCAAACGACTTATAATTCCCGGAAGCCAAGGGCTCATAAATTTGACCGTTGGGACCTTAACATTGGTCTTGTAGGCAGGTTTTGGTAGGAGAAGATAAATGAAGACCACGAATGCCACATATTTCCAGAGGAGGCCTGCCTCCTCTCGGAGAGCTCCCACAACCTGTGAAAGCTGGATAATCATAGCGCTCATCGTCCTGTGGAACGCAATGAGAAGCAAGACGAAAGTGGATGGTGTAGAAATTAAACAAGATTTAATGGGCTAGTAAGCTGATTATCAGAGGTTTTCAGGACTGCTTTTCACAGGGTTATTGGTATCATATACCATCAATGACTATACGAGGGGCGTCTAAGACATTTCGGGCACATTGGACGTACTTTTGTGATATTTTATGTAAATTTTAATCTAATTGGCTTGTTTCCGAGTTCTTATCGATTGACATCATGCATGATCTGTTGTATTATGCATATTTGTCACTCCTGCACAACGTCGGGCGTCTTTGGTATTCTGAATGTCGTATCATTACCACAATACCCCATACTTACCGAATATATGTACACGTATCGGGCTGGTTATATACACAGTACTCAGTTTATGTACTTTGTAGCTCTCAGAATGAGGTAATAGAAGGAAAAGCAATCAAGCCAATCCATCCAGCCACTCTCATTAGGGACAGAGAAGAGGATTTTCTCGCACCGTTCGGCTCTCATTGTACAGGGTATCCTTCACAAAGAAGGTAAAACAGACAGTCACGGTCAATCCTTTTGGAGAAGAGACACTGGCAACCGAAATCATGACTGGAGTTTTCGACACTACCCCGTTGATCCAATATCTCCTTGTCATAATACTGGTTGTTCTCATCTCGACACGTGTATATACAACAATATGCTTCTATCTCTTACGCTACCGTATCTCACGCCCACCGATTCCCTATTCAATTCCATGGATCGGAGACCTCCTTGAAATGAGTAGCAGTTTGACGAAGTATATCTGCGGTGTTCGGTTAGCTAGGGCCCCTGATCGGGAGGAAAAGCTCTAGATGGCTGACCTAGGTAACTATTACAGCCAGAATTATCCTACAGACCCGCTGGTTACCATTATGCTTGCAGGACGACGCGCACACATCATCTTTGATTCGAAACTCGTGAGCCAAGTCCATCGACTGCCAAAAACGATCACATTCGAGCCTACAGGGATCAACGTGGCATTTGGAGTTCCACATGAAGACAATGAAATCATGATGAGTAAGATTTCTGACCGCGGCGAGGGCGATTACAGTGGCTATCAAGACCTGCACAACTCCCTCATCGGGACCCTGGAGGGGGAGAACCTTGAGCGCATGATCCAGTTCTTCATCACTCAGCTCAATAAAAACCTTGACCGTGAATTCGCGTCTGACTGCCAGCGGGCTCATTCCGAGCCCGTAGATCTCTGTGCATTGGTGAAGAGGCACTACACCCTGGCAGCAATTCCATATCTTTTCGGCACACGCATCCTCGACATGTGGCCGACCCTAAATGAGGACTTCTGGCACTTTGACAGCCACCTGATGGGGTTGACCCTACCACTACCTGCTTTTGCCAACCGAAAGGGCAACCACGCCCGACAAAAGATGATAGATGGGATACGCTGTTGGGAAGATCGGGCGACGACCAACCGACCTCTGCCGCAGGTGGAGAAAACGGACCCGGACTGGGATGATTATTGGGGTGAACGACTAACACGGGAGCGATACCGGTTGCTTTTGGAACGTGGCTTGAGTGAAAGAGGACGAGCTGGATTCCACTTGGGGTTGCTGTGGGCGTAAGTAAAGTGATTATTAGTCCCCCTGATGCGGGATTTTCCGTCGAACCTAACGCGACGCCAGACAAAATGCCAACACAGTTCCTATCGGACTGTGGATGCTTATTCAAACCATCCTAGACCCCGTCCTGCATGGCAAAGTCCGTGGAGCTGCCGAGTCCTGCCGCAAGGCTGACGGGACATTTGACCTGCATGCGCTTGTTACGAATCCCATCCTCAAATCGTTATTTCTAGAGGCCCTCCGCTTTGGAGTGGCCGTTGCCCCTGTGCGCGCAGTCACCGAATCCACCCTACTCGGTGGCCAGTACCATCTTCAAAAAGGCGATCTCGTCTTTCTTCCGGCGCGACCTGCCCAAACTGACGCCGGAATATGGTCCTCATCTTTCAGTGGAATGAAAGCTATGGACTCGAGGTCCGATCCACGACATTTCTGGGCGGAGCGATTCATGGAATATGGAGAGATAGGCGAGGATCAGCCAATAACTGCCGGTGTCATGGAAATGAATTCTTCTCCACGGACGGTGGGTAGCCGTCGAGTTGAGGCCTTGTCTCTGCCCGCCGGAGTACGGTCCAAGCAGCTACGTAGTCAGCTCTCCCATGTTCGCCCATTTGGGGGTGGCCATTGGCTCTGTCCCGGGCGTAATTTGTCTATGTATGAGATAATTGCAGGTTTGGCAGTGCTCATCTGTCGGTTTGACATCCAGGCGGAGGAGGCCATGCTACAGTCGCAGGGCCGACCTTGTCCCGATTTCTCTCGGGTTGGTGGGATGGACCCAGATCGCCCGATTATCGTGAGGGTCCGGCCGAGATGAACAGCGAATCATCTAGTTTCAGCTGGTCCCACGCATCGGTGTACAGGGGTAGCTGAGGAATAGATTTTATTTGCTGCTTCGGTGGTCCAAACTTCGACCAACTAAGCCCTGTGAGGGCAGAAAGAGTTGAGGAGCGAGACTTGACATTCATATTTGATGGGACCGTGGTTTCCGTGGTTTCCGTGGTACAGTGTATAGTACATGGGGAGGGCCATGGGCTTGTTACTTCAGGATGTATGGCTAATCTTTTCCTGGCCTCTATAACAAACCTCAGCTTGACACAAACTGGGATTTTATGATAAGAAGCGCAATCAGGCTGCCGGGGCTCCTCCCCTGGCACAGGGTGTTCCATCTATCAGACGGGAGATAGAAGCTGCCGAGGTTACTGACACTTATGATTCACTCCAGTCGGATGTGTATTCTAAATAGATACATTGCCGTCCAATTATCTAGCATAACGCTAATACATCCAGCTATAGAATCTCGACATTTATGAATGTAAGTACGATCAAAAAGAAAGTTAGAGAATATGAGTACAAAGAGTACTGAATTTCAGAGTAGAACGGGAGAAGAATGAAGCCAAAACTGGCGAAGGGTTGAAAGCAATAGTGGGGCTCTGAAGAAATAGAAGAGAAATGGCAGGCTAGGATAATGTGCCTGAAACAGACCCTGCTTGAAGGCTTTATTTCTTACCAAGGTAAAGAGTCGCTAATTTGTTCTATCCCCTGACTCTCGATCGAGTCTTCAGAACAACCAGGCCCTTCATATCTGGGAAAAGAATCTTCTTAAAAAACCAGTTCTTTGGACGACCCTCATTATTCTTTGTTGTGATATCGTAGTGAAGGAGAATGTGTCCGAGCATTAGGCGGATCTCATCTGCAGCCATGTACCGGCCCGGACTGTAGACGAGAGAGAAACTTAGCAGTTTCCTTCGCGGAAGTCACCAAAATCAGTAGGTATGACTTACCAGGTATGCCTTCCATCGCCAAATTGGAGATACTTTGAATTTGTGGCCACAAATCGGAAGTCTTGCGTTTTGCCAGTCTGCTGTCCAAGTCGATAGAATCGGTATCCGTCGAATTGGTGCGCGTTAGGATAGAATTTCTCATCAAACAGCACAGGAGCATTTGGTGAAAAGACATATGTTCCTTTAGGAACCTTCAAACCATTACTAAATGTGAAATCGTCGGTAGCACATCTTGCTAGTGATCCTACACACCAAGACTTCTCAGTGTTGCGATTAAGACTCCAAATGAGGCACCTGGATCATAACGTACCTGAATCGAGAGGATTATAACGTTGGCATTCCTTGATGAAGCTGTCAAGCTTGAGCATAGACTCGATCCCTTCTTTCTCCCATCCTCTATGATGGTCGAATGCCTGCTGTACTTCTTGTCTCAAAGGCTCTACGTATTCCGGTCTCGTCGCAAGTTCGAATAGACAGTGAACGAGAACCTGAGTTCCCAAAGATTAGTCCTGAACGGTCAATTGCGAAAAATCTGACGGGAAGTCAAAGTCTCACCTGCGTTGTTGTGTGAATTGCCCCAAATACTGCGGATGTGATAGATCGAACAATGTCAAGCTCGTTGTATTTACCAGGCTCATTTTCCTGCGTCCAGTGCCAGAGCCAGCTCATGATATCCTGTCCCTCAAGGTTAGTAAATGATCCATATATACGGGTAAAAGCCTTTGGGTGGTCCTACACTTGCGTCACTTCCAGCTCGCAATTGACGCTCTTTCATTTCGCTCAGAAATATTTTATCTAGCCGGTCTGACATCTGCGGGGCTTCGCAGAACTTGGCAATGAAACTATGGACTGATGAGTTTGAATATGCGGATGTAAGATGGGTTTGGACCTACGGTTTCAGTATGCTGGGGAACATTGAAATGAAAAACCCACTTGACGGCACTGCATTACCATATCCCGCAAACAGGTTGATTAGTTCCGGATCACGGCACAGCGGGTATCCTACCAGAGACTTGGCCGTCAGATGCGCAACAATCCTCGTCCCAGTCTCAAAGCAACAAAATTCATATGGCTCTAGCCCATGGAAGTTAGTACCTCCTGATATCATCACATTTCTCTTTGCCAATGTGATCCTACCTTCATTTGTGATTTGGGTTTCCGCCTCCCAGGCATGCAGGAACTCCGCTACAAATTCACGAAAGTACGGATCACCAGCAGCAGAGGACCGATTTCGCTGCCAAGTCAAGGCTTTTGCAAGAAGTGGAATGGGAATTTTGTGAACTCCTTCGGCTGCCCCGGGAGCTGTCCACTTTGTTTGGAACATCTAAATGACCAGATCGCAATGCACATCGTAAGCCAGCTCTACAACATATCATCATTCTGGCAAACTTACGTCTGCAGTCACTGCATTAGCCGAGAACTTATCATCCATCAAGTTCTTGTACTCTTTGATCAATTGATCATTGCAGATGAATATCTCCCAACGGCTAGGTGTTGCAACCTTGAAGGCGTAGTCACCATGCTGTAGCGTAGGCGTGAGCCTGACATAAATTCGAGGGAAAATTTTCTAAAACATACCGTTTCATACCCTTTCTGGACGAGGCTCCGCGCTTTCTGTTGCCACTGAAGTGCAGATATCCATTGACCCAGGACACCATCATTGCCGACCGATGGGATATCAACCTATTGGACGATTAACCTAAGAAACGGACGTACTAAATGAGGAATACAGACCCAAATCTTCAGAGATTGGTACCAGGTTCTTGTAAGCCAGATAAGGGCTAGAAAACCAAGAGCCACAGGGTATAGATAGTCCATAAGTAACCATTCCTTGCTTGGCCCGGCCATTGGCATGACCATTTCCAGATGGAATTCACAATTAAGTTCCCTAACTCAGACTCCCTAGTTGCTGCGAGCGATGTTCAATAAATGTGGTAGGCTCAAAGGTAAATTTTGATCGAGAGAATCGCAGCCTCGCATGTGATCTTTGTTTGAAGAGTAGCAAATGCAATACTTGACAGAGCTTCGACAACCTGCCCGTCGATCGTCTCGTGTAGCCTTCTTACTTTAATACCCTACTTCGTATGCACAGAGAGCGTTCTACCATGGATGCTACGTAAGAGAAATAAAAAAGGAAGAGAATCAAGTATATTCCATGTACATCGCGCCATTACACTGCTGCAATATGCATGACCATGATGCGCCCTACACGCGAACAAACAATATTTCATGCACTCCAATTCTCGGGCCGCAACGCCAAGCCAGAATTCATAAAGTAAAAAGATTAGTATTTTGCTTCTTCTTGTAAGGTAACCGACAGCAAATAAACAGCTTCGTATTCATGTACCCAAATACACTGCATATCGGTAATTTTAATAATAATGAAATACCAGGTAAATCTCCTACAGAGGGTCTGATCTGTATTGTACTTTTTTGCATCTGTCCCCATTTCCTGCTGCACTTCTTCAGCTGTGTTCCCTCGAGTGTTATCCGGGTGTATTCGCCAAATCATCTTTCTGTCATGTACTCACCATTGAATCTTCCGTCCCCGTGGTAGATTTTTAATACAGACAGCCTCGCATGTTGATCTCCCAGTCGTTTTTTTCATTGCCCGGGGATCACTGGCTCCGTGACGTGTCCTGACAGTCAGTAAAAAATCACTTGTGTTTCTATCATGTCATTTGAATGATGAAATCTGGAACGTGATCAGATAATCTCAATAGTTCTGAGAAACAATCATTATGCAAGCTGCAAGTGTGTGACGCTAGACAGCGTGACCACCTGCAAAGGTGGGAATTCTTTCCCGACTATGATCTAGACTCAACTGCTCTCCAGAGTGGTAATACCGGCTTCATTGTTCTGTTATTGCGTTTCAATAAATTACAGGTCTAATACAGGTATATATTTGTATTGGCAATCGGGGTTGCGTGAAGATCTACTGGGCGTGGAGGTGGAGATCCACAATATGTAAGTTACTTTTTCGCCAGAAATGTATTGACAAGTTATTTGCATTAAGAAATGTTAAAAATGATAGTCATATGGAGTTTGAGAGGTTCACCCGTCGTGATTGAAATACGGTTACAATAGATAAAAATAATGGTAATAGACGAAATCTAGGAGGTGCACCTACTATGAGGTAGTGCTATAGAGCTAGTCGAATGAGAAAAAATAGATTTATGCTAATATATCCATGCCTTTGGCCAATAAATCAAGCCATAGCCACTTTACTCAGTTCTTACAAACATATCCGGACCCCGGACCCAAATTACCGAAAGACCATTATTGGCATGGTTATCCTATTTAGTGAAGAAGCTCTCAAAGTCTCTCGAACACTCAAATGGGGCCACCAGGTCCTATGAAGTCACGTTCTAATTCAAAATGACAGCGGAAGGTTGGAATGTATCTCAGTGATATATCTCGGGCAACCACGTAGCAGCATCTGCGAATGCATCAAGCTCTGGCTTGTAATAAGCAGTAACGTATGCGCCCTCCCCTTTGTATGAGAACGAGATATCGTGATGTCGGCAGGTGACTTTTTGATCTCGGAAGCTAAACGATCATCCTTAAACATTTTTCTCTATCTATAGGGATAGATGCCAACGGAAAGTGTGAGGACTTACAAGGCTTTCACATAATTGTCTTGGTATGAATGGAAGGGCTGATTCCACCCCTGGCTTCTGAAGAAGACGTCCATACCCTCAGCAATCTCCAGGTCGGGCTTGCCATAATATGCTGCGGGCAGATAAATCTTCGGTGTCGGAACGCTTGCACCTGGCCAGATCTCGAAGTTGAAGATGACACAGGCGCAACGGTGAGGATTCTTAGGAAGAATATCGGCATCGTCCGATAGGCCCTCAGGCACGTTGATAACGGATGACCAGAGCAGTTTTAGCGCCTCTATAGCACGCTCTATCTCCGGCCCATTCAATCTGCCTCCGAGGGTGAAAATTTCCACCATACGATTGAGGGCCGTGCGAGTGGTGGCGAGGTAAATTTTGATGCGAGAGCTCTTATACTGTTCGCTCAAAGTGGTGTCAAAGGCAAAGAAGGCTGGCTTTGCCCCGGCATCTTTGGCATCTTTGGAATCAATGAAAGACTCTAAGACTCCCAGAGACTGCATATATTCAGCAGTTTCATCACCTAGGTCCTTGATGGCCTGGATCATGAGGTCTCCAATTGGCTGACCCGTTTGGATATGCTTCCAGATTGGAGACATGGCACACTTAGTTTGGATGCTGTGATATGGGAAATCGTAGCTCAACATGCCTTGCACAGCCTGCATTGCAAGGATGCGGTCCGAAACCTGGGCATTGAGCAGATGGGCCTCGTCGTTGAGGAGAAAGAAAGCCTTGGCGAAATGCTCAAACCAACGCAGGTCATTCCCGGGTGCGAGATGTCTTTGGGCGCTCAGTGTGTCCGTCGAGGCTTTCTGGTTTATGGGATCGAGTGCGGAGCCGGAGAGGGCACAGATAGGGATGTTGGCCGTACGGACTGTAGCCTTGCTATTATAGAAGTTGATGCTGACTTGGATCGGGGTATGATCGAAACCCATGAAGGTCTTCCAGTATTGTTCCCCGTTCCGATATGGCTTGGGACCGCAAGTAGGGATGACATAGCGGTGCAAAAACGCCAGTACACGATACTGCTCGGCAATCGAGTAGTTGGCCCATTCCATTAACTGGTTTAAGGGCTGAGCAAAGGTAGTCCACCAGTATTCCTCATCTGGGCTGCTAAAACCAAGTCCTGCGGCAAGAGACTGCCAGGGTAACAATTCTACCTCGTGAGAGCCCATAGTTTAGGGTGATCTTGAGTTTGATGGAGACAAAGAATTGGATTTGGTCAAAGACGGTGCCCACTAAGTGAACCCTACAAAACCAGACTTATATGACAAGGAGGTGTAAGTTGTTTATTGCCAAGCTAAAGTATCTGGTGACGATGACCATAGGGCGATAAATGACATCTGTTATATGGTCATTGGTATCATGCATGTTGTATCACCTTGCTTATACGAGATTGAAGGTCGAAGAAGTCCAATCAGCCGAAATGTATAACCGCTCTGCATGCAACCCCGAATGTGAATGTGTGAGGGAGTCTGTGATCTATCAATAACCTCCGAAGCCATGGTAAGAATCCCGGCTCTTGTGCAGATAAACATTACTGGCTTCATACAGCTAGTGATATCTTGCGTTATTTACCGTACGGAACGTGTGGGTTACATGTCGAGTGAATCCCAATCCGTCTGAATGCACGTAAAATCATTAGTCCAGTCCGTTCGGCAAGGCGGAACCAGTTTGTTGCCTTACCTGTACTGAGAATATTCGTCTTCTTCTTCCCTGCCAAGTGCCACGTAGCTCAAGTCCATCTAATATTTGAGAAAGGTATACCTGCAATGCAGGAAGAAATGCGTCTGCATGGGCTTCTGTGGACTGCAGTGAGACGTGACAATCATCATGCACAAAAGAGCTGATCTCCAGAATCGAGACTTTACCGATGGGATAGAGGTGAGATAGGTCTAGAGGTGTTTAGTTTCCTGATTGCACAATTTTATCTCATGTTTCTAGGGTCCATAGGTCGCTGATGGGAAACTCTCCTTAGCCAGTAGAGCTAAGAAAATACTTAAATACCTATACCTCTCTGCCTTGCCCTATTTCTGGTTCCTTCCTTGGAACACAACCTAAACAGTTTTTCTAGCTGAATGAAACTCCTTCAGTCTCCTTGTTCTTTTCGTTCATAAGAATTACGTGGCCCGCCTACAGCCTTTCTCGTGCCTTGACATCGACTTAAGCCCTACCGATCAACTCTTGCCAAAGAAACGGACGTACAAGATGACTGTCCCAGAACTTCCAATCCTCTGGCGTGATAATGCCCCGCCTTGTGAATACGAGGCGTGGCGAACTCGAACCTTCAATTCCAAACGACCTGATGATCAGCCTCTTGCCATTGTCAAACCCACCACTATAGATCACATCGTGGCAGCGACGGCATTGGCTAATGAACAAAGTGCGAAGCTCGCTCTTCGATCGGGTGGACACAGCCTTCAGTGCTGGTCTCTGCGCAAAGACTCGATATTGGTGGACTTAGAGAACTTCCGATATCTAGAGTTTGATGGTGCCACGGGAGTTGCGTCAGTATCCCCTAGCGTGACTTCCTCGGAATTGTTGCTCTTCCTGGCGAAACATCAGCGCTTTTTCCCCTCCGGCCATTCCGGCGAAGTCGGGCTGGGAGGTTTTCTGCTACAGGGTGGAATTGGACTGAACGCTAGGGTGAGTGTGGGTGCGCATCGTTTTATGAGCTCTTTAGTCTGATGGCGCCGTAATTTAACAGAGCTACGGATATGCCTGCGAGTACTTAACTGCTGTTGACGTTGTTACTGTATCTGGGGAGGTCAAACACTGCTCTTCGGACGAGAATGCGGATTTGTATTGGGCTGCAAGGGGTGCTGGGCCAGGTAAGTACTGTAAATATGCTCTTGTGTGGGCGTTGAATTCACCAGAGTCCCTTTGGATACAATATGAGCGGCGCTGATTGAGCTTAATAACGCAGAATTTCCAGCCATCGTGACCAGGTTTCACCTGAACACACTGCCACTTCTTCCCACCGTCAAAAGATGTACCTATATCTGGCCGGCCGTATGCTATGAGATCGTCTTCAAATGGGTGCTTGAGGTCAGTACTGGGGTAGATGAGGCGCAGGATTAGTACTTACCGGAGCTGAATACAAATGCCAGATTCTCCCCACTCTATCCGATGACATTGAACCAACTATCTTCGGCTTGACCTTACCGAATACGCCTATTCCGGTCATTGCCTTTCATGCTCATGTACATGCAGAGTCGGACGAGTCGGCGAACGAATTACTCAAACCTCTGCACCAGTCTCACCCGGCTGGTGCGATGGTAGAGCAAGACTGTGTAGATACATCTGTGCAACAGGAATTTGAGGCGGGCCATGCAATGATGCCCCCGGGAGCAAGATACTTCACCGACAGTGTCTTCCTCACGCAAGGAACCGACATTGTTGAGGCCTGTCGCGAGATGTTTACCATACTTCCTGCGCACACGGCCGGGAGTATAGCTTACTGGGAGCCAATGAAACAGCGAACCAAGCTACCCGAGATGGCTTGGTCTATCCACAGCGAACATTACGTCTCACTGATGGCCATTTATGGGGATCAGGATCAGGATCATAAGCAGCAGACTTGGATTTTGGAGTGTTTCAAGGATATGGACAGCAAAGGTTTGTTGTTGGGGACCTATGTTGGGGATGCCCATCCTAAGGATAGGCCACATCACTACTGGAGCGACTCGGCCAAGGAGCGCATCCAGAAAATTGGAGCCCAGTGGGACCCTGAAGCCAGGCTTCGCGGTACTATCTTCGCAGAGGACACTCTGTAAGATAATTAGAACGTGTGTATATCTTATATAGGCTCCCAAGAACATTCTCTCTCTCTAGGAATACGACAATAACCAAGTTCTTTTTTGATTTGAATGTCGCTTCCGTCATGACATATCCATATACGGGTCACGGTAGATAAAGAATCTTCAGCCACAAGCAGTATCGTAGATAGTGATCATTAGGATTATACCATAGAATAGCCTACCGTGGTCCGAAAAACACTGTCTATTGATCACAAAATAATTTCTTTGAACATTCGGTACAGCATGGCGGGGGGATTCCCGGGGAACGGATGACGGTAAGTATTAGATGTGCCTGATTATCCCGGCTTTAAGAAATTGGTTGCCAAGGATTGGTAGGTAGTTTCAAAAATCTCTTAAATAAAATAAGGGTCAATCAGGGCGTAAGAATCAAACACATAATGTGCCGCAATTTCAGAACTTCTCCATGGTGTCAAATACCTCCTGATTGGGAACGGGTTTCCATGGTCTTCTTTAGTGGGGACACAAAGTCGAGAGAGAAACAACTAAGAATTATGACCAATTGAAAATTTTGCCGATAAGAATAGGAGAAAGAGATCCTTTTCATGATGAATGAAGGCATATTATGGGTATTCAAAAAGGTCCATCAAGATGAAATAAGTAGTTAGTGAATCGAGTGCAGTGACCTAGACATACCCCTCATGAGGAGTAGGTGTGGGCTCTTTATGGAACGCGGGGAATGGATCGGGACCGGTCGAAACCCCTCCAATCACTGCGGTCTGTTTCAACTACGACGAAATGCTTTGCCATTCCAGGGCACGCCTCTCTCCAATTTATCTCTCTTTCCCTTGAGATCTAGACTTTCTCCGCTGATGTAGCACGCAATTTACGACCGAATGGGACTGTATAGCCGTTTATAGCGGCATCGGGTGTCCGCCCGACATGTTCCCCACCTCCGGGCAGGGCGCCCGGGTGAGTTTTACCGCCTCTGGTTATCGGACGCGGGGGTTTCGCCATACAGCGGAAAGCCGCCCGTGTTGTATGACTTTTATATAGTATTGAAGGTTCGACGCTTTGCTCGTGTTCAGAATCCAATTTTTTTTTATCTCTATCTACAGGAAAGAAAGCAAAAGTGAGTTGATCTCATTTCCTGCTCCATCAGGATCAACTACCCAGAAGAATGGGCACGGACTGTGACTGACACGTAACTGTTTCTCGAAAAGTGTCTAGCAACCTCGTTCCTCTTACCGTCATCAAGGGCGCTGGCCACGAGTTTATCCCCCTGCCGCAGGGTGAAAACGCTACTACGGCCGACTTCCACTCAATTCGCACTAAGACTGAATCTCCCGCGCCTCTTACGTCAGGTTTCTATAAGATCGAGGCTGGTCCTCAAAGGCCCGCGCATTACACCTTTGAAGAGACCAAGTATGTCCTGAGTGGTCAGATCGACGTTTTGGTATGTTCACTTTTTTTCTCGTGCACATGGAAGCTCTCAGTGTACTCCTTTGGAGAACATTCATTTTCAAAGAAAAATATTGACGAAAATCACCGCGCCGGTAGGACGAGGCCACGGGAATCACACACCACCTAGTTCCCGGAGATTTTGCTTTCTTCTACGTCGGATCTAAAGTCAAGGTTTGTCACAATCATGTCTCCAATTCTCCATCTTCAATTTCTACTGCACATGTCGTGCGAGCTGTCGACTGATATGCATATACTTCTTCAGTTCTCGACCAAGTCTCATGGGTTTGCGTTCTACGCTGTGACCCGACCTGTCCGAACCCCTCACCCTAACCTTCAAGGTCGGGAGGAAGACAAGGCAAGATTGTGAGGCATTGGTGAATCACAACTCAAGAGTGGGATTTCAAGTCTTTACCAAGTCAAACTGGATAGATGGGTATAGAAGCTCGCTATAATACATGCATAAAATACAAATTTTGCAAATGAATCCCTCCCCTCCGACTAAGAAAGAAATACTATCACCTTGCCTCGACAACCCCAATTTCCGCGATCTTATTCATCAAGAATGACGCACTTAGCACAAGATCTCGACAATAACCGTTCAAATCGCATGTTTTGATTGCCGAATCAAAGCTATTACGCCAAAAGTTCCATCTTCCAACACTGAATGCGGAACCGCTATAAAGAGGACCGACCCTGAACTTCTTCTGGATTCGGCGGCTTGTTTTCTGGGAGGGGTGTGCCAATGCATAAAAGAGGCATAGACCATAATGGTGAATCCATAGAGCCGCCGCGGCCATGTGGCAGTTATAGGATTCGGTATCTTTTGAAATATCTCGTTCAAGAGCATCCCTCATCTTTGCAATCGCCCACGAGGAGCCCAATATACCAGTAGAGGCAAGACGAGCGAGAAAGGAGCTGAGATTCAAATAAGAAGCTCTCTCAAGCAGGGAAGGGTCCAAATTTTCTAGAGGGCGGATAGTGGATTAGTTCATGTCCACAAATTAGGAATTAACCAGGTTCCTGACTAACCGTTATACATTTCTCGTGCTGCCTGAACTAGTCCACCCATGATAATATATAATATCTCTGTCTAGAGTAAAATACGTCAATATGCATGTCAACAGAAACGCCCGCCGCGGAAATATCTTACCTCTTGATCGTTGAGCAGATTAAATTCAAGAAACCGGTGAAAATGGTCCAAGAGTTGGACAAGGCGTTCTTGGGAGGTATGGGAGTAGGGAATTTGTCGAGCCACATCTAAAATCACACGACCGAATGCCTCCACTGGGTATTCAATGGGGTTTCCAGATTTCGTGGGCATAATGATCGTATAGATGAGTATTGTGGCCTCTTTTAGCGATAAACGTCTCTTTCTTGGCTCAAGATATCGTCGGAGGATACAGAACAGTTTCCTATCAGAGTAGTTGCCATATACCTCCTTCACAGAGAGGTTGGCTTCATTCATATGAAGTTTGACAAAGGCCATGATTGATTATGCTAACAGAAAAAGAAATTCTGAATGTGGGTCTGAAATTGAAGGAGAGGCTCTGGAGATATAGAAAATCGGATGCATGGCGGTTGAGCCTCAATATCTTAAGCGCCCGGAGGAGGCTTAATGGCCTTGGTAGGCTCATTGGCGGCTATCGAGGTTCCATGTCCTAGAATGGTTCTTAAGAATAGATGCGAAACGATCTACTGTTTGACGTTAAATCATTCAGGGGGTTTCGGGGAGGCCGGTCACCAATGGATTCAAATTATTGGAATGAGGAATAAATGTTATACCCTAGCACAGTTTTTCAAGCCCATGATCTTGCTGAATTGCTCAGTGCACTTATGGAGCTTCCCCCTTTTGCTTCCAATATTGAATTGACTTAACCACTGCAGCAGATCTCTTAGAATTCCTGATCGCCATTCCTAAATCTGACCTGGCCCAGTAAGACCAGGCCATCTTCTAGAATTCCAGTTCAATCATCATTTAATATCTACGTCAGAGATCTAATAACTAGAATAAGGGGCACTGGGAAATATTGCAGAGCCGTCGGTCGATTCTGTAAATGTCCCTAATCACACGCATACAGTCATTATTATGGACCAAGCTAGATATGCTAAATAAATTGAAAGGAAGCAAGGCAAGGTAGGACAAGAAAAAGGCCGAAAGCCGGGCCTTGAGACACTGAAAGTTGTGCGCCGAAGAAGCGACTAGATCAATTGCCATCGTGTTAACCTTGAAAGGCGTACACAAAAACTATTATACACCTATGGTCATCGGCAAGGTCAAATACAAAACCAATACCTTAATGGAGACATCAAAATCAATTTAAAAGATAAGAGCTAGGGAAGTGTTCAAAGCTTTGTATTTATAGACGCCCGAGAATAATATTCATCGCGAAAGAAAAATGATTGGGCCAAGATGAAGGATCTTGGGTAAGACCCCGCGCTAGCTGGCAATGTCTGTCACTTAAGCGCCCAGCTAAGATTAGATCCTTTCTGTTCCAAGTGACGCCGACAGTCAACCTTGACTGGAATAATGCACTGTCGCAACTGCAATGGCTTAGCCGGATTTTCAAGAGACCCCCTGCGGTGTGGGCGCATATGCGAAACAGGGCCGCACAGGAGGCTCTGAAACATGAGTCTATCCTAGCTCTATTCGTCTGATGATGGGCGGATTAAGAGCGCTTTTACTAACAATCATGTGGTTCTACCGAGAGAAATAGAAATATCGAACCGACCCAATGATAAGTCAATGGCACATGAGTCCAATCTCACAATCGCCACATATCAACATGAGTGGAAATCTGGAGAGTCAGAGTCGCAGGACCCTAGCATGGTGTCGATCCGTGAAAGACCTGGGGAGATGTGTCACATCTAGAATTTCCCAAGAGCCAATCCGGGGTAACCCCATCGCTACGTGCCGGGCTATGAACAGTTTATGGTACATCGACAGCGGCGCCTGCATAGAATTCGCAAATCAAGCCAATGACCGGGAGCCTGTAAAGCAGAGATCAGTCGCCTCAAGTCAACGGCTTTTGATGGACTCGTACATCCTTATCGCTACGGTTCGTGACTAAACCAATCTTATCGCTGTTCTCCGCGGCGGTCAACAACACTAAACCCCGACCAGGCCTAGAGCTTCCGGGCTGGACAATTCGAATTGACCAATCCACGTAAGCCATGACTTTGCTAGCAAGAGCGCGTGACCGTCGCCGGGTATGCACGATTGTTTGGAGATTGCTTCTTCGAGAAATGATGCGTGGCAGACTGCAGCAGTTTAGCGGTGAGGCGGGCGAAACGCTCGTTCCGATTCGTGTATCCCTCGTCAACTTTCTGAACAAAACAACATTCTCTGGAGAGACCAGGCCATTCCGTGACCATAATGCTTGCTCTTTCCTGGCGCAAACCTCGGACAGAAATCGAAGCTGGTCGAAGAGCTCTCCGGTGAACAGCCAGAAAGTCACCTCAGGGGTCAGCCAACCAATCTCGTTGTTTGGCGTCGCGGGTGCCTTGTTTTCGGTGGGCGGCGGGGCCGTGGAGTCGGAGGGAATGAAGTCATGTCCCGAGCTCTAGAATTGAGGTCATCGTCGAGGCTCACGAACCCTTTTTGGGTAAAGGTGGCACGGCCCTGGATCTAGATGTCCAATATGAAAAGATTGGCTTGTCCAGATTTGGGGAGAGTTGACTGGTGCAAGGCCACGACCCCTCCCTGTATGATTGACTCGGCGGCGTGGCGTGGCGTCCGATACCATTGGCCAACTGTGAGGTTGGGCGAGGGGCCCAAGTAACAAAGTGAAAAAAATGCTGATGCTGATTTTGGAGCTGTAAACAGCTGGAAATAGCTGGAAAGAGCCGTGTCCCGTCACCGAGGCACTGAAGATGTCAATATTCGCAAACCGTAGCAGAGATCAGGGCCTGGCACAACAAAAACAGTGGGGCAGGGCCCGCTGAAGAAGGCTTTAGCAGTGTCACCGGCGATCTGGGACCCACTTCTGGACTGATTCGATCCGTGACTTCATTGTTTGGGATGTTGTTGGACGGAGTGATGGTCGTGGAGGTCTTGGATTCGTGTTGCATGAGAATCGACACTGCCCCTCTTTTCTTTTGCCTTTGGGCCTGGTATTTAACCCCCGGTCCTTCCCCTCTCTTCCGTTCAGCATTCCATCCTCCACTTTGGTATCCTTTAACTTAGACCTTATCTTTTCCCACAATCGACCCAGGTGCGTCAACTTGAGTGGTACTTGGTGCCACCTCGTGTCAATCTCGTGGTGACTAACACTCGCTCGCAGAAGAGCATTCACAATGGCTGCCGAACTCCCCAAGACCATGCGAGCCCTCCAGTACTCGGAGCCCAGGAAGCATAGCCTGGTTGAGATTCCTCTGCCGGAGTTGCGTGAGAACGATATTCTGGTATGGATTGGCCCTATTTCAAAAGGCATAGACTAGCAGTGGAAGGCCTTTGAAACACTCAGCTAACCATCAGTTGCAAAACAGATCAAGGTCAAGGCATGCGGCGTCTGTGGTACCGACCTACACATTCACGAGGGAGAGTTCCTTGCCAAGTTCCCCCTCGTTCCTGGCCACGAGATTGTAGGTGTTGTTGCCGCTCTTGACCCCAAAGTCGAGGGCTTCGCGATCGGTGATCGTGTTGTTGCCGATAACTCGGAGCTATGCGGCACTTGCTTCTACTGCCGCCGCGGCGAAGAGCTTTTCTGTGAGGACTTCCAGGCTCGTGGAGTCACAATGCAAGGGGGATTTGCTTCGTACGTGCGGGCTCCTGCTGGACGCGTGTTCAAGATCAAGAACCTGTCCGATGTCGATGCTACCCTCCTCGAGCCTGCTTCCTGCGCCGCCCACGGCCTGGACAAGATCGCCCCCAAGATGGGCTCTTCCGCTCTGATCTTCGGTGCTGGACCCACTGGCCTGGTGCTGGCCCAGATGCTGCGTCAGAATGGTTGCGTCCGTGTCGTCGTTGCCGCCCCCGTTGGTCTCAAGCTTGAGCTCGCCAAGAAGCTGGGTGCTGGCGACGAGTACATCGAGCTGTCACGTCAGGACGCCTCTGCTCAGTATGCCAAGCTGAAGGCTGACAACCCCTATGGCTTTGACATCGTTGTTGAGGCTACTGGTAGCGTCAGCATTCTCGAGGACGCCATCAACTACGTGCGCCGCAATGGCAAACTGGTCGTTTACGGCGTGTACTCTGACGCTGCTCGTGTTTCCTGGCCCCCGTCGAAAATCTTCGGTGATGAGATTACCATTATTGGTTCGTTCTCGGAGACATACAAGTTCCCGGCTGCCGTCGACTACCTGGACTCCGGCAAGGTCAACGTTGGAGGCATTGTCAACAAGGTGTACAAGATTGATCAGTGGGAGGAGTGCCTGGAAGCCATGCGCAACAAGACTGCCATCAAGGCGGCTATTGTCTTTGACTAGAGGGTTCAAACATTAGTCTGGCCCGGGCGGCGGCATATTTGGATGTAACAGGAAAATGTTCACGATTTGATGAGATGCGAGCGTTTCATAACTTTGTTTTTCTTCGGCAAATCAGATCATTGTTGAATAGAACAATAAACTTAAACTTACCTTCTTGAACACTTGAACCATGTGTGGTACAGTACATTGTTGGTGTCTGCGGAGTTGCGGGGATCTAACTAGTTTAAATACTCCGTAGACGGGGAGAGATAGACTGTGTGAGGACCTTGGGCCGCACTGCGCGACCAACAAGGTACAGCGGGGCTCCATCAGTTTTACACGAGGATTAGTTTCCAAAAGTTTCCGTCCAGGTTACCATTCATGAGAGCTGGATCATGGGGCGTCAAAAAATGATGTGCATTACATTGTAAAAAAAAAAAGGTTCGAAAGAGGGAGTGGAAGCATATCTAGAGGCTGTCTCACTGGTTTCGGGACTCGGCCCTTTGAACTGCTAATTTATTACTTGTGAAACCGATGAGACTGTTTGACGTCCCGTTTTAGTTCATGGTAGATGCTCTTCTTCCAAACAACCTAAATTGGACGGTCTCAACCAAGTGTGGTTCACCATGTGGCCGGGGCCTTATCGATCTTATCGATAAGCCAGCTTAATTCTACCGCAGCCAAATTCCCGTCATCGTCAACCTCCGCCTTCACCACAGCTCAACCTCAATCCCACAATGGTCAAGCCCCTCACATTCAAAGGCGACAAGCCCAAAAAGCGCAAGCACCGCGATGTGGACAGCGAGAAGACCCCCAAGTCCCGCAAGACTGAAGCATCCGAAGCCGCGGATAACGACGACAATCCGGAAGACCAGAGCTGGGTTTCTGCGGATGCCCCGAGTGACATTGCAGGGCCAGTAGTCCTTGTCCTGCCTTCGGATGAGCCGACTTGTGTGGCGTGCGATATCAATGGCAAAGTATTTGCAAGTGTGGTGGAGAATCTGATTGAGGGGGATCCATCGACGGCAGAGCCACATGACGTGCGACAGGTGTGGATTGCGACGAGGGTTGCGGGTACAGAGTCTTTTACTTTCAAGGGACATCATGGAAAGTCAGTAAAACTCTATGCGCCAAGTATCTGATTTTCAAGCTAACAATTGTGATAAATTAGATACCTCTCCTGCGATTCCCATGGCCTTTTCAGCGCAGACACCTCCGCGGTATCACACTACGAATCCTTCTTGGCAATCCCCTCCCCAGATATCCCCGGCACATTCTCCCTGCAAACACGCGGCGGCGACTCCGAGTCCTTCCTGTGCGTCAAAGAAAGCGCCAAGGCCACCGGGGGCGTCGAAATCCGGGGCGACGCAAGCGCGATTTCGTTCGAGACGACAGTACGCATCCGCATGCAGGCGCGGTTTAAACCACGCCTACGTATTGCGAAGGAGAGTAAGGCATATGAGAAGATTAGTCGGAAGGAATTGGAAGCACTTGTGGGGAGGAAACTGGATGAGGATGAGGTACGGAGGTTAAGGCGGGCGAGGCGGGATGGAAATTTCCATGAGGAGATGCTTGATGTTAAGGTCAAAGGGAAGCATGATAAGTTTGCTTGAACACTTGTATTAACGCTGATTATATTCTGACTGCGCATTTTGGATGTCGAAGAGTGTTGATACGCCCGCTGAGCTGGTCAGGTCGGTTTGACGTAGCTTTAATTCCCGGTCTGCATCTCCCAGCGGCAAGGCCCCTTCATGATCGAACTCATGACTCGCTTCTAATCAGCCTGGTAGCAAGAATTGTCGATGTGGCAGATTGAAGATGGCAGGTTCTCGGAGCCCTCGGGAAGCTAGCCATCTAACTGTCGACTTGCCACAGAGGCATGTATCAGATGTCCTTAGCCAGGAAGTGTACTTCTAGCCTTAACGATGAAGACCACCCGCCTCCAGTCCCTTTGTAGGACCCAGCCTAGGCTGACAGAGAATCGGCCTCCTGTTGAGCGTAACCATCGAAGGCATTGGTTCCTCGCTGCATTCTTCAACCTGAAGGTCCGTTCGCCACAAACGCCGAATCAAGCCTTGTCTTTATCCCCCATATCACTGCATATGCCAGTGAAGGTCCGACGTCGAGATGATTCGATACCATCACGGCCCACAAAATTGGTCGACTTGATCTGATGAGATCAAAACGTCAGACCAAGTCTGCTCGCATGGGGAACTAAATCGATCATTCTTCAAGCTATTGGCCGAGTCTCGCCTTGTTTCTTGTATCCACTGCAAGATGTTGTAGGATCTCGTTATGTCTCCACGATGCTTGGCTAGACAAGAGTCAGGCCTCGAGGCCGCTTGTTGTCGCGCTCCGGAAATCCGTCGAGTCTCATCCAAGCCAGCTCAAAAACCAAGTCTGTGAGACCTTATCCCAGGGAAAGGCTAATACAAACAGCATTGCATCTCGAGACGTGGAGTTTTCAGGCTCTAGAGGTCCAGAGAAGGGTGCATTGGCTCAAAGAGCAAAGGAAAGGCTAAGGAGATAGGCTACTATGCTAAGCACCCAGGTTCCGAATGAGACTGCAAGCAAGCATCTTAAGGATGTAAAGTTGTAGAGGGGCGTATTTTTTGTTTGTTTCTTCTCAAGACAGGCTTGAAAATGAAATACGACTCATGGTAAGAGGAACGATCTAACATTCATGCAGCGACTAGAAGTTTCTGTCACAGATGGTAATTGTTTGTTGAATCGACCGTAAGGCAGCCTCTGGTGCCTTCGTCTGGTGCCTTCGCGTGTCGATTATTTATACCTCTTTCCCTCTTCCCTTTCTTCCTTCTTCTTCCCCTTCCTCTCCACCTCGCGGATCCAACCACTGGTATGAACAGCTTTCGAAAATTCCATCCATTCGAACCTCCATCATGACCTCGAACAACGACGTAAGTCATTTCCATATCCTCCCTCGCACACCACCCATTGTCTATTGGAAAGACGCAGTGTCTCACTCATTTTCACCATCACTTCCCATCACCGTTCCCCATCAGCTCGCCTTGGTTCACCGTCACCACACAACTCACTATCCTGCTCGGTTGTGGGCGTGACATGGTGGCTTGATGATCTACCCTGGGTCAACTTGCCGGCTCCTGCAGCGTCTATCATATAGCTAGCCGGCATTTTTAGCCCCATCTTTCTGGCGGCGGCACTGACACCCGCCTGCCGCCGTTGCTATTGGCTTGTCTGGCAGCACCGAGGAGACTTGCCAGGATCCCGAAGATCGTGAGTACCTACCCTTTATCCCAATGATTACTAAGTGAGTATTTGTTGGTCAAATGTTAGGGGCTGAATACGCGCTCTCTTCGGAAAGCGCGGAGCAGGATCTCAGCAGTGAGGAGGCCAATGGAGTCCGGCTGCAGATTGACCAAGCTACCTACGATCGGCTTCGCTGGGAATATGTGTTCCTTACCACCGCACTGCCGTTTTTCGTGCCCCGTGAACTTGAGAGTGTAAGTTTATGTTTTTCTTTTCCTGTCTTCTTTCCCGTTGTCTTCCTTTCTTCCTATATCCCTTGCCCTTTCTTTTACCATTGATATCACTTATACACTTCGGATTCCCATCTTGCTGGTCTTGCCTATGCGCCTTCCCTCTTGAACAAGGGACCCTTATCGTATCATTATGTGCTATACGTTGGGACAAAGAAGTATCAACTAATCTGGAGTTGAAGTGATCACCAAACTGGCCGCCGGGTGGGCCTTGGTGCCCCAACCTGGCGAGTCGCGCACCTCCGCTGACCCTAGACAAGATTCTCCCAAAGCCTCGGACAACTAAGTGAATGAAAGCTCCGATGAGAGCTTGGATGAAACCTGGGAGGAGGTCCACGAAGGCGCCTTCGATGAGCATTGGGAGCTAATTTGAGCAAAAGGCCTCAAGAAGCCCACATTTTGCGTGAGATCAAAGCCCTGAATGGCAAGGCTGCCATCTCATTTCCGCTTTTCACATGACTTGGAAACCTAGCTTTAGTTATCGAAACCAATCTAAGAGTTTCCAGTCCATTGGATATTAGCAAAAGCTACCTTGACAATAATTCATTCTTGAGCATGGAATCTTCGGCAGATCAGACATCCTATCTATCTATAGAGCCAAAATGATACAATCTTCCTTGGGATCCCTTTCATCGGAACCCAAAAGTAACACAACAGGCCTATCTACCCATCGCTCTTCAACACTCCCTCCGACTCGTCGGTTGCAATTCGCTGTTCCAGAGATGGCGAAAACCCGAGTGACGTGCAGAAACACCTCGCCCGCCTGTATATCGCGCTCAACATCACGAGCTATCACAGGGATGAGCGTTCTCTGGTGTACCAGGTTGGTGTTGGCATCTGGCTTGAGTGCCTGTGTTTTCGTCGAATAACTCGCAGATTCGTTACCCATCCCAGAAGATAGACCAGTAGCTCCTACAACCGACAACATTAACACAGAATCAGGCGTTTGTAATACACCCTCACTGGACCCGATCTCAATATCCGGACTTAATTCGCCAATGTCACACATTTTGGTGCCGTCCGAAGAGCACCTCCCTGGGGAAGCAAAGCCGCCCTCGACGGTGTGCAAACTGCGCAACGCAGAATTGACTCGAACACGATGTATACGAACATGCCAGTCCGGCCATCGGTCAGTTGGTGGTATAAGGGTTGTGTGAACCTCCACTCCTCTGTCTCCCCAAGGGTACCATCGAACGGAGGTGGCTTGAACTCGGGATATACCCATGCGGGTTCTCACAGCGACTTCCGTAAAAGTAGGCTCTGAACATTTCCATTTCACGGCCCAGGTTTCCGCCCCGTCTCTACTAAGTGCGAGTGTACAATCCGGCGCGATCTGCTGGATCAGGGGGCCAGTCGGCACCGAGAACCCAAAGGTGGATGAATACTCAAATTTGGAGTACTTGGCTTGCGTTGCTTTCATCGGCCAGGCAACGAATTGTGCTGGTGATAGACAGAAATGATGATTTCCCGCCGGATGGTTGCTAAGTATTTGCCGAGGAGCAGGGACAAGCTGTGGTTTAAAGAATGATGGATATGGCTCTTCTTCGGCGGACCAAAACTCATTATCTTGCGCTAGTGAAACCGCAATGAAAGTCTTGAGACACCAATACGGTGACTGGGGTGAGTTGTAGTCCTCGCACATATACATGTTCCTATCGGATTTTTGTTAGCTCTGCCTGGAGGATTCACAAAAAAAAAAAAAAATAAAGATAGACACACGGATAAAGCCATCCGATATTCAAAGTTCCATCCGAATGGAAAATGTCATCCGAGCGGGAGGCCCACCAGCGTAGATGCCGCAACAGGAATCCCTTGACTTTCCCAGGCGTCGAAAGAGGCTCCGGCATGTCGGGAACAGGACTGACTGCAAGAGCCGCAAAGAAGGCACCACATGAGAATCTGTATGTGAGTGACCGACCAAAAGGAATAGCAGAGCCTGTCAATTTCTCAGTCAGCACATCATCCAAAATCTCGAGTTGCCCCGAAATTTGAGTGAAGGAACTTACCATCGCAGTCAAAATATCGCCAGAAAGAGGCTCCGAAGTCCCGAGCTTGCTGTCGGTATTTTTCTGCCCGGATTTGGTCGAAATCAGAGGCAAATCGAACGTACAATAGTTGACTAAATTGGATGGCAAAGCTGCCAGAATAATAGTCCACCTGTCTTCCTTTACCAATTCCATCCCGCCTGCGCGTTCGCTCAAACTCTGCAGCTTCCTCTTCTTCCTCTTGGGTGGTGAGCCATGGACCATCACCAGACCAGCCATCGAGGAGATAGAAAGAATCGAGAAGCTCCAAGTCTGCATTCATTTCATCGAGTACTTCGGCTGCAGGTACACCGCAGACTTTGACCAATGCCAGGTTGACAAATACCCGAAACCATCGCCAATTGTTGTTTGGCATTGGCTGTCCGTTCATGCCACGGAGCCAAGAGGTGATGTTTCTCCGCGTTTTCTCGTCGCGGGTGTGGAAGAGTCTCTGTGGCGCAGTTAGCAGCGCGTACGCAAGAACCTCAGCCTCCACCATGCGCTGGTGATCTGTTTCACCAATTGCGCCCCAGTATTCAGCATCATCGGGGTCTGTTCCCGCAGTGAAGCCTTTTATCCATGGGCTTGTGACTTCCTCAATGACCTCATTGAGTCTGGGGTCGGACGAGTTGCTTTGCAAGTTCAAAAGGCACACTACGGCCCAAAGGGGCCTAACGAAGCCTTCCAACTCTGCTGCCCCTGCATCGAAATGGGTACCCGTGGAAACAGGAAGTCGGACGCGAGCACAAGACGGTGAGAAGTGACTTGTTAGAGGCCGTAATAGGGCCAGAGCTGCAGTTGCTAAGTCGTCTCGTGAACGAAAGGGATTGTCGGAGAAGCCAGGAAGAGGAGGCATGGTGAGAATCGTACAGAATTAATCTGTCAATTTTTAGAAAATTTTGTTTCCAAGAAGAGTGTATATTAAATTGTTCGAGGACCCCGCGGGCTTGCGGGGAGAGTCTCGGGCTCGGACGAAGTCTCGGCCGGCAATGGGTGCGATAAATAGAGTGTAACATCGAGGAATCTCCACTCAATTCCCATATAAACAAGTTGCAGGATCAATAGTATTTTAATTTCTACGTTAACACCTAGTCACTGATCTTGGGTATAGCAACATGTCTGTAACAATCGGCGCCGCAGATAACTCTAATGAGAATTCCACTCGCACGTTTAGCAGCTCAGATCGATCAACGAGCCCGACCATGACAGAAGCCAATAGCGACTCGATTGAGAACGAGGATGTGTTTAAAAAGATCCAGCTATCAGTGCCCGCAAATATGCCGACTATCAGTGCACGAGTTCGTGAACTATACGACGAGAACGTCACAGCCAAGATAATTCGTGCTGGGACTACATGTCTGGAGCATAATGTAAGCCATATGTTCCATGAAAGTCGGTCCCATTAAATCTTTCCTGCGGTATACTGATGTCTCTTTAGTATCCAATTACGGAGTACCCTGAGTATGTTCTGCAGTCGGGACCCGATGCTGGAAAATATCTCCTTCGCGATGCCGAGTTTTGGACGTGTGGATTCTATCCAGGATCCATTTACTCGCTTCTTGAGCGCTGGATCAAATATCCTCAAAGCGTGGGCAAAGGCACCAGCTCAGCACTCATCATCCATAAGCTCCACGAGCTAGGCGGGATCTGGTCAGAGCCAATTCACCACATGTCCTCTAGAAAAGATACTCATGACATGGCATTCATTATCCAACCATCGATGCGGCCGCGCTGGGAGGTCTTCCATGACGAAAGAGCTCTCTCTACTATCCTCACTGCAGCCGACAGCCTATACACTCGTTATAGTCCAAGAATTGGCGCTATTCGGTCCTGGGACCAGTTGACGCAGAAGGGTGTCCACATCACTTCGATGGATCGCGATTTCCTGGTCATTATCGATTCTATGTGCAACCTAGACCTTCTCTATTATGCTGCTGCCCATACCGGTCGCGATGAGCTTTCGGTTGCTGCCACTCGCCATGCTCACAAACTTATGCGTACTCATCTTCGTCATGAGACTGGAATCTATTCCCAACGGAAGGGCTTTTCTGGACCTTTGTTCAGCACGGTTCACGTTGCAAACTTCGACCCCACCACCGGTGAACTTAAAGAGGTTCGCACAGGTCAAGGCTATGCTAAGGCCTCAACCTGGGCACGGGGCCAAGCATGGGGAATTCTCGGCTATTCGCAGACATTCCAATGGACTGGAGATGTCGAGTTCCTCGCCGCAGCATGCGGATTAGCTGAGTACTTCTTGTTACGCTTGGAGATGTCACCTAGCTGCGTCGAGCGTAAGGTCTCGGATACTTCGACCTGTGGCCGGTATGTGCCTCTTTGGGACTTTGATGCTCCCATTAACGAGGAGAATCCACTTCGTGACTCCTCTGCCGGTGTCATCGCTGCGAATGGCTTATTGGTATTGGCACAGTGTCTTATCTCGCGTGGCGATTATGCGCAGGGCCAGAGGTATCTTGACGCTGCTCTATTGCTCGTGGAAGATACGCTAGCGTTTTCTTTGGCTGACGAGAAGGCGTCTATCGTGGTGGATGGAAGTAGGGTGTCGGTTGAAGATACCCGGCCCGGTCAAACCTTCGATGCAATCCTGAAAAATGCCACGGCAAATTTCAATGCATCGGATCATCGTCGGTACTGGGATCACGGACTAGTTTATGGGGACTATTATTTGATTGAATTTGGAAATCGGCTGCTGAGGATGGGACTAGTATAGCCGAATCTATAGATGGGATGCCTGAGGTAAAGGGACGGACAGATTATTATTTGGCAATTTTAGACTAAGGCTCAGACTTATTCTACAGGATCATACAGAAAGACCGGGTTGTGCTTCTGATTTCGGAATGAATCACGAAGATCTGAACCGCAACGCATGGCGAGTCCAAGTTTTTCATCTCATCCTTGTCATATTTGGAGCCATCCTTCGTCAATCAAACTTTCTATGACCATCAGTATCTTGCATTACCTTCTTAGATTGGTCTCTTGCCCTATTGGACTCTCAATCCGTGAATTCTTCAACGTTAGTCCTACAGTATTCGATTTCTTGTACAGAGTAGCTGAGCGATGTCGGCGCAAAGACGATCTCATTCAAAACTGAGGAAATGCATCCAAGTGAACTTCTGGGAAAACACGCTCTCTGAAATCTCATCTCAATAGATTTTATTCGCGGTCAACCAGTCGCGCCATTCACCGACGCGGCCATATTTGTGGAAAACATCACGTCATCTAGACTGATCACACGATCCATATCCATGAATCTTTGATCTAACAGAAGATATGAGATGTTTGAGAGTTCGTCGGCTGGAGGTGCACAATTGATTGAATATTCGACATCCGGAATGACTCCCGTTGCAACTCTTGCTCCAACACCAGATTGGACGAAATTATTGTTCATATGTCGTGGACTAGAATTCTCCTTTGTCATTCCCCAGTGAGGCTCAGAGCGAGATATGTTCGCGCCGGTGGCAGGGTCGGTCGTATTGAAATCCGCGAATATAGCGGAGTCTCTGTTATACGGACCGTCATCGCGTGACTGGTGATTTTGCTGACCTGTAGGTGTGCGACCAGAGCTGACCGATCGAGTAATGGTTTGGGCGTGGTTATTTGAAATGACAGTGGAGTATCCCAGTACATCAACACTGAAATGGGGTGCAACAATGCAACGTTGGTGCAAATCTCGTAAGTGGTCTGCGTAGGTGCTCGCTAAACAACGACCATGGGCCGTGCTTGATGAGCCAACACCGAGCCAGCGACAGGCCATTTGATCTAAACTGTCAACCAAGGCCCACATTTCCGGGGCAATCTCAGAGCCATAATAGCGCCAATGAACTACACGATCGTGTTAAAGCTGATCGCTGGGATAGTAATGAGAGCTGGGCTTCGTACCTAAGAGAACTCTTGCCGCAACAAATACGCAAAATATGAATTGATTACTTACCGGAGATGACTCCGGTGTGTTGCTGAGATATTTGGCTGTTATATTTTGGATTTCAATTGCAGCGTTTTGACAAGTTTCCGCGCTGCAAACACTCGGGAGCCGAACGATATTCGCCCACTCAGCAGGCGGATAGGCGATGCGTTGGTGCAAAAGAATCATGGAGGTGTTGTGGGTGATGTGAGTAAGGGTCAAGTTGGGATCCATATGAATTAAAGTTGGCTGTCGCGATATGTTCGAGTCCCTCCATTTTGTGGGAAGGAACATTTTCCAACTACCGCCACGGGAAGCAGAAGTGAGCACAGGTCAACAAGTCAACCACTAATGATGATAGAGACTTACTGCACCAGGCGTAAATCCAGTTCTTTAAACCGAGTCAACCAGCTGCTGACCTCCCGTCGATCCTGAAAATTGATTTTCTGTTGGAGGAAGAAGGTGGTTACATGACTCAGAGACTCGGTTGCTTCTATAAGAAAAGCGAACGCGCCCACAGTAGACATGTCTGGCTGCGTCGAGTTTGTTGCTGGATGAGACACTGCTTGTGGAGAGCTGTGGGGCGAGGCTGTATCGGGCACGGGCTTAGGGCTCTTCGGATTGCTCGAGTATTTAGCAGGGAGAAAGGCGATCGAGTTTCCAATTCGTGCTTCAGATCTATCCCATATCCCAAAGAAGGGCGTGGTCACTTGCTCTTCTCGATGCCACAAACCACCATCGGCAGGTAGTCGTCGGTGCACGTCGTCTGCGGTAAGACTTGTATTCCAACTTTAAAGTCCAGGTCAGTTTTTGGTAATGTCCAATGGTATAGACGAATGAATCTGTAAAAGAGTGGCTCGATGTTTGGAAGCGAACATACCCTGTAGCTACGGAGCAGAATCGGTCCAAGTTGAATATATTCCAGAACACTCGTCTTCTTTCCTCTTCCTCAACCCATTCCTTAGAGGGAGTTAAGGACAACAGTGGTTTCAACAATCTGGTGTCGTAATCCTCATCCTCAATACTCAGACGGAGATACTCCACAGTTCGAGTCAAGGACCCCACTATTGACCAGGCTCTGGATGTATTGCCATTGCCGATCTAAAGAAACATTAGCATTGAAAATGTAAGGGCTCAGCCACCAATAGACGTACGTCATCAAAGGCTATAATTGTCAAGGCCTGAAGATTCTCAACGGAAAGACTATCCATCGCATTCAAGACGACGATGCTCCTTGAGGTCCTAGTCTGGGACTCCAGGTCCGCTGCCGAGAGACCATAAGCCTCGGGACGTGCAAAACGGATAGCCGCGACGATGATAGCATGAATGACAATGATCAACCGGGTCCGCTGCTCTGGATCATGTACACGAGCTCGAAATCGTGTCTCGTGAAGAATAGGTATCCATGGTTGGATATTGATGAAGTATGCAGTGACAATATTTTCCAAAAGCTCTGGCGGAGGAAGACTGGTGGTAGTATCAAGGAGATCCTCCAAAGGTAACGCAAGTTCAATCTTCGGATTTCCACAGCTGTCAATTCGCCTTCGCTTTCGTGGCTGAGCATGGGGCGAATCGTAGGTTTCATACCCATCTGGTGCAGTTGACGGCTGGGAGGGTGTCCCAACCGACGGCCCATTATGGCGCTGGCGAGCCACAGAATCGACGCTCGAGTCGTGAGTCCTGATTCCATTTCGATTATTGAGCTTACAAAGCTCAATACAAACTGTGGATAGGAGGTTGACCACGCCATCCAGACGCTCGTTTCCCGGACTGTGCGACAGATGTCCATCGGTGTTGTCTTTTTCTCGTAGGAGCGCGTCCTCAAGTACTTCTAATAATTGATGAGAAAGATTCAGTCGCTATTTCCAGCTGTATCAATATTAGTGAAATAATGGAGCTTACCAATACGGCGACTCAGGCCTTCGATAGCACCTGTCTTGATACCAGGCTTGCCCTTCTTTGCATCATAGATGCACGGCGACCCTGCAGGTAGGCACTTGTCAACCCCATTTTTCCTGGCCTCTCTCTGGAAATTCGATCATTGAGATTGAAGGGAGGAAGAACCAAAGATGGCACCATACCTAGCCGTTCACATTGAGAGCATGTCGGTGACTGTCGTGAGCACTTCAGCTTGCGCCGGCGACATCCTTGGCAGGAAGGTCGGTCATGCTCAGGGGCATTACCACCTTCTTCAGACTCGTTTAATGAATCCATTTCCGAGTCTCCAATCAGCCCACGCGAAGAAGACTACGCATCGAGAACAAATGCCGCGAGGATGCGCTGGTATGGGTGCTCATTGCTCAGTTGCAGTAGTCAGATGCATCATACAGACATGCAAGCATTATGGTCGGTTAGTGAGAAAGCGACTCGTCAGATCATGGAAGTCTGGAAAAAACCAATTCTTTCCTCCTCCAGCACATGTCCCCTCTAATGCGGGGAAATTTGTGGGGAAGGCAAGCAAGCCGATCGCTGCCCACATTCGGATATTCGCATGATCTTACTCCGAACGTTACCCCGAAGACCGAACCAACCCTGAGAGTGCGGTCGAATACGATGTTTCTTTCACCCTTATAGATAGGTAATCAGGAAGAAAACTTGATTGACTCGTCGAGATATGTACAAAGCAAAGATTGAAAGAGTCCATGTGACCATCTTACCAGGCACGTGACGAAATGAATTTCTGTTGCCCCACCGGGAAATTTCCTTTTTCTACCGGATAGAGAAGGCATCTCTGCCAACGACTCGCGATCATTGGTAGGAGATCAACCACTCATGTTGCAGACAGGTGGACGGAATGTACAAGAGGGAAGTCTAAAGTCAACATGATATGTCTGCACAATCAGTGTGGGTCTGACTGGATTTGACTGAAGCAGTTGACTGGGTGCGGTGTACATGAAAGTTCAATTCGCTAAGGGTCTCAACTCAATTAGACTTAAAAATCCATCGCATCAAATTCCTTCTCTGCTAGAGGTTTCAACCATATCCGATAAACCTTTAAACACGCTCGACTTGTTCCACCGCAAGCTTTGTATCTCGACCTATTTCAACTGCGTTTTGTGCATTCACATCAAGTCCCAGTTGTTTCATGGCATTCGCTCCAGATGCAGCATTTGGACCGTCGAATACCTCAGCCACTTCTTCCAGGCCGCGGTTCTTGGTTTCGGGGAAGAAGAAGAAGATCATGGTCAGGTTGAAAAAGATGACCACAACCCAAACGATATAGTAACGCCATCCAATGGCCTCCATAGCCACTGGATTGGCAAAGCTGTTATAAATACCCGCCAAATTTCCAGTCAGCTGGTACAGCATCGACGCTTTCGAGCGTAGGCTGTAAGGGGTGATTTCCATAATGTAGGTAGGTGAGACTGGAGAGCAGGCGTGATAAAAAGCCGAGAAGACAAATATCATCGCTAGAACACCGCCCGCGTAACCATGGTCCTTGAAATTCTTCTGTTGATTGATCGCAGAACAGATGGTCCAGATCAAGTATGCGACCCCCATGCCGCTCATTCCGATAAGATAGAGGCCGCGCCGACCCGCGCGATCAACAAAGAGAGCAAAGAAACTGGCAGTCATCAGACTCCAGATAGATAGACAGCCGTTGATAATGAGCTGCGTTTTGTGTTCGGTGATACCAATTGTCTTGAGTACCTCGGTCAAGTAGTAGGAGGTGAGCGCATTGCCTGACCATTGGAGCATTGCGGGAATATAGAGTGCCAAGAACAAGCGATGTCTATTTCCCTTGGTGGAAATCCATTCTTTCCATCTTGACATATTTTGCATCTTTTCTATTTGAAGTGTTGCAGTGACTTCTGCCATTTCAAAGTGTACGAGACGTGAATTTGGATCGCCGTCTCCATGATATTTGACGAAAATGTCAAGCGCTTCTTGGCTGCGGCCTTTGTAAATGAGCCATCGTGGAGACTCGGGTGCGAACAAACTCAGGACTGCCTGCACCAAGGAGAAAGAGCACTGCAAGAGACTAGGCAATCTCCAGCTCCATGACGAGTGGGTCATTTGGAAAGTACCGTAGGTGACCCACGCGGCAATGAGAGACCCTAATGGCCACGATACCAGGTAGAAGGACACCAGTTTACTCCGATGAGTAGGATACGCCACTTCTGAAAGCAATGGAGGAGCAGCAACTGAAACGATACCTAGGCCGAAGCCAACAAGGAAGCGAGAGAAGACAAACATGCCGTAATTGATAGACGCAGCCTGGATCACGGACCCAATAACGATGATGATCGATCCACCAAAAATTGGCCATCGTCTACCCAGCAGGTCACACAATTGCGATGAGACCAAGATGGAGATCAATACTCCTCCGGTAGGTCCAAAAGTCATTGCACCCAGACGAGTTCCCTTGGGGGCACCAAAAGTCTCAATCCATGCTGGCAACGCCTGCATACCGTTGATCATGCTTGCATCGAATCCTTGGGCGGTTTGAGTAAGAAGAGCGCAGAGCAAGAGTGTATTGAGTTGTATAAGCCGTCTGTCTCTCCACCATGGCTTATCTCGCTTGGGAATCACATCCTTGAGTGTAACCCCGGTGAAGTCGTACTGCACATTGTCGGTATGTGTTGTGGCCTCAGCCATTTGAGATATGAAGCTTAATGGTAACTGATTTGATGATCACAAGTATGAAACCTAGCCAAATAGCATGGAATGGATGGAATGAGTGGGCGTTTATACAAGTTTTCATGAAGCCTCGCCAAGAAGTCTCCTGGAAGTTTGCCGGCCCGAGCTATCTTACGGGCCCGGGCAAACTTAACTTGGAGACATGCAGGATACACGATGCACAGAGTTCCCCGCAGAGTCAAATCAGTAAGAGACCAAGGTTCTGAGTCGTGTGATTGAGCCCCGGAGAAAGAAACCGGACGGAGCCCCCGCAATTTACCCGTCTTTCTGGGGTTGCACCGGGCATCGGCTTAATGCTCGGCCGTGGAATGTGGAATGGCCCATTCTCTGCTCAATCGACGCTCCGAACTTGCGTATCCTAGCCAACCATGTCAAACTGAGGAGAGATCGTACTAGAAGTGGAATAATTAAAGAGATGCCCGGGCAAATATCCTTAAAGACGTTCTTTGGTAGGTGGAGCCGTTCAACTTGCCCGCGCGGGCGCCAAAAATATTCCTGTCAGTAGCCGAACTGTCGCCTTGAGGTCGCATCCCGAGAACGTACAGTAGCGCAATTGTTCGTTTCGAAGAGACCTCGCAATATGGATAGAAGTGAATCTGTAGAGATTTCCAAGAAAACTGTGATGCGAAGCCAGCCTGGGGTGTGGATTTCGCGCTGGCCACCAGCGAAACGAAGGGTCAGTTGAATTAGACAACTCAACCTTAGGTGCAGGAATGAATATACAACGGGTGGCCCGGGTTCCATAAGTTTGAAATTGGGACAAGTTTTAATAATCCTTTTAGCATTTATGTGTTAACTGATAGGGCACAGAAATGGTATCTTTGGCATCAAGGAAGACGATTCGAAGGAATTTAAAAAAATCTCTCAAATGAGAGTGATTGAAGAACATCTGTTGGGGTCGTTTCTCTTTCAGGCTTTTGAACTGCCACCGTACACTGTATTTGTTGATTGGAATATCTGTTTGGAACACCACCCATTTGTTTCGCTTGTGGTGTGATCTAAACTCTAGCTGGAGGAAGATGGGAACAATTTCTCATTGGACGCATTCTTTTGACAATGAAATTGGCAGAATGAGCCTTATTCTTGACTTGGTCAGTCTCCCTGGTGGTACTTTGAGTTTGTCAATGCTGTACACAGTCACATTTCTATCTTCGAATGATGATTGAGCCATGTAGCACCTCTCATATCTCACGAAAATGCCAAATTTTGTGCCCTAGGTCCCGTAAATTCCAAAAGAAATAGCATATATTCGAACAACAGATGGATGCAAAGGGGACTAGTCATTCTCCATCCCGTATCCACCCTAGCCAACAATCCATGGCCTGTTGAAAAGACCTAGTGTCTCTCTCATGTCCAATGTCATTCCAAATCATATTTCCCCATCAATTCACCCTGGCCGACTGTGAAAATTGCTCAATCTAGTAATACACTGATTCAATTGGCCCAGTCCTTGGATGGGAGGCGCTCCTCCAGCAGTTTCACCATGGCCAGTCGTTCCCGCTCACATGCATCCATCCTGTCTGCAATTTTCCTGACAATGTCAGCCAGGGCGGCCACTGACTCAGGCTGTGCAGAGGGGTTGTAAGAGGGACCGGGGGTGGGCAAGGTAGGGGCCTCAATGTGGCTTGAGATTTCAGCTATTAAAGATTAGATCATGCTTCAAAACAGTATAGGTCTAACAATGGGGGAAGAGAGCAGAGTCGTCTTCCGACATGAGATGTAACAGAAGAGGAACAGGCATAAGATATCTCAGGAAAGAAGTGACAGGATCTGCGAAGAACTTACTTATCTCCGCGTCGCTAACACGACGCGATGCACGAAGGTCTTCAAGGACCTTCAGACGTCCCTGAAGCCCAGCGAGGCGAGCCGCCTCCTTGGTGATCATGCGGCGATGCCGCTCGATCTCGTTGTCAAGATCGTCCAAGCCGAGCTCCTCATCGGGCTTCTGTGGCTTGGTGGCAGGGGCGCCTCCTTATCTATGATTAGCGTCTGCACTCTCAAGCCATCGTCGAGATCACACTTACCTTCAGCGGTGCCGAAGGAATGTTCTGCCCAACGGCGGCGGCCCTTGTTGCCCATGCCTAGGCGGCCAGCGGAAGTATTAGGGGCAGGCAGGAAACGAGGGCCACGGGCACGCCACTATGTATCATGGTCAGCTCTGTTTATACCACTGTATCGTCCCATCCAGACAGTCGAAGTGACGAGAGATCTCAAACCAACAGCCACATCGGGCAGTGGAGTGTATAATCACTGCAACCAAGAGCAGCTTGGTGGGAAGTGACAGGGCAGGATGGGACGTGGAGCTGATGGGTTCGATGGGGGTCCGATGGCTGAAGTGAGAGATACTCCTCTCCGCCAGACTATCGTGCATGAGAGAAAATCAACGAAAGACTTACAGGATGGTGCTCTGAGCTAGCCATGGTGAGGATGATGATGTTTCTTTTAAAGAAAAACAGGCCGAAAAGACATCTTCGGAGGGGATGAGGGAGGTAAAGGCAGACGGACGATGGTGCGTGAGCCTGGGGTAGGAGGAGGAAGAAAGAAGAAGGAGAAGGAGAGGGAGACGGCGCGGCCACCGCGTGTCAGGCAATCAGCGACGCCGAACCAGCTGGCATAAATAATCACAAGCTGGGGCCATATATTCAAGAATCTTCTTGATTTCTCTGCGGCAAACCCTCTAGTGCCCTAATATCAGAGAATGTTTGACCTCCTGTTTCCTTTAGCTAGATTCCCTGCTCATTGACAGTGTCCGCCTAATTTGCAGCTCTCTATAGTTCCATGTAGTTTATTTCTTAAATTTTTAGTGTCAGCATGATCTTTCTCCACTGTTGTCGTTAGAACCTTGCCTTTGTACCCGTTGCTATGACTCGTCGAGAAGGATCATGGAGGTGATTAGATGTTGACAGCTAAAGCCAGAGATGCACTGCATATACTAAGACAATTCTGGCAGATGGAATTTGGTATAAGGAAGGCATGCATCTAGATCACAAGTAAATTTCAGAACTACAACGGAGATTCTAAATAGGAAGTCAGAGACACGAAGTGGTTCAGTGGAGGAGCATCGTGGAAATTGAATCAATACTCCCCATACTTCAGATTCAAAGCATGAAACGAGGTCAATAGACGAAGTCAGGAAGCAAACAGCATATACCCGTTGTTGTGTGCCATAATTCATTGCTTAAGTTTAGATGAACTTCGTTATATAAGGTTAGAAGCATGCAAAGGTCGACAACCCTTGGTTCTCGACCTTGGTCCGTACGATAACTACAGACCACATCAAAGAAAAAGCTTATCAAAGAGTGGAATTTTAACTTACATGGCGTTGAAATCTCCCATTCGTCAAACGAACAGACGTGGGACTCAATCGAAAGCGGCGCCTATGTTCGGGGTCTGCAGCCCGAAAACTCAAATCAGTCTCTCGCCATGGAGTTAATAGGGACTACATGGACGGGAAAATATATGTCGTCGTTAAATCGTCATGTGGCTATAGTAACTAAACCGCAGACCGACGACACGGGTTTCTTACGAAGCAGGAACGACAGTCGTAACTAGTTGTATGAAATAGCAAATCATCTGACCTAGGATAAAAGTTCAGGAAAGGAACGTGGTCCACGAAGGCATCAGGGACTAACATAGATTTATCTCACAGCCGTGAGGAATATCATCAATAGCCTCGAAGGCAGAGCTAAATACACATATGAAAACTCATTTTATAGCCAGTTCTTATAAAATCACAGACAAAATATCATGTCCAGTCTTTAGAATCTCGCGACACAAGCTCAAAATATCCAGCGAATATCAAAACAAAAGCAAAACACAAGATGTTCAAATCAAAAAGCAAAAGCGCACTGCGCACAAAAACAACAATCTTAGATTATTCTCACGATCTGATCTGGTCATGCGAGGCAAGCTTGCTCGAGTCTATTAAACAGAAAAAAGTTGGGGAAAAACATGGAAAGCAGAGAGAGAGAGAGATAATAAGTAATAAGTAGCCGTGTAAAAGAATGTGCGGGTCGATAAATGTCGAACGGACCCCTGGGTATGAATTTTAGATCTGAGCTGAAAACCGATGAAAGCAGAGACGGGATGGTACAGGGATAAAGTAGCATAAAACGAAGAAAGATGAAAACAAGATAAAAAAGCCAGCATATTTGCACCGAATCCGGCACCATTGCAGAGGAACATTCTTTCGCGAAAAAAAGATTGGCACAAGATTTGACGGCGGGGGAAGGAAATAGTACCGGGGAACGAGAACCGTCAGAGAGGGATACGGAATAAAGGATTAAAAAGCAATCATTGAACAAAAGTCTAGCAGTTGGAAAATCTTTCGTCGTAGAACAGTAGAGATGGAAAGTAGAGAGGAGGAGAGGAGGAGAGGATCATGAAATGGGATTGTACAGGGTTTTGTGGAGGAAGGAGAAGGAGTGTCAAGAAGAGTTGAGTGACAGGCCTTGGAACCGGCCTACCCACTCGCCTTGTCCGGGGACCATGCGGGCAGCACTGTTGGAACCTACACCGCCGACATGGTAATCGGGGAATCCTTGGTCCAAAGTTCCAAAGCCACCAGGCGAGTAGGGACCAAAGGGATCAGTTGCTGGGACATCGGTTTGGCGGGATGTCTGAGAGAAGGCCGGATAAGTGTCGGGGTATGCGGACCGAAGCATTCCAACTGGGTTTGCCATTCCCTCGCGCCCAACGTCTTCTCGGGCTCCAGGGTAAGGCCGTGCATCGTGTTGGTGACGACGGTCTGCATCCTGGCCGTAGAGCGCGCCACCCATAGCAGTGGGGGAGCCTTGCAGACCCGCAGTGGGCGGTGTCACAAATGAAGCGGGATTAATGGCGGACATCCAGATGCGGGTCTTGTAGATTTTGAAGAGGTCAGTGACCAGGGAGTTGAAGTTGATGTACGAGTCGGCGAAATAGTAGAAGGTGAGTTTCTTCCAGTCCCTGTGAAACGAAGTATGTTAATCGAAGGCTCAACGCGAAGTCAAACCGGATAAAATGAACTCACATTTGGAACTCTGCATCGAGGATCTCCATGTTCAGTCGGTGTTCAGCTACCTTCTGCTGACAGACCCGTTTCGCCTTCGCCTCATTACCTTCCTTGTCACGAAGGGTGAGGATCTCATGGTTCTGCGCGAGACGCTTGATGAGCTTGGGTTTGATCTCTGTGGCGGTCTCCTGGACGCCATGAGCATGCGGGCCCATGCCACCAGTGGCACTACGAGCAGTCAAGCCTGTGCTGCCAGCAGTCGAACCCTCAAGCTGTCCCTGGCGAGAGAACATCATGAGCCATTTGTAGTGCTCCTCTGCATACTGCTGTTTCAGCTCTCGTGCCTTTTGCAGAGAAATATTGGCATGCTGGACAGTGCCCAAGTCGGTGCCTCGATCAGCTTCGACAATGACAAGGTCACCAGCTTTCACCTGAAGACCGGTATCTTCTTGGATGTAGAAGACGTCGGCGCGGTGGCACTTGAAGGTGACAATGTACAAAAGCTGGTTCTGATGACCGTGCGAGAGACCAGCTGGCTGACGGCCATAGGCACCAGACATGGCATACTGGTTAAGAGAGGCGGGAATTCCAGATGAACCATCGCCACGAAGGGTTTGCTCGCGGGAGTAATAGGATTCTAGACCAGGTCCAAGTTAGTGAAAAATTGAGATGAAACACGCAGGTGAATGCTTACGTTGCTGCATGGACGGATTAGAATAGTCACTGATGGTACTATATCCATCGTCGCGATCTCCCAGCGCAGCACGAGGGGTGGCCGTTGCCTGTGAGTCGACGGAACTAATCGAGCTGTGGCGCATTGGAATGTCGGCAAAGGAGTGACGACGGCTCTGCGGCATATCGGCAGCACCTGTAAATCCGAGGGAAGTCTGCCAGTGGGCCTTACGCACATTCTCCAGAGCACGGTTCTCAAGAGGCGTGGCAAAAGAGGAGAACTGTTGTTCGAGATTGGACGAATGTTCAGAGAAGCGCCTTCTGGTGCCCCCGCGCACGTTATATCCCTGAATATCGCGAAGTTCGCCCAGATCCTCAACAGCCAGGTCTTCCTCGGGGACGGCCTCTCTAATGCGGTGAGTGGGGTGAATTCCGCTCACAATGGAGGCAGATGAGGATGCTCGGTCACGGAAGCGGCTGTCCATCTGGCCTGCGGCAGCCTGTTGACGGAGAATTGCGTTTTCACGAGCCAGCTGTTCAATGGTGCGCGCCTGGCTGGCGGAATAGTTTGTATCGCCGTCAGAGCCATTGAGGCTCTCATCGCCATCCTCATCCTCTCGAACCCGACCGAGCATTGCAGGATCATGTCCGAGTTCGCCGAGTACGCTGGGCCGTGACGCGCGGGGCTGGCCAGAGGACAATTGCCCCGGGGCACGGGCACGACCAGGGGCATACTGTGTACCAGTAGCAGGCTTGTTGGCCATCATCCCCAGATATTCTGGGTCCATTTGTCCAACCGAGTAGGACTGAGACCGATAGGTCTTTGGAGTAGGGTGAAGCGGAATTGAGAAAGGAATAGCCGACTCGCCAGAGATGGTTCGAGTAATAGGACTGAGCGTTTCCTCCCCGAGCGGACCACTCGCAGGGACTGGGGTAGTCATAGTTGGAGAGGGAACGATCTCGGACAGGCGTGATGGAGGTTCCTTGCGAGAATCTGAGTTCCAGATGCCAGTACCCCAAGGGAAGGAACTCCCTCCAGCTTGGTTCCAATTGAACGAGCCGCTTAGCCCGGGGCTGGTGGTGTTTGAACTCCACGGTGCCTGTTCACTGGAAGGGCTTGCAGGATTCGAGGGGGCTGAAGTGAGCGGGCCTCCAGGCAATGAATGCTTCCGTTGCGCTGAGAGAGGTATCTCGTTCAGCCATGAGGTGCGGCGCACTGGTTTGGTTGCAGGTGCAGTGATGGTGTGAGAGAGAGGGATATGGTCTCCATCGTCGTCTGATGAAGCCAGTGCATCTGAGTCGGGTGTGGAGCGGCGCACCCCCGGGTGGCTTCTCTCGAGTCGAGCAGATGCAGTCGCTCCAGACACCGGCGGGGTGCTGGACTGCATAATGGGGTTGTGTTTGTTCAGTGCAGCCATGTTGTCTAGATAGAGAACGGGAGAGTTAGCATATAACGTGGAAGAAAGGCGTGCTTGGGAAATGTATCTCGCACATTCACGTCACTGCTTTCGAGAACCGTGCGCTAACTCGCTGGAGGCATAGCGTAGAATCATCGAAAACAAGTAACGTGAAAGTGACGGATAGAATTGACGGTAATCGAGAACTTTACTTTCGGCGCTAGGTCTGCGCTAATCCGTGAAAGATTCCAAGCCGGCCACAATCCGAAAATAGGGAGCACAAGAAACGGGAAAGTGACGGGAGTAGTGACGGGAAGTTCAAGTCACGCTCGAGGCGCTAAGGGAGCAACGAACCAGATATTTTTGTGATCCTATAAAACAGTCCGAAAAGAACCGAGGAGTTATATTATATAGGCGTTGGGATAAAAGGCCTTATCAAACGCGTAAGACAAAGCACTTGTCTTCGGTCCCCGTGAAGATTGAATCGTGAGGCCGGTCTCGATCCGTCAAAGGCCGATGGATAGCCGGGAGTCTGCGCTATATGCAAAGACTAAACAGGACGAACGTTAGCTATAGGTTTTGTGCTTCCAAGTAGGCACAGCTTAAGCCAAAACGCAGAAGTAAAGATAACAGGAAATAACATGAAATAACATGAACTTAGGACTACGCGTCAAACGCTGTATTTGCGCTGATCCGTAGCGAATTCCGCGCCGAGCATAGCGCCGAATCGGTAAAAGCAAGTGACGGGCAAATGACGGGAAAAGGTGGCAGGAATTAGAAGCTGCACTTGTGATGCCGTAGCTGGACTACTCCGTAGCGAATCGCGGGCCGAAAACAGCACCGAAATCGCAAGTACAGGTCACGGGAAAGGGATAGGAAGAAATGACGCGGATGAAAAGCCGCGCTCGAGTCACCAAGGTAGGAACGTACCAGCTGCCTTTGTTAACCTGTTAGGAAGTCGAGAAACCAACGAGGCGGAGTATTGAATGGAAGTCAATAGGCCCAGTCAAATGCACAACACAAAGCACCAGTCTTCGTCGTGCGAGGATAAGGAACTGTCAGGGAGCCGCGATCTGTCAAAGACCCGATGGCCGAATGTATGCGCTATGTGCAAGACTAATGAAGAGAAATGTTAGCAACAATTTTTATCATCATGGAGAGAACCAAGAAACGCGCAGAATAACGTGGAATCCCGTGAAACAGCTTTTTACAGAAACATGTCTTGGTCGCGAGGGGTATGCATTGGAGTTTGGAGGGTCAGGGTTGGTGGCATGATGGGTTCCATTGCGCCAAAGTGGGGGATCTCCGACACTTGCAGTGCGCTTGCGCAGCGGCTAAATCATGTCGCGGATGGATGAAAAGCATGCAGTCGACGACACAGCCTGAGCCAGGAAACAAGAACAGCCATGTCTCTCGTCAGGCAGGGTGCCGACTTTGAGAATGGGCAGGAGTTTGAGCCGCCCGATCGGGTAGCGCACGACATTCAGTAAGACAAGGCAATGGGACCGCGAAATCAGGCCCTCTCAAATCTGCTCACGCCGCACATACATACCTGAAACGAAGATTCTAAGAGTCTATCTCGACCGTGACCCGACCAGACAGACGCCGTGGGGAAAGCGGAATGACCAGGGCAGAGAATCAACGGAGTGAGACTGGAGAACGGCCGTGTAGTCGTATCTGTCGCCAGACGAGTCCCGAGAGTGTGAGTCTTGGGCGCATTCACTGAGGGCACGAGGGAAGAATTGCAGTCGATGCGCGACTCACCACTCTATTGGGATTATGCTGTGGTGTAGGAAGTTATCACTCTATCGATGAGGAAAGGCAACAGATACGCCAGTGCGGATTCGTGGGTCTCGTGATGATCGCCGACTCTTTTTAGGAAGATGTAGGGCCTCTGGTGTGACGAGGACGAAAGCGACCGCGGGGACTTGACCGAGGAGGTACGCGCCGCGCAGTATGGACTGGGGGGCGAATGTGCGCGAGCAGGGGGGCGAAGGGTTCCCGCAGCGATCGGGGAGCGCGATGGAAGTAGATGCGAGTCCGCGAGTCCGGGTCGGACGGGTGTAGCCTTTTTTCTTTCGTGGGTGTTTGAAAGATCGATTGATCGCCACCGAACGAGGTGAGGGAATGCGTTCGGACGGTTGCAAGGGCAGCTGGTAGCGTGACCACGGATGACGTTGTGGAGCAACCGAGACCCTTCAAGGGCGGCGCATAGCGTAGAGATGATTATATGAGGATGAAGAAAGGAAAGGAGGGAAGTAGTGGATAAAGGGTGGGTTAGAGAAGAAAGAAGATGGGACCGAAGAGGGGGGGAAGCAGAGAAGAAAGAAATGAAGCTCAGGCGGGGGAGAGAAATGAGATTCGAGGAGGAGCAGAACGGTGGGTGGAACTGGGGTAAAATGGGGGGGAATGAGAGACGAGGGAAAAGTGAACGGATCTGGCAACGTCGCCCCGATGTTCAGGGGACACGGACCACTACAGATGATTCCACGGCGTATGGTAGTACTTATAGCCACTAGGAGAGTCGGGAAATGTGGTGATTATTATTTTAAGTATTGAGAACTATGAGACTGGAAGAACAGTCGATTTATTGGAGATATTCATGAGTCGCATATTATAGTAGTATTAGAGGATCTTGACTTCATGACCCTATTCAAGTCATAGCCCTGGTCTATCCTAAGATTGCAAGAATCAGGAGACTCCTGGGATATTCGCTAATGTTGCAACCATAATCATCCTCCACATAATAGTCGACAGCTCTGGATAGGCCGATGCAAGTCGTCCGGGACTACGCCCCATGTAGCAAAAGGCTGGGTCCAGCGGGGCCTTTGGGGTGGGAAGAGGAAGCCGACGATCGTCCGGGGTTGGGATTGGCGTGGGAAGCGAAGACTCTTGGAATAAAGCCGCCGTCTGCAACCCCTGTCAGCCCACAGGGTGAACACGAAGAAGTAGAATGTCAATATTTAGTGGACTGTAGAACTAAATTGTTATATTCTCATGTCAATTTATCGATTAGCTGGTCATTTAGTACTATCTCATTGTATACCATCGTTCTTCCATACCCTCAATAGAGTTGCAGCAGGTGGATATATCCCATACCTCGCACTTGCTGTATATCTCGCACGGCCCATGCATTGGCTCGCACGCTCTTGCGGGGTTCGCCCCCCTCGCCATTGTCGAACCCCCTTGCTCATTTTAAAATGATACTGTAATGTTAATAAAAGAGTGCATACCTCTCGTGCTTGATTTCTTACCGAGCCTTATTTATTAAACATAAGAATCTAGTAGGACTGAGATATATTGTAGGTGGATATACCTCTTTGTCTTATTAACGTCATCACGTACCCCGGATTATTCCTCCAAATAGTCCTGGTGGGGGGCAACAAGTCCAATAAGCGTCCTCCACCCCAGCTCCCCCGAAGAAGAGGGGCTGATCCCTTCGGATGATTCTATCTCTCGTCTAGCCTCTTCATTTTGCGGGGGAAGCTCATGCATTAGAGGCATTTTCTCCCCCACTCGCCTAGCGGAGGTACAGTAGTCAGTACAAGCCAACTATCCACCAACACAAACCCCTCTCGCACTGCATTTATTAACCCTCAGTCTAAGATCATGGAGCCGATCCCACACGCGACCTCTTAAGAAAACCAGAGTTGGAGATGGTCTCATCCCCGTCAATCTAAACCTTGGAAGACAAAAACAATATCAATCCACGGTCGGCAGTAGACAGTGTATCACAAAGCCCACACGGGCTGTCATACAATTAGTTCTGTTCTACAAGTCCGACAACTACTAGTAGTCCGTACAATGGATAGATACCAATGACCATCCATTCAAGCGTTAAACCCCCCACCACCCCTCCGGCACCAACCTAGTTTTACTTTTCCTTTTCTTTTCTATTTTAATTTTTATGGTTCATTCTACTGTACCGTAGAGTCTGGGACACACTATGCGGGCGTTACTTCCACGGACGGCGGCACGAATCAATCAACGCTCCGAGCCTCCGACCGAGAGTTATTTCCTGGTCTTGCAACACGGCCGCGGGGCTCCTCACGAGGACGTTTGGGCAAGGGCAGACCAGACCTGACCAGACCAGACCAGACCAGACCAGACTATGGCCAGAATTGGATGCCCTGCATTCACTTTGAGAATTATGGGCCTATGGGGTCTGGGGACAGGTGGTTGACGTAGGTGGGGGAGGGGGAGGCGATGGGCTCGAAGTAGGTCTGAGAGGGTAGTTGTAGAATTTGTCAATGATGAGAATAGTTAGAATGGGGTTCATAATGGATATTGTTGGAGTCATAGACATTGTTACATTATACCGAGTACTGCCCTTCCTCCGTCACTCCGTGCTGTAAGCCGCTGCGAATAAAGAATTAGCCCCGCCACCCCACGATGGCCTGATATTCCAGGAATCAGCACCCCAGAGCAGTCTATAACTATGGAGATCAAAAATCTGTATGAAGCTCTCTCGCATCATGCATTGATAATATGAATACGAGACTCAACAAAATGCAAAGGGCCCGAGAGACCAGAACTGAGAAATATTACTGCACCAAAATCCCTCACTGGCCAATACCACCCAATGGGCCCTCTTCATGCAGACGGTCCGGGTTCCCCTCTGCGCTAATATAACTAGTCCAGCCCAGACCTCACTTGTCTACAGTAAATCATCGGTCCATGCAGCAGTGCCTGGACCGAAGATCTGGGCCTAGAATCAGGATAGAGGCAGCCGCACGAGACTGAGACCTCGGTTTACCGCGGGGGTCAAGCATTCCAACAGTGTTGATGCATTAACAAGCTGTATTGGATGTGAGGATAGACTAATATACAGATTTTCGAGAAGCCATGCTGCGACTTTGCAAATTTGAAATTCGAAGAATATCACGCATTGGCCCAGGTGAGCAGATCCCTTATGGCGCGTTGTCGAGCGAGCTGCTAGCTGTGGCAGCAGCACCCTTTTGCTGGCGCAACTTCTCCTCGAACTTGGCAAACTCATGCATAGAAATCTCCTCCTCCTGATCCATGACCTGCTCAACACCCTTGACCTCCTCGATCTAGAATCGCAAAATGTTAGTTGAGTGTCCGGCTGAAACACAAGGGTCCCGACGGGAACCCGCGGGAAGAAAACTCACGTAGTGCATCAGCATTGACTCAATGCCATTCTTCAGCGTCACAGTGCTCGAGTCGCAAGTCCGGCATGCGCCCCGCAGCTTCAACATGACAATACCATCCTCAAAGCCCCGCAGCTCAATATCACCGCCGTCCTCCTGAATCGCAGGACGAATGCGTGTCTCCAGCAGTTCCTTGATCATGCTCACAACCTCATCATCGTTCTCATCATAAGTGAGAGAGTCGCTCACACCACCCTCCTGCGTGCTCTCGGAGCCATCACTCTCCACGGTCGTCACAATGGTCTCGCCGGCTGTCACGGCTTGTGTGATCAGGCTGAAGATCTCGGGCTTGATGTGCGCCCACTGCGCGTCGCTAGCCTTGGTTACGGTGATGAAGTCAGCGCCGTAGAAGACGGAGGTAACACCCTCGACATCGAGAAGCTTAGCAGCGAGAGGGGAAGGGTGTGGTGGGGAGAGTGTAGAGCGAGGGGAGAGGTATTCGAGGAAAGTGGTCGGGAAGTCCTCGGGAAGGACGCGGTGGTTAGGAATGAATTTCAATGCCTGCAATTCAAAAATTGTAAGTATCTTTACACACATACTGTGACCACCTCTAACGGGTATTGAAACATACATCAGGGTTGGGTGTGTTCTCCGTCTGAATAAAGATCGTCCGCTTGCTGGTCGGAGACATGCCGTTGACTCTATTCTGAACCACAGGCTGCTGGTGGGGCCGCACCGTCGGCCGACGGCGAGTCTCTGACGCTGTGAGGGTAGGCAGGCGCGAGGCGCTGGACACATTTCGGTATGCGTTGAATGCCGCAGGCCTGGCAGATCGGGTGCAAGCCTCGGAAACGGATGTAGCCGAACGAGCACCGGCGAGCGCTCGCCGGAGCATGTTGGTTGATGTGGCTCTGACAGACATATCTGAATCTTGCTAAATCACAATACGCGATGCAAATTCCGGTATGTACAGCGGAGTGAAGATGTTTACGGAAAGTTGAGAGGCGTCGGAGCCCGTACTCTGACGCAATTTGATAGACACGTGATCTCGGGGAAGGGGAGATGACAAATTACCTTCTCCAACGGGCCAATCAGAGATAATGCTTTTCACATTGAAGTGCCGATATTCGGGGAGATTTTTGAGGGAAAGTGTTGTTAATCTAGTGCTTTATGAAAGGTCTACGTGAATCAATGTGTTTGTTACTTGAATTCATTATCAATGGACAATATGTTATACAGGGGTGAATGATGCTGTGTTTTGTATGTAAAAGAGGATACACCTCAATCAGCATCCGACTCCGAGGAAGAAGCTTGGACTGTCTTGCTAGTCGCAGCCTCGTATTTTGGCCAGACCATACACTTCAGAAAAGCAGCTATACCGATGCCCAGTTTTGGGAGGCACATGAATGCTGCTTGACACCATTGGTGCTTCTCGGTGGACCCCCGGCTGTGATAGAACTGGGTTGCTTGACTGAATGGAGCAAGCAAGATTTGAGCACCCATGCCTTTGGCCTGGGGTTGGACAAGGAATTTCACAGAGCGGCAGATAAGGTTAGCATAATGTTCAGCCACAGCAAGGAGGTCCTCTGGAAGCTCATCGGCTAGGGTGGCACACGAGCAAGGCTCATTGTGGGAAGGCGGAATATCCCACAACGTAAACGAGAGGTTGTTTCGTGAACGACCGAGAAAGATGAGTAGGTCGTCGATGAGGGGGTAGAGGAGTATGAAAGTTGTCCACCACAGTAAATGGGACTCGGAACAAGTGAGAAATGGATAATCAATGGCGTCCATGAGAAGATCTCGTGGGATGGAGTCATCAAGTTCACTCCAGAAAGGTTTTTGTTGTGGAAAAGACCAAAGAACCCCAAGCCTTGTTTGCATTTCACGGAAGCCGAGGTCAAGTCGATCCTTTAGAGATAGACAGGAGGAAAGCAATTGCTCTCCTTTCTGGTAATCGCCTCGCACGCTCGGGTCTCCGGACTGGATGAGGCTGTCAACGAGCTCCACGAGTGTCGAACATTCCATGACTAAATCAAGTATAATGTCGACCGGCTCTTGCCAGGGATTTTCCGACGGCAGGTTTTGCCAGAATTGGCTATAAGCGTATGAGGAGTTTCTCGTCCCAACTGCATCGCACACCTAGCCGCTTGAAAATTTAGTAATTGAACAGTATGGTGAAGGATTGCGGATCCTAATCATTACCGTGACAAACTTCAACTGCCGGCAGAAGAGATGCTCTGTCACGCTGAGCGGGCTTGGATTAGTATAATGGGCCAAGATGGCATTGCTTCCTTGGACGTGGGCCAGCCACGCACTGAACCCAAAGGGTGAACAATTGACGAACTGTAGACAAGGAGTAATCAACATCTGGACATGGCTGGCCGTTCATACTTCATATATTTAAAAGATTACAGTGGCGAAAAAGGAGTCCTGGCCACACTTTCGCCCTGAATGAATCCGACGATGGACTATCTGCAGGGCCTGGCCATATAGTCTTGTACTATACATTAGTAAATCGGTGTCCCCTTTCGCCTTAGCAAGGAATGCCGCTCTTAGCGCTGTCACTGCCTTATCGAGGACTGGACTGCTACCAACGAAGCTGGGAAACGTATCCTGGAGATGCGTGACAGCACGACATTTCCCATCCCTGATGGCAGCTGAAGGTTCAAAGAAATCAATAAAGTTGGCTACGAATTGAGTGCGTGTGCCGGGGTTCACGTCGAATCGAGGGAGATCCGAATCTGTGTCCGAGGAAGTAGAGCTAGATGCCTCGTAGCTGGACGTTTGACCTGTTGGAACTCTTGACCGACAAGCAAGGGTATGCGAAGGTTTGCTTGCTCCTTGTTTGAATACACGACGCCGTTCGTTGCCCATGCACTCGTGCCCATTGTTCAGGCACCGCAGGCATTCCGGCTTCGTCTCATCGGACTAGACCGGGGTCAGGATTGGATGCTTTGAATTGGGCTCCGAGACTAGCTTCCAACTCGAGAGTACGAGCCCTGACTTTTCGTCGTTGGCACGTATTGCACCCCTTAGATTTATATGGAGTACCGCCCATCTTGATGCAGATTGATGAGGGTATGCTGAGAGTGAGTCGGCAAGCGTGGGAGAGCTGTATAACCGGAGGTTGTCCTTGAAAAAGACATGCTTGTCCTGGAGCATAGTGATGTCTCAAAGACGAGTTTACGAGTGATACTAGTGTAAAATTCCACCCAGCCAGCGCCAATATCGATGTTGATGCCTGAGTGATCAATACAGACTCAATCTCAGATGTTGCGTAACTACTTGAAGTTGAATGCGGCGAACAGTCCGTTTCGGAGAAGCTGCGATGTGGGTCTCCTTTATGCCTGAGGCATCAACAACGCCCGAGCTTCTTCTATTTTTGCCCGTGACGATTGAAGACTGCTTGCGCAAGCGTTAAGCCTCGTTTATCGTCTGACAGACTCGGGACCTTGACCAGTCAGATGTGAGGGAGACGTTGCAGAACGACGTGTTCTTTTCTCTTCTTGTCTTCATCGACAATATGCCCGAGTCCTGCGAGGTCTGCTCGTCGGAACCATCCAAATATCGTTGTCCGACATGTGCTCTCATGAGGTAAAGATCGTTCCCTGTCGATACCCAGTTGCTTTGGTTCTGCGCGGTGTCTCATTCTGTTCTTACTAGTTGCTCCCTCGCCTGTACCCAGTCGCATAAGATTTACTGCGCTCCCAAGGCTACACCTTTGAACGAAGACTCGAAAGCGACATCCACGACCGCCACTGCTCCTACTCCCTTACACAACGGCGACACGGCCCCAGATGTCGCAGGAAACGCAACAAGCAAGAACAATGAGACCTCTTCTGCTGGTATAGCCGCTTCACCGGAGCTTCAAGCGCTACTGTCCCGCTATCCCCAGCTCCGCAGCCAGTTGCACGAAATATACCAGGCAACACAGGAAGAGGAATGGCAAGAATGGTATACACCTCCTACGAGGGGCCGGCCCTACGGCCGGGGAGGTCGAGGCCCCTCTCGCCGGAGTCGAGGCTCATGGACGACGGAAAAGGGATTCAACCGCGGCTTAGGCAAAGTGCGGAAGCTCCGACAAGATTGTGAAGGAGGGTCTGAAGTTGGGGTCAAAGCAGATGCTTTTATGGAGTTTTTGGCGATCGTGAATAAGGACCGCCAGGCTCAGCCTCAATTGCCTGAGTGATCATTATTCTCGGCAATATTTCGCATTCGGTTGGGATCTTATTCTGCCTTTCTTCCTACGGAGAACCTTTGAAGCTTTAGTCATTGCTGGACAATGAAACGAGATACGACTACTGTACAGAGTTGCATTGATGAGCCTGCGGGGTCTCGGAATAAATAAACAGCCAAGTAGGCAATGCGACACACTAATTCTTGCCTAAATTAGCGTAACGGGGTAAACCATCAATTCCATAATTGATTATATAGTACCTTACTACCATGGGAAGGAATTGGTCTGACAGGCCTGAGCCCATAAGTGATTTACGGCAACCGAGGCCGCGGGTTTAGTGGGTTTTCGCAGTGCAGTCCGGAGCAGTTAGCACCGCATTAGCGTCCCCATTAACCAGTCCACCATTGGGGCGGAGACCTCGCGCGTCCAGACCCCCCAAAAGACCAAAGAAGAGGGCATGAACAAGGCCGCAAATTGGAATCCTCCGGCAGCACCGGCGCCCTCGCACGGGTGTCAAACGTGATGAGTCGACCGGGTCCTCGTGCAGGCACCAACAGGGACCAATGCCCACAGACGTTGCGGCTCGTCTGGTTGGCGGCTGCCATTTGATCGCTTTAGTTCGGCCTCGCGCACTTTGCCCCGAAAAGGTGATTCAAGGGGGGCCGAAAGGAGAAGCACAAGCTTGTTCGGGCTTTGCTGATCTGCCTATTTCTGCACGATGTGAGAGGCCTCCCTTTACCCCTGTGGTCTTTGCTGCAGCTACACTGTACGGCTGAGGGACTGGAGCAACTGGATGGAGTGGGAATGTGTCGAATTGGCGAATCCCACGACGGATTCCCTCCGCTGCGGTGTCATTGGGCCTTGGCTGTCCGAAGGAATCACAACATGAGGAGCAAGCACCACGGCTCAATTGACCAGCGAGTACTACACCAAAGCAGAACGTGTGATACCTATCGAGTAAGCGACCTCCCCTGACTCTCCTGTAAGCCCGGGGAGTTCTGGTAGTGGCGGCGCCACGACAAGGCTCTTAGTAGATCCACGTATCTTCGGTACGGAAGATGGAAAATAGAAGACGCACGACTGGTTTTTGGTGTGTTAGTATTGCGTGGGTGCATATAGATTGTATGGAACCAGGAAGATATGTCGAGGCCCCAGTTCAGCTCCGGTCGAGCTCAGGACGACATCAATGCTCCACAAATGACGAGGCCGGAGGCGTCTAGTTTCAGATTGTGGGTTGGAAGATCTGGAGAACGGGGCCTCCTTGCACTCCAATGAAAGCCGAGCTTTCAGCTTTTGCCTGCCGAAAAAAAGAGAGGTTCTGTACGGATGAGTATGATCTGTCCACCTGCTGCATTTCTATATTTGAATTAGGGGTGGCCCTGTTTTGGACTGTGCTGGGAGAATTTTCTTGTCTTTTCTATACTTCCCTCTTGTATAGTAGAACAATTGGGAGTTGGGAGACTTCTTTTTCCTTGGTTCAGCTACCCTCCCCCCGGTTCCACGGTTTCTACGCCGCCAACATCTCCTCGGACATCCGGACTCACTCCACAAATTACCTGTCCGCAGACTGACCCGAAGATCAATCATTGCGGTCGCCACAGTGATCGTACCACAATCCAGCGCAACAATCATCAATTTGTCCTAACGGTTGCTATTCTCGTCTCCCCCCACCGGATCGCCGCCTCGCCCTGCGACCGAATCTGAGAAATACCACTCTCGCGTCCCAGAGTCGACAATGGATACACAGTGCGAGCTCTTCGAATACACGCAATAACCTGATCTCACCAAGTCGCGCCTCGCTGGCTCGAGCCCACCCCCTTGCTTCCGAGCTATCTCCGCCGCCATGAGTGCTCAGCAGACCCGCCACGCGCGGGCATCGAGCGACAGAGCGCAGACAATGCCCCCTGGGGTGCCGCAGCGCCCCGGCATGGGAAGTCGCACCTCGTCTGCTCCGGAAGGTGGATTATACAAATTGGATGCAGGACGAAGACCGACCTCTGCGGCCAAGGTCGGACATACGTTGTTGGAGGAAGACGAGGGGTCTTCGAGCACGAGTCATGAAACGCCGAAGCGTTCGCGGTCCCGGCGCCGTAGTGAAGAGGTATGGTCAATTGAGGCTGGATTGTGTTCAGAGTGAATGAGTGCTGGCAAAAAAGCATCAGATGGCTAACGGCAGTCTTCTTGCGTGCAGGAATCCTCCAAATCCAGTCTACCGGAAGTTACAATTGCCGTGGTGGGAGAAGATGATGCGGGTAAGACGAGCTTTATTAAGTCCGCATTGGATATGAAGGGGACCCCTTCGTCTGTCTCCACGAAGAAGAAGATGTCTTTGGATGGCTCCGTTTATATTGTCCGATTGTTGGAGATTGACTTGAAGCAAGTCACATTCGACCAGGATCTAAACATCGTTTGGCCGAGGGTGGGCAAGGATTCGGCCGGGCCGATCGTCGATGGGGTTTTGCTTTTACATGATGCAACTCAGCCAGAGAGGCTAGAAAAGACCGTTGAACTTGCAGGTATGTGTCTTCAGCTCTGTTTATGTCGAACAGGCTGGGTTTGTGATTCCTCCAGCTCTTGTCTCGATTGAAAGCTCTCGTTTGTGGTGGAGCCCCTACGATACATACCTATGCGGGGATGTGGTCCAGTTGCTTACCTGGAGATCAACATTTAGATGCCCTGGATGACACCACCGTCCCATGCGTACTGGTTGCCTGCAAATGTGACCAGCTCCCCGAAGACGGTGAGCTTGGTCCGATCCATGAGCGACACGACATCTACCGTACTTCGCCCGAGTCACCACGGTCCCAGCAAATGTGCATCGCACTGGTGCTACGATCTGTTATCGGTCATCGAGCAGGTGAGTTTCTGACAATGTTCATAATCTCCTTCTTATTAGCTTCTTTTTTCTCCCTTTGTGCTTTGTTGGTCCGCTAGCCGTAATTATCCTTGGGGGAGTTCAAGCGGATTGTTATGGGCTGAGCAATGACCCCTCTGGGCGGACTAAGTGGGTCGTGGGCCTGGCATTTCGCGGATTCGCTACCCTCGTTCCCTCTCTTGTCAGAGTCCAGAGTCCACCGATCGACACGAGCCTTAAGGAGAAAAGAGAAGCACAAGAAACGGAGCGAACACGATAATTTCGTGGCGTGTTGCTCTTCGTGACGGCTGACTTTATTTCCTATTCGTCCAGACCTGGCCGCGTCTGACCGTAGTAGTAACCCTCCTCCTCCGTCGGCTCAACCTCAACATCCCCCGTTCGCCCCTCCCCCGCCGAGGACGACCACCAAATCTTTTCAACCCAACCCTTCTCCTCCCGATTGGCACCACACCCGCGCCAATTCAGAAACTCCCTCTGTCGTTCTTTCTGGAGCCGCTGGCGGCTCAGTCACTTCGGTCTCGGATCGCACTGTCGATGGCAACGGCGTTCATCGTCTGCCTACCGACCAGGTCCACCCATCCAATCTGGCGCAACAGCATGCTTCAAGTTCGTCTCGAAATGCCAGGAGTAATTCCCACCCGGTCCGACCGCAAACTCCGCCAACTGGCGCGCGGCTGAATCCTCGCCGACCGTCTGCTCAGGGAGATCTTTCTCCTACCCAAGAACACATTCGCCAGCGACTACAGCCTTCCTGGCGACACAGCGGAGGCTCGGACGCCTTCAACAGCTTTTTGAATATGGAAGACGAGATGGACGATGGAGCACAGCCCGCTAGCCCCGGCGCCGTCTTGCGCCCGAAACCGAGCAGCGAGAGCAATTCCAGTGCAGAGTTTGGATTAAGCTTTGACGAACTTGTCGATCGGCTGGTCGCTTTGCCAATGTCGAAGCAGGACTCGAAATTCAGCGCCATCTTCCTCTGTCTGTATCGGAAATTCGCCGCTCCGTCTACCCTCCTCAACGCATTGATCAGTCGCTTTGAGAAAAATGAGACCAGCAACGTCGACCAGCTCGCCCGCATGGCAGATCAATTGCGCCTTTTAAACGTGATCGCCTCATGGGCATCTGAATACCCTGGCGATTTTGCCAATCCCAAAACTAAAAAACGCATCAACGAGTTTGTTATGAATCTTGAAAAAAGCCATTTCTACATGTTTGCCGCGAAGGAAATTGGATCATACCTCGACACCAATGCTGAGGATGATGATATAGGATGGGCATTCGGTGACGGCGATGTTGACGAATCGACTCTCACCGAAACATTCTTCGATAATTCTGGTCGGAGCTCCCCCGTTCCCTTCATGACCGGCACCTATGACGATGACGATGACGACGAAGTGGAAGAAGACCCCATTTACAGCAGTATGAGCGCCTTGGATCTGAGTGGTGAAGGGCCACACGATTCTACCTCACGTCTCTCCGGAACCCTCTCTATCTCCTCAAACACCGACAAACCTTCTAGCACAATGAACCAATCATTCACCCTCTTGACTGTGGAGGCTGCTCAAAAGGAAGCTCTGCGTCTCGAAATGACCGGCCGGACTTCACTCACCAAGATCCAATGGCGGTACTTCATGGAGACACCCGATGAGGAATTCGCCCGGGAATTGACCCGTATTGACTGGATCATGTACAACTCATTCCGACCTCGCGATCTCGTGCGTCATGTCAGTATCTCTGGCGTGGACAAAGACAAGATCAAAAGCTTGCAGAATGTCAACCGGATGATCAAGCAGTTCAATCATGTGGCCTTTTTTGTGGCCAGTATGATTCTTCTTCGCGATAAACCCAAGCATCGAGCGAGGTGCCTGGAGAAGTTTATGAGCATCGCAGTGGTACGGATTGTATGCTTCACGAAATGTATGACACTGTGGCTAACGATATTATCTAGAAACTACGTCGCCAAAATAATTACAACGCCCTCGGTGCCGTAATCGCTGCTATCAACGGCACCCCTGTTCACCGACTCACCCAGACCAGGGAAATGATTCCAGTCGCTAGCCAAAAAGAGTTCATGCGATTGGTCATCCTTATGAGTACCTCACGCAGTCACTCTGCCTACCGACTAGCGTGGGATAACTCTTTCTCCGAACGAATTCCATTCCTCCCTCTACATCGTCGTGACCTGGTCTCCGCGGAGGAAGGAAATAAAACCTTTGTGGGTGAGAACAAATCTCGAATCAATTGGAAGAAATTCGAGGTCATGGGAGAGGTGGTTATCGGTATCCAGCGGAGCCAGAAGAGTCCTCACCCTCAAGCTCAGAAATACGATGATATTGAGCGATTAGTCCTGGATTCAAAATTATCCGGCGATGAAGAGGTATGTTTTAATGAATATCTCTGCGCTGTTCTGACCGTGTCTAACTTGACTCAAACAGGATCTGTATGCTCGCAGCTTGCAGCTTGAACCGTCGACTGGAAGCGAGACCGGGCGTAGAAAGTTCGCCTGGCTACGCGCCTAGTTCTGTCTCCCTCTCTCAGAGCACTTGGGCCAAGCCACCACCCTTGCTCGTACGCCCAATCACCAATCTTTTTAAAGCCATCCACATCTATCTCCATCTACCACTTTGTTCGCCATACCCCCTCTCACGTCGCTACGCTCCCATGATCGATATATTGGTTCACACTTCTTCTGCTTTCTCTCTCTATTAGCATGCTCTATTTTGGAATGGACTCCACGGCATAAGCATGATGACTCTTGGAGCAAGGTGTTGACACGAAGCTCCGATATGATGCCTGTTTTGTACATAGTGTGCTTTCGTTGTAGCGGTGCTGATCAAGCCACAGAGTGTCGCGGAGAATAATCTCTACCCCGGACATATCGTGATATCCATCCGAAGTAAATGAGTAGATAACTATTCTTGAATCAAGCAAATTTTTATCTCCTTTTTTCAACGACTAATACCCTCCTACAAACCAAATTAGCGGCCATGCCCGCATACTCCACCGATCACGTGAACTCCCGCAATCCTCTCCACCCAAAACCAAGAGACCAAGATCCCAATCCAATCCAATCTTCCACATCAAACCCCAAATCCCTCAGCCACACCTCCAAAATGACAGCACCCCTCACAAACAGAGCCCGCTCCACCTACCGCGCCCTCCTCCGTGAACTCCCCCGCGGACGACACACCACCCCCTCCCCCCTCCACCAACGCCTGCGCGTAATCTTCCGCTCGCAAGAACAAACACCCTCCACACCCTCCGCGCCCACACCATCACACACATCCTCCGTGGCCTCGTCGACGCAACCGATTGCGTTTTCGATTCCGTCCTCTGAGGAGGAGCGCGCGCTGCGGATTCAGGAGGCGGAGCAGTTGGCGCAGTATGCGAAGGCGCAGCGGACTTATACGGAGTTGCTGGAGCGGTATAACCCTGGCATGAATATGGAGGAGGAGGAGAGGATTCGGTTGACGGCTAGGAGGGTTGGGTTTGATTTGCCGGAGTTGCATAATCCTGAGGAAGGGGGGAATCAGAATCCGAAGGAGTGATTCGGTTGAGTGGAAATTCTTGAGTGCAGCATAACCTTGTGCTCCGCCTCTACCCGGTCTAGAGTGTCATGGGGATTGTTATGTGGACTTCTCGGCGCCAAGCGGCTTCTGATGGCTGGTGGTCTTTTCTGTACGGCTGGTTTGTCAAATGTACCCGGGGGGGGGAGGTTGGAAACAGGAAGCACTGGCGGTAATGGGCTATCCGCGGTTTACGGATGGTCATTTCGGACTCGAATTCGTGCATACCTTGAAGGTCATGGGCATTACTTTTTTTCCCTTGTTGGGCTTGTATACTACTGGACAACGTTCAAATAAAATAGAGAGGCATTCTTGGAAGCATATATGGTTGTCTGATTCTCGGTGATAGATACCTACATGACCATCTGCTAGTGCGGTAGCGAGTTGACGCCTAGGCTGGCGTTGGGATGTATTGGGTTTGCCTTATGGTCGAGCGACATGGTAGCATGACCAACACTTCGTCAACGGTGGGTGTCCGGCTGACAGAGTGTACCCAGTGATCCTATATCATCCAGGACCAGGACAGCTCAGCGATGGAACCAAGCTGGGACAAGGCTGAGAAGTGTGGCTTCCGGGCCAGGGTTGTGAGGCATCCGACCTTCGAGTGCATTGTATGACCCAGCGCCATGTCTGGTGTATAGACCGGTGGAACATGCCGATGATTGTGTAGTCGTAGATAGACGTTGGTCCTTCAACTGTTGGTCAACTGAGTCCGTTCCATCTGTCTCATGAGCGTGGAGCTGCTCTCCTCGTCTTCCATCCCGACGCTAACTTCGATTGCAGTCTTGGGCCTGTTTCGGTTCAGACCATCCAAGAGATTGCATGCTTTGCAGATACGCTGGCTCGAGAGATATCCGCAGCGTTCGCAATGACCAAGAGTCTGTTTCTTGACCACTTTTTGCTGAGAGACATTCAAAGGCTGGCCCTTGGGTAGGCGAATTTCAGTCTCACGGGACTCGGCAGACTCATTTTCAGCCAGTTCCTTCTCCATAGCGGCCATCTCACCACCACTGGTACGTCCGTTCTGACTTCCACAACCACCAACGTCGTCTTCAGCGGCTGCAGTCGACCCGCATTTCTTGCCGCTCTGGTTGACTTCTTGCGGCACGAGGGCAGCCATATCCTCGCCACTCTTCACGATATCCAAGATCGAACTAGGTCGAATTTTCTCCAGGTCTTTGATCAGGGTTCGAGCGCTACCCCGGAATGCCTCTGGGGAATAGATACACTCGGTAGAAAAGTAATCGAGTTGGCGGTGGTGGGCGTAGAGCACGATCTCTTTCTCATAGGCGTATTTCAACGGCTTACTGCGCTTGATATCCGATGCGCCGGATTCAGTCACAATACTCGTTCCTCGAGACAAGCGCGGCAAGTCAGCGCGGAGAAGGTTCATCATGACAGTCTCCGCGACATCGTCCGCATTATGTCCAGTCACGACATGCTTGATGCCTAATTTCGCCGCGCCCCGATCAAGAGCCTGTCGCCGGAATACACCGCAGTATGTGCAGTTGCCCTTCTTGCCAATTTGTGCCACCACCTGATCCATAGTCCACCCGTAAAGCTCCCCGTATCCAAGTATCTCTAGCGGCATGTCGTACTGCACCGCATTGCGCTTGACGGTTTCCAGGCTGTCGTCGCGATAGCCACGGATACCCTCATCGATGGACAGAAGACACAGGTCCAGTCCATATCCGTATCGCTCGTTTAGTGTCTTCAGGACTGCTGCTAGTACAGTACTGTCCTTGCCACCGCTGGCGCCTATCGCGACTCGTTCTCCGGGGCAGAATAGGTTGGTGCCGATGATCGTCTCGTGGACTTCGGTCTCGAATACCTCCAGGAAGCACGTTCGGCAGAGCTTGTGTCGGTTCTTAGGGCGGATTATAACCGCCCGGGCCTCCTTGCAGTTGAAACACGTCGTTGGAGCCATGATGTTCAAGGTGGTTGTCGAGTTGATGATGAGGGGCCAAGAAAGAATTTATGTTCCCCGCATGGCCCGTGCGCCGACGAACTGGCGAGTGGCAACTATACAGCCATGGCAAGTCTTATCTGCCATCCTTCAACACTTTACTGCTTCTGATGAGTAACGATCAAGTCGGTGACCCATCTTAAAAATACAGGGAATATACTGACTGATAGCTATGGACAGTAAAATTCTGAATATTTGCAAACGAAGAAAGAAAATCCCGAAACGACCTGACAAATTGAAATCTGCAGAAGCAGTCATCAGGCATTATACACTAACTTTTTCGCTCTGAGTTTGATAGTGTTGTGGTGGCTTGCCTTTTCGACAGAATAATCCAATCATAAAGACTGGCACCGGCAATTTATTCTTCTTTACCATCTCTTTAGCCAGATGGTGAATATGGTGTCTCCGGTGGATCAGCGAATGATGATAAGGCTGAGAGCGATCTGTGAACAATTTGAGTTGCCCTAGCTCTTCTGGACTAAGTGTCTCAACCACTTGGTCTGTCTTGTCTTCTGCAAAAGCGAAGGAAGTCCCAATTATCTTGAAGCTTCGGGCCATGTGGTGCAGATTAGAAGAATGCCAGTCCTCCTTGGTCCAGATAGGCTTCACATTCCATGGCAGACGGCGCTCGGTTTTAAATGCATTCCACCAGTCTTCCAAGCGCAATCTCCTCTTCTCTCCGCTGACTGCATGAATGCACCCACTAGTCCCGACAGCCGTATGCAATAGAAGCCGATCGACGACCACGTCCACAGGGACTTCGTCAATGGTGGCCTCTTGATCGGGGTTTTCACAACGTGTTGCGAGGACAATTTTGCGACCAGGATGCAAGGCATAGGCAGCTGCACAGGCTGTTGATGGACTCGAATACGAGGTCGTGAAGCCATGGTATGGAAACTCTTCAGCTGGCCCAACTACTGACGGCCGAATGATGAGGATCTTGTCCAAGGCACCTTTCTCAGACGCCTGGTGTAGGACCAGCCGCTCAGCCAAGTGTTTTGCGTACGCATATGGCCATGGAAAGTCGTTCGTCTCGAATTCATGCGAGGTCCCGTTTTTCTGGACCTCTTTCCAAACTTCAGGCGCGCTCTCATGGATGTCTTCACTCTTCCTATTCAGGGAATACACTCGCTCTTGGACCGCCACGTCGCAAGAATCGCTCGTCTTCCAAAGATGCGCATTGACATAAGCGCTTGAAATAAAGACAAACTTCTCCAGATTCGGGAATTTCAAAGCGTACTTTGCAAGACACAGTGTCGGCGCAATGATAGTGTAAGACAGTTCTCGAAGGGAGTTTTTCAGCTCGATTGAACATGCAGCATGAATGAATACATGGACCCGTCTTTTCAGCATTTGCAATGTGTCGTCGTCGAGATCCATCGTTGCTGTATCACCTAGTTCGCCATCCAGAATCGTTATAATGTGGCTTCGGGTTAGAGTATTCGCGATGGGTGCCGGCAGCGTGTTGTTCCATTTTGATTCAGCTTTTCTAGGAAGAGATTGTCAGTACCTGATGATTTTGTAAGCCTGTTACATAAAACTCACGAGTAACCGCCCCGGCAAAGCACGTAGATATGCTCAGGAGTTGCTTGGTTCAAAAGCCTCAAAAGAATGGAGGTGCCAATGAGCCCTGTTCCTCCAGTCAAAAAAAGGATTTTACCGTCATAGTACTCCCATATCATAATTGCTGAGCTCAAAATTGCTTTTGCTCTTGAAAGTTTTCATGAGAAGCGAGGGAGAGATATGCATAACAAGGGACCCGTCTTACTGGAAGGGTGGGTCTCCCGTGGAGATATAGAAAACCGAGTGAGTTCGAGTACGCGGCATCCAAGCCGGTCGTAGAGACACGATTTTCCTTCCAATGATATTGATGTGGCGCAATGAGAAAAACCCCATGGGCTCAAAGGAATCCAGAAATGGGTACATGCAGGTTCTGCGGCTAAGGGGAGGGGATGCAGCTTGTGTAACCGCAGCGCAGGGACTATCCCGGGAGCGTGAGAGCGTATCACGATCGATGTTTGCACATCAGAGAATAGAAAAGTGGTCAATTGCCTATTCCATTGGTTGGCCAGCTGAAATCCTTTCCACGATGTGGCCGGGTTTATGCCCGTATTCGGTTGTGCGACGTGCAAAGACCCTTGTGTTTTGACCTGCAGTATTCTTCAACTTCGAGGTGATTCCAACCAGTACTTAATCATCAGCTGTATGTGACTCAACCTCGGGGTAGGCTTGTGTGATACAGGGTATGAAGCTCAGTACTCACCGCTCTATGGCACTACACATCCTTCTGCGTTTGTGCTCTTCGGAAGTAATTTAGACGAGCAGGAAGGGGTCTACAGGTGAAATAATTTACGGAGTGGCGTTAGAAAGGTGAGCTGGAGTGATATTAAGTAAAAGGAACCCTGCAATCCTATTCCAGACCATCACATGTCAAGCCAACCTTGAGATCCTCACTCGGTAGATCATATACCGAATTCAGAATACATGAACGTGCGAAGGAGGATGCATATGGCCCACCCACAGGCTTGATTGCAGAAGTATGCATTATTGTGGCAGAGGACTTGACTTCTCAGGTCGCACCATGACCACTATGTGGGACAGCTGCTACTTCTACTTGAGTGAGTGGATCAAGAAATTCTTAAACACGAAAGACCCGCGTTAGCCACGTTTTGACGAAAAGATAGACCAGGGATTCTATGATTTTTTTTCATAGCTCTGTTAGAGATCGGAAGAGTCCTTCGATATAAAATAGTTTAGGATTATCCCAGGGTTGTTCTGGTACTATTCTGACCTCAGGAGATAGAAAATACTACATACCCCTCAATTCGCCGGGTGGCTTTCCCTGACAAATCGTTGTATGAAATGGTCGATCTGAATCTCTGGATCCTAGGATATGATTAATTTTGTCTCATCTTCCAATCCAGCTCCTGCTCACTTGATTTACGCCAAGTGATGTTCGCAATAGCTTCATGTTCTAGTACCAGGCGCTCAAGATAGCAGTTAGTCCTGCCAGGTGGTAAGCGGTTATTTTTGATAGCCGACTGAATCTAAGAATACAACTAAAGTTGCAAATATTGGTCGAACTATTGAATTGCTATACTCGGAACCCACTTTTACAGATTGCCGAGCCGGTAGTGTCTTATCTGTCTTATCTGCCTGGGTTTGCGTCCCCGCAAAGTCTAATTTCGAGTCTATTCCCGATGTACCCCGATGGATAGTATCGTAGACACTTTCCCGAAAGAGTCAGGTCCACCCGAGCTTATCGACTGTCTCGGCATCGTAGCTCCAACCCGACCCCTCGGTGACCCTTCCAAGTTTTCCAAGTTCAACCTTTGAGATTAAATCCTCGACATTCCAGAACACCTCTGCCTGACAGCGGACTTTCCTCGTTATCGGCAAAGAAGGCCATAATCCGGTGGGCTAAAGAATGGCAGATTGATATAATCATTTCTGACTCTGCCTCCTGTGCAAGGCTACAAAGCCTAATGATCTATATACGCCCATGGAGATGAATCTGCCTGTTCCGCCCTGAGATTTGACGATGTCTGCCCCAATAACGCCAAAACGAGCATGCGACCAATGTCATTTGGTGAAGGAAAAATGCCGCCGCACAACTGCCGAAACTTCCTGTGAAAGATGTGACAGGCTCAGCCAAGTCTGCCGAACAACTAGACATGCTGCAAAGACTGGCAGGAAGCGTCGAGCCTCGACAGAGCTGTCCTATACTCTTCCCACCTCCGCGAAACCGAAGATGGCGACAATCAATACTCCCATCTCTGGTGGAGATCACTTGAACACCTCCGTCAAGTCTTACGGTGCCAGCTTGGCCAGCAAATCGGTCGTATTCTCCGATCTTGATGAATCGGAACGCTATTTCTTGAATATTATGAAAGATATCGCGAAACCTTCACCCCTCGCGAAATATCTCGTCGCCTCCACTTTCTATGAATCCCATCATTCCTCGTTCATTCGGAATCTCACACAGCCATCTCCCATTCTCAGAAATGCGACTGTAGCCTGCGCAGCAGCTCTTCTTGGAGACCAATCCAACGAGTATGTCAAAAAAGGCTTGGAGATTGGACATAGACGGGCGGCATTGGCAGTTTCGTCCCTCCGATCACTCGAGATCGATAACGAACAAGACTTGGTGACTGCAATTGTACTCGGGGTTGCGTTGTTGACTTTTGCGATGCACGTGGCCGACGGCCAGCCCTTCTTGATCTCGCATTACACCCTAAGTCTCATCAAAATGCGATGTCCAGATTTGTCGCGCCTAGATCCATCACTAATGGATTTTTTGATGTGTCTAGTCTGCGCAGAGACGTTTGAATGCGTTCTTCGATCGCGAGTTCCCAGTCTGAAGGTGAACACCCACGACCGAGGATGCTTTGTTGACCGTTATCTCGGCATCAGCTCGCCAATGCTTTCCTACTACTATGATATATGCCAAGCCGGCAATTCGCTCCAAAAAGTGGGCATGGCAGATGACCCGGATTTGCTTAGACGACTGAAGGGAATACAACTTGCTGTGGAAGAATGGCAACCGTTACAACCACCAGACTTTGTTGAACGATTCACTCATATTGAAGTCGTGGTTATGATAGCGCAAACCAAAATCCTTCGACTGGCTGCCCTGCTTATAATACATCGTTTACGCCATCCATTTGGGAAGCAGGACACAGATGCGCTACTGTTGTCTAACGCGATCATAGCTGAATTCGAAACGGTTATTCATATTTCCCATCACTCGATTCCATGCACTTCACTTGCATACCTGGCTGCCTGTTTTGAAGTCGTCGAGAAAGAAGCAAGGCAAAGGGTGCTAGAGAGAAGTACCCAAATAGTTACCTTCTCAAAACAGGCGCAAATCCATTTCAAGGTTACGCTAAGTTCCATGTGGAAGGCAAGGGACTCTAGGAATCCATTTTACTGGTTTGAACTCCACAAATATGTCTCTGGACCAAAAATAAGATAACCAAAGAGATTCATGAATTTGGAAACATACAACAATGGTATAGAACTAACAACACCCTAAACTGTTCGACGACCAATCTGATTGGCAGCCATTCTGCGATACCTTGCGGCAGTTGCGACTCGTGCCTTCTTCCCCCAAATGAGAAGAGGAACTGGAATGAGATACAGGAAGAAAGCCACAACTGCCGCAAGAATGTGCAGATTTTGCATACCCATACCATTGATCCACGGTGTGATCACGAAGAGAATGATCACAGAAATGATATTCCGCATGAAAATAACGCCGACTAGGGCATCACCAATGATCTTTTCACAAAACTGTTAGCACATGGAAATACATAAAATGTATATAGAGGAAGATGGAACTCACATCCTGATAGCAGTCCATGAGGTAGGAAAGTGAGACACCGCTGATAGAGGACAGTGTGAATCCAAACACGCCGAAGCCCACGGCAAGGCACGACCAGTGCACCCCCTGAAAGAGATTAGTCGGGTACATAATTTTCGGAAAATAAGATGGACATACGTAGGCAAGTCCGAGACCAAACATCAAAATACATGCCGGGCCCAATACCACGGCAGGAAGAGCCAGCCAGAGGCGTTGTTCGGGCTCATAGATGCCACCGTTCTTCTTTGAAAGCCATAGAATTGACTTATCACTCAGGTATCCACCACATGGGAAGCCAAGAACAGCACCCACGAATGGTGCCACATTCATAAGACCGATACCAATTGCATCAAAATTGTATGGTGGCATGAGCATATAAGTTGCCTGAAGCGAAGTCATCATCGCAAACCAAGCCAAAGTGGAGCCATAAGTTATCGCAGCGTATGTGACAGCTGGAAATGTGAATAAGGTCTCAATTGGCTGCCAAAAGTGTGGAAGGAGAGATTCCTCTGTAGGTGTGATGAGGGCCATTCGTTGAAAGTACGTTTTCGGCTTGATCTCCAGGTTAGTCGCGACTCGACTTGTGACCGCCTGTTCAGTCGGGATTCTCTTCTTGTCCATGGTGTCTTCAGATAATTCGGTTGCAAGAGCCGGAGTCGCAGGAATAACGCTCTGGCCGTTAAGAATAGGCACAAACTTTGACTCCTCAAAGAGAAATATGACGCACAGAGTAGTGAGAGCGAAGAAGATGACACACCACCACCACATCCATCGCCAGCCTTGCGAAATGACAATATAGCCTGAGGCTACGGGTCCCAAGAAGGCGCCCGCACTCTGGAAAATAACAAACCACTCATTCATAGTAGCATGCTGGTGTACGAAAAACAGGTCTGCGACGGTAATTTGCGCAATGACTTCGGATATAGCACCACCCAATCCAGAAATCAAATTAGCACCGATATAGCTACCGACACTGTAGGTCTGCGCCTGCCATACGCAAGATGCAAGCTGCAACACGGTACTAAAAAGGTAGATCGGCCGGCGACCATATTTATGCACGAGGGGGATAAAGAAGAAGCATCCGATGGCAAGTCCGCCATAATTGACCGCCGCGCCAGCATTTAGAATATCAACGGAGAAACCGAGCTCTTCTTCCATGGGCCCCCATGCTGTAAACCCTATGTCGAGTTGAACAAAGGTCCATAGAACGAAGAAGCTGACGAGTGTGTAGTTGAGGACCTTTCGAGCCGTTGACCAATTTAAAGGATCATTGGGGTCGGCGGAGGGCGTAGGGACAAGGACGATCTGGTCGCCGGTTCGATGAACTGCATTGATCGGTCAACAAGAAGGCCGAGATTATCGGGAAAGGGAGCTCATTCTACCATCTTCGAGGGCAACTGTCCCCGGTGCCCAGAAGGCCTCATCACGATCAGCATGTTCGTTAACCATACCGAAGGGGATACCAGGATAAGAGTGGTGATATGGAAAGAGAAAAGAATTTGAATTCACACTGGAAGTTCAGCTGGTGACGAGCATGCATCTGCATGCTGCAGGTGGCTGGCCATGGCTTTAAAAGGACCTTTCGAGGCCACCTCCTCACGAATGACTATATTTGAGCGTGCGGAGATAAGCTGCGACCGTGAACGTTATCGCTTCGGTCGTCAAAGGGCTCAGTGGGGAAGACTTCATGACGATAGCCTCAAGGACGAATCAAAAAGCACAAAACGGGCCGGCTTGGCATGAAAGATAGATGGGTCATAGACATGATCCACCCCCGCTTATCTTGCCCGGTAAACTTTCGATAGCCCTCCTCGATGATTAGCGGGGAGCCAGTAAGGATGCGTGGTTTGATTCACATTGAAACTGAAACGCAGACTCGGGATGCTTTGGCGGACTTTATTCCGCATACAAGGTGAATGATATGCTTGTCGTCAACAAGCCCTCGGCTCTCATTGCCTGGTTGGACTTTCCTATTTTAAACAAGATACGAAAGCGTCTGCCTGCAGTCTTCATCTCGTTGAAAGAGAGCTTTGAGGTAGCTTTGAGGCTCGAGGTCTGGCCTTCCATGCCCTGCTCAAATTCAGACGATATCAAAAGGAAAGAAAAACTAACGTTGCCATCAACCAACAATGAAAAGGAAAACAGGTGGACACTCAATGTAGCTACGCAAAGGTATCCCTGAATTTCTTTAGTCCCTAATTGTCGTAGAACACCGTTCATGCTCGCCTCCCGCTTGAACCCCCGCTTGAACCCCCGCTTGATTCAATCACTACCTACTCCGTTCATTCCGCAAATGAAACCGAGCGTTTATGTCCTCAACTGCGGGGTTCAATTTTGCCGTTACCTGGGTGGTCTGCCTAACAAGAAATTCTTGCCTGAGCTTGGTTTTTGAGTAGTATGGCGATATATACAGCTGGATATCTTCGTCGGTGTATCCTGGGATAAATGAAGTTTACATTAGTATCCTGCAAGTTGTTGGCCTGTTTTCGTTGATCAATTCTAGGGTCAAGTTTTTAACCTACTAAACTTGCCAGATTCGACCACGAGATGAACTAGCTACCTTTAGCAACGGCTGGAGAAGTTTTCTTCACCTACAATTTAGAGAGCTGCGGTACATTCTTCAGTCTTATCTGGAAATAATTGAGGGGATGAAGGCAACTACTAGTTCAGATCGAAAAAACCAAGAGAACCTCGGAAATGATCCACCAAAATGTTTGCTCGTAATAATCACCAACACACTTGGAGCGTTGTTTCTTGACCTAATTTCAGCTTGAATCTTTTCTATATAGGAGCGTTGCGAATCGCACACCCTATGCCCAATTAGGATGCCAAGTGTCTATGTAATACGATAGCTGAATGATGCCCACCATCTGCCAATTCCCTCCCCTGTGAATATATATACTAATATTTTCTAATACCCCCCTCTTTGCTGATATCCCCTATAAAGATTTTATCGCCACCCCCATCACTATCACCTTTTTGCTACCCTCCTACCCTCGCTCACACTTAATTTTACTATCCCTATCACACTATTCCTAAGGATGAAATAGAAGCTGATTAATTTTTATTGCAGAAAAGACCTCATGGTTTATCTGGGTGTCAGAAAACTCGCATTATTGAAGGATAACTGCGACAACATGCAATTTAGCTGTGATTGGCATACCTGTTCACTGCTACGTATTTACACCAAAACTATGCGCCAAGACAGTGCGGTGTGCTGCTGTGGCCGATATCTGCCTACTGCAATAGATCGAGATATGCAGGTTGATTGAGTCGCGGCCAATGATTTAAACTGCCACATCACGGCTGTTTGATTGCCGGCCCCGCATCGATTCTGACCGCGACTTGGGGCGTTGTCGGCTTTGAATCATTTGCGGGATCTATGGGCTACCCCGCGTAGGTGAAAAAAGAACATCTCAAACCATCTTGCGGGGTGTCCTCTTTGCTTGTACCCGGATGAAACACAACATACTATCAAACAACACAGTATCTAGACAGAATGGATAGAATAGATGTGCACGCTCACTGCGTGCCACCGGCTTATCGAGAGTGTTGTCTACAGAATGATTTTGCAGGAAGAGGAAAGCCAGATGGCATGCCGAAAATCCCTGTAAGAATTTCAAGATCCTTAGTTCATTTCATCTCTCAAGCAAAATATAGGACTGGGACCCCGAGACGCATATCGCAGTGATGAAAGACCTAGGCATTTCAAGGTCAATACTCAGCATGTCGTCTCCAGGTACTCATCTATTTCCCAGCGACGACCAGAAGGCCCGGTCTTTGACAAGAGAGGTGAACGAATACATGTCAGAGGTCTGCACCAAGTACAAGCAATATTTCCACTTCTTCGCATCGCTTCCACTTCCAGATGTTGAAGGCTCTCTCGCTGAGATCGATTACGCTATCGACCACTTGGGTGCTGTGGGATTTCAGATTATGACTAACTCCCATGGAATTTACCCTGGAGATCCGCGATTCTGTCGTATCTATGACAAGCTGAGCGAAAGGAAGACTATCGTGTTCTTTCACCCTACCAGTTGCAACCTTCAACGGGGAACGGGGTCGGTCGAACACGTGAATCCCCTTGCTGGAGTTCCCAGTCCGCTCATGGAGTTCATGTTCGACACCACTCGAGCCCTTACCAGTCTTTTGACATCTGGTACAGTTACTCGATGCCCAGGTATCAAATTCTTAATATGCCACTGTGGTGCAACCTTCCCACCGATTGCGGTAAGATAGAAGTCTTCTTTTTATTGCTCGTACGATCTTTTAATCGATGCACGAGTTACTGGAAAATCTCAGTTTGTTTGCTAACAAACCTTTCCCAAAGGCACGTATTGCGGAATTTTCTCAGTTCTTGATCGAGGACGGAGAACTGATGACACTCAAAACAATCAAAAATCTACTTCAGACTCGCTTCTACATTGACCTTGCTGGTGTACCATTTCCAGATCAAATCCATGGTCTCCTCCGACATATGGACACCACCAGATTACTTTACGGGAGTGATTATCCATTCACCCCAGCTCCGCTTGCAAAGTCTTTGGCGAAGAGATTGGACGACGGGCTGAAGACCGACTTTGGAGCCGAGACGCAAAAGCGCATTCTATTGACCAATGCCCAAGACATGTTAGACAGACGTTAACACGTGGAGTCTTCCATGACGATCGAAAAATCAACCTATGTATTCAGAGGACGGAAGATAGCTTGGTGATTGGGGATGAAATGGCAATCGAAGGCTTCTTCACGAAATCTATTTTGTATCTCGAGAGACAAAATCTAGCCACTGTGGGACCTTGTTTGTTCATGTTAGCGGGAAGATAGATCCCACAAAATTTTCCCCGATGGTTTATATTCACTAAACGCGGGGATCTTACTCCGCACGAACCGAAGTCTGAAAATGCGGGGAGAACGATCACTATACATATCACTTGCTTGCTATATATGAAGTTTAATTGACTCACTTGGATGCTCTCATCAGACGTTTCAGGCTCCAGGTTGGTTTTAAAGTAAAGTAACACCTTCAACATGGGGATCATATCGACGTTGCAACAACAGTGCCGAGATTGGGCGACCCTTGCCGTTGTTGTATTGGCGTTGGCTATACTCGTTCCGTCAATTGTGGCTGCTTTCAAGCCAGGTCTCAGATCAATTCCAGGGCCCCTTCTCGCTCGATTTTCACCTTTTTATCGACTTGTGAAGCTATCCAAAGGCGATGCACCGGTCTACTATCGGAAGCTTCACAATAAATACGGTCCTATCGTACGCACTGGACCTAATACTGTAGACATTTCCGACTCAAAAGCAGTTCCAATCATATACGGGATCAACAGCAAATTTTTCAAGGTACTTCCCCACTCGATTCGATAATCATGATTTATAAGTAACCCAAGACCTCTACCAGTCTGCCTTCTATGACACCTTCAGCCCCTTCTTTGAAGACAAAGTCATGCCGAGCATGTTTACGGTCAGGGATCCAGTGGCGCATCAAGCTCTGCGACGACCGGTGGCCCAAAAGTTCTCTATGTCTTCGATCAAGTCTCTCGAGCCATTTACAGATGAATGTACGAAGATATTCGTCGATGCAATGAAGGATCTCGAGGGCCAGCAAATTGACCTTGGAGTCTGGCTACAATGGTACGCATTTGATGTCATTGGGGCTATCACATTCCGACGTCGATTTGGATTCATGGAGAAACGCGAAGACGTACAAAATATGATTGGCGGTCTTGAGTCGGGACTGCAATATGCAGGGATTGTCAGTCAAGTACCATCCTTGCATGGGTGGTTGATGGGTAATCTTTGGGTTTCAAAGCTTTTGACAGCACAGCCTTTCTTCAAAGTGGCAGATCCACTTCGGACAATGGTGGAGGTAAAGCTTCAAGAGATTTTCTTTGTTAATTCAAATGCTAAAGATTGGATTCCTACAGATTACGCAAGAATGCATTAATGAGTATGACCGTCAGACCCAAAAACATGGGGAACGACCGGATTTCCTGGCTTGGCTTCGAAGTGAAGAGAGAAAGGGAAAGCCAATGTCTAACCGTGACATGATGAACCATCTCAGCAACAATCTGTACGAAATAATCGTTGGTTACCTGAAAATTTTGACCTTGTATTACTGACCTCCCACCTTAGACTTGCAGGTAGCGATACCACGGCTATCTCGCTCCGCGCGATTATTTACTATCTTCTTCAAAATCGATCAGCCTACAAGAAACTACAGAAGGAAGTAGATGATGCAGATAACAACGGGAAACTATCACCTTACATCACATACGCCGAGTGTCTCGAGCTTCCTTACCTGTAAGTAGCCCTACTCATGAAAGCCAAGACTTAGAAGATCCGAGTTAACAAGTCAAACAGACAAGCGGCAATGAAAGAAGCAATGCGATGTCATCCGGGAGTATCATACCCCCTCGAGAGGGTTGTTCCTGAAGGCGGGACCCTGCTTTGTGGCACCCATCTCGAGGCTGGTACAATCGTCGGGGTGAACGCTGCCGTGATTCATCACGACAAATCTATCTTCGGCGAAGATGCCGCATCATTCCGACCAGAGAGGTGGATTGAATCTCACGAAGAGAAGATTAAGCTGATGGATCGGCATTTGATGACTGTAAGTGCCGCCTTGTTATCGCTGTACTAGAATTGCTCTGACTGAACCACCAGTTCGGCTATGGATCTCGAACGTGTATTGGGAAGAACATCTCTATTATGGAAATGGGAAAACTCGTTCCACTTTTAATTCGTCATTTTGAAATTGAGTGGGCGTCTGACGAGCCAGAGTGGCGTGTTGAAACTTATTGGTTTGCTAAGCAACACGGCTTGAAATGCCGGATGCGTTCTCGGGATGTTCCTGCTAAGCTAGGGTTCTAAGAGAGTATTCCCACTACATTTATCTCAAGCTAGAAATTAGTTCATATCTATAAATTTTTACTTGGCGGCTAAATGAAATATTGAAAATGTGATTTAATTTCAACGACTCTTTGAGCAACTATCTCTCTACTAGCCCTATCATTCTTCTTTTTCGATTTTGTAAGTGAAGTCGAACAGAGTGGAGACTTGACATCAAACCAGAGCCATGATCTCGTTCTTGTGAGCTTCAATGACCTGGAAACAAACTTGATCCAATATTTTAGAAACCCAGAATTCAACTTTATCATAGACTAACTCCCAAACACTCCGAGAATCCGCATTCTTATTCAAAAGGAATGCGCCTGCTAGCACGGTAGCAACGATGTTCGCGGCATCCGTGCCAAGACTTTCCACCTGCAGCAAGTGGAGGACCCGCACTTGAATATCTGCCATATTGTATCCGAGGACATCAAATAAACTCTGTGCCCATTCCCAGTTTCCTTCAAAAGTTTGCAATCCAACGAGGGCGTGTACTTTTGAAGGTTTTGTGAGTTGTGCTGGCTTTGCATTATCCGGCTCTTGTCTAGCGGTCAGTGATGCCTTTTTCTGACTTGGCATAGAAAGGGGTGTTGGAACAGTGATATTGGCAAACGGGTTCGAACCAGAGCTGGCTCTTCCAAAGAGTGAGCCACCTGTTGAGGGTTGAGTCGATGAGCCAAAGAGGTCTCCAGGTGGGGCCTCAAAAGCACTTTGGGCCAAAGGTTGAGCTTGACCAAATGCCCCAAAGGCAGGTTGGCTTGACGGAGGCGGTGAAGGAGCTCCAAAAGAGGACACAGGCGACGAAACCATACGGAGATTTTGCTCCATTGGGGCTTCGGCAACTGCACCAGAGAGACTTGCCCCTGGCGCAGGTGGAGGAGGAGGTGGTGTTCTGGCAAATACCGGGCTTGCTTGCATCTGAACCATTTGTCTCGCATTGCTAGCTTCAAGTAACGCACAGCCTCCCATTGCTGGAGCGCGAGGCCCTGGTGCGCTTGAATCTTCATAACAGGCCATCAGCATCGGGGCCCCCGACCCAGACCCAGGCAATGCAGGCCTCGAGCACTCTCAAATGCGCGGTGGCGGGTTCGGACCGGCAGCTTTTGTGTCTCAGTCTCAGTCGGCTTTTGTGTCTCCTCTGAGCTAGAGGATGCATCACTTTCGAGTGCAACAAATGAGCAGTACTTTCCAGTAACCTGATATTTGATTCCTAGGCTCTGGCACTCATGCGCTGCGAGTTTCTGCTGTGTTTCTGAGTGTAATTGCTGGAATGGATTGCCCGCCGCATCCCGCGTGTCTTGAAGCCAGCCGTGATTTTCCTCTAGTTCAATCATTGCTTTGCGTGACGCAAGGTGATGAATTGTCTCCCCCTTACCGGAATTGCTGATGGGGATTTGCAATTCCAGAGGGCCGAACTTCGAGGTAGCACGGAAGATAAGTGATTATGGAGTGCGATGTGAAGACCTGGGGTCTAGCAGGAGATAGACCGTAGTTCTGATGAAGGGGTAAAGGGATGGAATTTTGTAAGGCGCCTGAAGAGCTCGAGGGGGAAGCATATTGGGAACATTCTTGTCATCTGCCTGCTGGCGGGATCCAAACTCTGCATCTGATCCTTTCAAGCTGGTATCGAAGAAGGAGATAGGTTGCTGCACGGTAGTTTGTGGTGATGCTTCAGGGGTCTCGGCTGCAACTTCGGTCTCCGAGTCCGACATAGGCTCGTCGGTATCAACGGCCTCGAAATCATCGTCCTTACCGTCATACTGTACCTCGAGCGTGTAGTCAAAGATGTGAGGAATTAGTGCACCCTTCAGCATTCTTATTACCTTCGAATCCAACTCTTCATATTCAATCACAGACTGAGAGAAGCCATTTCCAGCTCGCGCGATACCCTCAACGAGCGAATGGGATGCGGCGTCTCCGATGGCAAGAGAAAACAAGCGAGCGGTATTGTCGGCGGCGGATGTAGGAACGAAGTTGAATAGCTGCTGTTGATTGAAAATTTGACCATCAGTGAGTAGAATAACTTCCAGATCCTTGCCTTTGAGACGATTTGTGACAGCGGCAACGACGGCCGATTGCATCTCCGTACCGCCCATGTTGGCACTGATAGTGGACACAAAGTGCAAGGCGTCATTTAGACTCGATGCGTCGTAAACTCTGCTGGTTGGCCAAAGGAAGGTAAAGCTGGACCCAAAGGAGCAAATGTTCAACGTAATGCCAATCGGCAGCGATTTGAGAAATATCCGAAGGGCTTCCTGTAATGTGACAATTTTGTCACTCATACTTCCACTGCGGTCAATCACGAAGACGATTTCTGGTTGAGCTGGTGGTAGGCTGAATTGGGGAACCAATGTGGCCATCAGAGCCCGCTGGCCTGGAACTGTGGAATGGACTTCAAGCAGGGCTCGGGGGTTATCCAACCCATCATCCTTGGCGACTAGAACAAAGTCGCGTTCTAACAAAGCATTTTCGCCCTCGACAAGACGCAGGCTGGCAGAGGCTCTGGACGGGTCAAAAGGATAGGCATCGGCAGGGGTGGAAGACATCCGGCCCAGCGAAACTTTAACGGAATGACTTGGAGATTGTAGTTCCCGAAGTATCGAACCCTTCTCCATGAGAACATCGACCGTGATGGAGAGACCCTCTAGGCCCGCGGACAGACCATTTCCATTATGGTACCCCTGTTCATATGCGTAGATACCAACAGTGAGACCCATTGGTACCCAAGTCAAACAGTTGGAACATCTATCAAGGGGGTTTTGCTTTTTATGGACGAAGCTGCCTACTTTCAGGTGTCTGGAAGCAATGAGTATTTGCTGTCAAGATTGATACAAGGTACATCTATTTGGCAGAGAATCAAATTCCTGTGGAGTGCAAAACGCTATTCAAAGCTTGCTGGTCGACGAAGTTATGCGGAAGACCTCCTCGCTCTCACTTTGCTGCGATCTTCCAGTTCGAGCACGAACAGCATGAGCCGAGGCTGCCTTGCCAGCCCTGCGACCAAATACGGCACCTGATGTCAGGCCACTTCCACCCGGATAGTTCGAGTAGAAGAGACCACCAAGCATCTCGCCGACGCAGAAAATCCCCGGAATCGGACGACCAGTAGACGCGTCGATCAGTTGTGCTGTCTGCGGGTCGACCTTAAGACCGCCAAATGTAAAAGTGATGCCACAGGTGACTTTGACAGCAAGATATGGAGCCTGATCCAGTGGAAGTGCCCAGTTTGATTTGGCGATGGCCAGTTCTTTCTGAGAGGATTGGGTAGACAGGCCATCCTTGATCGTGGGGTCCCATTTGGCTGATAGATTTTCGCGGCGATGAGCATAGACAGCTTGGTTGTACTCTTTGATGGTACGAACAAAGGCCTCCTTGTCACGGAGACCGCGATGTCCACATTTTTCAGCAAGTTCCTCCAGTGTCTCGGCAGTAATGTGCTCAACACGCTCCTCGCGGTACTCTTCTGATCGAAGCCAAGGCTTCATCTGAGAGTCCCACACCTGAAAGGCGAGATGTTCTGGCTGCTGGAGGATTGCTCGGCCGAACTTCGCATAGGTATAGTTTCGCAAGTCGATTCCCTCATCGACAAATCGCCGACCATCAATATTCAACATCAACCCGAGAGGATATCCGGACTTGGTGTACTCATTGGAAGCAATGCGGTCGCCGGTATCCGCGTCTGCGTTGGCATCCCATGCAACAGAGTGGCAACCAGACCAGTTACCGACGGGCTGCGCTCCAAGCTGGTGCATAGCCACTTCAAGGCCGTCGCCGGTATTGTAAGGAGTTCCACGAACCTTGGCGAGGTCCCAGCCAGGGCCGAGGAACTGGCTGCGCATGCGAGCATTTGCTTCAAACCCACCAGCTGCTAGGATCACGGCGGTGGCCTGGATCACATAGTCCTTTTCTCCAATCTTGACGGAGACCAGATAGCTCTCACTGTGTGGGTCTTGCTGGATTCCCACGAGCGTAGTTGACCAAGATACGTCAATCTTGCATCTCTCGGTGGCAGCTCGGTAGTCGGCGATCAGGCTTTTACCACCATCCTCTGTTTTGAGACAGAGGCCTCCCCAAAACTTGAGCCTCCCATCGACCTCGTAGGCTTGCCGATTGAATGAAAGATGGAAGCGAATACCGTGGCTAGCCAGCCACTTGATGGTTGAATTCGAGTCCTCAACAAGAGCTTTAGCAAGCGCGGGATCAGATCTGCCCATGCAAACTTTGTCGAGATCGGCCATGAAGTCCTGGGCGGTATAGGGGGCCAGGTCTATTCTTTCAGCCTGCTCGCCCAATCCTTTCCGTTGTCTTCGCGTCCCCTAAAGCTCTGAGAGCAGGATCTCGAGGTCTCAGACCTATAGCCAAGAACTCATTGATATTGACCTTGGCGCTGGTTCCACCTTGCCCTCCTACGTGAGTGGTCACGCATACGGAGAATGAGTCTCCGTCTGATCCCTCCACACACATCGTAGTGGGGACAAGAGACCCACTCAGGGCTAATATGCGTCCGTCAACAAGAATCATCATCACCATTATTTTTAGGACTTCGCGAGCGAGGTCTCTGACACCACTGGACCTTCAGGAATGTATAAGCTCACCTATTAAAATACCTCACTTGGGATAGTTAAGACATCCGCTACTCATAACGACGACCAGTCTCGAAGTGGCAGCTCTAGTCCACAACATCAATTATGGCTTAGCTACAAACTTAGGAATCTCACAGGCCGAAATTCAATGAGCCCAGACCGCGGTCATTGAATGTCCGAAAGCTACATGGAAGTAGGATAAACCCCGTTTCCCCTCTGACCCCAGATTCACCCCAGACCCCCCAACTTCCCCATGTACTTGGCATCGCACGGACGACTCTCTGGTAGCTATATAGTCACCAACGCGCGTCTCCCTCTTGTCGTCTTGCACGGACATCTCCTTTCTACATCTCTGTTTCTCTCTCATACAGTACCAAGTCACATCTGACCACTTCCATGATGACTGGAGTCAAAAAGCCAGTCAACATATTCCGCCTGAAGAACCTCCCTGAGCCTAAGGAAGTCTTTAATTGGCGACTATTCTTTGCAGTTTTCTCATTCGGCCTGATGGGCGCTGCTCGCGGTGTTGACGAAGGTTTAATCTCAGGCGCGTTCAACTCCAAAGACTTTCAACGATACATCCATTACGAGACTTACAGCAAAGTGGAGCAAACCAATATCAAAGGGAATGTCTCGGCAATGGTTCAGCTTGGATCTGTTGGGGGTTCTCTGTTGTATGTTTGCCCTCCCTCTTCTACTACTTCTTCATGACTGTGCTAAGCATTTGTATAAAGTGCCTTCCTAGTCTTTGACCGTATCGGCCGGATATGGGCAACTCGTCAGCTCTGCCTAGTGTGGATTCTTGGAATTGCTATCTTCATGGGCAACGGTGGTAGCCTAGCTGCTGTGTACGCTGGGCGCTTCATCGCTGGGCTTGGTGTTGGGCAGACAGTAGTAGTAGGACCTGTCTACCTTGCTGAAATCGTGAGTGACTCCACAAGTGCGATGAGATGATCTAAACATTAACGGAATGAGAATACCAGGCACCCGCGTCCGTCCGCGGTATATGTACCTGCGTGTTCACTGGGTTCGTTTATCTGGGAATTGTGCTTGCGTACTTTGCCAACTATGGCTGCGCGGTGAGATTCATCCATATCGTTGAAAGATAGCGTGTTAATAACTGAAAAGGTCAACTTAGGCGACGCAAATCACAATCGATGGGTATGTGTCTACGACTGTCCTACGACAAGTACTAAGACTCCTTAGCTGGTCCCCACAAGTCTCCATATCATGTTCGCCGGCGTGATTTTCCTCCTCTCATTCCTACAATACGAATCTCCTCGATACCTAGTGAAGGAAGGCCAACTCGACCAAGCATTCCACAATCTCTCGCGCATCCGTCATCTCCCTCAGGACCACGAATTCATCACGCGCGAAATCACCGCCATCCAGGCATCGCACGAAGCAGAGTTAGAAGCCGCCTTAGGGACAGGACCCATCGGAGTACTCAAGGAAACCTTCCTAGCTCCGTCGAATCTCTACCGGATCTATCTCACTTTCATGGTCCAGATTCTATCGCAATGGACCGGCGCGGGCAGTATCACCGTCTACGCAACAGATCTTTTCAAACTCTTAGGCATCACAGGCAACAACACGAACCTACTAGTCACGGCCGTCTTCGGGATAGTTAAGCTAATTGCGGCGATTATCTGCGCCTTGTTCCTAGTAGACGTTATCGGACGCAAGCGAGCCCTCCTCCTCGGCATCACCCTCCAAGCTATCTCTATGGTCTACATCGCCGGGTTCTTAACCGCCGTCCCGGAAATGGGCGTGGTAGAGGGCTTCAAGCTCCCAAAGAATAAAAAACGCGCTAGCGAAGGCGCGATTTCTATGATTTATCTCTCGGGTTTTGGGTGGGCTCTCGGTTGGAACTCGATGCAGTATCTTCTCACGGCCGAGCTGTTTCCACTGCGTATCCGCGCGCTGGCGACCTCGTTGGCGATGACGCTGCACTTTGTTAACCAGTACGGCAACTCGCGGGCTGTGCCTAATATGTTATTGTCCACGGCAAAAGGAGGGATCAACCCCAGCGGCGCGTTTTGGTCCTTCGCTGCAGTAACAATTTTAGGCGGGATTTGGGTGTGGTTTAGTATTCCTGAAACGGCGGGGCGATCACTAGAGAGCATGGATCATTTGTTTGCCTTACCTTGGTATCAGATCGGGCTGTATGGTAATCAGGATGCTGAAGGGCGTGATGGACAAGTTGAGGATGACAAGGTAGAGATGGCGGAACGCAGGGACGGGGTCGCTGAGCATGTCGAGAGGGTAGACCCGTCAGGCCGGGTGTGAGAGGAAGCTGGAATCCTGGATGCCATTGTCCTTTTCGGGACGTCGAAACAGTGTAAGATCATAGCAGGGGTCTCAAGCATTCGACCTGTAAAATCAACAATTCACTCGAGTTCTCAACGTAATCTTACCTCCTGTGAGGTATGATCTTCTTGCTAGATATGCTTAAAATATGAGTAGATTGCGACTGCGCTGGCCCTGCTGCGGTTATCTCTGTCGCCCCGTCCGCCCGCTCTGCCACCTCGGGTCCTCCTCGGCCGGTGGGAATGGCTCACCGTTGAGCTTACGGCCATATCGATCATACTCCTGAAGATAAGATAGACCTTCGTGAGAATGGTGGCTCCTCGTCTCATAAACCCGTTGGTCAGATCGGAGTCTTCTTGTATCGATCTTCATATCTTGGAGTGTCGCACAAGTTCCAGTTGCATCATGACCCTAAACTTGCGCCTAGGCAAAACAGACGAGCTTGAGCATTGCGACGATGAGCAAGACAGGGAGGGGGACCGAAAACAGCGAATATTATCGAACTTGGCCAAATTCCGCCGACTCAAATTTGCATGTAACATATTCCTCGGCATTCATCAAGCGAGATCCGGGCTCGAAAATCCAATTGGAAATCGGACACGGCAAATGGATTATCCTCGACGGCAGCGCCACACGAATGCTTGCGAGTGTTCCTTCGGAAAACTCCCGACGTAGTGTCGGCTATTCTCCGCCAAGGTAGTCACCATCAATGCTTGGAGTCAATCTTACATTTAAATAACTTCGCGATTCCATAGATACGAAATTCCATATTCCACAAATCTTGGCTTTCTATATACCAGAATTAACCTCACATCATTCACAATGGGCTCAATCAAAGAACCAACTTTCACCATCCCGAATCCCTTCCGGACTCGCATTCTCAATGGCGAGATCACTCCACTCATGTCCATCAAATACATGGTGGGCAATGAGATGGCGATGATGGCCAAAATGGCCGGTTTTCACGCCGTTTTTATCGACCTCGAACACAGTTCTCTCGACTTTCGCCCACTTGCCCAATTCATCCTGGCCTGCAACTACGTCGGCATTTCTCCTGTCGTCCGTTCTCCCTCCAAATCTCACTGGCACATCAGCCGCATTCTCGACGCGGGCGCTGCCGCAGTCGTTGTTCCCCACATCGAGACTGTGCAGGAAGTTCGCGATCTCGTCCATCACGCAAAGTACGCACCGCTCGGTGCTCGCGGATGTACAAATAACCAGCCTGTGTTCAACTTCCAGCACGTTCCTACTCTCAAGCAGAACCAGGCTATGAACACTCAGACAATGCTCATTCCCATGATTGAGACGCCTTGTGCTGTCGATATCGCAGAGGAAATCTTTGCTATTGATGGTGTTGATGGTGTTCTGATCGGTTCCAATGATTTGTGTGCCGATCTGGGCATTCCCGGAAAGTATGATGACCCGGCATATCTCGACTCGGTCACCAAGGCTATCAACGCAGCCAACAAGTATGGAAAGCCAATTGGTATCGGAGGTATTGGTGGCCGACTTGATCTTCTGGAGAAGTGGTTCTCTATGGGTGCGACTTGGTCATTAAGTGCCGCGGACGGTGCTATCCTTCAGAACGGTATGAAGAAGACCGTGCAGAACTACAATGAGATCAGCTCAAGACTGGCCAAAACGAAGCAATAGTTACGGCGCTGTTTCACTGTTTTTTTAATCATGTACATTCCATTTATACTATATTTTATTACAAGATATTCTGCAAATCAAAAGGATCTTCCAAGTACAAAGTGGCTGGTGGGTCTCCATACGCATATTCGTTCAGTCCAGCTTCCATGTTCCATAGCGCATCATCCCCAAAGATATTCCAGGATAGGACAGATCCGTCGGAGATAGATGCATCGTTATAGAGAGAGTCGGTTGTGCCGTGCATGATTGGAAGATCGGCTAGTTGTGTATCGAGCAGCGGAAAGTCCCCCGAAGTCTGGTCTGCGTGGTGGTTGGTAAAGCCGACACCGTTGAATGTCGGCATTCGGGTGCCGGAGATATCACCCGTATTACGTTCATCATGAGAAACCGCGAGATTAGGAGCGGGGTTTTGGTAGAAGTGTGGTGTTGAAGCCAAAAGGCCGTGCTCAGGCTGCGGATCCATCTGCAAATTCCGACTGTATTTTCGAATGACATAGCCCCGCAGTGCCTCGTAGACAGCGACATAACGCTTTGCATCTGACAGGTTCACACCCATCTGCTTCAAGATGTATTCGCAGGTTGTCACGGCCTCCGTGCCAGCCTTCATGGATGCAGGGTCAAAATCACCTACCACTGATAGGCTGTACATGATCGACAGTCCTGCTGTAAAAAGCATTTGGAAATAGCTCCTTGTAAACGTGATCTTTTTGGGCTCGAAGAGCTTCCAGAATGCGGTGATGGCCCCAGTTGCGCATTGAAGGCACAGTGACAACAGGTCACGTGGCGGGACTCCATTTAGCTTAGGGACCAGGTCAATGGCCTTCCTCACTAGCTGTAGTCGCTCTCTAAAGTAGAGAAGATCATACCAGTCTTGCATCTCGTACAAACTCCTTGGGTTGTTGAATAAAGGAGTGGTGCAGCGCCATCCATGTAGCTCACTCAAGAGATGATCTAGCTCCCCGTAAATTGCCCCTCTGGCTGTAGCCTCATGTCGTGTAGTTGTAGACGTCGCTTTGTCGCCAAATTTAGAGTGTATTTTGGATGTGATTTGGCGCAATCTGAGGCATGCAAAGAAAACAGACATCTCAGTGTTGCCGCTACCCGAAGGTGAATTGATGGATGAGGCTGCACAGAAAGAATCCAAGTTGGGAAAAGACCGAGAGATGTCCGCAGCCTCCAGATCCTCATCGTTGGCGTCCGCTGGAAAGCCAATCTTGATGTATTTGTCTGCGATGCCGCACGGACGATCCAGCGTTGAAGAGCTATAACGATCAATCATGTAGCACTCCCAGAAAACCCTTCGTTGAAGCTGCTCTTCCAAAAGGCTGCATGAGGAAGTTGAGGAGGGTGGTTTGTGGAGACCCTGCTCGACACATAAGCGCATGCACAGACGGAGAATCTCCCAGATAGATGTTCCTACTCAGGTTTCCAGAGATTAGCATTTGACCTTCAATCCAACCAGCAAAATATTTGTACCTATGTGATGGTAGATTGCAAATCGTCCCACAAGCAATAGATCCTGAATTGACTCAAGGCCTTTCGACAGTATGCCGTCGCCAAGATACTTCATTGCCGAGAGATAGAATCCGTATGGATGATGTTCGATGACTCCGTTGCGATATGGAACGACAGACCCTACTGCCAGAATCATGAATGCACGAAATAAATCGTGATCTGAGACATGCTGGGTTAAATCTAGCTGGGTCCCGTTCTCGTTCTCCTTGAGATCTACCGAAAATACAGTGCCGCAGATCCTCTGTACTTCTCGTCGCAGAAGGAATGGATTCTGGACATGAGAGCCGTTCAAGCTGATGCAGTTAGCCAACGAGGTTGATTGTAGGCTTCCCCAACAGCTGTAAGATCTGATGCCACTCACTAGTTGTCAAAGATCTTCCGACCATCTTCAGGTGGAGGAAGAGGATGCGGTTTGATACCAGCTTCAGCAGGTCCAGGATTTCTCGTCAAGTTCTGGAGCAATGTCGGATCGTGTTCACGCCATCCAGAATCTGCTACCAGGTGTCGCATAAAGCTGCAGGGTTGATGTAAGTAGGTAATCATCGATATAGGTGCCATCTCGTTGAACGGACCTGATACCGCCTCCTTCCACAAAGTTCGGTGAATGGCTGTCGTCTTGACGACCAAGATCTCTTAATTTGGACTGTTTGGGCCTTTTGAGAGGCTGGTCTGAGCCTTGAGCGTCTTGAGACGAGATCGCTTGTGGTTTGGCTGTGTCAGAAGCCTGGGCTTGTCTTTCAAGTGCTCTGATCTCCTCCTCAAGGTCTCCAATGTATCTACCCGAGATTAATATCGAGAATCAAATTTTAATCAGGGGTAGCATGACGAACTGTCTACTGAATGTCTCATTTTCGTCCAGCCCCAGAGTCATACATTCCTCGTCGTGTTTCACGCATAAGCCGCATTTCGGACGGGCGTTGTCACACTTGTTCGAATTTAGAAGAACGTCATTATTGGGCATCAATTTACTGTACCTTGGCTTTCCGTGCGTGGCAAAATCGGCACGCTGGAAGACGCGGGAGTGGATTTGCGTCTTCACTGGTCTGAAATGGCAAGTGTTCGAGGACTGGCGTGGTGCGCTCCATTTCAAAGTCTCGGGTTTCATGTGGCCCGTTACATCAGGTTGGAGTCACAGCTCGCATTGCTCGTCAGGCTTTGTAGTTCTGTATCATCCCGAGAATAAGATTACATGAAATGTAAAAGGTCTCGAAAATGGGAGTGGTGGAAAGTACTCTGCTAAAAGTGGGCGGCAATCATTGTCTGGGTCGACACCATCAGGTGACTTCTGCCATCCCCAGATAAATGCAAACAAGGCAAACATACAGAACAGTATCCAGGGATCGATTGTTTTTGAACGGAGAAAGTTGTGCATACAGTTAAGTTTCACATTTAATTCGATACTGTTAATGCTTAGCAGGAAGTAGATATTAAATTGACTCGCTAAGGAATGTAGGAAGCGAAAATTGGAATCAGCGGGGGGATCTTATGTAGAAGAGATCACATGACTATGGCTGTCCACCCACTCACTATCTACAAATCGCAGAATACTAGCAAGGACTGGCACTCAAATCTACTACCAGGCTTCTAATCACACGACATATCTGAATCCATTCACCCCCTTGCGCTCATCATCGTTCAGGCGGTCCATGAACAGAGTATCAGTGACATTAGCTTCATTGGACAAGCTTTCAAACTTCTTGTTCGCCCGCTGAAGTGTGAAACGGAGAGTAAGGATGCAAGTCAGTCCCAGTGCCTGGAATGCCAATAGACAGCCCCAGGATTGACGATAGGTTGGCCCGTACTGATCCAGCCAAAAGTAGTTTGCAAAGAGAGATGCTACATTAGCACAGGTGTTTGCTATACCTATAGCGATTAGACATTGACATCTCCCATGGGACTAGTAAAAATTTAGTCCCACTCCCACGGGACCATGACCTTAGTCCCATCAATCCCACGGGACCAAGTCTCTTAGTTCGCCCATGGGAGTCCCACGGGACTCCCATGAGTCCCGCCAAGCTCATATTTTTGCATTATTTTCCCGAATAGGATGGATAAAATGATGATTCATCTGAATTTTTTACTGTTATTAAACAGTGTTTTGTATACTACTTTAACATCTCCCTTAACTCAGCTATATTCCTTAGGAAATTTTATGAAATCTAATTGTATATAGCTAATTAGGTATTGGAAATTAAAGATTCCTATCTTTTTTAAAGTATTTTAATCACTGGATGATTATTTTAGAAGATATGTCGGTAGATGAAATATATAGAGCAGGAAATATATATTCTATGTCAGTACCGCAGCACCATCCCTAACGAGATCTCTTTGTTTAATACTAATGCTGCTCTATTTAAAAGAAAGCTAGCTAATCAGAAGTGTTTATAGTAGTATACGCTATCTAATTTCTATCTCACATTCAAAACTAGTAAGTTTGTAATATAAGAGGGTGCAGAAATAGCAGTTTGAAATATAGGTGAAATATTTTTTATCTAATTTGAAAGTCGGGGGGCGTGGTCTGACCGAAAATCAATGGGACTACAAGGTCCCATAGGATTTCCCATAGGAGTATAGGAGTTTCCCACGGGACTAACCAATCGGAAGAGTGCCTACTATAGGTCTCCTTATCAATCATGATAGATCAACTATATCTTTCAGCTGAATTCACCCTGGATATTATTGAATTCCTCCGGTCGCAACTACTAATTCTCTATAAGGTAAAGTCCTTTCTCTTTCAACTCCCCTAGCTACACACTCTTCTCTTCTTTAACTATGTCTCAATTCAGCCAATTTTCTAACGCTAGGCCCTCCTCTCTCTATCAGAGTGATCCTATAGACCCCCTTACCGATATCGAATTAGATAATAGCTCCTTCGTAGCAGGGAGTTCATATTATCAACGAACTCAATATCCTACGCTCTCCTCTGAGTTTACACCTCCTCTTACTCTTCCTTCTACCCTTGAGCGGTTTGGTTCTGATCGGAAGAAGCCCTGGGTTAAATATACCGAAATAAATAAAAACGACTTTGTGATCTAGTAGTTACAGACTGAGGCTGCGATAACGATAAGATCACGTCAAAAGAAGATGCGATAGGATACAAAGCACTCCGCTGAGATCTAGCAGCATTTTGACCAAGTAGCCAACTATATCACCGGCGAGGCAATGGTTATGTGCCGAAGATATAGAAAAACTATTCCACACCCAGGGCGAACTACGAACGGGACTAATTCTATGAATCGCCACTTCATAGCTGGAACATGCATCAAAGCTGCAAATAATACAGCAAGGCAGAAGACACTACAGCAATCAATCGAATACATAGTAATATAAATATTCCACTGTTTAACTCTAGTAAACTAATAATATACTCTTCTAATCTAGGCCGAAAACACATCACGTTCGAAGCCATCTTTCAGTGAGGAGCAATAGAAACGATGTCAGGTCAGATTTATCACTAAATCAAACCTTCCTTTTCAAATCCTTGCGCATAAAGACCTTGCCGACCTTATATCAATAGCTCGGCTAGCTACGTCAAACCCTACACTCCTTACCCCTCGAACTGCTCGACGTCGTCTTCGAAAGATCGTGCAAGAAGATCAGCATCGTATCCTATCAGACCTCCCACCAAATACGAAGCTTTCAATTACTCTTGATTATTGGATATCTCCATTTCAACAGGCCTTTATAGCAATTACTAGTTACTTCCTCGACCAAAACTGGGAGTACCGGGAGATCCTTCTAGGCTTTGAACCCTTACATAGAAAGCACTCCGGTGTTAATCTAAGCCAGGTTCTATTAGAATACCTACAAGAGCATTAGATTATCGATCGGGTGCTTGCTGTTACGACTAATAACGCATCGAATAACGATACTCTAGTTAGTAGCATACAGACGTTAATACAAGCCCTAGATCTTCCAAACCATATACCAATTGTCCGAATTCCTTGTTTAGCGTATGTTATCTAACTCAGCCTAAAGGATCTCCTTACGATGATAAAGCTTAACCCAAAGAATAAGAGCATAGATCAGCAGTGGTCAGCTGAACAGGATACGTCCCTAAAACACCTTCGAAAGCGAGGTATTATCTATACTCTTACAAAAGTAAGTCTTACCTTATATCTATCAGTTTATCTTATCTTTTAAAGACCTATCTACTTATTAATATTAGGTCCGTGGCCTAGCTATAGGTGTTAACGCTAGTTCTCAGCGCCGAGAAGCGTTCTTGAACCTTCAAAGTAAAGAACCAAAGCTTCTCCCTATCCAGGATGTCAAAACGCGGTGGAATTCAATATTCCTTATGCTTCAGTGCGCTAAGCAGCTCTCAAAGGCGTATGATAAGTACTGCAGTGAGCATAACTATCCTTAGTTTAAACTAAACACTGAAGAGTGGCGGCAGGTTGACTACCTTCTTTGTATCACCCAACCCTTTCATCAGTAGACCACGGCTATCTCTAAGATCAAAGATGTTACAATCCATCAGATCTTTAGAATCTACAACAAGCTGTTTAACCATTTTGACTTCTCTATTAGCCAACTGAAGCGGAAACGGGTTCCTTAGAAGGCAACTATGCGTAGGGCGCTTGAAGCAGGCCGTCAAAAGCTCTCTGACTATTATAGCCAGACTGACGCTCATAGTAATCTCTATACAATCGGCACTATCCTTGCGCCGCGGTACAAGCTGCAATTCTTCTCGAAGCGTGAATGGTCCGACAACAACTACCAATAGCGCAAGACCTACCGAGGCTACATAGAAAAATACCTCGAGCCCTACCAACAGCGCCAAAAGGAGACAGAGCAGTCACAGTTTAGCCGACCTTCTACCTAGCAGAAGGATGATATTGAACTGCTCTTGGATGATAACCCTTCCGAGCCCTCCCAGTCCCAAGAAAAACGAACTAGCCCTGTATTTGACGATGAGCTTATATATTATCTTAATAGTGGTATATTTCTTCTATTCGAATATCCGCTTGTTTTTCATTCTAACGTTTCTTTAACAGGCACATTAAACAAGAATCCCTGTAACTTCTAGAGGGAGCATAAGCATCAATATCCTACACTCGCAAGCATAGCACGCGATATATTTACTATCCCTGCTAGCGGTGCTGGTGTAGAGCGTCTTTTTAACTCTGCTCGTGACGTATGCCACTATCGACGGGGTCGTCTTAACGAGACCACTGTACAAGACCTTATAATATATCGCTGTATCTCCGAGTTTAATCTTGATACAACAGATATTACAGGTGAATCCGACGAGGAGGAAGAGCCTACCGCCGAAGAGAGACAGCAAGCAGCGCTACGAAGAGAGGCAAAACTGGGCCAGTTTACCCCGGTTCTAATCAGCGACAATAAAGAGGATGAGGATGAAGACGAAGACGAAGATAAAGATGAAGATGAAGGTGAAGGTGAAGATGAGGCTGAAGATAAGATACATAAGGTAAACTCCGTTCCTTTCGACGCCTATATACTATCCGCTGCATCCTAACGTAGCCAGCGAGCTCTAGGAAAGAGACGAAAGAGTGTAGATTCCTATAGAGAAGAAGATGAGACTGAACCTCAACTACCCCCTTTGCCACAGGATAAGGAGAGCTACAGTCAAATGCGGACGTCTGGAAGGGCAAGGAAACGTCCAAGAAATTTAGATGACTACGATGTAACATACGAATAAACTTACATTTCCTATCTTTTATTGAGTCTCTATCAAGGATCTGTAGAGCTATCTAGAGTAATATAGTAAGTGTAATACTTAAAAATACTAGGAAAAGCGCACAATTTATGCAAGTGGCAGGACTTAACTGTTTGCACTGTTTACAGTCCCGTGGGAAGTCCCATACTCCCATGGGAGTCCCACGGCCCTTCTAGTCCCGCCCATGGGACTAAAGCTTAGTCCCAACTCCCGTCCACGGCGGGAAGTCCCAGGTCCCACGGTGGGAGTCCCGTGGGAGATGTCAATGTCTAATAGCGATAGCTCTCTTGATTGGTGGCTGTGTAATTGTCGAGCTTAGCCATGCGTAGGTCGTAGAATAGACTCCAAATGTACCGCAACACACGAGGAATGTAAATCCATAGCGCGCCCAGAAGGAGTCTTTAATGGCGATAAGGAGGATTGTGCCAACCATGGCAAGACACTCAGATACTCCGGCCGGCATTGAGCGAACCTGACGCCTATCAGCCACATATGCCCACGAGAGAGCCCAGAAGAATGCAACGAGGTAAGGTGGCGAGGTTAGGAGCAAGACGGTAGTACTGTTCTTGAATCCCAGCTGCTTGATCAGGGTGGGGAAGAAGTGGGAGTAAGAAATGGAGGCAGTGGTAGCCATCTGAAGGCAGGCAAACATCCAAGTCCGAAGATCCTTTGCCGCCCAGATCAATCCGCGAGTGATGGGCACTTTTTCCTCGTCCAGCAAGGAATCGCTACCAGCGTCAGCAGCAAGACGACCCTGAGCAACCACCTTTTCTTCATGGCTAAGCCACTTCGTAGTGCTGGGAAAGTCTGGCAACACAAAAAGGGCGATGACACCGACAGCCACCGTGGCAAGCCCTTCAATAATGAATAGCCACCTCCAGGATGCCAAGTGGCCGACACCGTTCATGCCAGACAGGATTCCTGCTGAGATCAATCCAGCAAAGGCGTTGGAAAGAAGGATACCGCAGATCAGAAGCGCCATTCTGACACCAATTTCCCGCTTTGTGTACCAGCAGCTAAGGAAATAGATAGCGCCAGGGAAGAAAGGGGCTTCCACGAAACCGAGGAAAAGCCGAACCATTAATAATCCGGGGGTGTTGTGAACGGCGGCGGTACATCCACTAGTGATGGCCCAGACAATAATGCAAGTAGGCTGGGTAATATATCAGCGATGCCGGAGGAGATCAAAAGGGGTTATGAATTCTCACCAGGTAGATGGAAGGACGTAGTTTTGTCATCAGGATAGTCGACGGGAGCTGCATTATGATATAGCCTGCGGAGAAGATGGAGATTGCAGTCTGGTATTGCGCTCCCTTGACACCGGTATCCTCCTGAAGTCCATACAGACGAGCCTGGGTGATGGAGTTGCGGTCCAGGTAATTGAACAGATAGATGATAACCACGAGAGGTAGAATCCGAGTATCGATTTTCCGGCGTAGTTTCAGCTCAACATCTCGGCGGTACTCAGGCTCATAGGAGCGATAGATTGCCATCACGTCCAGGGGAGCATCACCATCTCGATCTTCCACCCAGACATCTTTGCCTCCCATTTTCGGGTGATCTCTGTTTGGCAGAGGTGATGAAACGGGTGTGGACATTTCAACTTGCAGAGCAGAAATAATTAAATATAAGTGCAAAGTTGTTGACCAAATCCAGTCTGGGGACTTAGCCCAGGGTACATAGTATTTATATCTCGGTTGTCGTCATTGCCCATATTGGGTCCCCCGCTAGGATATTTCCCCCAGAGCAATGCTTTTTTCTTCCCCAGTCTTGGCACTTTCGAACAGCACTTCGGAATTTTGCCGACAGTGCGAGACTATCAGAGCCGACGGTGTTGGCGAATTCTGTCGGGCGGTGAAGTGGTGCTGTATGCTCATTTCCACCTCATCTTCTGTTTCTGCCACATTCATATGTCCAGAGTTATTACCGCTCATCCAATAAAATGCATTCTTCTATCGTTTTTGTCCAAGTGATTACGGCCCTATTTCAGTTGTTCCGACAACGAGTTCAATTCATAATTGAAAAATCATATTGAGCGCACGAGGAAAATGATTCTTAATTAGGATACATGGCGTTTACAATCAACGAATAAGTGATGTTTTTTCCGTCCCCCACCCCCGTAAAACCGATCTCAGTTAGCGAAAAGCTTTTCTGGGGTATCGACAAGCATCTTTCGCCATTGGACGTTCGATAGCCAACTCTGTAGGATATCCAACTCCTTGCCTATGTCCACTCGCTTCGAGGCAAGACTATCCGATCCCTTAGTGCTATCCACATGGGGCCAGTCGCTGCCCCAAAGTATTGCATCAGAGGCAGTATCTGCCAGACTTTGAATTATCGGCTTCATTCTCCGTATCTCATCTGGACTCCGTCGATACAAACAAGAAACCTTGGCATACACCCGTCCCGTCTGTAGTAGCCTCAGAATTGCGTCGAATTGCGGCGTGTCGATATCTTTGGGCGCGCAGCAGGCGACATGATCAGCGATAATGTGAATTCGGGAAACTTCCGAGTCATGGACAAGAAACTCTGAGAGCGACGCCCATGTGGCAAGGCTTAACTGAGCTGACAATCCCCAGCCCCATCTCCGAACTGCATATGAGCGGGAAAATAGACGGAACTGCTCTTCCAAACTGGAAGAGTCGGGCACGGACTTCCCCAGGAAACCATGTATCCGAACACAGCGCACACCGAGATCATGTAACTCATCAATGTCTTGATTTGACAATGTAGTCCAACTTTGATCCATACACATGATCCCACGAGCAAGGAGGTGGGGAAATTCTGTACGAATACGACGAAGATGGTCCACCATGCCATGGTGACCGTTCTCTATTGATGCTTGCACCAAAACCAGCCGATCGGCCTTGACTTGAGTCGCCAATTCCTCCAGGGGAGCAGGAGGAGGTGTATACGTTCGAGTAGGCTTGAAAGGATAACGGACCGGGTCAAGACAATGAATGTGAGTGTCCCACATGTTTGATCGAGAGACTTCCATGATGAAGGTTCTCCCCGCTGTACGTGAGGTTGGGGTTATAATCTCAATAAGAATATATTATTGACTCTTTGATATTCATAGGTGGGGCAAACGCATCAGAGTGGAGGTGGAAAACTAAAGCCAATCACACTTCACCAAGACCTGCCCCCGGGGCCGGCATTCTTCCGTTGATGAACGTCGCTGGATTTCCGACGTCCGTCACTCCCCCAGTCATACAAGCATTCTGTTTTCGCCCCTTACTACTGGTCAGACAATGAGAGCCGGAAGTAGCGTTACGAGAAGCAGCTCACCAGGCTCAACTCCACGAGCCCGTGGTCAAGCGTGTGAGAGATGCTGGAAGCGAAAACAAAAGGTCTGTCAAGAAAGCACCCGAAGAGGCACTGTCGTCGAGCGGCATAACGGTATCCCGGTTATCCACCCCGGTACCGACAGTTAACGGAAGACAGTGCGATCGAAAATTACCCGAATGTGCAGCGTGCGTAGGGGTCGGCGTGCGATGTGTTCGTCGGAAGTTCCCCATTGAGCCAATCACGAAGAACGGCGGCAGTCTCTCCCACGCTGCGGTTCCCAGGTCAGTACCTTCCCTCACCTAAGGGTCTATACATCATGGCAATGACTAAAGATAATTGAAATAGTTACGTAGAGACATTGAAAAGAAAGCGCGATGACTTGGAGGCTCGCATACGCTGCCAACGACCACGTCCAAATAGCAATGCACCTACGGAGCATATGTATATCGGTCAAGATGCATCTTCAGAGGGGGATCAAAATGCCACGGAACACACTGTCCAGGCAGCGATGAGTGAGATTCGATTTCTATCCAGGAGTGCGATGGCAGAGCCTCGGGACGAGACTGGTGGACTCTCTCAGGAGCTTTCGATTGGGCGTATGCTACGGTCAACGCTGTCTCTCAGCGGAGCCAATCCAGCGCACTCAGTCATAGATCCATATGGACAGAGTGTAACGGCGATGGTTGACTCGTCGATGACGTCGAACAGATTGCTGGCTCTACCGTTCATTACTCGCTTTGTCGAGACAATAGGAGTGCAGTTCCTTCACATCAATCCAAACGAAACCTTGGATGATTTTGAGACATTGTACAAGACATCAGACGATGCCAACAGTCATGTGGACTGCCTCTCGCCCGTCAAAAGATTCAATCTATACTTGTCTCTGGCCACTGGCGCGCTACTTTCTCCTGGATCGGGCAGTCTCCAAGGGCTGGCCAGTAACTATCATGCTACTTCCATGAAGCTCTTCCCCGGAATACTCGATAACGGAACAAGACTAGATATTCTTCAATGCATGCTATCACTCATCATATACTCAATGCACAGCGCCCTTGGTGGGTCTGCATGGCACTTGATGGGGCTAGCCATGAAGAAGGCAATCGCTTTCAGATTCCATAAAGACGTGGACGCTGATACTCAAATATCGCCTGAGATGTTGAAAACTAGACGGAATGTCTTTTGGACCCTTTATAGCCTTGATCGGTGAATATTTCTTATTGAAATGGTCGCCGAAGTCTTGCTAATGAGGGTACAGAACCATCAGCACGATAATGGATCGGCCATTCAGCATTGAAGATGAAGACATAGCAGTTTTGGTGAGTTGACCTCCTCAAGTATCTCTCTGGAGTATCACGCTTATGAATTCTAAAGAGCCCCGAAGAATATCACAACGCCGCCTCGTCCCAGGATTCTGACCTCGCTCTTCATCTTGTCTCGCATGCAAGATTCATGTCAAACATCAGAGATTCCCCTTCCAAGAGTGTCTTATACCATTATAGTAACTTGTGTTATTGGAAGGACTGCGCTGCTGGGCGTGATCCCGCCGCCAAATATCCGGCAGTCCATATCATGCGTCTCTCATGCCGGGCGATGATCGAAATTCTAAAAATCAAAGGCTCGGTAACTGTTGAACCCAATCTAGTTCGCAGTGCCAGCAGCATTGAAAATGATTTCATCAAGGGTTGTGTGGACTATATCGAGGAAGAATATCAAAGGTCCGACCGTGGTGAATTAGGAGGCTTTGTGGAAGCCTATGACATTTTCAACGCGGGGGTGGTCATAGTTTGTTTGGCTGCAGGAAAGCCATCATTCCCTCTACGCGATGCCAATATTGTGAACAAGTGTACTGCTTTACTTACACTTCTTGGGGAACGATTTTCCGGCCTGCGTGTCTTCCGCCGTGTGCTTTGGGCCCTCTCGGGTTTGGTTCGAGGCGAGTCGGTGAATGACCCGATCATCCGTGAACTTCCCCCGGTAATACCTGGCGGGATTCGAGAGTTGATCTCCGGATTCATGTGATCATTACACCGAGAATCCTCCCCGATAACCCACTCTGGGGCTGGGGTGGAGTGTGCAAGCCAGCTATCGGACAGGATCCGATGGTCCGATGAGTGAAATGTCCGACAACGTGAAGATGGGTGGGATCAGGAAAATGAATCATCCTGGGGAGTTGATTTATATGGCCCGGATAACATCACTTGCATGAATCTTGTCCGTATTCTCCATCATCTTCGCTTCCTGGTCTTCACTCCCTTGATTTCAATCCATACGTCCGTGATGGCTCCCGGACTCACTCATGATGGGGATTATCCCTCAACAAACGGCGCTACAAGCTCCAAACCCACTGTCTATGTCATCGATCAATTCAACAGAACGGCCATTGAGCACGCCAAGACAATTTTCAATGTCATCCTTCCTGAAGATGAGGGTTTCTCAGAGTGGCGACAGAAGGCCACTGCTCTTCTGATCCGAGGCTCATTTTTGACTGCGAAAGACATTGCCAGCTGTCCCAACCTTGTCGCCATCGGCAAGCACGGAGTGGGTATTGACAAAATTGACCAAGCGGCTTGTGCAAAGCGCGGCATCAAGATCTGCAACACTCCTGGCGCCAACGCACGCGATGTTGCGGAGCTAGTCCTCGCGCTAAGCATGACCGTCGCTCGCGGTATCCGCTCCATCACTACTCGCCAAATGACCAAGCCTGTTCCAAAGGAGACCTGCAATGGTCTCACACTTTACAAGAAGACTCTCGGAATTATCGGCATGGGAAATATTGGCCGAACTGTGGCGGAAATTTTCCGTGGGGCCTTTGACGCCAAAGTTGTCGCTTTTGATGTCTTCATGCCCGATAACGCGTGGCCTCACATCCCACATGACCGTGTACAAGACGTTGAAGAAGTCATCCGAAGGGCTGATGTTCTCTCTATTCACGTTCCATTGACCGACGAAACGCGGGACATGATCTCCTACAAGGAACTTCAAATGATGAAGCCCGATGCCATTCTCATCAACGCCGCTCGAGGTGGAATTGTGAATGAGGCAGATCTCACCAAAGCTCTTGCCGAGGGCCACCTTTGGGGTGCAGGCCTAGATTGCCATGAGCAAGAACCTCCTACATTTGAAAAGTATAGTGCGCTCTGGGAAAACTTAAACGTTGTGAGCACACCCCATATTGGAGCGGCTACAACTCGGGCACAGACTGCGAGTGCGATGGCGGCAGTGAACAATTTGTATGATTATTTGATGAGCATTCGCAATTAGACTGACACGAATTTCAATGTTTCAATATTACCGAGACATCTGTACTCGCCACGTGATCTGGTTTACACCCAGCGGTAGTGCACTGCTGGCAAACTGGGCCACCGTCTGTGGCGGATTAATCTCAACCACCTGACAGATCCGCGAATGAAAACCCTCATCATTATCGTTATTATCATCATCATTTTAGTCTCTATTCTCTACAGATGCCAAATGTCATTCCAAAGCCAATAATTCTCAATGTGGTCTCATTGCACCCTTACAATGCCACCTAACACACTGGACATTCCCCTTCATACTATCCGTGATGAAGATAGTCTTCCCGTCCTCTCCCCCAAAGGTACAATTCGTTAAATTCTTTCCCCCTTCAGGAGCAGTAACGATCCGAGCTTTCGGTACTCCTTCTCCGTCAACTACAAAAATAGATCCAAGACTTGGATGGCAAACAAAAAGAGACCCCTCTTCGTCCATAGCTAACCCATCAGGGCCTGCACACCCAAAAGATTGAAAGAACAAACCCGCCTTTGAGGTGGAGCCATCAGCGTGAAGAGGCAGACGCCAAACCGCGTTGGAACGAGTCATGGCCACGTACAAAAACCTCTCATCTGGAGATAATACGATTCCATTGGGCGATACGCCATTATCAACGAGGCAGTCAAGCTTGCCATCAGGAGAAAGCCGATAGACGCGGCCTGTTTGATCAGTCATGCCCGTTTGGCCTTGATCAGTGAAGTAGATTTCATTTTTTGAAGACACGATCAGGTCATTGGGGCCCTTGAAACGCTCCAGATTCCGGCGTGTCAAAAAAGGAGAAACCGTCTTTGCGACCGGATCAAATAGTAAAAGACCCTACGTGATATTAGCATCTTGAACTTTTATAACACATAAAAAGGTTTGCTACATACCTGCTTGTAGTCGGCAATAATCATACATCCATCCTCACGCACGGCGAGTCCATTCGGTTCCCCATCATACCGAACACATTCGGTCACCTGTTTCTGCGCGTCGATCTTTAAAATCCGACCGTAGGGAATATCTGTCACATACAAATCCCCGTTCAGGTAGGTAGGGCCTTCGATGAAAATGTCAGATGGCGGAGATGAACCCCCACCTCTCCATTCGGTGCTTTGTCCGTCGCATCTCAGAGCATCGGGGATCCGCACGAATACCTCGGCCTGAATCACGGGTGGGATGGGGTAGAAATTCATTTTCAATGGCCGGTTATGCAAGAAAGTTTGAGGGGAAATCCAAGACACTAAGGTGCAGCGGGCGGTTTAAGCGTTGACCCCCGGTCATAACGGCACTATTTTAAAAAGCCAGGTCTCCACCTTTTTTAAGTTGACGGACATTTTCCGATGACTGCCGACGACTGTCAGGGCCCCGGCATCTCCCCCAGCCTTTGGAGCTGTACCCCAGACCAGCACGATGCCCCAGTGGAGGACCGTGAGGAGTTATATTACGCTAAGCTGGGGGCATTCATAAGCCGAGTGGGCTTTTAAGGAGAGCTGTGGACTCGTTGGGATTTTTTTTGCCATTGACCATCTCTCGGACACCATGGGGCTCATTGCGGACACGAAGCAGGCGATTCGGGATTCTCCCAAGGGGATGTTCAATTGGTATGTGGTGATGTGTACCTGCATCTTTGCTTTTTCTGGTGTGGCCAAGGGTTTCGATGAAGGTAAGATCCTCCTCCATAGAATCAATGTTCTGCATGAAGGTAGCTAACACTTACCCCTCGAAATGGAAAAGGAAATATTGCCTCAATCGTTGTGCAAAGCCACTTCAGGAAGGTTTTCGGGGTGGCCAAAGAGACCGATGAGCAATATGCCAATACAAAAGGTTGGCTGGTCTCTATTGCCACTGCCGGTGCGGTCTTTGGATGTTTAGGGGTATGTTGTATCATCTTCGTTAGAATAACTGCTGAAAACCTCGTAACTGATCTCTACCTAAGTGTCTTCCCATGACCGACAAGATAGGACGTCGATGGACGTTGCTTATTGCAACTGTCATCTACATGGCCGGTGTTCTCGGACAGGGTCTCAATGGTGGAAGCCTATCTGGCATGTACGCCTCCCGGTTCATCGCAGGAATTGGCATTGGCGCCACAACTGTTATTCCCCCGATGTACATCACTGAGGTGAGTTTCAGTATTCTAAAATTGCTGGATCCGTCCAAGGTCTTATTTTTTTTTTTCCGTCCTTGCAGATCGCCCCTAAAGCCATTCGAGGACTCCTTACTCTCCAATATGCCGCCTGTCAACAACTCGGCGTCGTCTTCGGCTTCTTCATCAACTACGGAGTAACCAAAAGCTACGCCGGAACAAACACACAATGGATGCTTCCGACTCTACTGCAACTCATCCCAGCCGCCATCTGGGGTCTCGGCATCTTCCTGTGCCCCGAGTCTCCACGCTGGCTTTTGTACATCGGTCAACGGGAGAAAGCCATGGCCAACATGGCAAAACTGCGCCATCTCCCCATCGACCACTCAGTCCTCCTCGCTGAAATCGCAGGCATGGATGCACGAATTCTCCATGAAACGGAGGCAGTGGGCAACTCGAGCTTATTTGATCTACTCAAAGAAACTCTTGTCCCTGTCAAAAACAGACGTCGTTTCTTCCTCATCTTCATGGCGACGCTCTTCTCGCAATGGTGTGGTGCGAATGCTATCACCCAATACTCGCCAACTATCTTCGGGTACCTGGGTATCTTAGGCGATGAGTCCAAGTTCCTGGCAACTGGTATCTACGCCATCGTCAAGTTCGTGAGCACACTAGGTTTCGCGCTCTTCGTGGTCGATTTCATCGGTCGACGCCGGTCGCTTATGACAGGCATTTGTCTCCAGATTGTAACTCTGGCCTACGTTGGTGGTTATCTGGGTGGAACGAAGGACATGACTGCAAGCCAAATTGTCCACTCGTCATCTGCTCCCCACGCAGCGACTGGTGCGATAGTAGCAATCTACTTCCACGCCGTAGCATGGAGCATCGGCTGGTTCAGCATCCCCTACCTGATTGGCTCTGAGATTTTCCCGACAAAGATCCGTTCATTCAATATGTCTATTGCCATGATGTTTCACTGGGCCTTCTACTTCGGTTGCTCGCGTGCCATGCCTAGCCTACTCGCCGCGAGCCAAAAATGGGGTGCTTTCGTCTTCTTCGGGATCATCTGCTTGATATCCTTGATTTACGTTTACTTTGCTATGCCGGTAAGTGTCCTTTTTTGGCTCTTACACATTCTGTATGGAGTATTCACTGACGCTGACTTGCACAGGATACAACCGGACGCTCCCTCGAAGCTCTGGATGATCTCTTTCTGCGGCCTTGGTACACAGTCCGCCGTGTGGCTTATCCTGAAAAGGACGAGATCCAGATTGAGCAGCTCGGTAAGCGGGATCTGGCTCCTCGTGCGGAACATTGCGAAGAGGCTTGATAATGATCACCAAGCATCGCATCGGGCATCAATATTGTCTCACCCACGGGCGTTAAAATTAAAGTTATAATTATATAAAGTTACAGTCATCCCAAGCAACTAATATATTCGTTATTAAGGAACCAACAGCAAGTATAGATAATGAATACTCACGATGGCCGTACCAGTTGCAGTCCCAGCACCGGCCAGCTTCCCCGGGACGGCGCCCGGGCACCCCAAGCTGCTCGGGAGGAGGGTTGTCGGCCATTTCTTTCTTTCTTTTTTTTTCACAAAAAAAAGCGAGGCGGAGGGTAAGCGGGCGTGGAGGGAGAAGGAGGAAGCAGAAATCAGGGCTACAGAGGTGGTATTTATACTTACATGAGATCATGAAGCTATTCCCAAATCATAGATCCCCAACAGTATTGAAACAGAGCTTAAGAGGCTATAATCAACTACTGAGCAACCTATCTTCCTCTCTCTACAGCTCTCTCGACAGCTCTCTCCATGTCTTTCTCTAACTTTCTTCTATGATGGTATAACGCCTCTTAGTAGCCTCATCTTCGAGGCTGCTACTTGTGGCTGTATGGCTCAGTAAGATTCCGGCAAATAAAATCTCACTCAACACCACTTGCACGAGGGCGGCCACTCTCGGCCAGGAATGGTGGCAATCGAAAGTTTACTCCAGGTCTTGATCTAGGGGTCCGAGAAATTTGTAGTTGTAGAGTATCATTATACGTCCCCAACGCCGGGGCCATGAAATATTGGATAAATACATCCGTAAGGACAAACATGTCTAAAGGCATCCCATCCCAACCTAATGTCCAGAGCTCGCATGAACCAAAAGAGCATAAGACCCGATGCCCCAGATCCGACCCAGACCCCGTAACCAAAAACCACGGAAAAATAAAACAAGAACGCCATTGCCGAGCCAGCCCATGAGTTAAATGCAATGAGGAAAGAGTGTAGGAGATGGAACGAAAGTAGAGAGCACATATAGCATGTCTAAATAAAGGACATGAGATGGGTATGAAAAGAAAATGGGCAGCTTCGGCGAGGAACGAAGGGTATTGTCACAAAAGATGAGTATCAACGATGAAGTGCTTTTTGTCAAGAAGCATTGATAAAGTAAGGCATGTCAAGGTGTCAAAATAGTGAGAGGTAAATGAAAGGTGAACAAGAGGGAAATGACCAGATGATAGCGACTGGCGTGAAGAAGTAAGAGAATATTAAATCGGCGGCACACCAGTCACGACAGCATCAAGACCTGCTCGATTATTTATGCATGAGGCCGACCGATACGGCTCCCCATATAGGAGCCAGTGGCAGATGCCAAGAAGCGCGCGACGAAGCCACCGCCGTGTCCATGGCCGGAGACTTTCATCTTCTTACTCGGCTGGCGAGCAGGTTCATAATGCTGCTTTGAATCGACGTTGACAAAGCTGTATGTCAAGGATGAGACTGAGGGACTAGTGTTGGTATCCGTAACCATCATCACATCATCGGTTCCATGAGAAGAGCAAGTGCTGATGCTGGCAGGGGTACCACGGGAACTAGGGGCCGCGCTAGATGAGCGAGAGCAAAGCGAGTTGAACGTCTCGGCGTGGGAGAGACCGGGTACATCCCGGATGGAAGGCGGTGAGATGGATCGACCAGGTCGGATGGGGGATGTGCGACGGTGGTAAGGGGTGTAACGCTCAAGCTCGGCGAGGGATTGCGGAGAGCTGAGAGAGTTGTGGATGGTAGGGCAGGAGACGTGGCTAGGGAGCCGACGCAGGCCCGTAACTTCACCGTTTCGGCGACTGTCAATGCGGGCCTCCTGGGCCAGCTTCTGACGCCGCAGGCGACTGGCCAGCAGGTCTGCGGGGGTACCGATGCGTCGCCTGATATGAAAGTGTGAGAAAGAAGAATCATGGGGAGGGTTTGGGTCATATGGGGGACATACCGGTGATGTTGCTTCCACTGGCTCTCCTCCTCGGCCTTGCGTTGTTCCTGCTCCATGCGATGACGGATAGGAGCGAGGAAAGGCTCCAGATAAGTCAAAAGGTCCTCCTCGGTGACACGAGTCTCCCAATCCAACAGGAAGAGCAGCTGACGTTCCATCAAGTTGACCTCGGGCAGCGAGAAGCCAAATCCTTCGAATCCCTTCACAGCGGTGTACCGAGCCCAGTGCTTGTTCTTGGGGCTAGAGTCATTCAGGTTCTTGGCGGCGAGGATGAGCGAGGCGAGGAAGATCCGGTGGACTGTGCATCGCATGCCCTTGGCAACAGGTGGCAGACGGGCTCGGAGACGGCCCAGGTACACCAATGAGCTCATCAGGGTGGGCACCTGAACCTGCGACCGGGCGACGAGGGATGCAATGAAGGCTTCGATGGAAGGGAGCGGTGGCAGAGAGTCGGCAGCTTCCATGGGAGGTGTGGAGGGCGGCGTGGGCTGGCCGTGCTGGCTGACCGTGTTGGTCACATGGGCTTCACATCGGATGACCTGCGATGCCTGTTGGGCCAAGTACGTCACCATCTCGCGAGAGACTCGATGTGTGACAAACTCATCCAGAGCAGCACGGTTGAGGGTGAAGTGCGTGGACATGGTGTTTGTCGGACTCATTGGAAGCATATAGATATAAAGTGCTGTATTGTTTTTGTGAGGCTAGCTCGTTGCAGTCGATGCAGCTGAAGATGGTTGATGCAAGAATGTCAGTTCACCGATGATATATTATAATCAATGTCTCGGGAACTTGAACAATGAACTTGTGTTGGCTCACAGCGAGACAAATGTATTATACTTGGTTGTAGTATAGTATACTTTGTCGCGACGGGACGGGTGAGTAGTGTCGACGATGAGGAAAAGAAAAAGATGAGAACAAAGACGATGGCGAAAGTGTCGATCGAAATAATGCGAAGTGAGAATGAATAGCAAGAAACCAGAATTCCTGACCAGCAGGATGAGGGAGTCAAGTAGTTGTGAGCGAAGGAATGTGCAGTAAGGATAGTTGAGGTTGTCGTGTCAACCCTCTTATCGTAGCGATAGCCCTAACTGGGAGTGACTGAGAGACACTGAGACCTGCCGAAGCGGAGAATTAAATCCGAGAGACAGCCCACTGGACTATGGCAATAGATCGAACAATGTCTGTGACGGGCGCACAAATTATTTAGATGATTTCAGATTTGATTTCTGATGTGGAGTTGGTGTTATTCTTTCGACGAAGAGTTGGAGATTAGAGAAAGAGATGGCGACCGAGAAGAATGGACCAGCTAAAAGGGAAACGGGCGAGGGAATAATATTAAAGGAAAGGATCGGTGACGACTTTGAGCATGTGGATGAACCCCGTGAAGAATCCAAGAGGACCAGCTGGGAATACTTGACTAGATATAACTCTACTAGCTCCGGTATGCGCCAACCGGGCGGCTGGAGAGGGCGAGAGAGGGGGCGTCTTCCAAGAAAAGCTGCAAGGTTGGGCTGGGGCCAGTCGAACAGGGTGGTGGACTAAAGGGGGGCAATGGATAGTCGCGGAGGAGCCATAACCAGGCTGCATAGTTGGATCTGAGATGCTCGAACTCTTTTTTTCGCGCGCGAACCTGAGACGACGACAGGAGCTGGGCCGACAGGATAGACAGGGTTTGTGGGGATCATGATTCGTCCAATTCAATGGCCAGCGCGTTGGAATGTGGTGGAGTGGGCGATTACAGGCCCAAAATGCATACCTGGCTAGCGTGTAAGCAGTAAAGTGTACTCCGTACACTACGAGGACTAGACGGACTAGACATGTAAAGCATCCGGGAATAACAGTAGCCCATTATCATCATCATATTCTATACGGAGTATCCTGCCTTTCTGCTAGTATACTAGCCTCTTAGTCCTATTGCCTGTACAAAGTCTAAATCTGTCTTTAGAGCAATGCAAATCTAGCTATTCGCTCTCAATCCAATCTTGTACTTTAGCTCCGTACTTTCTCTTCTCCATACATAAACTCTCGCCATCCATATCATCTACGAGTCTGGTTCATGGTTCACCACTATCCCTAGATTCATGTGTGGCGCCAATATTGCACGGCCCGGATTTCTCAATCGGATGTCAAACCCTCATACAAATCCTGCCTCCACTACAACATCTTGAATTTGGTCCTGTCCTCAATAGTAATGATGTTTCCTAGAATAGTTTTCCCCAGCGCTTGGAGCCGTCCAGCAAGAATACCCCAACCCCAGCCAGACAGACTGGGGGCGATCACAAACTCAGCTAGAATCCACTCGTCCCCTGCGAGGAGCTCAACAGCCTAGGGGGCCCCACTTGTGTCCGCAGTGGAGTTCCGCCGGGTGGCCAGGGCCTCATCCCACGAATCAATGCCGAAGGCAGCCCCTGTCCGATCCTGAGTCTTGGGTTTTGTGGGTACGAGAGAGGGGACAGGATAATTTGTACCAGCCTCTCCGTGATATACTTTAGATCGACCATGAAACTGACGACCGTCTCATATCTCCTGTGCTGAGACGCGGGGGAAAGAAGATAATCATTCCATACTTGTGGTACATTATTGCTAGGTCAGAATTCCAGTCCTGTTCTCTCCCCGTTCCGAGGAATGAATGGCACGATAGGAGGGGCAAAAATAGAGTGACATTGATCATTTTCATGTTTCTTGAACGGCCCCCCCCCTCCAGTCTTCAATAATTCTAGGCGCGAACAAGACGCCCCTCGTATAGGAGAGTCATGCACTGCTACCATACTGCAATAAACTACTACCACTGACCCCAAATTCCCCTAGATCGTGGAGAAGGAATCCAGGTACCAAGCCAGTAGTAATACCAACCAACCAGTTACTCTACCGCAAGGCAAATGAGGAGAGAAGGGGCCATTTCCTAGAGATCGGGCAGGGCCAGATCCAGCTGAAAGAAACATCACCATCCACTGAGCAAGGTCAAGTCGTACGGGGGCGCAAAAGAAAAAAATGACCTCTGGCCTATGACCACTCCAAACAATGTGGCAAGTCGCGTTTCAATTTGACGCCCGCGAAATATGGGCCCCAATCATTTAGTCCAGCCACAGCCTGACAGTTTGCGACCGTCACTAAGTCCATGAAAAAGAGCGTCTGTGCACGAATGGCCCTGCTGCTGCAGTTAGTCAGGCGAGCCCGACTGGTCGGACTACTTCGGTAGCCTAACTACATTAGCCGAACTGGGATGAAGCTATTGGTGCTCTCGGATCTTTGCCTTCATACCAAATGACCCCTGTCACAAGCCGAGCCAGGAGGTGTACAGATGGAATTAGTGGGTCGCGAAGCGTGTTCGAGGAGAAAGTGAAGGCGAACATGCCAGATGACAGGGCAAATAGGGTACAATAGTTCTATCAGACACATCAGAAGGGATGGCGAGGAGGGAAAGGGCAGACGAGGGGTTGTATAATCCTTTTCACGGGATGTCCTTTTCCTTGATGGTTGCGGATACTTTGTACGACCCGTGGATGGGCGATGGAATAGTTCGACCACCTCTGCATAAGGGGAGTCATTTTTCTTACCTTGAATCCCGATTATGTCTCCGTAATGACCCTGACTCGACATGGCTGGGAATCGATCTATCGAGTCGCCCATGACCCATGCCCACGCCCTCATTTTACTGTACTACTCATGCATCCGAGCTGTACTCTGTACTCCATCTGCGTACATGGACTCTCAAGCTAGCAATGCATGCAATGTTCCGACCGGCTCGCGACCTGCATCACGGACGGTATCTAAAAAAAGTAACCGGGGAAGCTATTTTGAGTGATCGCTGCATGTCCATCCCATCAATCTCTATATAAGCGCCCGTCCCCTCCCCCCACGCCAGCGCCTACTCTAATGCTGCCGCCTTTCTACTTTTCTGTACTCGTTCCACTCGGCGCTTGCTGGCCGTTTTCTTGGGGATCATCTTACGATGTTGCTAATTATACAACGAGCGCTTCTGTCAGGCTAATTCTATTGATAGAACAGCTCTGTTATTCTTAGTATCGTCTAAGCGCTCGGTTTTGGTCCCGCCGATCGGGTCGTCGAAAAAGCAGGTGCTGCCGTTCACATTTGGATGTGAGATGACAGAAAGCCAACAAAACATTACCAAATAATTGGGAATCAAACCTCCGATGCTATATGAGGCGGCGAGCGTCTCACATCGCAACATAATGTCTTCGACTGGCTGCGAAGTCCCGGGCTGACCTCGGCGCAATGAAGTCTTGAGATGGGTTTGGTGTGTGCACCAGTGGATAATATCCGGGTGGGTCGACTGGTGACGAACGACCGAGACGAACGACAGGACTCTACTCCTGAAACACAGTCAAGTTTCAGGGTGCAACGGTGTGCTGTCTCAGCATTGGCTACGTCAAGGTGGGCGCTTAATGAAGTTTCCATGGGGCCGGAATGGCGTGGTGGGCTGAAATGCTGGCTAACAGGCTAAATTGTGCATGTTGAGGAAGCCGAACCCCACAACTTCCATAATTGGTGCAATTTCTGTATAATACCGAGGCTTATAATTATTTGTGTAGATTTACAAAATGGATTGCAAAACCTCTTCATGGAACAAGATTCCGGATCCATTCCTACATAAAAGACCATATACGAGAATTGAATCCCCTTCTTGTGCAGCTTCCATCCCACCACACCAACTACCAAATTCCCTCAACCTCTCATTTACGCAACAACGGCAGAGTAAGAGGAGGTAGTCAGCTTGGCAGTACCAGTGAAGGGCTCAGTACCAGCCTGGACATCAACGAGGTACAAGCTAGAGCTCAGACCCTGGTTCTTGATGAGGTATGTGAAGAAAGCAAGCATGTCACCAGAGAAGCTAGTAACGGTGGACTCAGCGACGAAGCTGTAGACAGTCATGGAGCCGTTGGGGCCCTTGTACAGCTTCCAGGTGACACCGTTGATGGTAGTAGTGGCAATGGCCGAGCCAGTGGAGGAGATAGGGCCAGCACCGCCCAGGGCAGCAAGCCAGACCATGATCTCGTACTCGTTGGAGCCGGATGCACTGGAGCTCAGGAACATGTCGTAGGCGACATCGGCGACGATGCTGGTGGTCGAGTAGCTATTGACATTGCACGAGTGGTTAGTCATTCCGTATCTATCAAAACCTTTTGGTAGAACATTCATTTCACAGAAACATACCTCCACTTCCAGGAAGACTTGATACTGCTGATGCTGCTCAGAGTCTTCGCGGTGAACTGCAGCGCAACATTGGCAAAGCTCTTGACCTGGTTGGAGGCACCGGACCAGGAGTAGGAGGTGTGCCAGGCAATTGTGGTGCCGCTCAGCGAGTCAACACCAGTGCACTGGGTGCCGGAGGTGTCGTAGCTCTGGCCCCAGAGGTCGTTGTAGACAATATAGCTGCCAGTAGTGGTAGATCCCCACTGGTCACAAAAGTCGGCACGACGAGTCAGTGACTTGGTTGGGATAGTAGCGGCATTGCTCAGACCAGCGAGCGCCAGGGAGACAAGAGAGAGAGGAGCGAAGGACTTCATGGTGACGGATTCGAAGGTGAAGGAGAGGATCTGACTAGCAAGGAGAATCGAAGGTGGATAGGATTAGGGAGAGTAGAATTTATGATCAGAAATAAGCATCGACGACTGTTTATCAGGGTCTTGGTGATCTTCTTATATACTGCCTCGTTGTGTTCTATCTGGAAAGTCGTCCGGCGGGTTAATCTCTACAGTTGTGGATGTGCTGTTCCGTGTAGAACACGGAGTGGTCCTGTCTCATAATGCTATAACCGGGACTCCACAGCGGATATTTGCAAGTAAAGCTTCGAGACGAAGAATTACTTCAAAATTCCCCGTATCCTATGTGTATTCCAGTAAAAGAGTCTATCTGCGTCACTGGTCAGCTCAATTTCGAGGAAGTGATCGCCTTCTGTCTACGTGTCACAAGACGCCCTGAACGAATTTTTCCACGACTATAATTAAGCGTTAAAGTGTGAATGGAGTTGGAATGATCTTTGCAGATTCGGGAAGTTCTCCGGGCGTGGAGAGCAAATTCAAAACGACGGCGTCGGGTGCGAGGCGGAGACGACTACTTGATGGAGCAATACGGTGGAACGATCTCGTTGCTTGTCCATCCGAGGATCCGCCGAAGATTTGCATTTGGTTAAATGGTTGAAGAACGTGGGTATTACTACTGATTCTAACGGCCGGGTGGTAGTGTTCTAGAACTCAAAGTAACTCAGGTTTAATATCTTTCCAAGTACAAATCTAGTTTTTTCGACGGCGTAGATGTCTACAACATTGGTAAATCTACGAGATTGCGGAGACTGTCGACGTCGTAGGAATAACCTGACAGGAGCAGAAATCTTCCGGGGGGCATTCCGAGACAGGGTTTCTATATTCTAAACTCATTCCGTACTTCTGCATATTTTTGACGTTCTGTGTAGGGATTGGTGGGAAAGACCATTCGTGAATTCTGCAGGCGATGCTGCAACCCCCAGACATGCACCCCGCAACTTAACCCTGAAGAAATAGGATTAACCCCAGATTTCACTTATTTTGTGACGAATAGCTTTGAGGACTTTCATTTGGTCCAGGTGGTCCCTCCAGTAATAAGGGACCATCCAGGCATAGAAGATCCATTTCGGAGGGTGTGCCGCTTTATACTCGGCGATGATCAGCAGGACTGCAGGGGAGGATAATATCCGACGGACAAACGGAGATCGATGATTGAGTTCAAGATGTGTGACAACGACGGATGATTTGGCTCTTGAATCGGGTATTTGATGGGCATTTCTTTCTCGCCAGTCGAGAATTGAAGGTAAACGATCTACATCATCTTCGTCGGGATATCGTCTATAGGTAGGACTGCAGATATATAATGGGACCATCGGCTAAATTTCAACACCGGACATGCGACATAGATTTGGCAGTGGTGGAAATAGCTTCCATTCCCATTATACTGCTTTAAATGGAACTGGATCTATTGAGGTGGCGAGTCCTTGAGAGGTAGTATGCTAATGCCTACTTAATCTTACGCATTTTGAAATGGAATCGGGACTTTTACACCTGCGCAGAACAACCCTGAGGTTACTGAACCAAAGCAGATCTATGGATCTCATTCTTAAACAACACCCTGATAAGGGTTATGCCGGATATGTGCTGCTCTGATATCTTCTCCATCCAGTATTCATCATGAATGGATCTGATTAAAATGTCATCAGCCTCAGTTCACCAGCTCTGCCGCCCCATATCCCGATCGCCCTCGGCAGTCCAGACACTCGGAGCCCGCGGAAAGCGAGACGGTATCTCGAGATAGCCAAGCAGCATTTACTTGTCATAATGAATCCCGCCAACCAGTCCCGAATCCCGTGAATCTCTCGGCAGCTCGGGTGCCTAAGATGCAAAAGTAAGCAAGGGCCAATCAGGGTGATGCTGATTCGGATTGGGTCGATCCGAGATGGCGTGGACCGGACCCCCGATGTTTTTGCGGGGAGCGCGTTCGCTAGGGCCCAGGGGCGACCGTCAATAAATTCAATTTTAATCTCACCCAAGGGTCCAACGAATTTCCTCACCTCCACTTCACCTCACCTCTCCCCTCCCTCCTCAATTACGAACTTCAAGATGCCGTCCAAATCCTCCGCCAACAAAAACTCCGCCTCTGGGTGTGGCTGCCGCTGCTTTTCGCTCCGAAACTTGAGTCTGCTCGCCGTTTTCCTGGCCCTGTTCTCTGCTCTTTACAGCTTCCTCGACGCGCGCCTCAACCAGTTCTACATTTTTGACCCTGAGCATCTGCATGATCTGTCGCAGCGTGCTATTAAGGCGCATGGCGAGGATACCCGCTCTATTGTCGACTTTATTGTCGCTGAGCTGCAGGAGAAGGTTGGTGAGAAGTATCTGAGCACCGAGGAGGAGTGGGTGTTCAACAATGCTGGCGGCGCCATGGGCGCGATGTATGTCATTCATGCCAGTAAGTGAATTTCTCCTTAGAAAGCTCCTTGCCGCATGCGAAGCCATTGTATGGCCGTTTTGCTCGAGATTGAGCTCGGCGCATTGGATTCTCTCGAGGACCTCCCGACCTTCCAATTCCCGACTAATTGACTAACGAGTATTCCTGTCTAGGTATCACTGAGTACCTCATCATCTTCGGTAAGCCATTACACTGCCTTTTCGCTATTTCCTTTATGTCAATTAGAATGCTAATCACCATCGTCTTCTAGGTACCACCATCGGCACCGAGGGCCACACCGGCCGCCACACCGCTGACGACTACTTCAACATCCTGCACGGCGAGCAACTCGCCTACGTCCCCGGATCCTTCGAGCCCGAGAAGTACCCCGCCGGTACAGTCCACCACCTGGTCCGCGGCGAGGTCAAGCAGTACAAGATGGACAGCTCGTGCTTCGCGCTCGAGTACGCCCGTGGCTGGATCCCTCCCATGCTGTTCTTCGGCTACGCCGATACCTTTACTAGCACCCTCGACTTCCCTACTCTGTGGGCGACTACGCGCATTACTGCGCGCGAGATGGTCGGTAACTTGTTGCAGTTCAAGCTGTAAGACAAGGGATGTTATTGCTTCATTGTACGATTCAATTGTGGGAAGATGGGAGGATTACAAAGGATTGTATATTGTAATGGGATTGGAGATTGGGAATAGTGTTGTATACGCTATTTGGATGGCTATATCGACACCGGCACTGGCATTGGCATCGAGAATCTGCAAAGAGTAGAATGGTAGATGGATTCGGCATGAGCTAAAAGTACTTGGATAACCAAGCTAATGAATGTTTACCTTGTAATACTCTCAAATCTTCGCCTTCCCCTTGAAGAAAGCACCAAGCATCCTCGCCGGCTCCGTGACCTCACCCTCTCTCCCCTCAAACGACTCCCCAAACGCCGTCACACCAGCTTGAATCGCCTCATCCAAAGAAACAGTTTCCCACGTCCGCATAAGAGCCTTCTGCCGACGCACAGCCAAAGGCCCATTCTTCTCTAACTGACACACCCACTCCTCCACAGCATCATCCAAAGCCTCCGGCTCAACGACCTTCTCAACAAGACCCCATCTGAAAGCTTCATCGGCGGTGATATTCTCTCCTAGGAGAAGCATTTGCCGTGTCCGACCCCATCCAATCAACCCAGGGAGAAGAGCTGCTTCAACGACACTCGGGATTCCAACTCGAACCTGTTGAATCTGGTATCAGCGATGAACCATCCCTCGCAACAAAGCAAATACAAGAGTATAGCATATCAAAGTGAAAAGCCAACAATGTCACATACCTCGGGCATCCCAAAAACCGCCCCCCGACTCGCAACCCTCACATCACACGAAACAGCCACTTCCAACCCGGCCCCAAGCGCATATCCATTCACCCTCCCAATAACAGGCACGGCACACTCACGGATACTCCTACAAGCCTCGGATACCTTGGATATAAAGCTCCGCGCCGAGGCAGGTGAATCCAGGAATGCCATTTCGGCGATATCCGCGCCGCCGATGAAGGCCTTTGGTCCGGCGCCGGTTAGGATTATGCAGAGGAGGTCATTGTTTTGGGAGGTTAGGGAATGGATTGCTTGGGGGAGCTGGGTGAGGAGGGGCGTGTTGAGGGCGTTTAGTTTCGTGGGTCGAGAGATTGTTAGGTGGGCGATTGTGCCTGTTGCGCGGTGGGTAAGGCGGGTGAGGAGTGACATTGTTATGAAGGGTTTGATTTGATTTGATTCTGGATTATGTTGAATGTGTTCTGGCTACGAGGGTTGCTTGTATTTGCTTGTATTTGCTTGTATATCTGTTGCTAGACCGAAAATCACCGATCTCAAATGCGGGGAAGTGTTTGTAAGATGCCTCGGAGGTTTGGGGCGGAGATGAATATGGGAGGTGAATGGAGATTGAACATGGAGAATCACTATTATTACACTGATGGTGTTTGAAAAGACAGACTCGAGACTTTGTCTTCGAGCTATTACCACCATTTCTATACTCTCCTCAGCCAGATGTGATGTTATCCGACGAATCCACCCAACCTCAACCTCTCTTATACTATTTCATCTAGAATCAAATGAGTCAAGCAAGATGCATATTGTTCGTTACTCATGGCTTAATCATAAGACTGCAAGGAGGGATGCACAAGGCTTTCCCTCTTCACAGAGCTGGAGCCTCCCAAAACTCCCTCTTAATCTTCATCACAGCGGACCGCTTATGCGGAAAGTTCACCTCACCCTCTTTATAGAAGCCAGCGTCCTGAAGATATTGAATAAATCTGGAATCATCATTAGAACCATCGTCCAAGTTGAACCGAAAATCAAATCACATCTGCCAACTTACTTGATATTATCCACCCGGGGCTCCAAATAGACAGCCTCAGTCCGCATATCAGACAAGAAGCAGTGGTGCACCAATGCACTCAACCAAACAGCCACCCGATGAGGTCCTCGGAACTCCTGCTCCCCAACAAGAACATGGATACCCCGGTCATAGTTCTCAACTCGATTCACCAATCGGCCCAGCGGGTCTTCCTTCACCCAGTAGATCTCAAAGTACCCGAATGGCTTTCCATCCCAGCAGCCGATGACGGGGAAACTGTGTCGGCTGGCGAGGTTCTTCATCAAAAATTTCTCCTGAACTTCTCGTTCGCCACCTTCTTTCCACATAGCTTCAACGCGAGGATCATTCATCCATCGATGCAACATCTCCAGGTCGGATGGTGCGCTCGTGCAGAGATGTTGTTCGACGCTGGTGACCGAGGAGCTCACAGTTGTGGTCGGGGTGGATGGCCGACTGCTCGTGTTGGGTCCCTTTGGAGCCCCAGGCTTGGTCATCGGCAAGAAGGGTACTCGGAACGAAAGGAACTGCGCCAAACTTGGGATATGGCGCACGTAGAAGACCTCGCCTTGATGCGGGGGTTTAGAGCGGACGGGATGGCGTACGCCATTAGTGAAGGTATATTGTGTAGGGGCCGGCGGATAGTATGTCGGAAGATGACTCGCCGACGTGAAAGGCCCGGTCGAATTATACGTGCCGATGTTACTTGTATGGAACAAAACCTCTGATGGTGTCAACACGCTCGGACTCGACAGACCATCTCGCACCGGGGATGCATGACGAGATTGGAATGGGGTCAGCGAGGGCGAAGGCGGAGTCCCTCGGGGAGTGAGCGTGAAAAGGAACAGGCGCGGGTCGATTTGCCAGAAACTCCGTCGACTAACGAATATATTGGACCAACTGCCAGAGTCTCTCGTCTCCATAGGCTGAAGCCCGACGGAAGAGTCCTCACTCGCAATCAGACCCATACGCTCAAGCTTCTGCAGCAGGTTCCGACCCTTGAAAATCCCTTCCCGTCTGATGTTCACACGCCACTCGCCCTGCGGTCGTCCATCATGTGGCGTCGAGCTCGAGGCAGCAGTTTCCACATGCAAGTCGGGCTGGGGCTCGTGAAAGTACCACCACAGAGTCGCCCAAAGCATCATCGCAATCTGACGCGTCGGCGACATCACCGGCTTGTAATCGCTGGACGGGGGATTGACAATATAGGAGATATAGAGGCAGTCGCGGTTCAAGGTGGGGGTCGTAAAGCGGGTGAAATTGTCGCTATCGCTGCTACTGGGGGTAGGACGTCCATTTTCAGAGCCAGTCCGTCCTCGTTCTTCGGCAGGAGGCTGCTTCCCAGGGGACTTTTCACTATGGATGATGATTGTCCAGCCTGGTGGGAAGGTCGAGTTGGAGCTGTGCGAGAGCGAGTCGTTCGATTTGAAGGTGACCCCGCCAAAGACGGGCGTCACAGTGAACGAGAGGCCATTGGGCAGGTGGCAGATAGTGTTTCGCATGGTGACTGAGTAACTGTACCAGCTTCACTTTGAGAAGGTGAAGAACTTGCCCTGGGCTACGTAAGGGAGAAGAAAAAGCGGACGCACGAGACCGACTCGCGTTGCTTTTTTACTTTGCCCCTCACTTGCGCGGGGAATCAGGGCAACAGTGCACCAATCGTCTTGTCCAAGCTTAAGAGTATCACCGCGATAGCTAGTGAATGATCGGGCAGCGAAGAGAAACTTGACTCATGGAGGGGAGGGGCAGAGGTAAAAAGAATGGACGACGATGGGGTGACATCGTCGGAGTTGGAGGTGTTGATCTCTATGATGGCGATGACGCACTTTGTCCCGCGATGGGTCAACATCATACCACGAGCCATCCACACCGCGTCTTTTGGTCAGCGATAACATTTTACATCTATTTACTTGGCGTATGATTTGAAAAGGTAAAAAATTATCTACACCGACGAAAGGTTTGTAAATATTCAAACTAGCCAATAAGAAATCCGATATGGTAGCCAAAATAGGGTAAAGCGTATCAAACACAAAAGATCCAGAATAGGGTATACTATTACAAAGGCCATGCAAGATGCAAATCAAAAGTCCTCCACTGTTGTACCCAATCCTCGCTCCCGAGCAAGACGCACGAGATCTCCGCCCGTCACCAAATCCATCAGGCCCAGCCCGACGCTCTTGTAGATGACATTCCCCCGCTCCACCCAATCGCGCAGGCTCTTCTCTTCATCTGCTGATTCCACTGAGTCTGTCTCACTGGCTTTGCGGGCGGCGTGGCGTACCATCATCAGTTCGCCGAGTTCGACGACCTGGTGAGGTTTAATCCCGGCCTGGATGATCTCGCCAGCCTCCTTCATGGCTGCGTCTAGACTGTCCACGACGATAACCCCGCTGCGTCGTGTATGCTTGTGAAAGTGACGGTGGGGCGGCGTGACATTGACCTCGTCTCGGAGGATATCGGGGTGGATTTCACTCATATGTTTCTTGTAAGAGCCCACGGCACAGATGAAACGACCTTTCTGGCGTCCCTCTCGAGAGGTCAAAAACTCTGCTGGGAAGAGAGATGTAGAGGACGGGGTACAGCAGAAGATAGCATCGGTTTTGCGAACATGCTCCTTCAAAATGCGGTTGTATTCGCCAAAGTCACTGCTCATGGCCGAGAACTTTACATCGCGGCGCCACTCCGTGTTCTCAGGCAAGTAGATATTGCGGAGGAGCTCAGCAGCACGCTCGAAGGAGCGGTTGACAATGTAAACGCGCCGGATCTCATTGCCACGCAGAATAAGAGCCAGTCGGATGTGCCAGTATGCTTGGGTACCAGCCCCAAACACCAGTAGAGTTCGCACCTTCTTGCGCTTGTTGAAAAGCATCAGTGATGCCAGCGCAGTGCGGAAGGCCGTTAATTCGTGAGCATTGATCAACCCGAATGGAAGTGAATCTGCATCCAGGAGAGTCACGCTTCCTCTAGGTGAGGTGTCGCGAGTGCCCGCCCCCGGCCAGGCCCCCAGGGTTGCTGATACCTTTCCCGTGACTGGTAGCTGATTCACGCAGCCAGTCAGAAGCGTCGAACTATCAGCGCTGTCGGCCCCGCCACTGCTTGCCGTGGTGACGGAGGGGCTGATCGAGCTATCATCCTCATGGGACGACCCGACAGACAAATCGCTCATCTCCGACGAGAGAGAGGCCACTGAGTTTCGCACAGAGCCTCCTCGGGATCGAGAAGATGTCGGCTCGCCCTCGGGGATGTCGAAACCCGCACGCTCTACGGCACACCCCGCGGTGCCACCGTCCTGCAGGGAGATCATCTTGATCCCCAGCGTCTTACCCGTGGTAGCGGGCATGAAGAGTGTGGTGCAACCATTTGAGCGAGTAATTGCAGTTCGCTGCGGCTGATAGGTAGCTGAGCAACCCTGATCCTGGGAGCCGGTGGAGTATTCTCGGAGCGCTTCAGAGAGGCTCCGTTGGAGTTCGAGGATCTCTTCCCGGGTGAGAGAGAGCAGCAGCTTCCGAAGCTGCGATTGGGAGAGGATGGTGAGCGGCATATGGACGGTTCAGAGTTCGAGGCACTCAGTTGATGAGGGAGGGAGTGAGTGATAGAGTGAATGGAAAAGGAAAGATAAGGCTAGACACGTTTAGCCTGGTTATCTGTGATTCGACCCTGCGATTCAACACAATAATCCAGGGCCGCGCATTCGCCAAGATCCAAGTGAGACCAATTTCAGCACGCCAAGGTTAGTAGCCGGGCAAAAGGTGTGGGAAAAGTCTCCAATGTAAATCAGCTTGGGTCCAATCTCGAGGCCTACGAAATCTCCGAAGATGACGACAGGCGGGACTTGCAAGGTGGGGGAGCGGGGGTGATCAACAGCGATCAGACTCGTTAGATGTGTGCCCGGTGCTCCAGCTGTGCAGTGCCCAGAAGATAAATGATACTTCCGGGATGTGGTGTACGATCAGAAGAAAAATGGTATCAGCATGGGAGGCAAATCCAAATGTGAAAAAAGCAAAACAAGCAGATGATCGGCTCTCGTTGGCAGCGACCGATGGAGTCGGATGGACCAATCCTGCCCGAAAACGGCGTGGCTTAATGCGGGCGGCCAGTGGGCGTCTGCCGATCCGGAGCCTTGCTGCCTCAGGCCATACAGCCCTAAGCACTCTGTAGTCTAGTAACTGATCTTTGTAGCCAAGTGTTCCCCTTACTGATCCGGAGTTTGCTTTTTATCTCTTCCGAGTGATCTAGAACGAATCATTGGGGGCTTTGCTCATGCCCGAATAGACATTGGAACTAAGCTTGCGACATACCTGGATGATTTTGATTTTGAAGCTCTATCGGAGGATTCCATCCCTGGACTACTATGAAGACGGGAATTGCTTAAGTATAGTCCATTGCTTAACAAACTGGCTTTCTGTAATTACCTTTAGCGTCTTCAATTGTATCACAAATAGCCGGAAATAATGACATCCCTCAGCTACCATGAGTACTCAGGCTCCAGGGTGGAATCCAGGATCACTCAGACAACGAGTGGAGATAGTAGAATGAAACAGATCATTTCGAGTTCGATAGCTAGAAACATAGTAAATGGGGCGCTCAAAATGGCGTCAAGAGGGGCATATCTTGGTGACAAATATATCTTCATCTAGCTTGAGAGTATAACATACAAGTGACTGATGTTCTGTTAGCGAGCATGTCCATGGATTGAGGTATACGTCATGTTTGTCCAGAGTTAAGCCTCCACGAACAGCCCACCTAATATGACAAATAAATTTAAGTGAAGGAGGTTGAGATATTCTTGACACTGTGGCCTGCTTGTAAGTTGATGTTGTTAATTAGGGTACTTCAAAGAAAGAATCAGAGGTAGATGCTCAATAATCGTGATCTGATGGCCTATTTTGTGCTCTAAAATGTTGATAATAACTCAGACTTTGCGTATTATACCCTTATGTTGACCACACGGACACCATGTACCATGAGACTACCATAGAGTTAACCTTTCTCCAAAGGCTCAGATGCTTATGATGAACCGTAACATGCATGCCTACCATACAGTAGATTGATTGAGACCCTCCTGTCTCATCTGATGCTCGTGTTTCTATACCAGACGGAATCGGGGGTTTCAATATCTTTAATCCTTGCTAATACAGGACAAGACCACTCCATATCCAACCTTCTCTGGTAATTTCTTCAACTGTTCAGGCCGAACCCTCTCACCTTTCAGGTTACAGAGCAAATCCTCATATCACGTTCAACTAATCTTCTATTTTCTATCTCCAACTGAGATTCCGATCCGGCCATCGCCAAACCTATTTTTCTTTTCTCTTTTCTTTTTCAACCCACACCTCACTAGGAAACCTCACTTCCAAATCGCTCATATTTGGAAACATCATCACACCTACAGCCAACCTCCACAAAAGGTTTGACACAAGCAAAGAACTATCCGGTATACTCTCGCCACTTCAATACTTACCACTGGGAGGTTTCAGCTCTTTTTCGACTTTCCTCACGGGACGCCCTGCCTCACCCTAAACCACATATCCTCATGAGTGAATCACTTCGATCCCTTTATCACCTGGTCTCTTTATATCTGGTACGTCTTTGGCTTGCAGCTGTTCATCTTTGGATAGGATATCGTTTCATCCGAAATTTCGGGTCCCCTTACTGTTTCCGACATGCTAACTTTCTTGACTTCAAAGCGTGACAAAATGTCTTCAACCATCGTCCCTCCCAAGCCCACCCAATATACACCTGCCGCTACAATGCCAGAATCTAGCAAAGAAGAAACCTTCCAGGAGCCTATTCAGGAAGCACTGGCTCCAGTCCTGTAGGTGCTCTTGGGACCCCAGCCGACAGATTTTGAGATTCATGCGAACGAGCGCGTAATCAAAGATCTGACCAAAGAGCCTACTAAGCGGAACAAGACAATTGGCGCCACGGTCCCGGTCACCAAAGAGATGACACCAGAGGATCGAAAAGCCCTTGCCAAAACTCTGGCCAGAGAATTTGATAACTTTCTGGAGACTCAAGTTTTATATGAGCCGGATGATATTTCACATGTTCCACTCAAGAAAGACGCTGGACCTCAGACTGAAGGTAGTGGAGCTGCCAGTTATCAAGCTGTCTTTGCGACGAAGCAACGCAATCCGCTGGACCAACAGCTTACTGTTGGCGAGGCTTGGAATCAAGCGAGACCCAGTATCCCGTCTGCCTATCCTGGACCCGGGACATGCTTCTGGCTTTCAGCCATTTGCTTTGAGACCTTGGCAGGCAACAGGTGTACAGTGGATGTTCTCTCAAGAGTCGGAGCTGATTCGAGGAGGAATTGTCGCTGACGCTTGCGGCATGGGGAAGACCCCAACGGCTTTGACGTTGATCTTTCTCGACGCCAAGCGTCGGAGTGAAGACCCAAATGCCGTTTTCCGACCAAACCTGATTGTCGTTCCTAGCATGATATTCTATGTCTGGTTTGATGAGATCAAGTCACGGTTTGGCGACGCCATTGAGCTTAATCTCTTTTATGGATGGAAGGAGATTCTACCAGAATTTGAATCGGATCCCAAATTCCTTCTTGGTGTCGATGAGAGAGAGATTGATAGGCTGGCGCGGGCAGTTGCTGCACTGGATCCCAAGCGCCCTCATACAGCATTTACTGTATTCCTCACGACCTACAACACCTGGCGAATGTGCCAATATGAGACAGAGCGTGGAACGCTGCTTCTGAGCGAAACTGTACGAATCACATTCATAGATACTGCTAACTATTAGAAACCACTAAAAAAACACTTTCTTTGCTGACAATCCCTTCCCAGAGAGGAGTTGATTGGCCAACCAAGGACCAGTTCCGCAAGGGCAGTGAGAAGTACAAACCTCGAAGAGAGGCTTTCTACAGGCAAAACGAAAAAATTGATAGACGGGGAGAAGGAAGCCCGCGTAAGAGAACGCTGGAGGGAGATATTCTGGGCGGTCTGTGACATTCACTGGGGCCGGATCATTTGCGATTCAGGGAGCTACATGAAGTCACCATCTGCTCAGCGACATCAAGCGATTGCCGGGCTTGAGCGAGAAACCACGTGGTTGCTTGAGGCTGCACCAATCCGCAACCACCTTTCGGACATCTCGGGTTACCTGAACATCCTCTCCAGGTTCATCCCTGAATGCAAGAAAGACGAGCATGGTCGCTTCATCCTTCCTGTGCCCCCAGGATTTGGAGAGGGGGAAGGGTTTGAAAGTGATATTGATGCTACCAGCAATGGTCTGAACTCCGCAAAATGCCACCACAAAGGCGCCCTTGGGGTCTCTTTTCACGGAGAGTGATAGAAAGAATCATCGGAAAGGGTCCCATTCATGCTGAAATTGGATATAACATGCTTCCAATCGTTCATCGTCTGTCTCAACTCCGGCGCAACATGGGAGATGTGATTCACGACGACAATGGCCAAATCTATAGGGTGGGAGAAGAGACCCCACCCTTGCGAGTGATGACCATCGAGCTTCAATACAGCAACGAGGATCAGACTTATCACAACAAGATTTACGAATGCATGATCAACGGATTCAGCAAGTCGGAACTTTCAGAAACAGGTGACACTATTCTGGATGCTGAGGAAGCCGGTCTTCAGGACATAAAGAAGCATCGGAGCCGTCGCCGTCTCAGTCTCCTCGCCTTCAGCCCCTCACTCGATAAATTCATCCGAAAGCTTGCCAGCAAGGAAGAACTGGGACGGAAGATGAAGGGACTGCTGTCTGGAGTAGACCGGGGTTCAGCGTTTTTTGGGCCGCGACATGTGGTGAAGATAGCACAAAGACAATTCCCGCGACCCGGGCTGCCCAAGTGACAAACCTGGCAAAAGATTGCCCTCGGCTCCGCTACCTTGTACGAATCCTCCACAGTATGGGAGTATTCGACAACCCGGCTCCAGAATTGACTCCTGAAAGTCTGCCTCGTTCCTCATCCTCTGTCGGTGGCCATTATCAGCATGGCTTGAGGAAATGTTCCTGGTCGCTATGGGAATCAAATACCGAAGGATTCACCCAGGATTGTTTCCACAGGATCGTGTGGATATTGTGGCTTCATTCAACTCTCCGGAATCTGAGGCTAGAGTGCTACTGACTACTTACAGTTGTGGCTCTCTCGGTCTTAATGACCATCGTGGTTTCAGTAACTTGGTGCTAATGGAGCCGGACCAAAATATCAATGGTCAGTTCCAAGCTATTGACCGGATTCACAGGATTGGATAGAGGCAGCCTCAACGTGTATGGATCTTGTTCATGGAACATACCATTAATCAGTATATCGACTACAAAAACTTCGAAAAGATCCTCCCTCAAATTGCAGGCGAGCAGCATCAAAAATTTGCCCCAAAGCTAGAGGAGCTACGAAAAGGTCGTGCCTTGGACCTAGGCCTTGGCGGTGCTGTCACTGCTGCAGACTTGGCAGAGGCTCTTAAAGCCCAACGACTGGAAGATATCAAGTCCCTGGCCTATGAATATCTTTGCCGTCCTGACAAGCTTGGAATCGACCCAGGATGTGCCGCACGCGACTCACGATTCGGGAATTTGCACGACCTAGATACAGAGGATACGGAGTGCCCCTTGGATCATAGCACCTACGCAAGGTCTCGTCGCAGGCCCGTCAATGCAGTCATTCGGGCAAAAAAGAGTGAGAAGGATCGCGAAACCAACCAAGAGCACAAGGCTAAATGAGAGGGCAAGGCCAATAAAAAACATAAGTTGGACAAGACCCTCGGTGACGAGGGCCCAGCATTGAAACGTTTGAAGCTCAAACTCTACAAGCGGAAATTGTTGGAATTGTATCTGGCAAACGAAGGGAGCTTAACCGGCTCTCCATCGGCATCTCCACCCGAAGCCTCGGACTCCCGCTCCGACGATCCCTTGCACCTGCCTCCAATTTAGACGGTTCACCATTCTCCCAACTCACACACTTGCACACGACCAATCTCCCCCGAAAAACACACCAATTAACATACTCCATATTGCGCAATGTCATATTCAGAGCCGATCGTAGCGTTCATTGGATGTGGTCAGTCATTAAATCCCCAATCAAGCCCGCAATTGACGGTTGACTCATCACTACCCTCAGGAAACATGGGAGGCGCCATTCTACATGGCGTACTCGATGCCGCATTCTCAAGCAAAGCTTCAGACTTCATTAAGAGAAGACCAGTATCCAGGTTCATTGCTTGCACAAAGACAGCCCCTTCGGCGGATCGGCTGAGAGCTTCCATTCCGACGGAGCAGCAGCCTCATATCCAAGTGATGTCTTCCCAGGCTGTGCCTGTTCAGGTCATGAATCATGCAGATATTGTCGTGCTCGGCTTCAAGCCATTCATGGCCGAGGATGTTCTCAGTGCTGAAGGTGTGAGAGAAGCGCTTGCTGGAAAGCTGGTTATCAGTCTATTAGCCGGACAGACACCCCAGAACCTGGCCAGGATTATTCGTGAGGGTTCGACAGATTTAAACGGAGTCAACTCTACGAACCCAGTCATTGTCAAGGCTATTCCGAACATGGGCGCGCAGTTCCGTCAGTCGGTTACTATTATCGAGACACCTGATGAGCCAATTCCCGAGCATATGACTGAGGTAGTGGAGTGGATGTTCAAGCAAGTTGGTGAGATCAAGTACCTTCCCCAGAGCCAGATGGATCTTGGCTCTGTGCTTGTTGGTGCGGCGCTCGCAGCTATGACTGTACCTATCGAAGGCATCCTGGATGGATGTGTGGCCGAAGGACTGAAGCGAAATGACGCGATGGAAATGCTTCTGGGGGGTTTACGGGGACTCTCTGCCGCTTTGGAGTCTGGTATCCATCCCGCAGTTCTTCGTGAGAGCATCTCGTCCCCGAGGGGATGCACAATTCAAGCCCTTTTGACGCTAGAGAAGGCTGGAAGCCGGGCAGACTACGCGGAAGCCATCATCAATGGCACGCAGCACTTGAAGAAGGCAGATAAATAGACGTGGTTATAGAGGCGTGAATATAGAAATTTGAATTTATTTCAAAGGAAATATATCGTGCACCCAAGGGTATGGGAAATAATGAAGCAAGAATTGCCGCCAACGCCAACTAAACCACACAAGTAGATGTTGTCAAAATGTTGATCATCCCCACACGTCATTGTCATCCTTCACCAAATCATCTTCATTCAAAACTCGGAGGCCGTTCTCGCGCTCCTCGCGCCTGCGCTCGCGCTTGGTCACCATTCGTCCAGGCGTGAATGGGGTTACCGGCGTGAACGGCATATAAGCACTGTAAGGAGTGGGCATGCCAGTGACAGGCCCGTTACGATTCTTCGTTGGACGCTCCAAAATGGTGGTCTTCGTTGCCGGTGCGCTCTGCAGTGGGTATGCATCACGGAATGGCAGATTGGAAGGAGGCTGGCCAGCAGTAGAGAGATTTAGGGGTGTTGGTGGTGCTCGGGTGCGGGTAGTAGGAGGAGGTACGAGCTGTGCAACAGCGGGCCCTGCGCGAGGAGCTGTTGGAGGTGGCCCTGGGTTGTAAAACCGAGGAGACAGGGGTGCTTGATCTTGAGCATAGGACCGAGATGCATGCAGATCTGGCGAGGCAAGTGGGGATGAAATGCCCAATTTGCGAACGGGGAATCGCGGAGAGCGTAGCTTACCCCCGTCCGGGTTTGAGTTTGATTTGGAGCTGAAGAGCTTGGAAAGACGAGAGCCGTTCGACTTTGGAGACTTCAATGGCTCTCTGTACGAAGGCTCCATAGACTGCGATGCATGTCGATCGGTAAAAGGGTTTGTATATTGGCTGTCAGGGGAGTTGGCCTGAGAATCCGCGTCCCTTGAGGAGATATTTACTCCCGAGGCCTTTTGAGCATCATGTTCCATGACTGCTGCATACAGCATTTCCATTTGGTCCTGAGCTCGCTGGCGGTCTAAGGCTACGACCGATTCGTCGATAGTGACCATACTACCGTTGACAGAGGTCTGCGAAGGTCGACCTCCTCGAGGAATACTGCCCCACGAAGAGGTGAAACCACCAGCTGTTGGGCTGGGAATATTCTGCGACATTGGAGAAATAGGGCTGGGATCTATGCTCTTCGCTGGCTGCAGCATTTCCATCTGCAGGGAGTAGTTGGATGACTGAACCGTCCGACGAATTCTGCGTCCGACAAACAGTAGCAGAGCGAGGAGGGTTGCGACAAAGATCAAGTAGGCACCGGCAATGCTGCCAATCTGGATTCCGAGTAGTGACTTATCCACAGGAGGGCGATTTGTAGAACGTTCAAAGTGCTCTGTACTTGACCCAGAAACCACGACTGTTTGAAGAACAAGAAGATAAAACACAGAAAGAAAAGGAGAAGAAAAAGCAACCCGGCAGAGAGGCATTTCCGGCACCTGTTTTGTGACCAGAAGATCAATCACGGCGGGGAAGAAAACGGAGAGAGTTCAATCCAATCTTAAGTGCAGCGTGCAGTCACCTTGGGCCGATCGACATGTCGAAGCGGTGATATCGTCGAATCTGGTGCGAGCGAGTGGCACATTGTGTTTCCAGAAGTGACGGGGCGGCAGAGCGGGGATAGGATCGGTATAAAACATTGTGAGCCACCAGGTGTGATGATGTGAAGAGAGTGTCGGGGCTGCAGGTGAAGCATTCGCCTGTTGAGGCCCGTCGAGGCCTGTCGTTGGTCGCCAGTAAGCGCCCGCATGCACCATCATCACCAACGGGCGGCCAGTCAGAAGGCGAGATGGGTGTCTCCACAGTGATATCTTGGCATCCAGGGGACCAAGCACCAGCCAATCAAAATGGAGAGAAGTAGAGAATATGAGATCCAATGATAGTTGTTGATGTCGTCAATACCCCAGACAAGAATAGGACTGGAGATTTGGAGTTGGTGGAGATGTCGGAATAGAGTCAATCACGTGCCCTGTATACTTCGAGCATCGCACCTTCCTTCTACAACGCACCTTCCAGCTCTATCCATTGAGAGTACCCATGATCATCCACCCTCTTGTTCTTCCCTCTTCTTTCTTCCTTCTAACATGACCATCTTCATCTCTCAATCTCCCAATCAATCATGGGCCACAAATTCTCCGTCGTCAAGGGTGTCAAGTCAGGGAATTTCTACGAGCAAGGAAACGCCATCAACGAAATTTGGGTAGGAGATTTTGAGCTCATCTCCAGACTTCCCTTTGGTGATTCCGACATTGGCCAGGCTGGCTGGCCCCCAGGCAATTGGCCCAAGATTCCCTGGCATCAATTTATCATCCCTCTGAAACGAGGTCTCAACACAGTCAAGTGCAGCAGCCTCGAGTGCCGTTCCAACCTAATTGGAAAGCCTTTGGCAACTTACGAAGACCCACTTCTCTTGACATACCTCGGACTTCTGCTGTTGCTCCTGCTTGGGGGTGTTCTCGGCATCGTCTCCCTGGTATTGAAATACAGAAGATCTCGTTCGTCGCGTCTTCAGTACTTGGCAACGGAGAAGGCACACGCCGCTTCGCTTGCATGAACATCGGAACCGTTTCGCCTGTCCGACTGCGAAGTTGATTTGAGACCCGTGCGAAACTCTCGGAAAGAAATCGGAAATTATTCAAAGACGAAGAAGACTTCTTCACGGAGTCTGGTTTCATTTCTGCTGGCAACTCCACCTACACACTCGTTTTTGCGCATCATCCATCACAGCACTCATCTCCAGCGAAACGAACTCTTTCACGCCGGATCAGACTTTCGTGCATTGCTTCACTCAACCTAAGTTCGCCACGGCCAACACTGAAGCCATGACAACCTCTCATCTCGCTGAACCACGTCGGAGCGCATGTTGTCGGGGTGCATATGCTTTTTTTACTCTCTGGAGATTGGATTATCTCGATAAGTTTCTCATTGGTTTCTGCATAACTATGATTGGGTGCAATATCATAGACATCATCTGGGATTTGGAGCGGCATCGAAATCTTGGCGAAAGGACTGTGGGTGCAGATCGCCCCCATACTCACGTCAGGGCGATCCGTCTTTGGCTTGCGTTTGGATCCATAGTGATGTTCGTGGCATGCGAATTTGCCAGCTTCCTCATTCTTTGGCTAGGGGCCCCCTTTCCGTCATCTGAGATTCACGAGCTCGTCGCCGAACTCTTGGTGACTTTCACTCGCGGGATGATTCCGATGTGTTTGGGCATGTCGAGCATCATCCACTTTTTTCTGTTGGTTGAGGTATACCAGAGGATCCGCGCACTAACTTCAACTCACAGGCGTCAAGACTTGGAGGGTATCGGTAGTGAGAAGAGGGATTGACACAACATTCCGGTCGTGATGATTGAGGGATTGTGTTGTTGCTCAGAACTGTCATGGGAAGCTCGGCTTGAGAGAACATTGGTATGAGTGAAGTTCGTGTCATTGCGGTTCATGCTATATTTCATCTTGGCCTCCAGGAGGAAAGGGGGCTCTCAAGCATATCATACAAACAGCACCTGTTTCAATGCCCCCCCTGTTTCAATCCTGTTCTATATTCTTATCCCTTTTTAGAGAACAAGTCTCTCCAAAGCTCCTTCATTCCATACCCATTCTCTTTATCCTCCTCGGAGACATGCACCGACTGGGCCGTGCCGAGTGACCCAAGCATGCTCGACTTTGGCGGAGGCACGGATACTGACGGACGTGCACGCTCCGATGCACGTCGTCGTATCTCCTCCGCGAGTTGTGGGGCAACATCAGCAAAGCAGGACTTGAGTTCGCGGTCGAGATTGACATATGGCTTTTGAGCCGAGCGCGGCGCTTGTAGATTGTATGAGCGGGCAATTGTGTTGAGTTGCTTCACAGCAAGCTCATGGTATGAGCGTTCAATGGCCATATAACTTTCATCGCGCAGCGGTGGAAGATGGAGTGTATCCTCCACCTGCTCCGTAACAGGTTCGACTGGGGTCTCTGGTAATGCAGACCTCGACACAATCCGTCCATCAGCAGAGATCTCCGAAACCGTATCTCCACTCTTACTATCCCGAAGTGCAGCTTCTATTTTCGCTTTCTCAGCTAAGCGTGCTTCAGCCGCCGCATACCCCCTAGCTCGCTGCATCTGCACTTCCAGAGACCCGCCCTGGCTAGCAATCAACCGTGCAGCATGTCTCCTCCACTCCGTACGTATCCGCTGTCGAAACCGATTCAACTCCGAAGCAAGTTCCTGCTGCTTTTCAATCCACGGCGGGACAATATCCTGTTTCTGGATAATCTTATTCATAAAGTACTCCGTCGTATCGATGAAAGCACTATTCGCATTATGATCCGTCTCGGTATTAACACCCTTCCCACGCTTGATTTTCTCAAATTGGCCTCGCGCAATGGCATCTTCGATCCGCTCGTTGGCGAGAGATGCCAGACCCTGAATAGATATGGGCATGGCGTGTGCGCCGGGCATCAATTTCTCTCTCATTTCTCGTCGCATAGTCGCACGCTGGTCTTCGGAGAGACCCGGGTCTTGGCTAAGTGCGTATTTAGAGGTGCGTTCCTTTGCGGCAGCGAGACGGGCTCCGGTGGAATGCTTGGGTTTGGCGGTTGGTTGGAGGTTCACGGGTTGCGGGATCTTGTATGCGGTTCGGATTGGTTTGCTGGCGTCGTCGAGCATGCGGAGGGCTGAGTCGTGGAGGGTTTCTGTGCCTGTCCATGCTTGAGCTGCGGCTGTATCGCGCGTTCCTTGACCCGCGCTGGACTATAGATTTGGGAGAGGGAGATTAGTTGTATAGATCGGAGCATGGGTTCGGACGCAAGGAAGAGCTTACCGGCATATCGAGAATCGAGTGTGCAGCTGCATGTTCACTCTTGAATGAGGCTGCCTTGACTCGTTCCTCCAGCTGTCTCTTCAAATCTTCTGAGAATCCCGCGTGCTCGATATTGTGGAGCGCTGATCGGCCACCTTCCAGGATCGCATCCTCGGTCATCTGTGACAAGCGGCGAGCCATGGCACCTTCTTCCTTTTCTTCTTTTGGTGCGGCCTCATCCTTGCGCTTTTCTTCCGTTTGCGCGGAGGAAGACGCCGTATTTTGTTGTCTTCGTTGACATGACGCCGAGAAGCACCTGGCTGCGGGAGCTGCACCTCTCGATGCACGTCCAAGCACTCGACAGGATTGAGTGCTCCAAATCTGTGGCCCTGGCATACCAACAACCTTTCACTTAACACCCAGTAAGCTCCTTGACGATGAAAAACAGATTGCCTTGAGTGTAGATAAGAAACAAGTTCCCAAGTGGCAAGCTGCTCAACACACCATCGGCCCCGGAATCCAAGCTGCTTATGTCATCCACCTCCGCGGAGCCCAAAACTTCCAAGTGGATTTTGATGCGCATCTCTCCATTGCAGGCGCGCCAATCTCGATTGCTGTCCACGGAGCTCTTCGCAGCATTTCGACCCGTTCCTTTTCCTATTGTTTCAACGCAGTTCCTTTGGACTGTCCACCTCCTTCATCATGGTTTCCAAGGGCAACGTTACAACCCGGTTGAACCCGCTCCGTCTGAACACCATCAACCACCTCCGTGTCCGCCGGCCGAATCAACATGAGCAGAATGCTTGCGTTACTGTGATGTCTTCAATGCTGAGTATGTCCTTCCTTGGATTTGGAGAACAGAGCTTGTGTGGTTTCCACGATGCGTGGTAGCCAGGTCTGCACAGCACCCGACGAGCAGCCAAAACAGCTCCCGAATTCTTCGCATCGAATCCCTTACTAACCTAACCCTCTTTCACTGCAAATAGACTGCTGGGCCTCCCAGGGATACGGCCACGAGGGCTGTGCCGCCCTCGAGGCGCAATTGCGCAAGTGCATGGACGCACCGGTACGTCTCCTCTCATCTGGTCTCAGCCATCATCCCCATCCCTCCACCTATATTATTTGAGAACACCCACTGACATCACGGTGCAATGTACAGAAATCGCAAGAAAAGAAGAAGAACACCGTCAACTACCACCTGATGAGAATGTACCCCAAGGTCGTGGGTCCGCGCAAGAAGGATGGTGTTCTGGGTTAAATTATTGTCGGGTTCCAACATGGGGCCATTTATCGAATGGGAGTTTTGGGGATCACACACATCTTGTAATGGTCAGAATCCAGGCCAGCGTCAGTGTCAGTGTCAAACACACGAGTCTTGATACTGGCATAGACGGGACTGGACTGGAGACGACCATGTTGTCTGAAGTGATACGGGAGTTGGTCTTGTTTTTTACGCATCTGTACAGTACTTATACCTACGTGGAATATGGCATTGCCTTTGAAAAGAATTGATTGTATCATTATTTCAACATTCTGGAAGGCTGTATCGTGGACACTTCACTAAATCTGCTTATTACTAGACTTTCTGGAACTTCAGGATTAGTTTCTCTCCTCGGGGGTGAACGGTGTAAGCATCAATAGCTTCGATATCATCATCGTTGACGATGGTCGTGCGGAAGTTAGAGTAAATTGCCGCGGCGACGAGTTTCGTTTCTATTGATCCCATTAGCATGTCACTCGTATCCCTTTGGATTGTCTCTTGGAACCATACCTTGAAGCGCGAGATTACTTCCCACACACATCCGCCCTCCACTTCCAAACGCCCAGAACCACCGTCGTCGCTCTTCAAGCTCTTCCAACGAATTCTCCTCTTTAAGCCAGCGCTTCGGCTGCCATGACTCCGGATCCGGGAAGACCTGCGGATTACGATGCAGCGAGTAAGCCTGCGCATTGACGCGAATGTTTCCAGGGATATTATCGTAACCAGCCAGACTGCACGAGGGCTCGGGCGTGACTCGAGGTTGAATACCCGGAATCGGAGCGTGAAGACGGAGTGTCTCCGTGACGATGGCTTCCAGCAAGGGCAAGTTATCAATGGACTTTGCAGGTGGCAATTCCGAGGACTCCGGGAAGAGAATCGGAGAGTCTAGAGTGAGCAGTTCCTCGCGGAGTTGTTCTTGGATCTCTGGGTGTCGGGATAGTTGCCAGAGGAGGTATGTCAGCCCCACAGCGCTGGTTTCAAAGCCCGCGGTGAGTTGGTCGTACATCTCGCACGCGATTTCGTTCAACTGCTGGGCCCGGTCTGGCTTGACGCCTTCCTTGGCAGCTTGTTTATCCAAGCTCTGCTTTAGTTGTTTGTAGACAATGGGTTCCACGGATGGATCGGTCGAGTTCATTGATTGTTCTGCTTTGCCGCAGAGATCTAGAGCCCAGGCGTCGAGCATGTCGTTGGCTGAGTCGCAGTATTTGGGGATGACACGCAGACCCAGACACTTCATCCATCCATTCAGGTACGGCATCTCCTGGTGATAGAACTCGAATGGTTTCCGGCACAGGTACATATGAAGCCAGTGCTTCCGAAATGAATGATCTTGGAGGTGGTTGGTGCCATTCTGCAGACCAAAGAGGTAGCAAGAGACAAAGTCCATAGTCAATCCCTGGTTTAAGTCATGCACATCCAGAGGCTTATCCGAATCTGCAGCCTCTTGCAGGATTGGCAGCAGACGATCCAGGATGACTGCTTTGGAGACAACCCGTAGATTGGGAGATGTCTGCAGCGTTGACTTGGAGTAGATATTGGATAGCATCCTCTTTCGGATGGAATGGGTCTTGCTTCCAACCATAGTGAACATACTCACAGTGCTATCATATCAACATGTTAATTAAATTCCATTCCCGATAACTCAACACAAGACCAACTCACCCCAGCGACCCAAAAACTCTCGGATACCATTCATGTTTCTCAAATCCGCCTGTATAGACAGACTTGATCCCGCCATCAACGCAATTAATCGAAATCTCAGAGGGACCCAATCTCACAATCGGTCCAAGTCTCTCATGCGCAGCCTGAATAGTCCGATTGTTCTGCATCCGAAAACGCCTCCATAGCATCCACACCGGAGAAATAGGCACACTCCAATGAGCATTTGGAATCTTAGCCAGCGGTGAGATGAAAGCAGGGTAAATAATGGCCTTGTATATCACCGCAGCCACGATGGCAACGGCCACCAGGGAAGTCATTGATATAGCCATATTGCAGAATCAGGTGTGCTGGTACAGACCGTCCATGCTCTGTCCGATCCGTTTCGTGTGAAACCTGGATGGTAAGGAACCCCCCGGGACTCTTTATAAGTCCAGACTGGAGAGATTAGCGGGTTTAGGTAATTGAATTGCCAGACCCCGCGTGAGGAGAGAAGGTGTGGGCAATCGGCCCAGTGCCGAACTAGAGAAAGTGTACGCCGGGTGGATCGGACGATGATGAAATTATCCAATCAGATAAGCGCGATTACTGACCGACCCCGTAATCTCGATAAGACCGATAAGAAAGTGAGAAAATGACATAATCGGCGAGTCGGGGGTGGCCGGGATGCACAGTTGATACGGTAAACAAACACGTGTACAGAGTCCTCGAATCATATAAATGACATTCGCATTGAGAAGAAACTATAGACGCATGAGTTTTGGGATTTTTGAATACACTAGAAGAGACAGGTGCGTATGCACGTGAGACACAGCGCAGAGACCAGCTAGCTACGTGCGCGGAGACAAAAAATAAGAGAGAATCCTAAAGTGGATCGGTAGTTGAGTTGGGGCGAAGGAAACGGGGATGACGAGTATTCACAACAAGAGTTCCTCCGATTTCGAAGATATGTATAGCACAACTTAGTTGACGTGGTTGCCGAAGAAACCACCAACTCCCTCACCGACATCGTCGGGGTAGACATAGAATGCCAGAGCAAGAATGAGGTACCTATAAGACAATCGGTTAGATCACGACCATGAGTGCAAGGAGACGAAAGGTGAAAGACATACATTCCCAGGCACATGCCACCCTCCAGATAGTTGGACTTTCCATCCTGAATCAAGAGGGTCACGACCAGGCCAGAAATGAAGAACGCGACGGTCTCAAAGGTCTGGAAGTGAAGAGTCATCTCGATACCCATGATCCAGCCCAGGATGACCAGGAAGGGAGTGACGAAAAGGGCAATCTGCAAGCTGCTACCAATTGCGACGCCAATCGCCAGATCCATCTTATCCTTGTATGCAACCACCACCGCAGTAACGTGCTCGGCAGCATTGCCAACGATAGGAATCAGCACCAGACCAATAAAGGTCTTGCTCATGCCGGTCTTTTCCACGATGCTGTCAATGCTGCCAACCAGGTAATCAGCACAGATGGCCACCAGGATAGTCACGATGATCAGAGCCACAGTGGCAGCCACGGGGTTCAGCAGACGCTCCTCCTCTTCCTCGCCCTCGGCACCCTCGGCACCCTCGGCAGTCTCGGCATCGTTGGACTCCTCGAAGAGATAGGCGTGGGAGTGGAGCTGGAAGTAGAGGTACATCACGTAAATGATGAGCAGGATGATCGAGGTACCGTGGGAGAGGATCAAGATATTGTCCTGTGCGCTTTGCTTGGAGTGGGACAGGGCCGCGTAGAGAGTGGCCGGGATAATCAACGAGGCGGAAGCCACGGCCATCAGGGAGGACATGGTGGAGGCCACGGTAGAGTTGAAGGACTGCTCGCGGTGACGGATACCGCCCACCAGGAAGCAGCAGCCCAGAACCAAAAGGATATTGGAGAGGATACTACCCAGCATACTGGCCTGGACGACACGGATCTGTTTGTCCTTGAGAGCAATGATACTGACCTATAACAGTATCCAAATGATCAGTATTTCCTTCAACGACAAGTCCTCCACAACGAATCGAATACACTTACAATCAACTCAACAGCATTACCAAAAGTAGCATTCATCAGACCACCCAACGCCTGACCCATCGTCGCAGCCAACTCCTCCGTCGCAAAGCTCAGCAGGGAGGCAAGCGGAATGATAGCAAAGAAATTGAGAACAAAGATAGCGCTCGGATCCCAACCGAGGGCTCCCGCGATGATACCCAAAGGAACAAAGACCAACAGAATATTCACATAATCGCGGACCAGAGTCAACCAGGTCAAACGCACGACATGCAGCGGCCAACGCACCCAGGCACGATTATCCTTGGGGTGATGGTGGTGACCACCATGCTCGGTCTGCTCATGGGGCGCCAGGCCCGAGAACGAAGAAGAATGTCCAATATGGCCCAACAACGCGGTCCGCTCACCAGCCTCAACACGGCCATTGCTGGAGGAACTCATTTTCCTAGTGGGACCGAAGCTATAGCTCCGCACCTGCGAGCGAAACCCAACGGAAGCTAAAAAGTGGAAAGACGGGGAGGCAAGTGTCAGTGAGATGTGTAACGGGCCAGTTGTCGGTTACGCAGGCTCATTAGAGGAGGAGTCTCGTTGTCGGGAAGGGGCGGAAGGGGATTTGTTGGTTGGTGGTTCCCGGGTGATAGACAAGGGGAATAATGAAAGAGAAAGGGTTGATGATGAGAGAGGAGAACAGAGCAGGAGACTCAACCTACACATAATTTTCTTTCCTTTGAGCGGCGACCAAGCCAAGCTTCGAACCAAGTCCAAGGAAGCCAACTGGGCCTAATGGAGGAATTGGCGGGGGTGGTTCCAGCCACAAATTCCGTGGTTCCAGTGGTTTAGTTTGCGACGTAACCGGCGGGGGGGAGGAAAGGGAAGCTCCGTGGTGGAAAAAGGGCAAGCGTAAGAGGATTACCGACTAGAGGGAATGGGGAGGGGAGGGGGTCTGTGGAATGATGGAATCCGTGGATAGGGAATGAGGGAATAGGGATGGATGGAGAAATCAGATGGAGAAGATCAGACATGCACAGCCTCGATTGTCCTGATGGACTGATGCAGCATCCAACACTAGCGTCGTTTCGGGAGGTGGTTTCGTTTAGCGGAGGGAGACGAGAGAGCTTGGGAGAGGAGTTGACCAGTTGGAGGAGTTGGGGAGTGAGGAACAGTTGGGAAGAAGCTTGGGCCAGGACTGCTGATCGGGGAGGGGATCCACTCTGATGTCACTGATTGGATCCGCCCAGGGCCAAGAAATGCACTGCCACAGACAAATGATGCATTTAACAAGGATTCGGTTATGGGTTCAGTCAGGTCAGAAAATTGCCAAGTACATACTACAGGAACCATGTTCAATGGTTAAATTGTGGCTGGTCATATTCACTCAACATGTAGCGTTGCACTATTTAATTTTCCACATTGAGTATTTACATCCATAAAAGCAAGACGAAAAAGTATAAACTATGCGAGATAGGAACTTGGGACTATGAACTAGCAGTAACATGGTATGGTATCTATCTCATAACACCTTCCAAACAAGATGGAAAAGAAAAAGTCCCCCGATCCACAGGTAAACACAAACAAAGAAAAAGACAAGAGGTAGACTCAAAATGGTAAGAAGAATCAAAAAAGAAAATTAGCAAAGGGAAGGGAAAGTTTACATCAAAGAAGTAGTAGGTCACATCAAGAAAGAGAAGAAGAGAGGAAGGGAGCGTCAACATGAAAAAGGGGAACAAAAAGAGGGAGGGTATAATAGCAAGTAGAAGAAGGACCAATCCAAGACTTTACTCCTCTTGCAATGTCCCATTAGCCTTAAAATCCATCCGACTAGTCTTCCGCCCAACCCCCTTCAAAAGACTAAACCGACGGAAAACCGAGTCACGCATGCCATTATTATTATGGGCGCCATTAACCGGCTGCTGCGCAGAGACTGATGCCCGCGACGTGCCCCCGTTCAAACTCCCTGCCTGGTCGCGACTCGTGTGGGCACTGTCCCGCGTCACTGGGCGCGAATAATCGCGCGTCGAAGGGATGGTAGACCAGCCTCCACTGGAGGCAGGAGGAGCTGGACGCTCGGATGGCGAGCCGACCGCACCGGTAGCAGCTGGGCCGCCGCGGTGCTGGGAGCCCGCGCGACTGCGGCCGTCATGGGACTGGGCGGCTGTGTCACTTCGTGAGGGCCGTTTCTTTAGAGATGTGCCGTGGATCATCTCCTCGCCGACGGCAGCTACGGAGGGAGAAGATCCATGCTTGATCTTGTCGCCGCCGAACCAGCTGCGCCGCTTGTCACTCTTACCACCCCGGGATTGACTCGTGGCTCGACTGTGAATGGTGGCGGTGTCGTCCTCGGGTGTCTCCTCAAGGTCACCTGTACCGTTCAGCGCATTCAGGGCCTTCTCGGGGGACTGCTGGATCGTGAAAATGGAGTTCGAGGCGCCGTGCGACCGCTTGAACGGGTTGATTATGCTGATCCGATGGCTGACCGATTGCCGTTCTGGGCGCTTACGGTGGTGCGTATTACCCCGGGACGCCCGGATAAGCTCCTGCTCCGGGCTGACAGATCGCTGCACAGCCTGTTTGCGACGCGTCTCTGATGAGGGAGTCCGGCGGGCAGGCTGGGTAGGTGTCGGTGATGAGTATTCCGGCGGGGTGGTCGAGAGGGACGCAAGTTCGGGTTCAAAGACGGCCTCAAAGCGACGGAGCAGCTCAGCTTGAGTAGCTTGCTGAGCGGGACGCTGATAAAGAGACAGCGCATGCTTGATGGCCAGAGCATGGTCGATAAGCGCGACTGCGAGAGCATTCTCCATCGGGTCCATGGTCTCTGGAGTCTCTTCTTCATCATCCATCTCGTCATCATCGTCCTCGGTCTCTGCCGTCTCCTCGTTCTTGCTCTCCTTAGTTCCTTGAGCACCGCTGAGGAACGCGCGGTAAACAGCAACGCAGTTCGTCGGGGAGGAGCGCGTCTCCAGTAGCTGCTCCAAAGCCTCGGTGAGATTCGATAAGCCATTGTCCTCACCCGAGGCAGCCCGACGCTCCAGAAGCTGTAGTTCCTGCGTCTTGCGCCATGTCCGTTCAATGGCAGTCTGCAGGGGAGACAGGGCAATCTCCTTGACGGCAATAATTTCGCTACGGCGAAGGATATTCGGGAAAGGCTCCGCGGTACTGAAGATAAGTTTCTCAACATACTGCTCACGCACATCCGAGCTGCTTGTGTGTCGCCTAGACGTAGCCGAGAAGCGAGACGGATCCGAAATCAACAGGTGCTCACGAACGGAACCAGGCACCTTCGACCGTTGATACACGGGATGAGAAATATCACGATGGGCCGTGACACCGCTGATCCGAAGGAACTGACCCTCGTAATCAGGAATTTCACTGGATGACATGATCTGCGCAGTAGGGTGCTCCCGCTGCATACGATCCACAAACGACGCCATACGTTCCGTAGGGGATCCTTCAAAGATGAACTCCTTATCACGCAGGCTGGGCGGGAATCCGAGACCCTTGTAGACGACGCGGAAGTACCGAGGGAATTGTTTGCCGCCCTTGGCGATAAAGTCATGAATACGAGCCATAGAGCTCTGCGCGCGGGAAAGTTTGGCGAAATCCATTGTCGTGCTCTCGTAGTGTGCTGCGAGTTCTTTGTAGCAAGCCAAAGCAGGAGCCCAGGCCATGGCGTTCTCAAAGTGCTGGATGATCGAAAAGTACAATGACTCCTTTCGCTCGAAGGCAGTCTGAGCCGGGAAGGCCGGTGTCAGTAGCTCGGGAAGAGGCTTGTTGACGTCCCAATCGTAGAGGTCGGCATGGAACTGGAGTGCCAGACCGGCTTCAGTGAAGTTGTCATAGGCGGACTGGTGGTCGGCAAGCTCATGGACATAACGGATGAAGATATCCTCGCGGCCCATGTCCTTCATGTACTCCATGAGCTTCAAGGCATGGAGGCTCTGGGTCGAAGTGCTGCTCTGCGAGGCAACCAGCAGGTCGAGGAGTTCATCAACTGTAGCAATCAGGCCCTTAACCGCATTGAACAGGTCCTCATCAAATTCCGCATCCCCTTCAAACAAGTCCAGCAATTCACCAATGAAAATCTTCTGGCTGACACTTTCACTCATATGCTTGACCTTGAACAGAGAGTCCAGACTGGAAATGATTTCGGTCTCGATAATTGAGATATCCTGGTTAAGATCCCACTCACTGAGAATCATCGTCCGGAGAATGTGAACAGCAGCATGACGAAGACCCTCGTGCACGCTCAGACACAGCCCAATGATAGGAGGCACCAGGTTCGGTACATACTGAACCTGGTAACCACCCAGCTTCTTCAAACCGAATCGTTCTCGCTCTTCATCGGTGGTGTCCCAACCAATGGCCTCCCACGTAGAATGCAGCAGATCGGCACCCTGCTCACGGACATCGCCCGCAATCTTCCAGACCGCGCGGCGCTTCTGCTCGGGGAAGGTCTCCAAAGCCAGGGCGTCACTAGAAATCACCTTCAGTAACGTCGTGAAGAATGACTCCCAGAGTTTTGTGTCGAAGTCGTCAGCATCATCAGCATCGGGAAGTAGCTTATCAATCAGGAGCAGAGCAAGGTGCTCCAAACCCTTGATTGCTGCGCGGTGATTGTACACGTGAATACTAAACCAGCTCTCCGGGTAGGCCTCGCAATCGATGATAGAGTTGTGTGCCTCGAGAGCCTGACCAACAAAGGTCGCGAGCTCCAGCTCATTGAGGTTGGGAGTCTTGGGTGACACGATCTTGGAAATGGCTGCCATGATCGCAGACAACTCGACCAACGCTTCATCGAACCTCTGAGGAGTCTTGGAGACCTTGACCTGGAAGGGGAAAGACTTGCTAAAGAGGAGAGACAAGTATTCCGTTTCATCCACTCCCTCCGCAGAAATAGCACAGTAAGAGGCAACAATGCTCGGCATGAAATCGTAAAGTTGAGGATGAGACTGGGTCAGCAACTGGGCCACAATTGCACTGCTGAGCCGAACCTGGTCACGATACTGATCAGACACGCTGGTAGTCGAGCCCCAGTAAGGGGTCAACCAGCCCACGCAGCTAGAGATCAGAGTCTGTCTCTCGTCTCCGGAAGCAAAAATCTCGAACTGCGTGTAGCTCTGGATGAGGACCAGCTTGTAAAGAACCAACATGCCCGTCACATCCTTGCAGGAATCCATGAAACTTAAAGCAATCATAATCATCTCGTCGCGGCCAAGAACCTTGGAGAGCTCAGGGAGCCAATAGTGGAAGTGCTGCACAATCAAAGTCTTGCTTCCGACCAACGCTGGGGAAGAGTTCTTCATAAGGCTTTCCATGGACTTGAAGATCGTGTGCAAGTCCCGGTTGAAGGTTGACTGAACCGAGGTAATGCCGATACCTTCTTCCTTCGCTTTCTGCTGCTCACGGGCATTGATGATGAACTTGAGCAGGTGTCGTCCAACCTTGAACGCGGCGCGGAGGTTACGGGACTGGTGGACATCGGTAGCGGCATTCAGAAGGCGCAGGTAGCTCCGAATAAGGCATGGCGTCACGAATGGGAAATTGAATTGTTCGTCCGCATAGTGGTCAACCAGAGGGCCCAAATTGAAACGGCGATCATGAACGATGCCGAGCACGGTGACCAGGTTGTTGAAAATCAGATCCTCATATTCCTCGTTGCCGGCGTTCTCAACCAGAATGCCGAAGAGTGCATCGAATACTCCACGGAGTTGCTTGACGATCTCCATCTCCGGGACGAAAAGCAAGCGCTTGAGGGTATTCAGCACCTCGTCAACGGGCCGCTCTTTCCAGTTCAACAGGCTCAAAATAACCTGATCCTGGGAGTACTCCGTGCTGCAGAGATGAGTCTGGAGGCGCAAAGTTGCCAAAGGGCCCGTAACCGCTTCGTCTTTGGCCGACTCATTCTTACCCAAGGCACTCCACGGAAGATTCAAGTACGCGCCCTTTCCGTTCTCAATACTAGATGTCTGCTTGTCATAGGCATGGAGCAGCAGGGAATGCTGACCATCACGGATGAAAGCCTGCTGGTCCCAAAGAGGCATCCAGGCGAGGGCAAAGGGAAACTCTGGCGCATCGGCAACGCTCATGATCATGTGCGAGCCGGGGATCTTCTCAGTGGGGATGTTCAGGCGAATAGTCTGGTACCAGGGTGTGCCCCGTTCGGCAATTGTCGTCCGCCAAGCAGTGTGTGACGTGTTAGCAGATGAAGGGAAGACGCATTTATCCACCCGCGCACCAGAGGCATCGCGGACTTCTAGTGTAAGCTGGAGGTTGCGAAGATCGGTAGTTGACTGCAGAGAAACCTGGCCAGCCGTTGGGTGAGACAGAAGAGCATCTGTAGGGAAAATAGCCTGCGAAATCGTCACGTAGATATCTGATCGTGGCTTGGTGGGTGCCTTGGAGAAACCGATACGGCGGGTCTGTACAACATCCTGGAGTATTGTCGGGTTCTGGCGCACGAGGGTTTCTGGGTCGGTACTAGTGAATGGATGCAGATGTATGTGCAATCGAGCAGTATCTGCACGTACATACCGACCAGACGGGCTAGGGAGGAGAGTATGCAGTAGCTTTTCAAACCCGTCTGGATGTCCCTCGCCTTCTTCGCCTTCTCGAGGGGGAGACCAGATATTGATGACGGATTCCGTGTCCTTGTCTTGTCGTAGAATTGGAGATACCTCCAGGATACCCACACCGATGGTCCGAATGGCAGAGCTTTCTTTCGTTGGGGTAGGCTGGGGCGTATTTGGATCTTGCGGAGCGGACGAGCTACTCGACGACCGCGGAGCTCCTGGAGCAGCAGACCTAGGTGTTTGGTCCAAACTGGGCGAGCCTCGAGTCTTGGGTGCCCACATCATGCTGCGCCGTGTTCGCAGACTGCCCTTAACCGAAGGCTGGACTCCGCCAGTTGCAGCTGCTTTTGAAGCCGCAGAGCCTTCGCGTGATATCGATGATCTTGAGACGGGAATGTTGTCGACGGTCGACCGGGATTCTGCCGCACGCACGGAGGCAACAACATAGAGCTGGCGGCCATTCGGGGAGCCATCTCCAATATCCGTTGCAGCGAGCTCGGTGAAGAGCGTCTTTAGTTTACTGCTTTGGGTCAAACTGACAAACTTATCAGGAGATGGTATATCGAGGCTGTAGGTTTCAGACATTGGATTGAATATGCCAGAGTCAGACCGCGAATACAGCTGAATCCCGAGAGAAACAGGTCCCGGGGCATTCCCCGATACTGCGTTGATCTCCAGCAAGAGGTGGTTCAGAGCAGTAGTATCGGAGTTGGCGACGGGGCTGCTATCGAGCATGCTCATTTCGGACTGGAGCTTCGCAAGTTGAATTGCCGAGTCTTCACCCGTCAACAATCGGCCTCGCTGCTCGGGATCCCGTACGATGGTGTCCCCACTCAGCATCTTGTTGGCCCTGACAAGCTTCCAGACTGTCTCATCCCGAAGCGACTCCTTCTCTTTGCCCGTCAACACATTGTGCAGCAATTGGCGTCTCGCGAAATCCAGTTCCTGGACGATTGTCGACATTTCCTCCAACACATCATACTGACGAGCCAGGAGCAGCTCGTGCAAGTTCGTCGAGTGCCATTCACGCAAGCAGGAGGCGATTTCGTCGACCAATGGCTCCGTTAGAGACGTGGGTGTCTCGTCGCCAATCTTGAGCATCGGCACGGGGGCAGCGGGCTTTGGCGCATCGGGGTCGCGCGGAGCGAGGGTCACAGGTGTATGCGGGATCGAACCGGTTCGATAGGTATGCGCGGAATTCGGGTTGGATAGATCAGACTCGTCTATTTTGTGAATCACAATCTGTGCGGGCTTGCCCTTCTTCGCAACTACCACCTCCGACACCTCACCGCCAGCCTGGGATTCGGTGACCGAGTAGGCCACACTGCTGCGCGACACCAGGTCGGCCTCTAGTCCCGACAGACCTGGCAGGGTCAGGCGATCTACACTTTTCCGGTCGCCATTGAGTAGAGCCTTATATCCCTCGCCGTCGCCAAGCACTTCCCGGATCTCAACACAGTTCCGCGGAAAGATACCCGAGAAGACGCGGGCCTCGAGTGTCAGGCCCTTGGTACTTGTCAAACCCGCCAGCAAGGACGGTGGCGCAACAAGATATCCGCGGCACCATTCGCCGTCTAAACCACCTTGTTCAATAATATACAATTCATCGCCGAGTTCGAGGGGGAGGTCCGCAGGAGAGGAGGGGTGAAACGGATAGATGGCCACCGCAAAAGCAATGCGAGGCAGCGGCCGCCAGGGCATGACAGCGGCGACGAGACTAGGTCTAGCCGGCGCGATCTTGATAGACGAGGCCACGAGCTTCGGCGCTCAGGATTGTCGATTGTGTGTCAATCCCCGCAATGGACGGACTGGGGAATTCCGATCGCAAGAATTCCACAGGCAAGGGAGGGTCCGGGGGGAGGTTCACGACGGGAGAATGTTGGTTTGGTCAATCGAACGCGACATGCAGAGGGGATTCCCGCTCGTTGGGGTCCGGGGAGAGGATCGGAGAGGAAATGGTTTGTGCGATCGAAGGTATGCGACAGCTCGAGAGATCTAGCGGGTCATTATTAGGAGGGCGCTGGGGTACGGAGAAGAGGAGATGGTGGTGATGGTTGGTATCAATCGGCACGGGGCTGTTGGGGGCCAAAGGGGTGGGAAGGACGTTTGAAGAAGAAGCAAAAGGCAAATCGGACGATCGAAACAGTTGGCACGATGCCTCGACACCGCAATCGACGGCTCGAAGGGTCCAAAGAGTCGCATTGGGTAACCGTGCCCCCCCCCCTTGCGAAACCTTTCGCGTTGTGGAGACGAACTTCCAGCCCTTGGCGAAGAACAGTGGGGAAGAAACCAGGGGTTTTGGGTAGAGGAGAAGAATACTCACAGTAGAAAGAAAAGTATTACAAGAATAAAAGGAATTGAGAAAAATTCAAGACAAGCACAAAGGATATCACCGGCGAAGAATAAGAAGAAAGGAACAAACGGGGATGACACGAGAGAGAAAGCAAGAAAACGATCCAAGAGCACGCAAATCACCGATCTTCAAATCTCCCCACACCGACCGCTGGGATGGACGGAGTACAGAGTACAGGTTCAGAATGCTTAGGCCAATTGACAAGCCCGTGGGTTTCAGCAGGGGAGGATAACTGCTGCTAGATCTGATGGCTACATGTTGAGATCAATTGACCTATATGCATCTGGATATTTTAGCTTTGTGATACGTTTACTTGGTTGTTCTACTTTTGTTACTTTGTTACTATGGTTATTTCCCCCCAACAGGCCTCGGAAGAACCCCGTCCGGCCAATCTATGCTTAATTACGATCAATTAACCGTTGACGACTCCTAAGCAATAATCATTGGTCCGTTATCTACTTTAATAATATCACTGGTTTCATGTCACAGAATATATACGTAGCCTTAATTCTGCAGTTACCCACTCTTGAACTAATTAAACTGGTCTCGTAGTCACGTTTGTTCGAGTCCAAAGGCCCAAAAAGCACAGACCAGCATGTTGCCCCTGAGCGGGAAAATGAGACGGGCTCGAACCAGTGGGCCTGGTTAGCCAGGCATCCAATCACGGGGCACGGGACGGCTGAGCAGAACCGAAAAGGGTTGGTACGATCATGACTAATAACCAAGTATGGAGCACGTACTCACAGACAGTGTGTATTAAAAGGACATTTCAACTCGAGTGAAGAAAACAAACAAATCTTCCTACAGAACAGTATATCATAAGCGGGCTATAGACGTGACACGAAGAACGGCAGAACCCATACGCCCAGGCTGATGTGACCCAAATGTCCGTTGCAATCCCCAAACACAACAAGGAAACATCCAAAGCAACAAGGGAAAACATGAGAAAAAAAAAACATCTCTAGAAGAAACAACATTATTAAGAAGGACCTCATTTCCGGAACATCGTCACGGCATCCTCCTTGCGCCACTCCATCTCCAACTGTCCCTCATACACCGTATCGATGATTCGTCGAGTCCGGTCCCATGCATTCTCATACCGAATCTCACACTCCCGAATCACCTTCAGCACCAGGCTGCGGCTGAGACCAGGGTCATCGGCATCGCCAAAGTGCTTCTCAACGCGCTTCTTCAGCATATCCACGCCACGCTTGATTTCCTTGGCATCATACGAGGAGAGCACCTTCTTGGCCACCATGCGGGAGTGGCTGGCGCGCGTGGCAATGTCTGCCGTACCATTGGCCTGCAGGGTCTCGACAGACTGGATGAAATCAAGCAATTTCCCAAGAGGCCGATGAATGACGGCGTCGAGGTAAAGCTTCATGTGCTCGTCAAAGTCCTGGCGTGCTCGGTCCGCCCAGCGTTCGAGCACAGGCAGACTGTGGACATCAACCTCCTCGACGTAGTGGTTCATATTCTCAATGAGTAGAATGTGGTAGTTGAGCACCTCCTTGTCCTCGGGATCTCCGGCGCTGGCTGCCACTCCTGGTGGCTGGCCAGGTGCTTCCTTGGCGATGAATTTGAGAGACTCCCACATGGCCCGGTTGATGCGGTCGTATGCATCGTTGACACTGATACGGATATCACAGGTCTCGGCAACCGAGTTGGCCAGCATGTTTTCAACGGCCGTGGAGAAGTTGGGGAAAACTCGCATAAAGGAAATGACACCCTTCCGCTTGTTGACCTTGACCTTGGTGTCCTCGATGCCGCGGATCTGTTCATCCACGAACCGATTGAATAGGCCCATCAAGCGCGAGTGGATCTTTTGGAGAGAGTGAATGATGAATTCTTGATTAGTGTCGTCGAGTTCAGTCATAGCTGACTCGAGAGCGAATAGGATGCCAATCCCTTGCCTAAAGGGAGAGATGTGTGTTAGCGGGCTAGGTCGTTGCATTTCATTCGAAGAGCAAAGGTAGGGGAAAAACTTACATGGGATCAGCTTGCACTGCCCAATCCACCATGCTCTGCAGGTCATTAGGCCAGAAAGAGTAGATTTCATCCATGATCTGCTCAACGCGCTTAGCCATTTGGCGGTCGGGATCAGGGGACTGTTTAACAGTGAAGTCGGGACACTGGCGATTCTCTGGGCTAGCAGCAGCTACCAGATCCGAGAAGTCGGCGGTGGCAAGAGAGTTAAGTTGGAAGAATTGAACAACAAAATTCTGCTCGTCTGTAATCATGTGCAGTGTCTCTCGTAGGCCTGAAGCAAATGCTTCGCACGGCTCGACCTTGCTGGTGGGTTTCTTTTCGCTCGAAGCCAAGCGTAGGCCAGTTGCAGCTCGGATCGTCTTGCCGCGGCGAACGGTCAGCTTGCGGGCAGCCATAGTTATACCCTCACCCTCCTTCTCTTTTTCTTGGTGGGTAAAAAGAAGTTCCTGCTCCTCTCCAGTGGGCTTGCGAGCCGCCTTCTTCCACGCCAGTGTGTTGTCACGGAAGTCATTTTGGTAAGATGGCTTAGATTGTTGTTCATAAAGCTGAACAAGGTCATGCCATTCCGACGTGCTGACTTCCTTTGCAAAGAGCATCAACGGGTTATATCGCCACACTTCCTCACGGAATTTCTGTCGTGCAGAACCGTCCAGCTTCATGGGGTCTCTGGGCGAGCCAGCAACGGCATCGGCCCGTTTCTGTTCCGCCGTCTTGAAGGCGACAGCCATGAATGGCTTCAGACGCTGAAGGAAGGTCAAGGCAGCTTGGCGGTACTCGCCCTTTCTTTCCTTGATGGCGCGCATTTGACCAATCTCAGTATTGGCGTAAACACCCACGCTGGCATCGGCCTGCCTCTTCTGGTTTTGCCCAATATCAGCATCGATCATCAGCATCGCCTTGTACAGCGTCGAGAGCGCTGATTCGGTTTCCTTCAACCCTTCCGGGTTAGTCAAAGAGGCCTCCCTCAAGGGACGGATATCGGCCGGAGAAATTGACAGTGTCTTGAGGAGAGTATGTAACTCGTTCTGGAGTAGCTTTTGATTGGCCGTCTGCACCTGCAAACCTTGAGACTGAGCTTCGATGAATGCGACGTCCTCGTGTAGTGTATTCAACTCATGCGAGTAAAGAGTAAGCAAGCCATCCAGCTCTTCGCACTCTTCAATGGTTTTCTCAATCAGGACAGCCAGCTGTTCCACCTTGCCTTCTTGCTGTTCAAGGTTACCCAGCCAGCTGGTTGCTTCAACGCGGCCTATCTCACGGCGGACGTCTGCTTCTAGATCCTCAATCTTCTGCTCGTCGCCCAGTCGCCCGTTCCATCCCAAATCCGTCAAAATATCATCAAAGTCAATACCACGTCCATCCAGGACACTATGGTCGATCCCAAGGGATTGGCAGTATTTGATGGTATGATCTTCACGGCGCTTTCTACGACGACCCTGGGCGCCCGGGGAAGGACTTCTGGCGTGGCTTTCCACCTTTGAGAGTTCTGACAGACCATCTTTAGATTCTGCCGCTGGTGTAGGTTCTGAAGGAGGTAAAGACTCCTCACCGAGATGTTGTGTGATTTCGACAGTTGGTGTCACGGACTGTGGAGTGGCAGTCGCGGGTGGCGCAGATACTGTTGATGCTGCCGACGTCTCTCGCTCTGCGGTCTCATCTGGTGCAGCCTTCGTGATATCGTTGGCAGATCTAGATGGGGCTGGGACAACGCCAGTGATACCATCGGGGCCCATAGCCTCAGCCTGCTGCTTTTTGGCTGCTGCAAGGAGACGTTCGCCCGCTCCGCCAGGGCGTGGTTTGAAGGCACCATAGGTAGTAGCAGCCTTGCGGAAAGCACTTGCAATGTCCTTTGCGGACTTTTTCTTGATCATTGGGCCTAGACCTGGGCGATGTGCCTCTGAATCTTCATCGGCGGGCTTGGGTGGACTGGCAAGAGTCTCATCTTTCGAGGCTCTAGGTTCCGCCACCGGAGATTTGGGTGTTCCTTCGGCCGCCGCTGCAGGTGCTACTACTTCAGGCTCCGCAGCTGGCGGTGATGATGGATGTTCTACTTCAGGCGGCGGTGCGGGCTTGGGTACTTCCGCAGCGGCTGTAGGGGCAGTGGTGGTTTCTGGTGTAGGTTCTTGAGCCGCTGCGGACGCTTTCTCAGGAGCATCGCGATATGGAGACTTCGGTCCAATGCTGCTTCCAGGACTGGCAGTGATGCCCCGGTTCTCATTGGTAAATGACCCCGGTGTCGTGGGGCGCAGGGCATCTGTACTGCGCTTCGGTTCCAAAGGTCTTGGTTCGGGTGCACGAGCTGGCATGAGTGATGCCGGGATTTGCGCTGAGCGGCCCTCCCGAGAAGATGGAGGTCGGATCTCGTCTTGTGCAGTCCCCTGGTTATTCTCATCGCCAGTCTGTAAAAATGTTGTGGGGGGTTCTCTGCTTTTCGGTTCCGCGCGCGGGGGTGGCACGTTAGCTGGTGGATTCTGAGGCGGGCCGAATGGTGAAGGGGCCGGCTTTGACGCAGTAGATGGACGACTCATCTGCTCACGGCTCTTTTGAGATCGAAGAACAGGGTCTTCGGAGGGCCTCCGTCGAACCTCACGAGCTCCATCGCGGCTTGGGTCACGAGTGAATGGTGCCTGCGGGGGAGGTGGATGTTGAAGAGGCGACGGGGTTTCCGCCGACGAGTCAGGACCACCTCGCGAGCCGGGTGGAACTGGTGAAGGCGCCGAGGGACCTGTACTGCCTGCAAGCAGTTGTCTTTCTCTCTCGTCAAACCCAATTAGGTTCGGCACTTTGCCTCCGGTATATTTCTTGTAAATCTTCACCAGGCTGCCAATGAAGAACTCCTTCTCCTTGGAACTTCTGGCATGCCAATAGTATGGTTTTCCAATGCTCACCACGAATCCAACACTTCCCGCCCAGTCCTTATGCTGTTGTTCGGTTGGTGATTTCGGCACAAAAGCGCTGTACGATTGAATCCCAGTGAGGTCGTCCAACATCCACGTCTTTCCAATGGAAAAGGTGCCATCATTATTCTCGCGCGCTTTGTGCATTCGAACACGACCTGATCTTCGAACAGAAACTATAATGACGCGAGGTTTCTTGTTGTTCGGAGCTGAGTCCGGTGGGGCAGGGGTCGAGGGGTGCGCCGCATCTTCCGTGATGCGGACATGGATAATATAAGATTCAATCACTACAAGCACGAAGACAGTCAGCTTAGAGAGCTACCATAGGGTTTGACTCGGTCCGGCGATATCAGAGTATCCTTTAAGCGACAGACTAGCCATGGCGTGGTCGGCCGAGTGGTGTGAGACGTCGCTTCAGCCTAGGTGTTCCCATCCCCTGAAAAGGGAGGAGGGGTAACCCCCTTTGTCGTCGCCGAGGGGCATATAGGCTCCTTTCACGTACAGGTTCCATCATTATCCTTCTTAGAGTAGCAGCTTTGGATGATGCGCTTCTTCTCATCCTCGAACTTCTCCGCCCTCGACATGGATGTATCTCCCGACCCGGGGCCAGACCCGGAGCCATTGCGAGGATCAGCTCCGCGTCGCGCATCATTCGTCGGCGGCGGACGGGGACGGTCACGGCTGTTCATCATCGTGTCTCTGCTCAAGCGGGGGTCACCGGATTCGTTTGTAGGATTCGCAAGATCAAGGAGACATGGTGGGACACCGGGGTACGTCTACCGGTGGTCTTGCGCGCGCACAGTGCTCAGAGCCGAATTGAGGTCCGCTATGGAGATTAGCAGACGCGATGTTCAACCACAGGAAGTTAAGGCGCAAAGAAGTGGCTCGTTGAATGCAATGCCAAGTGGGAGGAGTTGGAGGTGAATTAGCTCATTATGTTTGGGGTTGCGGGCAGGGCGGAGAAAGCTCGTGGGAGCAAGTCATTGGTCTAGTTACGTCGACTTGAACCCGCCTTCTTGAACCTCGTGGCGAGCAGGGAACTGATCCTCTACTAGTCTCTCTATTATACTCTCTTCTAACGTTCGATTTTGTCTTCATCATTTCTTCCCGACCTCACTCTTACACTCATACTCATAGTCAATCTGTCAGGCACCACGGCACCAACATCCAGTCACGTGTAGCTTACATCTGGACAACCGCTCCGCCCGCTATCATTCGGTGGTTCCACCAATCATCATTGAGAATCAACTCACCGCCTTGTCTATACTTTTTTTTCCCGCATTTTTTTGGTTCCTGAAAGAGACTCTAAATACTTCAATTTCCATCCTCGTGCCATTCTACTTCTTGGTCATTCAGAGTGACCGCCCAACTGAGACACACACATCTATCTCAGTCAGGAATCATGGCCCCTTCAAAGAAGGCTTCGACCAAGAAGGTAGATTTTTCATTCCTTGCAGCCGTTTCCCACCAGAACATTGTTCTAACTTGACGTTCATGAGCAGGTCGAGAAGAAAACCACCACTACCACCCTCCCTCCTCAGTTGCTCGCCGCAGTTGCGTCCTTCCTCTCCAAGAATGGCTTCTCTGCTACCAGCACTGCCTTTGCCGACGAGCTGAAGAAGAATGGCAACGCCAAGGCCGATGCTAAAAACGCCCCATCTTTGGTCGAACTCTTCCAGACCTGGGACAAGACCTCCAGCGGCTCAAACAGCAGCTCCGAGAGTGACAGCAGCGACAGCGATTCTAGCGACTCCGATGTGAGCATGGGAGATGCTCCCAAGGCCCGCTCTGCATCTCCGTCGTCTTCCTCTTCCTCTTCGAGCTCCGACAGTGACGCCGATGATGAGGAGGAAGATACTGCGGCTCTCACTCCTGCCCCTTCTACCAAGAAGCCCGCCGGTGTTAAGCGCAAGGCCGAATCTAGCAGCTCATCTGAGTCCAGCTCGGACTCTGAATCTGAGGATGAGGCTCCCAAGACGAAGAAGGCTAAGGTCTCCAAGGCAGAGTCTTCGTCCGAGTCTAGCTCTGACTCCGACTCCGACTCCGATTCTAGCTCAAGCAGCTCGTCCAGCTCCAGCTCGAGCTCCAGCTCTAGCTCCGATTCTGACTCCTCTGACTCTTCTAACTCTTCCGATTCAGAGGCAGAGGCCGCCAAGAAGGCCGACGCGAAGGTCCTGAAGAAGGCTGTCAAGACCCCGCTTCCCGAGTCTTCCAGCTCCAGCAGCTCCAGCTCTTCCTCCGATAGTAGCTCTGACAGCTCTGATGATGAGAAGACTGGCGGTGTCCCCGTTTCCAGCAACTCCTCTTCCGATACCAGTGCAACGATGTCTGCCTCTCCCGCTGCCGAGAGCAAGCCTGTGAAGCAGGCCCAGAGTTCTTCTTCCAGCGCCAGCCCTGCGCCCGGAAATGGATCGACCAAAAAGAAGCACGTTGGCGCCCGCCCTACCCCTCTGGCCGCTCTGAGCCAGCAGCCGTATGACGCCATCTCCAACGAATATATTCCTTACGCTTACGCAGAGCGTGCCTACGCCGACCTCTCGGTCACTCGCGGCAAGGGATTCACCAAGGAGAAGAACAAGAAGAAGCGCGGCTCCTACCGTGGTGGCCCCATCGATATCGCCGGTGGCAAGTCGTTCAAGTTCGACGATTAAACGATCTTCCTGGTGCCACTACTTTAATTGCTTTCTTCTTTTGACCGTTAATGATGCCAATAGAGGCTGCATTAGCTTTTCCCGAAACATGTTCAACTACAGATGTTGCTCTCAAATCGGCTGTCCTCATTCCTTTTTTTTTTCTGTTGCTGTCTGAGAGGGTTTGACACGCTCACTGTAACGTGGTGTTTTAGCTTTCGATGACCATATGACGTCGCTATTCACGTACTTTGCTCCCCTTGGATGAGCGACCCTTTTTACTCAGCATGGCGCTTACGGAGCTTCGGACGAATTTCTCTTCTGCGACTGTTTTACATATTTGCTTGCATCTGCTAGATTACCACTCAAAAGTTCGAAATTTCTCAGACTAGTCAACCTGTTTCCATCTAAGTCTATCTATGTAGTCTATGTAAGGATGCGGTATACTATGCAATTCTAGACTTTAGCCATCCTGTCGCCGCCAGGCCCCAGGCTTCTCTAACGCCTCCCACCGATGATCCCAACCAGTCACCACATCCCTCCGAGAGTCATCGAGACCGAACTTCCAGGAGCTATGCTGCTTTCTCAACTTCGAGGTAGTACTCAAATCACGTTGATCCGGTCTCTCATATCCCGCCACCGTGAAAAAGCTAGACCCATCTGCTGGCTTCATCTCTGCATCAAAGCCAAGATTGAGATTGCAGTCGTACCACTCCTTGGCTGGCCCGGTCAGGTCGTCCGTTGATGCAAAGTCAAGCCGGATGAGTCCACCTGCTACACCGGTGTAGACGGTTGGTGAGGATGGCGAGGGCATGGACATGCTGTATATGGGACCTCGGTACGGATAAGCCCTGCGCCGACGGGAATTGATATGTCGGTTGAAGATGGCAGGCGGTTGGGCAGAAAGGAAAATGTTAAAATCCTTGCTTGGATACTGGCCATGGTTGTGGGCAATTGGGACGTTGCTGGGGGCTTTTGGTCGAGCACCCTGGGCTTCCAGGTAACTGTAGCTCGTGCAGCGGAGATCGAATAGTTTAATCAGGGCATTGCCCCCGGATCCAACTAGAAATCGGTCGTGTCCAAACGCCCGCACACTGTATATAAAATTGTCGTCTGTGGGATCTTCGTATGTTGTTTCATAGGCCCGGGGAGACCTGAGATCGTGAAGGCTGTGGATTCGGTTAGCGCGACGGTCAGGAAGTTACATGGATGATTAGCCTAATACCGGACTTTGCGGTCGCCCCATGCAGCAAGAAAAACATCACCAGGTGACCCAGCCAAGGGATGGTTGTTGAGGGGCTCGATGGCGCTGATGGCCTGACAAGTATAATCGCCCAATCTATCTTCCACTTCCTGGGAAGATATTCCTATTGTCTCTTCGGGAAAGATGCCGTCCGGCGAAATTCTTGAAACAACCAGAGAGTCTTTAGCGTCCATAGTAGCCACAGCAATCCGCGACGATGAAAGCAGCTTCGCCTTCCGGCCACGAGAAGATCGCTCCGGGCGAATCCACGCAAACGGTTGGACATCTTCACCGTCGGTAGAAGTATGATAAAGTGCAGTTGAACCTTGAAGAAACTGAGCACACAGTATTGGATTGGAGCCATGCATCAAGTCTGTCTCGTTGAGTTCCAATCCTTCGGTCTGAAACGTCTTCTTATACTCATGGCTTGCAACGCTCGTGGAGAGAGCGATGTGGCGAATATCGCCCTGTCTCCGTCCAAAGATCACATTTTCAACTTCATTCTCTTTGCCATGCTCTGGTTGCAGGAGGTGCAAGCCTAGAATATCATCATGGCTGCTGGGCTCATCCACGTCGTTGAATAAGATCCACTCGTCTCGGTGATGTTTTCCGGATTGCTTGGTTCGCATCAAGAGTTTTTCACCGGCACCCCATGCAAGGACTTCTTTCCTATCAGCCCAGGACTGGCCATTCCAGGTCTCATAGGAGTCGATAGGAGGGCGATAGCCCATGGTGGGATTATCCTGTCGGGTCTCTTCTTGAATTCCAACACGAGTGATGGTTTCAGGCAAGATCACGAATCGCCCAATTACACCCAGTCGATCGACCGCGCGTGAGCGCGATGTAAGCGCACATGCTGCATCTTTCCAGAATGGTGGTGTTTGAATCGCTGGAAATCTCGTTTGCACAAATGCTCGAAATAGCCATGACTCTTCGGCAGTGATGATTCTATATATTCGACGGCAGGTTCGTGCTAGGCGTGTGATTCCATTGGCCGTTGGAATATGTAACGCAATATTGCAGATTATTTCCGATGGAAGGTCGGAAAGCTTCATAGTCGACAAAGATTATGGTTTCCTGGCTGCTATTTACCTCCAGGATTTAATAGTCATGATTGTGTGGATTTCTAAACTCGTGTTGTTGGTGGTGGAGCGGCAGGTCATGGCGAATTTTGGTGTCAGAGGTCGTATTTCATGGAAACCCCATGTTGGCAAAGAGTCACAAAAAGGCTTGGCAGAGTAATAGCGTAGTTAATGAGTCAAATGTCAGATTTTCTAGTTATCGGACATTTTGATCAGGCACTTTGTAGCAAAGATTGGCGGTCTTCGAAGTAGGATAAATGTGCGTTTACATCATTTGCGGCGAGGAGCCGTTGACTAAGCAAATCCGGGAAAATTGCAGCCCGCAATCCGACGAGACTCTATTCGAGATTTGGAATCTTGATCACAGCCAATTCCAAAGCCCCAGGCGTCATTACTGTGCACAATGTCACCAAGGCTCAACCTGTTCACAGCCAACAAGGCGGCTGCCGCCCTTCGCCAGCCTTTCGCCGTCGCACGCGCGCAGCGGAGCGTCGCCCTCCCTCTCCTACTCCGCGAGCAGTCCACACCAGTCCAGAAAAGATGGAACTCGTCACAGAACCATAAGAAGGGTCTCTCACCGGACGAACAGAAGTTCCCTACCCAGGATCAGCTGGGTCATGTCGGCGAGGAGGCTGCCGAGATGGACCGCATTATGCACAAGGAGAAGAGTTGTGACGGCCAGCCGTCAAGTCCAGAGTTGGAACAAGGAAGCCCAGTTGCTGATGTGAGTGGCCCATGGGGGACCTTCCTCCTACTGGGAAATAATGCAATTGACAATATCTCGCCGAACAGATTTTGAAGCGTGACAAGGAGGGATTGAAGCACATGCCCAAGGTCATGCAAGACCAATTGAAGAAGAGTGGCTCTCGCTCGTTCTCTACTTCGGCTCGCAGCCGTCTGCCCGAATTGCAGAACACCGAATCCCAGGACGAGATTTCCGCCGCTGTTCTTGCCGACATGATCCAGCAGGTGAACGAGCAGGTGGCCGCGCGGCTGCCCGAGGGATTGAAGTTTGATGTGCCGGTGCTGCCAGCCCAGAAGAAGACCTTGAACTTCCGGAAACGCTACGACACGATGCAGGAGCAGTTCACCAAGATGCTCATGCAGGATGGTAAGCTGGCCCGCGCGCAAAAGGTCGGTTTAGCTCATTCTGCTCTTCATCGTGCAACGAACTAACATGCATTTTCTCTAGAACATGTCTATCATTCTAGACCACCTCCGTACCTCCTCTCCCCCCAACATCAACCCCCGTCGCCCTCTCATGGGCGGTCCTCCTGCTCCTCAGCTGCCCCTCGACCCCGTCCTCTACCTCACTTGCATTATCGACTCGGTGGCTCCTCTCTTCCGCATTCGCCAACAGAAGGGTATCGCCGGTGGTGGTACTGCCGTGCAGGTTCCCCACCCTCTCAACCTCCGCCAACGCCGCCGTGCCGCGATCAAGTGGATTTTGGATGCATCGGAGAAGCGACGTGATGCACAGTTGGCCCACCGAGTTGCCAACGAGCTGGTGGCCGTTGCCGAGGGCCGTAGTGGTGTGTGGGACCGCAGAGATCAGCAGCACAAGATTGGTATTTCTGGTCGTGCGAACCTGGGACTTGCGCCTCGCCGTCGGTAAACACAGCCGGTCCTTTCTCTGTTCTAACCAATCAAATGTTTCTGTTAATGGGTCCGAAAGGGGGGTTTTATCTTGTTTATGGGATGTGAGTGAGTATTCCTTTTTTCAGCATCATCTGTATCATCTGTACATGTAGTATATCTAGTCTGGTCATATGAATTCGAATTCTGGTTGTATTTCTCCACTTCTCTATAAGGTCCGCAGGAACCATCCATCCCTTCTTCCGTTGCCAAAGCTGGATAGCAACGCTATTGTCTCATTAGCTTATTAAACGAATCTTTATTGACTTCTCTGTCCGAGCTTACTATAGGTTGACAGCTTATACTTGGCTTCATCTCCACTTTCGCTTGATTTAGCAGCGTCTTGATAGGCTGCAAAGTCGCTTACTCAGACGTCTCGGCCTAGACCCGATCGGGCCAGCCAGTTCCTGAGGCCATTCGCGGCTATCGCGACATCCTCCAGTAAAACCTCCAGCAAGGAAGACGCTTTGTCGCCTGAAGTCGTGTCTCGGAGAATAAGAAAACAGCATTGACAGCCGTGTCGATCAGCCGCGCATCATTCAGTTCAGGCCTGACTATCAGTGCAACCCACGCAACCCTACGCAACCGGCCCCAGCTGACCACACTTTGATCCGCCTGGCGCGCCCCGCAATATCTCCTCTTTTCCTTCGATCGGACCCCTCCTTCCTGCTGGACAATTACATGACCCAGGCCGAATTCCCTCCGGCCCCTAACGACGGTGGCTCCCCCCTCGAATCGCGAATCCTACGAGCTCGCCGATTTCAATACCGTTGGCAGATCCCCCGAGGCGAGACCAGCCAGGTCCACAACTGCTCGTGCACCGCAATTCGGAAGCGTCCTTCGATCCTTTGAACCAGCCGCCAGCTCGCGGTCATTAGTAGGACTTGGTTCGAGTGAAAACGGGGAGGCAGACTGGGAGAAGACAGCTTTGTCTGAACAGTGCCCGCGGGGCTTGCGCTCCACTAGACTCAGGTTCTGGGCTGAGGCCCTTCGACGCCGAGCTCCTCGTGGAAACCAGGCTCAGAGTGACGGTGATCCCGAGACCACCGCCAAAATGAAGTTCTCGCATAGCATTCAGTTCAATGCTGTGCCCGATTGGAGCTCCAATTACATTGCGTACAGCAATCTCAAGAAATTGTAAGTTGACCCTGGCTCTACTGCCTCTTTCGAGTGGGCAGGTGACTCATTTCCGTTTTGAGTTGATGTTTTGGATGTGCGCTCATGGTTACGGCTCGAGACGAGATGCAACTTGGCGCGGGTGTTACATTGCACAGAGTTGTGTGGATGCATGGATGTCGAAGGGTGGAAGCTCTAGTCCTACTTTGGTTGCTAACCCTTCGATTTGTTGTTCAGGATATATACTCTGGAGAAGCAAGTCAATCGCCCTGATGGTCAAACTGGTGCAGATGTCGAGTCCGCTCCCCTCCTGGGCAGTTCCCAGGTGAACAACCCTGATGGGATCTTCAAGCGCGCTCTAGATACCGAGCTGGACAAAATCTGTACTTTCTATCAGCAGAAGCAGGCCGAGATTTTCCAAAGTACGGATGAGCTGATGCATGAGGCCATGGGTTATCTGTCAGAAACTGCTGGAGTGAACATGGATCCCGTCAGCGAGACAGTTATCAAGGCCAGGAGGTTGAGCTCAGGCTCGCGGCGAGGCACAGGAAGTGTCTTCCGCAACTATGGAAATGGCCAGCGCCGCCGTTCAAGCGTCATCAGTGAGGATGATGTCGATAGTGACGATGAGCACGCTCACCCGGCAGCTCTCGGTCTACGCCAACGAACTTCTACGGATGGCGGGTCGACAACCGATGACGCCCATGCGGGTGACATGGCAGATTCAACGTTCTGGGGCCAGGCAAGCAGTCGCTTACGTCGAGATTCTGACCTGAGTGATCAGGCGTTCCTGGCTCTGTACAATGCGGGTGTTTCGCTTAAGAAGCGTCTCATTGAGTCATATGTATCCCTCTGCGAGCTGAGATCCTTCATTGAGCTCAACAGGACTGGCTTTTCCAAAGCCTTGAAGAAGTACGACAAGACCCTGTTCCGCAACATGCGCCGAGACTACCTGGCTACCGTGGTACACCCAGCCATCCCATTCACTGATCTCACCATGGCTGCCGTGGATAACCACATTGAAAAGGTCGAGGGCATGTATGCGGATGTCGTCACCAAGGGAAATCGCGAGCTTGCTAGTCGTGAGTTGCGTCTCCACCTTCGCGAGCATGTGGTTTGGGAGCGTAACACGGTTTGGCGTGAGATGATCGAGATCGAACGCCGTGCGCAGGCTGCCAATGTCGGTATTCGTCGAACTCTCCTAGGAGGCGATGAAGACCCGGCCACTGCTCGACGCCAAGGTGATAAGCAGGAGATTCGCACGCAAGAGTTTGCTACTCCTCTTGGTCGTATTCACTTCCCGTTGTGGCTATGTAGTTTGAGCTTTGGCACTCTTGTGTTCAGTCTTGCTGTTTTCGGAGCCATGCTCTCGGTGCCAATCATGGAATCAGTCGAACAGCAAAACTGCCTTGCGATGCTTGTCCTGGTCAGCATTCTGTGGGCGACTGAGGTAAGACTTTTTTCTTCTATTGAGATTTACGTGGTATCTATTTCTGACGACCCCTAATAGGCCATCCCACTTTTCGTGACCTCACTGTTGATCCCGTTCCTGGTCGTCGTCCTCGGAATTTTGCGATCAGATGATAAACCACACAAGCGACTGGGCCCGAAAGAAGCTACCAGCATGGTCTTCGCATCCATGTGGACTCCAGTGATCATGCTGCTACTCGGTGGTTTCACCATTGCTGCGGCTCTGTCCAAATACGACATCGCCCGACGAATGGCCATGTTTGTTCTGAGCAAGGCCGGGTCGAAGCCAAAGGTTGTCCTCCTCACGAACATGTTTGTGAGCATGTTCCTGAGTATGTGGATTAGTAACGTTGCTTCGCCTGTGCTCTGCTACTCGATCATCCAGCCCTTGCTCCGCAACCTGTCCCCCGATTCCGATTTTGCCAAGGCACTTGTCCTGGGTATCGCATTAGCAGCCAATGTTGGTGGTGCTGCGTCTCCAATTGCTTCGCCACAAAATATCATCGCCCTTCAAAATATGTTCCCCAGCATCAGCTGGGGAACTTGGTTCTTCATCTCGCTGCCCGTCTGCATTATCTCAATTTTCCTAATCTGGGGTCTTCTGCTTGTTACCTTCAACCCCGGCCGCAACGCCACTGTCATCCCTTTTCGCCCTGTCAAGGACCGCTTTACTGGCATCCAGTACTTCATCAGTGCTGTCACGTTGGTCACTATTGCGCTCTGGTGTGCAAGCCATCAACTCGAACATATCTTCGGTGATATGGGCGTGATTGCTATCATCCCGCTGGTCCTGTTCTTCGGAACTGGAATCCTCAACAAGGAGGATTTCAACAATTTCCTGTGGACTATCATCATCCTCGCCGCTGGCGGTCTCTGTCTCGGTAAAGCTGTCACCTCTTCCGGCTTGCTGCACACCATCGCCTCTGGCATCACCGCCAAGGTCGAGCACCTCAGCCTGTATAGCGTGCTTCTCGTCTTCTCGGCGTTGATCCTCGTCATCGCTACATTTATTTCGCACACCGTTGCCGCTTTGATTATCCTCCCTCTCGTCCGCCAGATCGGTGTGGGCATGGAGAACCCCCACCCCAATTTGCTGGTCATGGCCAGTGCGCTGATGTGTTCTGTTGCTATGGCCTTGCCCACCAGCGGGTTCCCTAACATGAGTACGTTCTCCATAATTTGCCTGGCGTTTGGTTTCATTACTAACATTGTTTACTCCTAGCTGCCATCATGACCGAAGTCCCACAAACCGGTCAGCGCTACCTCCAGGTCCGCCACTTCCTCACCCGGGGTATCCCAGCGAGTCTGATGTCCTTTGTGGTGATTGTGACCCTCGGCTATGGTCTCATGTATATTGCGGGTCTTTAAGGGGCTCGCAGGTTCCGCTTTTTTTTTTTTTTTTTGTATCTTCTCGAGGCGCGGGATTTTTCAATCCTGGCTGGTTGGTATGTCTCTTGTTTGATACTTGTAGTTGAAAGTGGAAAAGGTAGAAGGGTATATACAGCGTCCATAACGCTCCAATTTCCATTTGTACCCCTCTGGGGGTTTCCAGCGTTTTGCTCACACATTTTACAATGATCTATGTCCTGCTTGTTCACCAGTTAAAGTTGCATAATAATGATATGACTGGTGAGAGGCTGTCTAGATCTTCTAATTGCACAAATTTTTGTTACATTCTTGGTTTACTATAGAATTTTGAGTAAACGTTTCAAGTCAATCCAGTATTAAAGGTCGTGGTAGATACCCAAAAAATAACAAGATAGATTTCTAGCAAATGATCTCACATGATAGTGGTAGTGGTACTTGTCCCGCAGGCACAGTATGCTATGATTTGCATCTCTTACCCGTCCAGGAAAACAATCCAATAGCAACGCCTCCTCTCGGGAAGCGAAAGCAGACGAAATGACAATATTTACAGTGTAAACGGCGGACCTGTGAATTGCCTTTTCTGGTTGGTTTTGCCTTTTTTGGGTTTAGCGCCCCAATACGCCGTCAAGTCACGTAACCTCCCTACAGTGCCCTCCGACATGAAAAGACCCGTCTTCGCTACTCTTCCTCCGTTTCTCTCACTTTTCCATTCTTCTGCCTCTCTATCTTACACTTATCGCTGCGCCCCTACAATTTCGCCCGCCTAATCGGACTCGCCGACTGCCCCATTCGCCCCTTATTACTTTCGGTCGCAAAATACGGCCAAGCCCTTGTTGCCTTACACATTTAACTCTTAGGATCGGAATTATTCAGCCTCTTAGCGTAGGTGGCTTTATAATAAGGAGGTTGCACGGCTTTTAGAAGAGCAATACGGTATAGATTATTCGTTCATAAGGTATTCACTCAGCCTTTATTGTCTACTCGTTCTTTAAATGGATTATTCTCTATCTGTTCCCCTCGATCATTGTAAAGCTATACAGTATCAGGTGTAAGGCCTGTCAACCGGGTAAGATACAATGACGTTGGAGAAGAGGAGTCAATGTATTGTCTGTATATGCAAAGAGTAATTCTGGCAATTCATGCCAGAATTAGGAGGGATCCAGGGGAACGAAAGCCTAACTTATAGGGAAACAGTGTGGAAAGGCGGGGTTTGATCATACATGTACGGTTGAGAGAACATATCGTTGACGTTGAGAGGATAAAAGCGTAAGGCAAGTATAACCGGAAACCCTTCTTACCTAACTGTGACCAGTTTGCAGTGCGTAACATCCCGAAAACCAGGAACAGACCGCTCGTCCTGTAATGATCGAGCACAGGAACTTGTGGGAGGTACTATGGCCCCCGTTGTAGTGCAAGGTGTTTGTAGTTATTCTATATACGCGGGCCCAAATCACGAGTATATGGTTCAGTTCCGACTAAGGTCTCGTAGGCCTAAAATAGAAATTGCAAATATTGCCAGCAATGTATATGGATCCTTGGTGCCCACCGTCTCTTATCACAGTCAGATTGGAGATGATGCTAGTGGGATTGAACCTCTCTCTGTCTATATGATAAGTCGGGTGAAAGGCATTAGCCATCTCGATTTTATCCTTACGTGTAATCTCCTAGAGAATTCGCCCGAGTACTTTACCTAGAGAGAGAATTTGATCTCGGACGTTGCTAGGTATGTTTATAGGTGGCTATACTCGGGCCCTTTTAATGCTTAGCTAAGCATTGAAAGGGCCCGAGTATTATGATAATGATCCTACCCGAAGATTCATGAATAAAGGCTCTTTGCTCTCACATGGAAGAACCCGCAGAATGTCGACCGATCTTTTTGTGAAAATCTCCATTAAAAATATGACCAAGACCTATAGCGGCTCTTAGCTGCTCTACCTGATCGCTTCCACCTAATCAGAGCCGCAAGCTACTCTATGGGGGTGGAGCATAGTAGATCTTGGACCCGTTGAGGGTCATAGCGGGTCTACCTACTCCTTGCATGTTGATTAAGAAGTACTGCTCAATTAATTAGTATAGGTGCATCTATTAAATATGAAGTTAATATTCTTAATAAAGTATTACTTTTTAAAATCCTCATTTTGTATTCTTTTTATATTAAATTTTTTTACATTTTTATGTTCATATTACCAAATTTTGTACGTATTTTTATTTCACGTATTTACAGAAATAAATTATAATATAATTATATTACTACTACGTACAAAATAAGAAATAAGAAAAAAAAATTTAACAAAGTCCATCTATAATTATAATAACATATTTAATAATTTCACTCATTTTTAATATCTCCGGGTTAAAATATCATTAGTGCCAATAAATTAGACATATGTAATAATTCATTAGGCATAAACATAAATAAAAGAATTATTGAAGTTAATATGGAAATAGTTGTAAATTCTTCGTAACCGGGGCTTTTCCCCCTCCTCATCTTGCAACTTCGCCTCCCCTTGCGTCGTCCTCAGGGGTTAAATTAACCATCGGAACCCTTAAATTGGGGTCACTATTACTCTTTCTCGGTATTCAGAGAGATTTGTCACTGAAACTCAACTCTAACTCCGCATGGAGCCCGTTATACTTGGGAGTGGCCCACTGGGGGCAACCAATCCCCCTCACGTGCGTCATGTGCGTAAGAAGCCAAGCAGAAGCCCAAGTGACCACCATGCTGACGGTTAATCGAAGTCTATCAGCATGTCCTTGCCAACGTGGGAATCTGTAGGCCGCTGGGGTTTACGAGAAAAATGGATGATTCCTTTGATGCAAACCTGTTATCCAAGGTCAGCAGTTTCCTTCCTGGTTTATTGCACGGCTTCGCCTAAACCAACCTAGATTCGCCATACACAAATCATTGCAACAATTGAAAGATGCGATATTCACTCGACTTTCTATACCCGAGCAAATGGACTGCTTGATTTTTCCATCAGCGGATGCCTCGACAAGATGCATTGAAATGCTGAAGTCGAAGCACCCCAGTGAGGAAATTCAGCGTGTTGCGTTTTCCCTTGCCCGCTCAACAAACACGGAAGAGTCTCGGTGGACAACCCTTTTTGTGATCGTCTATCCCGAGGCTTGCGCGCGGTCAGCAATGTTTTTCTGGAAAATCTTCGGATATGGGATATCCAGTCGCCATGCTGAGTATTGCCTCAGTGTTTTTCCACGGATGAGTTCAAATGCGAAGAACCCTGTCTTTCAAACCCCTGCATCATCCCTCTGTCTTGAGGAGCCGACTCCATGGAAGAACTCCGCGACAACAGAAAAGCAATTCCTCAAGGAAAAAATTGCATCACTCGTTAGTTCTGACCAACTGGGCTATTCCCCAGTTTCTAGCCAAGATGTTTTCCTTTTTCCCACGGGAATGTGTGCAATCTCTGCAGTCATCAGGGCATTGCGGCCTAGCCAAGATGTCGAATCAGAGGCGGTCGTCTATGGGTTAGTAACTCTTATGCTGAATTTCATATATGCCGGCTGACAATAGGTACGAAATTTTAGGTGGCCGTACGCGGAGACTTTCCACTGCATCCAGGAGTGCGGCTATATAAAATCTACTCTTCTCAGTGCCGGCTCCACGCAAGAATTGGATGAGCTAGAATCTTCACTTGCTGCAGGGCGTGATATTCAAGTTCTGTTCTGCGAAGTCCCTTCAAATCCATTGCTGCGAACCCCCGATCTACTACGCATCCACGCCCTTGCGTCCAAGTTTAACTTTATTGTTGTTTGCGATGAGACATTGGGATCGTTCTATAACGTGGATGTGCTGCCATATGTCGATGTCGTGGTAACCAGCTTAACCAAAATATTCAGCGGTCTATGCAATGTCATGGGTGGAAGGTGTGTTCTTTCATAATTCTGTCCATATAATTTTTGGTTTTTCGTTAACGTCGATCTAACGAATTTTCTAGCGTTGTCGTCAATCCTCATTCTTCTCAATATGCGACTATTCATTCGACTCTAACAAGAATCTATGAAGATATTTACTTCCCGCTGGACGCAATCACCATGGCTCGCAACTCGGCAAACTTTGAGGAGCGAGTGAAGCAATGCAACAGCAATTCCCTCAGTGTCGCTTCCTTGCTCACATCTCATCCTGCTGTATTGAACGTGAATCATCCTAGTTTGGGTCCATCGCGACATGTTTACGATCGAATTCGGCGCAAAAATGGCGGATACGGATATCTGCTCAGCATCGTCTTCCATCAACCGAAGGACGCAGTGGCGTTTTATGATGCATTGGATTTATGCAAGGGTCCCAATGTGGGCACCGAATTTTCGCTGGCTATTCCGTACTCTTTGCTTGCTCACTTTAGTGAGCAGGAATGGGCAGAGATAAATGGTATAGATCGGCACATGGTCAGGATCAGTATTGGAATAGAGCAGGAACATGAGCTTCTTGGGCGAATCAAAGAGGCATTGGAGCACACAAATCAAACTGAAAGGATAAGGGGCTAGATATTGCTTTCGAGGAGACTAAAATTTGCCAAATAAGAAAAGAAAGATGGACCCATTACTGAGGAGATCTAACTTGCAGTCATGGGAGCTATTGTAGCCCACGGGATCATCGCTATATCCCTTCGGTCACTACACAATAGACATGTTTAAGCAAATAAATTGTGATCATTCATTGGATTGGAAGTAATGAAGCTTTGACAGAGATGCCCTAGCGTCACAATCGAGGTAATACCATCCACAGCGGAGGGCTGACTGTAGGTCTAAGTGAGATAATGTAAAGAGAGGCACGATTTTCCGAATAGCCACGCTGAACCAGAAGGCGTATGGTTAGCTGAATTGAGAGTGGTCCCGAGAAAATCAGTTTCTACGAAGCCTAAGTCGGATTCGTCAACAGGAGTCAACATGTTAAACGTGGATTATGACATTATACCCAGGGGTTTCACTTCCACATATCTACACTCAATGCACAATAGACTCATACAAGCAAAAAATTTATGCTGTGTCAATGGGCCTACCTGGGTTTCAAATTCCTAGCGAGATGAAACCTTTATTTATTTAATATTTTCATCCGAAGTAAGCTCATAAAATGACGACTGTATCCTTACATTATGTACACTTCATGTATTACTCTTCCGTCCTTTTCTCTATACCTCCCCCTGAAAATATACAACCCACAGCGCCGGCGAAGAAACAAGCCAGCAACCTGCAAACAGCGTGCCCAACCAGCCAAGCCCAATGACTTGGATGGCTGGATTGATGCCAGCAGCCACGCCAGCAATTGGGAGACATCGACCCATGTTCATGGATGCCCGTGTCATCCCCGGCTGGTAGGCCTGCATATCCATAATCAATGCAGCAAGAACATTGGTCGCGCCAACACCAGCGTTGCCCAAGAAAAACAAAAATATCAACGGGGCAGCAATATGTAAGTTATAAGCTAGGGTCCAACTGTAACCGATCAAGAAAATACAGCATAGGTAAAACGCAGGGAACGCAATCTGTAACCGGACTTTCTCCAGCGGCATCTTCTCTAGGTCTTCCTTGGTCTGCAGGTTGCGCTGAACATCAACGCCCACTTGCCGAGCAAGACGTCGGAAATTCCAGTCCGCGAATGTGCCGACACTCCACCGAGCGGCTATACCGCCAACTGCCATAGGAATAAAGCACAGTCCAACTTGCAGTGAGTTGAACCCGTAATTCTTCGTCATCAAGATTGGTATACTGATTTGCACCGCTGCTTGGCCCCAGTTGATCAGACACCAAAAGAGTATGAGAATGCCAATCTGCTTGTCACCAAGGAGCTTGATGCTGTCAACTATCCGCGGTGGCTTTCTGAACTTCGTCTGGGTCTCATACCTGGGGGTGATTGATTTTCGTCGGCGAATTAGTGTCTTGTTCCAAGGCTGGGGCGGAATGCTCCCGTTTCCTACAACGGCACGGCAGGTCTCTGGAAAGAAAATGACAAGCAACAATATTGCGACTCCCGAGAAAACCACAAGGAACCAGAAAACGCTTCTCCAACCCAAATATTGTGTGAGGACTTCCCCTACGACTGGGCCTACAGAGGTGCCAATCGTGGACCCCATCGTCGAGTATGCCATATACTTGCCGCGCTCAGAGCGGGCAACGATGTCGATTATGGCCGCGATAGTGATCACAGACGCGCCGGTAGTCCCAACACTCTGGATACATCGAAGTGAAATGAGTGCTGTGAAGCTTGTTTGGCGCGCAAGCCCGATATTGCATGCGAGGGAGATGAAAAGGCAGACGAAGAGAATGGGTCGTCGACCTTTGATATCGGAAAGGTAGCCTGTGAATAATGGAGCTATTCCTTGCGTGACCTATAAAAATTAGCATGGGATTTCTCATAGGCTATCCTGCAACAATTGGTTAAGAGGAAAAGAAGGCCGGGAGTACCATGTATGCTGTTATAGTCAGATACATCTTCGATGTTGAGACCTTCAAAGTCTTACCCATCGAGTCTAGAGCCGGAAGGTACATGGTGCTTGAGAAGAATATAAGTACATTCAACGTTGCGAAAATGGAGATCGTGAATATTTTTTCTTTTTCGGATAGAACCGTGTAGCGTGCTTTCTCGGGCGCATTGGCTGGCTAGCATCTCGGTTGCTTGATTGCATTTCCTCGCTTGGACCATGATTGGGTTCGAGTTTTCCGTCGAAAATGTTTTTCTCTGAGGTTTTTGACTTTATCGCTGTGTTGGCCTGGTCTTCGACTTCTGTTAGTTTCATGGATGAATTATCCTCATTGCGATTTTTCTGATTGTCCATTATGGGGGTAGCTTGTTGGGATGACATCCGGTCAACAGGGGTGTGGGTTGCACTGGGTTTATAGTCGAAAGCTTGTATACGAAAGCCTTGCTGTCCATCGACTCCTCAGAAGCCCCTGGATAAAATGCGTCCCAATCTGAAAATTTGGGCGATCCTGCCAGTATGCCCAAGACATCATCAACGTTTTTATGTAGTATCCAATAAGTAAAACAACGTCCCTAGGCCTACATCAATAGTCGAGGTTCCAGCTGCCCTTTCTCTTAGCGATCTGCAGCCAGCCACTCTGCTAGCGCCTTTCCCGAGAGACTAGAAAACAGGGGCATGGATACTACTTTTCTGTGCATCTCGAAATATCAAATCCAGATCTGTATGGATCAGGCAAAAGTGACCTATCCTAGAGCAAATTGGCGACAATCATCGTCAATAATGTATTGACTAGTGCCTCAAGCCCTCGTATTATATGACTCGAAGAATGAGTATTTAGCTTCCCGTACTTCTCTCGTTGGCGGAAGTAAGGAGTCTCGGCCATCTTGTTTCTATTTTGAGCTATGTCGGAATGTAAACGTCATCATACTTGCTATCAGAAAACTAAACGACAAATGCCTCCGCATCCCACTTGCCTACCATAGGAGACAATTCCAAACCACTCACAGGAAAGAACTTGCTCACTGCGTCCTTTCTCCGTACCTTGTCCGACAAAGTTTTGGGGATTTCTTCACCATCTCGAAGAACATGCATAATCGTGGGAAGCATAGAGAGCGGCAGGTCATGAGAAAGGTCTTCCCTCAATCTTTCCAATGTGAGATCGTGCTGGTGGCATAGACTCTCCCCCCGTCCTTCATTTGAAACCTTGACACGGACAAGAATTCCGACCCTCTGTTCTGTCAGGTGATTATTGGGGCTAGGAACAGAAAGCACGCATGCTTCGGCAATGTAAGGTAGCTTCCAAACGTAGGCCTCTACATCGAGAATTGGAACTTTGTGACCGACGTATCGTATGACTACCCTGTTAGCGCTTTCTCCATGTAAACTTTGCATTTGCACTCACACTCTGAGGTACGACCCATCAAAATGTATTCCTCGTCCTGCCAGCGCCCAATATCGCCAGTTTTGAAGTAGCCGTCCTCGTCAAACGCCGCCTTAGTTGCTTCAGAGTTATCAAGATATCTGTAAAGGTCAACATAGATATCCTCCTGCCATTCGGTCGGGACTAAAACCTACCCTAGAAATAGGGTCGGACTTTTAATCAGGATTTCACCCTGGTCCCCCCCAGAGAGCTTCACTGCAACATCGGGCCACGGGGTACCAACGCGGCGCTATTTTTCTGTTAGTGCATATCGCATAGGAGATACAATACGCCAGCTTTTCTTACCTCCTCATCTGGGAAATGGAGTGAACTTCTGTAGATCGCTGGCCCTCCCATCTCTGTTCCAGCGTATGTCATCGACATCGGCAAGTTCATCTCGTCTACCCAGAATCGCCGGACATGAGGTAGCAGGTAGCCTCCACTGGTAATGGCCGAATGAAGATTCTGAACACCCCGAATATATTGTTCTATAACGTGGGGCGTCAGGTTGCTGATTGTTTCCTTATAGTAATTCATGAGGTTTGCCCAAATGCCCGGGGCTGAGCGAAGAGCCGTTACTTTCCCGGTACGCAGGCGTTCCCAGATAACCGACGCGTCGCGAGTCACAATCTCTAGTTGAACCCCGCGACAAAGTCCAGCAATGAGCGGCATAATACCGCCCATCCATGCTGTAGAACGGTGGCATAAGAAGACATCTTCATTGGTAAGGTACCGGAGCGCGCGAGTGAAGATTCTTCTGGCATGTATGACTCCTTTGCTGGGCCCAGTCGTTCCGGATGTCATAATCAAAAGGCCAGGCTGGTTTGAGTCAAGCTTCCAGCGTGGGTCGATTCTAATGCGTAAATGCGACAGAGTTGGTGGGCGAGGGTTTAGGAAGGATATCGGGATGACGCTGATATTTTCTCCCTGTGAAGATGCGTATGCTTTAATGCTCATCGCATGCTCCATGTCCATGGGATCGACAAGCATGATCGATGATTTTGCCTTTCGCATTGAATTGAGCGCATCTGCTTCTTTCAAACTTGGCGCTTCAAATCAAAATATTCTCAGTAGTGAACTGTGTGGGGTCCAGCTGAAGCAACTTACACATCGGGCAAATGGCAGCTCCGATTGACAATATGGCAAAAGATGCAACGGGAACAAGGTAGCTGGATGTGGCCAGAAGAAAAACATATGGTGACTCCGGCAGAATCAGACCTCGGTCATCAAACGTGGACCTTTTCGCGTTAGTCCAGACTCTTTGGCGCGTTTTAATAACATCAGCCAGGAGTTGGGTATAATCAGCGGTAATGCCGCTCAGGAAATCAACGATGATATCCCGTTTGCTGGAACGAGCTGCTTTGAACAACAGACGTAGTATCTCATCATCAGGAAACAATGTGTTTTGGTAGCTGACGGTCATTGCGATGAGCTTTGTGACGCGGATTGAGCTTCACAGATAGGAAGCGACAAAGTATTGAGTGCATGCAGGGTCAGACTTTCGAGGCGGCAACTGTATGCTTGATATGAATACCAAATGCAACCCAGGAGCCTTTTCAGCATTTGATGACAAGCTCCAGGCACCACCAATTGAACCCCTTTTTCGGGCATTGCTCATGTTGAACGTACAAATTTGCTCCACAGCGACCCTGCAGCCGAGACATCGATTCATATTCCGATCGGAGGGTGGGGAAACATTCACTGTGGAACCAGATCGGCATCGACTATTGAGATGTATCTATGTATAGTGGCCTAACAAAAGTATTGGCACCCAAGTACGTCTGCCCCTACACATTTCACTAGGGTGCCAGGCTAATGGCGGTTTGAGAACCAAATGACCAGCTGCGCTAGTCTACGCTAGATTGGGAAAAGAGTGGCCCGTGGCGGTTCTGCAACCCTTAAACTGCCAGTAAAAAAATTGCTGATCAGTATGCAGAGTTATAATAGCTTCCTTTTAGAGTTCAATATCACACTTGTCCTACTTCAAGCTTCTTACAGACTATGCCTCACCGAGCTGCTAATTATTGAGAACAAAGTATGCTACACAATTTACTAGCTATTTTAATGGTAATTAGTATGGAAATGGATATTCAGGAGATTTTGGGACGTTTTGCTGGCAGAGAAATGGTGCGGCCGAAGTCACTGAATGCGAAATACTTTTGTTAGGTGACTGCGACTGTACATACACCAGAGCGCACTTGCATGAGGCACGGAGACATGCTTCAAAAATAAGCAGCTGAGAAGGGCTAAATATTTAGCAGAAGTCCAGAATCCACATGATCTACATCCCTTGCATTGGGAATTGCTTTTAACTTCATTGGATGAAATGTGACTTCGTTGAGAGAAGAAACTTAAATTTGTTTCTATGCTCGATCGCTCTGAAACTTCGTAGCAGAAGAAATTGACCCCGAACGGAAAACTGGTGAATTTGTTGGGTCATAGTGTCACCAAAAAGCTTGTTGGGGTTTGGGTTGATGCACCTTACTCTGGGACCAAAGGAAATATACTTATGGTGTAATATAAAATTTATCACTTTCCCTTGTGGAAATGATAGGACAAAAAGATCTCTTTGACCTTCGGTTCTTCCTTCCTTTGCCACTCTCAGAGCTGTAGGCGCCTGTCTCGCAGATAAACATAGTCCGGCATGGCTGCAACGACCCACTCTCGAAGCTGCAAGCCCTCTTCCTCACCAAACTCATCTTTCCATTCCACCAATTCTGTCTCCAGATTCCTATCACCTGCCAGTTTATCTTTCTGAATGCCCGAAGAAGCATGTAGTGTGTCACGCATGCGTTGTTTTAAGGGGTGACACTTCGCGACCTCCTCTTCCGAGAGCGGCTTCCACGAGAACTGCAATTTTGTCTCATCCAGTCCAACCAGTCGGCAATACTTTTTCAATTCCTCCGGGGAGGTCAGGATATCGTCAGCATCCAGGATTACTGGGCCTTGCTGGCACTCCTTGCATCTTTTTTGTTGTTGCCAAATGTTCATGTACCAGTCGTACAACCGCCTTGTCCATCTCATAGTCATCGTTCGGTTCATTTGGCCCTTAGCATATTTCATTTGCCTTTTATGTGCGTTGCGAGCTGAGTGAAATACGCGGTAGTATGAGGGAAATGCCACGATAGGGTTTCGGATGAGAAATGTAGGCAGCCAAGTCATCAGAAAGGCGTTCGGGAGAACCGTGTCATTGCAGAATAAATCGTCCATGATGCAATCGAGAGATTTAGCCTGGCTCCACTCATCCGGAAGCTGGATCTTCCAAGGCCCATCGGGCATCAAAGCGAGTTCCTGTTGTGTTGAACCGAACCTCATGAGTGAAAGGGGGTCAATCATGGCAGGAGCATGTTCTTTCGCAACAATCCTTTTTCCTGCGGCTTGTGCATCCGCAGCCTGAGCTTGAAGCTTGTCGAAGCAATCCTGGAACAAATCCTGAATCTCGGACCGCTGCTCTTGTGACCATTCGCTATACGGGCGCTCCATCATACCCAATTGGCGCATGCGGAGAAGTGCGGGTAGAAAGAAATAGCCGCCATTTTCTTCACAGAGTGTATTAGGTTGCTCGGGCATGTTGAGGATCTGCATGAGAAGATTTGAGGCCGTTCGTGGGTAGGTGATTATTAGAAGCCGTTGTCGGGACAATATATCTGGCGCCATTGCGAAATACGAGGGAGGTAACGAAAAATAGAATCACGAGAGCAAGTGATGGGATTTGAGGTGAAGGCTTCGTCGAAAGAAGGAGAAAAAATGAAGATGGAAAGGGACGAAACGAGTTTAGGCATCCTGTGAGAACCCGAATTAATACATATTATAAGCAGCCCCTCGATCCCCTTCGAAATGTGATCTATCTATCTTCACCGACTTTTAAATAAGCAAGGGTTGCAGCCAGCCGTGTCACGGAACCCGCACCCTCCACCCTCTGCGTAGGGGGTGTCCCACAGCCAAAATGCAATTTTCAATTTCTTCAACATCTAGCTCATTTCCTAGGCGTACAAGGTCCAGGATCCATGAAATAAAGCCCATCAATAGCTTCATTATCCAATAACGTATCATCATCCTCGTTTTCAAGCGTTTCCTCTAATTCCTTCGCCGCTAAATCGGCCGCTATTTTCACTGCGTCCTTTCGCCAAGTACGAAGCTCCGACTCATCTTCTTTCTCACACCTGCGCTGCACTATCCTATTACCTGAAATCGATGGAAGGGGGCTCTTTTTAGCTCCCTTTACCCATAGTTTGCTTACTGGCTTTTTCCCAGGCGTTTTGTGGCTAAGGGCGCGTGTAAGGCTCATCTCAGCAAGTTCCGCATTGTACAGAGACGACTTTCCGGCATCAATTGCGCGACGCACATGCTTCCAAATTTTTCGTAAATCAGGACTCGGGCTACCAAGTAGTTGGAAAACCGCCTTCTCTAATTTTGCAATACACAAATAAGAATTGGGCGGGGAATTGGTTGCTGAACTTGGGAACTCGCGGGCGGATGACGGTGACGGTGACGGCTCGTCGTATATTCGTAAGGTCTCTTTATCCGAATACTGCCCTAAATTATTCAAAACTTGTGCAGGATTCAGTGGCCAGATACCAGTAGATTCAATCGAGGATAGAATAGTTCTGCATTTTAGGGCACGGTGTCGGACGTCATCAATCTCGCGGAAAAAGTCGCGTTTTTCATTGCTTCCACCTCACGCCACAGCTTCACTATTTGCCATTTTAAAATGCTGCTTTAGGCTTAAAAAGGCTTTAGCATCAAACGGCTGACATAGATGAGTCGTGTGAGGCATGAAAAACCAAGGAATAATCAAGTTTACCTTACAAAACCGAAAAATTCGATAGTTGTATGTGACGCATGATTGTCCATTAGCAAAAGCCTCGGTCGCCCGCGTTTTACGCGGTTTTTTGTAGCTTCATGAAACGAGCAGAGCCATCGGTAGGCATTCTCACTATCCGTCCAGCCATTAGACGTTAAATGGATGATTTTGTACGCCGAAGAAGAGGTTGACATGTTGTTGTACCAGTCTTCCATATGGAGGCTGCCTTTGACTAGAAACCATGGAAACATAACCCAGCCATCAGCGGCGATACATTCAATGCCAGTAACAGTTTTGCCACGATCTCTAGTGGCAATGCTAGCATTTTGACGCGTAGAGATAACGTGTTGATTGAGTCCTTGGCCAATTTGGAAGCCAGTTTCATCCCAGTTATAGATCTCATGAGGCTCGAAATCATGCTCACGATAGAGATAAGCAAGCCTATCGTACCAATTGCTAATAATCCCAGGATCCTCAGCTTAAATACGTAAGAATTCCTTCGGATTTTGGGTAATAAGCTTGATGTGTGGAGGTAGACGCCGTATCAGCCGATAGCTATACATCGAGCTCACAACTCTCTCCGAACCGGCTATTTTCAACAGGCGATTTGCGGCAAATTCAATGTCTTTTGCAGTTGGAGGTGGATAGCAAGAATTTAGCAATTCGATCCAGCTAATCAATGCATTTTCCTGATTCGAATTTAATGCATTATTGGTGGTAGGGCGATCCGAGAGAGATGTCCGTCCGTTTTTGCGACCGCGAAGCTTCGAATAAGACACGCGATAATGGCCCGCAGCCTTGCGTAGGGACGACAATTTTTGCGTTTCATAAGCCTCTAATGCCTTAGCTAGAAGAGCCTCTTCATCAAGAGCTTTTTTGGCATTTTTTTGGTGGGTAGAAATACGCGTAAACTTGAAAAAGTAGGAAATTTGCATTTTGCATACAATTGATTCTTCAGCAAAATGTCAGGTCTGTCTCGCAGTCACCTGTCTGCCTTGCACATAAACACTTACTGCCTTCGTATACGCCTTCTCTTCACCAATTTCTCTCCTAAATTAATGATTACTGGACGGTGGGCGGTGAAGCGCCGGCTCGCCCTCCAAAGTTACGGGTGGAAAGACGGCCGTTTCTGGCGCAAAAAGTGGTCATTTTCGGCGTCATTTTCACAGGTCCTCATATTCTAGTTGTAAAATAACGTAACCTACTCAATTAAAGTCTCTCGTCTGAAACATGTGAATTCTTCATCATCCCATCCGCTGGGAAAAGCCAGCTACTATACGGAAGATAAAGTGTACTGTACATCAAAATGTTCATCACAGAACAGACACCGGAAGCGGCCAAGCCAGATCTAAGGTGATATGGAGGCAGCCAAGCCAAATAGCTCAACAAACTAACATAAGAAACAGATTGATAACATGAACAAGAGGAAAAGGAATCAGGTCAATCCATGCGCATCACAATAAGCGCAAGCGTAACATATAGAGTTGTCGTTCGTCGCAGGGCATGAGATAAATCAAATGGGAAGAAGAGTGTCGAAATGAATCAAAAATAGCAGTATATCAGACGAGGAAAACAACCGTCTAGCTGCTATCCGAGACAAATTAATTTCTATAGGTCAGTTAGTCAGTCAAAAAGGCTCTCGTAGCAGATCATGCAGCATATTTTTAACAGAAACCGAAGTTAAAAGCCAACGGGGAGTAGGAGGATAAGGGTATACTAACAACAAGCCCAGCGTCAAATCACCATGAATCTTCGCCTTCAATTGAATCTCAATATCCAGATTCAAATCCAGTCTCAACCGCAACTGCTCATCACGACCACCATCCTCTTTCTCCTCCTTCTGTCCACCGCCCAAAATGCCTCCAACGGCCTTTCCAGCGGACCCAGTGACGCCATTCAGCGCATTACCGGCGGTATTCTGCACAAGTTGGCCGGCCTGGTCTACGCCGCCGAGGCCACCGAGGGGTCCGCCATCTTGGCCTTGTTGCTGCTGGGGCTGGCGGGTGCGGCGGGTGCGCTGACGGCGTTGCTCGGGTTGTCCGTCCATGTCGTTGCGGGGAATGGATTCGACGTCTGAATCTTGGACGCGTTGGGGTGGGCGGGTTTTGCGGCGGCGGCGTTCGGGTTGAGCCTTTGGTTGAGGTTCGGGCTCGGGCTCAGCTTCGGGTTCAGGTTCAGCTTCCTTTTGCTGATCCTCGTCTTCTTCTTTTTGATCGTCGTCTGAGTCGGGCTCTTGTTTGCGCGGCTCGGGTTGATCTTCCTCCTTGTCTTGATCCTCAGGGGTATCTTCGGCTTGAGGCTTCTCGGACTCTTCTTGGTCTTGTTCTTGTTGACCTTGCTCGGAGGGAGGAGGAGTCTGTTCTTGTTTGGCAGGGGACTTCTTGCCTAGCTTAGGAGGGGCACGCTTGGGCTTGTTTGGGGTAGTGGAGGTAGAGGAGTCCGGGTTGGGAGTGGAAGGTTCCTGGTCGGCCATGGTGGAAAGAAAAGAAGAAGGAAAAGTTGCTTTGGGGGGATAAGGAGGGGAATATGAAGTGATGGGATGGAGACTATTTGGGGTTAAGAAGGACCAAGCGGGGGGATGTAATGTATGTACTATTAGGTAGTACTCTAGGATGCAGAAACCGATGTAATTGTTCTGTATGTGAGAGAGGGGGGTATGATGTCGGCGGATCCTCACGTCAACCACTTGTTCAATCTCGTTTATATCATGAGAGGCTGGAAAACCGGTGGTGATGGGGTTGTAAGTGGCGCCTCCGACGTCAGACGATGGTCCGGGGTATACAGACAGTTGGGGTGTGTTTCTATTCTTTTTTTATATTATTTCATGTGGCTGTTTTGTGGCTGGGGAGCCAACCAGGTAAATGGTGAAATTGAATTATCAAAAGGCTGGCTGGAAATTGGAAGAGAAAACGTTTCAATTGCCAGAGATCTCGATGAATCTGGAAAAAAGTGGAAAGTGGAAAGTGGGGTTCCAACACATGTACAGTATGACGTCGGGGCTAAATCAGACTAGCGGGACGACCTTAAAACAAGAACCTGGAACGCCTCCGAATGGCGCACAGGGCCATAGACTCCAAGTATTCTAAGTATTATTCTAAGTAATATCTCCGATGATGGATAACGGTGCGATCGGCAGACTAAAATCGGACTTGTAGACTCTCAACGGGGACAATCCTTGTGGCGTGGGATTTCTATTCTAAGAAGTATGTACAGTACTTATACACTGTAGTTCAAAACATGACAGAATCTTGTATTTCAACCAGCCAATCTATAGTTCCTATCCATTACTCCGTACTACATTATTACTTACGACTATTACCACTATAGTAACTACTACCTATTGTACCTGTACATTTTGTAACACTCCCCAGTCCGTCCTCCCTCATCCATGCAGGATCCACAACGCCAATCATCGTGCCGCCCGGGCCATTTTGGCACTGACATCCTGACACCCTGACACGCCAGCCCCCGTATGCTCCACTTTTATAAATGAATGTCGACGTAATACCCATTGTAGCACTGGACAATTCAATCTCCCCATGACGACACTGGGCAGATATCCTAGATTTCTGTGGGACAAGCGTACAACCATACGTTCAGCCACATGAGGGTGTTAAACGGGGTTGCTAATTTGCCAAATCTGCTTGCTAAATTGGTGGTTCGGCCGAACGAAATGACGAGTTAGGTACCAGAGAATACGTGAGAATATGCCCGGAAATGGGAGGCAATTTCGGAGGAATTAAGCGAGGAAGGAGAGATTGGTTGACATGGCTGGGCTGGACTCCATGATAGGGGCCACGAGGCAAACGTGTTTCCACGGGTCTGTCCCAGGGACAAGAACGGGGCATGACAAGTTTGACAGGATGGACATGAGTGACAGAAATAATTCAACCGGATAGTGACTAGGTAGTAACTTTGGTTGCTATGTCTTATAGTGTCTGGGCTGAAGTATACTCCATGTACCCCTTACTTTATACGCCCTGGGCTAGGCCTCCAACTTTTACTGGACATGACGTGATGTTCGTCGAACATTTAACTTGTTTCTATTGTTACCTTTGTTTCATCCATTACATTCATTACAGTTCTTACCAAACTCTTCCCAAGTATTGTAGTAGTAGTCCGTCCCCGGTGGAGCTGCATTGCACCAGCCGCCAACGTCATGGCTGGTGTCTACACTGACGATGCCGATGATGCTTGCTCCCCCGCCTCTTTGCTTGATCCTTTACCTTTTTTTAATTTTTGTATATCCAAATCAAATTCAATATCATATCACCGCTTGCCTCTTTTTTCCAATTTTCTGTCTGCTCACTAATTGCTCCTACCTCCCCATTTCGGTCCCTGCATTATATCCATTCTTCGTCGCTTCCATTCTCCTCTCCTCATAGCCCTATTCTAACTAAAGACACACACCTCTACATACCCACACACATCATGGCGACCGCCGAAAAGACCAAAGAGCAGCAAAAGCAGTTCCAAGTCCCCGACTACGATTCAGAGGAAGACTACGACAGCGCCGACGACGACATTGAATACTCCGAAGACGAAGAGGAAGTCCAGACAGTCCCAAACAAAAACCAACAGCTCCAACGCCGCCGGCGGCAACAGCAGCAACAGTCTCAGGGCGACCTCGACGAGTACTCCGATGAAGATGACTATGACTCCGAATATGACGATGATGATGACTACTCCGACGACGAGGTTATTCAGGGCAAGTCCATGCAGCCTTGGTCACAGGGTACCACCTCTGGGGCTCCCTCGGGGGGTATGAATGTCATCCCGCAGGAGCAGAAGAAGAGTCTTGATGATGAGGAGGGTATGAAGTTGAAGCTGGAATTGAATCTGGAGATTGAGATCGAACTCAAGGCTCGTATTCATGGTGATTTGACCCTGGCTCTAATGTAAGTGGTTATCCTTTTGTCCCCAGTATGTCATTCGCTCAACGTGAATTAGGAGTTGATTGCCCAACTACAGTGCCTGAAACATTGTATCCCTCCGCATACTCTTCGGTCTCTTCCATACCTTCTCGACCGGTCTCGTCGAAACGATTGCTCCTAGCTCGTCTCCTTCTGTCAAACGCCTATGATTATCACGATCGATGCCTCCGTCTTCTTGTTCTCTTTCTGTGCTCTTGTTGCGGCATTCTGCGTCCATAGAGCCTTGATTTTGATGGTCGTTTAATTGTTTTTTTTTTCCCACCTCGCTTGAATTCCACCTGTTGTCATTGTTATTTGTTCACTCTTGAAGCCATGTGTGATGTGTGATCGGCGCGGCGCAGGAGGTCGATTTACCGGACTCTGTACTTACTATCTCCACCCATGTATATATCTCCGCCTCTGCAATGAAATGATGTCGGTATGTACAGATGCCACAGTGTGGAAACCTATAAGATCGAATCATGTGTTCTCTATAGATATTTGAATTGCGACCGAGTAATTACCTTCCGTGGGTGCGGGAACTATATACAGCTTGGCATCTCTCTGCGTCGTTCTGCACATGTTGAATGGCCGAGGCTCGGGGCTTGGCGCAGATCGACGGAGCTCGGAGAAGTCAACTTTCACGTCTCCCAAGCACCTCTTCAGGTCTAAGTGCTCAATTCCTCCCTCAATACCTCGATTTCAATCTTCTACAATACCCAGCCGCCCCTTTCCATCCAAAATCCCAACCCACCGCCCACAATGTCGACCAAAGACTTTATCATCAAACACATGAACGCCGACCACGCCGACTCCCTCCAACTCTACCTCCAAGCCTACAACGGCATCACCGCCCATGAATCCCAAGGCGCCACCCTCGAAGACCTAACCCTCTCCAACCTCATAATCACCGCCCAAAAAACCCGCTACACCATCCCCCTCATCCCCGCAATGAAAGACTACACCGAAGCCCGCACCCGCCTGGTCACCCTGCACAAAGAAAGCCTCCAGAAACTCGGCCGCTCCGACGTAACTCTCACTGAATACCGTGCTCCTCGCGGCTTCCAAGCTGTCATATTCGGCCTGGTGCTCTTCACCTATGTCACCTGCTGGCAGCGCAGCAATCTCCTGCCCGGTGCGTTTGTCTACGAGAATATGGGGTTCAAGTTTGTTCCGGACTTTGCGCATTTCATTTATCGGATTTGGCCAGTGTTTTTCCCTAGTGTGCTGGGTATTCATGTTGTGGAGAGTGTGGCGTTGGCGGTGACCAAGTTGAGGCCTATGGGTGTGAAGGTTGGTTCGGGGTTGTGGTTTGCTTGGATGGGGTCGTGCTTTATTGAGGGCTTTGGGGCGTTTGTGAGGATTGGGGAGATTGTTAAGGAGGAGAGGGCTAAGAAGGGTGGGAAGAGGGAGTGATATGGTGACTTTGGAGCGTTGATAGAATGAGGGAATGGGAGGTATATACAAAAAACAAGATCGAGTGGCAGTCTTGGGCTTAATCATTTTATTCCTGATATCGAGGCACATGTTTTCTTTCTATTATGCTTGCTAAGCTGTATTTTAGTAGGCCGTGTAGTATACCACCGGCGAAGAGCAAGCTTGTCTTCATCTACATTTGAAGGTGCAATGATGATACTATTTATTGAATTTCTTGACAAGTTTAGCGGCATTTTCAAAGCTATCCTGGCAGTGATTTTAATAGCCGTCCCAGTAGTATGAGAGTGAAGCATGATTATCACCGATATCCCTCATCAATGTAAACAACAAGAAGTCACAGAATCACAGCCAAAACTCCGGCACATATTACTGTGATAGATCTGGCGATGATTGCTTGTAGTCGTTGATGGAAATACAAGCAATATTGGTCATGATCATCCAGCAATGAAACCCTCGATGATAGTTGAAAGCTCTCAAAATTGCAAGTTATCTTTGCATTTATTGTTTTTGGAGGTCACGTGGTACATGATCAAGCTCTATTGGGCTGGCCATCAGAATTCGAAATTGAGATTATCAATGGAATTTGACCGACCTCGCACATTGAGCCACTTTGAAATTAATTTTCCGAAATCTAGTCGTAAGATTATATTCAAAGCGACTACCGAGGGGCAAAGTTAAGTTTTTCTCCCAAGGTTTAATGTACGGAGTAGATAACCATAGTTAACTAGTTGATTGTCCTGTGACGAACTGGAGCGGGGAAGCCCGGCAGAAAAGCACTGACTCAGCAAACTAGCCGGACAGTCACGGGGCTGTACTAACCCATTTTGGGACTAGCGACAGTTAGGGCAACCGCACAAGCGAGCAACACAGTGGCCCTGCGAAATTCAACGGACTCCACGACCGCAACTCTCAACGACACCCAACGACAACCTATCCGTGTTCTTTGGTGAAGGGCCGCAGGTTAGAGGTGAGTTTCCAGCAACACGCCTTGACAATCCCTCAGTTCCTTTTCTTCTGCTTCGTCCGGGTCGCACATTTCGGGTTTCGACAAATTTCCACAACCGGGGCCACCTTCAATTCAAGATTTGAAGATTCTCGCCTCGTCCGCACAACTCTCCACAACACATCGTCAACCGTCCTCAGCCCTTGGAAAAAAAAAATTTCGATCAGACCCGAACCGTCGCTTGGAACGAAACAGAAGGATTGGATATTGGGAGGAAATATTCGCGCCGAACGAGTCGTTTCTAATTTTTCCCCCTTCGTCCTTGATACAGACCCCTCCATCAAATCGCAAACATGGGTATCTCTCGTGATTCTCGCCACAAGCGCAGCGCCACCGGTGCTAAGCGTGCTTTCTACCGCAAGAAGAGGTACGACATATCTGCCAGTTGAAATTGGGAATTCCGTTGCACTTCGGGGGAGATGATCTACTTTGTGTGTGGGATGATGTCTTCGGAGGGAAGAGGGGGACCGATGCTCGCAGTGCAATCCCTACATTTGGAGAACCCAATTCTTACCATCCTTTCTACCAACAGAGCCTTCGAGAAGGGCCGCCAGCCCGCCAACACCCGTATTGGCACCAAGCGCATCCACCTGGTCCGCACCCGTGGTGGCAACCAGAAGTACCGTGCTCTCCGTCTCGAGTCCGGTAACTTCTCCTGGGGCTCCGAGGGTGTTGCCCGCAAGACCCGTGTCATCGGTGTCTCCTACCACCCTTCCAACAACGAGCTGGTCCGCACCAACACCCTGACCAAGTCCGCCGTTGTCCAGATCGACGCCGCTCCCTTCCGCCAGTGGTACGAGGCCCACTACGGCCAGGGTATCGGCCGCAGACGCCAGCAGAAGACTGGTGAGACCACCGAGGAGAAGAAGTCCAAGTCTGTCACCAAGAAGCAGGCTGCCCGCTTCGCCGACCAGGGCAAGGTCGAGGGCGCCATTGAGCGTCAGTTCGAGTCCGGTCGTCTGTTCGCCGTCGTTTCTTCGCGCCCCGGCCAGTCCGGCCGTGTTGACGGTTACATCCTGGAGGGTGAGGAGCTGGCTTTCTACCAGCGTGCGATTCGCAAGTAAACGAAAAAGCAAAAGGGAAACCATTCGGTTAGGAGAGCCGCATGGGTTGTCGTTGCACGGGTGGTTATCGGAGTTTCAGCTATGTTTACCAGAAAATTTTCATGATCTGGGCATCCACGGATGCAATGTCTGTAGAGCTCTGAGCCGTCAATTACATGGGAATGATTCCTGTTTACGTTTACGTGCTGTTTCTTTTGGTCGTTTCGAATTTTTTTGGTCTAATTCTTTCCTAAAAGGGGAAATTCCTCTAGGTTTGCCATTTGTAGAAAACTTTACGTATCAACTGGTTCTCTGGATTCCTTGATTCAGTGGGGTTGGAAGCTGCACTGCCATCGCTGACGTCCCTCGGGAACCTTCAACCCTCCCCGCAATTTCATCTCGACTTTACACCCTCCCCTTCCCTCATAAAACATAAAAATAATATTCCTCCTTCCCTCTCTTCTACAGCCACACCATGGTTTCCTCAACGGGGATAAAAACCCGAATCTGCATGATCTCCGACACACACACCGCGGCCCCGTACTCCCCACTCCAAACCTCATATGCCTACCGCAGCCCACTCCCCAAGGCCGACGTCCTCCTCCATGGCGGCGATCTTACCAAAGTCGGCTACAGCGTCGAACATGAGGCCATGGTCTCGATGCTCAAAGCCGCCGACGCCGAACTCAAGCTCGTCATCGCCGGTAACCACGACATCACCCTGGACGAAGAGCACTTCACCACTTTCGGATATCGGCGACATCGCCGACCAGAATGGCTCGGCGGCAAAGGCATCCTCCTCGAAGACGACGAAAAGTCCCTATCAAATGCCATTCGAGCCGGCGATGTCCCCGCCGCAGATAAAATGCAGGCCTACGTACGACGCGTGAAGAATATGTATACGAACGAATCAGCCCGTGCCGCGGGGATACGTTACCTCGAAGAAGGCGTCCACTCCTTCACCCTCTCCAATGGCGCCAAATTGACCGTCTACGCCTCGCCCTATCAACCCGAATTCTGTCGCTGGGCCTTCGCATACCCTCGCTCCCAAGATCGTTTCAATCCTCCCCTCCCCGGCTCGTCAAACCCCCAACCCGCAAATCCAGTCCCCGACTTCCCCAACGTCGACATCATGCTCACCCACGGCCCTCCCGCACACGTCCTGGATCTCGTCGGTCGAGACGAAGGTCACCAGCAACACGTCGGTTGTCAACATCTCCTTCGAGCCGCTGAGCGCGCCCGACCACGCCTGTACATGTTTGGACATATCCATGAGGGGTGGGGAGCTATCCGCGGCTCATGGAATGCCTTTGCAAACGGTGGCATTCAACTAGAAGAGGTTCCCACCGATAAGGAAGATATGTTGGAGCGACGCGGGGCATACTATGATATTAGTTCGGGGAGTCAGCGGCCGTTGCGGGTTGGGGCCGAGACGTTGTTTGTAAATGCCAGTATCATGACGCTTGGTTATCATCCGGACAATGCGCCTTGGGTGGTAGACTTGGATCTTCCACCTGCGGATGTGCAGATGCCATCCCGTGTATGAATATATTGATACGACTTGATGAGAAATGAATATATCGTTACTATAGACAGGAGTGTGCTCTATCTTTTTACCGAAGTTGTCGTTATGATCTTGGCGGGTATCCATAGGTTTGTTGGGCCGCGGCTGCAAAGCGATCCTCGTTGCATGATTTGGAGCCGGGTACTTGCCATTGGTTTCCAATTTTTAGTGTTGTCCATACTTATTTCTTCTGTAATTTCATTCTTCTGTCTCGGTTATTACATCGGCCATAAGATAGAAGTTCCTTGGCGGGCTGTTGTAAATATATATCCATACAGCCTCGGACCGTGATACGACTGAACACAACATGTTGGGATACCTAGGATACGTTCTACGAAAATTATTTCCAATGTTGAGATCAAACTATAGAAACCATCTCAAAAAACAAAACAAAAAATCAACGTCAACAAGGATGAATTCAATAGATAAAGTGGAGCTCGGTCCGGGTAAATCTACACGGAGAAAGCAGGAGATTTGAATTTGTTGTGAAATGGATCGAATAGAGCAATTGCTTGATATATCTAGGTGCAATGACAACAACCGTCACGACTCCCTCATTAATATATACCCGAAACCGCAACGCAAATATAGCTACGGACGATAGCCTCATGTAGATGTATCAGGGACTGGGACCCCATAGTCAAACGAAGATCGGTCTCCAAGCCGGAGAAAAAGAAAGTGAATAAAGCAAGCGAGAGGCATCTCTCAGAGAAAGGAAAAATGAACCAGCAAATCAGCCACCAACGCCTGCATAAAATGATATACAAAAACAATGACAAGGAGGAGTTTAGACCCTTCAAGGGCCACCACCGAGACCTGTATTGGAATGGATTAGGATTTGATGAAAACAATATGGAGGTGGGAGAGACTTACCGGCAGCATAGGCAAGGTACCAGGTACGGGAAGCACCACCATCGATCCAGCTGTAGTCAAACTTGTGCTGGGCGAAAAAGTCCCACGATGCCTGAGGATCGACCAGGGCAAGGTTTGCAAACAGAATACCCTTCCAACCACCATCTACATCGGCCGCAGGAGTGGAAGCGTTGGCAGCAAACATAGCCTGCCACTCCTCAGCAACAAACTGTGGCTGACGGGTATAACCCGAGTTCGGCAGCAGAGGCAGCATGTGGATGCCCTGAATGTACTCCAGGTTGCTACCAAAGTAGGTGGTGTGGTCAACCTTGTTCTCGAACAGAATGCCCGTCACCTTGTTCGCGATAAAGTTGGATGGCTGGTTGGTGTTGTTGCTCTCCATGAGGAAGTAGTTGTGAAGCGAGCGGCGGAGGATGGCCAGCATCATATTTCCACGAGCCTCCATACTGGCATCACCGGTAGTCTGGCCCCACATCTTGATAGCATAGGCAAACATGGTATCTTCAGAAGTAGACTCTTGGTCCTTTCCATCGAAAGATTCGAAGAGGCCCTTTGCCCACGAGTGACCATTGAACCAGTCAAAGGAGCGCGAGAAGGGGAAGTAGGGGTCATCCTCGACAGAGTTGCCGGCATCACGGACAAGCATGTTGACCCACTCCTTGTTTTGAGCCAGCCAGGTCGGATCAAGGGAACCAATGATCGCCGCGGCCTGAATGAAGTAGCCATAGTGGAAATGATGATCGTTGTAAGCAGTGTTGCCAAAGTCGGCGTTCAAGTCACCATCATAGCCGGCAGTTGACACAACTCCCTTCCAGACCGAATCATAAGCAAGTGGATACTGCTGCTGATTCTGCACAAAGCGAGCAAAGCACTTCTTGAGTTCCACCAGGGCAGCGTGCGCGACATCAGGGTTATTGCCTAGGTTGCTGACTGTCCAAACCAAGGTCGCAAACTTACTCAGGGCCTTGCCGCTGTAGTACATGCTGTTCAGATTGGTTTGGCCATCGATGTCCTGCTGCAGCTCAACAGGGGCAATTTGGACAATAGCTCGCTGGGCATCCGCAGACAATGTGTGAACATTGCCCTTGGTAGCTGACCACGGAGCGAATCCCATGTCCATCGGCAGATCTGGCTCAGCCATAATCCAGCTCTCTCCAATAACAGCAGTCGCATTTCCCTTGGTGGTAGTGCGAAGGTGAATATCAGTGGCGCGAGCACGAGTACTAACATCAAATGACTCGACATGGTGAGGCAAAGCGAACATGATGAGGGGAGTGCCCTGAGCATTTTTACCAGCCTTGGTCCAAGACAGGCTATAAGTGCCTGCAGTGCCGGTGACAGCACCAGAAACGGCACCCTCAACAGGATAAACACCAGCAGAGTTGTCAAAGAACTTCTCACCCGCAATGCCGCCGGAATTCTTGGCGATTTGAACGGTCCCGCTGAACCCAGCAGGGCCGCGAAGGCTAGAACTGGTGACCAGTTTGAACTCAGGGTCTTTCCCATCATCGGGAGTAGCGTAAAGCAACCAGACGGTGTCATCCTCGAGGAAAAGCTGGTACTTGAAGATACCAGGCTTGGGGGATCCGGCATTGACAACCTTGCGGAAGAAAATGCCGCTCTCAACGAGGGGCTGCAGATCACTGTACACGCCGGTCACATATCCCATACCCTGGACAATAGGGAATGTGATGCTCTGAGCGGAACCGCCCGATCGCTTGAGGACAGCGTTGGCTGAGAATGCCTTGGGCTCCTCAACGTTCAAGACACTGGACTCATCCAGCTCCGATGCTGACAGAATAACGTGCTGAAGACCGATTGGGTTGATGTAGTAACCGACTGGACTTCCAGGAAGCGTGGGGTTCTTGGGACCATAGGCAAGGACATTGGCTTCCACATGAGAGACACTCATACCCCAGCTCTTGAGGTTTCCACCTCCTCGCGACCAGGCGACAGAGTAGGGCTGAGTGAAGCTAGAATTGGTTTGCGAGCCCAAGAAGAGACCAGCGTAGAACTTGTTGGTCTCAATTGGATTGGTGGCATTGGCCTAATTCAAGATTACCATTTTGCAGTATAAATGCCTCAATAATTGTATCTTACATGTTTGTTTTGAACCGGATGGTCGTGGCGAGTCTTGATATTGGCGGGAACTGCGCCAGTCGCAACGGGCTCGAAGATGTTTTGGTTATTCATTGTACCAACAGGTATGGTGGAAATCGGATCTGATGAATGTGAGTTTGCGCAAGGCACTTGGACAATGGTCATGGGATCATAACCCACCTGAAACAACAGTAGATGCCGGATCTGGGGAGTTGTCGTTTGGTGTGTCGGTGGTGTCTGTGGGCTGATGTACAGCTGGTAAGGAGGTAGAAGGAGGCAACAGCAACCCGCCGATGCCGTCCAGGAGGCGACCAACGTCGACAGTTGGAAAAGGAAGCTGTGATGGGTGACCGCGGTTGTCGAGGATAACTCGATAATCCTAATGAGAGATATCAATATCAAAGTGTTCCTATAGTCTCCAGACGCGCCAATTGAATTATTTCGAATGACTTACTGGTTCTGCTGCTGGTATGGCAATTCGCTGATTTGATGGAGGGTACTGAGTTTTGAAAGCTGAATCTGGATGTGTTGCTGATTGTTTCAAGACTTGTTCAGCAGTAGCGGCTGCTGGCTGTGGCAGACAGTTTACTGAGTCTGCAGCAAGAAGCCATGTTAGCATAGCTGTCGTTTTCCATATAGCAGCCATGGTGCTGATTTCAAAGTGCGCCGCCAAATTCAACCAATTGAGGAGCCCGATCAATTCAATTGATATTCACTGCTCTAACAGAAAGCCAGATCTATGCTTCTATTCGTCCTCTATAAAGAACACGAACTAAACAGCACAGCAGTGCAAGCTCCTGGGTTGTCGAGAGGGCGAGTCGAATACACCAACAGAACAAAAGAAAAAACAAGCAAAAAAAGCAAAAAAGGGCGCATGCGAGGAATAGGGACCTACAAGTATGCTTCACAAATTCCAGGAGATACACCCAGCTGCAAGTGAGCTCAGATTGGATTGTTGTGACTGGCTTGCAGAAGGAATTCCGGGACTGTCGATCCTCATGGGACTATGGCTCGTGTGCGCGCGGATGTCCACACCGTTCAGAAATGAAGTGGCCAGTGCTTCCACGGGGTACACAGCGCGTGTTGAGTCCAGCAATGTAGGGCGTAGGAAGCAGACAAGACTGGCTCTGCGAGTTTCGTAGTGCACGCCCCAGCCGCGGATGTTGTCCCCACTACCAAGAATGTGCCGCGGGGGCGTAAACACTGCGGACTGTGTCCTGGAGGCAATGTGATGGCGGGAGTTGTACGTCTCCGAGGGATGTTGATCCTATTTAGCTAGACTTTCAAGCGATACAGCAGCAGGAAAGGGATTCGAGCAGCTTATGAAGAAGCGGCTCGACGTCTAATAACACCGTAGGAGCGAGCTGTAGGCAACGGTGTTGATTGATGGCCGTGCCAAGGATGTGGAGCTGGCAGGGACCACAGTCAACCAGCACGCGATACTGCGATAGTTCGCGATGACTCGAAGCCGATAAATCACACAGCGAACCCATGGCACTGTCATGACGGGCCGAGTGGTTCATTCATGAGCCTTATCCCAATGGGCGGGATGGTTCATCGAGTACCGCGAGATTGAAAAGTCGCGATGGCAGGCAGCATTCCAGTTCTCGGTCGAGGCTGGCCCTTTTTGCCCTACGGCGCCTCCTCGTCATCAGACAAATACACATGGAAGAACCTGATGACGGCATCCCGAGGGCTGTAAGAAGGCTGGGAAGATTAATGAGGTGGATGATGGAGGGGAAGTTCTACGGACTGACCCAAGGAAGAGGAGTTCTGTGGGAGAAGTATAAGCTATACGAGATACGAGGAAATACGTCGCAGAGCATGGAGATTTTAATTTGGACCATGCATAATGCTTAGCATGATTGAAATTCAAATGGTATTTCTTTTGGTGCCGATGACCGCTGTAGTTGACTAGACTCGGCCTAAATATGCAATGTAAAACGAATATACAAGTCGGCAACAAGGGTATCGTGATATCTCGCTCTTATTTAGACAGTAGGCTTCTCCAGGGGCTTGATGATACCCTGCTTGATCATCACGCGAGGCTTGGTGCTGGTCTGGTAGGTCTCCTTAGTAGACCACTCAGGACCGATAGGCATGCGCAGCGACCGCTCGTATTGCGCCTTGGTCTCAAACTCATGAGGCAACTGGCTAGCCATGTACTTTTTGTTCTGGAGCAAAGAAAGTTAGCATTGGGATGTGCTCCTATATAGATGGTGAAAAGGAACATACCTTTTGAATACGCTTCTCGTTGATGATGACACGAGACAGCTTAGCATCCTTGCGCTTCTCCGGCTTCACGCCCTCCACCGTGGTGAGGTTGCGCTTTTGCCTCTTCTTCTCCCTGTTGCTGATACCATCACCGGCCCAGCTGCCCCATCCTTCAAGCGTGTTGTCCACAACCTTGTCGCCCTCATCTGCAATGGTGTCCATCTTCTCCTGCTCAAAGTCTTGCACCACCTCATCGCCGGCGAACGCTCGCTTCACGAGATCGTGGTTCTTCAACAGAACAGGAACATTGTCGTCGTCACTGTCATTTCCTTCGTCACGCTGCTGGGAAGGCACTGCTTTGACGGCTTTGCCCTTCTTGGGAGCGTTGGCCTGGGAGACCTGGGGTTGTTGGGCATCGAGAGAAATGTCAATCGTCTCCTGAGCATCCGTACCGGTGCGTCGGCGATTGGTGCGTTCGGTTTGCACGAGCCAGGGGTTTTCTTCTTCAGCCGATGGCTCAGTTTCTTGGCTGAACATCTTCTGTGTTGATCGAGAAATGGTCTTTGGGGCAGATGTAGTAGCAAACTTCTGCTTTCCGGGACGGTCGACAATGATATCAACATCCTGTTCAGGCCGGCGGGCATCGTCGTCCGAGTCAATTGCGTCTTCAAGGACGTCCTTGGGAAGAGCTTTCGCCTGGGACTTGGCTTCTGCCTTGTCGGACTGACCGAACTTGCGTCGTCCTGTCTCCGACTCAGCCTCAGACTCCGACTCTTCGCCATGGAGTTCACGATTGAGTCGACGAAGCTCGGCGTCATTCTCTTCTTTGCGAGCGGCTTCTGCGTTTTTCATAAACTTCATGGAGAAAAGAGCAGAATGAGGGCCCTTGATTTCCTCGTCGGGAGCCTCGCCTTCCAGAGCCGCGAGCTTCTCGCGCAGCTTACGCTTCTCGCGGTCCTCAGCATCCGATGCCCATGGATCCTCATCCTCAGACTCCGAGCTTGACGAACCCAGGTAATCTTCGTCTCCACGAGAGACACGCTTTCCTTCGATGCGCTTCCGCAGCTCCTCTTCTCTCATAGCTTGATCAGCGGCGCTGTTCCGGGCTTCCTCATCCCACGCAGTACGACCAGTCTGCTTGTTGCTCTTGGCCCACTTGCTGTCGCGGTGCTTGGAACCCATGCGTGCCTCAGCTCTCTTTCGCTCGTTCTCATCCCGCTCCGCCTCGTCGAGATCGACACCAGCTTCGAGGAGAGCCTGGCGCTCTTGCTGCTCCAGTCTTTCACGCTCCTTACGGTGAACACGACGGTAAGACTTGCTCTTGATTTTCTTGATCCGCTTCGCACGAACCTCCTCTCGGAAGAGCAGGTCACGTCTCTTTCTGAGCTCTGCCCGCCGAGCCTGGATTTCTTCGATAGGCAGAGTGCGGGCCTTGAGCTCTTCAAAGCCTTGAAGCTGATCTTCGGTGGACTTGCCGTTGGCCTCGGCCAATCCACTCTCAACCAGAATCTCTTGAATGGTAGTCTCCAAATCGGTCTTGGGCTTAGCCACATCTAGACGATGGAACTGTTGCGCATCGGGATCGGGAAGAGGGAAGATGAGGTGCTCGGCCTTGCGGTTGGCCTTGACCGTCTCAAGCCATCGATCAAGAGTTTCTTTGCTCTTCTCGTAAGCGGCGGCACGGTCGAGCTTATCCTGTTGGCGCTTTGCCAAAGGTGCGTCCAGCTTGCCCAGAATGCCTGACTTTGTTGCTTGCGGAGCGGCATCGACGTGCTTGAGGGAGCTCTTCAGGCGGGAGTCCGTAATGGAAGGAAGCAGATCGGCGACAGTCAATTTGCGAGAGGATGTCAATCCGTATTCGGTGGGCGTGCCCTGTTCTTGCGATCTTTGCTTGGGTTTTCTAGATCCGTCTGCCTGCATAGACTTGACAAAGTCCTGAAGCTTGGACAAACCATTTTTCTGATCGTCCGCATCGTCGTCTGAGAGGGACAGATCGGTGTCGTCGTCACTGGGGTCATCCTCACTGTCGCCTTCCGAGCCTGAATCCTCGTCGCTATCCTCGCCATCTGCAGCCCTCCTTGCCTTCTCTTCGGCTTTTTGGGCGGCCTTCTCCTCGGCTGCGGTGTTCATGTCCCAGGCGGTAAGCAGATCAATGCCATCTTCATCATCCTCATCGTCTTCATCGTCCCCCTCCTCTTGAGACTCGTCGACGTCCTCGGACAGACTGATCTCCGACCGCTTCTTCTTGTCGGTTTTCTTTGCTTTGGGCTTGGATTTATTCGAAGAGCTTCCGCGGAATGTGAAACCCTCAAAACGCTCCTCGTCACTTGATCCCATCGCTTCGTCACTGTCCAGAGATTCATCGTCATCACTGTCGACTTGTCCAAGCTTCCATTGGTGGCCTTCACTATCGCTGCCACCTTCGTCCGATGCATCAGTTCGGCGGCGCTTGTAGATCGGGCGTTCCTCGTTGTCTTCGTCCTCGTCGTCCTCGTCGCCTGTGGGCCTCTTCCGCCATGTTCCATCGTCGTAGTCACCGAGACGGTTGCGTCGTACACCCAATTTGGTAGGAATCTGTTCCTCTGCGCGAGAAAGAGCGTCAAGTCCGCGGCCCTTTGGGCCCCTCTGAGGTGGTGGCTTCCGCGCACCGCGGTCTTTCGGCGCCCGCGATTGTGTTTGCGCGCGAGGCATGGCTGTGATAAGATAGAAAAAACAACCGAGTGATAGACACAAGAGCTCTGGGTCCGTAAAGATAGAAAATAATGGACCCTGTAATTGCTAGGTTGGAGGGTTTGGTTTGGTAGACTGTACGACTTGTGTTTCCAACTTTTTTTTTCTGCTCCAGAAAAAAAGTTCTCGGCGCGGCGATTAGCGTGGTCCACCGTCCGACCGCCCGAACTTTTGTCCTCTGACCTCGACGGACCCTCACAACAGTCGCTTTCCCTTCCTCTTCGACAACCCCAATTTTCGCGAACATGTTCAAACCGTCACAGCCGATGATGGCGCGCTTGCGCCTGACCACCAAGCAGGTCAATGGCGGATACTACAAGGGTACCCGGACAGGCTCGATGGGTTACTTCGACCCTAAGGGCAACTACGTGATCGACTGGAAGAAAGTCCGCACCTACGTCGTCCCTGAAGGCTTGGACACTTTCAAGGTAGGCTTATTCACTATCCTACCCATATTGATGACTCGATAGCTCTTGCTAATCTCTAATAGCTCACTCCTTTCGTCTCTAAACGCATGGACTCGACACCCTCTGTGTACAAGAAGCAGATTGAACGGAATGGACGGACTTATACAGTGATCGACAGCATGAAAGGCACTGATTTCCTGGATCAGTGGTACTCCAGCAATCCCGATGAGGTGCTGGCGCGCGAAACAGCCGAGCGGGAGGCCATGGACGACTCGACAACCTCGAAGCAATAGTGCAATTCCCGAATCAGCCACAGCCTCCGGGCTTGATGCATCCCACTGCTATCTCAACGTATGTCCTTGATCACTCCTCTCATTTACTCGTCAAATGAGTCTAATCAGTACCCTCCTTCTAGTGGTTGAACACCTAACCTTGTCACCCACACCAACACACTCGACGGCCACATACCCCCGATCTACCATCCCATCGCTCGCCGGCCGATCGAATACTCCATGTATTATATGTACAGCATATTTGATTTACAATGGGCAAAGCCCACCATCATACAGCACTTACAGATGTCTTCTCATCTGCATATGGCTGACCCGAGTCCCGAGAACAAAGAGTTTGGACAGAGACTAAGATATTCTCTGGCAATTTGTGCTAGTTGCTCCCAAATGAAACTCCCACAAACCTACCTGTCTGCCATCGCACTACCCGGAATTTTCTCTTTTGTTGTAACGGATAACCCTCCCAATCCTCTTGTAAATACTCGTGCCTGCCTTTCCTATGCCTGTAGCCCTAGTGTGGCAATATGCCAGTGCCCACCGAACTGGTGCGTGGCCCGTGCGCCAAGTCCGATAAGGTCGCCATGCGCGCCCATATCGGACCGGCGTATGTCATAGTTCTTCACGTTCGCTTCTATTTGCCCAGCGGTGCACTATGGGCTTACATCTCCAGCGTTTCTTGCATCTCCAGCACCTCATCTTTGCATAGATCACCTCTCTTGCCTCCTCTTGATATCGCTGCTGTGTCCTAGGGTGGGAGGCCCTCCTCACCATGTTTCAGTCATTCACTGGAAGCTCTCGCCGTCCGAGGCAGGTCAACCTCAGCGGCCGCGCCAACAATCCCTTTGCTGCCTTCCCAGGTAGCTCGCCCGGTCGAAATACCCCTCATGCTTCAAATCCACAAAGTGCCGTCGCAATCGCACAGCAAGAACGCCTTCAGAGACAACGGGAACGGGAGAAACAGAATGCCGTGCGGGTCGTCCAGCGAGGGTGGCGGGGCTATCGCAGTAGGAAAGCTACATATGGCATGTGGAGGCTGGAATGGGACAACAATGAAAGGAAAATGATGGGAGCTACAGACCTGATGGCCGCCATCGAAGGTTCTGCAGACGACTTGGTCGTTGCATCGGACCCTCCTGCGCCATATGCAACCGCAGACCAGTGCCTCACTCAACTCCGCCTACTAGTCCAATTTGTCTCGCCACGAAGGCACGATGACATTCTCCGACTTGTACATTTTGTTGGTGCCTTCGAACGAACCTTTCGAACCCTACATACGATCGCAGCAGAGGGCGAATGGACCAAGCTTCTGAAACGGCTTGCCAAGTCAGTTCTCAGTGCACTGCACTCGGCTCCAAATGCTTCTGTCCCTACGACAGCCTTGGAGATTCTCTTAAGAGCGATCATGTTCCTGACGGGATTGATGCCGAAGCAGATGGCAACCATCGCAGAGACGTATTACGATACCATGGCATACTTGACAATTAATTTGTCAAGTCTGCAGCGATCAGAACAGAGCAGTGATCCCCATCGACCGGCCATTAATCCTGAGCTTCTCCAGGAAGCTGTTCTTGCCCTCCTCCGACCGATTACCTCCGAGACCATGTCTGCCTACGAGTCGTTCGCCGTTTCGTACCTCACAATTCCAAGCCTCGAGAGCTACCTGGGCAAGATGGATGAACTCGCCGGGCAAATAAACTATAGAATGCTATCGCTGGCGATCTTAGCTCACCTGGGATCTACTTCGCAACGCTCTGTTATTCTGGAAGACATTCAGGCGCGCACTTGGTTGTTATCATACTTGATTTACTTCCAACAACATACCTCTGGCACTCAGGACAGCTCCCATGCCCCAGAGCTTGAGTTTGTGATTGTTGTCTCTGATCTGCTGACCTCAACGGCTAGCTTCCTCGTGCAGGGCTTCGAGGTGGATGAATCCATCGATACGGATTCACCTCGGGGTGTGCGGCCTCTGCATCCCTTTATCAAGGATCAAATCAATAGCCTCATCAACCAAAGTAGCGTCACTGGACTGCTTTCTCGTATTCGATCATCCCCTCTCCCACAGACTGACTCGACAAATGAAGACTCCGAGGCATCGAAAGAAGCCAGGGTCCTTGCAAAATATGCCCTCAATTTACTGCGAATCTTCCCCCGACGAGGCGATGATATTCGGATGTGGTTGTATCTGGGCTCCGCTCCATCTGGCGAGCAAATTTCAGGCCAGCCAGATGCGAAGATACCGGCTATCAAATTCTTCTGGCAGGCGACTAGATCTAGTCGCATCTTCCAAATCATCAGCAGTGATTCGACAAAGGTGCTTCCGCTATTGCTCTTGCCACAACAAGCGAAGGAAACCACCGAAATCCCCCAAGATCAACGTGATCAAGAATGGACGACCATACTTCTCTTCCTTGAGCTGTATACTTTTGTTCTGAAGGTCATGGATGATGATGAGTTCTTCTCGAGCACGTCATCATTCACATCCTCGGATAACGCCAAACAATCGTGGACAAGAGAAAGTGCATTGCCGCTACGTGAGATTAGAGATATGACCGTGTTCTTGAAAAATCTCGCATTCACGCTTTACTGGAATGCGGTTGACTTGAGTGAACCAGAGACTGGGACGACGGGTGTGAGCTTGAGCAGCTACTTCAGTAGCAGCACACAGACGTCGGGCTCCGCGGTATTGGTCCCAAGTACGAGAGAGCTCGAATCCAAATCTCAGAGCAACAACCTTCCCGGAGTGACTGGAATCCCGCTTGAATACTTCAAGGGCCTCGTAACGGGTCTCTTGCGAATGTTGCATGAACGAGAGTAAGGCCTCCAAGGAAAACAGAGATCTGTTAACCAAAGCTAATCTGCATTTTTTAGTTCACGCCGCAAGTTCCTGCCGAAAGATCACTGGCTCATGACCAGCCGGTTTGATATGGAAGGTTTCATTTCGGCCGTTGTCGGAGAAGAGGAGAGACGACATGAGTTCCAAGCCCGAGCCGATGATTCGGGTGACGCTGACCTGATGGATGAGGATGAAAACACGCCAATTGGTCTTGCGGGGACTGGCCACGCTCAGCAGACCATCCGCCTTGAGTCTTTGCGGCGTCATCAGCAGCGGGTTGCCCGAGGAAGGGTGTTGGCGGCCATTGCACCCAGGCTGGAGATCCTTCGAAATATGCCATTTTTCATCCCGTTTGCCACTCGGGTCCAGATCTTCCGCGAATTCATCTTCCATGATCAACATCGTCGACGACACGGATTCGTTGATCCCGACTCCTGGCGTGCCTCTGTGGCTCAAGCTACCATGGGCCAAATGATCAACGGACACCCTGCTGTCCAGGATGTGCTGGCTCGCCACCAAGCCGAGATTCGGCGTGAAAATGTCTTCGACGACGCCCTTGCTCAGTTCTACCCACTGGGCGACGGTCTCAAGGAACCAATCCAGATCAGCTTTATTGATCGATTTGGGGCCATGGAGGCTGGTATTGATGGCGGTGGAGTGACCAAGGAGTTCCTCACTAGCATTACTAGTGAGGCATTTAAGACCGAAAATGACTTCAGCATGTTTGCGGAGAATGATCAGCATCTTCTATACCCTAATCCCACAGCTGTCGAACAGTGTAAGGAAAGCCTGCGGGAGGCTGCAGTGAGCGAGTCCAGCCTCAAATGGTCCGAACAAATCCGGGATCTCCTGCGTCGGTATGAGTTCCTTGGTCGTGTCATTGGTAAATGTCTCTACGAGGGAATTTTGGTAGATGTCAACTTTGCACCGTTTTTCCTGCTGAAGTGGGCATTGACGGGTGGTACTGGATCAGCCATGAAGGAGTCCTCTTACCGAGCCAATTTGAATGATCTGAAGGATCTTGACCAGGGATTGTACCAAGGCCTTGTGAGTCAAGCATCCCCCTTACTACGCTCCGTCACTTACTAATCCATTTGCTTTAGCTCCAATTGAAGAACTACCCAGGCGACGTCGAGGACTTTTCTCTGGACTTCACCGTGACTGATACGATTCCTATGCCCGGGTCAGCAAATCGGACTAAGACAAGAGAACTACGGTACAATGGCTCGAAGACGCCGGTGACGAATCAGAATCGCCTAGTTTATATCTCTTACATTGCACGCTACCGATTGCAGGTGCAGCCCGCCATGCAGACCAACGCTTTCCTGCAAGGTCTTGGACAGATCATCCAGCCCGCCTGGCTTTCTATGTTCAACCAGTCCGAGTTACAGACGTTGGTGAGCGGCGAGACCGGTGACATCGACGTCGAGGATCTTCGGCGCAACACCCAGTATGGTGGCGTGTATACCATTGGCGACGATAACCAGGAGCACCCCACTGTCCAGCTGTTCTGGAAAGTGATGCATGAGCTGAACAACGAAGAGCGACAGAAGGTCATCCGGTTTGTGACCTCGACACCGCGTGCTCCGCTGCTTGGATTTAGCCATCTCAACCCGCGCTTCAGTATTCGGGACTCCAGCGAGGACCAAGAACGACTTCCGAGTACGAGCACCTGTGTCAACCTACTCAAGCTGCCCCGCTACGCTACTGCCGAGATACTACGCAGCAAGCTACTCTATGCGGTGAGCTCTGGTGCTGGATTTGATTTGAGTTGATGATACTCATTTTAGCCCTCAACTTTGAACCTTCATTTTAGTATTTCCTTTGTCTTTTTACTCTCTGTATCTATGTACGCAGTTCTCCATTGGCCGTGATTCGTGTATGCATAGCATTGGAGTTGAGCAAATTCAAGGCTGTTTATTCAAAAATCAAGGTCTACCAAGGGCCGAGTAGGGCGATTTGAAGCTGGAGCGTCAAAATTGTTTGCTATCAATTCTCGCAGCGGGTCTGATTGTTTGCCTTGTGGGTTGAGTAGGCCGCGCTCGAAGCCTGGCTATCATGATGAGTCAGTTTCCTTCTTTGGTAATAGGCAGCAAACATTCCCACTCTTCTTTCTGCCTTCACAGCTTTCTGGCTTGCCTTCGCTTGGTCATAAAGGCTGCTTCTTCTCCTCCAACCTTCCTTCTCCAACCTTCCTTCTCCAACCTTCCTTCTCCAACCTTCCTTCGCCAACATTTCCATCTTCAACCCCTTTTCATCTGCACCAAAATTCTATCCTCAACAACCCTTTCCATTCCCACCAAACCTTTTATCCCTCTTCTCTAACCTTTTTACCCCCTCCAACCTTTCCATCCATACTTCTCCCGTCCCGTGACTGGCCAACGGCAAGCCCTTAAATCAACCGGCACCGCCTACCCAATCGGGACTAGCGCGGTCCCTCTAACTGTCCTCTGAGTTTTCCAGAACGACTTCTTCGCGGGTCGACTTTTTTTTCCTTTCTCCATCCCTCGATCTCCTACAACCCCTCTCTCTTTCCTAGGGAATCCTTTTTTCCTTTCGACCTCTTCTCGAAAGCCTAAAAAAATCCCCAAAAAAACCAGAAAATCCCCCTCGAAAAAATCTCACCCATTTATCTTATCTCTCCCCCTCCTCATTGTGCGGTGTGTGGAAGATTTTCATTCATCCACCTCTCTTTTTCCACTAAGGTTGGTTAACGCCCCCACGATTCCTTTTCTACACAGCACACACACACCCGGTTCGCTCGCCTTCCCTTAGATTCCCTTGGAGCTCATTTGTGGCTTGTGTCGTTGCACTGGTCATTGATTGTTCCTGCCACCCCGCTCGGATTGGTGCAATACCTCAAACAGCCCTTTGTTGCGCGGACCACTACCCTGTGTATGGCAACAGCCACATCCCCTTTGACACTCCTGCCCTTGACCTCACACCCGATACACCAATCCACGAAGTTTTCCTCTCGCTCAAGAGACTGTCTGGTCTGCGGTCGAGCATCGTGGAATATCTCTTCTCTCACTCATACCAAACTTCACGAGTCCCTGCTGAACTCTCACAGTCACCACAGAAAAGAAAAATTCAACATGTCTGCTGAGGCTGCCACCAACCCCCCCGCCGCTGAGGCCCCCGTCAACGGCACTCCCGAGGCCACCGGTGCTCAGGAAGTCGCTGCTGCTCCCGAGACCACCGCCGAGGCCGCCGCGGCTGCTGCCAACAACCAGCCCCACTCGGCTTCCCTCTACGTCGGCGAGCTCGACCCCTCCGTCACCGAGGCCATGCTCTACGAGCTCTTCTCCTCCATCGGCCAGGTTGCTTCCATCCGTGTCTGCCGAGATGCCGTCACCCGCCGTTCCCTGGGCTATGCCTACGTCAACTACAACAACACCGCTGATGGTGAGCGCGCTCTGGAGGACCTGAACTACACCCTCATCAAGGGCAAGCCCTGCCGTATCATGTGGTCCCAGCGTGACCCCGCCCTGCGCAAGACTGGCCAGGGTAACGTCTTCATTAAGAACCTTGACAACGCCATTGACAACAAGGCTCTGCACGATACCTTTGCTGCCTTCGGCAACATTCTGAGCTGCAAGGTCGCTCAGGATGAGTTCGGTAACTCCAAGGGCTACGGTTTCGTCCACTACGAGACCGCCGAGGCCGCCAACAACGCCATCAAGCATGTTAATGGCATGCTCCTGAATGACAAGAAGGTCTTCGTCGGCCACCACATCTCCAAGAAGGACCGCCAGAGCAAGTTCGAGGAGATGAAGGCTAACTTCACCAACATCTACGTCAAGAACCTTGACCAGGAGATCTCCGATGATGAGTTCCGTGTCATGTTCGAGAAGTTCGGTGAGATCACCTCTGCCACTCTCAGCCACGACCAGGATGGCAAGAGCCGTGGCTTCGGTTTCGTCAACTACACCACCCATGAGAGCGCGCAGGCCGCCGTTGACGAGATGAACGAGAAGGACATCAAGTCCCAGAAGCTCTACGTTGGCCGTGCCCAGAAGAAGCACGAGCGTGAGGAGGAGCTCCGCAAGCAGTACGAGGCTGCTCGTCTGGAGAAGGCCTCCAAGTACCAGGGCGTCAACCTCTACGTTAAGAACCTGACTGATGACGTTGATGACGAGAAGCTGCGCGACCTCTTCGCCGCTTACGGCACCATCACCTCCGCCAAGGTTATGCGCGACTCTCTCTCCGACCGTACCCCCTCCCCCGATTCCGAGAAGGAGGGTGAGACCAAGGAGGAGGGCGAGAAGACCGAGGAGAAGGAAGACGAGAAGAAGGAGGAGTCCGAGGAGCAGAAGGACACTGAGGAGGACAAGGAGGGTGAGCAGGAGCAGGAGACTGAGAAGGGCGAGAAGAAGCTCCTCGGGAAGAGCAAGGGCTTCGGTTTCGTCTGCTTCTCCAGCCCCGACGAGGCCTCCAAGGCTGTCACCGAGATGAACCAGCGCATGGTCAACGGCAAGCCCCTCTACGTCGCTCTCGCTCAGCGCAAGGATGTCCGTCGCAGCCAGCTTGAGGCCAGCATCCAAGCCCGCAACACCATCCGCCAGCAGCAGGCCGCTGCCGCCGCTGGTATGCCCCAGCCTTACATGCAGCCCGCCGTCTTCTATCCCCCCCGGCCAGCAGGGCTTCATCCCCGCCGCCCAGCGTGGTGGCATGCCTTTCCCTCCCCAGCCCGGTATGGTCATGGCTGGTATCCCTGGTGGACGCCCCGGCCAGTACCCCGGTCCCTTCCCCGGTCAGCAGGGCGGCCGTGGCATGGGCCCCAACCAGCAGATTCCCGGTAACTTCCAGGGTATGCCCATGGGCATGCAGGTCCCCGGCGGTATGCCCAACGGTATGGGCTACCCCATGCAGGGCCAGTTCGGTCGCGGTGCTGGTGGCCGTGGTCAGGTTCCTGGTATGCCTATGGGTCAGGGCATGCGCGGTGGTTTCCGTGGTCCCCCCGGCCAGATGGGTCGCGGCCAGGGCCGTGGTCAGCCCGCTCCTGCCGGTCAGCCCGGCCGTGATGAGGCTGCTCCCGCTACCGGTCTGAGCTCCCAGGCTCTCACTTCCGCCCCCCTGCCCAGCAGAAGCAGATGCTTGGTGAGGCTCTCTACCCCAAGATCCAGGCTCAGCAGCCCGAGCTTGCCGGCAAGATCACTGGTATGCTCTTGGAGATGGACAACACTGAGCTCCTTGGACTGTAAGTTTCTATTTCATCCCTGACGACGGGAGACTCCCATCCTAATTTTCTTTATCACTTAGGCTTGATGACGAAGAGGCCCTGCGCGCTAAGGTCGACGAGGCCCTCAATGTCTATGACGAGTACATGAAGAACAAGGGTCCCGATGGTGAGCCCGCCGGCGAGGCCAAGCCCCAGGAGGCCGCCAAGGAGGCTTCTTCGGAGGAGACCAAGGCCTAGGCGACCTGTCTCGCTTACCGAATGCCTCGCAGATGGTAATGGCAACTTGAAGGCCCAGTCTTGATTTTGCTCGCTGCACCGCTCGGAACACTTTGGACGCACGCTTTGATGACAATTTCTTTTTTTTTTCTTTTCTATCTTTTCTTTTCTCCCTTTCACCACCCCCTACCCTTCGCTCTTCCCCTCCGAATCCTGATATCCCTCGGTTTGAAAAGTTCTGTCTTAGGCAGTGTCACCTTTTTTGGTGTTTAGTGAACGCGGCATGATGATTTTAATTTTTTTTTCCTCCGTCTTTCCCTCTATCCTCGTATTTTTCCCCTTCCCTCCATCCGGTCTGGATTTGGTGGTCCGAGGGGGAAGCAGCGCTGTACATGGGGGCTGGTAAAAGTTGTTTTATACCTTTGGGCGCTGGATGCGGACTCCTTTCTTCTAACCTTTCCTCTTATTCTTCTCTATTCGTTGCTTGCTCCGGTCCTTTGGTCTGTTGATGCGCTTTCATTTCGCCTCGTATTTCGAACCTTTTCCCCTTGAGTGTAACATAGAGTTCTACAGTACTTCTTCCTTGCAAAAGGGCTTTCGTTTTGTCCCTACTGCTGCACTAGTGTTCGTGAGTGTGGCAGTTGTGAAAAATGAGACGAGGACTAGCCTTTTTTGCTCTTTCAATGATCTCTCGTTGCCATTGTACATCTAGGAAACGTTTATAAAGTATTGCCTAGCAACGTCTTGAGATGTTGAGGATCCTTTGGGGCCCGGGCTGTTCAAATTGATGACTCATCGTCACCTTCGACCCACCTGAAGATCCATCTTGGGCTTGTATGTAGTTACATGTGCCGAAGTTCATCAGGCCATTCTGTTGATAGATAGAACCAGAGATCAATTGTGTGGGGGTGAGCTCATGGGATCGCCATGCCATTTCCAAAATGGAGCGTCCAGAGTATCTACCCGGCACGTCAGAGATTGGCTCCCTGACAGCGCACTCCAATGAGGACAGTCAGTTTGTCGGTAGTTCCAGCGGCGTTTACTTCATTAACACGGTCAAGAGAGCATTCTCAACTGGTGCTGATGAATCGGGGTCTCCAGAGACAGAGTTTCCCTCGGCTGAAGAGACACTAGTTGGTGCAGATGACTCGCCTCGACACAAGCGGCATCGTGTGGCAGCTTCCAATGCAGATTCTGTCCTCTCACCATCCGCGGGAGAGTCGCCATTGCACTGGAAATATGACCCTCAAGTGGCGGCCAATTTAGGCGATGCACCACCGTTGGAACTTGCTAAGGAACTGATGATGACCTACTTCAAAGTCTGGCATCCCCTCTTCCCGTTCCTGCATGGGCCCACCTTCTTGCAGGCCATGGTGAGATTATATTCGAGCACACCAGAAACAACGTCGAATGAGGATGTCACCTCAGACCACCGAAGCGCTTGTTGGACAGTGGTCTGTCAATGTATATTCAATCTTGGAGCCCTGCTTCGTCTTGACCTGAAGGTCCCGTCCGAATGCCGAATTCAGTCGCCTGGCAGCATGACTGCTTTGCTAGGGAGTCTTTCAACACGGCATGATATCGCCTCCTTGCAAGCACTTCTTGCGGCGCAAGTTTTCCTTGTTGCGAAAATGGCGCTCAGGCCGGCGTCGACTTTCGGCGGATGTATTCTACGGTCGATGCTTCATGCTGGATTGCACCGGTGTCCGTTTCGTTATGCCCAACTCTCGTCGCATGACCGGCAATTACGGAAGAGAATCTTCTGGTGTGCATATGCTATCGACAGATATCTGAGCCAGGCACTTGGTTTGCCGTTAGGTATCCAGGACTCGGATATTGATGTGTGTTTACCGGCTGCGCAGGAAGTACATTCTCCGCCGAGAGTCAGAAGTTCAAATGCCATATCGTCCACTTCAAAACCAGCAGATGAGACCGAGGTTGCAGACGAAGGAGCCGTAAGCCCGACTGGGAATATCGGCCTCGCTGAGAGGCCCCGTTCTAGGATAACTGCACGTCGGGAGAGCCAGGTTGAAGAATACCGCAAGAAAGAAAGTGTGCTTGCCAGTTACGTGGACTCTGGCACACTTACTGGGCGAGCTCTGGAGTTATTCCACAAATCAATTCTTGTTCGCTCGGTTTCCCGGAGTGCAGTTCTGTTCTTAGTGACGGATGTCCACAAGTGGTGGAACAGCCTCCCTTCCGAGCTCCAAGGGAAGTCGATATGCGCAGACCAAGTCTCTGGCACGTCACCTGCCGATAGACCCTTTGATTTTGGACCCTTCTTTACAATCTTATATCAGCACCTTGTCCTGATTATCAACCGACCTTCCCTCTCATTGGACCCTTCGACTGCCGAATTCTCTTCTGGACTGCAGACCTGCATTGGCGCAGCCCGCGCGATTCTTGCCGCGTTGAGGCTCCAGGTAGGCAGTCAACAGGCCTTATTCTGGCCAGGATTCTTATCGGCTGCTTGGATGTCAGGGCTTGTTTTGGCATTCGCCTGCCAGCTCAGGCAATACGTTTTGGGAAAGGGCCTACAGTAAGATTTCGCCCTTGATGCTTTGTCTAAATGCGCTAACGTCCTCTAGGGAAATTGAAGAATGCTCGGACTTTCTCCGCCGTATGTCTCTTCAGTGGGAAACTGCAATCCACTGTCATAACACTTTGTCACTGTTGTCCACAAAGATCAAGCAAATGGAAATCGACCCGGATTCAGCTATGAGCTCGCATTCATATGCTCTCAGGAACATGGAGAAAACAAATGATTCGCTGGAGTCATCTAATGTGCATGAACAAGCGAGGAGGAGATCAGAGGGTCAATCCCGTTCCCGATCCGAGCAGCACTATTCTACCATTCCTGAAACCCTTCAAACGTCAAGTCCTGGCCGTGGAGGACCTGCGGTAGGACCGGTACAAGTCATCCCTGGGCATCTAGCGAACTTGAATGTGGATGCGTCACCCACCGAAATACCACCATCACAGATTTTGGAATTCCAGAACATGGATTCGAATTACCTTGCTAGTGGTTCGACTTTTGATTTGAACATGGGTGATCTGTTTGGAGGGTCAAATTATGATTCATTACTTGATATGATTGGGCAGCAATATCCTAGTTTCTAGGCGATGCATTATTCTCCGTCCTCTATATGTTGAAAAAGTGGAGTTATGGGACATGATTGTAACACATTTGAAAAAAGATCTTAAACACAGACTAAACATGACAGAAGAACACAAGAAATAAACAACGCCATATAACTCCTGCCCCCTCCCTTCCGTAGTCACTTTCTTCATCCAGAGCGTCTCAGTGCGCAGCGTTTCGCGAAGACTCTGAAAGAGCATAAAGTCGCGGAGCCGAGTTACGACCGTGAGCCCTGCGAAAGACAACATCCTTCTCAAAAGGCAGTCCCTCATCACGCACACGGCCCAGCCACTCTACAACGACATCCTTGGCCGCGCTCAATACTGCCTCCCGTGTCGCGAAGCCTCCATAACGTCCCCGTTGGTTTTCCACAGGCCCAACCACCTTAATGGAGACCCAAAAAGGTTCATCAGCGCACTGCGGCGTTGTGGTAGTAGTAGCCTCATGGTTCTGGATAGCAGACCGCATCTTGAGCAGGAGTCTATACCCGGTCAAGTGGCCCTCATGCTCCGAGAATCGAACGTTCACCCAACGGACATTGGGTCCTTGGTGAAGTTCTCGTCTATCTCGTGCGTTAGTCTGTCTTTCCGCCTTCTTGAAAGCTACGTTCGTTGAATTGGCAAGGTTCATCTCGATAGGGATCATCCTTGTCGTAGGAATCGTCCACACACCTCTCCCTGTCGTTAGTATTTGTGTCGCTCGATTGACCATCGCTGTATCTCCTATTCATGCTACTACCATAGAGGGTTTCCATATCACTGCTCCTCTCGTCTTCATCATCACTTATCCCCAGCTCCTTCAGTTCATTGACAATCTCTCCCAGGCCCATATCATTAAGGTTCTCGTTCAAATCCCGAGAGCTCATTTAGATCGAACCCTCTCCAAAGCTACCGGGGGTTCCGGACATCGAGCAGATGTAAACACAAGGTAAGTCAAGATCCTTCGATGAAAACTTTGATAGGGCAGATGTCAAGTGTAATTTAATGGGATTGAATGCCTTGGCTGCCGAGCGAGAAATTCATGATGGGCTGAGACGCTTTAAATAACTTTCTATCCTTAGACATGACATGGACAACACCCGATAATTCTTTGTCTGCCCGAGACTGTATCTCCCCTATAATGGCCATTGTTTGGGCAGATATCTGTGTGGTTCTTGAAGAAACAATCCCAAAAACCACTCAAAGAGCTGGCTTAGAGGGTAGTCATATCTACAAGCTAAAGCATAAAGAGGGTGATGGTCAAGCCATAGCTTGTGTACGGCAGAACCCGGTTCTGTTCTTCTTTCTCGATGATTTATTTGTTCTCTAATATTATTGACAGGCTGTTGATGAACGGAAAGCGCCACTGTCTCACCGAATCATGCGTTGATCTTCTCGATTTCTGCAAATACCGCGTCTACAACTCCCTGGGTGTTGGATGTACCACCCAGATCTGGCGTCAAAACATCCGCAGCACAGACATTCTCCACACAAGTCATCAGCTTCTCGGCTGCATCCTTCTCGCCAATCCACTTGAGCATCTCCGCAGCAGACCAGAATGTAGCGACCGGATTGGCGATTCCCTTCCCAGTGATATCGAACGCACTGCCATGGACAGGCTCGAAGAGAGACGGATTCTTGCGCGTGGGATCCAAATTACTCGATGGCGCAACACCAATTGATCCCGCCAAAGCAGCAGCAAGATCGGAAAGAATATCCATATGCAAGTTGGTGCCGACAATGGTATCAATGGACTGAGGCTTAGCCACCATGCGAACAGTCATGGCATCCACCAGCATCTTATCCCAAGTTACATCCGGGAAATCTTTTGCCACAGCAGTTGCAATTTCATCCCAAAGGACCATTCCGTGGCGCATCGAGTTACTCTTGGTCACCACCGTCAAGAGCTTTCGAGGCCGTGACTGGGCGGTTTCAAAGGCAAATCGCATGATTCGTTCAATGCCGACACGGGTGAAAATGGCCACTTCAGTGGCAGCTTCCCATTGCTGTCCAACATGCGATCGACCTCCTTGGCCTGCATACTCGCCTTCGGAATTCTCACGAACCAGCATCCAATCGATCCCTTCGGTTGCGGTGTTGAGTGGACATTTAGTTCCTGGGAAAGTTCGCACCGGTCGGACATTGGCGTATAGTTGAAGAGGGCCTCTGATGGCAAGGAGAAGGCCCCACAGTGAGATATGATCAGGGACGTCTGAAGTACAATTAGCATGGACGCGTCTTGTAAGTGAATTATGATTGTTTAGCATACCAGGAGCACCAACAGCGCCAAAGATCCCTGCATCGAATTTGCGCAAGGTGTCTAGTGCATCTTCTGAGATATATCGGCCGGTTTGTTTGTAGTATGTAGTTCCCCAGGGAATATGAGTGAATTCGATTTGAAAAGTTCCCAGCTTTTTCGCTAATTTTTCGACCACTTGGATAGCGGCGCTGACGACCTCGGGGCCAATGCCGTCTCCGGGAATAGAGGCAATGTTGTAGGACGGAGTCATTTTCAAATTTCTCTCACAATGACTCAATAAAATTCTCTGAAAATATAGAAGATAATCCTACCAAGCTATTGATTGATCCTAAACACATGCTTTAAATAAAGGTCTGTCGTCCACGGCCCTGGGCGTGATTCGGCATAGGTAGAGCCTGATGGTTCACTCCGCCACCGGCAGAACTTTCAGGCGATTGAATCAGCCGTTCCTCATTTTCAAACTCCTCCGTTTGTACATCCACACCGTCAGTATCAGGACACGAAAATGGCCAAAATGAGGACAGACAAATCTTCGAGGATTACTGTCGCATGCAATGCGTGTCGTTCAAGGAAGCAGAAGGTAGGTGGGTCCATTGCACACCCGTGAAGGCTCTGGCTCACTCGTTTTGAACCCGCTTCAGTGTAGCGGCGGAAAGTAAGCTTATGAAGTGTTCTATTTCCGATGGGAGAGATATAGTCTAACTATCATTTGTTTTATTCAACAAAAAGACCAGTCTGCCAACAATGCTTGGAGTATAACCGCCCTTGCAACTGGCCAGAACAACTCAGACGGTACGTGGGGGTTCAATGCTCCAAATCTAGTATTCCTCAGCTAAATGCATCCTAAAGTGGGCCTCCAAAAGGACATATCGAGGCATTAGAGCATAGGCTGCAAGTGACGGAGAATGCGTTGTTAAAATTGCTCTCGCAAGTCTCCAACGCTCAACTGCTTGAGGCATTCCCACCTCACTCTTCGTTCGAGGGAGAAGGCGCAACTTATATGCCCCTCGCAAGAATTCAGAAAAAAGGAATCGAAGACTGGGCACAATTTCCTCTCGACACGGCAGACAACATTCGGAAATGGCAGCAAGTCTGCACCGGCCAAGATGCGACTAGTCCCTCACATCAGGTCCTTGAAACTGAAGATTCTTCGCCTCGCTCAGCTTATCCAAGTGGCCGCAAGCGAAAGCATTTAGCACTCGAGGGGTCAAGAATACGGCCTTTTGAAGAGCGATCCAAATTTTCAGGAGCTTCCAATCTTCCTTATGAGCATGAAGCATGGTCCTCGTCTCCAATTGCTCTTTATCCGGCCCCAAAGCGGCCGTTCGTTCATGTGGAAACACAGCCAACCCCAAACATCATTCGAAGGGAACCTGATGAGCTTGAGAACGCCGATACAGTTCACTCATTCTTGCCTGGTGATCAAGCTCTTGCTGCGCAGACGATCAGCTCTTGGGATGGAGCGCCCTCTCTCAGCTTCCAGCAAAGGTTTCTCTGGTAAAAAAACCCCAGTCATAAATCTTGCGAATGAGAGTTCTTTGACTTTCTTGCTGCTCATCGCTAAAGAGGAGATACGATTGGATGAAAGGTCGCGTTTATTTGACACGAATCTCTTTTCAGATGGGATCGGAGTGATTGACGATTCGCTGCCTCCCCGGAATTACCCCGACTGCCCCCCGCGGGGGAATAACCTTGGCGGCTTTCATCTTCCCCACAACCCTGTCATCATTTACAGTTCGTCTGAGAAAGTCTGGGGAACTTGTGCGGTGATGGGAATGAATCAAGTGGGATAGCCCCACAGCGTGGAGGGACGGGGGTTTTTTGAGGGGCTTTGGTCAAAGTTCTCGACAAATTCATAAGTGAACCACTGGCACTTTGCTGCATGTTGATCAACCTCTTGCTCGAACAATGGCCATCAAAAAGGTAATCCCATCTGTTCTGTAGTCGCTGATCCTCCCACTAATACGAGCTACTCCTAGGTGATTATTGTAGGCGCTGGGCCCTCGGGCCTGATCCTCGGCCTCCTGCTCGCCAAACAAGGCATTGAAGTTGAAATCCTCGACGCTGGTGCGGATCTTGACAATCAACCCCGTGCGGCTCACTATGCCACACCTGCAACTTACGAGCTAGCACGAGCTGGAGTTCTTGATGATGTGAGAGCCGTGGGAATTCAATGCAAGAGCTTTGCGTGGAGGAAAATGGACACCACCTTTATCGCTGGCATGAAACACGATGTACTTCCGGCAGACTACCCATACAGCATGGTAGTGCTTCCACTTGACCGACTGGGGAAGATCTTGTACGAGCACATTCAGAGACAACCCACGGCAATAGTTAAGTGGTCCCACCGTGTTGTGCGCATTGGACAGGACTCAGGGAACGCTTGGGTTGATGTTGAAACCTCCACGGGCACCACGCGATTGGAAGCAGACTATGTTATCGGCTGCGATGGGGCGAGCAGCACGGTGCGACGCGAGCTATTTGGCCCCGAATATCCCGGAGAGACCTTAAACGCTCAGATTATTGCTACAAATGTTGGTGATGATTAATTTTCGTTCAACAGCTCAAATACTGATTATTATTATCCTCAGGTATACTACGACTTCAGCAAGTACGGCTACTGGGACAGCAACTTCATCGTTCACCCGAAGAATTGGTACATGGCAGCCCGCATCACCACGGACGGACTGTATCGTGTATCTTATGGTGATGTCCCGGGACTTACGAGGGAAGAATATATTGCACGCCAGCCAGAACGCTACGCCGAGATCTTACCTGGAAATCCTAAGCCCGGCGACTATACCATCACCAACATCAGCCCTTATAAACTTCAACAGCGGTGTGCCCCCACTTTTCGGGTGGGGAAAATCATTCTAGCGGCTGATGCAGCCCATCTGTGCAACCCATTGTGAGTCTAGTCATCAAAATGCTGTGCAGCAAAGCAAAGTTGAATGACTAACCGGAATAAAGTGGAGGACTCGGTCTGACCGGCGGTATCGCCGACGTGGGCTGCCTCTTCGACTCATTGATAGGAATTCATAACGGTCTAGCAGATGAGAGTATCTTGGACACATACAGTGAAGTTCGCAAGCGCATTTGGACCGAGACTATTGATCCTATGTCCCGTGAAAACTTCCGAAGACTGCATGACCAGGACCCAGACAGCGCCCGTGAGAATGACGAGTTCTTCCAAATTCTTGTAAATGCAGAATCGGATACAGAATTGGCAAAGGAGCTGGCATTGGTAGGTTGTCTTGATCTGGCAAAGTTGCATTTTCTATGAATGCTGACTTCGAAATTAGGGACTGGAGGTCTTGCGGCACGACATGACCCAATACTATAAGAAACCCTCTGGAGATGCTAAATTATAGAGGGGTTTAAATTCGAAGTCGTTCGGAAATTTTCACAGTTCGTATGCATGTATACCTACCTTCTTTGAGAGTTGAGCTAAGTAGAGATTTTAGTCGTTGCGTGTGGTGGCACGTTGTACACATTTAGCCTAGATGGTGAAATATATAGTGATTTTATTTATGTGCCATAGAAAGCTTCTAGTCACCATCCTCACAGGCCAACTCTGAGATCAATATCACTCTTCACTTAAACAGCATGAAGGAAGTTAATAATCAGCCTGATAGCCGATGATAATTGGTGAATCTCATTTTGGCTTCATTATCTTGGCGAGGCTGCAGCCTTGGGAAAAGTACACCGCCTTTGGGGCTGCACGCGACCCCCAAATTTTATTTTGCGAGAGCTTGACTTCTCCCCTTCTTCAATCAACCCTTCATTACGAGCTCTAGTCCTTCATGTCGATATGGGCTCTAAGACACCCGAAAACGAACGCCGCAATGGCGGTAGTATGTACCATCTTGGCCTTGCAGCGGCCAGTCCCGGCGGTCTGATTAATGCTTACATTTAATAGGTGAGCCGTCGAGCTCAACCAACGCAAATGACACTGGCGGGGAGCCACGTGGAGCCCATCTGTCCCGCGATGGTGACGGAACTGTCGGAGATGACGGTGACGACGATGGAGATGATGACCACGAGGCCGGCGTTACTACCGTATCGCTGACAGGCCAACCTGCATCGGAGACTACCTCCAACAAGAAGAACAAAAAACGAAAGAAGTCGAAGAAGAAGTCTTCCTCGCTTCAGCAGTCATCCCCTCCACGGGTACCCCTGACTGACCTGTTTCCTTCTGGTCAATACCCAGTTGGTGAAATCCAGAGCTATGCACCTGTGGAAAACACAGCTCGCACCACTTCCGAGGAAATTCGGTACAACGGTCGCACTCACCTTGAAAATGACAGCTTCCTGAACGACTACCGGAAGGCAGCTGAGATACACCGTCAAGTCAGACGCTGGACCCAGGAGACTGCTCGCCCTGGGAAGACCCTCATGGAGATTGCCGACGGTATTGATGACGGCGTGAGGGCTCTACTTGATAACGATGGACTTGCACCCGGAGCTGGCCTTGTTTCTGGCATGGGATTCCCAACAGGATTAGCACTCAACAATTGCGTTGCACACTACACTCCTAACCCGGGCCAGAAGGACATCATTTTAAAATCTAGCGATGTGATGAAGGTCGACTTTGGAGTCCACATCAATGGCTGGATTGTCGACAGTGCATTCACTATGTCATTTGATCCAACTTATGACAGCCTGCTCGCTGCCGTTAAAGACTCGACGAACACCGGCATCAAGGTAGATCAGCGGAAATTTCTCCCACTTCCCAATAGAGCTAATGGTATCTAGACTGCTGGAATCGACGTCCGAATCAGCGATGTCAGCGCCGCTATTCAGGAGGTCATGGAAAGCTACGAGGTCGAGATCAATGGAAAGACATACCCCGTGAAACCCGTACGAAACCTCTCGGGCCATAACATCAAGCAGTACCAGATTCACGGTGGAAAATCTATCCCATTCATCAAGACCAGGGACCAGACTAAGATGGAAGAAGGAGAGATCTTTGCCTGTGAGACATTTGGCTCTACGGGCAGGGGCACAACATTCGATGGTGTACGTATCGTGACATTGAGCATGTGAGAAGAAGGGAGTACTAATGCCTTATTGCCTATATAGCCTGGCGTCTATGGGTATGGAAAAGACCCGTTCGCGCCGAAAAAGATTACCTCGCACCTGGCCTCAGCTCGATCTCTCTACCAAAAGATCAACGAGAACTTCGGCACTATAGTCTTTTGTCGTCGATATCTCGAGAGGCTCGGTGTTGAGCGATATCTTGCAGGGGTAAGCAGAACCCAAGCTACTTCTTGCCAAGTCATTTACTGACACAAGTGACGATAGATGAACAACCTTGTCTCGCAAGGCGTGGTTGAAATGTACCCGCCTTTGATGGATATTGAAGGATCATACTCGGCGCAGTTTGAACACGTATGTTCGTTCCCTCTCCATGATCATCTCATATCTAACTCTGCTAGACCTTTCTGCTACGTGAATCCGGCAAGGAGATCATCAGTCGTGGGGATGACTACTAAAGTCACGCAGGAATCTGATCCCGCCCAGACGGATCTGACTTTATGTTTCTAGATGCCATCCAACATGGACACCAGGTGGAAACTGCTCTTTAGTTCGTTACCCGGTACTATTCAACATAGTATCTCCCTCGAGAAGCATACTTTCGTTTACATTAGCTTCGTCCAACAATTTTTTGACCACACTGCGACGCGTTTCCTTTCTCATACATTTCAACAGCTGCCTAGTCCTCTATGTAATCATGCCAAGCTAAATTCAGGCATGACTGTGTTCCTAGTCTTTGGCTAATGAAGTAGTCCATTTTATGAAGTATCCTTGCCACCAAGGGAGGGACCGAAGGATCAAAGTTTCACGTTGGAGATGGTTTAGCCGCATGTCGGTGAGGCGCCTACTGTGACCGATATGTGCCACCTCTGGCAAAGGGCGGTTTTGTTCAATCTCAGCAGCACAAAACTTACTCAGCCACATAGGTGCATGGCCTCCTGAAAATTGAGGGTACTTAATGGCAATACGTATCACGTATAAGGAATTATGATTTGGCTAATGACGCCCAACGCACTATTCGCTAACTACTAATAATAGGGGTCCTCTAGTACTACTGTCTCTTCAACGAATTTAGCTGCCTCCTTGGAGCTGCTAGGGCGATCGATTGAGAGCGTAAATAAAGAGAGATGTCGAGGGAGATGTCGAAGGGGATGTAGAAAGAGAAGTGGAAAGAGAAGTTGAAAGACAAGCCAAAACATAAGTCAAAAGAGATGCAGAGGAAGGAGGCCTATATGGGTTACTTCGTAGTTGATCATGGCGTCTTAAGCTCTGTTTCAATACTGGTCGAGGATCTATGATCTGGGAATAGCTTCAGCATCCCCATGTAAATATAAATACCACCCATGTAGCCCCGATCTCTGCTTCTTCCTTCTCGCTCTTCGCTCACACCGCTTCATATTGGTTGCGGATTATTTGCCCAGCAACCTTCATCTCAATTTAGGTGCTGGCGATGAGGGTTGCTGGGTCCAGATGATCCGCAACCAATATGGAGCGGAAATTGCTCGCCTCGCGGCGGAAATCGGTAGCTGGCTGAAAATGCTGGCCTTCGGGCCATAGCTAGACCAGCCTCAGTCTACAATGTAAATTTACCACCTGTAAGGTCTGATCTTCTTGTTGGATATACTAACCTTATTCTTAGTTCCCCAACTCCACCATCACTGCCGTCGCCCCAGGTCCCGCCGCTGCCGCTGCTTTGCCCGTGGAATGTCGACCGAGTCGACAACGTGACCGCCGCTGCCGCGTCTGGTGTGGCTCTCCCTGGGGGAGATGAGGATATGGATATCATCACTTAGGATGATAGCTCTGTGTTTTTTTGACCTTCCATTCGGACATATCTCATTCCTCCATTGTATGATTATTCAATTTTTACCATTTTTAATTCATTGGTGGAGAGGACGGGTAATACCCGTGAATCTTTCATGTCTCATCACTTTCGACATCTCTATCAACACTTCTATCAACATCTCTTCGACATCCCGGTGCTTCACCGCTTGTCCTCCATCCCAGCGGATTGTGCCTCCACGCCGCTTTGCTGATCCAAGTTTCTTTAAAGCTTCTCCAGGCTGAAACGGGCTCGATATTTCCCGTTCATATATTCCACATAAATGATCCATCATCAAAAGAGAATAGATCGCCGACGAAGTTGTCAAAATCGGTCGTGAGGTCGTGCGGCAGTTGCATGATGTCGGGTATCTGGGACTGAGGGGTGGATAGCAGTTGCCCGGTGGGTTGTGGTAGAGTCAGGGCATCGGCAGACTGGATCTGTGAGTCTATTTTTAGCCCAAAAAAAAATCTAAACCGAACGATAGATAAATACCGTTCGTCCCAACTCTGCCATATCAGATGGAATACTCTGAAGATGCTGGCGGCAGGCAGTTAGGGTGTTCTTCGCTCCTTGTAGCATCAAACGCTCTCTTTGCTGCGCTGATCCACGAGCGCGTACAGATTGAAGAACAGTGGTGAGCAGTATGAGGTCTTTGACGTTGCTTCCTCTGTGGTGGACTCGACGCGTAAAGCTGTCAAGTGTGTTTTCGATGAGCCGGGTCAGGCTAGCCTTGCTGGGGGTTTGATGACGGGAACCGACTGTATCTGTGGTAATGTCCGCAGGCGATGGAGTTGATGATATGATGGAAGATAGTCTCATATGCTCGCACACGCTGAGAGCTGCCCATAAGATGTCATGTTGACAGAATGTGTGGAAGATATCCCAGTAGGCGTTTGAATTGGTCACATCGGGATCGGCAAAGTGAGGATCAAAGTAATCTTGGTAAGAAAGAAGGGCAAGGGAGGAATCAAGACAGAGCCCACGTATCTCATGAAATGATGGATGGTCCTGAGGGGTTTGGGCGTGGATGATGACAGGGCGAAGGAGGCAAAGTAGAGGACGACGAAGAAATGTGTCCAGGAGGACGTGATTCAAAACAAATGCGGGATGTGTGCTTTCCGTGTCTTGATTTGGTCTCAGTTGAGATGGAACATCAGAAATGTATTTCTCAAGCCTTTGAGCTTGCTTGACGCGTTCACCGAGATTATCACGCGGGCTCGTCCGTTGTACTATGTTCATCACTCTGATTCGATGGGCCAATGAAGTAGCGAGAGTTATTTGCGCCAGAGAGTCGGTCTTCTCACTTAAGGAGGAGGGGAATGGCGGCTCCGGGGTGAACTCATCAAAGTCGACATCGTTGAGGTTGGATGGTGTAAGAGGTCCAAAGTCCAGTTCCGGAGTCATGACTGGCATGCCAGATGTGATAGAGATTTGGAGATCCAGCTCAACAATGGTGATCCAAAGTCGGCGGCGACACTCCGCTTGATAAAAAGATAGATTGGTGGACTGAGAGAGATTAACATGCAACCCCATCACCATGCCCGAGCGGACAAGGGAGCCACTAGCTTTCCACAACTCTTCTGCGGAAACAAGACGGAGTTGAAGGGAGAGCAATAAAAGTGTTTCAGTCTGTAGTGTGGACAGTTCAATCCGCTGCTTTCGAGGCAGTTTAGCCAACCAAGCTTGTAGTGACTTAGGGGCATCTTGTTTCAGATAGTCCCAGGATGATGATTCCTCCGGGGTAGATGGTTGAGGATCAAAGGAGATAGCGACGGTCAGAACCGCCGTCAGAAGAGGTGCAGAATTAGATGCAGACTGATGGCTAAGATCCTCCCAGAAAGTATTGTACTGGCGAAGAAAAGAGGAAATGTGAATGACTCTGAGGGTCTTCTCACAGTTGGTGGTGTAAACCTCCAACAGCTTATCACAGGTTGCTTTGGGAGGAAGAGAAGTGAAGATATTCTGTAGCTCAGGGAAGCTCTGTAACTCAGACAGAGACTCTGGGGAGTTGATTGGTACCAGTGACTTGGATTGCAAAAATTGGACTTCTTTGGCCAGCCCCACGAGAGCAGAGTCTTCAGAGCAATGATTGATAAACGCTTTCGCGTCGGGGAACTTTGAATACGTCAGCTAAGAGGCAAATTCAGTGATTTAATCAAGAGAACCGACCTGATTGAGAAGTGTAATGCGATTGTTCTGCCCGTGATAACGAGTCCGCGACCCTTTGACCACCAGAGTCCCAAGAAAAGGCGAGGTGGAAATTGTAGAGTCAGATTGGGGCCTGCTTGGAAGGAAAGGAAGTGAGAAAAGGAAGGTAGAGAGGACAGGTTAGGAGAGGAAGGAGGTTTAAGAAGAGGAGATGGGGGAAGAGACGATTCCAAGAAGATGATAGAAAGACATACCACGAACTCTGAACAGGCGCATCTCTCATCGGTCCAAAATTGCCGGCATGGGCAGGGGGACGAACAGCAAGGAGTTCCTCTAATTTGACAACACGTTGCTGCAGATCTTCGATGATGCCCGTTCCAAGTCGCGATTGACTTGGCTGCGATTGACTTGGCTGATCAGTCTCATATCCCTCGGTAGGTATGCGAACTCGCTTTGCCTTGGGAACAGAGCCGCTGGACGGATGTTGATTGTAGGTGCATTCAGCGCGACAACCCGCTTTGCAGCAGTTCTGACATGGCGCAGCCCGGTCGCATTTCAATTTCTTCTCTCTGCATCGGAGACAGGAGACTACTGGGCGTGGCCGCTTGCGCGAGGGAGAGATTTCCATGGTAGTCTGGGTTAGTGCTTTGTCGGCATCTCATTAATTAATCTCTTGCGTGGCAGGTGTTGATGAAGCTGGATACGTGTTGTTGTGAGGTCTAAACTATCCGTGGCACCAACATGCGGCTAAACCGCCCCCAAACCCCCCCCATCGCTTGCGCATTCGGTATAGGAGGCGAGGTGTAGAAAGAAATTTAGAAAGTTGGAAAGAGATTTGGAAAGAATCTTAGTTGGAATAAGAAAAGCAGCATGGAGGCAACAAATTTTGTGCATTTGAATCTCCAGCTTAGGAATTTATTGACTCCGCTTCCGATACTCAATTACCGACATGATTCTGTCGAACGAGAAGCTCAGTTTGTGATAACCGGCGCAGTATTATCCCACCGCGACTCCTCCACAGCATCCACCAGAAAACAAGCGACGCTCTTGCGACTCGTACTAGCCATCAGCGGCACCCCCTTCCCATTATTCGGCCACTCGCGAACCGCTGTAACATCGCTCTCCACCAATCGAGAAGGGCGAACCATCACATAAGTCACACCACTAGCCCGAACCTCCTTGTCGACCACGTTATGGTCCTCATACTGATAACTCATGTTGGACGCGCTCATCAACCCGCGCAGCAAGCAGGACATGTTCGGCCATGATGCTCCCACACCAAAGGCTTGCATGATGACTACCTTTTGAACACCGAATTCTTTCATGGCTGTCACCACGTTGGCATTGCTGTCGGCCATTAGTCTTGGTGGTGATATCGGTGCTGCGAATGGGCTGTCCGAGGCTCGGGGAGCATTCAGGGTGACGATGACCACGTCGGGGATATGGTCTTGGAATGCTTGTCGGACCTCAGAGATTTGAGTTGGGGATCCTAGAGAATAGTTAGTCACTGATTTGGGGGTTGTTTTCAAAGAGGGTCGCTCATTGGCATACCTTTGACGATGTTGATGCCGTCTAGCCCTTTCATCACAGCTGGGTCCCGGACGAGAGCTGTAACACCGTGTCCTATAGAGAGTTAGTTTATGAATGAAAACAAACTAGCTGTTTGAGAGCTTTGGACTTACCTCGTTGCAATAATTGCTCGATAACGAGCTTGCCAGTGCGGCCACTGCCGCCAATGATTAGAGCGTGCATGTTGAATGGTATTGTTGATAATGAAGTATCCACGGCGCGTTAACAAGACTGATAATATGCACCTGAGAATAGAATCTTAATGTGCAAAATGCTATAATGAATTGTATTTGGATGATAATTAAAAGAGAATCAAGGGGAGCATCGATCTTTAAATCGTGCCTGTCTAAATCCGATCGGATCCGGGACAGGAGTGGACTATAGAGAATACTCGGTCAAGATGTATAATTAGCTATTGTGGAAGGCCCAAAATACGTAGCTGACTAAGCATTTTAGCGGAATGATCCCTATAGTCCGCGGAAGTCCCGGGTCCGGCGCAATGAAACGGAGATGTTTTTTTGGAACAACAGCCTCATCAATTGATCTGCATTATCAACCAGATTGTTTCTGTAAACATTCAAGGGTATATTTTATTTTGCTCTAAGTCTCCCATTGGACTAGGATTAGAGGCGTTGTATACAACGCGACATTATCTCCGACCACGTCCGTCTTGGTATAAGTCAGGTAGATCTCATTCTGATCCGCCGGAGAGAGACCAGGATTGGCTTGTAAACTGTACGCCCCCAAAGAAAAGTTCCCATTAACCCCCGAATAGAAATGAATTGGTTGGATCCAAGGACCCTCGGGTGCCGGTGCAGTCGTGATATAGAAGTCCGCCGAAACAGAAATGCCAGCTTGACCAATCCACACGTACGACTGCCAGGGCTGGGAATAGTAGTATGTGCCTTGTCCACCCGCACTGACATTTTCGATTTTAGCGGCTGTGTTGCCTAGAGTAGGTTTGTTGCTGGTCCATACTCTGTTGACGTAAAACTCATATTGTGATGCGTCTTCGATGCTGCCAACTGGGACACGGGCTAGGGCAACGTTCTTGTTTGAATCTTGTCCCCAGAGGTAGGCCGTACTTCCTTGCACGACACCACCGTAGTTCCCATAGGGGATCTCATTCTCCGCCCAGAAAGCAGAGTTGACAATCTCGACTTGCGGTAAACCTGCCGCTCCGGATGTATAAGTGACGCGATAGAGCGTAGTTGAAGGGTCTGCGACCAGATTGGTGAGACCCGAGATATGGATATTGTTGATCCACGTATAACCAACCGTCTTACTCGAGTCAGAGACTGTCACCAGCGGAGGCGCATTGGCCCAAAGCGGATATCGAGTGCCGTCCGAGCAAACTCCGGCTTGGTTATCGTTGCAGTTGCCAGGGACAAGCGGATAGAAGGACTGGTCATTATTGTTGCCGTACATATTCAGATTCGTGCCACCGCCCGCACCGCCCGAGACCAAATCGGTCCATGAGGCAGAGCTGGTAAATATTGGGAGGTTTGGAATGCCATTTGCATCATAATGTTGGGTATCTCTGCATACCCAAAGAGCGCGACCTCCGAATACAGATGAGCCGCAAGAGTCGCGATTCAAGGATGAATCGGCGAGGATGCCTACCACTTGTGGAGTGCCTTTGACCACCGGGTTACTGGCGCCACGCTTTTGAATTAACCCGGGTGCTGCGACGGCAGCTTGTGCCAAGGTAGATATTAGAAATAGCGTCAGCATTGGAGCTGTTGAAATGAGATGAGAGAATATATGAAAGAAGAATCAGTGAAGCTGGACTGGTTTTACACACGAGTAATCAGGCTAAGAGAAAGTTACTAAAGGTGTGACTTTTGGCTGACTACTCGTTGCCTTGCTTTCCGCCCTGGTCAGGGAATTATTTCTCTCTGATTCCTCAGACCCCGCAATGGTTTGTGTTAAAGAGGGTTGGCCTGAGCACCGATACTACCTTGTCTCAACAACCGAGGCATCCCAATCCTGGGCAAACCCGTGAAAGCACCGGAGCCAACGAGCAATGATTGATTTCTTGACCGTCAATGGATGTTTACAGCTTCATCCTAGGTATTTATTTCTTAAATCCTTGTCTAGGACTATAACGGGAGAAGATGCAGTTGTGACCCTTCTTCAGAAGGCTCGCTTTGGAGTGTTCCTACCTTGCTAATTTAGATCCCTACCCAAATTTCTTCGAGAAAAACTGATGTTCTGGCCGGCCCGACTACAATAATCCAGCTTTTGCGACTTATGTAGGAATGCAACATCCTGAGAAATTTCTAGTTACCGGTGAAAATCATCCAAGAGGTCGCATCGTTCGAGAGTACACGGGTCGGGGCTTACATAGAACCCCCAGAACGCCCTACTAACATCCCTGTCCGTCAAAGTAACTTAGTAGTCTTATTCTACGTATATCTGAGACCTACCCTGCACTCATGAATGGCTAGATTGAATGCCCTTTTATTACGTACGTAAAAGGCAAATTATTGGAGCCCGCGACTCATTTTAGAGTATAAAGTTTGCGGGCAATACCGTAGTCCCGTCATGATCTGATCGAAAGCTGACAGGGCTGTGCTCTAAAAAAACGATTATGCTCCAGTCTCGATGAACGGAAGTCGAGAGTGCAAGATGAAGTGGGTCAACTCTCGCTGTTCAGCGGCCTAGCGGGCCTCACATTCAGAGGCTTGACCTATTCTAGAACATTGCCAGCTGTTCTCTCATCAAACTGCTGTCCAAACGACAGCGGCCTAGCGGGCCCTGAAATTCAGACGCTTGACCTAATTTAGAGCAGGTCAGACCTTCCCTCATCAAAAAGATGTATGTTTGGTTGAATGGAATCGGTATGAGCCACATGATAACCTCCATAATACCGATTTGAATATCTACTTGGAGCGTGGTTTGACGATTCCACGAAGAAATTCGGATCCAAAACCAGCCTCGTGGTGCACTGGCTGGCGCAGAGCTTGATAACGTGCTTGGAGGTATGTCAGTAGCGAACCGAAGCGTATACCACGTTTCTCAGCCGTCAGCAAAATATGTATATAAAGGTCAAGTTACCACTAAGATCATCCGACCAGATGTCAATCTCCAAACCTTTTGATCAAGCCTTTCAATCTTCTAAGGTTGCTCCTGGCAATCTCTTTCTTTCATCCCTTAAAAAATACATAAAGAAACATACCGACAATGACAACCCCCAGATAATTTGAGGGCAAGGTGGTTATGGTGACAGGTGCTGGAACTGGTATCGGTGCTGATACTGCTTTTCTCCTTGCTGAAAGAGGTGCAAAAGTGGTCATTGTTGGCCGAAGAGAAGCCCCTCTCCATGAAGTTGAGCAACGCATTGTAGCAGCTAGTGGCGAGGTTCTTGTCGCCGTGGCCGATGTATCCGATATAGCCCAAGTTGAGAAAGTGGTTGAGAATACTCTGGAAGGTTCGGAGATCTACACTACGACGTCTACAATGCCGGAGTATCTGGCGAAAACTTTGACCTGCCCGATTTGCCCAAGGGTGTGTGGGATGAGACCATTGCCATCAACCTGTCTTCCATTTTCTACTGCATGAAAGCCCAAATTCGCGCAATTGATCAGGTAGGAGGGGTTGAGATCATGAATGTTTCCAGCGTCCTCGCTGATCGCGGTCTTGTCTGGCGCGCTCCTTACACTGCTACGAACACGCCATTCGAGGTATTACCAGAACAACTACCGCCGACTGGGCTTCACGAAACATCCGGATCAATGAACTCCAACCTGGAGTCATAGCAACTCCCATGACGGCCATGAATCCCGAAGAAAGTGCACAGGGCGCCTCGAAAATTGCGGCGAAACGCCTAGGTCAACCTAAGGAATGTGGAACGGCAATTGTGTTCCTTCTTTCCGACGATGTTTCGTGCATCACAGGCACGCACCTTGCAGTTGATGGGGAATATCTTGCATGAGTACCTTGCCTGAAAGAGCCTGGAACTACAGCAATAGATACAAATAGTCCACATGATAGCAGCCTAAACCAGCCAATGTTGTTGCGTACTGTCTGATTTTGCAACTTTAAGATCACCTCAGTCAAATCACCTGCTTCATTATTAGAATCTTTTGGGTTTCCAAGTATTCAACCTCAAATGCCTCTCACAACTGAACCCTGCACTTCTCTGATTATTTTGCCTTCTATGTATGGTCAACAAAGTCTATGTTGACAATGGCCCAGCCGAATGTGAATGAAACTAATCAGTGAAAGGTAACAATAATGTGCATTTGCCACCTGTATCATGCTCATTATCTCTAGTGTTCTGTTGTCCGTATTATTAGTAGCGCCGCGTACTCCGAAGGCCGAGCCAGGTTGACTATTCAAGTAACGATACGCAAAAGAAAAAAAATACTATATGTAAATGACCGTCCATCAGCAAGAAAATGGAAAAAGTCGAAGAGGAACCCAATAAGAAAGCAAATGCTCAGAGGCAAAAGATATCCCCTCTGATCCGTCATCAACACGGAGGCTCCACTTGTGAAGATCTGCGATTGCTGATTGGTGTCACCGTGGCGGGCCAAATGCGGCATAGTTGCACTAGCCCGCTAGCCCGCGAGCCAGCCAGCCGCCGCCTTAACGACAATACAACTGAATACATGTTCATAGGTACCGGACCTACCGGTAGCTCCTTCCATGATACTTGAGTTTTCCATAAGTAGTCAAGCCATTCCATGGTCTTTCAGTTCCCACAGGGCCTCTAAGCTGAACCAGTAAGGAGCAGAGCATAATTGATCGTTCCGAGCCATCCCAAAAAAAAGAAAGATTTGCGATACTTCTCGCTAACCAGTGGAAAACTTCAGTCTTCTTCTCCTCTTTCTTCATGCTCTTCGTCTCTCTCGACTATTCCCTTGTCTTTCTTCAGAGAGAATATCTTCTTCCGCCGCCCTTGCCATCATTATTTTCTCCTTGCGCTTTTGATTCGCCCAATCATAAATGCTCCAACTCTGTAACAAGACCGATGTTCCTTTGCTCCTGATACATATCACTGGCTGACCATGCCTAAGGCTGAACCAGACACGGTCATCTAACTTCACAGAGACCGCTGTTCCAAGCAGACATACCCAAGTGTGGGCTTCCGGGGCGGTTCTGACCCACGTATCCATGCTTCCACAGGATATCGCATAACGCAATTTCTTAACAAGAAGTTGTAAAACATCCATGGAAAACGGAGCAAGAAAATCATAGTCGTCAAGAAACAATAACCAGAAGATCAATGCTGCTGTATAGCAAGCCTGGTTTATTGCCTCAGCATTCGACTTAATAGGGACATGATTGGTATTATGCCCGGTATCTTGATGATCCGGGGACGATAACAAGAGATCTTCCACTCTGGTTGCCCATTTCGCTCGGATACAAATGATAGCAGGGTCATCTGGCCAAAGGTGGGCAACAGATTCAATATCTTCAAAGATCTCGATTGTACGGGGTGAGAGGTTATAGTAACCTCCTTTTTTGCTGGCTGCTCGACGCAGGATGGCGGAGATAAAATAATTGGGAGGGGTGAGAGGAGTGGAAGGAATATCTAGGAATGGTATATCGAGGGTGGAGTCCATGATAATAGCCTCGGTGAGAACGCATCTGCAACGAGGAAACAATATGAGACACCGCTAATAGTCGTTAAGGAATGATGATCGGAAATACGCACACAGTGATAAGCTCTGACAGGAACGTGCCAAGGGCGAGATCTTCAAGGCCGCCTTTTGCTTTGATCATTCTCATCAATGCCATTTTGTGGATGGTGGATGCTCCTTTGTCGCCAAAGAGGGCCTGAAATAGTCAGAACTTGCTTGCAGACTAGGTTCTCGGGGAACAGACATACCGAGAAAAAGACTAACGGTGCAACACACGCCATCAAAGACTCGCTGAATACCGCGTCTGGGTCGTTGATTCTCTCCTGGAGCAACCGCAGTGCAATTGTGTGGTGATATAATGTCATATTGCTCTTTTTGGCACCTCTAAACGCATCCAGATGGGCCGACGCGGCATAAAGGGTGGTGTGAAGTGCACAAGGGTCAGCAAGGGCTTGTTGGATCCACGTCGCCCGAAGAAGACATGCGAGACTACCACTGTCAACAGGGAGCGGGTCCATCCCAAAGGTCTCGAGGACTATCGAAGATACCGGTGAGTACACAGTTTGCGTAGAGCTTTTTCAAATCGCATTAGCGCTATTTGCTTGTCTACTTACACGAGTGAATAAGCATAGGCATGTGGGGTTGTGACTCGACTGGTAAGGGCACTGTGGCATTCAACCTGCCAATGTCAAGCGAACGAAGGAAGGAAGCGCCAGGCCCATCCATCACGAGAGCCTGCTTGGGATAATCACAGTGGTTATATTGTCTGCCGGCAATCATTAGTCGTCTGAACAGGTTGTCAGCTTTACTACCAGCAGTGGTACCTTGAGCATCGGCCGCAAGTCGGCCATATTTTGTCACATTTTCGTTTCTTTGCGCGGCACTGGAGACATGCCCCGATAGCCCTCACTGCGGCTGAGGTCAGGGGGAGAATCGCTGCTTGACTGACACTGCTCTGGGGGTATAAAGATGATTCTGACCGTGGGTCAGTCATGAATATCGGTTCGGTGGAACCGTGCAGGCTTCTCTGATCGTTCACGTTCCCCTGAGCTGGCACTCTGGCTGCCGTTTTGTACCAGCACTGTCGCTTTTGTCTGGCAAGGTCAGCCTGGATATGGGGCTAGTGCTTCAAAGACCTCACTTGAGACACGCTAAGCATGATGGCAAAAGGCGGTCGCATTTCCTTTTCTTCTCAGCACATGATAAGCAAGCGTGATCCGCCCGGGGGTCCATCTTCGGCACGACAGAGGCGGCTCGGATTCAGGACTCGTGAGCAGCGATGGCAGATATCAAAAAGCAATGCGTTAGAGTGGCATGCAATACGCCTCCTGTCTTTTGACGTTGGACCGGGGGCTTTACCAGCAATTCCAGGCAAACTTGGACCCTGACCCCCCGGTTAACAAATTAGACATTTCTCGATCAGAGACCCCGCCGCTAACCCGCCGCTAACCCGATGAGGAAGAGCGAGTACATACGAAGCCCAACAGTGACCATCGTCCAAAAATACCGAGATCTATGCATAAATTTCAAACTTACGAGCTGACCGGACGCGCACCTTTGTACTTTCTAGGCATAGGGCGCTCGGGCCTTGCTGAGCTGCCCGCTCTCAAGAGTCGAACAGGAGTCAAACCTCGGTGCTTTAATATTGAACTCTTGCTATTCACCACGGTTTTCTTTTTCATCTTTCCAAGAAAATAAAAAGAAAGCAAGATCCCTTAATTTTTCAACACAACACGGTCAGCTTTCTTGCCTCAATCGAAAGGGTTGGTTCAGGCCGTTCAGTCACGTGTCAGACCAACAATATGTAAGCTGTAACAGTGAGATGAAGCGATATGATTGGTTCAGCTCCTTGGCGTTGATTCTGTCCGTTACACTTTCTCCAATAGGCAGTAGTAGAGTTAGGGAAATTACTTTGTAGTTATTCTGTCGCGAGTGCGATGGTTTGCATCGAACCCGCCGATTCAAAGGACCTCGTATTGATCAATGTACCTCTTATTTTACTTATCTCATCACTTTTTACAGGTCGTTTTTTGATCCGAGTGGGCAGACGACCGGCAAATGCAGTTTGTCGGAATGGCGTATAGCTAACAAATCGGCTTACTTTCTGTAGAAAAGGCATTGTGCGAACATGCAAAACAAATTCGTTAGAATACTAGCATTGACTTCAAAGATCGAATCGAATCGATCGAAAACACTTGGCACGAGGTTCTAGAACAGCAGAATAACAGTGCTTATTCCCTAATCATCCATCCCACCAATCATGCTCAAGTGCAATCGGACCCTTGCTCATCACATCAAACCATCTGTCTCCGTAGCGAGAATTATCATCTAAGCACTAAGGTCACATGGAAGCGAACCACAGCAATACCCATGGCCAGCATCCAAAGCGCCTTGGAAATCGATATTGTGACATCCGTCATTGGTCTTCCACATGGAAGCCTTAAACTTGTAGAATCCATTGCCATAAGCTTCACCAAAACTTTTGCACGGGTCAGCTTGCATCAATAAATGCATGAGTAGAACCATGACCTACGTGACTGCGCAGTGAGAAGCCACACAACCGTTGAATCCCCCCGGCAAAAGACCCGTATAGATAGACCCAGTGTTGTAGTCGGTCAAAGTGATGATCTGATGTATGGTTGTCTGGCCATTGTCATTTTCATAGTCACTAGCAGCCATCTGGCCCCAAAAGGCAGATGCATAGCCAGCAAGAGAGACGGCGCCCAGGAGGATACAGAACTTCATGTTTAGTGATTTGAATGTTTGAGGATTTTAAGTGGGCTGATGTGGGTTGGTGATTTTACAGAGGTAGGATGGAATATTTATATTCTTTGGGGTCGACAAGTATCAATTGTATACAATTAAATTGTCAATTCAATTTCCGCCTCGTGGATAATGCTACCTGGTAGTGGCGGTAGAGAAATGGAGCTTAGCTGTGATGGAGTCAGCAGTCCTCAGCTGAGCAATAATTTTAGATCTCCTGGCATCTTCACGGCTAGTCTTTATTCAGTGTTTAAAAAGGGTATTTGCTTCAGATACCTGTAGCCAGTCTATAGAAGCCTCCATATTATCAACTGCCCTTGAGAAGATGTCAGAAACAAAATATAGCCGTATAGACTAAGAATGTTGCCTGAAGTGCATTTTGGTCTAGCGGTATTATGCCCTAAATTTGTTCGACAAAAGGCAATCTTACTTCACCGTTGTCTTGCCCGCTCTAACATGGATATTTGTGTACAAATTCGGTGTCAGATTGTAGTATGGGCGTGCCGACCTAAGGTCCCAAGCCAAGGAGATCCCTAGCAAAAGGAAACAGGCCTTGTGCAGTATACCACAGATCCGACCTACACACGACTACAACCTGTTTTACAACGCCTAGGACTCATATGGCGTACTTATATTATCAAAGAGTAGTGTTAAGCATACTTGATATTTGTAATCTGCAATCCGAAAAATCTCTTAAGGAGCGAGAAAGCCTAACACCATGTATCTATATTGTGGATGCTGGCCACACTATAATTTTAATTTCTTAGCTTCATCGACAATCCAATCAACCGCCATATCGGTCTTCACTTTCTCCCTCTCTATGACCTAGCACCCATCAACTTAAGCCCAGATATCACAAGGCAAGGAACCACAGCAAAATCCATGATGAGCATCAAGGTAGCCTTCAAAGTCGATATTATGGCAACCGTCGTCAGTCCTCCAGACTTGTACGGCAAAGCTATAGTTATCGTCGCCTGCCTCAAGGAGTCTGATAGGAAGTCCGGTCAGCTAAAGCTATCTTGCAATATCGATAAATTGATACCTGATTGGATTTTGATGCAGGGCATCCCAAGAAAGAAAAAAAAGAAGAAAACTCACGAGACCCAGCACTTCTGGCCACCGGTGCAAGCGTCAAATCCTCCGTCAAGACGTGCTGACCACATTGAGCCGGTGAGGTAGTCTTGTACAAAGAGCTCCTGGTGCAATCCACTTGAATCGCGAAGGTAGGGAGTGGCGGCCAAGCTGCCGTGGAAAGCCGCGGCCTGGCCGGCAAGGGCGGCGGCCCCGATTGTAAGAATGGACAGCTTCATGGTCCTGTTATGGTCCTGTAATTCTCGGTGAGAGAGAAAGGAGCTGATCAGAAGTGCAATTGATTCTTATTCGTGGATGGAAACGGAGGACGGAAGATTGGTTTCGTGGATTGAAGCGGCGGCGACCGGTAATTATAATCCCATGCTTGATTTAGATCCAGAATTAAAGAAGATATCGATGAAATGTTGCAGGTGCTTCGACTTCCCGAATGAGCAAGTATTGATTTCAGGTGTTTGATCCCCATTTTTCACGGATAACACGGCTTTCACTACACAAGCAAGACAATGTTGTGCCATGAAAACTCTTGCCAGGTGCTCTATCAGATATATGCATATACTTCTTTCTGGCAAGCGCTGACCTGGTGTAGCATTAACCTGGTGCAATAGTATAAGCACTACCAAGTATGCCAAAATAAGACCTTGCTAAATGACCAAAAGGTAACGGACAAGCTACATGATGTCCGCCAAATAGTTGATTAGTCTAATTTGGGTTTGCATATACTCTCTTCATCAAGCGCTGCGCTGACCTGGCGCAACATTATAAGCGCTACCAAGTGTGCCAAGAAAAATCTTCCTGCAAGACTAAAGGCTTGGCTAAATAAATCTCGCGGAAAGCTCTGTGATTTCTGAAAGGGCTAATTCGGGTTAACATATTGCTGTTTGATAAGCCCTGGGCTGACTTGATGCAACATTATAAGCACTAACAAATATGCCAAGACAAATCTTGCTGCAAGACTAAAAGGCTTGGCTAGATGAATCTGGCGGACAAGCTCTATGATCTCCGGGTAATACCTTAACGCGGTGTTTAGTGTCATCTCAGCTCGTGGCTAAATTTGAAGCTCTACGGAGTAAGCACAGGAGTCCGAAAGTTCATCCGCCAATTCTTCCCAGACATTGGGCTGAATCGTGGCCCTGTTTCGGATTGCCATAAGCCATATGCAACGCCCCTGTGGCAATTTGCAAGCCTGCTAGATCCACCCCACTGGTACCTGAAGGGTTCTTGGCAGTAACCTAAAGAATTAGTCCCAGGATCCCGAGTTTAGGTTGCGGTCATCCCGTATCATTCGTTTGCAGATACGCGCCGGAAGTGAATAAGACATCATCTTTCTTCATGGCCCCAGTACTCCGTGACAGAGCTTCTTAGAACTGTAAACCAAATGGAAGAAATAAATACCAGGAGGTAGTTCCAAATACTAACCTATCAGCATAACAAATCACTCCAATACAAGTGCTCATCATTTCATGTAGAAGATCTCGAATACAAACACATATTATTTTCTTTTTCTATACATCTCCTACTATAAACCTCCTTCTGGCCCCTGAATAGATAGATACATATGTATTCAATCCTCACAACACACCGACGCAGACATAGTAATCCAACCATAAACTGGAACAATCACTACCTACTTGCGGATTCCACTTTAAGAAATTAGCCAAGGCGATCTTGGCATTAGTAGCAATCGCGCCACATTCATCTCCGTTGACTACCTTGTGGAATGTTTTACAAGATGTTGTCATGCCAGGTTGAATTGGCGTCGGGGTTGCCACTCCATTGCCCGCTGAGGTCGTGGCCGTCGCCTTCGTAGTGGTAGTAGCAATGGTGGAAGGGGATGGCGTCACTCCAACAATAGAGATGCAGACATAGTAGCTAGTCCAGAGACTGCCGCAGTCGGCCCCGACAGTGGGATTCCAGGTATAGAACTGTAATAGACTAATTCCGTTGTCGTGTGCGATCTGTGCGCATGTCACGTCGTCGGATTGAACGTAATAGAATGCGTCGCAGTTTGAGACCATACCCGGTTGAATGGGAGTTGGAGTGGAAATTCCGTTTGTGGATGTGGATGTGGCATTTGTTGTTGTTGTTGTTGCACTCGCTGTGGTTGTGGTTCCAATAATAGCGACACAAACATAATAATCCGTCCAGAGAGTTGAGCAATCGGTGCCAACCTGGGTGTTGAATAGATAGAAATCTGACAGAGTAATGCCATTCTTGTCGGCGATAGTCTGGCACCCGTCATCGTCTGTGACCTTGTAAAACTTATTGCAGTTGGACACCATCCCCGGCTGAGTGGGAGTTGGAGTGGAAATTCCGTTTGTGGATGTGGATGTGGCTTTTGTTGTTGTTGTTGTTGCACTCGCTGTGGTTGTGGTTCCAATAATAGCGACACAAACATAATAATCCGTCCAGAGAGTTGAGCAATCGGTGCCAACCTGGGTGTTGAATAGATAGAAATCTGACAGAGTAATGCCATTCTTGTCGGCGATAGTCTCACAACCATCATCATCTGTGACTTTGTAGAACTTATTGCAGTTGGACACCATCCCCGGCTGAGTGGGAGTTGGTGTTGCAATGCCATTGCCAGAGGTGGTGGGTGGGGTGACAGTTGTGATAGTTGCCGTGGCGGTTGTCATGCTTTGAGTAGTCGAGGTTGAAGTTGAAATTGAAGTCGAAGTCGAAGTTGGGGAAATGGTAGTGGTGGGTGCAGGTTCCCCATACGCCTCTACACAGTACGATTTGCCAACTTCAAAGCCGCCACAAGAGGCAGTAATTGACGGATTCTATCAAAGTCAGTGTTCGCCGATAATAATTGAGCAGTAGGGGAAGACCAACCCATCGCCTAAAGTCGTCAAGCGAGATAGCCCAGAAATCAGGAATGTCCTGACAGTTAGTGGAGCCATCGTTATCCATCCACCACGTACAGTACGGGGTGGTGTTGGGATCGTAGGGGAACTTCGGGATATCGTCGCGGCGTAGGTTACTGGGCCTGGCAATGACTGAAGGCAAAAAGCTAAGCCCAGCAACAAAGAGAGACAAGGTTACCGAGACCATTATTGCGGGTGCTACTAACTGTTTAGTTGGATTTTGAGTATCAGATATAGCCCAGTTGGTCATTATATACTTCAAATTTCACTGAGGAGGTGAGGTTTTCTGTGAACAAGTATGTGGTATGCGAGGATGAATGAGACATGAAGCTAACTCTATGTGACTATCAGATCCCGGAAATTCATTGGTAAACAACGCAAACGAGCGGTTAATTTCTACTATCAGCTGAGCCGTTTTCCACTGTAACTGTAACATCCTCTAGTCTTTCCTACTAGGGAAGTAAAACGAAGAATAGGTGAGAAATGTGCAAAATACCTCGCGAGCGGACCATCGGTGCGAAGGTCGAAAAGAAAAGAAGTTGCGAGCTGAATCACGGAGCTCACGGAATCACCAGTGCCACGAAATCTCCGTCAGCCGATATCCCGACACAGGTGAGATGTACCGGATCCGCCTGCAAAGCCTTCTTGGCAAGGCCTTGGCACTACTAAGAATGAGACAGTGAGACGCCAATATCAAAAGAGCCCGAAGCCGAACCACAGACGAAGAGATTAAAAAAAATGTACACCTACCTACGGGAGATTAGCACGTCACCGGATAACAACTAGTTGCTCTTCTATTTCTAATGCACCATTACGCTACTCAGTTCTCTGCCGACATTTTAGGCGAAGTCTTACGCAGATTTTAATAGACCATAGTCCCAACTAGCGTAAGTTCCCTGTTGCAGACCTAGACTTAATACAGACTCGGATGACCAGCACAGCAATATCGAAACTGGTAACTTGGGAAAATTAAATGTAACATAGAATAACTGCTGTAGAGTATCTTGCAGAAGTTATACCTTGTGGATTTGTGCAGAGACTTGCAGGTCAGGACAGAGTCCACCCACGTGTCCCGGATAGTATGATCACATTTTGGCTTTAATCGTCCATGATAAATCTACGAAGAAAGTAAAGAAGAGGCATATGGAAAGAAACGATGTCTTGGAAAGAAAGTACAAGAGTTACTATGGCTAGGCCTGCATTCTGAAATCCACTTTATCCCCTATCAAGCAACCTCAAGATCCAACAATTCGTTGATGACCACTCAGCAACGACCTTCAAACGTCATTCTATAGGCGCCTTTACACTCTTCCAGCGCCTTGGCGTGCTCCGGGCCTCCTGGCTGTTTACCGAAGTCGTCGAGCCCTTTATCAATCATTGTCTTGATATCTTCTACACTCGTCCCGGTCAGCGTCGCCCATTCTGCCGCCGTTCTGTCTTTTTCCAACACTTTCACTCCGCTGACCTTACCCCCATTACCTCCAAACAAACTGGCGTCTACCCTCACGACGTCTTCTGTTCTTCCTTTGAAAAGACTTGACAGCCTCTCTTTGATAAAATTGCATTCATTTTTCCCGTTGTCTTGAAGTCGGAGGTTGGTAGCCAAAGCTGCCGCATCGCTGCAACGATCTCCCCACATATTCCACTTCTGCCGATCGGCAGCAGAGAGGGTTGTATCTTGCCTGTAGGCTTCCTTTGCTCTCCAGGCAGATATACCAGCTTTCCTTATTCCGTCAGGGTAGTCAACTGCAGTTGGAATCATTTTTTTGGTATCCATATACCCAGTGTAACCAGCACCAGGAAGCTTCTCTCTCGTGATCTTGCCGGTTGTCGGGTCTGGGACATCTTGGTAATTCACCATTTGAAGCCAGCTTTTCATTTTCTCCGCTGTTATCTTCGACAGATTCTCATTCGAAAAATCCTTCCTTTGAGCGTTGCCCCAAACAACCCAAGCCGGATTGGGTTTTGTCGATGGAGATTTACCTTTCTCTGGTGCCCACAAAAAGTCGACAAATTCACTGAAGAGGCATCGATTTAGTTGCCCGCGGAGCCCCGTGCGTTTTCCCATACAGCCCGTGGCGATTGTCATCTGTGCCGTATCCTCAAAGGCGGCCTCCTCCATGATATACACACTGTAGAAGTATGCACTATATTGTAGGTTAGCATCCTCAGGGAACTGATAGGAAGATTCGCTGGCAATGCCCACCGTTCCGCTGCTCCACGGATAGCGAAAGCCATTGCAACAGCCAACAAATTGGCCCAGGCGAGCACCATAGTGAGCTTCATGGTAACCAGTACGCCTTGGTAGGCAATGTAACGGGAGAGGATAAACAAGACGTCCTGGTTGAGGAGTGGAATATGTGTTAGAGACGGTGAGGAGAGCGGTTAGGAACAGGAACGCGGCGTAGCACCCATATTATATCTAGATTATGGCTACTATAAAATATGTCCAACCTGAAGAGGAAGGAGTACAAAAGCTATCTTTATATAGATTCTCCCCTATTTGGGCTGACCTATCGAAGTTCCCGCCAAATCCATTCAACTGCAACTAGGTAACATCAACCAAAAGTAATTTTACTCATGTTCTTGCCATTTCTATCTAGTCTCTTGCTTATGAGGTTACATCCCGAGATAAATCGCCGCTAGTAGAAAGTCCGCTGGTGATAGCAAATCTGACAAGATGGGTACCTGGGTTCGGCGTGATATTACGAGATATGATTTGCATCGTTCAGAGGACAGCTGAATGACTGATATCTAGCATAATGATCATCTTATCAGGTAGACCAACTATATATACCTATTACTAGGATGACATTGAGTGGCTTGCTTATCATCCATCTTCACCTCTTCTTTCTTACTACTCTTCACTCTTTCCATCCATCTCTTATTTGTTTATTTGATCATTTCTTGCTGGCACAGCATCTAATGCGCTGGCATTCCCCGAGGCCGTGGGCCTTGTTGGCCGTGATTCTGGCATCATTCTTTCTAGATGTCCAGGCAGGCCAGGACGTCAATGGGAAGCCAGTCCTCAAATTTGGTGACGCTGTCCCCATTGACAGCCCCAACACCTACTATTCAGACTTGCACCCTTGTCCACAAGCATGCTTGGGCAGCAAGCCCGAGTCGTGGACTGTGTACCCTTCTGTCGAGCGTCTGGCCTTCTGCAACCAGCCTATGTTGTTTAGTATGGCCATTCACAACCCAGTGGGTAGCGACGGAACCACGGTGAAGATCAGAGCATGCACAGCTGGCACAGAGAGCGATGCAAATACCACCATCAATAGCTTGTTTGCCAACAAGACCACTAATCACCCCACAAGAATAAAGCGCGATAAGAAGGAGACTTGCCAGAATTTCCAGGCGGGGGAGACTGTAATTCCCCTCAAGTTCAGCCAGCAGGGGTCCAACACAGGGAAGCTCGATGGCACCACCGCCGTTCTCGACTGTCTCCAGAGCTATATGGAGAAGGGTTCTCCTTGCCAAGATCAGCCAACCCTATTTGCGTACTCCAATGGAACTGTTGCTGGTGTTTACGTTGGATCATCCTTTGACAGAATGTCGCTCGCATCTATCACCTCAAGTCTGTCACAACATGTCAGCACCAATGGAGCCTCTGAGACTATGATTGCGCAGCTCTGTGGTGATAAACGCAATGCCAACCATGTGTTGGGTATTGCCATCGACACTACCGGGAACATCGCCACTGTACAGAATGCTTTGGTATCCTGGACTCGACACGGACAGTGTGTTGAGGGCCTCAAAAGCTCGGCTATCTGGTATAATGTCAAAGTTTGGGAGTCGACTGTGGATTTGAAACCTCTTTTCTCCATAAACAACACCACACTCCGATCGTCTACCCAAAGGAATTCCTCGGCATTACATAGACGTGCTGACTGCACTACTATCACTGTGGTGGCGAACGATGGCTGTGATACACTTGCGAGCCGTTGTGGTATTTCGAGTGCCGACTTCACAACATACAATTCGGCAGATGATACATTCTGTTCAAACCTTGTACCTAGTCAGCGCGTATGCTGCACAGCAGGAACCCTGCCCGATATTTCCCCTAAGCCCAATGCTGATGGCAGCTGCGCGACATACCTCACGACAGACAACGACAACTGCGACGCACTGGCGGCAGAGTACGGTTTGACTGTGGACAAACTAGAAGAGTACAATAAGGGCACCACCTGGGGGTGGAATGGATGCAGCAACCTGTTTACGGGGGTAAATATCTGCCTGAGTAGTGGCACCCCGCCAATGCCTGCTCCTATTGACAATGCGGTCTGCGGCCCAACCAAGCCGGGAACGTTTGCTATCTCCGGAGTGGATCTTGCCAATCTCAATCCATGCCCTCTTAATGCCTGCTGCAACATCTGGGGCCAGTGTGGTGTCTCTGCGGACTTCTGTAATCCAGAGCGCGGCCCTGAGGGCAATCCAGGAACCTCTCCTCCGGGCACTGCTGGGTGCATATCCAGCTGTGGAACTGCCGTCGTCAAGAGTGACACTCCACCAGCTCAATATGGCCGTGTAGGATACTATGAGTCGTGGAACTATGACCGAGGCTGTCTCTTTCAACGAGCGATCAACGCCAATACTGACGGGACCTACACGCATATCCATTGGTCCTTTGCCAACATCAACACTGCCGATTGGACAGTCGTCATTGACGATCCAGATAATCAGTGGGAACAGTTCAAGTCTTTGGGTGTCAAACGGGTCGTCTCCTTTGGTGGTTGGAGCTTTTCGAATGATCAGCCTACATACGATATCCTGCGGGAGGCCATGTCCCCCGCCAACAGGGGAACCTTTACCCAGAACCTGGCCAACTTTCTCACATCTGAGGGAATTGATGGGATTGACTTTGACTGGGAGTATCCAGGAGTGAGTGCCCTTCCACTGTCCTACGACAATGATAATCTCGATAAACGAGTGTAGGTAAAGCTAATAAGAATTTAGGCCACCGATATCCCCGGCACCCCACCAGGCTCCGCCAGCGATGGGCCTAACTATTTGAAGTTCTTAACGACAATGAGGTCGAAGTTACCTAATGGCAAGACAATGTCCATCGCTGCCCCTTCGTCCTATTGGTATCTCAAGAACTTTCCCATCAGTAGCATGGCCAATCAGCTAGACTACATCGTGTATATGACATATGATCTCCACGGTAAGCCTGCTGCATTTTCATTTCAAACCTCAATGATTATCTTCATAGAAAGTTATACTAAGAGGGTTTTTACAGGTCAATGGGATGCCGGTAATATGTGGACTAATCCTGGCTGTCCCACAGGAAATTGTCTTCGCAGTCATGGTAAATAAAACCCTTGTGACTTTCTTTGCTTCTTTTTGTGCAGGAATATTCACTTACACAAAACTGATGCAGTGAACTTCACGGAGACTGTCGATGCTTTAGCAATGAGTAAGTCGCTTTTGAATAGAACACAAGAACTCGTTGCAATACCCCTCCTGCATGAATCATTGGCTGAAGGCTAATTTCACCACAATACAGTTACCAAAGCTGGCGTACCAACGAACAAAATCTTCGTCGGCGAATCAAGCTATGGACGATCGTTCCTAATGTCATCTGCGGGCTGTACCCAGCCGCACTGTTTGTTTGAAGGCGACTGGCTCAACTCTCCAGCCGAGCCAGGCCGTTGCACCCTAGAACCAGGATACATTGCCAACGCTGAAATCGACGAAATCATATCCGCCGGCGATGATGTAATGGCATGGCACGACGATGCATCGGACTCGGACATTGCTGTCTACGATGGTATGTGCTTGGTTGCCTCTGGGATACTTTGGCCGGTTGAAATGAGCTGTATTGATACGAGCGGATAATTGATCTAGGCAATCAATGGGTGGCGTATATGACGGAGGCCACCAAATCGAAGCGACGAGAGGTTTATCAAGGGTATAACTTCGCCGGAACCATCGACTGGGCAACCGATCTGCAGGCATTCACGGATGATGAAGCCCAGGGCCCAGATGGTACTGAAGGAAGCGACCAGCCCGCAATTCCACTAGCGGATTGCAATGCTTCCTACGACAGTCTTGACGCCATTGAGGCAGACGCCAATAACATCCCTCAAGAATGTCTTGCGCAGTATATTGTGAAGCAGTTGAAGAACACCCTGGACGATTCTCTCAGTCGCTATGACCAGCTTCTGGCCGGAGACTACGACAAGAGCTTTGACGTTTACGCCAAGGCAGTTGTGAACAGCGCAGGCAGGGAGGTAGATGACTTCATGGCAAAACACGGCAACGACTATTTCACCTGCGATATCACCGAGGAAATCTGGTGCTGTGCTAAGTGCAAGGGTCTGGGCCTCACGGGCAGCGCGGAGTGTCGGTACTGTCAAGACTGGAACTGCGGCTGGAACGACAACTGCAACGGCAACACTGGTGGCGGAGAAGGTACAGTCACTCCATGCCCTAACATTAAATCGCGTTGGCAGAATTTCACGGAGCCTTGTGCGCCGGACTACTCTCTGCGTGGTCAGACTGCGCCCGCGTCCGGTTACAATTGGAATGAGGCGGTATACTGGTCTCTACGTGATGATAAGGCAGATCAGTTCTGGGCCGACTTATACTCCAACATCGGTATCGCCAAAGAGAACATCAAATTTGGGAATAAGCAGTACGGAGAGTGCGCGCCGTCCGATGACCACTGTTGGGACCACGACTATGAGCATAACTACCCTATCCCCGTGGGATACGACAAGAGCGACGTGATTAACCCGAAGGACATCGTTTCCAAAGCTCGTGAAAAGCTCAACGGACTCTCTCCGCAGTTAGATGACGTTCTTCATCAGATGCGCACCTGGTGGTATCTACCTGACGGTAGTGACCTCGCCGATGCTCTCTCACTGCCGGTGTTCATGATATCAGATGCTGTGGACAGCATGGAGAAAATCAAGGACATTGCCGATGAAATTCAGGAAGAACAGCGCAAGTCAATTATCCTCGGATTCCTCAGCGCATTGTTCTTCTTTATCCCCGTTGTTGGCGAGGTCGTGGGCTCCTTTGTCGAACTTGCGAACATCGGTCGTATCATCTCGCTGGTTGGTGCAACAGGCAATACGGCTCTGGATATTTACACTATCGTTGGTGATCCAGAGAACGCACCGCTCGCTATCTTCTCGCTCATTCTTTCTCCACTGGCTCTCACTGATGTTGCTGCGATGGCCAAGGCTGGCGGGATTCGTCGTGGAATGTCGGCTGACACGCTGAGGGCGTTTGGCGATGTCATTAAGGGACGAATGGATACCATTACTCGGATAAAGAATGTGTGCAAGGCGGAATGATTCTTCTACAAGGTTATCGATAATTGGATAAAACTACTACGAGTGGAAGGTGGAACTTGGGGGTGTGCTATAGAAGGTGGAATTTATTTTGCAGTCTTGTTGCTCTTGCACGAGGACATGTAGGGGAAGTTTAATGCTATTCTTCGGAATGATCATCGCACTCTGCCCATGTATTTGTCCGCCGGCAACAAATCCTTCAAGTATTTCTAAACCTCTAGAGATCTTGAGGCTGACCTAGACTGACATTAAGGAAGATATGTAGAAAGACATGTAGAAAGACATGTAGAAAGACATGTAGAATTGGAAGGTATACCATCTCTCCGTAGCAGTAAAAGCAAACATGTAATAGTTGATAGACCTCGAAAGCAGGCTTGCACGAATAAATGTACGGCGACCTACAAACAATGTCTACCAGTGGTAGTCCTCGGTTCATCTTCATCACCACCGAGTCATGGTGCCAAGGGCATGAGATAAAATCGTTACATGGTGATCTGATTATCATTACACTAGTGTATGAGACGTAAATTTTCAGACGACTAACCCCCGGTGTGGTAAGCATTCGACAACCGGCTGATGTCCGTAATGTTGAACTTCGTTCCACAGAGTCAGACCCTCCAGACCGCAAGGGCTATCAAGCCATACCAATGTTTCCATTATGTGAGTAAAGCCTTTCCAACTGGTGATTCCCAACTCCTCGAGCTGCAAATGCAACCGCCCAATAAACCACAGGCGATGTGGCGTCTCCAGGGAAGCAATCCCACCCAACGTTAATATCCAAAGCAATATTGTCGGCATTGCGGCCCACTCCTCCCTGGGTAAAAGCTCCAGCTCGAACCGTAGGAGTCGCGCCGCATTTGGATACGGATCTGTCACCAACGGGACTGGAAACACAACAAGGAGGCTGTATATGGCCAGTGCCAATCGGAATGAATCGTATGTACGTGGGACACTTCCAATTGCGGTCAGAATAGCAGGAGGAAGAGATAACACGTGGTGGTGGATCAAGTTTCGCAGCTCCAGCATATAACCCAGATCGAGATCGAAGTGACGTCCATCAGCATACTCGTGCAGCAGAGAACTGTATCCGCGGAGAGCGTGGAATACCCACATAACGGGCCGTGAAAATTTTGAATGGAGTATGAAATGTAAATCGCCCATTCCAGCGTCAGTATTTTCAAACTTGGCCAAGAATTCAGCAGCGCTGTCAGACTTTAGCCTCGTCCGCAGTGGCCAGAAAGGCCTTGTTAGCCATTTGCTAGCTGTGAGGAGATTCCAGCTTTAGGGGTATTAGCTAACAGTCCCGAATACATTCCATGAAAGTTCACTCACGTCGACAATCCAGCGGAAAGCCCAGGCATCTCGATTTTATCAAAGCCCCCTCTTGCATGCACAAGATGGCGTAACCCTCGAACATGGCCGTCCAAGATCACAATATCCGTGAACCGCGTTAACAATTGCAGGTTGGAGAGAGGGGCCAGTCTCATCCGAGAGGTTGCTCCTTGGTCTCTCTCGTGCGGATGTAACGCCAGAGCGAACGCAGCCATGATGATCTGATCCGTAACTGTGGCGGGATTGCTGTCATCCACAACTTGTTTCAAGGCTGTGATGGCTTCTTGTCGCATAAGAAGCAATTCGTAAGTGTCCTTCCTAGGCGTGGGACTCTGAACGCCGGATGCTTTCTGCCGCATGAGAAGGTGCTCTGCCCCTGAGTGGAGCCATGCGCTGAATAGAGGGGGGCAGCTCATGGCTATTTTCATCCACTCATGGATGAAGCTCTGACCCTTGTACGTCATGCCGGGGAAAAGTTTCGGCCACATTTCTTGGACGGCTATAATCTTTTATCAGCAAGGTAGCTTCAATCTCTGCTAGGTGTACCGACAGTAATAGAATGTCTGGGTGATAGTTTCACGGCTCAGGTTAGATGGATAAGTATGGAATGGGTCCAAGAAGCGGTGGCTATCGTGATCGATTGTGAACGGACTCGGTGTCCGCCTGGTGACAGACAATTGTTGTTCGTGTCCTTGACATTGCGAGGAGGAAATCCTTGCTATCTTCTGTGCTGTGAAGTCTGTCCTGTTTTCGCTATCATCTGTGCTTGGCGAATTTGAATTTCTCGGGACGTTGGTCTCTACATAAGCAGAAAAGGGTCTAAGAGCATGATGCCCCTCTGGCAGATCTGCAAATTCGTCCGAGGGCAGCAGTAGCGAAGTAGAGGCTTGACCTAGATTGGTAAGTGGCAAGCCCGCATATCTGCAAACCATCCCTGTTCTTCATATTTTTGGGTCAGAGGGGCGTAATCGATTTTCCACTGGGTAACTTACCGTACACAACGTGAGCAGGCTGGTATGTCTCTGCTACACTGCCTTTTCCCTGTCCTGCACTTGGAACAAGATAGGCTGGATTTCGTCGAGGTCTGTACGATGGGTAAAAGTTGCCGGGGTTTTCTTGCGCTGAGAAACCACTGTGAGACAACGGTATTTTCCGAAGGGTGGGATCCTGGAAGACATACTTCGATTCGAGGTCTGCCCTCATCCCCAGTATGGGTAATTCTGTCGAGTGTGGCTTGTTGTCATCATACTGGCAATTTTGATACACTCTAGACAAATAAAATGTTATCAAAACACGTCGAGGAAGGATCGGGTTACCAGGCTGTACTACCTTGTACATCTCGTGCAGGCCGGAAGAGCCTTGTCGCATCTCCGCTTCTTGGACCGACACGCCACGCATGCCTTCACAGCATAATTTCTGTCGGATGGAGTATCTGTCATTGTTGCGAAACCAGAACTAGGGGTTAGGGGTTTGTGGAATAGGAATAGAGGCGGATGCATGTGCGGACTAGGGAGAGGCTGGGTAGCAGCCTTTGTAGCTGTAGAAACCATGCCGAATCGGGGACCTGTACGGTACAGTTGGAGTTGGGTGTTTGAAACCTCGAAAGTCCTTTCACACCGCCTTCCTTGGCCGGCTCACGTAATTAATGAATGAGCTGGATGTACATAGGCATTTGAAAGAAAAAGGTTGAAAAAAGACTCTAAATTTATTGAAATTCTTCCTCTATCTTATATCCTCATGAATCCAAGATCTACGTCAGCGTTCTTGCTGATATCTGTGCGGCTCGATATCACCGGCAAAAAATACTATAGTACGGAGTTGAAATTCATCGAACCCCATATAAAGCTTTCAGCTCGTCATCGAAAAGCAAAGATCTTCTAAATTACAGACTACAGGCCCTGGAAAGTGGAAACTGCCTGGGGTTTCACATAACCAAAGGAGAACCAAGGGTCATTACATGCATAGTACTATTGATTGTCTGGCCTTTCTTCAAAACACTACACCGTACTATGATTGCTATTATTCTGTATTAGCGACCGGTCGGACTCAAACGAGCTAAGCTGCAAAATAGCAAGCAAGGCTAGTATTATGACTCTGCTCTGAAGAGAAACCAACTTTCTCTTTTCTTGTCGAGTAAAAAATCCGCCACTTCTACTGTGAAAAGTTGGTGAGCTACACCCTGCCACTAACCCATTAAGGAACTTGCACCACCTGCCAAGAATAATGTCAGCCTCTAACCCGTGGGGCCTGGTATTATTGGCAAGGTTTGCGCTCATTGGTTCATATTGAAGCAAATTTAGCATAGTATTGGCTAGTATCTGTGCCCTCCATGATATTGCGGCCCACCCACCGCTTCCGCTTATGGGTGCGCCCTAAATCCCCGTCACCCCTAAATCCCCGTCACATTTTTACCATGCGTCTAAAAAAACCATCAAATTAGATAACTAGCCTAAATAAAAAAGATCTCCTCGCTCCAGGGCTACTCTAGCCGATTCGGTAGACCTATCAATATCCTCCTGGGGCCTCTTTGGCATATCCAAACCAGTAGCCTGCTTATACTGCTTCGCAAGCTTCCTCTCCTCCGCAGCAGCCTCTTTCTCCTTTCTAGTCTTGATTGACCGATTCGCATCGCGAACGCTTAGTATACCAGTTTGGCTAAGCGGTTTAACCTGGCGCTTGGTAATTGGGCGCCTCAAGGGCTCCTGAGCGGCCCTAATTCGCGAAACAGTCGCTTCCGCCATCATAAGCCGCTCGTAGATTATCCTGTGGTGATTGTGAAGCATTGCAATATCTCGCTGAACCTTCGGGTCAAAGGTAGCCACCTTCTTTGATATCTTCTTCTGATTCTTCTCTAGCGCTTCAATTGACTTCGGAGGGGTATTCTCCACGCTTGATGATAGTAAATTTGTAGGCTCCGGTGATGGAGTTCGGGGTTCTCCATGAGCGCGAAGATCAGGTGCGTGAAGAGGAGTAAATTCTAGCTGGCTAGCTAGTTTATCCACTATATTTTGGCCGTTGACTGGCCAAATACCACGATCTTTGAAGGATTGCCGAATAATTCGTTGGTTAAATGCCTTCGCTCGTACAGGCCCAATTACCCGTAGAAAATCCGGTTTACCACATGGCTGACCACCCCAGAAAGATAGCTCATTATTCATAAGCCGAAATTGCTGCTTATAGCTCAAAAATGGCTTACCATCAAGTGGCTGACAGAGATGTGTTGAATGAGGTATAAAGCCGAATGGTATAATATCAGCTAACTCGCATATCTCAAGGAATTCGAGGGTAAGATGTGCTCCGTGGCCATCAAAGAGTAGGAAGCGCTTTTCACCCTTTTTTAGACGGTCGGGTGTAGCAGTAGCTGAAATAAAATGATATAGCCATTCAGAAGCAATTTCATCAGAAATCCAGCCATTCGGTGAGGTAGCAGTAAGTGTGTTTAGAGGTAAATCCTCACTATTATGGAACCAGCTCTCCATAAAGACCCCGCCGCTTTTAAAGATAAATAGCGGATCCATTTGCCAGCCGTCAGCAGCAATACATTCGAGTGCAGTGATAGTTTCGCCTCGCTCAGCTTCAGCAAGGTCAGGGCAGTGCAATCTACCATTAATAACCTTACGAGACTGGCCCTGGCCAGGTTGGAAACCACACTCATCGAAGTTATAGACTAGCCTTGCAGGGATATCCTTTAGCAGGGTTGCAAGCTGATCATACCAGAAAGAGAGAGCCCCTGCATCTTCGGCTTGAATGCGCTTTGATTCCTTTAGATTCTGCTTCACTGGAGCGAGGGATAGGTGCTTTGGAAGGCGTGATATAAAGTAGTATGCCCAATTCTTGCCAACCGGCTGCCGACCCGCATCAGCGCGCGTAAGGGCCTGATTTGCCCACGCTTCTATAAGCTTTGCAGTAGGCGGTAGGTTCCAATCGCACATTTTGACTATCCAAGCAGTCAAAGCCTTCTCCTGATGTGATGTAAGCGCATTCTTGCGCGATTCAGTGGTAGAAAAGGGCGATCGGGCCTTCTTGACGCGATCGGCAAGGGTAGTTCGAGACACGCTAAATTCACGCGCAGTTTTAGCGATATTCGGCTTTTTTTGGTGTAGAACGGCTTTACAGGCCTTCTGCAGGCGATCCTCGTCAAAATTGGAGTATTTAGGCATATTGGGTGGTTGGGAAAGGGAGTTGAAATCGAATGGTAAAAATGTGACGGGGATTTAGGGGTGACGGGGATTTAGGGCGCACCCATAAGCGGAAGCGGTGGGTGGGCCGCAATATCATGGAGGGCACAGATATGAGGCAGAGACATGTACTGTAACTATTTGTATTGGCGGTAACTAACAATAAAGAACTTCCAGCAAATCAATAGCTATCCTAAGTGTGTACTTTTTAGCGTAATTAAGCCTGTACGTACAACAGTATAAGTGTCTGTGGGGCGAAATGGGGGGCATGTTTTGACAGTTTACCAACAAAAATAAGGCTGCTTTACCGTCCACGGGTACTAGTCCGTCTTGGTAATATTTTCGTGAAGTGCATCGAGCAAGAGCCCCCTTGATAGTCTCTTAAAATCAGATTATTCCCCATGACTGAAATATATCATCACTGAGAATCAATCAATGAAAATTGTCCCCACAATGCCTGTATGATTCCACATTCACGAATACTTCTTCTCACGAGAGTTTATCCGGCATCGTCGGAGAGGTTCCCGCACACACAAGGAGTTAAACATGATAGCAGGTCAGAGAAGTCCGAGAAAAGAGGGAACCATATATTGTTGGCGATAATCGGTTTCAGCGGTATATTCTGGAGGGCACAAGAAGTCCTATATCAATAAGTAGATGATGAACAATCCCTCCCCTTCGTCGGTGGCTGGCTCCTTGGCATGAGGAGCACTGACGAGCATGATCCCCCCACCCCCCCCCCCCCCCCACTTCACTCACGCCTCTCGACACGGAACCATACACTACAGCAGGATCCGGCTCGGTATCGCCCTCAGGTCCATCTACCAGTTTGAATGACTTGACACATCGCAGTAACTAACTTAGTTCAGTCGCTTGTCGAACTCGACAACGTTGACGTTTACATCGGAGTGGATTGACCCGATATCGCCGCAAAGTCCACGCATGTAATATCGAGATAGCGGGGACTGAAAGTCTAAAGATCTATGTATCTTTCCTCGGACGAGGGGCCGATCAGTGGGCTAAGGGCTTAGCTGTAGCAGGGGGTCACGGTCGGGGATGGTCGGCCCCGCTACTCTTCTTTCGGTATGTCCCCTCATCGTGCAATGATGTTTCTGGATATATTGCAGGCGAAGGGTCTATGGATATAAGGGTCGAATTAATATCGCCAATCACTACAAATGCCAGCTTCAACACCTCGTCAAGAGTCTAGAAGAGGCGAGTTGGTATTTCAGGTACTCTTGGGTATCCTATTTCAATCCTTGCAGCCTGCTCCTGGAAAAGCTTGCGTCAAAGGTTGCATTGAACCGTCCAGGATTGGGGGACTTGCAAATGCCTAAGGGTAGGCGATACGCAGCCCACATGGAACAAGGCATCGGCGACCGGAGAGACTAATGTTGTCGGCTATAGCCGATGCTCGCTGCGTAGTTCGTCGTCAGTGCTGTCCACACCCAGTCGGCATTGAAGGGGGCCATCTCACTGGTGCCGAGCTCTTGCATGCGGGGCCCCGGATCCTCTATATTGCTGTCTTTGGTCTCACCGTTAAGCAGCGTATCGCTAAACATCATGTTCAATACATTTGTGGGAATTGACCACAACGATGCAACCAGAAATCCTTCTGGGCGACGCCGTGCTATCGTGGCTAAGGCTTGTGTGGAATGCCGGCGACGAAAGACCAAGTGCATTGGCACCCAGCCCTGCACTGGCTGTCTAGCGTGCAATGTGGAATGTGTATTTCCCGAATATCGCCGGCGAGGCAGAAAGTATGTCTTAGTATTGGACTGGATATACGAGCATATTGAATAATTTTGTTCATCTAGAAGCCAGAAGGCCCTCAGCAACGCTCCGAATAATGGCTACGAATCAATCGTCAATCTCCTTTTCCCCCACACGCCTGTACATTCGCTCAAAGGCCTTTCGCGATCAGATTTGTTGGACCGTGCGAAGATTCTTAATATCGAAGACGACCATTCTCCATTGACAAGCAATCAAAGTTCCTCAATCGCGTCACCAGATATCTTAAAACCTGTCAAGGCAAGGGCTGTACCGGACGTGGAAGCCAATGACAGGCTATACAAACTCCAATACAGAGACTCCCGTCCGTTTGAATGGGACGAAACCTCCCCAGGATACCACCCTTCCGTGGAGGACGACGTGAACTCACTCTCGTTGTCCACGGATCGAAGATCCTCCTTTGTGGGAATATCATCTGTTGCCGCAGCGATAAGAGCCCTGACAAGCATTCTACCCACCCAATTCCTTGATGAAAGGAGCACAGTACCAAGTTCTTTGCCGGGCTACACAGAGAATCCGCCTCCTATCATATCGTCGACTACGTCTTATCGAGTCATTTCCCACCGTGATGAGCAAAGATTGATCGACGCATATTTTGCTACCATCCATATATTCGTCCCTATCATCCATGAGCCCAGCTTCCGAACAAAATACCTGACAAGCAGTGGTAGCCAGGACCGATCCTGGCTGGCACTCCTCAACATGGTTCTTGCTCTGGGAAGCGTTGCCACTTCACCCGGCGATTCCGATGAGGATTTCGAATACTACCATGTAGCCCAACAATACCTTTCACTGGAAAGCTTTGGAAACGGGCGTCTGGAAACATTACAGGCGCTGGTGCTTATGGGCGGGCAATATTTGCACTCCCGAAATAGGCCAAATATCGCATCTGCCATAATTGGAGCGTGCTATCGAATCGCAAGTGGTCTTGGTTTACATCTGAGACTCCCCGAAGGTACCGAGGGCAAGGTAAGCCTCCAAGAAGAGGTGAAGCGACGGAATTGGTGGGCTATCTATGTGCTTGACACATGGGGCTCTACAACGCTGGGTCGGCCCTCAGTTCCGCTTGGTAGTTTGGTCGATACCCCGAGAAACACCGATGATGATCAAGTGAGGCTACTTCCCCTCGGATTCGAGATTTTCTTGTTTAATATGGGAGGCAGCTAATTATTTCCCAGCGCGGTGAACTTTCACCAAATGAGCCAACGATACATGCCCCTTTGATCCATAATATCCAGCTATGCCGGATTATCAACCGCATCCAAGATCGGTTACTTATCAATTCCCTCCTCGATGACAGCGAAATACAATTTTATGATGACATGTTACTCTCTTGGTTCGAAACCCTACCGCCATTCTTGCGCTTGCCCGATCCCAACGTGCCGGATTTTCAGGATGCCCGTGTTGTTCTTAAATGGAGATACCAAAATATTCGATTCCTCTTACATCGCCCCCTGGTTCTTGATACTGTGATTCGAAAAACGCCACTTCATTGCCTCTCTACAAATGAGCAAGCTATCGTCTCACGATGTCGTAACATTGCAGCAGAATCTATTCTGAGTATCCAAGAAGAATGGCGCCCAAACAAGATATGCTGCTGGAATGCGATGTGGTTCATGTTCCAGGCCTGTTTAGTGACATTGATGGCGTTGGCTATTGAGCCCACTGATCATCCTGAGTACCCAAACTGGTGCAATCAAGTACAGATTGGGATCGTAACTTGCGAGGAAATGTCCAAATTCAGCCCAGTCGGCCAAAAGACGAAAGTATGTTTGGAGCAAATGTTCATGGCCGCCATCAAGGGATCTCCTCCGACTTTTCGGTACGAACACATAAGCACGCAGCCTCCCTTGGATACCATCATGGGAATATTCGCAAATGATTGGGACCATTTGAATGGAGATGCGATTTTCTCTCAGTTTACTACCCCGGCCAGCTCATACATCGACGATCAAATTCTTCACATGCAATATCAACCACATCGATGAGAAGCCAATTTACACCTCCCCCATCAACCTGCTAAAGCATATATCAACTCGCTACTCCGTACTTGCTCTGAAATCCTACAGGGCTTACCAGGGAACCGGATATTGAAGCGAGTTTTCTTACGGTCTGAGTTCCATTAATGCAAATACCGAATGATTGTCAACAGAGCTGTAGAGCAGGCTCTCTATTCACGCTGCCACTCTCGATTTGAAGCAACAGCGACGTCAGGAGTCACTTCGTTTTTCTCTCGGTGTTTTGTGCCACACTCCGACCGTAGAAGAAGAGGCCCCTCGTCCCAAACGGCTTTAGTATACTAAATTACCCGAATCCCGGCCGCTAGCCTCAAGAACACACCGGTTCCGTTTTAATCCCGACGAACAACCCATCTTATCCGAAATACGCGATAGAACTTTCCGCGGCATTTCATGAGCCCCTCGGTGAATCTGACATTCGCCCCTAGGCCCAACCTCATTCCACAATCCCGCATACACGAGTGAGCTGCCTTTTGCAGAAGTATGGAGTCTGCATACTTGAGCAATAAGCGGTCCGTGGGCGATGGGCCAGTGCTATACTACTTCGGGGTAAAGCCAGCCGGGGCTGTTGCAACGTCATTAATGAGTTGCAGCTATTTGTGCCGTGCCTTTGATCGTCAGGGATTCCTTGGTCATGATGCATGCATTCCCAGAGAATTCAGCAGTGACCCGTATGGGAAAGCGTTCTGGAGCTAGTGCTAGTGAGCGAAATTATTCGTTTTCGTAGTCGCCACCACCTGAGGATATGTTGAGCTTACACTCCTCTTGTATCTCATGCGCTACTTCCATTTTCAGGCCAGAGATTCGGCTTATGCGGGGCATGACGAATACGAAGAAGTGACTCACTAAAAGATTCCCCAACTTCGACTACAAATGGTGTCAAGATCAAGAACACTTGTCAGAGTGAATCTCACCAAAAACTCCTTCCGTGCATACCATATAGATTGTAACTAAAGATGGCCTGCCGACCCGATCCAGAGATTGTGCTTTACGACTTGGCCTGCACCAAGAACGTCTGTTTCTCTCCAGTAGTGTGGCGTATCCGCCTCCTGCTCAACTATAAACAGATCCCTTACAAAACCATATTCCTCGAATTTCCCGATATTGAACCTACACTGAAAGCGCTGTAAGTTTTATTTGATATTTCGAGGCCTCGCATCTCTTTTTTTCCACGATTCGGCGAGAGAGTTGCCAGTCGCGCATCAACCCCACTTATCTCTGATTGTGACCTCTTCTCCAGCGGCATAGAATCCCAATCCAAGTACACAGTTCCTGCCATCCACCATGTGCCGAGTAACACTTATATGATGGACTCGACTCCCATCGCTCAATTTATCGAGTCTACCTATCTAGACCGGCCAGTTCCGTTGACTTCAGAGCTCGGGCGTGAGATCGAAACTAAAGCACGCGCTGTTGTCGGCCCGACCTTCCGCAACTCAGTAATGCCGCGAGAGGCGAATATTCTGTCTCCTCTCTCACAGGAGTACTTCCGCAGAGCTTGTGAAGCAACCCTTGGACATCCGCTCGAGGATCTTCTTGAGCGGGAGGAGAACAGTTGGAATTCCTTGGCAGACGGTATTCGTGCTGTCGGGGAACTGATGCAGACAAACAAAGCCGATGGGCCTTTTGTACTAGGCGCCCAACCAAGCTATACTGACTTTTTCATTGCTGGTTCCCTTCAGAGTGCTAGGATGGTGGACGAGGGGGTATTCCAAAGGAACATCAAGTTCCCTGGTTATTGGGAGATTTATGAGGCTTGTTTACCATACATGGACAAAAGAGATTAATTCGTTGGCAGAGAACAATGACATCAACTTTTACATAGCATCTTACTTGTTCTTTCCAGGTAATAGAGTTGGATGTAGTCTGACTCGCGTGGTGTCGTAATACAAATGATTCCTATTTGGGATTTATGCAGACATGCGGCAGGGCTGTGCATGATCTCGAAGTTAAGATTTGTGTCCTTGTTTCCTCCACCCAAACAACTCAAAAATTCCTATAGCCTGTTATGACATAATTTATCCGAGAACAAGCATTCAACTCCATTTGTGGTAAGTCAGACAAGCTTCCCCGCATTTTGAACTGGAAATCTTCCGTACGTCCGTATGAGATAAGGTCGAGGATCACAGTTTGCCCCTCTTTTTTAAGCAAGGGGGGCAACATTTAAAAGGTAATATCAAGACCTTCGTTCTCTACAAGAAGTTTATCTTGGAGCATGCATTTATCTGTATCTCAATCAGGAATCAACTATGCTTTGGGCTACCATTTTTGCTAACTTGGCCCTAGGCCTTCCTCTGCTATCGGAAGGGAGCCCTCTTAACAAGGGTAGACATTCCAAAAACCCAACTGTTGACTTAGGCTACGCCCAGTATGAGGGTACCGCTCTCGATGTTGGAGTAAATCAATTTCTTGGAATTCGATATGCTGCACCGCCTCTCGGAAACTTGCGGTTCAGGGCGCCAGAAGATCCTGTTATTACTCACGGAGTTCAAGATGCTAAAGAGGTAGTGTAAATATACTTGTTCGTGCTTGCAGCTTCAACGATCTCAAATTCTCACCTTTGCCTAGTTTGGAGCAACCTGCATCGGTACATCTGGGTCTGGACCGGCGCTAAGCAGTACCACTAACGAGGACTGTCTTTTTATCGATGTCTTTGCACCCGCCAAAACAAAGCCGCATCAGAAGCTGCCAGTTTGGTTCTTTATTCAAGGTGGTGGTTATGCCGCAAATTCAGACAGGAACTTCAATGGATCCGAAGTCGTCGCCAAATCAAATTTCAGCATGATTTTTGTTCAAATGAATTACCGTGTCGGTGCATTTGGATTTCTAGCCAGTGAGAAGCTGCGAGAAAACGGTAATCTGAACGTCGGGCTTCTTGATCAGCAAAAAGCATTGGAATGGGCGCGGAAGAACATCCACCTTGTGAGAGCTGATTTCACCTCGATGAATTTTTTCTGTAATGGGGTACAGATTGAAAGTTCAATCTAACTTGATCATAGTTCGGAGGAGATCCTGAGCATATTGTTATTCATGGAACGTCTGCTGGCGGTGGCTCGGTGGCCTATCACCTCACAGCATACGGGGGAGAGAAAGAGAAATTGTTTGTCGGTGCGATAGCCGAGTCACCGTTCCTTCCCACCCACAGGACTGTCGCTGAGTCTGAATTTCAATACCAAAGATTTGTGGAGGGCACCGGCTGCGGAGACCATGAAGATGCTCTTGCCTGCCTTCGATCCCAAGATACAGCGACTCTTCAGTCTGCCGATGTGGCTTCTCGCTTCCCTGGGACAAGTATAACCCCTTTGTGGTATTTCTTACCTGTGATCGACGGCACGTTTGCCCCAGACCAGCTTTATACGCTCTTCGAACAAGGCAGAGTGACAAGAGTCCCGGTAATGGTTGGCGATGACAATGACGAAGGAACATATTTCACCCCGAATGCCAGCACCTCTGCAGAATTCCTGGATTTCATGCAGGCCAACTATCCCCGCCTGACCTCCACTGACCTTCAAATTATCAACGAAACGTATCCACCGGGAGCATTAATGGTAGATCATGCTCCATACTTCGCCCCAGCTGCTCAGGCTTACGGAGAATCGACGTTCACTTGTCCCGGGAATGAGATATCCTCATCTATCGCAAAGTACTTCCACCCCTCCAAAGCTTGGAACTACCGTTACAATGTATGGGATGCAGATTACCAGAATGCGGGTTTAGGAGTACCACACGTGACTGAAAAGCCAGCGGTTTGGGGTCCTGGATATGCAGGAGCGTGTGATAACTGTTCCTACTTGACCTACAACAAGCCCATGGTCCCTATTGTCATGGACTATTGGATCAGCTTCATACTTTCGCTGGACCCCAACACATACCGGGACAGCTCTGCACCGGAGTGGAAGCCATGGGGGACTGCGGGTGGCCAAAGAATGCGGTTCCAGCTTGATGCAACAGACATGGAGCCAGTTCCCGATGATCAAAAACACAGATGCATGGTTTGGAAACATTTGGCTGGAATGATGGAACAATGATTGCACATAGTATCGAGCTGTTATATATGATGTGAGCTATGCGATGTGTTTAATTGTTCATCATGCATGTGTTGAGGTATCGTCAAGCTTTTTTAGATAGTTATCCAGTTTGGAGAAATTCAGGAATCTGGTGGCTTGGAATGGCTTACCTTCTACCTAACACTCTCGATTGCCCATCCACTCCATACTCTCGGATCACTGGCAGCAATCCTGTCCGGTCTATCGACACGAGGTTTCAATTCCAACCATGGCCATTTCTCGTGATCAAAACAAGGGAATATGTACACGGTCGCTTCTTTTTGCCTGTTCTTTATGGTCTTACGATGATGCTGACATAACATCTACTGGAACCATGGTTCGTATCTATGAAATACCGTAGAGTGCATAAATTGACCCGCCTTTTTGATACTTATATTATTATCGATTCTGATTAATAGAGGGCCCATGAGGTTCTTCTGAGATAATAGAACTTGTACCTAAGAAGCAATGTTCTCGGTGAGTCGTTCAAGATTGGCGGGAAATTCTGACTCCCATAAAAGTCGCTGGCTTTACCGCGAGTCGAACCCCACCACGGCCCCTTAAAGGGGAACTAAAAAAAAAAAGACGAAAGCGGGCATCTGACGAAACGGGATAGAATCCTACAGTGTGTCGAAACACTCTGCAACATTGTGCCAGAGACCCGCAATATCGTCGCTTTTGTGTAGTCCTCTACCCTTGGTCGGGCAGCACACTTCAGAGCCAAGGTGTCGCCATACTTATCCCTAATCTCTATAATTAATTCAAAGTGAGAGTATATGAGGTAAGAGAGGAGGAATAAGCAGGGGATCTTTGCATTTTGCAGATTCGACTTGTGTCTAATTGGCTTCGAGGTTAATTGTCGTACTTTCTTACCTATCACGATTCACGAGCCCAACTCTTCCCAACAATCTCGGGGATTGGCGATGTGATCTTTGTGACAAGGGCTGAGAAGCGGGTCTCGTGCATGAGCTGAAGACACTGCACGTCTCCGCCAAGGGATCAGCAAATTGACAGAATCAGCCGCGCTATTGAATTTGAGTGCATCGCCAAGCATTGATGTGTAACATATCCGACCAGTAATCGTCGACAATGCAAGGGGAGTGCTAAAAGATCAACACAAAACAAATGAGGACTGCGTTCCGTATATCGGGGTATTAATTGATGGTCCAGCTGCTGAGTGGGCATCATGATGGAGGAAAGATTCTCAAATTTTTTGAAACCCTCAACTCGTGAAGATTGTCGCATTTCCATCCGCAAAAATGCACGCATTGACTTTGCTCATAGGGCTCACCTCCTTGGTGTTGCCCTCGACTGCTCTTCCTCATAACACCCGGAGAGCTGCAGATGTATGTCCCTATCCGCCCACCTATCAAAGAACAAATTTTCTAACATTGTGCAGTACAAAATCCCCGACCATTGCTATCCCAATCCCTGTGCCGGAATCACTTCCCAAAATGACACCTACGTTTGTGGTGACCCACGCTTGGGACCTGTTCAGGCACCCAAGAAGTTTCCTCTAGACAATGAGCTCCAAAGCTACGAGCGCTTTGGTGCTTTGTGTCCCGCGGCATTCCTCGAGAAATGGGCTGGATCGACCGATTCCAGTGCTTCATACAAATACCCGCCCGCCAATGGCTTCGTTGTCAACACTGCTGGGGCCCCGATCATTGGCAATGCCACGCTGTCTGTGGGCCAGAAGGTCGATCGCTTCGGTTCTGAGTATGGCAAGTTCCTGGCACCGCTAGGCGCACCTTATATCCAGCGCGCACTACCACCAAGCAACTTGGATACCTACGATGGCGATCACCCGTTCAACTATTACGTTTACCAAGTGACAAAGAGCTTTGATGTTGGTATGGGGCCGATTGCGCCATGGTTTGAGCAGCCGGGTATGGGTACTCAATTTGTGACTTATTCCAACGTCAAGGACCTCTTGGCGGGAGGTTATCTGCGTCGCTTAACACCAGAGGAGTATGATGAGCCGCGAGAATTCTCAGACGATTATACACCCAGCCCAGCTAGGGTCAAGCGTCACTGAATACATTGTCTAGATCAGAGGCTTGCGTTGGCTGAGAGGGCATTGCCGTTGTTGTAGAAGATACACTCAGCTTAAATGTAATAGTCTTGTCCGAGCTACTCGCTACTACCACTGCACGCCTCGCCACTGAGTCGGGCTTCATTCCATTCTACCGGATGTCGGTTCTGGTACAAAGTATCCAGGATGGCGCAACCTGAGTCTGCATCCAAATGCCTCATAACTCTAAGCTCTTCTAAGATTTTCGCTGGCTTTGAAGCTTACAAGATGTCGTCGTCACGACTTTCCGAGATCTCACTACAGATACGAGATGATGTGGCCGCACTTGGGACTACAGCCAGCACATCAGATTAATGTTCGGGGACGCTCAGCCTCAATGTCAGGCTAGGCGGGGTGGCCTGATGAGGTCAACCGTTAACCACTGTTTAGAAATAATTATGCGGGGAAAAAGGTTATCGACGAATTGCGGGCAAGCATGCCGCCGAGTGTGCCGCCAATCGGAGCCTTTGGCGTGTTGCGGTCATCCGAGGTGGCGATAGCCGAGAGATTTCGATATCGTATTGTACTACTCTTTCGTGGTTTTATTTTCTGAGCAGGGGAAGAGCCCATCATATCTGAGACATTATCTTAGAATTCAAGGCCCGCAAAGTATCAGGGTCCTCGCGTGACCGAAACTGGCCTGTCAACTATAATTAGGATACCCGACCATGGAACTATACATCGATAGCCTTCTTCCATGGAACGAAGTATACAGTATAGTACGGATCATGGATCAGTTACGAAAGATTCGGGCCCCCAAGGTGTTTAACCATGGAGCCTAGAGCGATCTCTATCTAGTTTCAGTTTCGTGGATGGAATACCGAAAACTCAGCCTCTTAGACTGCTGGAGCTGTCCAGATTCTGTGTTTTCTATAGGCTGAACAAGCCAAGACTGTGTTGTTATACGTCACCATTCGTGTCTCTGAATAAGGCGAACTATCATGAGGCAGTATACGAATGCTGGTTTCTAAAAATGTCTGAGATTGTAGGAGATCTCCTGATGGTGGGAGTAGAATTCGAGTATTTAAAGTTGCTGAATCTCCCTCGAATGCGCAATCATTTCAGACACACGAACAGCACAATATCTAAAGCATAATTTTCAAGACCATCTATTAATTACTACGACACGAATTACTTCAAAGTTCAAAATGAAGTTCTCCGACGCCCTCACTCTCACCGTGGGCCTTGCTACTGCTGCCAGCGCCAGTCCTGTGCGACGTACTGATCAGGTTGCTATCACCTTCATCGGCGCTGCCGACGCCCAATTCTCTCAGAGCTTCCCCACGGATGGTTCTCGGGTGTCCATCAGTACGTTCAATTCATGCGCCTATCTATAAGCTCTGTGTGACAAAGCTGACTCGGCTAGCCAATCCTCTGAGCATCTCCCACATCTCATCCGGCACCAATGGTGTCTCTTGCACATTCCATGGCATTGACAACAGTGACACCACTGTCAATGGAGCTCAGACTGTTGATGTTGGACCCCCTCAGACTCAGGTCTATGGATCCTGCCACTTGAATGGTGAAAGCCCTCAAGTGTCAGTCAGCTTCATCGGTGCCGCGGATGCCCAATTCTCTCAGAGCTTCCCCGTTGATGGCTCGTCTGTGCAGATCAGTAAGTCTACACATGAGAATGATGATGGAAAAAGTATCATTTCATAGATAGAGAAAGCTTACTGTTATAGCTAACCCCCTGAGCATCTCCCACATTGAGATCAACTCTGCTGGGGCGTCTTGCGTGTTCAAGGGAATCGACAACAGCGTCACCACAGTCACTGGACCTGCCACTGTCGATGTCGGCCCTCCTCAGACTCAGGTCCAGGGCACATGCTCGGCTGTCTAATAGCGATCCTGGGGGAGTCATTGCAAGTCACTATCGCTCCATAACGTTCATTTATATATTGTTTATAAACTTTCCTTACTTTCCGTCAGTTTGCATTCGGGAGCGAGAGATATGACATGGGACAGATAATATTGGTGTCAATGGCAAGGAGATGGAAGCGAAGCTCGAAGAATGACATGAAATGACAGAGATTCGGTCACTCCTTCCTTACTGTGATTTGAGTTGTATTGCTAGATTGAATACACAATCCACTCATTTGTTTGATCAAAGTCCCACAAACTCTTCCAAGGCAGACATACACTCAGTTTCTGCCTTGCTGCATCTTTTTACCTCTTTAGGCAGCATATCTCAAGGCATCCAACAAGTCCCCATGCTTGTGATCCCCCACGATATCTCTTTCGTCTTTCACCACTTCATCTTATCCTCTCCATCATCCATCATCCACTCAAAGCAAGTATGGCGCCAAACTCCCTTTCCGCTGTCTCCTCTCTATCGCCGTCAAACGTCCACCGCTCCTCCTTCAGTGAGCCGGCTCTCACCCCGCACCTCCCAATGAAAACCACCGCCATCAAGCTCGACGAGATTGAGCGCTGGCTCGCCAATCCGGAGCTCCATGCAATCGACACCATTGAATCCTCCCTGCTCCCGAGTCCGATGCATATACATACATATACTCACCCAATCCCCTCGGGCTGCAAATGGGACCAAAAATCCGAGGACGAGAATCCACAACCACCAAAGAAGAAGAGAAAGATCCAGGCCTACGATGGTCCTTCAAGGTACTGAGCCTGCTTCCGAACCCTCCTGCGTACCTGGCATCCAAAGCCACCAGTCTCCCACTCGAAGCTTCAGGCCTCGCCGTTACCCTTAAGAAATGTTCATGGATAGATATTCGAGTACTGTAATAATTGTGAATCATTCATTGATTTCATCGCACCTTTTCTCTGCCGGCCAAGCAGAGAATGGCACACAAATCTGCTCATCCCGGAGTAAAGTTCCACCGGCGCCCGTGCCTGCTGACTCACCCACCTGACCCACGGGTGGGTCCCGTGCAAATATAAAAAGGCGTCGCTCCTCCCAAAAGTTTTCTCTTCTTCAAGCGACTCTACGTACGTGATTCCCACCCCCTACAGTGGCATTTTCATTCCAACTGTTGAAGCATCTGCTAACATGTCTTCCTCCTACAGTTCAAAGAATCACTTTAGAGTAGACGTCCCACTTCTAAGCTCTTTAAACGAGCCACAGAATCTTCACCCTTGCTGATGACTGCTATGTCCTCGATGCCCTAAAGTGAAGCCATTTGGACTCCCGCCTCGACTGACACGCGTGCTTCGGCGTCTGCATGTTGGTCCAGGGAGTGGTGATGATCTTGATCTGGTCTCGGCGTCTGACTTCGGTCGGCTGGTCCTGGTGGGTGTCGAGGAGGTCTGAAAGGTGCTTTAACTCTTGTTGTTTTCTTCCCTTTGATGTTGGGGGCAGATCTCAGCGAGAGAGAAGAGATGGAGATGCGACAAATGTTTTTCTTTCTACATAGCTTCGATGAAAATTTCAATCCAAATTTTGGCCCAAACATTATCGCCAAAAAAATTTCCTTGTAAACTTCTTATCACTTATCGTCACATGACTATAAAAGGCCATGCAACAGTGATCCTCACTTTTTGTGCTCCGCCGAGTCCGCCGCGCCTACTTTAAGCCTCAGCAAATTTTTCTTCTCCTTAGGCTTGGGAAGAAATAGTTTCTCTGTCAACAACGCGCTCCACTCTTCATGCCTTGATATCCAGGCACACAGTGTGGGGCCCCAATATTTTTGCATCCCAAACACGCGGTCGTAGGGAACACACCGATATCCCTCGCGTGTCTCGCTCCGTCGCGTACAACCACTCTTCCAAACGTACGATCAATATCCTATCACTATGGCACGTTCCAAAGAGCTTACCCCCGCGATACGCGAGCGGATATGCGAACTACATGCCATCGATTGGGGCTATAAACGCATACATCAACGATATCCCACTATACCCATTTCAACAATTCGATATACGATAAAAAAGGAGCCTGAGCGCCGAGAAGGCGTATCAAAGCGTCGATCAGGTCGCCCAAAGAAGTCGAAAATAAATGAGCCAGCTACCAAAGCCGATAATGATCCAAAGGCTGACAGCGGTGCAACGGCCGACAGTGATCCGAAAGCTCATAACGATCACGATGTTGTTACTGAGAGGACAACCGAGTCCACAACTTCTGGGGCCGAACGAAATAGTGGATCATAGCCCCGACGGTATGGGATCTGACATGTGAGGAGCTTTTTATCCCACTCAAATAAGCAGCAGTTATCACTCACCAGGTCGCCTGATAGCCTAAGCTACTATAGCTCGAGATAATTTGCGGTGCCGAGAATCATCTTCCGTTTCGGGGAGCATACTCATACGACCGCTTCTGTATATAACGAATGACCTTCAGTCACTCTATTCAAGAGAATAATCATGACAATGCTATCAATATCAGCTAAGAGACACCAGACCTTTGTTACCTGTGGACCATCCACTGACTGTGGACACGGAAGAGAACAGACCTTTGCCTGAGGAGCGGTAAAACGGGCAGTACACACACTTTCTAAGTGCTCGAAATTATGTCTAAAGATCCATGCAAAAAAAATGGGGGGAAAAATGAGTGTTCAGGGTGACTATGGCAATGATTGAAAAGATCCTTGGTTGTTGGTCTATCTGTGGCAGGAGTATGTAGATCGCAGTCTTGCTTTGTCTAGTCCATGCGGGCATCATCCCTCCTGGTTGTCGTTCACAAATGTATTCTCCTTTTGATATTCCTCTAGCCGTTCAAGCGATATGCCTTCCACTGGAATCCAGTCAAGATCGTGATCCTAGCCATCGTTGTCGGACATCAAAAATTCAAAGCTGGCGGGATTGTGTGATCTTCTCCGTGATTCAATTTGTTTGAAAATGTTTAGCCCGGATCTCGAAGCCCAGTTTTCTCCAATCACGCCTGCTCGTCAGAGGTGAGAGAGCCAGAATGTACCTTTTTTTTTTGGAGGGCAAATTGTGACTCATTCAGAGTCTCAGTGCCTCAAATCTCAACCGCTCCGTTCGTGGCCATGTATCACTAATCGGGTAGGCCACGTTTGCCTCAAAAGGCCAAGGTCCAACCGCGGGCCCATACGGAAATTCACTCAGCACAACCACCCACAAAGAGAGTTCTTTGACCAAGTAGGCGACGGTCTCTCCGTAGATATGTCCACAGTTTTAGTGTTGAAAACTGCGTAACCTGATCTGTGGAGATCCCCGACGATGTTGCATATCATGTCAGGGACATGTAGCACGTTCTTCAAACGGAGGATGCCATGTCGGTCCGGGCCGAATCCGACAGGGAGATCGACGGTTCCGACTCGAATGACTACCTTGACCAAGGTGACCAGTTTCCAGAAACGACTCGAAGGGGGTGTAATCATCGCCAAACCAATATTCATCTCTAGCAACACTAATGAGGGGTCAGACACTGCTTGATCCCCAGAATTTCCGAGACTTACTGAACGTTGGATAGGGTTGACCAAACCCAAGCCGGGCAAGGAAGAAGGGTCTCGTCAGCCCCCACAAGAATCAGTACCATAGAAGAGGCTAATCTTGATGAAAGAAGAAGAAGCTGTTGTAGAATATCGAATCCGGGTCGAGAGGGGAAAGAGGAAGAATGAAAGAAGCGACCTTAACAGGCTGCTGGAGTCATTCAAGCGGAGTGTGAAGCACACTAGAATGTTGGAACTTCCGTCATCAATTTGCGGGTTTTCTTTGATGGTTACAGGACAAAGTTTGAGGTATTGCCTGTCGAAAGGCTAGCTGGTGAAGGATAAGCATAACCTCAAGGTCGACGGTTCCACAACCTTTGGATGTTGGTACAATTGACGGCCCAGATAATGGTTTTTTTACATGATTTGCCATCAGATATTCACTGGCTTGCTGCAATGATCGGGCTCGCATTCCATAATTCGCTGCTCTCCGCCACCTGGCTGTTCCAAAGACATGTCTTCTGCTGAAATGTGGTCGACCTCATCATTTCGATTGTCGCAGTCGTCGGCGGCGTCATTTTCGATGAACTCTCGCAAAATCTTGCGGCCTTCTTACTGGTACTCTTTGGAGTAGATGCTCAGTCCGTAGCTCCGCAGGAACCTGAACTCGTTCACCCAATGCTTTGTTAGCCTTGCTTTCTCTGTTGGATTAAGAGGGAGGTTTTCTGGAGAGGTTTCTGAAGTCTCCTGAGAGCCCTTCAGAGCTGCAAATTTCTGCTGCTCCGCAACAGGCCAAGTGGCCCGAAGTTGGTAGGGAACCTCGGGGTTAAACGGTGAAGGGCCAACCACAGGGCTGAATGGAGGCTCACTCAAAAGAATCTCTAGGAAGCGTTTCTGACTCAGCCAGGCGATCGGCGCTTGAGGGGAACATTTGTCGAGAGACCAGCTGCAAAGGCCGTCGTCCGGGTTGAACGACAAGACAGAAATCGTATATCTCTCAGAGGCGACATTTCCAAGCATATTGCAGATCCCATCAGGGGCATGTAGTACGTTTTCTAGGCGCAGTTTTCCATGTGCTCCTGCGCCATCGTCAAGTGAATATTTCTTGACGCGCAGAGTGACAGTTCCGACCCCGATTACCTTGATTGGGGCCGTGATGACCGAGTCTTTTTCGAAAAAGGTGTCGAAAGGTGTGTAGTTATCACCAAACCAGGAGCGATCTTTCATAACACTAAGAAGTCGTCAGGCAGTCCCTAGCTTGCGAGGTGGGGAGACTCACTAGACATTCGAACAAGTTGAGTATATCCAGCTCGGGCAAGGGAGATGGGCATCATCTTCTTCAGACGATGACGACGTCAAGTTTGCTTTGATATTGATGCTAGAGGTCGTGAGGCTCGCAATGTTGAGGAAATCGGATTAATTCTGATAAAGGTGGAAGAGGAATTAAATATGTTCATCCAAGTCTGGATAAATAAATCTACCCTAAAAGAAGAGGAGAGATGATAGTAGGAAAAGGGGGTGGGAAAGAGTCGCGAATGTCACCAGTGTTTTCTAATCAGTAGGCGCGGGAGATACCATAACCGCGCATGCTGTTTACTTTCTAGTAGATCAAATTATGTATCACCTCCACGTGAGGAGTAGAGGCGGGAGTGCTTTGATTCAATCTTGGGTTTTTCCAGGGTATAGAGTACCCCATGGATCTATCAAAAGGGCCTCCTGGGGTCACAACTACACTGATTTAGATCCTTCAACATATACATCCACATTCTTTAGTAAATGGACAATTATCCGACACCCTGCGTCTGATGAATGAACTCTCATTTCATCCAAGTTCAAAGCAGGAAAAAACTTCTTTTAGAGCTTAGATATCTTAAACCATCCCACTTGTTCTGGATATGCCCTTGGCAGCCCAAGCTGTTCGAAACTTCGCAGGTGAGAATTGACGATGCAATTTGCCCCACATGAAAATTGAAAGAGCCAATCAATGCCCCGGTTTAGTGTCGAGTTATGCAAGTAATTCGCTCGCCAATCAGAGACAATCGCTAGGAATAACCTCACCCCGAGGCCTCGGAGAGCGTTCAGATTGGCTGATTCAAGTTCAGCATGGTGAATAAAAACTCCACTCGACGAGCACAACCAAACAAAAGCCTCAGGGATCGAAGTGGACTCCGATAAGCCCTGCCTCCCAGCAAAATTTTTGCCGGATGGCCTCAGCAATAATTGCCCCGTAAGAAAAAAAAATGAAGCCACCGTAGAACCAAGCTTAGTACAAGCCCCCATCCAAGCACCACCATCACCATGTCGCAGGTTGTATATATCACACTTGAAGAACGATCCACACCCAATCCTACAGACGGTATCCCTAAGACACAGTCCAATTGGATTCATCCGAACTTAATTGAAAGCGTCGACCCGGTCAAAGGCCGCCAGTTACGGGCTTCGGAACACATCCCGAAAGGCACCTGCGTCCTCGTCGACCACCCATATGCAATTATTTCCGTTGTGGATGATCCAGCGACAAACGACGACCTTATTTGCAGCAATCCTGCTTGTAATCGTCGGTCTCCGCGTCACCCGGGCCGATTCTCGTGCTCCAATTCTTGCATTGCGGATGTGACCTGGTGCAGCACCACTTGCAGAGATGCCGACAAGGCCCGCCATGATTTTGAATGTACATGGCTCAAACGCTATGCTGATCCCATACGAACGAAACGGGGCGAGTACGATTTTGGCATGTTATGGATGATTGTTCGACTACTTGCTTCTCGGCATACGGAGCCGGAGCCGCAAGAATATAATGTCGCAACGACGTCGCAGCGATGCAAACGTGGCTGGGCTGGTATTGAGTCACTTTGCGGATCTGTCGATACATGGCCTCATCAGCATGTCCGATTATGGACAACGTTGGTGAAGAAATATCTCCAGAATAGCCCCGTTCTGCCTCATGGATTAAGTGCAGACAGCGTGTTGCATCTGATCTGCCAGGAAGAGGCCAATTCCTTCGGTCTCTACCCAAGGGAAACGGGCATTTTCCCACCTCCACAGCCCCCTGTCGACCGAGGAGAGCAATTCGCTGCCGCGGTATATCCAACCGCTGCAATGGCAAATCACTCGTGTATACCAAATGTAAGCAAATCTGCCTCCCATCTTAGGATTTTTGTCTTGAGACTGACCCATAGTAGATGATACACAAGCCCGATGAAGATGGCCGCATGATCTTTACAGCTTCTCGCGACATTCTTGCAGGCCAAGAATGCTGCATTTCTTACTTCGACCTTACTAAGTTCACCAACTTAGCATCGCGCCGTGAGCATCTGCGTAAATCTTTCAAATTTACTTGTCAATGCGATCGATGCATATCCGAGGAGCCTGCGGAAGAGACAAACGACTGGGACTCAATGCCATTGATGGACATATAAGCGAATTGCAATTTTTTGGTGACGGCACTCCTGTAGAAAGTAATGACAGATATAACGACATACTTAAAAGCGATATACATGGCCACATATATAAGCAAAAGAAACTTCAATTGTTCTTCTACAGCTATCGGGTATGTATCGCACTCTATGCTTCATATAATCGTACATTCAACTTCTATCATGCAACCACTCCTTTCCTTTTGAGCTCCTCGATACGCTCCTTACTCAAACCCACAACATCCTGAAGTAACTCATCTGTATGCTCACCCAACAAGGGAGGCGGGCTACGAATACTCGGTTCTGCATTCGAATACTTGACTGGCGGGCTAATCACCTTGATCGGCCCACAAGCCGGATGCTCAATCGTCTGGACCATCCCGCGAGCTTGCACTTTGAAATAGTTAGCAAAGAATCCACTCAAAATTCGGATTGATATCTGCTTACCATGCTCATGGTTCATAGTCCCTTGGATGTCGTTGACCGCTGCATAGGGCAGACCACTTCCCTCGAAGATTTCCTGCCATCGTCGCGTGGTTCGTTTCACGAGCTCAGCTTCGATCAGAGGCTCCAGTTCAGCACGATTTGTCACGCGGTCGTTATTAGTTACGAATCGGGCATCAGTCTTCCACTCAGGCTTGCCGATTTTCGCGCAGAGAATACCGAAGAGGCGGTCATTCGCACCACCGACGAAGATATCGCCATCGGCGGTTTTGAATCCTTGGTATGGCACAACAGATGCTAAAAGTACCAAAAATGTTAGGCCTTGTACTCAAGTCAAGGCCAAGAAGAACAATCTACTTACGATGAGCAGTCCCCCATCTCCCCGAATCTTTCTTCCCACTAATCAACACCGACTCTCCCATGTTAGCCAGCGTTGCAACCTGGCAATCACTCAGACAAACATCAAGATGCTGCCCCTCTCCCGTGTTCGCCCGCGCCAATAGCGCTGCCATAATCGAGTTACAGGCATACAGTCCCGTCGTCAAATCTGTCACCGCGACACCGACTTTCACGGGTGGACCATCGCGAGTCCCCGTCAAATGCATCAGTCCAAACTCAGCCTCGACCATGACGTCGAAGCCTGGTCGATTGCTGTACGGACCTGTTTGACCATATCCGGTAATGCTTGTGTAGATCAGATGTGGGTTTATCTTGCTGATGGATGCGTAGTCGAGGTTGTATTTCTTTAGAGAACCGGGAAGGTAGTTTTCAACGAGGACGTCACAGTCGCGGGCGAGTTGCTGGATTATTTCGACGCCTTCGGGGTGTGCGAATGATAGACCGAGGGATTTCTTATTACGGTTGACCTTTCATAAATTAGTTTCCTACGATGTTTCTGTTAATTGTTGCAGGACTTACCGAAAGGTAGTAGGCGCTTTCGCCATTACCGGTTCGTCCATCTGTGTATGCAGCAAAGGGCGGGCCCCACGCGCGAGTATCGTCACCTCGAACGGGGTGTTCAATTTTGATGATCTCAGCTCTGAAAAAACATTTGATCAGTGTCTTGCTTGAATCATCTTGTATATGAAGAATAAAGACATACCCCAAGTCACCAAGAATCTGTGTACAGTATGGCTGTTTGCACGATCAGTATAACTCTTTCAATATTGCTGTAGCTTCCATTCAATCGTTTCACATACCCCAGCCAACACTCGGCTCATATCCAAAACTCGAACTCCTGCCAGCGGGAGCTTTTTCAAGTTTGGCGACTTCGCAGCCGTAGCTAAGCCTCGCGAGAAGTATACGTCCACAGGCCTTGTAAGGGTAGGAGTGGCCCTGGCCACTAAAGCCAGCCCTGACAATGGTAGACAATACATGACGAATGGATAAATGTAAACTCCCCTGTTGATCATGTACAAGTTCCCAGAGAGACTACAAACTCCAGTTCGCCTCATTTTGTCAATTTGAATTCCGCACTCTGCTCGTGGAGAGCCCCACTGCTTGATCTGTAGGTGGGTTCGACCCCACATGAGCAGCTCAACGCGTGAACGCGCAAGTCACGCAGGTAATGGATGGGATTAAGGATTGACGGGCAAAGGGCGAATTCTGCAGCGGAGGATATAACAGGAAATAAAAGTGGAAGTTGTAGGAAGAAAAAAGAAAAGCTTAATTTTCACAATCTACAGGGAGTATTGACATGCACAAAAAAACACCGTATCCAAACATGAAAAGTCCAATGGGTTTATGTTTTCCCAAGCAGTTACAACTGCATGGGCTGGAGGTCCTCGGAGACCTTGAAGGGAGCGGCAGTCTTGCTGCGGATCTCCTCAACGGTGACGCCCTCGGCGTACTCGATCAGAGTCAGACCCTCAGTGGTGCTGACGTCGAAGACGGCGAGATCGGTGATGATGGTAGAGACACAACGGGGGCCGGTCAGGGGGAAGGTGCAGTCTAAAAAATCAGTGTCAACTTTGTGTTATGTAGAAGATTGATGGGAAGTCAGATCTTACCAGCCAGAATCTTGGGGTTTCCCTTCTTGTCGGTGTGCTCCTGTAAAATCACAAGGTTAGAACTGAACTGCAAGGTAAAGGGTTCATTCAGAACGTACCATAGTCACAACGACCTTGGTCTTCTCGGGGTTGGCGACCAAATCCATGGCACCACCAATACCCTTGACCTTACCGGGAAGCATGAAGTTGGCCAGATCTGAGGAGTGTTAGTTTATCAGGATTGCAGTATTAAGGCAAGTTGATTTATACGTACCACCGTACTGGCTGACCTGGAGAGCACCAAGCATGGTGAGATCGATCTTGCCAGCGCGAATCATACCGAAGCTCTCGTGGGAGCCGAACAGGGAAGCACCACGGCCAAGAGTGACGGTCTCCTTGCCGGGGTTGATCAAATCGGGGTCCTCCTGACCGGGCTGGGGGTAACCACCCAGACCCAAGATACCGTTCTCAGCCTGCAGGACAACCTCGACACCCTCGGGGAGGTAGGCGGGAGCAATCAGAGGGATACCAATACCAAGGTTGACGTACATGCCGTCCTTGAATTCCTTGGCGGCACGCTTAACAATACGTTCACGGCGGGCAGTCGCATCACCGGAGCCAGCAGCGAGCATCTCGGAGGGGTCCTTGGCGTAGGTAACCTTCTCGATCTGCTTCTTCTCAGTGCTCTTGATGACAGCGTCGACGTAGATGCCCTGCAGGTGGATGTTCTCGGGATCAATCTCGCCAACCTCGACAATCTCATCGGCCTCGACAATGGTGAACTTGGCGTTCTTGCCCATAGCCTCGTTGAAGTTGTTCATAGACTTGCGGAACTGGCAGTTACCGAGCTTGTCGGCCTTGTGAGCCTTAACCAGAGCGTAGTCACCAAAAATCGATTCTTCCAAAAGATATTCCTTGCCGTTGAAAACGCGGGTCTCCTTAGGCTTGGACTTTTCAGCCACAGAGCCATCCTTGTTGTAACGAACGGGGAGTTCACCAGTTTGAACTGTACAGATGGAAACATTAGCTGAATTCATTGGTTAGCTATTCAGAGAGCAACTCACCGATAGTACCAAAAGCAGCGGGGGTATAGAAAGCCGGAACGCCAGCCGCTCCAGCAGCACACTTCTCAGCGATAGTGCCCTGGGGAGTAAGCTCCAGAGCAAGATCACCGGTCAAATACATCTTCTCGAACACCTTGTTCTCGCCAATGAAGGAAGCGATCATCTTGCTGATCTGCTTAGACTCAAGCAGTTGCCCTATGGAGGGATATCTGCGTTAGCGCATACTCCCGTAAGAAGCAATATTGCCCCAATTGCAGTGCAATTGGAGATGTTGAGTGACCTACCGAGACCGGCGCCGGGCATGCCAGCATTGTTCGAGACCACGGTCAGATCCGTGATATCGGGACGGTCGCGCACAGCGTTGATCAGAGTGTTGGGGACACCAGAGAAACCGAATCCACCGACCAGAACGGTGGCCGGGCCCTTCATGTTCTTGATCGCATCTGCAGCAGAGCTAGCGCGCTTGTCAATGGCACGCTTGGAAGTTGAAGCAGAGAAGTTCCGCCGCCAAACGGGGCGGAACACCGAAACCACAGGGAAAGACCGCGACATGATGGTGTCGACTAGTCTTGAGAGATCACTGGGGAATGCGCTTTCTGAACCAGCAGAAAGAGAAGAGAAGAGAAAGAGATCATGATCGCGAAAGTTGACCCCAATAATCCTCCAGCACCTTTCGGCTAGGACCTGAGCCATAGAAGCCGAAAAAAACACTTAGCCGGCAAGCACCAGGCGGTGGCCACCGCCTGGTTCCCCACACATCGGAGAGGCATAGCGGCGAAGCCCCAGGCCTTTTGCCGCCATCGGAAGCCGACCCCACACGCCTACCCGAACACAGTCAGGGTGGGCGAGGGATTGGGGAATGTGGGCATGTGCTCTTGTGATGGAGAAGGGGGTCATGATGCGGGGTGGAATTGAGGGCTCAAACAATGTGGAGGATGCAATTGCGGCATGATAACTTGGGTGTTTTATTGTTGGTGGGCCAGGATGAAATTAGTTGGAAGAGAGAATCAAAGAGTTTTGCCGTTGACCATAAATTACCACTCGTATGGAGAGTGGTAAATCAACTGTATTATTACAGGTAATTTACCCACCGGGACTAGCATCGGCAGCGGACGAGAACCGTTCGGGATTGTTTCCTCTCCATAACCGACCCGATCCCGAACAACTCTGGATTCCGAGCAACGATAATAATCATGGTCTAAGAGTCTTAAAGAGTTAGTATAGACGGGTCTAGACAGTTGAAGACTCACGAATGCCTCAAGCCTCTTTTACCTTGAGTTTGGCTATTTGGGTCGATGCCCGCAGATCAACGGGCGGGGCCGTTCCCCTCACCATCTCCGCTCGACATGCATCCATCCATCTTCCCCAAGTAGACTCCTTGCCTGGGGTAATCCCGTGTCGCCAAGAGACTGCCAATGAGTTGTAAATGCAAGGATATCATATATGCTGATAGTATTCTTGCATTGCGTCGTAATCTTACAACTATGGTCCAATCGGCTTAGAATAATAACGACGGCCAACGGAATTACCCCTCTCGGTACTATATAGAAAGACAAAACTGGGAGGAGATGCACTGCTGATTATTAGAATCTGTAAATCTTTTGTTATACAGATCACAATGGCTGCTAAGAATACTATTCCTCCAACTCCGCTGCTTTCGGAGAAACATAATGGCATTCCAGAACGACTCTTTGCTAAAGCGGAACAAGCCAAGTCTGCTATTTTCAATATTGCCACCAAGCCCCAGAGTAACAGAAATCACGTTGCTATACCACAGGGGATAAGTGAGAATGCTTTTTACAACGCCATTGATGAGCTCCGCACAGAATTGGGCAAAGAGCATGTCAAACTCGTGACAAAGCTGGTCGATGGATGGTATGCTTGATACTCCGATGGATAACCCATGATCCGTGAGCTAACGGTGGTCCTCTTAGGTATATGGAGAGTCAGTACCGATATCAGAATTGTTTGTGTATCTTCCCTTTTCTTATTCAACTTACTTGCAGATCCCAACACCCATGATGGAATGCATGTGTCGGAGGAGGATGACTTTGTCGCCTCAGTGACAGTCTATCCAAGCACCACAGAAGAGGTCCAGGCAATCGTTCGCTGGGCGAACAAGCATCGTATCCCCATTTCTCCAATCTCAATTGGGCGCAACTGTAAGATTCCAACTTTTACCGAATCTCAAAAGGCTGAATTAACCTCCAAATAACCTTTCATAGATGGCTACGGTGGCGCCGCCCCTCGAGTCCGTGGTGCGGTAGTCATCGACCTTGGACGTCGAATGAATCGAATCCTCGACATCAACCCCGACAATTGCACTTGCTTGGTAGAGCCAGGCGTGACTTACTTTGCCCTGTACGAAGAAATCCAATCTCGTGGTTTCAAAAATCTATGGGTTGATGTGCCCGATATTGGAGGGGGTTCGGTCTTGGGAAATGCCATGGATCGGGGTGTTGGCTATACCCCTTACGGCGATCACTGGATGATGCACTCCGGGATGGAGATTGTTCTTCCTACTGGGGAGGTGATCAGGACGGGAATGGGAGCTCTTCCGGGTAACAATAGCTGGCAATTGTTCCCTTATGGCTTTGGACCGACCGCGGAGTGAGTATATCTATCTTTTCTCTAGATCCTAGCTAACAATATAATAGTGGTTTGTTCTCGCAATCTAATATGGGAATTGTGACCAAAATGGGATTCGGGTTGATGCCAAATCCTGGTGGCTATGAGAGCTATGTAGGTTTCTATACGTTTGCTCTCGTTTGCTGAAATTAACAATAGACTAGCTCTATACCTTCTCGAAAGAGGAAGATCTCTCCCAATTGGTGAGTGACTTCTTATGTGCCACCGTACAGGAGAATCGAATTCTCACTGTTTCCATAGATCGAGATCATTCGCCCCCTTCGGATTGCCATGATTCTAGAGAATGTCGCTCAGCTCCGTCATATCAGCATGCAAGTCGCATTAGAAGGCAAGCCTCGAAGTGCTTACTACACTGGAAAGGGTCGAGTCCCAGACAAGCTCATTCATGAGGCGGCAAAGAATCTTCCTCACGGTGACTGTGCATGGCTCTACTACGGCATGGCCTACGGTCCCCAAGATATCCGCAAATACAAGCTGGACATCATCCACAAGGAGTTCATGAAAATCCCTGGCGCGCGACAGGTTGACCCCACCAGCCTCCCCACCGACGACTACTTCTGGGTACGCGATCGAATTGCCTCCGGCGTGCCCGATATTGAAGAACTTCGATGGGTCAATTGGCACCCGAACGGCGGCCATGTTGCGTTCAGTCCTGTTTCGCCCGTGCGAGGACAGGACGCGACAGCCCTATGGGACATCGCACGAAAGCGCTGCGATGAGTTCGATTTGGATCTCTTCCCGACGTTCTGTGTTGGATTACGCGAAATGCATCTGATTGTGGAAATTGTATTCAACCGTGATGACGCCGTTATGCGGAACAAGGCACGGGCCTGTCTGCGGGGGATGATCGACGATGCCGCCGAGAGGGGTTATGGCGAGTACCGCACCCATCTAGCGTTTATGGATCAAATTGCGGGCACGTATAACTGGAATGATGGGGCGCTGCTGAAGTTCAATGAAAGGATTAAGGATTGCCTTGATCCAAATGGAATCTTGGCCCCTGGTAAATCTGGGATCTGGCCGGCGCGGTATCGTAGGCGTGGCTGGGAGATGAGCAGCAAGGATGAGAGTTCTGAAGGACAGGGGGTGATCCCGAGTGCGGGGTCAACTAGGCTCTAATTTGGTATTGATGCATGCTTCCTGTTATTACAAAGAAAGCTCTCGTGAAGTACACATCTTCGGGTTCACCGACTCTATGTGATCCTGCTGGTTGCCCCACAAACTGATAACCATGTTGCGGGGGTCCTTATAACACAGTGATAATATAGGTATGAGATTTGTAACTGCTCAGGCATATGATTTTCGTGAGTAGATTTGATACAGAGACATGTCTTTATAGAGCCATGCAGGATCTCACGTGTAATCTCGTGTAAAAACAAACAGGATCGTCCAGAGGTGGTGGGAAGATGCGGATGCCCCACGTCCATGCGGAGCAGCCTCGGAGCTCTCCATCCTGCATCAGGGCCGTTTCCAGCCTTCTGGAATCTGATTATGTACCAACTTCTCGTGATCTAATTCTCTTTACACAAGAGTTCTTCCTTGACAAAATGCTGCGAAGAACTGCTGGCGAGGTGCTCAAGAAGAGCCCGAACGATGTGGTCGTTCTATCCGCCGTGCGGAGTCCCATCACACGGGCGTTCAAGGGTGGCTTCAAGGACCTCTATCCTGAAGAGATTCTAATGCCAGTATGTGCTTCATATGCAATCAATTATCCCTGGCTTTAGATTCATTTTCTAATATTTCCCAGGTCATGCAAGCAGCCGTTCAACGCGCCAAAATCGAGCCAGGCCAGGTCAACGACGTCCTCATCGGCAATGTCCTCGCAGAGCTCGGCTTCGCTAAGACCGGTCGCATGGCACTGAATGCCGCCGGATTTCCCAATTCAACCACCTTCCATACTGTCAACCGCCAATGCTCGAGCAGTCTCCAGGCAATCACGCATGTCTCCCATTCGATTCTCTCGGGGCAAATTGAGGTTGGTCTTGCTGGCGGGGTGGAGAGTATGTCGCGCAACTATGCATCACGAGGGATCCCCACCGATGTATCTACAACGCTGAAAGATGCGTCTGTGAAGGATGCTCGAGATTGTCTTATGCCCATGCTGCAGACTTCTGAGAACGTGGCCTCGCGGTATGGCATTAGTCGGCGTGAGCAGGATGAGTTTGCCGCGGAAAGTCAGAAGAGGGCGAGTGAGGCGCAGAAGGCGGGCAGGTTCAATGCTGAAATTGTCCCTATTCATGCTAGACACGTCAGTGAGGGTATTGATGAGATCACTTATCAAATTGTGGACCGTGATGAGGGTGTTCGCCATGGAGCTACCGTCGAAAAGCTGTCGACTCTCAAGCCTGTTCTGGAAAACGGCTTCAGCACAGCCGGAAACTCGTAAGCATTCATTGCCACGATGACTAAGGTCTTGAATTGATTGAATATCTCGTTACAGATCTCAAATATCCGACGGCGCATCAAGCACCGTTCTCGCTAGCCGACCCTGGGCCGATGCACACGGTCTGAAACCCATTGCCCGTTTTGCCGGGACCCAGATTGCAGGCTGTGCTCCCGACGAAATGGGCATTGGCCCTATATTCGCTATTCGGAACTTATACAAATATCTCGGTATCGAGAACAAGGACGTAGATCTCGTGGAGATGAATGAGGCATTTGCCAGCCAGTCAATTTACTGCCTCCGAGAGTTGGGCATCGACATGAGCAAAACTAATGTCAACGGTGGAGCCATCGCGCTCGGTCATCCTGTAGGTGCGACTGGTGCTAGACAAACCGCTACTCTGCTTGCGGAGCTACAGCGACAGGATAAGGAAATGGGGATCGTGAGCATGTGTGCCAGGTAAGCTTTGCGAGTCACGTTGTATGGACGCTTTGTTTTGCAGGTGCTAATCTTTCATATTTAGTACTGGCATGGGAGTTGCATCTCTATTCATTAGGGAGTAGACAATGCGGACTTATCATCGATCTCATACATTACTATAGGTAGATTTAGAAATGAGGGTTTCACTGAGGTGCCTTCTCCTGTTTACCTACTTTGCTTAGAGTGGGTTTTTGCGATTGCAATTCGAAGGCGTATCTTCTAGCCCTCGCTCTAAGCATATTTGATCTTCCTTTTTTTGTCGGCAGTAAACTATCTTTTACCTTTATGTTACCAAAAGGTAGTACTTGATTAATCATCTATAGCTTTCACGACAGTAGAGGGAGAGCTATCATCATAACAGAGGTACCTCTGTACCTGCTAATCCCAGCCAGTCATTGTTCTCCTCTATGCGCCGTTCTTCTGAGATCCTGGTCACATCAGAATCGCCATCAGCACATTCACACATCGCTTTACCAGGCTATGGCAGTTCCTCGAGATATGATGTTAAGATTTTCTGCATTATAAAAGCAGCTACCGGATGATACAATCCGGGAAATGGATTTTCGTGAATCTTCCTTCAACGATCTTCCTTCTTCAAAGAGCCAGGCAAAGGCCTCCCGAGGCCGGCACAAGTGAAAGCATTGTCAAGCGACGTTCACATACGCCCGCAGCCAAAACCGTGTTATTTTCGCCGAGTCCAAACTCTTCGTCAAATTTGGCCCCTATGTCACTGTCGCAGAGGCGCAGTGTCCCTGGATGATCAACCGTCTCTTTGGCGACGCGGTTCCAGTCCCCGAGATTTTTGGGTGGCGGGTCGACGAGGAAAACTATGTTTTTATCTACATGGACTTGATTGAAGGAAGGACTTAGAACGATCGCTGGAGTGATCTCGATAGCTTGGACAAGACCTCCCTCTGTGATCAGCTATTTCAGATCACCAACAATCTACGCAGCCTTGAACAGGATCCTTCTGATCAGTATATCGGTATGGCCCACCTCACAATAGGAATGGCTCAGGCACAAAACTAACTGAATCCTTTCCAGGCCATAAGCCACAACAATGACCAGGACTATGTCTTTCAATCATTTGAAAAAGGCGGCCCGTTTTCTACGATCAAGGATTTCAATGACTGGTTTTCAGGCTTGTCACAGTCATGGCTTCCCCTGTCGAAAAAATACAAAGATCTTTACCGGGATTTGTTACCAGACAACGGGGAAATCGAATTTACTCATGCCGACCTCCATCGAGGGAATATTATGATCTCTACATGCAATCCTGTTCGCATTCTTGCTATCGTGGACTGGGAGCAAGCGGGGTGGTACCCAGATTATTGGGAATATTGCAAGGCACTTTATACATGTTGGTACGAGGATGAATGGCGACGGGAATTCATTGACAACTTTCTGTATCCACGCATGCAAGAATTTTGGGTCTTCTCGGAATACACAATGTCAATGGGCTCTGTGTAAATTAGTGAACTATCAATACTTCTGACGGAGCCAATCGCTGCACTAGTATGTCTCTATGTCGGATGTGAATTCGCCACGCTGTTCTCATTCTTTGCATCTTGCCCATTGATTTTCCAAAGGGTATATCATTTCAATATTGAAGAATCTGGTCTCGTGTTTCTCGCCATAGTTATGGGTTGCCTTCTTGGAGCGGTTACCGTCTTGCTCTGCGACCGGTTCTTGTACCGACGAAAAGCTGCAAGCTATGGCGTGAGACAAGTGCCACCAGAGTTCCGCTTATATCCTTCTTTAGTGGGTGGTATCGGGCTTCCACTGAGTCTGTTTTGGTTTGGCTGGAGCGCCCAGGAGGGGATCTCATGGGTGGCTCCGGCAGCAGCGATCGTCGTGTTTGCTTGGGGAAACATGTGTGTCTTCGTCAGTACGGCTCAATATATTGTCGATGTATACGATGACAGGACAGTGGCAAGCGTAATAAGTGCGAATAGCTTAGTAAGGTATTCACTTGGGGCTATATTTCCATTGTTTACTGTCCAATGTGAGTTGTTTCTGGATTTTCTGTCGTCTGATGTTATACTAATAAGCGACCAGTATTTTCTCGCCTTGGTATCGAATGGGCTACAAGCTTACTTGGATTTATCGCGCTTGCTTTCTTACCTCTCCTGTGGCTTCTTTTCGCCAAAGGAGAGCGCCTGAGAAGAGGGAGCGAGTCAAAGTCCCTGAAATCGCAGTGCTAGTCAACATACAAAGGTTTATAAGAACGGTTTACCCGCCGGCAGAGATGGGTCCTTTTCAAGACCTTGCACCTTTGACTAGGTCTGGATCGTCGAAATTAAAGGGTCAGAAGATTTTGCCCGAGAGGGTATATCCTTTGCTGTACCTGGCTAAGCACTATCCGAGTGAGGTGCTCGAAAGGACTATGCCTAATAAACAAACAATGTGTTGAAAATGCTCTGTACAATACGTATCTAGCATTAGTTTATTCGTTATCACTATCACTAGTGATTTCTGTCTAGAGCCGTACGAGTACGTGGAAGATGTGCCTAGTCTTGCTTTTACTGTATTTCAAGAGCTTGTCTCTCAAACAAAATATAGGTATCCGGATTCTAGGGTATGGTTGCAAGGGGAACAAAAGACATATTATATCCCACATGATGAAATTTTCCTTAGTTGGTTATACTGTACTTGACACCCAAACCAGTTATGTCTCGTTCACACCTTGTTATCTTCGAGATGATATATTAGGGTCCCCGGTAGCTCCTTTAACGAAAGCTCTACGGACGGAGCGAATCTCGACGCGTTCATCGGGCGTACAGTAAGAAGTGAGTGAGCAACGTAATATAACTGACTGGCTTCAAAGACGCTTACTATTCAGTGGCTATCTGCAGGCCTTCCAGCTCATATTCGTTGTTCCCACAGCATTCTGAATTAATATATATAATATACTTCCGGAAACTATATATCAACAATGTGACAGCTACGGAGTACTTGGAAATGGGCCAATCAGGGCAACGGAATCAGAAAGGGGAGATTGATATTGAATTGAGTGATTGATTGAAAAGAGACATGAAATGAGGGTGCTTATGGGGGTTGAAATACCCATGAGCTTACAGTATAACGAGGATCCTCAGATGTTATAAATCCGGGATGCCTAATTGCAACATATTTGTATTGGGCAGACATACTTTAGCGTTATCTTGTGCATGTAGGTAGTTGTCACTCTGCATGTTGCATGTTGTGATAAGAGCGCCGATCCATTCGGCATTCGGGTTGACACTATAAAACAAAGCCCCTGCTTAAACAGAGAACTCGACGTAGGGATATACCAATATGTACTACCGTGCGTACTCCCAGAGTTCAGGGTGGATTTGACCGCACTTGTAGGGAGTTTAGCTAAGCGTATACTACTGTAGTACTGTACAGTCATTCTCGAAATCGGCTTCACCAATACACACTTAGACTCTCTTTCTCGGCCCCACCGCCAAGTCTTTAGCGCAGATCATTTATTGAGCGGGCCGCTTTGAATAGAGGGGCTCAGTAAAATGTGCTTTGTATATTACGGTTCTGAGCTCTGTAATACGCTATACGTACAAACTCTTCGTGGAATTCCATGGAATTAGTGGCACCGCAAAAGTCTGTGACCCCCTTAGCTGACCGCTCTTTTCTTCTAGAAAGTCTACCACACAAACCCATCCTAAAGTCATATTCAATAGCGAAAACAAAGGACTAGGCACCGGGAAAGCTCTTGTACGAGGTTTAAAATAGTTGATAATAAGGTTTAAACAGAATACGATACATATCTATATGTTTAGGCGGTTGGGTAGGCTTTGATAGGAAGGCGGTACCGCTGGCGGTCAAGCAGGGGGTCACAGAGTTTAGCGGATAGTGCCTTTGCATTCACAGAAAGATGTAGGGAAACCTAAAAACGATAGGAGAAAAACCCACATCAAGGCTAGATAAAAGCCCCTCAATCCATAGGTAGTAGCAGTCGAAAAGTCCTTTCAAGTCGCTGTTCGCATTGATCAGCCAACAATGCTCCAGGAAGGACCGTCTATAGTGTTCGCAATTAAATAACACCACCCTGCCAGTCGCACTCCATCAGCATCTACCTATACAGTTATTATTCATCAGTGAGGGAAACCACCACTTACAGAAGTCTACTAGTCGCACTCTATCAGTATCTGTCCAAACAGCTATTTTTCATCAATAGGGGAAACCACCACTCACACCACCAAGAAGAGTTTCACCAAGAAGTCCAGTACCAAGAAGACCTTCTTCAGCACCAACACCGGTACCAAGAAGACCTTTGCCTGGTATCGGTATCGGCTGTCCGTAATTATCGGTCGGGAGAGCCATCACGCTAGCTAGGCTAGCTACGAGGAAGGTAGAGATAAATTGAATTGGTCGCATTTTCACTGTGAATGAGAACAGGATGAATGTTATCTTCGTAAGTGTAGAAGACAACGTCAAAAGAGAAGAACTTGTGAGGCAGGAAATAATACTATATTTTAAATAAGGTACACCACGGCAAGGGGTGAATACACGTGATAGGTATTCAGTACAAGTGAAATAATAATATCCCACCTGGGAAAATGGTACAGAGGTAACTAAACCGTCAAAGGCTGCTCAGCGGCCCACAATTTTGTATTATATTCATGAGAAGGGCGTGACGCAGGTTGCTAGTGGATACTCCGTAGATAGAATCACTTGGAATCCTTCTGCCAAGACGGTATCCGAAAGGCCATGCATGGCACGCCGGGCTCTGGCCCGTCACAGATAGAAGTATAATACAATAACACAGAAAAGCAAGTATTGTAGATATACTCTCCGCTTTACGAAAAAGGTTAGTAAATCATACAGGCCACACCGCGGATCGCTATCTCCTAAAAGAACTATCGATTCTTAGGTGGTTATATTCGGTTTTAGCTTGCTGAGAAGAGGGGTAAAGAGGAGTGCCGACAAGCAACCATCGACCATTACTGTCTTCTAGGATCTCCCAGAGAGGCAGGCAGGTACGGTGAGTGACCAGAGGAGGTAAGGGGGTTAGAAGCTCTCCGTGTTTCAGCCCCTATATTACAGGGGATTTCGCCCAGACGCACTGGCTTTCTTTCCGGAAGACCCCACTAGCGGGCTAGGCCCAGATCGGCGCTGTACCTCATAGCCAATCATATCAATTATTGCGTGTTATACAGATCATCCACTAGCCATGCGAGTCCCTACTCGGTAAACCAGCAATAACAACATTGTGCTCCCGATATTTCCCAGGATATATGTACTTTGATCGTTTGGCGGACGCGGTAAACTCGGGTGTATTGCGTCCAACATCAGCTTTGCAGCTGCCATCTCAAGGGGCAGGGCGCATATCTATCCAATCCAACGGTGTAATCTTCGTGAGAGAGAGGGATCCTGGCTTCTATGATAGGCTATGTTGCAACCGGATATCTGCCCTGCGATAACAAGCCAATCGATTGGAAGCAACTGAAGGTGAAGGAGAGATATTGTGAAGCGCTGAAATGATACCGGATTCTTAGGAGAAAGCGGGGTCAATATGAGGCTACACACAGACCCCCAAGCTGCCAGATGAGAGTTCACGTGTCGTACACTACGTACGGTACTATACAGTAGAAGAACCGTAGTACTTGTGGCTTTTGCCAGCCCACATCACGGTACGCTATCTTGCTGGCCTCACCCTACCAAAGTCAAAAATGGCTCATCACAAGCCGGCCTGGGCAGTTCTTGGGATATACCAGGCGTAGTAGCTTAGTAGCTTAAATGCATAGGACTAAGGCGAGGTTTACTGCGCTATTGTGCATTACTTCACGTGATAACACGTGAGAATTCCATAAAGTCGGATAGAATACTTATAATTTAGACCAGGTGATCTCATTAAGCTCGGTTCCGTTATCGGCCTCCTACCAAGGGCTAGCCCACCGCGGTACCTTACTTTCATAATGGCAGAGAGAATTTTGAGTCATTTTCTTGGGGCTATTGTAACGATAGACTAAGGTGAGTGATGGTTAGTTGAGGCTTACACCATCAGGCGCCGTTGAGGGTGCCGTTCGCCTGCAAACAACCTCCAACTGGTCAAGATATTCGTTGGCTGCTAGTATTACTTGTTAGGGTTCTCTAGCCCAAAGAGACGCCCTAGCAAGTGATTACTAGCACACCTTGCAGAAAAGAAGGAAGAGAAGGAGGAGAACGATGTCTCCCAGCATATCTTCACCTGACTTGGCGCAAGGTCGCCTTCTCCACATGATCTGCAGCCATCCACCAAAGAATTCCGTGGAATTCTATGGGTTTTCTTTTCGTACGCGACAACGTGATATTACGCAGCCTATTGCTGTATCATACACGGCGCATGTTACTGCTCCCCTCGGTTTAATGCGGCCCGCTCAATAAATGATCTGCGCTAAAGCCTTGGCAGTGGGGCCGAGAAAGGGAGTGTAAGTGTATATTGGTGAAGCCGATTTCGAGAATGACTGTATTTCACGAAATAGTATTAGACACTTGTTCTTGTCTTTACTTTCACAGCTTATTTCAAACCTGCAGGATTTCTGCGCGTCGTTTCGCTTGAAGCATTTTAATTCTCATATCCGGTCCTGCCACCATGGCCTCAAAGCAAATCATCCATTGAGTGCATAATGATATGAAGATGACTATGAAATACACATTTTATGGTATTGTACCCCTGCTATAAGATCGTAACCTGCGGTTTCATTGCCAGATTTCAAAATTTTGATGGCAACTGTACCACCCGAGTCGCATCCATGGTGGCCCTCAATTTTTAGCACGGCCTACTCGATCGATAAGCTACGCCTAGTTCTTGAGGGTGGGGCCAATGGAAGAGGGTAGAAGTGTTCTGGTCAAGGCAATATCGATAATATCCGTACATAAACCACGAGTCCCCTCTCTATGGTGCATGAACAAAATTGGCAGCCTCCGTCCGAAATAGCAGTGACGAAAATGGATGAAAGTGGATGCATCAGCCAGCCTCCGAGCTATAAAAAATACGGTACGTCAACTACAAATCTTCTGAGCTCAGATAGGGTTCTGATGGGTGATAGACTGGATGGCGGCGGAAACCTTCTGGGAGACAAGAGAGACTTGGTCGTTCTTCCGGAAAATTCAAGAGGCCTTTCGATTAGATAAGGCCTTCTTGACGTCACATCACTGGCTCACGTCGCCCCAAGATTTGCAATACCGCAAACACGTCTTCTCCGAGGCGGTACACGAAGTGAGGAGCATTCCGTCGACATGTCAAAAGTAGTAAAGTCACGGCCGAGATAATCAATACAAGGAAGGCAACTGTCTATGGATCTTATGCTCACGCCATGAATGAAGTCGAAATATGGACGGGTAAGCCATTTGAACGCTGTGAATTCCGGTCATCAAGGGCTCCGTGTCCAACAATTTATTCATATCAGCCAATGCATTATTGTTGCCGGGGAATGGAAAGAGGGCGTGCAACAAAACTAACGCTAAGACACATCTACCTTATCCAGCTTAAGCTTCTATCTTTTAGCTAACTATATGCACTACTTAAGGTTACAGAGTTTCTCATTTCAAAAGCTGTCGCGCTCTCGTCGTCCGAGTAATGTACCTGAGCCCCACCCCCAACCTCGCGGGCGTTCTGTTTATGTGGGGTCGGAGCTTGACCGCAACGTGGGAGAACAATGGCCCCATCTTTTGGCGGTGGACTTTCTGGGGCAGTTGTTCACGATGACATATGAATTTGGATGAATATTGATTGCTCTAGCCCATCGCCTTGTTCTCACGCCATCTTGAACCAGAGCACTTTGAAAAGATGTCGATGTTTTTGCGCCTGGCACGGCTCCCCCAAGCGACGACCGGTCGACCGATCGTTGCCATTGCCTCCACCAATGGACGGAGGTCGATTGGCTCCGTGAGCGCAATTGACTCGAGTATCTTCCGCACACTATTTGGTACCGAAGAAATCCGCAAGGTAGGTCGATTTCGAGGACCATCGGTGGCTATTTCTCCGCCGGATCATGCTAATTGCGTACAGGTCTTCGATGATGAAGCATACATTCGTCGTTGTATAGATGCCGAAGCCGCGCTTGCTCGGGCCCAATCCATGTGTGGTGTCATCCCCAAAGATATCGGGCCTCGCATTACCCAAAAACTGGAAGAGTCCAATCTGGACTTTGAGCGGTTACGGCACGAAACTGAGATCGTCGGCTACCCCATCCTGCCTCTCGTCCGCCAGCTGTCGGCTATCTGCGGCGATGAGGCGGGGAAGTACGTTCACTGGGGAGCTACTACACAAGATATCATGGACATAGCGAGCGTTCTGCAAATGAAGCAGGGATTGGACATTGTCGAGCGGCTTCTGAAGGATGTCATTAAAACCCTGCGGGAACTCTCGGAGAAATACAAAGATACTCCTATGGCTGGGCGCACGCATCTGCAACACGCGTTGCCCGTGACCTTTGGCTACAAGTGCGCTGTTTGGCTATCTGGCTTCCAGCGCCATGCTGAACGATTAGAGCAGCTCCGCAAGAGAGCTTTGCTTGTACAGTTCGGCGGTGCTGCTGGTACACTTTCGTCTTTGGGATCTGGTGATGATGGAGTCCGTGTACGTAAGGCTCTGGCAGAAGAGCTTGGGCTGAATGATCCCTCTATTACATGGCATGTCGCCCGTGATGGTATTGCTGAGGTGAGTTCTTTATAACATTATTTCCATGACAAAATCTTACTAAGTATCAAAAAGGCTGTCAACCTCCTGGCTCTCATTGGTGGTACCATGGGCAAGGTGGCTCTAGATATCATGATTATGTCCTCAAATGAGCTCAGCGAAGTTGCAGAGCCGTTCGTCCCTCATCGCGGGGCATCTTCCACCATGCCTCAAAAACGCAACCCCATATCCAGCGAGGTGATACTGGCTGCATCCAAGATCCTCCGGTCCAATGCAGGTCTTGTTCTCGACGGTATGGTCGCTGACTTTGAGCGCGCTTCTGGTCCCTGGCACTTGGAATGGGTAGCTGTTCCCGAGAGCTTTGTGATTGCTGTTGGCGCACTTTCACAGACTCAATTCGCGCTGTCCGGGCTCTCGGTCCACACCAAGCAGATGCTGGAGAATCTCCACTCGACTAAGGGATTGATTGTGGGAGAGGCTGTGATGATGGGTCTAGCTCCCCACGTCGGCCGTCAGCGAGCCCATGATATTGTTTACGAAGCATGCCGCGAAAGTATTGAGAATGATCGGACGCTTCTCGAGTCTCTTCTGGAGAAGGATGAGGTCACCAGCAAGATGAGCCAACAGCGTCTGGCGGAGCTATGTGACCCTGTGAATTATCTGGGCTCATCAGCAAGGATGATAGATGATGTCTTGGCCATCAACTAAGATCTGTCCTTATTTCTCCTTTACTTCAGATAGTGGCCGACGTACCGCGGCTAATTAGAATTTGTTCATCTGATAGAGATTTCTATTCTTAGATTTTTCCATCGTTTCTGAAAGCTGTTCCTGTTAATAGTGCAAGAGACAATCTAGAGTTCTGAATCACAAGGTCAGTTTCAGACTGCTCCAGCATTCCACCTGCTCCACATCCACATAGCCCCGCAAATGAGGACTCATGATCCATGGATGGACGGATAATCCCGATCGGCTCCAGCTCCAAACCCGAGATCTCAATAGGGGCTGCTGGGGTCAATGTGGGTCCTGTTGTATGTGGGAGGTCAGCCGCCGCGGTTAATTCCACATGGGTCTCACAGCTGAGTATGGGGTATCTGCCAGAGGAAATCCCACATAATGAAATCAAGGAGGAGGTTGTGGCAACCTTTTCTTGACGATATCAACACACCCGTTGTGCCCTGATTCTTTTCGAACGGTCTGATTCTGAACAAAAACAATTGATTCTTATCAGTTCAGCTACACAGTCGACAAACATGTCAGCTCCACCACTCCAGGAGAGGAAGCCGGTCAAGGACCTGGAAAAGGTCTTTCACTATACGGATACTATGACACGCAAGCCCACGCGCGAGAATGATCCATACGAATATCAAGCTGGGTTTGGTAACCGACACCTATCAGAAGTTATACCTGGTACTCTGCCGGCAGGACAGAACAATCCGCAAGAACCTCGCTTTGGATTGTATACCGAGGGTATCACATACTCAGCTTTTGCAGCACCTCGTCATGCCAACTTTAGCACTTACATGTATAGGGTGCGGCCTGCTGCTGCTCATAGTACGTTATAGTGTTACGTTCCAGTTAACTAGCAGCCAATTTTCTCAGTATACTGACCGTATCTCTCTAGATGGCTACAAAGCCAACATTCCCCACAAATCCGATATCGAGAACTGCTTCCTGACCCTCAACCCGAAAGTAGCGACACTAGCAGAGCAAGGCGAATGGGCCCCTTTCCCGCTGCCCAAGGACGACGAGAAAATCGACTTTGTCGATGGTTTACACACACTCGGTGGAAGTGGCGATCCCAATCTGCGTGAAGGCATTGCCTTGTACGTCTTCATGGTCAATGCCGATATGGACCGTCGCGCATTCTGCAATACAGATGGTGATTTCCTCATCGTCGCGCAGCTAGGTAAGTTGGACGTTCAGACTGAGTTGGGCAAGCTGTTCCTGCAGCCTGGTGAAATTTGCGTGATTCCTCGCGGAATTCGCTTTGCGGTTCGCCTAGATCCCGGTCACAGTGTTGCTCGGGGCTATATCACAGAGATTTGGGGATCTAGCTGGGTATTGCCGGACCTAGGTCCTTTGGGTGGACATGGTCTGGCAAATCCACGCGATTTCCTGCATCCAGTGGCGTGTATTGATGAGGAATTGCATGCGGACTGGTCGATTGTGAACAAGGCGAATGGACTGTATCATGCCATCGAGCAGGATCACAGTCCGTTTGATGTCGTTGCGTGGCATGGAAATGTCGTCCCGTATAAGGTAGGTCAATCCATCAACAGCATATCAGGCCTGAACAGATACTGACTTGATACAGTACGACTTAACCAAGTTCTCTAGCCAAAACTCAACTTCTATAGATCATACTGATCCCTCAGTGAACTGCGTTCTCACGGCCCCGTCACGAGATCCCGTCACTCCACTGGCTGACTTTTTGTGGTTCGGGCCGCGTTGGGATGTAGCCTCGAATACCTTCCGACTACCATACTTCCACCGCAATGCGGCGACTGAGTTCCTCGCCAGTTTATACGGCAACGGGCTTGGGAGATCCGATGATTTCCTACCGGGAGGTGGAAGTGTTGAAATCAGCCATACGCCGCATGGCAACTTTAGTGAAGCCTATGTGTATGAAATGAGGAACCAGGTGAATGAGCCTCGCAGGATCCTCGAAAGTGAGTGAATTTTGAACCCCAATCGTTACAAGGAACGCAAGGCTGATCATTCTAGACCAAATGACAATTATGATCGAAAGTAGTCGATCATTCCTGTTCACCGAGTACGCCCGCACTGGCTGCGGGACTTTCAAGAACCAGGGCACAGATCCGAAAGTGTGGGACGCTTTGCCGGTATGTTGTCATAGATGCATATCGAATCTTATGCATATCTGACCATTATTTCCAGGACAAATTCTCCGCGTATCCCAACATCCAAGAGATTCTCAAACAAGTCAAGGCCGACAATGAGGCTCGGAAGCAGCGATTGCAGGCGTACTATGACGATGATCAGCTGGCTCAGCTTGTGCGTCACTAGGAGGATTTCGGTCCTTTCCTCTTGTCATGATATGGCTGTTGATCATTTTGTGATTTTTTGAGGGTTTTCACATCTAATCATCTGTTGAGTCTCATCTTCTGGAATTGGCCTGGCGTCAAACAACGTCGGTATTTGTCGGTATTTGCCGAGATCGCCAACTGCCGGCATGGATAGTTACGTGGACCAATGAGCGATTCGGCATGAATGCTGATTCAGCGGGAAGATATCTGTACCCCGATGTATTCAGACCGGATGCGATAAGTCTGGAGAGGTAATTCATCTCTGCTACACGAGATGAATGCATTGAAACGTTTTCTGAGCTTCATCTCTCATATTTGTAGCCAAGGATCGTACTCGTAAAGTAAACTGGGCTTGTACGTAGTGGAACATCGGACCCGTCGTTTAGGGCTCCGGAGCAGCTTCCCTCTTCTCCCCCACGGGGAATTTCCAGTGGCTTGCACTACAGGGGCCAAAGCAACTTGCTGACGATAACCCAGGGTTGTCATTCGTAGAAACGCAGGGATTTGGCCCCGCGACAGCCTTATTGGTCGTCAGAAGCGGCATATCCTCGGTAGAACGATCCTTTGGAGAGCAGTGCTCCGTAGTTGAAGACCAGTAAGAATAGTCAAATGAGCGTCAGTTGCGGCGATCGGCTTAACCCCGGAGCTGACTAAACAGATCCCCCCTCCCGGCCCAATCTTTCGAGTCTCGCGCGTCAAGGAGCTTCTTTTCCATCATCTTCCTGAAATAAATCATGACTCGGGTGCTGTGATGTGTCGCTGACCCGCGAACTCCGTCATGGTCCTCCGAAAGTGCACTATATGTGACCGCAAGTTCAAAAAGACCGAGCATTTCAAGCGGCACGAGCGGTCACGTCAGTTTTTCCCCGGTACCACAACAAGGCCGAGATCGCAAGTCTAACTCGTCAAACAGATACCAAGGAGCGTCCGTACGAGTGCACTGTGTGCCATAAGCGCTTCTCCCGCAGGTAAGACTAATCAAAGCATCATGAAGGCTAGGGATTAGCTCAAAAAGAAGCTTCCTCTCCCATCTTTATGGCCGAAAATCTGACTGGTAGTGATATGCAGCGATGTTCTAAGCCGACATGCCAAGGGCCATAATCAACCCAATGGCAGCGCAAGTACCGTGGCCCGAAAAGATTCTGCAGTAGAACAATCTCCAGATCGGCGAGCCTCGTTGATCGCAGGTGCCTCGCCAATGTTGCCCGGTCCAGAACATGGGACTCCACTTCTACCAGCTGTCGGCCTAGAGGTGCACCAAATACACAACCTCTCCACTCCTCGCGACATGAATCTCTCGGCGACTGGAATACCATCGTCATCTTTAGACTTTTTGGCAGATATATCAGCGCATCATGGTCGCGCAGAGCCCGATATCAATTCCATGATTCTTGATGAGCAGCAGCCCTACTTTGGATGGAATGAAGTGACTCCAGGCGGTCAAAATACGCAGCAGAACAGCATGGCCTTCGACGCCGTGCCAAACGATATGCTGCAGCTTTGGCTTGAGCCGCGGACGGACACGGGGTCCAATCATGGCTCTTTGGATCTGATGCGTGATGGGCATTTTCCTATCATAAGCGAAAATGCAGTGCTCACGCCGGACCCACAGAACCGCAATTCTGTCGACAGTGGCAAATCGGGCTGTGATAATATCCCCATTGAACGTTTCACTAAGGTACAACGATGTTGGCTTGCGCCGCCGAACCACACTGGACGACTGATGAACAGCCTGTGGCGAGACATTGTCTACACAGATGCGGATAATCTCTTCTCAGTGAACACTGTATACGTGGCGGAAGAATCTAGCCTGCTTCAAGGATCTCGCTGTGGCGTGGACGATGATTGCAGGAGACGCCTTCAGGCAGCGTTTGGCCAGACCTTCGCCTATCCTCAAATGCAGTCTCCACGGAACGGGGTTACGTCCCCTTCTACAACTGGCTCGGTGTCTATGTCGTTTGCCAATTTTCCTCCTGCGGAGATCCTAGACATGGCATTAGACCTTTATTTCCGCACGTTTCATCCACTTGTACCGTTTGTCCACCTTCCTACTTTTTCCGCGAAGAAAACGCGTCTTCCTCTCCTCTTCGTCATGTGTCTCATTGGCATGATGCTGTTGGGGACCAAAGGCACGGCCAATTTTGTGTCAAGAAACTTTACTGTGAGTGCTCCGGTATAGTATCTCGGAGTTGAGTATTAGATGCTAACATGGGCTATAGCATATGCTAGAGAAAGTAACAGCCGATCTCGCAAAGTGCACTATGGGAGCCGAATCTCCAGCCAGCGCAATGTCCATTTTTGCTACAGCTTTCTTGTTTCTGAACCTTGCTGTGCTAACTGGGGTATGATTCACTTTTCTCCGTTTTGTTGGTTATTGACGCTGACCAATTTGTAGGAGAAACATCATTTGGAACAATGTCAGATGCTCTATGTCAATCTCATGTCGGTGAGTGCATGCCACGAGTAATCATTCTACGGCCACAGGCTAATGGAACAAACTCGCAGATCACTCAACGCCATGGACTCTTTGCTGCAAGTGAGGGCCAGATACTCGACATGAGTTTGTTTGAAATGGTACCCGACATTGATATGCGCTGGAAGGCATGGTCAAAGGTCGAGAGTGCCAAGAAGTAATTTCCCATACCTCCTTCTCTGTCGATTTCACCTCCTAATACTTTCTACCAGAATCATCATCGGCTTGCTCTTTCTCGACTCCTGGTATTCCGCCCTCCTGTCCACAAGCCCAATCATCGCCCCCGACTCGATCCAAATCATCATGCCTTGCAACGAAGCCCTTTTCCAAGCGCACTCATCTATACGCTGGACCCAACTCATCCGTAGTGGCAAGCGGATCTTGATGCCTACGGCGCTGGCGCCGTCGGAAAATATCAACATCCCCGCCCTTGAAGGGCCTATGGACGAACTATGTATCCAAACAGTCTTGGCAATGATTCAGCTCCGCCAGTCCGAGGCCTACCACCGCCTCTTATCCAACCGTGCAAGCTACCCGTTCGCTCCGTGTCATACATACGCTATGGATGGCCGCGCGAGATGCCTTCCTTCTTTGCAGTCCCAAATAGCGAGCACCTACGGTGAAGCAATGGACCGATTAAACCCCAACGCCCTCGTCATGTGGCACCACATGTGCATGATGCTCACAGCCGATATCCAAATCTTCGATTTCGCAGCTGGACGAGCCGGGCCGGCCCCGGCACGGAAAGCACTCGATGATATTGCTGAATGGTCACAGACGCCAGCGGCAAGGAGAGCATGCTTACACGCTGCCCACATCTACAAAGCCATGACCAACCGCAAAGCCTCCGATCATCCTACTTTCCACTCCGTCTTCTCACTCTTCTCTGCGGCCCTCATCCTGGGTCTGTACACATTCATGGCTCCGAGCTCTACTAGTGGGGTTTCCAGCGTGGGGTCCATCGAGTTAATGGATGATATTGATTGGCAACAAGTTGGTACGGAAGGATTCACGAGCTTCATGGAGCCACGGGGAAGTCAATCTTTCTCACCGACCAACGATCCAGCTGTGAATTTCATTCGCAATGGTGCAACGATATACTTGCGTGGCGTGCCCGTCCAGGGCGGGTATCAGTCTGCCCGGCGGATCCTTCTTGATTATGCGAACCTGCTCAAGGACTCGGGTAAATGGAGTGTCAAGAAATTTTCATACGTACTTCATATCATGAGTGATGTGCTGATGGATGTTGAGTGAAGATTTTGAGCATTTTCTCAGACGCGAATGCTCGGTCTTCTGGCTTTATGTATACTATCGGAATCTCTAGAGTATGGTGAGCGGCTGGATCTGACACGAATATGACTTTAATGACAGACAATTAGATAGAAACAAGAATAGGTTCAATATCGCTCAAATATTGCTACAGTCCAGGATTGGTTCACCTTGTCTATATCTCATGCAAATATTTTGACTGTACAAGGGGCAAATAGCCCAAGACGCTAAACACAAAACATGCAACGATTCGGCTGCGCCTCGCCTACCGATAAAGCATCCCATCAACCATCTCCCCAATAGCCAAGCAACTCGTCAACCCGGGACTCTCAATTCCCAACAAGTTCACAAACCCAGGGAATCCCTCTTCCTCCTCAATAATAAAGTCCTGGAATCCCTGACCCACATTCACCGCACCACCGCGACCCAATTTAGGCCGAATGCCGCAGTAGTCCAACGCGATAGCCGATGGATCAACGCCGGGCATATAAGACAAAATCTCCGGAATGGCCTGCTCCAAACGCGTACTGCTAGGTTGCAGATCATTCGGATCATCCACCCATTCAACATCCGGTCCAAAGCGAATCCGCCCACCCATATCAAGCGTCAGATGCGTGCCCAGACCCCCATGACCCGGCATCGTTACCGGGTACACCAGCACCGACGTACGAGGTCGCGACGCACTATACGAGAAGTACGTTCCCTTCGCATAATGCGGGATCCGATGCCGCTCCGGAGGAAGCAGCAAATTATTAATAGCGCAAGCCCCATGGCCTGCACTATTAATCACCGTATCGGCAGTAATACTCGTCTCCGAACCATCCTCACCCGACACAGCCGTGATTTTATACCCACCACCAACAACAGGCTCAACACCCGTCACTTGCGTCTTAAACGCGCAGTCCCCGCCACGATCTTCAAAATCACCATGCAAATACGTCATCAACGAATGACTATCCACTATACCGGTAGTCTCACTCTCGACGATACCCGCATCGGCTTTAACATCGGGTTCTCGGGCGGCCGCTTCAGCGGCGCCGACGAGCCGAGTCGGGGCATCGCCTAGGGCTTGGGCGTGGGTGTGGACCCGTAGACAAGCTTCCCATTGTTCGGGGGTTTGGGCGACGATCCATTTTTTGGTGTTGCGGTGGGGTATGGCGTGCTTGGAGCACAGCTCGTAGAGGAGATTGCGGCCGCGGATGCAGAGTTTTGTTTTCAGGGAGGAGGCTGGGTAGTAGAGGCCTGCGTGGATGACCTGGGTTGTAAGTGAGTGGTGTCAGGTCCGTTCAGGCATAATTCGGGGGTTATCTGAGTGCTGAAAGGACTCACCTCGGAGTTGCGGCTGCTGGTCTCGGTTCCTGGCGCATCGTGTCGCTCAAGGAGAATGGTAGAAGTCCCCTCGCGCGCTGCTAGTTGTCTGGCGACTGAAAGTCCGACAACACCGGCGCCGATGACCTTTGTGAGGTCAGTTAGGAGCTCTCGTTAGGTCTTCCCTGGGCTGGCAGCTATAGTGCCGTATCGCCGCGTGTATAGCGCAAGACGGTGTGTACTCACTGCATGTGTGAAATCTGCACGATAAACTCGCGCGCTTGAAAAGCGGCGACGCAGTGTGGGCGATCTCGTCACAATCCTGCGCACCGACATCACGACCAGGGGCAATTGGAGAGTTGTAACAATTAAATTGACCAGCAATTGGAGATGCGATAAGGCGGAGGCCCCGCGGACGGGGATCGCGCCGATCGCCCGCTCCGCCTCGGATCGGTCAACTCCCGAGGACATAAGACGGCCTAGACAGGATGTTGTTACTAGTGCAGGTGGCCGTAGAACTGAGATGCTTATTCTCTTCAAAGTTGATTAAATGCTTATGTTCAAATAAAGGCTATCTAATGCTCATAAAGCCCTTGCGGTAGAATGTACATGTCCCAGACGCTATGCGATCACTAACGCTTGCTGCAGTTCTTCAGCATCTCATCCAAATGCTAGAGTGGGATTGAATTAGCACATCTGAATATTGCTCTGCGGGGAGAAAAAGGCCTTACCTCTCTCTGTTCGACGGCTAATTTGCCTTTGGTATCCTGTATTCTAGTTAGCATTGCCTAGGATGTGCTTCCGGGTGGAACCTAGACGTACACTAATGATGGTCAAAATCAACGAATAATTGTTAAACAGGAATCGTTCTCTGCGCTTGGCATCGGTACCATTCCGACTGAGCTTCGCCAAGAGAGTATCGAATTCACTTCTCAGACGGGCCAAGCTGTTTGCCACAGGCTCGTCGTCCCCGGCGTCGCTGCTCAGCACGAGGATACCGTGAAGGAGCTGTCCAAACCGTTGGGTCAGGAAGTGTGGTGCCGATGACTGCTTCAGATCATCTCCACCTGCGAGGGAGAGTGCGGAGACGGCACTACGCCCGGTGTTGGAGCCAGCTCTCTTGAGAGATTCGCCATGGAGATCCATGATCACCTGGAAGCGCGGCCAAAGATGCATGTTGATACCATTAACGTATGAATCGGCGACGGGTACTTTACGTCGCTGGAGCTCAAAGGCGGAGTGCTGGTTGAGACGAACACAGATTAAAACACCCAAAGAGTCGGTGGTGTTGTCGATCAGCTTCTTGGTAAGGCTTTGCCCCAAGGCAAAGACTGCTTGGAAGATTTCCACAACCTTGCGTGAAATTTCATGGAATGTGAAAGGAGAGAAGAACTCGGTTAGGAAGGAATACTCTGCAGCTACGTTGTCCACCAACGCAACATTGAAGTTTCGGAACGGCACTTCAATACCGTGGTAGGCGTTGTCTTGTTCCGCGAGGTAGGAAGACAACGCCTGCTGGTTGGTGTTTCGGAGGATATCAATGCGTCGACCCAGAGAGAAAGGATCATGGGCAGCAGAGCCAGCTCGGCCGCCAGGGAGGATATTACCAGTGCGATGGGCGGAAGCGTCGCCTCCCAAAACCTCGTTTCGATCGCTGGGGTACACCTTGATCTTCTCAAGGGCCTGTAGGTACCGGGTGAAGTTGGAGGTATAGTACCAGCGCATAGTGTTAATGTAGGCCTGGGCGATCTGACCGGCAAGATCGGGATGTGCCTTGGAGAGATAAGTGTAAAGATCTTTGAATTTCACCAGCCGCTGTTGCTGAATAATCTGAGAGTTGATGTTTGGCGATCGCATTGCCCGGATCTGCGAGACCAAGTAATCCCGAATTCGTTCAATCGCCTAGATCCACGGTTAGTCCATGTTCTTTCTTTGACTCCACCCAGCTCCGCAAGATACTGCGTACCTTGTTCTTCACATCAACCAGAAGAGGCCGGACATCTTCAATCGCTTTAAACCCACTTGACGAGGATGCCTTGGCTTCAATGCTAGCCGTGCGAGCATCTATCTCATTCAATGCGCGCACCCAGTTCTCATCCATCGGGCCCTCGACAATCGTGCGGACTGTCTTGGGAGAAATACTAATCTCCTCCACTGCTGGGCCCAAAAGGCGTTCCACATTCCGTCGATTGTCCAGCATCGCATTCAATTGGGTGGAACGTGTTTGCAGGGTTTCAATTTCCGCGGAGACTGCCCCCAATTCCGTCTGGAAGTCATTCAAGTATAGCTCGACCGACTTGGATACATCGTCGCAGCCGGTAATTGACGTATGTAGGTCCTGGAACTTGTCTCGCTCTTGTTCGAATTGTTTGACTGTTTGCGCGTTGACCTCACTGCGTTTCGTCTTCCGTGTTGGTGCCACGTCGGCTTTGGCGACGAACTCCTCGAGGCTCAGCCCATCGAACTCAATCACCTCTATCAGCTCCTCTGGCCTGGGTTCTAGCTGGGACGACAATTGCAAGCCAGCTTTTTCCGACTTATTTATGCCAATGATCCCATTCAATACCTCTAGAGGATCGGAGACGGTGACCGGACGGGGCCGTTGTCCACTTGTTTGTCTCAGCCCGGTACCATTCGGTCCTCGTGCAGCAGCTGAAAGTGAGGTCGACGAGTCGCTCGGAGTTAATAGTAGCGAAGTAGATGAGTCTTTAGTGTTTGCGCCAGGTCGATTATTATAGGGACCTCGAGATAGCTGAGAGGAGGATCTCCGGGGTAGTGAAGGCGCGCGATTCACGCTGGAGGGAGTCGACTGGCCGGAAATGCGGTCGCGCCACATTGTGCACTGGGTGAGAGAAAGCGCATGAGAGTAAAGTGAGGATTAATTGTGTGTTGGAACGAGAGGACCGGCGAAGAAACCAAAGAAACACGAGTTATATGACCTCTCTTCTTCCCATTAACCCCCGTAAAGTCACTAAAGTGAGCGAGTCCACTGGTCCTTGGGAACTCACCTAAACCGCCCCCGGAGGCACTAAACCCAATCAGGACGTAGCGACCAAGCCCCCCACCACAAAGCCTTTTTCTGTTCGAAGAAAACTTCTCCTCTTTCCAAACCCACCACTTTACTACATTCTTTTCCTCCCTCACCCTATCCTCCTTCTTACCCAACATCATTCACCATGGCTGACGAGGTACGCTTATTCCCTTGAAAATCGCCGTCTTCGCTGCTCCCCAATCTTCTTCCCAAATCGCTCCGCTGGGTTGTTCACCAGCCCCGCATCTCGAGCCCTCCCCTCTTTTCCCAAGTGCAACATGCAAACTCCCCCTCTCACTCAAACATTGCCCTGCCCCTCAAGGCGCAAACAAACCATCCATCAAACCATGGATAAACTAACACTAGCAAATAGCATGAGATGACCTTCGAGTCCACCGACGCCGGTGCGTCGACCACCTACCCCATGCAGTGCTCTGCTCTGCGCAAGAACGGTCACGTCGTTATCAAGGGCCGCCCCTGCAAGATCGTCGACATGTCTACCTCCAAGACTGGCAAGCACGGTCACGCCAAGGTCCACTTGGTCGCCATCGATATCTTCACCGGCAAGAAGCTCGAGGATCTGTCTCCCTCCACCCACAACATGGATGTCCCTAACGTCTCCCGCAAGGAGTACCAGCTCGTGAGTCTTTGCCCCTCTTGGCCGTGCGCCAGCTTACCCCTCCATCCCTCTTGCACATTGGCTTCCACAAAATTATTACTAACAGTCCTTTCTCTAGCTGGACATCACCGATGATGACTTCCTGTCCCTGATGAAGGATGATGGTGACACCAAGGACGATGTCAAGCTCCCCGACGGTGATGTCGGTGCCCGTATCCTCAAGATGTTCCGTGAGGAGGAGAAGGACGTCAGTAAGTATTCCTCATAAGCTGTTCCCATGATTTATTGTGGCAACTTGGTTTCTAACTTGTCTCTAGACGTCATCATCCAGACCGCCATGGGTGAGGAGGCCGCCATTGAGGCCAAGGAGGCTCCCAAATAAACGCCAGATCCTTGGATCTCTCACATGTTATGCCAACCGTTATGTTTCAAAAATGGGCCTCAGCCCCCAAAAAATTCATCTTTAATGGTTCAATGGAGGACATGATCTATTGGACAAGTGACCTATTGTCTGTTGCTTGCAGGTCTGTCCATCATCTAGCCTTGGATGTAGGCTGGACCGACGAGAAGAATTGCTTTGGTTGGCATCATGAGTGTTGTCCGAAGAACAGTTCTGAGTCCCAGCATCTCATGATAGTGTGATGAATGAATAAAGCCGTAAATCTTTGCTTGATCTCACATTTTTGATCCGTGCCATTGTAAAATTGTAGAGTAGACGGAGATATCGATGTCAAAATAACCTTGTCTCATTCAGTACTATGTTTGAAGAAGAAGAAAAATATTTATGCTATGGCGGTGTCAAGCATCCCCCAACTTCTACAGAAAGGGCTCTTTGGGCGTGGTGGAAGACCCTTGTCAGGTAGACATCACTAGCAAATGTAGTGGTGGCGGTCGCTGAAAAACAAGGCAGAAAAAAAACATGTTCCGAGCATTCAACTACTACTTAACCGCAACCAGCGCCTCATCGGGCTGACATTCCAGCCCAACCAGCATGACCATACTGCCTCGGGATGGAGTATGTCACCCGAGGGGTTTGTGGCCAGGAGGGTTGTCGTGAGCGACGATACTATCTCGACAACGGCCTCTGGTTCTGCCGCCGCGGCCACTTGCAAGAGGTATGCATAAAAAAGTCAAACTTGCCCTCGTGCCTTGTTTGACCACCCCCGGCATGAACCCAAGCCACAAAGCGGGGAATGACCAGGGATAGTCAGACTAATTTTTCGTACAGGGCCGACAAATCGAAGAAGATCCGGATGATTTCGGCACCCAGGGCAAAAAGCACCGGGTGAAGAAGGAAAAGGAAGAGAGATCACGAAAGAGTATGTAGATATACTGATCCTCATCGGTTTTCGGCCTTTGTTAACTCGCTTTATTATAGCATATCGCGGTCGCAAGGCGCATACTCTTTTCTTGCAAGCGTATCAGTTGATTCTTTGGAAACAATGTCACGCCTTGATTCACGATCATGGCTTTCCCGAACAATTTGAGGTAAGTCTATAGTAAGAAAAAGGACGAACCCATTCTCACAATTCTTTCAGGGCATTATACGAGACCTGTGGGCCTTGAGGCTGCAAGATTTTACCCTCAGGATCAACGCAACGACTGATGACGAGGAAGATGACGAAAGAGAGCTATTTAGTTCTCAGCCTGAGACTGACAGTTCCGACGATTTGGGCTTCAAGTCAAAAGGAGGGCGGTATCTTGAATGGCCCCGTTTGCTAGACTCTGTTGGCCTTTGCTATCTGGCTGCTGTACTCATGCGGCTGCCTGTCTGCGTCAGCGACTTTCATCGGTGTGTGCAATGTCAATGAGCATATGATCCATCTCAGTTATATCTAACACATCTCTTGCTTATACAGCTTGATCATACGCCAAGACATTCCCTATATCAGGGTAGCAAAGTCCATCCCTCACGAGATGAAAAATAAACTTCCTCCTGAATTTCTCGCAAGACTCGATGTTCATGTAAGTGATGGATGTAATCTGTTCAGTGTTATAAAGACTCGAAGCTGATATCTATATCAAAGCAACTTCCGAAAAAGGAAACTTTTCATCGCGCTTTTGTCGACCTCATGCAATACTACCAGCAGCGATTCGAGATCATCCTTCCGCCATTAAACTCAACACTAATATTATACCGGCATATCAAAAGACTTGCGATTCCAAGTACGAATACACTGTAGCATTCCTTTGCCAAAGAACTCAACCCAACTAACATATGTCTAGTTGACGTTTACGAGACTGTCACATTCCTAAAGAGCCTTGTCAATTTCAGTCTTGCATTTGGTACAACGACATCCGGGGCCAAGCAAAAACGTGTCCTCGACCTACCCGAAGTCCAACTGATGGCACTTATTGTTGTTGCCACCAAATTACTCTTCCCTTTCGACGACCTCGAACGCCATCCTGCGACAGCCAAAGAGCCCGCCACTCAAGCTATAAATTGGTCCCTGTGGGCGCGAGCCCAAAACCACTTCAATAACCGCGAGAACGCCAACGGGAGCATTGGCAAAGAGAAGGTCATTCAGCTCACCGATAACGACGTACTAAACATGGCTCCCAGTCAACTCGATGAGTATATGGACTGGTACGAAAGCAACTGGATCGATAGTTTTCGGCTGGTGAACCCTGTCGCAGACATGTTTACAACCAGCCGCACGACTGAAACGCCTGCTCCGCCCCAGGCCGTGCCGCCTTCAACCCTGGCGACTGCTGTTGACCCAGAAGAAGCCCTGAACTCTCTCGTACATACAGTCATGCAGGAATTGAAGACCAATGACGTCGACCCAGATCCTGAAGAAGACGATCGCCGGCCAGGCTCTTGGTACTGGCGATATCGATGGGAATCGCAGCTCCCCGACACAGCTAGGTCATTTTATGAGCTGGCGGCTGAGCTTGCAGCTGTCTCTTTACAGACGCTTGTCCATGCTGTTACCATCACTGAATATAGAATTGCGAAAACTATTGAAGATAAACGACGGGCGGAGTATTTTAGTCAAGCGATGGATTTGGACATGGAGGGTGATGCAGTTGAAGATAGTGCCGATGGGATGGACGAGTTAGATGAGCAGCTGACTGAACTGTATGTTGGAGGCTTGCCATGATACATGACTTGCAGGAAACAGTTTTTAAGACAACCAGATCAAATTGATTAGCGCTTTCATTCTTCAACGTTGATCTTATTCAAGCATAAACTTCTTGACACTAAATCTTTGACGTGCTCAAATCGAGACCACGGGTAACAAAGTTAATAATTCCAAACAGTAGGAATTCCATTGCTAACTTACTCGTTTCGCAAACGGGTCTCTGAAAACCTGGATCATCATCAAACGCTTGTCTATTGTCTCCGGCTTGTATACTTCGGATGACATCGATTCCCAAAATAGTTAGGGTGACCCACTCACGTGATCCTCCCCCAAACGGCAGCTATGACTAGGGCTTAGGGCAGTCCCGTGCCCGCGAATCGGCCCACCTTTGGCTAAGCGAGAATTGATCAAATTGTCATCGCCTCCTCCGCCTCGAACTCAGCGACCGACCGCCGACACCAACGAAAACTCGCAACCAGTACGTTTCGCCAAACACCGTCTAAATGCGTCCCTATGACCTGTGTGAACCTACGAGCTAACATGTCCCTTTTTCCGCGTGTTTCCAGTGCAGATGTAGGTCACCTTGAACCCTTCGAATGTCTACCACCCGCGAATCGCCCCCGATGGCACGCCAAACCGCACCAAAACCAACCGAAATGAAAGAAATGAGCGTGGACTAATATGGCTCGATATAGTTTCGTCAAGACCCTGACGGGTAAGACCATTACCCTCGACGTCGAGTCGAGCGACACCATCGACAACGTCAAGACCAAGATCCAGGACAAGGAGGGCATTCCCCCAGACCAGCAGCGCCTGATCTTCGCCGGCAAGCAGCTCGAGGATGGCCGCACTCTGAGCGACTACAACATCCAGAAGGTACGAAAGTTTGGAATCTATTTCACTCTTTGATGACGGCATGGATCGGATTGGGACGTGGGGTTCATTCGTGGTGGAATTGAAACTTGACACGCGAAAAGCAACGTTTTGATCTGCCCACTTTTGATGCGAAAGAGAAGGAAATGCGTCCATTCACGCCGGATTCAAGAATACGTCATGCATCTGGGACTACGGCTAACATGGGATTCAACTTATAGGAGTCCACCCTTCACCTCGTCCTGCGCCTGCGTGGTGGTATCATCGAGCCCTCCCTGAAGGCCCTCGCCTCCAAGTACAACTGCGAGAAGTCTATTTGCCGCAAGTGCTACGTACGTGCACCATGACCCTTTCCTCAACGCAACGCGCCGACATCAAAAAATCTCAATTGGTTCTTTCCGATTGTCCCTCCTCCGGGAAACGACGCGCGAATCCACCTCACGCTGAATGCTAACATGTCTACTGTACAGGCCCGTCTCCCCCCTCGTGCCACCAACTGCCGTAAGAAGAAGTGCGGTCACACCAACCAGCTCCGCCCCAAGAAGAAGCTGAAGTAGTCTACTCGCTTGTCGGTGTCTTGCTCGGTGTGTGGTGCAGAATCCTGGTCTGGGGTTTGGCAGGAACGCGACACGGAGAGGTTTACATATGGCGTTAGAAATGATGAAACAATCACAGCCACAGTCATACTGTTTTTAGTTGGCGCCTCCCGGCTACAAGTCGCAGTCCATGAATTGAAGTAAAAGTTCAAAACATTTCAAATGACTTATGGCTTTCTGGCTCCTTCCACCAATACTTTTCTTTCAACCGGCCAAGCCGAGGGACGTAGTTTCTATATTTAGTTTTGTCAATGGCTCTCGAGGCTCAATCGTCATTGATATGCATCTAGACCCCTGGTGAGCTTCTTCCCCCAAGAGATTAATGATGTAATCTCAGTGGCTGGAAATATATATCTAGGGTTCTCCAAATTGAAGTCTAACTCGAGCGCAAGATATATATTCAGCCCAGCAGGAACAATCTCAATGGCGTCGTCATCACCCCACCCCACCAGCTGCTGATCTGCATTTACCTATGAACACTATGTATATATATGCTCCATCTCGTTGTCAAAGGATACTGGAAGCAGTGTCCGAAGAACGCATCAGGATATCAATAACCGATGCACCCGTATCATCTCCGCTGATTATAAAACAGGGATATAAAATCTATTCCGACATGCTCGGTATATACTTGGTTTAATTGAAGAAGAATGGATTGTTTAGTAAGAGTGGAAGTGCGCAGGATACGTATTTGAAGAAACACATAGATGCAATCAGGTAGGTACTGCTTTCCCAAAATGATGCGCGGCGCCCTAGACGAGCAAGGTGCGCATGGTCAATGCTCAAACGACTCTTTGTCGTATGCGGGCATCTCCTAATCATAGGTAGTGGTCCTTGAGCAGAGAAAGGTACTCAGGGGAGCAGAACCATGACCATTCAAAGTCCAACATGATTCTGCATGGATCATTGCTAGCCATCCACGGCGAGTAAAAACAAATAGAATACATGCTCGACTCAATGTTGAAGCACCTATATAAGAAAGAAGAGAACAAAAAACACGTGCTTCCTGAGCAATGCCGACAAGAAATCCAGACGAAACCCCTAAAACAAATTGTCCAGTGCGTCACGAACATAGCTTGAAGTTTCATATCTAGAACATCATCCGCTGCTTGTCATCATCTTGTTCCTTATCCTTGTTCTTCTTCGACACTGGGCTCGCGTGCCTAGAGACTAGGTTAGCCGGTGTTAACTAAACCAAAAGAGGTATCAAGGGAACTCACGCAAAGAAGAGAATCTTGATAGCAATAGCCAGGCCTGCATGTAGCACGACAACCAAGATCAACAAGATCTTGCTAGCCTTGGCATCCGTAGCGTTCAAGACAGGATACAGGTTCCGCAGGAGGAAGAACACTGTCCAGGCAAAGCCAACACCGACAAGCGCCCAATTCAGCGCAGTCAGAGGACTCCAGCTGACAAGCGCGACACCAATCCAAACCAAGTTTGAGTATCCATACAATGCCCAGCACTCAATCAGGTCAGCCGTCGAGCTTCCGAACCACCGCAGTGCACCCCACAGTGCAATGGGCAGGATTCCCGTGTATCCGTAGATCAGACCCGCGGCACCAGACAGCAAAGTGAAGTCGTACTCGAAGTGTTTGTCGTCATTATTCGACAGCCACTGTGAAATAGTTCCGGTCAGGAACAGAATAACCACGACGGTGGTCGCGATCCAGACAGGTCCGTAAAGGTCGGCGTTGCCCTCGAGAACGTCCAGGAAGTTTGAGCGCGGGTAGAGCGCGGCCATGCAGCGGCGCAACACCTCGTTTGTGTCGACATCGAAGAATCGCTCGTAGTAGTGGATTGACCACCAGCTGTGCTTGGTCGGGGTGCCGCCAGGGGACCGGTCGCGGCCGCGCGAAGAGCTGCCGCCTAAGAAGGGGGTGGAATCGCCTTGAACCTTGGCGCTGCGTTGGTCATTTTCGAAGTCTGGAGATTGTTAAGAGAGCGATGGTTAGACAATGTTGGACAAGTGTATGCGGTAGCCTGGCGAGGGGACTCACTGGACGGGTGGAATTCAAGGTCCTCTTGCAAGTCGGTATGCCCGAGGTCGCCCTATTGATGTTTGAGAATAAAGAAGATATGATATAGCTAGAAAATGGTGTACTCACCTCGGCATCCACGTCTACAACCACGTCGTAGCCCCGGTTCGCCATAGTGGTGGATTTGAGTTGGAGAGTTAGCGTGTTATCGGGAAGATGGAAGTGTACACATCAGCTTTCCCCGACGGAACGCCACCTTGGCAGAGCCACACACTGCGGGTCGTTTATGCTACAAGGCCCATACTAAAGGACTGGCATACTTGCTATCTGCCTGTCCTTTCTACAGTATTTGCACTTTACGCACACTTATCTTAATATCATTATGATACCCTTCGTTCAATCAAAGCTTTTAATTAATTTCTAATTATCCTCCTCGAAATAGCCCCATTTTCAATATTGGAATACAGGTCCAGTAACATAAGCTAATGGTGTCTATGATAATTTTTTGAAGAGCCCGTCTCTAGCCCTTGAGCATCGCCTGAAGTCGGCCCACATAGTACCAGATCGAAGAGTCAAGCCCCTTCTTTCGGATGTAGATGGCTGCAGCGCCAACAAGAATGGCCAATGCCACAGATCCGACCGCCCTCCTATGCTTCCATCCGAACTCAAGAGCCTGCTTCCGGCGCTCCTCGTTTTGCATTTGCCGGGCCTGCCGATGGAACATTTGTATCGCTTCATCGACATTGTAGGGCTGGGAGGTGTCCCGGGAGGTCTTGAGGACGCTACAATTGGGAATCCGTTTCCATGCCCCAATAGGCAACGACTCTGGAGGGTGGTCTTTGAAGAGCTGAGTCGCACTCAAAATCAACCCATCTAGATTGAGTGGACACGGTAACTTGGATAATGTGAAGTGTAGCATCTCCGGCTCGTCCACGGGGATGTTCATCAACTCCTTCTTTCGAGAGAGAATGATAGCCGCAAAGAGGTAAATAGCTACCACCGGCTCTCGAGCAAGAAGAAAGTCGAATAAACGAGCAATGTCGCTGTACTCTTGAATGTCGTGGGCATAGAGCGTGAGTGTCGCAGCAAGTGCAAAGAAGGGTTGGATGTTTGCGAGATGTCGCCACAGCGCAGGATCAATAATTCCGACGATTGCAGGAATCAGCTGCAAGTGCTTCAACGCTGGTGTGAGGGAAGGGAGCATGTAGTCCCTGATTCGAAAGAGTGATACGTGCGCCATAGCTAATGCAGCCTTCTGGCTGCCCAGCACTAAAAGCAGGACTTGCACGATATCATGGTACCCTTGGAAGTAGCAGAGCATAGGATAGTTTCTGAGGATCTGAACGATCAGTTCCGATAACTGATCCTTCTTATTCAAGAGATCCTCCTCAGGAACTAGCTAAGATGTCAGTCGTCTCCAATAAACATTAGTGAGGGTTTCAGTCTCACCATTAGGATAATAGACAAAAGCACGGTTGACATCGAGCTGTACCTGGTCCTCGTCGGCGTGTCGTGGTAGGTCTTTTAGAGGTTTGAGGTCCTCTGATTGTGATTTTGAGTCGCAATGTAAGAAAATTGGCCCTGCAACAATTCGTTAATCCAGTTCATCTAGAACAGGGCGTCTTCTTATCGTACATGCTCTTTGCCTTAGTTCATCCTCCAGCAGTCCACCTTCGCTGGTAGCATACGACACCAATGCTTCTACATCGCCCGCGTCACAAGCACGGTTAATCGCGGCTGCTTTCTCTGTTCTGGCTTTGGCTCGCTGCTGCGTGCCCAATGATTCTTCTGATGGGTTTCTGGACATAGATGGCTGCTTTTCCACGTCCGACGGGACTGGTCTCGTTTCAGGACTATTGTCGCGTGGGTCCACGTTTGATGGGTCCATTCTCGATATTAAGACAACTCAAATCCCAGGAATTTTCGAAGGTATTTGATAGATGGATAGGCCAAGGAGGGTGTCGTCGGGTGATATTGACTTAGATCATTTGATTAGGGATGGTCTTCAGGTATCTCCTTCCAGAGGCTACAGTTCAATGACTGCGGCTTCGTTGCGGGTTTCCACCCTCGATGATATTCGAAAGATGAACTCAGAATACACATCAAAGGTCACCAGGAAGCTCAAGAGCCAACGTGATCGTTGTTAGCCAGGCAGAGACCCGTGCTAGTTGATGCCAGAAGTGCAGCTGGAACGACAGCCGGGCGGTGCAGCCCGGCAGCCTGAGGCACCAAGAAACGTGATTCCCTTCATCTTGCAAAACGCCAAACGGCAGCTGGAGCTCCCACGCTCGGGTTATGTATCAACGACTATTTTTGGAGGCCATCACAGCGCGAGAGTGATAAATCAAGTCTAGGGTAGCGACATATCCGTCACTTGTTCACCCTGTGCCTTGAGCCCCTCTCCCACAAGCTCTGCCGCATCACCCCGCAGGCGGTACGTGTTGCTCACCACCAGACCAACACCCCAAACGGTCATTCTTCTGCGATAGAACAGTCCAGGTCAAGCCCAGGAGCGAGGAGAATTGATGCATAGCTGCTATTATGGCTGTATAAATGATCTCTCTTCCCCAAATGACCGAGGGCAATCATCACTGCCTTCGAACTATGGTCCACCACTTCCATAGCCAATCTAAATGCCCCGTCACATCCAACTTCACCTTATGAACGACATTTGTGATTACCAACTCCGACAACTCTTTCAGTGATAGTTGCCGAACTCAAAATGGATGAGGAGCAATTTTTCACGCGCTCAACGCGCGAACTCACCGGCCTTTTCTCCCAGACCATTCTTCCTAGCCCTGTTGTCCAGTGGATTCTCCCTGCTCGCCTTCGCAGTAACAATCACAATGATGTTGTCTTTGTGGGCCAGCGCCGGGTGCAGATTAAAGAGGCTTCTACGGGTGGTTTCTTAGAAGACGTCACTGAGAAGAACGACTTTGATCACCCGATTATCGGGGCCAAGGTCATCAATGTGAACACCGAGCTTCCTTGGGAAACGCAGCTACGGACAGATGGTGCCGATGATCAAATGCAAGACGACTCGAACTTTCTCGATCGTCTCCCTTCTCAGCTTCTAGTGCTTTCTCTCGAGATGAGAGAGCTTCAGTTCCTATATTGCCCGACTACCGGGGATGACAAGTTCGTTACATTTCGCAGGCCCTTGCCGGTTGATGTAGATCTTGCCGAAAGGTTTGGGAAACATATCGCCGTGGACCCCAAGTGAGCTTGGCCATTCTTCATCACTGTACAGACGACGAGCTAATTGATCGTAGATCACGCGCAGTCGCAGTCAGTGCATCGAGTCACTATTTTGGACTCCTCCTCCTCAAGTCCTCCAGGGAAATCCAGCAGCAGATGATTGAAGGAAAACTCGATCCTATCAAGAGTGTACGCTTTGCATGTCTACTTTGATTACATCCCTCCTAATTCATGCTTCTATAGGAACATTTCTACAGCTGCGATGGAACTATCCAGTTTATGGAGTTTCTGTATCCCAAAGCTGCCGATGACAAGAGGATCATTCTTCTCATTGTCTCCTCGAGTGCCGAAGGCTCATTCGCCCGAATCTTCCAATGGGATGATCGGGATTCTACGATGCTCCGTCCTGAGATTGTCGAGTTCAAACTTCGCAGGGAAGACAGGTTGCCCACGATGATCGTCCCTCTAACCAAAGAGTCTTCATTCTTGGTCGTCACGAGCATCTCCATGGCAGTTTATCCTTCCGACTCATCACACCCTCGACCAATTAGATACCCGCTCATAGCACCTGATGCCACTTTCAAGGAAACCTCACTGTGGACCCAATGGGCACGACCTGCTCGTAACTGGCTTTACAGCCAAAAATTCGATGGAATCTACCTCTGTCGCGAAGATGGCTGGATCTATTACCTAGAGTTTGGTAACGAGGGTGGGCTAGAAACCCAGACTAGTTTGGGTCAGCTCCACTGTGATGTCGATTCTGCATTCGATGTGCTGGACGTGGGCCACGAGGGAGGCGACTTCATCCTAGCTGCCGGAAGTATGGGCGATGGTGGCCTGTTCATTCAAGAGGCACGAAATAAACCTCAATGTGTTCAGAGATTCCTGAACTGGGCTCCGGTCACAGACGCTGTTATGGTGCCATCGAAAACACATGAAAATGTGCAATGCGATGTGTCACGAGATCGACTATTCGTCTGTTCTGCATCATCCGCCTCCGGGGGCAGCGCCCTCCATGAGCTTCGCCATGGGTTTGAGGCCCAAGTGGGCTTCTCGGTCCCTCTTGACGATTTCTCCAGCATACGAGATATGTGGGCCTTCAGTGACGATGCCAATCAAGGTGTCTACGTTATGCTTTCCGACCCTATGTCCACTCTGCTTCTCTACATGAACCCGAGTCTTGAAGATGGCATTAGTGCGCTGGATGAAACGGAAACAGGCCTTGACAACGCCCAGACACTGGCAGCTGGCTGCACTCCCACACACATCCTCGTGCAAGTCACACAAAAGGCCACACACCTTTTTGCTCCTGATAATATTTCCTCCAATACCTCTATCCCACATCAACCTGGCTCCGTCGTCGTCGCTGTCGCCGTCGACGGCCCAAGCTCGACTTTGATTACCGCTGTTCGACTCCAAAATGAACTCAACCTTACACTCACTCGGATTGTTATGAATGATACCAATGTTGGCCTGGATGTCATCCAGAAGGTCAAAATCGACAAAGAGCCCGTATGCCTTTCCCTTCAGACCTTAGGCGACACAACATTCATCTTTATGGGCACCAGTGATGGGACGATCAAGGTTTTCCACATTGAAAATGGAACTATCAAATTCCTCTTGGAAGCCAGTGTCTCCATTGACCGAGAGGACGATATTTCTCGAGCAATCGATAGCCTTGCAATGATTCGCCAAACTGATCATGGTGTTCTGCGTGCTCATCTGCTATGTGGCCTGCGCAGTGGTGTGTTGGTGCCATTCCAGGTTGACTTCAATGCCCCCACTCTTATTGGTAAGTTCGAACAGTCTTATAGCCTCGAAGCAGCAAGACTGACGCCATGTTCAGGTTTGAATCAAGTATCACCGAAGCATGTCGGAATGACATCGCTTCGTCTTCAAAGTCACGGTGCTTTTGCCATGCTTATCTGCGATCACGAGTTGTGGCGTGTATCAAGTAGTGCCGATGGCGTCCCGAATGATTGCTTCCTCTCGCGGATTTGGATCACCGAACAAAGTAATGTAAGTGTCGAGAACCTACTTACCCAGGTGGCTTGGGATAATTGCTAATCCTTGGTGTAGCCTGCGTATTTTCCCACGGGGATTCACGGCTTTGGGCTGATCAGCCAAACAAGCCCAGAAGCCGGGCTTCCTATAGGACCGCTGTTCTGCTTTGCAGACCGACAGCTTCTCATATGTTCACTGGACCGCGAACGCAAGATTGTGCCTCGACGAATTGGTGTACCTGGCACCGCCAGGAAACTAGTCTATTCGCCACATCTTGATAGACTTATACTGGCTTACGATAAGATTGAAGTCGAAGAACCCAGCAGACCCGGTGATATTACGATGCGATCATGTCTAGCATTTGTACTTCCAGATGCGCAAGAACCTGTCAACCCACTAGATCAGCCGCTCGCGCCCCGCGCTTCCCCTGGAGAAAGAATCACCTGTATGATGGACTGGATGTTCGAAAGAGACGGTCATATGTATCATCTCATTGTGATAGGAACAGGACTATCTGCGACCATCGATTACGAACCACGTGGCCGACTCATTCTGATGTCCGCGCCTCGAGATCCACAGGATGCCTCGCAAGTGCGATTCGTGACCAAGCATGTCCAGGAATGCCTTGACGGTGCGGTGCGATCGATCGCGGCCTACGGTAATACCCTTCTCATCTGCACGGGAAGGATCATCCGTCCCGTGGCCCCCAGTGGTGCATCGATCAGATGGGCCTCAAATAGCTGGCAGGAACTTCCCTCCCCAGCGGTGGCTATCACTGTTTCAAAGCCGTTCGTCTACGTTACTACCGCCCGGCATGGATTTGTCGTTTTGGAGGTTCTTGATGACGGGAACGGACTCCATCATTTGAAGTTACGTGCCCATGATTCGAAGCCTCTGGATGGACTGACTCACTACGTGACCGCTGGAGAGCCTTCTCTTGCGTTCTTGAGCACTCGCGGTGGCAACGTCCGTGCCGGGAGACTTTCGAGTAGCACAGAGCTCCGCACCACTCAAGTGTTCGTGCCCCCTGCACCGGAAGAGGCCTCAGTCTGGGACTCAGTTCTTCAGTTTGTTCCTAGTTCCAAGGGCAACATGTTCCCCAAATCACCCCGGGAGAGAGGTGGTGCTATCTACGGTATCGCTCTCAATGGATCGGTCTTCAGGTTCTCGATCCTACGGGAGGATGAGACGCGCCTCCTTCTCGCCTTGCAAGACTTATGCCGAAAAGACGAAGCTCTTTACAAATCCCTGGCTGCGCGCGAAAAACGCAAGAAGCCCACTTGGGCTGATCCCAAGAAAGACAATTCTCAAGTGGATGGGGATATTCTGATACGCCTGGCTCGGCATAGGGCGGACTACCTAGAGGATAGGATCCATGCACTTGATCAAAAGCGAGGCTCTCCCATCTACGAGCCTTTCATGAGAAATGCAGCACTCAAAGCGTTGGGGCCCTCGGACAACTATGCTCAGCAGGTTGTTGGATGGCTTCGACAGTTGCTTCATGTTGAGATATGACACTTATGAGCGCAGATAAGGTTTTTTTCCTGTCTAACCTAACCTGACTTGTCAGTCACAATCACCACCCAGTGCGGCGCAAGGAGACGAGTCTACTTGATGTCTTTTAGAATATGAAAATGAGCGTTATCGGCATTTGCTTTTTGAATCTTAGAAATACAAGAAATTTAAAAAAAAAAAAAAAAAAAAAAAAAAAAAAAAAAAAAAAAAAAAAAAAACCCTATAGTGCTTTTATGCTTGTTCGGCTTATTTCGTTAAAAATAAACAGCCCTAATATAAAGCATCTAAAGCTGGGAGGCGATGTGAGGCGGCCTGTTGTGGACAGTGGCAATCTTGGAAGCCCACGGGTGAAGTCAGACTGCATTGTTCCAGATTCCCCACCATTCGATTATTCTTCCCGAAATTCTTTTCCTCCACCCACCTTTTCCCCTCGGTCCACTTAACCAGCCTTTCTCTATCGGGGATTCGAGTTTGGAGCTTCAAACTCGTCTATTTTACATCTCTCACCTAATTTTTTGCCAAATTTCCCCTCCGGCGACCCGCAGCCCGCAAGTGAACGGTTAGCTCCGTTTGTGCGCCCACTGCGTCCCTCCGATCGCCCCTCGATTCGGACCAAGAAAGAATCCCCAAACACCCTAAAACAAATACACCGACAAAATGGCGCCCAAGAAAAAGGGAAACAAGCGCCAGGAAGAGGACTGGGAGGCTGAGCTCGGCGAGACTGCTGCTGCTCCCACCGATGCTCCCGCGGAGGAGCAGGCCCAGGACGGCGGCGAAAATGCCGAAGAAGAGGCAGGCGGTGGTGGCTTGATGGCTGCTCTGCGAAAGAACAAAGCCCGCAAGGCCAAGAAGGGCAAGCCCGTTAACGACTTTGTCGAGGGCGAGGATGCTGGTGCCGACGACCTCGCCAGCAAGCAGCCCGAGGAGGGTACTTTCGACGAGGACGATGTCTTCGCCGGCAAGCCTAAGAAGCCTATCAAGGAAGTGGCGCCAGCCCCAGCTCCCGCCGCCGATGAGGGCGACTTCCGAGTGAAGTCCAAGAAGGAGAAGGAGAAGGAGAAGAAGGAGCGTGAGAAGCAGCGAAAGAAGGAACAGGTATGGTTTTCAATTTCCCTGTCTTGTGTGTTTGTTGCACTCGAGATAGCTCAAGTAAACTAACTTTTCGTCCTTTTTTTAGGCTGCCGCAAAGAAGAAGAGTACCCCTGCTGCCGAGAAGGCGGAGGCTGCCAAGCCTGCTGCTGAAGTCAAGAAGGATGAGCCAGAGCCTGCGGCTGCCACTAAGCCCGCTGGTAAGGCGAAGAAGCTTCCTCCCCACCTTGCGGCTCTTCAGAAGCAACAGGAACAGCTACGCAAGCAGCGCGAGGAGGAGGAACGTCGTGCAGCTGAAGAGAAGGCCGCCTTGGAGGAACAAGCGCGTCTCGATGCCGAGGAGGAGGCAAAGCGCGAAGAGGCCCGTCAACGAAAGAAGGAGAAGGAGCGCGAGAAGAAGGAACAGCTCCGCAGGGAGGGCAAGCTTTTGACCAAGGCTCAGAGGGAGGCTCAGGCAAAGAATGAACTCCGTCTGAAGCAGCTGCTTGCCTCTGGTGTTCAAGTTGCTGGTCTGGAGAGCGGTGGCGAGAAGAAGCGCCCGGTCTACGAGAACCGTAAGAAGAAGGGTGGCAAGAAGCAAGAGGAGGATCTTGAGGCCGCTGCTGAACGGGCTCGTCTCCAACGTGAAGCTGAAGATGAACGCCGGAGGAAGGAGGCTGAGGAGAAGGCCAAGGCTGAAGCTGAGGCCAAGGCCAAGGCAGCTCCTGCGGAGGACGAGGATGCCGTTGATGACTGGGAGGCCGCCGCTGAGGCTGAAGACGATGTGAAAGCCAGCTGGGATGCTCCTTCTGATGAGGAGAGGGAGAAGGCCGCAGTGAAGAAGGATTCTGAAGAGGATTCCGAAGAAGACTCCGACGAAGATTCTTCTTCCGAGGAGGATTCCGAGGACGAGGAGCAGTCCGCCAACCAGAGGGCCATTGCCCTGCGCAAGGCCGAGGCTGCGGAGCGGAGGAAGAAGCAGCACGAGGAGGCTTTGGCAGCTCGTTCCAAGGACAACCTGCGTTCGCCTATTTGCTGTATTCTCGGTCACGTCGATACCGGAAAGACCAAGCTTTTGGACAAGATTCGTCAGACCAATGTGCAGGAAGGCGAAGCTGGTGGTATCACTCAGCAGATTGGTGCTACCTACTTCCCCGTTGACGCTCTGAGGCAAAAGACTGCTGTTGTGAACAAGGACGGCTCGTTCGAGTTCAAGGTTCCCGGTCTGTTGATCATCGATACCCCCGGTCACGAGTCTTTCTCCAACCTGCGTTCAAGAGGTTCCTCTCTTTGCAACATCGCCATTCTGGTCGTCGATATCATGCACGGTCTCGAGCCCCAGACTCTGGAGTCTATGCGCTTGCTGCGTGACCGCCGCACTCCCTTCATTGTGGCGCTGAACAAGATCGATCGTCTGTATGGCTGGAAGAAGATTGACAACAACGGTTTCGAGGAGAGTTTGAGCATGCAGAGCAAGGGTGTTCAGAACGAGTTCCGCACTCGTCTGGAGACCACCAAGCTCGCTTTTGCCGAGCAGGGTTTCAACTCCGAGCTCTTCTTCGAGAACAAGTCTTTGGCCCGCAATGTTTCCCTGGTGCCTACCTCTGCCCACACTGGCGAGGGTGTTCCCGACATGCTGAAGCTTCTGACCAAGTTGAGTCAGGAGCGTATGACCAACTCCCTCATGTACCTCTCCGAGGTCGAGTGTACTGTTCTCGAGGTCAAGGTTATCGAGGGTCTCGGCACCACTATCGATGTTGTCCTGTCTAACGGTATTCTTCGTGAGGGTGATCGGATTGTCCTGTGCGGTCTCAATGGTCCTATCGTAACGAATATTCGTGCCCTGTTGACTCCCGCGCCCCTGAAGGAACTGCGTCTGAAGTCGCAGTACGTCCACAACAAGGAGGTCAAGGCCGCCCTTGGTGTCAAGATTGCCGCCAACGACCTGGAGCACGCTATCGCCGGTTCCCGCCTGCTTGTCGTTGGACCTGATGATGACGAAGAGGATCTCGAGGACGAGGTCATGACTGATCTAGAGAACCTGCTCAGCCGTGTCGCCACCGATAACCGCGGTGTCACCGTCCAGGCCTCTACCCTGGGTTCCCTGGAGGCTCTTCTGGAGTTCCTCAAGCAATCCAAGATTCCCGTTGCCAACATCTCCATTGGTCCTGTCTACAAGCGTGATGTCATGATGGCTGGAACGATGCTTGAGAAGGCTAAGGAGTATGCCGTCATGCTTTGCTTCGATGTCAAGGTGGACAAGGAAGCCGCTGCCTACGCTGCCGAGGTTGGGGTCAAGATCTTTACTGCCGACATTATTTACCACCTGTTCGATGACTTCACCAAGCACATGGCTGATCTGACCGAGCAGCGTAAGGAGGAGAGCAAGATGCTCGCCATCTTCCCTTGCGTCATCAACCCCGTTGCTGTCTTCAACAAGAAGGACCCCATCGTCATTGGTATCGATGTTATCGAGGGTAGCTTGCGCATGCACACCCCACTCGCGGCAGTTCGCACCAACGCCGCTGGTCAAAAGGAGATTATTGATATTGGTCGAGTGTAAGTTTATCATCCCATCATCCCATCATCCCATTGCCTATTTCATCGTGTCTGATTCTAACATTAATTGCAGGACATCTATCGAGCGTGACCACAAGGCCATCGCAGTCTGCAAGAAGGGCCAGCCCTCCGTTGCCATCAAGGTCGAGGGCCCCAACCAGCCCATGTACGGCCGTCAGCTCGAGGAGACTGACCAGCTGTACTCGCACATCTCGCGTGCCAGTATCGATACCCTGAAGGAGTTCTACCGGTCCGAGGTCACCATGGAGGAGTGGGCTCTGGTCAAGAAGCTCAAGCCCGTCTTCGACATTCCATGAGCGGGAGGCACTCCGCCATACTCTACAGAGCCTGCTTCTCGTCCGAGGGGGGTGACTTGACTCTGGCCCATTTAACATCGCAATGCCTCGTGGGGGTACTCTCCTGATATGATTGACGCGGCATTTTTTTTACGACTTGCGGGGATGACCGAGAATTTTGACTTCTGATTGTTGTCATCGCGAGAGCGGACAAAAGTTAGGTGGTTGTTTTGAGAGTGATATGGATATACCAATGAACGACCACGAATTGAATGGACCAGACTCAAAAGTTGATGCGAATGCTTTCTGTACATGACATGGGAAGAAGATAAAAGCGACCCACTCCCCTCTGGCTGGTTCTTTTTACCAGAGTTTCTCTTTTTTATAGTTGCTTTTTTTATTGGACACAGTTAGACTTGAATTGCATGTCCATAGCTATTCTTTCTTCGTTATGATTCACAGCACCATCGTATCTTCTTGTAACAACCCTCGTACAACTCGATTCATTTTTGGCCACACCTGTCAAGTTGAATATATACAAGTCCTCCATTCTAAACCAATTCATTTCATTTCATTTCACACTATTTACCAATAAATCACGCATCATCCCCCCTCCCACCGCTCAGTCTTACCCCCCTGCCTCTCCCAATCCAACCAACTCCCATCATAAACACCCAACTGCTCCGCATTATACCCAGCCTGAACAGCCAACTGCGCCGCTGCACGCGCCCGCACACCAGCCTTACAATAAAACACAATCTGCTGCTCGCCATCAGCACTCGGCTTCGGGAACCCGAAGCGGGTCTCGAATTCGTCGGCGGTTAGGTAGAGTGCGTCTGGTTGGGAGGCGAGCGGGATGTTGATTGCGGTGGGGATGATGCCGGTGCCGGTGAGTTCGGCGGGTTCACGGACGTCGATTAGGATTACGGGGGTGTGGGAGGGGGAGGGGGTTGATGATGGGAGGGAGGCGTTGATCTGAGTTGTTGTGAAGGTGTTCGTTAGCTAAGATGTTGTGTTGTAGGTTGGGAAGGTAAATGTAGATGTAGATAGTGGTTTGGATATGGATATGGGTGACGGTGATGGTGACTCCTTGACTTACGTCTTCAAACCCCCATTCCCGGAAGACAGAGCTGGGTTCGTGGCTGTTCCATCGGACTTGCTGGCGGAGACTAGGTGCAATGTGCGATCTTGACTGGCATGGCACGAGCGAACGGCGGCTTTGCGAGGTCGAGCTGAGGCCTCGGTTGGCTGCGGAGAGAGCTCCGCGCTGGAGAGCTGATGTGACCGCGATGGTTTGACGGGCTGGTGCTCTGAGGGCCGTGGAGGCAATTGTAGCGACTGAGCGCCGGGAGGCGGAGTGTAATGATGCAGCCATGGTAACTCTGGTGTGTAATGAGTTGACTAGAGTTGGTAGAGGGAGGTTTCTCGGAGACGAGGCCGAAGGATTGCGGGTGATGCCGTGATGTCACTGCCGAGGGACACCGCCTGCGGAGTTAGGATAAATGGGTATAGTTACAGATCTACAAACCCTGATACGGCTGATTAGGACGCAAAATGACATAATTGTAACCTAGTAGGCTTCTTCTTTTGTATCATGTGTTGGTTGAATAGCCATTGGCGATGTCTTGCCCCCAATTGGCCACCACTGAGACCAGGTTAAACCTTTTATGTGCATCGGCCCCAAGAGCCCTGTCGTGATAAGCACTAATCGGGGGCCTAAAGGTGAAAGGCTTGTGGCTCGTCTCGAATCTTTGGTCTACATTCTTAATACGCACTATGTTCCTGCTTCAAAAGTCATCGTGCCATAGATTCATCTCTGAGCCCTCAGAAAATCCTTGCGTAGAAAGCTGATATCGAAATGACAAACACATACAATACTTGGTGCTTTAAACCTCGCGATTCCAATGCAACCTCTTAATTGAGGGGGTCTAATTCCATAATGCATTGTACTTTGCATATTTGGGGGCCATGCAATATCCCTACACTTACTACATGGCTGTACTAAGACACTGTTGATCTTCTGCAGGTCACACAGCCGGAAGCCTACTGCTGAGGAAGTCAGGATTCAAATCCCATTTTCCTTGACACCCTCTTCTAATCTCCTTCTCTGTATTCTGTTCAATCTTTTCTCTCTTACTATACCTCATAATGCACATCTCCCTACCAAACCCATCCTCATAATGATAATAATGCGTTCTCGCGCCGAACAACCCTACCTCCCCCTCATTCTCATAAGTCTCTTCGCACCACCCGTGTTATCTGAATGCTATTTCCCAAATGGCACGCTATTCACAGACCCAGCGTACCAACCATGTCCGGGCTTCGACGGCGCGGCAAGAATGTGCTGTGCCACCAATCGCACCAATACCTTCGGCGGCGCAGACACCAATGGCTGGACGGCGAACAAGTGTCTCCCAAATGGACTTTGTCTAGACGGAGCCACGACCATCGATCAACATGGGGAAACGACTCTGGTGCAGCAATATTGGCGGGATTTATGTACGAGTCAGAATTGGGATGATGGGGGGTGTCTGAAGGCTTGTACTGGGATTGTATGTGCCTCTATCTCGCTTGATGCTCATCAGGATATCAGACTTATTCTTCGAGGTTTTCGGGATAGATATGGTATTATAGCATTGCTAACTGAATGGGTATCCGTGTGATATAATAGGCAAACGACAGAACCATCAGAATGACACCATGTGGTAACCCGAACACCTCGACAACATGGTGCTGCGGCGATAACACGGATTGCTGTAATAGCTCCAACGCAAAATACATACCCGCAACTCTTCAAGGATATATCGCGACTTTGACGACTACTTCCACTGCCTCTAGCAGTACTTCTACTGCCTCTGGCAGCACTACTAACACAAGCACCTCTCCAGCATCTACGTCGTCAGCATCTACGTCGTCGAGTCAAGCCTCTCCCAGTCTATCTGCAGGTCTATCGACAGCAGCGAAGACTGGAATCGGGATTGGCGTGTGTGTTGGAGCTATCGTGGTGCTTGTCGGTCTTGCATGGATTCTGGTTAAGAGACGGAGGACTAAACTTGTTCCAGAGGAAAGATTGAGACCGTTTTACGCAGCGGATAAACCGCCGACGGAGTTGGCGAGTACGGACGTTGCGAGGGAATTGCCGAGTAACTCGACTGCATTGGTTCAGGAGTTGCATGGGGATTCGGTGAGGAAATGACAGGACCCTCTTGAGAGTATATAGACATTGTATTTAGTTAGGTGGTTCAAGGTTGGGGGCCGCCCGACATGTAAATGGATGGGATTTGGGATGAAATATATATTCTGATGGACAACCCCAGACCAATTAGGATATTTTATTCCTACTGAAATACAGCGTGTCCATTACGAAAGTCCGAAATTCAACGGATCGAATGGATAAGAGAAAACAAGATTAAAATTATTCTATGAATGGCTCTCTAAGGTGGTCCACAATGAGGAAGAAACACGAAACAGAGACAACCCGGAAAAGAAATGCACAACGGCAGCGATCCCACATGGGCCGCTTTATACACGCCGCTTTATACACAAAAGGGGTATTAGGTGGGTAATCTCTAGGAAAGCACTCCCCAGCTGTGACGACCAAATGCCTTGGGCAATCACGGTAACGTTTGTTCACAGTCCGCCAAGAGGACTGTTGACCATGCGTGCCAAGTGGAGGCGAGAAATGAAAGGTGGAAAAGAAAGGCCCCTCCATCTCCAGGACAGAAAGGCCGTGCTAAATGCGTCACCGAGCTCGTTCTATCTGGAGTTTGGGGCCGGGTCTTTCCAGCGTGGTGCTTTTAAAAGGCTCGTCAATCATTTATGCGCGGGGGCGGAAGGTGAGCAGGCAGTCATCCTAGGAATAGATTGTTAGCTAAAGGGTTCCAATGTGTAAAGAACTGCAGAGGGAAAAGACATACCTGGGGGAAGATGGTGGCAAACACCTTAATGTCCTCAGACAGAGGGGTGGCAGTGTGCTCCCAGTCCATCTCCATACTGGCCTTGCCGATCATGGCCATCAGGGACAGCTGGGCATAGGTCTGACCCAGGCAGTAGTGGGGACCAGTGCCGAAGACCAGCCAGTTCTTGGTCTGCTGCTCGGCATCACCGGTGATCCAGCGCTCGGGCTCGAAGGAGTCGGCGTTGGGGTAGGCCTCCTCGTCGTGAGTGGCGGGCCAGACCGAGGGAATGATCATGGAGCCCTTGGAGACAGTGATCTTGTCGGTGATGGGGAAGTCCTTCTTGACCAGGTAGGGGACCATGATGACGGGAGGGCGGTAGCGGAGGGTCTCCTTGACGACCGCGCGGGTGTATGTCAACTGCTCGAGGAGTTCCATGGAGATGGGGACGGAGGGGTCACCGTTGCGGACAGCCAAGTTCTCCTCACGGACCTTGTCGAGAATTTCAGGACGGTCGGCCATCAGCTGGAACAGCCAGGTAGAGGCGGCGCTAGTGGCATCCTGGGAGGCGAACAAGAAGGTGAAGACAGTCTGGGCAATCTCAAAGTCGGAGAAGTCACGCAGAACCTGAGGAGGCTTCTCGGAGGGGTCAACCTGGATTCCCTGGGCGATCTTCTCACGGTACTTGGCAGAGTCCTGCTGGGCCTTGACCCAGGCGTCCATGATACAGGTAACCTCACCACCGGCAGCCATGCGAGCCTTGGACTTGGCGGTACACTTGGAAAACTCCTCAAGAACCATGTCGGCGGCCTTCTTGCCGTACCAGGTCTTGGTGAAGGGCAGGATGATGGGGAAGTTGACCAGCTCGAGGGCGGCGGTGATCAGGTAATAGTCATCGGCAACCTTCTGGACGGCCTCGTCGGACATGTAGTAACCGACAAAGGTACGGCACGAGAGAGCAGTCATCAGCTCACGGAAGTCGGGCATCCAGGGAGTCGGGGTGTGCTTGGTAGCGGCGGACTTGGCCAAGAAGCGCTTGAAGTACTCGTCGAAGACCTCCTCGGCACGGGGCAGGTAGGAGGACAGGGCCTGGCGGGTGAACAGGCCATTGAGACCCTTGCGGTATTCGACGTGCTCCTTGCCATCCAGGAAGACCCAGTTGGACTTGCCGAGCAGCTTGTGCGCGGCATCCACGACACAGGGCTTGACGTAACCGGGAGAGTTGAAGATCTTGCGGGACATGTCACGGGTGGAAGCGATCACAACGAACCTTGAGCGCATATGTTAGTGAATCGAGGCTCTTAAAAAAAAATTCATCGTTTGTTGTATCTCACTTGTGGAAGACAGAGACACAGCTCAACTCGCCACTGTCCCATTTCGCCTTGTATTCGGTGAACTTGGGATTGACAGACTGGAGGAAGGGGCCCATGAACGGGATCTTGTAGGCAGGACCAACGATGTTGCCCTTGAGATAGTGGTACTTGACTGTTGTCGAACGAAAAAAGGGGGAGATCGTTAGCCATTGATCCGGGACGCGTTGAAATTTCAGATCGAGAAACCCTCCGATGAGTTTCGCGAGAGATCGGACTTACACTGATCGTAAATGACGGCTCCAACGAACAGCGTCAGGATCAGCTTCCAGACGGTGAAGCCATCGAGAATCGAGGCGACGAGGCCGGCCGGCGCGAAAAGTTGCGGCGAGATTGTCGCATCTGCGGACGGCGAGACAAAGCTCCCAGTCATTTTGTCGAGTCACACGAGGAGGACCTTTCTTGTCAATTTTGTGATCTGCTCCTCTAAGTCCAAAACCAACAAATTACCAGTGACTGAAAATGAGGGTGAACAATTGCTGAGAGAGGTGGAGAGGGGGAAGAAGGGAAAATGGTCAGGGGCGGGAAGGCCAATAATTTGCAGTCGTATTCGCATTGGCCGTTGTAAGATTGACAGGCAATTTGCAGTGGTTCGTTCATTATTATTGGAGGCACCGGGGCGTTGGGACCAGGGGAAGCCGGCCGTGGCATGACTGGGCGGGGGGAGAATCGGAGACTAAACTACTGTCGGTAACTACAAAAGAGGATAAATAATTGTTATTGTTTTGCTACTTTATAGTATTCACTGTTTACACGATCTGAGGTTTGATGGGAAATTGTAAGACTATATAATGATTGTCTGAAATCACTATAGCAACCTGGTACTTGTCCTTAATTACACGATTAGATAGTCACGCCTCCGTCAGCCTAGGAATGATGTTATCTACTCCGTACATATGGGCACTCCATAGTTCATACCCTCCTTCAACCCTACACCCGTTCTTCTGGATAAAATATATGCTCAATATAACAACCAGAGCATTGCGGTCTTTCTTTTCAAATTCTCCAATTTTCATTCAATATTATTGCAAATAGCGCGACTCGGCTCAACAACTAGACAACTCCGGCTAATTGCAACTATTAACTATTGGCGCAAATTTCAGCGAGGGCTTCCCGTGGCACGTGCACCAGGACCATCAACCGCCCCTGACTAAGCCTGGATGGCCATTGGATCAGTCATTCCACCAGTTGACCATAAAGCCTGCCAAATGATCATGTACATACTTCATGTAACTACGTCACACCGAGGGAAATGTATAGATATAATAGCATACAGTACCATAGTATTTCTTACAGATTATAGATAGTATATATTCATGGATATACTGGGTACGCCGTGGAAATAGAAGTGTGTGTAACACTCCATAAACTATATCGCAGGAGGACCAAGGCAAGGAGTAATCGCAGTGCGTAAAATCGACATGAACATATTTGTCAGATAATTATAATCACTTCCGTCCGTATGTACAGGGCACTATTCTCACCGACCGCCAAACCCGAACCATCCCCGCTTCTTCTCTTCCGGCGCCGGGGATGCGGCCTGCTCTGGAGCTTGCACCGGGGCTTGTGCTTGTCCAGGACGAGGGTAGTCAATGTAGTTCCATGCCACGTCGAGGAAGAGCGGCTTCACAGGAACAGGTTGCATTTGAGGCGGGTATGGCACTAGGTTGCTCAGGTCGGTACCGGCACTAAACTGGTGGAGGCGCTCGACCAACGGGCGCTGCTGGCTTGAGCCAGACTCGGCATCCAAACGTTCCAGCGTCACGAATCCGCGATACTGCGCAACAAGGCCACGCAGAGTAGAAGCCAAGTTGTTTGCCTGGGCGCGCGAGACATCCAGCTGGGGTGGGCCCTCGGAGCTGTCGGAAGTCTGCGGGGTGGCGGTGCTGGCGAGATCGAATGCTTGAGCGAAGAGGGCAAGGGCCTCGGTGGGCTTGCCAAGAACGCCGTGGGATCGGCCCAAAGCAAGGCATCTAAGTATGGAATGCGTTAGTTATATAGATCACGAAAAGTTTGTCAGAAAGCGAGACATACCGTAGCGCACGGAAATAGCGCCGTTTCGCCTCAAGGTCTTGCACAAATGCCGTATCGGCAGCAACACCTGGCAGCTCCAGGATAAAGTCCAAGCTCTGCAGGGTCGAGTCGTACAATACGACGCGCTCGCGGAGCTTGTTCAGCTTCTTTCCATTACCCGCACTGTGCTTGGTGACCTTTCCACTCTGAGCAGTTGACTCGTCCTCGAACGTCAGGCCATCCTGTTCACCACACAGCACACGGTTACGACCGACCCGCCATCCAACAAGACTGTAGTTAACAGCCGTACGAGTGATCTGAAGTGCCTGCAGTCTCTTATCACCGGGATCCACTCCCTCGCTGGTCAGGTCATCGAGGGCGCTCTTAGTGGCATCGACCGCATCCTGGCTAGCAATGATGACATTATCATATGCGGCAGCGCGATCCTTCGCACTAGCAGACTTGCCTTCACCGGCCAACCAGGCACTGAGTCCGGTCTCGGCAGCAGACGCAGCAGCCAAAGCCTGAGAAATCGAAGCATCATCCAGCGGGACGGTTCGAGATCTCCATGTCACAGACTCGGGTAGTTGCTGCACCTCACCCTCGGCGGTTCTCCGTGTCCCCGCAGCCTCTTCAGCGAGGCAGGACGGGTCAATCTTCTCGACTTCCGCGCGAATCTTGGAATCAGCGGGGAAGAATTCAATGGCCAGCGAGGAAGTTGGCTTGGAGCGAGGAAGCTTCATCTGGTAAGCGGCATAGCGCAGGCTGGGATCGACAGTTCCAGTGAGAAGGTCGCGGAAGGAATCCTTCTTCTCCCGTTGTCCAAGAGCCGTATAGATTACTCGCGCAATGGCATAGTCGTGTAGACACTGCTCCCACTTGCGCTTCTCTAGGCACAGCGCACCCGAGACTGTAGCCAGATAAGCTCGTGCTTCGAGGATGTCAATGTCTGTGGCGCCGGTGGCCGACTGCTCGTGGAGCAAGTCCACAAGATGTTGCGCATAACCAGTCGCCTTGTGCAGTCGCGAGATGATATGGCGTCTGGCTGCACCGGAGATGCCCTTGGCTGATGGATCAGCGGAGTGTGTCGATTTCTCGTGCATGGCTTGCGCCCAGGCTCGTTCGGACCCAAGAAGGAGAAGGTGCACGTAGCTGATCATGGGCGAAGTAAGGTAAGTATTTATCATGCAATCGTCGGTGGAAACACATACGAGATATTGCTTCCAACATTCTCAGCCGTCACAGCTGGTTTAGCAGCGTACTTGCGGCCTTTAGGAGTGGCCTGTCCCAGCTTCTTGCGGAGTTTGTGCAGCTTGCGAGTAGCATGCGCCCGGTAGGCATTGTAGTCTCCAGCGAGGAGCACCTCCTCCCGCTCCTTGAAGATATAATCGGTGATCTCCATGGCTGGGGTTGAATTGGCCAAATTGAGGGGAGCCGAGTCCTCTGTAGCTGGCAGGTTGACTTGGTGGGTATGCAAAGGCGGTACCCCGTTTCGGCCAAACGAATGGCCCGACCTGCCCGGCAATTTCCAACCTCTCCGAATCTTTTGCGTGGTTGGCTTTCTCCAGCCTACTTTTCCTGGCTTCATTCCCCTTGGCTCATAACTGATTGCCCGACGACTGGGAGACAATCTAGCAACTACGATCTGTCTGAAGCTCGGCGACTGAAGCTTCTCTCTGCTAGATTGTCTGCAATCCTCCGCTTTTTTTCCTTCTCGGTACGAAAATGGCACCACCCTAAACAGCTCATCCCGGCCACCAGGAACAACAAAAACACCACGTGAACAGTGATTTCTGACTTGGAGTCTCAATTAACAGGGCTTTCCGATACGATATGATGCAGACTGTGGATTCTCTAAGGTGACTTCAGTGTTTGACGCCGCGACGATCGGGGGTAATGCTCGAACGGGCGGCCGGCTGCCTCGAGAGCGCGGGACGGCGTTTCCTTCGAGATCCCAACGGCACTATTCGATCCCGAAGGAGTTTGTCTCGCCATTTTTGGAAGCATAATGCCGCCGGAGGGGATATTGCGAGCTGTTTTGTCGCGTTAGTGCTGCCGCCACAACCATCCTCGACTTCAGCTTTTCTGTCTCCCGCCGAGAGCAAAGCTTCCAAAGATGGAGGCTCGCCGTTCCTCGATTTTCTCTACCCGCAAAGAACGCAGGAATTTGCAGTATCACGTCTATCACGCCAATCAAAGCGACTGGCATTGCGCCGGAGGAAAAGAACCGTGGTTGGCTTCTCGAGACCGTATACGTCGAACGCTTCGTCCCCTACCAAGCAAATCCTTGTCGAGGATGCTCATGCGAACGAACCGAGCCAGCAGACGGTGGGAATGGAAGCAACCAGATCTTCCAAGGGTTATTTGATAAATTTGATGGAAAAACAGCAGGCAGAGTTTGATCGAGCCTGGGTGCTTTATATCGCCGCTGGAAGACCATCCGATTGCCGTTCTGCGCTATGTGCCTATCTCAGTAGGTCGAAAGATACTCTCGACCGAGATCGGACCTGGGAGGCATTTCAAGGAATACCCGAGGAGATCCTTTCGGAAGACGACTTTTTGCGCGCCGCCGAGTCTCAACTTGGTTCGCGAGACCCCTCGAAGCTGATATCCCTATGCGACCAAGCCCTTGAACGGGGATACGGGTCTAAGTGTTGCACATTATCATTCACGCGCTTTTGGAAAGCTCGTAATTGGAGGCGCGCTCTGGAAATTTGGCGCTTGGTGTCACAATACACAGAGCAGGTGTCTGAGCCGCCACACCGTATATTATTTAGTGAACTTGAACATGGAAGGCTTGCTTGGGACGCTGTGGCATTTGGAAAATTCGTCATGCGTGAACAGAGTCATGACTCCCGCTATCTCGCCGATTTCCTTCTTGGTCACATTTTCCGCTACTCTTACATGCTCAGATCTGCCTCCACTGGTGTACTAGTGGAGTTGTTTCGGATCTATCATGACTTGGGCTTTCTTAAGCCTGAGCACTACCTTCACACAATCACCACGTTTCAAGCGAGCGATGCAAGATCGATTTTCGTCCGAACAATTGTGTTTTACCGCATCATGCGCCGACATATGCCGGAGACGATACCTCCTCAGTCGTTCTTCAGTGCTCAGTTAAGAGCGTTTGCCTCTTTTGGAATAACTTCCGGAGTGCGATTCTTCCTGGATGAAATGAGGCAATTCTACGGAAAGCCTCATCCTCAACTGTACAAGGATGCTATGCAATCGTTTGCACATGCCGGTGACGTGGAGAAGGTTTACTTTTTCTTCGATAAGCTTGTTGAAGACCATGGGCCACCGCGCAGTCGGAAATTGGTGACTCCGCTTCTCGATGTCCATGCAAGAATCGGAAACGTCGAGGAGACCACGAAACAGTTTGAGAGGATTTCTGAGGAATTCCATCTTCAGCCCAATACCGTGTGTTGGAACATTCTTCTCAAGGCGTATGCCAATGAAGAAAACCTGGCTGGCGCCCTTTCGATATTCTCGAAGATGCAGCAAGCCGGAGTTTCCCCCAGCCCTCACACGTTCGGTACCTTGATGGCTCTCTTTGCCAAACGGGGAGACATTGATAACACTCGTCATTTGCTCAAAGAGGCGGAGCGTTACGATGTGGAGATCACGATGCCCATGCTAGACATGGTGGTCCAGGCGTATTGCGCGAACGGATTGTTGCCTCAGGCTGAGCAATTTGCTGTCGCGTGCCAGGAATTCAAAGTCCAAGGTTCACCTCTAGGCATGTGGAACACACTTCTGTTTCAATATGCATTTAGAGTGGACTTTGTGGCTATGAATCGGATCTGGCAGCACATTAAATCAGCCGGGATTCGCCCAGATGCCATCTCCTACGCAAGCCATATGCTCGCTCAGGCTCTCGTTGGCAAAACGGATCGAGCACGAAAGACCCTTCGAGACCTTCATAAGAAGCGAGTCCTTCAAGCTACAGACCTTCACTACGCGATCATCCTGTACGGATATGTGAAGAGCCGCAACCGAACCATGGTACAAGTCATATTCAACGAGATCGAGGAGCGATTTGGTCAACCTGGGGCCCGATCCAGCCTTTTGGAGCTCAGAGGCCAGATCGAGCACGATCTGGAAACCCAGGCAGATTCTTCTAAGCCCGGCGCCGATCTCCGTTTGAAGAATGCCGAGCAAACTCTCCTGAACTCTCTCACGTCGATCGACCGCCTAACAAAGAGCATCAGGCTTTCCTCGTCAAAGGCTCATCCCAGCGGCGCTTTCCAGGACTCATACTATGCCTACCGTATTAAGAATTTTGGCTTGAATGGTGCGATTGATGAGGCCCGAAAGCTGTTCCAGGAGTACATCGACACGAAGAAGACCATTGGCTCTCGCGAAACGGGATCCGAATCCGCTCCGATCCGCCTCATTGCTGCTATGATGCTGGCCCATTTGAGAGCAGAACAATACCTGGAGGTGGAGGAGTGCTGGCAACTCGCACTCACCAACACTGTCAAGATAGCGAGCCGAGTGGACCTCGATGAACTTATGCGTGCCGAGTCGTCTCTTATGACGGACATTGTTGCCATGGAGCCGTTGTCTGAGGGTGACCAGCCACTATCGCCCTTGGGTCTCGACGGCCAAGAAGAGCTGGCCGACTCACCCGACGATGGCGTGTCCTACTCACACCGGAGATCTGAGATAATCCCGTCACAACGCTTCACCCTTTCGCGCCCCCTTTCCATTTACATGCGAGCTTTGGCCTATCAGAATAAAACCGATCAGATCATCGAAGTGGTGGCCAAATTTGAAGATGCCGGTTTCCGGCTAAGCACTTTTAATTGGTCAACCTACGTTCAGATGCTGGCAGCTTCCGACAAATTCAGCGATGTTGAAGAGGCTTTCCGAGCGTTCGAGCGTACTTTCATGCCCAACTTCCCCGACTGGAAGCGCCTCCAAGTTGGGCAAGGACTCAAGCCGTTGGGTGTGCCGTTCACCATCCAGCAGCTCGAAGATCCTCGGCACTTCCCTCCTCCTTCGGAAACTCTAGGCAAAGCCTCAAAATCGTACTGGAGCAACATTGATCCAGGTTTCATGCAACCCACCTACGTCTCGATGGTATACCTAGCTGCCGCGGTGGATCGCATTCGAGATCTCAGCATTCTGAAAGGCGGCAAAGAACTTGTGCAACTTCATTCCATCGCCCCCAAGACGATTGCGGAAATTGGCAGGATGCCTTATCTTCGTGATAAGTTCCAAGGTGTGCTACTTCGCCATCGCTCTCACCAGGCCGACAAAGACGGGCAGAAGCGACCGCGTAGGCAAACTGTGGCGGCAAGTGGTATTCTGGGCATTCGCCCTCGCAACCGACATTTGGGACGGACTCAACAAACGGAGGCACCAGCCTCCCCCACTTTGACATTGTCTGCTGACGCTGAAGCCGAGAGAACTCGCCAAGCTGTCTTTGGGCCCTCAGAGTCTGACACGCAGGAGGACATTTTCTCGGTGGAGGACCGGGCTGATCTCGAAGATGCCATCCGCGGCCGTCACACCAGACATGTATATCTCAAGAAGCGGAGGGCTGCTTCCAAGAAAGTTAAACAAGAGCGTGCACCTGCTGCTCAGAAACCAGAGGAGTTGATATCGGAGACTAAGCAAGGTGAATCCGAAGACGAGGCCCCAACTGAGGAGGCCGTTGAGCGCGCTCAGGACGCAGAGGAGACTCCTGAACCATTAGACGAGAAGACGCGATGATGTGTCTTCCGTGTGTATAGTGATTGTGTTTGTTATTTTAGCCTCTGTACATCATGTCTATATAGATCCCAATGTATTATATCTTCATTTTCCTGACTGAATCTTGAAAGACCTTTCACCCAGTTAACGAAGTATAGACAGTCATCACAAGTTCTAGATAACCAGGTACGGACAGAATATGTCTGCCTGAGGCCTCATTCCAATTATTTGCTGGTATTATATAAGCAAACGCGTGTCGCGTCAGGGGACGCGTTCCAATTTTGCCCGATCGGGCGACCGCGCACATCCCAACTTTCAAGCTTGTCTCCTCCTCCTCGACTCGCCATCCCCCACCGACCACATTGACCACCGCAACCATGGACGGAATTCAATTGCGAGATGAGGCCGCGCAAGATCGCGTGCGCGCTGCTATCGAATTCCTTGACCCTAGTAAGTTTGTCTCAAATGATGCTCTCACTGCAATTGATCTAACATGGTGGCTTTTTTTCTGCAATAGGTGATGAACGGGCTCGCAGGTTTGTTGACCCGAAATTGAACGAATTTTCCATCGCGAAGCCTAACTGAATGAAATAGTTATCGAGTCGATATTGTGGTGATGCTGAATCGGGGACTGCGACGTCTGACGGTGCGTGTGTTTTTTTCTCTCTCCCTTGAAATGGCGGAAGAAGACTGATGGTTGAATAGGTTAGCCTCGACGAAATCCGAGCACACAACCGCGAGCTTTCCGACGGGTAGGTTTGACATCTTTTGATATTGCAAAGATCAAGTTACTGATTTTCTTGTTTGATTAGGCTTTGCATGTCCCCATTCGATTACTCTCAAGCCTTTGACCACGCCCTGAAGGAGGTCGTAAAGCGGTTGCCCAACCGCCCCGAGAAGGAGAAGTTGGATGAAGTGGTATGCTTTTCTGGAATACCTCGAAGCATTTGGAATGAGACAGGGCTAATTGTATGCCTCTACAGAACTATTATTGCGCTTATATCGGAGCCTTTGGAGATTTTTCTTGCAACCCCCGCACTCTCGGTTCTTCGCACCTGAACCGCATGGTTTCCCTTGAGGGTATCGTGACAAAATGCTCCCTCGTCCGGCCAAAGGTGATTCAGAGTGTTCATTACAGCGAGAAGAAGGATCGTTTCTTGTCAAGGAAGTACCGCGACCAGACTATGACAGCGAGCGGTGCTACAAGTTTGAATGTTTACCCCCAGGAAGATGAAGATAAGAACCCCGTGAGTACATTTCCATGCGCCCAGCAGCGATAAGAACAAGCATCTCATTTATTTAGCTTATTACCGAGTACGGTTACTCCACCTATATGGACCACCAGTCGATTTCGATCCAAGAAATGCCCGAGCGAGCCCCGGCCGGTCAGCTACCTCGCAGTGTTGACGTTATTCTCGATGATGATCTTGTCGATAAGGCCAAGCCAGGAGACAGAATTCAGCTCGTCGGTATCTATCGCACACTCGGAAACCGAAACGCAAGCTCCGGATCCTCCACCTTCCGCACCATTGTCATGGCCAACAACATCATTCAACTTTCCTCCAAGGGCGGTTCTGGCATTGCGCAGGCCACCATCACGGATACTGATATTCGAAACATTAACAAGATTGCCAAGAAGAAGAATGTCTTCGAGTTGCTGTCTCAGTCGCTCGCTCCTAGTATTCACGGCCACGACTACATCAAGAAGGCCATTCTGCTGATGCTGCTCAGTGGTATGGAAAAGAACTTGGATAACGGTACTCATCTTCGTGGTGATATCAACATCCTCATGGTCGGCGATCCTTCCACGGCCAAGTCTCAACTGCTTCGATTCGTGTTGAACACTGCCCCTCTGGCTATCGCCACCACTGGTCGTGGTTCTTCTGGTGTCGGTTTGACCGCTGCCGTTACTTCCGATAAGGAGACTGGCGAGCGTCGCTTGGAGGCCGGTGCCATGGTCCTCGGTGACCGTGGTGTGGTCTGCATCGATGAGTTTGACAAGATGAGTGATATTGATCGTGTTGCCATTCACGAAGTCATGGAACAGCAGACCGTCACCATTGCCAAGGCTGGTATTCACACTAGTTTGAACGCCCGCTGCAGTGTGTTGGCTGCTGCCAATCCCATTTACGGCCAATACGACCCACACAAGGACCCTCACAAGAACATCGCTCTTCCCGATTCCCTTCTGTCCCGTTTCGATTTGCTCTTCGTTGTTACCGACGATATTGAGGATGCCAAGGACCGAACTGTTTCCGAGCATGTTCTCCGCATGCATCGTTACCGCCAGCCCGGCACTGAGGAGGGTGCTCCGGTTCGTGAACAGCTCAACCAAACCTTGGGCGTTGGTATTGAAGACCGTGTAGATGCCAACCAGCCTACGGAGGTGTTTGAGAAGTTCAACGTTATGCTCCACGGCGGTATGGTCCGCAACCGTGGAAAGAACGTGGAGATTATCAGCATCCCCTTCATCAAGAAGTACATTCAGTACGCCAAGTCCCGTGTCAAGCCTGTTTTGACTAAGGGCGCGGCCGACCACATTATTGCGGCATACTCTGCGCTGCGTAACGACGACCTTGCCAGCACTCAGCGTCGTACCTCTCCCATCACACCTCGTACCCTAGAGACTCTGATTCGTCTTTCTACCGCACACGCCAAGGCCCGTCTGTCCAGTCGTGTTGACGAGAAGGATGCCAAGCATGCAGAGGCCATTCTGCGCTTTGCTATGTTCAAGGAAATCCAGGAGGATGTGCGCCGCAAGCGCCGCAAGGTCACTTCCTTCGAGGAGTCGGATGACGAGAGCGAGCCAGAGCTTGATGACGATGACGATGACGACACTCCCTTCCGCGGCACATCAGCCGCTACCTCTGGACATGGCACTACAGCGAGAACTCGTGCCGCCGCCAGCAGCACTGCAGCTCCCGACGATGATCCCGATAGCCTCTACACGTCTAGCCCGCGCGCCTCGCGTCTACGGTCCAGTCAGACCAACCGTACTCAGACTCATACCGAGTCACAGATGTCGGTTGCTTCGTCGCACCCTGCATCACAGCTGGTGCAGTCTCAGACAGACGACTCGCAGTCGACTTCTGCCTCGGCGCAACCGCTTACTCCTGCCCGCATGGCTGTCTTCCGTCAGATCCTGGGTCCTCTCATGGGCAACAAGGTATTCAAGGACGGTGACATGTGTCATGTGGATGCGCTGATCGAAGCCGTCAACACTGCCGTGCGCGAGTCACCGAAACACGGTGCTGCGCACGTCTTCTCACGGCCCGAGGCCATCCAGGCTCTCAGCAAGATGAACGAGGAGAACCTGCTGATGTGAGTATACCCCTTCCCCTTGATAAATTTCACTGCGATCAGTTTACTAATACTGTATAGGTTCCTCGAGGACGATGAGAACGTCTACCGTATCTAATTTATGGTGCTATCTTTACCACGTGGTTTTCTACTGCGTAGTAACAGGTGGAACTCCGGGCCACCTTTGGCCCTACTCACGAGCATGTTTTCTGGTTGCTGCATTGGGATGATATCATCATGTTTGTCTTTATTTGGAGTACGGAGTTGATGCATGTGGAATTTGAGATAGGATTACTTTAGCAAGAACATGGGGAAGTTGAATGTGAACATATTGAACTAAGCAGCTATACCTGTCTACTAGTAGTCTTTCCATGAGATACTTCGCGCCATGGTGGGCCTTGCCCTTCGATTATTGTCAAACTAAAGTTTTTTCCCCTTCAATTGGAAGCAAATCAATCACGCCTTTGATTGTACGAGGAACAGTTGGATATCAAGGTGGTATACTGAAGAGGAAGCAACTCTCTATTGTTCATATCATTTATATACAAGTGTTTTTGGTCATTTGAAACAGCATTATCTCATCTCAACAACTCACCCGTCGTCAGACAAGAAGCTTAAAGCCGGGAGTGGTGAGCGAGCTTCATGTGGCGATTGACATCCTTATAGAGCAAGTAACGGAACTTGCCGGGGCCACCAGCGTAGCAGGCCTGCGGGCAGAAAGCGCGCAGCCACATGAAATCACCCGCCTCGACCTCGACCCAGTCCTGGTTCAGACGGTACACAGCCTTACCCTCCAGCACATAAAGTCCGTGCTCCATGACATGGGTCTCGGCGAAGGGGATAACACCGCCAGGCTCGAAAGTAACAATAGTGCAGTGCATATCGTGACGCAGATCAGAGGGGTCGACAAAACGGGTGGTTGCCCACGCACCGTTAGTGCCAGGCATCTCGGTGGGCTTGATATCCTTCTCGTTCAAGAAAAGCGGGTTAGGCGCATCGAGGCCCTCGACATATTCATACGCCTTGCGAACCCAGTGGAAACGGGCAGTCGCCGCACCAGCATTGCGCAGAGTCCAGCCGCTCTTGGGTGGGAGATAAGCGTATCCGCCTTCGGTGAGGGTGTGCGATTCACCAGCCAGCGTGATGGTCACTTCACCCTCGACCACGAAGATAACACCCTCGGCACCGTCGTCGAGTTCGGCACGGTCACTGCCACCGCCTGGTTGGACTTCCATAATGTATTGCGAGAAGGTCTCGGCGAAGCCGAGAGAGGACGGGCGATCACCCATAGTCGTGTCTGGTCCCAGAAGGGGAGGAAGCTCGTGACAATGTCGCTGAATGTGCCCTTGGGAATGACCGCGTAGGCCTCGGTGAACATGGCGCGGTCGGTGAGAAGCTGTGTTTGGGGTGGCAGGCCACCGGTGGGCGCATAGTAGGCGCCGATCTTCTTGTCGTTGCCCATGATGAGGGTTTGGTTGGGAGTGGAAATGTGTCGCGTGCGGGTATCTGGATGAGTTCCCTCTGTGTTCGATGGGATGGTGCTGGGTCAATTGAGTGTGTTTGACAGAGTTTGAACAGAGGGGAGACTGCGCGGGGTATTAAAAATTGAATTTGGCTGATAAGTTTGTCGCCGGTTTATCGGCGCCGCGGGGAATTTCCGGCGATGACCGAGTCATTTCGGGCCATCCCGATGGGCCTGCGGAGAGTCCGGGGTATCCCGAGAGGCACGTGAGCATTATGAAGAGATAAGGTAATATCAATTGAGCTATACAACTAATAATGGATCAATATATCATACTAACGACTTCCCCTTGACATTCACCAGATGAATATTCTTCGCAACTCCCTTGGCCTGCACCGTGTCAACCACACCGTTATCATCCCAAGAAAAGTCCACACTTCCACCCCCTCGTAGACGAAGGCCTCGAACACTACCACCAGCCCAACTCTTAGGAATAGCTGGACCGAGAACCACAGTGCGCCAAGTAGAATCGGAACTCGAGCTATCCAGAGGCAAATCCACAACAAGCATGCTGAGCACAGCACCAACATATCCGAAATTGGCATCGATCTGGAAAGGCCCTTTAGGTGTATCTCCACCGCTATACAACGACAGACCACTTTGACCAATATTCTGATCGATAGTCAAACGAAGCTCATAGTATGCTTGATCTGTGTTGTTGAGAAGGGCCCAACACGCAGATCGCCAGACCTTTTCCCATCCAGCATTGGAGTCTGAAATTCCAGGTCCGCGACTGGTGAGAGATGTATTGACAGCGTCCTGGATTGTAGCATTGGCATAGCCATGCTGATATGATGAAATGGTCCATCCTGGATACCAGCCAACCAAATGGGAGAGGTGGCGATGCTCGTCACCTTCCTTGTCGTACCCGTAGCTATCAGGTAACTTCCATTCCTTGATCTCTCCCCAAGAGCCAATGTGAAGGCCCTTATCGAGCTTCGATAGCTTGCTTTTCACCTCAGTGAAGAACTTTTGTTCGCTATCATGCGCTAACTGTCCAGCTTGGAGACTGGTTTCAAATACCTGGTAGATCAGCTGCTGCCAGTGGGTGCAACCAAAAGTGACGGGGCCATGCTCTGGTGATGTGCAGGGATTGACAACAAGAGAGCTGTCATTAGTGAATTGATCTGACTGGAGCTGGGATAGCCAGAACTTGGCAACACCTTTCAGCATTGGCCAGCCTTGTTTGCGGAGCCACTTGCTGTCACGGGTGTAGTCATAATGATCCCAAACATGCTGCATCATCCATGCCGGTGCTGCAGGATAGTCTGCTGAAGTTTGCCAAGTTTTCATTCTGGAAAATAATTTAGTAATTAGATCAACTGAGAACAGTCAGTGGCGCAGTATACATACCCTGTATGACCAAAGATATTCATCTCATTGTGCGTTACCCACCCATCCCCTCCATAAAGCAGCTGGGCGGTTTCTGCACCTCGAGGCATCCACGTTTGCTCCATGTAATTGAAAACAGATACCGTCAGATCTCCTAATCCGGTAGCCTCTGCACCCCACATGTTCATTTGCAGGTTGATGTTGGCATGATAGTCTGCACCCCACGCTGCACTCTGCGTCGAGCTCCAGATTCCTTGCAGATTCGGAGGCAGACTATTCTGTCGTGAGGATGAGATGAACAGATGCCTCCCATAATCGAACATCAGTTTCTCCAAGAAGGGATCACCCGCGATAGATTTGGCGCTATATCTTGTGATAAGCTCTGAGAATTCCACTTTAGATGAGCCTCGAGTGTCTGGCAAGTCCAAGATGAACGCATTTGCCAACGAACTGTAGTCGGCCACATGTTCAGCTCGCAGCTTCGACTCTGGGATTTTCTGAGCGGTATTGGTGAGCTGTTGAACTTTTTCTGCTGGATCGTCGCCTCGGAAAGTGAAGCCATTGGCTGCATTGCCTTTGGTAGCGTCGAAGTCTGTTCCGGCCGCTATAACCAGTGACAATGCTTTGCTGGAAGAGTTGATTCGTAGACGACCTGTCGACTTTTCACAGACACCCAGCAAGGAACTTTGTGCAATGGTGTCATATACCATCCCAAGTGGAGGTCCTTCTTGTGTGATTCCACGCAAGCGGGCGAACGAGGACCCGCAAGTTGTATTGTATAGGGATGCTGATTCCACAAGCTCATCAAACCAAACTGAGACATTTGACAGCGCGACGGGAGATATCAAGTGATAGACACAGACCTGATGGGGATAGCTGCAATAAATGGAAGTGGTGTAGATGCCATCTGCTGTTGAGTAACTGGTTGTGTGTATCCCACTGCGCAGATCTAAAGATCGATTGTATCCGGTCACAGCAGATACACCCTCGATATGAACAGTAAGATTGGCTAATGAGTGGTAGGAGCCATAACCACTTTCATCTCCATGTAGTCGGGTGTCATCTACAATAAATCAGCGATTATGCATATCTCATCGATGGAGGATTCTTACTTCCTGTTCCCTTTTTCCAGATCTCAGAGCGGATATCGTTCAAGATGTCAACCATGCTTGAATTTGGGTTTCCTCCACGGTATTCCTAGACATTGGAAATCAGTGTCTTAGCCAGGTAAACAAAGAGTGTCTTGAGACTAACATCAACTTGAAATGGTCCTCCACTCCAAAGATCATCGTAATTGAGGTTGAGTTTCTCAGTTCCCGCTTCCCCAAATGGCATCACTAAAGTAGATGAACGATGAGCATTTCACCATAACCCATGCCGGCTAATACGTCAGTCAATTTACCTCCAAGTTTTCCATTCCCAATAAGAAAAGCTTCATTGGTAGTATCCCAAGATGCTGGCTTTGACGACCACAGCGAAGCAGCCACAGCAAAGGTACTGCAACTCAATAAAAGGCTAACAAGCATGGTGACGAACTGTTCTCTAGAACACTTATTCATAAATTCCAGAAAGTCCATCCTCGCAGCATTTATAAACACTCATCTACTCGAATCCCCTCTCGGGTCAATTCACGAATTCGAACAAGATCGGCATTGTTTTCAGGTACCCTGGCAAGGTAAGGATCCCAGATCCCCGCACTGCAACCTTGTATGGCGGAAAATTAACCTTAGCAATCGGGTATTTCAGTACGTTGCATTGAGAAGGCTGGAGCTAAATCGAATGTCCATTATTGCCGACTATCGAAGTGGTATTTTCCCGGTGGCTAAATTATATTCTGAATGTATGCGGGGTATGAAGTGGAGTTGATGTGCCTAAGTTTCATCCCCTTTCATCGCAGTGAAAGGGTTCTTCAGTATGCCTCGTGAGACGAAGTAAAACAACATCCTTGGCTTAGGCAATGATCAACGTTTAATGGAGGTGGAGGTGTTAAAAGAGCTGAAGCTGAGCCATTCAAGAATCATGATTCTAGCTGCTGGATGTCAATTACATGCATGTATTCGAGTACTTTTACCCTTGGATCTCCTGTCTTATCCGCATACCGTTCATTCTGTTAGCGTCAATGGATGAGATTGTACAAGTTAGACGATCAAGGGAAACGGGTAAATCCAGGTTGTCTTAATTGGATTACCCTGAGAGAGGTGGTTGAAATGGCTAGAGAATCATCAAGTGTCTTCCAAATTGAAGAGACTGTTGACTACAGCTCGGCTGTCTAGTTTCAGTTGTCATGGGAGAGGATGAATAAACCATACGCTCAACAGCCTTAAAGCATATCTATGATGAAACATGGTATACCAGAGACGCTGAGAATATCACAGGTTGGAGAATCTCGAACCGACACCATAGACGATGGAGCAAAGGAAGAAATGGGGAAATAGTAGGAGAATGGCTAAAAAATATCATGATCTAAACTGCGGGAGTCGGGTCAGGTACAGAAGTAGGAATAGGCTCTTTATCCTTCTCCCCCATTGGCAATATACCAGAATCGTCCGACGAGAAAGATGGCGTGCGAACACCTTCCCTAATTTGAGCTTGCGTGAGAGGCGATAGCCCACGACGTAGTGATTTGGAACCTTTGCGCTTCCGTTGTTGAGGACTCGTTTCTGGGCCTGAGATCGACGGAGTGGTACTTCCGCGACGCGGACGGCCAGTTCCAGACGAGCGAGAGGGAGCTCGGTCCTCAACATCGATTGGGGTAGAGCTGCGCGAGGAGGTCCGAGAGTGAGATGATTCGGATCGGGTGTTGCGGCGACCAGAAGGTGCACGGTGTTCCTGATTGAGCTTTGATGAAACTGAAGGGGCATGCTGATGATGGTGGGCGCCAAACCGGAATCTGGGCTCCGACTCGAGAGGCTTGTGGAGGGTAGCTGACACCAGGCGGCGGCGCTGCGAGGCGCGCCAGCCGAATCCAAGTCGCCAAAACCAGCCGCCTTCAGCCTGAGCAAGCTGGCGCTCGCGCTCGCGCAGTTTGTGACGCAGCTGAGTTCGGCGCTCGTTCTCTTTCTCCCAGAAGTCGGTGCGATAGTCGTCCCAGTTCTCACGGAACTCGGGTGAGAACGATTTGGGTAGCAAAAGTAGGCGGATGTAGTCACCACCGGCACTGAGGTCTTCCTCTATTAGGCCAGACTCGCTATCACCGCCGTTATAGTATTGCTGGTAGTGCTGCCGACTACGCTGCTTATCGGAAAGGTGACGCTCGACGAGGTGGAAATTGCCTGATGGAGAAGGGAAGAATGGCGTGGAGAACGGGAACAGGAAGGAGACATAGGATAGCATCTCTTGCCACCATGGTCCGCGGATCACGATGATCTTGGTGTTCATAACGCGCAGGCCGCGGTTAGCGACTGCGAGCCATCGACGGGGCCAGCGAATTCCGCGCTCCCATTGACCTGTTCCCCAAACTAGCAGGGCCGTCACTACCCCACCGAGAAGAGCGACTTTCTCTCCCATTTCAACCACCCAATATACCGAGCCACCGACACCGCGTCCATCCTCGCGGGGACGCAGGAACAATGCATATGCGAAGTAGGCGATCCAAGCTGCAAGGAGCAGCAGGAAGAAGGTGTTTTGGCGGCGACGCTCGCGCAGGGCGAGGTATTGCGCACGAAGTGAAGCTTCAAGAATCAATAGATTCAGATAGATCTGAGGTGGAGAGGAAGGTAGAGTGGCTAGAGGATCTGGTGTTGAGGGTCTTTGCGGAGACGAGGAACCTGAAGTTGTTGTTGGTGGTCGGGTGGGATTCAACGGCTCTGGCGTGGGCGCGCGGGCTGCGGACACCGGAGCGCCCTTGACGAGCTGGTCCAAGGATGAAGTCATGGTAATTTTCGCAATTTATAGGAACATATGCGACCACCCAAATCAACGGCCGTGGAGGCCCAGTACGGTGGTCATCGCGGGTTGAGAAGTAGAAGGAGGAGGACGAGGAGCAAGAAGGAGAAGATCGGAAGGGGAGAAGAGATGCAGATCGCGGCGACATCATCGCCCTTCCGCCTTTCCCACTTTTCTAGTTCGTATACTCTTTTCTTGCTTTTCTTCGACTTCATCGACTTGGTTCGCTTTGGATATACTTTTGATTGAAACACGATCTACTGAAGGGGGCCTAATATTTAGTCTTTCCCCTTCGGTCTCCTTCCGTCGGCTCTTTATTCTCCCCGACTCCTGCGGTCTCAACGTGTATGCGCCTCGTTGCCTGTCGGGGTTAAGCGGCGTGGCCGATTTGTCTCCGGCTCGACTTCTCCAGCCCTCAAAACAGCCCATGACCCTCGCATCTCAACTTCTTCCAGCGACAGAAACCGTCTGTCAGTTTGGCTTACGCCCAGCCAATTCTTTGCCCTCTATACTTCTTCCAGTCTCGCGGGTTTGGGCAAATCCTGCGCACCCGGTTGCATTTGCCACCTACTCTCTCCGACACCGCCAGTACTCCTCCATGGCCTCGGAGTCTTTGAATCCATCTCAAGAGGAATCGCGTGAACATAGAAGGCGCTCATCGCCAATGCAAGGTCAAGAGGGAACTCCGTACGCTGCTCGCGCAGCTGCTGGCGCGGCGGCGGCCAGCAACTCGTTCTTTCCGTTGGGGTATCGCGAAGGTTTCAGTCAATGGGTAGGCTACCAGGGTCGCAGTAACGCGCAACACCATTGAACGAACTGCTAATATCTTCATTTTCCACCAGTGGGCTCGCTTACCTGCTGCTGCGGCTGAGCACAAGGTCCTATCCTACCTGCCCTATCTTCATCACGAGCCCCCAACCCACCTTCAGACCGGTAGTACGGCGAGTTTCCCCAACGGTTCCACGCCAGATAGTCTGCAGTCCGCAGACCACAAGCAGCAAGGACAGATCTCCACCAACTCCCTGAACGACCCTTATGGTCCCCGCCGATGGAGCTCAAGCATGGTGGAGCTGTCCGGAAAGGACCGGGCGCTCAACGAATTCTCGGTAGAGCGAGTAGGCGAGGAAGCCGACCAACATTTGGTGATGCTTCATGGCTACGGCGCCGGTCTAGGCTTCTTTTACAAGAACTTCGAGCCACTGAGTCGGCTGAGAGGATGGCAGCTCCATGCCTTGGATATGCTGGGCATGGGCCGTAGTACACGGCCGCCATTTAAGATCAAAGCCAAAGAAAGAGAAGAGGCGATCCGTGAAGCGGAGGCATGGTTCGTTGATGCGCTGGAGGAATGGCGCATCAAGCGCAAAATTGATCGGTTTACCTTGCTCGGTCACAGTCTCGGCGGCTACATGGCAGTCGCTTACGCTCTGAAGTATCCTGGCCACTTGAATAAGCTCATCCTAGCATCCCCTGTGGGTATCCCCGAGGACCCATATGCGATGACGGCGGATGTACCCGAGCCATCGGAATCCACACTTGCCAACGAGCTCACCCAGGACGAGCAGGATATCACCTCATCCGCTGCAGTTCCAGGATCTGCTTCAAAGACCGTTGACGGTAGCTTCATCACCGGCCGCAACCCTGAGCCGGGTGATGAACCTAACCGCCCACCACGCCGAAACATGCCCAAGTGGTTCACTTACCTGTGGGACGCAAATATCTCTCCCTTCAGTTTGGTCCGATGGACCGGTCCTCTTGGCCCGCGGATCGTGTCTGGCTGGACCTCGCGCCGATTTTCCCATCTCCCAGCTGACGAAGCCAAGGCGCTTCACGACTACTCATACTCGATCTTCAGCCAACGCGGTAGTGGCGAGTATGCCCTTGCATACATTCTTGCCCCAGGCGCCTTTGCCCGCAGCCCTCTCATCCGCCGCATCCACGGTGTTGGACGCCAGATGATTAGCGCTGAGAACAGCCCACTGCCCAACCCTACCGCGGCAGCTTCTTCTTGCTCTATTTTCTCCAAGTCGTCAGCCAACTCTGCAGTTCCTGAAACTTCCCCAGCGGAAGACTCCACTTCAACTCCATCTGAAGCACCAGCTCCCAGTCGTGAGAATGGTCTTCCGGTCGTCTTCATGTATGGTGACCATGATTGGATGGATGTCACTGGTGGCCACGCTGCCGCTGTCCGCCTTGAAGAAGAGAAGCAGCGAGTCCTGGCAAGTGCCACACCAGAAGAACGACAGAAAGACCAGGGCTCGTCCAAGGTTGTCGTCATCAGTCGAGCTGGACACCACCTCTACCTTGACGGATGGAAAGAGTTTAACAAGGTCGTCCTGGCCGAGATGGAAGAGGTTAGTCAACGGGAAAGAGCGGCGTGAGCATATCGTTTTCAAAAGAGTGCGTCGTCCACGAGTAACGGACCATGAATATCTGTTGGAGCTTGATAGCGTGATTTGCAAGCTGGCGTGGGTACTCTGTTTTTTCCTTCCTCTTGTTGGAGTTTTGTGGATTTGTCCTTTCGGGATGGGTTTCTGTTTCTGTTTTTCTGCTACAGAACCACTCATTCCCCGTAATATATTCTATTAGACATAGATTTGTGAACACAGATCCCACACTGTCTTTGTACTTATGTTCAATTTCAATTGATGCCAGTATATACAATGCTATGCAATTGGAAATTTCATCGAATGGTGCTTCTGACCTTGTCAAGCATCACCAGTATGTTCACCAATAGTGCTCACCCTCGAATGAGGACCGGCAATACTCCGTCTCCGATGTCTCACACTAGTAGGATAATGAGCCATCAGCCGCGTGAACCCCAGAGACGAAGCATCCCGATCCTCATTCGACACACCCGTCCCCGGAGTCGTAGACCCACTCCGGCTAGGCGTGTCTATCGCCGAAAGTGGAGGCATATAATGACTCCCATTGCCCGGCCGCTGCAGAGCAAAGTACCCACCACTTCCTGATCCGAAACTTCCACCACTGCCCCCGAGGAAGCCAGAGCTTGCGGCGTCTGCGGAGCTGGAGAGATAGGCATTTGAGTGATTTGTACCACTGGGCAGCATGCGTGTGGATTGGCGTGTTTGTGTGGGTGAGTAGGGTTGTGGAGTCATGAATGGTGCGACTCGAGAGGCGGAGGGTGATAGTGCACGATTCGTGTGATCTGGCCGAGTTGAGAGTGCAATGGAGAGACCACCGCCTGTGCGGCGTTCGAAGGTTGTAAGTGCTGAGGTTGTGTGAGAGCGGTGGTGATGTCGCGGGCCAGGGCGATGTTGGGAATTTGTGTTTTGGAATCGGGAAGTTGAAGAAGCTAATGCTTGGAAGGAGCCTCCATTGCGAGGATCGATGAAATCCCCGTTAGTCGGACTATGCCCATTAGAAGGTGCATTAGACCCAGCCCCTAGTGTTACAACTTGTGATGGTAGTTCCAGGCGATAGTTCAATGATAGCCATGCAAGTTCATCAGCGTCGACATCACGCTCTAGTTCGACCTCGCCGTTGACACTATGTGCAGATGAAGATGATGGGGAGCTGAATGGCTTTTCTTGTGCTGAATGAGAGGTTCGAGGTCTTGAAACTTGTGATGGATTCCGATATGAGCGCCAACCTCCCACGCCTTCAAAGTCTCGTCGCTCATCGCCGCTGACTGGTAGACCCAGGAACGGCATGGTTGGCAAGTGATGCGCCTCGATCATACTCCGAGCATAATTTTTCTTCCCATGCCTCGTGGGTTCATCATAGATCCCGGTGAACGACCCGGACAAGAGGGAGTCATCATTGTTCTTTCGAGATTGAATCAGGCCATGCGCCGAATTACGCCTCGAATTCCCAGCAGCAGGCGTCACGGGCTCAGAGGCCGCAAATGGCAAAAATGACAAACTCGAAGTTGGAAGCGTAAAGAAACTGACGACAAGACCATATCCCACTTCCAAGTAGACCACGGAAAATTGCACAAGCAAAGTGATCAACGCTAGAGTGATGGTAATCCAGGCTGATATAACCAGTGGAATGGAGACCAGCCCCAGTATCGGCAGCGACACCAGCAGGTTGAAAACGGCGCCCATAAAGGTCATTGAGCGCCTCAGAGAGGTTAATATTCCCTCAAAGGAGGAGGAAGAGAAACTCGGTCCCCCGAGGTATTGGAGGACCTTGTTTTTGTTTTAATTGTTTCTTTCTCTGAGACGAGAGACATTGCGGAGAAAATGCATGTGACAGCCCACTTACATCATCCAGGTTCGGCCGGGCTAATGACTTAGGTACTCATAAGAAGCTCCCCACTTGTGCCTTCTCTTCTCTCAGCTCACCATGTCCATAGCCCAGGACCTCTCTCAAAATGTCGATGCATTCCCCTGGGATCTGGGCGTCTACGATGCGCACTGTCATCCGACCGATACGATGGCCTCGATCGCCAATATCCCCGCCATGAAGGCCACGGCCCTGACTATTATGGCAACGCGGGGCGAAGACCAAGAGCTGGTTCAACAAACGACGGAGTCTCTCAATGGCGATAAAGAAGTCATCAGGGAAGATAGAATAGTTCCAGCTTTTGGCTGGCACCCATGGTTTTCACACCAGATCCTGGATGACACACAATCAGACACCCCGCAACAGAGAGATGCGCATTACACAGCCGTCCTAACACCGTCTCCATCCGAAGATTCTGAATTTATAAAGCGCCTCCCACAACCGAAATTGCTTTCCACGCTGATAGCCGAGACCCGAGACCGATTGCAGCAGTTTCCAAACGCTCTCGTCGGCGAGGTGGGGTTGGACAAATCATTCCGATTGCCTGGGGCCTGGACACAAGCAGATCTTGATAATCGCGACGAAGAAATTACCCCAGGATCGCGGGAAGGCCGTCGTCTGTCCCCATACAAAGTCAAAATAGATCACCAGCGATTAGTATTGAAAGCTCAACTGCAGCTCGCAGGTGAAATGCAGCGTGCCGTCTCAGTGCATAGCGTACAATCGCATGGAGCAGTCTTCGAAGTGCTCAAGGAATTATGGAAAGGACATGAACGGGTAGTATTGTCTCGACGGGAAAGGGAAAAGCTACAAGACGCTGAAGGCGCACTGTCCGACGATGAAGATGAAGACGAAGATGCACAAGAGAACCATCAGACCACGAACAATAAGAGTAAGCTGCTAAATACCCAGCCGCCACTCCCATTCCCTCCACGAATCTGTATGCACTCCTACTCTGGACCTATCGAACCAATTCGGCAGTTTCTGCACAAGTCCAACCCGTCGGACGTCTACTTCTCCTTTTCGGCGATCATCAACTTCAGCGGGCTATCGGCGCGGAAAGTCTCTGATGTGATCAAGGCGTTGCCCGCAGAGCGCATCTTGATCGAAAGTGATCTTCATACCGCTGGGCCGCAGATGGATCAGCTACTCGAAGATGCGGCGCGGCAGATCTCCGAAGTGCGCGGATGGGCACTGCGAGAAGGTGTGCAGCAGCTCGCGGAGAATTGGAGGCGGTTCGTCTTTGGATGAGATAACGACTATCACGCCTGGTCTTGTGCACCCGTACTCATGCACCTCCGATGTTGCGCATGTTTGGAGCGCTTCCTATAGCAGTATACAGTGTAATGTAAATGCGCGACATACTCGCTTTGGCAGAATAAATAGATAGCTCAAGTTGAACAAATGTGAATAAAAGTCTATATCCGATATCAGACTTGTAAAGATCCGTGCAATTATATAACATGGTGTGTCTCTATCGGAACGTATATGAGGGTGAAGGGTGGTATGTGATCGTTTTCGACATGGTATCGTGGGAAGCTTTTTAGAAACATCTCGTAGAAAGTGCCCTGCATATCTCGTCTCGTCGTAAGGCCACAGAGTTGTAGTGGAAAGGAAAATGGTCGAAAATAAAGGTTCGAGCTGACCCCGAAGCTCGAGGAGGATTGAGGGTTGCGAGGAATGGAGGGAAGGAGAAAGGTTGTGTATGTACAGCAATGGAATGGCACTAGCCACCGGGGATCCAGCCGCCATCTTGCATGAGATCTGTCATGGGTGTATCTTGCCAATAGATCTGGCGCCATTCGTCCTCTAGTTCCATGAGACCTTCCATCGCCATGGGGACGGGTAGATCGGAGTCCGTGAAGGAGAAGAGCTGGCGCCAGTCTGGGTAGTCCCGAGATTGATCTATCTGGTCGACCTGCATGGCGGTCGAATAGGGGTCGTTGCGTTCCAAGGGGCCCACGTTGAGTCTGAGCGGTGCTGTGATCCAGTTCTCGAAGCCTGGGTTTGCCTGCGGCGACATGGTAGTCTGGTGCGAAAGCGTGGAGTCGGGGGTAGGGACGCCATAGGACATTGGCCGTGGGGTGTGCATCGTTGTTGGAGGGGCGGGAGACGTGACTTGCAAAGCCTTGATGGGAGGTGGAGGCGGGGGTTGGGGCTGCGGGGCAGCGTATGGCTTGTGTCCGCCAGTGGTTGCCAAACGGAGGTCCTCTTGGAGACGCTTGGAGTCCTCGAAGAGACGTAGGATTGTGCCTGCGTGGACCCAATATGCGGCCAGCTCGCGCAGAGAATAGGACGCCGAATCGAAGCGCCGTAGAGCGTTGATCGCAAGGACTGGATTGGAAAATCGGAGCTCCACCCGGACTTGAATCATGGCCGTGAACAGAGTGTGAACGCCGGTGTACCAGAGGAACTTCAGGCGATCATTAAGCCTCAGCTCTTCAAAGATAGATGCAATGACTCCAGCAGCAGCACTGCAAATCTCCGCATCGTGTGGACCGTAATCATCCGAATATGCTGATGCTCTTGGATGCGGACGATGCAACAGGATAAGGAAATTGTTATAAGTCAAGTGAAGCATAGTTGACCACGGGTCCATGTCGGATGCTCGAAGGCGCAGATTATCGGGAAGCTTGAGAGACCAATTGGCGAGTGACTCATCAGCTTCTTGGAGAACCGCCTTTCGCCTTTCATCTGTGGCACGAAGTCCAAACCGATCTCTGATCAAATATGAGATCATAGTGCAAAGCTCAGTGAAATGAATCACAAAGTCGGATTGCACCCGAGGTCCGCAGTTTTCGAAATCGGCCAGTGTTAATGGCGAGACGTCTGAATCGTCCAGATTTCTAATGTTTCTGTTAGCATCCACAATATTCGACCAAGTCCCAGAATCACATACATGGCTTGAGGGCGACCGTATGACAGAGAGACCATCACGTCAAATTGAACCATGATGAACCAGACTCGTCTCCACATTCGTCGATCGCGGGTAACAAAGCTGCTGGATACTGGATTTCGATGCATTCCAAGCCCGGTGGCAATTCGTGCAGCCACGCCGACCCAGAAGTGAGCATCTGCGGCAACATCATCGTCGGCGCTGTCCGAGTGCCAAGTCAAGAGTAATGCTGCTTGAACGAGGATATCTCGATTCCGCTCGATGCGATTGTCAAAGAGATATTTCGTACGGCGGAAGAAGATCTCTTTCAACGTATCCCGCTCTGCCTTTGGACGAGACACGTGCGTGCCAACTAGGAGAATCGCTTGGAGCAACAAGATTGGCGGAGGGTCTGCAGGGTCCCGATTCCTGTACTGCGTCATAAACAAGTCCTCGTCGACGATTGGGTACCCCGGATTAACGTAGGTGAAGTATGCCTGCACTAGCTCATCCGCTAGCGCGGGCTCGGGTAGTGTAAGCGCATCCATCAGTAACTGGTCATGACCAGTCTTCATTTGTCGCCGTGGGATCTCGTTGCTAGCGAAGTGGTATACATTGTCGTCCCGATCTCGTTGCTGGCGGATCAAGAACGACATATTGGAGTGTTCATGACCAACGTAGAATGCGCGTACACCTCTCTGGATCTCTCGTCGGCCGGATTCTTCCTCATCGATGAGTTTCACGAGGTGCTGCTCCATCTCCGTGTGGGCTTCGTGGGCGTGCGATAAGTCGTGCGGCCCGAATGTGTCGGGCCCGGAATTTGGTTGATGTTCATGTTGTTGATTGCTCGCTATGGATATAGCTCCAGGTCCACTTGGGAAAGCAGTAGGAAAACTAGGCGGCATTGGTGTCCCCGCTGTCGTCGGCGGGTTGGCGACATGTTCTGAAGTCGGCAGAGGCCGAGATCGGATCGGAACGGGATCGAGGATCGACCGCACCGCAAGACGCTTTTTCTTCTCATGAATGCGACAGTCGGCCTTTCCAGAGGTGCGACAGTTTGTACAAGGTAATCCGACGACACGGGCATCACAGCGAACCTTGCGCCGATGACAATGAACGCAAGCAGCCGAGCCTAAAAGATTTCGAGTCGCCTGGTCAGCAAACGTGATCGAGTCTCCGAGGGTTGGATTGGAGATCTGATTCCGACTAATAGTGGAATTTTCCATGACAGTATTGGGATTTTGATAGCAATAGTGTTGACCCGGCAAAAAGACGTTCGTCAAGTGCTTACCCTGTTTGCGCTTGCTCACCCCGTCGCCCGCGAGCGGCGAGGAGGCGTTATCGTTGGCGGTAGACATGGCAGAAGGACCATCGACATCATTCCATGTGCAGATTGGCCACCGCTCTGCATTATTTTGTGAGCAATTTCTCCCCAGCACCTTCAGGGCATCATGAAGAATACAGGCGATTGCCGAGGGTAAAAAGACAATCAATGCGACTGTGAAGCGAAAAAAGTCGGGAAGTTGAGGACTGCGGGATCGGGTCCGGTGGAGTCTCACGTGGTGCGGAGAAGGGCGCCGATTATGTAACTAAAATGGTGGGATACGGTGAAAAAGACTCAACAACACAAGAGATAAGAGTCGGAAAGCATGGGAGATATTCGGGAAAAGCTGGTCAAGTACCGATAAGTCCCCCAAAGCTACAGTCAAAGCGCCCTTGGCACTGGAATGGCCTACAAAACGCAGCCGGTTGTAAGCCGGTCGAGGTGGCGTTGATAGAGCTTATCAGAACGGACGAAGTATTTCTCGCGAGCGGTCGTCTTCTATCGAGATCAATGAAAGGACCCATGATTTGAAGGGCCAACGAGGATAGATACAGAGGGTTTCTTGATTCCTTTATCCACCGAACTACCATAACAACTCCAACAGTAAAAGACGGCGAGTATCCCTAAATGATCAGGTCCAGCTTGCCGCGAAAGCACGAAAAAACAAGATGATTGGAATAGGTCCACTTCTGTCGTGTCGAATGTATCCTTATCACTCCATCAAACCCCCAAGTACACCCAAAGCATTGCCGGCCAGGTGATTGACAAAAGAGAGATCAGTAGAAGTAACCAATAGGACACCAGAGAGAGAAACCCAGGACGCCTACACGCCTCACGCTTCCATCTATCGAATCCAAACCGACGATGGACTTGGTGGAAAACTTCTGCCAAAGGCTTGAAAATCACCAGTGGCATATAGTGGCCAATGCCTTTAATAATACCAACTCTCCCAGGGAAGGGGAAGGCGAAGGGTATGCCACTAGTAAGACTCTCCGCCAGCACCGTTGTGCGGTTGACCAACCATAGCCGGATATCCGTATGCGGCTGCATCTTGATCCGCTGGATCCAAATTGGGGTTCAAAATACTGTTTGCGCCCTCGGCACCCTCTGGGAATCCAGCAGGACGAGCTTGACCAGCTCCGCCAACGGGGCCACCAGCACCATATCCACTGCTGCTGGGGCGGCCCTGGTTTTCGCCTCGGGCAGATTGAGTCTTTCAGACGATTAGCATAACATAACTGACTGACGTATCAGATTGAACTCACCTCGCGGTACTTGGAGAGGTAGATCTTCAGGGCTTCGGCATAGTTCTCAAATCCAAGAGAAGTCATGGCGAACAGGATATCCTCGCCGTTGACGGTCTTGCGCTTCTCCTGCTGGCACTTTTCGGATGCTAATGCGGCGTGTTAGTCATATGTTGCACCCCAGAAGTAAAAAGAAAGGCGCCTGGTCTCACCCTCACTAGTGATAAACGAGATGAACTCGCTCACACACTCTTGCATGCATTCTTTGGCTTCTTTGGCGATCTTAGCATTTTCAGGGAGAGCGAGCTTCATGATTCGGGCAACTTTGAGACTCGAAAATTAGCACATGCATGATCTCCAAGGATGTTTTGTCATTTAGTCATTCGTGGGTGATAAAAGAAAGGATGAGATTGCAGGAACAGAAGTGGACAAGATCGATGTTTCTGGGAGGTCTGCAATCGAGTCATGTTGATTCAAAACCACAGAGAACCAGTCGAAAGGGGACATTGTAATAGCGCTTTCCAACATGTATGGTAGATCAAGGCGGGGAAAGGAAAGAGTGAATGGCAATGGTCCGCCATCAGCAGTCAGGTACGCGCAAATCAAAACGAACGACAACCTGCAAGGAGACGCAACTAACCATTTGCAATCGGAAGCCACCGATCTTGTTCCTTCACCTCAAACTCGCCCTGACCCTGTGCCTGAGCATCTTGCTGGTCTTTGTCCATTTGCTCTTGCTCTTCGCCGGATTGCGCCCCGGGCTCTTCATGCTCCTTGGGGGAGTGCGACTGTGATTCGGACATGATTATGAGCAGTTTAAGATGCACGCGGATCCTTTGGGCGTCGAGCTTTGTTGTTCGCTCTGCTGGCAAACGACCACGTCAGTTCGGTTAATTGATGGCGCAACCACGGATTCCGAGACAGCCCAAGCCGGGTCGGATGAAGAAAGAACTGTATTGGCTGGGTACAAACCGCTTCACAGTAGCCTCAGGGAGGAGGATGTCAGCCGAGCGGGGGATTTGCCAATAATGCGCGAAAGCCGACTGTACTTGCGACGCGCGCGCAATGACACCCGATTAGCGTGACCGAAACGGGGATAGACCAGATGCGGATTGAGAGGAGTGTAGTGATGGAAGCGCGATCGCGTCGCACAGGCAACTGCAGTGCGATTGCCAATTATGCGCGCTTCACACGTTTGAGGGGGGGGGCGGGGGGTTAGGGAGCAGGGACACCTCGTGAGCGCCGAGCTGGAGGAGATGATGGTGACGCGGGATGCGACGCGGGATGAGTCGCAGGTGGGTCAAGGGCTTGGGAAAGGAGTTGAGCCCAACCAAACTCACGTCGTGCAGGGCCGGGGCTGTAAGGGTAGAGCTAACCTTTGGGATAAAGGATACAGGTATCGTGGTGTAATCAGGTATACTTTCTGATTATCCCGATTCGTCTGTACAAGGGTCAGGGCGGGCGCTGGTGGTTGGGAGAAGAGGGTCCCCAGTTCATCCAGAGAGCGAATTGGCGAACCAGAATTGCCCCCGAACGAGCGCGCCGGTTGGCTACTTACCCAAGTAGATATTGAGCAGGGAGATATAACTGTATCAAAGACCACAACAGCCACCGATCAGGATTTGCACAGTCAATATAGCAGGATTTTAGATTCCGCGGATTGAGGAGGATGAAGCTGGACAATGACAATGACAAAGAGTCGAAGAGGGGAGCCCGCCAGCCGTCGCAAGTAGCATCCGATCATGGCCGCCTCAGGCGACAAGGCATAGATTTCAGGCATTACTTACTACAGTACCGGTTTTTACGCCTATCCTATCCTGATCAACCACCAAGATGGATCAGATTGTGTAACTAGTGATACAGCAGGTACCACTTCTTCTCGACCATATTATATCGAATTCTAACTACATCATTCAATTTGGACTCAAGGTTAGTCTACATCATGGCCTAAAAGAGCACTACTAAGCGGTGTAGATTAGCTGCCTGAGCGTTGGGTGCTTAATGCCTGACAAACCAGGTTGGCTTGGGAGTCAGGCACCCAGGCTTGCATGAAGGATGCAAAAGCAATGAGCATTACAATGAAATGATGATTTGGCATAATCCATGTTCCTGGTCTAGATGTTGTAATCCGATATATTAATTCAGTGTTGCATGAACAGTGACATCAGGGGCACTGATACCAAGTGTAATGTCCCACAATCAACCTTGCCGATAGCCAAGCAATTCATCCATCAAACGATTTACACTAGTGGCTTTGGTTCTGAGTTTGCAAGTCATTAAGATTTGATATCAATCATGCTAGGCTCTCTAGTTTTCGTGCCATTCCCACAAACGCCAGTAATCTCCTGCTCCTGCTCATGCACGCAGACGTACAACTATAGGGAAAGGCCGGGTATCCAAATGTACAACCAAGACATATTTCCTTCAAGGCTGCACAACCTGAATGTTGTTCTTCTTCTGTAAGAGGAAGAATGGTCAATATCACTGGTCTAGATATGAATGCCCTCGTACTCAAGGAATACCCTTGGCAAGTGCACCCGCTGATAGATTCGACATGGACTCACCTTCCAGCTATCCAACTCCGTCTGCTTCGACTTGTATTGCTTCAGCATATCCTCCAGCACCTGCTTCAGGCCATCCGAGTTTGTCTTAAGTGTGGGCAGAACATCCTTCACTGTACGCTCGACCAGAACACCGTTGACCATGCGGAAGCATTTGCGGTCTTGGGGAAGAGGATCCAATGTCTCGATCACGAGTCTGTATCAATTCAAATAGAATCAGCATTTGCAGTGTTCAATGGCGTTCCTCCATCTTTGCCCCTAGAGGCAGGTCCGACCACATTGTATCCTATCTGGCCCCGTAGGTAACGCGACTGCGGCGAGAAATTCCGATAGACTCACTTGTGCTCCTCCGCCTCCTGTTCGATGTCGCCGATCTTCTGCGCTAGTTGTTGAAGGGTGTTCTTGAAGTTGGTGTACTGGAGCTGTAGCTCTATTGTGGGAGAAGTGTGTCAGCTATCGCGTAGATACTTCGGAATAGGGGCCTGAATATGGCTCACCCTGCTGCTTCTTCGGGTCTACTTGTTGTTGGCTGGACATTGTGACGGTTGTGCTGACTTGGGGCAGGGAGACACAGGAAGCTCAAAAGTCGAGATGACGATGCGGGGCGCCTGCTGCTTAATCTTCCGCGGGCTCGGCAGTAGCGATTGACTTTCTCCCACCCGACTACGCGATTACACAAAAATGAAATTTTGTTTCGTCATCTTTTGAGTCTAATTGCTGAGAAAGAACCTATACATTATTCCTTAATTTTAGAACTAGGCATGTCAACGATCTCGTGGTGATCTACATGCAAAGTGATCTAATCACGTGACTGATAAGCATTTGTTTGATCTGTTTGTCTCAGAATTCCACGATCTCGAGATACGTCGCGAAGAGTCAAGCTCTCAACAGGATCGCCCGAACGACTCAAGCCCTGCTGTGTTGACCTACAACTCAGGTCAATACCTTTCATTATGGATCGCAACGGGGCAGCCCATAGCTTGCCGCCAGCCAAGCGACAGAGAACGGGTCACTTTCAACATGACCAAGATCAGATGTGGCATCGAGAACAACTTGTGAAATCGGGCCTTGCACAGCAAACTGGAGTTCAACATGCGCACAACCTCGCCGAAGACCAAGAGGATACCCGAGTACATCTGAGTGTCCACGAACTTCGACCTCCCTTCCTCGATGGCCGCACGATCTTCACCACGCAGCTGGACCCGATTTCCGCCATTCGAGACCCCCAGAGTGATATGGCTGTGTTCAGTCGAAAGGGAAGCAAAGTGGTACGGGAACGTCGACAGCAGCGGGAGCGGCAAAGGCAGGCGCAGGATGCGACGACGATGGCGGGTACTACACTGGGAAATCTTATGGGTGTCAAAGAGGAGGAGGAAGGTGACAGTGCGGTGGCTGCGCCAGTTGAGGAGGTCTACAAGCGCGGAGGAAACAAGTTTGCAAAGCATCTCAAGAAGGACGAAGGTGGCTCCAGCTTGTTTAGCAAAAGCAAGACTTTGCGCGAACAGAGAGAATATCTTCCTGCCTTTGCGGTCCGTGAAGATCTCCTGCGAGTGATTCGGGATAATCAAGTCATTGTGGTTGTGGGTGAAACTGGCTCTGGCAAAACGACGCAGTTGACTCAGTTTCTCTATGAAGACGGCTACTCGAAGCTTGGTATGATTGGATGCACGCAGCCTCGTCGTGTGGCAGCCATGAGTGTCGCGAAGCGTGTCAGTGAAGAGATGGAAGTGGACCTCGGTGATCTCGTCGGATATGCTATTCGTTTCGAGGATTGTACCAGCGATAAGACTGTGATCAAATGTGAGTTGAAATTTCTTATCTTTTCGGTGGGCTATAAGCATAGTTACTAACATGCGCTGCTACAGACATGACGGACGGTGTCCTTCTCCGAGAGTCTTTGGCTCAGGCTGATTTGGATAAATACTCGTGCATTATCATGGATGAAGCGCACGAGAGAGGTCTGAACACGGATGTCTTGATGGGTCTTCTCAAAAAGGTTCTCGCTCGACGAAGAGACCTCAAATTGATTGTCACATCGGCCACGATGAACTCAGAACGCTTTTCGCGCTTTTTCGGTGGAGCGCCGGAGTTCATCATTCCTGGCAGAACATTCCCAGTGGACCTCCACTTTTCCAGGTCCCCCTGTGAAGATTATGTCGACAGTGCGGTTAAGCAGGTCTTGACCATCCATGTCTCGCAAGGCCCCGGCGATATTCTTGTTTTTATGACTGGACAAGAAGATATTGAAGCAACTTGCGAACTCATTGATGAGCGGTTGAATCTGCTCAACGATCCACCAAAACTCAGTATACTGCCTATTTACAGTCAATTGCCGGCAGAGCAACAGGCCAAGGTCTTCGAAAGGGCAGACAAGGGTGTTCGCAAGGTCATTGTGGCCACCAACATTGCTGAAACCAGTTTGACTATCGACGGAATTATGTACGTCGTGGATCCTGGATACTCCAAGCTCAAGACGTACAACCCCAAGATGGGCATGGACAGTCTTCAAATTACCCCGATCTCCCAAGCCAATGCCAATCAGCGATCTGGTCGTGCTGGAAGAACTGGTCCTGGAAAGGCTTATCGCTTATACACGGAAGCGGCATTTAAGAATGAGCTGTACATGCAGACGATCCCGGAAATTCAGCGCACAAGTCTTGCCAACACAGTGTTGCTGCTGAAGTCCCTTGGCGTGAAAGATCTTCTCGAATTCGACTTTATGGATCCGCCCTCGCAAGAGGTCATGTCCACGTCCCTTTTCGAACTTTGGGCCCTTGGAGCTCTAGACAATCTGGGTGAACTGACCCAACTAGGCCGCCGCATGACGCCTTTCCCGGCTGACCCGGCGCTTGCCAAGCTAATCATTATGGCCTCTGAGGTGTATGGCTGCAGTGAGGAGATGCTCACCATTGTGTCTATGCTCACCGTCCCCCACGTCTTCTATCGCCCCAGGGAGCGCGAGGAGGAGGCCGATTCTGCTCATGAAAAGTTCTACGTTCACGAATCGGACCATCTGACTCTCCTCCATGTTTTTACACAGTGGAAGGCTAACGGCTGTTCCGACCGCTGGTGCACTCGACACTTCCTCCATGCGAAAAATTTGAGGCAGGCCAAGGAAGTTCGTGACCAATTCCAAGACATCATGACACAGCAAAAGATGCCACTCATTAGCTGCGGTACGGACTGGGATGTCATCCGTAAATGCATTTGCTCTGGCTTCTACCATCAAGCTGCCCGACGAGGCGGTGGCAGTGGCAGTGAAAAGGAGTACCTCAATCTGCGCACCAGTGTGTCTATGTATCTGCAAAGATCAAGCGCCCTGTCTGGGCTCAGCGATGCGCCTCCATTCGTTGTCTATCACGAGTTGAGATTAACGGCAAGAGAGTACATGTCCGTTGTAACAGCCGTTGACCCCGAGGTAAGCTTCCTATGATCTATCTGGCATACATTATTGGACATGACCTGTTTACTGACTGCATTTATCCAGTGGCTTGCCGATCTTGGTGGCGTCTTCTACTCCATGAAAGAAAAAGGCTACTCGCAACGTGACCGTCGCTTCAAAGAGCGAGAAATCAACAAGAGCATGCAAATCCAACAAGAGATGGCGGACGCTCGTGCGATTGCCGCCAGGGCTAAAGAAGCCGAGAAAGGACTCGACACTGTGCGACGCAAGACTGAAGTCGAGGTTGGAGGAGCCCGGTCAGTTGTCCGTCGACCTGCTGTTATTCAGGGCGGCAAGAGGCAGATTGGCGGGGTGACTCCTTCTTCATCTCCATCTCCCCGGCCTGGTGCTGGAAGCAGTGGCTCCGGGGGCAGCGTGGTGAAGAAACCCATTGGGCGGAGGAGGCCAGGTCAGTTTTAAGTAACGAGCCCTCTACGCATGCCTTGCAAGGGATGCCGCTTGTATACGTTTCTGTACAAAAGCCATACAAATAATTTTAGAATTTTGGACTTGCTGGTTAGCATCCAGAGTCATTAAATAAGATACCCATCGTTTTTCCATCTGGAGCCGATTCCGCGAGCTACGTGCTTCTTGATCGGAACTCATGCCAGCAGCAATTCTCTAAACTCCATGATTCTCATTGGTATTTTATACAAGGGAAATCATTTAAGCTCGGCTCTCAGAAATCGGCAGAGATAGAGCAGTACATCTGCAATTGGCCCGTAGCAAAACACTGACCAACTTAAACACCAGACATCGAATTTGTCCTACCCTTTGTCGAACGGACCAGCGCCAGAAAAAGCGCAGAGTTGAGTATCTTGATGCGATGAAAGGGCCGAGAGATTTAGTTGATGAAGTTGATGCAGAAGAAGTGTAGAATCAAACTTCCGAAGATATAATCGGCGAAAGCTCTATCCCGTGCGTTAGTATAGAGTCACAATTATCCAAGAGCCGTATCCTCGGGTCACTCACCTCTCGTGCGAGGTACCCGAGCTCTGCTCCTCTTTATCTTCGTCTGCGAAACGGGCATTCTTCCCCTTGGAGCTGGGCTTGCTGGATGATCCGGAACCGCTATCACTTGTCTGCATACGGAGACTGGCCGTGAGGACGAACTGGCCGACAGCTGCGCTGAAGCCACTAAGGAAGGCGTTGAAAGGCTGAATATAAAAACAACGGTAAGATTGGGAAATCAATTGAGAAAATAGAGCTGCTAGTATCCAAGCTTCCATTCTTGAAGCAAGGATCTCAAATCAACTTACGTAGTTTCCGGCCAGCACGCAGTACAAGAACTGGAGTCCACCGACGAGAACTAGGAAGGCCATGAAAGCATCCAAGAGCAGTGTCCGTTGCGAAGTCGTGGCAAGATACTGCTCCCAGACATGTTGCGCAATTGCAGCCGCGGAGGCATTCGTCTTGAGGGTTGGGGGCCCCGAGGAGAGAGTTGCGGGCGTAACAGGTGCTGGCGCGGAGGTAGTTGAGGCCGCGTGTCGTTTGGCAGGCATGGTTGCTGAGATGGAAGGGTATGTCGGAGTTTGGTGGAGGATAAAATATTTTTGTATGGCTTGTGCAGGATAATAAAGGAGTGCCGCACTTTTGAAAGCGATTCAAGGTTGTTGAATGACACAATGGCGTGGGGGAAAGGAAGATCAATTGATGCCAGCTGGGAGCTTCGTTATCGGGGAAGGTCACGTGGTTGATATGCAGCCATCGGTGGATGGGGAAGTAAACCCATCCGTCCACCCACTTTACCAACATCTTTATTCTCTGAATAGCAAAGTTGGAAGCTGAAATATCATTATTCTGCAAGTATGCGGACTGATCAACTGCCAAAGAAATAAGACAACCATCCCTTTCTAGGTTCTGCAGCTCTGAGATCGGCTTGTTTGACGTCGGCTTCCTTGACATCGGCCTCATTGAGATCCGCGGCTCGTCGGTTACGAAGAAGCTGCATCATCTCGTCCTTGTCATGCCAATATGATGCGGCATGTTCGTATACTTTATCGGTGATCTTGATCTCTACCCCGCGATTGAGGAGAAGCCTCATCAATCTACTTCCATCTCGCAAGTTGGTCATAGTACCCCGGAGTACTTTCTGAGTGATCTTGAGCTCTGCTCCTCTGCGGTCGAGAAGAAGGTTCAAAATCTCTTCGCCGCTCTCCTCATTTAATGTAGCGTTCCAGACTACTTCCTCGGTGATCTCAATCTCTACTCCACGTTGATCAAGGAGAACCCGCGTCAACGCCTTGCCATTCTTCTCATTCCATGGAACAGTCTCCACGATTGGCTGGGTGATCTGATATTGGTACGGTCGAGCAGAAACTTCCGCACCGGCACTACACCTTCTTGACTTATTGCAGTAGCCCAGATCATATCTTCAGTGATCTTCATACCCTACTCATCAACGAGGAAAATCACAGCCTCTGTTAATGCCCAGTGTGCCACCCAGAACAAGGATTGCTGCCTAGCCGTGTTGTGGTTTCGACACAGTTCCCAGAAAGAATAACCTTCATGATAAGAAATCCAGTAGGCAGACTCAGATCCCGCCTCGCACAGTGTGACTACTTTCCGGATCCATTCACCACCCAGATTGTGACTTCGTTTCACGTGGGACATCCAATAAGCTCCAGAGTATCTCAAGAAGCCCTCCTGTGGAATGTACTGTAAGCGATACTGCTGACCCTTCATCCTGAAGTCTTCAAAGCAGAGATATGTAAGACACAGCTTTGTAAGAGATAGACGCGCATTCTGCAGGTCAATGGAGTGTCTCCTTGTACCCGCCACAGCCGTTCCAGATCCCTGCTGCAGTAAGAATTCCCTCGCAGTCTGGTGGATCAGAAACACTCGTGAATTCACGACGCTAACGAACAAGCCGCATACATCGCGTATCCACTTCTTGCGTTTTACGAAACCTTCAAGGTCGAGTTCATCGAAGCTCCTAGAGCTTGGAAGAACTTCGAGCGCAACGTCGATCTCGGATAGCTTTAAAGGCCGGTGTGCCGCGATAATAATTTCCAACAGACGTTTCCCATCTTATTGATACCTGCTGTTGCACCGCTGCAGGATTTTTTCGCAAGCCTGATCGACAGTTTCTGGGAGTTTATCAATTTCCCTTAGGATCTTGGCCTTCGTGTGGCCGTGGAAATCTCGAAGGAAATCAAGGGTCAAATGCAACCATAGATAGGTCCTATTCTGGGCGTCTGATAGCCGGCGCTTCAAAGCGTCCCCAATATCATCGGCGAGGTTTCTTTCAATCACAAACTCATCTACTCATCACCACGTCGATTTCGTGGCTGATATCTTCCTATTAATCTTCTCTGGCGGGGCGGATCGATGGGAATTGACGAGTCATTTTGCCAAATCTCCGTTCAATGTCACCATATGGACGACTGGTGACGAGAAACTTCATCTTAAGATGGCCATTTTGTCCTTTTTGACACATGTGATAAAATCGCTCCAGTTCCTGTATAAGTCGATCGCGATCATGCTGTCGGCACTCATCAAGAGCATCCATGACGCAGATTATATCTCCGCTGGAATCGAGGGCCACAGACATCAAGGCCTTCCACGGAGATTCAAAGTTTGATTTCAATCGCTCTTTCTCTTCGACTATTGTCTGTTATGCATGTTTCATGAAATATCTGTCTTGGCACAGAACACTTGATGTAGGAGAGCACAGATTGCAGTTGCCACACTATATTGCTCCTGATTGTCCTTGAAGAAGAAATAGCATACCATAGCTGACGTATCTCGAGGGAGAACATCATCAACCAGTGTCTTGGATAGGACATACTTTCTACAGCCGGGGCCCGCAGAAAGCCGAAGGAGATTTTCATGGTCGTTGCTCTTCCGTTCCTGAAACTTGGGATGGTTAAGAAACCATCCACATGTACCCTTGACTGGTGGAGGATTGATGTTTTTGTGTGCTTCATAGTTTGAGGTGCAGAAAAAGCTATGACCTTTGTTTGAGTTAGTATCTGGGGAATAACAGTGTTCCATAGAGAGTACCTAATTCCAGTGTTACGAGATAGACTTACCCGAAGACGGATCAGAGGAAAAGACCGAGATGGGAGCGTGATTGACTCCCTCTTGGACCCCGGAATTCCCCTCACCAAATGATGCTGACTCCATTTTTCTAGGTTACACACGTTGGCCCTTACATACGAGGCTCCCTCTTGTCTCTTTGATCAGCGAGGTCACAGATAGCAGAAGCAAATCAGTGAGGGGCAACCTCAGCCTCACCATCATGTGATTGGATAGAGATCCAGCGCATCATTTTTGACTGAGAATTCATTTTCACACTCATTCCTTCCATGTCACAATCTTCCTGTCTATGGCCATTATTGGTGCCTATTGATAAATCAAGTGATGGGCAGACTATAGCCATGCCCGAATGAATGTAATAAAACCACATCCATAGTAAGTGAGACCTAATACAAGATATGGGAATTGGTAACTATGGAACCAACTCTGGAGCTCATATAACCTGTCATTCCTTGGGCCAGGAAAAGTCGGGGATCAGGTTATGCCAGAGTCCAATCCAATTCGTGCAGACGATACGAGGCAATAATAGATCAAAATTGAAAATATTCAGTATCGATCCTAGGAGCTACATACAAACCCCAAACATCTCCCAACCGATCTCAAAACAGTACTATATACAAATCCATCCTTCTCTCCCATCACAGCTCCCTCATCACCCAATCAACCTTACATCTCATCCAGATCTTATCCGGTTTTTCTTCACCTCCACTGCCCAGCATCCTCCACACCCCCCGCAACCCTCTTCGCCCCATCTTCCACCCCCGTCCCCGCACTCCCAATAGCATCACCAACAGGTTTACCCGCACTGCCAGTAGCACTGGTAATAGTATCGCCCACACCACGCGTCGCAGCACCAGTCACGCCCCCAACGGTGCGTGCAACCCCGCCGACTGTGTTTCCTAGCGTGGAGGTGACGAATTTGGCGGCGCCTGTTACGCCGGTGTCTTGGGAGGAGGTGTTGATTGGCATTTTGATTTGGTTGTAGTTGTCGTTGTAGGATGGAGGATGTAATATTGATGTGATGTGATATGATGTGTTTTTTGTAGATGAGGTGGTTTGGACAGAATATATGACTTTCGAGGCCAATATTTCTTTGATGAATATCAATGGATTTAATTCTCAGGGTTGTAATGTAGAGTGTAGGAGGTTGGGAGGTGGTTCCGCGACGTTGTTATAGATCCCGGTAAGACAGCTATGATGTCATTGTTTACGCGGACGATGATGGCTGTGGCTGTGGCTGTACAACGCGATCATCTTTAATTTATCACAGCCAGTGGCACAGTAATCTGATAGGTGATCAGGTATGTATATGGTGTCTAGTTAATCTATCTGACTTCCATTTACATCATATGCCCGCTAGCCGTACTCCCGTCACTGCTAATCCATGTTCGCTAGGCCAAAGTGTGGTGTGTCTTTATGGTGACCTGCTAGGAAATGTTACATCCCCGTTACTGGCTGAATTCCGATTTAATGTGTCCTTCGACAAGAGAGAAGATAATATTTAATATTTGCACATTGAGTGGAGGGGAATATAAAGTCTGGCCATAAAAAGACCAAACACGTTTACACCATATGTCGTCACGTCGTGATATCAAAGCCAGAAAGGACCACCTCTATCGAAACGCCAGGATTCCAGAATGGAGTTGGGGGACCACCATCAACCATCAGCCAGGGAAAGCAATCATGCAAACCATTCTGTAACATGAGTTCCCTTTCCAAGGTCAGAACCATCATTCTCGACATCCATCTGGAAGTCGCGCATGACCTGGTCCCATTCATCCCAATTGAGAGTGGCAGTTTCGGGAATATTTACTTGACTCGTGAATCCATTGTTGTTCACGGGTGAAGTAAACGAGGATAACCCTGTGGGCACGTTAACTGCCGAAACTGGCTCTTGCATGGGAGGATTATCAAGAGTGACCGGTGCCAGGAAGTTTGTATTAGGGAAGATGCTCTGCAACGTCTCCCAAGGCCCCTGGTTTAGATCAATGTTCAGATCTGGTTTTTCTTGCAATTGCTGAGTTTGAGATGGAGGGATCGATGACGGGAGCGGTGAATTATTTGGCATGTGTATTTGAGGAAGCGTGTGGTGGTGTGTCAATGCAAAGTCGGTTGGATCAGGTTTATAGCCCGCGGCTGCAGGGTTGGGACCGAAATTGGTAAGAAGTTCTTCCTGTTGCTTGGCCCGAGTAGATGCCGCGCGTTTCATTAATGCGGCTAGCGGTCGCCAGAGCATGCCCTTTTTGTGTGTTGCTTGACGTTCCCAATCCGAGTAAAGACCCTGAACTGCATTCCACGCGCGATCGGTGACCGGGCAGATTGGACGCACGCAGACTTCGGAGAGAACGAAGGCGACTCCATGCCATTGCATGTTAGTTCGGAACAGCCAGCCCCATTTGGCGGTTTTCGGGTCGGTTTCCAACAAGCGGCCAAACTCGAGGACCTCGATGGCGGTCAGGAACAAACTCTCGCGAGTGGCCTGAGACACATTGAGCACGCGATCTTTTCGGGTCATTGGGTGATGCACAACCAGCCATAGCTTTGCAAGAATGAGACGGCCCACTGTGGCTGTCGCCCAGTGCATTGGGATATTCATGTCGCAGTGTTTGATGTACCGCTCCTCGACACGATTGCTGATGATCTGGATCATTCGTTCACAGCGTTCAATGCCGGGGACAGTCTCGCCCAGGCGGAATCGGGTACCAGGACAAGAGTAATTCGCACGTCGCAGTGCGCTAGTAATTTCACAACGAATCAAACAGAAAGTGACATCGGTGACGCCCTCGCGTTCAATCGGGGCCTCGGTCATTTCAGGCGTGATATCGTCGTCATTAATATTCAACGGAAGTCGCGTGTCGTACATGCTTTCGTTGATCTGCGGGTCGGTCCCATGATCTTCAGACGCTCGAACATCCATCAGACAAATATGCCACCACAAACGTCGACGCATCTCTGTCTCATATGGTTTCAGAGCAAAGTTGGTGCCATCTCGGTGCAATCCCAGTCCCTGAGCAAGGCGGAGAATGACCGAAGTCATAGACCAGACAAACTTCGAGTCATCCTCTCGGCGAACGCAAATCAAGAAGAGCACTGCTGCTTGGATAAGAACCAAGCTCTGAGTATTAAGGAGACCAGCTCTCGACAAGGCCTGTTCAACAGCAAAGCGATATCGTTTAACCAAAGTGCTTCGCTCTTCACCAAACCGGGCCATACACTGCTCAGGTCCCAAGCTGACAATAGCCGACAAGTAGATAGCAAACACGAGCGCTTCGTTGTTCTTATCCAGAGAGTCCGGGTTCTGCGCTGCCTCGACCAACAAAGTCCGAGCAGTTCCCTTGTGCACGATGGTTATCAGCGGCGCAACATTTTCTCTGTATGCTTCCCAAAACATCGACACCTTGGGAAGATTTGGGTGAAACTCTCGGAGGGAGTGCGATAGCGAATAGAAACCGAACAAAAAGCCGTCGTGGGAGCCCGAATGCGATGATTCCGGGGAGGGAACATCCTCTTCGTCGGATGAGGAGTGATCTAAAATATCTTGTAGCTCCTCGATCTGAGGATAAAATAGGGTTATCAGCTACTGTCGCACAGCCTATCGGCAGGGAGATCTGTGAATGCATGACATACCTCGTCCCCAAGGCTTGCCCAAAGTCGATTGCTCACGTATCGGCTCCTGCCTTCATCGATAACCAGTCTCCCAAACTCATTTTCAAACTTCTTCGGCGCAAGCTTCTTAGGATCGTCATTCTCGAACGGGCACCCAGAATCCTGGGCAGGCGGTGGTGCGGCGGAGCTAGAAGCAGTCGACGGCGCAGTCACCGTGCTAGGCGGAGCTGGAGGAAGAGGGGGGGAAAGTCGCAGACGGCTGGGTAGGCGAGATACTCGACGCTGACGCCGCTGACGCGGGATTCTCGGCATTTTGCCCGCTCAGATGCTCGATAACACCCTCGAGCCGACGCAAGCGGGATAACAGCTCGGCATCGGGCGGACGCTTAGATTTGCGCGGGGCTCGGCCCGGTGGGGGGAAGATGCAGTCGACACCAGCCTTGACACAATTGGAGCAAGGGGAGCGCTTATTACAGCGGACCTTCCGGCGACGACAAGTAACACAGCTTCGCGCACTGGCGATATCCGAGACCGGGCGCGGGGCGGTGGCGAGCACACCAGAACGCGCACTGTTCGGAGAATTCTCACTGGCGGAGGGGGAATTCAGCCCCCCCCTCCGGAGAGGCAGAGTGGAATGACATGACAACACACAGGGGAAGACCAAAGCTGCCCGCATTCCCCAAACCTGGCACAGAAGGGTTGTATATAGCTGGGGATTCTGGCGGTAAAAAAAGGACAAATCGTTACTCTTGACGTGTTGCCCGTATTCAAAGGGGCCAAGCCCAAACCACATGTGACCGTGACTCAGCCTGCCTCTGCCCGTTTGGGGAAATTTTGCGTTATCCCCGAAACCCTCGAGTTGTGGTTTATTCAACAGGGAGAGAGAAGATTATCCTTTCTACAACATACAATGATGTACTACCATCTACGAGAGCTTTTTTTAATGCTCCCCGTGACGATTTTTCAGAGGAAAACCCCCATGAAAAGCTCGTTAATTACCGGACATTCAGAAATGTTTTAGGCAAAATCCCGCAGTGCCCATGATAGCTCCGATAGCCCCGTCTAGGACCGATGGAAGCATATTCCACGTCCCATAAACACATGTGATAGGCATGAATAGCTTCCTATCATATTCCAGGAAAAGAGTGAGTTTGTAATGAGCACAACCAAGTCATTTGTGGACTATGGGATAACTTGGTGTGAATCTAACAATTCTAGCTACTAAACGAGATACATGCTTGCTATATCAGACCCGCTTCATGTCCTCTTCAATGAATACGAGGATGTTACTAATTCATGCATAGAACCTAGTCTAGGCTATAGGCTATTGAAGACTCCGGCTATTCTCGAAACACCATCATTACTAATGCTCAGCGCATTAAAGTTGCCAAGCTACGCCAAGGATTCTAGCACGTCGCCACCGCCTCATTACACTTTCTTCGTACTGTAACTCGAGATCCACTTCTCATCAGGTAAATGTCTATTTGAAGTACAGAGAATACTAAACACCTGAAACTGAAAAACTTGACTCATAAACGTGAGTATATCATAAACATATGATTATGTACAACGTATGTTTTTCTCGACCTATCAACACAAACACCCCTGCCAGGTATGTCCAACAAGGAATTCAACGCCATGCAAATGCAAAGAAAATGAAGCAAAAGAAAAAATAAGGCTGGAAATGATCTCCAACCCACCACGCTGAAGTAGAAACAGACATGGAATGCAAAAATGCAAGTGTATATGCTGATGAAAATGCAAAGCACGCTGGTAGATCAAGATGCGTCCATGCGAACGAGGGGCTGGTTGTTGGCTGAGCGAGTGGGTATATCACTTATACGCCAGCCACGGCGGAGGAAACGCTTCATGTTGCGTCTGGAGGAGATAGATTAGCATGATAATTTTAAATAGCAATTCCAGTAATGCTGTGACTTACTTCGTGTGCTCCCAGAGCTTCGAGTCCTCGTTAAAGTTGTGTCTAAAAAATAGAGTTAGCACACCGAATCCACTTGCATATGAAGAAGTGCAGACATACCCCTGGAAATTCTTATTCGTCAAGGCTCTCGGCCCGTACTCTTCCTCCAAAAGTAACGTATAAGAGTACGGGATCTTAACCGGCACGTCCTCAAAGTAACTATCCCGCAACGGGAAGATCTGGCTCTCCAGGTAGTGATGGCGATCCTTGCACATCAAAGCCTCTGTCTGGCCCCGCGCGCGCCGGGCGTCGTCCTTGCGCACGGCGGTGATATCAATGAATAGCCCGGACGAGGTGTCGATCCAGCGCGCATCAATCACGTTCAAATGGTCCTTCTCACTGCGCACAACGTAGTTGGGATTGATCTCGAGTACATATTTGCGGCCCTCGTTGACACCGGGTAAATCGAAATGATGCTCCGTCATGTTGTAGAATTCTGCCAGGAAGTGGATCGTCGGCTCGGAGATTTGTACGTCGAGGTCGTTGTCCCATGGGAAGATCTAAGGAACCGCTTGTCAGCAATCCGATTGCATTGTATGGGTCGTAATTTTGGTTCTGGGGGAGGTCGGGACCAGAGTCGCTTTTGTTGGGGGATAGCCAGGGGCAGCTTGAGGATACCTTTTGATTCCACCACCAGGAAAGAAGTGTACCATGCATAATCCAAGTTTCGGCGCCGATAGATGACATGGTCGATAGATAAGTCTGAATGAGGGCGGAGAGGTGGGGGGTGACTTGATCGTCGGGCAGGGGCTGATCCGCGAAGCTAGAGGCGGCATAGGTTAGCAGGGCACGCGACAAACATGAACCATCGTCAATGAGGTACATACCGGCCATCATAGTGATAATGAAAGCTATAGCAAGATAGTTAGTACTAGTCAACCGTAATCGTATTCGAAGGATCAACATACGAGGATTCCGCTAAAGTAGATACGAAGTCAGTCCAGGATCGAAAAGAGGGCCAGACGGCCCAGACCCCCCATTGCCAAGGCCGGGGGGCTGACTCGGATCAAGCCGAAAGGAATGAGGCTTACTGAAGTATTTCTCTGTTGGAATGTCGCCCTCGCTTTCATAGTCCTTGGCGACGTTCTCGCGCACACTCATAAAGTCGGTGTCGGTGTCATTGGGCTGGGCCACGGTGAGGACGGAGGCTGATAGGAGACCATAAAGCGCCAGTAGGCTCGAGGTGGAGAATCGCATGGCTTTCGTGATGGCGCTATACAGAGATCGACAATGGTATATTCAGCTCGGAAAGTATATACACGAAGCCCGGCGTGGAGGGCGCGATTGAGCGGGTGAATAATATTCTTTCGGTGGGTTGTTGATTCTGAATGTGTCACGAAAGGGGGGCCGGCGATTCAGAGATAAGAAGGGAAGTTGAGTTGTGTGTGTGTATGATGTATACCACACCGATAATTACCGTCGGGGAGAAAGGGGGGAGGAGTGAAAAGAAAAGAAAAGAAAAGGAGAAAAACGAATGATCAGGCTAGGAATCCAATCACTATAAGACCAGAAGAAGAGCCTATCGGTAGGGAAGGGAATAAAAGGGATTTGAAGGTCGGAAAGGAATCAGGGCGGGAAAATGGGAGAGAAGAAGGGAGTGGGAGTCGAAACACTTTTAATCTTGATTCCCTCGTGTGGTCAATTACCCGTTCAAGCCATTCGAGATCAGTTTCCACCCCGACACATCCGATCTACGAATCTCTCCGTGGCTTGGTGCCATCGAGTCTTGGCTGACGGCCAGTTCAATCTTTTACGCTTCCCCGTTGGCTGTCAAAGTCTCGGCTCTCCCCATCCGGGCCCCCTGATTAGCCATGCGGAGTATGCAAAACTAAGAAAATCAAGGCTGAAGTCGCCTTCAAGACCGACCTTGGTTAGGTCTTTTTGGATGGGGTAAGTGATCATGCGAGTTGAACGGAAGTGCAGCCACCCTTGGCGAAAGTCGTATTCGTTCAGCACGCGAGTTGTGAGTTTCGGCAGAGATCCGGCTTTGGCTGACGAGTCGCCAGAAAAAGTCTGCGCCCGCCACCGCGTCAATACTCGTCAGCTCCAGTCTGATTCGCGTCCTTTCTTGAATTGTGGAGATGTCCAGAGGCTGAACATCAGATAAAAGCGGCTACAGTATCCGTAAATTTTGGAAAAAGGGATCTCTTCCGTATCTCTATAACCCCTGGAAAAGTGCCCATTCAAGGGTTCTTTTATCAAATGATCTTATGAGATTTACCATTTTCTGATGAATCAATTGAATGAACTTCCTTCCCGCTACAGCATACGTACACACATATGGTCCTTACTCCGTACTAGGGAGGTATTACGACATGTCTTCCCACTAAGACCTTTCTTAAATGAAAAAATATTAAAGTAAAGAACAAAGCCAAAAAAAAAAAAAATCCCACCATTCAGTCAATAGGCATAGGCGCTGTAGGATCTGCTCTCCCTCGTACTTCGTACTCCATACGATTCCGCCAACCGTCCGCTCCGCCCCACCTCCATCCGAAACGTCAGCCTGTACAAAGTTCCCCTACAACACTACGCTCCTATACGTAGCACTACATCATAGTAGTACAAACTCCGAGCTCCAGGCCGACCAGGTAGACCACACGACCTCTTGGCAAGACAGGGATACCCCAGATCCTAATCCTAATAAAAACCTCAACTCCACCCCCAACCTTATGTCCCTCGAAGGCCCTATACATTCTACCGACAAAATTAACACAACATCGACAATACCGATGCCTACGCGTCCTCAATAGCCATCTGACTCTTAATTTCAACGCTACACCGCACTCGTCGCGGATCTAATCAAAGGAACCGGGACCAAAATGACGCGATTCGATCGGTACCCAAATGCATACGCGTCCTTCTACCCCCTCGGGAGGCCCGTTCGCTCCGCCCACTATAGTACGGTACTCCGCCGGTCCAAACCAGCACTTATCTACAGTCCTGTACCCGACTCAGCAGATAAACAAGTATGGGACAGCAAGGCTAATTCTGAAACCCCTTTAAATTTACAGCCACCGCCTCGCGGCACAAAAAAAGCCTCGAATGGCGGCGGCTACTACGCCGGTGCTGCGGAGTCTCGCGATATCCCGCAGGGAACGAGGACTTGTGTAAACGAGATTCTCTCAAAAGGCGCATGATCGGTCACGAGTTCGCTAGAGTATCTCCTCTTGAGATTGGATATGGCAGACGATACTGGCAGTACGTCGGACTCCGAGATGCAATCATCTTTGAAGGATAAATACCTCACCTATGGTACGTTAGACATAGGCCAGGATCTATGTGGCCTGAAAGCCGATCCAGTAGTGCAAGACGCCGTGCGTACGAAGTGTACAGTGGCGTTGCTGAGGGCTGGGATTATTCGCGGCATTGGGGCTGAATGGGTGATAAGCCTTCGGCTTGAGTCAGGACAGAGTCTTGAGAGGTCTGGTCGAGTTCCAGGAGTACCTGAGTTTAGTATCTCGTTGGCTGGAGAATCGGGGAAATAGAGGAGTGAGGCTCTGCCGCTTTCTAGATCTTCGCCTTGGCCCTCGGTCCCCCGCCGATGTATACAAGCCTTACAAGAGCTCCGGAGCGGGTCTGTTGGGTGGGTTCCCCGCTCTCGCGTGGTGGAAGATCTCGAACGCAGTCAGTGTAGTTTACATGTGTGAGAATTCACTATAGACTTATCACACCTGGTTCTGCAGGCATCAGCTGGATTGTCATATATTCTGTCGTCCTCCGACGAGCTCTCCTGCTTCCCTTTTCCTTTCCCATTTTATCGCTGAAGTGCTACTATCTTGATTTCCTTCCTGGTGGCTTCCATGGCAAGATGTAACAGTAGACATGGGTGCGGAGCAGGTCAAGCATATTGTCGTGGGTTTTGTTATCCATTGATGTGTCTTGATCGGGGTGTTGTTAGTAGTAACTTCTATGTTAGTAACGGGGAAAAGAAAGAAGAGGAAGCACAAAGTCAAGGGCGAGGATCACATCCTTTCAGTGTACGGAGTAAAATTTTACTTTTAGCAAGTGGGCATACTACTTGACCTACTCATGGGCAAGAATGTAGAGAAGGAAAATGCAGAAAGCGACAATCTGCCTACCCTGGCGTTATCGGCATGTATCCAACGCGATAAATGTCCTAGACCACCAACATAGCAGCCAGAAAGCGGATGATACACCCTGAGACTTGAGATATCCACCATGCCCACGAGCACTAGCTATATCCCTCATCTAATCCTACATCCAGCACCATGAACGACCCTTCCACAAAGTTCAAACCAGCCCTAGCTTCAGCTTCGAAGAATTTTCCAGATCAACAACCAGGCCAAGACCAGCCTTCGTCACAGCCATGGCTTAATGGCTCTCCCTCGAACCACAATTACGTACTCCGTACACATCGCCCCATCAATCATAGACTCCACTCCACCCAACGCCCGAAGATCACGATAATAATAGCCAATGCCCAAAACGCCAAACGCCGACGGGACTCCACGGCATACCGAGAAAAACCAAAAACGCCCCATTGCATGGCCCTGGCCCTGCACCACAGGGCGTGTCCAAAGGCCGTTCCTACCGCCCTACAAAGCCGATCACATGCGTGCAGCAAGTGCGCAGCGCAGCGCGGGTAACTCGGGCAACGCCGAGACCGCGGCGGGTGTGGCGTCGAAGGTCTGGATCAGCTTGGCGGGCTGGGAGGGTGTGATAGTGTAGAGTTTATTACTGGTGTGTACGTAGTAGTAGTCTAAGAATTGAGAAATCCGGAATAATATACTACAGAAACGCATGGGTGGATTGGATGGTTTTGGAAGGTACAATCGAGATTGGAGGGATGTTAGTGTATGGCTTGATTCGTGCATTGGGTGTCGTCTATTCTACTTGATTTGGTTTGGGATTTTGGAAAGGTGTGGTAGGGACGGATTATTGATTGGATGTTACGAATAAAGCATTGTTGGAAGATTTTGAGGGTTGTATCCCTTCTTTAGCGTCTGTAGAGAATATTCTGGCGGCGCGGGCGAGTTTTATAAGAGCAATTGCTCGTATTAGATTAATATCTCCGGATCGCTCGGATGGAAGCGAGATCCGCGAGTAACTCGAGGAAGTCCACGGCGAGGGGGCCTGACTAAGAGCTAACGGGCACCTCGTGACCACAGTTGGGGTAGTTTGATATTAAATGACTACTGAGCTGATAGATTAATGTTCACGAACAACATCTACTTCTTGTATTTGACTGTTTTTCCCTACCTTCTAGAGGCAGTCTAGCGCAAAATCTATCTTTCATCCCAGAGATGCGTCGATATGGATTTACTCCACTCCAGCCTCCCGTATAACAAGAACTCTCTGCCCCATAAAAATACGGAGAACACATAACCAAGACCTGGATTTTCGCAAGGGCACCCGATTTGGGCAATCGGTTGGCCCCGTTAAGCCCAGCTGGGGAGGGGCAGAGCGTGGGAGGATCGTTTCGAACTAAACTAATGTAGCGAACCAATGGAAGCGGGGCGCATGGAAAAGTGGAGGAAGGAAGGAGGAGGAAGGAGGGAATATTTCCACATGGCAAGTGATTGGCCATGTTGCACTTTAGGGTTCGGTTCTCCGCTAGACGACATCGTTTGATTCGCGCCGGTCCCCCTGCGACTATCTCTGATTTTCTTTCGTCAGATTGGAACTTCGTGTGGGTGTTGGTTAGTTGGTTTCTGGTCGGGTTGGTGCCTGTTCCTCCCTATTTCAGCCACCGACCCGTGATTTGAGTGATAGTTTTGATGGATTACGATGGGGACTCTGACGTCCAACTCGGTTCCTTGTGAATTTGCTAACACCGACGGAGTAGTAAGCGGGGTGGCTGGTACATAGGTAGATGACAATTGGTTCTGATATTGTTTCCTTGTGCGGAATTGATTCCTCGGAAATACGGCATCTCATGATCTTGCTGCGTGGTTCCTGTCAGTCTTCTGCTGATTACAGTATTAGTATTGGACCCTGATTATCCTGTCCTTCTAGGTGCCATTGGAATTTGGGGGCGATACTCCTGCAATCCACATCCACTTTTCTTACCCCATAGAAAGGGTGACAGTTAAGGTGGATCGAGGTGGGACGAAACAGAAGCAAAAAAAAAGAATAACACTGTGAGGTGTTAACCGAACGCAACGGTCCATCATCCTATGAAGATCTTCTCAAGAAAGTACTCGGTAGCTGTTCCTGAGATCACTTCTATGGATGGAGTATGAATGGAACATTCTCCCATGTTTTACCCATCCCAGCAGTGAATTGCCTAGCTTCCAAGACTGTGAAGTCTCCCAAGACCACCACTTACCTAACAACACCCACCTTGTCACCTCAACCAGGGGGCCAGAAACCAACGGTGATTCATATTCTGCTCAATTTAAGCTTCGGGGCCCTAAGGCAACACTGTTGTTAGTTGACTCCTCTCTCCTCTTTTTCTTCGCCCTTTTCTGTTCGCACATGCAACCTGTGAACCTGGAAAAAAAGCCAAGGCTATTTGGCCCTCTTTTTTTCCCCTTCCAATCGTCTCTTCCCCACCCACCATCTCTCTCAGACTTTCTCCGAAGTCTCTCGGCCCATTATTATTAGACTTCCCCGAGGCTTTTTTCTGCTGCTTCGCCTAAAACACTAGTCGGACGAAGCCGTGGACTTCGTTCATTCTTTTCGAGATCTGCAGGAGTTGCGCGCTGCAAGAATTAAATTCATGATTGCTCGTGAAGATTGCCCGTCGATCGTCCCTTTTTTCTCTGGCTCGGCCGTGGCTGTTGGGTCCAGGTTAACATCCATGCTTGCCGTCCCACCTGCAGTTGCATTCGATACGATGAGTCGAAATACCCAGGTTGAATAGTACCTTGTTTCCATCTTGTTTTGTCTCTCCCTCTTTCGGTCTGCATGATTGGCCACCTCGGACCCGAGAGTATCCATTGGGCATAAGATCCTCCTCATTCCAGATATTTTGCATGGAACCGATCAATTATCACGAGATAACCTTCAACCTCCATCGGATTTGCTAGCGTCCGTTGTTGCTCTCTTTCTCTCTCTCTCCACTTCCATCTTCGCCTCTCCGACATCGTTCGGCTGTGTGAACATGTCAGATACCTCCATCACGCCCCAAGGTGAATCAAGCACAGCCTCGCTTCCCACACAGCAGTTGAATCGCTCGTGCGAGTCCTGCCGCAGCCTGAAGGTGCGCTGTCTGCCCAATCCATCCACGCCAAATCAGTGCCAGCGATGTGCAAAGGGGAAAAAGGCTTGCGTCTTTGTGGCCCCTCAGCGGCGTCGGCCGCGGAAACGCACTGATTCACGAGTGGCTCAGCTCGAGAAGGAAATGCGGATGATGCGTTCGCTGTTGAAGGACCGTATTCGCGAAGAGAGCGAACCGGAGTCCCCCGAAGGCAGCGAGGGTTCTCCCGATGAATCCGTGGAAATGGACTTTCACGACCATCTAGGCCCGATCCCAGAAGCTCCGGCCAGTGCAACGGGCTCAAGCCGGTATATGGACTATTCGCCCGAGTTTATCAATACTGCTCATCCGGGTATGGCTGGGAGTGGCCCTCTTTCTGCGCCGCCGTCCATGTCCGGGTTGCACATGAACTTTTCACCGGATACGAATCGAACTCCTCCGGAGGACGTGGTAGATCGGGGAATCATCTCCCTTGAAGATGCAGAGCAGTTGGTGGCGTTTTTCATCCATGAACTAGCATCATTCTTCCCGCTGGTCGTTCTGCCCTCTAGCACCACGGCTGCACAGCTACGGCAAACGAAGCCGATCCTATTCCTCTCTGTGATTTCGGCAGCGGCAATCTCGATCGATGCGGGGCTAGCGGGTGTGTTGAATCGGGAGATGGTTCGACTCTATGCAGAGCGGTTTTTCATCGAGGGGGAAAAGTCGTTGGAGTTGGTGCAGGCGTTGCTGATCATGATCATCTTCTATTACCCGCCCGGGTCGCCCTTGAAGTTGCAATTCTATCAGTATACCCATATTGCCTCGACTATGGCGCTGGAAATCGGTCTAGCCACGAAACGGCGGGTCTCGAAGAAGAAGTCCGATCGGAAGAATAGGCATGAGCCGTATGATGAACTTTTGGCGGAGCAAGCCAGGGCTGTTCTGGGTTGTTATCATCTGGGGTCAACGTAAGTCTTTGGTTTGCATGTCTGCGAGATGGATCTTTCTAACCGTATGACCATGTAGTGTGGCCATGAAAACCCGTCGACCTAATCTCCTTCAGTTCAACGATTGGATGAATGAGTGCGTGCAGCAACTAGAGCGATCACCACACCGGACAGACCAGCATTTAGCCGTCTGGTTTGAGCTTCAACGAATCACCGACGAAGCCATGTCTTCATTCGGCTTGGATGACACGAGTGCCTCTTCACCCTTGACCGAGTCACGAGTCCAAGCTGTGCTGCGATGGTTCGACAAACGCATGGAGGGATGGAGAAAGACCACTCCAACCGACATGCTCACAGGTGAGTTTCCTTCCCCTTCCACCCACCGAATTCCAGCATCAGTCCCTAACAACGGGTTCATCACAGTCCCCATGATCCTCGAATACCGCTCCGCCGTCCTAGCCATGTACGAACTCGGCGTAGGAGAAGGCTACCGCGATCCAGACGCCATCAAAAAGCGGTACTTCACGCTGCCAACTCTAGACGAAGACGGTAATCAGCCATTGGGCCCACAAATGAGCGCCATCCGCATCGACATCAACGTGAAATGGATGAACGCCGCACACGAACTGCTCGACGCCGTCCTGACCTGCAGCGTGGACACGATGCGTAGAATGCCGAACCTGACGTATACCCGGTTCGGCATGGCGATGACCTCGTTGCTCAAAATCCATTTTTCCGTGCGAACAGGCGCCCTCGGCGAGGTTGTTACTCCGGAAACTGTGAATGTGGGCTATTACCTCGATGCGATGGCGAGTAAGCTGGGCGAGGCGAGTGGGGGCGGCAAATACAAGATTCCGAGTCGGTGGTATCAAGTTGTTGCTATCAAGGGCCGGGATTGGCATGATCGGTTGGAGAAGAGGTATACTGGCGGTGTTGGTGCAGGTGCGGGTGAAGTTGGGTCTGGATCTGGGATGGTATCGGAGAGTTCATCCACGGATACGAAACCGATTACTTCGACGGGTCAATTGCCGGGTTCACAGGGACAGGCTGCACATATGGATCACCCGGCTAATCCGTCTGCGGTAGATTCGTTCACGGTGCAGCCGGGTTTATCACATATGCCACCAGGCATGGAAAATATGCGGGATGGATATGTGGCTATGAGCGGTGCGGGCATGTGGCCCATGGATGGTCATAGTCATGGTGGACATGGTCACGGCCATGGCCACGGACCGTTCTTTCAATCCATGCCTGGGGGATACCAGACGAGTCATGCACCGGGGACGACGGTTCCTCCTCAGTTTGGGTATGATCCGCAACGAATGCCTCCGCAGGGCGGAGGTCAAATGCCCGGCACGGGCATGGAGTTGGATGGGTGGCTTCCGGATGGGAGTATCTTCGGTATGCCTCCGTTGCCGGAATTTTGATAGGCGTAAGAGTGTTGAATAAGAGTGATTCGGTGAATATATTGAGCAACAGGAGCATCAGAGACTCGGATAGTCTCTTTCATCGGCATTGGATATGGGCGAATGGCATTTTGTCCGTGGGATATACAGCATTGTCCCTGTTGAGCACATACTTATTTATTAGCAAGTGTATAAACAAGCATGAAGGGAAGCAAAGAGAAGAAAAGATTTGAACAGAAAAAGGAGACGTCAAGAATATAATGCATATCACATGAACATACTACCAACTGTCAAAGAAGATTTCAAAAGAAATAGTTACTCACAGGTAGAGCTCGAAGGAGCAGTCAAGTATAGACCCAAATCAAGTAACTCCTCCAAACTCACCAACACAGCATCGGCACCATCACCAGCACCAAACCCCCAAAAACCAAAAGTAAAAGAAAAAACCTCGACCAAAGCGCAGGACAAACCTCTCATATACTCCGACTTAAACCCAAACCCAAAAGAAAAAGAAAGAAAAGGCCGAACCAAACCTTTTCTCATGTATTATTCTCGCATTCACCCACCCAATTTACCCAGCCCAAAAACCTAGCCAGAGTGACATACCATCGGGCCCATCGCAACACAACGGAGTGCCGGAGTAGGCATTTGCACCGCGTATGTAGGTGGGCCGGAGGATCGGTCGAAACGGAAGTTCCGCCTGACAGGGTCCCCGTACTACGATACTACGATCGGGATGATCGTCACGTCCGACGGACGGGGGCCCTGATCCGGGTAAAATGGGCCGGTTGGAATAGCATAACTAGGTTTGGACTTAAGAATGGAAAGAGTGAGAGACATAGTCAAGGAAGAAGAAAAGAAAAAGCTGTGGTTGTTGCCTTGGCGGTGGTGTGATTTATATCGTTCTTAGTTTTTTATGTGGTTGGTTAAGTGGAAGGTCGGAACGGAGTACACGGAGTTTACATTACAGCATTAGGTTATTAGGTTATTATAGTGGAGAGGGCAATCACGGATGGGGATAATTTTGTTGAGGGAGCGGGGATTATGGACGTGCGTATCTACCCGTATGAATGAGTCTCTCGTTTTCGTTAAGTTTGTTAGGTGTAGGTTTGTAGAGGGTCGGTCTCTCGGGGATGTAATTTACATGCATTGACATCGGATTGAGTTACTTCACGGAGATCGGGTGCTTCGTCCGACCCTTGCCAGCACCTGAAGGAAACCTAGACAGGGGTTCATTATTTTCAGGGTTCACTTGTGCAACTGCTACAGTACAATAGTAGTATAAAGTCCGTGTGGAACCGGAGAATTATCGATGTTTCTCGGGGTAAAAGGTCCAAACCGGTAAAGTCCAGAATCATCAATTGTAAATTTGTTCATTTCATTCGTGCTTCTCGTCTGATCGTCAATTGGGGGACACACTAAGTGCGCTTATACATCATGACTAAAAGATCCAGATCCAGATCCAAGAATAAACCCCATCGCCTGCTTATACCAATGAAACACCAGGCCAGACCAGACCAGACCAGATCCCCAAAAAGAAAAAAAAAGTAAGAAACTAAAAAAGGAAGATCCAAATAAACCTTTCTAAACGATTGTGTCCCTGTCCCCGGAGGATAACTTCAGCCCGGAGGATAAATCCCCTCAAAAACACGAAAACGAAGAAACAAGAAACAACCCAAAGAAGCAAGAGACGTGCTAATAGTAGAAAGAGGGATATCATATTCATAGTAACGTAAACGCCTCGAGCGCATCCATGAACCCTGCAATCGCGCCGATTCCCGCCAATCCGCGAGTGGCGCTGCGAGTCAAAGCCTTGTGTCGTTCCTTCGCTTCTTCACGTGAGGATCGCCGGTGCGAGCGGCTCGGAGACCGTTGTGCGGAACGAGGCGGCGAGGGTCGGACGCTGAAGCTAGACTCGGGTGATGAGGTAGAAAGCGGGTACGCCGAGGGGTGGGGCCGTGGTTGCAGGAGGTTGTTGTAGTTGTTGCTGTTGTAGTTCTGCTGTCGGCCATCAAATTGACCCGGTGGTGTGGCCCGTGGTGACGGGATGGGCATTGACCCTGCAGGTACATTGGGCTGGGGATTTGGAATTGATCGCGGTGCCGTCTTGGTGAAGTCTTGGCTTGGGTGGTATCGATAGGGTTGTAGAGGAGGTCCGGGGATATGAATTGGCGCGGGCTTGCTTTGTGGAGGAGGTCCTTGTGAACGAGGGATAGACTGGGTTGGTGGTGGTGGTGGAGGCGGCTGGAAGGTGTACGTTGATGGCCCTCGGTCTGAGACTGGACTAGGCGGGTATCTCGACGAAGAACTGCGATTGTCGTTTATGGTAACATTCTTCGGTGGTTGACGAGATGTAGATCGTTGCTCGCCTTCGTCACTGGAATCGGTTATTCTCGGATTCTTGGAACGAGCTCCTGCTCGACGCCGTTGGCGCTCATCGGCCTCGGGATCGCTTTCAACATGTGCCTGGTAGCTGGAATATCTCTGGCGTAGCTCGGCTGCATGCTTGCGGGCCTCTTGTGAATGAGGCTTGCGCCAATTATTCGTCGTGCCTTCGAGATAATAACCGTGGGAGCTATGGCCATCCCAGTCGATATCGTCCGAGTCGTCGTCACTATCAGACGAAACATATGCCCGCGGCTGACTGGACTTCGTTTTATCTGGCGATGGCTTCCTGACAGCTAACAGCAGTGAAGAATCCAGCGATGGTACCCAAATCAGCAACAAGCGATTCATTGCCCCCTCTGAAAGATGAACCATGTCCTTTGGTGATCGTTCCAGATTAGCCAATCCCACGTCACTGTCTCCAAATGTCACCACCGGAAGTTTCGAGAGATCCGAGCCTTTAGCTGCCGTCACTAATGATCTCATCGCAGAGGCCGTGCTTGAGGAATGGTTGGATATGATCTTCTGGTTCGTCGGATCATTCGCAGCATCCACAGCCTCCTGCGCGACGAAATCCCATAGGCGATCTAGGCGTTTCAAAGACCAGTATCTGACAATGATCATGTTCTGCATCTCGGCTTTTTCTTGTGCAATAAGATCCTCTGCGGCGAGTCCCGAGGCCGTCAAGTTGGCGCCTTCGTTCACTGACTTGAGTAAGTCACCCAGTTGCAGGATCCGCGTCATCACGATTAAGCTCAGTTTGAGAGAGTCCAGTTGCGCTAAGAGGTAAGTGACGTGCTGTTTTCGAAAACACCACTTCAGTCTTTCCTGCACTGGAATCCTGCTCAAATCCTCGTGGGCATCTGTGCCTTGCAGTTTGTCCAGCATGTGCTCGATTTCGACGAAGACCATCTGTCCCTGGCTGGCGATTTCCCAGGCCTTCTCAGTTGCCTCGTGGGTTCGGCCGAGTTCTGTTTTTTCGAGGGCCTGCCCAAGATGCTTCAGTGTCAAGGCAAAGAGCGAGATGCCCTTGGCGATACTGTGAATCTCTATTCTGGACTGTGCAAGTTGACATGCTGCCGCGTTGAGGAGCAGCGAGAGTCGAAAGCCCGCGCCCGCCACCCGGATGATGGAGGTCTCGGGGCCTATCATGAAAGAATTTCCTCGTTAGCGCCTTGTTCCAAAGCCTGTGGAGTGCAGAATCAGACTTCATACCTTGTGCCATCGCTGGAAGGTGTATCTCTCAATAGCAGTTCAGATAAATGTTTCAGGTCACGTAGTAGAGGGGCAGAAAGCAGTCAAGTCGTGGAGAGAGAAGGATGAAACAAACGAACATGACGCGCAGGCCCGAGATCCCTCAGGACTGCAGTCGCCACGGGCCTAACATTAAATGTACCCGTGGCCTCCAGACTATTGGACCCGGGGTAGTCAACCCCCTCCTCTCTTCTTCAGAGCCGCAAGTGTTCTGCATATCAAGTGACTCAAAACCCGGCTGTCAGCGTCCGAGCCCCCGCATGACGCCATGGCTGGAGCCGGGATATTGAGGGACAGCCTCTCTTTGGCCTGAAAATGGGCAAAGCAGCCGATCTGGAGCCTATCCCGCGCTAGTGCGGGCGAAGACAATGAGATTCCCCGGTGATACACAGGCCAGGGGTTGAAAAGTCAGGCCAAAAGTACACCTTGTTTATGCACTGCCTCGAAGAGCAGGGAATCAGATGCGATCGTGTTGAACCGTGATCGGCATGACGTTCCGCCGGACTATGGCCTCGTATTGACGGCTGCGCCTTTATCAAGGCTGTCCTCGCCCAGCACCCAGCACCTGGTCGCCTTGCAAAAGGGTGTGTGCATGATGCAGTGGACACGGAGGGTTATCACCGGGGCTCTGCTCGGGCCGAAGATGAACGGGTCATCTCATCGTGATACGGGTGATTCCTATCGTGCTATTGTGGTTGCACACGATGGCGAAGTTGATGTTCGAGGATCAGCAGGCAGTCAGGAAACAAAGAAATGCCGAAGTAGTCTCCTCAAGGATATGATTCTCGACGTCTGACGTCTGACAGGCAGTGCAGATACGATCTTGAAGGTATCGCGGGGCTGATGTATACCTCGGCGCTGTACTTTCGAGGAAATTGGGCTGTTTTCATGAGTGGATTAGTATATCGAGTAGCTTGTATGATGGAGCTCTCTAAGCTGTTTACAGTATTTGTAGTCAACTCAACATTCCCACTGACCACATTTCCGCTTTCGGCACCTGATCAGTGGTTGGTCGTGATCTTTACAAGTCCCTCGTCTTTGTTTTATTCCAATACTAGGGCTCTCTACCTTGATGAGCAATATTGCTTTTCTCCAACCTCCAATCGCAGTCTATCCCGATATACAGCGAGTCTGTGCCGATCGGGACTTTGTTCTACTGGCACAATTCGGCCCCGCCGCGCAATCTTCCACCCCTCACAAGTCACCCAACCTCCTTTTCCCGCGTACACCCTCGTCATCAGCGGAGATTTCCCCAGTCCGATGACCACCAACTGGATCCACCATCATCGGACCCTGGGGAATTCAACATAACATCGTCTTGCGCTGTGGGATTGCTAGTATTTGGGTATTTGGGCCGAATGGGCGAACCCCCTGGTTGTTGAGCTAGGAACGTGCGAAGGAACATACAGAGAGCCTGGGACTCCGAAGCACCACTCGAGCTTGGAAGCGCATTCTGTCCATGTGAAATCATGCCCGCTGAAGGTGTCACTGTCGGCGCCACCTCCGACCAGACTGCTTCGTCGACACCCGCCTTATCGACTACGCCGCAGCCTAATGTCACGGGCGCAACCTCCTCGAACGATGCTGGCAACGAGAAGGAGGGTATAAACGTGCAGGAAGGGACAGGGTCGAAGTCAACATCGGATACAAAAGCGGAGGAATCAAAAGATGCTCCGGAAGAGCTGGATGACTTTGGTCTTCCGATTCGACCGCGATCAAGGCCCGACCTCTCTGAAACCGATGAACCCGAAGATAAAGCTGCCAGTTCGACAGAAACACAAGACGTGAAGGAGAAGGTTGTGGAAGTGAACCAGGAAGCTTCCAAGAGCAAATCAGAGCAAGAGACCGAGACTGTTGAGAAAGAGTCAGACAAGGAATCGGCACAGGATGACAAAAAGGCCGATTCCAAAGAGCACGATGCTGCGTCCAATGAGGAGCCTCACGATGAAACTTTCGCACCTCCACCTCCCTACCGCAAGTCAATCTCGAAATCAAAAGACACGCAACCCTCGGAATGGTCGCACCAACGTATGACACAACCGCAAAATGATGTCGAAGAAAGCGAAGAAGAGGAAGACGAGTGGAAGGCAATGCCTGCTCTTGGAGAGATGGACTACTATGATGATTACGGAAGGCTCATCGCTCGCGGCGATAAAGAAGAAGATGACGAAGCCGTGTATAGTGGATTGGGTGGTGCTGGGAAAGGATACACTCGAGTTCAGCTTGACGAAGATGCTCAATCTGCCACCAGCATGGATGAGGATACAAGCTATCTTTTCCGCGAGGCGGCTGGAAACTCCGCGGGCTTTGTCGGCGAAGAGCTCAGGGACACTGTCAGCCAGCTCCAGGCTACGAAGGACCTTCTAAACGAGACACAAAAGATCGCTTACGTGGGTGTGGTCCGCCTTACAATCCATGAGATGAACCTGGAGCTTGGCAAGTTACCCACGACCAAGGCATCCCGCAAGGTGATCCTAAAAGCCCAAGATGCCCAGAGGAAGTGGGGCCAAACGATGATGGGGCGGTTATATATGCACATGGATATCAGCCCTGCCGAGCAAATCATGATCGAGCAGCTTGCTGAACATGGGGTGCAACCGGGAGATCTGGTTCGTCCGCTTATGCAGAATGCACGTGTAAAAAACCCCATGGCTGAGGACGACCCGAAAACGTCAATATCTTCCATCTCATCTCCGACCCTGGGTAATGGCCCCCGATCCCGGGTGTCTACAGAGACTGAGACCTCTGACCTTGGCTCTCCGCCGCCCTACGAAGCTCATGCGAATGATGAAGACGTTCCAGAAGTCCACACTCCCTCTCAACTGCCGACATCTGCGAAGATCGACATCGACCTTCGATGGACGGTTCTCTGCGATCTTTTCCTCTTGTTGATTGCCGACTCGGCCTATGATTCCCGATCTCGGACGTTGCTCGAAAGAGTTGGAGCGAGTATGGATGTGACCTGGTTGCAAATCTCTCGATTCGAGAAGCGTGTCACGGACGCTCTGGAAATGCAAGAAGAAGCCGAGAAAGAGACCTGGGATGAATCGGATCACATGGAAAAGCGTCGAAAGGCCAATCTAAAGCAGAAGTATATGATTATGGGCCTTGCAACAGTCGGTGGCGGTCTCGTCATTGGTCTCTCGGCGGGGCTTTTAGCTCCTGTTATCGGAGCTGGTCTTGCTGCTGGTCTCACTACCGTTGGCCTTTCCGGTACAAGTGCATTCTTGGGTGGAGTTGGCGGTACTGCGCTGATTGCCTCGAGCGCTACTCTCGGTGGAAGCGCTATCGGTATGAAGGCTTCCCATCGGCGGATGGGTGCGGTCCAAACATTCGAATATCGACCCCTTCACAACAATAAAAAGTTGAATTTGATCGTGACTGTCTCTGGCTGGATGACCGGTAAAGTCGATGACGTCCGATTGCCTTACAGTACCGTGGACCCTATCATGGGTGATATATACTCGGTTCTCTGGGAGCCCGAGATGTTGCGCAGCATGGGTGACACGATCAATATTCTTGCGACAGAGGTAAATACTGATCCTATACTCATATCAGCCACGAGAATGACGACTGACTGACTTGCCTCTCTCTAGGCGCTTACGCAAGGCTTACAGCAAGTCCTGGGTAGCACTATATTGATGGCTCTTATGGCCTCGCTGCAACTCCCACTCGTTCTCACCAAGCTTGCCTATCTTATTGACAATCCTTGGAATGTGTCGCTGGCTCGTGCCAACGCAGCAGGTTTGGTCCTGGCCGACTCCTTGCAGGATCGCAATCTTGGCAATCGCCCCGTTACGTTGATGGGTTTCTCTCTGGGTGCACGTGTCATCTTTTCCTGCCTCAAGGAGCTAGCTGCCAAGGGTGCTCATGGGCTCATTCAGAATGTCTACCTTTTCGGCTCCCCAGTCGTAGCCAGCAAGGATGAATACCTCAAGGCCCGCAGCGTAGTCTCTGGCCGGTTTGTCAACGGATACTCCAAAAATGACTGGATTTTGGGATACCTCTTCCGAGCAACGAGTGGTGGTATCATGCGTGTGTCTGGACTGGCACCCATTGAAGGAATTCCAGGTCTGGAGAATGTCGACCTGACTGAAACGGTCAACGGTCACATGGACTACCGTGCCGCGATGCCTCGTATCCTCAGGCAGGTTGGATGGGAGGTTCTCGAAGACGAATTCGCAGAAATCGAGGACCCCGATCCAGACAACCATGCTGAACGACAACGGGAGCTTATTCGCGAGATTGACGAGGCTCGTCGGAATGCCGAGTTGAAGCCGGAAAAGAAGCGCTTTGGCCTGTTCAAGCGTGGCAAGATGGCAGAGAAGAAAACATGGGAGACGTATGATGTTGATCGCAACTCTTCACCTCACAACCCTGCCGAGCCAAACAGTGCCCCAGGTTCCATTCTCTTCGACATTGAAGCCATTCGTGCTGAATTGGCCTCTGAAGCGATCGAAGTCAAGCAACTGGAATCTACACTTCCCCCAATGAAGCTAGATCTAAACCGTCCTCCCGAGCAAGCGTGCACTCAACCAGTGACGCCGATTGAGAGAAGTCAAACGCCAAAGGCGCCCGAGGTGCCAGCTCTGCCTCGCACAGCGTCAGAGCCGCAGCTCCCGACGGAAAATCACCCTACTCGCGCCACGACTAATCCTGTGCCTTCACACAAGGAAGTGCCAATTGAAATGACCTTTGATACGCCTTCGCGACCCGAATTGCAGTCTTCATCTATCATGCCGTTAGGCATTGGCGCTACTGCACTCGGAGCCATGGCCATGGAACACAATGCCTGGGCCGATGGACATGATGATGGCGAGATCCAGATGACTTTTGAATAATGACGGGGATACTCGGTTCTTTTTATATCAGCTCTTCCCCTTTTGCTTGAAGACTTCCGTAGCCTTTACTGGGATTCTAGAAGGAGCATCGCTCTGCATCGGCGTTTGGGAGATTCAATGTGTATATGTCTGTAAGGCTGTCATGTATAGTGACAATGAGCGAAAATAAATAGGCAGCTTTGATTCGATGTCTGATTATCTTTCATCTTGTACTCCGTAGATGTTCTTAGTTCGTGCTTAGCTATGCATCTATTCGATGGACTGCACGTCTCCGCTTTGTGGGGCCTTTTCCTCTGTTGGCGTGTCACGCGTGTTCCCCTCACGCATTGCCTTTTCCCAGTCCAATTCGCAATTCCAGGAATCCCCGGGCTTGACTGGTCTTTCTGGTGGTATCAATTTCTCGAGACTTCTCTGTATAGTCGAGTGCGTGTCCCTATCGACCGTTTCGCGTGATCGACGCGACCCGATCCGCGACCTCTTATCGGTGCGCGTAACCGCGGGTCTCATCCGTTGCCAACCTCTCCCTCCAACGCTCCGATCGCGACGTGCCCTACTTTCTACGATGCAAACACACGCAAAGCCTGATTCGAGCCATGCTCCGACTCGCCTCCGCAGAACAGACAGACTCGAGAGACATTTACATTCCGTGTTCAACAAGAAGGAGGCGAAAGAGCCCGAGCCAACACCTAAGAAACCCGGGTCAACGCCTAAGAAACCGGAGCCCACAATACATGAGCTACCTACTTCAAGCGATGATGATGAAGAACTGAGCGACCTGGAATCTGCGGATCTCGGGTCTGAGCCCGAGTCTGGATCGCAACAATCAAAGTCGCGGGACTCAGACTCGGGGAAATCTAGCTCGCAGGAACCAAAGACCAAGCACAAGGCCGACAATGAACCCGCGACGGACGCTGAGCCGCAAAGTACCAGCGAGGAAGAGATCAGTGATGAGGATCTCGATTTCAAGAGACCAAAGAAAAGAACACTTGAGACCTATGAGGAGAAGAAGCTCGGAGGCAGGGGCGGGATGGGCGACAACGAGGAGCCTTTTGCGATGTGGTCGTCCCAAAGCTCCAAACGAGCCAAGACCAGCAGATACGGGTCAGCAGCTTCATTTTCGCGAACTGCAAGCTTCGCCCGTTCACCCGCCACTCCCGATAAGAGCTCTCCGCAGACCATGTCACAGACTATCAAAGCGAAGGGTAAGAAGACGGACAAAAAGTCTAGCCCCGACTCGCAGCCGGACGACGACATTATATTTTCTGGGGAAATAAACTCCTCTTATCCAAAGATATCAAAATCCTCCCCCAAATTCAAATTACCCCCTCCCGTCCCCGCCAGTTCCAACGCCAATTCAACTCTACCCGCCTCGTCCTTCAAAGAATCACTTTCCATGGACATTGATGGTGACGACGAATCCCCCCTTTCGACTCTCACTTCCCCACCCAGCTCACCATCCGAGGTCGAAGAACCAGTTGAATCATTATGTCCGATGTGCAAAAAGGAAGTAGACCCTGAACTACTCAAGGCATTCCGCGCGCAACCAAAACAACGAGTTCGGGAACAACAAAAGTTTTGTGCGTCTCATCAACAACACACTGCTGAGAAGGAATGGGAATCACAAGGCTACCCTACCATTGACTGGGATACCCTGGACAAGCGGGTTCAAAAACACTTCCCCGCACTTGAAAAGCTTCTCGTCCCAGATTGCTCCTCTTATTATCGCAATATACTGGATACTGCGCTCAAGAGTGGGAAAGCGCAAAACTTTCGTCTCACTCTGGCCGGTGACGGACTTGAGACCATGTCTTGTGGATATTATGGGACAAAAGGATCCGGGAAGATGTAAGAATCCCGCCATGAAGTTGTTGTCAATTGACAAGCACAAGCCCAGTACTGATATCTCGCCAGGTTGCAACTTCTCACTGATCGTTTCGCGGTGAAACTACGCCGTTTGGCTACATCAGACCATATTGTCAAGCAGGCCGGTGTCGTCGGCTACGCCCAGTCCGTCCTAGTCCCAGAATTGGCAGTCCGCCTCGTCAAAGAGGATATGGGAGTCAACGACGATGCTGCTCGTCAAATTCTTCGAGAGAGTATTGCCCTAGGCGAGAAGCTGAACCCCGCACTGGACGATGAAATCGGGATTCCAGAGGATCTCGCAGAGCCCTTTGAAGACGACGATTGAGCTCGCTTCTGAGACATTCTCGTTTTCAACTATCAACTATCCTGACCAACCTTGTATCTCTCTTATAGTTTCGGGCCGGGTTGCATCTTTTCCTCATTTTGGTCCTCCATTTGGTCTTAGCGATTGTATATGATAGCACTCGTGATACCATGTCGCTGTATACTGTTTGTGATATACATTTCTTTTCCGGTCTTTATTAGCCAACGTGTATTTATTCGGTAACTGATAATGACAGTCTCCGACTATCAAACTTTAAAATGGAATGTGGATCTTCATTCATAGCGGGTTTTCCGGATGTTTGTGTTTGTCTACTCCAGCCTGGCTGTTCCATCTCCAACTCAAAGGTCAAGCCATCCCAGTATCACCAGGAAATAAATCACAAATATTCGTCGAGGTTTTGAACCCGGGTCAATCAATCTCCCCATAATCACGCCAGATGTACCTTGAATGCCCTCACGCCTCGCCCTTCACCCGTATCAAAATACCACCACCACCCTCAAACCTCACTTTTTATAATTTAATAAACCCATATTTTCAATTTTATATCAGAATCGATATGAAAGATACGTCCGTGATATAAGAAAAAAAAAGAAAAAAAGAAGAAGAGAGGACCAATCACCCACATCCAGTAAGGTTGAATTGGCCGGATGTACATCAAGTAGGCCTTCTCCAGGGATAAGGCGCCAAGACACCAGGGGTACTAGGACGCGATCACCTCCGCCGCAAACTAGGTCGCTGGGGACATTGGACGCATGCGCTATTCAACTAGACCACAGGGGCAATTGGTTGAAGGGGAGACTTTTCAAGAGATCATAAGGGATGGCAAAAAAGAGGGTTGGGTTGGTGGGTGGAGGTGGGTTGCGCCTGCCTAAGATGGAAGGAGGAATATTACTATGTATTTTGATTTATTACGTAGAGTTTGCGTTTTATAGGAGGTTCTTACTACACCTGAACTACCTACTCTATCATTTCGCGCATATAGGACGCCTTGATGATAGACACGCTACCGTTTCTGCCACCGATATGTAAAAAACATGCTTCATAGGCAAGACATTCCCTAATTCGTTCTAGAATTAGTCAAGGATAATATATTTCAAGGAATCACAGGTCGACCAAGATCTACTTTGATCCTATTTTGAACAGTCCCTCAATAATATCTCGTCGAGTATCATTCGGACTGGTACTACTATAGAATAGCAACGCATCACGATAAAGATCAGGATACCCTTCTGCATAACTCCGGGCATCTTCCATAATCATATCAAATACACTAGTTTCATGCAATATGAACGAGTCACCCCCATTATCGCGTAGATCGGTGTAGATGCCATCTTTGGCTTGTCCATCAATATGGTATCGGGCATAAATTGCATCGCCGTAGCGCTCTTCTGTAATAGCCGTGCAATACTGCGATTCGAATGGTTCAACGCGTGGTAATTGGATAGCGAGGACGTCGGAGACATGTAAGTCCAAGAAGAGCTGTTCAGGTAGCGATGAGTCCATGCCTCCCCGTATGCGGTAAAGGCACGATCTTAGGAAGCCAGTGTGGAAGGCGTGTAGATAGGAGGATATTGCTTGGTCAATTAATAGAATATATTTATGGATTGTCTTGGATGAGACTGAGAAAGTGGTTAAAAAGAGGATAGGGAAAGTGGATGTGGCTGTTCTAAACGATCTAGTGCGATCTAGATGGGAACCGCCTTCTATTCTGCCATTGCGTACGCCATTCCTAATCCGATTGACAGAAAGACATACAGAGACTTCTCTCCATTGGGCCCAATCCTACTACGGTCTGAATTCCATGTACTGTAAATTATATTCTACCTTCAAGTGGATCCCTGGATCTCCTCATCCAGGCGGCCCATCCCGCGAGGCGTGGTTAGTAAGCCGATAACGCGATAAAGTGCGGAGAAGAGCTGCTCGACAACCCTAGCTGCCCTTCATTCTTTCTTTTTCTCTCCTTTTACATCCTGTCAAAGATGAGAGAGAAAAAGGAAATGCCATACTCAGAGACAACACCTCTGCTCGAGGTCAATATCGCCCCTCGGCGACCTCGATACCCTCATAATGCCCTTCGTCGAACATGTACCGGTCTGCTTGGCACACTCTTGGTGATCGTCGTCATCCTCTTTTTGATCCCGTCCGCCATTCTACCCCGCGAGCACGGCTCGATCTGGTCCTATCTACCAGGTGCCAACCCATTCCCACATGACGCCTGGCCTCAAGGCAATGGTCTACCCTATGATCAACTCCAACAGATCCTCCTCAACACCCCATCCGCGGCCAAGGCCCGTGAGTGGAGCGAGTACTATACCGCCGGGCCCCACTTGGCAGGCAAGAACTTGAGCCAGGCGCTATGGACGATGGATAAGTGGAAGGAATTCGGCGTGGAGGATGTATCTCTTGCATCTTATGATATCTACCTGAATTACCCACTGGACCATCGATTGGCCCTGCTCAAGAAGTCTGGGGATGATATCGAGGTAGCCTTTGAGGCTACCCTGGAGGAGGATGTGTTGGAGGAAGATCCTACTTCGAGTTTGCCTGATCGGGTCCCTGTTTTCCACGGGTACTCGGCCAGTGGTAATGTCACGGCTCAGTTTGTGTATGCCAACTTTGGTACATACTGGGACTTTGAGGACTTGGTGAATGCCAATGTCACCCTGAAAGGCAAGATTGCTATTGTCAAGTATGGGCGAAACTTCCGTGGTCTGAAGGTGAAGCGTGCGCAGGAGCTTGGCATGGTTGGCGTGCTCATCTACAGCGATCCCCAGGAGGATGGCGAGATTACCGAAGAGAATGGCTACGAGGCTTATCCTAACGGCCCAGCCCGTAACCCTAGTGCCATTCAGAGAGGCAGCACGCAGTTCCTGAGTACGTACCTCATCTATCATTTAACCAATCAAATTATAGCTCGACTAACATTAATGAAAAGGCATTGCTCCTGGTGATCCCACCACTCCAGGATACCCATCCAAGCCCGGCTGTGAGCGTCAAGATCCTCACGGCTCTATTCCATCTATTCCTTCACTTCCAATTTCATACAAGGAGGTCATTCCATTCTTGAAAGCTCTAAATGGTCATGGACCCAAGGCCTCGGACTTTAATGAGTACTGGCAGGGCGGTGCCCTTGGCCACAAGGGCGTGAAATACAACATTGGACCCTCGCCAGAGGATATTGTTATCAACCTTGAGAACCAGCAGCAGTATGTGACCACTCCCTTGTGGAACGTGATCGGTGTCCTGAAGGGTTCCATTCCGGACGAGGTCATCATCCTGGGTAACCACCGGGATGCCTGGATTGCTGGCGGAGCTGGAGACCCGAACAGTGGTTCTGCCGCCATGAATGAGGTCATTCGCAGCTTTGGTGAAGCTTTGAAAGCCGGATGGAAGCCACTGCGCACTATTGTCTTCGCCAGTTGGGATGGCGAAGAGTACGGCTTACTCGGTTCGACCGAGTGGGTGGAGGAGAACCTCCCTTGGCTGTCCAAGGCTAATGTCGCCTACTTGAATGTCGATGTGGCTGCTTCTGGCACCCACTTTGGTCCTCGCGCCGCACCGCTGCTGAACCAAGTTATCAACGAGGTGGCCGGTCTCGTGCCGCACCCGAACCAGACTGTCCCTGGCCAGACGGTCCGTGATGTTTGGGATGGTCATATCTCGACCATGGGCAGTGGCAGCGACTTCACTGCCTTCCAGGACTTTGCAGGTGTGGCCAGTCTAGACTTTGGCTTCAGTCACGGAAAGGGTGACGCCGTCTACCACTACCACTCGAATTACGACAGCTTCGCGTGGATGGAGAAGTATGGCGATCCCAACTGGTCTTATCATCTCGCTACCACGAAGCTCTGGGCTCTGGCTGCCGCACGACTGGTGGAGTCGCCCGTGATCGCGTTCAGTGCCGGCGACTATGCTGCCGGACTGGACTCGTATTTGCAAACAGTCAAACCCTCTGCCGGCAAGCTGCCAAAGCATGCCCACTTTGACTTTGATCGTCTCGACCGGGAAATCTCCAACTTCCAAGCGGCCGCGACCGCATTTGATGCCTACGCCGCATCGCTAGCCGAAAAGTTGAACGAGAATGTCCCCTGGTACCACTGGTGGAAGAAGGTCCGTCTCTACTTCCTGATCCGCGGTGCCAACGATAAGTATAAGTACATCGAGCGATCATTCCTTTACCAGCCCGGTCTGGACGGACGCAACTGGTTCAAGCACGTTGTGTTTGCGCCTGGTATTTGGACCGGCTACTCGGGAGCCACCTACCCCGGACTGGTGGAGAGTCTTGATGACGGCGATGTGGAGAATGCCAAGGTGAGTGACAACTTTGATTGTATCTGTGGGACATTTTCCACGAGGGAAGACTCGTTTGGCTGACTACATCTTTTCTTTTCTGTAGAAATGGAGTCGTATTATCCAGGAACGGATTGGTGCGGCGACCAAGCTGCTGTCGTAGTTGGGCGAGATTGAAATCGGAGGGAGGATGGGGGTTCAGTGTGATTGGATGCCGATTACCCGGGCAGGCTTGTAGTGTGCATACGAGGAGTTGTACATGTAGTAAGTACTATATACTGGACTCGGGATAGATGTAGTTAGTTAGTTTGTGGGGTATACTTTGCACGGTGATACACTTTGTTGATGACTGCATTTCTCGATCTATATATCTCGGGTTTGTACTTAGTCTTCCTTGACCCAAAACGAAGATATGAATATCTATATTATTCTGTAAATGCAATGTTCTCCCGCATTTAGTTGAAATGCAACCCCACGACTCTGCTGACGGAAAAGCCCGAGTGGAGACTCTTTTTTTGCCGACAGCCCGAGAGCTGCAGCATCTCCCCCGCCCACTTCGTATAGCACGCTGCACTAGATACAGTAAGGGAGTGGACTCGAGCGTCAACGAGAAACAGAGTCTAACGCAGTCGAGAAAAGACTCGGCACCGGTCAGGCAGCGGCTCGGACCCTCAACGCGGTCGCCGATCTGTGAATACGCCATCAGACCCTCTTCTTCTCTCTTTTCTTTCTCTCACGCTTTTTTTCTCTTCTTTTTTTTTCTCTTTCAGGGTGTTGTGTATTTACGAAGGTGAAGACAATCTTATAAAAAGAAATGCAAAAAGCCAAGCTTCCCGTGCGGCAGCTTGTTATTCTGTGTAAGTTTCATTTCTTTTTTGCCAATAATGACTGCAAATTTCTAAACTGACGGGAATCTTAGCAATATGTCGCTTTGCCGAGCCACGTAGGTCTTTACCTCTCCCCTTGGCCTATGAGATATGCGAAATCTCGGATGATCAATAGATCTATCAGATGGAGAAGTTAGATCTTCGCTGGCCCAATAAGCAATAACTAATGATTATCCCTGATACCAGTCGTCTTCACCTCCATCCTGCCCTACTTGGTATGTCTACACCGCGTCTCAACAGCCTCGGCCATTTCGCCGAGGTTGAATATTTTCTCCCACTACTTTTCCCCTCATTTGATCGCGCTATCCAAGCCTTTCTCCTCTAGCAGAAATCAAACCATATCTAACATTTCCAATACAGCCTGAACTCATCGAATATGTCGGCGTCCCCAAAACCGAAGTCGCCAAATGGGCCGGCATCTCCACCGCGGTCGCATCCGTGAGCCAGGCCCTCATGGCCATACCCTGGGGTACACTATCCGACCACGTGGGCCGCAAACCCATCATACTATCAGGATTAACCTGCACAATGTTAATCTCCATTATGCTGGGCATGTCGCAAACCCTAACAATGGTTCTAATCTCGCGTGCCATGATCGGCCTGATGAACGGTAATGTGGGTATCCTGCGCACGATGGTCGCCGAGATCGTTCCCCAGCGGGAACTCCAACCACGCGCGTTCAGCCTTATGCCGCTCGTCTGGACGATTGGGAGTATCTTTGGCCCCGCGTTTGGCGGGGCTTTGGCGCGGCCGGCGGAGAAACATCCCGATCTTTTTGGCGGGATTGAGTTTCTAAGACGGTATCCTTTTGCGTTGCCGAATCTTGCGTCAGCTTGTTTCTTTGTTGTTGGTATTACGACGGGATGTTTGTTTTTGGAGGAGACTCTTGAGTCGAAGAGGGATCGGTATGATCCTGGTTTGGAATTGGGGAAGGCCCTTACGAGACCGTGTTTGTCGAGTAGACGGCGGCAGGCTGAGTTGAAGGGCGTGGATGAGGAGCGGACGGCTTTGCTTCCTGGTGGAACTCAGGTTCAAAAGAAGATTAAGAAACCGGTGACGCGGCCGAGTTGGTCTGAGATCTTTACTCCTCAGTCGAAACTGATTCTTCTGTCGTATACGTTGATGTCCGGACTCAGTATGGCCTTTGACTCGGTCTTTCCCGTCTTCCTGCATTATCCTGTTCAGGATCTCCATGATAACCCGAATGTGCAATTACCATTCAAATTCGCCAGTGGGTTCGGTGTTGGTCAGTCTTCTATACAATTTTACTCCGCATATAACAAGCACCTAATTAATCTCCTGATCCAGACGCCCCCCAAATCGGCATGTTCTACACCATAATCGGCGTCATCGGCATGTTCATCCAATTCCTCTGCTTCCCACCCATCGCAAAGCGCTACGGAGTCCTAACATGCTTCAAATACTCCGCCATCCTCCTCCCAATAATCTTCTTCATAACCCCCTTCACCGCGCTCGCCCCCGAAAACGTCCGCATCCCAGCCGTCCTCGTCCTCATGCTGGCCAAACTGGGCGCAACAGTCTTCGGCATCCCCTGCTGCACGATTCTACTTACAAACTCCGCCTCCAGCATGTCCGTTCTGGGTACTTTGAACGGTGTGGGCACGAGTGTTAGTGCTTTGGGTCGTGCGGCGGGTCCGGCGTTGATTGGGGCTGCTTTTTCGTGGGGGATTAAGAAGGGGTACGTTATTGTTCCCTGGTGGTTGTTGGGGACGTTGGGGTTGACGAGTGTTATTCCTGCTTTGTGGATTGTGGAGCAGGATGGGCCTTATGGGGGGCAGAAGGAAGAAGAGGAAGATGAGGGAGAGCAAGACGAGGTTTCAATTGAGGAGCCTCGTGTTAATGGATATGGTTCTGTTTCAGTGTCATCGGTTGATACTATTAAAAAGGTTACTCGTGGAGATTGAAGGTATGTAATAATGCAATTGAAGGGTTGAAGCAGGTGTTCTATTGTGATGAGCATATTTCGGGCGCTTATGGATTAAGTTCCTCCTGCATGGATGATGGCATGTCATGGATGATTAAAAATTGTATATGCATGATGAGACTACTAGATTGTATGGAATGAGAAATATCTGTTCTTATAATCCTTGTGAACTTCTACTCTAGCCCTGGCCCGAATTATACCACAGAACAGCTGCAGGTCTTATAGTTTGTGATCTCCAAGAAGAGAGTGGAGTGCACATCAGTCAGTAGTCGTAATCCTGTACTCTAGCCGCGCTGATCCCAGATCGCCAAGCCTGTCAATCGATCCTACAGTATGGTGCAGAGGTAAAATTGAGTTGGAAATCTATTATGCGCCACTATAACACTTCACCGCAACATCGAACCTAAGAATCGATAGTTCATCTGGAAGATGGTGATCAGTCTCATGACCTCTATCAGAGTGTAGATCAATATTTCTTGCTTCAGCATCCACCTCTGGTAGTGGTACACTTAAAAACAAGTACTATTTCCTACCTCTCTCATCATCTTTTCTCACACCCTCTGAGTTCACTCACCAAAACAACATCAATACTCTCTCATTCACACTGAAAATGCGACCAATTCAGGTTATCTACGCCTTTCTCCTGGCCACCACGATGACACTGCCAACCCATGACGACCAGGTTAACGGCCAAGTACTTAACGTGCTAAAAGAGCGTCAGCCTCTTCTTTGCTGCGTGAGTGATAGACTAATTACTGATGAGATAACTGTGTGGATAGAGGCTGATAGAATATGACTGGCGGCCTCCTGATGGCTGTCCTAAAAAAGGAGTAAGTGATTGTTTCCCTCACAGAGAAACAATGACTTTATATGCAGAAGCTAATACAGCGTGACGCAGTGTGATGAATGGAAGTGAAGGCCTCTCTGGCTGCTGAATAATGACTGTGTGGGCAGAGGCTGATGGAGTGTGACGGGCATTATTGAGTTATTGTGAGTGTTGGGCTTCTATATAGTTAAGAAGTACTTCATTCATGACGCCGCTAACTGTTCATAAGTAAATGCGAACGATTAATGGACGGCATTTTGGCTTGGTCAATGTGAACTGCGATTTGAAAGGTCTTTCAATCTTTTACCCCTGTGGGTAGAGAGCTTTTGATCTAGCCTTGATGTGCATTTTCTCCTATGTGATACACTGGACGTCAGCACTTGGTCTGTTCGCTGTTGGATCAATTCTTGAAATGTTACTACCCTGAGTATATTCTGGATATACTTCGGCCTCGGCTTTCCGAACCCCCGGGCTAGACTCCGCACGTCATCTGACTAATCAATGCCCGCACCTCGGGCCTTTCCCCAGGTAACCCAAAGTAAATAGTGTAACTACATCTCCAACATCTCCTCATCTCACCACCTCACCTGAACAATTAGAACCTACACCACCCAAATCACAAAAATGGTACCTGCCCTCCCCTTAGCCTCCCCTTAAGCCCCCTTAACCCCCCACAACCACAACCACTAACCCCTCCACAGTCCTCCTCCACCCTCCCAACAACATCCGCCCTCCTCCTCTCCCTCCTAACTTCCCTTGGCGGCGCAATCGGCTACGCCCGCACCGGCTCAATCCCCTCAATCGCAGCCGGCCTCTCCGTCGGCGCCCTTTACCTCCTCAGTTTCCTGCGTCTGCGCGCGGGGCAATCCTACGGCGAGGAGATTGGGTTGCTCGCGTCGACTGTTTTGGGGGGTAGTTCGATTCCGAGGGCTATTAAGAGCGGGAAGCCTGTGCCGGTGGGGTTGAGTGTTTTGGCGACGTTTGGGGTTGTTGTTTTTGGGTTGGCTTTGAAGGAGAAGAGGGTTTAACTTTTAGACTTGAGAAGTTGATCTGGGAATTGGGGAGTAGGAGGGTGGTATGATGTTTTATGGTGATGGGTATTGGAGGTGTTGATCCTCTTTTACTTCTTTGGTGTGTTTCTAGCGAGGTACTCTATCAATGCCATGGATTTGATCAGGCTTTTGTGGGGTCTTCTGGGTAGTGAGGATGTATGGGATATTGAAATGGGGATGTAATCTACAATTGGAACTGCGTGGTAGCAGCATAGGGAAAATAATGATCTAAATTATGCATTGAAACCAACAAAGGGTGATTGGCCTACCTCCGGAACGCCAAAGATAGATAGAACTTACATCATGAGCGGCATGACATGGCATTGTCGATCCTGCAGGGAGAAGAACCCACCTTGTCCAGACCCGAGTCCAGATCTGATGCCACCGAACAAGAAAGAAGAGTTTTGGGAGGTGAAAGGGAAGGCAGAAAGAAAAAGAAGACTTTGACAGGGCTGAAAGACGTACGTCGGATCAATTCATCACAGTCCATTGGCGGTCAACGGGACTCACCGATAAACCACACGCCGTGGCAGATCGAGAATCTTCTCAGTGCATCGGGGTTGGCAATTGCATGCTCATGTTCATCTTGTTCGCCAGAACTACTAATGGATCAGGGCAAGTAACGAAACACAGCCAGCCAAAACCAAATGATCATGTGTAGCTAGAAGTATGCGTCGACTTAGCTGAGGTCCGTAGCCCAGTCTTTCATTCATCCTCCTGGCGATGCGCAATGAAAGCACTCTTGTTTTCTTCTCGTTTTCGTTCTTCGAATTCTGGAAAATCGTGTATCTTCCCAAGGTCCCGATCTTGGGTTTCGCTTTTCGTTTCAGTCGGTGATGCTGAGATGGGAGCTTTACTCAAGCGTTCCGCTTTAATGCGCCGGGTCGATGACCTTGTCCTGGTCGCGAATCGTGCCCACAACAATTGAGCCGGGGATCTCGCCAAGCGCGGTCTCTTGCTGGAACATCTGTCGTGAAAAGGCATATCGCGCGAGCTTGGCCATTTTCTCTTCGGGGCTGACGTTCTCGTCTGAATAAATCATCCGAGTATTCTTGGCCTTGTCCTTCTTGGCTGGCTTCTCCGCTGCGGCAGCTTCCTTGGCTGCGCTCGAAATCAAATCATCAACGGAAGACGAGACCCCGCCCGGTGTTTGAGTTGCGTTGCCATTGGAGTAGCCAGGCGCTGGTGCGGGCGGGGCTGGGTGACCCATGTGCATCTGTTGCATTTGTTGGGCGTTGATAGGAGGCGCGGCGAATGCAGGTCGTTGAGGGAGGCCGGCGAGTGTAGGCAAGCTACCAGGTCGAGGAGGGAGACCGGTGTCTGTTGGAGGAGTGTGTTGTTGAGGGAATGGAGGGGGAGTAACTCCATAGCCCATGGGTGCGGCGGGCTGGAGGTATGGTTGAGGCGAATAAGCGGGGGCATAAGGCGCGGCAGCAACTGGGGACGGTGCGTATGGAGCAGCGCCAGGGGGCGAGAATGACGGGTAAACTGGGCTTGCGGCTTGATGTTGGTATGGGGCAGTGGCGGGGACCGCAGCGCCTCCGTAGGGTGGGGGATAGGTGAGCGAAACTGGGGGCTGCTGTTGGTGTACTGGTGAGGCTGTGGCTGGTGGCTGTCCCTGTATAAGATCTGTTAGTCCTGCTGATTGCATACACTCCCTCGAAAACGAATAACTTACATATGTGGTAGGAGTGGACACAGTCTGTCCGGCACCCAAAGGTGTCGCCTCTCCACTGCTACCGCCAGCAGCGGCCTCGGCACGCTTGGCACGATGCGCTGCCAATCGCGCCTTTAGATCCGAGAAATCCTCCAACTTGGGCTTCTTGTTTGGCTGACCCCCAGCACCGCTGCCAGCTGGTGGGTTACCGGTCACGGCCTGTCGCTCCGCCTCAGCTTGGTGGAACTGAGCCGCCACACGCTGCTGATGAGCCTGGAGAACATCATCGGGAACACCCTCCATACCAAAGATTTCCACATCGAGACCTGACCGGTTGGGCAGAGCATTCTCAATCTCCGTGAGCTGTTCCTTGTGAACCTGGCTCATGTGGACCGATAGACCTGAAGGAGCATGGTGTCAGTGTCTCGTCGTAGATACAGTCGCGTAGGTAAACAGAATGACGTACCACCGGCAGTATTCAGCCTGCGACCACAGCGCTCACATTTGAAGTGCTTGGCCTTTTGGTGCAGGGTGAGGATCTTCAGGTCGTCAAAGTCGCGCTCGCAGTAGTAGCACCACGGACGAGCCATGAGCTCGTCCAACGTGGGACCGCGTCTCTTCTTGCCCATTGTGTTTGCAGGAATAGATAAGTGACAGTCTTGAAGTTCAGGCAGTCCTTGAAAGTGAATGGAGTGAATTCAGACTGTGTCGTTGCGCTGTGACGGGGAAGACAGGAAGTTAAGTGACGCAGCCTAGCACTTTGACGCTGAGCAGAAAGCGGTCAGAGGGTACATTTTCCCAGTAAGCACGTGATTGATAGACACCTAAGGCTGTTCTCGATGCCATTCATTACTGGCTCACGCTAACTATCATACACGGACAGAATGTGAATATAGAAGAGAAAAAGAAATTGTAGAGTACACGTCTAGCCTCCCCGGCCAGACAGAAGTCCCAGCAGCTGTCCCACCCATTGTACACCTTTTTGTGCTAAATAGCACACCCAAACCCACCCCCAATTGCGCCGACTCCAAACACAAAAATACCAGAAAGAAGAAAGAAGAGAAAAATAAAAACAAGACCGCCGAAGCGACCCAAATCGAAACTCCTTTTGCCAGCCTTTTGATGGCTAGGCAAGGCCAAACTGATCATGTACACAAGATGAAAGTAAGCTCAACTCTGCTCGAAGACAAGCAGAGCAGACCTCACCTCATCTATGCAAGGCACACCACTAGACACCTCGGTGATGAGGGTCTCGGGGGGGTGGTGGCCCCGGCATATGCCCCATCCCATACCCCCCGGGTACGGGAATGGTGCGAATTGTGGCATTGGCTGACCCAACCCTGCCACCGGAGGCTGCTGCGGAGCGTATGGGTGATGACCACCGTACATGCTCAGCGATGGCAGGGTTGGGCCAGGAACTGGCACCGGCACAGGCACCAGAGACGGCGGCATACCCACCATGGGCGCCAATCCCATGGGGGCTTTGGGGGCAAGATTCCCTGCGGGGAGGGGAGCCAACGGAGATGAGCCGCCACGACGACGACCCGGAGTGTCCTTAGTCTTCCGAGTCTCGTCGGCCGCCTTATCCGACTCGATCTGCGCCTTGGACCGCTTGGGATTGCGGATTCGACCTTCGCGGTTGAACCGCTCCCAATGGTCCAGCATTGCCTTGGTGCGCTTTGGGTTCTTCGAGTTTAGGATTTTTTGGCGGCGGGCTTCCTCCGGGTCCTCAACCGTGGGAGGCCTTCCCGGGGGAGGGGCAAGGTGAGAGGGGGCTGGCAACGCCTCCGGCATGGGCGAAATGTCCAGAAATGACGATGTGGACTCCTCTGCCGAAGCCGCCGAAGGGGGAGCAACTGGAGGGGTTGTGTTGGTGCTCACAACCGTGCTCGCACCCCGCCTCCCTCGCCCACGCCCCGAACTGGTCGTCTGGGTGGTGGTCGTCGTCGTCTGGGCTGCATCAACAGATGCTCGACCCTCGGCAACGTGACGAGCGGCACCACGACCCCGACCACGCCCACGACCACGGCCCCGACCGCGACCCCGACCACGAGGAGCAGGAACAGTAGAAACTTCCTCCGGCTGGTAGGCCTCGAAGGTGGCAGTACGGCGAGCACCACGGGCTCCTCCACGGGCACGACGCTTTGGCGGGCGAGCTTCCTCCTCAGTCTCGTCTGCATCAGGAGATTCCTGCTGGGTCTCCTCCGTGTCGGTCTTCAAGGAGGTCTCAAGTGCCGTCGCCTTGCGCTTGCGGGTCACCTTGGCCTGAACAGGGGCCTGTGGCGGCTCCCACAACTTGGGAACTAGCTCAACTCCGTCACGAACAACGGGCGTCCAGTTATCTGGGTTACGCTCGCCCGGTGGAACCTTGGAAGCCATCTTTCGTCCCTGTGCTGGGGTTGGGACAAAGCCGCCCTGGACGAATGGGTTCTGGGGGATGCGACTGACTGCGGTGCCGGTGTTGGACTGGTGAGGAGTGTAGCGGTAGCCGTACAGCATGGCCTCCTTCTTGTCCTCAAAGTCAAGATCATGCTCTGGAACTCGGCCCATTGGTTGGCCGCTCCTTCTCTTGGCCGCCTGCAGGAACTCGCGCTTGGTATCCTCGGTGAGGGGAGCCCGGATGTGGCGGTGGGCCCGCAAGTAGAGCTTGTCGAGCGCGTTGTATTCGTTCTGCCAGACCTTCATCGCGAAGCCAGCGGCTTCGGTGGCGGTGTAGAGTTCTTCATATGAGAGTTGATCAGGCTTCTTCAACATCTCAACGAGGTCATCGAGTTGGTTGAGCTCAAGGAACTGACCCCGGTCGACCTTAGTCTTCTTGTAAGGGTCAGGGCGGATCAGCGGCTCCGGTGCTTCGCGCTTCTTGGACTTGAAGCCATGGAATGCGTATTGCCAGGTGGTATCAACCTTGGCCCGTTCCTGTTCATAGCCAGGGGAGAAGGCTTCCACATCGTGGAGAGTCCAGATCTTGGGTAGACGAGTCGCCATTTCGTCTCCTTGCCATTCAGCGACGCGCTGACGGTATTCCTCGGGGAAGTTGCTGCGGGGGTTAGATAGCTTGTTGATGAGTCGGTCCAGTCCCTCCTGTCGTGCTGAGATGGGTTCCTTGGACTTGGCACCGGTGGTGAACTTGATGGACAGCTTCTTGGCATGGACGGTATTGGGTCCGGGTGTGGCATCGCTGTCATTGCCATCGACAGATGGAGCCGCAGTCACTGGCTCGGCCAGGTCTTCCTCGTCAATTTCGGCCTCGTTAGGTTCGCCTTCCTCAAGAGCAGTGACATCATCGAGGCCATCAGCCTCCAACTCGGCCTCGGCTTCCTCAGCTTCGGCAGCGGCTTCGGCGTCGACTTCAGCGTCGACATCGCCGTCTTCTTCGTACTCGGCGCCTTCCAGTTCGGCGTCTTCGATTTCGGCGTCTTGGTCATCTTCTTCGCCGTCTTCCTCGTCGGGGTTGAGCTCATCATGCTCATCATAGGTGCCGTCTTCAGCCTCGTCATACCCCTTTTGAGCCTTGAGTTTTTCAGGGTGTTTCTTGCGGTGGTGGGCTTGAATCGCCTCTTCTTCGAGGCTCTCGTCATTTGGAAGCTCAATGTACTCCCGGCACCAGTGGCATTGGAGCATCAGTGGCTTGCGCTCAGGGGAGTTAGAGAATTGAGTAGGAGTAGATCGAGCACGGAAAGGTTCAGAAAAGTGGCGACGCAGGGGAGAATCCTGGCTATCGCCCACATCGGAGGAAGGATTGTCCATATCGACAAGATCAGCCCGGGGGATAGGGGCCATGTCTGAAAAAGGGAAGTAAAGAAGACACAGTTAAGTGGGATGAAAGAAGAAAAAGAAGGAAGAAAGTGAGCCCCAGTCTATGTATCTTCTAGACCGGCCCAACGTGGCACGCGTCGTGCCGTGAAGTCGAGAGAATGTATGGCGGCGGGATCTGTATAGATGAGTTAGTTTCGGGTGGGCGGTTCGCTTGCGGTGCCAAGACGCCAGTAAAGTAATCGCAGCGCAATCCGGAACCTCGCCCGGGGACAGGGTGAGGTGGACAGTAGGGGATTTTGAGAACATGAAAACACGAGAAATAGAAACCGCGGTATTCAACAGTCACGTCGAAATCACACGATGAGACATGAAGAAAAAGTAGAATGATCATGAAGTGGGTAGAGCAGGGTAGATGCAGACACGGTCGCGGCAAATTGTGTGGATCAGGATCTGACCCGAAGTGTATTTGAGGTACAGGACCAGTGCCAGGTGGGAAAAAACGGGCAAGACACGCGACAACGGGGACTTACCATGAAATAATCAGGAGAATGGAGAAAGTAGAAGCGTCCTCTGCGATGTCCAGATCAATTACTCGTGAACTGGATGGAGGCGCTGAGAGTAGTCACTGGCGTCGCGAGTGAGGTGCCAGGGATGTGTACAACGGGAGTGAGAGAAGATGGCTGGGTGGATTCAGGATGAGAAGCTGTCACCACGAGAAAAGAAGAAAGTGGAAAAGGATGAGAGATGGAGAAAAATCTCGACGAGACGAAAGTCGAACTCGTCAAGAAATCTGTGCAAAGGGAGAAGAGGGATGTTGTGATGCGTGCAGGATGGAGAAGATTTGTATTGTAGATGGGAAGATGGGAAAGGGAAAAAAAGGATGGCACGGCCAAGCGACCGCGAGACAGGGAGAATGAGAAAGGGCGATGTATGGAAGTGTTGGAGAAGAGAAGAAAGATTTGGAGAGAAGATGGAGAGAACAAGTTGGGGAAGAAGAGGATGGAGGATGAAGCTTAAGAAGAGATTTGAGGGTGCAGGTTTAGATTGTACCAGGCTGAGGTGTAGGTAGAGTTAGTCGGGAGTAGGCAATCTTCCCTGTGGTGCTCTCCTGCCTGCCCCGTACTCTTCTGACTGTTTGGTTGGTAGGGAGAGTTAGTCGCCTTGGGTTCAGTGACCATTACAACTTGCCGGCTCCACCAGGCTACCGCAGCCAATCAGCCTGCTACCATTTACTTGGCCACTTTGAGTATACTTGCCTAGGGGAAAAAGAACAATGATCAATTACTGATATTCACCGAGTGTGGGCTAAAAGTCTACCTTGGAAGGCGGCAGTTCATAGGTATCTCGCTGCCTTATTGTTCTCTCCAAGGCACCACCGATCATCCTCCTAGCAAACAACCTGAGGAACTATACACTTCCGAATCGAGAAACGCTTAATCTCCCGCCTCTCCCGAGGACCAAAGGAAAAGCTCAAAATTTCTTGCAGCCAGCAGCACATTGAACAATCGATTTCGACAATGCCTGCCTTCCTCGCGATGCAATGAATATACTCCAATTCCATCTACCATCCCCATCCGCTCCATCCACCACTCGACCACGATCAGGGCCCATCTGCCGCAAGGGGAGACAATTCATAGACCTGGGGACCGCATGGGCGAGTCTCTATACTCGCACAAGCACGTCCTTTTCAGTCGAGTCTGCAATGCACGCGACCACAACAGAATTTGGAAGAATGTGGAAAGAAAAAGAGCGAATACCCCAAATACAAGCATCGACCAGACCCAGTGCTTCTCCTAAACTTCTCCATCGGGCCCCTTAGCTCCGATCGTCGCAAGTCTGAACCCGCAAGCACAGACCGCCAATACGGTATGGACTTGACAATTTCCCCCGAATTCTTGCGCCCGCAGGCCGACATTATCATGGTTGGAAAGTGTCGAATACTATTTGGGATGTGCTAGCCACGCTGAGTCCCTACTGGAACACCCCGATTTCCGCGTCGCACGACAGTGATGTTGTTGTTGCGATCGTCGCGTGGACAATGATTCGATCTATTTTCTCCTCAACGCCTTGACGTCAGGCTTGAACTATATGTCCCCGCTTGCGAGATTTTTCATTCAACTTCCGCGGCCTTCCATATTAAGTACAAATCATCTTGGCCACTGGAGTTGTTACTGGTATATTATGTGCAGCTTCGTAGATGCGTTGCTTCGTACTTTGTCTTCTCGACCTGCTTTTTGCCTGCTCTTCATGGGTTCATTACGCTAATGGCTTGTGTTTTGACTAGGAGATATCACAATGAATTACATGCTGAAGCTCACAGAAACCACAATGGCCCTTCGTTTGTACCGCCGAGCTTAGAAGAGACAATTCTGAACCCTGCAGGTATATTCTGTGAAGGCTGACGCGACCATGTGCTTTCTCAGACAATATCCTGCGATTTACATCTTCCAAGTTCAATCTATGCCTTTGTGCCGTGTTTTCTTTGTGCCATATTCGTCAAGAAGAATCTCTAATGGAGATTCGTATGTTGCGCATGTATGTTGAGCAACACCAGGGTACTCATTGGGGAGAATCGATGCTCTCTAGATTCGCCATCATCTATACTCTATTAAGCGCTACCCAAGTCTTGCATTGACTCGCCTTGCCATGCATCAATTCCCCCATCAATACACTTCCACCAAATATCTAATGATTCTTCTCCCCAACATCCAACGCCACCAAAAACCGACTAACACAATTATACGCCGCAACAGTAGCCGTAATCTCCACAACCTCCCTATCACTAAAACACCCCTTCAACTCCCCAAAAACCTCCTCCGGCACCGTAACAGTCTTAGTCATAGCATCCGTATACTTCACAACAGCCCTCTGCTCGCGACTCAACGTCCTCTGCGCAAGGTCGCCGGACAGATCAGCCTGCGCATCTCCAACAACCTTCAACGCCTCGTCACTGAGGCCGCCCTCCGTTAGCAGAGGCGCATGCTGCTCCCACTCGAATAGTGCGCCGTTGATCACCGCTACGCGGCAAATTGCTAGTTCCCGGGTTACGGGGGAGAGACTGGTTCGGGTGCGGATTGCCCCGATGAAGGAGTTCCAGCCGTCTGTTACGGGGAAGGAATGGAGGAGGGCGAGATCGAGGGGGAGGAGGGGGGTTTGGGGCGCGGCGGGCTTGGACGTTGGAGAGGATTCGGGCTTCCTCGGGGGTGTTTGTTGGTGGGGGGTCTGGGACGTATGGAAGACGCATTGTAGCGGGGTGTGTTGTAGTTGTGGGATTGAGTATATAGGTAGGAGGATAGTGATAGCCGGATCTAGAATTCGTGTTAGTTAGTAGGTCGGCTAGCTAGTGGTTGTGGAATGTTCGTCCAACGGTACTCACGCTGTTTGTGGGAGAATAGTCAATTGGGTATTAGCTCGCTGTTGGAAATTAAAGAGTCAATGGCTTGGGGAAGTACCCCTCGCGGGGGAATAGCGAATACTTATGCCGTTCGTTCGGTATCGCGACCCCCGCAGGGTCCCGCCGAACGGGACCGATCCGAGCTTTTGGTTGTGACTACCCGCGGCTATGACTCGGCCGTCTCCGTGGACTGGGCCAGATCTATCTGCTTGGCTGGAGGCCTTGAGGCTTGAATGACCCTGCATATTTGACAGAACCGATCGGATGTTGCTGGATGATCAGTAGTAAATAAGTATATCACATTAGGTAGACGATTTGGTAAAGAGTAATTTGTACACTGGCAACTGCAACGAATGTTCGGCCTCCATGATATACAGTCTTCACTCAGTCACTACTCCCAGGTCGGCAGGCCAAGTCAATATATTTACCTGCTAGCGACATCTCTCAGATTTGAAGTGAACTGGGGGTGTATGGAATGGTTCCATCAAGTTTACTTTGGCGTTGCTGCTAGGACCTGAGGGCTGTCCGTGTGAAAACATATAGTTCTAGGTAGCTACCCACACATTCAGTGGACAGAATTGAAACACCTGTCTACTCGAGCATCGGGGATCATAGGCTATGCAGTCTATAATAGCTACGGTTATTTCACAACTCAACTAGCCTACTATGTAGACTTACTGATTCCAATACCAAGCTGTATCAAATCCTAAGGGTGTGCTGCGAATGCAGTTGAGCGGGTCTTGGCGCGCGGTCCCCACATGCAGTGCCGCCTTGAGGAGCCCCAAAACAAACGGTGTCGTCACTTCTCCTGAACATCCCCATCGACTTCCAAACAACCAACCATGCCTGCCAAGGGCGCAAAACCTACCAGCGATGAGCTCCTAGCTCAGTTCGATGACCTCGGCATCGAACAGTCAGGCGAAAAGTCCACGAAACCAGCTGCTGCAGCCGCCACGGACAACAATGCCAAGGGCGAGCAGGAAGACGTCCTAGCTGAGCTGGAGAAGCAAGCTTCTCAGCGGCCTAGCAGTGGCCCAGGTACCCCGAGACTATCGGCAGACAAGGCTCGCTCCGCGACCAAGTCCCCTCGCCTCAGTGCTACGATCGAGCGAAGCAGCGAGGACAAGACTCGATTGTCGGCGGAGGTTCCTCGTGTAAGCGCCAAGCAGGAACAGCAAAAGCAGGAGCCCGAGCCTGCGGCTGCTCAGCAGCAAGAGCAGAGTCAGGGTGGTGGGTGGTGGGGAGGGTTCTTCGCTGTGGCCGGTGCTGCTGTGAAGCAGGCTGAAGCTGCTGTTAAGGAAATCCAGAACAACGAGGAAGCTCAGCGGTGGGCACAGCAAGTCAAGGGCAATGTGGGCGCTCTCCGAGACTTTGGTATGTACAACCCTTTTACTATCGTATTAGTCTCATACATATGAACATACTGACTTACTATTTCCTCTACAGGCGGCGAACTTCGCAACATGGCCATCCCAACCTTCACCAATCTGATCCACACCCTTGCCCCTCCGATCTCATCGCACGAACGCCTCCAAATCCACGTCACCCACGACCTCTCCGGCTACCCTGGCATTGACCCACTCGTCTACGCAGTATTCTCACGGGTAATGTCGCAAGTAGAAGGCGGCGACCTCCTCGTGATCCAGCGCGGTCAAGAATCCGCACCAAAGCGCGGCCTCGACGTGGGCGGCTACATGTCCAGCACAGGGTGGAACGACGGACCTTGGTGGCGCAGCGTGACACCGGGTACTCCACGCACCGTCAACGCCGTGCGCGGCGCCATCGAGGCCTCCAAGCTCGCTCGCGCCAGCGCAGAGAGCTACGCAACAGAATATTTCTCCACGCGGGGCGGTATTGAAGAAGCCGCCAAGCAAGCTAGCGAGGACCTCAGCGAGTCAAACCCAGTGCGCAGCAGTGATATCTTCCTCGCTATCCAGGCTATCAGCCAGACCGTGTCGGCAGAGCTCTTCCAAGCCGGTGCATCGGGTGAAAGGGCCGAGACACCAGGCGTTGTTTCCGCCCCCGAGGCTGACGAGGAAATTGCGTTTGCGTTGTACCTTCACGACCCCGTGCACGGCATCGCCTTCCACACCATCTCGCAGCCCGTGCCAGCGAAGTGGATCGAATGGCTCGATGCATCGGCCCCCGCGGCCGAGAACCCGGATTCCGAGGATGGGGATGTTCCCCGCGCGGTCGTTCCCGAGGCTATTGCCGATATCATCGAGGCTGGCGGTGTCGATCCCCGTGAGTGGGTCGCGGAGTGGATTGAGGAGACCTTGTCGCTGGCGGCTGGGGTGGTTGCGCAGCGTTATGTTGCGCGTCGAATGGGCGTTGGTGAGGGTGGTGTTGGCAAGGGCAAGATGCGGGCTGAGCAGGCGTCGACCGTGGATAGTGGTGCTGGCGAGGCGGCTCGTGCTATGTAGATGGGGGTTTTATGTTTCTACACTTCTGTCGTTGTGGGGCGGGAGATAGGTCTGTTCTTTATGATACACCCTCAGGTTTTCAATGCGTCCGCATTGCCAGTTTTTTCTGTTTCCATTGGCCATTTTTTATCTGCTGGTGCATACGAAATTAGTATCTGACCTGGACTGAACTGGACATAGTACTAGCCCAGCATGAGTGTCAAGTATTAGTACTAAATGCGCCTCGGCATTGATGACAAGATATCAACGGTGCTAATATTGATGTTGATATTCCACATATCCATTCATTCCAAACCAAATCCTTCCAGGTATATCATATCAATCTATGTACAAAATGCGCCAGCGGACATAATCCGCACCTCTTTACCCGTCCCGTCCCGTCTTCTCGACATTCAGTCGAGATCAAAGCCCATGAAAGATCAAATGGGGGGTATGTATTTTGCCGCAATGCAATATGGGGGAATAAAGCCCTGCGCCGGGGTCGCAACACGAAACAAAAAGAAAGAAAACATTATTTATGCATTCGTAAAGCCGTGTCGGGGGTGTGTGATCTTTAGATGGGGTGCTGAATGTTTGATCCTTGTATCTTGAGATGAGATGGAGATCAATCTGATCTCGAGATGGTTGGATTCATCTTTATTGATCAAAGTACAGTGGCCCGTCTAGACCGGGGACGTGCCAGAAGTTGGCGCGGAGAGCGGTCACACTGTAGATCATATGTTAGTACAATCGTAAGAAGAAACAGAAGCAACTGCTTTCGTTGCAGGACTTACCTGGTCGATCCGTTTAGGACGGTGTGTGCATCTGTGCCCTCCTCACTCTCCTGGAGTGTCTTCTTCATATCCGACAAATCAGCGGACCACTTGAAATGGCGCTGCTTGCGGCTTGGCTCCTCGACATGTCCGTTGACGCCGTTGACACCATTCACTCCATTGACACCATTCACGGCAATCTCATCACGCTGCTCCTTGTGCACCCCATTCGTCAAAGCACCATTGACCACCTTCTTAGTCTTGGGCTCAACCTCAGCATACAAACAACCACGCGACCAGTAATACGGCAAAGTCCGCGTATACAAGACCGGCTGCGTCTCAACATCAATGCGCATCGGCACATTAATATTATACAACTCCACCCGCTCATCCCAATGAGCAATCAAATGATCCACAACCCGAACCGCATGCCTCGCCGCCGCAGCAATCACATCCGCAGCCTGCGGATCCTTACTACCGAACGAAATCGCGATACCGCGCTGACTGCAAAACACCGCCTCGAGCGCACCGCCCACCGTCCCGGACGACAGATTGTAAATAGTCGAGGCATTGCGGCCATGGTTCGGACCTGAAATGACAATGTCGATTGGCGGGCGGTCTGGGAAGAGACTGTATAGACCGAGCTGGGTGCAGCTGGCAGGTGTGCCGTTGTTGATGACGACCCAATCGGCGAGGTGTGCGGATTCAGGGCTGGGCCGGTAGTTCTCGTCCCAGGTGCCGTCGTCGTTGAAGGAGTCTGGGTGGACGAAGCTGGCGGTTAGAGAGGCTTCGATGATGTGGGCTTTGCCGATCCATGAGCGTGAGGCGGCGGGGATGGCGACGGAGACTTGGTGGCCGGTGGCGTGGAGCTCATCGACTAGAGGGCGCACGTAGGGTGAGAGGCGCTTGTTGGGTGGGCCATCGTCGTTGACTAGCTGTTGGGAAAGGGTTAGCTTTGGTCTTGGAAGATGCGCGTGTCCGGAATGAGTAGAGTCAGAATAGTCGATGATCAGATTCGCCACGGGTCGTCTATAGACTGCGCAAATTGAAATTGACTAGGAATTTTTCTTTTTCTCTTTCCTTGACACTTGGCAATGCAGATAGATTGTGCCGATCTTCTCCAGATTGCCATTGCCAGGACGAGGCAAGGGGAAAAAAATGAATAGAGTCGCGATAAGAAAACGCTCTCGTGACCAAGTTCGAAGAACCCATTCTCCATGTCCACGTACCAGGATATGCATGATGAACTACCAAAAACCAACCTCCGAATTTCCCAGCGCCAAGGGCGTATATTGGTATTGAATTTCTTTTCGGATTTTTGTCCGGTCGTTCCTTTTTCTTCTCTGTAAGCGAAAAGACAGAAAAAGCCGGTTGTCTATCTTGTTTCTCGGGAATCCGGTCTTGGTCTGCTGGGGTCTAGATTTCGAAATTGAAGGTTGTCTTGAGAAGGGTCGAAAGAAAAGCAACTTCAAATAATGTCAAAGGAAATGGTTATCTCCACGGGTATTATGTACTTATACGAGAAAAACATTTGCTGGATAAGGATTGAGCCATTTGAATACCCGACACACACCGGGGAAACTGGCTGGGCACGGTGAAGCTGTTCAGGGCTGCGGGGAGCGGCAATTGGGGAAGAAGCAGACCGGATGGAGTCTGCGGTGAACCGATCCGTCGAGTGACGAGAGTCTGGTGACGCTGCAGAGATTATTGGGGCCTGAAGAACGTGGAGAAGGAAGTGTGTAGATATGTCAAGCGGGTAAAATTGACGGGAGAATATTCTTGATGTCTGGGGGGTTCTATGGGGGGTGTATTCTTCCCTTGATATTTCCTGAAGAATTGTATAGTTCTAGTGGAGGGGCAAATGTACAAGTTTATACTTCACAGTATAGTAGTCCACGGGGCAAAAACCTTCGATCGGAGATTGCCAAGATGCACGCGAGCCAGCCTTGGGAGACAATAATTACAGTGTACAACTCACTGCTCGATGCCAATTTTGCAGTGTATAGTTAGATAGAGTACTAGGATAATTGAGGATAATTATCTAATTATCCAGGGTCCTCGACTAAATAAGCACGGAGTACGGAGTAGTTCATTACTTCATACAGTAGTACTTACTGTATGTACTAGACTAACTCTATCCTTGAATCATGATGATGCATGCTGGGTGCTACTCTGCACACGGTAGTCTCTGGACTGGATCTGATTCATTCCCAAGTCTGTCTTTTTTTTTCTCAATTTTTTTTTTCCAACTTCCCATTCCTAGAACAGGATCAGGACCGTTAACCAAGTCGAGTCGGTACTGTAGGGTAAGTAGGGTTAATAATCAAGCAAACCCCCTCGCGACTGCTATGACCCATGGTAAATTGTCCATGGGTCCTCACCAAAAGTCAACTTGCTTAGTGCTAAGTATGAGACTAAGTTATCAGGGGCGATTTGCTGATCGACTCACGTAAGATCATTCCACCTCGTGCCCTTCGGCCGGTCCGCCCGTCTGCAGGAAAAAACCACCAGGGTTGGCATTCAGTAGTATAGATTGGCATTCGAGTTATTAGCCCAAGAGTCTTGGAAGATGCAATGCAACATCCACATTGTCGATTATTCATTGGCAATGAGATATAATAACAACAGATCAGGCATACGATCCTTTTCTCAAATCTATTATTCTACAATTACACTCAGTCCTCGACGCTTTGTAGCCAATTCCCAACGGGCGGTCTGTGCGGATCCCAAGACACGCTAGAGACGATCGCAACACGCAAAACTTTGTGGTGGGGAAAGTCAGCCATCTTTCTTCCCCTCGACTGGCAACATCATCTCACCATCTTTCCTCGACTCTCGAGCATCCACCACCACTACGACTCTCGCTATCATCGGTCTGTTTAACGCGACCGATTCTTATCAGGGCCCTTTCTACTCTCGCAAAGTTCGCAAAAGACTCTCCCGGTCTTTTTGCGATCTTTGCTCCCGGCTTGGTCGGCAACCGAACGACAACTTCCATCCTACCCTGAATGGACTGTGGAAGCGCTGCAACGGCTGCGGGGATCGACCCCAAAATTCTCGATAATTGGCAAACCGACGGTGCCTTTTCGGTCGCCTCCTGGGAACACCTCGGATACGATCAACCCCCGGAGTGGGATACCAGCCAGGAATCCAGCCAGTGTGCCGATGTCGCCGACCTAGGCGCCTTCCATGACCCGCTAACGGGCGCGCTGCTCGATCGCTCTCGCGATATCCAGCATCTGGACAATAGGTGCGCATCCCATTCCCCAGTCGAGAGTCATCGCCGCGCGGAGTTGTAAGCTCCGATACGAGGGCGATACGAGATACATGGTATACATGACTAACACTGGGCTCGACCTCGTGTTTCAGGAACCACGATGTGACGGACAACTTCAACTACACCGATGGCGTCGTCGAGGGCACTGGTAGCGGCACTATCAGCCCTCGCACGCTGCCCTCGTCGGCAGACGACAACTTCCACGCTGAGGAAACGTGGCCGCATTTCCAACTGTTCAACTCGGTCGCAGCGGGCGTGAACCTCGAGCACCCAATGCTCTACCCGTATGGAAAAGCCCCGAACAACTCGACTGGTGCCGTGATCGTGGAGGATGTGGGAGAGATGCCCCAGGGACCAGGATTCTCGGATGCTTCGGCAGAGGCTATCATGTTTCAGCAGATCCCGCCATCGTTCCCCATGATGGCAGAGCAGTGGCCTGAGATCCCCCACGGCATTTCCTTGGAGGATATCCCCGGACAAACACCCGTTCCGCTGGCGATCAACCAGAATACCTCAAAGAGTGTCAGTCTGCGCGACTTCCAACCATCCATTCGATCACTTGAATCCCGATGGCTGAACAGCCTGGAGTCGCAACTCCCCGTGTCGCAGATGACCCCGCCTATGCACACGTCACAGAAAAACGGCCAGACCGCGCAGGATGCGTTCCAGTACAAGTCAGAGAGCTCTTCAGTCTCGGGCGATGTCTCTGGAATCTACGAGTGTTCGTACTCTGCCACGAGCGACGATGCCCCGGTTTTTGCGGATCACCAGTTGGATGATGATGCTCAGTGGAAGATACCAACTCCCGACGCAAGTTCCCCGGAGAGCGCGCAGTCGATGGCCAAGGCTACTGCGTTCATGGTCAGCGAGACTCCCGCCGAGTCCCTCATTAGCACTATTCCCTCTCGATCTCGGGCTTCTTCGACAGCCGGTCAGCGCTCATCGGGTCGCCCCATGGCTCTTGCCATGCAATCGGTGGCTACCGTGCGGAAGCGCAAAAACCGCTCCGCAGGGTCGTCCATGGACCAGGCTCTGCCAAAGCCTTTGCAGATCGTTCAAGAGGATGGACAAGGCGGGTCTATCGCATCTGCAGATTTCGTCTCTCCCCCACGAGGCGCTCGCCGTAAGGGCCCGTTGAGTATGGTTGGGCGAGCTAATGCTGGCCTGCGCCGTAAGAACAAGGATACTTGTGTCCAGTGCCGGCTGAACAAGCGCAAGGTTAGTCTACACCAAAAGCCCATATGCGCAAGGCAGAAACTAACTGAAACAGTGTGATGGAAGCTCACCATGCGATGCCTGCCGACCCACCCTGAACGAGCAACCATGTGCCCGTGCCTGCTTCTCCAGCATCGTAGAGTTCGGAACATGCAACTACATCTGTACGTCCACATTCTCCCAACTCGATTATAAATTACCCAAACTAACTCAATCTAGCTCAACGAGCTGTCAATCATCCTACCGTGGATGGCGCTAGCAGAGTTCGGATGGAAATCCCATCCGAGTTCGACTTGAGTCAACTTTTGTCGTTCCTTAACGAGCGTCAAGGCCGGTTCAACATCCGCGCCAGTCAAGGCTGGGGCTCTCTGTATATTCTCGACCTCGGCGAGACCTACAAGTTCCTGAAGAGCCTGAGCGAGTACAATGGCAACTCGAAGTCGACATTCCTCGAGTTCATTGATCGTCGCATCGTCGAGTCCAAGGACAAGTCTAAGAACTGGTTGTCTTGCGTCAAGGACTGTGATCCAATGGCCCAAGCCTACGTGAGTTGCATACCCTCGCCTCGTCATACAAGTCATGTCCACTAATATTCCTCTAGACTCTGCTCTCGCGGTGGAACAACATGCCTTCCCGCGCCAAGTACACATTCGTCCCTCTTGATGGTAACGGTGAAGAACGCCCCATGGACATCAGCAACCCAGAAGAGCGACGCGACATCCTGCTGGCCGCACAACTCTCCCGCATCGTCTGCCGCATGCTCGAAGTTGAGGGTTTCCGTAAACTCGAGCGCGACTTCTACAACATCAAGTGGAAGCAAATCTCGCACGAGACGCACATTCGCTTCCTGGGCGAATTGGGCCAGATCCTTCTCACCCTCCGGTGGCGTGTGTCGTGGTGGAAGCGCCTTGGTGACGGCGGCCAGGCCCCTGACCCATCGCAGCAGCATTACATCGACCGCGTCGACCTGCTGTGCCGCATCCTGTACGTCTACTACACCTGCGTGCTGGCCAAGCTGCCGTCCTGGTCGACGGCCGATGTGCCCAAGGGCATCTGGTCATCGTACGCGGACTCGGAGAACCCCGTTTGGGATGATTTCCCGTCTGATGCCTCCGATGCGGGATTCCAGGCTTGGCTGGAGCGTGGCCAAGATCTGATCGAGCAGGCCGGCGTTCCATCCAAAATCTCCAAGTTCTGAACGGACATGGAATAATGGAGCGCTGTACCGCTCCAAAAGAGCAATACGCATATGGCAAAGAACAGGACAGGCAAGGTGTGGGCGGCACTGGAGTTGGACTTATAGATACCCTTATTTCTCTTTTTTCTTATTTTCCTTTCTTTGTTCATATTTTGGTTTGATTTTTTTGGTCCCTGTTCTATCGTGCGTGCTTTGGATGGATCTCGACTACTGATATTACTCACTCCTCCTTGGAGTATACACTTGCCCACCACTTTCCCCATCAATCTTATGATTTACGATATCTGCTCTGGTTTTTCGATCAAAGAACCTGGTGGCTCATCTTCAACATGGATCTCCCTGCTCTGCGATTGAATTTCTCTTTGGATTCTTTTGTATATGGATTCGAGTTTCCTGTTACATACTTTGTTTCTGCTCGCGAGAGTTGATTTAAGAATTCGATTAGACTAAACCGAACCCTGCATTTGTTTCGTAAGCCTTTAATGGAAATGGCAGTTGCAGTTTCCATGGAAACCTAGCAAACTGTAGTCACTTGGACTTTGCAGTTAGGTACTCAACAGGTATTCAAGGCAAGAAGAGCCAGGCAGGGCCCACGCAGCCAGAAATCATTGTAGAAAAAACGGGGTATCACATTTGTAAGATCATATCGCTAGCACGACCTAGACGGACATCACACCGAGCCCAGCACAGCACACAATCACCAAGCAGAAAAGTACCGGACCATGAATTGAGTATTCCTTATTCCTTGTCGCCCTCTGCTTACTTCTTCTTGCCAGCCTTATCACCCTTATCCTTCTTACCACCGCCCAACAACTCCAAATGACCCGCTTTAGTGGCAAGACTGCGCTCCGTCTTTGTGACTAGGCCGGATGTGAGTTTCTAGAAGAGTATTCCGTTAGCATCAAGTCCTAGTAAAAGAGTAGAAGAAGACGAATATAATTCTGCAAACGAGAAAAGCCCAAAGAATTGTAGGCAACAGCGCCGTTCATACCTTGGTCATCTTAGCCTGCCGAATAAGAGCCTGCTTCTTAGGCGCGATCTGTCGAGGACCGCGCTTAATTTTCGGAGTCGCTTGCGAGGGTCTAATATAACACGAGTAAAGCAATTAGATTCGCTGTTTCCCTCTTATTTTGTTCTGGTGGGATGGGATGAGAAGATCTTACCGCTTAGCGGTTGCCGTAGCAGGCTTGCTTTTCTTGAGAAGACCCTGGGCCATGGTGATGTGTGTGGAAGAAGGTTGGATAATATTTTCTGGTTGGAATGAAGAGAGTCGAGTACTGCCTGCAGCACGGGTGTTGACGGGCGTAGGAACGTGCTGTATGGACTGGAATCAAGTAGTGGATGGATGTGAGAATTATGAGGGTGGTGGTGGTTGTCGGGGAAAATTCCTTATCGGGGGGAACTTATCGATGATCACGTGATAGTGAAGGAGTGGGATATCTACTTAGGAAATAGACCAATCAGGGTTCGGGATTGGATGGGATAAACAAGTCAATACTGGCTCTACATTTTCGATGGGATATCTTAAAAAAATCTGGATATTGGTCTATTATGGTAGTATGATAAATCTCGACTTTGACAGTAAGGATGAGAACTTCGGTAAAAACTGCGTAGGCGTATTGCAGGAATAGGATTTACATTGACCACAACAGAAAGAAGCTCGAGTTCAGAAGAGTTACAGATCGATGCCTCATCCTCAGCCTGGACTCATGGCCATGTTCATTTACTTCAATTTATGAATGACATACATAAATACAGTATTCAACAAAGAGCGACCGAGAGGTACCCGCTACGGGAGCCGAGTATCGTCCCAAACATCCGTCTTGTTTACCTGCCTTGTCCGATGGAATATCTCCATGCAGCCGCTGGTATCTAGATGACAGCAACAAAAGAAACACAGCAAGGTGTAAAAGTTGAATAGTGGTGAATTAGGACGTCAAGGACACATCTGTCAGTAGACAGCCTATAAATAGCGTGTCTGTACGACCAATTGGGAAGGGAATGTTGATACGTCATATGTCATATGTATAGGAGCAAAAGTAAAAAAAAAATCGAAGAAGCTTATACACAAGTGACGATCATCACCAGGTTAAGAGTTTCAAATCCCTACAAGGCTGGGGTGGGTCCTACTTAACATGAAACCGTACCAACGGCTACACGTTTATCTACACAATCGACATTTGCAGCGGGACCTACATCTACATCTACAAGAAAACACAAGAGCAAGACCAGAGCATTAAAGGCATGGAACGTGACATTACAAGCCAAAGGCTTGGATTCCCTTGAACATACATCCGAAAGAAAAACATGGTATTGAAACGCGCACAAGCCCAGCTCAGATAAACAAGATGATAGGATAAAGAAAGAGTTTTGCATGTTCAGAAAAAGGGTCGACAACCTCCTCTCATTAATGGTACTGGCGCGGGGGAATAGTAAAAAAACTCATACACACACACAAACCAGATTTCTTGGGGCGAGGTCATAAGAAAGGTAAAAGAAAAAAAGGAAGCTAAAATGCAAGATGGGGGGACGCGAAGGTCCGAAGAAATAAAAGGATCGATCGATAGATATGCAAGTCGCGTCACGAACACAAATCACATATTACATCACATCACAAATCCTCCACGTGCTCACACGCCCCCCACCTTGCAGTCCCTTTTTAAATTGAGAAATTAGAATTTCTCAATTTACAGGGCCATAAAGGCAATAACACCGGCGACAACGGCACCGAAGGAGATGACGTTACGGCCAGCAGCGTTGAAAGCGGGGGTGGAGGTAGGCTTAACAGCGGAGGTGGCAGTGGCAGTGCCGGTGGGGTAGACGTAGGGGGTGCTCTTCAGGGTGCTGGAGGCAACGGGGCCGACGGGCACACGGGAAGAAGAGGCAGTGGGGGCAGGAGCAGGGGCGGTGGTCTCGGGGCAGATGGTGGTGGTAACCTCCCAGGAGCTGATGACAGTGGAGGAAGCAGCAGCGGCGGAGGAGCTGGCCTCATCCTCGGGGCAGTAGGTGGTGGTCACATCGTTGATGACAGTGACGATGGTGACCTTGGAGGAAGAGGGAGCAGCGGTGGTCTGGGAAGCCTGGGAAGTAGCGGTAGCGGTGATGGTGACGCCCTCGGCCTTGGAGAGACCGAACTGGGTGGACCACTGGTAAGCACCGTGGTTGGCACCGGCATCCTCGACGACGATCAGGAGACCGTAGTGGGTGACATCGGGGGTCAGGCTGGCGCTGGGGGTCCAGACGAACTCGCCAGAGTTGGGGATGCTCTCAGCGAGGGTCTCGATGGGGACGACGTTGTTGGAAGGTCCGCGCAGGAGAACGATGGAGACGGTGTTGCCGAGGTCGTGGTCCCACTTGATGGTGTAGGCCTTGCCCTCCTGGACCTGCTCGTTCAGGCCGGGGGAACGGACGGCGTTACCCTGGGGAAGGTTGTTGTAGTTGGGCTGGGTGTAGGCAGCAGCGAAGGCCGCGAAGGTAGAGACGAGGGCAGCAGCGGAGAAGCGCATTGTGATGGTGATTTAGGCAGAGATGGACTGCAAAGAGTGACTAGAGTTGGGTAAAGGTTGGAGGTGCACGAAGGCAGCAAAGAGCGACTGGAGGTTGGAAAGAATGACCGTGGGTAGGATGAAAAAGAGAGAAGAAGGAAGAAGAAGAAGAAGAAAGGGAAGATGGCGGAATGAAATAGGAATGATAAAAGGAGGAGGAGTGTCAGCGAGTCACCCACTTTGGTCACCACGGCCGATGGGCCAAAAAGGGCCCAGGATGTTTTCATCTTTCTACTGTACAGAGTAATAATACCACGGTACTCCTATCGTATACTTTACTGTACCTCGACTAAACTCAACTTGGACCTTTGATATTCGACGGAAAGCACGGAGTCAGGCCCGTTTAGTGGAGTTTTCCCCATACACTACTCACCTTTTGGGTTAGATCTGTACCGAGATGACTGAAATGATTTTTACATCTTCCGTAAAGAGGCACAGTCAGAGACAAGCTGCATTTCCAGAGCTCCATCAGCAGCCAAGTATGCGCGGGCCAACCAGGCTCCAGTTCTGCGGTCATAGTGGGGTCTCAAGGAAAGCCTACTTCGCCAAGCGACCGTCGGTTCCTGGATGTTTTTGTTTGGTTGGCTTACGGGGGAGACAACGAGGCGCAGGGAGAGAAGTATAACAGTTGAGTATATTCCATACAAATCGAACAGCAATTGTGTGCTATCACTCTGCATGTATATGCCGCCGGGGCTGAACACGAGATGTGTTGGTTTGTTATGTGTCTGTGAACATTTGGAGCGAGAGACGACAGAACAGAGTATGCGATGATAAAATACACATTGGTATTATCAGTACCAGGCACTCACCCAGCTGCAGGGCCTGAAATGCGACGGTGCCATGCTTTCCATTTGGCCCTCGTGGGGCATGCGGGCCGGTTGTGGCTCGTGGAGATGCTAAGAGTGCTAAGGGGTGCTAAGAGGGCTAGGCTGGTTTTTGGGTACATGAGGTAAGTTATATGAAGTGCTATTTAGGAATTGTTTAATGACACAAGGCTGGCAAACTGTCTCATTCGAGTCCAGACCTCCATCTATAGACTCCATAATACACGGCCAACTTCCACTTGGTCGCATTTGTTGGAGGCTCTTAGTAAGTTATTATTGGAGAGGGATCAAAAGAGGGGGGGGGCAATTTGATTACGGGGCATTTAATTACGAGCTAATTACCAAGCCAATTCCAGGCTAATCACGCAGGGTTTCCAAGGCCCTGATTTGCTTGAGAATGCTGGCTGTAAGATTAAAAATGCCAGTGCCGAGCCTTGCTAGGATAAATTGGGCCAGTGTGCCTGGCGGGAAATGAGTAGGAATAATAACTCTGTATACATACTGTACTCCGTACAGGTGTAAAGTAGAGATGGAATTGGGGGAGAAGTTTAAAAATAATACTCTTCCTTGTCCAGGGGCCGCCCTGGAATGATGTCTAGGCTATTATTATGATCGTGAATCATTATTATGATGGATGCTATGCGATCGGGATAATTACTACTTTGATGAAGGATCTGTTCTCTGGAAAAGAAAGAAGATCAAACCGAAAAAAGCAAAAACAAAAAAAAAAGCCGATCGAAGTGGGACATACACAGGGTGGTCCCCCGGAGAATATCCGGTCAAACCGTTGACTCGCAGAGATGCGATGGAGCCTTTTAGAATGACGGTGACCCTGAACTAATGATAGTAGGGGATCTGTAATAATAACAGTGATCAAATTGTTATACTTTTAGAATAATGGACACGCCGGATTTTTCCAGATGTCAGAATCGAGATAGTAAGAAAAAGGAAAAGGTAAGATAGTTAAAATACTTTCGTAAACAGCGATTCCTGTTCCTCCAAATTTCCGGGCCAAAGTAGACGGCGACTGTCACTGGACGCCACCACCTCGTGTCATTTCTCCCCTTACCACCCTACAATCCTGCGTCCCTGACCCATGCTAGACCAACACTGCCCAGCACTGTTTGACCGGGGGCCAGACCCTGGAAAAATTACAGTATCGCTCCTCCAACTTGCGACCTTGATGATTGTAGTATCTCTACCAAGTTCCAACAACAACATCATATCACGATGATCGTGGACACCACCACCTCCACACCCGCCCATCCCCTCCTCTTACCAAGCCACAGCATAGGGTCGATCGCACCGGTTCATCGGGTGCATTTGAGACGCACCGGTAACGATCAACCGTTGATCAGGGGCACGATAACATTAGCGGGGACATCCCGACACCATCATCCGGGGGCTACCATCATACTGTGGTTGCGTGCTTGGCTTCCGACCACTCATCGCTTCCAACGATGAATACCACCACAGACCAAAGCCCATACAGTACAGCAATTCAGCCGTACAGCCGTACAGGTCCAAGTCAGCGTGGCTGATGGCGCCTTCGCGGGAAATGGGAAATTTGAATTGTCTCAGTAGCACGCACGGTGATTCGCCGCGGCTGCGAATTTCCTGTTCCTGAATGATCCAGCGCCGGTGGAGAGCCCGCTAACCTTCCTTGGGGATAAGTCAAAGTTAGACTCCCTCCAGCACAGCATATCTCCCGATTTCATTGGATCAAGGTGGATCAAGTCGGTGACTGTGCCCCTCTCTCGCTTTTCGCCGCAATTACTTTTCCCGGGCTAAGGCGCTGGGCACAGTGGGCTCTGCGCTGCCCAACTCGCCTTTACGCCGCATGATTCCACCCCCGTTTTTTCGAACTGGCACTGACACTATTGAGAGTCCGTCCATGGCTCCCGGCGCTCAAAATAGCAGTCGAGTGCTCACCTTCCTCCACCCGGCTGAGCTTTGTCGTGTCTTAGCAATCACTCGTTCAGTTCTCACTCGTGGAATTTGCATGATGGCCTTTCGAGTTCAGCCTGGATAACACGGTCGCTAGACCTATTCGGCCTGAACACCGCTTACATAGCATGGTGCTAACCACAATCTAGTTGCAATGGGACCTGCATAGACGGGGGCGATTCCAATCTCTGTATGTATCAAACCCGGTTCTGTTCTCGGAGGAAACCATACGTTGTTTATGCATGCATACATCATAATTCCTCCGAGCGCCCCTCCTCAGGGTCCCTTCTCTAGGCGCCGTGATCCGACCCTCGATATGATACAGCCAGGGCAGAGAAACACCCTTGCCGGTTTTCGTTTCCCTCCAATTCAGGCCCATTCTACAATGCCCTATTTCCACCTTCTTGGCGAGGAAGATGAGAGTGGAACAGGTCTGACCGTCTGATCGCTGGCTGAGTACCCATCCACCTGGACTCTTAGAGACAACGCCTGGAGCGGCTCAGGCTGACAGTACGTTGCTTGGCGGATGGTCTCGCTCACCCCATGGCCAGCCTCTATGCTATTTTCAGTGCCTGGTGGAAATGAGATTCGCCAGGCCCCAGCTATGTAATCAGCCTAGAACTTCTATCCAGGAGAGCCCATATAATCACTCTATGGAGCTCACTGTCCTATATATACGTAGTACATTTATAGGAGATGCACTACTTATGTATTTGCACCGTTTCCAAATTCCCCTGCAACTGCGCAAAGTTGCTGACGCCAAGCAAGATGCCACCATCACCTCCGTGCTCGATGCACCGCAGCTGCGAGTGGTGGTCAAGCCAGCGGAACGCGATGACCGGTACACTCGGCTTATGCTTGTCAGCAGCTGGCTTGATGATGTCGAGTTCGTTGAGGGCTGAATCGCTCAGGTAGCGTTGGTGATAGAGGGCGTTGGTTGTATTCTCGTCGCTGAAAAGTCCTTCACTCGGGACTGTTGTACAGAGAAGTGCAAAACTAGCTTCAAAAATTTGCACACTTCCAAACTTTCTGCGCCCCACTGCCAAGACGCTAGCTTAAGAAATGGGTAGATCTAAAAGTAGGAGATATATGTATTTGGATTTAGATCAAAAACTTCGCTTTCTATCCAGGAGCTTTATCTGCCATCACATTCCCTTATTTCCCTTCCACAACCGCGGCCTTCGCCTTTTCATCAATGGTCTTAGCAATAGCGGGGCGAGCTTTGATACGGTTCAACCAGGAATTAACATGCGGGAAGTTCTTCTCGAGATCCATTTCGTTCGACCAGAAGAGCGCAGCCACCTCGAACCACGGCACAAAAGCTGCATCGACATAGCTGTACTTGCCGCCAACGAGGTATTCCTTGTTATGGAGCGATCGGTTGAGCACGCCCGAAACACGACGGATCTCGTTGATATAGCGCTCGACCGCACTAGGTACCTTCTCGGGGTGGTAGATCGTAAACCAGGCGGCCTGCCCGAAATACGGTCCCTGGCCGGACATCTGATAGTGTAGCCACTGTTTGCTCTCGTAGTACTCCTTCGAGCCGGCGGTGAAGCTGATAGTGTGTTGCTTGTCGTATGTGTCCACCAGGTACTCGAGGATAGCGCCGGACTCCCAGATAGTGATGCCGGTGTTCGGATCCTTGAGGGCGGGAACACGACCATTAGGATTGATAGACTCGTAGGGTTCCTTCTTTAGGTCGCCGAGATCGACCAACTTGGTCTCGTAGGGAACCTTGAGCTCTTCTAGGATCATAAGGACCTTCCAAGGGTTGGGCGTGCCGGCGTGACCCCGGAGGGTCCAGAGAGTGAGGGTTTTAAGAGACATGACGAGTGAAATGAAAGGATGATTGATTTGAGTTCGATACAGATACCACAAGGATCGAGGGTTGGTCTGCTTAAATGTACCGGTATACTTCAATGGCTGGAACATCAGGATATGGATTATTCAGTTCGGCACCCGAGCAAACCGAACGCTTGGTAAGCTTGAGAGTTAATTCTCTCTTGTGATTTTCATCAACGTCTATTAGGCCTTGGTTATCAGTACAAACCACGACTATACAGCTAACCAGCCTAGACCTCGGGACGTTGATTGGTCCTTGGTTATCAACACAAACAGAACAAACTAGGATGCAAACACAAATTGCATAGAGTTGTGGGGGGATTAATAATTACGGGGCGTAGCAAACCAGTGGACTTTAGTCACGTGACTATACACTATAGATAGGGACCTCTTGACTTTCAATAAGGCGTAACTTAACGCGGAGGCGACTGACTGTACTTAATATATTGATGTTGTAGTATGTGTAAGATAGTTGTGTTATCTAGGTACTCTATGGGTTTAGCACCAAAACCACCGTCGTACAAGGAGTAGTGGAAATTACGATACTACGAAGAATATAGGAGAGGGGAGCTTCGGCGGAGGTTGGAACAGCTTGGGACTCCTGGGGATTGGTCGCATATTGAGAGCCATGCTGGCATGTTTAGCTATACTGGGCTAAATCGCGAACATGTGGAGCGTCTACGGAATGAGTTCCACATTTATCTTCTGCCGACAGGCAGAGTGAGTATCTGTGGGTTGAATAAGGGCAATGTTGATTATGTGGCGAGGGCTATCAATGATGTTGTTGGCACGGATAAGTCGTGAGGAGAACATCTTAGAATGCGGAAGTGCCCGAGAGGTATCATAAATTCTATCGCTGTTCTCTCAAAATGTGGATTGACATTGAAAAAGTTCATAGCCCGAAGACAACCTTTGCTTCGTGACTGTTTGACGCTATGTACAGTGGGGATGTCTCTGCCTGAATCGAATCTGGATCATCAAGATCGATCAGGCCACCACTAGGATAATAGGACTAATTCAATTAAGTCGTCAGTTGTCCTAATAATAAGCCAAGCTAAGCCAGCTCAGCCCCAAATCTGAGCTCCCAAATGCAACTATAATGGCTTTTTAACTTTACTCCATCCAAGTGACGGTCTTAGTCTGCAGGAACTCATCATAGCCGGCAACACCGCCGAAACGGCCGAAACCGCTGCTCTTCCAGCCACCGTGGGGCAGGGTAGGCTCATCGTGAACAGTCAGGGCGTTAATGTGAACGGCACTAGAGGAAAGTCCGGGTTAGAAAAGACGAGTCCATAAAGCCGGAGAGATCTGGTTGCTTACCCAGATTCGATCTGCTTGGCGACGCGAAGACCGCGGAACAAGTTTTGAGTGTACACGGCGGCAGTTAGGCCGTATTCGGTGTCATTGGCCACAGCGATGGCCTCATCCTCGGTATCGACAACGATCAAGGATACGGTCGGGCCGAAAGACTCGGTCGCAAATAGATCCATCTCCTTGGTAACACCGTCGACAATGATGGGGCGCATGCAGGTGTCGACGGACTCGTTGGCATTGGCATCTCCGAAGAGGATCTTCGCGCCGCGCGAGACAGCATCAGAGACAAGCTTCTTATTCTTAGTGACGGCAGCGGCGTTGACAAGGCACAAAGCTGGAGCATCCTTGCCGAAGAGCTTCTCGGAATTCTCGGCAACCTTCTGGCGGAATTGATCCGCAATACTGCGTTGCACGACGATGCGCTCGGTGGACATGCAAATTTGGCCCGACTAACAAGAAGTGTTAGTAGATGATACGCAAAAAAGGGACACCTTTTACTTACGTGCATGAATGATCCAAGCGCGCAGCTCATGGCAGCCTTGTCGAGATCGGCATCATCCAAAACAACCGCAGAGGCCTTGCCACCCAGCTCCAAAAGAACGGGCTTGATGTGCTTGCCGGCAGTCGAGGCAATGATAGAACCAACATTGGTGCTGCCAGTGAAGTTGACCTTTCGCACAGCAGGGTGGGCAATAAGAGCGGTAGTGACGGCCGCGGCATCGGAAACCTGGTGGAAAACAACGTTCAAGCATCCATCAGGGAGACCAGCCTGGCGGAAAATATCACCGAGAGCCCAGAAGCACTTGGGCGAGAGCTCGGAGCCCTTGAGAACAACAGTGTTACCGGCGGCGAGAGGGAGAGCGACTGCGCGCGTACCCAGGATAAAAGGAGCATTCCTACATTGGATCAAAAGATATCCGTGGTTAGTGACAAAATCCAAAAATAAAGATGGCTCGTGGTGGGGAGCACATTCAATGGCAGGTAAGACTTACCAGGGCGCAATTGACAAGATCACACCGTACGGCTCCTTATACACCATCGCACCTTCTCCATCCAAGGTCACGCTGGGCACAACACCCTCAATAGTGGAAATGCGCGCGGCAAAGTCCTTGATGAAATTGACACCCATGTTGAAGGTGTGCTCGGAAAAGGGCCGCCCCGCACCAGTCTCCTCCTGCTGGTATGCGATCAGCTCCTCCTTGCGCGAAATCATGATCTCCGCGGCCTTGAGTAGGATGTCACGGCGATCATAAGCCTTGGTCTTGCTCCAGGCTGGGAAGGCCGCCTTTGCGCTGTCAACCGCGCGTACTGCATCGTCGACTGAGGCACCAGCGCAGTAACTCGAGAGCTCGCCGGTGGCGGGGGCGTGGACCTCGAATTTGATGTCGGTCACGACGGACTCATTGTTAATGATGAGCGGGATCACGTTTTGAGCCATTGTGATGCTTATATTTTGGGATGAAAGGTACGAAATATGCAACCAGGGGGTTCAACAGGGACAGAGGTTGCAGGATGAGGGGTTGAATTTAACAGATCAATAGTCGGGTAGACGATCCTGCCGATTAGAGGGGATGTGGGGACGCACTGGTGAGGGAGTGTGGATGTGGACGAGAAATCACTCGATCATCGACTGTATCTCCGGGGTCAACCCCGGACTAAAGGTGGAATAGCAGATATGTCCGCAAAGCTATAAAACCAGGATCCGCAGTTGGTCAACTTTTGAGAAGTCAATTGCCACAATTGCGAACCGAGTGGGGGAGAAGTCCCGAGATTCACTTCCACGAAAAGGAACGCTGTTGTCTATTGGATGGGCCACATTCAAGGTTGCATGACTAAGCGGGTGGCATCGGGGGGAATTCCGCGCCCCACAGGTATAAACACTTTGTCTAGTAGTTAAGCATATAGATAAAGAATGAAAGGCTTTGATGAAATATGAATCCAATTGTTGAAGAAAACACCCCTCGCTTGATTCTAACTTGCCCAACGCCCAACTAAAACCATTTGAATATTGTATATGCCAACCCATGCCCACACGCCTCTATATGCCAGTGCCATTGCCAGTGCCCACGTCCAACCCTTCAACTGGCCCAGATTTTCGTTTCAGTAACTGAACCCTTGGCAAGCTCTGCAAAGGGACACACCGAGGCCTTTGGGCTATTGGCATGCGCTGTCTGAATGGTATGTGTGGTGTGTGTCGACGGCGCAACGGTGCTTATAATGCTAGCCGAATCATCATCGGTAGAGCTGCTGGAATCACTACCCAAGATCTTTTTATCACCGATATATCCTTCCTTTTCAGATCCAAAGCTGTACACAGACATTTCATCTGCGTACTCCTCGCCGTCGCGGACTCGCCATTTGGCGAATAGATCATTTTGGATCCAAAGGATCTTGTTGACGGCACGAACGAGCGCAATCTTGCGGCGGAGTGAGAGTTGTGGGTGGGAGAGGAGTGCTTCACTGAAGATATCTTGCATGAAGCCTATGCAGGCGTTGATGTGGATGAATTCAATGTTGAGGGGGTGTAACCGCTCTTGACCGGCATGCATCAAACTATCAATTCACTAGTTAGCAAGGATGCTTGAACAGTGGACTGTCTGAGTCATTGTTGAACATACCCGACTTTGCTCAGATACCGCCAAAAGTCAATACTCGTGGGATCCTGGCACAGCTTGGCGAGGTACCAGCGAAGGAACATCTTGCGCCGCTGTATCTTGGGTGCCTCTTCATCCAACCACTCTTGGTCTGGCTCGGTCTCGACGGCTGTTGATCGGGTGTGGAAAGCACGCGAGGTAATATCATATTGAAGGATTTTCTTGTATACAAGGTTGACAACGGCGGGAATGAGTTGCTTGAGGTACTTGGATCCACTCTGCAGGGCTTCGACATCGGCTAATTAGGCAACACTAATCAGCTTTTGTCCATAGGGGATGGTATAGTCAAGATAGGTGAATTGCTTACCAGAGTTGAAGTCAAGGAAATCATGCAAGTACTTGATTCTCTCTTCCAGAGAGACATAGAGTGCCTTTCGGTCGACGTGCTTAGGCTCGAAGCCGGCTGGATCCAATCCGTAATCGCAGGGCATGTTTGTCCACGGTGGATAGTACTACTGCCAAGGGCTGCGTAGTACGAGGTGGTTTGGGCTTCCACGAACGACTTTAAATCTTCTAGAAGGATCAAAGAAGTAGCAAAAATGGGATCAGACCCGTGGTTCAGGTAAAGTCAAGAGGTCAAAACTGGGGCATATCGTGGAAATCTATATGGCGAGGGACAATCACCCCATTTTATATTCACCAGCACGATCGTAATCGTAGCCCCCACCCGATCCGGTCACCTTACACGATCGAATATCGGAGAATAAATTCTTATCACATCCCAAACTGGGAGTCACTAGAAGTAGCGGTGGAGTGGAACTCTTTCCAAGAAAGGGGAGATATCCCGGTTTCTGACGACAGTTCTCCCGCTTGGTGATGGAGATACAGCGCATCCCTTAAAGTTACCTGTCGAATCAGACCACAAATTAAAGTCAGGAATTGTGACTCCGGGCGGATATCAAAGGTCCCGGCAAGTGTGGGCTGATCACTGCAATCTCCTCCACCAGCATGTTCTACCGTAAAACGCCAAGCTATTTGACAGCCATGGAGTGCCCGTGGAGCAGCCCACTCGCACAAAGGAGAAATGTCTAACGAGAACGTCAAGACTATGAAATAAGCGACCACGTGGGAATGCGGAGATAGAGAAGCGCTCGTATCACAGCACGGCATGCCGTGTCGTGGCGCGCTTTGATCCAGTCTGACAGGGCTCTGGAAGGCTCGAATCTGGGCGTGGACCTGAAACGGCAAACAGAGATGGCGAGAGCGAAGAATGGATAGATCACTCGCTTCGGATTTCTTCCATAGGGACAAACCAGATTGAGCTTCACACCGTTGACGCACCAGAACGGAGACCTGCAGACTCGCAGACTCCGCTGCGGTCCCCCTAACGGTTTCGCTTACCACGGAGATCAGTTCCACTAAAACTCGGAGCCGACGGCTCGGCTCGTAGGATTTGTAGGATTTGTTTACTTTTTTATGCTGCCTATGCAATTCATCTGCCTGAATGCATGTTCATGCAGCGGCCAATAGCCCGAAAGAGACAGTGTGGAAGGATTTCTAGATGAATGTTGGTCTTGTTTAAGCGATACCAACGCCAATCTTCTATGATTGTGTATCTCTAACTATCCTTATTCTGTTCTTATAAGTCAAAGAATTGTGGCTTGGCCTAGTAGGTAATTTCGACAGAACAGGGGAAAATGCCAAACCTAAAATTATAAAAAGAAGCTGAGAAAGAAACAAAAAAACTTCCGAATCGCTCGGCTGCGGGTGGATCCCGAGAAAAGACATGCAAACGACGGCGGGTGGACTAGAGAAATAATGGCCCCAGTTAGAGCACGCCCAAGTCCTTGAAAGTCCCTTCCAGTTCCCGACAGCTGGGGCGAACACCCCTACACTCTCCAATTGACGCGCACCAGACAGTAATCGGTGTCGCGTGATGGCGTGGCCTGATGTTAGCAGCCGATTTTCTTAATTCGGGTGGACTCGGTCAAATGGGCTGATTATGAGGGAGGCTTCCGGTTGGACAAATATTCTACACCAAAAGCAAAGAGATTTGAAATTTCTACATGAAATAGGGGTATACAAAATGAGGCCAAACCACCAATTCCAATTCCGCATCCTGACTTTCTCTTCTTCCTTAATACTGAATACTGATAGATCCAAAAATGCCATTGCTGCTTTTCCCGTCCATTAACCTCATTCCAACGGCTCCGCTTTCAACCTGAGACGCGCTTAGGACAACTTTCTAAACAGCCGCGCTAGACGATCAGCGATGCTTGTGTTGATCACTGCCAAAAAGACGGTCTAGCCGGACTTCGTGCAAGTTTCTGGCTGTTGGAGGCGTTGCGTAACTTCAAAACTTGCGTCTGCCCCGCGTTCTGCCACGCTTTGGTCACTGGCTCCCATGGATTGACGTGCCAAGCTAATCTAATTGAGTTTGATGAAGAAAGTGACACCTGCGGCTGCCCGCTTTTGGGCGCATTTGGGCGTTGCGGGAGGTCGTATCACAATCTGAAACAGATCGATCGTGGAATTGGAGGAGGGAATGTGAGCAATCCAAGGGCTACAAGGTGTCTGGTCCAAGGATTGGGATGTGACGAGTCCCAGATTCACACTTACAAAATGATCTAGACCAGAGTCCTTGAGAATTTTACAAGGCCTGGGGCATGGAATGTGGACATTCAAGAAAGAACGTTAGATAAATGCGAAACAATATACTGAGTGGTTAATATATTCGAGAAACCTTATACAGATAAAATCTGATCTGTACACTTTCCCCTCATTCTGCTTACATCGTCGACATCGTGGCGTTACTTGGCGTGACCACGTGCAGCAGCAGCATCATACAGGCCCTGAATATCGGCCTTCCATTGCGCTTCATCCACACGAGCCAGCCGGCGGTCATAGGTCATCAGACCGTTGACCTCTCCCTCAACATCGGTCGTCTGGGTCCAGATACCTCCACTGCACGCAAACCGTTTCACTTGGTCCTGCAACTCAGCCAGCATGATATGGCTGCGATAGTTCCAAATTTCGATGGTCTGATCAAGCTCATAGGTTTGATCGATGGTGTCGATAGCAGCTTGGACGTTCCAGAGACTGATTTGGCTGTCAGTACAAGAGTCCCATCCCATAAAAACGACTTTTGAAAACCCACTGTTCGATAGAGACGTTGTTTCCGAGACCACCGAATTCACCCTGAAGACCGATTCTCCTGGCATCGTACGGGCTCGAGTCGATGGAGTAAAAAGGACTGCCACATTGAGGGTTGGCATAGTGGTGATTATCCTGATTTGCATTAGCGAATCCTCCTTTTAAAATGGCAACAGGTGTACTTACACTAAAGTCGCCAGCCCCGTGGTCAAACCATCCAGTCGTTGAATCCACCAGTCGAGTAGGATCCAACTGCTTGACTCGCTCTGTTAGCTCGAACTCGGGGTAGTAGCTGGTGATTTGGCCCCAGCCTTCGTTATAGACAACCTATGAATTCTCATCAGTACGACTCCCTCAATTATTACACTTGGTGCAGGATATCTTACCCAGGTTGCGATGCTTGGGAAGCTCTTGTGCTGGTTGACTAACAACTCGAGTTGACGCCCAAATTCAACCTGTTGATCAGCATTTGGCAGGATGCCTTGCAGTGGTCGCAACGACGGCATGTCCTGAATCACCAGAAGACCGAGTTCGTCGCATGCCTGATAGAACAGCTGGGGCTCAACTTTGATCTGTACACGGGCGGTATCAGTATGAACTTCTCAAGAATACGTCGCTTGCAAATACTGACATGCTTCCGGACAGTGTTGAATCCAAGATTCTTCAACATCTTCAGATCATATACCATCGCCTCCTTGGTTGGCGGGACATAAATGCCATCAGGCCAGAAGCCTTGGTCCAAAGTTCCAAACATGAAGATGAATTCGCCGTTCAAGAGGGGTCGAACGACACCATTGACAGTCCCTTTGGAGATGGTTCGGAATCCAGTATAGCTCTGGATTTGGTCCTTGCCGAGTGTGACCGTGACATTATACAACTTGGGAGAGTTGGGTGACCAAAGTTTTGGCGACTTGACGTTGAACTGGAACGGCTGATTGGTTGGCCCTCGGTGAGTCGCAACTACATCACCATTGTCATGCACAGTGACCATGACATTAGAGGTAGTATTGGTCGCTGAAGTGTGCACCGTCACGTTGACTAAAAACAATGGTGAGCTTTGTTCATTATCCATTGAGATGAAAGTGGCTCACCTTGGCCGTTCATGTTAGCATCGAGATCTAGCTGAGTGATATAGTTTGCTGGTGCAGCTTCGATCCAGACACTTTGCCAAATTCCGCTGCATGGCGTATAGAAGATGTGACTGGGCCGGAGTGTCTGTTTGCCAATAGGGATGACATAGTCGCCCGAGTCGGTGGGGTCGTGTACAAACACGAGCCTGGCCAAAGTCAACATTGAATCTCTCTGATACCTATCCACATAGCTCACAGTTCATTCTGCTGGCCTGGCTTAGCAAATTGAGTCACGTCAACAGTAAAGTGGGAATATCCTCCACGGTTGAAGCCAGCCTGCTTTCCATTGACAAAAACGGTGGCCTCGTAGTCGACGGCTCCGAAATTGAGCAGTATCTGCTGACCTCTCCAGTCCGAAGGGACCTTGAAAGAGTTTGAAAACCACGAGTACAAAGTGGTATTTCCCTGAATGCCTATGGTTTGGTGAGTGATGGGTCCTCTTAACACCAGTTGCTGAAGGCTCAAAATCTTACCAGACAAGCCACTCTCCAAGCAAGATGGAATCAATACTTCTTGTTCTAAGCTCTGCCCAAATGGAGGATTTTGGGCTTCGGCAAGACTCGATGCGCCTCGATACTGCCAGATTCCGTTGAGGTTCTGCCATTGGGACCGCTGCATTTGTGGCCGCGGATACTCAGGCCAGGGATCCGTTCCCACTTTGTCCGTCCATGGAGTCGTGAGAGGTGGTTCCTTCAGGGCATACTTTGCAGCACGAGGCTGGATAGTCTGGTGTCTACTAGCATCACCCCTGGGAACAGCCACACTGGTGGCTGCCAGCAGGGAGAACACAATGCTCCGTAGCAGCTGCATGATTCAACCAATACCGAAGTATTCCAACTCACTTTCTAGAAAAAAGGTTGCCAAGAGAAAGGACTGACTGTTGGAAGAAACACATTCTATCTGTCGAGCGCGTCTCCACGTTTATATACCATGCATCTCTGACAGGAGTGCGGAGTCAGACACGGTCGAAATCGCCGAGCCATTGCACCATTCTTGCTAGCCCCAAATGAAAATACAGAGACACGGGTTCGACGACCCTTAGACCCCCTGCGGGCTGCGAGTGAGCAGCTAGACTGGCATTTTGGACAAGCACTGCCCAGACCATACAAGGCATGGCTCCACTGGACACCGCTCATCCCCGCGCGGAGAATGCATAGGAGATTCCGATCTGGGAAAAGTAACGTTGTAGATGCCGCTTATTCCGTTGTCAGTGAGTGGACTAGTGCATGTGTGAGTACCGACAACGCCGTCGCTGGTGCTTGGCTGGTCAATAGTGGAGTGTATGCCCAGACTATCCCTGGCTAGCCCAGCATGTCGGTCAGAGACACGTCAGAATGTAATGTTTGATGCGTGAGATGCGGGGAATGCACGGATATCTAGTCTCAGTATTTGAGAATCATGAAGATAGAATATTGATTGGAATGGGTTGATAAATGACAGACCCTGCAGGATATGAAGTGATTCACTTGATAATAATGTCTAGCCAGGATGGCCAGTTTCAGACAAATGAGAAGAGGGAGACAACTAACTTCTTGGGCATGCAGGGGAGCTTCCCCCACGAATCAGCGTGCTGAATGGAATGTTATTGAGATCAACAAGGCTCTGATTTCTTGGTCGCAGACTAGTGGAGAATCATCGGCGATCGATGAGAATGGCAACATCACAACTTGCATTATCCTTCCCGTCACGCCCAGTGAGTGGTGGCTCTTTCCAGATCTATCCTTGTCAGAATATCTAAAGTATAACTTATCAAAAAAATGATATGACTGAACCAATAACCCCATGTCCGAAGATTATCCCGTTCAACTCAATCCCAAGCATTCCTATGCATGTCGATTCCCTTGCATCTCGCACGGATCAGGCCCCCTCCCTTCTGGCTCAAAAGCCCCGGTGGGTTTCCAAGCAGCCACCAAGCCCCAATCTCAAGCCATCGAGGGCCAAACTTTAACTATTGCCTATTGACGTTGTACTTTGACGTTCCATCGTGAAAGAAGATATAACTACCCCACAACTCAAAGGAAGAATATACAAACCCCCCGAGCTTCCCCGATGTTCGGCAGTGACTTGGCCCGCCGATCGCTCGCATCTCATTGGATGAGGCTTAGCGAGGCTTGCCAGCATGATCAGATTCCTTTTCTGGGCCGGAGTTTTAAGGTGCTTTTTCATTTGGGCCTTATTCGCGGCATATCTGATCCGAGGGGTAGCGGTGTAGATGTCGTGGTTGACGATTTTTCACCGGGTGTTTTGAGAAGATGAGGGGAGATTTAACCGAAGCAAAAATATAATCACTCAGTGTACTCTCACAACTGTTCTATCAGGAACGCCTCGACGAGACTGCAGCTTTCGGCATGAGCATGTCGGACGAAAATAGGCAGCAGCTGTGGTCCGTCTTGACGTTGGAAAGGACATGATGAACTAACTACGTATATTTAGTTGCCTCACTAATACCGGGCAATACTTAGAATATAGCCGTTTTTGAAGATGCAGCACACGTGCAGGTAAGCTAATTTAGGTACGCAGAACAACGGAGAGCAGGCCATGTGATGAGCTTCGGAGGTGGTCGGCTTATATCCCAACTTCGCAGCATGAGATTTTATATCTTCATACTCCTTGACCTCCGTGATGAATCGAATTGATCTTAGGTCGAAGCAATCCCTGTCTATATTTGTGACAGTCTGTAATGTTACGAATCGGTCCTGTCGAATCTGAAGAGATTGTCCAGACAGGGAGGATAAGTTTAGCCGCTAGCGAGGTGGTAAGAGCCTCATTCCACGTGCCGCTTTCTCACTTTCTCCTTTCACTCCGTTCCATGGATCTACCCGACCCTTATCTAACATGGGCCATTCTTTTTGACAACGACAAATTGAAGTTGTTCGCCTTCGCCTGGTCCAGAAGATATCACGAGGGTGTGCTACGCCTAGCATGTGGCGTCCCGGATGATTCAGTCAGACTGAAGAAGCAACTCGCCCTAAAAGGGCTCACTCTGAGGGCTTCGAGGAAGGAAGTTGAGAGTTATACAAGGCAAAAACCTTTAGATAGCATCATTGGGTGCATGCAATAGCTTCTCATCCAAAAGCCACCTTAAGAAACTGGCTTTACACATCAGTGGCATTCGCGATTCTTGGACTGGAATCAATAAAATCTTGTCTCTCGATTCTTTCTTGAGGCTTCAGGATCTCAAAATTAACGAGCATGATCTAGCCGCCAATGCAGTATTCCCCGTATCCTTGACCAAACTAGCGCTTGTTGACTGGGGAAAATTTCCATTCACTAAAGATATAGCCCAAAAAAACTCCCTGTACACCTTGAATCTATAACTAGCTATAGCAGAGCTCCGGGTGTCTTGCGTCACACGCTGGAAGACAGATGGAGCTCTCACGAGGTCGAGGTCCACTATCACAGATTTGATGATAGCCTGCCGAAAGGCTCTATTCGAGTGCCTGATAGCCCGTCGTGATGGGTCCGCGTAAATTTCGGATTTCTTTTCCAGATACCGGTGGTGGTGGTGTTATGAGAAAGAAAACGTCTTCAACGATATTAAGCTGCCAGGGATAAATTTAGGGTGAGGTTAATGGCACTACATGAACGTTACTCGCACTACAAACTAGGCCCTTTTCGGTTAACGTCCGCCCCACCACCAAAAGGTACATTTAAGACCCCAGAAATATCGCTCTTTATGTGTAGTCATATTCCTCTGGTTCTTATAATAGCCATAATAATTATCGAATAATAGGTAAACATATAGTGACGTGCTCGAAGTAAATACTGACCCTAAGAGCGACCGCAAAAAGGGCTTATTATTCATAGAAATATCTAGACAGAAGCCTTGGTAGACCGTAGTTGTTTTTTTAGGTGTCGGTTGTTCCTTTTTGGTGGTGAAAAGTTGCCAAGGCGGGTACTAACCTAAAAAGGTTTAGTATGCAGTGCGAGTAACGTTCATGTAGTGCCATTAGCCTGACCCTAATTTTAACGATCAATAACATTCAAGGGACCTCAAAATTAACAAGCGAAAAGATCCAAGCACACAAAATATTATAGTGGATTTAACGTTAGGCTACTATAATATTGAATGACTTCGGTGTTAGATCGGATATATCCATCGGCTGGGTGTTTCTTGAGCAGGACCACGGTTTTCTCAGCAGCCCCAGCGCGAATTCGCTTGTTTTGCTACTGTAATCAGAAATAGCGTGGTCTACACACACACACACACACACAATTCATTAACGCCCAGCGGCTAAGCCGAAAGGGCAACTATCGCTAATCTACTATACATGTCATAATATATACCGTTCTGTGTCTTATTGGAGCCCATGCATAAAACCTTGCCTTTTGTGTCATTTCTAGCACGCAGTGTCGCAGCGGATGCTCGTGGGTTAGTAATTTGGTTAGTAGGCTGGCTTGAAGGCGCTTCTCCAAGTGTTCAACATCCTATCTCCGGTAGTTGATGCGCGTCTACCATGAGTAGCACGAGGTGGTTGGTGGGTTAGATTGGAAGGAAAGGGGGTGTGATTGAAGTTCCTCGCCATGGTCAAGTGGCCTCGAGGCGGCCCGTAGCGATGGCGAATCGTATCGAGGCCCGTACTGCTTCTAAGTCCGGTGCCCACTTTTCGTTGTCGGAACGCGATTTCCCTCCTAGGTAGAAGGAGATGTTTCCTCGGTGGGTGTCGGTACACTGTAGCATATCCGTCCGGTGTGCTGTCCACTTCCGACATCGAAAAAGGAAGTGGTCCCCAGTTTCCTTGGCTTGTCTGCATGCACACTGATGTGTCTCTACCATGTTGATTCGATATAGGTATCCATTTAGTCTTGCGCCAGTCCGGAGCTGGGCTAGCACGCTCGCTTCTTTCCACGATAAGCGATCATATAGCTGTCGAGTGTGTTTTCCTGGCAGTGCTGCATCTACTCGTTTGGCGTGTTTTCCGACGTTCACTGGCAAGCTTTTCCTAGTGGCTATATGTGAATGTGCGATATTCAGGGCTGTTGACTTCATCCTAGGCACTCGTGCTTGGAGGAGAGCATCTTCTTGTGTCGCTGCTCTGGCCTGCTCTTTAGCTAGGCCCAGCAATTTGTGCTCTTCGCTAATGGGGTTCCAACGGATGTTGATCCGGTTTCCATTTCTCCGTATTCCTCTCATCAGCTTGTACACCTAATAGACGAACCCCTGGCCCGACTGTTGCCGAGGATTCCTTAGCGTGAGAGCCGCCGCTTTGTTGCTCGTGAGCAGCGTAATCCTGTAATCTTTCTGTCCTACGACCATGTCTAACGCATATGCCATGGCTGCTAGCTCCACAGAGAATGGATTTTGCTCTGCTCTTGCACCCAATGTGACGGAAACGGTCTTCAATTTCAGTTTTCGATACCGAGGTGGCTGTTTCTCGATCGCCACCCCGAATCCGACCAGCTCGTTCCGAGCGGAGCTGCTGACCGCGATCTGCATGTACACGCCTGCTCTGGTCTGGATATCCTGATATCCTGCGGTTGATCAATATCGGTCTGCATGCGTTCCTCCCATGGGGCTAACGTAAACGGGTTAATCGTTTCCAGTGTTTCCAGTCGATATGCTTGAGCGCACCTAACCACCCTAACCATCATTATACAATCGTTAGCGAAAACAGCTTCCGCCCTGAACACACAAAATTATTATAGTTGTCCCACTGCCAGGACATTTCTGGGTAATTTTTACACCACGGCCATTAATAGCTTCAATGCACACCTCCCCTACAACAGCGAAATGATACAACATCTTGGAAGTAAATGACTTATTGGAGAATGAGTTGTGGGTCTGGCGAGTGATGCAATTGAGATGAAGGCCACGGAGTGGTGGCTGCTTGCTCAGGATCTTGAAGGAACCATATTTGTACATGTACTGGCTGAGTCAAATTTAGGTTCCATCGCATCGAAGTGTATAGTGTGTTGTAAAAGGCCAAATCGAGTTTATGCGTGAGGCGCAAATATACTGGTGCCTCTACGTACCATATTTCCGCTCCCAGGTGGGGCTTTCCTATCTTAGTTGCCACCGCTTTTGTGATTGAGAGCGCTTAGAGTCAGGCTCACTGGGTAAATCACAGTACGGACTTAGGCTCAGCGAGCTACTCAGTCTTATCACGTGTAGTATCAATCAGTAGCTAATTACACTCACTGAGCGCTCAGCGAGTGTGCCTAGAGTTCTCTAGTGACTACATTAATGTTATCCCTAATATTACTATAGGTGTATAGATTACACTACTTTATAGTTATTGCTCCTATCTAAAACCCCTAGTATAAGCCTTAGGTTAACATGCAGGGCTAGGCGAGGGTATATAAGGTGTCAGGACCCGCCCTCCACCCGCGAGGGTCGGGCGGAGGGCGAGAGATACTGGCCCTCGAAATGTTTTTTATGAGGTCTAATTAGGAGGAAGTTGGACCACGTGGAAATAATACTATCATGAAAATCTCTATGTACATTACCACAATTTACCAGTCGCCAAAAAGGCCAGAATACCCTCTCAGCATCAACGCTTAGCTTTCATAGCCATCCCGATTAGCTAGCTTTAAATAAGTTATCAATATCTCTGCCGTAATACTGAGAGAGGCTTCTCTAGCTCCTGCGGCAATATCTCGACGAGGTCACATAGCCTTGCCAACAGCGGCGCGCCGACTTGCAGTACTCCTTCATGCGCAGTGGAGAGAAACAGCTTGAGACTATCTCCCTGCGGGTGCGAATGAACCCACACATCGGATGTCCCTTTGAAAACTTCATCAGTCCAGCTAGACTGGGATATTGCGCCCTCGAGTGGAAGATCAAACGTGAGATCTTCACTCAGATGCAGTATGCGTGAACTGGGTCGAGTACCCACGCGCCATGGGGTGCAGTGATCTATGATGTCAGTCAGATCCAGGTAGTCGAACTGGAGGGTGCGTATGTGTTGGGTGTGCACATGGGCGAGGAACTCTTGCACGGTCCACCCGTCTTGAATGGTTACTCGTAACGGGAGTTCCTTAGCGCAAGGCCCGACAATGCCATCGATATTCGGGAGCGGGGCGTTGCGGCCACTGACAAATTGCCCAAACACGATATCGCACTCGTGGGCAAACTCGCTCAGTGTGAACGCCCAGGCAGCCTTGACCAGAGTGGCCAGGGTGATTCCATTCGGAATAGTTGGCGTCTTCAGGACGTCCTGATCAGGTGGTCGCGTCAGTGAGATGGGCCGGCGCTCGTGATTATGGTTTGGAAGGTGCGATAGATCTGGCACACGGGTTATTGATGAACCGTTCAGGTATTCTTGCCAGAAGGCATGCGCCTGGTCAATCTGATACCGGTTTTGCCAGTAAATGTAGTCCCGGAAGTCAACCAGCCCCGTCAGATTATCTCCTCTATATGCTCTCGCAATATCTTGAACCAGCTGTGAGCTAGAAATCGCGTCACACTGTGCGTGACAGAGGCTAATGATAAACGTATGCTGTTGCATCTGGGGATGTGACAAAAGGACGAATTGGGTCTGCGTCTGTCCGATAAGCGTGCTTCGCGGGATGTCCGTCAAGCTCTGTTCAAACTGTGGCGGGTCCGCGTCGACCAAGCTATGGCGGAACGGGACGTCAAGACCAGACATGATCACTTGAGCCAAGGATTTTTTGTAGGGCACGAATATCGTCCGAAGTATGCAGTGTCTCGCCCAAATCGCTTCACACGCGGCGCGAAGACGGTCAACCGCAATGGTCCCGCGGTAGGAGAAGAAGAAACGGTTTAGACAGCATGTATCTATCATCTCCTGCTGGAAAGGTGTTGCAGGGAGGATATCAGTCACCTTGCCTTGCCCAGGGAGCATACTCCTTTCCCGAAGGCCCATGATATAATGACTGGCATCCGGTAGGTCGAGCAGCGAAAATGGTGTCATATCGACTGCAGTGTGCATCTCGGGGCTAGAAACCGATGACAATGCCAATAGAACGGGGTTAGTAAAGATATCATTGGCCATTAGTTGTATGCCGGATGATCGAGCGGCGGCGGCTACCTGCATTGCATTCAGCGAGTCACCACCGAGATCGAAGAAACTGTCTTGAATTCCAATACTGGTGAGCGGGAGGTTGAGAACCTGGGCCCATATCTCCTGTAGGGCTTTCTGTATATCCGTTAATGGGAGGCTATTCTCTGCCTCCGGTACTTGGGTATACGGTTGCATTCCACCCCCTGATATCTGTCTTTCGAGATGCTCTCTCAACGCTCGTCGGTCCGTCTTCCCAGATGTAGTCCGGGGCATTTCGAAAAGTGATACAAAGAGCGATGGTACCATGTGACGGGGCAAGGATTTCCGCAGTTTTCCCTTGGCCAGCTGCGAAGCGGCTATGAAGGAATCGGTTGGCTGGGCAAATGGGGTGTCGTCCAACCGCTGGCCATTTGCCGCCGGTTGAAGAATGAAGACCGCGATAGAAGAACGGCTGACGTTTGGGCGCACCGGAAAGCTGATCACATCGGCCACTAAATCTATTGCATCCTTGAAACAAAGGCGAGCGTGGCTCTCAATGTCCCCCAGTTCGACTCGCTGACCGCGGATCTTGACTTGGGAATCCATTCGCCCAACATAAGACCAAGATCCGTCTGCCTGCCATCTCACCAGGTCTCCAGTTCTGTAGACTCTGCAAGGTGGGCCAGTGCGTGCACCAAGTAGCCAGCAGGGGGGATCGATGAACGCTGCCCGGGTTCTCACAGTGTCCTTCAAGTATTCACGGCCCACCAGTGACCCTTCAATGAGCAGCTCGCCGACTCCCCCGACAGGGGCCAATACCTGAGGGTCGTGGGGATTTATCGCCCAGAATGTCGCTTCAGTGGGGTGGCCGATATTCGACGCACTCAAGGCTTGTCTAGAATCTACCTGAACACTGGCAATGAGTGAACATTCCGCGGGCCCGTAGCCATTCATCACTTGAATCCGGTCGTCGATGCAGGCCTGATCGCTGGGGTCGACTCGTTCTCCTATGAAGATGACAACTTGCAGGCCAATCTTGTTCAGGCTGTGTCTGGGGATGGAACGAGCGAATGATGGAGTCAAGTATGCATGTGTGGGTTCCTGCATTCGAGCGGCTTCGACATAGTTGTTCATACGTTCTGATTCGCTGAGTACGCACACACAGCCTCCGGCCACCAAAGTACTCAAGATCTCCAGAATGCTCGCGTCAAATGCGTAAGAGTGGGACTGAATCACGCGCGACGATGGTCCTAGTCGGAAAGACGGGATGTGAGCCAAAGCGCTGCTACAGAAGGAACGATGCTCGATCACTACACCCTTTGGAATTCCACTGGAGCCCGAAGTAAACGCGGTGTAAAGGGCGCTGGATGGTTGCACCTGCGGCAGCTCCCTGGAATGAGCCCTTTGATTCCGGAGGAAGTTGGTGTGAGCGTCATCAATGACCAGGATCACTGAGACCAGTTTGTTAGACAGTTCCTCATTGTCCCTCGAGCAAATAATCAGCGGAGCCTCCAGGTGGTCACAGATGCTTGCTAATCGGCTGGGTGGATATGACGGCTCGAGAAGCACAAATGCGCCTCCGGCCATTGCGACCCCGAGCATAGCCACGGTCGTCCATATAGACTTGGAGAAACACAGAGGGACAAAGGTTCCTTGCTTGATCCCTTGATCAACGAGATGGTTTGCCAACCTGACGGCGAGGTTGACGAACCCGCTATATGTAAGCTCGCCCTCCGACGAAGATACGGCTATCGCATTAGGCCGTTCGGTGGCCCATCTTTGAATAATCGTGTGCGCACAAGACTCTACTGCTTTTGGCGCTTCTCTATTCCAACTCATGATCTCTGCGATATCCTCGGGATTCGGGGCCAACAGATCAGAAATCTGGGCATGTGGCCGCTCACAGATTTGATTGAGAATATAGGAAAATTGTCTTGTCATCCTATGGGCTTGTCCGCCGGTTATTACAGGCTTATCCTGGCGAGCAACTCCGATCCAACAAGAGCTGTCGGTAAGACCACAACATACGGTCATGGTATATTTGCTCACAAAACCCGCCAGGGGAATATGCAAAACCTCCTCAATCATGTTCTCATTGGATGCATTGATATGATCGTAAATGATAAGTAGCGTCTGTCCGCTGGGTGATGCACTCTCATGATGCCGGTATCTACCGCCATCATGACGGCTTCTGATAATGCGCTGCTGAAAGCTGGCCAGGGTTGCTCGGACTGTGGACTTGCCGTCCAATGCGGTCTCGCATGAAGACCATGCGTAGTTCCACTCATTCTCACTGTCGCTAGATACAATGGCATCGAACTTGACAGTATAGTTTGCTTGATACTGCGCCTCAATCATCGTCCAGGCCAAGCAGGCAAGTCCCCGCCGCTTAGTACTATCGGCCCCCTCAGACCAATTTATCTTGGTTGACCGTATAGATGAGGGCACAAGAGATATGGTTGAAGCCTCCGGACCGTGATAGGACTCATCTTGACATTTAGACGGATCAGCCGAGGCTCGAGCCATCGGGTTGTACATCTGTGTCAAGGACATATCATGCATGGAGGACACAATAAACAGATTGGTGTGGCTTGGAAATCAATAAGTTACTGCGTATTCTCTGTGGTAGAGGACTGATTGTTTTTGTATCTTGTCCGGGCAGTCCTTGAAGGGAAGTTATTCTATAGGAAAATGTAGTTTAGGCCGAATGTTTGTGTACAGGGAAATGGTTGCCTACAGAGAGGACAAGCGGTGAGAAAAAAAACTTACGTGTAAAAGCGAAATAATGACATGCGTGCATGCATAAGCTAATGTGATGCAAGATCTCTTGCTCCTGATCAGCACTTCGTCGGGAAATTTACGTGTCCACGGCAGATAGGTTGGTAGCTAATGCAGGCTCCTGCAAAGGATGCTCCACTTACTACGTGTCTTGCTGATCAGATGGCGGTCCTGTAGTTCTTGCGCCGATCATTCCCAGGCCGTGGTCGCAGCGGTTGCCTTAGAATTAAGAGAGAATCAGCCGAGCAATAGAGTTTCGAGAGAAGCTCCTCTACGCCACTTCTTATAAGTCCGCCCCATGGTACGCATCTATCTCTTCTTGACATCCACAGCATCTCTCTTTCATTCCTGGTGACTGAAAAACATCCGACGAACAAATATGACTTTCACAGCCTCTCCCCCTCTTGAACAATCCAAGACCACACAGCCATGGAAAGTTCTTTCTCAGTTTTTACCGCCTCAAAGCATTGATCATCAGCTATGGTGGAATAAGCTAGCACCGGTCATTGGATCCTCCCTGAGTCGTGCCAGGTACGGTATCGATGCCCAATATCAAAGCCTCCTGTTAGTACAGTCTGCTATCATCCCAGCTCTGGGGCCCTTCCAGAATCATGACAGCTCCAATATGACATGGACGGACTGCATGGCCAATAGCATGGGTCCCCTGGATGTCAGCGTCAACTATCAGAACGACTCCAAATGTGCGTTTCGCATCACTATAGAACCCGTCGGCCCTTATGCTGGCACAGATTCAGACCCTGTGAACGAGATCGCGGCTAAACAGCTACTACAAACCCTGAGTCATATCCAACAAGGTATAGACTTTTCCTGGTTCGATCACTTTGAGCCGATGCTCATTACAAACCGTGAAGCACGGCAACACTGGCATGCCATCTCTCATCTCCCTTGCAAGTCTCAGACGGTCGTGGGGATTGATCTGCATGAAGATCACTTCACCGTTAAACCGTACCTGAGTCCGCTCTTGAATGCGGCTGCCACGGGGGGCGATTTCCTGCAGACCATGTTCAACAAGCTCCGAGCTCTTTCCAGTACGAAGCTGAACTTGTCAGTTGTGGAAGAGTACCTGTCCTTACGGAAAGATAGCGTCCTCGCTGAGAAGACATACCTCTCCTTTGATTGCAAGAGCCATCGTGAGTCTCGGATCAAGATATATACCGCGATGGACATTACCTCGTTAGAGGAAGTTCGCGATCTTTGGACCCTCGGAGGGCGTCTTTCTGGACCTGATATCGACAATGGGTTTGACATTGTATCGAAAATGTGGAACATGATATACCCCAAGCCACTGTCTGGAGGGCAGCTCCGGCAATCGTTAACCGTAAACTTCAACTGGGAATTGTCGCCCAAAGATGGTTCTGTCGCACCCAAGGCATATTTCCTGGTCGATAGGGACTTGGATGAAAATGTGTCTAGTGCTCTGGTTTCGCTTTTCAAGGATTTGGGATGGAAAAATCACATAGAGACACACCTGACTTTAGAACAGGAGGTATAGTAAGTGTGATATCAGCCAATCTTGACTGATCTCTGGTAATTAACCTATCTTAGCATTCGAGGAGGGACTGATGTCTATCTCTGGTTGGCATTCGCTTACTCCAACGGCCCGTATATTACGGTGTACACCAATCCTCTTGCCGGTTGCATGACGGCATGATTGAATTGTAGGGGGGAGAATGGTTTGCGGTCCGTAGTGCTGGCAGGTGACTTGACTTATACAGAGATGCTTGACCATTGAACGCTGAATTCGTTAAAAATTTTCAATTATTCAATAGATCCAAAAGGTAATTGTGAAACACAACGCATCTACATTATATGCGAAAGAGAGCCCAGTGTTTGGCACATTAAGAGATGATTAAAACTTGAATGCAGCTGGAGAAGTCATGAGCCTGGTAGACAGCAACCACTTTCCTGTTTCATAGTATGAGCTATGACCCTTGATTACTTGGTTCTACTCGTAATCTTAGCTGAAAATGGTTTTTGTGCAGGGTATCGGGCTGATTTGAAATCTGGGACCTACAATACTAGGAGTTTGCGGAGAATATCCGCAAGTCATCTTAGGGTGTCGATGTGTACACCTATCTCTTGTCTTGATACTTAATTGGACAAAAATAATATGCCTCGTAAAGCAAATTTAAGTAGGCATTGAGTACTCCGTATACGCACACTTGGTCTAATATTGCCCGCTATATACCCAGCACTCTCTTAGCGACTACGTTTGCGAGCTGATACATCAGATCCAGACATTCAGGCCACACAAAACACGTAACTGGTTTCGTTAAAGGTTCGCTTTGCTTCGACCAGCTGCAGGCCCGCCATCTGCGCCTCCAGAAGGAACTCCCCATCCCCCCACATCCGGACAGATGTCGTGGGACTTTCCGCCTCAATCACCCGCTCTTGGCCTCCTGTACCCTTCTCGACTACCTGCATCGGAACTGCGTATTTGACGATGTTGCCTTCGCGTCGCGTCGCCATATATCCCTCGGGGAAGCGATAAAACACATTGGGATACTTCTTACTCGGCATATCAGTTCGTGTAGACGCGTCTGCGTATCGTTGGTTAATCTTGTCTGCTTCGCTTTGTCGGCCATCATCGAATAGATAGCCGATGGGAATGTATGCTCGACCGGTTCCCGGCCGCAGCACCTTGACCACCTGACGAAGGAACTTTTCGGCAGCGCCGGGTTCTGACAAGAGGGAGATGCTAGCGTATGCAAAAATGAGCAAATCGACTTTAGGAGGTCCTTGCAACCCTTCAATCGCCTGCAAATCCAGGGCCGAGCCAACGGTGTAGGTAATTCTGGAGGCGAGGGATTTGGGAACTATCTCCTTGGCTCGAGAGATCATATGTGGGGAAATATCCACGCCGATGAAGCGGTTGTAAGCGGGACTGATATTCTCCTGGATCATGTATTCCGCGATTTGTCGGAATACCCGGCCGGTGCCAGTGCCCACATCCAGGACGAGATAGTCGTGCGATGGGTCGCGTGGGCGCAATGAGGACATCTGCTTGTACGCGTCCAAGTATATAGCTGCGTCATCACAAGCCCATGGTGTCCGGGCAAGGCCGAGATCATACACTTCAGCGTAGTATGGCGAATGATACGCTGCCATCTTGGTTTTAACGTAGTATGTGGTACGTTCAGACAACGGATTAGGATGGAATTTGTATATTGGTAATGATCGTGTATCAAGGAAAGCTCGTCAGGTCTTTATGTATTCAGTTGCGCCTTAACAGATACTTTATTTTTTGTTTAAAAACAACTAAGTCGACGAATGATCATACAAAGTCGCGGTGGAGAATGCGACTTACTGCTGGATGATCTCTTCCAAATCTCCTACGACAGGCAGGCAGCCTGATGGCTTAGACAAGTCATTGGAACGCAGTATCTATGTCGTGGCTGTTGGTCCTAAAAGGTGGGTGGCATGGGATGATACATCATAATATGACCTGAGCGGTGAGAGAAGTATTGCCGATCAGCGGAATGGCAAACCTAAAAAGTGACCTTGCATGCATTTATTGAGTTCTCTCAGCTTGCCGATCCCAAAGCTTGCCGATCGCAAACTCAATTACCATGCATTGATTGAGTTTTCTCAGCTTTAACCTGCTTCACCTGCAGCCTCGTGGCTAGATCGTGGATGGTTTGTCGATCGCAAACTTCAATGACCATGCATTTATTGAGTTTTCTCAGCTTGCCGATCGCACTTGCCAATCGCAAACCTCACGGACCATGGCTTGATTGAGTTTTCTCAGCCTTGACCTGCTTCCCCTGCAGCCTGGTGGGGCTAGATCAGCATTATAACGCAATATCTATGTCGTGGCTGTTGGTTAAAAGATGGGTGGCATGAGATGATGCATCATACATGACCTGAGCGATGAGAGAGGTATTGATTGCCCATCAGCGGAATGGTGGAAACTAGACATAGTCACCTGGCATTCGTTGACTTTTTCCAGCCTTGACCGACCTTCCCGCGCTGCCCATCCATAGCTCTCACGCAAGAGGGTGGAGAAATGTGATTCCAAATAATTCATGATCCTCGTTGAGGGTTTGCTATCTGGCTATACCCACTCTGCCTCACTGCCAATGATCTCGTGATGCAGGAAGGGCTTTTAAGTGAGAGACAAAGAGGGTGGGGGGTTTACAGTTTGGAGTTCATGGTCATTACCTTGTGTATGCTTCACGTGTCGCTCCGAAGGTCACATTCCTTATGCATTAGCGACACTAAGGAGAGGACTTCATGTTCTTATTGCCAGGTGTTGAAAGGGAGAAACAGTTCCTTGATAACAGATCTCTAGATTAATCGAATTGTATTTCTTATTGATGTATCCAACTTCGAATTCGCTAATTACCTTGATCCAGAGATGGGCGTGCGACAATGGCAACCATTCCGTGAGAGACTGAGTGGGCATCGGCTCGGAAAAGAAGCTTCAGCCGTTCCACGAGTGCCTCTTTAATCTTTTCGCGTTGCGGATGCTGTCTATGCCAAATGCCGGTCAGGAAATCCGCAGCGGCGGCGCAACGCTCAGGAAGGCTCGCTTCCTGGAACTCATAGCTTGCGTCGATACGGTGCACAGTGATATTTCCGAATCCGTATTTCGTAAGGTACCTTCTGGTCGAGTGCAGGATATGACCCTGATGGCCAACAGGGAGAGAACGAGCGACAGAAGTCAGAAGTTTCACCACCTCGTTATACGGCCCTCCTTGGACAATCACAATTTTTGGACTTGGTCCACCCACTACACGGGTTATTTCCTGGATGGTTCTTTCCATGTTCAACACATAGTCCATCTGCCATAATGCAAGCACCGTCTGAAAGGTTCTTGGGGCAAATGGTAAATCCTCAATCGGATGGTCGACAAATCGACTTTTGCGGCGTTGGAAATGCCCATCTGCCATTCGTCAGCACCAAGGTCTATAGCAGCGGTAAATGCAGAAGCCATACTGAGTAGGTCCTTTCCGATACATAAGATATCCGGACTGTCGCCGATATCTTCAACCAGTTTCTCCAGATCTTTGCTCACCAGACGATCAGCAAAGAAGTCTTCACGGTCCTGAAATTCCAACGGTTTAAGACATCTAGGTAAGGGATATGGTCCCAAAAGCGGCTCCGGCTCGACCTTTTTCGCCAGCACGATGTAGTGGGCTTCAGGAGCATGTTCCTGGCTGGCCGGAGAGAAGAGGTAAGAAACTGGCTCTATTTCGACGATAAAGCCGGATTCTCGGAGGAGTTGACACCAACGCTCCTCGGATAGGAATAAATCATCGACATGATTCCCCATCCACAGTTTATCTAGCATCCAAGTACAGTCCCATGTAGGATCATACGTCGTGTTTTTCGGAGCCAGAGAGGTACTGGGAGTCACTCCCAGAACCACATATCCCCCGACCTTGATCCACTGAGAAAATCGCATAACCATCGAACACATATCACAAGCCGACATTTGGAACAAAGAACGGATTGCAAAGACTGCATCAAACAATGTCGACGGCTGATACGTCTTCATATCACCCACTTGAAATTCGCCCGGAACTTGAGACTTGGTGATTTTCACCATCTCCTCCGATATATCAATCCCGTGAACTTCATGACCGGCAGACGCAAGTATCTCAGACACCGGTTTGCCTGTTCCACATCCCACATCTAGTGTTCTGCTTCGAGGAGGAATGGTTTTGGCCACAAGCCTAATAAAGCTCTGCAACTCCCGGTCCATCCCAAAAGCGGCCTCATAATGGGCCCCTAGACTGTTGAACAGACTTTCTGCTTGTGCCGTCATAATTGAGGTTCTGTAATGTCGGATATTCAAGTAAACAATTCAAGGGAAAGGACTGGAAACGACTTTAACACACATTTGTTTTAGCTCTAGCCCTTTTATGGAAGAGACGAGTATGGGATAGGCAACAAGTGATCAGACTCTTACGTAAATCTCAATGATACACCGCTATAGATCTTTGCATTCAGCTGCGCCACCTGCAGGCGGATATACTTTGCATTTCAGATAAATGCAGGATGAATACACGCGGAAAATCATGCAAGATGACGTCTTCCTGCAGACGCACTTTACAGGGTAGAATAGCGATCTGATCTCCCAAGGCGCCTGATACTTGAGATGCATAAGCGGGACCATCGTCAATAAAGAATAACGCACGATGCGCCATATTATCTGTCTGATTCCATCTCTCGTGCTTTGACATAATCTCTGCGCTGCGGCCGCCTCCAATCTGGTCAACATGGATCCGATCAAAACTTTGGACTTCGGCAACTGGGTCTCTGGTAGCGATGAAGAGCGTCAGAGCTTCGCTAAAGATTTACACGATGAGCTGGTGGCCGTTGGTTTCGTCAAGCTGTGTAACCACGGCCTATCCAATGAGTGCATTGACAACCTTTTCCAAAAGGTAAGTCACTATAAGTCTGAGGCGTAGGGGGAAGGCTCAATCATTCAAATCTCCAGACTAGGCAATTCTTTGAGCTCCCACCGGAGGAGAAGCAGAAGATCGCATATATCCCCGGCCCTACTCTGCAGCGAGGATGGAGCACTGTCGGGTCTGAGAAATCGGCTACGCTGGACAGTCCGGAAAATATAAGTCACGATAATCTCGAAGACGCTAAGGTATGTTATCTGATATCTGAATCCCTCCTGTTTCTTCGTCTCTTAGGTTTTTCTCGATACTGACAACCGCGATTGAAACCAGCAACACTTCGACTGCGGTGCAGCTGAGGACGTGAAATTTCCCAACAAATGGCCTGACGCCCATGTTCTGCCCGGTTTTCAAGAGTCCGTGGAAGAGTACTTTGATAAATGTCAAGAACTTGGTTTGCGTACAATGGAAGCTTTGGAAATGGGATTCAATCAGCCGCAAGACTCTCTTCTGTCGCGGTTCAAGAGCCATGCGAGCCAGTTCCGACTCAACCATTACCCTGCCTTGCCCGTCCAGCGTCTGACAGATGGCTTGACAAATCGTTTATGGCCACACGCAGACTACGGTGTCCTCACCTTCCTAGTGCAGGATTCGGTGGGAGGACTCCAGATCTGGGACAACATCAACCAATCTGGCTTCCTCCCAATTCCGTGTAATTCCCGATATGAGATCATCGTCAATGCCGGAGGAACTCTGCAACGATGGACCAACGACTTTCTCAAAGCGGGGCTCCATCGAGTGGTCATGCCGGACACAAACCAGAAAGATGGCGTCGTCCCAGAACGATTCTCACTCGCTTTTTTCCTGCATACGGCCCGCAGCACGAGCGCTGGTCCATTGCCGTCGTTCGTAGATAAGGATCATCCCGCTCTGTACGATGAGATCACAACCTTTGAGTTTGAACGCCGGCGCACGGAGCAGACTTATTAAATTGATTAGGAGATGAATAGCATGCGGCGGTTTCATCTGAGGAACTTACCTTTGGGTGGCGGAACGAGGGGCAGGGTATTTAAAGGCGATAACAAGCACATGAACTTCCGAGATGGGAATAGAATCATATTATTAGCAAGCTGCCACCCCTGTATTAGATTATAAAGCCGTTTCTCCTATTCTGAATGGTTATAGTAATTCGGTGACACCCCTTATCCGATCAGTCAAGCACCTAGCTAAGGATGAAAACAATACAGTTTTCAATATGGGTAGACGACAGAATTCGCGATATTCACTCACTCTGATTCCTTCTACTCATCATAAGTCTTATCCAGTTATTAGATCATTTTGTTGAAAGTCTAATGATTCTAGAGATGCGATTTCAGGTAATGACTACCTAGACTGGCTGACCTAACCCGCAGAGTAGGTACGTATATAGGTCGGCACCGATCTAACTCAATATCTAAATAGATTCACTATACCAAATCTTTACTAACAGCCAATCTTCAAAAGCATACTAGTAGAGGTAACTATTTGAAACTAGGACTAAAACTAACCTAGTCCTATAGGCGGTGTATATAGTTCCTCACCTTCTCGTATGCGGGGCTTCTAACGAATGAATACAGGTTTCGGTCTCTATTCTTTCCTTCTGGAAAAGTGGATGAAGGGTGATGAGACAGACATGTTCCAAAATGATAAGCGAGAAGCGTTGCAGCCATTTTCATACGGTTCCCGAGCTTGCATTGGAAGAAAGTTTATTTCAAACTTCACACTTGCATGATTGCCACCACATTGGCCGAATAACTGACGTGTTTTCATTAGCCTTGCCAACGCAGAGTTGCGAACAATTCTGTCCAATATCATCTGGCATTTTAATCTCACCCTTGATATTCGCTCTGTAAATTGGGATCATGCCAGGAGCTATATTATTTAAAAAAAAAAATTAACATGGGAATTCTTCTGCGAGAGACACAATAAATCAAGCCGCACATCTGGGAGTGAGGTTTTGCGATTGCCTTGTATTTCAAGTACCGAAGAAAAATAAAATAAAAGCATATTGATGCAAAATAAAACATTCTGCTGAGACCCTGCCAGTAAGTCAACAATATACCTATGACATCTTTCGGGTCGGAGAATTTCGGGCCCTGAAAACCAGGTGGCAAAGACCTGGCGATCACTTACAGGCTACCCGGAAGATGTTCCTCCCCTAGCTTGCCGATATCAAAAAAAAGAAAAAAAAAAAAAAAAAGAAGGGTGGGGGGGGGGGGTGGGGGGGAAAGGGGGGAACAAAGGGGCCCTAGGGGTAGGGAATTTTATATAAATTTCTCCACTATCCGATCGAACTACAAAGCCTGCATTCATCATTACAAAAATACTTTATTGGCACTATGCGTTCATCTACTCCATTCATAGTGGTAACCTTGATAACGGCGTTATTCGCGGGTACGTGTCTAAAAGATTTCCTCTTTTATATTTCTTTTTCTTTTTTCCTTTCTTAAAAATGAAAACCCACCATTCGCTATCCAGCTCACAAACCTTCTTATAAGATGTGATCTTATATGCCTTCATGGTTCCTCTACTGCCATATTTGTTTGAAGAGCGTATGAGAAGAAAAACATCGGATGTTCAGGGGTTTACATCATTGTATCTTTTCACGGCGGCAGTGGTGTCGATGGTATCAAGTCCCACTCTTGGTCAAATGATAGAAAAGACGTCCTCGAAGAGAAACTTTCTATTGGGATCTTTAGTAATTACCCTAATCTGTTCCATTTTTTCATCTTTAACCACATCAAGTAGGTTGATTTTTGTGAACCCTCAACTCAGACGGTAGACCAGCTAACTTCGATTATAGTTGTGATTTTCTTCATTGCGCGAGTCTTCCAGTCAGTGGCAAGTAATGCATTATGGATCACAGGAACAGCTACTTTAGTCACGGTGTTAGGCCCTGGTCATATGGGTAAGATAACAGGCCTGGTTGCAACAGTCACCTCTACTGGTACGGCTAGTGGACCAGTGATTGCTGGTACGCTTTTCAAGATTGGCGGTTGGTGGGGAGCCTGGACGGGGGTTTTTACTTTAATTGCTATTGACATTATTCTCCGGTTGCTCATGATCGACAAAAAACATCAGACACACGATCAAACAGACCGGCCGACGAGTCATAGACCAGAGCCTCAAGACACTTCATCCTTGTTGGAAGAGGCTCCCCTCCTACAAAATGCTCCAGCTCCATCCGAGACGAGTCAAAATGCGGAATCAATGAGTCTGTGGGGCTTTTATGCTATCGCTATTCGTCACTATAGCTTTGTTGCTGGTGTGGCCATCACCTTTGCTCATTCAATTTTGATCACTTCTTTCGAAACCACACTCACTTTGCACGTGAAACAAGTCTTCGGATGGGGCGAGTTTCCTGTCGGTTTGCTGTTTGTAGCCCTGCAAGGTCCGGCAATTGTCCTGAGCCTGTTAGTCGGTTGGTTAAAGGATTCTATGGGCTTACGGTATCCTACGACCGCTGGCTTCTTACTCATAGCACCGTGCCTCTGGCTACTTGGAACGGCGGGAGACCCTCGATTCGAGTGGAGCACAGTGGGTGGTCGGGGTGAGATCATTTACCCAATATGTGTTCTAGTTATTGGATGTCTTGTTTCTCTTTTAACTGGTTCTGGCTGCATGGAATTGACCTGTACGTGCCTTCAGTATGACTGACTGTCCTTGCTCAATTACTGATAAAATATGCACAGTTGCCATTGATAGCCTCGAAACTGCCTCCCCCGGAATATTTGGCCCTAACGGAGGTTATTCTCGAGCACTTGCTACGTACAACATGAGCTGGTCATTTGGATTGTTGGTTGGTCCTCTCTTATCTGGTGCCCTGGTGGAATATTTCGGATACTATGAGATGAACTCTATATTAGGTGTGTATGAGTATTTTCCCAAATCAAGAACGCTTTTTACTTACAACTGCAGCTTCTCTGCTCTTCCTTGTTGCCATCACCGCGGCTAGAAATACCAGCTCCGTGTCCAAAGTTGAACGGTCTGCTCTCACTGGTAATACTGTCGTCTAAAGGATTGCGCCTCTGAAATCAGGAAACCTACACTTGTTGCGAGAATATTAATGGTTGCAAGCAAATGTTCCTTGAAACCGGCAGCCCAGCACCTGTGCGGCATTAATGCCATTCAAAACGTACTGCATACATTGATTTGAACGCATGGCCATTTATATTGGCGACAATTACTATATTTGAGATATCTGCTTAGTGATGATGCATCCCTGGCATTTTATAATACACACCCATGTGACCGGATATAGTCTAAAGTAGTTTGATTTGGGCCTTATATTAGGCATGCTTACCAGTTTGGCTGTCAATCTCCGAATTATACAGCGCGTGGGTAGTCGTGCATATGCCATCATCCTAGAGCTTGTCTCACTCCCTTTATTTCCCTCCAAAGCTCCATGGATGTTCTTTACGAAAGTGATTTTCTTCTTATGCCATCGTGCTTTTGCCACCCAGATGCTACCTCTGCGTCATTTAATCTGGGTTTTGCTCGATTTTCGGGTCGTCTATCTTGTCATCGTCTCAATCATAACACAAATTGTAGGGTCTTAGTATACAAGCACCCCAACATCGTAGAGCTATATCAGCGCCCGCTAGCTTAGTACAAGCTAGAGTTAAGCAGCGGTTTTGGCCATGGCATATTGGAACCAAGGCCGATGGGAAAAGGCCAAGCGGTTTAAGATGCAAGTGATAAAGATAAGAAAGGAGAAGCTCTGCGTTGACCATCCTGGCACGTAATATCGAGGAAGCGTTTAATGAGGATATTTATGGCTTTAATCTCTAAAAGAGTGCATTCATATTTCTCCAAACAAATAATTTAAGCGTCCTAGTGATTTCCGTATTAAATAAAGTAGAACCTACCCTTGGACGCTAATAGAATACGCTATAACCCGTAAATAGGTTATAATCTTTTGCGAAGGGCTGAAGCAAGACTTGATTCAATCTAACTAGGCCAACATGCTGTTTACAAAAAGCTTAGAGAAGAGAAGAAAGGAATAAGCGGAACAGCGATAGAAGAAGCGGGTAAGGCGGTGGCAGAACGGAAGTGTAGGGAAGGGCTATATGGCAGGGCCATATAGTAAGAAGCGGGTCTGACCCGTTACATATTATGCCCTAATATCTAGGTTAGGCCGTAATAATTATCTCCCTCATTCTTAATAGAGTCACCTCATGCACAAGTTCATTTCTCTAATCTTGAAGAGGTGTCCATTCCAAAAATACAATAGCATATGAGGGTACTTCATGAAGGCAAGTATCTGTTGAGGCGTGTTTGCAGTATTTTGTAGGGAAAGTGTTACATGAATTGGAGGGTCGCAACCTTGAAATGTTTTGTAATCTTGATATCCGTTCTCTGGGTCGGTTGTGAAGCTAGGTAGAAGTCAGCCTTTCCTTCAATCAAGTTTTGGTAGTTTCAACCTACTCAAGCCAAAGATCAAGAGCTTCTTTGTGTAATTCTTTAGTCCCCGGAAGCTTCTTATCTTTGTTTCGAACTTTGTCTTGTCCTTTGAAAAAACCGGGAAGATAACCATTCTTCTGCCGTTGGAGGCGACGCCTTTCTTTGGCTTAGTATCGCGAACACACTCGACAGCGAAAGGCAAGCCTAGAGTTACGTCCTACTCAGCGATCTCAGTACGCAGACAGTGTATATACTAGAGAATTATTATAAAAACAGGATTGTCTAGAAGAGGACGAGTAGTGGTGCGGGTTCTAGGAGGCATTGTGAGGTTTTCGGGAGCGAATAGATGGTAAAACGATAGCGAAAGGGTGCGTGTTGATGAGGTGTGTGGAAAAGGGGATGGAAGAGGATAAGGGAGGAAGAAGAAAAGGAGAGGGTGATGTTGGCGATGTCAACAAAGGAACGCGTTTCCTTTGTTTGCCCCTCCACTAGGCAACCCCCTAGTGTTGACCTTCCCCTTTCAGCCTATACGCTCCTTCCTTATTTGGCTGCTACTCTTTATGCTTGTTTACGCGTCTGTTTACCTCGCTTGAGGGCAAGCGATCCTTAGAGGGAGGATAATTGTTATGATATACCCTAGCATAAGGTTATTCCCAAGTGTTAGTGCCTTAAGCTTCCCGGACCTAATAAGCCGGCAGGCTTTCTGTGGAGGTTCCCTAGGGCTTCGGTATTAGTACGTGTACGAACTCCTGCAGGGAACACCCTGACAGAGGTTACATAGGCCTCGTGTTTCACCCCGCTCCTATTTCCCTACCAAGGATACATCTCCTTCCTGTTTGAGCAATAAGACTGAATAACAGATGCTTTTTAGTCCGTACCTCGTCATAGGCACCGTATATATACGCTATATCCCTACAACTGGTGCTAATAATTGTGGTGCTTCGTATCCTAACTCAGTTATTAGTCGAATTCTGGTTATATATTCTTCTTGTGTTATCGTGATATAGGTTTTATACAACTAGTAAGGTGCATCGCCAGAGTCTCGTCCCTCCAGCTGAGATACGCGCTCTTGCTTGTTTGGCCAAGATCAACAACTGTCCCAACTGACTGACATCACCCTGCATCGTCTTCACTCTCTCCCTGCTCGACGAAATCCAACTCTTAGCCCTAAAGTCAAGCTCCTACCGCTTAATACTTGCTCCGTAAGTACTCTCTGTGATTTGTGTCAGTATACGCTGCTCACTGAGGATGATGCTAATAGCCTTGACGTCAAGAACGACCCTCTCAAGATGTCTCGTCCGGCGCTCCATACCGGCCCGAGATGTTGATCGCGTCCGCGCCGCCGCAGCTCCCACTTGGCCCATACCATACACAACACAGCGCCTTACACGACCTCGAGTTTACTGGTGTCCTTCAGCCATGGCAGGGCTTTTTGAGCTCTGTGCAGACGGCACACCAGAATTACACTTTTCGCAGTCAGACCCTAGCCCTGACACTTAAGACACGAGACCCTTATGCCCAGGGAAATGTCGAAATTGGTGATGAACATGGTCTTCTAGGCCGTTTCCACAAGCACTTTGGCGACGTGCTCAACTCTGTCTTCACATCACACTCAACCGGAATACGCTTTGCAGAGTTCAAATGCGTACAGTCTACCTTCAGTGGCACACCTGATGTGATCCTGAAGGACGACAATCACCATGTGAAGGTCGCTGGAGAGCTCAAGGTGCCATGGATTGCGGATCACTGGCCAGAAGATAAATACAACGACATCGACCAGCTAAGGATAATACTTGCTCAGCCGATCAAGTATATGCAGGGGCTAGGGTGTGTGTATGGATTTATGAGCAACTACGAAGAGACAATTTTTCTCAGACAGCTAGTGGATAGCCAAGGGGCATGGAGGATCGAGTATTCTCCCGTGGTCCGGTGGTCTGACACTTACGACAGGCACCGGACGAATCCCCATGCTGTCTCCGCTAGGCAATGTTTCTTTTATGTAGGGTGCGATGCGTTGAATCATGGAGTAGTCAACAACACCACGCCGAGATGGGTTATGCCGAGATAGTGTGGAACAAATTCTACTGACCTCGTTCTCATCTGCAAACAGGCGATCATCATTGGGTGCTTTCTCTAGAGATTAAATCTACGTTATCGTATCCGCTACAAGTAATAAGTAAGCTCTTCAGATACATGAAACCTTCGACTTGCAGAAGACATTCAAGGGGAAAAGCGATTCAATCTCATTCTGAGACTCACTAACTACAACACGGCTGATTTTTTAATACTTCCATTTCCGCGGGTCAGGGCCAGTCTCTGTCGTGGTGTTGCTTGGCCAGCCTGTACTCGACATAACGGGTGTCTGACCATTCCAATTTATCACGAATTGGCCATCCTCTTCGGAAGCCTGAGATGCGACTAGACTCATGAGCAATTAGTAAGTGTTTCTAATATATGTAGGATCCTTGACGTACACATTTCCGGTGGACTGATCATAAATGATCTTGGAGATTCTAGACATCTGTGGTTTTACACCACAGCGTAGCATCTCTCTATTAAATGTATTAGCGCTCTGCCAGTCTACTATCTTGGGTTTGCGTAAGCTCACTCGAAGGCAGCACGGAAATGAACACGGATATCCTCTCGTGTACCAGGATCCAAGCTCCAGAAAAATTCCTCTGTAAGAGGCTCCCCAGGCACCTTCTCCCACACAACGTACTTGACAAAGCCTCCAGGAACAAGGTCATGCTCCCCTTGCTGTTTTTCGCAGTAGCCATAGAAACGTGGGACAGAGCTACACCCTTGACTCATTAGCAGCCTAAACGCCTCAAGTTCACCACACACTTCAGGAGGTTGGATTTGTTGGGCTAGTGTGGCCAGATCAGCGTCCTCAGTGCCAGTGATGGGAATCTGATAATAAATTCGCATGAAGGCCATTCGCGTCGGGTCCTCCTCTAGACAGCATAAAAATTTACCTACAGTCATGGGTGACCCACCGCCCATATCAACGTCTTCCTGTGTGAGGTGAACAGCCCTCTCTGACAGCTTTTTCGTGATTATCCACGAGCAACCAATCTCTGGCGGGGACGAACCAGACAAGGAAATGGAAGGGGCCGTTGTGGATGTTGCCGTATTAAGCGTGGCCGCTGCGGCAGAGTCCGTAGCGAGCGAGACCGCCGACGGCGAGGCTGCAGAAGGGGGCGAGGCGGCTAGCGGGGAGATTCCGGGTGGGGAAGCCCGAAGTGGGGCCGCAGAGAGAGAGGCGGCAGACGCGGAGGAAGAAACAGCAGACGGCTGTTGCAGGGGGTCGAATTCGAGAAAGGTGGTGACCTTGGTCCCTACCAGACGGCGGAGGAAACGGGAGTCGAATTCACTCATGGTGAAGAATCTGGTGAACGGGTGGTTTGAGAGGGGGATGATGATAGAGAAGAGATCTGATAAAACTGAAGGGATTCGTAATCGTATGAGGTGGATAAAAGGAAGGAATCCCGAGAATTATTGATGAACATCAAAAACAGACGTTCTGCTGCTTATCCTTCACCGTCTTACCTGACGTAATGCTGAAATAGAACCTTCGCTAAGTTGCCTCAACTCCGTACGCAACAGGCCCTTGACAAACGTTACCGTCCCATATAGCTCCCACATGAGTTATGAATCTTTGATCTTATCAATTTAGACATTGTCGGTATCTGGAATACACGTTTTAAAAACATGTGAGAACTCAAGTCTACCCACTTGAACAGATGAGCACCCGGTACAACGATAGTGTGGTTGAAGTAAAGCTGCACTATATCGAGGATACAAAGGAGAAAGCCGGTAGAGAGCATACGGGGGTCGGGTTCTACTGATAGTACTTAAGCTTCTTTAGCTCCACAGAGAGCTCTCCTTCTCCTTTCCTTGGATTTAGTCACTTCGTTAAATAATATAGCATATATTGAAATCTTTGGTAGTAACCTCGTAACATAAACGAGCTATATTTTCTATCTCGGGTGATGGTACATAATGGTACATACTAGTAGCGAGCGATATCTATGGAATTTTCTTCAACTTGCAGCGAGGCAGTCTTTGATTGGATTAAAATTATGCATGCTTTACGCAGGCACGCCGTTGTTAACCGCACCCCAGCTCTTCATAGTCCAGTTGCCAAAGCAGGCATACTGATACTGAGCGTTGTCCAAGCTTTGCTTCTGGACCTTCAAAAAGGTTGACAGCTCACACCAGCCATCCTCGCGATATTCACACTCGTCGAAGCTGGAGTGCAGTGGAATGGTGCGCTGGTTCTGAATGAAATGAACGTACTTGGTCGGGGCGGTGCCGGCAATATAGTCACCCTTCTTGGTGGCTTTAGATGAGCGCTTGGTTGAAACCTTGTGCGGCGCCGAGATGATTTCAATGTTCAGACGTCCAGCGAATGGAACAATTCGGCTGGTATGGAACTGCTGCTTCTTGGTGGGACCAGTGAGAGGGAGAGCATCGGCAAACTGGGTCAAACTGAATGCAGTCAAGACCGAGACGATGTTGGCATCATGGGTGAACTCCAGGTAAAGCTTCTGGTCAAGAGGGAAGGTGAGTGGGTTGGTGTCGAGAGTCATGTTAGCACCAGTTTTGTCTGCTGGGACGTCAAGAAGATGACCCTCGACGCGAGCCAGGAACTCTTCAACCCAGGCAATACCCTGGGCGCGACCAGTAGGGCTGTGGAAGCCGGAAAGACCAGCAAACTCGATATCCATGAGATACGCAAAGTTCTCCCAATCCTCATAGTCGAACAGCTGGCAGAATTCACTGTAACCGAAACTGATAGTCTCGTAAGGGCAGAGAGCCTGTGCGTGGTATGTATCGGTAACAGTCCAGTTGTAGTTGCCCGTCAGACGCTTGAGCTCAGCAGTGCGGTCTTTGAGATAAGTGGTCATCCAAGTACCTACAGGGACTTGGATTGTCTGCATCATGGTTGTCGCTTCATTGGTGCAAGTGATCTCTCCAGTGGTAGCTGGGTCAATAGTGGCCAAAATGCTGGCATGGTCCCTCCAGTTCAGACCGAAGAAGCCAGCCAAGAAATTCTCGCAGCTCTCAAGCATCCGAGACTGCAGAGTGGTACGAACCACCAGCTTGGAGGTAGTGTTATCATACAGCTGGCCGTAGTTGTAGTAGTTCAAGACACCGGCGTCAAACAGTTCCTGACGACCTTGGGGAACAAGAATCTCCTTGCCCAGCTTGTATGACCAGTCGTTCAAGAAAGCAAGTTTGCCTTGGAAAACAGTTCCTTTAGCGGTGGCATTAACGATACCAGCACCCCAAGAGTCCAGGCCCTCCGACGATGAGGGGTATCGTGCACCGTGACGTTGAAGCATGTGCATCTGCGTGATATTAGCACCCTTTGGCAGGGGGTACTCATCGACACCGAAGCCCTCAGATGGCGAGAAATAAGGGCTATTGAACAAAATGTAAGCTATATTCCCATATGACTGATGATATGATTCTTCCTACCTCAGATCACCCATGAGGTGGAAGATGTTCTGTCCCTTCGCACCATCAATTGGTTCCGACGTCTCCAATGGAGCATTAGGAGCATAGGTAGCATCGCCAAAAGGTGCGGGGTTAATCTCAGCAAGGAAAGGAGCAGCGCCGGTCGCGACAGTCCCTGGATAACAGATGTTAGGCTGCATTGTTTGGATACAAATCATCGGCACTAACCAGTGTAGAGATCGGGCGAAGTTTTGAACCAATCAGGCTGAGTTGGAGTAGCTCTCTGGTTAATAGCAGCTGCCTCAACGGCAGTGGCCATTGCTACGGAGAGAATCACTGACTTGAGCCTATCCATAGTCATTGCTACTTTCAGCTTTGCTTGACACGCCTGGACTCAACATCCCATTACCCGCCTCACCCCTGGGGTTTTATACATCGTTGCTCATTGTCATCGTATTGCATCGTATACTTTTGAGACATCCGATTGGATCGCATATATGTCGGCAGTGCTGGTGGCATAATGGTGTTCGCCGGATGGTCGGAAAGTTGAGGACCCGGATATGAAGATGTCAAATAAGCTGCAATCACCACCCTTAAGCTCACCACGTGGGATCAAAGCAATCTTATCGCGGCGCCGAGTGGAGATGCCACTGTGGCAGCCAGCCAGTAAGCACCTTCCGTTGCTGTAAGCGAAGAGCTAGCTCCCGCCCTATTAGCGTGCGACAACCGGAGTATAGAACTGGGCAGTAGTTGTGCAGTTGATGCAGAAGGAGAAAGTAGCGGACTTCACACCGATGTGTATGCAAGACATAGAGCATGGCCCAAGAATGTTCTAAATTGTTGGCATAAAGCTAGGCAGGACTAGAGCAAATTCACCGTCGGATTGAGCCGAACCACTATATCGGGTATAAATTGACCAGACTATACCGGACAAGGCAGCGTATTCGTATATTTTGTTGTTTACTGGCCAGTCATCTCGGTAAAAAGAGCCAATTGAATAAATTGCAGTCTTGAAATTGGTGTGAGCTGATCCAGAACAGTATCTATTGTACATTGGATGCCCTTTACTTGTTCTGCGCCATATCGATCGCTATTGCAAACTACCCTCAGGACTCAATGGTGGGCGACTTGCAGCCATATTACACTGCCTGAACAACCTCACTTCAACGCCGTCCTTGAAAGAGCCGACAATGGAATGCATCACTCCCTGGTTATTAAAAAAAACGGGGTCGCCCTCTTCCCAGTCATGAGTATAAACATACTGGGGATAAATCGCACGTCGTTGTAGTTGATACAGCCGGTCGCGAATTTCGGAAGGATTATCGAGAATGCTGCCATCTTTAAGATGAATCTTTCGGACAAAGTTTGATAGACCATCATTGCCAGCTTTCCGGTGAGGGGGTTCTTCCACTCCATTGGATATACCTTGATTTTGTCATTCCCAAAGGGAGGGAGCTGATCCTCCGATAACTCCAGACCTTCAGAAACGATACCGAGACCATTGGAGCGGAGCTTCGCCTTGCTCATCCCATGGATGATGTCGAGCAAGTGAGAAAGGTAGTCTATGAGATGCAAAGAAGCATCTATGCAGCGGAAAGTATCTACACACATCGCTCTGAGAAAGGAGACTTGGTTATCTTCCACAATCGGGGAGTCATACACAGCATCACTGGTCAGCTTTCGGGGCACAAGGATGATGATGATAAGAGACGGCCGTTATGGCAATGTACAATGACCAGCGCGACACCTCCCAAGCCTTTCCGAGAATACGATGATATCAATGACACTGGGCATGTCAGAGATTGAGGGAATATTGCCCGCCTCTTTCACTGTTATTATTGATTGTCATTGTTAGAAGCTTCCCTAACATCGCCTACGAATGAATGGACTATTGCATTCCCTGTCTATGAACTAGCGACACTGCTTGTCCATCATCTTCAGAGTAGAGCATTGGATCATCCCAACGAATTTTTCTCTATATTTACTGGCCTCGAATGACTTAAATGTCTGGAAGGCCTTTGCCACCAGCGCAGGTCGGCTAGTAGGCCAATTGATCGCACAGGCTCATAGCCACCTGATCTAAGTACGTCATTATTAAGATCAAACTTAACCGCCAGAGCAAGTGGATTGGCGTAGGACACGTGCATTCCTGGGCTGCATTCTTTGCGATCTTAGCGTTACAAACAGTCGGCGACTCCTACGCTGCCTCTGACTCGACCAGGAAATTTGTGGGGTTTCGCCAGGTCACTGTCACAGTTTCTGATCCATCATTGTCTGGCCCATTCATCGAAAGCTTGTAATTTTGGTCCTTCATTGACAATGTGTTAGCAGATCACAACTAATGCGAGATGGATTTGTATTAGGGGAAGATGCACATATTGCCGGAAACGGATAGACAAGTAGAACTTCCAATTACCCCACGTCGGAAGCACCCGAAATATCTATACTTTGGGTCCAGACACATTAGACTACTGTAGAATATGAACTAGTAAAAGATAATCGGGATATCCTAGTTCGAAGCGAAGCCGAAAGAGTTCTAAGGCCGAATTCCCCCGGTCGGAGTTACATGCAAAGTACATTGTATTATACAACATTGGTTGTAGCAATGTCCATGTTCCTCGATCAGACATCAAAATTTTTTGATGAACCATTCAAAAACTTGATCAAGGAAAATTCAAAGCCAAAGTATTAGGCCCAGATTATCTCTAATTACCATGCGCAAGGGCGCATCTCCAACACGTGGTGGATCTGCCATAGTGCTTGGCCGAAAGCGGCAGTCCGCCGCTCGGCAGGGCAACGGACATCGCCAGGTCATTATGGCGTACAGAAATCAAAGCTGGGACCATTTTAGTGAAGATGAAACTTGATTTTATCGAGCCAAGAATTGTGTGAGTAATATTGATTCGTTGAAGATATGGAGTTTTTGAATACCGAGCATACGAACTATACTTCAAGTTGGGATATCACCAAAAGGTAACCACTGCAGCCACCGGGACGGTCGCATGGCATCGCTGTTTCTCGTCTCGATCTCTTTCGAAAAGAAGGTAACGAATTGAAAACTCCTAACGACCCAGGAACTGCTTGTCTTGCAGCTTACTTCTCCCTTTTGCTCCTGCCTTGCCAGCTCACATTTCGGTGTGGACTGTCTGGGCCCATTGTGACCCCAAATTCTGCTCCATCTAGCCCATTGTCCGATCAAAACCTCCACCAGCTGTCAAAATCCCCCGGAGAAAGGAGATCAAATACGACCTTCGACCGAGAAAGCCATTGTCCGATTTATCAACCCCGGAAACCCCAGGGGGACCCGGACCCACTGTCCACTGTTTTCAGCCAGGTCGGCTTCCTCTTTCGGAAACTGTGGATAGGTTGGCCAAATCAACTGGAGCAAAGATCAACAAGCTGATCACAAGATGTGAGTGGTCCCTCTTCCTCATGAGCTCTGGAGATTTCCGTTCTCGAGCACCCCAGCTGCCCTTCACCTGCATCCGGCCGTCTTGAAGCCAAAGCATCGACGCGAGTTTACTTATAGCCGTCGATCTCCATGCCATTTGACAGAATTATCCTTTGCACTCATTCCAAAGCCCAGCCTCCTGGATTCTGGATTTTGACTTTAGCCCAGGAAGATCAACATGTCGTCTCTGTTCTTGAAGAAGAGCCTGCTTGGGCTAAGCTTGGTGGCTGCCCTAGCTTCTCCGGCAGTGTGAGTGGCGTTAGCCAATTGTTTCATACCTCTATCGCCATTCGAGTACACACTGACCTCAACTTTTTCCTCGCAGTGGCATCGCCTTTGACTACGGCTCTGAAAAGGTCCGTGGTGTCAACATCGGTGGCTGGCTGGTATTGGAGCCATGGATCACACCATCAGTCTTCGACAATGTTGGCGACGCAGCTGTGGACGAGTGGTCACTCTGCGCCACTCTTGGACCCGACCAGTGCCGTCAAGTTCTCTCGGAGCATTGGAATTCCTTCATCACCCAGGAGGACTTCAACCAGATTGCTGCCGCTGGCATGAACCACGTTCGAATCCCTATCGGCTACTGGGCTGTGGAGCATCTTGAGGGTGACCCGTACGTCGACGGCCAGCTACAGTACCTCGATTCCGCAGTTGGCTGGGCTCGTGCTGCTGGTCTCAAGGTGATGGTCGATCTGCACGGTGGTGAGTCAAGACGAGTTCCATTGCGTTTTCTAGACTTTGGCTGACCTGGATACTACAGCTCCTGGATCTCAGAATGGCTTTGACAACAGCGGCAAGCGTGGTGCCATCACCTGGCAGCAGGGCGACACTGTTGACAGCACCAAGAACGTCCTTCGGACTCTTGCTGCGCGATACGGGGGTGATGCTGATGTAGTCACTGCCATTGAAGCTCTGAACGAGCCTAGCATTCCTGGTGGCGTAAATGAAGATGGCCTCAAGCAGTACTACTATGATTCCTGGGGTGTGGCCCGCGAGGCGACTCAGGACACCACCGTTGTCCTACATGATGGCTTTGTGCCCACCGAGTCCTGGAACGGGTTCATGAGCGAGTCCACCGGATTCTACTACGTTATGATGGATACTCATCACTACGAAGTCTTTGACAACGGACTGCTTGCCATGAACACCGCTTCGCATGTCGGCAATACCTGCAGTTTCGTCAATGATCACGTTCTCCACACTGACAAGTGGACGGTTGTCGGAGAGTGGACTGGAGCCATGACGGATTGTGCCAAGTACCTCAATGGAAAGGGCATTGGTTCTCGTTACGACGGAACCTACCAGGGCAGCACTGCGCTCGGTAGCTGTGATGGTAAGGCTGTCGGCAACATCGATACTCTTACCGGTGACGAGCGTACCAACATTCGCCAATTCATCGAGGGTCAACTGGATGCTTACGAGAAGGGCAATGGCTGGCTCTACTGGACCTGGAAGACCGAGGGTGCCCCTGAGTGGGACATGCAGATGCAGCTTGCCGGGGGTGTCTTCCCCAACCCGGTCACTAGCCGCCAGTTCCCCGGCCAGTGTTAAAGAGGGAGATGATGCTGTTTTTGCTCTTTATATTATTTATTGGGTTCGTGCTTTATTCTTATTGGTAGTTGGTGCTCGGAGTTTGTTTCTTTCTTCATCATCGCTGTGGGAAGCTCGGGTCCTGCTTCATGCAGGCTGGTTATCGTCTCCTAGCTGCTGCAGACGATGAGTTTTTGTTGACTTGGTCAACACGTTTTTATTAGCTTGCAGGAATCCAATGCTTACTTTTTGTTAATTGAGCTTCAACTGAACGTGTTTCTGTCTTGTATTTTGGACTCGGAGAACAAAGAACGGAATTTCTCGCAATTTCCCCGGGCCGAACAGTTTATATTATCGCCAAGGGGGCTATCAATTTGTAATGCTGCATGAATTATCCTGTCAGGATGACTGTGATGGGTCTGACGGGACCTAATTCTTTGTGCTAACTAGATAGTTGCCATTACTGGGTTTCAGACGTCATGATAATATACTGTTGCCATTCCAACCAAAATGGGCATGTCCTGACATGCAGTTTCATTCCTATCCTAGCAGGCTAGATTTCAGAAAAGCACGTTTTCAGAACCCAGAGAACTATCATGGCGCTGGTGATGGTCCCTGGATGTTTGGTATGCAGGAGCCGTCTGCGCTCGACGCGCATACGATTGTATTCGTTGAGCGAATTCGTGATGTTGGTCGAATTGGTTTGGTGCCTGAGACACTTGATGCTTGGTCACAGAAGGCTACCGAGCAGGAGGCTTGGAGGAGTGTGATGGATGGTCGGAGGACCATGGCTCCACCTCGTAAACCATAGTCTGGATCATAATTTTATCTCGGGTGCTGAACAACTGCTTGATTTTTTCTATGAGAATCGCAGTTACCGCAGGTCATCCAAAATTGCTACTTCTTTTCATTATTACTGATGGGGTTGACTTTTTACTACCGGAATATGCCTGAGCGATCCTCATGTGAGCCGATATTGAGCTCTGACGTCTGCAATACAGCTTCTTCCACCTATCCTTGAAGTAGTTTGTCTATTTCTTGTTGGCGACTACGAATATCATTCAATGGTGTGACATCTACAGATCTAGTCTTCGTAGCCAGCAGCTAATCCGTAATTCATGTAGATTGGGGTATGAAACTAAGAATGTCTAGCATAAAATGCAAACTCTCCCAGTCTTGCGGTCTAACAAGAGACATGCGTCTAATGCGATGCATATGTGTGATAGAAAAGAGTTGAATCTGAGCGTGTAGTGAACACCCCTCAGCAGTCACCCCCACATCATATCAGACCCAGAGCACCGAAGGCTGACACCACTTCACTATCGACATTCACCAGCCACTCCTCCTGAAACCGCTGAGCACCACCGCAGGCCACAATCAGTTCCTGCAGCCGGTGCCGGACAAAGTCGCGGATCGGGAAGCGATGGATCGCATCCGCGTTGTCCCACTCGCGCCGGCGACGAGTCTCGGGGTCCTCGTTCTCGGCTTCTTCGGGTTGGGCAGTGGCGGAGCCGGCGGGAGCGTTCCAGCAGACCAGGTAGTCAGCATTCTCGTCTGATCCACCTTCCGCCAGCTCGATGATGATATCGGTCCAGACGGTGAGGTACGACTGCAGGTGGCTGAGGATGTAAGCGGGAGGTGGTGCGGGTTGCGACGAGTCGGATGAGGGGCCCTGGAGGGTAAGGAGTTGTGTCAGGGCGAGAGCATGCAGTTTCTTGTGGTTAACGCTGCCGATATTGTCGTAGTGCGAGAACCACTCAGTGAGTAGCCAGGGGAATGTCTGTTCCTGGGTGGAGTTGGTTGCAGCGGCGACAGCCGATGCGAAAATGGTCGGGTTTGCAAAGGCGAGTCGTGCGAGAACGGAGTAATAGTCCGTTTCGACGACGCCGACGACATATGAAGTCTTGCGGTTGGGGCCAGTAGTTTGGCTCGCTTCGTGAGCGGTGAATAGACCCTTGAGAAGAGATTGGAGGAAGGAGCTGTCGAGAAGGGATTGCGAGATGGCGCTGTAGGTAGCCTCGCTTCCACCATCAACGGCTTCCGCTCCACGAATCATCATGTCGACAAGGCGAGCAACAACACCGGTGCGTTGTTTTGTCGTGAACTGGAGAAGAGCCTCCAGAGCGACAAGGAGTGGAAGTCGGAACTCGTCGCTAAGTACTGCCTGCGGCGAAAGCAGAATATAGGACTCGATGATTTGGAGACCTTGAGGCGCGGCATCTGTTCCTTGTTCAAGAATGGGAAGTACGGCGGGGAGGAGGGAAAGGATTTCGGGCGAGGCAGGGCTGGGTGTTTGCATGATGATAGCCGTCCAAAGCTCCAATGCCTCGTCCAAAAGGTAGACGATGGTATCCTAGCAACGTTAGGGACGGGCTATCCAGATTTCAACGGTCAATTCTTGGGCATAACTTACAGATTCAGGATGGACGGAGCTCTGGATCAGAGGAAGGATAAGCGCATGGTATCGTGCAGAGTCCTGTTTCAAAGAGTGTATCAACGACGACAGCAGGGTGAGAATTGCCTGCTTCATGAGATGTTCATCGCCGGACTCCTCCCACAACGGTGGAAGCAACGAGAGAATTTGGTCCGAGAAGACACCGATCTGAGTATTCGTTAAATGAATTTCGGGTCATGTGCAAGCTCATAAAGCTTACATGGTTCTCCATCTTGACCACGGCCGTCCGAACCGTATCCAGCAACCCCATCTTCGTTTCCGCTGCGTCAACCTCCTGTACAAGAGCCATTAGGCTTCCAAGAATGGACTGCGCATAGGGCATGAAACCCTCTGGAGTGAACTCCCAGGGGTCAAGAACTTTGCTCAGTTGGCGACCTGCGGTAATACGAACGACCAGGTCGTTCAGCGGATCATCTTTGTTTAGCAGGTGCTGGAAGATTTGGTACACAGCATCTCGGTTCAGTTCACCAGGCTTGACAGGCACCCATTGGCCAAGAACGACGGCAATTCGTCTCCTCAGCAACCTGTACTCCGGATCATGAATCTGGACTTCGGGGACCATGGTCTTCTCAAGGAAGCTATTGAAGTCCAGGTGCTGCTCGAGACTGGCTGCTGCCAGACCGATGGCCGAATACAAGGAGTCCTTCAGAACCACATTGCGGTTTTCAGTAGCTACACATTTTGTTAGTGCCAACCACTCGACCTCATGTATTCAACACAATACTTACTTGCAAAGGAATAGAACACGTGCAACAGCCGTGGAATAAGTAGATCCTTGAAATGGATGACCAGATCAAGGAAAAGCTTCTCAGAGCATGAGCGAATCGAGAACTCCCAAGCCTCGGTGCTTTGCTCTTCCTTCTTCTCCCATGACTCGGGGTCTTCCTCCCACTCCTGGAAATCGATGTTTCGGAATCTAAAAAATTGTGTGACAAGCAGCTCCATGACATTCACCACAAAGTCCTCGGTGAACAGCTGTGTCTTGACTCGTTCTACGGCCTTCTTGCGCTCCGTCTTGTCCTCGGGGGTCTGATATTTGAAAGTCTGAACCGGGTTGAAAGCCATCCGGGCGCAGGCTCTGATAAGAAGCAAAGCCCGAAGGCCAGCTTTTTCGAAAAGAGACTTTCCTTCCGTCTCAATATCGGCGCCGAGACTCACGTAGTTCTCGCTCAACTTGACGACCAATGACCAGTAAGAGTTGACAAGGGTAATGCTGTTGTCGAAGAGCGCGAAGGATGCGGGGTGTGTTTTCGCCATCTCAACGTGCAGCTTCGACAATTGAAGGATATGTTTCTCGATAGCCGTGTGGACCGACTGCGGCAACTGAATAGAACCATCCAGGAACGAAAGGAACCGACTGAAATGCGTAGTAGTCAATTCCCAGAACTTCTGTACATCCTGGTCACGGCCCGGGTGTTCGAATCCAGAGATGATGAGACGTCGGAGAACCTTCAGGGACACCAGGCTCTGTTCGAGAATCTCCAGCAAAGCTGCTTCATCCGAGCCACCGTGCTCCAAGATTCCAGTCCATCGGCCGACCTTGTCCACATAGATACCACCCAGCACCTGGAAGACCTCGGGAGAGACTGATTGCAGGTGTACGCGGGTTCTTTGGATTCGGGCAGTCGACAGCTCTTTGATGATTTGTAGAAGGATAAGGAGGGTTCGAGGGAGCTGGATCGGGTTGGCGTGAGGTTGGTTCGACGATCGGAGGAAGGTAATAACGGAGGTAATCGCATCGGGCCTTTACTGGGTCAGCATTTACAAAGCTAGTATGGGTCAGATTCGCCTTACCAATCATGAGGAAACTCGTAGCGCAGGATCTTAGCCACCATCAATGCATTCTGTAGGGCAAGCGGACGAGCAGGTTCTTCGATACCAGCCTCCAGAGCTCTTGTCTTGATCTGGGCTTTCTCCTCCTTGGAAATTGCGCTGTCATCTAACATTAGTATATATCTTGGAGAATTTGCGGGGAGATCTCGGCTCGGGACATACTTGGTAGCTGTCTTCCGCCAGTATCGATCGATACCATGCTTCAACCGGATAATGGCGAGGTATCGGACTTCGGTTGGGAGTGATCGGTCAAGAAAGACATCCTAATGATTCCACAGGTTAGCTTGAATGCATCTCGCCTCGGCGTAAAGGATCACCAAACGTACCTGAAGCATGGCATGGTAAAGAGCTTTACGCTCCCAGTTCTCCAACTGCTTAGTTCCGGTTTGAACTTGCTGCTGCGTAGAGCTTGCAGCTAGAACCAAAGCATCCACCACATGACGATGTGTCAATGGGCTTGCCTCACCGGGCAACTCGATCGTCGGGACCATGGTGAACGGTTAGACGGTTAGTCGCCGAGAAGGTGAAGGTGATGGAAGCTCTGTCCGAGCTGAACTTGATGGAGCAAGCAGTAAGCAGTGCGATCGCGTGTTACAGAATGTCCATGAGGTTGAGGACGGTTCGAATCGCGACTTGCAACTTGTTCGTCAACAAAGGCATCCCACCTGATCTTGGAGCTTCACCGCCTTGATCCCCTCATGGAGGATCCATCCCGGAATATAGTTCAGCCGGCCCGAGCCCAGCCCTAGGGCTGGACCCTCAGTTCTTCCAGATCAGAAGGGTCAGTACGGAGTAGTTAGGGCATGATCAGGCTGTGGAGAAGTATGAAGTCACTGGATTGTGATCATCGAATGCGATCTTGCTCAGGGCCCTAGTGATTTGATCATAGCTGCCATCCTTGTTTTGAGTCGGATTTGGAGCAGAGAGATGTAGTCTCGGCATACCCCTACCTGCTTTATCCGGTGTCTTAGAACACCAAGTGACATACCTATGATGTGTAACGATGGTAATGCAAGATATTGCTTGGCTCATAATGGGTATTTAGTTCGCAAGTCAAGACGGTCAAGACTCTTATCGCAAATTTCCATTGCAATCATCTGCAAATTTACTGAGATTCTCCATACATAATTTCCATTGCATCCTCCACATTTCTTCATTCAAACAAAATGGTTCAATTCGAAGATCTTCGCCAAACGGCCTACAACGCCGAGAAAGACCTGAACTCCTATCAGGCTAAGCAAGGCCTTGGCCGCAAGAGTGATTCAAGTACGCACCGACCTGCGCTTTCGAGAACTACAAATTTCTAATGCTGATAACTGCACAGCCCTCGAGTCCGGCGTTGATGAAATGGTCGACCAGCGATTCCCTCAATCAGGTGGCGTCAAGTATGGCACTGGCTCAACGGCCTCTGGCAGTGACCACCGTAAGATTCCGGAGGATGAGGGCGGTACTCGAGACGACCGTGGCAGGTAAGCAATTACCTGTCAGCCAAGCCCCATGCTAGGCAAGTCAATACTAACAGTTTTGGCACTTTTTATAGACTAGCACGGGAGAGCAGTACCTAGGCCCAGGAGGCCCCGAGGACAAAATCAAGAAGGAATCCGAGTACCGACCTGGAGATCAGGATACTATCAATGTGCAGACTATGAAGCGTCGGGGTATTGCGGACTAGATTGGAGGCATTGTTGGAAACATTGTACTTTTAACATACTAGATTATCTGTATGACCTTTGACGACACATGATACATTATCAATTCTTTCATAAAACCCAAATAATCATCCCGCAATTCTTGGAATAGTATACTGGCAATATACTTGCTACAAGGGATCCCAGCTGCACAATAAGCTGCATAGCTGCAGCGCATGTTTAAATCCGGGCTACGTCCGTAAGTCTAGGATCATGTTAATGGCACGACAAGAACGTTCATGACACGACAAACTAAACCCCTTTTGGGTTAGCTCCCACCCACTAACAAAAAGGTACCTTCGACTTCTGCATGAACACAGCTGAGGCCTCAGGTATACATCCATATCTCTCTATGCAAGCCTAAATATTAGTTCTACCTTAAGTATGTGACTACTTAACTATCAGTAATTACAAAGTTTCTGCTACTTTTATAAATGGTGTTCTGTTGTAACGCGGCATTAATGGCTTAGCAGTGTTTTTGTAGGGGTCGAGGGTACATTTTGGGGGCGGGCGGGAGCTAACCGAAAGGGGCTTAGTATGTCGTGTCATGAATGCTCTTGTCGTGCCATTAATATCATCCTAAGTCTACTTGATGGAAACTACCCAAGGCACACGTAGACTCTGGGTGGCGGATCAGGCCGTCGGCCACCCCAGGCTTCACGTCTCCAATTCGTTAAAGCATAATGTCTTTCAATCGCTCATTTACGTTTACTCATCAGGCTTGGCAGAAACTGTCTTGCCTAATTCCCAAGATCAAAATCCATTTCGCGAATAAAACCCCACATCTGTCGGCTGCCCCGCCCCACCGAGGCTATTGTCGATCAAATCTTCAAGCTGACAACCTCATCCGTGATATATCCAATCGGAAGTCACAGTGGCGGGAAGCCTGAACAATAGCAATATCTGCTTTCGGCAGGATCATCTCAGGCATAAGAAAGAACGGTGTCAGCATTGGTTCGGATAAGGCCACCCCTAGGTCCCGAGGCTCGTTCTGGAACAATGTAATGAGGGGGTTGCAGCCTTGCAGGAGGTGGCTGGACATGGGCCAACATGGGGTATATGCATGGTTTGCTATGTCCGGGAGAGTGGTGGTGGCCCTGCGACCTATATGTAGCTGGTCCCACGCCAGGCGCCAGGGTGTCTTGGTCTGTTTTTCGAATTAATTGAAAGTATTTGATCCAATAATTAAGTTCTTATTCAACATTTACTGAGCATCATGGCTGCTGAGGCATCCCAACCTATTGAGACTCGTTTGTTCATTAACAACGAGGTACGGACTGGAAACATCTCTTCAACAGGAGACAGGTCATACTAATGACTCCTCATAGTTCCGCGAGTCCTCCGACAAAAAGACCTTCGAAGTCGTCTTCCCCTACACCAAGGAAGTCGTCGCAAATGGTATATCAATCCCACCTCCACAGCAAAAAAGCCTCCTCCTTCTAACAAAAACCTCTAGTTCACCAAGCCTCCGTCGACGACGTAAACGACGCCGTCGCCGCCGGCAAAGCAGCCTTCCCAGCATGGCGCGACCTCGGCGTCGACGGACGTGCCCCGTACCTACGCAAGCTATCCGAGCTCTTCCTCGAAGCCAACAATGAACTCGCTCGACTTGAGACGCTGAGCACCGGCCGACCCATCTCGCAATTCGTCGACGCCTACATGTCGTCCGAGATATTCCGGTACTACGCCGATGCCGCGTGGAACTCGCAAGGTACCGCGAGTACACACACCCCCGGGATACTGAGCATGACAGTCAAGGAACCATATGGTGTCGTGGGACTGATCATCCCATGGAACTTTCCACTGGTGATGTGGAGTCACAAGATCGCTCCAGCGATAGCGGCGGGTAACACCGTTGTGTTGAAGAGCAGTGAGAAGGCACCGTTGACTGTGAGTATATACCCCTTGTTAGGAGGTAATATGACATCGATGTAGCACAACGCTAACCCATCAACAGTCCATCCTCGCCGCAAAACTCGTCCAAAAAGCCGGCTTCCCCCAGGCGTCATCAACATCGTCGCCGGCTACGGCAATCCAACCGGCACAACCCTAGCCGAACACATGGACATCCGCTGCATAAGTTTCACCGGGTCCAGTCTAACAGGCCAAAAGATCCAAGTCGCCGCCGCAAAATCCAACATGAAACACTGCCACATGGAACTCGGCGGGAAATCGCCCGCCGTCGTCTTCGAAGACGCAGACCTCGAAGCCGCCGCAACCCAAACACAATTCAGCATCCAGTTCAACAGCGGACAAGTCTGCGTCGCGAACAGCCGTGTCTATGTGCAAGAAAGTGTGTACGATAAGTTCGTCGCGATTTTCCGGGAGAAGTTCGCTGCCGTCAAACTGGGTGACCCGCTGGACCCGACTACTTCGCACGGTCCGCAGATCGATGCTCTGCAGTATAAGCGTGTGCAGGAGTATTTGGGTGTGGGACAAAAGGATGCATCGCTGACGCAGGGTGGTGATGCTAATGATGGCTTCTTCGTGAAACCGACTATCTTTGAGAAGGTGCCGGAGGATTCGCGGCTGATGCGGGAGGAGGTGTTTGGTCCCGTCGTGGCGATCAACACGTTCAAGACGGAGGAGGAGGCGGTGCAGAAGGCCAACGATACTGAGTTTGGACTGTACGCTTCGGTCTTCACCAAGGATTTGGATCGTGCGGTGCGCATGTCCAGGGCACTTCAGGCGGGTCTAGTAGGTGTGAATTGTACCAGTCCGACCAATGCGAAGGATGCCGCGTTTGGTGGCTATAAGATGAGTGGGAATACTAGGGAGGGCCTGCTGTACAGCATGGAGAACTTTGTACAGAAGAAGTCTATCTTGATCAAGTCGGGATAGGGCCTCTTCCAGAATAGTAGAACATCTGTCGCACCGAGTTAAGTGATCAGCTAGCTTACCAGGCACCATCACGCTTAAGATAGTTTCCCAAGTCAGGATAGTCAGAGCAATCGACTACATGTACCAAATCAAGCTCACTTTGTACCAGCATCCAGCATACCATGCTTAACGCAAGTGAAGAGGCTGATTCATGTTTTGAATTAATCGAAGCAATTTTTACAATACTAGTAGAAATCTGAATGACTCGTTTAACATGCAAATATTTGGTGATTGGCATTGCGAATCATAGCTAAGACATTAAGGCAAATTGCCGAATTGGAAAACATACCAGCCATTTCCTCCTCTCTGGACAGAAACCTCTCCGGCTATCCTTGCTGGCGCGATCATAATTCTACATACATAATTGTGACTGGTGACATGAGATATTCACCAGTCGAAGATCCACCCACTTGAAATGACAGGCGAGAGCCTATCATCCGCTTAGAGCAGGTAGGCAAACATAGCCACCAGAGCACCGGTCACGGCGGTGGAACCGGGGATGGTGATAGCCGCAGCAGCGCCCTTGGACGCAGTGCTGGAAGCCGACGAAGTGGTGCTGGTGGTGTTGCTCGCAGTCTTGCGGGTAATGGTCACCTTGGTGTTGTAGTCGGACTTAGTGTCCCAGGGGTAGGGGCTGGTGTAGTTGTAGGTGGCAGCGTGGCCGGCATAGGTCTTCTTGACAATGTCCAAGATACCGTTGCCAGCAGAGCACTTGCCGTCGGTCAGGGGAACGGGCCAGATGGGAGAGAACTTGGAGATCTCGCCAGCCGATTCGGGGCCGGGGTAGGTCTCGTTGAGGCGCAGGTTAGTAATGTCAACGTCGTAGTTGACGTAGCCAGTCTTGTTGGCGACGATCTCGAAGATGTTGGCACCGCAGTCCCACTGAGCTTTCTGTTAGTCACATTGTCTCGTTTTGAAGGGGTCCTTTCTTTCTTTACTTACGCGGCCGAGAGAGGGCAGACCCCAGTTAGCACTGATGGAGGCAATGGACGAGTAGTGGGTGTAGAAGGTGTCGTCCTTGGTACCCTTGAGGTTGTCAGGGACAGCACCACCAACGAGCACGCTATATCAAAGTCAGTATATCGTCGATAAGCAAAAAGCAGCAAGGTGATAGACGCCAGCGCTGTCCAACATACCTGAAAACACGGTTGGTCTTGTTATAGGTATCATCCTCATCGAAGGTCAAAAGGATGAGCGAGTCATTCATGAAGTAGTCGTTGGTCAGCAGGGTGGACATCCAGCTGCGCTCCCACTTGGCACCAAAGGTGATGTTGGTGTCATGAGCATCGTTGGTCATGTTGGGGGTGATGAAAGCCCACTGCGGAAGCTTCTTGTCGGTCAGATCATGCTCGAAATCAGTGAAGTTCTTAATCTGACGAGCACGGGTCTCGTTCTGGACGACGGAGTCGAAGAGGACCAGAGGGTTGTGCTTGCGAACATAGTCGTTCTTGAAAGTCTTCTGGTTGGAGAAGTTGAAGCCCTGGAAGCCGGGGAAGGGTGAATGCTCCTGGTACTCGCCCCAGGAGATGCTCTTGGTGTCAAGCAGATCAGCAACGGTGGAGACATTGCTGGGAATCTGGATGAATGCGTCATTGTCCATGCCAAAGGTGTCACCACCACCAGCCGCGCAGTAGTTGGGCTCAGATGGGTGGGTGACGGCGTAGAAGTTGGTTCTAAAATTTAGAGTTCAGCGGGGAGTTTCAGTGCGGAGAATGGGATGTCGATCACTCACAGCAGGATACCCTGGGTGGCCAACCACTGCATGTTGGCATCGGCAGCCGCATCCTCGTAGTCAATGTTCTCCAGCCAGACCTGGTAGAAACGGTTGAAGGCAAGGCCCTTGACGTCCGAGGTGGGGGACTCGGGAAGAGTGGTGGCAGCAGCCTTGTTGATATCCGCGAGCGAAGGTGAGGAGACGGTTGCAACCTGGGCATGAGCCAGGGTGGCCGCAGCCAGAAGAGTGGCAACGACACTCTTCATTGTAGCGATTGGTTCTTGTCACACGTCAACGAGTATCGTCAAGGAAGACAGGAAAGCCAAGGAAGAGAGAAGCGATGGTAGAGGAGGAAAGAAAACCACGAGGAGAAGAAAAGGGAAGGGATGCGCAGAAGCTTGGTTGATTTATACGGAGAGGAGCTCCGGGGCGCACGTGGTTGCACAATTTGGCAGGCACGTTAGCTGTGCAGACTGTTCTGGTTGATTTGCTAGTCTACGACCATCAGAATCCCTGGTTTAGTCCAGTCATTGCTAGTGAGACCAGAGGGTACTCCATGGTAGGAGAACCCTCGCAGGGATTACAGGGTTACAGTGGCTGGGTAATCGACGGCGTCCGGCTTAGTGCTTGTTAGTGCTTGACCAGTGCTTATTATGGGCCAAGGCTTGCCCAGTCCAGTTAGCATCGGACACCGTTATTGTAGGGCTAACGACAATCGATGGGGCAAGTGATGGATTGTTGATAAATAATGTGGGAAAGGGTCCCGATTTGATGGTGAGGAATTGCTGAATGATCATCGGAGTTGCCCCCACGATGCTAATTGGGGGTCTCTGATTGGCTGTCACTTGGTCAAGCCCTGGTGGGGTCAGGCACGTGCCTTGCTTGGGCGGATGCTTGGCATCGCCATTGACGCCCCGTTTATACCTCGATGTACCTCGATATGGCATATATACGGGGTGCAGGAAAGATGGCCGCCCCCAAATGATGTCTCAGATGTCTCCTGCACGTGTAATTTGTGACTGGCCCTCATTCATCTTACTCTGCTCCATTGGATCCTTATAGGGCTCGGTAAGAAGCCGCCATACCGAACAAGAAGCAATACCCGATTGCTGGTTCCTTCGCTTCACGCATCGAGAAGCCTTCTGAGTTCTGTCGCTTTCGGGTCATGTTGCCGAGGTGGGGAGACGCGGCATAAGCCGACCACTAAATTAACTACTGTAGTCTTTAGCGAGCTCTGGCATGCTTGGGTGTAGCGAACATGTCTCGTGGCTTCCAATCACCGTCCAGCAATATTGCGTCTAATATTCGCCCGGGCTGATGGAATTGCTCCAGAAGCCTCCATGAAATCAAAATGGCGATGACTTGTAAAACGCGGAGTTTTCTATAGGTCCGTGCCTGCAGCGGGTGGGACAGAGACCAAGTGCAATTGGACATCCTCTTTGGGCACGCCTATCCAGTTAGATATCCATGGATAAAGAATTCAGGCAGAAGTATTATTGTAGAGCTCCAAATTGCATACGAGATGTTATCATGAGGCCTGCTCTCAAATATCACTTCCAGTTACACCAGGTACTCTTCTCCCTCCGAGAGTTACTGTAATGGTGGTCATTAGGTGTGCCCCAGAGAAAAAAAGATACAGGCCTCCAGTGCTGGGCTCCGCTCCGCTGGTGGCCTTAGCATGCGATTGGAAGTCGATGCCCCTGTCACAAAATGAAGTCGAGGAGACTAGCTTCCAGTGCAAAGGTACAGCGAATATAATAGTACGCCAAATTCCAGATTTTCATAATCGTAATCCACCTCTAGTCCAGAGAAAATCAGCTCTTATACTCCAGCTAGTTCCCGGAACTAGCGAGCATATCTTCCTACAAATCTTTGCAGCTTGATCAAATTACCATGCTCTCTTGCATGACTTGCGGTTGCGGGGGCATCTTGAATATATCTCAATGTCAAAGATCCACGGAAATTTCATTTGAACCTTGATCAGCTTTCACACAAATTTTTGGCTGTTCAGTATATTGACCAACCGAGGGAAGAGACTAGATTTGTCTACAATTACACACTATCTCACATCCTCACTCTCATCCTGGCTTCAACCACAGATCTTTCTCCGGAAGGGTAGGTCACGTGAAACTAACCTCGGCTCCTGCGTCTGGGGAAGCCGAGTACCCATAGGCCATCTCCGTGGGCCGACCCTTCCCCATCTCCTCCTCCACACTCTCCCTTTCTTTCGTCGCGACCGCCGCATCATGATAATACGATGAGCTCAACAAATTTCGCCGCTGCACAGGAGCGGGTTCTTGAGCGGAGGCGCCTCCGTGAGGCGGAAGCGCGTGCTCGACGTGCGGAACAGCAGCGGGCGTCCCCGATCAACCCGGCCACTGTCCAGCGTCTCCCATATCCATTGAATCGTGTCCCAGGAGCGGGGTGGTCGCTATGGAACTCCATCAAGGGGCGAGATGGGACGCGCCCGGCGTTTCGGGTGGGCCAAGTTGATGCCGAGCTACTGGACGAGGAGCTGCTGGGCCTGATGAAAAACCAGGTTGGGGATGCTCTCAAATACTTTGGGGTATGCAGGTTCTGGCTATAGCATTGTTCGTGATCTGTGGAGGGATGCTAATCTTATAACAGCCTCAAATGAGGGAGGACTGGTCACATGAAATCCTATTCGCACTACGAGCGATCCTATTCAAACTCTCGATCTGGGACCACAATGCGTCATATGGAGCGGCCTTGCAGGGCCTCCGATATACTGATAGCCGGAGCAAGGGCCCCGTTCACTCTGCCCCCACCAAATTGCAGAAGACAATGTATGGCTTGCTGACGGTCGGTGGGCGATATGCGTGGGACAAGTGGGAGAGCTGGCTTGTTGGACAAGAGGGTGGCTATGAAGAGGTTGGTCATGTACACAATTTTACGGGTTGACTGTCTTGCTAATGATCGGATACAGCCATCACAGGAAGTTCGGATGTTCTCCCGTATCACAGACCTTGTTTCCACGACACACTCGGTCGCAGCCTTTGTTTCTTTCCTCGTGTTCCTAGTGAACGGTCGCTATCGTACTCTCGTCGATCGAATCCTCCGCATCCGCCTCACACCACCATCAGCTCAGGCCAGCCGGGAAGTCTCCTTTGAATATCTAAACCGACAGCTGGTCTGGCATGCTTTCACCGAGTTCCTCCTTTTCCTTCTTCCTCTGGTTGGTATCAGCCGTTGGAAGCGATGGATCTCACGCGCATGGCGGAAGACCGTCAAAGCACTCAAGTCGAGCGGGGACGACGATGAGGTGACCGAGAAGCAGGGAGAGCTCGCCTTCCTCCCGGAACGGACATGTGCAATCTGCTATCGGGATCAGAATCCGGCTGCGACGACCGAAACCGATGTACTTGCGGCATCGGCGGGAGCGGGTGGAATATCGGGATCTGCTCAGACAGATATCACCAACCCATATGAGACCATCCCCTGTGGCTGTGTCTACTGTTTCGTCTGTATTGTACAGAAGCTAGAGGGAGAAGAAGGCCAGGGCTGGGTCTGTCTCCGATGTGGTGAGGTTGTCAAGAAGTGTCAGCCATGGAATGGCGACGTTCTCGAAGAGGCGCGTTCGCAGCCCGGCACAGGCAAGATTGTTGGGTTTGCCATAGATGAAGAGCCACATGATGACGCCCAGGACGCGGAAAACCCCCAGGAACAAACTGGCAAGTCCAGTCCCTTGGAGGAAATCACTGCCGATAAGGCCTTGCAGCACAACCAGTGGTCTACGGACGAAAAGGAACCCGAAGAGGACGAACCTACGACCGAAGCCAATGGGTTTGCCGACCACCATGAAAAATCATAGGCATATGCCATTGCTCCTTGGTCTTTGCTTTACCTTCTACTATGTATACACTATCGAGTGCAGCTGTTATGCGAGCTCAAATTGCCGCGACGCCTGCCATTAGAAACCCCCTCACGATACCCACCCAACCTGGGATATTATAACGCCATGTACATAACCAATCATATCAATCATTATTCCACTTTGAATCCATCCATATCTACTTCATCCACACAACCCCACAAAATCCAATAACAGCCCCAGTCAATGGAAACAAAGACCGGCAGAAATTCAACTCTGCCCATTTCCACATTAACCCAGGGACCTCGTCATCCTGCTTTTCACGACGAAACTTCTCCGCCGCGCTCAGCACCATTCCCTCCGTCCCCTCCGCCAACGCCTTATCGTCGCGTGTTGCATGCGCCCGCAGCCGATCATTCGTACCCTTCATCGCCGTCAGCGTCCAGGGTACCATGCCCAGAGTGACAACGGTAGCGGTGACGTAAAGGCTTGTCCAAGATTGACTGCTTGTGGCTGGAGTAGGTGTGTCACGCAGTGTCCAGGCGAGATACCCGTTAGCTAGCGAAGCTACAATCGCAATGGGAGGGAAGATTCTCTTCCCACGCTCGTAGACATCCAGCCACTGGTGGGTTAAATGGGCGATTGGTGTACCGGGTACTTCGTGCGCGGGAATGATTGCGCCTGGTGGCCGGCGTGCAGGAAGGGCAAGGTTGGGAATGTCCATTATAGAGAGGGCCATAACGCCGCCTGAGAAAGTATTAGATTGATGCTATCTTAATGTCACCATTCCCATAGACTCTATGGGTGGTTAGTGGAATAAGGGAGAAGGGTTCCAATACCGGCTGTAAAACTACACCCCAGCGTCCCGATTGCTTGGGCAATCATAATATCAGTCATTATGCCGGTAATAGACTGGGTAGGTAGTGTGTGACTATGCAGAGATGGTGGTGCCAATCGGGGAATTTGTCTCAATACAAGATCCGAGATAAAGGTAAGACAGGAAAGTAATCGCCGAGGTACTGGGGAATGTAGATGTGTCGGATGAAAGTTAAGAGATGTTTTGGCTTGGGAACTCGGGGAGAACAAAGAAATTGCCCCCCCCCCCCCCCCTTGGGTGAGCGTGTATGACGTTACACCTAATTGAGTTTAGTGAGGCGGTGGGAATGTGGAGGGCGTTGGATGATTACACGAGATGGATGATTTTTTACTGCCATTGTTTACTGGCTGGCTTTGGCGAAGGATTATTGGGATTGCTAGCAGTTTATACACTCGCCAAGCTCCTTTCTTGAGGTGCTTCAAGTATGGAGTACTTTCATCAAGGTCCCCATCACTAGTTTTTCAATTCCGGGTACATAGTTCTTCTCCCGGGCCCAGTGTGCAAGCCACAGAAGATATTATAGCTAGATATAATCTAATATTACTGGATATAATCGATCTCAGTATGTAAATTGACACTTCCATGTCTAAATGAACAGCTCCACTCCGGCAGACTTACCGAGGCCAAGTCGGGCAATAGGCGCAACTCCGATGGGAGCTCAAATGCGATCGCACTGACTGGCTGCCCGCCTGACGAACGCGGGGTCCACTGGGGTCGGCCAGATCGGACTTAACTGCGAGATAGAAAAGTGGGATGATGCTTTCTTAAGCTCTGCTCAATTCCCACACAAAGATCCAATTCCCTGCCGTGCCAATTCATTTAACCCATCATGGATCCCGCTCAGTCAACCGAGCCTAGCAAGCTGCTCGAGCCACGCTACATCAACTTCCCCAGTCTGCCCACCGACGCCAAACATCCAGACGGCACCCCCGCACTCAACCGGCACTCGTCGACGATCACCCGCGGTCATGAATTCCCAGGCGCACGAGTATGTTGGATTACTATTTCCAATGGCGATGCTCAATGCTGACTGCTTTAGGCAATGCTCTTCGCCGCTGGCGTCCCGGACAAGGAAGCAATGGCTAAGAGCCCACACGTGGGTATTGCCTCTGTCTGGTGGGAGGGCAACCCTTGCAATATGCACTTGATGGACTTGGGCAAGACGGCAAAGAAGGCTGTCGTCGAGAAGGGAATGATTGGCTGGCAGTATAATACAATTGGTGTTTCGGATGCTATCACGATGGGTAGTGACGGTATGTCTAGTGGGCGAGGGCTAATACATCGTGGAATCAATGCACAAGCTGACTGTTGAACAAGGCATGCGATTCTCTCTGCAGACCCGTGAAATTATTGCCGACAGTGTCGAGACTGTCACCTGTGCTCAATACCACGATGCCTGTATTGCCATCCCCGGCTGTGACAAGAACATGCCCGGTGTGGTGATGGGTATGGCCCGGCACAACCGCCCGTCGATCATGATCTACGGCGGTACAATCAATATCGGTTACTCAGAGCATCTGCGGAAGCCTATTAACATCTCGACATGTTTCGAGGCGGCGGGTGCTTACGCATACGACACCCTCCGCCAGCCCGACGATGGCGGTGAAACTAGCAAGACAAAGGATGAGATTATGGATGATCTCGAGCAGCATGCCTGCCCCAGCGCCGGTGCTTGCGGTGGCATGTTTACTGCCAACACGATGGCTACTGCGATCGAGTCTATGGGTCTGTCCTTGCCTGGTTCCTCGTCTACTCCTGCCTCGTCGCCTTCGAAGATGCGCGAGTGTGTGCGCGTGGCGGATGCGATTAAGATCTGTTTGGAAAAGAATATCCGCCCCCGCGATCTGTTAACCAAGCGATCATTTGAGAATGCGCTGGTGATGACGATGGCACTGGGTGGTTCCACTAACGGTGTTTTGCATTTCCTCGCTATGGCACGCACTGCTGGCGTGGACCTGACATTGAATGATTTCCAGCGGGTCAGCAATAAAATCCCCTTTATTGCCAATCTGTCGCCTAGTGGCAAATATTACATGGCTGATCTCTACGAGATTGGCGGTATCCCATCAGTCCAGAAGCTACTGATTGCCGGAGGTCTCCTGGACGGTGACATCCCCACCGTTACTGGCAAGACCCTGGCCGAGAACGTGGAATCCTTCCCCTCGCTGCCACAGGACCAAACCCTGATTCGTCCATTGAACAACCCTATCAAGGCTACAGGTCACATCCAGATTCTGCGCGGTAACCTCGCCCCTGGCGGCGCCGTAGCCAAGATTACCGGCAAGGAGGGACTCCGGTTCACGGGCAAAGCCCGAGTCTTCGACAAAGAAAAACAACTCAACGACGCCTTGGACGAAGGCCGTATCCCACGTGGGGAGAATTTGGTCCTGATCGTCCGCTACGAGGGCCCTAAGGGTGGGCCCGGCATGCCGGAACAGCTCAAGGCCAGTGCCGCGCTCATGGGTGCAGGGTTGAACAACGTTGCCCTCATCACGGATGGCCGGTACTCTGGCGCCAGCCACGGTTTCATTGTCGGCCATATTACCCCCGAGGCGGCTGTGGGAGGACCGATTGGTCTGGTTCGCGATGGGGACGTCATCACTATCAATGCCGAAACTAACGAGTTGAACATGGACGTATCGGATGAGGAACTTCAGGAGCGTCGCCGCCAATGGACGCCACCTGAACCGCAAATCACTCGCGGTGTGTTGGCAAAGTATGCACGCCTAGTGGGTGATGCGTCGCACGGAGCCATGACAGATCTCTTCTAGAGGGTGAGATACGTAAGAAAGGGGGGGTAGAAGGGGGTCATAAGGGGTGTCTCTAGCTTTTCGAATGATCATATTCCGGGATCCTTGAAAGATGATAGTCCAAAAATAAGAACATGGCTTTCCTGTTTGTTGTATAGGGGGGGCGAATCTCCACGTGGTATCGAACACCTCAACTTCTAGAAGCACTAGAAGGGGGGTTGAAGAAAGTCCCGCCTCCCCAAGCCAACGAAGGCGGTCGATTCCGTCATGTGCAGGCGCCAAGTGGACCCCGTCAGTCACGTTGTTTCCCCCACGCTGCGCCGCCGGAGATTGTGAGTGGCCGAGCCTAATGTCTCTCCTCTGCCTCGTTCCTGCGTCTACATGGCTTAGTTACAAGTTACAACTTATGATTAGCTTTCTGAGACGAGGTTTTTCCAGTCAATATGATTGGTCTATTATTTTAACTTCCGTGGTGATATATCTGTGTATAGCTACAGCTTAATCTAACCCGTTTCTGAGTGGAATTATCTTCCGTTGTGAGGGCTGAAGCAAAACATGATTCAATCTAACAAGGCTAATAATATGCTGTTTACGAAAATCTTAAGGAGGGAAATGAGCAGGGGATGGGCAGCGCTACTGAGGGTTTTCGGTGTGTTCGTTTCTTTAACGTCTCGCGATGCATTTCCCAGCCTCATAGGCTGCTGCAGCAAACGTGGACGATCCAAAATTTTCTAGAGGAGGGTGTGGGTTTCTCGCCGTGGTTCTGGCTGTGTTAACGTCGGCGTCGCGTATCCGTGGGGCTAGTCACCCCTTCCATTCCGTTCCTCCGTTTCAGGGACTACATGGGGATGAAAGTGGCTATGGCTCCTACCACTCATTAGCCAATCTCACAGTCCATTTCGAGGGTGTGTCCGATGTGACTGGATACAATCGATCTTTGGATCTGAGCAATGGGATACACACAAGCTGATACTCAACAGCAGATGGCACCTACACATCTATCGCTTGAGCAACCCAAAAAAGGTTGTGTCGCTCGCCTGAAAACTCTTCTTTCCGGATCCATTGGGGAGTCATGTAGCTGCAACTTCAATCTCATAATCCTAAATGTACGATACACACAAGAAGGAAGCGCATGATGATCTTCAATTCTAAATTTGTACATGTAACTGAGGTCAAATAAGACCTCAGCACCGTCCCGTAGAATGAAGTTATCCCCAGTTTTAGAAAGCCACAACCGTCTGTCCGTGACATTATCAGCAACATAATCTCGTGTGCAAATTGGAAATTTCCACTCTCGCCGGGCTTTCCATCCAATCGCTCAACAAGAGTTCATCACGCCGCTGGTTTCTATACCCATAAGAACCAGCTTCAGGCTGAATGAGACTGGAATAAGGTAAACAGCCAGAAGAAAACCCAAAACAGCAAACAGAAGCAAGTCGAACATTGATATGCCAAACGCTATAGGGACTCTATCCGATTCAGGCCGGTCGTTGCAGGTCGCCAATCCGATGAAAAGAACGACTAGTACTGTTGCCAAAGCCCAAAGGGAAAAACCATATGCTATATATGGTAGACCTTCGACAAACATTTTCGAAGATTGAAGGATATGGCCACAAGGCATATTGAGGGAGTCCAAAATTTCGTGTGTTGGAGCTTAGAATAGGGGCGAGTAAGAGAAAGCGTCGAGCCTGAACACTCCAAAGAAAACCAAGTGACCGCTATAGAGCCAAGATTTTGCCGCTTCCGTCACCCGGGAGTCAATACTCTCTTTAAATGGTCTAGTCCTTTCCTAATTAGAGCTTAGAAGTGTCTAAGCTCGGTGATCCAAAACCTTCCTTATTCTATTGTTAACATTCTATAAGGGCCGCTTTTTTTTAAAGGGTCGTGGCATCGTACGCCTGATTTCTTGCTAAACCCGAATCAATATTGTTTATACAGTTGCCTTCCGCGCTCCGTCCTGACCGTTACGCCTCATACATAGTTACATCACTGTGGCCCTAGAGGTTTACCTTACTCGGCGACTTTTAATATCTTTTGATTTATTTTACGTATGATGACTGCCTTAGGACGAGGAAGTGACTGATTTCCCCACTCAGTACGGAGTAAGGTCAAATAGAATGTATGGTGAGAGTTTATTGTATAACAAATCAGTCGTATGTAATAATTCAGGGCAGATAGTATATAAAGTCAGGTAACCAAAACCTGAACACTGTTCTAGGGCATACATGGCAAAATCTAGAGATTGAAAAGGGCTGCTCCCTAATCAAAAAAAAAAGTTTCAGTAATGCCAGTTTTGAGGGTGCTTGTACTTGCCGTCCCGGGCTTTTCATTCCCGATGTGCCTGCCTCTACAAGGTGGGAAGGTAAGAGCAGGAAGGCACGAGTATAGAGAGACAGGAAAGAACGAGTGTAGAAGAACACCCCAAGAACGTAAACATCCCCAAAACAAACCTCATCCATCACACATCCTTGCCACGTTATACGCGGTATATACACCATGAGTACCACGAGCACCACGAGCACTCCGGCCACGGCCAGCACGAAGAGCACGGGAAGCTCGAGCTTGAACGTGAACCTTTCGGGCTTCACGGTTCCTGTGTCGACCCTCCGGGAGAATTTTTGGCCCGCTTTAGAGGCGGCTGCGGCGGTTGGTCTGCTGTGGCTTCTTTGGTGTCAGCTTCAGCTTGCCGTTCGTACTCGGTAAGTAGATTTCTGCTCCTTTCGCACCCTTCCCTGGCTGTTTGGTCTTCTTTACTGCTCTCGAAGCTCGAGGGGCATTGTTGGGATGACTATGATAGGGTTCGAAGGGTGATTGATCGCTCCTCACTCTATCATTATCATCCCAACCTGGCATCTTGGAGTTTCGGGAGAAGTAAAGGAGACAACCTACCGAACCTCCGTCTAAGTCCTTTCTGCTGTGCATCTCTCTAAATAACATATATAGACATGAATACAACACCGGTCAGAGAGTTCCTCCTTATCTGGAACATGATGAGGACCGTTGGAGTGCTCCATCGGTTTGGCGGAAGGAATGGTTGCCCTGGCTTGAGGAAAAATTTGGCAAGAGGCGCTGGCTGCTTTGGGTCTGGCGCTTGGTCTCTGTGCTTTCCTGGCCAGTTTTGATACTTCTTTGGGTTCTCTGGGATCGTTGGGACCGTGTTTGCCGTTGGTTCTGGTTCAAACCCGCTCCTGGGTTTGGGAGAAAACCCGAGAAGAGGATGGTGTCCGTTGGGTCGGGGTCTTCTGGGAAGAGTGCGCATATACTGAGCGAGGAAGAGAAGGGGAAGGCTGGTTATACCAAGCCTGAGGGCTTGGAGCCACTGGAACCGGAGCCACTGGAGCCGCCGAACCCCCCTCCAGCGTCGGATGTGGACAAGACGAGCTTGGCGAGAGGACCGGAGGCGAGTGCCTCAGGCGTTCGACCTAGGTCTCCGATCAAGACTAATTTCAGAGTGAAAACTCGGAGTTCATCGCCCCAGCATCCTTTCTTTGGGCATCCCGACCAAATGGCGAATTAACCGGTGGGGCGATCGCCGACTATCGATAAGCCGGTTACTGGGAGTCCGCTCACTCAATTTCTCACTCCTCACCTCTCAACGTTGTCGATCCAGCGCCTCCCATTGGCGTTTTTGCTTTTTCCACATCGCCCCGATCTATCCACTACAGCCAAGCAGCACCCTTTATCGCCTCGCGTGGCCTCATTCCTCTGGCTTTCCCGGGGTCCAGAACCCTGGGGGCTCTATCTTGCGCTTGTTGGCAAGTGCAAGAGCTAAGAAATACTTAAACCGCCACAGCCATGAGCAACGATGGCGTCGGCAGTTCGATCTCTGCTCTTTACGAGTCATTATCATTTCAATTATTGAATACATCAGGCATCGCTGCCGTTCGGCACCTGTATCACTCTGCGCTCATCGCTGCCCAACAGGCCTCTCCGTCTTCCCTCACAGCTTACTTTCGCTGCCTTCACCACAATGGTTCTGTGAATTGGGGGCAAGTAGCGTTTTTGACTACCTGCGCGATAACCATGGCCGGCTGTGGCTTGTTCTCGTCGCTCGTCTGGCGCATGCGGGCGCCGGAGAAGAGGAAATCTTCCCGACCGCGCTTTGGGTTACGCAAGGGCTCGACCAAGAGTTCTATTAGAACCCTGACATCCTCGGACGATGATTACGAGGATGATGATTATGATAGTAATGGCTCGTTGCGTCATGGCACTGAGCCCCATCGCCAGGCAACTGAGTGGTCGTCAGAGCCTCAGCAGCAGACTTCTGATGGTGAGTCAGATTACCGCGACGGTTTTGCTTTTCTTCTTTTCTATCAACGAGTGCGTCGCTAATCATTCCGCAGCTTTCAAGACAGATCCCGGTATCCTGAGAAAGTTCACGACCTATAACCCTTACACCACCTCTATCGCGACGTATCCAGCCGTTCGAACCTTTTATAGCCCGCACCCAAACATCAATCGCCTCCCTGATAAACCGTCTCCGGTTCCTCTCCTTGTGTTTATCCACGGACTGGGTGGGTCGCTGGCCCAATTCCACCATCTTCTTACAAGTCTTTCCAATGTTGGATCATGCTTTGGTATTGATCTGCCGGGTTGCGGTCTTTCCAAGTTCGCGCCCACCGATTGGAACGCGTACACGGTTGAGGCATTGGCCGAATTGATCGCCGTCGCGATTGAGACACACCGTGATCGAGATCGTGGTCAGGGCGTGATCCTTGTGGGCCACAGTTTGGGATGTTCCCTGTCTGCTCTGCTCGCTTCGTCCACCTCTCCGATTGGAAAGAGCCTGAAGGAACATATTCTTGGCGTGATTGCGGTCTGCCCTCGTGCATCGCCTCCATCGGCAAATGAAACTGCAACTTTCCGCCGCCTGCTTACCATCCCCGAGCCTATCTTTGACTTGTGGCGTGTTTGGGACCGTCGCGGTGGTATCGAGAGCACAAGCGTGATGCGGATGGTTGGCAGCCATGCGGACGAGGAGACTCGAGGTCTTCAGGTTCGTTATAATAAGCAGAGTCGGACTGCAGTCTGGCGTCGCATGGCCTGGGGTACCCTTCCTGATTACAAGGACGGCGAACCCGTTGGAGGTATTCCTGGCGAGAAAGTCTGGGCTGCCATTCACCTGCCAATCCTGTTGGTTGCAGGCGAGGCAGACTCGGTGACCAAGCCGGTCGAGATTCAGAAGCTCCTCCAGTTCTTTGGTGATGTTTCCGCCCATACCACCATTGACACCCGCCGAAGCAGCGTCATCCCCGACGCTTCGCGCGTTCAGGATCAAGAACCAACCTCCTCCACAAGTCTTGCACACGAGGAAAAGTTTGGTCTCCAGCCGGCCAACAACGAGAAGGTGATCGGACAAGCAAACACCAATGGCACTGGCCGCAAGCGACTCGTCAAGTCGGCTATCTTACCCGCACCCGCCTCTCATGCTCTTCTCTATGATCGAGCAACATATCGCACACTCTCGGGCATTATCCAAGACTTCTTGTCTCAGCATATTGACAAGCGCCTGGGCCTGGGATGGCAACTCCAGTACATGAACACATCAGGAAAATGGGACGTGAAGAACCTCGCTAAATGGCAGAAGGTTGCGCCTGTCTCTCACCCGATCGCGAACACCTTTGCTGCAATGAAGATGCTTCGCGAGGTCGATGAAGAGCACAACCCAGTGCTCTTCTCCCAGAAATATCGCGGCCGTATTTACGCTGTTGTTGACATTAGCCACGAGAGCCCGGTCTACAACCCGGCAACCATGGAAAAGGGTGGCATCCACTATAACAAGCACCCGACCGTGTCCAAGATTCCCCCGACCCCCGATGAGGCCCGCGACTTCATCGCGCTAGTCGATCGGCTTCAGAAGGAGATTGATGATCAGATGGAGAAGCGTGAGGATACCACTTTGCCCCGGCCCTTGGTCGGCGTCCACTGCCATTACGGCTACAACCGCACTGGTTTCTTGATTGTGTGCTACCTCATCGAGCGTCTTGGCTTTGGCGTCCAAGATGCCATTGATGAGTTCAATCGGTGCCGTCCACCCGGAATTCGGCACGGACATTTCATTGACACCCTCTTTGTTCGATACTGCGTCGGACTGAAGAGGGCGCCAACTTTGTAATTTGACATAATCTCTTGTTTATTATTATGTCCCCTTTGGACTTTCATCGGCGTTTTTGGGCTAGATTCGGAAGGGGTTAGTCAGGTTTGGAAGACAAGGGCATTTGGCGAACGGTTCTCATTCTTGCTTGGTTTTTTTCTGCTGCATTTCTAAATGTCATGAGAAACGATTACATTACTTCAGAGCAGCGACAGATGCGTGTGTTATTAGGATATGAATCATGGAAGCATAATATTATTTTGGGAATCTTTCGGGCTTTCACGAACATCGAGCCCGGGAAATAAACTTCACTTTTTATAATATTTCTTCACCTTCCTCCTCCAGAAATCATTGCATACCGATCTTGAGTCCTCGATTCCAATGTGCGAGCTTCCATTCGAGATGATCTCACAATCCATGACTCCCCCTTGGCAGATGATAGTATTATTCCTGCACTTATACGCCTTATACCTAATCCCATCCTTCTTCCTGGTTATCTTCCTCTCTTCCTCCTTCTGCTCCAGCCACGGCTTGATTCTTCCCTTCAAGTACGGATACGTCCAATGATCGATATGTAACTCAAACACCTCTAGTCTTTCCTTTGCCTCAATCATCGATTCCATACCCTCCAGCCATGCCGAGTGAATGTATCGTCTCTTCTCTCCCTCTGTCTTTCCTACCATGTCCTTGGGCAATGTTTTCATCCCACCTAGACTATGTGTGTCCAAAAGATCGGATCTGGGTCAGACTGGTGAACTTCGTCTGCAAAGCGCCCCAGAATTTGTCATACAGGATTCTGTTCTTGCAGGAGATCTCTTGCTGGCTTGATCAGCGATCTTTTCTCGTCTTCTGACCATTCATAATGTAAAGGTTGGTTTCCAAAGAGAAGTTTGTAAATGATCAAGCGGATTTCTAGCGGTAGCCGGCTGAAAAAGATGCTTTGGGTTTGTGGGTTGGTTGAGGATAGAGATGGGTAGAGGTTCTTTTTCAGGTGTTTCAGGGGTGGGCCTTTATCTGATAGCCTGTGTTTTTCGGCTTTTTCTAATAAGCAATTAGATTAGATAGTGGAAGGCACTGTTGAAAGTTGACTTACGTCTTTCTTGGAGCCACTTTCGGAGATTTAAAAAGGCGTGGTCATTATCATTGTGGTGGAATGTTGGATTGAGGTTGAAGTGGGGGCCGTAGGCATACGTACTCGTTATAGCGACATGGCCTCTGGTTAAATTTCCACTTGCAGGGACTCATGGCTAGCCGCAAGCGAGTATATCTAATCTACCCCATGGGACATTGACAGTTTCTGGCCTAGCTTATACAGGGTTCGTGATTGCGGCGGCTGTTCTTCAATTAAGATAGTATATAGTGGCTTGCGCCCTCAGCAATTATGACTCGCACCAGCTTGAACAAGAGGAGCTCCCCATATTTTCCATTTGTAACCTTTAGATCAAAAGTCCTAGGCTGTGTGATAGCTGGTACAACGATGGTTCGGGGTGAGCTCAATATGACCCACATATTATGAAAGCCTTGGCGCCTCAGGTGTCACAGGTGGATATCTCATGCTCTTGTTGCCTTAGATTTCCGGCCGTCAGCCCAAGCCATCACATGACCGTGCTTAGGGTACGGCTAACCCAAAAAGGCTAAGCGAACCCACGGCACACAGACGTGACCACAACGCAGACCGAACGGGGCGAGTTTGTGTGTCTCTTGAATTTTGTGACTTCGACCCTGCCCACCTCGACTTCCGCCAACCGACTCTTTCCCCTACGCCCTCTTCGGACCCCTCGAGACCGCAAAAATGGGTGGTGTTTCCGTTCGCGATGTGGACGTAAGTGTCCTTGACAAAATTGATGGCTTCAGATCGTCTGGCCGTCGGCCGGTGTGCATGGTTGAGGATGATGGATGGGTTCGTCTTGGAGGAGTCAAAATCGACAAAGGCAACGGGTATATGGGCATACTGGGATCACTCAGTGATCAGAGAATACTGGTTTCGCCAATCGCAGAGTCTGCTGGCCGCAACAGCGCCGTATCGACATTCGTGATGATTCAAGGACTTGATATACAGAGCGCCGAGCTCTGTCGATCAACGTCCGATATTGAACCATGCGGTGCAAGCGACATAGCGCCAACCGAATCCTAAGAATTCTGCGTTGCGACAGGAGATGGAAATGCCTTCAAGACGAACCCGACACATCTGCAAATTTACACATCGGGCCCGATCATGCGCGATCTGCATTTGTATCAACGATCCAGGTTGCTAACGAATCCTCTTTTTCTCTCTTACAGGCTCAGAAGTTCATTGCCGCCTACTCGGCTTTCCTGAAGCGCCAGGGAAAGCTCCCCATCCCCGGCTGGGTTGACACTGTCAAGACCTCTGCCTCCAACGAGCTCCCTCCCCAGGATGCTGACTGGTACGACTATCCGAATACACCAAACCCACCAACCCCCGCAACTGTATTAACATATCCTGTCTGTTAAAGGTTCTACGTCCGTGCTGCCGCCGTCGCCCGCCACATCTACATGCGCAAGACCGTCGGTGTTGGCCGTCTCCGCAAGGTTCACGGTTCCACCAAGAACCGTGGTGCCCGTCCCGCTCACCACGTCGATGCCTCCGGCTCCGTTGACCGCAAGGCCCTCCAGGCTCTCGAGAAGATCGGTGTCCTCGAGGTTGATGAGGAGAAGGGTGGCCGCCGCATCACCCAGTCCGGCCAGCGTGATCTTGACCGTATCGCCAAGACCACCGTTGACGAGGATGAGGAGTCTGACGAGGAGTAAACGTGTCTTTCAAAAGGGCTTAATTTGGCTTTCGGGGGGCTCGTTTTGGCTTAGTCCGGAATGATCACAAAAAAATAAAAACTTTTTCGGAGCTAGGTCCCGGCGATTATCACGTTTGTTCTCCAACTTCTTTTCCTTTTTTACCTTGATGACCAGACGGGGCTAGCGGAGAGAAGCGGAAAGGTTTTTATCTGCATGAAGAGTGCGAAGATTCCCGAGAGCATGAGCGAGAGGACGAGACACAGGCATCCGGCTCGTTATTTTATTATCTTCGTGTCCGAGTTGCAATGACTCGACCTTGGAGAAAACGAGTTTTCTTTTTCCTTAACATATTTTTCATCTCCCTCATACCTCTTTGACCCCGACCTACACCCTACGGCGTCTTTGTTCCTGTTTTCTCTCGCGGTCTCCTGGAAATAAAGAGCATGTCTGACCAAACACGTTAAAACCGTTCATCTTGGGACTGTAGAGATGTAAAAGTCGAAGACGTAGATGTGATAGGTAAATGGTCTACCGTAGTGAGACACTCACTAGTAAATATCGTCTTAATGGATATCGTGGAGCCTTCATGTGAACATTGTATACGGAGTATGCATTTTCAAATCTATACAACAATCTCGGAAGCCTTCTATCCCTTCTATTTATTTCTTACCCGACTGCGCAGACGGATCCTATACTTCTAGTTAGTAAAGAGCAACCACCCTCGATTGAAATCAACAACAGGAATGACGCACCAGATAAACCTGATAGAACTGCATCTTCACAGGCTCTCCCTCCTTCTGCGGCGCAAATACCACCCGCCCAGCCCAGGGCACATAGACATCCCTCTCAGGATCAGCCTTGAGTCGGTATTTCACACCACCGTAGAGCATAATCTCGTTCTCGCCGCCGAAGAAGATTCGTGTTGGAGTGTGTTGGCGTGAGGCGACGTGCGTCCAGAGACCATGGCGCAGGGGGAGGATCTCTATAGATTATAGAGTTAGTATTCTGAGCTCACAAGGTACCAGATGTAAAATGTAGTAGTATGCAGGAGAGCAAAATGTGGATATATAAGGTCCATACGCAGGTCTCACTAGATACCCGCCTGGCGAGTTACAGAAAGCGAACATACCAGCAGCACCCTTAGCCTCCTTCGGCCCCATAATCAGAGTGGCATCTTCAGTAAAGCTTTGTAAATACTTCTCGTGCAAAGACTCGGTATCACTGGTGCGGTAGAAGTCCTCCATGAAAGCAACAATGGCTGGCCCGCGCGCCGGCGCAAGGGCAACGTCATAGGCGATTGTGTAAGACATGATGCTTAGTGCTGATTATTTGAATAAGAGTAGAAGGGTGAAAGAATTGAATAGAGTAATTGATGTCAAGTAAATAGAAGAAAGATCAAGGTCTAGCTTGCGCCTGTTGATTTGCGATCAAAATGTTGATTTCATCATGAGGGGAACCGTCGGTCCGATGGCGAGGTGCCGCATCCGATATTATCGGTGGCGGGCTCATGGGAAATACCAGCTACCGAATCAGTATTAGTATGGCCTACTTCAAATGGTAATCCTATATTTTGTAGTTGTCACTCTAGTCCGAGGCTATCTCACTCGTATTCTTTAGTATTCCATTCAACAGCGTGTATTTGTCATGGAGAGTATACATCTGCGCTTTCCGTGTCTTCCGACGGCTGGGTGTCCCCCACCCACTTGACGCCCGCTATCGACAGAGTGCCTCGGCAGTCGCAAGTCTAAGACGGGAGTATCTAATTCGGAATAATGAAAATGGTGTATTCGCACAGTATCATTGATCAATGCAATATCCCTCTGAATGTCTCATGAATGCCATTTATGTACAATGCAATAGACCCAGGTTCCGTAGACTGACAAGTAGAAAAGAGCTAATAAAACCCAAAAAAATCAACACTTCTTAACATCCCCCTCCCCATCCTGCTTAAAGTCCTCCCAACTAGCCCGATCCACTCCATTAGGACGACTTGCCCTCACAAACTGATTATCCACATCCTCAACAACAGCAACGGGACGCACAACCTCGATATCCGTGTTATACGCCTTCGAGAACCAGCTCTCAGTCAACGCCTGCTGGCCCTCCTTCGAGACCTCACTGGCAGACATATACAAGTGCGGGAAGCGGGTCTGCATGCCCCTGAGGACAGTTGACGAAATGCGATCCACGCTATCGCAGTGACGCAGCTTGAAGAAATCGGCTGGCTGGGCAGCCCGCAACTTCTCCTGTACCTCGGCGGGGTACTGGCCGACAGCGAAGAGGAGGAGATCATAGTGCATCAGTGAGGCTTTTCCGTGGTAAGAGCCACCGGTTTTGGCGCGGTGATAGAGGCAAGAGAGGGCGGCGATGGCGCCCATGCAACCTGTGCCGTAGTCGGAGATTGGGAAGGGGGGAACAACGGGGTTGTCGAGGCCCATGAATTGACCTTGAGCCCAGGCAACACCAGTCACCTAGTAGATTCTATATGAGTGAATTGATCATTTGACAGGACTTCTGGGAGATCAACTTACACAGTCGGCAATCTGCTGCCATCCCGCTCGTCCGGCCCACTCGCCTTCGTAACCAAAGCAGTTCTCGTTCACGTAAACGATACCCTTTCCGCGCTTCTCGGCGAGCGCGGCCATAGCCTTGGGACCGTATCCCAGCTTCTCGAGAGCACCGGGCCGGTATCCGTCAACAATGACATCGGCATCAGCAACGAGCTTCTCAAACTCCTGGCGCCCGGCCTCGGTCTTCAAATCAAGATCGGCTGCATGCTTGCCCATGTTGCCGTCCACTTGGAAGAAAGGCACATCAGAGAGATTGGGGCTGGTGATCTTTAGGACGTCGGCGCCGTACTCGGCGAGGATACGGGTAACTGTCGGCCCTGCGATGATGCGGCACATTTCGAGGACTTTGATGCCCTGGAGAATCTTCTTGCTTCCCGGCTGGCTAGCAGGGAAGGGAGTAGGGGGAAGATCTCCAGGCAGCTTGTCCACCTTCCATGCAGGCTCTTGGACGTTCAATTTGCCCTATTTTCTTTGTTAGCGGAATATGCTTTCATCGGAGTTGGAGTGGAGACGCATACGTGAGGAGTCTTGATAAAATCATCGTACTTGAGCGCTGGGACACCAGCCTGGCGTCTCTCCTTATTCATTGCCTCCAGCTCGGAAACAGTATACTTCTGCACCTTCTCCTCGATGACCTTGATAATGTCCTCATAATCGGTCAAGTCTGGACGGTGGCCCTCAAGACCAATCATGTTGAGGGTTGTAGTAGCCTCTAAAGAACCGTGAATATGGTAATATTCGCCAGGAGTCTTAGTTTTGTATAGGTTAGCCGACATGCGACGGTACCCGTTCGACTGAGCCGCCAAAAGATCAGTATCTAGAACAATATGTTAGTCTCTTGTTTCATGGGCATTTCCATTTTTCCACAATACTAACCCTTCAATTTGGACTTGACATTAGGATCCAATTTGGACAATCCATCAATTTTCGCCATGTATGCCTGACATCCGAATGCCGTTGCGCCTTCAAGGCTCACTTGAACATTGCGCGGCTGGGCAGCCTGTCCGAACCGCAGATCCGCAATTGCACCCGCCACGGAACCCTCAATACCCTTCAACGCCGCCAAGGTCTCGGTCTCTTTGAAAGGAATTGGGAAGTAGATTTCATTATGGCTTGAAGAGAATGAAACATTGTCTTTGTTGGCCTGCACCTGTGGCGGTAGGTTTAAGCGCTCGGACTGTGCGCAAAGATCGGAGAAGATTCGGTTCGTCTCAAGCAGGGGCGAATATGATGCGCCGTTGGCGTGACCGTTGGTTGCCATATTGGAAGTATCCTTTCTGTATTCGCTTTATACGAGTTGTTTAGTAGCGAGAAAGTCTCGTAGATGATAGCGCGCAGTTGACACTCTATAGAGTTGCAGGAATGGTTTGCAGAAAGGTACTTGATTGGCGATCTTGAAGAGTCGAGCAAACCAAAGAGTCAAAATGTCAAGTCGCGCGACAAGAAGGAAGGAGCAAAGTCTATATAGGTGTACAAGTATGACGGCACTAGAGTCGGGTCGAACAGACCGGGAGTTTTTCCGTCGGGAGACTATTGCCGCATATCGGCCGTCGGCTGGTATATCGAGTCTACGGCGGATATGGGACTGACATGCTGCGAAAATACAACTGGCTTGACAACATTTTTGATTTTTGGAGCAGCAATCCAGAAAAGGTCCCCGCAATGCAGATCCGAAAAAGAGAAATCGTTTGCGGTTCGGACAAAAGCCGTTCGGATGCGATAAGATCGGATGTGAGGGTCACGTGATAACTACCAGGTGGATTTGTAGATGCAACAATCACAATCTCCACAATAATAGGTCTGTTCCATATAATATGTCCTCCAGAAAAAAGAGGATGTCATCATTCTTTCCATCTTTTGAATGCCAGGTGTTGACTTGAAATCTGACGAGCTCTTTTGGAGGGACTTCAGGCCATTTACCATGGCTTTTCACCGCTAGCTCTGGATCTACTACATTTCACCGTCCCCTATCCCTGTTATCAGCCCTTCAACTGAGTGAAATATATACATTTCAATTTCCTACTAATCGCTTTCTAAATTATACAACATGGGTCAATAAAAATGTGATTCTAGCAGCGGGCCGCCCCGTGGGATGTTCTCTATGTTTATACGAAGTGGGGGCCAAAGCTCCCAGAGTGGCTGGCTTAGCTGCCAAACAAATCATCCCCTCAATCTCCTGAGAACACCCCCGATTCTCCAGGGGCCTGGGGATAGCGGCCCATAGCCAGCCATCTTAGCGACAAATTATGCACATTCGCTGCTTCATACGAGACTGTCATGTCTGGGATTGAAATCATCGGGGTGGTCGCCAGCATCGTGCAGATAGCCGACTTGGGGGGCCGTCTGTCCGTCAAGCTGTGTACCTTCTGTCATAAATTCAAGAATGCCAATAAAGCACTACGATATCTGTCCAAAGATGTTGCACTCACCTGCAATGTACTGCGTCAACTGGGCGAAAGCTTGGGACAGGATGACCTGGCTAGCTTATATTCCCCTGATGCTTTTGAAACAGCCCAGGATGTCTTGAAAGAATGCGAGCAGGTCTTTCAGGATCTTGAGAGTGCGATCGAGCAGCACTATCCAGATCCAAACTCCCAATCTCGCATTGATAAAATGGCTCGCAAGTTGAAGTTTCTGATAAACGAGTCCCAACTTGAGACTGTGGCTGGGAATTTGGAGCGGTTGAAGTCAACCATGCTTCTGATGCTGAATGTGGTGATATATGCTGGGCAAATAAGAAGGTATTTTTGACCTAATATATACCGCTTGAGCAAGGCTAATCAGGGAACAGTCGACGAGAGACACATGAGCTCCAGGAGCAGCGCAATCTTCTCCTCATTCTGACTAGTGAAAAGATCGAGAGCGAGAGAAACTATGAGAGGCTCACTAGAACCCTCCAATTCACTAGCCTCACCGAGACAACTAGCAATATGGAGAATCCGATTGGCGTAGACCAACCAGATGAGACCAAAGACGAGCTCTACCATTATTGTCAAATGGTCAAGTCCGTTCTAGATGGTATCAACGCCGTGCAAAGTCTTCTGGACCGCGATCGGTATCGCAGGGTCAAAAATGGATTCGTTTCATTGCACAGATCAGAGGCATTGATGTTCCGACACTCTCACGGTCAGAGCGCTCTTGATATCTTCCGTACCCAGATACCTGACAGCTGTAAGTTGATTGACGGCGCGTCGACAGACCCCGAGATCCAAATTTGTCATATTTTGTCGCACACTCTCCAGTATCTAACCAATAAGTAGTCCGAATCGAAGCATCCAGCACTCCGGCCCAGGCGACAACGCAGATGAATCAGAATCAGCAACCCTCCATCCCCCTGAGCCCGATACTTAATCAGGCAAATGCGATCAGTCCATCCTCAATGCCGCCCGAAATAGCCGAGTTAAGCCTTGAGCAGATACGGGAACGAGTTATGCAGGTGGCTAGGGAATTTCAAAGTTCTCGACAGGCCCAACAAGCGTCGGGTCAGCATGACTTATCGCATCAGCAGAGTCAAATCCAAACTTTGCGAATTCTACAAGCGCGAGCGATGCATTTGCAACGAGAGCAAATGCAGAGTCTAATGCAGAGCCGGCCGGCGTCGCAGGCACCACCCATGCCAAATATGCAGATGAGTGGAATGCCGATGCAACAACAGCCGATGCAGAATAAGTCAGCACCAGCTATGGCACATATCGCACAGATGCAAGCCCAGATACAACAACGGCAGATGCAAGCCCAGGCGACGCAGAATAAATCAGCGCCACCCCTGCCACAGATACCACAAATGCAATCGCAAATGCAACAACAGCAAATGCAGAGTCAAATGCAAAGTCGGCTGGGGATGCAGGCATCAGCCACGCAGCAGATGCAGCAGACTTCGGCTAATCTCAACAACATCAATCAGCTATCCAATCAGCCACGTGGATTATACAGGCGAGTGCCACCGGATTCGTTCAATACCGGTCAACCAGACCCTCCGCCACAATATACACCTCCAATGCGGTCTCAGTCTCAAGTACCCGCGTATAATATGGCTCCGCAAGCACAGGCATCTCCGCCAAAGCCGCCATTCCCACTGGCCCAATCCACTGAAAGTAATATTAGACAGTCTTCCACTGGCCTCGGCGTTCCTGTTGCGCGTACTGTATGTGTTTCTACGTTGATCAATCGGGATTCATAAACTCGATACTAACTTTCTTCCACAAAGCAGAGCGATTTCTACGTAAGCTACGGGTCGGATGAACCGGATCATTTGGAAAACTTTGACTTCGACTCATTCTTGAATAAAGAGAATGACCACACAGAGCAATCAAAGTCGGACCAAGTCAGCAGTGAACCAGCTCCATCACGGCATGAGAAGAAGGATGTTCAACCTGATCAATCCACCCCTCTTGAAATCCCGAAGAAGAATAACAGGAAGCGGAAAGTGAATGCCACTTTTTCTGCGGATGATAACGTGAAGCCTCAAACGAACCCTGATACTACGCGGGAAGAGGGAAAATCGAAGAGGATACAGTTGGATCCAAGCAGTTCTGGGGATGAATCATCCTCTACAGTCTTATTGCCGCCTACCGTGAGTGCTGGGACCGAGGCACAGAATCAACCATCAGCAGCCATGAACGATCAGTCTTCAGCCTCGAATGATGCGTCGATTGAAACTCTGGATGCATGGATTCTGCGGTGGACAAAATTGGAACAGACAGAGCTGAAGTGATTGCTCTACCGAGACAATTCAGCGCATGGATCTTTGATCTAATGGCTCAACTTGACTCAGTTTGGAAGAATTGAAATACTTTAGAATTGTACGGATCTGCGATGTTTTTGCACGAGAATTAGCGCGGTGGAGAAACCTTCTCTTTGAAGGGCTTGAATAAACATGAATGTCACTCAAAGTCTAGTTCCAAGAATCCGGGCTCTCGGGAGATGGAAGTACTTCAATTACTTCAAATTGCAGACCCGCTTGAGGTGCTTGAATGCCAACATCTATGAAATTCGGGCTGGCTTCTTGCGGCCAGTCATCCGCGAGAGTATTCTTCAACATGAAGCGAACTCCTCGCAGATAAGGAGTAAATCGTTTTCCCTGAAGGAACCACGACGAAATGACACTCAGAAGATAATCGATTTCCCGCAGCCAGTTCCAGTCCGAATGGTAACTTAGATCGTCGGTTAGATGAAGCCATTCAAGACCGGTGGGTAACAGTTTCTCCAGTCCCAGGATGTTCGGATCAGACTTGGAGAATCCAAAAAGGAATGGAATAGGAACTTCGAGTGTCTTCAATCTAGTGAGTCTAGAGAAAAGGGTAAACGGTCCCTTGATGTGAGCGTCTGGGAGACGTACTAAGTCTACAACATCTGTTGAAGCTGAGATTCTCAAGTATGTCAGAGTCTCACGGACATGATTCAAGTCTGTGGCAAGCTGGTCCAAGTCTATGATGTCCGAATGGAAGTCATCGTGAAGATCTGGGCTGTAATACCAGTCCCATGTGAGGGATTTCAATTTCGGCGTGGCCGAAAGTATTTTTCCAAGGTTCCCTTCCCTCACCATAGTCAAGTCAAGTAATCGGAGCGACTGAGATGCAGGAATACATGCTCCAGGCCATTCAAAAGACGCAGGGTTGTCAATAACGGCTCTAATCCGCTCCACGGTCGGAAGGTAGAAAAGAGGGAGGACATCTGCCGTATTCCTCGTCGTTCTAAAGTGTTCTTTATCAAACTCAAAATGAAAATATGACATTGAAACCTCGCGGAGATTCTGAAAGGAGTGGAAGTAACCGCCTTTCGCACAAAGCGATGATCGCAGTACACGGCCCACGAAGAGGCTTTGGAGAGTGAAATCTTCCCCGAGGTAAAGGGTATTCAGTCTCGGAACTTGAGAGAGTAAAAGAGCGACAAATGCATCAATCGTGCCACTGCGCAACTCTTGAATCCATTCGCCACGATATGAAACGTTCGTTCTTGCGACGCATTCAATTAGAGGCTTCAAGTCATCCTCCGTCACTGCAATCTTGGGACTTTGACTTCTGTCACCTCGGAGATGGTACTCGACATTACTACCCTTCAGGATGACGACTTTGACATATTGTGCTAGTTGCGGCCTTTGTGTAATGCTCCGTAGAAACCGAATAATTAGAGGGTTCCATGGGCCTTTCCATTCCCATTCGATGCGAGAGTAAAGTATCGAATCGACAAGAGGGTGTAAGTTCCGATGCGTGAGACCCAATGCGAGATGATCGGTGGGCTCGAGGTGTGCGAAGATGACGCTAAGAATCTCCGAGCGGCTGGAAAGAAGTAAAGATGCCATTTGTCGTCTTTGTGGACTGGCAAGAGTATTTGGGTGGTAGGTGTAAAACAAGAGATGTGGTCTGCAGAGGGTCTCCCTGCTATTTAGCTTTGCCAACTGGTTACCGGCTAGGAAGATGCATGAGTACGTGATGGCCCCCAATCTCGGACCCCGCATTGTCAACGTACCATACTTTAATAAAAAATCTTGAAAAGGATATTCTGTAATTTATAAATAAACATTTAAATATATTGCACACTTGAAATGATTTATTTCGAATACTCCTAGACCTTGAGGCAAGAACAGAGACCACACTGGAACCTTAATCGTAATAAGTCAGAGGCAGATTCAACGTGCGACACTGCTCAGTCTCATCCAAATCCACCATAGAAGACGGCCACTGCAAGCGCCGGAGCTTATAGCTACCGTTCTTAAAAGGAGTCCACGATCCAGCCACCTCAACCTGTCGAGTAGTATTGACATACCCCCTTGCTTTCGTATACTTCGCATCCGGCGTCGGATTGAACGTCCGAGCAAAACTAGCCCAAGAGTCCAGCACAAACTGCTGGAAGGGCAGATCATATCCATCTCTCAGTGCAAGGCCCTGGCGTACCACATTTCCAAACACGTAATAGAGTTCTCCAGAGTGACACTTGAAGTATTCTTTGCTTGGATCACCGTTGGGATAGTCAGCTGTCTTTGGTGCTTCGCACAGAGGAGGATTCGGTGACCAGCCGGGCATCTGGTAGGTACGGTTGAACTCGTAGAAGAATACTTCTGGGAATATGTGGTTGTTGAATCCGGCGTATGCGGTTGCTTGATCGACGCAGCGGAACATTCCGTCAGTAGCTACTCGCGCCGTTGTGTTGAAGATGTCCAGTGTCTGGTTAGAGCCCGACGGTACCGGGTATGATTGACTCGGGGCTATTGTTGATGGCAGGCCGGATTCGTTCAGGAACTGATTGATTGTTTCTCCTGCTTTGGGATAGCCAATCATGGCTGCACCGTCATCTCTCGTTGTGCCTAGCATCAGAGGTACACTCGCAGTAGACTCTCGACTTGTCAGATCCAGTTCAGAGCTTTGGAGGTATTCTCCATCCACCACAAGGTAGCGAGCTGAATCGCTGAGCGTGGAGATAGTTGTAGCAGGAAGGGCTCGTAGACAGTCAAGCTGTGAACTAGCATGCACGCAATTTGCTTCCTTCAGAATGGCATTTCCAACAACTTCCACCTCCTGCTCAATGGTGTAGTACTTTGAGTATGTTGTTCCATATGCCAGGCCTCCGAGATTGCTTTGCATAATAGCAGCTGCAAACTTGCCTCGAGCTTTGGGCGATGCCAGCAATGCCCGCACTGATCCCGCTCCTGCCGATTGACCGAAAATGGTAATTCGATCTGGATCACCACCGAAATCCTGGATATTCCGACGAACCCACTCAAGTGCGGTAATTTGGTCTGCTAATCCGTAATTTCCCTTAGTGATACCGTCATTCAAAGCTAAGAAACCCAAGGTGCCCAGTCGGTAATTGATAGTGACAACGACCACGTCGCCCCGAGACCCAAGATTGCCTCCGTCAAAGGTAGAATCACTACCTGTACCACTAGTGAATGCACCACCGTGAATCCAGAACATCACTGGCTTCAGTTTATCGCGGGGGTTCGCCTTTGGGTTGGGGAGATATGGGGTCCAGACGTTGAGAAAATGGCAATCTTCTGAACCATCCGAGCCCTGTACACACTCAGAACCGAAGTCAAGAGCAGAGGCATGATCGCCGCGTCCTTCATATGATTTGGAGTAGGTCCATCGCTTTGGCTGTTTGGCATACCGGATGCCAAAGAAGCGAAAGGTAGACCGATCACGGAAACTGGATCTTAGTTAGTTGATAAATCCGCCATGTCATTTGAGGAATCTTACCCAGTGAGGTACTGATTGTTTGAGTTGACCGTGACCTGCCAAGTGGTGTTTGTATCCTTGATATCGGGCGTAGAGTAAGGAGCAGTCTGTGTACATAGCACTGGCAGACGCTCATTTGCAGAGGCTTTCCTCACATGGCCGCTCACATCCACGCTGGACGGTGTACCACGAACAGGAGCAATCCAGTATCTCTGGTCATGTTTGTATCTCTCCTGCAAGACAATATAGTCCAAATCACTTTGGATGTTTTCGAATCCTGAATTTGAATCCCACAGTGACTCTCCAAGGCTGTTGCAACTGTTCATGGCTTGCTGCAGCGGCATCGCATCCAGTAAGAGCATACCGGACCCAGCATGGGGGCTAGAACTTTCTATTCAATTGACGTTAGCATTGACTCATCTCATTATAATGACGAGAGCATAATTACCCAACAAGTCATTGTGAATAAGAATCGATATGTCGGAATTCAATGTACCCGGGCTCACGACTGCTCTAGCCGCCACTGCCAGAAACAAGACAGTAAAGGGAAAAGCACGCGACATTTTGGCACATAGTATACCCCAGATTCATTAACGCAACCCCTGCAGAGAATTATCATCGTGCAGCTCAGCTTTTTATTTATCTGGGGAATATGGATTCTTGGTAGAATCCTCCTCCCTTCTCCTCGTGTCCCATTTAGCCATCCACTAAGAACCCCGCGCCGGCAAAATAGCTTCCACCAAAAGAGCCACAGACGATGCCATTCGTCCGGCGACATGGAAGAAGCATTTAGAGTACAAATCAAAACGGGTTTTGCCTATTCTTCATGAAGAGGATATTTTTTACTCAAGTAACCATTGCTCTGAGAATGCAGCTAGGATAGATTCAAGCTTTTGATTCGGGTAATTGACCAGGCTCATCGCCGTCTTCATTCGGATCAGCGGCAGAATGGTGTCTCGCGTGACTTAAGACAGGGGAGGTTTTATTATATGACTTCTTCGGGCTTTGCATGACAGGGCGTGGAGTATTCAGGATCTTATCCCTGAAGAGCCGTACCCTGGCACGATGAGTCGATCGAGCCGGGATTGGTGCAAACAGCACCAAGGTGTAGCATGGCACGTTCAATTTACCCAAGGTCAATTCATTCATTGAAAAAAGTTCGGGGGTGAATTATTGCTTTTGATGTCTAATTACATCTCGCCAGTTGATACTCGCACCAAGCTCCCATCAATCATGGTAAAGTGCGTAGCGCGCCCGGCCGACCGATTCTTTCGTGCTCTGCGTGCGGGTTAGGGTCAGTTTTGTGTCTTTGTGGAGGGAAAGTGTGAATTTTGCTATCAAGGGCGTGGTATATTGAACAGAAAATAAGCAAGTCTGAGCTTTCAGCTACAAAGTTACTCCTAGCGATATCCCGCACTCGTAAAGCGCGACTTCGCTCCAGGATGAGGGGCTCGTCTACCTATTTGTGGGAAAGTCTCGGATCATAAACGAAGGAATTGACCATGCAATGGCTGAAGCACTTGATGAGTTGTATACAAAGCAAATACTTACCCCACGCCGATTCCGGTGAGAAGTAGTCTCACAAGCCCCTCTCACATTGTATAGTTAGAAAGAGGGGTATAAACGTCCTACATCGGAGTAGCATTCGACATTCGAGATACCCGCCACCCGTGCACAACTCAACCAAATTCAAACTTTCCACCCGCATGATTTACCTCAGAACCGTGGGATTCATGCAGTCCACAACTCAACCAATGACTTGTAGTAACCTTAATATGCAAATATACAAATTTCAATGGCCAATGGCAATCGCTGATACAGCCATGCTGGACAAGTCATTCTCGATGTGGACCAGGACTAGGACCAGGCGGCAAACGATTACGATGGGAAGCTCCGGGAAGAAAAGCCGAGTATTGGGGTTTTTGGTTTTGTGGGAGGCCGGCTCAATTCTTCTGGTTTCTAATTATATGCGTTATTTTTGGGGAATTCTCCCGCTCGAGACTGTACTTGAGCTCAACCGTATACTAGTTTCGTTAAGCTAATGCCCCCACGCCAACGGGTAGAGATGCCCTGGGTGCGATATCGTAAAGGGCTCAAATCAATAGACATGGATCCCAATGATGAGACGAAATCAGTCCATGATAGCCAGGCATTAATTCGGAATTATAAATGGTCACAAATTGACAACTTAAAGAGACTTTCCTTTTTCATTCAAGGACAGATGTCAATTGACCCTCAAGGTCCAGTTCAGCAAGCACCGAACCCCCGCATCGTATAACGAGGCCATGTCGGAAGACGCAGTCCGGTCCACAAGGCAATAACAAGACGATATTCCCGGTATGATGGGCACTAATAATAAGCAGGGCATTAATCAAAGGTACAATCGACCTTACTCTATAGGTATTACTCCATAGTACTCAAACAATCAAGTACAAACCACCTGGCAAGCGCAGAAATGCAGCCAAGTAGTCATGCATTCTCGAAGGTGGCTTGTCTCCAAGCCCAGACCTACTCGTACCTTCCATTCCTTATTGTATGCGTTGTTATGCCGTGGCGCGGTTCAGGCACCTGAAGTAGTTTACCGGGGAGTACTCCGAAGGCAACTTGCACCGCAGCAGGCGCGATTCCAAGTTGCTGAACTACTGAACCCCCGCGCAAGAGGAGTGGGACACGCGTCGAAAGGAGGAGGACCGTGTTCGGTGGTGGTGGAGGGGTAAAGACGATTGAAGACTGTACGTGGTAGTACTGTATGGTTATGCAAAGCAGCCGGGCACGCTAGGAATAGTAATCCAAGCATAGGGCATAATCTCATCTGAAGAACACGTTGAGCGTGTTCCTGGACGACGCGGTCGGTATTCGATACTCCCATACAGTACACGCTTCGGGCACGACGCCAAGGTATCGGGATACTTTGTGACGTCAATGCGCCGGCTGGACTTGTTAGAGAAGTCAGAAGTCTGGATTCCCGCGGGCCCCCGGGACCCGCTTACAAAGTGGATTTTTGTGATTGTGGACAGATTTTGGAGAGAGGGGCAGTTGAATATTGAATTTTGAACAGTTCATCAAAGTGGATTTGTGGGATAGGAATTAGAGATGGTAAAAAAGTTAGCGAGGGTTTGTAGCGAGTGTATACCTTTGAGAGGTACTAAGTACTGGGTACATTGATCGGGTGAAGCGGAAAAGCAAAGACAGTAGAGTTTCCGACCAACAACTCTGCATACTTGACTGGACCACGTGCGGGCATCAGGGCTTATCAGCAAAAGGCGAAGGCACCCGAAAGTCAACTGACAACTGTGACCAGAGAGTGGAAAGTCTCGCTGGTTTGGGTTTGGGTTTATTCTCTGGTAGGGTTACGCCCTGCTTTTGTGCCCACTGGAATCTGGAATCTTGGATCTTGATCGACTACTCCGACCGCGATATGCGTGCACGAGCACCCCCGGCCCCATTATGAGTGGCTCGATAAGCAGAAAGCAGAAATGGGTACGGAGTATTCTGTACGTTCTCGTACACCTGCGATCTCGGACATGTGCACTGGCTGCACGGGGCCTTGCTAAGAGGGGGAAGATGATGTACAGTAGTAAGAGAGGTACACTATACACTCGTATGATGATCCTGATTATTTTAGTATGAGATGTATGTAGGTACTAAATGTAGGTACTGAAGTACCTAGTCAGACTAGATCCTTGTGCCAGTGGGAATGGAGGGTTCTCTTTTCCCTCGGCAGATCGGTTCAGGGATGATGGAATGGTTCGAAAAAACAAGGAAGATCCAATCATGAATATAGAGTAAATCATCTAGGAGAGGATACATACTCCTGTACTGGTGTACTGGTCACGCTCACTACTATTGCAGCAAGATAATACTGGAATTTCCTCACAAAAGATCAAGATGTCAAGATGGTCTCATCTTGACACTGTTTGCGACCATGGCTGCATGCAAGTATGTATACGGAGTACATGTACATCCACTATACAGTTTAGTCAGTAGATCCTCGATCGAATATCCTCTCTCTCTACCCTATAACAGAACAGCATAGGATCACACACTCAGACATCTCCTCTGGACCCAGTTGAATCCCCGGAACCTCCCGGCCTGTTGGCTGTCCGAGGCACCAATCAACGCACCCACGCGCTGGCCCTGGCGAGCGTCTGCGGAGTCCCAGACATTGCCGGTCCAAGGCGATCAGAGTGGAGTCATGAGGAGGAGGGGAAAACGTCGCTGATAGTAGAGTAGTAGTAGTATGTACATGCGCCTATGAAGTATGTGAATAACTGGTAGCCTTACAGTACTAACTAAATCCTATGTACCTTTCAAGAGCGGCTGAGTCGTACTTGCCCTTATACTACCCCCTCGTCACACACACAAGCCCCTCCCTCCGCCCTGATCTACTTAGTCTCTGCTACTTCCTTTTCTTATTCTCTCCTCTATTCTCTTGTTCTCTCCCACCCCAGACCAATCTTATCTCAGGCCTCTAAGCTTTGCTCTCTGACCGTTCGGACTCGAACAACTAAACCCGGCTTTGATCGCGTGGTTGATCTGTTCCCCTTGCCGCGTCGCATCTTACCCGCTACTAGAAGTACGAAGCACCGCGCATCTGCATCGGTCCTGGTCTTCTTCCCACATACATACATACACACACATACTCATCCATCCGGTCATCCGTGTCTCTACACCCTGTCTCTTGTTTTGAAAGAGGTGAGTTAAATCCCCATTCTTTGTTCGCCCTGATCCCCCATCGCCACCCGTCAACCAACAAAACTCCCCCAATCGCGTGGCGCGGCGTTATCGCACTTGTATGGAACGGTCTGTCTGACTCATCTACGCTCTACGCCATGTTGCGCGCAGCAGACAGATTCTCTTCTTCTTCCATAACCACCCAACATGGCTGCTTTTCAGACCAACTCCAGCATCGCGATGGCTCTTGCTGGCAAGACCAAGACCGCTTCTGTCGATATCCCTCCTCCCCGTGCCGGCGCGGGTGCCCGCAAACCTGCGTCGCGACCAGGCCACCCGGCCATGCTCCCAACGCCACCCAACTCCATCTCACCCACCCTCCCCCCACAAGCCTTTAAGCATCGCCCCGCCCTGTCACCAGGATCGCCGCTGTCCACCGTGCCCCAGTTGGACTCGGATATCGATCTGCAGGATGCCGTCGACCATGCCAACAGCCAGCATCACCCGGAGTCGCCTGCGCATGAGGATCTCGACAGCGCTGGCGCTATCACGCCCGCGATGTTGGCTCGACACCACCTGCCGGAGATTCTCTTGCAGCAGGGCCCTCTCGCGATCCGTCACGTCATGGGTTTCCTGACCACCTCGGTGCCTGGGTTCTCGCGCATCCCGCCTGCCAAGGCGCGTCGCCTCGTTGTGGCCGCGCTCGAGGGTCGTGGGAACGGCGGCGAAGCCGGCGGCGTGGATGGCGATGTGCTCTTTGAAAAGGTTGGCTGGGGACGCTGGGACGCGCGCCGTCGCGGGGACTCCCCGCGCGATCGTGAGCGCTCGTTCGCCGTCTCCTCGCCTCCATCCAGTGTGGCGGGCTCCTTCCAGCAGCGCGGGCTGCAGATCGAAGGTCGGCGCGGCTCGACCTGGTCCGCGGTGCGGAATCAGTATGGTGTGAGTCTGGCGGAGTCGACGGCGTTCTCCTACACGGATGACTATGGCGGCCACGAGGACTTGGACATGCTCGAGCACGAGGCTGACAAGATGTCGCTGGATGGCGATGACGGCCACGAGTACTGCTCTTCCTCCGAGGCGCCGGACGACCTTCAGGACGACGAGTGGAACGAGGGCGACGTCACAGACGAAGAAGATTGGGCGCAAATCGGTGCGGATGCCCTGCGTGCCCGCTCGATGAACGGCAGTGGTGGTTTCGTGCGCAACAGTAACGTTGCTGCTCGAGCGAAGCCTCTGCCCTTTGGGGCGTTTGGCAACGCCAGTTTCGGCGGCCCCACTGCGGCCAAGTCGGCGCCCCGCACCTTCGATACTCAGGAACGCGCTGCGGTAGAGGCGCTTCTCAGCCTGGGCTCGATGTAAAGAGCTCTACGATTCATCATCATGACCGGCGTTTTCTGTTTTTCGATCAGGCATTTGTCTTTTCTTTGGGTTTTCTTCGCAAAGTCTCATCTCTTTGTTTCCGGGATACACTTTTACTATATCCATAATGAGGTCGTCAAGGCTGGACCGGACCATTCTTGACGCTGTTTCAACATTCCCTTGTCATGAAAATCTCAATCTGCTGTTTCTTTGCAGACGGGCATATGCTAATGCCACATGACATTTTGTTTTTTGTTATTACTCGTGGGCTTTTCTTTTTCCTGTTTGGCGTTGGGCATGACTACGTTCGGACTCGATTCGAACGGGCGTTTTACACGGTTGTTTTTGTTATTTTCCCTTATGACACGGCTTGTCACTGGCAACATCTCCGCGGCGGCAATCTGGCTACTTCTACCATCGCCCGTGACGTGTCAAGCCGGAATCCCCCCCACACCCACTCATTCCCTCCTGTCTAATTTCCTTGGGCTAGCGAAGTTCTTATATTGGGATTATTGTTCAGTTGTCTTGTGTGGGTTTATATGCCATTCTTCGTTTTCTCTTTCTGGCATCGAGACCCGGGATTTCAACCATACCCTGTGGTACTCGCTTTTTTTTCTTGTGGTATACTCATTTTTCTAATATCCACTGATTCTCTTGGTTCTCTCTATTATTTCTTTGGTTGGGTTTGAGTTTGAGTTTGTGGTTTCTGAGATTATTCTCTCTCTACTCTCCGGTGTGAGGTCGCCCCGGTCACTTTGGGTATTCGCAGACTATGGGAAATTGTTGAGAGGGCTGGTCGTCTTTATTGTACTGCACTGGTCTCTCGAGATATACGCTGTGGCTTGCGAGGTCTCTAGTGATTGTTTGGGTTCTGGAGCTCGGGATTCCTGGTCATCTTCGCTGATTTCACTGGGTTTGTTGAGTTTTGGATTTGTCCTGCTTGATTTCCTAGCTTGTTGTGGGGATTTTGTGTATGGTCCCTTTTCATGGTTGGATATTGAGTGTGGATTCGGGGCGGTTATGTGTTATGAATGGAGTCGTTCCCCTCGACGGCTTTGGCAAATGGGGTTTCGTGTTGGGTCTCAGAATGCCAAGTACATAGGCCAGGATGCAATTACCTTGTGTATGGCTTTGTTTAGGTAGTTGGTTCATCCATCGCGTTTGTTGGAAGTTTACTCCTGGTAATTTCCTCATTTCCTTTGTAGATTGATATATGCGGTAGCAAGGGAATCTTAGAAGCTTGTTTGACAGTATTTGCTACGTGATTATTGCCTTCAATATGATTGCAGTCCTTCTTTAGAGCTAGTCCATCTCCTTCTCCTCACTTTCCCTTCTACACATGTCTTATTTATCAACATCTCCTATGCTCTTTATGTACATTGCATCATGATTTACCCCCCGACCTTCAACATCATTGATGAGTGTCACTAGTAACCGCAAGACCAACTATTGATACCCTCGAACGTTCACTTCACTGGCCTGTTAACTGCCCTCCGTGGGTATGTTCCTAGGTCACAACCTGACCTTGGGTTGCTCTGCTCTCCCAAAGTCCTCAGAAAGCAGAACAGAACACCAAAACCGTATGGCTTTAACTCTACCAGCATCACACGACCTCGCGCTCCTTCAACCCGGTCGTCGCAGTTATCTATATCCCTTCCGATGGAGATAGATGACTGACTGACAAGGATTATGAATAGACCTCATGGTCCAGAGCCAGGTCCTGCTATTGGGGGTTTCCAGGGTAAGCTATGAGTTGAACTGAACTAAATTGAATTTCCTATCTTGATCACCATCTCTGATACTAATTCTCCCTCCTATTATGTAGCAACCATTATCGTCATCCTCCTTCCCCTGAGCGAGTCCCTGGTCGATGGGCGAGATTTCAGAGTACTCGCGATGAGGACATGAATACTCGTGACGAGCATATACATGCCCCTCTGGCCCTTGAATCGTCGATCTAAAAAGCGCCCTTGATCCTCCGCGCTCGTTCTCGTGCTTGTCCCAATAACACTCCCGTGAAATTGTTGACGATTTAAACGAGTTCATTGACATGCTAATGACACAAGACCGCTCGCGCTCGGCTCCTACAGTGGGAAGTGACACAATCGATCATCCGGTCCCATCGACTCCGCCCCATGAACGGAATGAAGGTCTTGTTCTATGCCTTCTCATGCAGTCCAATCAACGACTACGCCCTGCTCAATAAATAAATGAGCCCTGCGCAGCTGGAGCGAGATCTCTGCCAAAAGGAGTTATCCCCTGACCAGGGCTGTTTTCGTGTCTTTGAGCGAGACTGGATTATGCAGGAAAGTTTCAAGGTTGACAGCGTCTTTGATGGCTTCGCTCAAAGATTTGCCGAAATTGTGCAAAGAACCATAGCCAGTATGAAAGAGGTAACCAAGTCGTTCCGAAATGAAGGTGAATCAAATCATAACTGTTACTGACGCCTGTTTTGTGCAGATTTTGGGCGGTATGGCTGCCGACGCCTATGATTTCATGAAATTCTCTGGCGAACCTTGGACCCAGTGCCCGGATAGTCTCCCCCGCTGTTGCTTTTTCGATTGAGAATCAAGTTCTCGTTCCACTTCCCTTAAGGGCCTGACCAGCTGGTTTGGAAGGCAAGAAAGAGTAGTCTGGTCTGACGTTCCTAGGAATTCACCAATTTGCTGCCAAAACCCGGAGCAATCAAAACGTTTGCTTGCTCCTTTGAGAGTTCAAGTTTAAATTTATATTTATATTTATAGCGATTGTGGACAAATCTGTTCCTGGACTTCTGTCGACCTCCCAATAAGCGGGTTTATTGGGATGGCAAAACCGAATGGGGTTTGCGGTCCTCCCACAAGAGGCAGAGCTCACTGGAAGAGGCAGTTTCTTCGACGTGCTTGGAAAGAAAACCCGGGCGTTCACATGGGCTGAGCATGAGATTATGTAGCACAGAAGGAATAAGCTCCCCGATCAGCTACAAGGCTAGGATCCCGCGAAGACCTTGGCTTGTTGTTCTGGATGAGACTCGGCAAACCGATAGGCGACAGGTGGACCGCGCCAAAAGGAAGAATCGGCCTCCGTCGCCTTCACTGGCAAGCGAAATCTTGAATCTACTTGATATTGTGATTCATACTATCGAACACATGAATCATGACGATATCGAGATCGTGGAGGGGGATGTACCAATCCCCCAGGGACACTTTGTCTATGCCTGTATGCCTGTATATGTCTGCTTGTTACATGTTGCTTCTGGAAGATTGGGACAAGAGATGACACCCGATGACACCGGAGGATATACTACGGGACCCCAAGAAGAGCGAGGCAACGGACTTCTTCTGAAGAGGAAAAGCGGGTTAACTGGCCAGGTTGGTTGACGTGGAATATCTGTTGCGGGCTTGAGCCATCGCGGCCAAATGGATCTCATGCGTTTGACTTGCACAATGGCGAGACCATCGTCCGGGGAGATGTTGTTCTGCCAAGCTGCAAGATGATGCTGAGGTTTGATATGGTTCAACGGGCTCGTTCTTGGTACACCTGGGCGCCGAGCACAAGGCAATGCTCAATGATTGACGGATTGATTGGTTATAAGACCGAACTCGAAAGGGATACTAGTGGTTGTTACTTACTACACCCTACTTCTGTTCATTGGAGGATGAAGTTGGAGTCGATACAAAGGGATTTTTGCATTTTGAGTTGCTTGTCTAGAGAACTTTACATATAGAGGTCAAAGGGAGTTTACCCATAGGGTTCTAAGGGGAAGTAGATTCTATTGAACCCGGTCAAGACCGAAAACCAAAATGAATTACTATTTTATGGGACAGCATATCTCAAAGTATACAAAAGATACCAAGAAATCCTTGATGAATATCCGAACGCCAGCAATACACAAGTCCAGCCAGACTCATCCCCATCCATAACCCTAAGTATACCAACGAAATAAGGAGATCAAAGACCAACCCTCCAAGAGCATTTCTATCCTGAAAGCACGAGCTACCAACATCATCCAAGCCGAAAATAAACCAACTCATATCCAAAGCCAAGCCAAACCTCATACCCCATCCCAATCACTCATTTATCATCTTCATGCGCATTATTGATACGCTTCCACACCTCCGCCTCAACCTCCACCAACTTAGACCCCGCAGTCTGCATCCACCCCTTCGCGGTATTAAAGAATGAAGGCTCATCATCCTCGGGAAAGATGCTATTCGCACCTCCACCTCCGCCACTGCTGTAGTGTAGCGGCAATCCCGCAGACCCAGCGGGACCTCCACTAGCTGGGGCCTGGTATACGGAAGAGTATGGGGTGGAAGTCGAGTTTGGAATATCAGAGGTTGTATGTGGAGAGCGGTGGTAAGCGTAAGACGAGGTGAATTGGGTCGAGGGCTGGGGTGCGGTGGTAGTTTGTGCTGTAGATGGGAGGGACGGAGAAATTGTCACGGCTTGTCCTGCCTTTGGAGGTGGCGGGACTATAGATTGTGCGGCTGTAGTTTGTACTTGCGGTACAGCGCCTGGTTGTGGAGGAGGTGGGGATTGCGTAGATGATGTAGTTGGCAGGGTAGATGTTGGCGTTGGCATGAGATTCGCCTGTGATCCTCCTACTGCTGCTGTTGGGGCAGGCAAGCTCGGTGCAGCACCTGCTTGCGCTGGTAAGGCCTCTGGCTGCACAGCTGAGTATATGGGAGAGTATGAGGGCGCAGTCGCAGTGGCCGATGTGGTTTGAGGTTGTGTAGCGGTGGTTGTCTCGGCCTCGATTGCGGTGGCGGGTTGCGGTTGCGGTTGCACTTTGGTAGCCTGTGTTTCCTCTTCCGTCTTGTTGGGATTCAGAGGTGCAGAGGTGTAGGTCTTTATGCTTCCTGGGGTCGACATGATGAGGTATTCGTGTGAGAGGCGATATGATACGATGGAGGAGAAGGTTGGTTGTCTGAAGTAGGAACAAAGGCAGGGAGCTTCAAGGAGGAGCTTCCAAGCCCAGACGTCATGCGTCTTCCGCAGTGGGGCGCTTGCCGCTTTGGCGGTGGGTTTGTTGCGGAGAGCTTCAGGGGGTTGGTGATCCTTCTGAATGAGGATCGTCTTGGTAGGAGAAGTCGTTCAGATCGTATGAAGAGTTGAAGTCAATGATATTCAGGGACGTTCGCTCGTATTGTCGATTCAAACGGAAGCGGTCGAATATTGAAGCCACGTAGCAAGAACGCAAAGGCTGGAAGTTTGACTTGGTAGTTGGACACGTATGCTGGGCAGACGCATCCAGATAATTACCCTCGAAGACTCTTACCTCAAGTACAACCGAAAAGCAGGAGCTATACCAGTGAGGCACTGCGACACTATACTGAAGGTGACTATCGCCAAAATACGAGGATTTTACTTGGAAGTTGGAGAACAATTGTGAAAGAAAAGAAAGAAAAAGTTTGCAGGCAGTAAAGTACATTTGGGTACAGAAAAAGGGAAGAACCACCATTCTATGCTTCAAGATCCCCCCGAACCCGTTTCTTGACGCATCTATCTTTTGCAATGCCACAACCTCAACTTTCCCGTGTCCCGGAGTTAAAAACCAGACCAGGGGGTTGTGTTTCGCATCCCCGACTCCAGTATAAACTACAGGTTGGCAATTGTGGAAGAAAAAACAAAACAGAAGATTCGCTAGGGGCGAGTCATCTATTTGAACTTCTTGCCGAAGAGGATGAGCTGGACCTGGTCGTAGATGGACAGGACACCAGCACCGGCAACACCACGGAGGATGTTGGCACCAGCACCCTTGAACAGGGACTTGACACCCTCCTGGGCGACGATCTGGCGGGCAGCATCCATGGAGGACTTGTACTTGACGGCCTCACCAGAGGTCATCATCATGCGACGACGGACGGTATCCAGAGGGTAAGAAGCAACACCAGCAGCAGTGGTGACAGTCCAGCCGAGCAGGAAGGAAGCGAGGAAAGAGCCCTCAAGAGGACCAACCAGGAGAACGGGCTTGATGGAGTCGTACATGCCGAAGTACAGACCACGGTAAACGACAATTCCGAGAACGGAGGGTCCGAAACCACGGTAGAGACCGGCAATACCGTCGGAGGCGAGGGTCTTGCGGTAGACGTCGACGAGACCGTTGAACTGACGGTCACCGCCACCCTTGGCGGACTTGGCGTCGTTGGCCAGACGGGTACGGGCGTAGTCCAGGGAGTAGACGAAGAGGAGGGAAGTGGCACCGGCAGCACCACCGGAGGCAAGGTTACCCATCATCCACTTGGCGTATCCATCACGCTCCTTCTTGTAGGCGAACATGGACTTGTAGGTGTCACGGAAGGCAAAGTTAAGAGCCTGGGTGGGGAAGTAACGAATGACGTTGGCGGTGTTACCACGCCAGAGGGAGACGACACCCTCCTGAGCGGAGGTGCGCTTGAAGCAGTCAACGATACCGTTGTACTTGCGGTCAAGACGACCCTGCTTGAGCATCTCATCCTGTTGTGAAGAAGGAATGGTTAGCCGTTGGTCGATCGACCGAAGGGGAGTTCGTAACAATGCAGGGTCCGACCGTCACACGGACCACGAGCGAAACGGAAAATTTTTTCATCGGGTCAAAACATTGGCCAAGACAACCAACTGCAGTAACCCGCCATGAATGGCAATATCCGCATCACATTCGAGGTCGTGTTCGATCGAAAGACTGCTTGTCGAATTGTAGTAGACTAACCTGGTTCTGGATCAGGAGCTTGACACGCTCGATGGGGGCGGCAGCGGTCTTGGAGACAGCGGCGGAAACACCACCCACTGTGAATCAGTTAGTATTATCGAACTTGATCATGGGAAGCGAACCCAGCGACCAGGCTGGATGGCTTTTCAATGTTTATCATCACGTACTCAGGAAGTCGACAACGAAGCCCTGTGCAAAAAAATTTGTTAGCGCCATGCGTTTGACATGATCTGGAGTTTCTCCGCCTGCCAGTCCGGCTGGTTCTCAACTCCAAGCTTGCAATCATCTTTGTGGATGCATCGAGGCTGATTTCGATGATATCAAGATGAAATTTGTTGCAGCTCGAAGTCGACGCCAGCTCAGACAAGGGGCGGGTGAGGTGAGCAGTGAGCAACTTACGGGCATGCCCATGAAGGACTTATCCGCCTGGGAAGACATTGTGAAGGTTGCAAAGAGATAGATGCAACAAAAAAGAGAGGAGAGGGATGAGTGTCAAGAAGAAAGGACACTGGGGGATGGGAGGGAAGAAAAAGAAGAAGAGAAGAGAGAAGGGGCGGAAGGGGGAGAAAAATACCTGTACGTGGGTGGAAGCGAATGCTGGCCACTAGCGCCCAATCAGGAAGGCCAGGAGCCCGTACCGTTTGAAATGACACCGTATTGCCTGGTATTCTGCCGCATTGCGTCGGGGCCCTGCCGATATCTCCCGATCGCAAAAATTTTTTTTCTTTACGATCGCCAATCGCGCCGAGTGGCCATTCTTTTCATTCGAAAGAGATGGTTTATAATAAAACAAGTCTCTTTAAATGCTGTAATATCATCAATCCTATATTGATCTCTCCATCGCCCTTTGAAATAAGCCCGAATTCCCCAAATTAACCGTGTTATCACAGGCTATCAAACTGGTCTGCCAGGTCAACTGTAGTCCGGAGCAACGGCGATGTCCATGCGTTTGGCCTTGGTGGTAACATTCGGTACGGCGTATCTTTCCCCGTCCAATGCCGGCCCAGCCTCCACATCCACACCGGGGCAACCTCCTTTTTCCTGGGCCCGAGTATCCGAAGGGGAGAAACCCGGCCTACAACTACACTGGGGGGGGCTTGCCACCGACTCCAGAAAATGAGACCTGAATTTTCATGTCTAAAGGTAATTCGTGTTTTGCCTCCTAGAACATTAAAAATTCTCATTAGGAATTCGTCCTTGGTGATTAGCTACTCTCCTATGAACCAGAGGCTTGGTCCGAGCATAGACGGGTAGATTAAACTCTGAAGAATTTTCCTGTTGCCGACTGCAAGGTTTTTTCTTGATATGCGGTAGACATGTACAAAAATTGATGCATCTTCATGCACAGTTTGCTAGTACAATAATACATAGACAGCTAGAATTTCCTCCGCAGGCGACAGTCTGCCTTTCTGGGCAAGCATTCATGCCTGGTTCGAGGCCGATACGCAATTTTGATATGAGACATTTTCACTCGGTGCTATTTATGTAGCGGGTACAAACTTTATAGTGGAGAGGAGCCGCATGTGAAAAGTACCTGAACACAGCGTCAGGTACACGCCAATAATACGTCCGGATCCACTTTCCTACTGGGATCCTCGGCCCTGTGGAACACCATCAAGACTTTTTGGACAGCCTTGAAAATTGATGATAGACTAAAGATAACCATACAAGATAGTCTTTTAAGAAATTAATTGTCTAATGGAGGCGATGGAATTCCAATTGTATCATAAATCAATCTTGGTGTGGCTGGTAAATCTCTAACATCGCCGAAAACGGGTTGTTTGTTTTTGGATCTTTCGAGAAACATCCTTGCAGCGACAACCAAATTCCAATCTTCATTAATCGCTCGAGATCAGGGCAAATCGAGTTTTTGAGCGATGGAGAAGTTTTGAATCATATAGATTGAAGATATTATTAGGTGCTGGAACCCCGCTACGATCCCGAGTATCCATCGTTAAATGTGGACTGCCGAGCTGGAGATATATAAACCCATCAGAGCATGCTACACACATATTTCTGCCTGTGACATCCGAGGACTACAAGACAACCTTACCAGACAGCCCCATCTTCTCGAGATCAAACTCTCATAACGAATCGTCATTAATTTCAGTGAAATCTAAGAATAAACTCCATGCTCCAGATATCCGTTCAGCAACAAGCTATGGACAAAGAAATGCTTTTATACGACGGCACTCAGTGCTTCTTAGAACGCTTCCGCTTCTTCCTCCCACTACCATCGCCTTCGCGAATATCCAGCTTAGTCTCATCACCATCCTTATCCTCTTCAGCATCACCCTTGCGCTTGCCACTGCCAAACTCGAACGCAGGGCCTTCCTCGTTACCGAAAGTGTCCTTGCGCCATTGGCGCAGGCGAGCTTTCTTGCCCAGCTTCCGCTCATCCTTGGCCTTCTTCTCAGCATCCCGGAAGGAGGCAAGCTTCTTCAGACCGGCGAACTGGTTGAGCTGGCTGTCGTCGGCCATGAGGATATCCCGTGCTGTCAGACCGAAGCTCTGGGGGGAAGTCTCGCGGTAGCGGAAGCGGGTGGCGTTCTTTTTGGTAGCACCGGGGAGCAGGGTGATGTCAAGGTCCAGGTTGCGGTCAACTGCCTCTTCGATGCGGAGACGCTCCTTGCGGGCATCGCGCTTTTGTTCGCGCCTCAGCTCGGCCTTGCTCTTCTTGTTTGACCCAGATGCACCCTCTTCCTCTTCCTCGTCGTCCTCACCTTCACCGTCAGACTCAAGAGACGGCTTCACGCCCTCTTCATCCTCGTAGTCTGGGATCAAGTCCTTAATATCAATGTCGTCATCCCACGTGGGCTTCTTGGGGTGCTTCTTGCCCTCCTCAGGCTCCTCGTAGTAGCCGTCGCCGAAGCGCTTCTGCATCTCCTTCTCCCACTCCTTGTCGTCCCAGGCGTCATCAAGGAATCGAGCCCAGTCCTCGTCTGTGAACTCAGCGGCCCGTAGACCAGCCACCTCCTTGATTTGCGAGACCTTCTTCTGGAGCTCCTCGGTCTTGAGCTTGCGCAGGCGGTTCTTCTCAGTCTCACGCTCCTTCTTCTCTTCCTCTTTGCGTTGACGCTCAGCGTCGCGGATCTTCTTGCGTGCGCTCTTGTCCTCACGACGGACAGAAAGACTGTTGGTGGTGTCACGAGCGTGGGTCATAATCTTTTCGTTGAGCTTGCTGGGGTCTTCGAAGCGGAAGTTGTAGGCCTCCTCGAGAGCATCGGCCCGTTCCAATTCCTCATCGTCGTCCGAGTCGAACGGATGAAGCTCGCGACGGTCACCCTCGGGGATCCAAGCTCGGGCAGACAGGAAGTTGGACAAGAAAGTTTCGGGATCCTTGTCGGCATTCTCAATGTCCAGCTTAATCTCCTTCTCGGGAATAACATCTGCTCCACCGGCCTTGCGAACCAGGAAGTTGTCCTCCGCATCCTCCATCTCGTCATCGGAGTCGGCTGCGTGCATCTCCTTGACCAGGGCATCCTTCAACTCGGCCTGCTCCTGGGCAAAAGTTTTGATAGTTTCTTTTTGTTCTTCCTCGGCAACATCCACTCCCTTCAGGAGGTTCTCGCGATGGTAGTCATGCAGTGTCATGGTTTTCTCCTTCTTTTCCTTGGGAGCCTCGTTGTCTTCATCAAGCTCGGTGTAGAAAGTGGCGTTCGCATCGTACACACGGGGATCCTTCTCACGAATAGCCTTCAGAGTGGCCATGATTTCGGCATCGACAGTTTCGGTGGCTAGCTCGCCATCATCGTCTTCATCCTCATCAGAGGAGGAGTCCTTGTCGGAGAGTTCATCGGCTCGGTGCTTTCCTAGGCTGGAGGATTTGCCGTACTTGGATTCCACTGGAAGAAAGAAAAAAGGTTAGCGCCCATAAAAAATAGGCTGCAAATTTTGTAGTTGAATCATACACTTTTGCACCTCTTCTCTCTTCTTATTGTGTTCGAACCGGCGGGCATAGTCTTCGTTGATCTTGAAGCCTGCTTCGGGAGCCTTGGTCAGAGAGACACCACCAGCATCATCACCAGAGTCACTGGAGTTATCGTCTTCCCAGAGGGTCCGCGCTTTCTTCGATGGAGGCTCCATTGCTGATATACACAAGTTTACAGACTGAGCTTGCACCATGCGCTTTGGAGAAACCCGCTGCCGGCAGAAAGAAAAATTCTCACACCGCCCGTCTGTCCTGGAAACCGCCCAGGCTTGACGCCTGAACTATCAGGCGAAAATAGATGCATCTTCAGGCCGCGCCTCCGGAGGGTCTCACTGACGTAGCCAATTAGATCACCGCCAGGCGAGGCCGACAGGTTCACGTCACTTACCAGCACGTGGGCAGCTCTCTCCAGGCTCCTGAAGCACCTTCCTTATTCTCTGATATTGTTTCTCGGCTATTGAGAAGGGTCTTGTCGAAGCATCGCACTGTTGCGCTTCTTTTCTGTTCGCGTCAAGTGTGTGGCTGGAGGCATGCACTAGATGTCGACTCAATCGCACACCCCGTTACCCCAGGTTGGGAAGCTCGTGAGCGTGGTGTAAGTCATGACGCGTGCTTGCTTTGGTCTCAATGCTAACTGTATTCCAATCCGATAGTCCCGTTGGTCTCAAAGAGGCTGCACTCGACTCACCGACCTTCCGCGCGACCACTCTCCACTTCTGCGACCAGATCGAATTCATTGAGAGATGGCTCGATGGGTATGCCAAAGCTGCGGCGAAGCTCGCCTCCGAGGTGGTGGCTATGGAGAGTGTTGTTAATAGCTTCCTCTCCTACTCCAACCCACTGGTCGTTTCCGAGGCCGTCGTCGACCATGATTATACGCTGTTGGCAATGAGGAGGAGCGGAGAAGGGTCGAAGGATCTCTGGAATGGATTGGTGACGGCGACCAAGAAGATGGAGTCGCTAATTGCCGAGCCTATCCGTGTGTTTATCAGCGAAGACTTGCGGTATTTTAAGGTGAGATACTAGCCTCTTTGCACATTGTTGATGGATGTACTATGTATGACGTGATGGGCTAACATCGATAAAGGAAAACCGTCGAGCCCTGGAGCACGCCCAGAAGCAGTACGACTATTTACAAGCCCGATATGCCTCGCAGTCAAAGTCAAAAGAAGCTTCCGCCTTGAGGGAAGAAGCGTTCCAGCTCCACGAGGCTCGTAAAGCATACCTGAGAGCATCCTTGGACTTTTCCGTGCAGGCCCCTCAAGTGCGCAATGCGCTTGATCGACTCCTAGTTCGAGTCTCCTTTGATCAATGGCGAGAGTTCCGTCTGTTCCATAACAACAACAGCTCGACCTTCTCAAAGTGGTCGGGCGAGATGGATCGTATCAAGGGCTGGGTTCACGAGATGGAAGGGAGTGACCGATCTGCCAAGCGTGAGCTTCTAGCTACGAGAAAACAGATTGAAGAGGCTGCAGAAGTGGTGGCCCGTCCTCCCCGCGAACTCGAGGACTATTCAATCTCCACTGTCCCGTACCTCGGCTCCCGACCTCTATCTACGCTGAACATGGGCAAGGAGATTAGACCAGAGAAGCAAGGGTGGCTTAACCTGCGGACTCTTTCAGGCAGACCCAGCCGCACGGTCTGGGTGAGGCGTTGGGCCTTCCTCAAGCATGGTATCTTTGGATGTCTTGTACAAGGCTCACGCACCGGTGGCGTTGAAGAGAGTGAGCGAATTGGTGTGCTCCTTTGCAGCATTCGCCCTGCGTTCCAGGAAGAGCGACGGTTCTGTTTCCAAGTGAAGACCAAGAACAACAGCATCATTCTCCAGGCTGAGACTCAAAAGGAGTTAATGGAGTGGATCGGCGCATTCGAAGCCGCTAAGCAGAAGGCTTTGGAAAACCCCACCAGCACTGATCTGTCGATTTCAGGGAAGGTTACTGTTCAAGACCCTGCTTTCTCGATATCCCAGCCTCCTGCACCGGAATTTACTGCCGACCCAAGCGAATCTCTCACTCCACACCCGAGTGATGAACAATCTCATTCTGAACGGAGCTCGACCCTTCCAGTTCCAGACCGTGATGGGCTTGCCATGCGAAACAGTACCGACATGAGCGGTCGAAGACTCACCGGCCTGGATGGAGAATCTTCCGCTCGTGAACATGCCAGGGAGCACACGTCTAGGATTATTCAAAAGTTGGATCTTCACCGCAAGTCCAACAACGCTGCTCCCGCATCTCCATCGATTCCCGGCCCTGCGAGTGGTATTGCTAGTCTCATTTCTGCTAGCCACAATCTCCTCCCTTACGGAGGCGCCGCAGCTGCCAGTGTTAGAGATGGCGAGGGCAATCGAGGTCGCAGCTCGAGCAGCCTGGAGGAGCCCGGCAGTAGCCTCGCCCCTGCCACTCTTGCTAATCCACCGGCGCCTACAAGCATGAGTAAGGCTGCAGTCGTGGTGAGTAGCGAACGAGGAATCGGACTTGGCCTTGTCGACAGCACGGGTGGAATGCCTAGTGGTATGATGGCCAATCTGTGGGGCAGCTCCAATTGGGGATTCATCAACAAGTTCCAGCGGGAACAGCCTTATTTGAATGGTGATCATCCGGATACCACAAATGAAGGTCGCCCGGCATCTGTGATGAGCGATTCTGATAAGCAGAATGTTGCTGCCCAAACAGACCTTCAAAGTACATCCAAAACACACTGGCAACCGCCGTCTGGCCCGCGTCATCGACAAACCGTCAGCCTCGACGGAGAGGATGCATCCAAGATTCAGCGAGCTGCACGAGCTATTGTCGCTGAACCTGAGTATCCCAGCATCTATCCACAACAATTGAAGATTCAGGATGCCCAATTCCGATTGTTCTTCCCTGATGTCAAGAAAGAGGAGCCGTTGGTCTTGGTTTTCAGGGCCACATGGAGCCCAAACGAGCAACAAGAATTCCCGGGCAGAGCTTATGTAACAACACGCAGCATTTATTTCTACAGTCACCACTTTGGTTTGGTCCTGACTACTAGTGCCGCTTTGGACAACATCAAGGAGGTGACTGCTGCTTCTGGGCGTGACTGCGATTTCCTCTTCCTTCACACCATCCCTCCGATTGGCAGCGATACTCCTGGCCGAATTACGATCAAGACCTTCCTTGAGCCTCTGCGACTCCTCCAGAAACGTCTTAACTTCTTGATCCAATCTTCCATTGCCGTCCAGCAGATGACTCTGGAAGGTATTCTCAGAGAGCTTATCAAGATGGACACTGGTTCTCCAGCTCGACCGTCTAGTGCAGACAGTTGGGAAGACGCTCCATCAGGGCCTGACGTTAAGAATGGCCATGATATTCATCTTCCTATATACATCGACAAAGATCTAGATATCGATGGAGGCAAGGGTGGCCGTGGTAAAGATCATCCGAGATTCAGACTACCCACCCAACCTGTGGAGTATGTTCCTCAAGGTGATCTTGTTCTGGCAGCGGAGAAGATACTCGAAGTTAGCCCGAAGGCACTCTTCCATATTCTGTTTGGTGATAAGAGTGCAGTATGGCAGCTGTTGCTCCATGAACGAGAAGCTCGGGGTATGTGAAACATTTTGAAGAGGCCGAGAAATATCTAGACGTTGATGTACTGACTTCCATCGTGAAGAGATTAAACAAGGACCATGGGCCAGCACGGAAGCACGGCATCTTCGCAGAGACTTCCATTATCAGATCGAGACGACAGATATCTTCGGTGAGCTTCTTTTCCAAGAATTTACTTTGCGACTTGCTAATTATTCCGCGCTCAGGACGATCCTGCAACAATGCCATCTCGGATTATCAGATCATCGATGTGCTTAATGATCATCTCTGTTACGTGGTTACTGACAAACGAACTCCGTGGCATCTCCCCCTTCGTCGCTCATTCCGTCTTGTGAGTAAGGTTGTGATCACCTTTGTGGCCAAATCCAAGAGCAAGCTTGCCATTTACACCAAGGTCGAGTGGCTGAAGTCACCCTACGGCCTTAAAAGTAAGTTGAATATGCACTACCGGTCCCAAGGAGCTTTGATTCTAACTACATTGCTAGATATTATTGACAAGCGAGCGGGCGCCGACTTGGAACAGGATGCTTTGGATCTCGTGGATTTGGTGAGCGACCAAGTACGTCGCCTGGGTGCACACAGTCGTACCAAGAAAGCCATCACCATCTTCGGCCATGTTGGCCGCCAGAGTAACGTGACCCAATTCACAGGCGCCGGAGGGAATTTGAAACTGGAAACGCGCAAGCGCACTCAGCGCACCATGCCACACCTTGTCATGGAGACAGTCCTATCATTCCTAGAAAGCGCGCTATCATTCTTGATACAATCCTCCTTTGGCCTTGTCGGCTGGACTTTGAAGACTCTAAGCGCGCACCGGGTCATCTTGATCTTGCTAGTAACGAGTGCTCTCATGAACGGCTTCTATACCTCCAGAGATGGTTGGGACTGGTGGCACGAGCGGCATGCTAGCATTTTCATGGCCAGGCTTGGTGTTCAACCAAATTTGGTCATGAGCAAGGCTATCTACCTCCGAGACATCGACGAAGCAGTCGCCAACTCGACTATTTGGCCTCAGAACGGGAGCACCAGCACATGCTTTGGCGCATTCAATGAGCATAGCATGCGTTACGCTGAGCTTCCTCTCTCCCTGAGTACATCAAATCCGCGCGACGCAGTCGCCAAGAGCGCAACTAAGCGTTTTTTGCAAACTCGAGAGCGCCTTGGAATGTACAGACATAACCTCCTGGTTGCTCTGCGTGTGGTGAACAGTATCGAAAAGGAAGTGATCCAGAACGAATGGGAGCGGTGGCTCCGCGAGGAACTGCGCCGCTGTCGCCAAGTCGAGATTCTTCTTGGCGGAGGCAGCGATGCTGAAGGCGACACAGCTGCACAGGTTGCCCAGGCGGAACGAATCTTCGCTGAAAACACAGGCAACATCAAGGAATGGTATGAGCGGTACTGCACCAGTTGTCGTCAGGAGCAGGAACAGGTTCAGCAGAATGATCGGGAGAACCTGCTGATTTGAGAAATGAACTGTCGTTCGCTCAAAATTTTTCCGTTTTGAAGCATCTTGTTCTTTTTTTTGTACAAATCCCGCGGTGTGGATTTGCTCTCCTTTGCTCTTCGCATTTGCATTGCAACATAACACTATACCCGGTGGCAACCCCATGATTGTATGTTTGGGAATAATCTTGGCGTCAAGTATTGATGCCAATCTTCCACTTCGCTTCTCCGCAGATATTCCGAGCAATATGAATACAACTTTGCTCCTGAGTTGAGTTTTCCCAACTTCGTAGATCATGAGACATCCACAGTTTGACATAACTCAGTTTTGCCGTGGCTTGACCTCTCCTTCCTGGACAACATAGTAAACGACCGTCCCCTCACCACCCATCCCCCTATTCGTCATTGCCAGCAGAGCTCTCCTCGTTCCCCATTCTTTCGTTTCCCTCGCGTTCGCCTTCCTCTCATAATATTCATCAAGTTTCTGTGCCTTTTCAGGATCCACAGACTCCCCACTCGACAATGCTTCCTCGCTCTCCGAAAGTTCAAGAATTGCCAAGGAATCAAAAGCTGCAGCCATCCGGCGCAAACTCCAAGATTGTCCCTGCGCCGTAGGAATCACGAATAACCTCTCCGGTCGAAGATCATCCTCCGCAATGCCCTTCTCCAGCATGTAGAGCTGCTCATCGGGGTGCGTGTATACCCGGTGCGGCGGAATACCTGAGATCAGGGTTGGTGGCGCATCAGAGGCGATTGAGGTTTCGGAAATGTCGTGGATTTCAAGAGATGTCCAGAGATGCTGGTGTTGGAGATTGTGGAGGATTTGGATTGTGGTTGCGGCGAGGGGGTTTCCGGAGGCGGAGGCAATGAGTCGAGTTAATGCTGATGGCTCTAGTGGCGGGGACTGTGCTTGTTGAGAAGAAGCCATCGTGAGCTTTGAGGACTGGGTATTTCGTCGTGATGTCTATCTGGATATTGAACGCGCTTTTTGTAAAATTGGCGGATAAATTGGGTGTGAAGTGACTCACCGCCCGCTCACAAAGTCTTGACCGCTTTCCAAGCCGGAATCTCCAGTAGACCTACAGTATATCTATGCATGGCTTATTATTTACAACTTATGATTAGCTTTTTAAAGTAGATACTTGACTCGCTAAATCTCAGGATCATGTCCTATAGCGATTTTCATGCCCTACGGGTGGAGGAGCCCTGGTAATCACCAGAGACCGCTCTCCATGACGCAGATGGAAATGGACTCTACGAGACCGATGGTGGCGGCCTTCTATTCAGTATCATCGATTTCAACGACATTCCCAGACTGAAGCAATATCTTTCTGTCTATTCCCCGCGTCTTGATATCGAAGATAAGATGTTCAATGACCCGCTCTGTGTCGCCGCGTCACAGGGGCGCACTGATATTCTCCGTGTTCTCCTGGACTACTATAAGACCGACTCAACGAAAGTGCCCCTCCATTAGCGAAAATTTTCATTGTCGATGGCAACGTGCAGGGAGGCACAGCTCGAGACAGTCCAGTTGATCCAGGCCAGCCAGCCTGCACTCAGTTCCGCCCATATCGACCAATCGTACCGTGATGCAGCCCTCTTGGCTACTGCTAGGTCCTTGACTTCTTTGCCCCCAGAAACCGCAAACATGAGACACCGAGTGATTCCGACCACTGGAGGAGCAGCCGTTTTGCTTGGGTCGAAGAATTGATACGCTTACTTCTTGATGGTGGCGCATCCGCTCAAGCGGCTGAGATCCCCCACATCGGAAGTGGAATAGGCGACTATGGTACTCTCCGGAGGCTCTGCAAGCTGGCATAATAGCGATAGCTGCCAAACACTGCAGTCTTTTGGTACTGTCCTCTGTCTGACCTCCTCTCGAGTCGGCTACGCGGTGGTGAATCGACTCATTGACCAAGGTGCTAATGTACACGCCAAGCAGCAGTACCAGCATCAGCCTTCATCCACCTTTCAGTCTGAAATGCAGATTCCGTGGGATGTCACTGCACTTCATGTTAGCAGTATGTATTGGAATACGGAGGCTGTCCAGGCGCTTCTTGACCGCGGCGGAAGAGCCATCAAAGAAGAATTATCATGCGGCGACAGCAATGGGCGTCTACCACTTCACTGGGCGGCCGCGGGCCCGGGCTCATTTGAGTGTTGGCTTTCTGATGTTCAAGTCAGCAATCGGATTATTAGCGCCCTCAAACTACTCTGCTATGGCAGCGATGTCGATGCAGGGGACCACCAGGGCGAGACTGCGTTACATTACGCTATAAGGGGCCAGGCCGCTGTGGTAGAAATAAGCACTTCAGTACCATGCTGAGGTTCTTACTGGATAATGGGGCGGACGCACATATGATCGACGCCATTGATCAAACCGTGCTGCATAAAATGGCCGCCCACTGTTTGGCTGGCGATCCTATTGACACTGCTATGATGGATGACCTTGTATCGCACGGTGCCAAAATCAACCAACAAGACAAAGATGGGAATACAGCGTTGCATCTGATAGCTCGGAATCTACGCCAGGTTCAAGCTGCCGGATTTCTGATTAGTCGAGGCGCGGATGTGTCTCTCACTATTGGTAATGGCAATACGGCTTTACACGAATGTTTGAGGATGAGAATCATTTTACACAGGCAGACAAGCAACGGATCTGTGCACCCCACATCTGCTAACCGGAGAAGAGCGCTGGATGAGATGGTTACTGTCTTGCTGGGGGTAGGAGGTGATGCTATGATGGACCAGCCCAATTTCGCGGGCGAGACGCCGCGCCAGCTGCAGTCTAAGAAACTGGCTATGTGGGAGAAGTGGGAGGTAGCAATCGCGAGAAAACAGTGATCCAGTGGGGTTTCATAAGTTTGAAACCCCGACAGATTTTGAAAATCATCTTTGTAGTCACGATTTGAACGACTGACTAAAAGAGGATACCTCAGCTATCAAGAAAGAGGATTTCAATGGCTTTTAGAAAGGCCTTTCCAAAAACGAAAACCGGAAGCATATCTGCTGGGTGGTTTCTCTGGTTTCTAGACTCAGACTTTTGAACTATCACTGTACGAGATGAAACCATCTTGGGGGAAATGAAAAGTAATGGTGAACATAAGAACATCTCTGAAACCAATGACTCGAATTCATCCATTGGAGCAATACTTGCAAATTCTTCCATCGAAAAAGCAACGTAGTAAATATGGAATTTGAGAGCTTATCCTAAGAAGCAGACCTCTACCCTATTAGTCAAGGAGATCACTAGTTAACTTATGGGATCTTAGGTTATGCTTACAACTGTATATGAAACTATCGGCGTTTCTGATAGGCCAGTCTCGAGTCTTCAGGGCTCTAAGTGGGGCGATTCCCGACTATCGATAAGCCGGAGTGGAAGAACACATGGCATTATCGTTTATTTCTTATAAACTCCGCGCCAGAGACCAAGGGGGATCCCCAGTTGTCATTCCTTTACAAGCCGGTGTAACCATTTTACACCCAGTCCGTCTTTTTTATCTTGTTTCTTTGTTTCAGTCTCGAGTCCGAGTTCGACTTCCACACAGCCGTCGCAATGGGCCGGCAAAAGCAAACCACGCCGCTACAGCGCAATCCCTCGTCCCAGTTGATGCATACTGTTCCCGACGAGTCGGAACCATCGCAGAAGCAGGCAAATGGAGATGCCATTGTGCATTCAAGCGCTAACGGCAAAGCCTCTGCCCAGGTGGCCGCCGCGCCGGAACCAGAGGCCGATAGCCCTGGCTTGATGCAGCTGCTCATCTGCGTCCTCGGTATATACGCAGCCTTGTAAGATGAATACCAACATGGGATGTGAAGGCCCTAGTGAACAAGACTGACAACCTATCTAGCCTCTCATGGGGTGTCCTCCAAGAAGCCATCACCACCACAAGCTACCCCGTGCGCGCGCCAACCGCCGCCGAACCAGAACCGCCAACAGAGCGCTTCACATACTCGCTCGTCCTGAATACTATCCAGTCCACCTTCGCCGCGATCACGGGCTTCCTATACCTCTTCTTCTCCACACCAAAGGGCCAAAGTGTCCCATCCATCTTCCCCACGCGCCGCATCCTCTTCCCCCTCCTCCTCGTCAGCATCTCCTCTTCCCTAGCCTCACCCTTTGGCTACGCCAGTCTCGCACACATCGACTACCTCACCTTCATCCTCGCGAAATCATGCAAACTCCTCCCCGTCATGGCCCTCCACCTGACCATCTTCCGCAAGCGCTACCCGCTATACAAGTACGGCGTCGTGCTACTCGTCACCCTCGGCGTGGCTACCTTCACCCTCCACCACCCCGGCACGAGCAAGAAGGTCGCCGCCTCAGCGGCGAAGCAATCCGGTTCGTCGGGGTGGGGTATATTCCTCCTCTCGATTAATCTGCTTCTAGATGGATTGACGAATACCACGCAAGACCATGTTTTCACTTCGCCAAAGCTATATACAAAATTCACCGGCCCGCAGATGATGGTCGCGCAAAATGTGCTATCAACAGCCCTGACAGCTGCGTATCTCCTGCTCATGCCGCATCTGTCGCAGAGCGGGATCTTGCACAACCTCCTCCCCATCCCGATTCCACCATCCACGGAGACGGAGCTGTACTCTGCCATCTCATTCCTTTCGCGTCACCCAGAGGCATTGAAACATGTCCTTGGCTTCGGGGCGTGTGGTGCAGTTGGCCAATTGTTCATTTTCTATACGCTGTCGCGGTTTTCGTCGCTGCTTCTTGTGACGGTTACTGTTACCCGTAAGATGCTTACGATGTTGCTCAGTGTGTTCTGGTTCGGACACTCGTTGAAGCCGGGACAGTGGCTGGGTATTGTCCTGGTCTTTGGCGGTATTGGTGCTGAGGCGGTGGTGCAGAGACAGGAGAAGAAGGCGAAGGAGAAGGCGAAATTGGAGGCTGCGAAGAAGGTGCAATAGATGGGTTTATACTGTGGATTGTATTTTTGTTTGTCCTGAATGAACGCATTTTCCGACAGGAATCGCTAGAATTGAAATTAAATATTCATCGTGTATCATGATCAGTGTTTTGCGAAGAGATATACGTAACTAAAGCTGGAAATGCCATTATTCGGTCATAGAACCTGGTATCATTCAAACCCTACCCACTCAGGGTATACTCCATGGATCAACATTACATGAAAAGGGCATCTCTCAGCCCTGAATCTCATAATGAGCGTCTGAAATCACTTGCGTCCCTCCACCATGATAATATGATACCCAAAGCCCGTCTTCACCTCCTGATACTTGGGTTTCGCCGTGGTACTAGGCTCCAATTCAAAGGCGATCTTCTCAAAGGCCGGGTCCAGGTCACCCCTGGTCTTCCAACCCAATGAGCCTCCTGTCATATAATACGTTAGCAATGCATATTCGTCAAGCTTATTTGAGCATATCTCCATTGAACCCAAGTATATTGAACATACCCTGCCGCGCCTTATCCTCTGAAAACTCGCGAGCGACCTCGTCGAATTTGGTGCCATTACGGAGTTTCTCCATGGCTTCTTCTTTTCTGGCGTGCTTCTCGCACTGTGTAGGCACATAGTCAGTGATTATTGCTTTTCTTGTTTTCCAGTCTCTTGAGGATATCACACTATCCCCAGTAAACAGGGACCACATTTACACCTCAATAGAGAGAGATACAAGAAGAAACAGTAAATCAAAAGTTGAAACTCACTAGGATATGCCGCACGTTGATAGACTGTGCGCCCTTGACTTTGCTCTTGTCATCATTGCCAGCGTCCTTGCCCTTGCCTTTGCCTGCAGCACCTTTCTTGTCGCCGCCTTTGGCGTTGTTCTTGGGTGCCATGATGTAGGTGCTAGGTGGTGGTGTGGTGGTTTCAAGACAAGTTCTCCCTTTCTTCCTTCAGATCCTTGGATCTTGAAAGTGTGTATTAGTCCTTTGCCTTTTTAGTCTTTAGTTTGGACTGGCGTGGAGAAGGCTGATGAATGTTTCCCTCGTGAGGTTCTGACGATGTGGGGCATGCTGCCTCAGGCAGCATGGGCGTGTGACGTGGGGGACTTTGGATTATTTGACAAGTCATCATGCTTTACTTAAAGTCTTTTCTTGCATTTTCTGAGAATTAATTGACTATCTTTGGCTTGAAAATTGAACCTGCTCTCTTCAGCTCATGTGATAGGTTGAGGAGAGACATTTGAACTCTCTTCCAGCCGATATGCCTTGGGATCTGGAGGCGGCGCGCATTACTGCTCTACCGGACGATGCATTCTACATACCGAATTTTATCTCGAAGGAAGAGGAGCAGATCTTGCTTCAGAAGGTGAGTCTTACTATTTCTTATCTCCAATTGTCTGCGATGTACCGATCCAAGTATTGTATACACCCAGCACAGATATAAACTCCCCCGTAGCTCCATCATCCCCGCACCACCCAATCCTTCTCCTCCTCATCCTCAATCCAGAGATATTGACTGACTATAGAAATGAATACTAACCACCTCTCTTCCATTCTCACCAGATTCAATCAGCCCCCCTCCCCCGCTGGACCCATCTAACCCACCGCCGCCTCCAAACCTGGCCCTCGTCTCTTACAAAAACAAACACCCTCCTCTCCTCCCCACTCCCACCCTGGCTCACAACACCCATAATCGACCCCCGCTTCAAAGAACTAGGTATCTTCGCCCAGTCGCCGCACACAGCACCAAACCATGTCCTGATCAACGAGTACCATCCCGGTCACGGCATTATGCCGCACGAGGATGGACCGGCTTATTATCCGCTCGTGGCCACTGTGAGTCTGGGTGCGGCTATTGTGTTGGATATTTACGAAAAAGACAAGGAGAAAGACGATGGGGGCGCGGAGAAAGAAAAAGAGGGAAAGGCAGAGCCGGAAGCAGACTATCTTCGAAGTCCACGGTTCCGGATCCTCCAGGAAAGAAGGAGTTTATTGGTAACGCGGGGCAAGATGTATACAGATTTTCTGCATGGGATTGCGGAACGAGTGGTGGATGGGGATTTGGGGACCGAGACGGTTTGCAATTGGGGGTTGTTGGGGGAGAAGGATGGGTTTATGGGGGGATCATACAAGAGGATGACAAGGACGAGTTTAACGTATCGGGATGTTTTGAAGGTTGCCAAGGTTGGGAATACGTTCAAGTTTTTGGGGAGAGGTCGTGATATTTGATATCTTCTTTGTTTTGTGTTTCTTGTATGTTATACCCTCTGCTTTCGCGGTGTGTTTTGATACTTTGGGACAGATGGTTTGTCGAGATAGATGGAATATCATTCTCATGTATCACCTCAAATCATTTCAATGTCCAATGTTAGTTGTCTCCACGGTTAGTAGATATACGGAATCATAAGCCATCGATCTTGCACCGCCTCCCGGCCAAACTTTTGCATATACCACTTCTTGGTATTGTGTGCTGTCAATCCCAGGTTGACTGCCACAAGGGCCAGACAGCTCAGCATGGTCTTGTTGACCACCTGGCCGGGTGGTGCGGCGAGGTACGTGAGGGATAGGTATATCAAGCACTCGGCCCCGTAGTGCGGGCACACGATGCCGCGGAAGATTGGATGATCTGGGAGAGTGTATTTCTTCAGGGAGAAGAGGAAGTGGTGGCAGTCATGCTGTAGACCGGAGGCGATGAGGAATAGCGGGACGCAGATGAAGGTTCGTGCAGTGGGCGCGTTGGTGAATTGGAAGTCGGCGAGGGTGAGGGAGCGGGACAGGATTGCGCCTGGAGAGGAGCTTGTTAGAATACTTGGCTTGGCTTGGATTATCCTGTTTCCAACTCGGGCCCTCGCTTTAAGAAGACAAGAACATCGGTTCGAATTAGATCTCCATACCTGATCCCTCAATCCAGATAGCGATGCCCGCAGCAAGATAGAACCCCATTCCCAGCACCCAGTGCGCAAACGACATCTTCGACGAGGAAGGCTTCGCAAAGATGATGCACTCCCATAATCGCCGCGAACCCTGAATGGCGAGGAGTATCCAGCAGATGAGCACCTGTGTAAGCGACATCGACTGCTGCAAATGCTCCTCACTGACGCGGGACGCAATTGCCTCGAACACGCGCCCACGCCAGCACAGCTGGACTGCCCAGAACACCGAAGATGCGACAGACGCAATATAGAACTGGATGAAGTAGCTGTGCGGCACCTGCCAGGTTGCGAGGTAATCGAGTAGCCCCGAACTTGAGGCTTGAGCTGGTGGACGGGATCCGGCGACAGGCTCGGCGCCTGTCGCGGTCGCACGCGGGCCATAAGTGACGAAACGGTCGCGCAAAGCGGAGGGAATGCTGACAGAGACTGCCTATACAATCAAATACCAAAAGAAGAGAGCCTGGTTAGCTTATCCTGGTGAGGGGAGTGGTATGAGGGCTGGTCGCCGCGCGGTGGCCGTACCGTGGCGGCAGCGAGGAGGAAGAAAGCGCGTAAGGCGTCGATGGCATCCATGTGTGCCGCCTCCAGAGCAGAATCAACATGCGCGAGGAGGTCCATTGCTGTTGCAAAAGGTCCTTGCTGATGTGAAATGGAATAGCGCAGAGTCGAGTACTGTTGATCGAGCGTCAGCTTGTCTAGGCAGAAAGGAACCGGAGCTGAGCGGTGGAGTCGAAGGGTCTCCGCTGATCCTCGGGGGCCCCGACAAGCGACACCTCTGGCCCTCTTGGCTAGTTCTGGGTGGATAGCGAGGCCAGGTTGAGCTTCAAAACCAGAATATATGTACAGGGTAGAGAGAGCAGGGTACAAGTCTGGTGTACCAGGATTCTCGCCTGGAATAATGGGACTGTCAATCTTGCAGGTTGAGTCTCTTATCGGAGCTTTCGCAAGCTCACTCGTCCGGGTCACTAGTGAAATCCGATCCAGCAGGTTCCAAGTCACGCTAGATACAAACAGGGTTAGTTAGAGAAACCGGCCACCAAACAGAAGGGGTGGCTCACTGGCTCAACTGCTGGTGCGACAAACCGAATACGACCAGGTTTTGGGGGGCGCATGCTGAGTGGCCGCATCGAGGACGATCGCCACACAAGTGGAGCCTGCAAGTTTGCTGAGTTTGCGTCCGGAATGGGGGCAGAGGGAGAGAGGGAGAGAGAGAGAGAGAGAGAGAGGGGGTCGCAAGCAGAGAGGGAAGGCGAGAGATGAAATGAGAGATAAAAAGAGACGAGTAGAAAAAAGTGAAAGTTTAAAATCAGTGAAGAAGTCGATGGGTGCGGATTTCGACTGTCTTGTTATTTGTTAGCTACACTCCATAATCATCTTCAAATTCAGTTCCCCCCTAATAATTCTAATAATCCTAATTCTTGACTTGCATACTACCCTCCCATACCAAGTATGGACTGGACGGTAAAAGCCCGTAAGGACTAAACTGGAGGCAGGCGTAACTCTCTCCCTCTTCCCCCCTAAAACCCAAGTCCTAAGCCAAAATGGCCAAAGAAGATTAGTTGGACGATGATTCACCGCGCCCACTCGATCTGCCCTGCCCCCCCAGTCTTCCTCTCTCTCTCTTTCCTCCCAACTTCCTCCTCTTCCTCTTCTCCATTCTTCCCTCTCTCTCGCTTCATCCCCTCTTTCTCTTCCTTTCCCAACCTTAATCATCCCTCCCCTTCGACTCTCGACCCTCCACTCGACCACTCTAACTAAATACCGTCCCGTGTTTCAACTCTTCAACTAGTGGCCACCACCACCACCACTTCTGCACCTCCACCGGTCGCCTTTCACTCGCCTCCCATCCCACACAGTATAATTACTCGTTTGGGGTACTCGCACCTCTCTATTATCGACTTGCAAATTCTGTGACTCTCTTCCAAACCTTGGATTGTTAGATCGTCCTCGCTTTGTGGCCGTGATCAGCGCCTGCGTTCTACTGCTGGCGTTGTCGTCCCCAAGTTCGGTCGTTCAGACCTGTCGCGTTCCTCCCAAAATGACGAGCGGAATTCTCCCTCATCGAGTGCTATCGCTATGAGTGATGTCGACGCGGTTTCCCTCCCCGCTGCCCTAGATGTCGGTCCCAACAACACTCTCGCGGCGGTGAAGACGGATGGCGATGCAGACACGCGTCCATCGGGACGGCCGTTGTCTCCCAATCGGAAGGACAAGGCTGCATCTCCGATTCCTGCTCCTACCGCTGCCGTAGCTTCTGCTTCTGCTTCTGCCTCTGCACCGGTAGCTGCATCGAATTCGACTGCTTTTGCTGCACCCGCTTCACCCCGACGAGAGATCGCTGGATCGCATCCGGTGGATGAGGAGGATGACGAGCAAGGTCCGCCTAGTCCCAAGGCAGACTCGGAAGCCGAAACGATCATTCAATCCGGTCGAGAATCTCTGTCACCAGAGAAGAAAAGGAAACACATCAGACATGATCCCAATCGCCAAGGTGTTGATGGGGTGGATGGAACCCAGCGGAAGAAACCGCGCATCGATCATGACCGAGAGAAGCGTGCTCCTCGGTCGCGGAGCCCGCGGGACAGAGCTGGCTCACCTCCATCAGTTGTGAAAGTCGAGAAGGTGGATGAAGTGCCATCAGTTTCGGAGGATGTAATGGAAGAGAGTGGTAGTAGCAATGATGGCCCTGAGAGACCGCGCAACTACCGGAAGCGCAGTTTCAGCGACAGTGTGGATGAAAAGAGGGAACGACGCCGCGACTCGACTGCGCACGCCGCTCGCGATCTCAAACTTCTCAACCACGCTCGCCTTTCCCGGCCGTCCGCCAGTACCCGTTCGGTGTCGCCTGGTCGACCCTCCCACCATCGGTCTGCGTCCGGCTCCCATCTGCCCGGAAAGAAGAAGGCTCCTACCCCTCTCCTGACCGGATTCCAGCGTCAAACCTCCGAGGACCGACAATCCACCTCTTCCTCCGCTAGTGGCTCTCCGCTTCCCAGTGCCCACCTGCGAAAACTGGGATCTGGAGTGGGGGCGTCTGCTTCACCTGCGAAGCATATGGGCCCGAAGAAACTTCGCGATAAGAGTGGTCGCACTCCTCTTGCACGCGCATGCGCGGATCGGAAGTACGACCAGGTAGTCTTGCGCTATGGCGAACGCCCGGAAGATTTGAATGTCCCCGACAATGCTGGCAACACACCTTTGCAGGTTGCGTCGCTCAACGGCGAGGAACAAATTGTCAAGTTCCTGCTGGATGCGGGTTGTGAGATTAATACGAAGAATATCGACAAGGACACACCTTTGATTGATGCGGTGGAGAACGGCAATGTAGAAGTCGTGAAACTGTTGCTTGAAGCAGGTGCTAATCCTCGGACTGTGAATGCCTCTGGAGATGAACCGTATGAGTTAGTACCGACCGACCTCAAGGATGATGAGTATGATGAAATTCGAAAGATGCTCGAGGATGCCAAGGCGAATTCACGCCCTGGTCGACGGTCCGAAGAGCAGCAGGCTGGTCCTGATAAGCCCCCACGGTCACGCCGGGCGTCCGTGGCCAGTCCTTCACGAAGTCCACCACCGATGGCGAGCACAACGGGTCGCCGCAAGACTGGTCGAAGCGAAGCAACCCGGAATGACCTGCTATGGACACAGCCAACCTCTGAGAACTTGCGCGAATTTGCCGCCAAGGGTGATGAACAGGGCGTGGTGAGCATTTTGAATATTTTGCAAAAGGCCGACAATGCGTCCCTGATTGCTGCCGCCAAGGGAGGCCACTTTGATGTGCTGTCTCTCATGTACGCCATCGGTGACGCAGATGCGGATCCAAATCCATTGCGCGGATCTGGCCATAAACCAGGCTATAACACTCCGATGCTCGCTGCCATTGGTCGAGGCAACATGGACAACATCCAACTCATTCTCGGTCAGCCTGGCTTTGACCCGACACGTCGACTGTTCGAAGATAAGACTTACTATGAACTCTCTCGATCCCGCCAAGGCGAGAATTGGGAGGAAGAATATGATATCTTAAAAAAGGCATATGAGAAATATCTGGGCTTAGGAAAGGGTCGGAAGGACCTCTCGTCTCCACGACGTGCCCGCGGCAAGGACAAGGAAGAAAAACGTTCTTCCCGCCGGGAGTCTTCTTCGCCCGTGACTCGCACGAAAAAGCTCAACGACAGCAGTCCCAATGCCAATCGTCAACGCTTCCCCAAGGATCAAGATGCCCTAAAGGAGAAGCGCCGCGAAGAGAAAAAGGCCGCTGCTGCAGCCGAAGCAGCCAGTGGTCGCTCAAAAGCCAATTCGCGGGATGCACGAGAGAGCCGAGATGCTCATGACCAGGCGCTTGCCAGCTCTGATCATGATTCAGGTCGACCCGAGCCCAAGAAGCCCAAGGCAGCCCCCTCAGCACGGAGGGGCAGTGAGTCCAGTGGGGTCGCTCGAAATGATGAGGTTCGCAAGAGACGGCTGATTGCTGGGCGTCGTCCCCAGGATGGCGATCGACGACCCAGCCTCATCTCCTCCGATTCTCTGTCTGGCCGAGAAGAAGCTCCCAGGTCTCACGACACCGCTCCCGACTCCACATCATCTCTCAAGCGCATTCGAACCGATACTTCTCCCGAAAGATCACGCTCTCGTGGTAGGGATAGCGATCGACTGTCACCAGAAGCGCGGAAGAAGAAGCGGCGTGTATTGGCGGAAGAAAAGGCATCAAACCTGCCGAATGGGTCCTCCCGGAAAGCAGAAGACACAAATGGAGACAAACCTCAACATCGACGGCCGAAAGAGGAAGCCTCACAAGGCACTGATCCTGCCCCACGCAAGTCAACTGAGGCCTCACAGAAATCCGAACTCTCATCTCACAAACCGGACTCTTCTTCTCTACCTTCTTCGCAGAAGTCGGTCGATTCCGAACCGACCAAGAAGAACGGAGACGTGAAGACTGAAGCCCCCGAACCCACCACCAATTCCATACCCGAGGTCTCGACTGACGCTAAGCGAGCTGAAATTGAGGCAGAGAAGCGTCGACAAGCCGAAGTGAAGAAGGCGGAAGAAGAACGTCTTGCTGAGGAGAAGCGCCGTGAGGAAGAAGAGGCTGAGCGTGCTCGTCTAGCTAAAGAAGAAGCGGAGAGAGCCGCTCAAGCTGCGCGCGAGAAGGAGAAGGCCGACGAAGAGGAACGCAAACGCAAAGAAATGGAGCAGCGCCGGGCCAAGCAAGCTGAAGATGAGCGCCTCAAGCGACTGGAACAGGAGCGGGCTCGTGTGATCAAGATGCGCCGGGAGCAGGAGGCTCAGGAGCAACGTCGTCGTGATGCTCTGCCTGGTCGCTTGCGTGCCTCTGCCAACTTTGTGGGTTCCAACGACCCCCGAGCACGGAGTCACGCATGGCTCAAGAACTTCATGCCCCTGGTTACTGTTGTCACCCGACAGCTCGACCCTGGTTGTGCTGGTGATGTGGCGGATGAGAAATGGATCCCGAACTACTTGGTCGCTCCTTTGCTGGCTACCAATGACCTGCAACTCTCTCAATGTAAGCTATTCACCGGTTGAACAAAGATCTTTCATGTCTTTCTGTTATTAACATCATTGTCACAGATGCCAGCTGGGAGAAACGCAAAGCAACCGCAACCCAACGCATGAACCTCTGGCGATGCACTCGTCGCATGCTAGTCTACACCGACGATCCCAAGTACTACAATGCATCGTTCGGGGATGTGATGCAGTTGGATTGCGAGACAAGACCCAAGTATTTCGACATGGAACATGTCTTCTGGATCAGAGTAAGTTATCGTTGGCTCTCGATAAGGTGATGATGCATCGGCTAATCTTCTTGCTAGCTCTCTGACTTCACGGACCTCGTTCCACACATCCCCCATCTCAACGGCCTCGAGCTTGAGTTCGTGAGCATGCATCTCGACCCAGAGCCCTCCACTGGAACCTCCCACCAGACCAATGGCTCCGCGCCTAGCACACTTGCCGTAGGAACCAATGGCATCGGCGCCCTCAATGGCCACGGCGTTGGCTATCCTCGACCCGGTACATACTTCTAGTTTCTCGCTTCTATGTCCCTTTCTTTGCAGCCTCTTTAGCTAGCTTTTAGGCGCTGGCGCGATTGGCAGAACTTCAGTCGGTAATGTAAAGGCGGAATCTGATTGTACGATTATGATACCTCTTGCGTTGGTGTAACGAATCTATTTTTATTCGGTAGCTTGAACCCGAACCTGGCGAGACCCGCCTCATTTTTTTTTATTTTGTCCTTGATTGGTAGAGTAGATGAATTTCCTAGGAAATAGTATAATATCCCGTGCAGACAACGAAGAATCATGTGGTTGTTTGGATACTTCCGAATTAGGAAAGTGGCGGATGCGGATCCTATCACGTGATGCTGACATAATTGTAGGGCACACACAGCCGAAAGAGTCCAAATCCCCACCAAATTTTTCCCAGTGCTAATTCCAATCATTCATATCCAACTCTTCGAGGATAATTCGACATTTAAATCGAACATACCTGCACAACAAAATGGTACGCTAAATCCCGAGCCTACACGCTTTACCAAACCACCACTCGCAAATGGCACATACGATATGAGGATCTGAAATTGAATATCGCCGTGGACGGACACCGGTGTCCCCGACACCTCACCGTCGCATCTGAACTTCAAGCTTGGATGTTTGGAAAGCACAACGGTGTCCTGCGATACTCAAATCCAATCCCCAATCGTCGCCAGCATACACCAAACCTCCCAATCGAAACTACAAGCTAACATCTTCACCTACAGTCGGACGGAGAAGAGATCCAGAACCCCCCCGTTGCCGCCGATGAGGTCGAGGTTTCCGCCGACGCTGGCTCCGGCCAGATGTCCGTCCTCGACGCTCTGAAGGGCGTCCTCCGCATTTCCCTGATCCACGACGGTCTTGCCCGTGGTCTGCGTGAGGCTGCCAAGGCCCTCGACCGCCGCGAGGCTCACATGTGTGTCCTCAACGAGGGCTGCGAGGAGGAGGCTTACAAGAAGCTTGTTGTTGCCCTTTGCTCCGAGCACAAGATCCCCCTTATCAAGGTTCCCGATGGCAAGATGCTCGGCGAGTGGGTCGGTCTCTGTAAGTTTTTTCCGTGATGAGCTATAAGCTCTGTTTGGTTGGTTGGAGGGACATTGGTGTGCTAATGGTTATGTGACAGGCACCCTTGACCGTGAGGGTAACGCCCGCAAGGTCGTCAACTGCTCTTGCGTCGTCGTCAAGGACTGGGGTGAGGACAGCCAGGAGCGCTCCGTCCTCCTCAACTACTTCCAGACTGAGCAGTAAATGCGCCTCTAGTCCACTACCATGGATTAGGTCGTTGCTGTCGGTTCTAGGAGGGATGGACGTCATCAGGTGTTCGCTTGACGAGTGATATTCGCTAATGGGCGATTTGCGGAGGATTCTTGGGACTATTTCAACATTTGGTTTGGCCGCTACGGCTAGTTGGACTTTTTTGTGTGGTATTCCTGGGATTCTCAGTGTCTGTTAGCGGACTCTCTGTGCTAGACCCGTTTGCTCGGGTGTGGTGCTGTGGCATCTGGGCGGCCTTTATCATCTACTGGACAAAAACACGATGATGTGATGACAAATTTTCTCCCTCCGTTGTAAACTTGAAGCTATATATGAGTAGTAATGGGTTGTCGCCTAATTGTAATACCCTTGTAAATCCATGCTGTACCTTCTTGGCTCGCAGCGGCCATGTCCATCATATGGAGTCATCAGTCTCCCCACATCTCGACAGATATTACTCGAAGCTTGTGCTCGCTTCAGGGGGTGGTCAACGGCCATGACGGAGAGTAGCTCGCTGTACTTGGTAATCGTGCATTTTAGAGAGTAATCATTCATGTCCAACAGCGTTGACTTTGATTGTACTTTCTGACTTGCTGGATACACGAGTTTACAATAGTGCTGGCTATAACAGCACAGACAAATTCTGTTCCATTCCCACATTGAGTAGAATGAAGACTAACTATGGTCTTTGCACTTTTAGGTCTTATCCGTGGTTGTTTTCATATTCATCATTATATCATTCCTGTATCAAACTATTCTATGAAAATGCAAATGCCCTCTATTAGTCCAGTATCTATCAATTAATTTCCATCAACCATTGAGTGGGGAAAATTCATCAACCAAGCCAGTACCTCAAACGTCCTGTTCAGTGGTAGGCTTCTTCTTCCGAATATCCTTCCAACCCATTCCAAAAGAGAAGACGAAAGCCACCACTCCCATCGCAGCAACCAAGTAAAACACATGATCCACACTCTTTGCATAAGCCTTCAGAACCCCGGGGAGGTTCTGATCAGACACCACATCCCGTATACCAGTGGCACCCGCAGCAATAACGACCTGTGCACTGACGTCCGGTTCATATTTGGGAATCAGAGTTTTGAGACCCGTGGAGAAGATCACGTCTGAAAATGTGAGGAATACTGCGCCGGAAAGGGTCTGAGTGAACATCAGGATCGACATGGCGATTGATATTTGGCTGGGTGGTAGTGTGTTTTGGACGGCGATGATAGGCTGTGTAAGGACGAAAAGTTAGCAGGCGCACAAAAGTTGTTGTCAAGAGACTCTTACAGTCTGGAATCCAGCTCCACGACCGGCTCCTGCGAGGATTTGATATCCAACCCATTTTCCAGTAGCTGTGTACGGGGTCAAAGTCGATAGGAGACCGCCGCCAATGGAAGTGAGAATTCCCGAAGCCACAGCCCATGGAAGATAATATCCCATTTTCCCAACTGAGTGTTTGTCAGTGTCTGCACATAATTTAGCTTCAGATAGCTCAACAAGTACTACTCACTTAAAGCCCCTGAAGTGACAGCAACCGCCAGTTGAGACAAGATACTCGGCAGAATATACACACCACTCATCATGGGCGATTTGTTCTGAATGGCCTGGAAGTAAACGGGAAGATAGTAGGTAGTCGACAAAGTGATGGCAAAGATCGACATCATCACCAGACAACTCGACCAGACCTTCCTCTTTGCTACCATGGCCAGAGGAATCATCGCTTTATCGCCTTGATAGTATTCCCACGCTAAGAAGAGGATGAAGATACCGCCTGCTCCGCAGAAAAGGCCAATGACGGTTGCGCTGTGCCATGGCATCTTGTTTTGACCATAGTCGAGGGCGAGGAGAAGCTGGATTGCTGCTGGTGCGAATAGGACAAAGCCTGTGAGGTCGAGTTTGTGGGTTATAGTGTTGAATACTTCTTTGAAAGGTGGTTTAGCTGCTTGGTCCGGGATATCGATGAAGACGAGGAGAAGGGCGACTAAAGCACCGATTGGAAGATTGATGTAGAAACCTGGTAGACGGATAAATGAGTTCCTTTTTGCTCTGTTATGTCGGGAAATGAAGGGTCTGACGTACACCATCTCCAGGTTGTGTATTCGGTGAAGGCTCCTCCTAGAAGAGGGCCTAAGACGACTCCAAGTTGACAGACTAAACAGTGATGTTAGTCGTGCCATACGGCGTTTGTTAGGATTAGAAGTTACTTACATCCCATCATCATTCCAATGAGAGCTGCGATAATTGTTAGCTGATGATTTGACTCATGGCATCGGCAAACGTACGCGGCGACTTATGAAGAGGAACCGACGACGAAATAATAGTCAAGGAACCATTCATCAATCCTGCCGACCCAAGCCCCGCCACTGCGCGAGCAACGATCAACATCTTCGAGGATGTGGAGAGACCGCAGAGGAGCGAGCCCAATTCGAAAATGAAGAAGAATGACAAAAACGCCCACTGCTTTTGAATTAGCAATGACCATTACCAAATTCATCCAAAAGTCTTACTTTTGTGCGGAAGTTGGTATAAATCTTCCCGGCTAGAGGTTGCAAACATGCGCTGGGTGCTGTGTTAGGCTATTACAGGCGGAAATCATTCAGGATATCTTACCTAGCAATTTGATATGAGCTACCATACCAGCCCAGGTCCTCCAGCGAATGAAATTGAGTCGTTATCCTGGGAATGGCCTAAGGTAGAAGCGTCAGAACGACTGGGAGGATCCATAGATAGCCAACTCATGGGATAACTTACAGTGACAATGATAGAAGTATCGAGCAGAACTAGGAACGCAACCAGAGTGACGCCCACGACCACCATTCCAAGTTTGAAGCCTGTAATATACTCCCGCTCTTCATTTTTGGTAGACTCTTGTACTAGTTTCGGATCCTCATCTGCGGCCTCACCCGTCGAACTGGTGTCCGACCTAAGCTCCTTTGAATTTGCCCGGGCATTTGATTGCTCCTCTTTTGTCTGGAACTCAGATTCCATTGGGGGCTTTTCAGACATCTTGTTGTTGGGTAGTGAGTCAACTTACCCAATTCAACGGCTAATAGAACTGAAAAATGGAGAATAAAGTATTACATTGAAAGTCAGCTACACATCTTATAGGGAAAATAATCGGCGATTGATCCTTAACTCCATCGAAGCTAGTGATCAGATAAAGAGTCATAGAGCTATAAAACCCTTAAGTTTTTACAGGGATTTACAGGGATCTGGTGTCGTTTTAGGTAATTCGGAGTTATTCCCTACTGTTTATGGCCATAGTTGGAAGGATTCGGTGCTGTCGTGCGGGGAGTTGGTAAATCCGAATCCCGAATCCCGGCGAGGCTCGCATTTTGAGGTGTCAGACGCGAACTTCTCAGATTAACAAAGTACATAATGAAGGCATAGGATGATAGGTGGCTCAGTCGTGAAGAGATGCTATTGGCAAATTCCAAGCACGGTTCTCGTATAGCAAATGTCGTCCATTTGTCGTCAATACGAGCTGCCCGTATGATTCCACGACTATGTAAAGGTGGCCGTCGGACTCGGGGGAATAGAGAGGGCATCGTTGTGTCTGAAGGTTCCTATTGGTCAATGTCAGTGTAATGGAGCAATTGCTTCAAACACGAACTTTCAATGCGGCTTTGCTATTCAGCCGGATGGAGCAGAGGACTGGATGTTCTGTCTGACCTTACATTATTGTACTCGCAATGATAGTTTTCCTGTTGGATCTATTCCGCTCTGGGTATCTTCAGACTGTAGGCTCCATTATTAGAGCTTCGTTATTGGGCCGGGCAACAGGAGAATTGCTTAGTCACAGCCTTGGCTGACTGAAGTCGATCGGATTTCGACGTTTCAATCCCGACCGACTCGTCGAAACAAGCCTTGTTGCTCGTTGAGTGTTGGGGATTTCTCTGATCTTTTACTCTTGTTCTATCGGCAGCGGCTATATGATCTAGTGAATCCCTAGTGGCGCTCGATACCCCAAGTCCACCCCCTTCTTGCGAAGTCCTGCCGGTCGGATATCGGAATGGCGTCCAACCAACTCCAAAGTGGGACCCCTGCACCCTATGGCCGAGCTTGCATCAACTGCTCTCGTGCTAAAAGCAAATGTATTCTCCTTGCTACTGGAAATGGCTGCGAAAGGTTTGTAATAAAGTGATGACTATCAAAGCCTGGTCAACTGATACCGTGTAGATGCCAACGGCTAAGTAAAGAATGCCGGCCGTCGCCAACTGTTCGAAAGCGAAATGGGCGCTCTTCTGCTTCCAGAACGGCCCAGCTAGAAGCCAAACTTGACAGCATTGTATCACTGCTCCAGACTAGCGGAGCGCCTACCGGCATTCCTACCGACTGGGAAGCCACATCGCCAGCCACTGGCCAACCTACTGCGCAAAGCCAAGCCAGTACTTCAGCATGTAGCTATCACTCTGAGGGTATTCCTACCCCTCCAGCAACAGCGTCACCACCACGAGTCAGCAACGCCATAGAAGATCTTTGTACTGCTCTTCCGATTGCTCCGGAGACGGCTGAACAGACTCTCAGCTTCTTCCGAACTGAGAATATGAAATATCTCCCTTTCGTGCACATCCCTTCGCATGTGACCTCTCAACAACTACGGCAGGAGAGGCCGTTTTTCTGGCTATGCATTATGGCAGTTCTGACGCCAGGGAGCATTCAAAGGGAGTCTGTTTTCTTGAAAATCACCGAATTCATTCATCAAAAGCTACTTGTCGATGTTGCACCAAGTATGGACATGCTGCTTGGGATCATGACTTTTATATCATGGTAAGTCGGAACAACTTCCCCACGGTCTAAGCTTGTTATGACACCACGTATTGATGCTCAATCACATACAGGACGACCTACTCTCGCAGGCCATTCCTCAACTTCTATGCTCATATAGTCATGGGCCTTGTATGTGACCTTGGCATCAACAAACCAGTTCCTACAGAATATTCAACAATGCAAGCCTTCAAGTCTGCCGTTGGCTTTAAGCAAAACATGCCAACCACCAGAACCATGGAAGAGCGAAGAGCTGCGTTGGGTTGCTTTTTGATTACCTCGAGGTACGTGAGAACTCGTGTCTACTCTGGCATTGCACGAGGCGATTTGCTAACACTTGTATCTAGTGTTGCATTGACAATGTCTAGAATCGACGCTCTCAGATGGAATCCACATATGGAGGAGTCCCTATCCGTTCTGATGAATGCCAAGGAATGCCCCGAAGATGAGCGTCTGGTCTCACTTGTCAAAATCCATTTAGTCATGGATAAAGTGTACCATCTACAACGTGATGGAGACAGTCACCACCCATCTACCTTTTATACGAAGGCGTTCCAATCTCAGCTGGAAGCCGTCAAGAGCTCAATACCGAGTCACCTACAAGAGGACAGTATGTTTGGCTCTCCTTCCTCATAACGTGACTATTGCTGACAGCGTTGACCAGCCTCTATCCTCTTTTACCTTGCAAATGCTGAACTGGTTATACATGAGGTAGCCCTCCGAGCACCTTCAACCCCCAACTCGCCTGAATTGCACAGACTAGAAAGTCTCTACACATCTCTACACGCAGCAAAATCCTGGCTAGATCTCTGGCTCTCCGTGCCCACCGAAAAATACATGGGCGTCTCCTTCACCATCTTCTTCCAATTCTCCCGCGCTCTTGTCAGCTTGTATAGACTTTCCATCTTGGAAGATCCCGCCTGGGACAAAGCCCTTGTTCGAAACACAGCCAATGTCCTCGAATATCTCGACAAAATGGCGTATATGATGAAGAAATGCGCAGATCATCTCGCAGTCCCCCATCAGCCGGAATGGAATATTTTTGAAAAGGGAAAGATGATGGTTCAGTGCATCAAGGAAGGATGGGAACCAAAGCTCATGGAAGTTTGGTATCCGAGTTTACCCTCCAATGGTGTTGAGAATACTCTTGATCCGCCTAATCCTGCCATCCTCGCTGACATTCTGCCGATGAATGGGTTTGATGATGCGTGGATGATGGAGGTGTTTGGTTCAATGTGATTTGTTGGTGCAGCTTTGGTCTTCTTACGCATTTGACTGTTTTCGATCGTGATGAGTTCGACGGAAGCTGTCCACTGTACCATAATAACAATCTCCAGACATGATAATCGGCTGAGGCTAATCGCACGCCAACTTGTGCTTTCGCACGACAGACTATTCCATTTTCGGATACAGTGGAGAACAGGTAGACTGGATCCTTGATATCTAGACTAGGGAACCCGCTTTACAGGTAGAATAAAGGGACCTGTGAAATCGACGCCGAAAATGACAACCTCTGGCGCCAGAAACGGCCGCCTTTCCACCCGTAACTTTGGACGGCGAGCCGTTAAATTTAGTTATTTCATTAGTAATGTTTATATTATTTAATTTTAGTAGTAAACAATTTCAATTTATTGAAGAGCACTATCAAATAAGTTATTTCGATACTTATTTAGTTGCTTGACCACCCGCTCTATTTTACTGTCCCCCTTGCCCCCTATTCTGCACCTAACCAGGACTGTTAGTTATTATATTCTTGTCCTGCTGTTGACGCTCGACTTTAACGATTTTTCCCCTTGTTTCTACTAGCGACTAAACGACGCCGAAAATAGTTCCCTCTATATTTTAATCTAGGGCACAAATTCTAGCTCATTTCCGTCTCGTTTTATTGTAACTCCACCACATGGCAAAGATCTAGGAGAAATGACAGACTTTCTTCCGTGACTAGATCACTTAATAGCTTGCGCAACCAACGTTGTTTGAACTGCAAGGTTCATTACAGTATCTGACCATTTTTCACGCACCTGGCCAGCCAAGTGCCTCATATACATTATATGCTTTATTTCACCACTAAGGCGTTCAAAAAAGCACCATGGAAGGAATTTTTCAAGACCAGAACTAGTAAACGGGGCTGTACACACATGTCTCAGTGTAATAAATGGTGTTTTTAATTGAGAACGCGGGATGGGAATTGTTGAAAAGTAAATCAATCATAATAATGTGGCAGAGCTGCTTAGTCGCAAGTATTGTCCTTCAGGATAAGGAAGAGAGACCCAGTAGCTAAGGATCAAATGATTCCAGGAGCTGAACATTAGGACTGATATTCAAGGGTCTGACGTGTCCCTTCGCAACGACAAATCCACTTTAAAAAAACCCTCAAATCCGCACGGTCTACGGTGTCTTACTGTAACATTTCTCACACATCTCATTTGCAATGGAAGATCCATTTGCTCGTCACAAGTCTCTGACCATGGCATTGCAGTTTGCTATTTCACTCGGAGATAGCTCTATGTCGAGATCCGTACTTTCAACAGGACCATCCAAGTGCACGGCACTGGGTAACTGTCGAGACTACCACAACTTAGTGTAACAAGACGCCCTGCGGGCACTTAACGGTGACTGAATGTCGTGCTTGAGGATATTGATATTCTGGGCATGTTAGAGTTGCCAGAGACTTTGCCTATTCAACCATCATACGGATGAGTGCTTGCATCCCAGTTTAAGAGACCCAGCACAGGAGCTTTAAATCTGCACCAGGGGCGCAAGGCTCTGGCAAGGGTGTTGGCAGCCTTGGATGATGGTCGCCTCATTTCGGAACCGAGGAAGTCCGGGATACTGCTTTGATTAGTGGCGCTGTTACTCAGGAAGTGGCTCCTGTGAGCTGGCTCAACGAAACGCAAATTGTCGCATGATGAAGACATGTTTTCTAAACTCAGACTATCTGCACGATTGACTAAAAGAGCCAGAGCTTTGTGGTGATGTTCAATGTATTGATTTGTTGTAGACTTACGAATACCATGGTCCGCCCGACGAAGGGTTCTATCGAGAGAAGCAGACCTGCCTGTGATAGCTTGAAAGGAGGGAAAACTGTGGCCCGCGTGTTCTAGGACATATATGCAAAGATGTCCTTCAACTACTTCCCTTTCAGCTGCAATGCTGCCTCCTTCCAAACTCTCCCTGCGCTCTTTTCCTTTTCTTCTATCCCAATACAGTTCCCGTTAAATTGCTATCCTGTCGCAGTACGCGCTGGTTCATCGCCCCGTACAATCCTGCTAACTTCACCACTAGCCCTGCTCCCACGCTCGGAATAACTCCTTGCATCCCCGTCCTATTTGGATACTTCCTACAGATCAAGGCAAAGCAAAAAGATGCTAAATTTATGTAGTTGACTTATTGAATGATATTATTTCCGAAAGCATACAGAAATTGATAGATAAGGCTTCATAAAGCACAATCTTTCTGCAATGTAGAGGCCTATACCTTGACACCCTATCAGTTCGTTATCACAGGAGTGCTGCGATCCCAAGTGCTCTTCTCAACGGCATCCACCAGACACGCCGCCACACTAGCCCTCGAGATCCCCCCCCCAAGCCCGCGAAAACACCGAGTCCTTTCCCGTCGTCGCCAAAGAACTGAACGGGCGCTTTTTTCGCTTGAGTGAGTCTCGCGGCCCTGAACAACACGAATTTCACTCCACTCTTCTTGAGTGTCATATCGACTTGATTGTGGTCCTCAAACAAATGCTTAAAGCTTGTTCTGGAAATTGCGAATCTCATAATCACAGTGATATTCGGGAAAGAAGACCCAACTCCAAATGAAGACAATGTGGCAATCTTGGAAACGCCATGCCTTTCCATAGCAGCGATGAGGTTTTCGTGCGCGTTCGTCATGACTCGGGTCCCCTTTACTTGCGGAGATGCAAGCGTGACGATCACGGCGGTTGGGATATCGCCTTGGACTGCGTTGAAAGCGCTTTCAATGTTCGAAGGCTCCAGTGGTGTGCCCTTTACGATGGTTAGGCCTTCCTTAGCTGGAAGTGCGGAGGGATTCCGAATCAATGCCGTAATTTTGTGGCCCCGCTGCAATGCTTCGTCGATAACAAGACGACCAGTCTGTCCATTTCCACCAATAACAAGGACACGCATATTGAAGATGTTGTTGCGCTATGGTAGGATGCTGACTTTGTTCCCAACTATAGGGTCGTGGTTTGATTTAGGTCGTGGTTTGATTTAGGCCGTGGTGCAATGCTTTAGTGACTTTAACCTTGAAATCAATAGACAATGAACTAGATGCTCTGGAACGACATACAACTAAGAAACTCCCGTCAGGTATATATAGCTATGGTATAAGCTCTAGTTGGAGAGGGTGTTCGGGCTGATTCAGCGTAAGGACTTGCTACAATAACCTTGCAAGGTCTTAGGCATATTACAAAGCCTAGATAGTTCTTGCTCAGCTACCGGAAGTAAATGACGCGTACGCTGTTGCCTTATCAAATATACCTGTTGCGGCCATCTCTGTAACGCGAAGTCCCTGTGGTCGATCGGGAATCGCTAAAAGCTAACTACGAATGTCCGTAGAATTACAAATCCGGATGCTTACAAAGCGGGGACATTAGTGACGTTCACGACCTGGCGCCTAATAGAGCCTCAGCCCCTATCACACAGGTGCGGGCGAATCCCCCTGTGCACAACCAGTTCGAGAGAGAATTTTTTCCCTTCACACAAAAACAATCTCCTAAAGCGCAAATTCATAATAGGCCTATTCGTCCATGGCATCATAAAATTTGTGTCGAAACATGGAGAAGCTTGCCGACCGTATGATTCTACTCCGTCTCGCCTTTCTCTGATGGCAGCTTCGCGGTTGTGGCTTTGGTTTGTTTCTGCTTACACCTTCTCTGTGCCTGCTAGCCACTATATCTCTCGTGCCCCGACCTGCCTGTGCCGACTAGGCTGCCTTGAGCTTTCCTTTATTTATTAGTTAGTTAATTAATTGGTTGCATGCTTTGAGACGAAGAACGAGTGAAGGGGTTACTACCCTGCGCGAGCTGCCCGTAAAGTTTTGCTGCGTTCGTACTATAAGATCGGTCTAAATTTCGTCTCTCCTGCCTAAAGGCGACATCTTCTTGTTCGTTTGTTCTCTTGTCCCCGTGCGCGAGGAAGACTTTCTTAGCATCTTTGCTGGCAATATTCGCTTTTTGACAGACGTAAGCGTTACGCACGGTATCGTTCCTAGAGGACAACTACGTGCCTCTAGGTCGACTGAAGCATCTCTGGTATCGCCCTGACTGCCCCTTAGATTGAGGTCAGAGATATACATAGGCTTACAGAGCACTTCTATCAGCTCTTAGAACCTCTAAGCAGCATCTCTGATAAAAATTTTTTGGGGGGGGGGGGGGGGGGGGTTGCATCGGGCTGAAAGCGAAGGCGTAGTAGTTGGTAGGGGCTGGAGTGAAAGAAGGGCCAGGCAATAAGTGCAAGGTAGAGTGTGAAAAAAGAAAAGAGCTTAAAAGGGCGAGGTCGGCGGCATAAAGGAGAGAATACGGTGTTTTAGGGTGCTAAGCTAGCGTAAGGATATACTCTATAAGTCAGGATAGAGGCGGTTCGTAAACGATGTGGCTTTCGTGATGGCGAACTTGACTCAAGTCCCTTCAGAATTTGTCCTGACATGCAACCTGGATTGTTTCTAGCTACTTGACGCCTGTCCAGAAGAGCCTCGAGCCAAGCCGTGAGGAGGATGGAATTTAGATCGCGGTTCGGAAACGATGGAGAGCGGTTCGTGGAGATTGACTTGACCCAAATCCCTTCTGAATTTGTCCTGACACGCAAACTGGGTTGTTTCCGGCTACGTGACGCCTGTTCAGAAGGCCTCGAGTCAAGCGACGAGAAAGGGACGGAATGTTGACCGGAGTAGGATTGTGGAGTGTGGTTCGTAAACGATGTTTGGTAGACTGGTTTGACTTAAGTTTCTTCTGGATTTGTCCTGACACGCAAATTGGAAAGTCCAACTACGTGACGCCTGTCCAGAAAAAAAAATTAAATGAAACCAGGTGGGGGTGGATAAGACGTAGATTGATGAGGTGTTGGTGGATTGATGTTTCTTGCAGGGATCGGATAGCTTTATTGAAGTCCAGTCTGAATTTATTCTGACACGCAAACTGGGATTCCAGCTACGTGACGCCTGTTCAGAAAGAGAATTGACTCAAGCTTCAAGAAGAATGCAGAACCGGATATTCATGGCCGAGAGGATGGTGAGAAATCGTTGAGGTGCGTTGTGCACGGAGAATGGAGGAAGCAGTCGAGTGTGTGGGTTTTTTGGTTTGTTTGTTGAGTTGGCTGTGGAGTTTTGGGTGATAAAGTTCTGTTTTTGTTTGCGTTTTTTTCCTGTTTTTGTGTGTCAGCATGGATTCATGTTGAAATTTATGACTGACCAAGAGTCCAGCGAGACCAAAGGACAAGGTTGCAACCATACAGAATGGAGAGGTTTAGCGAGTCGAAAGGTGAAGGAATGATGGTTGATCTGGAGGGGAACTTTAGTGAAGAGTGGTCATTGAATGAGAAATACTCACATCTTTTTCAACCATCGAGCCTGGGAAGTCCAAGCCGAATGAATGATGGCTCTGTGGTTGATGAAGGAAGATGTGGATGAAGGATGATGTTGAAGGATGATAAAGGATGGTGAAGGATAGTGATGGAGTATGATGATGAAGTGTGATGATAAGTGTGAGGGTGAAGTGTGATGATGAAGTGTGATGAAGGATGATGGTTGATGTGGATGAAGGATGATGAAGTAAGGGCCAAGTGATGAAGGGCCGAGAGGAAGTAAACATGTCACGAGGTGGAGGTGTTATGGAGTAGACATGTCTCAGTGAAGTTGTGTCTTGATGTGGACGTGTCATGGTGTGTATGTTTTGAAACGAAGTTCAGAGGACTGGATGCCAGATATGAAATCATTTCTTGAAGGAGACAGAATCAAGACGACGTCGAGAGAGGAACGACATCAGAGAGTCTTGAGAGGAAGAAAAGATATCGTGAAGAGAGAAGAAGGGACAAGAGAATTACTTGAGAGACCCAGTGGGAGAGAAGAAAGAGGATGAAGACATCTCCAGGGCCAAGGAATATTGTTCGAAAAAAGACATGATGTCTGAATAAGGTTGAGGTCTGAATAAGGTTGAGGTCTGAATAAGGTTGTGGGTCAAGGCCAGTAGATGGAGAGAGCCAGACCAGGGTGGGAGTCAAAAGAAGGTTGGGAGATCAGTGGAGAAAGTGGAGAAGGAATATGGGAGTTGAAGAAGAAAGCAAAATCTGGGGAGGGCTGGAGGACTGGAGATATTTATACTTTGGGGTGATCGTGCCTTCCTTGTTGGGAGGTTGGGTGCCTCAAGGCAGCATACCTTCCTAGTTGGGATATGTTCTGCCTTGCGGTCCTGGAATTGGCAGAATTTGTGGAATTTGGGGCAAGTAATACCGCCATAAGCGAAATTCAATTATGTGCAGTGGTCTGGAAGTTGTATACTGTGTACTTTAGAACGAGATAGACTGTATTCTCTAGCTGGAACCAGCTGATTGTATCCGCTTGAGGGCATCCTTTTGCAGCCCTTGAACAATATCCCCAGCATCTGCGACGCCGTGAATCAGTCCGATAGAGGCCCCGGCATACGTTGCAACACGTCCCTCGAGTCCCCAGGCGCTATCACCCTTCTTCACAGCCTCGTCATGGAGTACTTTGAGATCATCAAATGCGGTGCCTGCTTCGTGCTCAATGAACGACTTGTTGATGATCGTCCTGGGGCTGTACTCGGCTGGCCACCCAAACGTGCCTCGAAGATGGTTATACAGCAGTGTCCGTGTCGTGTTGGCAGCCCCATCAGAGGCTCGTACAACCTCGTTCTGATATCCCCTGCTAATTCGTGCCTCGCTCGCAGCCAGGAATCGAGTCCCCATAACCACACCCGAAGCACCGAGACACAGCGCCGCTGCAACACCTCGTCCATCGGCAATGCCACCTGCTGCGAGCAAAGGGATCTGACTACCTTCCATGGCATCTGCAATCTCTGGGAACAAAGCCATGAGGCCCATCCCGTCCGTGGCCCGTCCGTGGCCACCAGATTCCGCACCCTGGATGACAACCACGTCGGGTTTCTCGGAGTTTGTGAGGAGCTGTTTCGCCTCCTTCAAAGTGCCGATTTGAATCCAGATTTGCGTATCCGGGGATGCCTGTCTGATTCGGCGAGACCAGTCGTCGAATTCCTTCAGGCTTTGCTTGGGAGCGTACAGCCAGGCTGCACAAGGCTTGTAACGTCCGATGGCAGCGACAGCGATGTCAATGTCGTCTCCCCACAGCTGATAGCCAATACCGACAGGCAAGACAGAATTGGTTGGCGATAACTTGTCGAAGACGGACGAGGAACCCCGGGTCTGCTTCACTAGCTTCGATGCTTGTTCAAGATCGACCTCGGTGTCTTGGGTCTTGGCTCCGGGGCCAATGAATCCCAGTCCACCTGCTCGGGATACCGCGAGGGCCAGAGCTGGGCCAGACATCACGCGCATCGGTGCGCTTACAAGGAAGGGGCTAGTGGCCCAGGAATAACGTGATAACAACTTGGTCGCCATTACTAGTCTTTCGAATGATGTTCAGAGAAGATCCCTAGGGCTATTAGGTGCGAAATTGACCGGTGTTATTTATTTTTGTCATTTGAGTCATGGAATTCAGCTTACTGAGCATACCGAGGCATGGAATAAGTTCGTGAGTAATACAGTCCGTGTTAGTCCCCGAAATAACCTTCATTGCGGTTGACCGGGTTCCATACCATGACGTCTGTGCCCGCTAAAGCCGCAATACCCGCGGGCCGCAAGATCCACTTTTCGTCCCTCCTCCCGAACCACGGCCAAGACCTCATAGTCCCCTCAAGGCCCCATTAGAATGGATATCTCTGGATACACCGAGACACCGAACTCTCGTCCGAGCATCGTCGAGGCCACTGAAGCCAACCGGGGTGAGCTGGTGCGACATTTTGGGGCCCGATTACGGACCGCCTTTCTCAGGAAGCTTGGCCTCGAGGTCGGAAGTAAGCCCTTCAGATAGACTGCCGGAATGTATAAATGATCTACTTTGTTCTTGTTGAAGTGCGTGTTAAGCTTCTGCCGCTGTTAGGACAACCGTGTGACTCATATATAGCGCCCTTCACTTCCTTAACATTCGCATGCGGCCAGTTTATGAAACTAATTAATAACCATGAGCTACGATTCACAAGTTAACAACTAACCAATCGACTGTAAGAAAGTAGATGCTCTCAGATTCTTTGAAAAACTCGATGCTATCGGTCCTATGAACGCTGTGTTGTCAGAAATCAAAGGCCACGATCACTCACTCACTATTCCGCCGTCTGCAGCACAAAGACAAGCATGATAACATGGTCGCCGGAACATATCTCGAACCTCATCGCGATGCTTTTCAAGATAGTCCGCGAAATTGGTCAACCAAATTGGGTTTTTCTTGAGCTCCTGAAAGTTGACTAGATAGCCAACCTCATTCATCCACTATTGTGCATATAGTCTGGGGTCGCTCTTAGCGAACGAGAAATCGCTGGTTATCTGCTTACGCAAAGGCCTTCCTCTCTGCGACGACGATCTGTGCGTCTGCGGCGAGTGAGAATGTGACACTTGTTCTGCTAGACTGTCCGTCACTCAGATGTCTACGCCGAGAGCTCCGGAGGAAGGTCGGCGGCATTTCAACCTTACTGGGAGGATCTAAAGATAGGAAAGCTGACTCCCAGGGCAAGACGGCGGAGGCTGAAGTACGCGTCAAGTTGCTCCCGCTGTTAAGACAATCTTGTGGCTCATAGATAGCCCCCTATACTTCCTTTTATGGGGCGAGTCTTGGATCGATCTAACAAAACCAATCACTGTGAATTTCGTTACCTGAGCAGTACGAATGACTATCTTAATACAATCAACATCCACCACTTAGATTGATTGAGAAACATCAACATGTCCTAGTGTAGGTTGCGGTCAATGCGCAGGGGTTCAGGAGATCCGTTGGTCAGTCTGGGTGCCAAAGGAGACGAGAAGCCTTTGGAGGAGGAGAAAAAGCCATGAGGGGAATGAGGGGCAAAGTATGCAACACGTGGATGCCAATCTTGTGAGGCGGAAGGACCGTTTGGGAGAACCTAGTAGAATAGTAGACAATACAGTCTACTCTCAGCATTCACTGGCGTAGAGGAAAGCTGGGAGGCAATAAGTTTGATTTTGCAAATCACCTAGAGACAGGATAGCTGATCCTGGATCGGGAGTTTCACATGGCAGAAATCGGATATGAGGGGACCTAACAGAAACAGCAAACCACGGGGTCTGCTCTCAAAATTCGCTGGCGAAAAGGAAAGCTGGCAGGCAGTGAAGTTGATTTTGCAACTCACCTGTAGAAGGACGGAGGATAAAATATCGAACCATCAGGGATTCAGGAATCAGATCTGAATTTTGAATATCAGAGGAACTTTGAGATGAAAAAAAGCAGACACGGGGGCTACTCTCAGCATTCGCTGTCGTAAAGGGAAGCTGAGGAGGATTTCACCGCGCAGCAATGAAGTCCGATGTTGCAACTCACCTATGAAGAAATATGCATGGAAGACCTTTCATTTTTTTTCAAACATCTGTTGTGGAGTGATCGGCGTTTCGTTGGAATAAACATGCCAAGCTCAAGCTCCACGTGGATGAGATGGGGTCCGGCAATGCACAGATGCAGGTCGGGACTATATCGCTGGCCCAAGGTATCATCCAGCATCGAGATATTCCATCATTGACAGCTGGATCAGCTCAATAGGCCATATCCGGTCCGTGTGCTTATTTCCCTAGGAGCAGCCATAGTGGATTTTTACTGTTGAGGTCCATTGTGTGTGCGCCCAACCTCCTGGCCCAATCGAGACATCCAACCCTCGCGATTGCCAGAAGCAAACTTAGGGCTGGGCAATTTGTCCCAAAGGGAACAGCAAACGATTGTTTGCTCCTCATTTTGGCCATCTAGGGTTGCCGTCCAGGGCTTCCCTCTTTTTGAACCGCCTCCCTCCTCCTTCCTGACTTTCTTTCTTCCACCCTTCTTCCCATCTTCTGATCCCACTCAGCTTCTTCAACTCTTCCAATCTGCACTCCAAAGCTCCTTCTTGCCTGGTCAATACATCTCATCTAGTCCACCTTGCAAGATACGTCAAGCACTGAGTCACCTTGCTCACTTGCAAAAGGGACTGCTCAACGGAAAGCGCAAAAGCGTCGAAGTTGTGGCCAAGCCACTGGCCTCCTCTAAGTCCTTGAGAGCGCCTTCTTTTCTCCACGAATTGCACTTGCCCTGTGATTCCTCTTCTTCATCAGCCACCTCACCTTCATCCGTCTCTCCTACTCCCAATCTTCCTACATCATCTTGCACTAAGACCCTGTGAGCACTTCCGCTTCGTCACGGATCCCACCTACTCGACGATCCCTGATCATCAATCACTCCCTTACCCTCTTCTGTCTCTTCTAATTCCCACCTTCCCGCACTATCTTGCGGCCTCTGGGATCTTGTGAGCACTTCTAACTCTTCACGGATCCCACCTTCCCTGCGATCCCTCTTCCTCATTCACCTCCTCGACTTTTGTCTCTCGTACTCCCAACCTCCTCTCCACTTACCTCCGGTTATCCTCTTCTCCTCCGCAAGCTCTTTCCTCTTTTACCCACTCATCCATTCCATCCTCACCCTCCTGGTGAACTCCTCTTACCGTCTCGACCCTCACCGCATATCTCGCGGTCTTCTTCAAACCTGACGATCCGGGTCTGCACCCTTCTATTGGTGCATATTTTTATCTCTTCGTGGCCTACCTTTACAGCCTTGCGGGCTTTCTTCTGCGAGCTCTTTCCTCCGTTTTGACCACTTTTGGTCTCATCCTCGTCGCCTCGGTGCACTCTTCTTGCGCCCCTCTTTCTGCACCTCACCAGCGTGCAAGACTTACTCCATTCTATCCTCTTACACTTGTCAATCTCCGGCTTTAAGACAAAACTCAGCGCCATGGCCAACTCTGCCATCCAGTCTCAGGCCAGCACCTTCCCTTTCCTGTCGTTGCCTATGGAGCTGCGATTGATGATCTACAATATACGCCCTGTTCTCACCCTTCGGTCTTTGGTTGGACACCCACCGGCTTGGCATCCCGCATCTCCTGCGCATGCAGGCAATCGGTCCGGCACCTTTCGACCTTTGGACTGCGGATGCCGGTCTCGGCGGCATCGTCTCTCCTGCGCTTCTGCTGGTCTGTAAGCAGATATACTACGAGGGCAAAAAATACCTCGAGCGCAACCAGTGGCGCCTGGACCGCTGGAGCACCGACCCGATTGTCAACATCCCGCACTCAGTCCGCGACAAGGTCGCTTCGTTGTTCCTGGGCCGCGACACGGTCGGATTGTTTACACCCCCTGGCACCGTTCGCGATGACAAGTCGGTCTTTGGGTTGGTCCATCGCCTGCCAAACATCCAGCACCTGACTGTCGGAATGATGGAAGATGACAAGGGCCTCTCTGGCACCCCCTCACCCGGGGACAAGGTCAATTATGATGATGAGGACAATTTGTACGGGGCTCTGTCTTGGCTTGCCACCTACAAGCCTCTCTTCAAGCGAGGTTCGATCAAGTCGATCAGCCTCGAATGCATCAAGAAATACCCCTCCAATTTGTACCCGTGGGTGTACATTTGGAGTTGGGTTACGACCATGACCCTGCACATCCTGGACCACGGAACTCCCGAGAAGTTCGAGAAGATGACCGACCTTCTGCAAGAGATCGATCTTCTCCTGGGTCGTTTCGAGTCCGGCCGTGTGCCGACATACCGGAACTACGCCCCCCTGCTGGAGTCCAGCCACGAGTCGGCCGCGCGGTTTCGAACCCTTTCGGATGTCCTTCAGGAGATATGGGAAGGTTTCGGGATCCGTGTGTCGGCTCGGGACCCAGGCCCGTTCGAGCGAGGCACAATGATCGTTTTCGAACGGATCTCCGCAGGTGGTGGTGCTGATGAGGTTGTCGGTGGCGAGGGGGAGTTAGTTTGGTGGTGAGGGGTGAGTGGTTTCTGGTGGCTTGGTGGTCTCGTTGGTTCGTGTGGTGGTGTGTGGTGGTGTGTGGTGGATTTTCCTGGCTCGTTCTGGCTCGTTCTGTTTCTTTTCGTTTCGTGTTCGTGTAGGCGTCTGCCCATATAATATTAATGAAGAAGAGCTCCGAAGGGAGACAGTTTTGATAACCTCGTTTCTCATATAAAAGTCATGCCTTTGTAACAAGTACTCATCTCATTCTCGTCTTATATCAAAGATCAGACTGTTGGAATACTGACCGGTAAAATCACATAATTCAAGTATATATATCAACTTCTGTTCTCACTAATCACATTTCTATGCTACCAAACCGGTCTACTCGCTATTGGTATCAACAAAACTATCCGCCATCCATCCCGTCAAAGCACTATAATCAGCCAGCGGCGTCGTTCCATGCAGCGTCTCCCAGTGTCTCCGCGAACCACACTCTCGCAATTTCTCCGAGTCAGCATTAACACACCGATTCTGCATAATAGCAGCAATATTCTGCCCAGCATCCCGGCCCTCAAACCACGCCCCGTGCAGGAAACCAAAATACGTAGGACTCGTCGCCTCACCCGCGAACCAGAGCCGGTCTGTATTCGCGCGCAGATTCTCATGCATCTCGAGCGTAGTTGCTGGCGGCCAGTTTGAGTAGCTACCGTAGGACCAAGGCTCGGTACTCCATCGTGGATAGAGGAAAGCGGTTGGTTCGGGGATTTTCTGGTCTGGGAACATTTTCCGGAGAACGGTAAGAATTTCTTGTTTTGTTGTTTCGTCGGATTGGCGCTCTGCGCGCCAGGCGAGTTCGTTGGTGACGGTAACGAAGAGAATGTTGCTGTCTGGGAAGAACTCGGGCATGGAGAGGGATTGGAAGACCGGGTACCAGCCGCGCATGGCAGGGTCGGCGTAGAGGAAGTATTGGGTGTTTTTGGGCCAGAAGGTTTCGTTGAATTGCATGAAGATCTTTGTGTAGGTTCCCATGGTGAATTTTTGGATGGCGGTTTGTTTCCATTCGGGGAGGGAGGGGGTGAATTTGATCGCGTCGTTTTGGAGGACGCCGAGGGAGAAGGTGCAGATGGCGTATGCGGCGCTGATGCAGCTGCCATCTTTGCTATGGATGATGACGCCGTCTTTGCTGTACTGGATCTCGGTGACTTCGGTGTTGAGGTGTAGACGTGGATCGTTCTCTGTCATAAATTCGGATGCCATGCCCTTGATGATTGTGTTGAAGCCTCGTTGGTCGAGGACGAAGTTATCATGGTCGCTGAATCCGTTCACGGTCAGGTTATCGCCGGCGCAGCCATAGACAAGAGAGCTCTCCAAAGGTGTGAAGTTGTCCTCAAAATCTAGGAGAGGGCCCTTGTCAGCCAGTGAATCTATTCATTAATTCAACACATGTCTACTTACCCCATTTCCACCAATCGACAGCCTGAGCCTCCATGTCGTGCTTCTTCGGGTTCCAACCGCCCAGGGCAAGACCCGATTGAGCATTTTGGTCTTGCAAGTTGTTGAGGAGGATCTTGCCTGCCTTTGCATTGGCAATATCATACGCCTCGTCATACTCGCTCAGCAGATGAGTATAGTCCTTGTAGCCATGCTCATTATATGTGGAGATATTGTCATAGTCCGAATACTGAGTCTTCAGCTGATATTTTTGGGCCTATAAGATTCATTAGATCATTGCTTTTGGGCAGCTGAAGATGGGATGGATGAATGACATACCAAGCTCCATATGGGATTTTGAGGGCCACCTGGATTCCCAAGGCCTTGAACCTATTCCGTCAAAATAAGCAATTTGCCAATAGACCATACCAAGGTCTCATGACCTACCCAATTGGCACCCATCTCGATAATGTAAGGCTTCCCATCTTTGTCTTTGCCGAAGGGTTTATGCCAGGCACGGCCACCAATAGTATCACGGTACTCGAGGATAGCAAAGTCATGCACGGAAGCATTTGCCAGTGCTTGCTGCGTATGGTCAGAAGTTGCTTCCTAAAAACAAAATAGAAGGGTGAGGAATACTTACTGCTGCAGCAATTCCAGCAATTCCGCCTCCCCTTCATAGAATTAGCTCATCAGACACGAATTTCCAATTCGAGGGCTCGATACTTACAAAATAGCAACTGTGGTCTTCTTGCAAGTCCCAGCATCCTGATCTCTAGGAGTGTGAGGCACAGCACCAGCAGGCTGAACAGCCAAGCTTGCCGTGGCCGCCAACAATGAGAAGTAGCGTAGATGCATCGCGAAATTCCAGCTCAAGAAACAAATTTGATAGAATTGTCAAGTCTGGGGCCACAAAGTGCTCATAAATAAATGCCGCGGGGGTTGCATTGCGGGCCGCTGGATGAATGGACTGCACACTGCAATGCATGAGACCCGCGATAACATCATAACGTGATTGCCCATCGATCGACAGGGTCACATGTAACCTCTGCAAAGATCGCGTAGGGGAATCGGGCAGGTACAACCGCTCATGGAGCCGGTTCTACAGCAACCGATGCGTGGCGATGATCCACATTGATGAAACGGAGGTTAATAAGGAGCGAGATCCCGCGTATGGCCATGACTGCTGTCTTCAATATCTCCACTTTTTCCCCATATCCCCAGATTATCACCAAGTTGTCTGGTGACTTCCATTACGTTGTGAATTGGCAATCCGAGCTTATGCCTTCCTACAGGAAGCTGCAAGCGAGATAATATTGCATGCCAAGTCCCAAGTGTAAGCGAGACAGCCGATTGATTACCGGGATCAATAACAAATCGTGCACTGGGTTTTGAAGGTTATGCCAAGTTTAAAATAAAGAATAAAATGCATGTTTCCAATGGATAAGAAAGACGAGACCAGGAATAGCCTCTCTCCATAACATGTGCAGCATCAGTCGACTGAATACAAAATGCAACTCCATCTAGCTATGCAAAGTAAAATGACTGAGGCCAATAATCGATCATCATGTAAAGTGTCATCCGAAGTTTTCCCCCAACGCCACGGAACGGAAAGTTGATATTCCTCCCAAAAGCCACAATTGGTCATGTCTCAAAGGGAGAGCTCGATGCCACCCAGTGCCAGCGCCAAAACAGAGCAGCCAAATTGTGGCCTATCTATGCACAGGGTCCATCCGGTTACCGGAAATTGTAGGACGGACGAATCATTTTTGAGGTTTCCGGTTTCAAAGACAGTTGCTGATAAGGCGAGCTGCCGGGGTCATAATACAAGCCATCGATGTGGCCATCCTCACGGCGGAGAGAGATGTAGTAAAAGCCAGAGATTGTAAGACCCTGGCGCGCATCGGTCGGGGTAATGAAGCATCGCTCTAAAATTGTGTCAGGCCTGTCAATCAATGGAAATGAGATTGTGTCTAAATGAGAACCCACCCTTCCATCGCATCAGGATCCACCCTTGAACCAATTCCTCGGTAATCCACTTCTTGCTCACGAGGTTCTTGGCAATTTCAGAATCGGGCAGATCCTTGAATGGTGGCAGTTCTCGCCAGTATGTGCTATCGATATCTGCATCCGCCTTGAAGTTCTTGGTTTCAAGAGTATGCTTGTTGAAGTCGATGATTTCGCCCTCGAGGAATGTCACGATATGTGCGTCATGAGTTGGTGAGGACTTGTCGGGAATATTGTACGCCTCCATGGTGCCGGACAACGTCATGTCTGTGTAGTTTATGCTGTGAATTGTGACCTTGACAGGCCAGTTTTCATCTCGGGCGTTGGCAAAATACCTTCGCCCAGTTGACGTATATACACTGATGCGGGTGCTGTCGCTGCCGTTGACGATCACTGGCTCGGTGGGAGTGTGCGGACTTTGCACGCGCTGTGACAACACAGAACATCCCGCATTCGCAGCCCGTTGGCAGCCAGAGAACACCACTCCAGGTCTCAGCCACGAGCAGGGTGCCGGTGGCACTATGGTGTTGATGTCCAGAATAAAGTCGCTGTCCTTCAAGGAGAAGTTCTCTAATGAGATGAAGCCTGTCGCGGCCGCAGAGTTGATGCTTTCCTCAAAGGAATTGGAGTACCGGAGACGATCGAGATAGTTGATTGTATCCTTCAGAACTGAGTCCCCAGGTGTGCTTGAATGGAGTTGCCGATGTGCAGCAACCCGGGCGCGCAAGTCGCTGTGGGTCAGAGGCCGATGCGAGTCGCGACTGCTGGGCGGACGATATCGATAGGCCGGGGCTCTCGTGGATGACGAACTCCACGTCCGATCGGCCTCATCTTCATCATTTGAACGGGCCCCGTATCGATCCAAAAGAAAGTTTTCCAGTGTCCGCGTTCTTGCTGGTCTCGGCTGTCGCCTTGTTGACTGCAACAGCTCCATGGGAATCGGCCCGTTTAGCCATCGGCTAGAGGCTTCGGTAGGGCCATCTCCAGCTGCTGTAATCGGTGGTGTGTGGGCTGTGAACTCTTGTCGGCGCGATCGACTTGATGTGGTGTTGCGATCTGGAACTGCGTGGAGGAAAGGCTGGATCTGGTCATCGTCTGATTCTTCGCGGCGGCGTTCCTCGTCCTCGTCATCTGAACCGGGGGCCCATCCATATAATGAGCGCGAATTTGAGCGGCGACTCTCGTAGTTGGGCATATTCCTGGGCTCTTCACGATGGCGACGGACAATAGGGATGCGACGGTTGATTTCAACGGATAACCGGAGGTTACTGGGGTCGTCCAGATCCATCCGGTCGTCGGCCGGCAGGTCCTCCATCTGTCGGGGGTGTGAGGTCTGGTATCGACGACGGCGATGTCGACTAAGCGCCGGCAGCAGCGGGTTGTACAGTAAGGATCGGGACCGAAGGAAGTTCACATTCTCGTCATGGGCGTTGTCACTCTCCACAGGGATCGGGGAGTCGGGGATTGACGATCGTCGCGACAACGGCTCGGGCGCAGGCGTGGTGGGTGACAACGCTGGGGTGCCGTGCTAGAACAATCAATCATTAGTCTGCGGATCGAGGACCGCTGGGATCTGAAGAAATGAAGCAGACGTAGGGTGTGGAAGGCCCAAACATACTGATGCCGAGTTGGGAGGCGGCATCTCCTCGGGGAGGCGCTGGGGCCGGAATCCGCCGTAAGGGAGGTCGGGTGGATCGACCGGGGAGTATGCAGCAGGCTAACCCCAGGAAGTATAGTTGAACGTTGGCAGAGTGCCAAATCTGGGGAGTTGAGGATGTGTTAGGGGAGAGATGAGTGTAGTTGCACGGTGATTGCCGAAGTGACGGAGTTTAGGTTGGCTTTGTCTTTATAAAAATGTGGAGAAGTACATGACGTCCGTTTCTCCGTGTGAGCGACGGAAAATATGAAACTTCCATGTTCCACACTAGAACACCATCACATTTCTCCAATCATCGATCAGTAGTTGATTTGAATTGGTTCTCATTTGACCTTTCACTGTTAATGTGATATGCATCTCAGAAGGTCACTAGTCCCAAAGTACGGCACAACAATCTCTGTGATCTATGCATACTCTGTGAGTAGTTCCCGACGGAAACCCCTAATCTCCGTCTACCAGCAGGGCTCTTAGCTACTAGCGACTGGCTTGATTTAGCGGCTTGGTGCGGCTTGCATGATATCCATGTCAACGTATATTCCGAGTGGTCGGCTTAGATCACCAATTGATCCTCAGTGTCTACCCAGAGCCACCTGCCGAGCAATGCACTGTGGGCTCGCGGTGATCAAGCACAAGACCGCTAAGTTAAGGTCTTCAAAGCTATGATAGTTATTGATACCGACTATATCTACTGGCTTGACCTTTGGGATATCTTGGGGTCTATCGAGGTACTCAGAGGATATCATATGGTTCTACTTCCTAGGCGTGCTGCTTATCCAGTTACTCTATGTGGGCGTCTCCGAAGCCGCTGACATATAGAGTGCTCCCCGGATAATGCTAGTGTTGAGAGCTACCAGCCTGATGTTGATTACTATGACAGAAGCTCCGAACTCCGCCTTATCACTTTAATCGTGGAGAGTTGCGATGGTATCCTTGCGAGTCGTTAATTCCTGGACGAAGAATGTCTTAGTCCTTGCTCTGAACGCCACTGGGTATTGAAACAGGCGAAGGCCTTGTGCGACGAATAGTAAGGCCTATCCAGCCCTCCCCCAGTGGTGCTACAGGTACGATGGCTGTAGTTGAAAAATGTGGTATGCTTTTGTGAGATATTGAGCACCTCTGCGATCTATACAGTGGATTTTGGATTTGGGCGATAGTGATCACTATTCCAGGAAAGTAGGACCCTGGGAATGATATACTTTATATAGCATTAATTGGGTGCGATTTTCGCAATCAAACCCTCGATGGTGTAGTTGGATATCACGTTCGGCTGTAATGGATCATCATATAACCGAAAGGTCACCGGCTCGATTCCGGTTCGAGGGAACATTGCATCTTCTTTTTTTGATTTTTCGATCGACCCTACTATAATTTTACTTCTTTTATAGCTCTCCCTTTTAATTTCGAGTTTTCCTATTCTAATTATAAAAATTAGTGTTTCTATCGACACCTAGAGGTAACTAGTAGTTCTATAGTCGTAGGTAATCCGAGCGACCATATTTCTTTACCTACAGGCTTACGCTTATGTACTGTAGACTATTTTAGAAGAGGACGTATTATTCGCGAATTTAGAACTTAATAAGAAAAGAATTAGAAAAAAGGAAGGTATTAGGAAATATAGGTAGTAGATTTACTATAGACGGGAAAAAAATTGTGCAAACAAAAGAAAAGCAATGTTCCCTCGAACCGGAATCGAGCCGGTGACCTTTCGGTTATATGATGATCCATTACAGCCGAACGTGATATCCAACTACACCATCGAGGGTTTGATTGCGAGAGTCTCAAGGCAAAATGCATACATAATGGAAGGCCACCTCTGACTTCTTCAACCCGCTCTATACAGACTGGCCAGATCTGGGGAATACAGAATGGATCCAAAGAATGTAAGAAGGCACAGCTGCATTATCTAGCTCCCCGTTAAACTTAAATACGTGTCAGTAATCCCTCTAAATGTTCCGTGCTAGTCAAATCCTATATCCCCGAATTTCGCGGATGGCACGATTGAGACCAAGACGTGGAAAGTATATATATCGTGGCAGATCCCACACGGAATGATGGAAAGATTTTTTGCGAGCCGGGCACCAATCAAAGCAGGCAGCAACACTAGGTACAATGACCAGACCTCTCTGCTATTCAAAAAATGGGATGTAGAGGTTATGTGATGTAGAGGTTGAACATCCTGATAACCAGTGTACAGTGCTGTGCCATGTCGCTTTGATAGATACATCACAGAAAGTCTAATTCGGAGCATATCTACCTCTATGAATTTATAAATCACGAGCGAGCCGCATTGCAGTCATCAGCCAACTGTACACAATCCAAAATAATTGCCCAAAACGCGTCCAGATCAACACTCCTTGGAATAGCCACACCAGGGCCCACGACCGGTGTTGCAATCGAGCGTCCCAGTTGGCCGGTGGTAGACACATCCTCGCCATGGCAGCCATCCGTCACGATGTTGACAGCGAATCGCTCCCCGTCTCTATCGTCAAAATTGAGGGCCTCCTGAGGGTGTTCCGAGGCAAATGATGGGTTCAGTGTGGACAAGATGACCGCCACGGCCAGAGGGTCATGCAAAGGAGGGCCAGTCGCCAGGCCAAAAACCTTTTCGTACGTCGCCGCGAAGAAAGTGAGCAGAGCGTGTAGAATCCGCCGAATCACCGTGGGTGGCTTTGACGGGTCACGTCCACCATGTAGAATGCGTGTCTGCACGTCCTGAGATGCGAGGACTTGATGGGTTAGATCCAACGCAGCAATTGTTGTCTTTGAAGCCAGAAATGGATTACTGAAGATGGACTGGGAGGACTCGGGATCGCACTGTATTGGAAGAGTTGGTGAGTCGGAGCCTGACAGTGTTATTGGCCCTATGGACAAACACGAAACGTACATAGAGATTAAATTCGGCCCAGGGAGTGATGTTCCCAATACGAGACTTCTCCCCAGGAAGCCTACTCATGGGCGCATCAGTGAAACCATCACCGATAGCACCTCCCATAATGCTCAGCCCTTGGATGTGGTCCACAACCTCTGGGAAAGTTGCGAATAGCAAGGCAACATTAGTCAACGTTCCTGTCGCAACCACCCATGGAGTGCCCTTTGGCTGGGCCAAGAGTGCATTTCGCATAGCCAAGATGGGATTCTCGTCGGTAATCGGAGGGACAGATGGTTTAGGCAGAAGATCGGTGCCGTCAAGGCCAGATTCACCTGGTAGTAGACAGATAAGAACACGATAACAAACTGGTAGCCGGTGGGTCAAAGATCATGAAGATGCCATACCATGAATGTCTGGAGCATGTAATGCCGGGCGTGAAAACGGTTTCCGAGTTCCAGGGTAGACTGGGATCTCGGGCCTACCAATGGCTTCTAATATACTTCGGGCATTGTAGGTAGTATTCTCCAGAGATGCGTTGCCATGGATGGTTGTTATACCGAGAAGATTCAGAGAAGGGTGATGAGCAGCGATCAAGATCGCAAATGCGTCCTAGACGGTAAATTCAATATGTTGGCCCTTATCTGCCATGTATGGAGTAGATGGCTTTGACGTACATCGTGTCCTAGAGGAGAAACTTAGTCCGAGTGAAAATTTTGGGGGGCAATTCGGCGACTTACCTGGATCGCAGTCGAGCCAAAGCGGTATTCTATCCGTGCTTTCCACCTGAGGCAACATTTTCAATGATCTGGTGAAACAGAGTGTTGGTGAGGAGAACGGCCCCAAAAGGGAACCACGTCTCCATCTCCCCGCATCGCGATAAGGATGTTATCGTAGCCCTAAGCCCTAATTTCCAAATCAGGAAACTCCAAATCATCGACTTCGCGGTCACCGCAAGCGCTACGATCGGCTCTCAGTCAGACAGGGTGAAGCCCTTGCGCTCTGAGATTTCCAATGAACCTACCTGAGAGAGTTGCTGCACCTCTATGATGCCATGAATGACCCTCTGCAACCCGGTTTGCAGCCGGTATCCCATCTCAAGGCTGGACCGACCACCTCAAGCTCCAGGTCCACCGCGCTACCTTCCTCAGGGCAACCACCCTTGACACGACCATCCTCTAGACTACGAGCCCAACGACCACCCGTTCGAGATGACACGACCGACGCTACGAGTGACAAGGCCACGGCTGCCTTGATTCGACGTGTCCTCTACCCTCAAGCTAGCAGCGGCCACGGCGCATCCTCTCCCCAGCCATCGGAAGAGCTATTACCTCCCCTCACGAGCTCAAATGACGTTGACCGTCAACTTTACGCCATTCTTGCTGTTATAATCAAAGAATTTGTCCACTCGTGGTACTCAAAGATTACTCCTGACCAGGCTCTTGTCAACGAGGTCCTTCAAGTCGTTGCACATTGCACCCGCGCTCTGGAACAGCGGATACGCCAGGTGGATGTGACACAGCTGGCCTTAGATGAGATTCCTACCTTGGTGGAGGCACATATAACCTGTAAGACCCGACTTTGTCTTTGAGATGCTTGTTTTTGGAAACAGGGACATCCTGGAAAACGGAAATGAGAGACGCGCTTGCTAACTTTAACGATCATCTCTAGCCTATCGACTTGCTAAGGAACGGTCACACCTATCAGGACTACCGACGTCGCATCGTGCACTATACCACGAGTTGAACCCTCATCCTGGCTTATCACCAGTCCCCGATCCCGCAGATCCCGACACAGTCAACGCGCAGGCCGAGAACGAAGCTGTATATCGGAGATTACTTGCTAGTGGGACTCTTGCTGTTCTCCTACCCACGGAAGATTTGGAAAATAGCAGCCTACGCCAGCTGGTGAACGACATCCTATCAGACTTGATTCTAGGCAAAGAGGTTGCCGGCAGGGTCTGCCAAGGATGGTTCTTATGGGATGCTATCACCAAAGTTACGGAGGCAGTAAGACGCCGGAAAACTTTGGAGCACACAGACTCCACCAATGATGTTTCCACAAACAGACTCGAAAGATTTGGTCTGCTCGAGGACGAAGACGATTCGGCCAAATCTCACGCAAGCGCTCAGTCGCGAGCCACTGCCTGGATATGGAGTGTACTCCAGAATATCTATCTTGGCTATGTTGCCTTGCGATTCATCGCGACTGGTCTATTCCGCGTCGCATCAAATCAAGGGCAGGGACATTCGCACGGAGCCAGTGTTTCATTTCCCGCTGCAACGCCAGATTTCTCCAAGAAGGAGGGCTTCGACTCGTCATTGTCAGACGGAGTCACATCCAAACGCCCGGTCCTCGACTACCGGATGTACTCGATGATCTCGCAACTTTTGGGCATCTCACAACGAATGCCATGGCTTTCTGGACTATTCGCTCTCGTCCAACACCTGATTCTGGCCGGACCAGGCAGGCTCGGGCACACAGATGGAATTCTTGACAGGTGAGTTTATTTCTCTTATGCTTTATGGTTGTTCTGTGTTATCGGAGTATTTCCCCCACTCTCTTTCCCTCGTGTGCGCCCGGGGCTCGGGCCCTTCCCTCTTTCGTGCGAACTCTTGACGGTGGAGCAACGGTGCGATCTCCGAACTGCGATCTACGAGGGTCAAGTGTCACTTGTGCAAGTCATGGTGGGACGGCGAAGCGTCTTGCTCGCATGCTGCAGCGATCACTTGATCCCGCTTGCAACGGTTTTTTACGGGGCTAGCGTCCCCATCGAGCAATACATTTGATACGGTCACCGTACGATATTTGCTGACCGACGGTACGGTCATTACGGGCTGGCGTTACGGCTGGCCGATGCTGGCGTCAGATTGGCTGCCCCAACCTGGTCCGAGCGAGCAGTGGACGTCGCAGGAGGGGGAGGACGAGCAGGGAACAGAGCAGGGAAGAGCCAGCCCTCTTTCCCTCTTCATGCCGTACCCACCGTCTCATTTTTCTGCCCGCGATAGCGCCGGGGCCCGGCCCTTTCCGTGCCGCGTCCTCTTCTTGTGCGGATCACAACCCTGCGAAACGATCCTCAGCTGCCAGTCTATTGACCGCCGATGTTGCTCACCATTGGCAAAGGGCTTGCCTCAACCAAAAAAAAGAAACGAAAACAAAGAAAGCAGCAAGAAAAAAAACCCCACGAAAAAAAAAGAACAGAGTTTATGGCTGCCGAGCCAGATCCAAACTGTACAAACTATACTGCGACGGAAGAGGGGGCGAGCGAATCGCGCGCACGAGCAGACATCGTCTGCCGATCCCCTTCATCGACGGGCATCAGTGGGCAGATGGATCACCTTACCATTTTGGGGATGTGCATAAAGACCAGGAGCTGCGGCAGAAGCAGCATTTCTCTTCGCTCGCCGAGGCTAGTGCTAGTGATTTACCCACTGGCCATCCAATCAGCGAAATTCCTGCTAGCGAGTTTTCGAATTTACAACCCGGCCGAGGTTGGCGCATGAAGCCCGCTTTTTGTACGCCAGGTACGCTGCTGGGATGTTACCCGCTAGGCCAGGGGCATAGCAGAGAGGGGAAAACGAACAAGGGCGAGGAGCAGGATGAGCGCAGAGGAAGTGACGAGGAGGCAGGCGCGCCTCGTCGCTTTTTCAGCGACTTACTGGTCGCTACTCCGTCATTTTGAGCTTCGCTGCCTCTTATGGCTTGGAGGAGTGACATCCCTGTTGCACCAATAGTTGGCCCAAGCTCCTCCTCACAACCCACGCCGAAGCCGATCGTGCTCCGCCTCGCTCCCCACTTGGCTCCCTCGCAGCCCTAGTGCAGGTTGATCCTGAGCTCGTTCTCTCTAGCGGTGGGACTGGCCCGAACCTGCACAAAGGCATAACGTCCCGGTGATAGCTCCACTGTTGAGACTCATTTCTCGCTTCACTTGTTGATTTGTTTTCTTTTTTTCTTTTCATGAGAGAGATATTTGCTTTTTTACCCCCTTCCCTCTTGGCATTTTTCATCGGCTCTCCCGATGTCACGATTTGAACCGATCATAGCTGACTGACTCCACAGATTCCTTCGGGAAACCATTCAGGAGTATGTTCTGCCCCCCACTTTGTTGCCCAACCTTCTTCTTGCAACACGTTCTGCCCTCTTCCCGGCCAATGCCCGCCCAACCTCCTCAGCACCAACTGGAAATACCACTGGAGCAGCCCCGGCCCCGGCTCCGCAGGTGTCCGTGCAGACCCCGACCCCCAGCGGGAAATCACCCCTCGCTGCGACTGTAGTTACCACACCCGCGCCCCTTCCGGAAGGTAGCAGGGTTCCTGGTCCAGGTGCAAGGGATGCAGGTAAAAGAAATGTCGACAGTAGCAATAACAGCAGAAACAGCAATATTGGAGTTGGAGTTGGCAGTGGCGGTGATCGTCAGCATGCTGCTCTACTCCCCCGGTCGTCTTCGATAGTATCCCCGTCATCGCCAACCATTGCGACGACATCGGACATTGATACGGTCCAACGAGCTTCCACGGAGGTGTCAACCGGACCAGAGAACAGAATTGGCCCATCTATCTCGGAGATCGCCGCTATTAAGCGGCGATGTGCAGCTAGTCTTCTGGCCGTGATCCCGCTTAAAGTCGCACGAACCCTTTTTGGCGTTCCGCCAGCCTCCAACAGTGATCGTACCTGCAGCGCCGCCACTGGGAACTCATCCTCCACCACCATCAGTGACCAGACCCCACCCTCATCGCTTGATGGAGATGGTGGGGGCCGTCCGAGATCTTCATTACAGGCACAGGGCAAGGGAGCTGTTCTGTCGTCGAAGGCGTCATTACTGCCATCTCCCGCTTCGAGTTTAGCAGGGCTAGCCAGTGAAAGTGGCGATTATCGCGCTGTCCAGCGCACGGACAAGCAGAATGAGGAGTCCGATCTTCACCTGGAGGAGTTGTATTTCCTGGAGGCCATCGAGACGGACCTATTGGATCTCCTGGCAGACGACTACTGTAACAAGCATCTGGTGTACTCGATCATCGAGACTGTTCTCGCTAGGGTGCTCCCTGAGCTGACTGAGCGCAGCGTCCAAGACCTAATGGAGGATCGCGGGGTTGCCCCAGTTCCCGGCGGCTTCTAAGTAGAGTTACGGCTACTGCAGCACGCTTTTTTGTAACCTTCATTCTTTTACATAGTTTAATGGGACGTGCCTAGATTTACGGATGTGGCTGTTTTGAGTTTTGCATGTGTAGAAGTTAAGCCAGTGTAGATACAAACAGATGTTGGAACATTCAAACCGGGGTATACTAACTAACTAGGAAAAAGAGTGTGTAAGGCTCTCATTCACGTACCAGGAAAAAGATAGTCAATATCCATTCCTGGCACATAAATGAGGCAAATGCAAGGAAAGTAATGAAAGAAAAGATTAAAGAAAACAGGAAGGGTTGTTGGAGAAGTAATCTGACAAGAAAGATCCAGCTGGAGACTCGTGTATCTGAAGGATCCCAGCAAATTATGTTCTTTGCGCGTGAGCGGCCCAATTTAAGAACGAGAGTGGAGAAACGACGGGAAAGTAGAAGAAAGATATAAGAAAAAAAAGTCCAAAGAAAGTAAGAATTAGAAAAGGGACATTCTACTGTTATGACAGTAGGGGAAAGACCAAAAAAGACATAATCAAAACAATATCGGCGTGCGTGAAAGGGGAGAGAGAAGGGGGAATAGAGGTGCGAAACTCCGAAAAAAAAGGAAACCAAAAACCAAAAACCAAGACCCGTGTCATATCACCCCCAATATCCATGATCCATGATCCATATTCCCATGTCCGATGTCCCGTATCCCATGAAAGAAATGGACACAGTCCGTCCGTTGTCCGAGGTGTATGCGAATTATACCAATGACCCCCAAAAGGAACGAAAGAGAAACAAGAGAAATAAAAAACCCAAAACCCCATGTCAAAGCAAGGTCGAGGTTGCCCTCTGGTTGTGTGTATGATGATAAGTTTGTACCTGTTGATTTTTGGATTGTCGCGCCGGGAAAGAAAAAGCCGAGATTTGGGTGCTGGAATGAAAGAGAAAAAAAATTGAACCTGAGAATAAAGGGGAAAAAAGATACAAATGAACCAAAGCAAAGGTTTGGCTCGTGGAAAAATGCAAATCGACAAGCTAGATAACGCAACGCAACCACCCAGGCGTAGAAAATTGAACATTGAACATCAAGATAGGGGGAATCACAAATGAAGATAAGAAAGACAAAAAAAATAAGAAACAGATAACAGATGGCTAGATAGAGAGATAAAGTAGAGTAGGATAGAGGGGCATGCTTTGAACCAAAAGAATAGAGGAGGAAGTGGATGGACATAGCTTCACCCAATATTTTGGATGCTCCGTTTCTTGGTGACACGAGGAACGTCATCATGCTCATCGATTCTTGTCAAACCACCCAGAAGAGGACCCTGCTGGTTCTTAGCCAGCTCGAGGCGCTCCATCAGCTTACCGATAGTCACGTACTCCTGTGCAGCGAGTCCGGCCGGCTGGTGCTGGAAGTAATTCATAACGAGCTCCAAGGCCCGTCTCGCCTCATCCTGTGTCGGGGATCCAGGAGCGCTGATCGGGGACACATTAGTTGACTTGGAGACTGTAGGGGGTGGCTGCATCGATTCAGTCTTGATCTCCGGGTTGCTGCGGTTGCGCTTGATCATCTTGGATGGATCTGTGCCCTTGATGGCGATGTGGGTTTCGTGCTCGTCCATTTCTAATGGAGATTCCAGGATAGTCACGCCCATGTGATGCTCGGTCTTACCGCACTGGGAGTCGTCGGCGGTCAAGAGACTGGGGTCAATTGGGACGAGGGGGAATGTCTGGCTGCGAGGGCGATTCATGTTGGGACCGGAGGTTGGAAGACGATGTTGGCTTGTTGGAGTAAAGGGGCTGTCGGATACGAGTGTAGAAGTCGGGCTGGTCATTCCGACAGAACAGGAAGTCGTATCCAACGCCGTAGTATTCTTCGAGTAACCATGTTGGCAGCCTCCTGTCAACTCGGGAAGCTCATCAGCCCCCTCCTGCTTCATGCCCTCGTGGCTACCCGTAGGAGAGATGGGTGAGCCAAAGCCATTAGGAGATATAGGCGAGCGCCCCGTGGGACTGTGAATAGTCGATTCATTTGCCGAATCGGTGTTGATGCGAGTTGGACTGTTCGAGTTGCTGCGCACACCCTTTCGATCTCCAGAGCCCCTTCGGGACTTTGCGCCAAGCAAGCTATTCTTCTGCTTGAATTTCTCCAGCCAGCTCGCGGTCAGCACTTTCTCCTTGCCCTCGGGACACCCGCAGGTGCTTGCGAAAAAGCGCGCCTTCTCCTTGATCATTTCGTCGTTGAGAGGGAAGCCCTGGCGTTGGTAGTTTCGTGCCCAATTTGATAGCGCCTTTTCGATATCGGGGACTCGGCCCTTGGCCCGTTTGATGGGCGAGCGACTTCCGTCATCGGGGTTGAGGTATTTTTCTTTCTGGCGGAGGACCTTGGAAACAGTACTGCGATTCGATGTTAGGGTTATTTTCGGGAAGAGACAGGTCCAAGTGTTCTGGTAATTACCTTCTTTCCACTCCAAAGAGTGCTATACAACATAATAGTCAGCATATAGTCCTCTGAATTGATAAGATACCAGTTTTTCCAATCTTACCTCCAATATCAGTTTGTTTGGCCTGCTTATTCTCCTCATGGTATAAACACATCTGTCGCCTATCCTCATCGGTAAGCGTCCTGCGCGGCGTTGTGCCCCCGGTCGAAGTCTTCCGAATTGGAGGCGTAGGCGCCGAGGGCGAAACCGAGGTTGGGACCGAAACGGGAGGCAATCCCGACTCGTGAAAGGCAGATTGGTGTGTAAGCATGCTTGGCCAGGAATGCGACGGCATTGGGAGAGGCATCGAGGCATAGGGCGGCGGTATAGACATGCCGTAGGTGGCGTCGACGGCCATTAGCGGTGAATGACCATAGTCAAACCCGCTATATTCTGGCATCGGCGGCGAGTTGTGGGGGGAAGTAAAAGTGCCGAGCTCAACCCAGGGCGAATGCGCAAATTCGCTATCTGGCGCTGTGTGTGATTCCGTCTCCATGGCGGTTGCGGAGTCCTCCATGGACTTGTGATGATCAGGACGATTTGAATAGGTACCAGGGGTTTGGTGACAGGGCGTGTGTCGCACGAGTCAGGTAGAGATGCTGGATCAAAGGAAATAAAGGAACCGTCCGGGGGCAGCGAACAATGTGACGGGGTTTCAAAGGTAAGACAATGGAGAATAATGCATGTTCCACCAACCCACCACGGTGAACCGCAAGCTTGTATAGAAAGGTACAGGCAAGGGTCCCAGGGGAGGAGATATTTGCCGGTTAGAAGAAAAAAAGACTGCTTTTGTTTCTTTCTTTTCTTTTCTCGATGCTAGTAAGAATGACCAGCAATAGTACAGTCTAATAGGAGATATCGAGAGAGTAGGAGGAGATCGAAAAGGGTGGTGTGATATAGGTGGAGGTTCCAGTATACCAATATGCAGGAGCCAACCCCAAAGGTGCTAGAGAGAAGAGTCGAAGGAGCGCGCGGTATGCGGGTAAGGCAAAGGACGGAGTTAAAAGGAAAATCAGGGCCAGCCAGGAAGGCGATCAATAAATCGCGTGGATTGACAGAAACGAGTTGAAATCTCGATTGCAACTGGCACGAGAAGGAGACAGTCCGGAGAAATGGCCATAAATCCATGATAACCTTCTTGCCCCCCGAGACAAATACAGCCGATCCTCAAGATGATTGGCCTGGTCATTCAAAAAGTCATCCGAGAAGGAATAATAGCAGGGAAAATGAAAAACAAAATAATAAAAAAAGGGAAAAAAATAATTTTAATATGATGGTCCAGTATGGTCCAGTATATTTTGATTTTGCTGCGCCGTGAGAAGAATTAAAAAAAAGAAAATCAAATTAACCCCCCTGTACCTGTAGAATGGGGAAACAAGAACCTGGTTGGTCCGACGTGCGATATATTGAGTTGCAGGAGTTGCATCTCGTCAGGCCCATATTCTTTCCTGCAGGTTTGCGTATTACCAGGACACCGTATCGTATGGAAACTCTTTCTTTCTGAAGGGCAAACGCGGGATGTCCGGGCATCAAGGTGTTTTGCTTTCTGATACTACCATACCAAGTATGGAGTTATACTCATGGAGGTCTCGCCATAATTACTATTGGTCTTGTCTTGTGGTTTTTGTCATCATCATAATTATTCCCAGCATGCTATAGCCCTAAATGAGGGATATTCAACTGACCAGGTTCTGTGATTTTTCTTTTTGCCCTCTTCCTAGTCCTGGTTCCTGCTTCGGACTATCGGTGGCCCCGAGGTTGACCAGGTTTCTGAACGGGGTTTGGGTATATACGAGCATGATCTAAATACTACAATCGCTCTTTTTGGGCACGCAATTTATTCACTGCGAGGCGGACTCTCAACAATTAACTACCTACCCTATGGAGATAGTAGGATACGATTCCCGCAAGCTCTATAGTAGAGAGGCGGGGGTTTGCGACGGGGCCTCTTCCTCCCCGTCGGCGTGTCCGTGGTTCAGTGTATTTTTTACTTGCCGTTTTGGAAACTGATATCCAATGGCCTTATTTAAACTAGACATATCGCTGCTCGGATCCGTTATTTGATGGCTGTCGGATCCTTCAGCATGACTGGCCGTTGTTAGCGGAGTCCTGCTCTGCACCAATTCCATTCGAAACTGTCCGGGCAAAAGCAGATCACCCGCGGGAACCATACGAAGCTCACTCCAAAGGGGGCCAAGAGTATCGTAGTGATTTGCTGGGGGCTGGATAGCGGATTGATCAAACTAAACTGCTGAATCTAACGCCCGCATGACATCCGTGGTAGGCCAGGACGATCAAGTGGACCAGGGCAAGGGCCGTTTACGCTCCTGCTAGAGATGAAAATGGATAAGGCGATTGCGGCGGTGCTGAATCTCGACTATCGCCTCATCCCACTATCGTTTCGTCCCGTCCCCTTTTGGGATGAGGGTCTCAACGGTCGGTTTACCAAAGCGACCAAGGAGAACATGGTATCCAGCTTCTGGGCCATCTCATGTGATGTCTCTCAGGGCACGGAGCACCGAACTCGGTTGAAGGTCTCCGTAGTGAGGAAATAGTCAGTATACAAAGTTGCGAATAAGAAGCCCGAAGCAACGATCTCTGGCCTGACTGGATGGGTCTGGCCTCGCTCTCCTCTCACTCCATCGGGCCAAAATCGGGGAGGTTGGGGACGGGGAGTGGTGGGTGGCATTGGGGGTGGCATCCAAGATGGGAGGGAGGAGAAGAGCACCTCCCCAGATTGGACGGAGCGGCGCCCATTGTCCATCGCCTTTAGCCAGGCTATAGCCAGCCCAAAACCAAGCCCATTAGCTAGCCCCCGGCCCCGGAGACCAAGTAGAGGCCAAGAACAAGACCAAGACCCAAAGGGACTATTGCCGGATTGGGCGACGATGGATCTCTGAAGGACGTGCCGATCTCCCTTCGTCTTTCCAGTCATGGGGGAAAGGGTAAATTTGTAGGGTTCACGTCTCTGGTTGGCTAGACAAATCAGGGATCCGAACGCATCGAACATCCACCAAGAGATGCCACGGCAAATAGGCAAATGAGGAGCAACAGGATCCTCTGCGGCTGGGCGAATCCCCCGTGGCGATTCGCCTGCGGACAATACCGAGACGATACAAGGGCCGAACATGGTCGTAGCGGCTGGCCCTATCACAGGGCAGAAGAGACCTCTCGGCGAAGATGGTGAGAGAGGGGGGGGAACTCCCTCCCCCAATGATGCGATCGGGCAACTATGGCGCTAACGCTCAGCCCTCGTTTGGACAAACTCCACTTTTGCGACCCACTGCGGTCCTCGACGGGCCGGAAACCTTCAGTAAACAAGAACGTCAAAGGGCCTAGGATCTTCGACAGCTCTGGCACAGATCTTCTCTCCACGGTCAGGCCATCCATGGAACGAAGTGAGTCAAAAAAGGTCAAAGAGACGAGGAAGATAGGAAAGAAATAGATGGAGAAAAGAGGAGAAGAAGATGATGATGACGGTGGTGCAAGACAAGGTGGGAGAATGTTTCCAAAGATAGTACCCCCTCCATAACCATGACCACCGAGATGCCCGCTGACTGGAGGTTGGTTAGGTGCTTATCCAGGCAAGGATTAATTCTCTACAAGAGTGAGCTCCGTCTCCAATGTGGTTGGACATGCTTTTCTATCGCAATATCCCGTATGGTTTCTAATGGGCAGAATCAAGTCCACTTTTTGGGATGCGGTCCGGGTCGCATTCACGATACAGGAATTTGCTAAGAAAGACAGCTAGCAAGTCCCAGCAAGTCCTAGCTAGTTAGTAGCTACTACCCTCTTGCGTGAGGATTTCCCGTGAAGGAAAACCCACAAACATAATATCAATTCAATCCAATCATCGACCAGTAATCCGTGGAAAAATGCAACCCCGCTCGTTCGACAGAAACCACGCGGGACTCGAATGTCAAATCGGTCGGATAATCGATGACTCAAGTGGCATTTTCCCGTCGGGATGGAATGTCTGATTGACAATAAAACCCAAGTGACAAATAGCTTGGTAAGTGCGACAGTTTTTCATTCCCACGCAGGTTGACAGGATGGATGGTCGTACATTCAGACAGCCTGCCAGGGGCGCAGATTAATCGTCGCTGACGAGGCAAGCCTCTTGATTCGACTGCAAGACCAATCATCATGCATCTTGCCGTCGGTTTTTTGGCTAGCATGCGCCAGTCAAATTGTCCATGGCAGAGAAAAAGAAAAACAAAATATCATGTCAGAAACGCAAAGAGGACTAGTGGACTGTGTAGTTCAGTTGCATATCCTTTACCCATCCCGGGATTTGAGCTCGTCGGTCTCCAAGGGCAATCGCATTCGATCAGGCGGGAAGTGGGCTGACGCCATCTTTTTTTGCGAGCCGAATCTTCCCTCGTTAAGTTCGTAACTACGTCTGTGGTGACGAGGGCAAGGAAAAAAAGAAAGAAAAAAGGCTGGCATGATGGCCGCTTAATGGAGACTGGAGGAGAAATCTCGGCTGATCTCTGGCGCGCAAGCCATTACATTATTCATTACTGTAGGGGTGCCTTTCGTCTGGATTGCGATCGGGCTTTGCAGGGTGGTCAATTTCGGAGGACAAGTAGAAAAAAGTCTAGACCGGTCAAGATCAAAATTTATGGTTGCTCTTCTGGTCGGCCTTGCAATATTTGCTTCTTTCGCTTCCCCCCTTCTTCGATCTACGGGGAATCGGGGATTCACAGAGGGACTTGGCTATTTAGATTTGACTAACAAGGCCGGGCGTACAACCTTGAAAAATGATCTTCGCGGGATCGGAATTCCCGTCAAGGCTCAGGAACGGACTGCTCAGGGAACACAGGTTTGCATGTCACAGGTTGCGGTCATACAGTAGATAGAGGATCAAGAGGACGAAGCGGGGGTGTCAGGGCCGAGTTCAGGTACCGATCGACAATAACTTTTTCAAACGGCAATGCACCGTCATGCAAAGACCTTGCAATCTGGACTGGCAAGGATTAATATGTACAGAGTACGAAGCCTGGAGTACTGTACTGGACGACGCCCATCGCCCACCCTATGTAGGCAGAGTGTCGTCGATCGATGCTAGTGGGGTTTGACTAGAGGTAAACCATGGCAAACTCGACAGGAACTGGCCCTAAGTGTGCTTTACCCATGGCATCAACCATTTTCCTCAATCTCTACTTAATATGGATGGATTCCAAATTTAAGACATAGGATGAACGACATAACGGCAAGCAATCCGAAGGTAAGGCTTAGGATTCCGAAGCGTGTGGAGCTCGAAACCTCCAGCCATGTAGATGAACCTGAGCCGTGCCTGCGACTCCGGGGAAGGGCATTGCAGCCCCGCCTAATGCAATGCAATGCAACGAGGTGTGGCGGATGGATCTTCCACGAGCAGGGCCGAGGGGGTCAGTTCGGAGAGGTTCCTGTCGCCAAAGCCGTGATCGGTGCCAGTCCAGTCACCTGATGGAGAAATACCTAAAGAAGTTCACTAGACGGTGAGGTATACATAGAGGATGAGTGATTCTAAAGATATGGAGACTAGAGAAAAAACTAGGTTTGATTGGTGCTTTGCCGATATTCTCACCGTTTATGTCGTGTATGTCATGTACGGATTGTATAGAGTACACTTTTGACTGACCCTTTACTATATAGTGGGCCATACCGTATAAACTACCGTATATGCTTAGGCAAATCCCACCAGACTATTGATTCAACGGTATTCTCATGTCTGGTAGACTAGTTTTCCCCTCGTATACACTAACAATCCCCTCGACCATGGTCCATGTCGTCCAAGTCCATACCTCAATCCATGGCACCAACTGGATCTCCAAGAGGGCACGGATGCAGTAGCTTAGAGTAGCTTGGAGAATCCTGCCGATCTTGTCAACTTAGCATCTGAGAACGGACCAGATCGCGAACCCGTCTCCTCTGTGAGTGTCCGGGCTATCGAGATCGGCGATTTGCGGGCGATGCTCCACTGCGCTAACTCCTCCTCAGCACTAACTGTTCTAAGTGCGCTAACCAACTGCACTAAGGGCCCCTCCGAGGAAGAGGAGGGGAGGGGAAGGGATTACCAAGTACGCTAGACGACTGGTGTCCGCCAGTCTCCGCAGCTTGTAAAAATGATTGTATACGGAATTAATATTAGTTACGGAGAGGAGACTGTATGTAAATGTAAGAATATGTACGGCGGGCACTAAACCTAACGGGAAGAAGAAATTCAAATCCTCCTTTATCCTCCACTCTCCCCATTGGACCGTGACTTGCTAAAGACCTCATCCTCCTACCTGTTGTGGCACCTCAATCCCAGTACACCGAGGGTCACCGGGTCCTTCGGGGTGGTGGAGATGATCAGATAAACGTCGCGAACGCAACCGGGCATTCAATCTCTTTTCACCGCTTGTTGCGGGTGTTCATACCCTTCCCGAAGGATTCCTTCAATGGCATCATCGTTCGTTGCTATCGAACTCTGGCTCAATACGGGAGTAGGGGCCTCCTCTTACCAGAGTTTTCGTTCAATGCCTGCAGCATGTCAATCCCGCCACCCGATGAACGCAGACTATTCAGGGAAAGAAGCTCGAGAGCAGAGCAAAGCCCGGCCCTATCCTACCTAAACAGCACACAAACACGATGGGCTTGGCCCTAGATGGTGGACTGGGTAGGGTAGGTACAGTAGCATGCCCTACCGATTCAACTCGACTCGAATCGAGCATAGATGGGGCGGGGGCCCCTCTCTCCTCCTCGGCTCTCCGTACTTTTGACACGGTCGATCCAAATTTTGGTACCGAGCAGGGAAGAACGTCGCAGGGACACACGGACTGCAGGAAAACGTGCTCGCTGCTCGGTCGACATATCATTTTTGCTTTACGCCGCTTCCCCTCAGGCCCTCATGGCAAAAAAAGCCATTGAACTAGCGCCGCAGTCCTATCGGATCTCGGATATTCCCTCGGAGTCATTAGCCTTAGGTTGCGGAGCGTGCGGGTATACGCATCCCCCCGAATTGAGGAGCCCATCCCATCCATCATGATCACCATTGCCGAATCAACACGAGGGCCTGGGCTGGGAGGGGCCAGACGGGGCCAGAAGGAGGAGGAGGGGGACCATAAAAAAAGACTGTTACCTTTAGCTTGTAGGCTTGAAGGGTCAGTGCACTGCGGGCGGAAGGAGGGTCGCAGCCTGACTGTTTCTGCACGCTATGCACACCATAATTGCCTTTCAAGGGAAAGGGAGGGAAAGGTGGATATGGAAGATGGGCGATGACTCGATGAGGAGGGGGGAGTCCGCACCCGTTCGAAGCTGTCAACTGTCAACTCATGGGGGCCGCGGAGCTTTGACCTGAGCTGACTGGAATCAATCGACCCTCCAGACCAGAACCCGGCGGCAGATCGGCGAAAGGGGAAACCGGCTCAGTTCCAGATTGGGGGTGGCTTGACAGGGGAAAAAAAGTGACATCTTCTGATGGTGGGTGGTTGCTGGTTGTCAATTGCCCTGAGGCTTGCCAGCCTCGTTAGAAAGTAATTGAGCCGTCATGTCGGGGTTCAGTTTAATCAGGAAGAAGGCAAAAATTCTAACTAACTAGCAAGGATTGTCGTGCGCCTGCGGCATAGGAGATGTTCCAACATGGAAAGACGCCAGGTTGGGACCGGCATCGACTCACGCGGGATAGCAGCCATGGCATCTGGGACCGATAAGGATATGGGCCTGCATCTCTAGTTTAGTTACAGTAGTGCGCCTATACTATAAGCGTGGCATCCTATATACCGGGTGTATCATTGGCCCATGAGAACCCCTCTCTGGCTCAGTAAATCCATGCATGTCGCATATCGGTCAAGGCAGAGTGTGGCTTGCTTTTTAGACCCTGGTGGGTTGCATACTCGATATTAAAGTGCAAGGCGGTTGGGCAACAAAAATGCAATTTCAAGAAATTCGTTCATTGGATGGTGCAGAAAAATTCTGACAGTAGTCCACACACCCCGGAGTGGCGATGATAGTGAGGTACTGTAGGTCATGATACCGTACTTATGCAAGTCTGGTCCGGTTTGCTATGCCAGGCGTCGATCTAGAACTTTTTATTTGCCATTTCATGATGCGAACAAAGAGGATCGACTCGCGCAACAGTGAATCAAAGGGTAATCATAACAATATGGGCCGGTCGCTGCAAGGACCATACAGAGTATCAAAGAAACCAGAACTGAAAAAAAAGAAGAGAAAAAGAAAAGTCTTGTATCCGCAAAGACCGATCAAAAGAGAAAGAAAAACACATCCATCAACCTTTCCCCTCGTGCGGCCCCTGAGGCCGATATGCAAATTCATCGGGCCTTTCTCCAACTCGACGAGCTCCCTCGTGGACCTCAGGTCACACTGCACTCGGGAGTGCACCAGGGGGCCACAGGAGTATGAAAATCACATTGAGCAAGCTGCGTATGCGCGGCTCCGAAAAGAGTTCGTTCACAGCCCAGTGATCAATCCCTTCCTCGACAAATCTGAACTCGTTGAGGCCCCAATTCGATGAAAACTTGTCCGTGCGAAGAGAGCTTCTCTTGCCGTCCGACCACACTGGGATTCCGTGGCGTCTTACGGGGATCTGTGACCCAAATCTTCCCCGTACCTGTCAGCATGGAGATACAGGGGTGCAAACTCGTGCTGACTCCGACCACGGGCCAAGACCCAATGTGATTGAGATTGACTCGTCAATGTGCACGGGGACGATGACGGTCAACAATTGTGATGAAATTCTTTAACGCTTCACAATAGACACTAAAATCGGGAAGGTTAGTTTCGATCCCGGGGGTAAAGCAGTGGATTGTTGGATGGCAGGGTCAAACGTACCGATATCCTCGTCAGCGAGCTCGTGCGCAAGACCAACTCGTTGCGGCTGGTGCTTGACGGAGCGACCGTACACAATAGCATGCTTGAACTGGTCCTTGATCGTTCGGTGAATGGCATTACACTGTCTCTGATTAGCGTGGCTCAATTGACCGTCACGGGTAGAGAGGTGCATACGAAGTCTTCCACAGTACATCCCGTAGCACGAAGCACAACAGGTGCTGTGTAATCGGGAGCGCGGCCCTTGGGCTTGGTATAGACTCTGCGCAGGTTGAGCTTCTCCCACATCATCTCCAGAAGCTCGTCAATGTTCCAGCCGTGCTCTGAACTGATAGGAACGGCATTGGGAATGCGGTAAAGAAGGTCCAGCTCTTCGATGGAAATAGCATCGATCTTGTTGAGCGCATAGACGACGGGAATATAAGCTCGGCTCTTGGCTTCTAGAACGTCAATCAAATCATCAATAGTGGCGTCACAGCGGATGGAGATATCAGCAGATGAGATCTTGTACTCGTTCATCACAGCTTTGATTTCCTGAAAACAAGTTCAATCAGTCGTGGATCACAGGGCCAGAGAAGACACAATTATTACCTCTTGAGAGATGTTGGTCAGAGGAACAGTGCTTGTGATCGCGATACCACCCTTGTCCTTCTTCCTGAACACAATGTTGGGAGGTGACTTGTTGATACGAATACCAAAGCCCTCCAATTCGTTTTCAATGACTCGCTTATCAACCAAAGGCTTGTTCACATCGAGAACGATGAAAATCAGATGGCAAGTCTTGGCCACAGCAATGACCTGACGACCACGACCCTTACCATCCTTTGCACCTTGGATAATACCAGGAAGATCGAGAATCTGAATCTTGGCACCGTTATACATAACCTGTCCGGGAACAGTCGTGAGGGTCGTGAACTCATAAGCGGCAGCTATTCGACGATATCAGCCATTGATCAACGCAGGAATCTTTCTTCGAGACACACCTTCCGAATGCTGGCCAGTCAACTTGCTCATCAGAGTACTCTTGCCGACGGAGGGGAAACCGATGAAGCCACTGTATTCGCCATAAGTATCCTGCTTTTCTGAATAGTATCGTATCGTCGTCGAGTCTTGACTTACACACTGGCAACACCAGTACGCGCGACATCGAAACCGGCTATAAAACGTCAAAATTAGAGGTTATCCGGAAACCCACAGAGGTTCAATATTGGGCAGCACTCACCACCACCGCCACCACCTCCTCCAGACGGGGTCAACAGCTCTCGCTTGAGCTTCGCAAGCTTTGCCTTCAGTTGTCCTGCACCGATTGTCAGTCCGGTCGATTTTTATTGGTCTCGAGCGTCTTTGTTCGCGGGGTAATCGTACCCAAATGGAAAGAGGTGTTCTTGTTCTTCTGAGTCCGAGCCATCTCGGTCTCGATCTCCTTGATCTGTACCCAGCCATACCCTGATTAGCGACTGTCTGCGATGCGATTTGATTTTGAACGAGCAGAGCGAGGCGGCGCACTAACCTTGTCAATGGTAGTCGACATTTTGGCGGTTGAAATATATGTCTGTCGGGAGAGAGTGTATGTGTTCTATTTCAACAAGGAACAGGAGTCACTCGAGATTAGTTGACTCCCTCGTCGTGTAGCAGGACAAATTCGCAGCGAAAGCGATAAATTGACGGAGAAACAATCTTTGAATTGTGGCACTCTTTCTTAGTCAGGGCGGGGTGCTGGCCTGAGGCACTAATCTATGTCATTGTGTGCCTACTATTTCAGGCATGAATGCTACTGCCTCAGGCCACAATATACTCCTTATCGATTATCGTCTCTCAAAATGGCAGGAATTTTAAAGATGGCGACCAGACAGTTCTCCCATCAAGTCGTTCAATCTCGTCATTCCGAAGTTCGGTGGTTAATCGCATCTGCGTTACTTTTGTGTGACATGGTGACGCTGGAATGATCGATTCGCACATCTTGATCTCAACCGGGAGAAGTGCATAAAAGAGCAGCATTCTTCCCATTTTACATCCCGAGTGCAAGTCCGATAACGGGCCTTCCGGTTTGAGCCTGACGTGTATGGTTTGATCCGACTGTCAACAAAGTCAACAAAATCTGATACTGGGATTTCGCTCTCACAATGCCGTTCATTCAGAACGAATTTGGTTCGCCCGTCAACACAGAAAAGTCCGTCGTGGCCTTCGAACAACTCGTCGAGGACCTAAGTGCTGCTCTCGGGCCCAGCTCAGGTCTTGACTCTGATGATGTTGATCCCATGAATATCCAACTTTTGATGGAGCGATACATCTCGAACCAGGAAGAATGGGGTCCATATGCTCTGGGTGATGCCAGCCGGGGTTATACCAGAAATCTCATCGATGAGGGGAATGGCAAGAGCAACTTGGTGAGTCGATCCTCAATACTCTATCCAAGCCCAGATGACTCCGTTTCGAATCGATTTCCTGACTCTGATCTTAATCAGTTGATTCTTGTCTGGAGTCCCGGGAAGAGTAGTGCAATTCATGACCATGCAAATGCACACTGTGTGATGAAGGTACAGTCAACTAAGCAGACCTTATATGACGGATCCACATCCTAACTTCATCAACAGATACTTAAGGGAAAGCTCAGAGAGACCCTCTACTCTTGGCCAGATAAGAAGAAGATCGAGCAAGGAGAGACATCACCACCTCAGATTACTCGGGAAACCACCTACGAAGAAAACCAGGTGACTTACATGTCGGACAAGGTTCGTCATGATCTCAGAGTACGATGCCAATCAGAATGCTAACTGACTGCAACAGCTTGGTCTTCACAGGATTTCCAATCCCGACCCAGACGACTTTGCCATTTCACTGCATCGTAAGTGAGCCCGAGTCTCAACCCAGACAACCCTTCTCTAGTGTGATCTTCATTTGTGTTACCACTTGATACTAATTTCTTTGCAGTCTACACACCCCCTAATGCTGCCAATTACGGTTTCTGTCTCTTTGACGAGAAAACTGGCAAGTCTATTCACATCAAACAAACAAACTTTTACTCTGTCCGTGGCAAACGGCTCAACGACGGACATGAGTAAGATACAGTCCCGTTTACCAAGATGGGCAGAACTCCCTTGTGAACAGAGAAGGTCTGAAGATTGTGTCTCTCCACTCCTACCACTTCCCCTCGGATATCCTTACATTTGCTTTTGCCATTGTCCTAGACAGCGTCCTTGGTGGAGAGCTTCTGGCACGCTCAATGTTTTGAGCGTCTTCCCTAGATCATCATGGGGTTCGATTCTGCGATTGTACATGGCCCCCTTTCCTGTCATTTGTGGATTCCACATCCTTAGTGAACCGCACATCAGCATAGCCATTATTAATGATTGAATGACAATTATCCATTGATCAATCCACCTACTGAATATCGTGGAGAACCGGGGCCCCGCTTCATTCTGGAGTGACCGGGGTATAAACTAACTCACGGATTTTATGGTAAATGTGACTAATAATTCCGAAACTCCAAATAAGATTTGGGGTAGCATGAGAACCCGAGACATTCTAAGTTTGAGCAGGGCGCTTATAGCTCATTTGAAGGTTCGGGGCGTTTTCCTTGAGACAGGTAATCTCGTGTTGAGCCCCACTGTATCATTGTACGCTGACTGCCGTTCAGGCCCAAGAAATGCATCTGAGTCTGCCGTGCTGTATTTCGTGTCTCTCAGCATGCACTACTGACATATGGAGGTAGTGAATAGGTAGTCCCAGGTATCCCAGACCATGATCCTCACGACACTAGCATCTCAAAACATTCAAGCTACTTTTCAAGGAGAGACTTCATTAGCCAGTAATGTGTATTTGTATGTCTAGCTTCTATTCTATAGAAACGCATGCCATGCAAAGCAAAACACCAAGCTATCTATATGCAAATATGCAAATGATCCATATAAAAAAACGCATCCCAAAACATATACATCAAAACATAAAAACCACTGCACCAGGTTCTCAACTTAAGTAGAAGAGCAGCTAAAGCTGGCGCTGCTGGTATTATCATGAATAGCCGTGCCAGAGGCATACAGACCCAACACGCAAAGCGCCAGACCGAACAGGGCAATAGCAACGTTCAGAATAGTCAAGGCAATCTTGCGCGGGGAAGCAAACCATTGACCCGCGTTCAAGTGCAGCCAGTAAACACCGGACAGACCGTAACTGAACCAGGAAGCGAACAGGGCGCTGATGAGGGAGTTCAGATCGCTGAAGACGGGGATAGCCTCGGCAATGATCCAGGCGACGATCCAGCAAGACACGCCGAGTCCGAGCCAGAGACCGACGGACTTCCAGTTGCGTTGGTGCATCAGGTCGGACTTGGCGGTGAGGCGGAAGTAGATGTACTTCAGGCCGATGTGGCCATTGACGACGCCTGCGCCGACGATGGTGGGGATAGCGATGCCGAAGGCGACCTTCTTCATAAGCGGGCCGGCGGAGATCAAGGCGGGAGACTCGACGTCCGTGCCGACGTAGTAGTAGATGACGACGGCGGCGGTGAGGTACAGGACGATTTCGAAGCCTTGCAGCATGAAGAGGGACTTCTTGAAGTCCTTGGGGGTTTCCATTTCGGCGATGAGCCCGAAGAAGGCGACGTGGGCGCAGTAGGCGAAGACGATGTTGGAGACGGCCTGGAATGCGGTGTACAGGTTTGTCTCGACGGTGGCTTCGATGATGCGGCCGGGATGCTCCTCCACGCCGACGGAGATCATGGTGATCATGACGGCGCTGAAGATGGAGAGGAAGGAGGCGAAGGAGATCCAGGTCATGCCACGCATGGTGCGGGGGATGGACAGGGCGAGCGAGATGATCATGCCGACTAAACTGAAGACGATCGAGCATGTGCCGTGCTCGGTGATGGTGTTCATCATGACGCGGAAGGTCAGGATGTGACTGCCCATGACGAAGATGCAGAACAGGAATTGACCGGCTCCGAAGAGCTCACGGCCAAACCGACCGAGCAGGATCTCACCGGCATCAGCCAGGTTCTGGATGTGCGGGTAACGCTCACGCATCAGGCCAATGTTATATCCAGTATAAGTGGCCAGCAGACCCAGGCCAATGATAAGAATCACACCACTGGAGAAAGAAGATATGTTAATACTCGTCCTTCTCTGGTCATTATGGAATTGGAAATACTCACGGCACCAGGCCCAATGTAGCCACTGCAGAGGGCAATGACAGGACACCCAGCGAGACAGACTCGCAAATCATAAGCAGACCACATTGCCACCACTTCAAAGTCTTGTACTTGATCTCGGCATATTCCTCGTTACCGAAGGCATCGGCGACCTCGCCATGCTTGAGGCCACCCTCCTCCTCAAAGTTAGGCGTGTGCTTCTGCTCGCCAATCTTGTCATTGTGATAGGCCGGAGGCTGGGGCGTCACGGACTCCATATTGACGTGAAACTTGATCAATAGACAGCAGCAATAGAAGAATAAAAATCAAAGAACAATGCTAATGCTGAACTAGATCCACAAAGGTCAATCCCACAGTAGCCTTGTCTTGAAGGTCGTCACTCAGCCAACAAGAAACAAGAGAACTAAAAGCAAAGAGCGAGAGGAAGTATAAGAATGAGAGGAAAGAGGAGTCGTGTAGAGAAGAAAACGGGGGAACTCAGGACTGGGGTACAGATTCAATTAATAACAGAAATCTCACCAGCCTGCCAATTTGAGTTTCGGTATCCCCCCATTCTCCGCAGGGCCGATGTTGCCCCCGTGGGAGCCACCGGGAGGCAAATCTGCACCAAATCTGCATCGAACGTCCCATGGAAGACCCGCCGAACATTCCGTGGGCGTCCGTCATTGGTGTTTGGTTTGTCAGTCGGGCCGACTTTCGGATTATCAGCCAATCAGACACCCGGAATGGGGACTATAACGGGGCGATGGAGACCATGTAGGTAATGAAAAAGGTCACCCAAATGACTAATGATGTTGCGTTGAGGGCGTTTCCCCTCACGGATTACGGATTTATTCAATTAATAAGTTTATTCAGTCCTAGAAGATTGGTCGTACGATGCGAGAGCTGGGGATGAGGGGCAGCGGACTCCGTAGGGAGGGTCTCGCGATGCATGTTCTTTGGATGAATCCCCAACCGATCGCCGTGCACCTCGGAGGACTGGTCAGACTCCCCGGTATGAGGAGTACTCCACGTGTTTTAGACTTTCCGAGCCTTCCATGAGTGTGATTCCATTCGAAAAACTGGCAGCTGGCTGTGCTGTCTTGTCGCGTGGGTTGCCAAGCTGCACAGCAGGAATGATAATGCGGCATGTCCGAATTCTACCTGTGTAGGCATGGAAATGCGGCTCAATATTCCTCCCCTAAGCCTTCAAGCCCGTCAGCAAGCCACAAAGAAGAAATCTCTGCAATCGACACGCGTACACGGCTCAAAAGTTCCGAGCCAGGGTCCCTGGAAGAATCTTGACGTCGAAGTTGGACGTTTAGGGTTTCGCCATCCAGAGTCACGAGACCAGCCACACATCAGCCAACACGAAGAGGAAGAACAATCCGAAACAAGAAAACTTTAACAACATCAGCCACCAACGATCCAGAATCATATTGTTAATGAGTGCTGTACCTACCTAAAAAGTAAAACAAATTCTACGTAAGCCACTGCGGCCACCGTCCGAAATTTCACAGCCAAGCAGCAGCCAAGCAGAACCCAGAATCGACCGCCTATTTTCACTCACCGGTTCGCCACCCGATTTTAAGTTAATTTTAGGCGTAGATAAGCATCTTCCTAATTTTTCTTCCCGACCCGCTCATTGGCTTTAGTCCTCGCAGCCGACGCGTGCTAGACTCTGCTAGGCTCTAGTTAATCTGGCGCCCCTAGGCCCGCGGCTTGTCGGTCCTATCATATAATCAGGCAGGTCTATTTGTGTGGTGAAGAATAAGGACGCGGGACAAGGAGTAATTCTTCTCCTAGCGAGCTTGGCTGGATCGCCGGCCTTATTCATGTTCGGGGTTTGTGGTCGGCATTGGAGATAAGAGTGTATTGTGAGTGGGGAAGACATCCACAATGAAATTGTTTTGGAAATAAAGGAAATTTAAGCGATGGCCATGGGGGAAGAAGCTCTTAAATGGATGTTTGGAATGCGGAAGATAGAAATTCATTGTGGACGAGCTGATGCTTGATGCAATGTACAAAATGCAAAATGGGACGTATGCAAGACGCCCTAGTATCTCAAACAGGACACAAAGGGAAAAAATGGAAATCAGGCAGAGCAATGAAAAAGTAAAAGAGGCTGCAAAGAAGAGGAAACAACAAAGAAAGAAAAATTAGGAGTTTCTCCGCTAAATCATCGCCAAAACACGATAATCATACTTCCAAATCAGGAACTGCACGTTCCCCACTAGCAACTACATTCTACACAAAGCAGATGTAGATGCAGCTACCCCCGGGGCCGGAGGGCCAATCATTAGTAAATGCAAACGAGGCCTATCCTCACTCTGTAGAATAAGTCCCGGGCTTTCTCGCAACCGCAGCAAGCCGCTCATCTAACCGCTCGGGGTGCTCCAAAACCTCGGACTGCCGGCGGCGCAGTTCTTCCAGACTGGCCAGGGGATTCTGTAAACCGCCATAATAAGTACGTTGCTCGGAGGACTTCGGAAAACGCATCAACCGTGACACCCACCCAGTCCTGCTGGCTTGGGACCCCCTCGGCAGCAGGGAGGGCAGCCGTGCCGGAAGCATCATACTCGTCGCCGTCGCCGTCGCCGTCGCCGCCGATGCCAATGCCTCTGTTGCGATGGATTGGCGCAGGCGTCACAGGTAGACTGGGGCGCTCGACTTCGGTGGGGAAGTCGGTGAGAATGATGCTTGGCCGGTGGCCGGAGGGGGGTCCTGAGATGGTCGTTGTGGATGAGCTGGTGAGGTCTTGGCTGGACCGTGTGCTCGTGCTTGGGTGGCTGGATCCTGATATCACTTGTGTGGGGGCGCGTCGTGCTTGTTGAATCGACTCGATATAACGTTGGATATGCGGGTCTTCGTCCCATGCGTTGGAGCGGGTGTATGAATCCCAGGTCTCGGCGGAGGGCTCGTAGGGGACTCGGAGTGGTAAGATCTCAGGTAGAGATGGTGACTCGCTGGGTGGCACTGGGAGAGGTTCTTCTAGTGATGAGGCTTCAGGGAGAGGGTGCTCTGGAGCAAAGATACGGGTGGGTTTGGGCGCATGGGTTTCCCAAGGGAATAATAGTGTCACCCGCTGTGGCTCTGGCTTGGTCGGAGGAACTTGATAGTACATGTTTTTAGGTGCCTCAGGGTAAGACGGCGGTGGTTGGAACAGCGCCGTATCTTCGGACATGGCGTAAGTTTGGTGGTGGAGGTTGGCTGCCTCTGGCCTGGATTGCAGTGGTGGTGGCTCTCTTTGAAGTGTAAGCAGGTAACCCTTGAATAGTGAAACAAGTACAAAATCAAATTCTTACCGTGAGGCATCCCATTCTGCTCGAGGCGCTTCGAAAGATGGGACCTCTGGCTCTGGAGGAGGTGAAGGTTGGCGCGGCTCATTCACAGGTCTCGGGGGTGCTACGGGTTGTGGGTGGTGAATAGTTGGACCCGAGCTTTGAGGTTGTGGGTGGTGGTGCTGCTCTGGAGGAGCGTCAGGTTGCTGGTGATGACTGGTTTCATGCTGTTGGTGAGAGCTGCGGTAATGGCTGTGGTATTCTCTCTGGACTTGGAAAGCCGGTATTTGAGCATGGGGCAGTGGCGGAATGTATGTCGAAACATGTTCTTCGCCGCGTACATACTGCGGGACTGCGCTCAGTACTGGAATCACTGGTGCACTATACCCCTGTACTGTCTGCTGGGTATCATGAGTAGCTTCTTGGTCACCGGAATCTTGCTGCCAGGTAGTATCTTGTGCCTGTTGTCCGACTGATGTGTGTGGTTCAACTGGCACGGGAGCTGGCATGTCATGGGTGTGAGCAGCATCATAATGGAAGTTTGCGGGGGTATCGTCACTAGGTTGAACATATTGAGGTTCTGTCACCACTTCACCATAGGTTTCCCCAGGTTGTTCCTCGAAATGAACCCTCTTCGGCGTATGACTTGATGCCGACAGGGGACGACCTAGATAAGCACGCGCGCCACTCTCAAGCTGGGGAGTAGATACCTAACAACCGATTAGTCTAAAATCACCTCAAGTTTCCCGGTTCAAACTCACAAACGGCGGCCGATAATGCCTATCATAAATCGACCACCACCGAGCCAGCAACTGATTATACGGCGATTCCAACGGCACCACTTGTCGCGGCAAAGTCCACGGCTTCTGCGCCCCAATGAAATGAACCAAACTAATCGACCCCTGGAAATGCTTATACGCAGGGATATACTGGTAGTTCGCACTCGGGGTACAATTATACGTGAAGCTCAACCGATGCCAGTCCCGGAAATGCATATTGAGCAGACCCTGATCCGCACCATCGAAGCTAATGCCCCGTTCCGCCAGCGCCTTCAGTGCATAGTAATCTTGCAGATTAGGTCGCAGCACCATCAGCCCACTGTTAAAGCAATCTGGCCAGCCGACGTCCGGTGCCGCGGCAAAGTCGACCTCGAGCTTGAGCAGTTCATCTGGAGCGCGGACGGCCACGACATCGCAGTCGATGTAGACGATTTTCGTGAATTGGGTCAGGCGCCAGAGCTCGATTTTGGTGAATGTTGCGATGAGATCCGGACGATCCATCAACCAGAGGTTTGCGGGGGTGCCGTTGACCAGTGAGGACACTGGGATCAATTCATCGTAGACGGTCTGGGGTAGCAAAAGCCAGTTAGTTGCAGATAGTTCAAACGGATACAATTGCTCTGCAACTCAGACGATAACACACCTTTAACTCGTTGATTGTTGCTTCCCGCAGTTTTTCCGGTGTGTACAAGACCACCAATCGCGCCTTTGTGCCATTGTCGCGCAAGGAATGCGCCAGGACCATAGCACCTAGATCGAAGAGCCTCGAATTAGATCCAAAGCGCCGATCACACGCATAAAGTAACCAATTGCTTACCCGGCAGGTATGAATCGCTCAACAGGAGCTGGCGAATAAATCTCCATTAGCTTTCCATAATTCCGATCCAGAAAGAAGGGAGAGGAGGGAGAGGGGATGGCCAAACCGTGCAGTAAACGGCACTCCGCTCGGACGCCATGACGTCCCTCAACAAAAAACGAGATTCCGGGCAACTGTCTCTCCTTCCAGGACAATCAGGCAACGCGACAAATTCTCAATCTTTCCACGGAGGAGAGAAAGGATTGAGCCCGACCGATGCCTATATCTATCGTGGGTTGTGAAGAGGGGGAGAGGGTACGCGCTGTTCAGTGGCGCGACAATTCAGTTCGGACTGGCCCCCGTCAACAAGGCGGTCCCTACGGGGACTGTGGTACCTGGAGGAGGAGTCCTGGACCGGACAGTTCGAGCGGACGAAAACGGGTTGACGTTCACCAGCACTGCAGCATCTCTGTGTAAGGTGAGAGAATGGTTTTCGTGAGGGTCAATCAGGGGTAAAACAGTTTAGGGATTAGAAAAGGAAAAAGAAGAGGGATCGAGCGTGAGTTGGTAAAGTTTGAAAAGGTTGACCAGGTTGTTCGGGTTTCGAAGGTTGGGGAAAGCTAAGATGGAGAAGCTCCGAGAGCTCCTCACTTAGTCGGCGGGGGTGGCGGGAAGAAGTACGATGACAGGTGGAGATTACTACCTAGGAAATAAAGAGGGGGTTTGGATGCACACAAAGAAAGAGATGATAATCATCCCATTGAATTAGTTCTACAGCGACCAAGTCGTTACAAGTTTCACGAAATCCCCAAGTTGTGACTCCGATGATCTGAGGGTTTCCCGTTTTCCCCTCACCGAATCCACTTTGGGGACGGAAGACCCGCCATTATGTGTCCGATCTTAACTGTTTGATCTCAATTCAAGATGAATTCTGTTTGACTTAAAAACATAAACATATAGCCATGTAGCCTAGGAACTGAGTTGCCCTCGGGAATCCAGTTCCTGTCTACCTGAAACTGACTGGAGAATTAGAAAAAAAAAAAAAAAAAAAAAAAAAAAAAAAAAAAAAAAACAAAAGCCTCCGGTGGCCGTTTCGGGGGCCCGAGAGGTGGTCGGGGCGCGTCACAATTATGCAAGACGCCCTCGTACATCATTAGAACAAAAATCCTCCCTAGCAAAAGAACTCGAAATAGATCACTCACACACTGAAACTCATAGCAAACCACCGACATAAAAAGTCATCTCTCCCCGAGTAGACAATTCAATTCCACATCCTCTTCAGCCTTATCCCCCTCCCGCATTCATCGCCGCGCAATGACCTTAGCGCTAGGATAACATTCCTGGACAACGGAGCCGATATCGCCCTTCTCCCCATTCACAGCCCACTCAACAGCCTTCACCAACGCAACCCGACTCTCCTGCTCGATCGGCGTGAAATGGCCCGACTCAGTAAGCATAACGACCTGACTATCCGCGACAAGATAATCCGCCATTCCATCCAGGCATATCTGCGGATTCAGCGCAATATCCTGCTTGCCCCAGAACACGGTCGAGCTCGCCTGCAGAGCACCGGGGGTTCCTTCGTCCAGTAAGCCCGCTCCGCTGTTCGCACGTCGGAGCTCGGGGCCGCCAGAGATGCTGTGCAGGTTGGCGACTGTCTGGGGGGATTTGCGCCAGCGAGATATGGATGCGCCGTCGCGGTAGTACCCGGCCATGTTTAGGATGTTGGCGAAATCGTGGGTATATTTGATGGTGGCTGGGTAGGAGTCGCCGTTGGCGGTTTGGGTTTTGGACTCGGCGAGGGATGGGCCCATGCTGCTGGCCATGGAGGTGCCTTCGTCACTGGGGGTGAACTCGCCTCGTCCGTGTGATCCCTTGTGAATGCCTGCCATGAGGGAGTAGTTGCCTCCCGTGAGGAAGTAAGTTACCAGCGTAGGAGGTAATTGCATGGCAAAGACGTAGCCCGACATCTTGAGTTGGCGGAACAAAGGACCCAGTGTTCGCAGGGCCTGGAGCAATGGGGCACGAGATGATAGTGGAGCAGCCAAGGCAGTATTGAACATTTTAGATGCCGATGTTAGCATGCGGCGGACATTAGACCCGGCCAAGCTCATCTATCAAAGAAGAACATAAGCATTCATACCCGAAAGGCCGAGATAAAACTAGGTGTCAATGAGAAAACATACCAACGGCCCATTAGACAGAATGAACCGGTGTGCCAGCGACGGTGCCTCAGCAGCAAGTCGCATCGACAGCACACAACCCCAGTCATGAGCAACAATGATGACCCGCTTCTTATTCGTCTGGGTCCCCTCATCAACGCCATATTGTGCGCGGAGGGTGATAATGAGCTCTGTCAATTTCTCCAACACGGCGGTAGCCGTGTATTTCTCCAGACTTTCGCTACCACCGTATCCGGGCAGATCAATGGCAACGAGATTAGCGGAGCTTTGTAGAGATGGTGAACTGGCGATATGACGCCAAATGGCCCAACTGTCGGGGAATCCATGGATAAATATAACCAGCGGTCTATCGGACACTAATGCAGATGGGGAGCCAGGAGCTGCATTGCTCATAAAATGGAACTTGAATCCGCTTTGGAGTGTTATAAAGTAGTGGGAAAGACCGGCGTAGTCTTTGGAGAGGTTCCACAGACGATCGCGAGCTATGGATCCACCATGTCAGTAAAGATATTTCTTAATTCAATATGGTCTGGCAACCAAAAGAAAATGAATAGAGATGGGTCAAAAATGATTGACTAACCAAGCTGCAACTCAAGATTCTGTCTTTCAGTGCGTTTCTTGAAAAATGTGCCTCTTCTGGTGGCCAAGTATCCATAGAGGAACAACGTGAAGAGACCATAGGCAAAGGCGGCCAGCCTGGTAACGGCCTTGGTGATGAAGGTGCCCATGATGGAGCGACAACCAGTCAATGGCACATCTGTTGAACAGGGGTAAGAGACTTGGGAAAGTAAGCAGCACAGTAGAATTATTATAGCAACTGAAATTCTAGCGGCATAGGCACGGTCTTCGGTACAGTAGCCCAAAAGAAAAGCTCCGAGAGCTCCATCAGCGGGGGACCTCGGATCTTTGGCAGCTCTTGGTAGGTTGTTTCGTCACTCTGGTTTAGTCAGCCCCAAGACGGGCCCGCTCTCTCGCAGCCCTAGCCACTTCGGGGCTCAGCAGATTTGCATAAGGTTTGATATTCTGCATTCTGCTACATGGGAAAATTATGCAGGTCCCATCTCCCTGGGTCTTGGAAAATCATCATCGATACAAATGCTTTTATCGTATTTTAAAGGATATACATCGAGATGCAGCATCGGACAAAATCCACAAAGGCTCCCATCTCGGAAAACGCCAACTTCCCTTTCACACATGCAGGTAGATCAAGTAAAAAAGAAACGTCAAAGATCTGACAACAGAAATAAGTCTGGCTGTGGTTCAATGGAATAGAAAAAAGGGTATTAACACATAGTTGGAATGATGCAAGGAGAGCGACATGTCAGGAATAAAGGCACAAAGCCAACAGAAGGGAAAAGGCCGTAATCTCGTTGAGGTCCCGCAGGATGCTGAATCGGGAGTTCAGTCAGCTGATAGGCGGGGATATTAGGGTATATACACAAGGGCGACATCTAGAAAGAACAGAGAATGAAGATAGGTGCGACACTCAGAGGGTGTAGCCTATTTGGTCGCGCTTGTCGTCGACTAGACGGCCATATCTAACAAAAGAGATTGATGTTAGCAAGGGCATATAATACCATGTGATAGATAGATCAAACTTACTCCAGAAGGAGGCGGAAGAACCAGACCTCCAGGTCTTCATTCCGCAATACTTGCTGTGCCCACTGCTGGCCCTGGGTGGCAATCTGAGGGGCAGCCCTCTTACCCTCTTCCTCCAGGGTAAAGTACCGCATGCTCTCCGTATATTCATTGCCTTTCAAACTGAGCGGCACATAATGCACCCACGGCTTCAGCCACTCATCGTGCCACTCGCGGAAGATCGCAATCTTGTAAACGAAGCTGTTACTATGAAGGAAAGCATAGAATCGACCACTGAACGCATTTCCGTCAATGTCAACCAGATACTTGTGGGCCCATGCATCCTGCTGTCCAGCAGCTTTGACGACGTCAAAGTATTCTTCTTGTGCGTGACAGTCATCAGGATCGCATTGGCCGATCATCGTGAACTTGACATCGAATGAATCACGGTAGATATCCTGGCTGACGTTCTGTGAGACCCATGAGCCGTCTTGCTGCTGTGCGAGAACTTTGGTGGGTTCCAGCGAGTTGACGTTGTCCACAAACTGTTGGCGATGCTGACGACGCCAGCCACCGGCACGTGAGAAACCACCAGTCGTGGACCCGCGCCAGTACATGCGATCAGACTTGGCGTCCCAGCTGTAGTCCTTGTATTTTTCGTAGGGAACCTTATCTGCCCAATACCAGGGACTCGGGTAGAGAATGTCCTGGAAGCTGGAGATCTTGCTTTGCGAGAAGACTGGGAACAGATCGTGAACAACGTCGAACGCATTCGGGCGATCGAAAAAGCCGTACGTGTATCGAAGGGAAGGAGTGTGGCAGATATCGGAGAAGGCGCTGGTGTTGTAAATGAAGCCCAATTCGCCGTACGCGTAGGAGGTGTCATTATCCGGGGCGTCCTCGTCAAGAGATCGGGCAGGGCTATCGACAGGGCAAGAAATTCGGGAGTTGGTCCAGGTCGGCTGGTGAGCAAATCGGTTGAAGCGAGTTGTGCGCACCTCGTCGATGCGATCGCCCTTGTTCAAGTCAGCAGCACGAGGCGACCATCCATTGGTCGCGGTCTTCCGGTTGAAGGCAGCGGGAATGGCCTGGTCCGTCGCAGTCTGCACCAGACGCTGGAGGTCTTCTCCAGGGATCACCACGCGGGGCTCGTCGTGGGTGTTGAAGACCAAGTCCATATCTGGCAGATACTTGACGAATTCCTTCATCATGCCAACCGTGGCGTCACGCTGCCACTTGCGACCGTCACCACCACCTTCCGTCAAGGTCACCTTGCCATCTCGAATCAGCAGTCCGATCACCGCATTGTCAAAGCCCAGGGTCTCGCGAGCGCGGGCGCGAATGGTCGCTGGCTCCACGGCCCAGAATGGCAATAGGGAGTGGTAGATGGAGTCAAACTCATCGATGAGTTTTACACCCTTGGCCTGAGCGAACTGGAACCACTTGTCGAAATGCGGCGGCGGATGCATCTTGTAGCGGCGCTGGTACTCCTGGACCGCCTCGGCCAGGGTTTTCGATTGGCGCGACTGCACATGGTCGAAGTTCTGCTGCGCATTCTGGATCAGGCTGGAGACCGGGTGCACTTTCTCGGGCGGGTAGGAGGTCTGGCCCGGATGGAGTTGAGGGTGTTTGATGGGTTCGGGGGAGGGAGGTCTAGCGGTTCATTTTGGGGAGTTGGCTCGGGACGGAGGAGGACGAGCGAGAGGCATGCGAGGAGGACGATGGCGAGCAGAAGGATCAGCCGTTGGGTGCGCATCGTGCCATTTGAGAGAGGCATGAGAACCGAGTGGAGAGGTTCAACGGCCAAGATGAGAAGGGGGGAGGGGGCGTGGACAAGGAAAAAAAGGGTCTAGGGAGAGTGCTCCATAGGGAAGGTGGTCTGGAGTTCGGCGTGCTATTATTAACCTGGCCTGGGCCTTTCGCTCTTGGGGGCCGAAGACAGCTTAACCGCCAAGCCGACTGTTGGTGGCAAACAAACTCTAGAATCACATTGGCAATTATCTACGATTTTCAATTGTTTTTGCAATCATTGTTGCAATCCTCTTATTAAACATTATTTTAGTCCCCGTTCCAGTCTTTTTAAGTCTGTTTGAACAGCTTCTGCGTTTCGATATCTCCCTAGTGTCCTATAGGATCTCCCTGGGACCTGAATTCCGATCCAGCAAAGCACCGGTGACCTTGATCTTCATCTCATTCAACGTTGATTGAATTCAATTTCAAAACAATGAACATAAATATTTCATGTACCATACCAATAATTTAATCCACTCCGAGTCTACTCTAGTAGTTACTGGGCTGGTTCCAACAAGATCTATTTGCGTTCCCCCCATCGAACAACCGCCCACGAAAACACCCCATTGACCAAGAAGGCACCAAGCGCCTGAGTCATATACTTCTGCGCCTGCAAAACATGATAATACGCAGCAAAGCACAGCAAGGCCACCAAGGAAAGGTGTCCATAATAGAACGAACGTCTCCGTTCTTGCATCGAGCTAGCTGTAGACCGTCCTTGGGTGCCAGTCTTCGACACCGCGCCTCGAGGCCGCACATAGAAAACAAGCGAAATCACCATGCTTATAGCAAACAGACCGCATTGCACATCCAGGTCACGCACCCGCTTATTCAAAAGCGAGCCAAATTCCGGATGACTTGTTTGGATGAAGAACGACAAGTAGAGAGTTGCATGGCCCACGAGCAGAGGCGAGATGACCATCCGTCCGAACAGACGGTGGTATGGCGTCACTGTCGCTTGGGGAATGGATGTGACGAATGAAAAAATTGAGGAAGCTGCTGGTTTAGAGGTCGAGATGTATGCTGCCGGAGACATCAGGACTTGAAGAGGGATTTGTGAGAGCGCAACATGGCCCAATGCCTTTGTGAGATGCATGTAGTCTGTGGGTTTGAATCAGTCAATTTTATTCGACCAATTGCTAAGTGTCATAGCATCTGAAGCAAGGAATCAAGGACATACCATCGCCGCTGTTCCAGACAGAAAGACTGGCTAGCCACAAGAGCCACAACCCGCAGAGAGCATACTGTCGACGGGTCTCAAGCCACCCAGCAACAATCGGACGATCCCACCATGAAGTAGGCCCGCGGCGCTGTTTGGGGTCAATCTCAGCAACTGACTTAGCCCAGCCTTGATAGACTCGGAGCACGATGATCACGGCAATGATTGACCATTGCGCGTAGGATCCTCGCAGGTCGAGGAGCTCCCGGCGCAGGAGCTTCTCCTCCTCGGAAGGGGTGACAAAACGATAATGCCAGGAGAAATCCATGATGCGAAAAAGGACACTGGTCAATTGACTAGACAGCTATCACAATTGCAAGAGACCAGACTCGAGGATGCCGGGTGTTGATGGTGGAGCTTATCGCCAAGCGCAGATCGGAACGTCGTGGAGTCAAATATCTTTTAGAGTGACATGGCCAGTGTTATTTCTTCAACAGGTACTCGTATGTTGCGTAAATGCTGCTGACCTTGTGCTGTATGACAAACTAGAAGGTGTCATCTTCTTACGTGTCCTAGGAAGACCCCATGCCCTGGACCCGCTGACAAATGACTTGATCTTACTCGCCAATCCTCGGCTTCACAGGGACATCCACAAGAATTCAATAAGCCTTCAATTGGAACCTCCCGATCATTCTCCACTGATTGGGTATGTAGAGTCAATTATAAAGGTGGTTCGAATATCTTCCTCAAGTATACACAAAGAAACTCCGAAGTCCAATCGGCCTTTCCATAGTCGCAAATCAGCGTCCTATCTGCGCTTACGCATACGATTCGACAATAAATTCAATACAAGATTCCTCGGATCTTGAGAAACTGAGAAATCAAATCTCTGTAGGCCCTTTGACCTACTCAATTAGGCCGAATTCAAACCTTGAGGCTGAGACGAAAGAATAATGAACCGTCACAAGAGAATGCAAAGCCATGTAGTCGCTTCTGATTCGCAAGACGAGAAAAATATTCAAACTGCCGTGATTGCTTTTTATGACTACCTCAAAGCGGAAATAGACGATTCGTTTATGCATGGAGTAAAGAAAAAACCTCTACATTAAAAACGCCATCAAGACATCTCATCCCAAAACTGGCTATTCTCTAAACTGACAGGATGCCCCATGCTCATGCCCAAGCTGTTCTGCAGGCGCTCTGTCGTTGTTTGTTTCGCCCGCATGGGATAGGCGGGCTTAAGAGAGTAGTTCATATGGTGTCATCAACACCAAGTCAATCGACAACTTGTCTTAAGGGGAAGTCTGCATGGACTCCTCCTGAGCGCCCCCGGCAGTAGTAGCGAAATAGCGGACATCAACATCATCATCCTCCTGCAGCTTCTCCAGGCTAGGCAGAACATTTTGCTGGATCAAATCTTGGGCCTTGGGCGAGGGAGTAATAGTCTCCTCGGACTTTTCCACCTCGACCAGGGTCTTGTCCTCCGGCAGGCGGCGCAGAGTATCAATCAGGACGGCGTAGGACTTGGCGACGTTGAAACGGATGTTGGGGATCTCATCTGAGACGAGTCGGTCCAAGATGGGGAGAAGAGAGCTTTCGATGATATCAAGTGTGACAACGGGGGCGAGGGTCTGGAAACATTAGTATATGAATAATTTGGGGCCAGCAACACGTTCGAGACTCACAGAAACAGCGAAGCATGTGGTCATGCGGTAAAGGTAGTTCGGGTGCTGTCCCATGGCCATCACCTTGGGAATAATAGACTCCTTTGACCATTCCACGCCAAATACCTCAGTGAGCTTCTTCAGATTTTGAGTGGCAGCCTCTCGGATCGAGAAGACGGTGTCTCCGAGCCATCCCATGCATAGGTCACTCAATTGCTCATCAAAGAACTTGACTCCTAGCTGGCTGGCGAGGAGGGGAATGTATTCGATGATAGCCAGGCGCACGCGCCACTGCTTGTCCTCAGCCAGCTGGACAATCGCAGGAAGGAGAGATTGAGAGAGGAGGTCAATTCCGATAACTGAGAAGATCATTAGATGGATTAGGACATTACACATTGCAATGGGAAAATGTCGAAAAACATACCCTTATTAACCTGCTCGAGCTTCGAGATGATGTGCAGACGAACATCGGGAAAGTCGTCCTTGAGCATCTGAAGGAACATGGGAAGCAAATGGGCAATAGTCCTGTTCATGAAATGAATTAGTGACTGACTATCTCCAAACATTGAGGACATGTGATACTGACTCTTCCTTCCCAAGAATAGGCGCCAAACCGCTAATCTGAGTGCCGAGGGCAGCACGGACGTGCTGAGACTGATCAGACACCAGGTCTTCCACACTAGTCATGATCTCATTAAGAAGCGTATCACGGTCGATCAAGCTGCAGAATCCTACTCATGTTGTTAGATTGTTTCTTGACGTCATAGTCATAGCACATAAGAAACATACCAGGAATCTGGCCAGCAATTGCAGTGCGGACCTCAGCCTCGGTATCCTTCAAGAGCTTGACAAATGCGGGGACCATGTCGCGTGTAACAACCTCCTCGTGCACAGCCTTGGCAATCTGTTATGGATGAATTGGGATTAGTCTTGGTTCTGTCGCGCGCATTTGGGACCAAATAGGCAAATTCTGACCTTCTCGTATCTATCAGCAACCATGTAGCGGACCCGCCAGCTCTTATCCTCAAAGAGAGTGCGCAGAGATGTCAACAGCACACCGTGGCTGGGCTGCTGCTCTTTGGGAATTTCCTCGGCGATCGCGATCAAGATGTCCACAGTCAACAGACGCACGCTGTCCTGATCATCACTGGCCAAATATTGGAAAAGGGGTATCATTTCATCGATAATCACGTCGGACTGCATCTCCTTGACGAACTTGGCCAGGTTGTTGGCGGCTTGACGGCGTACCATCGGGGTTTCATCGTGTACGAGAGCTCCGAAGTGCTGTCGGAGGTTCTGCTGCAGCGCCGGCGCGGCTTTTCGGTATGGTGAACAGTACAGACCTGTTGCGGAGACCTTGGATGTGAACCAGTCGGCCTTGGAGAGGTGGAGGACCAGAGGGACAAAGTGCTCTTCGACTTGACTTTCTGACAGCTGATCGCAGACCTTGTTGAGCGACTCAACAGCCTAGTTCTGACGGTCAGCAATACCATTCCCGCTACCATACATAGCATAACCAACCTTCTCCCGAACCAGAGGCTCCTCGATCGCCGCCAGGTTCTCCAGCGGTGACAGGAGCACGTGCGCGTATTCTGGCCCCCCAACATACTCTGTGAAGTTACCCAACTCCTCGCTCAGCGCGGTCAAAACCTCGTCTTCGTCCTCAACGGAGTCTATAGGTAGGACTTGTTAGGCGCATCTCGGTGACTAGAAGGATGGTGGGGTCCGGAGGGAGACAAACCGTCCAGGAATGGGATAAGCTCGTCCCGGGTCCTCTCGGGGCCCAGGGCCAGGGCAATCGTAGATAGACGACGGATGGCGTTCAGTCTGAGGAGGACATCATCGTGCTATGACATTGAGGGTGAGCTTGGGCCAGTTGGTTTCCCCTCCACCAGTGGAGGGGAAGCAAAGCCGAGCGGAGCAGCCGCATACCTTCAACTCATCGATGAGTACCGCGATGGGGTAGAGTTCATCGTTCTCGTTTTGGCCCTCCATCGCGTATGTGCGGATTGTGTATTAAAATAGAACAAGAGAGGAGGGGGTAAACTGGGAGATTGGGGTGGTCGGTCCCAGTGCTGAGGAAGGGTTGATATCGGGGGCGGTCTTTGGTAGAGCCACCCGGGGGAAGAAAATTATCGGCGATAGGAGGAGGGGTGTAGCTGCATGAGCTTCGATGGCGAATATAGCAACGGAGCCCGTGAACGGGTTAGTTATTGGACTTGGAGGGGGTGGGAGGTTTAATTGGAAGGGGAAGGTCGACGGAGCGAGGTTTCGTGGGGTTTTGGGCCGCCGGACAGTCCACCTTTCGCGCTGAGCTTTCACCATCAAAACACCTGCGGCTGGGCGTAAATTACATACCGCGTGGCCTTGAAGCTTCATGTCCCTTTCGAGATCGGGGCCGGACTATCGAGATTTGCAAGAGCGACGATACACGATTGCTATTTTGATGATACGCCTCTCGTTCTGGCTAATTGTAGTATTGGTACTACTATCTTTCACCGTGAGGTTCTATAATCTTGAAGCCCCAACAAATTTTCATAATGAGCTTAGCAGTACACGAGTTAAACGATAGGCCACAGAGATGGTATCTATGCTATCAAGAAAGATGATTCGAAAGACATTGGAAAGATAATGCAAAATTTATCCAGAAAGTCCTTTCAAATAAGATTGATTGAGCATATATGGTTTGTTCGTTTCTCTGGTTCCTATTCTAGACTCAGACTTTGGACCTACTAAGTTGATATTCCCATTGAAGATAAAAATACCATTACTACCTACGCTCAACCAGGATAAAGGATGCATCGTCGAATTAGCAATTGTACATCGTCGCTTTAGCAATTCTCCAGAAGAAGCCTCATGTCCCGTTTCAAGATGAGCCCCTGACTCTCATACCTTGACTGTAATTAGAGGAAGTATTTGGTGGTTCTACAGATAGAGCAAAATTTAGGCCTCTTGTGACTAAGTCTCTCATCCACGGAGAACAATAGCGATAGTGTTAGCTACTGTAAAGATAAAGTTCTAGCTTCTTATAAGAGGTGACAATGGAATGAATCAAGCAGGAGGTTTACACTACAGTTAGCCGTACGTCATCTAAAAAATGACTGATAAACCAGGTTGAACTTGACGTTACCATACGTTACCACTCGTAAGAAAAGAGGGGGGACGACCGTGGCGGTGTGTGGCTGATGAGGCAGAATTTCCAGAAGTCCGATCGGAGTCATAACGAACATCTCGCTGGTTTGCGCTTCTTCTCCGCTTGAGTGTGGTTTTTTGGTATGCAAAGTCTCTTTCCTGGAAAATATTCAGGGCCATTCCGTCTGTCTTTGCACGCTTGCTAATACGGTTGTTCGCACGTCGATCCAGAATTTTTTATCGCATCGCGAATCCCCCCGCCATGCCCACTATCTCGGTCGACAAGGCCGCTCTCTTCAAGGAGTTGGGCCGGGAGTACGTACACCATCAGGGATATGGAATCGGTGGACAATCCTAATATTTTTTGTGCGCAACTGCAGGTACACCACGGAGGAATTTGATGAGCTGTGCTTCGAATTTGGTAGGTCTTGTCTGCATGGAAGACTCCGCGGGGCGTGATAGGCTGATATTGTTGAACAGGCATTGAGCTTGACGAAGATGTAACGACCCTTCAGCATACTCCATAATTAAGGAGCGCTAGCTAATAACCAGCAGACCACCGACCAGGACCGCCCGATCGTCGACGGTGTGCAGGAGCCCCCGCAGCTCAAGATCGAGATCCCCGCCAACCGGTATGCCTAAGACAAGCGTATGACTGAAGGAGTTCATGGGCTGAGATATATCACAGATATGATTTACTGTGCTTCGAGGGCATCGCGTTGATGCTCAACGTCTTCTTGAAACGCAAGGCTCTTCCCGAGTACAAGTTGGTCCCGCCTGCCAACGGTCAACTTGAGGAGATTATCGTGAAGGAAGACGTGGGTTGACACTGGGTACTTTATGCATGGAACAACTGCTGATATTTCTGAGCAGACCACGAAGATCCGACCCTATGTGTCGGGTGCCATTCTCCGAGGTGTGAAGTTCGACAAGGCTCGCTACGAGTCTTTCATTGCCCTGCAAGACAAGCTCCACCAGAACTTGGCCCGTCAACGAACCCTGGTCTCCATTGGTACCCACGATCTGGATACCGTCAAGGGACCTTTCACCTACGAGGCTCTCCCTCCCAAGGACATTAAGTTCACCCCTCTGAACCAGACTCAGGAGATGAACGGTGAGGAGTTGATGACTTTCTATGAGGTATGTGCATCAGATAGCGTTCTACTCACGTCGTCGTGCTCATATATATTGACCATTAAACAACAGAAGCACCAACAATTGGGCAAGTACCTGCACATCATTCGTGACTCTCCCGTTTACCCAGTGATCTACGACTCGCAGCACACTGTCTGCTCTCTGCCCCCTATCATCAACGGTGATCACTCTAAGATCTCCCTGAACACCACCAACGTTTTTATCGAGATTACTGCTCTTGACCGCACAAAGGTTGAGATTGTGAACCGCATGATGGTCACCATGTTCTCCCAATACACCTCCGAGCCTTTCACGTAAGTGATATTTCGATTCTAACCCCATGGTTCATATGTACTTATTTTTTGCACAGCATCGAGCCCGTCAAGATCGTTTCAGAGCACAACGGTCAGACTCGTGTCACTCCTGACCTCGCTCCTCGCACCACCACTGCTGAGGTGTCCTATATCAACCAGTGCTGTGGCCTGAACCTTACCTCCGCTGAGATCAGCAACCTCTTGACCAAGATGGCATACCGTGCTAAGCCTTCGACGAACAACCTCGATACCATCGATGTTGAGATCCCCCCGACTCGCGCCGATGTGCTCCACCAGTGTGATATCATGGAGGATGTTGCCATCTCCTACGGCTTCAACAACCTTCCCCGCTCGTTCCCCAGCAAGTCTGGTACTGTTGCCCAGCCCCTCCCCATCAACAAGCTCTCCGACATTGTCCGTGTTGAGGCTGCTATGGCCGGATGGTCTGAAGTCCTGCCTCTGATTCTGTGCTCGCACGATGAGAACTTCGCCTGGTTGAACCGCAAGGATGACGGCAACACCGCTGTCAAGCTTGCCAACCCCAAGACCACTGAGTTCCAGGTTGTCCGCACCAGCCTGCTCCCCGGTCTGTTGAAGACTATCCGTGAGAACAAGGCCCACAGTGTGCCCATGAAGATCTTCGAGGTCAGCGATGTCGCTTTCAAGGACATGGCCCTGGAGCGCAAGAGTCGCAACGAGCGCCACTTTGCTGCTGCATTCTACGGCAAGAGCAGTGGTTTCGAGGTTGTCCACGGTCTGCTCGACCGTGTGATGGCCATGCTGAAGAGCGCTTTCATCATTGCCGAGGAGGGTCTGAACAACGCCGCCATTGGTGACTCTCAATACTACATCCAGGCCCTGGATGGTAAGTCTTATTCCCTTATGCTAATCACATATTGACCGCAAACTAACACATCATCTTCAGACCCCACCTACTTCCCCGGCCACAGCGCCTCCATCCACCTGCGTGTCGGTGGCAAGGACCACGTCATCGGCTCCTTCGGTATCCTGCACCCCACCGTGCTGGGCAAGTACGAGCTCAAGTACCCCGTCAGCACTCTGGAGATCAACATCGAGCCTTTCCTGTAGATCGAGCACCTAGATATGGGATTGAGTGATTTGCATGCTTTGTGACGCAGATAGATGATGACATGACGTGGAGCGCTCTATTGTTATAAGCAAGAAGTTTAAAGCTGCGGAGCTAAAAGCAATAAAATAACATTTTCCAGTATTTATTCAGTATATACTCTATGTCAATGGGAAAGATATCTGGCAGTATAAAAATCTAGTGATCGATCAATCCATAACGAGGTATTCAGTCAGATAGGCACAGCCAACGGCCTCGAGCTTAAAGCCGAAAAGGCTAGAGGTCATTTCTGTGCCCCAAGACGCCTTATCTCAGATCTGGGGTATCTAACCACTCATACATTCCACTTTATACTTCTTGTAATACCCAGAGCCAATAATAAACGAAAACACTCGTCAGATCGTCTGGATGAAGATTTGCTGGGTGATCCACGTGCTGCAGATGTCACTGCATAAAGTCCCGTCTAGAACGGATTGGTAGACTCAATGAAGCGATACGTTGAGATACGAGCTGGTAGATGATGATTTCATCTCGAAGTGGATACACTACACTATTGAGGTGGAAGATCAAGGTCATTATCAAATTGTTCTCATGAAATTATCCTCGACAGTAGATCTTTGTACATCGACGTCCATCGCTTCATGAAACCATTCCCGAACCCATAAGATCCAAGGGCCAGTATTGAAAGCGCAGACTAGACATTATTCGTCGAACTTGTAGACAGAGAAACCAGGAGATTTTTTGAAAGTCTTCATGTAATTTTGATTGCGTGAGGTAGAGAGTATAGGGAGGTTTAGGACAGGAAGCGAAGATAAAGGAATAGCCGGGCCTTAAAAACAAGTTTACTCCTGAGTGAAGGTCTCGGCAGCACCACCCTCGGCGGTAGCGGCCTGCTCCTCGGCAAGACGCTGCTGCTCGGCAGCCTGCTGGGCGGCCAGAGCCTTGGCGCCGTAGTCCTGGGACATGGGCTGCAGAACGGGCTGCTCCTCCTTGGGCTCGATGATGGTGACGGAGTCGGGGAGGGTCTTCTGGGGGCCGGACTTGCCCTCGGGGTCGGAGCCGCGCATGATCTTAACCTTGATTCCAAGGACACCCTGGCGGAGGAGGACGTGGCGGGTAGCGGAGTCGATGAACTCCTTGGCGGGCTGACCGGAGTGGATCATGAAGCCGTCCTGTAAAGAGAAAGCTGGTTAGTGATATTCCCAATTCAATATGTCGTCAGAGAAGCGTGGATATCGTGCAGGGATTCTAGAGGACCACGAGGTTGTTTCGTCGACTGTTCCCAAAGTACCCGCGCACGATATTTGTCCCACAGCATTCTCTTCCAACAGTCGATTGTAGACGTACAGTGAACTTCATGGACTTGGCACGGGCGGCACGGAGCTTGCCGGAGACGACAACCTCGCAACCCTTGGCACCGCTCTCCATGATGAAGCGGAGGACACCGTAGCAGGCACGGCGAACGGCAAGACCGTTCAGGAGCTTGTAGCGGAGGGACTCGCACTGAGCGACGGCGGACAGACCGCGGTTCTGGACCTTGGCGGCATAGAGGGAGACGGAGTTCTCAGGGAACTTGAAGCGCTTCTGGATGAGCGAGGTAAGCTCACGGATGCGGCGACCCTGCTCGCCAAGAACCTCCTGGGTGTGGGTGGCACGGATGACTGTAGAAAGTGAAGACATCCGTTAGCATCAGATCCTCCCGGCATATGTTGACCGCATAATTTCCGCAGTAACGATATTGAAATCTCCTTTCATCCCCATATTTCCTAGCTCTTGCAGATCCCATCCAACCAAATATCATGCGATTCAACGACGAAAGAGAAATTCGGAAGATGCGACGTACTGATGTCGGTGACGGTGGGAGTGACACGGACTTCAACACCGGAGTAGCCCTCCTCAGCGAGCTCGCGCTGGAAGAACTCGTTGAGCTCGGCGTAGAAAACACCGTCGGCGACGAACTTGCGACGCTTGGAAATAGCTCCCTGGACAGCGGCCATTTTGACGTTCCTGGTGGGTGGAATTGGGGGGTTGTCGACGGAGGAAGGCGAGGTCGAGGTCGAGAGGGTTAGTCGTTGTGAGATTCTCTGATTAGTGGGGATTTTTTGGGCGAGGGCTTCCATTTCCTGTTTGGGCTAGGGCTCAACCCTCGCTTGCCCTTATGGACTGAACGGGAGCTATTCCCCTTTGGGACTAGTGTTTATAGCCTCGTTTCTCAGGCATTAAGGCTACAAGGCATCAAGGACATCTATAGATCCATGAATAGATTCAACATTGGAACAAACTACTTTCTCTCATGCCACGGGCAGTTTCTTAAACAACACAAGAGGCTGAACAAAACATATCAAGACCGTAATATCTCCAGGGGGCCATGCGACAAACTCAAACCTTCATGCTTCATTTACTGGAGTTTCATGATGCCTCGTAGGGAACCATAACCTACATCTCAGGGCTACATCGTAACCCATTCCCCTTCTCCTAATCCACTCATTGCATTTCCAACTCCATCTGCTTATGCTCATTCTCTTTAGAGCCCCTATTATTATCTTTTGAGACCCCAAAGTTGGAAATTCCCGCAGTGACAGCAGAAATGCCAGACGCTGCTGCATGATGAACATCTGTTCCGGCAGGCCCTGGCCCAGTCGACTGCTGCGCTGTCTCAATCCCAGTCAAAATAGGTGCTCGACCTGAGCCAGGGCTCTCGGTGCCAGCACCTCCAGTCGAGGGGAAGGGCCCGTTCATCTCAGAATCAGAACGGCCAAACGCTTCAGCCCACCAGCGAGTTTCCTTCACTCGAGGGAAGATCAACCTCTCATTCCCACGCTTGTGGTCGTCGATGATAGGATTATAGTCAGGGTTGGTGAACTGGTCTCGTCGCGCGAGGAAGTAGTCCCATACACTCCGTGTCCGCTCTCGTGCATTCGTGTCCACACGCTCTTTCTCATTGTTGAATAGGAAGGTTCCAAACTGGCAGGCATAGAGGTGATAGAGCAGCCGTCTCAGGAAACGTTCATTGAACTCGAATCGCGTGGGATACTGGTGAAGCAACTGGTAGGTGGCGTCGAGGAACTGATGGAACACAGGGCTGGTCTCCTTCACCTTTGTGATCTCCTTTTCAGAGACCATACTGCGAGGCGCGGAGCTAGGCTTCTTAGTCGGATTGTCCGAATCATAGCTCTGAAGCTCCCCCTCAGAGTCAGGCAAAGAGTCACGACTTGTGTTGTCCCGGTTGAAGAAGCCCTTCGCACTCAGGAAAGCATTCTCAATTGCCTTGGCAGGACCTGCACCTCCGCCTTCTGCATCACCGCCACCGATCCGTTCATTCTCAATTTGGAACCATTTCTCGCTATTCAAATGACCCGATCGGTGCCGGAACATGTGTCCAAAGGACATCCAGTCTTTCTCCACGAGGACCATGAAGCCTTCCATTGTTCGAAAGTAGGGGTCCAGGCAAATCTGACTCAGGGCACTCAGCTGGCTCGTCCGATCCCAGCCGTCGGAGCAATGAATAAGCACATGGGAATGCTGGAGGCCGACTTGGCGAGCGATCAAGCGTGCACCCTCTAAGATGCCCCCAATATGCTTCAGCCAGCCACTTCGAGTAAGCTGGTCGCGATTCGGGCCCAGCGGAGTAACATCCGTCTCTTTGAGAGCATCGATGACCTTATTCAGGGAGTCACGCATGACGTGAATGTTATCGATCCCGAGGTAGGCTTTAGTGGCAAACTTGTAGTTGTCCATGTTCTCGGAGCCCAGACCAACAGCCTGCATGGCGAAAGCATTCACGGTAGGGCGTGCATCAACAATCAAGTTTTGCTGCTGAGCGCCATAAATTGCGCGTTCCTCGGGGTGAGCTGCACGGGCAGCAGCTAGCATTTCATCTTCGATCTCCTCCGCATTTGACACATCCAAGTCAGTCGTCGACCCGCTGTCATGGCTCGAATCGGAGGCTTCCCTGTCCAGAGTAGATTTCACAAAGTTTGCCAAAGGTCGTTCCGTGCGAGAAGTCGAGAAAATCGCAGCAAGAAGCTTTTCATCCTGAATACTACGGTTCTGTCGTACACCAACCAGAGGCTGCGAACTTCGCGTGATGCTGCAATTGTTGACCGGGTGTAAATAAGTGAGCGCGGGAATTCTCTGTCTGGAGCGATATCTTCCAGCATAGTTGAGTGTATTGTCCGAGATCGAGGAGGGCACGGGGATCAGTGCGGGATATGTTGGTGAGAACTGCGAGCACTCGTTAGCATTGAGCATATCTCCGCCAAGCTCTGTGCACGACGAGCCAAGCAACGAGACCACATACGCCATAATCAGTATTAATCTCCGAGACTCGCCAGCCAGAGTTCTCTTTATCGAGGCCTTGACGCTCCCATTCCTTGCGCGGATCATACAGGTCCCACCCGTTGAACTCCCTCTCCGGAGGCGGCGGCTGGTAACTAAACGCATAGAGCCTATCCAGTCTGCCAGATTTGCATGTCCATTGTTTTATACTATCAAAGACCTCCTTGGCCCGTTGTTCACTCGTAAAATAGAAGCACACGAAGGTAAAGTCTCGACACCGGAGGCGAATGGAGGAGAGCTGGCGGGAGGCCGCGGGAGCAGGTCGCAGAGTGCAAAAAGATATGATCGGGTAGGTAATCCAGAGCTCTTTCGGTCTGATTGTCATGCCTTTGGCAGCATCTTCGCTCGAGACTAGGGGCGTGTGGGAGAATATTAGGTGGTGAGGGGTGAGGTGGAGGGCGCCGTCGACCTGGTCTCCACGGCGGGCCAAGGACACATTGTCAACCTGAAGAGGAGCAAACGATTAGCAAGTTTGATCGCATCGCTCAACTTCAAGTTGAGTGGACGCACCTTGGCAACCCGTGTTTTCTCCATCCCGTGAGGTTAGATTCACTGTGCGCGCATAGTCTTCATACTGAATGAGGGAACAGGTTCGGGTGGCTAGGCAGCGGGACACCGAGAATTGATCACAGGTGCTGCGAGATTGTAGAGAGTAAAACTTGTTGAAATCAGCTCAACTGGTTTGTCCCATCAGGCCTAAGAAATGTGGTCCTAGGACAAGGTTGGGAATGTTGGGCCAGAAGTGGTTACATGTTCAGGTCAGCTTCCGGCACCCGATCAACTGTGGGGCTGGAGGTTCGAGGGCGTTCACATGGACCGATGTCATGTTGCCCCCCACCGCCAACCCTTGCTACTGATACTCACCTACCCGAGTTACTGGTAGTTTAGGGTAGCTAACATCACAACCTAGCTAGAGGAGCGAAATGAAGACTTGGTGTCTTTGCTATAGAGGTAGTCCATTGAGAAACAAGGCATTCCGGGCCCAATTTTAAAACATATCCAAGATGGAACGTGATCTACATCATGGGTATCTGAGCTAGAGGTCGTTATCATAATATGTGATTATTATTTCGCATGTGCTAAAATTTTCACTTGTCATCCTTTGTAGCAATGTCCCAGCTGCGCAAATCCTCTCTCACGTCAAACTCGGACAGTTCGTGCTCTGCATGCCGGGGCTTCCAGCCCCGTCCTTTCGCGCCGTCGTAGAGTTGGTGCTCAATACTGCCACCCTTCTTTGGGTGACCGAGTGTAGAATGTGAGTCAGTAGTCTTTCCACCTCCATGAGATTGATTGCTCAAAGAACTCTTAGGGCGCCTCTCAAAGCTAGGCGATAGGCGTTTCCCAGCGCGTGTTTGTTGAGACACAGCCTCTGGGGTTAGATGGTCATTGTGACTGTCTGGATAGGCGTCGTTGTAGCTGTTATGGGATTCGTTGTTCCAGCAGGAGCTTCCAGCGAAGAGCTCCTCGATCAACTTATCTGCGGGGAGATCACAGGCTCGCGAAGTCCATGATGCTGCAAGAGTGCGGCGATACATGTCTTGCATGTCAGCCACTTCTCTGCTTTTGGTGTGGAGGGACTGAAGATGTCCAAGTTCCTCGGAATCGCCAGGTTCAGCAGAGTGTACGACCCTCGCAATACCTCCAAAGACAGTGGCAGACTTGAGAGGTGGCCTAGAAAGGGTCAGTACGATGTGATATCAAGAAAGATGAATCTGCCAATGCATACGTGGTGAAACTGCGGTCTCCTTCGATTTGACGCATAGCAATACCAATTTTGACGGTGCTGTTGACTTTGCAGTCCGACATCAAGTATCTCCGGACAACACCTTCGTCTTCGTCAACCTTGTCGACATATTCGGCAAGATTGAGCTTGATTTTGCCCAATACATTCTTCTCGTTGGCAGGTGACGAATGGAACTCTTGGATGATCTCAAAACTGATCTCACACTCTTGAAGCATAGAGTTTCTGTCAATAGTGAGCCTCACATGGAGAGCCTTTTCATAATTCCAGTAGGCCCGGTGATCAGATAGAGGAGCTTTCTCGGTGTGTCCTTGATGTTCTGTGGCGCTGGATGATGGCAGCCGCCAGCGCACCCAAACAGTGCCGTTGCCCAGAGGGACGTTGTTGATATCATTTATCTGTATAGATGGTCAGTTCAAAAATATCTTTTTCGCAGTGCAAATGCTACACTTACCCTGAGGACAAGCTCAAATCTGGGCTAGAAGCGTGTATTAGCCTTGAGCAATTTGTCGTCCGGGGTACTCGGAAACTTACCCGCCTGTTTTTCGGGACTAGAAGAATCAAGCAGTGTTAGCGGACGCTCGGTATAGAACGAAGTTTAATTAAGACGTTCGATTGATCGCGAAGACTAACCAAATGCTTGCATGGTGGTTCGAGTTGTATGCAATTAACTCGCCGTAAGGGTGAAACGAAACGACCCAGTCGAGGTCCTGCCTGCCCGTCCACTCTGACGGATCAGATGCACCACAAATAGTCCACTCAGGACCTGCCTAAGGGATATCTCTTGTTTCTAAGTTGAAGGACCCCTGCAAACATGAAGACTAGTGTGCATGACATAGTCCGGAGAAGCTCCCCGCATATGAGGATGTCTTGGCGGTGAGAGGGGCTGGTGGCAGAATCTCCGATTCTAGACGATCCAACCTGCACTTCGCGCTTCCCAGACTTGTGCAATTACCTTTCTCTGGAGACTGCTTCCTCTGGCTCTGTCGCTCTTTGTCTCGGATTGTTTGAAACCCGCAACTATGGCGAACGCCGAAGGTCCTCTCCTCTCTCCCCCGTCGGAGTCGGCTTCGACTGTCCCACTCGATTCTCCGATTCGTACCACAGCCATACACCCAGACCTTCCGGAGATTCAAGTTCCCGGAGGACCCCTTCCCGTTTACAGCTACCATCCGATTACTTGCCAACCTATCGAATACCAAGATTCTCGCGCAGAGCTCGAGCAGTTGTGCCAAGAGTTTCCTTCTAAAGAAGCTGCTCTGAGAGCCCAGGAACAAGCCGCCAAAGAAGCAAGAAGGAAAATCGAAGAAGTCGAAAAGAAGAGGGAGCAGGTTCAGAAGGCGATCGACAAGAAGATCAAGGAACTAGACACGGAGATGAAGGTGTTATCGAAATTTCAGGAAGTTAAGGCATCGGATATTCCATCTTGAGGACCGACAACCCGAGACACAGCAAAGCCATACATTATCGATGCCGCAAGGGCAACCGCCATGATCAGGATGTTATCTCAACAGTCCCCGTCGAGATTCTTTACGACTCACACTTTGGATGGCAATGCGCCTGTTCCAGCGCCACGTGCGGGGACAATGTCTTACATCTGGAACGAACGGCTTCATCCAGGCCAGCCCTACGTCGCCTTTCAGCGTCTTCCTTCCAATCATGGAATCGAATACAACCCCAGTCGCAACCACGAGGATCTTACGGTTGCCCCTGAAGGGCTCACTCCCTGGACCCTTTTCAATCTTGACATGTCCAGGCGTTACTGCCAATTCAAGCGGAACACGCCCTGGCATACCAAGCCATGCTTCTAGGAATCTGATTCAAACCAATTCATCTCTACGTCTCGCCCACCCTGAGAAATGTTGGCACCCGACTGTTGGGGAGAAAAATGGCCTGTCATACATCAGTGTAGCCTTGCTCCAATACTTGTGCTGAACCTCAGTTTTGATAGTTGTTTTTTCAGTCACAATGTATGTCTTGTGTAATGGCTATTTACAAAGACTGCACCCACAAACTTACTATCTGCCGCTTTATCAGATCTCCATCCTAATCACTCGCAGTAAACAGAACCATTCATCACTCATGGGCAACCACGATATTCACATATTGAAAGGCAAGACTCGCCTTACTTCGAGTCTACTAGACTCGCCACTATGGGGATGGACTGTCTTTCAATAAGAAACTTCATCGACTTGAAGAGCTTCCACTTGAATCCAATTCTTCATCATCTCTTTTCTGCGTCAAAGGACGGCACATGTATCTCAAGATTCATGTCGTTCGGTTTCTGGGCATGAGTTTACCAATTCGACTTTCTTGATATGTCGAAGGTCCACCAACCCCGGGACAAATTATTTCCTGCGGGTGAGTCTGTAGATCTCGGCCACGACAGAGAATATTTTGGTTTTTACAAGAAGAGAGAACCACATTTAGTTGTGGTTCATATGCTGGCTTTGAGAGGATTATCAACCTTATGCCAGACAACCTGCACCACGGTCGAGAAAGTTCGTATCTAGAAGGACCGTCAGTGGTGAATTACTTAGTATGAATCAACGGGAGAATACCCTGCTCTTCACAATTTTCCAATGATCTCGAGGAATAGGTGTTGACCTTGGACGGAAGACATCCAGTCTTTTCAGGTTGTTTCTTTGTCCCCAGATATCGAGAAGTGGCAAGACAAAGTGTTTGTGTGCCGTGTCCAGCCTCAGAATCCCGTAATGAATATTTTGAAGTAGCTCTTCACTGATGAATTCGGTGATGTCCATCTGGCGCATGGCTAGGTATGTCCCCGGGGTGCCTTCCAGACTGAGAGGTATTCGATGCAGAACATAGAGGGCCTCGCTGGTTATTTGTTTGTTCACGAGGAGAATCGAAGGTGTATATCGCTCGACATAGAGACGAGGGTCGGCACAGCTAGGGCCTCTAGATCTGTCCGTGTGTGCTGTGATCAAGTTCTCGATCTGTCGGTAACCGCTCAGATAATCATTTGGGTTGAGCAAGTATGCATAAATGATCACCCGGATTTCAACCGGCAGGTCAAGAAAGGATATCATTGCAACGATACCCCACAGTGTTCAAATGATAAAAGAAGCTTATGAATGTCGATATTGAAGTGCAAGCTTGGCCCCGCTTTCGCTTTTAGTGTTGCCACCGGCCCCCTCTTGCAATCTTTCGTGTGTCGTCGCGGAGAAAATGGGTGGACTTTCCTCTGGCTACTCCTCGGAGCTTCTGATGAGTGAATCCAAGAGGCTTGAACTGCATATGCGGATGAGAAGACCCGATATCCCCGCACGCCTGACGAGGTTTACAGTTATCGATCATTATGGCCAGTTTAAAAGTTCTAGCGAAGCTTTACCAGCGGCCTCTCCCGAGTCGGCTAACCAGAACAGTCCAATCTCACAGGCCAATTAAGGAGGATCGAATTGCTTTTCTTTTTCTTGCGATCAAGAATAAGGAATCCGCATCTGCACCATAGAATCCGTCTTACCGGTTGAATGATAGATGATGACGGTCGGAATTCAATCATCCATGATCGTTACCGAGCACACACTCTACTTCGGAGAGTGGGATAATTGGTACACTTACAACGCCAAATATCCAGCCTTCAACGTGCGAGTTTGAACTTCAATTCCGTCGAAAGGTGTGCTTTCGGTCATGTTCGGAAATTTATCCGAGAAAGTGGAAGTCGTGATGGTGCATTATCGACAGCTCATTGCGGGGTCAGACTTGCCATCATCTAAAAGAAAGAGAGTCGCTTTGGGATCGCATCCTTCCTACATTTACTACCCCCTCCAGCCTTTTAAATTTCTCTGACAGAATAGGTTCAGTATTTCAAAATGACCTCAATCGCTGTTCAAGTCGAGACTGCAACGCGAACCTCAGCTCTAAATACAGAGAAGAACGCGAATGGCCAGGTGAAAAGACTACACCACATTCCACGCCCTGCCACCAAGGAAGCCGAACGACGATGGCTTCTGGGCCAAATGGCAGCTGCATTCCGCATATTTGCCAAATTGGGCTTTGCCGATGGAAGCAGTGGCCATATTAGCTTGCGAGGTATAGTTGATAAGAACGAGCTCGAAGTTTGTTCTTGTCGTTGACGACGCGCAGACCCTATCGAGCCACATACCTTCTGGATCAATCCTTACGCTGTGCACTTCGCCTTGCTTAAAGTCTCTGACATGGTTCGTGTTGATGAGAAGGGGAAATGGGTGGATGGCGCAGATAAGCCTGTAAATGCAGCCGGCTTTATGATTCACTCGGCTATTCACAAGAGGCGACCAGACATTCATGCTGCTTGTCATATGCATAGTCCGTATGGGAGAGCATGGAGTACATTCGGAAAGGGAATCGAAATGTTAAATCAAGGTATCACACCTCTAACTATATCACCCGCACAGCTACTCGTCCCCAGCATGGTCCTTGGCCAGATCTATAATGCTTTTTCAGCTAAGTTTGAGATTACAGATTCTTGCATGTTCTACGATGATCTCTCCGTCTATCCTGCCTTTGGGGGCGTAGTCTTTGCACAGGAGGAAGGCGAGCGAATTGCCGACTATCTTGGCACCAAGAACAAGAACCTCATTATGCAAAACCATGGGCTTCTCACTGCGGGTGGGACCGTTGCTGAAGCAGCTGCGTTCTTTATCGCTCTAGAGCGAGCGTGTCAGACACAGTTGCTTGTGGAGGCATCAGTTGCACCCGGATCTATTGGCCACAGTATCGGAGAAATCAAGAAAACGTTCGTCGACAATGAGACTGCACGGTATACCAAAGAAGGCACAGGCAGCCCCGGGGCGATGTACATGCAGTTCGAACCTGAGTATCAACTCTTACTAAAGGAGACTAATGGCGAATTCCTGCAATGATCTGAAAACGGGCAGGGTCATAGCACAAATGTTTCTTAACGTGTCGAGTCTGACAGCTTTTATCACTCTCAGAGGTACTTGTGTAAAGCAAGGTCTATTGCATCTAGACTTCTCCGCGCTTTGGCCATAAGGCCTTCATGGGGGCCAGATCTTGATAGTCAGCACTATCCATGCTAAATTTAGGCCGTTGCTAAGGACATAATGATATCATCATCGAGAATCCCAGCGGTAATTCATCTCTGAAACAATGGTCTGTCATTTCATCCAGATGCTCATTGTGGTCGGGTCGGCGCGTAAATGCTCAGGTAAGCCAATGAGACGGTTCTTCAGTTTTTGGCTCTAACCGCTCTTGGGGATAGCTTCGAAATTCACTTGGGAGTCACATCCCGCCTGCACGGACCATCAGGCATTCCATGGATCGAATGTTATTTTGCCTTTGGCTATTGTTATGGTGAACGACGTCGTTGAATTGTTGAAAACAAAGGATAATACGATACCGTCTTTCCAGCACTCTGTAAATACGAGACTGTCTTTCCGGGCTTGCGGGGTAATACACACCACACTCGTATAAGTTCTTTTTGAGGTTATCCGGCTTCATTGAACGTGATCAAAATCGCATCGTAGCTCATGAGGCGAGAGCAAGATAGAGAGACTGTCGAGGATAATGTGGCAGACGGGAAAATGTTTCCGGTTATCCTCGGTAGCGGACATCATTGAATACGAGCAGCTTAGAAATCGTGAGTCAATGACAAATTGGTAATATCCCGCACGGCAACCACACAACGCTCCAACACATTTGACAATTTCTCCAAAATCATCACCATGGCCGCTGAACAGCCAGATATCCATTTCATTGGCACTTATACCCGCTATTCCAGTAAGTTCAGCAACCCTTTTTCATACAATTCCTCGCTAACAGGACACAGGCTGGACTAGTCGGGTCGAGGCGGTCTTGGAGTATTTCAAGATTCCTCACACTCGCCAATTCATCAAGCTCTCTGATGTATGCTTGCTCAAAGCTGTCGCAGCGAGTACTCCCACATGAATCTAATAAGCGCATAGGTGAAAACCGTTTCCCCATCTGGATACGTCCCCTTCCTGGAATGCCGCTCCCTCGGTAATACCAGAATTTGCGACTCGCTCGCAATCTGCGAATTCCTCGCTGAGTCGAACCCCGAGTTGCCTCTCTGGCCTCGGGATCGTCAATTGAGGGCTCTCGCTCGCAGCGCCACGGCTCAGATGCATTCTGGCTTCTCTGCGATCCGGAACTCGTTCTCCACGAACTTCCTTGCGCATTATACAGGTAATGTCCCGATTTCCGAGGAAGCGCACAAGGAGATCCAGAAGATGCTGGCTCTTTGGGATACCGCTCGTAAGGGTACCAAGGAGCGTCTTGCGGCACTGGGTGAGGTCGATGAAGGGTTCCTGTTTGGAGGATTCAGCATTGCTGATGCTTTCTTCTGGCCGGTTCTTACGGTATGCGCCGCTCTCCACTTGATTGTTTCTTTCTTTTTGATTCCTAGCTGATCGTTCGTAGCGATTCCGCACGTATGACCTTCCGCTAGATACTGCCAGCGAGGACGCTTTGGAGTGGATGGCGAAGATGTGGAATGATCCCACATTCAAGGCCCTGACTCACCGGTACTATGAGCAAGCTCAGGATCCAGAGACTCGCATTGAGCATTATGATGACATCTTCCGAGGCCGGGACGACATTCACTACGGCCAGTTCCCTGAAGACTGGACGTTCTCTGTTCCTGGCAAATAAGCAAAGAGTGGCATGAACGTGAGATAGCTACTGTCAAAGAAATTACCAGGTTGACATTGTGAAATATCATCCATAATTATTAAATGCTGTCAAAGAAGAATCCGGTCCCTTGTCAAACCATCCCCGGACAGAGCTACCTCCAATGTATAGAGGGTGCCGGTAATCTCTCATAGAGCCGGACTATAGTAAAATCTTCGTCATGCTAAGAAATCCTTGACAGAAGTTTAATCTTATCAAACGCAACAGGATTTAAAATTATATTCTGACATTTGAGGAACACAGTGCATGATCATACCTCATTGCCGGTTCATTGCCAACAATAGTCGGTGTAGGATCAACGACGGCTGGATTTCAAACTAGTGTCTTCGGAGCCACAGTGACTCATAGCACTAGGTCAGGTGCTAGGTTACTTTTATCTTCATTTCAGTAATGATGAAATCGCCATGCTTGATGTGGTTTTCTATCGAATGTCTTTGGGCTGCCTAGTCACAGGACTATCTGTCGGGCGACAGTGCATAGTTGTTGAGTTGCTTTAAGCAGCTGTATTCTGCAGCTTGTTTGAGAAACAAGGTTTGAACGTTAATCGATTGGGTAAGAGCATAACTGACATAAACCGGTTACTGGAAAGTTAGTTAGGCGCTGGAACATACCAAGAACAATGATTTAGCTACGCAGTGGGTACTACTGTACATAACATAACCTCATCGGCATTGCTGTCAAGCACAAGCCACGTTTTGGTGGGGCAAGTGGCGAGTGACGTGGCGCACAACTCAGAGTTAGTGAGGCGCAGTCGGTGCAGTAGTTAACAGTTTCAGTACGGAGTACTCCGTACAGTCAACAAGTTCCTATTTTGGGAAAATGTAAGAAACATTCGCCTTCTCCGAAGCCTCGTCCGTCAGCATCCGACAAGGATGACTTTTTCGAGGAAGATATTCATTGCTCTGGGATATTGATGCAGCGTCATTTGATCGAATATTGAAAACTGCTTCCCATCGTCACTTCCGACTTTAACCGCTTCACGCTGGTCTCCCACTCCCTTGCGCGGAGCGACCACATGACCAACTTGATATGCCGGCAGGCTTCAGGGTTTGTGGAATCAGGGCCTCTGATTGCACACAAAACGCCTTTTTACGCATGATATAGGAGTTGGTGCCGCCCTGTGAGATGAGATCACCGCGGTACGGATCATGTGGGCTATACCTAGGGCGGGAGTCAACGGTCGCTGAAGAACCGGGCGACATGAGGTGGATATACAACTCCTGGATGTACATTTCATAGTGTATAGCTAAGTTACAGGAGTAGTTTCTCATTCGGTAAAGTCGCGTATTGTCCGGTATATGATATCAACAAATCACAAGCTAGATGGGCGCACTCCCCAAAGTCTGGCAAGAGACTATCAGCGAGGCTCAGCCCAATGGTTGATCAGAGCAGGGATCTCAGCTTGGAGCGCCTTGGCTGGACGCGATGGGCTTCAGCGAATGGGCGGGCTGAAGTGGCCCAAGACCAAAGTGCCCCACGTCTGCTCGACCTCCATCAGCTGAGGTTGTCCACTCACTCTTCATACTAGCGGCACTCGATACGTCCGAAATGGTGGGCAAGGTTCATCGGACAGGGTATTCAGGGTGGTTTCAAGTCTGATTGTTCAAAAGCCTTCGCTGCTGCAACCTTCCACCCCCTATTCTCATGCATATTCGAGTGATTCTATTGCAGTTTTTGTGTTCTTGAAACGCACAAATCGAGTAGTCGGCATCGGGGAACGTGGGATGCCACCTTTCTCTGTTGTGCGATAGGGTGGACACCCGGCACCAAACTAGTCTCTTGTAGATGTTAGGGTTTTGTGGAGTAGATTCTAGCTGCAGGGCGCTCAAATGATTCATGTTTTTCGACCCAGAGCGACGGACCTGCTTACGTTGCTATCCAGTTGTAGGAGAGAAATCGTATGCATCAAGCGATCATTTCTACCACTACAGTACTTCCTATCCATACAATGTATATCGTGCATATGGTGTTGTAGTTGAATAGAGGCAATGCAAGCGAGTTTTGTTTTCGCATTTGTCGAACCCAGCTGAAATGTGGACTCAAATCGGCAACGTGTTGCGCTCTCCATGATTTCTTGCCCCCAAACAAACAGGAAGATTCCTGATCAGAAAAGCATGCAAGCCAAGGCGGCATGTTATGCCCTGTTCGCTCTCTCTAGTGAGTGGTGACTCGCTCGGAGGATTTTCCTCGCTAGCAGGTTGTTTCGCAGCGCGGATCATTGGGGCTTAGCTTTTGCAGTTTAGAGCATCTTGCAGGTTGCTTTTGGCCAAATGGACGTGCAACGCGCAGGTTCAGTGTGAGACTGGAAATTGCTGTGCGATTCAAATTTTCCTTTCTTTCCAGTGAAGTGATGTTATAGTTTTTTGTATATTTTTCTCCTGTTTTTTTTTTGTAGTTTCCGTTATTTTATCTCATTCTGGGAATTTCAATTCAGTGGTTCTTACTCCCGGTATGAAACAGAGTCATCGATTGGGCCTCGCAGTGCAGTTGCTGTATTCGATCACGTTTCAACTCTTGCCTTTGCATAGCTTCTGGCCAATACAGATCATTGTGTATAAACCTCGTGACTACAATAATAGTTGTAGTTATTATGTACATACAACTACTCCGTACTTGCCACCCGAATTCCCGAGCATCTGCCTTCTGGAGTCGCAGATCGGGGAGACCGAGAAATGTAGCCAATCCGCAATAGTGCATCGCCCCGTAAACGGAGTCTCGTACGGTATACTCCGTACATACAATTCTTACACACTATACTATGCAGTATGAAACTTAGTATAATACTTAACTTACACAGTTACAGACATGTAGACTTCCCACAGACTCGAACTCGTAAACGACCGAGTAAACTGGGACACGGTACTCCCGAGAGACTCCATCCGCCTGCATACACCCTGATACGAGGGCTCATCCAAACTCTTGCCTTCGACACATATAACCTGAAATTTTTTATAATTATAACAATAGTAATAATGTGTGTGCGTAGCGTACCACTAACTACATATAACAAACTACATACGGCTACTATTATTTTTACTTTGACTACGAGAATAATTCTAATCCCCACTGTATTCCCTCTTCCGGTCATCGCGCATCCCGCCCCTCCGAGTTCTTATTATTCTCCCCGTCTGCCACCTTTTTTTTCTTCTTTGATTTCTTCTATCATCGTGAATGTTCACTGTCCTCTCCTTTTTTTTTATATCTAATTTTCGCTTCTTTTCTCGCGCATTCGCCCGCACATTAATAGATTCAACCTTGGGCCGACTCCACCACTAGGCTCCCACTCTTCCCAGAGTGATGCGATCGATCTAATAATCCCGCCCAGAGACAAACAACATCGAACTACAAACTATCAGAGAACCGGATCATTTTCCATCTCACCTCGGGCAGTTGTGTGGGCGAATGTCGCCTTTTTGATTCCGCTTTCGACTTTATACATTCTTTTATAACACCAACTGTTATTGTTCTTGTTTTTTTATTGACTATTGTTCTGCCTACCTTCTCAAAACGCCGGTCGTATCCCCTTTTCACACAGAGTCATAATGCCAACAGTCTTACTTCCTTCTTCTGCTGCTGCCTTTGCGCCACGGTCATCGCCAAATGTGGTCCTGACTCGAAAGGTTGCGCCGTGGTTAACGGCGACGTTGAAGCGAGTCAACCGGGTCAAGCGCCCGCTCAACAACGTCACTCAGCATACTCGGTGTTTAACCGAGACGCTGTCGTCTACTAATGCGATATGGACCCTTTGTTCGATGATGTTTACCAAGGCGCCTGAAGCAGAGCTACGGAAGGATGAGAATCCGCTTGTGGAGGGCCTGTTCAACTACCAGATGATCCACATCGAGGCTTATGTCGTACATGTCGACATGGTCTCGCGTAACGAGGTGGCCTTCAAATTGACCCCGGAGACTATTGAGTCCCTAGTGGACTTTCATAAAGAAATCTACTCTGTCGACGCCGCCGCGAACACGTGGGACTGGTCAGGCAAGCAGGCCCAGCTGAAGAAGTTGCAGGAAGAGTTCGTCCAAGCCGCCAACAAGTTCGTCTATCGAACCGACGCCGAAGCCCTGGAGGGACTCGAGGAGGATGGGGCCGGAGAGCTACTCTGCAACCGGAGCGAGGAAGCCAAAGCAGCTATCTCGGGTCTGTTCGTGCCGCTGTTGCCTCCGCCGCCACGGGTCGTGGATGTTCTGCGCCCAGTACCTCTCCTGCCCAGCTCGACAGGTCCGGAAACATGGTGGCATACTCCCATGCCTCCCTCCGCACCGATGGAGTGGAAAGTACTGCCACCCAGCCTATCCCCGGCCAGCACGGGTGATTCTAATCCGAATCTGTGGGCCAGTCTCGCTTTCACTGAAGCTCAACTGCCATCGCCGACCCCGTCCTACAGCCAACCCTACACCACCGCGCCGTATCAGACGTACGACATCAGCATGGCAGCGACCTCGGCGGCTATCGCGACCCTTCCGCTCCCCAGCATGCTTGTGCAACCGTGCAGTACGACTGCCAACATGACCGGCTTTGGTGGTGGTTTCGGTGGATTCGGTGGCGCCGGTTTTGGCGGCTGGGGTGACTTCGCCCCGCTACCCTACGGCACGACGATATAGCCCGCTGCATGGAGGGGGTCCGATAGATTCGGACCTACCTCCACCCAGCAAGCGACACCCTCGCAGCCCCAGCACTACCAGGCTGATACTTCACGTAGATCGTGGAGTATGCAGCAATCTATGCCTCCTCCGCCTCCGCCTCCACCACGACAATCTCCTCCCCTCCCTCCCTCTTCGAGCGAACCAGTCAACATCGACAATACCTTCTGGTACCGATCCAACTGAAATGGAATACGGTACCGATCCTCGACTAATTGGCATTCTCGACGGCGTTCTTCTTCGACTCTGTGTGCATTCGTGATACCTCCATTCTGCCAACTGCATCATATTCCCGAATAATCTTGTTTGAAGGCATGCGTTTTGTTTGGTTATTTGCTTTCGTTCTTTGTTTACCAGCCAGCGTCAGCGTTTGTTTTTTGTGTGTTTTTTGTGTCTCTTTTTGCATCGAGCAGCGGCGGGTCGGCTCTTCTGTTCCTTTCTCTCTGTGTTCTCATTTCCCGCATATATGTCATGAAGACCAGGTCTGCCTCGCGGCATGGGATATGAATTTGGATGTGGAATGACTTCATTTCTTTGGTCACGGTTTAACGGGGATGCGACATCAGGACTCTTACATCGCCGACTGGACTCAGCGCTTGGATTTCTTTTGTTGATTGTTTCTGTTGAGGACTCTCCTTTCGGTACGGGATACCGGACTGGCGAGCACGCCCTTCAATGTGGTCTGCTCGAGGACAAGTCTACGTGGCGGCGCAATATTGACCATCATCCGTGATGATCGGTCAGGCTGCGCTTTTTCGGCTTGTCGTGGTCTATGATTGTGAGATTCGCGCGAAGACAGAGATACTACGCTGTTGATTTCGTCAGATTCGGAATATTCGCCTGTGGCGAAGACCCGACGCAAAGGGCCTGGGATCGAAATGACCTTTTGCGTCCGTGACGCTGGCATTTTCAACCCGCCCCGATGCCACGATAAGGCGACAAGCTATTTCTCTCTCGTTGATACCGCGACCTCACTCTCATAGATGCGCGACTTGCCTTTTAGGGTCATCTCCTACACCATCCAGGCTGGGTTTTTTGGTAACCTGGATGAGCTTGGATTGTCGGGAGCTCGTTGATCGAGCTTCGTTCTTTTTCCCGACACCGAGAATCGGATGCTGGGTCTTTTGTTTCTTTTTGTCTGCGAACGGGGGGCTAGTTCCCCCCACGCTGGCTGTTCCTCTCTTCTCCTGTCTTTTATTGATCTATCTACTTAGTAAACAATCTGTATGTATCTAGTTAGGCTTTAGTTTGAAAGATGCGTGCAAGTACAACTGGATCAAGTAGAGCGTAAACCCGATCAACGAGTAAAGGACAGTACTGGTCAAAAGTAACCAAAAGCAAATATTGGCATTCCTTGGATGAACTTGGAAAATCATGTACCAATCCTTACAACTTAACAAGTTCTTCAGGACTGCGGCAACAACTCCACTATGGACGTAATAACCGGCGGTATCGGTGACGTCAGAAACCCGGGGGAAGCGCCAAGCAGGGATGGAACTACACTTGTTCATCGCGGTGGCTTCCCTTACAGTTTGAGTACCTACCACACCGATGACTTCCTCATAACAATCTGGTGGAAGAGTTATACGAAAAGCAAAATTTACCTCTTTGTCGGGCCGCTGCATCTTTGAAGCTTACTTCCGCCGGAATCCTGCGGCTTATCTCACTACCCCTCCACGGACTTCTAGAACTTCCTGGTTTGAGGGTTTCAAAGCCATTCGGGCCTCGCTTTGACTGATATATTTCGCTCGAACTTGGTATGTTATTATAGGTTCTCTTGTTCGCCTGCGGATTCTGGTGCGGAACGCGAACTTCATAGGCGTTTCGATCAGAGCCTACCACCTTACGAGCTCTGCTGATCATTGCTGACAATCCCCAAGTACATAGACACCATAACGCAGCGACCCTATCTTCGAGTATTCCAACACTAATTGAGTCCATTGCTGACTCCCCGGCATCCCCATGGACGCCTTACACGATGCCCTCCAATGTCTCCTACCGACGTCCTGGGACGAGGTTCCACAATCCCCCGATGCGCTCCGTGAATACGTCCGCGATATCTTCAAGAGCAGTCGGCTCGTAGCAGAATCTCTTCCAGATCCTCCACCATACGACATTACAGAATACAAGGAGCTGGAATCGCAGGCGCCGAATTCCAAGTCCCGCACACGAATCGTCCCGTCGCCCGCACGGGTAGGCGAGACCGACTCAGGGATTACCTCGATACAGAAGCAATGGGGGAAGCCAATAAAGATGGGCGGTCCCAAAGATAACCCTCTTGGAATACACGTCTGGAAATTGTCTTCCAATGACGGGAAGGGGTCTTGGTTTGGGCGACGGAGCATACACGACGGACTTCCATTTTCACGGTGGAGGAAGAAGCTCTCTTCCGAATATGAGGAGACCTTGAAGGTTAACCAACGGAAAATTGAGAAGGGGCAGACACCGGATAATTGTATTCGTGGTATTGGAGCAGAGCAAAAGATTGAGTCCATTGAGGTCAAAGATGAGGACGGCTCCGTGCTAGGCCAGGTGACGGTCTATCATGTCTCAGCGCAATTTCCCAAACCTACGGCGCCGCGGGACTTTGTGGCTATGATCATCACATCGGACGTTGGGCTACAAGTTGGGGGAACGAAACAACCTGGTCGGAGCTGGATGATGATTTCCAAGCCGTGTGACCATCCCGATGTGCCGCGTAGGAACGGGTTTACCAGAGGCGAGTATGAATCTGTTGAGCTCATCCGGGAGATTCCCAGATCGAGCAGTAACGGCGCTTCCAACGAGCAGGCTGTGGAGAAGTCAAAAGAGGCTGAGCCCAATGCTACTAGCTCTTCGAGAGCAAACAACCACAGCAACGATGCCTTGATTAAAGACGGGCATGACGCTGCAGATGGCGACGACGAAGAAATCAATCCTGTTGAATGGATCATGGTCACTAGGAGTGATCCTGGAGGCAGTATTCCTAGGTGGATGGTTGACAAGGGCACTCCAAAGAGTGTCGGAGTAGACGCAGCCAAGTTCGTTAACTGGGCCGTGGAAGACGACAAGCCACGAAAGCGTGAGAAGCCCTCTGAAACTGCGCCCATCGGGACATCACGAAGCCCGGAAATTCAACCCAGGGATTCGACCGACAATCTCAATTCAGATGAAGACAGTCTATCTGATTCAGACACGGACTCCGTGGAGACTGATACTCAATCTCACCACGGCCTGATTGCCAGTGTGACTGGCTTGCTCAGCTCTGGTCTCGAACGATTCGCGCCGCAAGCATTTTTCGACTATGTTCCACATCAACGGACGGCGTCGGGTCATCTAGTAGATGATACCAGTGTTCCGGAAGACGAGCTAGATAAGAATTCAGCTCCTCAGCCACAGTCAACCGTCTCATCTGAAACGAAGCCGCGCGATCCTCATCTCGACCAAATCTCGCTATCATCCGCGCACTCTGGACTAGGAACTCCAGCACTAGATGATCTCCCTCAAAACAACCTCCCACCGGCGGAATTGATGCAAATCGCCAAAGCCGGTAAACTCACCAGCCACGAAAAAGACCTCGCCAAACTAGCTTTGCGCAAACGCGAAATCGATGCTAAGCTCGAAACCATCCGCTCCGAGTTAGACAAGCTGCACATCCCAGCACAAAGCAACCCCTCTACTCCCTCACGGGGTGTCTTAAACGATATAGACAGCGATACAAGTGGAATACAAAAGCGCACACCAGAGAATTCCACCTCAAGCCCAGCCGCATCCTCTCAAAAGACCAACGGTAATAACGACAGCAGCAGCGGCGACACACCGTCGTCCGGACGGACGCAAAAAGCCGAACTCCCAGCCCATGTCCACAAAGCTGCCACGGAGCTCCTTCATGAGGAATCTAAGCTGTTGAAGCAACTACGCAAGGTCGAGGCTAGCCAGCTCAAGGCTGCTTCTAAGATTGAGGCACGTCAACGCAAGGAGGTTGAACGCTCGGAGAAGTCAAAGTCGAAATCTGAGAATGAGACTTTAAGACAGGAGGTGAAGGACTTGAAGAAGGAGATTAGCCAGTTACGCTCGGAGCGTCAGAAGTGGGTGGATCTTGTTTCTTCGTTGCAGGCGGAGAATAAGAGGTTGGCTGGCAAGGATGAGGATAATTGAGTAAATTGAGTCTGAATGAGCTTTCATATTCGGCGTGTACATAGTCATAGTTGGTATCCTTTGAATATACGATCCGACCTTTATCAAACTGGCAATGGCTTTTTACTTGGATACGCATGGTGCACGGTATACACTTGGTGATTTACGACTAATTGGGATTGCACATCAAGAAAACCCCGTACTGAATTGCTGCTCCGTTGCTTGGGGATTGTTGGTAGATGCTAACCCTAGATGACCCGAGCCTGGCACTATGCTCTGTAAATAGACATTTCAAAGCACTTGTCGCTGCAAATGCGCCAGATCGGGTTGGCCATGAGCCCCAATATCAATCACTCGATTGACCCATGCAGGTGCTTCATGTCCTTTGAGACGTGCCCCGTCACGGTTGCATGAGATGCGACTGAGATTGCAATGCAGAGCCGCTGCTCACATAGGCGGAGTGTCGAATATTGTGCAAAAAGATACACTTCCTGATCAACTAAGGTTTTGAGATTGTGACGAAGTATTCAACAGCCTTTGGCATGGATATCTTTCAGACGGTTCCTTGTAGGTCGTGATTTTGATCTGAGCGAGGTTGACGGGTTCTTGGAAGGAGTTCTCTCGAGGGTAAGAGGTAGGGGTATCATTTTTCGTATTGTAAGGTAACTCAGCCATTCCCAACCGATTCTTATTCTTGAGTCTAGAGGTTCGAAAAGAACTTTGTTAGCCAACACCTCTCTCAACTCCCAACAGGTCGCATTCGAGCACATACCTCTGGTGGGTTACCAGCACCCCTAACCATCTTCTCCAACATCTTCGTGCGAGTCTTCTCCTTCGGTTCGCCCATACCAACAGCCATGTAAGAGAGCAGTGGGTTGTGACCGATGTAGGACGCACAGCTGTCGCGCTTGATGTTGGACAACCACTCGTACTTGGTCGTGTCGGCGTGGCCGGTACCGATGTAACGGGCCTGCAGGGCCTCGAGATTCTGAAGGGTGCGGAGTTTGTCGGCCATTTTGGTGGATGTGAGGATTGAATGTGTCGGAATGTGTTTGGGAGGAAGGAGATGGAGTGAAGGATAAATGAAGGCCTCTCTCTGATGGCGGAACGGTCGATCACGTGATTTGTATCAAATCACACTTTCGAGGACTCGACGATTTGCTTCTAGACTCGACGAATGATTCGTCGAATGAATATGCGAGGCTGTTTTTCGCACTTTGAGAAAGGTCTAAATGTCTGAAACTTCCTCGGCGGCGCCGTTGGCGTCTCGGATAGCGTCGCTGGTGCACGCACATTTCGATGCCTTACCTGCACGCAGCAAACCGAAGATATTCCCCGATGGGTCTAGGGAGTGGATTCCAATGACTGGTATTGTGGCTGTCAAGGGTATGTACTAGCACTAATATCCAGGATTGCAATATAATGACCTTACAATAGGAAATACACGGTCAGAAAGCCTTCATTGCATATCTGTCACGTACGTTTTCAACTCATCAGACTCATGCAATTCTTTGATTTTAGGTAGTTCTGTGCGGCTAACATACCGATAGATCTGGAGCAAAGTGCTTACCAGCTTCCCACGTTCCGCGCTGTCAAGGCCTCGTTCTCCACGATTGCCATGCCGAGATCTTAGCCATTCGCGCTTTCAATTACTGGCTTCTAACTGAATGCCATGCTTTGTTGATCGAGGAGAGCAAGAACACCATCAATATAGATCAGGCACTTGGAGTTGAGGACATTCATATTTCAAAGTCACCGTTTATTCGCAGGAGACAGCCAGCACCTCAAGGGACCAGTACATCGACACCATCGGTCAACTGGCCCCCTTTCGAAATCCAACCCGATGTCAAATTCTATATGTACTGTACATGTGCTCCATGTGGAGATGCAAGCATGGAGCTATGCATGGCAGCACAGGAGGATGCCACGCCATGGGAAGTGACACGCCATACGGATATGAGCCCGACAGACCAGGACGATCTTCAAGAAGAAAACTTGCTAGATGGCCGGGCTCACTTTTCTCTTCTTGGTGTTGTTCGCCGGAAACCAGCACGTATGGATGCGGAATCAACCCGAAGCAAGTCCTGCTCAGATAAACTCGCTCTGCGTCAGGTATCGTCCTTGCTATCCTGTGAAACAAGCCGTCTAGTTTCGCCAACAGAGAACGTATACTTGGCTGGTCTCGTTCTTCCTGAAGATGAGATTTCCCGAGTTGGGTGCGAAAGGGCTTTTGGGGAGAATGGACGTATGAGGGGTTTAGCGGGTCGATCGTGGCCGATTAATATGGACCACGATGGGAGCGCGACTGGATATCGCTTTCGACCATTTGAGGTACTCTCGGTTCCTGCTGAAGAAGTTGAAGCTCTTTGGCCATTTGCAAAACCAAAAGCCGTCCAAACCCGCTCTGTGTTACCACACGAAGGGCAGAGTGATGGTACAGACTCCACCGTCGTACTCAAAAAGAGCAAGCCGGGTAACGTGAGCTCTATATGGACGGCCGCGTCCTCATTGCCACATCCTTGTGTGATGACAATGGACACGGGCAGTAAGAATTTGCCAAACCTGGGACGGTCAAGGACGGGCCTCTATGAAACCATTATCAACGGTGTTAAACAAGGCAATCGACTGGCTACTCCCACGGCACGAGGTGCTTCATCGCTATCTCGTGCTAAGCTGTGGGGTCTTCTTCGAAATATACTTCGATCGACGGAGTGCCTTCGTGAATATGAGAGCCAAAGCCTAGAAGAGGATAACGATCCACTCCGCTCTATCAAAGACGCGAGTTCATACGAAGATTTCAAGCGAACTGGAGGGGATGTCACAGATCCCCACCATATTCGACAGGAAGCGATGCGTGATGCAAAGAATGTTCTCAAGGGATGGGCGCCGAATACGGGAGATGAAGGCTGGAATCTAGATGTTCTAGTTGATTCTAAGAAGCGAAAGAGTGAAGGGGTTCAATGATGGATAGAACATTAGGATTAATAAATAACGCGTCATAAACTGGCTGCACGTATGTAGAAGCTTTTTGGCCTTTCCAGGCCAACAATCTCAAGGCAAATGCATAATAATGTACATTTTTTGGACTTGACCGAGTCCACCATCAAGGTCATTCCATGGTCAATACAAGAAAAATGACCTTCCTTCCTCCCTTTTCATGTAATGTCATGCGAACAAATACAGGATCTCACCCAAAGGCAAGTTATCCAAATCGGACGTTTTAATAAATGCCCGGGATGATGCGACTGCGGACCATCGAGGTGTAGCGGTCCCAGTCAGCACCATACTTCTTCTTGCACTTCTCCTCATCGCGCATCTCGCGGTGAACCAGCAAGACTCCGAAGTAGAGCATGTAGAAGTAAGTGAAAATCATTCCCCAGCCGCGAACCTCGGGGGTCTGAACAGCCTGCTTCTGAAGGGCACCGCTGGCAGGGTTGATGCTTTCGATGAGAGCATAGCCAGCAATACCAGTAGGCAGACAGTAGGACCATGACATGATCCAATCGCCAAAGTAGTTGATGTGCCGGGCCAGACCCCACCAGCCAGAAGTCATCAGCTTCGAGCCACTAGCGGTCTCGATGAACTTGATGTGCTTCACACGGGGATCGTTGGGGTCCGTACGGAAGCGGTTCTTCTGGTTATTAGCACCACGGAAGATCGAGTATCCAACGGCGGTGGCTCCTAGAACGAGGGCCATTCCGCTCCAGCCAAGCTCGAGGGGGAAGACGGCGAGGTAGCGGCTCTGGACGCTGTAGATGTGGGGGAGCCAAACAACGTCGCCGAAAGACAGCATGAAGCCAAAGCCGTCCATGATCACATCCATCGTGGTCAAGATTGCGGGTTCCATGTACAGCGCGTCCAGAATGTAGAAGGCCTGGAAGATAGTGACCAGAACGATGGAATCAGTCACATAGCCGTAAGTGCGGTACTGGTGGGCCACATTGGAAAGGTTCAGGATAGTCCATCCGAGCAAGCCGGGGCGCATCTCCATAAACACCTTGATATCAATCGTGCGGGATGTCTCGCTGACGAATGGAATGGGCAGGCGAATTCGAGGGTTGAGCTCGCGGCCAATGAAGAAGTCGTAAAGGATGTTGCCAGTGTGGCCACCAGGTGCCAGTTCGCGGAGCTCCTGGTTAGGCTTGCCGGGTGCCGGGACCGTGAAGCTCTTCAGGTAGACGAAAAGCGCAGTTGATGAAGAAATCAAAAGGTTCGCGGTAATGACCTGAACGTAGTTCTCCCACAGGAAGGTCCACACCACGAAATCCGCGCCGTACATGTAGGTACCGGTGGCCAGGCCCGCGAGGATGATGAGGGCGGAGGAGAAGGCTAGTATACCATGTCAAATTAGTGTTCCGCCCTGCGCATAAGAGGTTCTTATCGTGTTCTTTCCAAGGTATCTAGCGTACCATTGAACTTATACTTCAGTCGTCCATGGCATGCCAGGGGCACACCATCCCTCTCCTGGCCAGGCAGGAAGACCTGCAAGAACAGACTGAAAGCATAGTAGCTCAGCGTCCACAGTGTAACCTTAGTGTCATAGAGACCAACAATGCCCTCTTCGGGCCAGCCCACCTCACGCTTGAGCTGGTCGAGGGTCAGGGTCGAGGGGCTCAGGAGGGAAGGTGCGGGACACCCCGACACATCATTGCAAACGAAGGTGAAGGTATAGACAAGCAGAGGAAGACCGAAAATGATTGCGAAGGCTCCTGGTCTGTGGCGCAAGTCAGTACAAGGTGCAAAGAATCTAAACTAGAGAAGGGCATAGCAAACGTACGGCCCACAAAATTCATAACCGCGCTTCTCTGGGACAGGTTGGATTGGGATTTGAGGCTTTTCAGCCTTTTTGAGGGCCATAGTGACAAGTGCAATCAGGAGTAACCAAAGTGGAATAGGACGGCGGGTTGGCTGGTAATCAGGGTGGGGTGATAGGCCGAAATAAATAGACCCTGACGAAGCTGGTGGCAGAAGCTGTGGAAGCTTGGCCGAAGGCGCGTACGACACCGGATCCCGTGCTCCCGCTTCTTGCTACGGCGCCCGCGGACCACTTCTCCGCATCGACTCGTTTATTCGTATTCAAGCGCCAATCACAACCTACTCACTTCGGCATGCAACGTAAGCTTCCTCGATCATTTCAGCCTCCTCACCAGCCTTCTGACTTACCTTAAACATCAACCAAACAAGGAGAGCTGGCCTCTTGACGAAACTCAAACACTCATTTCCATCTCCTTTCTTTTTCTGCGGTCCTCGGTGACCTCCCACTTCCAGCCATGAAGCTGTCCAGTTCCGCTCGTTATTCCCTCCTCTTCTGGTCCGTCATCTCGGGACTCACCAATGCTGCCTCGGACCATAACTCGCACCTCAACGATGACTCCCCCTGCGTGGCTCGCTCCCCGACGAGCGGCCTCTACTTTGATCTCTATGCGATCTCATTATCGCCACCGGAATTGAAGAATGGCAAGAAGGTCGAGAAAGACGCGCGCAATGAGAGCTGGCATGCCAAGGGACATGACTACCCCGCAAACTTCACGGTCAACATCTGCGCGCCGGTCATTGAGGAAGTCAAGGATGTGGTCGGGGTAGAGTCGTCGCGGTGGAAGAATGTCAGCGCATATTACGAGCAAGCGGGGAAGATATACTCGATAGGGTACGGTAGCTCCATTTCAACGGCCCTTGATACTCCGCATCGATTCGGGAGTCGGCTGTGGACTGGCTGTGATTGTGAAACTTCAATTACTAACATTGCTTTTCTTTCGCGCAGTGAGCAAGCTTCCGAGCCCTTCTTCCGGGGTCGCAAGCTTGTCCTCAACTATACGAATGGCTCCCCATGCCCCGGTGATTGGAGCACCACCAGCAAGAACTCCTCCGTGCGCACCAAGTCCACCATCATGTCCTTCCTCTGCGATCGCGACGCACCCGCAAACACCGCTACTCCTTCCTTTGTCGGTACCATGGATTCATGCACATATTTCTTCGAGGTTCGCAGCTCAGCTGCATGTGGAGGAATCGCGGTAGACCCGAACGCCGGTGGGCTGGGACCGGGCGGGGTCTTCGGTGTGATGTGAGTCTACTTCTTGCAATATCATGCTAAGTGAAACTCAATCCATACTAATATTAATTTCCAGCATGCTCATTGCCGTGGCTGCGTATATGATCGGTGGCTGTGCGTATCAACGGACAGTCATGCACCAGCGCGGTTGGCGCCAGTGCCCCAATTTCAGCCTCTGGGCTGGCATGTTCGATTTTATCAAGGTATGTCTCCTGGCGTTGGTGCCATGTCGGTCTCGTCGAGGGTTTAGGTATGGCAATGTGGCTTCGCACAAGCATGGAGATTCAACCACGCCTGGGTTACCCGTTTCACGATTGGATTGAGATTGCTCTAGCTGGTCTAGAGCTCAATTGCATCTAAAATTTGGCGCACATTTACACCTCTGTCTTCCATACATTCATCTTCTTGATTATCTCTCTCGCTCAATGCTCGATCTTGGGCGTACCCCATGCAGGTGTCATTGCAGCATCCCGCTCGTTGCCCACGGCATATACATCCCTCGTGACTTCGAGGGCAGGACACCAGTTCGATGCATGTTCCTTTCTCTTCTATCTAGTCAGCTATCAGTATTTGATTGTACCCAGTACTTAAGGGATCGCGTTTTGTGCCACTGCCTCGGGGAGACTTGATCGTGTTTTTGCTTTATGGCCGTTTTTAGAGCAACTGGGGCTAATCATCTATTTCCGTCACACTAGGACATGTTCGTCATCCTATTCTCATCACTCGGGAGATGTCTTCGCCTTAAGCGATCCCCCTCGAACGGTGGCTACGTTCGCGCCGACAGTGACGGCCGTGGCGGCTTTATCGGTGCGATCGGTGGCCGAGGCGTTGGTGGTCATGGCGGGCGACGGGATGTTGATGCTGAGAATCGACTTATAGATCAGCTTGATGAGGAGTGGGATGACTAGATAACTTGTCGCTTGATCTGTATCCAAGGAATTATCCGGGATTCCAATTACCTCTTCGGGCACTCGTTAGCTATAGATCTTCGTCGCAATCAATCAATGATTCAAATGTTTAAACTTGTACACCCTTTGGCACTTCGCTCTTGAGGTTAGAGTAGCCTCGGCGGCCAAGCTCCGTATTCATTCTTGATTCCGCTGGGTTCGGCTGTCGATGCTGGTCGGGTTCCACGGGCTCCGGGTATGCTGTATTTAACCAACGTCGTCATAGCCCGGGGTGATTTCCAGGCACCCTACCTGGCCTATCTTTCACATGGCAGGGTACATGACTGTCTAGAGCTTTCTTTTCTGCTACTGTGTGAGCTGCTCGTTCTTGTTCGCTCTGCAACTTTGAGGCACAGACCGTCCGTGGATATATTATTCCAGACCTACATGAATCGGCCTTCATATTCCGTTTACATACCGGTAGCCCGGCCACTTTTTAGCATTACCTACTAGTTTGAAAGTCAAGCTTGATTACCAAATTCGTCGAGTCACGTAAGCTTCATACAGCCCCCTTGAATACAGCAATAATATCGCAATACAGTAACGTTGTATCGGCTTACCGATTCAACCCATTGATTCTGTGGCGACACCGGCACCACGAGTGGGTCTCATCCATATAACATTCTCGGCCGCAGCTCTACATGAACCAGCATCATTGGTCTAGTGGTAGAATTCGTCGTTGCCATCGACGAGGCCCGTGTTCGATTCACGGATGATGCACACCTCTTCTTTTTATTTTATTTTTTATTTTTGCGTCTGTCGATATGTGGTATAGACTATGGAAGTTTATGTATGGCATGGCGGGGTCATAGGGTGTGGGTAGGCAGCGGTGAAATAATTTTCTCATCGGCTAATACTAGGGCAAGTACACTGACCTATAGTCAACCCAATAGCACTTAATTAGAAGACGGTCTACTAGAGAGGAGGGGAAGGAGCAGGGAAATTAAACGCGTGATGAATGATTGAACACGGAGGCTCGGGACATATATACACGATTAGGGACAAAGACATAGATAGCAATTACTCCAGGCTTTCCACATATATAATTGACAATATAGAGGAAACAAATCCACCAGACCAAAAATACAATACCCGGAACACGAATCCTCCCATAGAACAATAATAAAACACCACATCGCGGTCATCGAAAAACAGCAGACATCTCACGGGGGGTATCCAAGATCATCAGTGCCGTCCATCTGGTTTCATGCCTAACCCTCCTATGTCGAGGTCATACGCACTCAAAAGGGCAGATTACCTGCTCCACCTAACCCGGACATATCGCTGCCTGGGCCGGGAGCAGAAGTCGGACCTCCTGGTGGTTGTGGAGGTGGGCCGGCGCCAATCGGATCGAGGTTGAATGGGAGGAACCACGCACTGGGCTGGTAGAACTCGCCTGTTCCGGCTGGGGCGCTGGGATCAAGATGGCCCGTGAAGAGTGAGTGGTCTGGGGTTTGAGCGTCGACGCCATTGACGGGTGGTGGGGGTGGCATTGAGGAGTTATTCGGTGGAACAAAGTTGGTGGGGTCAAAGTCGGAGAACGACCCGTATACAAATTGCCGATCCAATTGTGGCAATTGATCTGGCGGGATGCTAAAGTCAAAGGGTGATTGTCCGAATGACATGGCTCCATTTTGGGAGAATAGGGATGGTTGGGGGAAGGCGCTGCCTGGGACGCCCGGAGTATTGCCCATGGCAATATCCATGGACTGTGTCGGAGAATGGTCCATATTAGGATTAGGAGTGCCGTCGGATATTTTGCTGTTCTTCCTCGAGCGAGATCTGCGGGGAACGGCGTGCTGCGGCGTCGGAGATAGACTGGCGAAGAAGTCCTCTACGCTCTGGAGATCGGGTTTCTGACCCATGACTGCATCCTCGCCTGTCTCCTTATGACGAGTGTCTGGATCCTCCCAGTGCAGCCTTGAGACACCGTGGGGATACTTGTCGAACCAGTCACCATATTGGAACATGGGGGCCAGTGAGGTGCCATTCTGAGTTGCTACAGATCCCTTGATAGCGGCATCGGCGAACTGTCGATACCGGTCTTTGGCACTCTCCACCATGTAGTGGAACATACCCCAGTATTTCTTCATCTTGTTGAGATAGCGGTAGGTGTGGCGCAGATTCTCCTTCGATCGAGCTTCCAATTGCACATTTTTGGAGAAGATACCCCAGATATGAACAGTGCTCGCCGTGTATGCACAGTACCCAGCGAAAGGGACAGTAAGCGGATAGGCCGATGCCCGATCAAAGAGCACGGAAATATGATGGGCAGCTTCCACAGCGGCTCGACCAGCGTTGCTGAGGAACGGCTTCGGCATGTCCCGAGGAGGCCGTCCACCAGGCGAAAGAGGAATGGCAAATTGGTTCAAGAACAGCATGTTCTGATGAGTGATGATGTGCAGGAATAGGAACTGATTTGCGATCTTCTCCGCGGCATGAATCTGAAGATTCTCATAGGTAAAAGTCAAAGCACTCGGAAGTGAGGCAGAGAACTCTTCAATCTGCCGCTTCAATCGCATGTACCCCGAGTCCGGATGCCAAAGCGGCTGGGGGTCTTTTCTTTTACCACCAAGGTTTAGATAGTCAACAATGCGTCCCCAAATGACGATGGCTCGGATGATGTATGCTGACACTCCCATGTTCTCCTTGGCGTTGGACAACTGGCCGGAGTTTTCGGGTGTAGGGTTGAGCACGTCTCCATCCAGGTCTTCCGTAGGCCCAGGAATCTCCATCTGGAAGTGGGTCTCCTTGATAGGTAGTTGAATCTGGAGGAACTTGTCATTTCCAATGGGCGGCCGTTGGCTTCCCGATGAGTTATACCGATCCATCAAAAAGCAGGCCCACATCGTGCGCCGCCGAATTTCACGATCTGTGAAGCTCAACTGCGAGTTGGCGCCATTGTTCTGATTAAGTAACGGATCACTCTCAAGCTCTTGGTGAAGCTGTAACGCGTATGCCATCCTCAATGCTTGTCCTCCAAAAGACCAGCTTCGTCCACCGTGACATGTTCCAAATTCATGCAGCCCAAGAAGTAGAAAGACTGTCAAAATTGTGATATTCGGTTCGTCGTGCCGGCTCAGAGCGATAGCTGCCGCCGGATTGGCCCAGTTCTCTCCTCGAAGGAAAGGAGGTTCTGAATTGAGTTGCGGGTGGGTTGAAAATCGAGCGGAGACGGCGCAGACAGCCAGGATGAGGACGGGAGGAACTGTGCCCGCCTTGAGTCGTCGCATGAAACTAGGCTTATGTAAAAGAAGGTATGACTGGCCATACACGCAGTCGAAGAAGACCTCTGCAAGATGCTCCTGAATCTCCAGAGAAGGCAAAAACTCCGCGCCTTCTGTCAGAAGTCCCGTGCCATCAGTGGACTTGGGTTCGCGACTCATCGGAAAAGTCTCGTGTGTCGGGCGACGCTCCCCCCGCGCCCAGCCCTCCATCTCCGCTGCGAATGCTTCATCTGCGCTCCTTTTCTTCTGAGCCTTAGTAGCCTGTGTTTGCGCAGAGGGCTTCACAACGGACCGTCCGATCGAGTGCATATCCCTCGTCTCATCTTTAGGGATCGTCTTGATCACGCGATCTTCCATTCGCTTGAGACGTTTGTCCAGCATGGCCATGTAATCGGTTCGCGGGGCTGCCTTCCTCGTGGTGACCTTATAGACGCAGGGAATTCGCGAGCGCGTACAGTGCTTACACGCGGGCTTCTCGCCCGAGCACCGGATCTTCTTTCGGCGACAGGCGATGCAAGCTAGCGGCAGTCGCTTTCTTTCCTTCCCCGCCTTAGTCTTCATTTCGCTCCAGGCCGGCCTTCCATCTTTATCAAGTGGCCCTGTCTCGGGGCCTTCACCAGCGTCTCGTGTAGTATCGTCGCCCTGGTTGTCTAGTCCACCGCTGTCGGCCCCCGTCGCGGGGTCATGGGCGTGTGTGCTACCGTGGTCGCGGGAGCTTGCATGGCTTTGTGTGTCAAAATCATCTAGACCTGCCGTTGAATCCTCCTGGCCTAAGCCAAAGCCAGCACCAGAGGTTTTCAATGGCGAGTCGTCGGAGTCGGGAGGGATCATGACGGGTGCGGATACCCCAGGACCCAGGCCCGGAGCATCGTTCGGCGTGGTCGGGACAGAGTTGAGAAGTGGAATTTCCTGCCTGGGACGATGCGATAAATTTTATTTCGGTGCGATGCAAAAGGTGGGATGCCGGGCGAGTGCGGTGGGAGAGGTCGGGGTGGAGGAGAAAATGAGGAGAATCGAAGGAATATGGGGAAAGGTTTCGGCGAATGGCGGCTTGGCAACTCGTCCACTGGTAGCGCCTATATTACTGAGCTGTCACGTCCACCTCAGTAATAGATGAAACAGCTAATAAGGTGATTTCTGACTTCAGCCACAAGATGACGAGCTCTATGGCCGGAGTGAAACATGAGCAAAAAAGAGAAAAAAAGTGCAGGGACCTACGAGGTTCGAGGGTACAAGGTTTACATACTCCGTGCTTCGCATCCGAACTCGGCTATGAGCACTTATCTGCTGCACATCCTTTTGATCTACGCTATTGATACTAAAAAGGGGCAACAGACCTCCAGTGAATAACAACTCCCCTGAACTGAGTATATCAAAGCTATCGAATATATTATTTAACGTTATGTCCAACGCCCAGTCCTCCAGTTCCCTGCAGATGGTCGGTCCACATTCGGGCCGAGCCCCTAAGGTAGGACGATCGATCGGGTTGGTTTGCGTCCGGACTGGCGACTGGTCCGCAGTGTCAGAAGTGCTTCGATTTTTTACTAGTATCTAGTATGTAGATGAATATAAAGAAAGCACAAGTATCTTCCCTGCTGCCAAGAGACTCGAACAATCAAAATTCCACCTCATCCGTCTCGCATGAGTCATGACGCACAGTTTCTCCCACTGGCACCAACAGCTCTAAAGATAAATTTTCATGCTCATTCCATCAGAATTCGTTCACTCTAAAAGCACAACAACTCAGCTCGAGCTAGATCATGATACAATAGTGAACCATTCGGTCCGCGTCTCCTGCCATTGCATTTGGTCTCCAAGCTTCTGGCCCTGGCGGCCGTGGGTGCGTTGGGGACACAGGCCCTGGACACTTTGGTTTTCAAAGAGGAGTTAGCCTGGGGCATCGGACAGTATCAGAAGATGTCGCTCAACTGATCTTAGAGCTGCGCACCCAGTCTTCCTTGCAGTCCATCCTTGGCACCACCAGCTTATGAGGACTTTGGACGACCTGGCCGGCGTGGTGGAACCTGCTCCAAGGAATTTAGGATCTCATCACCGAGAATGATCATACTGTAGGCAGGAAAAACAATCCAGAGACCGCTAGACGAAATCATTGTTAGATCGAGCTGTGAGAGGTTTGGGGGCTTAGATCGTGGAAACTTACTTCGGAATGATCCATAGGAAGATAAGAGAGGCAGCATCGTTGTGGCCGATGTTATCAAAGCCCGAGAAGAACTCATTCAGCCCTATCAAAGTCAATACCACCAACGGCCTGATAGGGGAATGACAAGCGACTTACAGTAAAGCAAAGTCTTGCTCAAAGTCATCACCGACGCGGTGAAAGCAACCAGGAGCGCAATTGCGCCAGTCCGTCCAGCAACTACCTTCTCTCCAGCCAGAAGCCAGACGAACCCCTTTTTTGAGCTTCTTTCCGCTGCGACCACTGACGACCGTGGCCCCGTGTCGGTATACAATCCACAGGTAATACAAGTAACCCAGGGTCTCGACTACGTTCATCACGGTCTGCGCGGCAGTGAAACCATTACGCGCATTGTATGCGGGCCAACCATAAATGTAGTCGACGGTTCCGTATAGCGCGTAGGGGGTCCAGATAGGCGAGTGCAAGCGACCCCCGGGCATACTATGCGGTCGCAAGAGTACATAGCCCGCATCCCATATGACCAAAGGCACCGAGACAACAAGCCAGATCGTTAGCGCTGCAGAGGGGGTATGAACCCATTTGTGCGCAGTGCCGTTGGTGGTTGGCGCAGGCGACGACTTGACGAGCTCTTTGGCAGCTTTCTCTGGCGAGGGGAAGTCGCGGGGATGATGTCGCGTGGAGACCATGACAGGCTAGAGTGGTTCGCGAGAATGAGAGCAGAGTCGCAAGGGTGGAAGAAATTATCGCGCGATCAATGAACAGTGGGAGCTGGACCAAGACCGGTACCGCATCAGAGGGAAGGTGCAGGAATGAAGCTTCACAATTAGGGCGGAGGAGGATGGAAACCAGAAAAAGCACTGCTGGTCGGAATTAGCGCCTGGAGAGAATACCGGGGGTCGCATGCCTGGCGATCCCAGCGCTTTGCCAGAGTTTCCCACAGTTTCATAGGGTTTCGCCTCGACTGACGGGCAGTGACGTCGTTGGAGTACTCGAAGAGTTCGTTTGCGGGTCAACATGCAGTGCGAGTAGCACGTTTTGGGCGAAGATTTGCCTTTCAACCAGGCCTTGAGAATAAACCATAATTACTGAGCCAGATGGGGGTCTGATAGATTGATGTGATGAATGTAATACTGCTATTCCCCGCTTCAAGGGTCCAGCTGTTGGAGAGACCATGACTTCCTTACCCCAGAGAAGGCTCGTGCTTTGTTCGGTATGGAGAGTCTACCAATCGGGGCAACTTCCCCTTTTGCCTCCCCTTGCGTGGTGACCCTGCGCAGACCACCGCTAATCTGAAAGATCGGAGATTGGCTTGAAGGGGACATATCTGAAGTACTAAATGTGCGATCCGAGGAATATTGACCTTGGAAAAGGACTGTTCTAGATGAGAATAGAGTTAGACAATTGTTTGGTCAGCAAGTCCACTGTTGCCCGGTCTGTCGCCACTAACCGGATACCAGATACATCAGGCAGAAAACGTGCCAAAAACACGTGACGTACAAGCCACCACGAAATAGGGTTCGAAACTCAGGAGACAAGGGAATGGTGACGCCGCGATTCGATTATAGCGAACGCCTCAAGGCTTGAAGCAGAGTATTCCCTCCTAGAACTGGCGTACGATGGATGCGGGTGATAGCCAGAAGGTGCGTTGGCCAGCCAGGACTGTCAGCCTGCCAATATAATCCAGAATGCTGATGCCTGACTCTATGAAGAACATCGAGCGCCTGGCGCGTGTTCGCGAGAACCAGCGGAAGAGTCGAGCGCGAAAGCAGGAGTATGTCCGGGAACTAGAGCAGCGACTGGCGACTTTCAAGAATGATGCCCAGCAGAAGGATATCCAGCACCGGCTGGCCAGCCAGAAACTCGAAGCGGAGAACCGCCACCTGAGAACGTTACTAGGGTCTCTTGGAATCTCGGCGGAGCTGGTTCAACAATACCTGCAGCTAGCCGATCAAGGCACCGCAGTGAATCGGAAAGTCGCGATTCCTGCGATGCAGCGACCGGCAGAGCTGCCTGTATTGTCGTCACCGTCTTCCGAGACTAATCCACGTTCAAGCTCAGCGCGGGCAAGCGCCTCGAGCGTATGTAGCACAGCAACTGATGGCTCAACCCCGAGGGAGAGCGGCGGTACACCAACCTCCTACACGCCAATAATTTACGCTCCCACTGCTTGTGCTCCGATTGCTCCTGCGTCGACCACTTGCGCGCCCACAGGTTGCGTACCTACAGCCTGCGCGCCCACAACTTGCGCGCCGAGTAGCTGTGCACCAAACAGCTGCACGCCCATGAAAGTCGAACCTGGAGCCATGAAAGTTGAAGCAGAAGAGCCACAGCTTCCGCAGCAGCCTCTGCAACCGTCTTTCGAACAGCTCCCACAACTGCCGTCGCAAGATCCGCAGCAACAACCATCGACGCAGTCGAAACGCACAAATCCTTCTCTTTGTGATTGCTCACCAGGCGACGCGATGCCCGAAGGTGATGGCGATTTACTCAACACGACTCTTTGTGGTATGGCAGAAGAATTGATCAATCAATACAATATAATCGGCATCGATATCGAGGAAATCCGACGGAGACTCTGGGCTGGATTTAAAGCCGGGACTAGAGGAGATGGCTGCCGAGTCGAGAACCAAGTTTTGTTCCAAGTTTTGGACGAGATCAGCAACAGCATCTGATCTGTTCTCGCCAGAATAAAGTTCATTACTATTAAAGGTTTGATCACGACTGCTATCCGCTGCACTACCAACTCTTCCGCTTGCCATACCACTTGACGGCATACACCAACCCCAACAACACAGGGACCTCAACGAGGGGACCGACAGTGGCCGCCAATGCTTGATCGCTATTGACTCCAAAAGTAGCGATTGCCACTGCGATTGCCAGCTCGAAGTTGTTGCTCGCTGCCGTGAAGCTCTGCGTGCAGGACAGCTCGTATCCAAAGCCAAAGCGCCGGGTTATCATCAGGGTTGCCAGGAAGATCACTGCAAAGTATACTACCAGAGGCGCCGCCACTCGAACCACAGAAACAATCTGATGAACGACCTGTCGACCCTGCGACGCGAACAAGACGATGATTGTGAAGAGCAACCCAATGAGAGACAACGGGCTGATCCACACAAGGAACTTCTTCTCATACCATTTCCCTCCGATCAGATTGCGTAGCCCGAATCGCGTCACTATCGCTGCGCCGAGTGGTATGCCGAGGAAGACACCCACGCTCTTCGCAGCTAGTGAATACTCCAGATCAATATCGTCGTCACTGATGACATTGATGAAGAATATGGCAAGCGGTGCAAACAGCACCATCTGCAGGACGGAATTGATGGCGACTAGAATGGCGCAATACTCATTATCTCCACCCGCAAGACCTGTCCAAATGAGCACCTGTTATTTTCTTTTGTTAGCTAGACATCACAAGAAGATATTTTCGGTTTCATAGAAATATACAACGTACCATGGCAATGCATCGTGCAATTCCTACCAAGATCAGCCCCTCTCTCAATCCCTTCTCATCCGGCAAGAATGCCCATGCCAGCGCCAACTATTTATCCATTAGTACCACTTCTAGGCCGAGCCACACCATTTTATCAAGAAACATGCCATGAAAAAAGGGGCGACGATCCAATTGACAACAAGACTGAACCCAATCTGGACCCACAATGCCTTCTGTCGAAGCGTCCGGTGCAGCGTTTCATATCGTACTTTGCACAAGATAGGGTACATCATAACCAGTAGCCCGACAGCTAAAAAAACGCTTTGATATCAGAAACCTGGAAAAGTCTCGAGCTAGATCCTTGCTCGATCCCATCACGAAACAAACAAGAAGAAAAAAGCAAACTCACCAATGGGCACGGACACTCCAACGAATTTCCCCCTCTGCAACGCAGGCCCTGTACTCGGCACGAAGTTTCCCAATATAATACCTATAGCCATAGCAAGAAAGATCCAAATAGCCAGGAACCGATCCAGGAGTCCAAGCTGGTGAAAAGCCGACCTGTGCTGGTCCTTGTCCTCCTGACAAGCAGCATTCGAGCCACAGAGTTCGGTGCCATTCTCGCTGACCTTGTGCTCGGGGAGATGGTCGTTTCCCAGGCTTGAAGCCTTGTTGGCTTCTAAATCGGTCATTCCCAATACTCTGGAGAGGCTTTTGAAGAATGTAAAGGGAGTGTGTTCATGAGTTTTTGGCCATATTCGCCATTGCTGCGTTTGCAGCTGTCTGAATAGTTTTGGTTTTGGGCCAATCAGCGTCCATGGGTGACATCTTGGAACGGGATGTTTCGAACACGTGATTGCTACCTAGCTTGATATCTATACGTGGGAAACTACTCCGTACTCAAGATAGCAAAGCGTGGAGCGATAGCACGGACGCAGAATCGATAAGAACATGGAATTCGTGGTTTAGCGAATAGAGAAGGAATTGGTCATTCTAGAAAACTTGGATCATGTGAGATTGTGTTCTCACACGCTCCTCCGAGATAATTGAATAAAGAGGACAGGGAAGAAGTTCATTGGCCGACCAAATCTACTTGCAGTAGGTGTGAATGATATAGACCTTGGAAGCTGTTTTAGACATGAATCTTGACCTTTAGTTTGTCAAAATTTGCGTCCGCGGAGCGTACAAACCAGAGTCGATTATTGAATATTGAGAAAACTGTGCATGGCACTAGAAGGGGAACAGCGAGTTTTAAAAGAATACAATGATCGATGTTGGGTATAAGAAACACCAAGCAACACCGACGATTTATGACCGAAATCTCAACCAAATAGATATTTCGAAGAGTACCCTGTAAGCAAGGATATCTTCCCCCTCTACAGAGCCTCCGTCATAGAGACAATGGCAGATGAAGTTGTTCAACAAAACAAGTGTTTTACCGACGATTAGCCGTGAAAATGGTCAGCTACAGTAGCTTGCATGTTGCTGAGAGCTTGGCACATAGAAAATTGGGCAGAGATCAGCCTGATGCCCAGTTGAACAATATAATCGGCATCGTCATACGATGCCACTACAGTCTTCTTCTCGGGGTACTCTCGGCCTCGATAAATGCCGATTGGAACGACATACACGCCGGCTCAACGCAATTTCGTCCAACCCTCGTCCCCAGACTCGCGAATCTAGGCAAATATAGCCTAATGGTACCTAGTGTACTCCGTATATCCGCGAAGTCCATGAAAATGCGCACTGTACACAGTGGACAGCTTTCCCCACTCTCGTCGGAGGAACAAGTTGTGTACCGGAGTGGGCCTGCGCTCCGTGCCGACGGGAAGAATAGAGGCAGTCCATTCTTCGCATTCGTATCGTAAGCATGACACTAATGACAGGGCAATCCGGAGTATAACGGGGAAGTTTTTAAATCCGGAGATAGTGTCTGCTAACATCATCAAATGCCGACAAGTCTGCTGTGTCGAGGAAGCCGATTGGGCGGGCTGTCTGGTGTATCAAAATCGCAGGCCGATGCCGGGGCGTAGCGTGGGGGAAGCCCCTGGGCCGGTGTCCAGAACCCGAATCGCGCATCAGTCATGGATGTTACGGCAGGCCATCTCGGTAGTAAAATGACATACGCAAAGGCATCTGGCGCCCTGGGCCGACTGAGTGGAACTTTTCGGTCCTTGTTCGACACGGCACGGTGTCCGATCGAGCCGATCAGGGAAATTCAAAGGGATCATTGCGATATGCAGATCTGATCCAGACTTTTCCATGGACGTTGAAAACACTAACAAAAGATGAGAATGGCTCTTCTTCGGCCAAGAAGAGTAGGAATCGACTACCCTAGTCAACTCACTAACAAAGCTAGACTAGCTAGTAGAGGTTAGTTGGTGAGCTAGAGGAAAACTAGATCCCCTCATTACGTTGACCAAGCCGAAGAAAAACCGCGCATGATGATGGGGACTCCACAAAGTCCAGGATTTCTGCAGTCGGCATCTGAGAAGCCTGGAGCCCCGCACTTTTGGGGCGTCCCCCCGACCTCCCGGTCTCCACGGTAGCCGCTTGGCGACGCGGATGGCTGCGCCATCGCATCATAACAATCAACATGGAAAGACTCCCAAGCCTGCGAGGTCGAGATGGCCACGTCCTGGAAGTAAACTTGGTGACCATTAATATCAACCTAGTTTAGGAAGTTTGTTGACATTGTTGATGTTGCTTTCGTCAAAGTAAAAACACGAAAGCCAAGCCCGACCCACCGTCTGGATCAGTGGATGTGGATTGAGCCAGTTGAGCTCAGGAGACACAAGCATAAGCCATGTGGGAACAAGTGCGCCACGCATCCAACATTATTATTATTGTTCCCACCACAAGCCAGAACAGGCTAGATATGGACACTGAAAACTCCTCAAGCCAAGCGGAATGGCGGAACCCAAGCCCATAAAACCCCGTAGGAGTTTCCCCATCGGGAAGGACGAGCGGGGAATTATCTTGGGGGAGTTGACGGGGTTCTGAAATTCCGCTTGGTGAACTGGGGTGCTGTTGAAATGCTATGGCAGTAAACCGTGATCATGACACCTTGACCGTGATCGATAGGTAATGAGGATCCCTGCTGTGTTGTCACAGTATAGATCCATGCCTGAACACAGGGATGCGGAGGGAGTGCGGGGGTAACAAGTCGGTAGTCAATGTGGTGGTCAGCTTACCCACTATAGACTATAGAACTGTTGAGAGCCACGAAGCTGGGGGTAGCTGCCAGCTGGACGTTGGCGCGGAGAATTAGCGGAGAAAGGGAACGAGAGCGAGTGGACAGAGCGACAGGAGTGGGAATAGTGGGAATAGTGGGAGTGGCAGGGTAGCAATGGAGATGTCGCCCGAAGTTTAGGCGGTTGCGGTGTTCGGCAGACTCGGGACAAGGTGTATGCATTTCATGAAGTACCACATTTGTTGGTAAGGATAACAAGGTCTGAGAACTTGCAGATTTTCTAGAACTATATCAGAGAAACGATCTGGAGGTTGGTACTGTAGTATGGCTGGTTCCTCTTGATATGTCGACAGAATTATTACTTTACTCGACTCTAGAACTTCCCCCTCGCGTTCCAGCCACAACCTTAAGTGATGATACGTAAGATCCAGAAAGAAGAAAACCAAAGACCTTGAAATAAATAGATCTCAACTACAGTACTGTATTCACTAGCTCTTATGATTTGTTTTTATCGTGTACCTGACTGGTAATGTCCCTTCCTGCATCAATACCACACTATTACTTCCGTACCTTCTAGTAACCCGTCGATCCTTACTGTTTCTCTGTTTCTCCACACTTCCTGTTTGCCTCCTGCTCCCACCCATTTAGTTTTTTAGTCCCTGAGATTTCACAGGGAAATTACGACATGCACCAACATCCCTGGAGCTGGAGGTAAACATTGTTTTAAATTCAAGCATCCCCCCTCCCCGCCATCTGTAGGTTGTGACAGTGTACACCCCTTCCACTTCACCTCACCTCTTTCTACTTCCGCTGCGCAGTTCAGCTTCCTCGGTACATCCCGAGTCCCTGAATTAGCCCGGATAAGCTTTCACACCCCTAGCAATCATGAAGGTCGGGTGGCTGGAAGCCACCGTCCTCACGGCCGCCACGGTCGCCAGTGCTAAGGTTTGTCATGCATACACTTGGAGTATATCTTGCGACAGCCGATAGCTTCATTTTCGTTTCAGCAGGGGCTAATTGTACCATTTTTGCTACAGGACCTCGCATATTCCCCTCCCTACTACCCATCTCCATGGGCGACCGGCGAAGGCGAGTGGGCCGAGGCCTATAGGCGGGCTGTTGACTTTGTCTCCAACTTGACTCTGGCGGAGAAGGTCAATCTCACAACTGGTGCTGGGTATGTAGTTTACAGAAACAAGACTGCGCATGGGATCGGGTTGGCACTAACATGCTATGCAGATGGGAGCAAGAACACTGTGTCGGTGAGACCGGTGGTATCCCCAGGTAAGCTGGCGAAATGGATTATACATTTGAGATGAGAAAGAGCAATGTGACTGACGGGTGACGCTGAAATAGACTTGGAATGTGGGGAATGTGCATGCAAGATTCTCCCCTCGGTGTTCGTAATGGTACGGCGATCCTTCTCAATTATCTATATCAGAATAAACTAATCTGTTCTCTACAGCCGACTATAACTCGGGCTTCCCGGCTGGTGTCAATGTGGCTGCTACCTGGGACAAGCGACTTGCCTACCAGCGTGGTGTCGCAATGGGTGAGGAGCACCGTGACAAGGGTGTTGATGTTCAGCTTGGACCCGTCGCAGGGCCCCTGGGCAAGTATCCCGATGGTGGTCGTGGCTGGGAGGGATTCGCACCAGATCCCGTTCTGACTGGTGTGATGATGGCTGAGACCATCAAGGGTATTCAAGATGCTGGTGTCATTGCTTGCGCCAAGCACTTTATCGGCAACGAGCAGGAGCACTTCCGCCAGGCCGGTGAGGCCCAGGGATATGGGTACAACATCACCGAGAGTGTTAGCTCGAACATTGATGACAAGACCATGCACGAACTGTACCTCTGGCCCTTTGTGGACTCGGTTCGTGCCGGTGTTGGTTCTGTTATGTGCTCGTATAACCAGATCAACAACAGCTACGGTTGCTCCAACAGCTACACCCTGAACAAGCTGCTCAAGGGCGAGCTTGGTTTCCAGGGCTTTGTCATGAGTGACTGGGGTGCGCACCACAGTGGTGTCGGTGATGCTCTCGCTGGTTTGGATATGTCCATGCCTGGTGATGTTGTTCTAGGCAGCCCTTACTCGTTCTGGGGTACCAACTTGACTGTCTCGGTGCTCAACAGCACTATTCCCGAGTGGCGTCTGGACGATATGGCCGTTCGTATTATGGCCGCCTACTACAAGGTTGGTCGTGATCGTGTCCGTACTCCTCCCAACTTCAGCTCCTGGACTCGTGATGAGTATGGTTACGAACACAACATTGTGAGCGAGAATTACGTGAAGCTGAACTACCGTGTCAACGTTCAACGCGATCACGCCAATGTTATCCGCAAGATTGGATCGGACAGCACTGTCTTGCTCAAGAACAAGCCTGGTGCTCTGCCCCTGACTCATCAGGAGCGCCTGATTGCTATTCTGGGAGAGGACGCTGGCTCTAATGCCTATGGCGCGAACGGCTGCAGTGATCGGGGCTGTGATAACGGTACTCTGGCAATGGGCTGGGGCAGTGGAACAGCCAACTTCCCCTACCTGATCACCCCCGAGCAGGCCATCCAGAACGAGGTTCTGAACTACGGCAACGGCCAGACCAATGTCTTTGCTGTCACTGATAACGGAGCTCTTGACCAGATGGCCGCCGTTGCTTCTACCGCCAGTGTTACCCTGGTCTTCGTCAATGCCGACTCTGGCGAGGGCTACATCAGCGTTGATGGCAACATGGGTGACCGCAAGAACATGACTCTGTGGCAGAACGGAGAGGAGGTCATCAAGACCGCCACTGCTAAATGCAACAATACCATTGTGATCATGCACACTCCGGGCTCTGTCCTGGTTGGGGACTGGTACGATAATGAGAACATCACTGCTATCCTCTGGGCGGGTCTTCCGGGCCAAGAGAGTGGTCGCAGCTTGGTTGATGTCCTCTACGGCCGCGTCAACCCCGGTGGCAAGACCCCCCTTCACCTGGGGCAAGGAGCGCAAGGACTACGGCGCTGCCATCCTGACCGAGGCCAACAACGGCAACGGCGCTCCTCAGGATGACTTCAACGAGGGTAACTTGATTGACTACCGCCGCTTCGACAAGGATGATGTGGAGCCAATTTTCGAGTTCGGTTTCGGCCTGAGCTACACCAAGTTCGAGTTCTCCGACCTTGAGGTCAAGGTCCTGAATGCCGACAAGTACGAGGCAACCACTGGCAAGACCAAGCATGCCCCCGTCCTCGGCAAGTCTGAGAAGGCCTCGGACAATCTCTTCCCCAGCGGTATCAACCGTGTGCGCCAGTACCTCTACCCCTGGTTGAACTCGACCAACCTCAAGGAGTCGGCTGCCGACCCTGATTACGGCATGGATGCGAAGGACTACATCCCCGAGGGAGCTACTACCGGCACCCCCCAGGAGCTCCTGCCAGCCAGTGGTCCTTCGGGTGGCAACGCGGGCCTGTTCGAGGATCTCATTCAGGTCACTGCCACTATCACCAACGCCGGCACCGTCGCTGGTGACGAGGTTCCCCAACTTGTGAGTATTTACCATATTTGGAAACGGAAAGAAAGATCTATTCTAACCTTTTTTCTTTAGTACGTCTCCCTTGGCGGCGAAGACGACCCTGTCAGAGTCCTCCGTGCCTTCGACCGTGTCTCCATCGCCCCCGGCCAGCAGATCCAGTGGACCACGACTCTGAACCGCCGTGATCTGTCCAACTGGGACGTGCCTTCGCAGAACTGGGTTATCTCCAGCGCCCAGAAGAAGGTGTACGTTGGCAACTCGTCACGCAAGCTGCCTCTCTCGGCCGACTTGCCTACCGTGCAGTAATTGGACCACATCCCTGCTACACCAGGTAAATTTCTTTTTGGTTGGAAATTCGGTGGAGGTTCCGACTTCCTTGAGGTCTTTGAATGACCGTTCATATTGCATTTTGCACATAGTTTACATTGGCAAGTTGCTTGCCTAATAACGAGACTCCGAATCAGACATATTATTATTATTCTGAAGCACCTGTATGGAAATGTTGACAAAGAGTAGCGTAAGCAAGACTGTGGCAAGGGTCCTTGTCGGGCGGATCGAGCCGCAATGGTGTGATCAACCCAATTGATCTTCCCCACACTTTGCAGAACTACATAAAACACCTCCATCCAAGCACATCCAACATCTTTATATCCTACTTTGAACCCTCAATCTCCAAATATCTCCTCTCATCAATCAAAATGCAAGCAATCCGCGTCCACCCGGCGCAACCCCCCACACCACCCTACTCCCCCTCCAATCCCGCCCCCTCAACATCCCTACACCTCGACAACATCCCCATCCCACACCCAACAAAACCAGGCGAACTCCTCATCCGCATAAAAGCAACAACCATCATCCGCGACATGCTCACATGGCCTGAGACCTACGCTCACCCCTACATCATCCCCGGCAACGACTTTGCCGGTACAGTCGTCGAGATCTTCCTCAGCGGGGAGGAGTCTACTTTTAAGATCGGCGATGAAGTGTTCGGTATGGTTCATGCGGATCGTCCTTCTACTTGGGCTGAGTATGCGATTGTGTTGGAGAGTGAGATTGCATTGAAGCCGAAAGGCATTGAGTGGGAGGGTGCGGCGGCTTTGCCGCTTAGTGGGATGACGGCGCTCGAGGCGCTTTTCGACCATGCGGGTTTATCTTTGCTGGAAGAGGGTGATGTCGAGGCCCAAAAGGAGAACGAGAAGAAGGAGGTGTTGATCACTGGTGCTGCTGGAGGTGTGGGTATTTATCTGGTGCAGTTAGCTGCTACCACCGGTTTACGGGTCATCGCGGCGAGTAGCTCGAACGCTCGGAATGGGGAGTTTTTGCAAGAGATCGGTGCTCATGAGGTTATTGAATATTCGGCGCTTGAAGATGTCAAGAATCGCTTTGATATCATTGTTGATACCGTTGGTGGGGAGACGTTGGCTCGATGCTGGAGGTATGTTAAAGAGGGAGGGTCGCTTATTTCGGTGGATTCGGGGAGTTTCAATTTTGTGGAGGAGCATGGGAAGAGAGGGGTTGGTAGGGATGGGGTTAAGGGTTTGTTTTTTATTGTAAGGGGGAGTACTCGGTCTTTGCATGCGTTGGCGGAGTTGGTGGATCGGGGGGAGTTGAAGGCGTTTGTGGCGGGGGTTTATCCTATTGAGAAGGTGAGGGAGGCTTATGATTTTGCGAATGGGAGGTTTACGGGGAGGGGGAAGGTTATTCTTACTTTATGATGCTCTAGAGTAGAAGTCTAAGGCTGGGATAGGTATATGAACAGAAATAAAATAAGATATGAAAATGTATGAAATCGCTGAAATAGGCCTCGCTGAAATGACGAACAACAGAAAAGAACCGAAAAAGACATTTTGAAAAGGAAAAAGAAAAAAAAAAGAATGCAAACAAACTATCTATCCATCTTCAACCGTCATGCCATCACTCGGGTCGACGGCGAAATGTATCAAACATGGCTTTAAACGCAGATCCCTCCCGTAACAAGAGCGACTTTGGTGTATCAAATTCAACAATCCGGCCGTGATCCATGAATGCAATTTTGTCGTAGTCTAGAATGGTGTCTAACTTGTGGGCAATGGCAATGATAGTCTGATCTTTGAAATGCGTGCGAATAATGTTCTGCATGAGAGTGTCGGTCTCCGAGTCCACACTAGACATCGTCAGGTTAGGGAGAAGGTCAATTGATGAAGGATATGTAGAGGCTTCTTACCTGCTCGTGGCCTCATCCATGATGAGAATAGTACTGGGTTTGCATAGAGCTCGCGCCAGACAGAAAAGCTGCTGCTGGCCGTGGGAAAGAATGTCCTCAGACATGTCTGCGTCTAAGCCTCCTTTGGAATCAAGATATGACCATAGATTCACCGCTCGGAGCGCTTCGATAATCACATCATCGGGTGCATTTCCTTCGGGGTTGGCGTTAAGTCGAATGGTCCCGTGGAGGAAGAAAGCCTGCTGCGGAATTGTGTTGAGGCGAGAGCGTACATGAGAGCGAGATACTCGAGAGATGTCTACCCCGTCAATGTGTATTGAACCGTTATTAAGATCGAGAAGTCGCAAAATTGTTGAAATGAGCGACGATTTACCACTGCAGCAAAGTCAACACTTAACACCAAAAGGTAAGTTTTGTGGGGAACGAACCTGCCAGTTCTGCCGCACAGGGCAATCTTTTCGCCAGCGTGGATGGTAAGATCAATACCTTGAAGAACGGGCTCTGAAGATGAACTGGAGAAGAGTTAGAAAAAAAACATATCACCCTCAACAATCTCGAAACATACTCATATGAAGCCGATACTCCAGAAATCTGGACATTGCCCTTCTCTGGCCAAAATGTTGGAACAACCTCAATCTCAGTATCGAGGTCCTCAGTCTTAGCTTCTTGCACATATGAACGGATTCGAGAAACAGCCCCAATGGAAGTTTCTAGATCAATCCACTCGATAACCAAGGTTTGTAGGGTCCCACTGAAACCAACGATATTAAACAGCGCAATGCCAAGCAGATTCAACGAGGGACTTCCTTTCATAGAGAGTGCAATCGCAACCACAACGACGGAGATCCCTGCAATGACCAGATCAAGTACAACGCTCAACCAGCGCTGAATGCAGTAAAGCGTGTAGAAAGGTCTTTGAGAAGCCTCCAGAGCAATCTGTTCTTGGCGTTGATAATGTTCGGACCATCCATAGGCGCGAATGCTCGGAAGACCGCTCATCGCTTCTAGGAATTGAGAAAAAAGCGGCGCTTTGGCTTCGATATCTAGTAAGCGGACTTGACGAGATGTGCGGACGTAGTATGTGCCCACGAAATAAACCACAATGACGACAAATGGCAGCACTGCTGATGTCACGTATGATGACCCGACAAAAACTAAGAAGCCCTCGGTGAGAAAGGCAAGAACTGCATAGACTGTAAGCTCAAATGCCTCGGGAAGTTCTTCATCGATTAATTCCAAGTCTTGGCTGAATCTGGGTAGGAAGCCATGTTAGCATTAGGCTTTGAAGAAAGAAAGGAGATGGGATGAAGAACAAACCTGTTTGTGGTGGTTCCGATATCAGTTGAAGTGACGAATGAAGTGGTTGCACTGGGCAAAATTAGTGAGTCAGGATCGAATCTCTGTATTTCAAGTCATGAATTACCTCATAGTTGTTCCCAGAAGAATTTCGTGGAAATGGCGGGCAGTTTTCGGCACGATGATCATGCTAAAGACCCTGTGGACAATTAGCTTGGACCCCAGCAGATATCGGGATTGTTTTCCACATACCAATTTGCAATGAACGCAGAGAAGAGTATCAGGAAGCCCATAGCACCATAGACGCCCAGCCAATAACCAATATTCTCATTTGGCCTCGTCTCGTTCGCGACAGTCCACCATTGCAACCAAATTTCTGAAACACGGTCAGTGATGCGTAATTTCTTGAAAACCGAGATTTTCACTTACGTGGAAATATAATTCCAAAGGTGAACAAACAGGCACACGCAAAGAATACAGCCATAAGGGGCCATCCGATGGCTTGGAAGTAATACAGATACACCGTCAAGTCGCTCGTGCTGCGGCTAGTGCTGTCAATGTCATCGTCTTTTTCGAGATTAAGGCCTTGTAACGTCTCATCATCGAGGACTAAGTCGGGCGCTCTAGTAGTGACCACGGTGGAGGCTTTGCTAGTAAGCATGCTGACGTAGCCGTCCCTGGCTACGAGAGCCTCGTATGTGTCTAGCTCGATAACATGGCCACTCTCATTTAGAGAGATAACAAAATCGGCATAGGGAAGATGGTGAGCTAGGAGTATATAAGTAAGATGGTATAATATAAGGCCGTGGACATCAAACCTGAGTTCGTCGCTAGAATGACCGTTTGCCCGTTCTTCCTGATCAGACCCTCCGATGAGAAAACCACCTCTAGGATTGCTCTTTCAGTTTCTCGATCAAGACCGGTCAGTACATCGTCAAGTACGAGAACAGGCTCTCTAGAGTAGAGAGCTCGCGCCAAAGCCTACAGCAAAATTCAGCTCAAGTCCTTAGTCTGTCTCAAAATGTTTCAAGCTTACCACCCGCATTTGCTGACCACCACTCAATCGAGACCCACGAACACCGACTTTGGTTTGATCTCCACTTGGCAGTTGCTGAAGGTCCGCCTGAAGGGAACATGCCTGGATGACGGTATCATACCATTTTTGATCCCATTGAGATGCACCAACAATATTTTGTCGGACTGTTCCAAAGATAATCCACGGCGACTGGCTGCAATAAGCGGCGTTCTTGAAGGTGGTGGAGATGGTTCCTGAAACTTCTGGGACCTCCCCAAGTAAAACCCTCAGCAATGTTGACTTTCCGCAGCCGACGGGGCCCACGATCATGGTGATGAGGCCAGTTGTAATCTCAAAGTTCAACTTGTTAAGTACTGGCTCGTCGTCGACCGACCATGCGGCAGACAAATCCCGCGCAACGGCACAGGATAATCCATAATCATCTTGCCATTCAACCGGGTCGACATCGATCAATCTCGGAGTCTCGGGGCCGTGAGTCACGCGACAGTCTTGACGCTCAGTGTCGAGTAAGTGCTTTTGAATTCTCTGGAAGCAATTGACGACTGCCATAATGTCTTCTGATGCGTCGACAAAAGAGATCATCGGCTGATCAAGGAGGAAGAAGAGAGTCAAGGCTGAGAATGCCATACTGTTTGTCAGCGTGCCCGAATCCTGTGCTTGAGCCATGATAATATAAACACCAAAGCCAAAGACAGGCGCAAGTGCCGAAGAAGCGAAAGCTGTGTGTAACCTAAATTAGTAAATAGGTCGTGGGAAGACTGGGGTTGTACTGACAGAAGGTGATGATAAGACAGGTGTATAGCCGGAAAGTAAACGATGCTTTAATCTCTTGCGACCGCAACCCGCGGATGTTGTTTGAGATGACCTCCGTGAGACCTGTCATTTTGATACTTTTCATGACCCCAAGAACCTTTGAGGTCACTGCAACACGTTCCTCCACAGCTTCAAGCCATGTTCCCTGAGCCTTACCAGATGCAATCGCCAGTGGGATTCCAATAATGAGACAGACTAGCCAGGGTGATTAGTATAAATGCTTGTTGATCGTATTTGTGCTAGGCAATACGTACTGATGACAACTAGTGTGGAGGCGACAGTTGCAAGATTGAGCAGTCGGGCCAGCAGCCACAGCGCCAGACCAACTTCAATAGGACTGGAGTAGAGATCGGGGATCTGTCTGATGCCGCTCCCAATACGCTCAATATCGGTACTCATCAAAGTGACTGCACTGGCATCGGTCACAGCCGAGGTACTCATAACGAGTGTCTTGTTGAAGATGAGGGTGATCAAGCTTCCCCTAACCATGGTAACGAGACGGCATGTTTTGTGCTGGTATACGGTAAATGATGTCTATTATTACCGGGGTGAATGATGTCAGCGATGGTGAAAAGGTGTAGATGAATAGAACCACATACGGCAAGGCCGATGTAGACCAATGCATAGGCCGCAACAAGACCACGAGCGTAGTTCGTCGAGTTGACATGTTCGGGTTCTGTCATAAAGCCCAGCACTCGCTCGACCAAAAATGGTTGGGCGAAGCTCAAGCCAAGGAATGCGAGTCGAGGCAAAACAGCCTCCATGATATCCCACATGTAATGCGAAACCAAGGTCCAAAGCAATGCATTGGGTCGATACTTATCAGCTAGAATCAAAGTCAGACTTGAATGAATATAAGTTTCTCTGTGCGTGAGAGGAAATTACCTTCGTTCCATTTCTCGATTAGCTCCTCTGGATTTGAAGCTGTCTTGAGACCATCGTCTAGTGCCGGAAGGCTGTCCACCGTGAGAGTAGTTTTAGACCCCTTCCAAAGCAGTCCATTTAGCCACCAAAGAAGAGCACGGTTGAAAGTGCTAGCAGTTGACTCTAGTGAGCAGCCCTCGTAGGGTTTCTTCAACAGTGATCGCTTTTCCGTAGACTCAAGCACAAGAATAATCGCCTTACCAAGCCAGCCTACGGCAAACAAAATTGTCACCGGGCGGTTGTTGGGCATAAAATTGAGTGTTCGAACGCGAGCAAGATCAAAGATTAGAGTCGACCCTACAAAGAGGCATATGACTGTTGATGGGCGCAAGGAACGAAGATGCTCCAGGTGAGACAGGTAGACCAAGAGTATGGAAGCAGCTAAGCTCGCAACAGCGGTTGGAATAGTCATTCTCGTACTGGGAATTGAAGGCTTGCTCCAGAGAGCCAGGAGGATGAGTTGGAGAGCTATTTGTATGGCCAAGGCCGTCTGATTCGTCGGTCAGTGAGAGCTGTGTACAGGACGATCAAGGCAAGTCAAACCTCCTTTGCCGCGTAAAGCCATGATCGATTGACCTTATCGGAGGCGCAACTAAGGCTCCGAATGCGTAATACACCTGAAAGAAGAAGAATTGATAGTGGAAGGATTGTCAAGATCGTTTCTTCAAAACGCAGGGTAAAGTCAAATCCATGGTGGCACGAGGCGTTGACGAATGGACCGAATACGTCCTCATCGGCCACAGTGCATGGTAGAGGGGGGTCAAACATGGCGAGCATTAATTGATGGCATCACCTATGGTCGAGACAGGCGTTGTATAAGTATGAATGATCCAGGAGTTCCTCACAAATAGCAGTTCGGTGGTGATTGCTGATGCCTTGGGGAAGTGGGTCCGGTTCCCAGGGCTGATGGGTCTAAGGCTAACAACCGGTCTTCCGCGCGACGATCATCCGGGCTTCCAGGGTTGGAGCCCGACCGCTGTTGGTCTTACTCATATTTCCAGCATGCAAGAGAGCCGCATTCTCGTTTGCCTTTTTCCTTTTCAAAGTGAATCACTCGTAAGATCTGACAAGAAATACAGTATATCCTATGAAACTTTCTAGTTCCTTAGACAGATAATGGGCTACTTACTGACTCACTTGTGTTTTTTCGATGAGATTTCCGAAAGGGGCAAGCTGAACGTGGTTTAGGCCACCCACTCTGCACAAGAGATGAGCAATAATGACTCAAAAGGCAATGCAATCTAGAATGACTCCACCTCCTAGATTTCTAACCAAACTAGTGAGACATCCGGGAACCCTGGAAGATATAGTTCATAGTTTAATCATTGATGAGTAAAAAGCCTAGATCTAACTACTTTCAGACAAGACATGATACGATCACACTTTGTAAAATCCGTCAAGACAGCTAAATGTACAAAAGATCAAAAATGGAAATAAAGTTCAGAGCGATAGTAACAGAAAAAGAAATTCCGAGAACAAGGCTGGCCTTATACTGAAGTATTGTAAGCTGGCTGCGGCCCCTTCTCTAAACAGTCGCGAGCCAAATTTCGAGTAACCAGACCAGCTGACAGATAGCTGATCATGGTCAGAAATTCTGGAACAGTGCCTAAGATAACCTTCGCTGCTAGGCCTCCACTAGACGAATTTTGATATTTGAAAGCGATCACGATCGCGTAAAGTACGCGTACTCCAATAAGAGGCATAGCAATCTCGATAGCCAAGAGGAGGTTCTTCTCGGGGCCGAGACGGCGGTGTCGGGCATTTGCTCGGGCCGAGAGTGTCACCAGCCCGAGAACGATGAGCCAGCCAGTGGCGAAGATAATGAGTCCTACTTCCAAGAGATGAGGATTTTTGCCGCTGGCAGCAGCAAGACCGATTCCTCCAGCAATGACCATATGGGGAATCAGCAGGCCAAACCGACCAAGAAACGCAGGAAGTGCCGACTGAATCGAGTGATTGCTGATTTAGAATTAGCTTTCATTAGCTTTCAGAATCTAGTAGTGAGATGGGATTAACCCTTACGCTTCATGAAGAATTCCAAGCGCTGCCAGTAGTAGTGGCGAAAGACCAATCCCGTTGATAATCGAAGCGGATGTACTGGGCTCGCCAGTTGTGGAAAGTGCGTGGTATGCCATCCCATTTCCTACTAGACGTAGGCCACACATTGCAAAGACATATAGCCATCCAATTATGCCATTCTTTCCGTGTGTAATTAAGCAGTAAAGGGCGGGAAGAGAAGCAATAGCGTAGAATGCTAACTGAGCTAGCTCAAGGCCCTCCGTTGAGGTCGTCATGGCTAATCGTGGTTGGGTATGTAAGGGAGGGTAAGTAGTTATGAGAAGTAAATTACTATGAGATGGGGAAGATGTGTAGAATATCGAATTTGAATAAAAATTTTGAAATCATGGACTGGTCAAGCTTTATAAGTTTTTTAACTCTCATGATGAATACATGCTCCACGCAGTGAAATTTATTCAGGGCCTGTAAACTTGATGCCGAAAGCGAGGATCAGCGTAGTCATGGATTTTGGGGGTCAGCCTTCTGCTTCGAAAAAATTTGGTTGGAGAAGTTCTTACAGAGCTTCTCGGCCAGGGAGTTAACCAGAGTTGGGGCTCGAGCCGAAACCGAGATTTAGCGTCCCAGGGCGATGGGGCTCTGCATCAGCCGTCGTTAACTTAGTTTCACTCAGTGACACGTTTTACTGGTCTATGGTACCTGAATGGTCCAGAACCAAGCATAGGTCAAATACTTCAGCCCTTAAAAATACCTATTACTTGGGTTTTAATAAGCTATAATCTGGTGAGAACGCGCGTGGCGATCTCCCAAGTGTCTAGCCGCTTAACATTAACAGCCGATGCAAGTCCACAAATAAACATGTTACTTGTTTCTTTGGGAAAAATTTAAATCTTCTGTCCTAGAGCAATGGCACATTTAAAAGCATATAAAAACAATACATTTCTGGGTATCATGTTAAGACAATGTATCGATAACGCTCCGCATAGTCAAAAAAGACGATGCTTCATTCGCAGGATTTGAGATAATCGCGAGAGGCCACGACAAAGCCCATTTCCAATCAGCAGGCATTATACTGTCGATACCTCGCACCTCTTGTTCTGGAATTCCACGTAGCCACCAGATATTATCCACACTCTTAGCCAGAGCAAACAGATGTGCGAGGATTGCAAGAGCTCGCGGTCGTTTCTCGACGACAAAATCAAGAAAGAGCTTGGGAACAACAGGTGGGAACCCGTTGAAAATCTTACGGATGACGAATTCCGGTTGTTTACCTTGGACAGAAGAATATAAGCTCCCAAGATAATCTACAGCACCGCAATAAGCATTCCCAACTGTGTCTGTCATCTCCTCTTTGCGGTATTCCAAAAGATAATGGAAGGCCTTAGCAGAGCTTTCATCAGAGTCGCTTGGTTCCTGTTGCCACAGTGTCGGCTGTGCAACAAATAAGGGGCATAAGCGTGAACCCGACGCCATTAATTGGTGATAAACAGCCTTAACGACTGTTCTGATGCCACGTGCCATTGATAACCATAGAAGCGGGGGCTCATACGGCTTCGGAGTGCCTTCTGACCGCAAAAATAGGGTGTACAAAGATATCAAGACAGCATTCAGACAGACCGATTCGCTTATATTGCCGTCAAGTCGTGCCGTCACAGGCCGATGCCCTTTGAGAGCTGAGTCAATGTACCCATGATATACAGGTCGCAGGGAGAGTGCTTCGCCTGGAAGCAATGTCGCACGATGTTCCGCGCCAAGGGCGAGTAAAGTGTGAAGAAGTGGCTCATACTCGAATGCCATTTCGGGAACCGAGACGCTCCACATCTCGCGAACAGGTGTTAATTGAGCGGAGCTCATTGTGTCTGCAGTTGCAGTGATCCAATGGTGCATGATGCGCAGCTCGAGGACACGCCTGCCTCCAAATTCCGGGGAAGGTAGACTCGGCCGTGGTCTCCCATGATGTGTCTGACTTGCGTTTGTTGATCCGGTTCTTGGCTGACCGGGGCTGTATATGCGTGTAACGAGAGAAGGATATTCACACGATATATTATGGCGAGAGCAATGGCTGCATTTTGGTCGCCTCTCATCACACTAATAGAGGGTGAGCATACGTATCCAAGCAACCTAGAATGGCCAAATTGGCTTCTCTCACCTTAACCTTTCGTGCTTTACATCTAAGGCAGCCAGTTGTAGACTTGCGATGGCTAAGACGAGGCATCGGATTATGCGCACAAGCTAGTCTGGCCTTGAAGAAAAACTCCTGGAGACACTCGGTATCGCATTGAGGATGAGGTCGGGTTCGGGAAGAACGCGGTCTGGACATGAAGAAGATCAACTCGACATGACATTGAGGTGTCAGCCCGAGCAGTATTATTTCTAAAGGAGGCGCAAGGCTGTGGTCCCCACAACGAGTTTTCTGTCGCTTTCGGGTTGTTGCATAGTTTTGGGTATAGCGCAAACCTAACTGGCTATTTGATTGGACAGTAGCGAGGTTAAGCCCCATCACAGTATGCTTAGCGGGTGGGGCGGGTCTAAGCCTTGCCATCAGGTTGACGAGTAAGCCATTTGAGACCTAAAAATGTATCAGGAAGTATCCTCGTCCGTTTCAATAGGTAGCAACATAATACATTGTCATATGTCACCGGCTCGTTGAATATAAATACTGGTGGTATACTACGCCCAGAACGAGTTTCAGTGCATCAGATTTGTCATTCTTCTCACCAACAACCCGAGTCTTTCAAACTAAAAGCACACCATTATGGGCCTCATCAAGACCGGGTTGACTCTAGCTGGTGGCTACGCCCTTATTAAGGCTGCGTCGAAGTAAGCTTTTTGATGATCGATGTACAGAGTCAACTCTGCTAACACAGTATGCAAAGGGCCGTGAATGACCACGAAGATAAAAAGCAAAGGCGCACAAACCAGTCTCAAAACCAGCCTCAACAAGGCAACATGCAAGAAAACCAGATGTACCATCATTCTTCCCAACCTCAATATCACCACGGGAATCACAACGCCCACAATATCCGAGACAACCAAAGAGGCTTTGAAAACCCAATCAACCAGTCTCCTCCTCCGTATCACCAGGCTGGATCTGCACAAGAATACTATTCTGGAAAGAAGCTATGAGTATGTCACGAAGTTCGGTGAAATTGTGCATGAGAAGGTTCACCTTTATCATATTCGGTGGATTTGGAGTGTGGATTTCTGATTTTGATGGAGGGCGTTAAAGGGAGCGGCTTTTCATATTTTAGTTTATACTCCTTTTTTGTTCCATGCAATCAATCAAAAAGACTATACAGTTGGATTGAACCTTGATATTTTAATCATAGCCGTTGTACTTTTAATCCAACATGTCCTCTCATGCGGGTCATCTAGTTCCGTAAAGAAGCCCAAATTTCTCACCCCATTTGTCACCCTGATTGAGATAGTTATAAGATATCGTCTCAGTATATGAGTATACTCTATCAGTATACGTAGGCCCATGGCGTGGGGCTTGGCTGATTTGGTGGCGGCGGCGGAAAATTGGGGGCCAGGCAAATCTGTCAACAAAGATCTCTTCATGGAACAGCGAGGTAAAACGAGGGCTTTTGGTTTGACTTTTAGCGCCCGACTCTTTGCATCTTCTGCTGCCAGTTACCAGTTATCATCAACCCTCATCAGAGTCACTCTAGACGATAACGCAATCGTTGTGAGGCATCCCGATCGTAACAACCCCGCCTTGATAAAAATTGTGATGTGGAGGAGGAGATTGGCAGTCAGTGAAGGATGATGATGGCTTCAGTCGGGTTTATACGAAGGAGCCAATCGTGCCAGTTCAAGTGGAGATCCACGGTTTTTGGCCCCAACCTCTGTTGGCATAGGAAGCAGGTGCCAGGATGAGAGTGGATGCCTGCATCAGGGCACGAAGGAACCAATCTCCGCTCATAATCATTCTTGTTTATCATAGCGCAACTGCTGCGATCAGCACAAAGCCACCAACATCGTCGATGCTCGCACAGCATACCTGAAGCATCGCCCCCTCCAGTAAATTAGATGCACCTGGCCACCTGCCAATAAACAGAGCTAATCGCCCCACTCCGGGGGCCAGCGAAGCAAGCAAGCAAATCATATGCGAATTAGGATGTAGATCAAGGCATTTTCCTGCGTTTGCCATGGCTTAACAAGAAGATATAAGTCCCATCTCACCTCATACTCCGGCCCTCGACTTCCAAAGCACAACTACCGAGTGCTCAGAGTCCGACTCGGGGCTTTCTACCTTGACTCGCCCTCTTCGACATTCATATTGCAGTCATCAAGTATCGAAGCCTCAATATGGGCTCAACAGGCGTAATGAACCGACCGGGAGAGCTGTGGCAGCAATCTACAGCCAGATTGCAACAATCGACTACGAAATGGCAGCAGTCAACGACGGAAGTATGGCGTCGTTCTACCACTGCATGGCACGACACGAAGGATCGATGCCATCAAACCACCATGGAAACCTGGCAGAAGTCGGCAGACTCATTGAAAAATTCTAAACATATGTGCCGCCAGTCGACTGCAGGCATGTTAGCACGGTCGGCGAACAAAATCTACCAGTCAACAGACCGATTACAACAAATGCATCTTCTTGAACACCCAACCGAGCAGAAAAAGCTCCCGGCTGAGCAGAATTCAAACCTAAGCAGTATATCAACAACAAACATCCCTCAGAACTCAGAAACTTCAGAATCACCACAAGATGTTCGACCAGCAGGAACCAGATCTTTGCCAGAAACTTCCAAGTCATCGGAACCCGAGATATCATCCAAGCCAACGCAACCCGAGATATCAAACCGCTCACCACCGTCACCACCATCACAATCCTCACCCGTGTCTTCTATATCCTCCCCCTCTACCGCCTCTCCACAATCTCCATCTGAGACCCGTACCGATTCAACAGCTACTTCGTCTCTGTCAGTCGACCTGTCAATGCAAAAGCGACGTCCCGATGAGCAAGTTCGGGCATTGCTCAAGTTTATCGATCATGTTTCCTCCCAAGTTCAAAAGGCAAAGCGAATGAGGGATTCCAAGTCAACTCAACTAGGGGAAATTGAACATAATTGGATCAATTCAACTATTGTCGATGCCGATGACTCGGCTCGTGAACTGGCCGCTCTTCTTGAGCTATGCCGATTGGATATGGCAAAGCGCAAGGGAAAAGGCAAGATTGGTTCGACAAATCGCAAGCAGTGGAAGTTTCAAGGTCGTGGACGTGCCGAGGAAAAGCAATCGCGCTTGGTTCGATACCAGTGCCGACTCGACCGAGTACTAAATCATCTCGAGAATCTTCAAATACCTCAAGAGGTTCCAGCCCATGAACCCGCAGCAAAGACCGCTGCCGAGCTCTGGGTTACAGAGCCGGTAGCCAAATCTGTTGTAGAGCTTTCAAGCGATGCATCGCCCGATCCCGTCGCAGAGCTGCCAAGTGATATGTCTCCGGAGCCCAAAACTCCAGTAGCTGAGCTTCCCTCCTCATCTGCAACGCTCCCCTCGTCATCTGGGACAATCATACGAAAGCCCGTGCCGTTCATTGCAGAGCTTCCCGGCGACTCAGCCATAGTACAAATACAACCTGCATGGACCGCGAAAAATATACCCAAAATTATCGTTACGAATACCCCGGATGATTCGTCATTTACTCTAGTGGGAAGTCCAGATACACCCAACGCAACCTATGAAAGTAGGGAACTGAATGAAATATTGTCTTGGAAGGAGACACGAAACAGCATTCGCTTGCAGCAATCTGAGTCACTTTCGAAGATCGTGTCCTGTATGGAAAGCACCAGGTCAAAATGAAGCAGTCACTGTCCAGCGAAATTTTAGTTTTTTTGCCGATACCATGAAGCCACATTCCTGTTAGCATGGAGTTCCGGGTTGGAGTATTATTATATCCCTTTGTGTCATAGCTGTGAGCGCTGGGGCTTCAAGCCCAAATCAATTCTCTTGCATCATTTGATAGCCATTTTCACGTTTTAGGAAGTTTCAATCTACTGTATGTCATGAAATCGAGGCCTTCAATTTAGAAAATGGGTAGATTTTCGTTGCTCTGGATTAATTTTATGTACATCTTGGAGCCATGATAAAAGTCATTCTGGTCTTTGCCCATACACCATATGTACTTTTGAATACAAATGGTTCGACAAATCCTTTAGTTCGTGGCGGACACCTGCCAAAAGCGCTTCGATCCCTATTCGATCCCATCCAAGCATGCGTGTGAATAGCGCATAACTGTAAGTGGGCATAGCCTCCAACATGTTAAGTTGATGATATCGTCCCAGCTCTTTCAGCTTGGGATCCTTGGGCCACGGACTTTGTGGAAGCTATATCGAGGTTAGCACGGTATTTTCATGAGGGATCTGGAACTGTTACCTTGAAAATTTCTTCTCTGACGTTAATGAACCCGGCCTTCTCCATCTTCTCTTTCCAGGTGAAGACGGATGCCATTTCCTTTCCGAACATCTTTGATCCTGCGTGTAATTGCGTTACACTCTCGAGCATATTCGTTGCTTTGAGATGGGTATCGTCATCGGAATAGGTATTGACTTCGATCGTGGACATTTCAAACCATCCATTTGGATTCAAATACTGGAAGGCTTGTTGGAATAATGTGTCGTGATTGCGGATAGCACCCTCTAGCTCGCGTCCATGGATGAAGTCGAACGGTTGGCTGTATGACCACGGTTGTTCAAAATCGTCAATTTCAAAGCGACAATTTGGCGGTACCCTGAACGCGATATCAGAATCATGTGGAGATATGAGAACGTGAGATATGGATATGTACCATGATGGTTGAATGGGACTCAAATCGATTCCTGCATCGGATTAGTCGAAATATCCTTATTCCAGCGTAATTCCCATGTACGAGAAATCTCATACCAATTACTTCTGTTTCCGGATGTTCGCTGGAGCGAGTTAGTAGTGATACAACGCGTGACTTGTAAGAGATGGACCTTACTCGGCAAAATCGATCGCCCATATCCCCGTGCCTGTACCAAGATCTAGAACCCTCCTTGGGCTTCTTATTGGAGCGAGTTGAAGCTCCCCTTTGAGGAGCATCAAATAAATGTGGTGACTCTGCCATCGCCACATTAGTTCAAAGCCAGATCGACGAGGATAATAAGCACTAACCAGATCAAGACGGTCTTGTTCTCGCTCATCGTTGGGCTAGTGCGAGAAATTAGATCAGATTGATCAGCCGAAGATCCATCGAGATTGACCTACCAGGATATATTCGCCTTCATGGTAGGAGTGGTATCTGCGACCGTTCTAGAAACTACTAAGCAAGAAGGTCTGATGGCGGCATCATCGTATGGTAATTACCTCATATCTGACTAGTCAGTTATGTCTCGCAGAATAAGAAAAAAATGGACTTTGCTCTTCGATTTTTTTTTTATTGCGGGGAAGAACGTACTGATAATTTAGTGCAGTTGATGTGATACTTGTGGTATAGCTTGCGTCACCCAACCTTATCGGAGAGTCAGCGCAGATAGACGGACACATCTTCTTGCCACACCCTACACTTACGACTCGGCGTATGTTGAATCGACCTCCAAGGACTATGCGCGAGATAGATTAGCACTGAAATGAGGAATCATCTCCCCCACATCTCCGAGCAGCACTAACATCGGGCTCGATGGCGTCCGAGCCATGTTGCATGTCGTGGTGCATCCCACGCGGCGCAGGACGATGAGCGCGAGACTTCTGGTAGATCAATTTCAAAAAATTGGCGATTAGGGAAGGAGCGAAGGGTGTAAGAAAACGGAGGAATGCAGTGGCCAACAGCCACCCCAACTGGAGTCTTATGACCCCTCCAGCTTCACGACAGCTTTTTAGGGTGCCGAAGTGTCGGGTCCGGTGTTATTCAGAATTTGTTGCACTGTCCATCGGTTAGTGCTCCTTGATGGTTCTCTCAACGAGGGAGTGCCGTCCCGACAGTTTGGTTCAGACCTGGGAAAGGCTCTCACGGGCATTAGTGAGCACTCAAGGAAGGAGTCGACCGCTGGTGGGCATTGAAATGCGCCGCGGTGATTAGCCCAACTGTGTGCTGATCCGCAGGGCCAGGGAAGGAGGCCCCATTTCTTGTCCAATCGCCGACCGTTGTGGGGCACTTGCAAGTTGCAATGGGTCAAGAAGGCTGCGATACAACGGGTTGACTTGGGTACCACAGGCGAATGCGACTCATTTCTTCCTTCCATTCTTCTCGTGCCCTGGTCCGCGGGAGCTAATGTACTCCACACGGAGGGTAGGTGAGGTCTGCGTGTTGAATATATTGAATAGCACCCCAGCACCTCATTGGTGCAGAGTCAGGGCGATCCAGCAGGCTAAGCTCTTTTGATTGATGCTGGTATAGAGCTTCTCAACGGCCATTTCATTGAGCAACGAGAATCAAATTGACCAGGCTGGTTGCGAATTCATGGGCTGGGCCTGAATACGGTGTGGTGTTGGCCACGGAATGGGCATGCAGAAGCGAACCCAGCAGTCCGGGTGGTTGCCACTCAAAGCGGAGATGAAGTCCTCGGATTCCGATCACCGTACAAATTCTGGTCCCGCTCTTGAAGAGTTGAGCGAGGCTTGGCCAAAGAACAGAAAAATAGTCAAGTACATGTGCGGTTTCTGAGCTTTGCGGAAAAATTCTCCGTAGATTTTGGAAAAATTTTACCCAACATCAGAAGTGATGAATGCTTCAGGAGGCCTCATTGTATGCAGCGTCACGTGTTCGGGCGGGATCAACTACAGTAGATGCTTTGTCGATGCCTTGGGTTTAACGTTAATCCTTCTTGATATCACATTTTGTAAATTCAACTGGTCCACATGACTATCTTGATTCAATCTTTAAAAGTATCTATCTCAGGGAACAAGCTTCATAGGCTCATCGAAAGCAGGACACCTGGAAGGAAAAAATCTCCGGAAAGACGTTCTAGAATGCATTGACACATCAACGCCTTGAACTTAAAAAGCCTCGCCAGCACATCAATAACGGTACACTACTGTAGGTATTGAGTACTCTACACATAGCTAGCTTAGGATGGCTAGCTCAATATCTGGAAAGAATCCGAGTTCTATGCCTCGCAGCTACTATACTACACATTATTCCATGAAGACATACATCTCGTACAGCATATGCATAGAAAGCACATAAGTGCAAACATCTTGTCATGATTCTATGTAACATAGGTCATTTGTTGTCTTCTTGCAGACACCTTTCAACAAAGATTGATATCACTTCGTGCCGGTTGCCTAAAGCTGTTTAATGATAAGCGTAGAAAGTTGAGCTAAGTAGATAATACAACTTCTTTGAGGGAATGTATGTCTGTATTGGCTAGCATATCTGTTTATTACTACATAGTCTCTGTTGCTCTATGACTCTATGGTATTAGAATCTTCAACTCTAGACAGGATTCAGAAGGTTGCTGCCTGATTTTGAAGGCATAAAATGTTAGTGCCTCGGCAGGCGAAGTTGATGTCATCCCTCCGTCCAGCTGTCAAGACGCTCAATTCCCTCGTCAATCCTGCTTTCGGTCCTCCCAATTGTGACATCTATGCCCGCTGTCACTATCTCGACACTTCTTACACCTCAGCAATAACTGCAGTCGCAAAACCTGACGTGAGAGACACCCGCAAGCCTGGGGTCTCTGCACCTACAACCATGGCCACACCCACTCGTCCTGCTCCGTCCCCGGCCGCTCTCCTCATATACCCAGCAACTCTGCTATTGGGATCCTTATTCTCAGTGATATCACCCGTAGCTCGTGCTACTAGAGAGTCCTCCTTACGCCTGCCGAAGTCGGCCGCCCCTCTTGCACCTTCGCTCGCCGCTGACCTTCATCTCTCCGAGAATCCCGTCAACTACTTTGCCCGAAAGAATAACATTTTCAATCTCTACTTCGTGAAAATCGGATGGCTGTGGACCACTGTTGCCTTCGTCTCACTACTCCTCTTCCAACCCGTGTACCGCGCCTCATCCTCGCTCTCCCAGGCGCAACAACAAACTCGAGTCCGGCGTGCCCTCCAAGCCTTCCTACGCTATGCAATCGCGACCACGATATGGTACTTGATGACGCAATGGTTCTTTGGTCCCGCGATCATTGATCGCAGCTTTGTCGTTACGGGCGGAAAATGTGAAGAGGTGATGGAGCGGGCAGGAAAAATGGAATTGGGTGGGAGTCCCTCTGCCCAGGTAGAGACCCTGTTCTCTGCTGCAGCCTGTAAAGCGGCCGGGGGAGCCTGGAGAGGTGGTCACGATATCAGTGGTCATGTTTTCATGCTGGTGCTGGCGACGGCATTCCTGGCTCATGAAGCTGTTGGTGCCGGGGCATTCTCTGCGTTTTCGGCACCCACGCGGGCTGATGGAGACAGTGCGCGTGAACGCAAGGCGAGCGGTCCTGTCGTTTCTGGGCTTATGAATGACGAAACCGACTCCGGGTTGGCGAGAAAATGGTCATTACGTCTGGTCTGGGGTGTTGTTGGACTAGGCTGGTGGATGCTCTTCATGACAGCCATCTGGTTCCATACCTGGCTAGAAAAGGTGAGTTTTTCTCCAAGGCTCATGATTGAATTTGCGACTCGGCTGCTGTGGGTTTGACCTGTATATTATGCTGACCATCTCTGCCTTATAGTGGTCCGGGTTGATCGTTGCTCTAACCTCTGTGTATGTCATCTACATACTCCCGAGAAGACTCACACCGTGGAGGGATATTGTGGGCGTTCCAGGGCTATAGAAAAGCATTCGGATACTCTGTTCTGGTGCTTGTACATATTTTATTCGGCGATAGATGGCATTGGTCCTATACACACGATCGTGCATTTACGGTGGGCTTTGCGATCATACATCTGCGTTGCATGCAGGACGTTCTTCATAAAGATTATTCTTCATCAAGCTATTATTCATCGTCATTCAGACGTCATTTCTATCTGCCTATGCGGTCGCCGCTAACTAGATGACCCCCTTGGATTTTAATTCAGGGCCGAAGTACCCCGAACAAAAGGCTATAGAGGGAATGCGTCAGTACGAACGTCGAGTGCGGAGCGAGTCTTGGCTGAACTGTGAACTGCATAATATAGATGGCTCAGGCCACTTACCACCTGGAATTAAAGCCGAGGCATACATCACACGAGTGATGGGCCGTAGGTCTGCTGGGGTCAGAGCTACCGAGGCGGAGAGTTCCATATAAGGATCCCATGCGACAATGATCGCATCTGACCAACTCTTGAAATCAACTGCTCGTTCCTTTTCTCCAGTCTGCTCTGATTCACATTGAAGCCCCATACATGTTCCAAATTCCCGGAAAGCCAAGCGAAACTTGATGCTGCGTTCAAAATACCTGTTAATTTCAAACAAATCGTCTTCACGGATGAGGTTATTAGCACTTTCCATGATCTAGGTCGATACTCAATATGACCATAGAAGCCCAGGAATAAACTCACATAGCTGTTCAAAACACCTTGTGACAAGGGTTGATGCCCAGCTCTCCGTCTCGGAGAACCAGTGTGCCGTCCACAAAGTCATGCCCAAGTCCAATGGATCCTTGGAGACGAAATGTGGCCCCTTGCGGTCCATCACTCGCCTGTAGTCGGATATCTCTTCTTCCAAGACATCCCCATCACCTGCTGCTGCCGCCGTCGCTTGAAGCAGCCGGAAGGTGACGAATCCATCTATGGGATCAAGATTGCCCTCCGAGTTCACTAGTGGCCTGGATAAATCCATAGACATCTTCCAGATCATGTGTGGACGTGCAGCCTTGCGATCGACGAAGAACTTTGGGTGAATGGCGCGAGCCAATTGCACGGCCAGTCTGTTATACTTCATGTCGCCCGATGCTATCGCCATTCGGTTAAGCGCAAACATCCACACGGTCAAGTAATGGTGGTATTGTCCATCGCAGTCAGGCCCAGTATCGCTAGTCTTTCCAATCCGCAATCCGCCCCCAAGAGGGTTCTGGTCTGTGGCTCCTGGTAATCGCGATCGCCCATCTCGTGTCCGACCCAGGACGTTGTGAACCGTTTCGATTAGTCGACGCGCCATAACCAGATAGCGATCATCTTGACAGGATTTGTCGCCTACTCGAAGGTACTCTTTATGCATGGTCAACAGGTTGACCACCCCGAATGCGTCGGTCCATAGATATCGGCCACGATGACCACCCGATCCTGGAGGCGGAGTCCAACTCTCAGGCTCTGTTATATCGCTAAAGTTGCCATATACTGACTCCATGGCCTGTTGGAATCGGCCTACTTTTGGCGATGGACTGCTAATCGGAAGGGCCATGTTGGTGACGCTTCTTGAGGGGTTTGGAAACAGAACAGTTAGTGCTGATCTGGTAAATGGAATGTTTAATAGACTGCGAACAACGGAGTTACGGCTAAGAGTCATTGAAATGCTTTGCCGGCATTGTCAATCTATAACATCATCGAGTGGCAGAAAGCCGTTGCTCGGTTGGACGAGAGCTGTGGTTTGGATTTGCGGCGGCTGCGGTGACGTGAAGTCATGATGACTCCGCATTTACTCGGATGTGATCTCACTTGGACGGGAGTTACCAGCATTGCTCTATCAGAATGGCAAATTATTGCACAGTGAAATGTTCAAAGATGAATCTGTACATCTCGCTCCTCAACGGTTCATTTCATGCGCTCAATATCTCTGCGACGTATCTCGACATCCATGGCACAGCTACAAGAGTTATTCAACCAGGCTGTAAAACCTCTCCCGGAGATTGGGGATGAGACCTTCGCATCCCACTTCGACTCGTTTGCGGATAAACAAGTGATGCTCCTCGGAGATGGGAGTCACGGCACATCCGAGTTCTATTATGCGCGTGCGGAGATTACAAAGCGGATGATCAAAGAACACGGCTACACGATCGTCGCCGTGGAAGCGGACTGGTCGGATTCTGAAGCCATCGACCGATATGTTCGTTTGAGACCCGGTCCTAAGGCCCAAATTGGAGGCAAGGCAAAGGGCTTCGAACCCTTCAAGCGATTCCCGACTTGGATGTGGCGCAATCGCGAGATGCAGGAATTTGTCGAGTGGATGCGTGACTATAACAGCACCCAGCCACCTGAGAAGCGTGCCGGCTTCTACGGACTCGACTTATATAGCATGGGTTCGTCGATCCGTGCGGTGATTGAGTATCTTGACCGAGTCGATCCGGACGCCGGTAAAAATGCGCGAAAACGCTACGGTTGCCTGGAACGTTGGGTTGAAGACCCCTCTGCATATGGCCTGGCTGCCATACGTGGAATGGAGGACTGTGAGCCTCAAGTGGTGAAGATGTTACGAGATGTCCTCGCCAATAGACTGAAATACATAGAGTCTGATCCACATGACGGCGAGGAATACCAGAGTTCCTCGCAGAACGCGTTCCTTATTCGAGATTCCGAGCAGTACTACAAGTCGATGTACTGGAGCTCAGCTACGTCTTGGACGCTCAGAGATACCCACATGGTCGACACTTTGCAGCGTATCCTACATCACCGTCCATTAAACAAGGCAGTGGTTTGGGCCCACAACTCCCACGTTGGTGATGCTCGATTTACCAGCATGGGAAGTCGTCGGAATGAAGTCAACATTGGCCAGCTATGTCGAGAGCGACTGGGCCGTGAAAATGTCGCCATCCTTGGATGTGGAACCCACACCGGCACTGTTGCGGCTGCACACGAGTGGGATGAAGATATGGAAGTCATGTCTGTCAATCCTTCGAGGAAGGACAGTTGGGAAATCGTGGCTCATAACACTGGAGTCCCTCGTTTCCTTCTAGACCTTCGCCAAGAGCACATGGACCCGACTCTGCGGGCTGCGCTCGCTAAAGAAAATCGCCTTGAGAGGTTCATCGGTGTCATATACCGTCCTGATACCGAAAGAATGTCGCACTATTCACAAGCTCAACTGCATAAACAATTTGACGGCTACATCTGGTTTGATCGCACAGCGGCGGTTAAACCCCTCGAGATCATCCAGCCCGTCACAGCCCTCGGTAAAGAAGAGACGTATCCATTTGGGCTTTAATTTTATCACGAATTTTGATCTTGATGATTTAGTCCAGAGTCGAGGAAAAGTATCACTGCTTCCGGAAAAGCAAGCACGCGCTGATTAAACATTGGGAGGTATTCGGACATCACTTTCAGGCGCGGTCGCTTTGCAAGACGGCTCGAACTTAGTTCGTTTTTCAGCCTTTTAGAAGCCATCTCAGTAGGCCCTATCCAGGTAGTCATAGACACAGATTATAGCTTCTGGCGACAACGCCAGCATAACAGCGGTGAAAAATAGCTGGAACTTTGAAAAAAAGGATGACTGGGTACAGACGACAAGACTTGTCGCTATCTTACAATATCTCATCGTACCCGTCATACTTATTCGTGAATATTGAAAATCTTAGTACACTAACACACACCTTACTTTGATACCACTGGAGAGGATACCCACATGTATCAACCTCTCTTGACGGGATGTCTCATTCCTCTCCCTATGCTCCTAGGTGATTGTCAGAAAAAAAATGGCCGAGCTCCCCAAGCCCTGTAAGCACGAGAGAATCGAAGTCGCCCCATCCAGTCACATCAGCAAAGTGTGAGTCAGGAGTTGTATCTTCGACTGCTTCGTTCGCCCATCCACCCGTGCTTGAGTGATACAGGGGAGCCGTAAACGTGGCCCCAACCTGATTGAATGGCTCTGAAGATGGCGTAAAACTTGGTTCGGAAAGTTGTTCATGCACCTTCAATGTCACAATTGACGGATCTTGTCGGCCTCTGGTTTGATTCATGATCCGTTTTGCTTCTTGTCTTAATTCCTCCAAAACGACGACGTATCGCTGAGGGAAAGACGCCTGTGTGCCACATTTTGCGAGCTCTCTCTGTGCCTCCTCTCCTATCCGCAGATTATGTATAGGCTCAAAGTCGAGGTTCATCCAATTTTGAATGACCGAGACATATAAAACCACAATAGCGCTGAAAACATAGTAGTGAGTGAACTATGTGATTGTTAATCGAGTTCGGGAGATAGGGGACATTGTAGACTTACAAAAAAGGATTTGTACATGCGCCTTGTTCTGCAAAGGATTTGGAATATTTCCAAGATTCTTGTCGCAGCCTGTAGGCACTTTTTGATGTTCTCTTCACTCAAGGTGCGCAGATGAGAACTGTCCTGGACCGTTCCCTTGCCAACGGATGCAAGATTCCTTAGGACAAATGGCCTGTAAAGGAGGATTTGTGCGTGAGCGAATGCAAAGTTCAAAACGGTGTATTGCCTTTGGTAGGTCACTTGAAGGAGCTCAATATTGGGCGTGTCGATAAATGCACCAATGTCTCTCCTCCACTGAATTAGATCGGCGCCGTATTTCCGCGCAATTTCCACCTGTACATCCAGAGGTTTCCGTTGTATTCCGTAAAGCTCCCTGAGGATCCCACTAAGTATTTTTGAAAGTCTCGAGGTCCGATATGTCAGTGTTTACCTTCAAATGCTTCCCACCAATTTGCTTACTTGGCGTGGAAAATAGAAGCAAGCATAATGCTTTGCCTTTGGGATTCTGGGGGGAGAATTTCATGTCGCAGTATTTGGGAATCATTCGCACAAGCCGGGAGTTCCTTGATAAAATGTTAGACTAGGACGTCACAGAAAAAAGGGTCTTACTTGATCGATATCTTCGTCGTGAAATATCCTGGGACGGCCGAGCGCAGCACTCAAAAGATTGTCCAGACTATACGCACACCAAAACACTCTTTTCCTACATTCTTCTACCACGTAGTCTGTTATCATGTAGCGCCGTCTGCGTCGGTTCAGTCCAATGGCAAGGGCCAGACGAGCAGTGGTTCCAAAAAGGCTCCAGCAATGATTGATTCTGGATTCCGATAACAGATAGAAGCACTGTGCCAGTCGGGCTTGAATGCTTGTAAGTTTTATTGCACCCTTCTCGGACAATAGGTGGTTCTCTGAGGCTGCAAAATAAACATTACTGTAATTAGTTAGACAAGCTCGGTATGCAGTAGGTATACTGCGCACTCTTGCACAGAACCAAAGTCTGAGGCACGGCACCTTACCTTTTCACTGACTCCCCAACCAATCCATCGTTCTCAGCCAGGTATTGCTTTCCCTGTGCTAGAACCATCAAAATGACAGCTTTGACTGCCCGATCGACAAAGTTGCTCGTTTCATTTACCCCAGAATAGAAATCTTGGAGCCAGGCCTCGACTGTCCTTTGATGGAGAAAGCGATGAGTAGGGAATGAAAAGTCGAAATATCGATCAACGAGCACTTTCGCCTCGCGAATCGGTGGCAGTACTAAGAAATGAGGGTCGCATGTGGGTAGAGGAGCGTCTCCGAAATTGAATATTGTCTCAGTGGCAGAGATCCTGAAATTCTCATGAAGCCTTTTTTGGACACGGAGTAGAAATGAGACTCCTGAGGATGCCCCCACATAGTGTCCCTCCAAATCAGTTTCATCTGGCTCTGGAGAGTTGCGAGATGACGTGGTCGCCCGTGGTGAATCAGACGTCATTGGAAGAGCAGGCGTGTCAGTTGAAGCCTGCAAGTGGTGCGATTGTGGCAAAGAAAATCTGACGTCTGGGCTGACACTCTCCGTCAACCCAGTAGAAAGCTCAGTCTCGTGTCCACGAATCAATTGCATGTCCAGTTGGACACTGGTGTGCTCGGGAGGACTCGATTCGGCTTGCATCTTTCTTACTTTTCCCAGGACTTGATCGACATTTTTATCCAGCGCGGCTCGACCAGGTGTGGTAGTTGGAGAATGCAAACCGATGATTGCGTCTTGGTCAATGACCGGAATATGTGGGATCCTACCTCTCCTATAGCCGGCATTGTATTCACATTTTTCCGTCGACCGAACGCAAAGTGAGCATGGAAGTGTTCCAGAGCAGCGAAGCTTCCTCCTGGGGTTGGATTTAGTACAGCAATCGTGCCCTAGCGGTTTACTAATCCGTACCTTTTGCATATGTCGCATGCCCGAGTAACTCGAACACGCTCTTTGCCACGGCGGCGCTTGTTCGGGTATGTGTCGGGCATCTCTCCTAGCTCGCGGTGCTTTTGGATATTTTCAAATAGTATGTGGGTATGAATTGCGTATCAGCAGTGATTTTAGGGAGAAAATTCCGGATAGAAGCCGGGGGATCTTGAGTCTGGCGTACCCCGCAAACAGGGGTGTGGCCATATTGCCACTATGGACTGGCTTTCATTTCCAGCCACCTTTTCCAAGCTGACACACCAGGATGTTCAAGTCCACAACAATTTTTACCATTAGTATGCATTCGACTAAGGATCTTGTGCGAAGTACATAAACTTTTCGAGCTCCCCACCGGATTTTATGACCTTAGCTGGCTAAAAAGCTGGGCATTAGATATGCATAAATCGAACTATACTTGCCTCTAATGTTGTATGTACACTAGGAGCTATGTATCCTCATGCATTTTATGCATTCTTGCGAGATAATACAAAAGACAGACAGCCCTCCAGCCTTACTTCCAATTATTCTAATCGCCACGGCATAGATAGTTAGTAGGCCTCATGCCAAGATCGGGTTTTTATCCAACCGGAAAAGCCCTCGGAAAAGCGATTTCCGTTGTTGATTTGTTCGCTTCTCTTCCTTAGATAGGGCTGGTACAATAATTCGAAATCTCTCAATTCTTCGCATGAGTATCTTACAATAATTTTAAACCGTATGCCTTTTTGCAGCTGGACATCGCAAAATCTCCCAGTATGCAGAATGAAGTGCTTCCGCTCTAAACACTACCAAGAAATATCACGTTTGGGAACAGCTGAAAGGACTCCGAACACTCCCTGTGCGATAGGAGTTGCGCTGTGTATGGCGTTAGCAAGATGTTCCTTTGAATTGTTTTCACAATTGGAAACTCACAATATCGTCAATGCTCGAGTATAGACCACAGACCAGTACTGCCAGGCCCATAAGGAAGACCAGGAAATTGATGACAGCAAATGGCAGATTTTCCTTTGAAACCCATTTTCCCTTGCAAAGAAGTACCAACCACATGATTGGAGGGAGGTAGAATGAGAAGCCGGATGTGAAAAGCGCCGAGATAATGGAGAGCAAGTCCGTGAAGAAAGGGATAGCTTCAGCGATAATCCAGGCGATGATAGTGATAATGGCCACTAAAAGGATCCAAGTCATCCAACCTTTGGGGGTGTTGATATACCGAATCACGCTGTTTTTGTAAACTCGACCGTGAACCAATCGTCCGACAACAATCGCATTAATCGAGCCAGAGATGAAGATGACTGGCAAAGCCACGCCAAAGGCAATTCGGCTTATTGTGGTTCCAGCCGAAAGAATGGCCGGTGACTGTACTCCAGGCCCAACGAATGCATAAATGGTAGCTCCAGTGACGGTGTAAATGATGATTTCAATCAATCCCAAAACCCAAATTGACTTGGTGAAATCCGTAGGAGTATGCATCTCCTCCATAAAGGAGAATTGGCACGTGGCAAACGAATATGCGAAGACAATATCTCCGATAGCAACATAAGCTTCCGTAAATGTCACATTCTCCTTTGGATAAGCAGACCAATCTACCGTAGCAAGACCGCCTGGCGAATTGCTCCCCTGAATACCTGTCGCGATGATCGTGATGCCAATAGCGATGAGAATAGAGGCAAAATCGATGTAACCGAGAATCGTGATGTCGGCAAAAGAGGAAGGAATTGCAAAAAGGAACAAAATAATCGCAGAGACGATACCAAACACGAGAGAACAGATAGTGCTCTCTGTTATAGTAGCAAAAGCAATTGTACCGGTTAGGCAGTGCGAGCCGACAACGAAGATGAGCTGGATCACGAACACCGCAGAGAAGACTTCGTAACCGACCCGGCCCAGCAACAAGCCTCCCACATCTCCATAATGTTGCACAGAAGGGAAGGCCAGCTTGACCTTGCCAATAATCCACGACGTATAAACCGCGATCAACCCGATGCCGACACAGCAAACAACGCCGGCGATCATGCCTAGGGTCGCGAAGGCCTGGGGAATAGAGAGAGCACCCAATGCAATAGCATCGACAATCAGCATCAAAGTGAGCTGTTTCCAAGATAAACGACTATATTTAGCTTCGCCAGCAGCCGTAATCTGTTGTTCGGCCTCGCTCAGATCGTAATCTTTGACATCCGAAGTTGGAAACGGCGCAGGCGAGTTGGATTCTTTCATAGTTGCCTTCTTCACTTGCGATTCGGCTTGTGGCACATTTGTGGCCGCATGTGCCACATTCTCAGGGTCGCTCATGATGCTCATTTGTTATCTCCGCATGTACACAGTGACATTCCAAGACGGAGTACGAGAAACTCCAATTGGGCGTTTTAGATGCGGAGAAGCTGTCAAGTCTCGTGTGTCACTGAGGAGACCGACAGTAGCTAGCTCCGAACTGGCGATTTGATCTCAATTCTTGAAACTTCGCCCGGTGACTAATTGAATCTGCGCAATGTTGAGGATTCAGATCGTTTTACCAAATCCACGGTGTCGATAAGTCACGTATGTGGCACAGTCGAAATCAGTATTTGCAGAGACGATATCTCAAAGATCAGGAAACTTTCTCCTCGTTCCTTTCTTGCGGGGGTTCTCGATTCTCGATGTGAAATTTGCATGATCCGCGCTGCAGATTTCTATAGATCCACATTACGACGTAAGTGGCTTTGATTGGCCTAGCGGCGATCATGCCCCACTACATGAATTGCCTTCATTGGTTCACATGGTTTTTCTTAGTCAAATCGTGCAAGCTGCCTTGACTCACATTTTTGGACTGCCAAGTCGACTGTTGAAAGGTTTTCCAATTGTGTGACACTTCAAATGATAATAATGATAGCCGATAGCCTAGAATGAACAAAAAGGATGATGGGTGGATTTTCTAGACTCTACTTTGGTGGAATAGACGGAACTTTTATTTATACCGGCCATTCTTCATATCTTCCAACCAATCTTTTTAGATGCTCGCGTACCTGAAGGATCAGGCTCCCTGTGTAAGCCCTTCCGAAAGAATCAATAGTTGCGGCTGCCGGGCCGGTCAGGACACCGTCAATTCTATCATGAAGAGTGCAGATCGTCTTGCTAGAGGCTCCAAACCACTAGGCTCGTTTGAATATAGGCTAAACTGCCTCCTCATGATCACGAGAGTCACAGTGCGCAATTTTAAACAAATTAAAAATCGCAGCTTAGTATATATTCAACCACAACATCGGGGATGCATTAGACAACCGGAGGTATGGAAGGAGTTTCAAAAGAAATATACTATATGGGCATGCAAAAGGAGCATACGCTCTACTTTGCCCTTCAGGAACGGGGTTTGAGCGATGCATAGTCGAGGGGCATAGGTTAACCTCAAAGGTGTTTGTTTATCTACTGCTGGCCCGGAATCGCGGAAATACCGCGTTAAACATGCATCTATTTACTTGGACCACGTACAGTATGTCACCTACGATAGAATCAATCGTGCCGCTGGTCAAAGGCGAGAGCACATCTAGTGTATAGATCAAATTTGGGAGCTGATCGATGCCCCTCCTGCTGCATATCCGATGCCATGATTCGTACAAGGAGAGGTCCGCCAGCGGGAGGGCCACGCGTTGTGGTCGGCAGGTTAAAGAGCGAGGGGTCCAACTCATGCCCACTAAAGTGACAAAGGTACAGTAAGTTCATGCCGGATGATGTTGTGGGATGGGTGGAATATCCACTCCGGCTAGTGTGGCGCTATTCAGGCACTAAAAGAAGGCCGGCTGATTCGTCATCTTATACGAGAAAACGGCCCTTGTGTAAAAGGCGAAGGTGAGCCATGCCAATCTAATGGCTTTCCTAAAGTTGTTCATGTCAGCCAAGCGACACGAGCAATAGGGTAACACCACGGTTTGTTTTCTGAATCAACAGCCCACCCTTGCGGTGAACTCTCTCTTTCACTACTCCGTACCTCCTCCATCATGGTTCATCCAACGCGAGTCTTCAATAATTCAAGTATTCTTGTCTGCGTCAACACCTGAACAACAATCTACCGATAGCGCCTAGAACACGAGAGCGCTTTCCGTTGTTCTGGGGAAATCTGCAACTCACCTTGCGCCTGAGCACCCTTGGGACAGCCATCGCAGCCCTCTGCATTCTGTTAAAGTTGGCCAACAGATATAAGGACGCTAATGACGGCCAGCGCAGAACATTTGACGGTGCCATTTCCACAGTGAGCTGCCAAATTTCCGATTAGCTGAAAGAGTTACGCTAGTGCAAAGCTTAAAATCTATTATACTCCTCGACGATAAACACCGTATAAAACACGCCCCGGCCGTGATTACCGGGTTTGCGGACCTGGCTGTTATTGGTGTGGGTATTTACTCGATTTATGAGATTTTGCTCAGTGATTTTGCGCTCGCGGACGCACCTCCGGGGTATCAAACCCCGTGGAATCACTCCCAGTATGGGGCGGAATTTTGTTGATTGTTATTGTGTGAGTAACTCATCGCGCTAGAAGAGATTCATAACTCTACTAATGGTATTGCATAGGGTTGAGGCGGACATTGCTCTGCTGTTGGGGTGCTTCCGTGGGTGCAGGGAAAGGAAGAGAGGGACGCACGCATCGTCTTCAGAGCAACAATCGACGGGTTTGGCCGGAAATCAGGAAACTCATACAAAGTGGTTGCTTTTCGACTCAGAGCGGAAGAACAAAGTTGTTCTAGATGCGTCCTACCCCATAAAATCTCGCCATTCGACCACCAGTGTCCAGACAGTCTCTTTTCCGGATATCTGCGAGAGAAAATACCATTCATTACCAGAATAATGTAAGCGGACGATGGACAAACACAACTCAAAGCTGCATCATGAATTGTGTTAGCGGTCAACTTTGGTCTGATTATGCTTGCTCTGTAATGAAACTGTGAAGAATGAGATTTGAAGTCCTCATATAGTATCTCTTTTCGAGGTATACAGAAATGCTCCCGTCTTAACATCAAGCACCAAACAATCTGTTCATCTGAATTAATCAAAAAAAAGCCTTGAATCGACTGTTTCTCAAGCGAGAATCAAATCAAAAGTGACGGATACGAAACAAATACATCTCTTGTTGCCTGCAGTGAGGCATAATAAAATATATTCGTTGACTGTTGGATGGAGCGCCAACGAAGAACAACGTACAACGTCCTTTGGTAACGCCGTGGGCTCTGAACATAAAACCTATCTACTCAGAGTAAGAACCTGAATCCTTGCGAGACTGCTTGTCCCGGAAGACCATGCTCCTCATCCTCTTGCGCCTGCTCCAGTCCCTGAGTACTAATATTCGTTCCTTCTTCCTCATCTAACTTCTTATTCAAACGCCCAAGGACGATGCGAATGACGGTGGCAAAGCATATGGTCATTGCTGACATAGCGATGTTGACCGAAAACGCGGTTGTATACCGAGGTCCTGCCGAATCTGGGCGAATATTTAGTACTCGCCATGAAGAGCCCTGTTGGATTTCCACGTACCAGGATACAGATATGGAGTGTAGATTTGGCACACATTGCTCAGACAATTAATGAGCGCCAAGGCTGCTGCTCTCTTGGTGGCGGGCCGAGGAAGAACTAAAGAATTGTTACTGATTGCTCGTCATAGATTCCGTGCGTAATTACTGACCATTTGAGATATACCCAAGTAGGACGACGTATCCAGCATAGATAGCTCCAATCATCAAGCACATTGCACTAAGGTTGATAAGAAAATTAGTGGTCTTGCCAGGTCAAAGTCCTGCATGTGTCTTACGCATATCGAGCCGCAAATTTTGTGGTAGACAGCGCAATCACAAATGAAGCAATGGCGATAATTGGTGGCAGTGCAATATGCAAATATCTCTCTCCGGTCTTGTCGGCATGCCATGCGTTTATCAGGACGACAATAGTACCGATTAGGTAGGGCGGCGTGGTGAGGAGTAGCGTAGTCACTTTGTCCTTCCCGAGACCAGCCATGACACTTGACAAATTTTGTTAATGTCGAGAACTTCATCATCATTACATTGATCTGGAAGACTCACATCGGGAAGAAAGTTGTGACGGCACCTGAGGCGGTACATCCGTAGATTGCTCCGAGCAGCAGCCAGGTTTTATAGTCCCTAGAATAAGCTTTTAGTACAGTTGATGGGTTGAGAACAATATATACATACTTGAATGCAAGTTTTGCCCCATGAAACATGGATTGGTGTTGGCTATCAACCCAGTCATCTTCACCAATATCTTCGGCAAGTCTCCAAGCTGCAAGCTCTTTCTCCTCATCGGTCAGCCACGTGGTTGTTCGTGGAAGATCAGGTATAATGAAGATTGAAACGATAGCGACGAATACCTGTATGTTTGTTAATCTTGTCTCAAGTCATCTTCTTAACCGGAAATATTCACAGTAATAGCCCCTTCAATGATGAAGAGCCATCTCCATGCCGCAATTCCGCGATTGCCGTTAAGCCCACTGGTAATTCCAGCAGCAATCAAGCCAGAGAAAGCGCCAGAAAGTAGTGATCCGGAGTATAAAAGAGCAGTCCTCTTGACAAGTTCCTTTCGAGTATACCAAGCCGAGAGTAGATAGAGACAGCCGGGCTAGAAATTTCGGGTAAGTATGAATCCAGTACCGCGTGATTGATTGAGCCCATCTTACAAAGTATGCCGCCTCCACAAAGCCAAGAATGAATCGACAGGCCAAGAGCCCACCATAACTCTGAGTTGCAGCAGTTGCACTGGAGATTATACCCCATGCTAACATACAAGTTGGAAGATAAATCGAAGGCTTGCCCAATTTGTTCAAAATCATGTTGGATGGTACTAAAATGTTTTCAGCAAAGGTACACAATACTACAGCTTGGCAATAATCTTACCCTGCATCAACAAGTATCCAACAAACAAAATACTGACGGAGGTCTGGGACAACCAGCTTTAGTCTCGGATCCTCGTCATGTAATACAAATATTTACCTGGTATTGGTCGCCTCGAAGGTTCAGGTCTTTCTGAAGCCCCGCAAGCTTGGCAGCAGCAATGTTGTTTCGATCCAGATAGTTCAGGATATACATGATCACAATCATGATGAGAAGCCTGGAATCGACCTTCCGCACAAGCTTGTTCTCCATGTGCTGTCTTTCCTCCCGGGTCAAATTTCGGAGGAACACCGGCATTCTCTCAACCATTGGATTGGGATCATCTTTAGTTGACGGTGTGTATTCCACGTGATCAGATGTGGTACCCTTCGCACCAGACATCTCGGTATGTACGGAGCGTAATTTATTGATTTGAGTTCGGTCTTTAAAAGCTAAAGACACATAAAGGATTTCCAAACCCAGCCAAGCTCTTGGCTAGACTTTAGTTTTTGTACTTCAGCTGTGTTGCTGGATAAATGGGTCTTTTCCGGGGTAAGTGCGGGGTTGGCTGACGATCTGTCCCCAGCCATGTCCGGAAAAGCCTCTCGGATAAGGGAGTTAGTTCATGGAGAGATTGATTCGCCATGATGACCGCATCGTCATGCCTTGTAAAAGCTGACAGTGGCATGGACCAAATTTATTGGAAGTAAGCGAGAAGAGTAAACGAATTGGCTATGTTTGACAAGCGTAGCATACATATTTTAGTCCGAACATCCTTCATGCAACTCTGAGATGGGATTGAAAATTGCTTAATTTGGTGGCATGTGCCACTGGTCACCTACTCTAAATCCTTCTGGGAAAGGATCGGTTGAGTCTAGGACGACCTGCTTGAAGCTTGTAATCCAAGCTCGACCCTTAACGGTTGGTAGAACAGCCATGTACTTTCCGACTGTTGTGGTACCCCTGATCCGGCTAGTGAACTCAGTGCCTATGATGCTGCGATGCTTAAATACTTCTCCTTCTTGAATCTGGCCCCTGGCATGCATCACCGCTAGCCGAGCACACGTTCCAGTACCACAGGGACTGCGATCGAATCGCCCAGGTGAAACGACGACAGCATTCGTGGCCACTCTCACCCCGTCTTCTATTTTCAACGGCTCCATGAACTCTAGAACGCTGAACCCCTTGATCCCACGGTTTTCGGGATGCACGGGAGTATAAGCAGCTTCCGTTGCACGTTTGATTCTCTCCGCAATCTCAACCATCTGACGAGCGTGTTGATTGCTGATCATCAGTCCTAGAGAAGCGGCATCCACCAAGACATACATCATTCCCCCGTATGCAATATCAACAGATACCTCGCCAATTCCAGGAACGTTGACTTTATAGTCAAGTTCCAGAACGAAGGCAGGGACGTTGTCAAACTCCACGCTTTGGCATTTCCCTGCTTTGCATTCTGCAGTGACTGTGACCAGCCCGGCAGCGGTGTCCAAGCTGACCTCAGTAACAGGCTCCTTCATGGGAATCATCCCAGTTTCCAGTAGCACAGTCGTGGTGCAAATGATGTTGGATCCGGACATGGGCGCGTATTCCTCGCTCTCCATGATCAAGAAGCCGGCATCGGCGCGAGGGTCGCATGGAGGAAGCACGAGATTTGTGTTCATCGACGCCCGGCCGCGAGGCTCGTTGAGAAGCAGTTGACGCAGGCTATCTTTGTTCGTTTCGAAATGGACAAGCTTCTCGAACATCGTTTTACCGGGAACATCCAAGACGCCACCAATGATCACATCGCCAACTTCTCCTTCGGAATGGCAGCCAACGACGTTTATTGAGCGTGAAAAAGGCATGGTTGATTTCGTTTCAAGTCGTTGAGCAGCGAGGTCTTTTTTTATACCAAAGATGGGCGTCCTAGTTCGAAGAAAGGTCGCGTCTCTGGGATCTCGAATCATCCAACTTTGGGCAGCTTCCGTGTACAGAGAGGTCATGGGCTTTGGCTCGGTTATAACTGGCGTTCAGCTCGATCGGGGGGTTTCCCGACTTCTCGGCCATTGGGTCATCTGGCCAAATTAGAAGGTGTTTCCGGTTATTATTGGGAAGCAGTCCGGCATTATTTGCTTTTTCAGGGAACTTTGAAATGTTTGAATCCGCTATGGCAGTATAGTTGGCGCTTTAAGCGCGGCATAATTGAAGTTTTCTCCGTCGAGAACGACGCGTTTGGCGAGTGCGCACAGGTCCCCATCAGAGAGGTTTGCCCCGCAAAACATCTAGACCCTTGCATATCGGCGCTTAGCTTGATGATAGCTCGATGATCATGGCTCTGTAACGAGCTTTTATTCGGCTCGTGTATAGCAAAAGGAAGCCTGTTTGGTCAAAGCTACACGGGCTGCTCCATAATTCGCGCACGAGCAAGCTGGATGCCAAGGTCGATCTTCTAGTCAGGTGGAGAGCAGCCATGCAGCAATCATCACCTGCACAGTGACCCCTTTGGGATGAAGCTGCATATCGTATGCGATTTGCATATACTTTTGGGGGCTTGGAGAGAAGTCATTTTAGTTTGTAGCAGTTGATTCGACCATTCGACACTCTCCCCTGTCCGGTCACGTGGTCGGTCATTGTGGGCGGGGAAAGTGAGCAAGCCAGCTTCTTCCCGTCCTCAATGAAGTTTCATCAGTTTGGTTATGCATGGTCTTTTTCCAAAGACAGCTTCGGGGTCCGTGATACAATCGTGATGGCTTGAAACCGACATGGGTGCCCGATCTCGCTCAGGGTGTTTGTCCTGTCGGCGTCGCAAGAAAAAATGTGACGAGACGAAGCCGATCTGCGCGGCTTGCCTGCGCAATGCCCTCAGCTGTGTCTGGCCAGACACAAGCCCGCTAGGAGCAGCCCCAGAGGTAGTGTCAACTCCGCAACTGCAAACACAAACGTTCCCTGCCCGCTCCGTACCTGCGTCTGACGCGTGGGCCCTCACCATTGGTGCGCCCAGGGACCTCCCAACCATTACTATCCCGGCATCCCCGTCCAGTTTTCCTCTGTTAGGATCGGCGGCATCGGGATCGGAGACCTGGAGGCTACTTGATCATTACTTGAAAGATACGGCAAACCGGCTCGCATGTCTTCAGGATAGCGAAAATCCGTTTCTTCATACAATACTCCCAGTTGCGCTCGGCGATGAACTTATAATGAATTCAATTCTGGCCCTTTCGGGGGTGCACATGATGCAACGGCTCCCTCGGCTGAATCTCGAGATGCAATCATTGACTTGGTCCCGGTATACTCGAGCATTGCAGCAACTCAGGCTTGCTTTGTCGGAGACCATTGACGGTAGTAATGTAGATGCTGCCTGGCGTGCTTTGCTAGTTGTCTTGATATTCTATCTTCTCGAGGTAGGTGCTGTTATTCTCATGTTTTTAAATCACAGTTTGATACTCACGCTATTCAAAGGCCACAAGGGGCAACGACCCGAAAGCCATGCAGCGACATTTAGAGGGAGCTCATTATCTAATGGCTCATGTACTACGCTCTGGTGAAACGCCCACGCAACCCAGTATTGTATCGTTCGCGACTGAACTTTATGTCTACAACGCTGCCCTTGCATCATTCACTACGAATTCCCCGCCAGCCCTGATCACGTCCCCTAGCATGAGCCTGAATAGCCTTGGTAGCGCAGATCGTGAAATTGGCGTCCTATGCGGCTGCGCCTATGAGCTTTTCACCTTCGTACCACAAGTCGCAGCCTTACTCCGAAGTTTCGCCTCCTGTGAATCCTCGGAGACAACCTTCAAGGAGGACCTGATGTTAGAGTACTACAGCATAAGAGCACAGATCGAGAACTGGAAACCTCGCAGTGATCAGCGAGAATTGGTGCTCTGTGCAGAGCTCTATCAGCAGAGCCTTTTGTTGCTCCTAGATTACCGTTTTACAGACAAACCGACTGATGATATTGTCGACCTCGCATTCTGGAAACTTAACTCGATCATATCGCAGTTGCCCCCGAACTCTCCCATTGCGACCACGGCAAATTGGCCTCTTTTTGCATTCGGGATACATGCTCGGAAATCACATCACCGAGAGATTATTCGGTCATATCTACAGTCTCTCGTCAAGTTCTTTGGGATGGGAGTGATGTCAACAGCGCTCAGGCAGCTTGAAGAGCTGTGGATATCAGAGCCTGGACATGATGTGATCAGCAAGTTCTTTACGAACCAGAACGAATTGCTATTGATCTGCTGAGTGATTTGTATTCTGTCATGTTTTATTTTTATTTGTACAATACCCCCCAGACCCTTGAAATGAATGAATTCAACAATTTTCATCAATTGCATCCATATCCTGTGATATTGGGTCGCCTCAATAGGTGCTTACGAAAATCCCAAGGACTCGCGGTTATCATCTTGTACCCGGGCATATCTATTATTTGTGATCAGCTTCATCATGTCGCAAGCGTTTCCGGTCTTCAACCTACTCCAACAAAAGCCGAAACATGTACACTTCCATGTCTTCGTTTCTGAGTACTCGATTTGCCCAGCCCTGGCCACCCTCTGCAATGGTCTTAGCAATCTCTTGACCTGCAGTGTCTTGTTCGAAGAACCGCATCAATTCTGGGACTTCATCAACATCCTTATTGAGGGGAGCATAGTGAACCCAAGGCACAAGAACGTTGTCATGCCATTCCCGGAAGAACGCCACTTTCATAGGAAGGCTGTTACTTCGCATGAAGGCGACAAATCTTCCACTGTACGAATGCCCATCCATATCCAACAAATATCGATATTTCCATGCCTCTTCCGGGGGATCTGAAGGAGCATTGCTCGGATCATCGTTGAGAGGCACCCCAAAGAATTCCCCCTGTTCAGCGCAGTCCTCTTCTTCACAACCCGTGATCCAGACGAAACGAACATTGAACCAGCTTTTGATTCTGGCGTATTCCACGCGCTGAAGTTCCCAGCCGCTGTCACCACCAATATCGCACGCTGTGTGCTCCATTTGCTGCAGCACGTATTGTGCCGATGATGGCTGGGTCAGATTCGCTATGATACGCTGCCGTTCCAAGTTGCGCCATGCTCCCTTTCGACCGTTTCCTCCAGTTGTCGCGCCACGCCAATAGAGCTGAGGCTTTTTCTTCTCCCAGTCAAATGAAGCTTTGATATCGTAGTCGGTCATCCTTTCGTAATTGTAAGGTGATGGGACTGTGATATCTTGCGAGGCAGACAATCGTGACATTGAAAACATAGAGACTAATTCGTTGGTGACCTTGAAGCGATTAGGTCTCTCGAAAATTCCGAGGCGATGACGCAACGATGGATTCAGGCAGATATCGCTTGCGGCAGTCTGATTGAACACGAATCCTAGAGGATTTATTGCATATGCACTTGTGTTATCAGGTGCAGCGCCATCAAGGTCTCTCGCTGGCGTGCCCTGTGGACAGGAAATCCGCGAGGTAAGCCATGTCTCTTGCTTCTCAATATCATTGTACCGGCTCTTCCAAGTTCCCAGTATGGGATCTATAATATCTCCCTTTGAAAATTGATGTTCCAATAGAGAGTTGCGGTTCAAACGCGCCTGCGCTTCTTTACCAGCCGTGACCATTCTATGCAAATCTTCATGCGCGACAATAACTCGTGGCTCATCATGCTCGTTGAACGGAAGGTCCATGTCAGGTAACCATTGAGCGAACTTCTTCAAGATAGCCAGGGTTCCATCTCTCTGCCATAGTTGCTTTTGAGCACTTCGCTGGCCACCCACAAGGTGGATCGGTCGACCATTTCCTATTATGATCCCCATCAAGTAATTGTCATACCCAAGGTCTTCTCTCACACGTGCACGAATAACGCTGGGGTTCAATCCCCAAAATGGCAATATCGCATGGTATATGGTGTCGAATTCATCAATCATAACCGTTGATCGCCGTGAGGCAAACTCGTACCATTTATCGAAGCCCGGGGGCGGCGGCATTTGATATCGGCGCTTATATTCCGTGATTGCTTCCGCGAATGATTTGGACTGACGTGCCACGGTTGCATTAAATGATTTCTGAGCGTCGTGTACGAGTCGTGAGACAGGGTGGTCGCAGGAGCGTTCGTAGTAGGGCACATATGGACGGTGGAAGGTTGCGGGAAGAGGCGACCCTGAAAGTAGATATAGGATGAAGAGGACTGCTATAAGCAAGGCTGCCAGTGTTTGTGGTCTTCTTCGCGACCACCGGTTGTTGTGGATGGCCTTTTCTCGTACAGTGTCGGGAAATTGGTATTCGTCACTGGATAGCCATGGTTCCAACCATGTCATTAGCCGTAGGCGGATGCGGCGCAGTGTTGGCTTTTGCATGTCGAAGTTCAAGGCTAGGCCTGTCTGCCGCTAGTAGAATATCTCAAATACGTATGGTCATTTTCCGGGTCTCCTTTATTTTAGGGAGGTCCTTCTAGAGGAGCAATGTTAAGAGGGGTTCAAGTGGCATCAGCATGTTATCTACCTTAAGAACTCCATAAGGTTGCGTGTGGGTGATCTACGGGGGGCGCAGGGCCCAAGGGCTAGGGGCCATACAGGATTCCAGGGGCCTGCAAGCCAACTGCTTGGATAGGTTGTCACCGAAGCATTGCGGGGCTGCGGCGATCGTTTGGGAGAAAGGCGCGTGTGAACGCGGGACTACTACTAGCACAAACTTGATGATCTTGACTTGAGATAGGAATTGGTTTAAGTCCGGGTAATTGATTGTTCCTCTCTGTCTATGCCTCTATACTTAAGGGCCAAGAAAGCCAAGGACTATGGGGACGGGAGTTTTCCAACCCTCGTACTTCGTCAATACCTTGGCCAGAATTGTGGGTTTCTGCGCGTCGCGCCGCGTCCTGCCGCGTCCTGCACTAGCAAATCACATTCACGCAATTTCCATTTGTGAATCCTTCCACGATGGCTTGAATGCTGGCTTGCTGTCGCTCAATACTTTCCGAGCTATACCAGGCCAAATGAGGCGATAAAGTCAAATTCGGGATGTCACCCGAAAGCAATAAACTATTCTTCTTGGTGGCGGGCTCAATGGGAAATACATCTGTCGCATAGCCGGCAATCGTTCTGGCTTTGAGAGCAGCAATTATAGCTTCTTCGTTGACAAGACCCCCTCGGCCGACATTGATCACAAGACAGCTGGACTCCATCGATTCCAACTCTTTTTTGGAAATCATATTAGCCGTTGAATCGTCTAATGGGCACGTCAACATGAGAACGGTCGATTGCCGAAGCACAGTATCAAATGCAGTGCGCCCATCTCGGATGCTTGCATCAGGTATTCCTCGTCGATCTGCGATCAAGACTTTCATACCCAAAGCTCGAGCAAAGACTTCAACCTTTTGTCCTGAGTATCCCGCAAATTTTAGTCACGATTTTTGGTGTTTCAATCATTCGCTCCCATCAGAACTTACCAATCTTGCCATAGCCGACAAGGCCCAAGGTGTCTTGACTTATGGGAGTGGGTAATCGCTCATATGCACTCATTGCCGTAGATTCATGCTCCCACTCCTTCCCAGATATCACCCAGTTATGCGCCCGAACAATGTTTCGTTTGGCAGCAAAATACAGCGCAATTGCGTGTTCGGCAACAGCTTCCGTAGTAGCTGCGGGGGTATTGCAGACGCGAATGGAGCGCGCTCGACATGCCTGGACATCGATGTGATCAACCCCCACAATTGACACACAGATGAGCTTGAGATTAGGGCATTGAGCGATAGTTTCAGCCGTAATAGGAACGGCAGAAGTCACAGCGATAGTGGCGTCACGTAGACGCTCTGCTACTTCTCTTTCTTTTGTGTTATGGTATTCGATAAGAGTGTGCGGGGTATGGAAAATAGGCATCGCATGCTGGCAAACGTCTAGTGCAACAATAACTTCCGGCATCTTTGGAGATCAGCGTATAAAGTCAAAGATGCAACTGCTTTCAATGTAAGAGATCGGTGCTTGAAGGGAACCCCTGGAGTGTTGTGAGAATGGGTTGTTTTCTACCTCGGGTTTTTCCACCGATTTAGGCAGGAACATGCGCTTGGTGGGGACTGATCGTTATCTTTATTTCATATTACTTGGGCTTTTCATTTCAAATATGAAAAGGTATAAGTATCTCTATTTAGGCCGTCGGCCGAGTTGTAGATTTTCTTAGATTACCCTTTTAAAGGAAAAGGTATGTCACAATATGTGGATTCGCCTCTACTCGGAAGAAGGCAATACAGGGTATCTCCACAGCATAAAATCGAAGCTCGTTTGGTGTTCATTTATTCTAAATTTCTAGAAGCATTAACCCATTATCGTTTCAAGATTTCTTTCAATCATCAAGTCCAGCCAGTATATGCCCAATCCTGAGTCTGCTCTGTCCCAAACCTCATGTACAATCCCCGATACACGTTGCATGGGCAACTTGGGAATAATCAAAGTAAGCTCTGATAGTCGGGTATTGACTCGCCGCCTTCCCTGGGCGACATCAACATCCAGAGTGTTAAGGCAAGCGAGAGGGTTCGATCCTGGCCCAAAGACTGACTGGTTAGAAAACACAAGATCGCTAGAAATGCAAGTCAGGAGAACAAGCTGCATAAAGCGTGTTCCTGATGTAGATGGAAGCTGGTCAAGAAGTGACACAACATGTAGCGCTAAAATGCGGCGCATATCTTCTGGAGATTGCGCTGGGGAATCTTCGGGAAATAAAACGGAGAAAAGTGCTGGAGTATCAATGTCAAATCTCTGATTGAGACGCAGCCGATCATCAAGGATGTCTGGGAAGACATGGTAGATCTGTAGAAGACCCGCACAGCGATAAGCCTCCGCCAGAATTATAAAATGGGCAGGAGGCGTATTTGTATCACCAATATCTACTGGTCCACAATAAGATGAGAGTCCTGTGAATAAAATATCTTCCTCTAGGCGCTCGGCTTTCTGCCGCAGCTTGATCTCTTCGACCAAGTAGTCAAAATCGAATGTTGCAAAATCAATATTATCAACTCGGGTGCGATGAGAGATGCGTGCTGCTCGAACCACTCGGGCTGTTTTATAAAAAAGCCTCAGTGCCTTGGAAAGTGGGCCTGTCCAAGGATGTGGAAGAGTCTGTCCATCGATGAGGTAGACGGAGGTTTCTGGGTCAGGTCGTTCCAAGACACTCTCTTCATTGAGAAGTAAAGAATCCTCCGCAACAAATGCAGCAAGCATGTTCCAGTACAGAAGACACTGTTGGAACAATGGGTACTGCTTGGCAAAGAGCGAGTCAGGACTCTGGCACATCTGCTGCTGTTTGTTGAGATGGTCTTTTGCCTCCTTCAGGTATTCCAGCCCCAGATCAGCAGCATCGTGCCAGGCTGTAGTCAGTCCAATCATGAGCAGAGCCAAAAAGAACTCATCGTCTTGATTATCTCGATGCAAAGTACCAATTCGAGGGTTGTTGCGTAAGCAGGCAATTGCTTGCTGCTGTGTCTGCCTCCCAATGGCCCTCATGCCCGGAAGATCGTTGGCCAGGGATGCCGCAGCCATGCTCTGAATGGCATAGTAGATGGCCGCGTTCCTGCTCCAGAGGCGGCTAACTATGAGACGAAATGGGTTCAAAGGGGAGTCAAAAGATGACCATGCCTTGCACACGTAATCAAAATAGTATTGTACCAGGATGGCTGGCATTTGAATCAGGAAATATGGTATTGGTGTGTCTGCGATTCGCCGCCTCAGAACCGCCAGACTGTCATCCGATTCCGCTCCATCCTTGATGGTCGCTATATTGTTTGTTAAATCTTCAAATTTGGAGAATCTACCAGAAGACGTCTCGATGTCTGGTAGTTGATCAAAGAGCGATGAGTTGGCTTCATCCCAAAGCTCTTGCAACTCTTTCGTCTGGCCCGCCTGGATGGCTTGGCTAGCTGTGACGTTTGCATTCTCCTGCTCTAACAAAGTTGATGGTAGCAATTCTTCTGGAGGCGAAAGAACTGCCTGGTCGCCATCTTGCTGCTCTTCATCCTTGAAGACATATCGCCATTCAAGAGGTTTCTTTTGATAGCCAGGGCAGGTGAACCCCTTTCTCAAGCATTCCTGGCAGCTCGGTTTTGTCTCATCACATCTACGCTGGGTATATGTCAGTAGATGAATCTCATTTAAGGTGGAAGTGAGTCCTTGGCATGGTTAATCATAACTTACTCGCCGTTGCTTGCATCGAGCACAGCCTCCTTTGGATTTTGGCCTGCACCGATTGGGGTTCTTTTGCCTTTCTGGCCGGGGCATAGTTGTGGTTTTGTGGACGTGATGCATTATCTTTATCGAGTAGAGGGAAACGAAATTCCCTCTGCTCTCCAAGAGCAACCCACTCGTTGCTGTGCGGAGTCTGTCTTTGTTGTGGCGTCTTCAGGTGATCGGCTCGGCTTCCTTTCCTCGCCGTTTACCCCGCACATGCTTTCCGGCTCGAGACGGGTCTCTTTGCAGCGTCAGCGATTCGATGAACACATCAGACTGGTTGTGTTTGAAATAACACCTTGACAAATCTCGCATGCCACATTTTGGTCAAATTTCGCTTATGACCTACCCCTCTTGCCTGAATGCGTGGCATCATGTTGACTCAATCTCGCGGCGGGTTCCATTTCCCTTTTGGGCGATTGAATACACTACCCAATCGGGAGGGAAGCCGCGTTGGCACTGCTACGCAAAATGGAGCAGCTTCAATGAGGGTATCTGAAGAAGACAAGTTGAAGATCCATAATATGTTGCCTCCTCAGTTGACTGCCGAAGAATAAAAAGGGACAAGTATTCAGGCAATATCAGGCCAGTACTGGTAATCTGCAAGGGGTATAATGATCGAGAGTCTTGTAGTTGGGCAAGGAAAGCTCTTGATAATGAGCTTCTGGGATTTTTACCAGCCGTCACTCCAAATGATAAGTCCAATTGTAGGTTTGAGATCGTGGGCAACTTGGAGTGCTCGGCCCATTGTTCAGGGGCCATCCGTAGACGATCTGCCTCAATCCGGCCGTATGCCTGTCATTTTCGTCAACGCAAGAGCCTAATAAGTAAATTCAAACACTCAGATCCATACCTAGGGACTTTCGCTTTGGATTATATGACATACAGCCCTTTGAGAGCCAAGGCAGACCCCAGCACAATCCAAGTCTCTCATGCTGTGCAAGCGAGTAATGGCTAGCTTAGCCATCTGGTTCTCAAGCTTTGCAATTGCTAGAGACAGATCTCAGTGTCAAGAATTGCCTTCGAAAGGCTTGCTAGCACAATGATGGTGTGTAATTATATCCATTGCGCACGAAGGAGAATGGGCTCGAGAGAGCATATCTAATCACCACATGAGTGCAGACGGTACCATTGACACGAGCATACATGCCCATCTGGTTCCAATTCTCATGGTTTTTGACAGTCAAGCGCTCGCATCATCGCTTGGTACGGCCCCTGCCTCCTGGGTCGCCAATATCATTCCAATTGCGAAAGGGACCACTAGACATCCTGAATCGATCTGTCGATGGCGCTCAGATCTGAGGGCTCGGTTTGCCGTAATTGCGCCAACGAACATCAAGTCAGGACATCCTCATCAACTGCTATCATTCCTAGACAGCGAAAAATTGGTATGGTATAGCTTGAGATTGATAGCAACAGGGCGTAGCCGATCTGCCAAAGAGAGGGCGGCAGACAATGAAGGCAAAGGGCGACATCAGGCGTGGCAATGGAAACTTCCGTTTAGTGATTCCAGGACACTAAATGATGGGCACAGGCTATGTGCCTATCGCCTTTACTCGGGCACTTCCTATCATCAGGCCATACCCGCTAACGGCTAGTTGCATCCACCATGTGAGTACCCGCATATATGTAAGGTTGCCCCGGGAAGCTTGTTTGAATTGGTTGAAGGCATATCTTTTGACAATTATTTGTTAATTTAAAAAGTTCCACAATCCCGCAGTATCGTAACTATCGAGAACCACCCGACGTACCTCGAGAGATCGTAGCCTAGCCGTGGCAAACCATGGAAACTCAGGATTAGCGTAGCCGCGGTGCATTAGCGTAACCGCGCTGCTTGGCATCCAAGGTAGGAACTTAAACCCCATATCTTGAGGAGTGGACCCTTTTCCACAATTTGAAACAGCTCAGGCTGCTATCTTTGAGATTCAAGGGAAGTTTAAACCGCTTAAGGAATTTTTATACAGCCTGATTGACATCCACCTCGTGTATCAGTGAACTCTAGAAATCCTATCTATCCGCTCTGTGGGGCATACAGTAAGCAATCAAGCATGTATGTTATCTGACGGACGCCGTGAGTGTTGGAGTGACTTATCTCAGCCCTGGTAGGGGCGCTTTCCTTCGTAATTGCTCTTTCTCTTATTGGTGGGCAGATCTCAAGCCTATGGCAACCTTCTTAGCGGAAATCGTGGCGCAATGGGAACGCCGGGGAGTGGAGACTTTTCATTGAAAATCGATTACAATTGGGATTATGGGTAGATTTTCGGTAGTCCTCCGTGATGCCTTTGCGTCATCATTCATAGTCGAATCACAATTGGCTGATAGGCATCTGATACCCTACCCCCTGATTCTAATATCGAACCCTGGTCACGGTCTTATCAACTGATCAGTGCATTGCCAATGCTCGTACAATGTTCATTGGGCGTCGAGGCTGCCTGTATCAAGGGACTAACGGATGAAATGAATATAGCTTTCTATATCTCAGAATACTCAGCAAGTCCTTTGAAGAATGTTAGGTAGTAGTGATGATCAGACGAGGTTATACGGCTTTCGTTTAGTGTAGCCTGAACTTTATGTAGAAAGTAATGATATTGCATTGACTACCGCCCGCTGAAATGCGGGGTAAAGACTATCTACAATGATTGCCTATCTATATGACGATGTGTAAGATATAGAGTTTCCTGAAGCTGGACACAGCTTTGCTCTCCGACTGAGCCGTGCGGCTAGGTCTCTTGTATATAAACCGTATCCATTTCATCCCGGGGCTCAGAATTGGATTACCCATTCCTCCATCTTTGCATGGATTGGCTTGAACTACATCGTTATCAATTATTGCATTAACTCGGTCTTATTCAATCATGGCAACCGATTTTGAGTCTCGTCGACACCAGGATTCAGGGCCCAAGACAGATCTTTTCAATCACGATAAAATGAAGTATGAAACAGAGCTAGGAGACTCAGAGCCTGTTGCAGCAAACGGCTTGCTCGAAGCCTTGGGCTATGAGCCTGAGCTCACCAGGAACCGTTCAACTCTTCAGGTGGCCTTCATGTCCTTCGTTCTCGCATCCATCCCTTATGGATTAGCTACCACCTTCATATACCCTCTCGTTGGAGGAGGCCCAGTGAATATCATTTGGGGCTGGCTGATTGTTTCAATAATTATCCTCTGCGTTGCCTTATCTCTTGGCGAGATTACTTCGGTATATCCCACTGCTGGTGGTGTGTACTATCAATCATTCATGCTGTCGCCGCCGTTCTGCCGCCGAATCATCGCCTGGATCTGCGGCTGGTCATATGTGGTAGGAAATGTCATGATTACTCTCGCAGTGAATTTTGGTTCTGCCCAATTTCTGATTGCTTGCGTCAACGTTTTCGAGGTTTCACCTGGAGTCGGCATTTTCGAAGCGACAGCGTACCAGACCTTCTTAATCTTCCTAGCCATTACTCTTCTATGCAATACCGTCTCCTCTATGGCAAACAAGTGGTTACCTTATATTGACGTGAGTCCCCTCCAGGCTCAAACCTCCATATCACTCGTTGACATCCGTTGTCTTTCAGACATTTGCCATTTTTGGACATTTGCTGGAATCCTAGCTATCGTCATTTGCACCTTGGTCGTTGCCAAGAACGGTAGACACGATGCTGAATATGTGTTTGGAAACTTTGAGCCTCAATCAGGCTGGCCCGTAGGCTGGTCTTTCTGTGTTGGCCTCCTGCAGGCTGCATACACAACTTCCTCAACTGGAATGGTTATCTCGTGAGTACCCTATCTGTTTTACTTTTGCTAGAGTGCTCCTTTGTAATTTCGCATGCTTACAAGATCACAGTATGTGTGAGGAAGTCCAGCACCCATCGAAGCAAGTACCAAAAGCGATTGTTGGCACTGTCATCTTGAACTCACTGGCCGGATTTCTGTTCCTCATTCCCTTGGTATTTGTACTGCCCGACAGCCAAGAACTGATTGCCCTGGTATCCGGCCAGCCGGTTCCAACTATCATGAAATCCGCCGTTGGCAACTCAACGGGCGCGTTCCTTCTTCTCCTGCCCTTAATCGTTCTTTCTCTTATTTGCGGTATTGGCTGCACGACTACTGTCTCACGATCAATATGGGCATTTGCACGAGATGGGGGAATTCCATACTCTAGCAAGTGGAGACAAGTGAACAAGACGCTCGATGTTCCCTTCAACGCCATGATGCTCGGTATGGTACTGCAAATTGCACTTGGCCTCATCTATTTCGGGTCAAGTACCGCGTTCAATGCCTTCTCTGGGGTGGGCGTCATCACATTGACCGTCAGCTACGCTTGCCCCATTGCAGTCTCCTTCTTGGGAGGTCGGAAGCAGATCAAGAATGGCGAATTCGATCTGGGCAAACTGGGAGCAGTGTGCAATGTTGTAGCACTAGGTAAGATGAGAAATTTCCCCATTTACTGATCGCATATACTAATCTTCATATCATCTGTTAGCTTGGAGCATACTTGCTGTTCCCCTATTCTGCATGCCCGCTTCAATTCCCGTCACTGCGGAAACCGTTAACTATGCTCCTGTGGTTTTCGTCGCCTTTATACTTATCGCCTCCGTTTGGTACTGGGTCTGGGGAAACAAAAAATACGTCGGGCCACCCACAGCCGATGATGCTGTGATTGACATTCGGTTTTCAAGCGAGTGATACATTTATTACCCAAAGTTTCTTCAAACTACAAGCCAAGAACATATGGCACTTTGAGAGAGCTTTTTTTGTAACATGAAGCTGTAATCCTCTAAAGAAATGATCTAAGCTACTAAATCTGTGTTATATCGCCCAAATGTAGCAGTTGACAACGCTCTGAAGTACTACTTTATTACTGTGAGTTATGTAAATTGCTGCCTGATCATATCTGTACAAATTTCCAATCCAGACCCTCGGTAGACGAAGGTTGTTGCAGTCGGAAATCGTTCACCTCAAAGTCAAGCTAGCTCCCCACAACAAAGCTGTGTCTCGATGAATTCAACCATTTGATCAAATCCCTGCGGCTCTTTGATCCAGTGTCCATTTGCCTCGGCACCACTATACCAATGCCATTCTGCCGACACCTCCAGATGCTGCAGAATTCTGGCTGCTTGACGACCTAACCGAATGGGCACTATCGGGTCGTCTCTCCCATGACTCAAGAGCACCGGTGTTGAGAAGATGGATATATCAGTAGACACATCAATTTGAGGGAGGCCAGGATCGTTGATAATGTCGCGGAACAATTTAGACATCTGTCGCTTGTTGTCAAGCTTACTAGGCTCGATCAAGGACTGGTTGCCGCTGCTTTGTTGCAACAATTCCATCGCCTGTTGGCGTCGTGCCAGGTCTTCTGCCTTGTGAGAAAAGGGAAGCCAGCCACAGAATCCAATCATCCCGCCCAGGGGTTGATTGATTTGTCCTACGGCACAAAAGAAGGTCCAGAGTATGGTTGCCATGCCTTGGCTGATCCCGCAGAGAAAGACACGGCTAGCGTCCCCATCAACTCGCTCGATCTCATCAGTCAGAATCTTCATAATATGAGAGACCGATTCCCTCAGCCCCTCCACAGATAGCTCCTCTTGCTCTTCAATGTTGTCTATAGACCATACATCGAACCAGGCTGATTCGTCTTCTTTGAACCTCGAGCTGTAGCGTGTCTTCGCAGTTGGAAAGACCCAGCGCCAGCTTGGCAGGCTGTCTGGTAGGTTTTTCAGATTCGAGGTCAAAGAACTAAACAGGTCTTCACAAAATTCTGGTCCGTTGCTTCCCCGGCCATGAAGGAAGATGGCTGTGTGGGTGTGCGCATCCCGTGGAGCATGGATGTGAGGCTCTGGGAACTTCATGGTTCCTGATTTGGAGGCTGTTGCACAGAGTTTCGAATGGGGAAATCCTCAGGCACGGTACATTAGGGGTTTCAGTGACCGAAGATAGAGGTTGCAAAGTAGAAGTTGACAGGTGTTGAGGGATGAAAATGGCGGGGCATCAGCCACAACGGGAAAACGGCACGGACTCATTTGGTTCGTGCACTTGTGCAACAACGCGCGCACGTAAATAGCATTCAATAATGATGTCTGATGTCTCAGATTTAGCCGCAAGGAGTCCGTCACAACTATACTCGGCTTGAGGAAGAATTAAAGAAACCAAAATAGGCGTACGAACAAAGTCGCGTCTGTTCTTTCAGTACGGAGGCCTATCATATGTACAAAGTCATGGAACAAACACAACAATTCATTCACACTTTATACAAAGTCGGGTCCACTCGAGATTTGCCGAACTGATGCAAGTGCAACAGCCTTACTGTCGGGAGAGCTGCGGCCTATGCATCTCACTTTTCTGGGCCCGGGACAGGTCCAAGAGAAAGAGTCATAGATTATTTGCCTGCTATAATTTGAAAAAAAAAAGGGAAATCCCATGGAGAAGAAACATGAAATAACCCTCTCAACGAAAATGTGGTATGGTTGAACTTGGTAGGGTTCGAGCACCCAGGGCTGGGATGCACGGCGACCTCATAAACATGCTTAGTCATGTGACGTCAAACGCGTTTGTTTACATTTGCGGATCTTCGCTTCCATCACGCATCGCCTCACCGACTCCCCTCCTCTCCACACTCCACCATCTTCAATTACCCTCGAACTACACGCTTCTCAAATTCATTACAACTCTTTCTAGTCTCCACAACATTATCAGTTCTAGTTATGGCGGTCCGCCGCTCCGCGCGCCTGCGCAGTGCTAGCGCCCAACCATCTCCCGGTCCCGAGGTCAGTGTGCCCTGGCAACGCCCGTCACTAGATGACTGCAAGACGTCACTGTAGTTATAGTGGATATGAGCTAACACGACACGAGGGATACAGACCCAGGAGCTGGCTTCTCAACCCGACATCAGATACAGACTTGCATCCGTCGAAGAACGCGACGAGACTCTGGGCAATGACCATCCATCCGTCCGCACCCCGGTCACCAAGAAGGGTCTCCAAAGAACACCCAACGCGCACTCACATCACAAAATGACTGATGCTAGAACACCAACTTCCTCGGCGGTTCGTCCATCTCACGAGGAAATGCATCCTAGCAAGGTACAGCAAAGCACGACCAAACGGGTCGACTCCGGATTGATCCTGGGCTTCAATCCCATTCAACGGGACGCCAACGGCAACATTCTCAAGAATGCCGCCATTCAAGACACCCCATCCAAGTCGAAGGCCTCCCCAGCGCCCACCCACTTTGGCACTCCGGGCTACGAGTTCAAACGCGGCGAAGAGTCTCAGCTCAGCGACGAAGCCAAACAATTGATGGACAATGTTCGCGGGGAAGTTGCACGAATCAAAGCACAGATGATTCTTGACAAGTCCAAGCAGAACCAGCAAGAACGTGAAGGTGACAACATGCACGGCGACCGAAAGATTGCAAAGCCCAAGGGCAAGGCTAGCCGCTTCAGTGACGTGCACATGGCCGAGTTCAAAAAGATGGACTCGATTGCGGGACATCCTTCTTCGTTCCGGCCTGCGCCAGGTCGCTTCCAGCCCGTGACAAAGTCGTTGAAGCGCACCAAGTCCAAGGCACAGCTTGACGAACCTGAGCCTCAGAACTCCTCCCCTTCGCGATCTCCCTTGAAGTCATCGACAGAAACCGTGCCTACTACCACAACCCCTACGGCCAAGCGCGCCAAGCCCAATCCAACAGCCAACACATCAGTGGTTCGCTCTCAGGTTGAAAAATTGGATGCTACAACACAAAAACCTGCTAGCCAGCGCCCTCGGCCAAGAATCACCGGCTCTCTCATGACCCCGACCCGAGCTTCGATGGCGCGTTCCGGCTCCGTCAGTATCAAGGCTCCAAAGACATCCTTGATTCCTTCCCTGGCACGATCTCCCTCCACCAAGGGTCTTGCTTCTCCCCGTACTCCGCGTACCGAATTCAACCCACGATTCAAGAGCAGTCTCCCCACACTGAGCCACCTCAAGTCCATTCTTCGCAAACGCCAGCCCTTGTTCTCCCGTGATCCCGCCAGGATCGCCGCCGGGACGCATGTGGCTGCTCCTGACTTTAATCCTGACTCGCTCTTTGGTACTCGAAATGAAATGGCTGATTCCGCACCAACTCCATCGCCAAAGAAGCACGTCGAATTTACTCCCAGTGTCAAGTCTCGTTATGAGCTGGCTCAAGCTTCGCCTTCCCGGTCCAAGATCCCGACCACTCCCTCTCGTTCTAACCTATCCGATATCGTCTACCCTACTCTCCCTACCCTCACTCCGGACCACAATGCTGCTTCCGCTGGCGTGACCGAGCCAGACTCGGTTGTGTCGCCCACAATTCGACACGTGCGCAAGTCGAATGTCGCTGAGGAGGGATCTGTGTACCCTGAACTTCCCGTTGTAGCTCATGGTATCGCGCATGGAATCGGCAACAAGAAGAGACATCGCGACGAAGTTGACGATGATGACTTGCCGGATGCCGAGAATGCCGAGAATGTTCCCCCAGCTGATTCGCTGGAGGATGGACGCAGCACTAAGAGGCTGAAGAAGTCGGTTCCGCCGACCCCAAGCCCTGTCAAATCCCGACCTATCAAGACCCCGGTTCGCTCGTCCTCGAATCGTATGGGTACTCCTACCAATGCGACTGCTAGTGCGAAGCAGAAGTCCCGCGGTGTCCTCAGTCTCAGCCGTCTGAACATGCTGGCCAAGCCTAAGGGACAAGCCTGAGCACTTCTGGCAAGGTCGGACAGGCGCCTGGTGCGTTGGTCCATGTTTTGAGATGTGGTATTCCTGAATGACCTTCAGTGAACAGAAGTATCCCGTTACTCTACTTCAATTCTGTCAATGTCATTTTTTTCCCAACCTTGACTTGCTCTCCTCCCGTCTTGTTGCGGGAGGGTCAAGTCAATGTTCTTTCTTGTTCTCTATCTACAAATTCTCTTGGCGCGCTCATCCTCACTTAATTCGTTCTACTCTCCATTTGGTCTGCTTCGTTCTCGGGGGGTTTCTGTGGGGAAAATTCGGCGTCTGGTACACATCTACAATTATTGTGTCGGGCAATATTGGTCGGGGCGCCATCATGGTGCCATTTCTATCGGAGTCCTTTTAATTGTCAAAGTATTTCTAGCCGTTGATATGTTCGTGTCTGTGTCTATTGCCTCTACAGCCTGTAAGAAATTGGACTCCCCTTTGCACAGCACAAAAATCCACTGTCCTATAGTGTATGTGTAAACGTAATTTCCGATGAACTTGAGAAGCTTTTTATACGTTATGTTAAGAATGGCGAGGTCCAGGAACTTCGTGGATTGACGGCGTTCAGGTCTTTCATGAGACAGGCCTATCTTGTCGTTCCCCAGTCTTACTCTACTACTATCTCCGGATTCCGAATGACACGCCCTCTTGATAGCAGCGAAGAACAAAGTACCTCCTGTAAGACTGGGCAAACGACCGCAAATCGGATTGAGATAAAGACGAAAGTGGGTGGGAATTCTGAATCGGCCAATTAATATCTATCTGGGGAGACAGACTGCGAGAGAACCTAATAGAGGGCCACCTTATCTATTTACATGCAAGATATCATTCGTCGTGGAGAGAGAAAAAGTCCAAAGGTTAGGATAGAAATACACGAAGGGTTTGAAGAAAGTCCACGTATCAGAAAGCATCAGATATCTGTGCGTAAAGCCAAAGTACCATCCCTAAATGAAGTGATGAAAAGAAAAAAACAAAAACTATTCGCTGATTGATGCACACAGGATTATTTTGGGGTAAGAAAGCAAGTGCGGAAAGGGAAAACTGTAGGACATGACGATCGTGGTAGAGGCTGGGGAAGGACCCGAGTGCTGGGTATCTTCGCCATCAAGGTCGAGTATGACTCGAGAATGCAGGCTGATGGAGTCGGAGGGTCAAGGGGTGGATCAATTTTTCATCGTAGCCAGGAATGAGTCCAGATTGTACTCTTCTTGGTATTGTCGGTCATCCCAGAGTTCGCCGAGATCGTCGAGCCAGCCCTTCTTGCCCTTCTCCTTGACTTCGCCATCGATGTCGACCATATCGACTTCGTTGCCGGCGGGCTCGACGGGTTTTTCGGCTGTTTCTGCCGTTTCGCCTAGACTGAAGAGATCCAGGAGTTGGTCTGTGTCCATAGTGCCGAGGCCGGCATTTTGTTGATTGACCACCGTGGAGGCGACGTCGATCTTGAAGCGTTGTAGGCTGTAAATGACATGCGAGTTAGTCATGGCAGTCGTGGTTGGCAAAAGAGAGGTTGGAACTTACTTCAAAATCTTCTCCTCCAAGGTACCCCTAGTGATCAGACGGTAGACGTTGACGACCTTCTTCTGGCCGATACGATGAGCGCGGTCCATGGCCTGGATATCCTTCTGCGGGTTCCAGTCATGCTCGACAAAGATGACAGTGTCAGCTCCCGTAAGGTTGAGACCCAGACCACCGACGCTGGTGGTCAACAGCAGAACATCGTAACTTGGATCGGTATTGAATCGGTTGACAATGTCCTGGCGCTTGGTAGCTTCGACACCACCGTCCAGACGAAGGTATTGGACAGACGGAAGCAATTTCTTGAGAACATCGTTTTGCACAATGTCAAGCATCTCCTTCATCTGACAGAAGACCAGGGCACGGTGCGGGCTGACATAGCTTGCACCGGTGTCCAACTCTCCCTCGGCCGAGTGATCGAGACCAATACCGCAGTCAACAAGCAAGTCGCGCAAAGCGGAGAGCTTGGGTGCGTGTGATACGTCTCGGATGTTGGACCGCTTGGCAGATAAGTAGGACTGGACCTCATTGTACTGCTTGTGGCCTTCCTTGACCACCAAGGCAGGTGAGTTGCACAGACGGCGCATATACTGCAGAGCCTGGAAGATGTGCTCCTTATCGGAACGCTCTGTGCTGCCAACCTTATCTTGAAGTTCCTTCTGTTCCTTTTTGGAGAAGTCTTCGAAGAGCTTCTTCTGCAGATCACTCGGGTCGCAGTAGTAGTTCTGAATGATCTTGGGTGGCAGGTCGTTCAGAACCTCTTCCTTGAGACGACGAAGCAAGAATGGCAGCACCTGCTTGTGTAGGGCTTCGATCGCCAGAGCGCCAGCCTCCTGTTCTTTGGACGAGGATTTGCTGAAGCGACTCGCCGCGATGGGCTTGGCAAATCGGTCTAGGAAGACCTTCTCGGTACCAAGGAAGCCAGGCATCAAGAAGTCGAACAGTGACCATAGCTCAAGCACGTTGTTCTGAATAGGTGTGCCGGAAAGAATCAAACGATGGTTGCTCATCAACTTCTTCACAGAAAGAGTAATCTTTGCCTTGGGATTCTTGATGAGATGGCCTTCGTCGAGGACACAGTAGTTCCAGTTGATAGCATTGAGCAGATCATTGTCATTACGGCAGACGTCATAGGATGTGACAACCACATCAGCCTCTGAAAGCATAGGCTGAAGTCTGGCACGCTCCGATGGGGGTCCGACATATGCGATGCAGTTCAGGAATGGTGCATACTGCTTCACTTCCTGTTGCCAGTGACCAGAGAGAGAGGGCGGGCAGACTATCAAACTCGGCAGCTTGCGAGCATCTGGGGCTTGGCTCTTGGCAAATTCCTCAGCTCGCATGTGGTGGTCACTTGCAACAATGCAAATGGTCTGGAGAGTCTTACCGAGACCCATGTCGTCGCAGAGAATGCCATGAAGGTTGTAACGATTGAGGAAAGCGAGCCAGTTGACACCGTCTTGTTGGTAAGATCGCAACTCAGCTTTGATGGCGACGGGAATCTGGAACGACTCTACCTTGCGCACATCCAGCATCTGAGACATGAACTTTCTTTCTCGGTCACGGCCCTTGAGCAACTCTTCGGACATGCCAGGGGGGTCAGGGATACCTGCCTCCAAAGGAACCAGCTTGACAAGTGTCGCGAAAGAGGTAGTAGCCAGCAGACGAGTGTCATTGTCAGAATCACTCATGCGACCGAGAACAGGCACAACAAGGAAAATCACATATGGCAAAATACCATCCTCCATGACATGAATCAGATGGTAAATGCACTCGATGGCACCTTGACGGTGATGGACATCCAGAGCGTTATTGATGGTGGGCAGTACCTTCTCGACCAGCATCGTCATACCATCAACAGTGATGACGCTGCAAATAGTCGCGAAGCACTTAGCAGCTGCATAGCGAACGACAGACAACCGGCACTGTAAAGCCTTGGCAATGAGCGGCATCAGACCAATAACCCAAGTGTAAAGACCAGGATCGAACTTTGGAAGAAGGGCGCGAAGCGTGGACAGTCCATCCACAACCTCCTGGCCGAGCTCGTTCTCGGGATTCGTGATAGTCTCGGGGAGTTCGCCTTCCAAAGCGTCCTTCAATGGCCGCTCAACAAGGGATGCCAGGTTGGGGATTTTCTCCATAAGCTGTGCGCCAAACATGATCGTCAATTGCTCGAGAGCATCCTTGGCACCCCGCCGCATAATGCGAGCCTCCTTAGCCTCTCGCTCAAACTTGGCAGCATCGGGGTGATCCCGACGGTCCTCTTCTTTGCGGAGTGACAAGATAGACTTCTCAAGTTGGGCGTTGTGTGGGAATTCGGGAGTTTCGGAGGTATCCACGCAGCAATACTTGACCAAGTTTCCGATAATCTTGTCCACCGGTCCACGCTTGGTTGCGGCCGTGTAGTGCTCTATCAAGCTTGCAACTGCAGTTGCAGATCGTTGTTGAAGTTCAACGTTCTCCTCCTTCTTGACGCTGTCCATCATACCCTTAATTATGTGGCCAGGTTTCTTGGGAATGTCGCGTAGGGCGACCAATGCGCCTGCTGCTGCTGCCAAGACCCGCATATCCCGTTGTTCTCTCATGGCCCGTGCCTCATCAACCGCATACTGCGCCGTAGTGCGAGTATCGGTCAAGACCTGGGTAGCTGTAATCCGCTGGGCTGGGGTGAGGTTCTTCTTCAATCGGTCAAAGTCCGGACCAATGATCTTGTCGGCATCAGCCAGAGAGAATGCATTGGGACCAGCTTCAGGATCGCCTTGGACAACAACGGCCAACGTTGGCAACCGGGAGGGTGGAACGTGAGCGTGGTCTCGGAAGGTATTCAGCAGCGAATGACATTGTGCGCGCGCAACATGGAGGTAGCATGAAATATCAGAGTACCAAGATGGGCGCTCGTCTTCGATGATGGGACGAAGTCGCTCACACAGAGACGCGGAATACTTGCTCTCGGGTCCAGAAATCCGGGCGTATTCCTCCACGACCATGGCAGACGCAAGTTGAGAAGTGGAGGCCGGGAGGCCAAAGCCATCCAGAATTGCTGGCCAGAATGAAGGAAGCTCATGCTTGTCCCAGAAGGAGAGCAGCTCGCCTAATGCCTTTGCTGCATAAATCTTGGATCTGAGCATAGTGTCTGCGCCAACGAGATCGATGTCACCAGACAGCATATGCCCATCCACATTGTGTGCTGACGGCGGAGGGGCTTCTTTCTTCTCGGACTTGCGCCTGCGGCCAGCTTTGGCCTCAGCGCCACCAGGGGTGGTGCTGGTCGGCGAGGAAGGTTTGGCAGGGAGAGGAGCAGCGATAGAGAAAGCCACTCCGGACGGTTTGATGAATAGAGAGGCGTTCATGGGGATGGGGTACCGCGGAACACCGAATGGTCCGAGTGTTAGGTTGACCAGTGGCTCAACAGAGCTGGAAAGCTCAGTAGCCTCTGCAAATGATCCTCGGAGTTCGATCGCTTTCAGTAGCTCCGACCAAACTTGCAGGGATAGTTTGAGAACACCCTCGTTGCGCTCCACGAGTAAGTTTTGGAAGATCAGCCGCAGCGCCTTGCCATCTACCCAATCCGTGCTCCCTTCTCCCTCGAGCTTCAGGAACGTCATAAGCGCGCGAAGTACGGCAGAACGGACACTCGTGATGGTGTGCCGCAGGAACGGGTACAGACGGGGGACCAGATTGCCAAAGGAAGCCTCCGGATTATCTGCTGCATTCGCCTTCATCGCATCCAATACCTGGGTAAAGGTACACAGCTTGGCTAGTAGATCCATGACAGACCCTGTACTGGCACTGAGATCGTCCTGTAGATTGGATAGGCATTCCCAGACGATGTTCATCAGAAGGCCAAGAGTGCCTGCACGGGATGTGACAAATTCTTCCGCGATTGGCACAAGTGTGGCGGCACTGACGGCACGCACGTCGTCGTCAAAGTCAGCCAGGCCTTTCATGACGGCTTCGAGAACGCCATCCATCAGCAATGGGTACTTGAGAAGCACGTCTTTGCGAATGGCAACCAGGTATCGTAAACCGATCATGCCACCATGGCAGACCTCCCATACGGGACGATCAAGATCCAAGTCTTTCTGCATGATGATACGGTATAGACACCTGTAGACGAGCCGAACAGACCTAGGCGACAGGTGGGATAGGAGGGCTCCAAGTGTCTGGCCCACGGTCTCGCGGATTGGAGCAACGACGTTATCTGAAATATAATCGCCGAACCGATCTAGGATGAGAACGCACACCAGACGACACGCAAGGTCATCTAACCATCGGCGGTTCAAGTCATCGTTTTCTTGACGAGTCTTGCCCTCCATCCGGCCGGCTCCTGCACCTTGCACCCTGACTACTTCTCGAAGAGCCATTGCCGCACCATGGCGCACCTCCCAGTTAGGATCAAAAATGTCCACGGAGAGGAATTCGCACATGCATTCCAGAGGCCACCCAGCGCCCTGGTCTACAAGGTCAGGCTGGATAATGGGCTTCTCCGGGGCAATAGGCCCTTTGAACTCTGAGACAATTTTAGAGTCGTCGTCACCGCCAGCAGAGCGATCCAATGAGAAGTAGTCGGGCTTGACTTCGCCATTTTGACCCTCGCCATTCTCTGTTTTGATGGGGTGGGGTGTCGCGATCGGAGTGGTAACATTTTCTGACGTCCTGCGTGAGGATGACAGATCTACCACGCGCACCTTGTTCGCTCCCAATTTGGCGCTGTGTTTATTTTTGCGTTTGAGTTGATTCAGCTGCCGCTTGCTCAAGCCCGACTCCTCTAGTTTGGAGGCCTCGTTGGGCGAAGATGGCCGGTGGGAAGCCGCATCCTGCAGACTGTTTTCGCGGGAGATTGGAAGGGCAGAAGTCGGGGCTTCTTTTTTGGGAGCTGGGGTGGCTGGCTTAGGCATGACAATGTCGCTCAGGTCAATGTCATCTTCCACGTACTCACCTTCCAGACCTAAGCGACCGTACAGGGACTTCTTTTGATGCTGAAGACGAGCTGCCGGGTCCAGGGCCGCGAGAGAGTACTCGTGCTCCTTGCCAGCACTGCCAAGTAGCCGTTTGCCATACTTCAAGACGGAGGCAATATCTAGCGTCTCGAGGTCAAGAAACGTTTCTGATGAGGATGGTGGCTCCTCCGCTTTGACTTCAGACTTGATCTCCACGTCGTCGTCATTGTCAGCTGCAGACTTGATCTGTAAGCCATCATCCTCATTTGGATCATAGACATCTGCGTTGGTGACGATCAGCCCAATAGCCCGGGCGGCCGCAGTTCGAGTATCCCAGGACTTGGAGCGAAGATATGGCAGAATACGGCCCAGGAGATTGAACAGCTCATCTGGATGTTGTTTTTGGACATCCGCAAGTTGTTGAGCAGCGGTATTTCGAATCAATTGAGTGCTGCCAGTTTCAAGTAATCTAAACGGTGATTGGTTAGTAAGGGGAAGCTGACGTGATGATCGCCTTGACCATCATGTGATCAGGGTAAATGATACTCACGTGACCAGGCGGTCGAGTCTGTGATCGGATTAGTATCAGGTGACTGACGCGTCATGATTGGATAAGGGCACTTACCGGGAAGTCATGGCGGCCCGTCACTCTGAGACCGAGTGACCAGCACCACCCGAATTAAATAGTAGAATGTCGAACAATAAAAAAGAGTCAAGTGAGAGAACGCGTCGAGTCGCGTATCACGGTGATGGTAGGCAAGCACGGTGAACCAATAGAAAATCAGAATAACGCCCAACACCACCAATGGCCCCGGGGGCTGAGTCAGCAGGGAGGATTAGATTCAGTACACAAGAGGAGATTCGAGGTCACGCAGCTGGGTTTATATCATTGGGGGGCTTCTGCTCGGCGCGCCGGTCCATGTTTGGGTGTGCGGCACTAGGCTTAATCGGGACTAGCCGTGGTTGGGCCTCCACTCTCAGGTTTTTCTGGTCACGTGCACCGCGCGTTTAATGATCGGCTTTAGGTTTGCAGCTGCAGACACGAAGCAACCCCCCCGGAGCCATCGATTGGATCCAAAGAGTTTGTCCTCCTAAGGGAGCTTTTTCAAGCGCTCTGAGGCTGTCCAGAGACCCTTTCAGATGCAATGTCGATCAATCTTCCGACGATTACCTAACTTGTAGTTCCGCCAGTCCTTGACAATGCCAAGACATGCCAGATGGCCTCATGGGACTCTAAGATTCCTACGGTGATCGGAAAGGATCTCCCGAGTATGTTTGTAATATAGCGACCATAGTTACAATCTATTTATTTTGTAGTATGATAGATCGAAATTTGTGACTCTTTTGCCTTAGACATGTCCATAATTGCAAATCGGCGGGAGCTAGTAGCATATCCACACCTCGATATATATACATCGGGGGATGATGCACGGTGATTCATCTAAGCTCCCTGTTAACAATATGTTTTAGTGATGAGGCATCATGAGCTCGATGGGCGGAACCCTAATAGGCTATACGAGGTTTCAACGATCACCTACGAAGAACCCTTTCCACTGCCAGAAGCTGCTATGAATCATAGTTCCATATGCTTAGGAACCGAGGCTCTGCGCTTCGTACAATGATATATGCTCAACTTCAGCTGATATTTACTAGATTCAAGCGTTCTACAACAATATCATCGTACAGGTTTGCGACCTCATAATATCGGAGCTAAAGTACGGTAGTCGTATCCCAAGACTATGTCATCGGCCGTCACAGGCGATTGGAGCAATTGGGGCCATGCCCAATCAGCCGCAAGCTCCAATGAACACCTTAGAAGCTCACCACACCACACACTGTCATAGAAAACCGGAGTATCATTTCAAACAAAAGACCAAATGGTCGCAAAATTGAGCGTTTCTATACAGTCACAGGCCCCCGGAATTTGGCACCGGCGAGCAGAAACAAGGATCACACGCATCCAAAAAAAGAAAGAACCATCGCGCCCTGGATTTGCTCATCTCTCTCTTATGATTGCTGTGCCGCAAGCACAGCCTTTGCCTCTTCTTCCTTTCCAAGTAGACCCAGGCTCCGGATTTGCTCGGCCTTGGGTGCGTTCTCGCGGGGGTGGGCAGCCTCGGCCTTGCGGTAAGCGGCCTGCATCTTCATGGTGCGGAGAGCCTGTTTGCAGGAGGATATAATTAGCCGTGCTCTCTGGCTCCTCTAATTATAACTCTCTCGATCAACAATGTCCCAAACGTACCTCTTTCCGGTGGTGGAGGCACTCGTAGTAATCTTCCAGAGCCGGGGTGCACTTCTTCTTGCCGGACTCGCCCTCGCCGGAGTTCACGACGTAGCACCCGAGAACCTCTTGCCAGAAGGGGTAGCAGCGGGAGGGACCTAGAGAGAGACGAAGCAGAGTCAGTTGGGGAACAATTCATGGGAGAGAGGAGGGTCTTCGCAAGGTGTGACCCGGCAAGCCACCAGCCGCGGACCGGCCACACCCTCTCGAGAGGGGTCTGAAGAGCACATACCGCCAGTGAGACCGTGTCCGGAAGCCATTGTCGTGATAGGATGAAGGAACTGGCAGCGTTGGTAGGCGGAGAGGCAGCAAGAAGGTGGTGAGGTCGGTGGTGGATGCGACGCTTTCCCTTTCGTTTCCGACATGGCCCGTGCGCCCCGCCGTATGCAACTTGCGGGTTGACGTCGCTAGTATAAGGACAACTCATCCTCCTGTATTTCCCCCGCACGATCGCTATGGCTCCTCTGGAAGGGCTAACGGATGCTCGTGCGATTCTTCTCGCTACGCATTATTGCACCGCTGGTGATGTGACCGATTTACCTGCTCTTCAGGCACACTACCCTCATTGTTTTCCACTGGAACGCCTCCTACGCATCATCTTGACCTACCTCCCCGAGAGCACAGAACCGTCTGCATATGTCCCAGTCCTTCAGCAGCTGACTGAGACTTCTCCATTGGGGTTTGGTGATCGTGATATTGACATATCGGCTGTTAAAGACTTGTCCGAAGCAGCGGCGCGGAAACGTGTCCGGAAGCTTCGTCTACGACCGTTGAAGCGCGAGGACGAGGAGGAAGAAGTCGAGTCTGCGGACCTCTTAACTCAGTTTCTCATCCATCGAGCATACTTGATTGATACCGAAACCGCCCTACAACCCCTCATTTTGGGCCTTCTCCTTCCCTTTTACGAACAGCGCCCCGTCATTCGAACATGGTTGATCTCAAGCCTACTACCAGCTCTCCGACTCAATTACGAATACTATCCCAATCGCGAGGAGACGATATCACTGGAGACTCTAGAGTCGATGGATGATCAGACCGCGATCAACATCCTGCTATCGATAACTGGCGCCGAGGGTAATAACATGGATTTGGTCAATAACCTGAGAGGTCTAATTGGCCCATGGCTATATGGCGGCAATCGAGCAAAGAGGCGGAGATTGAACGAAAGTGCGCATCAGAATTCGATATCCTTCGTACAAGGGACGGCAAAACCTCCACCTACTGAACTGGCCGGATGGGAATATGTGAACGAGTGGCTATTATCCCGAAGCCTGGTTGATCGCAGCAGTGTTGTCGGAGCTTTTACCAACTGGAACGGCCCGGGAGATATTGATTTAGGAGGCTATAACGATGAGGGAAGTCATATTTCGCCCGAAAAGATGAAAGAATTGCTGAATCGGTACGGCCAGTCTGGATTGTCTGTGGTCTATGCCCATGCAGATTCATCGCAAGCCGCATTGGATGGATCATTCCAGGTTGTGGCACGGGTTGCAAGGCTACTTGAGCTGGAAGAATTCTCATATTTGAACTCTTCCGACTCGGCGCTTCCATCCGTGGACTATGATACAGAGCAAATTTCTTCGACGTCAAGGGCCTCACTGTTACAGAACGGCCTCCTGGCACATGCAAACGCTCTGACAAATCCATCGCCATCCTCGATCTCTTTCCTCAGTGCATTGCTCCTTTCCCTACGCATTCTGACACAGCTTGGCCATATACTTCCGTGCCGCGCTGCGGCCAACATTTGTCTGCATAGCAATGAGGAGATGCAATTAGCGGAGCTGAAGAGTGTGGTATCGTCGGCTGTAAAACAGCAACGTTCGAGACAAAATTGGGAATTGGTTCGACTGCAGCTACTGTGGCTTCGGGATTGGCAAGCCGAGCATTCTGACAATGGATGGGATGAGCCATCTACCCACCATGGACTGTTCTGGAGAATCTCGCGCGACACAGTTGAGACGGAGATTTTAAAGGCTCTCCTCAGCGCCCGAGGTAGGCATCCCCCGACGATCATCATACCTTTTTATGATCGTTACTGATATCTTTCAGAATACCAATTGGCTGTGGATCTATACACTCAGCCTGAGTCATCGCTTAGCACTACGCAGGTAGAAGCAGCTGTGGTGGAAGCCATCTTTGCAGCCTACGATAATGCAAGTAACGGCAACCGAACTCGCGGCGGGATGAAGAAAGCCTATGGCATGTAAGTCTGCCCTGAGAAAGTGGGGATCCGCCGACAGTGATATCTAATTGTCTTTAGTCTGCAAGCATTCCAACCGCATTTCCAGATATCAATCCAGCTCAAGCAGATCAACTCTCTCATCGCCGCAACACACGCCTTGTCTTTCTACTCCTTGACTCTGCAACACGGTGTCCCATTCGAACCAGTCAGCATTCGAGTCCACCACGATCCCCTCTCTTTGGTCGAAAAAGTTCTCGATCAAAACGCGAAGAGCTACACCAAACTGGACGACCTTCTCTCCATCGGCCGTAACTTAGTCAAAGCCGGTCTCCCCACCCACCTATCATCAAGCGAACACGAAAGCCATACCTCCCAAGAGCAGCTTTCAGAGGAAGATGCACTCGTCACCGCCGAACGACGCATCACCTCTCTCGCCATCTCCTCCGCCCTAACCTCAAACGACTTCGGCACAGCCTACTCCTACATCCTCACCCGCCTACCACCACCCTCCATGCTCCCAACCTCCTCCTCACTCCTCACCACCACCGTCCCAGACGACATCTCCTGGCGCGCCGTCTACAACGCAGGCCGCTACCGCTCTGCCTCCCCCAACACCTCCGCCACCCTCCAATCCCAAATCACCCACCTCTCCCAAAGAATGGAACTTCTCTCCCTCGCCCTAACCCTCGTCCCATCCCCAGACCCCCTCCCCGAAATCCTCGGTGCCTGGCGCCGCTGCGACGAGGAAATGTCCTCGCTCCGCGCGCGCGAGCAACAAGAAGAGGACGTCTGGGATGCAAAGGGCGACAGTCTCTCCACCGTCCCCGGTGGATTCGGCCCTACAGATTCCGAGCGCGACGCTTTTGATACAGCGCAGCAGCGTGCGGCCAGACGAGCGCGCGCTCGCGCTGCGATGCCGCATTCTCATCCGCACGAGGCGCCCATGGGTCTATTTGAGGTTGCCCGTGGCGCGGCGATCGCGTTGCATAAGAATGCTTTCCCGTTGCGGGGTGCTGCGGATGCGTCTCGGATCCCTGCTGGTGCTGGTGCTGCTGGGTCTGGGGATGCGGAGAGGTCTTTCTCGCCTGATCAGGGCGAGGGCCGGGTGCGGAAGAGAGATATGGTTAGTAATATGGTGACGGGTGGGTTGGCGAGTGGTATTGGATGGGTTCTTGGTGCTGAGCCGGTGAACCGGTAGAGATGTGATCAGTGAGTGAGTGAGTGAGTGATTCGATCAACTTTATCTATTCCCTGTATGTAGCTGTATTATGAGAAGCTATGAATATGATTAGCGAGAATTATCGGTGTTGAAACTTCAATATCGAGGTTACTCTTGATGCTATCTTAGCGCTTATTTTATGGCCACCCGATCATGGTGGCGTGCTTCTTGTCCGGATTGGTCCAAGCCACTTTTCAAGCACGGCCAAGTATGAGACACTTCAAAACTGCGATGGTATTAGGTACCTAAATATGTGCCGGATGCTGTAGTCTCCAATGCATTGCATACATCCCACTGCTACCACCAAGTCCAAAGCAGCATCAAGTTCCCCGTAACCTAAATAACGGGAGACGGCTATACACCAAGAAAGTAACAATAGAAGATGACGATCGATATGTCCAGGCTCAAAATGTGACACTGAGATGAGTAAACCAAAAAAAGAGTAGACAAGGAAGGAAATAACGCAAAATAGCGCGGGCCAATAAAATGAAAGATATGCGAGAATGACGTGCGGGATATCAGGCCGTGAAAAGGATCGTATAGGTAAGTGCGTAGCCGAGTCAAAGTCGTAGTCGCTGACAGATGAAAAGCAAATGACAGGGTATGATGAGAGCAGAAGGATGTCGCGTTCTACCGAGTGCCCGCCCAGGAGGAACAAAAACAGACATCATGACAAGATGGTAGCACCAATGATAGAGTCAATGGGGAGAAACACAACGAAGTGAAGCAATGGATGATCGGTGGTGGTCGTGTTTTGAGTCGTGTTGACAGCCAGGTCAATCCTTGGAGGTCCAGCCACTCAGACTCAAAATGGGAGCCCCGGAGGAGAGGACGACAGGAAGGAAGAAAGGAACAAACTTCGGAGGTGATGGTTGGTGGATGGCTTTTTTTTCTCTTCTTCATATCTCCTTTAATCTTTCCAGTCCCACACCTGCCTCACGAAGTTTGCCATGTTGACCTTCTTGTTCTTCATGTCCAGGACCCAAGGATGTTCCAGCATCCGCCAGGGTGTCGCGCGTCGAGGAGGTTCTTTCTCAAGACTGTTGCAAAAGATGTTAGAACGAAATGAGCAAGGTTTCAAAATAATCCAAAACATACCAGCATTCAATGAAGTACTTGAAATTATCCGACCAGCGAATATTGTTCTGCGGCTCGTCCTTGAGTTTGGGGATCGGCTGTCGCACGATGTATGTGAGGAGATCGATGAGACCGGCGCGAGGTTGCATCTCTGTCCCGTCCGCAGGGAAGGGGAATCGGTGTTGTGCAACTTCCAGAAGGGTCACGCCCAAGGACCAAACATCAGACGTGATTGTGTAAGATTGACCAGTGATACGTTCTGGAGCCATATAGTATGAAGTGCCGATAAAGGTGTTCGCATCACCCTTGGTGCCGAACTCGCCACTGACACCGAAATCGCAGAGCTTGACTTGGCCATCACGGCACAAGAGAATGTTGGAAGGCTTGATATCTGTAGAATCGGTTAGACATTTGATTGGGGCCAGATTGGTGGTGATAATGCTGACCTCGGTGGATAATCTTCCTGCCATGCAGGTAGGTCAATCCGTTGAGCACGCCCTCTGCAACCTTGCCAAGGACCTTCTCTCCAGTTCGTCCTCCGAGCTTCTTGACCTCCTTGTAGATACTGTCGAGACTGCCACCTTCACAGAACTCCATGGCAATCGAAATGGTGCCCGTGGACTTGTCCATGAAGGCACCATAGTAGCGGCAAATATGATCCGATGCACAGTCCTTGTTGAAGTTGAGTTCGCGAACAATTTGCTTCTTGACGTCGGGATTAGGGTCTGTAGTGATGATCTATCGGTTGGAAACAAGATTAGCCATATTTCAATGACGGAATACCGAGATGACACGGAGCAACCCACCTTCAATGCGAATACCGTTTTCCCATCCTTCAATTTGCATCGCGTGACAGCACCGCCGGCACCTTCACCCAAGCTTCCTAGCTCGACAATCTTTTTTTGTTCGCTCGCAGCATGCCAGCCCTCATCGTCCAAGTCTTCCACATCCAGAGGCCGGCCCTTTTCCAAACTCAACTTATCTAGGTCTGGTAGCAAGCCGTTCACACTGTTCTCACGTTCCATCTGTACACCTCCATCGCGATCCGAGTATACCGAACTGATAGCCGAGGAGGGGTCAGAGTTACCGCCTGCGGGTTGGCGGAGACCCATGGCGAACGAGAGCGCAGAGTATGAAGAATTCGCCGACGTCGGGCCGCTGCCTTTGCTCTCCAGACCATTCTGTCCGTTCAAGTTTGTGGCCAGCGGTGGTGGGGCTGGCCTACCATTTGGCTTGAGAGATGATTCCTGCGGGACACTCTGGCTACTACCCATAGGAGTAGCTAGTTGTAGCCGCGGTAGGGCTGGCCGGGAGACAGGCTGTGGCAGTTGCAGTTTCGGGGCATCATTTCCAGCGGCGGCGATGGGAGCAGGCCCAGTGCCATTGACAGGTTTGGCGTTGGGCGACGGCGGGATGCCTAAAGTGAGTCTTGGAGCTCGAGGACTGCCGGTGTTGCTGCGGTTGCCAGGGACCGGCGGGCGGAGGAGCGGAACGGAGGGAGTCGACATAGCGAGATTGTTCTGCCTATCGCCGGGCAAGAACAGCTCGTTGGGATCAGCCAAGGTAGCCACAGTGTCGTTGGAAATGGTCTACCGTGGGCGACCGAGAGGGGTGGGGAGCGAGTATTGATTGGAGTAGCTGGATTGAATCGGGTGAATATCGGTAAAACCAACCCCGAAACGAGTGGAAGGGGGAGGGGATTAGGAGAGGAAGAGGAAGGGAAGGATAAAATAGGCGGTGATAAACGATGGGGGGAGGGGGGTTAGGAGTGTTGGTTGGTGATTGAAGGAAGAGGAGGAGGAGGTGGTGGTGATGAGGAGGAGCAAGAGGAGCAGGTGACCGCGGAGAAAAGCACTATGGTTCCACCTGCCAACCGTTGAAGAAATCTCGACTAAGTTGATGATGTTTCTCTACCGTCAACTTGCTCAAACTACGATGGAGCCAAGAAACTTATCACCATCATCGTCATGAAATAATATTAATAGACAGCGACACAGCCGCCGGGAGTGGGACAGGACGTGAGCGAGGGAGATCGGGGCCAACAGACGGTGGTGGTGGTGGGGCTGTTTCGGAAGGCGCCTCAGCTGAAACACGGCGATCGCATTTGCCTTGTAACTGGGAAGGAATCTGGACTCGATGAGAGATGCGAGCATGTTGTCTTTTTACATGGTAAGTGATGGCTGTGGCCAGAATGGTGACAGGAACAACTGCTTGCTCTCGAGGTTTAACCTACTGACAGCCGACTGTCTACAAGGATTCATCAAAGAACTTCGATGAAAAAAGACCCCCAAATTCACTGCGATTGAATTTGAATTCTCACCTTGTTCCATGGTTCCGGCCCTGATTCTTTGACCCTCTTCCGAGCACATCGAGGTACAGTTACATGTGCGCATATATGCGCACAGAGGGACATGCAGCTTTCAACATGCGAATCATTCCTTCTAGGCCTTCTTCGCCTTCTCTTCTACGCCCAAGTCGTCTCTATGGCTCCTCGTCCTAGCCATCATGACAGCCATTTTGGGCACTCGTACTTCGTTCTTCTCTCATCAACGTCGAATTTGTTGTTGCCTTGGAGCCGCAAATTCCCTTGTCCGAGACTCCACCACATCCTGCTTCGCCAACCACCGGCCACCTCAGGATTGGTGGCGCCCGTCGACATCATTGCCAACTCACAAGTCACTGGTTTTTGTACTCAAGGTGCTGGGCCATTTCCCAATCCCCACTCGGTGCCGTTGGTACCATTCTGCCCTACCAACGTCTCTGTAGTAAGTGTACTGCCTCTATGGGTCTCTGCTAAAAGCACCGCTGTAGGCAGAAAACCTCTTTATTTGAGCTCTGCTGGTTGCCTCTCAGCTTGAGAGTTGACGGGGGCTGGAATACATGCAATCCGATCATCCGTCTGGTGTTGAGTGACACCTACAGCTCAAGAGTACGTGTGACTGTACCAGCACAAGTCCGGTACGGCTACTGGAGTATGATCTATCAGAAACTGCCATGCACTTACTACTCTCGTCACTATCCCTTGGGGGAGGCGTTGATGCAGTCAATGCCTGACAAAGTGCTCCCTTCAAGATCATCGATGTGACGTCCGATGTCATCATGCGACCCAGTGGAAAGCTGAATCGAATTATGCCTTACGTTTCTTAGTTTCCGAGATGCTTTGACGTGGCTAATACCCAAGCTCCTGTGTCAAAATCACAAGCCTCATTTTCTTTGAGATCATTAGCATGACAGCTAATGATGAGGGGCATATTATCGACTGCCCCGCCAAGGTTTCAAATCAGGGCCGGAAGAATTCTGACACAGCTTCCGATAATCAGCCAAGCACATGCATCCATTTAGCATGTCAAGCTATCAAGCCCCTTCATATTACGAGATGACCCACAATCGGCTTCCCGAGTGTAAAGCCACAGCCACAGTTTGACTCTGGAGAGACTTCACTGCTAACAATAGCATGTCCGCAGCCACAATAGTTCTGGCCGACCCTTGCAGAATATGAAGATACCCACTTAGGGATATCATTGTTGATGTCATCTTATCGGCGCTTTGTGTCTGTGTTTCTACCTTGATTTCATTAACACATGGATCGTCACTTTTCAACAAGTCCTGCAAGGCAAATTAGTGCCAGACGATTCTGATCTTGGCCGTCCAAAAGCAGCCATGTCATATCAAGCTGGTCACGGTTCCAGCAGGCGCTTCAACTCTGCTGCTCACAACAGCATGTCACTCGGACTCTCAGACTCGAGGTTCACCAGTCACAAGCCCATGGCTGCGACGAACAGAACGTATTCTGTATATTGCATGCCGAAGTCTTAGAATTTCAAAACGGACGGCACTAATGGGAATCTGTTGGAAATTGTGGGTGGTGTGGACTTGGTCATTACCCTACAGATGTGCCACCATTGGTTTGTGATACCCAGATGAATCTGTGAACACGATCCAATACGTTGTCGGTGATTGTCTGTAGCTGATGAGCAGGATGATCTGGTAGGGTCACGGCCTTGCTCATCGACTCGAAGGGTTGAGCAGGGACACGCACTTGGCTGCGCCCGTCTCGAAGAATCCGAGACTTGTTGGAAGAGTGAACCTGCAACAAGGCCTGGGCTACTTCCAGACGATCAACACGACGACCTGCCGGTTATACACCCATATAGCGGCAGAGATACGTGATTAAGGAGTTGATGTGAGAGAAAAACATCATTTGGAGTGCCTCGGCACCCTCGATCGGTACTCCTGACTATCAAGGACATGCTCGCGCTACCCCCTTTCCCTTCATACTCTCTGTCCCGAAGTCAAACAATCTCAAAGAACACAAAGCGCCGTTCGCGCTACAATCAGGGATGGACTCAGGGAGGGACTTCGATCGCCCAGATCCCCTGTCACCTACTATGATTAATTATCTCACGAACGATACCCCTGATCGATAACCTCCCAAAAAAACAGGACAGTCTAAACATAGACCGAGGAAGACAAAAATAACGATCCGAAAGATAACACTGGGGTAAAAAGCATGGTTAAAAAAGCGATCTAAGATACTGTAGCATGCATCGAGACCCGCCATTTTGATAGGAAAAAAGGGGGAGCAGACGCAACAAGATGCCACCAAATTCGATAGTTCGGCAATGTGGAGTTCTCAACCACCACGAGGCACGAGGGCCATCGGGACTTGTTGCTGGCAGTTGAAAGAGTTCGTGCTTTTCTTTTTCCTCAGGGAGTTGATACAAGCTAAACAGCTACAGTAAGATTTCGATTGAGAGCTTTGCTGCGTCGCGCAAGCCCAGTCTGTGGGTTTGTGAAACTGAACTCTGCTCTCCCTCCCCCTATCGTGGAGCCTTGAGCCAGCCAGGACATATACCATTCTGGCACGGCCATTGGTCAAACCGGCAAAGAAAGGTCACCAGGTACCAGTTCCAGAAAGTATCTAGCGGCCTTTCACAGCCACCGACAAAGTAACATCCATGGTCGAGACTCGAAAAGTAGTGGTCCCCCCGGATATTTGATCAACATCTAACTGCGCACAGATACTCCTAACTAGTTCCTGCGCTGAGACCAACATCATTCTACTGGCCCTCAGTGATTTGTATACGGAGTATGTTTGTATTTCAGGGCCCAAATTTACATGTAAACAAACTGTAAAGCGTGCATCTACACATGAACAACGCCCGGCCGGATCTCTGAACCCTACTCCGTACAGTGAACAGGATTGGCAACATGCACGAAGTCAGGGACCAGGCACCAGAGATCCAGACCCCCGTCATCACGCCCGCCCCTTTCCCCTGATCCACGCGCCGGAGGTAATGTATCTTGCAAGAGCCGGGCACGATGACAGAAGGATCCAACCACAAGCCTAATCCTGCCCAGGCCTGGCGCGCTGTTCCCGTCCTTAGTGGCTTGGAAATACATCCGAGTAAGCACCGTCAAGCACTTTGACAAGAGGTGGTGATTACAGTGAGAGTGAGAGCTAGCGCCTCCCGCTGCGGGTGCAGTCGCATTGGCAACGGCAATTGGAAGGTTCCAGTTAAGCTAATGATAGAGTCGTGCCTGGAACGGGAATTGGTCCTGTGTTGATTTGGTTGATGTGGTTCGCTTACAGTCGAATCAGACGTTGGGTTTGCGGTTCTACAAGGGGAGTGTCGGGGTGTAATCTCCCGGCGGCGAATGATGAGTGAGATATCTTTCTCGCTCATACTACCGCATGTCTATGGCTTATGCAGTACATGCTACTATAGTGTAGAATACCGAATCTAATAAGAGTGCTTCACGCTTGATTGGTTGATTCAATATCAGGCTGGCGAACGACGGATTTCCAGAATACACTTACTCCTTTCAATCTATCAGGGCGGAGTCAATCGAGATGCTCAATGAATCCTTTCAGAGTCGGAGATGTAACTTGACCATCTATGTACTTAGACGGGATAGTACTCGGATGGATGGAGCATCCAGCACAGCATACTGTAGCAAACCTCAGCAGCCAAGACAAAGAATAATGAATAATCGGGGGTTCAGGGGGCCTGGATCCACTCCAATGAACAAGACCTCTTGGAGAAATGTTATCATTTCTCGGCAAGAGACTAGAATAGAACAAGACTAAGGAGGGCCTCGAAATTACTCTAGAACATGGGTCTAGGAAAGGAAGGTCATCCAGCAATCGCGATTCGCTCCCCCCACGGTACCATATCACCTGGGGAAACATAAGAAAACATGGTACTTACTGCAATCAGCAGTTCAGTACGGAATATAAGGAGCCTCGGATGCGTGGGATTGAAGATCTGGGACGTGAACCTGAACCTTGGGACTTGGGACTGCCGGGAGTTTGTCAGTGAAAGTAAACATAAAGATGAACCATGATGAACGTCCAGAGTAAGGATTTGCAGTCATCGTCATCGAGAGCGGTCCGAATGGAGTATGTATACGGAGTACAAACATAGATATTATTACCGTTTGTACTCTGTCAAGCACGAAAGTACCGGAGTTGTTCTCACCCTTGCAACTGCGTTGTTTACGGTGATGGACCCGTGCCCAGTGGGAAATCAATCCATGGACGGTTCAGGGGTAAAGTGGAGCGCTTTGCCACTCAGGAAGACCATCGTGAGTGGCTACAGCGCGGGGGGCGGCACCAGGAACGGGCAGTGGATCAACGGTGGATTGGTGGATTGGTGGACGGACGATGGGGGACGCGGGCTGAAACCCGCTAAATGATCATGTTCATTTCTTCGAGTCGAAGATGCAATTTGCAGGCTCAAATAAGGGTCTTCTTTTCTTGTGTTGATAATTGTATGTGTTGTGCATAGGTTATAAAATGGAAATTGGGGTCTCGGAAATAAAATGAGAGGAAAAAGTGGACGTGTGTGGCGGTCTGGAATATACAAACAATACAGTCAGTAATACACTACTCTAGTACTGTAATAGTACATCCAATGTATGTGTATCCAACTCAAGTCACGTTGACCTTTCTCTCACTACTGAAGTAAGGCGGTGGAAATCAAACTGTCGGTCTCACTCGGTTTCGCAACCTCATCGCCGACTCCACCGTCCTCCACTGTCATCCACCACCACCGAATTGCACCAGTGATGCTCCATCTTCTCATCGAACTAACCCCTCGATCGGCATCACCTCAACGCTAATGTTGCTAGTGGCTCCCAAAATTACCATATCCTAGTCGTTACGGCGAAACGGCTCATCCCACGCGCCTCACTGCACCAATCAGCCATCCCCCTGGTCTGGTGGCTCTGGGGTCCAGCCATCAGGGCTGTGCGTGCAACCCAGTGGAAATTCAGGTACGGATGGAGAGAAAGTTCAAGTCGTGCTGCAGGTACCACGATGCTTTGCGTTGCTACAGGTACCGACGACTTGAACGCCACAGAGTGTACACCGCAATCTACAATGTACTCGGTACCCCTCCATCGCAGCAGGCCGCTAGCCCACCCGGGATGACGACTCCGCATGTCTATCAACATCCCAGTTCCAATTCAGACACACTGGGCCTTCCCCTTTTTTTTTAGGGGCGAGAGTTGCTGGCCCCGCCGATCAACCAGCCTAATCTCCCGCGTTCATACAAAGGGCCCCTGGCTCCCCCGTGCTGGCCTGCTTCCTTTTCTCTTTCTTTCTTCAAGTCCATACTTCGTTGCCATCGCATCAGTCACTCTCTCGACCTTCGGTCATCCACTCTTTACCAACTACTACACTCTTTCCAAAAAGCTACGCTTTTTATCAACGCCTTTTTAAATCACCTTAACGGATTTATCTTCCATTTCAAACCCAACAATTCAAAATGCGTTTCGCCGCTGTTACCGTTGCCCTTTTCGCCGGCCTGGCTGCCGCCCTCCCCAACGGCGCTGAGTCCACCGTCTACCAGACCGAGGAGGTCACCATCACCTCGTGCGCTCCTACCGTCACCAACTGCCCTGGCCGTGCCACCGAGACTGGCGCCAGCTCTGCTCCCGTTGTCACCCCCTCCGTTCCCGCTGGCGGTGTCTCCCCCGTCGGCAGCTCCTCCGTCTCCAGCGCTCCCGTCCCCGTTGCTACCACCTCGGTTGCTCCCGCCCCCGCTGGTCCCTCCGTGACTGTCGTCCCCGTTGTCCACACCACCTGCCAGGCTGTGACCTCCTGGTCGACCATCGCTGTCCCCACCGCCTCCTCCCCCGTTGGCGGCTCCAGCGGCCCCTCTCACGTCCCCTCCAGCGTCGCTGCCCACAGGTAAGATCTAGTCCTCCTACCTACATTCTGATATCAACATTGCTAAAAATGTATCAACAGCTCCGCCACCGCCAAGCCCTCCTCCACCCCCGCCTTCAACGGTGCCGGTGCTCTGTCTGGCTCCCTCGGCTTCGCCGGTGCTGCCGCCGTCGCTGCCTTCTTCCTGGCATAAATGACTCCTTCCGTCATGGACGGCTTCATGTGAAGCCATTCCCTAGCGGAATGGTTCAACATGTAGTTGTCTCAGCGTAGGAATCGGTACGGGACAAACGGAGAAAGACGTTCTTGTGATATAAACCCTGGGTTTTTGGTGACTTTTTTATACCTGACTCAATATTGTTACTTGCTTCTGATTGGATATGCTTATCCCTTTTTATTCCTTTCTTGCTCTTCTTGATATACATATTTCTTCTTGGGCTTCCCTGGATAGCTTCGGAGTTGTGTGGAAGCGCTTGGCGGCTTGAGCACGACCTTAATGTAAACCATGACAGCTTTCACCATGATTCCCTTGCTTTCCAGATCCCGTAAGCCCCCTCCTTTTTTCGTGAATGTATCAACATCACTTGACTATCTATTTTCATTTTTTAATCTTAGATGTCGTGAATGCATTGGTTAATACAGACTAATCAAGTTTCCAAGTTTTACTGTAAGAACTTTCTACTCCGCACTGTCATGTTAGCCGGGGGTTATACCTTCACAAGGCCATATCTGGCTTCAGCAAATGTGCTGAGTCCCGGAGAGTTACAGTATTGGCAGATCATATCTAGTTATAGTTATGTTGATAACCCTATTTTCGATCAAAGCTTAGGATCAGCGACCCCCAATGCTAGGTAGAGGCCTGTGTGTTGTCCTCGTGTCCAATTTTCGTGTCACACAGGGTCCATTGAGATGGGTTCTGTGATCATGTGGCCAGATAGACGAATGAACCGTCAACCTAGTTCACGGTCTGTGACCTCTCACCGCTGCAAATCGTCTCCAACGCTATCTACATCTGACATTAACAATTCACAATCTGAATAGTGCAGAATAGGCTGTGTATGAGACTAGGCATTCGCATTAGGCGTGTCACTGGCATCTCCCTACAATATTCCTGGTGTCTCTCCCAGAAATATACTTGTACCACACGATTATCCTCCTTGGCAACCTTGGAAGTCATTATTCGTAGTGGGGTATTAAAAAGTCAAGAAAAATCAAAGCACGGCTCGTGTAATTGCGATCTGTCACAACAAATCAAATCGAGGGCTCTACAATACTCATCTTCCAAGTCGTTGGCTCGATTCAGGTCCGGTATCTTGGGAGGCATCACTCATGCCTATACCCGGGTCGGTCAGGTACCACACTACCTTATTTCGAGTTCGTTGAAATCTTCCGCACCCTCGAACTTTGTAACAACGAATCATGCAAACAGCATCTTTGAATTTATGCGTGGCCATGTGAAAGACTTCCCTGATTGTGTTCCGTCCCACGTCCGAGCCCCCAAAAGCTTACTGCAAGGACGCCTGGCCCCATTGGCCTCCCAAAAATAGGCGGTCCACCCGTGATTTCAGAGGCGGACCGCGCTTCAAACAACCAAACGGGACGAACTCGTACAATTCCAGACTAAACTAGTCAAAGACAATGCTTGATGTATGAAACAAAGACCGTGGCCTTGGGCACCATCAACTGCACCCCGCTCGAGGGGTCTTGGCCCTGCGAGGGTGGGAGGAATCCCGCTGGCAAGGCTGTGGTGTCCCCCGTTTAGTCTGCCTCGTGAGGAGGGGCGGCCCCTCTATATCGAACAGGATCCTGAGTGCCAATGAATAACACCCCTACAAACTTGAAACTTGAAGCAACATGACCTTTTTTTCAAGGCAGGGATTGCAGTACTGACTCTATTGATGAACAAGGCTTAGATTTCAAGTGGCATCGCGGATAGTCGGCAGAGACAATATTCGATCTTTGGCAGGCCTTGTGTGGCAGTGAAGCCAACACTATTCCGGCCCCAACAAAGGATTCGCACCCTGCTATCAGCATGGAGCAGAATCTCTATAATCAAACAAGAGGGGGTTATAAGGCGACCCGAGTGCCCTCGCAAGAGTGATGGGCCTTTTGAACGCCTTGCAACTATCTCTACTCCGTTCTACGCACTAACTCGGTCGTCACCCGAGGGGTGGGAAACGAATTGACCCCGTCGACAGTTTATAGTGGACATCACTCGCTCACGTTTCAAAAGCACAACATACGACATAAACGAGACTCGTGCTTGGCAAAGGACCCTTTGATCGACGATTTCCGAAGTGGCTTTCTTTCGTGAATGCCGGACCCCGTTCAAGACCTTGATCTTCGGTTTCGGATACGAGCTCTCCACGACGATCCACTATTTACGTCTATCCAAGCGCACGCCATTCGTGTTCAAAGATAGAAATCCCGATAGTATATAAAGTCTGGCAGCTTTGGCCCCCATCCGATGTCCCGCGAGATGCTGTTTTGCTCTCTTTTTAAGAGATCGCAGCTCGCATCGTCTCGCCAGCGCCGGCGCGACTCGAAATTGCCTCTCATGGATCTCTCATCGCTTGAGGGACCTCCCCTCGCTGATCCTGATCCGAGGGTTATCGTTCCTGTTGATAATATATTCCCTCGTATTCAGCAGGAACCCCCAACACCGGAAAGTCCGAGTCATTATCACAGGTATCACAACCTCTATACAAAACCATTACCACCTCGACCTGCCTCGGCCGACCCTCTGGACCTGCGACAATTACGAAACCCAGTATCAAATAACCGTATGACTAGCTCTCACACCGATCCGTCCCTGAGTGACAGCCATCTGCGACGCATGCCAGCACAAAGAGGCCGGAGGAGCTATTCCAATGAGTTGCGGCCGGGCGACGGCATCGCCGCCGCAGACCCAGTACGAGATGCCCGTTCCCGATCACCTCCCGTGAATCCATATCTAAATACTGAGTTCCGAGTGCCCAGACGGCCTCGAAGTGCGCCTCTCGTCTGGTCTGAAGAGGAGGAGCTGTGGGTAGTCACTGAGGGCTCTGCATCGTCACAGCGGCCTCCCACCCGGCATAGTCGGCCACCCCGACTCGAAACTCATTTGAGTGAGCCGTCTCTGCGCAGTGAGGATCCTGTTGATGAGGACTTGGATCATGATGCACTCTCGCCGCCGCCTTCGTATGATAGTCATGGCTTCAGTCATACTCACGTGGTTCGACAGCAACGTGGAGGGGCCGAGTCACGATGGGGCGCCGTTGCGCGACGTTTGCATGATTTGTCGAATGGGTGAGCACATGACACATATTAAGGGCTGTCTTTCTCCCTCCTTCGATGGAAATTACCATGAACAAGTTGGAGTTTCTGGTAGAAGAGGATGATCGGGAGACCGAACTATAGAATCCAGTGTCCCGGCGCCCAGGTTAGGAGGGTTAAAGGAGTCACGGCACTAGATTGACGGCTACGTCGAGGTCAACCATCTACCAAGCACTTTATATCCTACCTTGTTTAAGTGGATATCCAGTCAATGTCATTGATAGATACAAAAAAGTACGAAAGTCATGCCTAGGAGCTGAGGCACCGAATTGGATACACTGATACCCCCGAGATCGGAAATCGCATGCATCGGTTCAACCGGTTTTGATTTTTTTTTTTTTTTTTGGCTTGTCTCTACGGAGACTATGGAGATCCTTCCTTCCTGCATTTCCGTCAATATGAACCCACCCAGTTCCATTCTCTTGGGATGTAGGGAATATGAGATCATTGCTACTGTTTTGGTTTAAAACACCTGACTCAACGAGCTCATCTGGTCTCAAATCCCGGAGTAGACATTTCTATAGTAAACGCGCCACATTCGCTACCTCAATCAATAGGATTTCGTAATGATCGTCCACCCATCTCCTGCTCTCTCTCTCAGTCTCAGTTTCAGCATCTCCTCTGTGATAACAACCCCTCTTCCTGCAGGGAGCTGGTCCCAGCGCTGGCGTGTGGCCTTGGAGCAAACTGCAGGATCCACCGCTCCACCTCCAGTCCTCTGACCTGTCGGATGCTGTGGTGGCTGCCAGCACAATCACGTCGTGAGGGCTGTCCCAGACGAATGAATCCACGAAAAGAACCAAGCGATGGTCAATCCTGGAGCGCGTATACCAGCAGAGAAGAAAGAAGCTTCTCGAATTCCCCCAGCCATTGTACTTTACGGTGCCGTCATGACTGGCAGGAATGAGTTGGAGCTCCACGTCTCCAGTTCTCTTGCGCGCTAACACAGACCAGCAGCTCTCCAGCCTCTGGAATAATTTTTTTTCTCGTGTCCCGCCAGTAGCCAAAAGAAATGGACGGAAGGATATGGGATGGGGTGGAAATGTAGATATTGTACTACGTATATAATCTGGTCCAAAGTACGGGGCCGGGGGATCATTCCCCCCTCCTCTTTCTCTCTGTTGATATCTTCTCGAGAGGGACATACGTAACTCCTAGTATATACTGGAATTGTGTTGTTCTCGGTATATTGTTCTGGTCGGCTGTACTTGTCACCAAGTCTACATTAGCATCTTCCGCCCCTGACAGGCGTCGACTAATGACCGATAACCTCTGGAATTGATGACCTGATCAATGGCTGAAAGGACCTGACCTTTTTTTTTTGTTTTTATTTTCACGGTCGACGTTTCTCTACTTCTCTCTATCTCTTTTCTTTTCTCCATCTTTCAGACTTCATCTCCTCGACCCTCTCTATAGCCCTTCGAGTCGAATTTCCCCCAAAATTCCAGATCCGAACCGTGGTTGAGTCCCATCCCGATTTCCGCGTTTCTACCGCCTTCGTCGTCCTTCGATCCCCTCCAGAAAGAAGAAAAAAAAAAGAGGGCAACCCACTAATGGTCCAACTCGCCCACATCTTCAAAAAGGATAAGGACAAGGACCGGGAGAAAGATAAACCAGAGAAACTAGATTCCTCTGCCTCCTCCACAAGACCACCACCACCTTCCACCGCTTACGATCTCCCCGACCCTCCTCCCCTCTCCCCGCGACCTTCTTTCTCCAAGTCTCCCACCAAATCCAAGTCGCCTTCTAAATCTCCCTCCAAGTCCCCCTCCAAGTCCCCGACCAAGTCCGCTTCACCGACCAAGAATCGATTCTCCCATAGTCGCTCTTCCTCTTCTACTTCCACCCAAAACGCCCCCTCCTTCAAATTCACCCGGTCTTCACGAGACCAGGACCTTCACCCGCTTAATCTTCCCCCCGACGAGCTACGCCGTCGACTCTCGGCCATGGCCGCGTCTCGAGATGACCAGCGGAGCTCGATGGACATCGATCCGCAAGAGCCTCAAGTGAAGCAGAATGGTACCAATGGTACCGAGGAGCGCAGTCCGACTCCCCCGCCGCACAAGTCCTCCGGCTCGACCGATGAGGCTGATTCGTTCAAGTTGGCGGGTAACAAATTCTTCAAGGATGGCGATTACCGCCGCGCCATCGAGGAATACAACAAGGGTATGCATTTCATCTGAATTTTCTACCATTCGGTCGTCTTGATATAGATGGGCGCTTTTTATTTTTTTGCAAGCATACGTGGCTGAGACTTTCTGTCGTCATCTCTAGCAATCGAGATCAACCCGAACTCGTCGGCCTACCTGTCCAACCGGGCGGCTGCACACATGTCCGCGAGGTCATACCTGAATGCGCTCGAGGATATCGAGCGGGCTCACGACCTCGACCCCACCAACACAAAGATCATGCACCGCATGGCCAAGATTCTGACCAACCTGGGTCGGCCAGCGGAGGCTCTGAGCGTCCTCTCCCGTATCCCCGATGCGAGCGCTACCGACCGGGCCCCCGCAGAGAAGATGCAGAAGTTCATTGCACAGGCTGAGGAGACACTGGCGGAGGACCGCGGTGGATCGATGGCCATCTTCTGTCTGGACCAGGCCCGTCAAGGCCTGGGTCAGGGTGTGAAGGAACCACGCAAGTGGACCCTGCTGACCGCCGAGGCGCAATTGAAGATGAACAACAGCAACTCTCTGGGCAAGGCCCAGGATCTTGCTATCACCCTGCTCCGCGACAACAGCCAGGACCCGGATGCAATGATGATCCGTGCCCGCGCCTACTATGCCTCCGGCGAGACTGAGCAAGCGCAGAAGCTGCTGAAGATGTGCCTCGGGCTGGACCCGGATATGAAGCAGGCCATCAAGCTGCTGCGCATTGTGCAGAAGCTGAGCCGTACCAAGGAGGAGGGTAATGCCGCCTTCAAGGCCAAGGATTACCGCCGCGCGATCGATCTCTATGCTCAGGCCCTCGAGGTCGACCCCACCAACAAGGATATGAATGCCAAGATCCTGCAGAACCGGGCTCAGGCTTATATCAACCTCAAGGAGTATGACTCCGCGATCGAGGACTGCACTGAGGCCCTTCGCTTGGATCCCGGTTACGTCAAGGCGATGAAGGTGCGTGCCAAGGCGTACGGCGGTGCCGAGCGGTGGGAGGATGCCATTCGCGAGTATAAGAGTGTTGCGGAGAACAACCCCGGCGAGAAGGGTATCCAGGAGGATATCCGCCGGGCCGAGTTCGAGCTGAAGAAGGCTCAGCGCAAGGACTACTACAAGATTCTGGGAGTTGGCAAGGATGCGTCCGATAACGAGATCAAAAAGGCCTATCGCAAGATGGCTATCCAATACCACCCCGACAAGAACCGGGATGGTGAGCACGGCGATGAGAAGTTCAAGGAGATCGGCGAGGCCTACGAGACTCTGATCGACCCTCAGTAAGTTTTGCTTATCTACACTGCGGTGCCCTCTATTCGATGGACCCATTTTAACCAAGTTGTCTCTTTTAGGAAGCGTGCTGCGTACGATAATGGCGACGACTTGATAGACCCGTCCGACATGTTCGGCGGCGGCGGTTTCGGCGGCATGGGCGGTATGCATGGTATGCATGGTATGGGCGGTATGGGCGGCATGAACGGCTCGCACATCAACATCGACCCCAACATCCTGTTCAACATGATGAACGGCGGCGGCGGTGGTGGTGGTTTCGCCTCTGCCGGCGGCCATCCCTTCGGCGGCCAGGCCCGTGGTGGTGCCGGAGGATTCCCCGGCGGGTTCCATTTCTAGACGAGCCGACCTCCCTCCATCATCACCCTCTCCACCTTCTCTACGCCCCAACCTACCACGCCGACCGGACCGGGGAGCACAAGACAGCAGCTAGTGCCGCAGGCCGAGTCCGAGTCCCCTGATTCCCGAGTCTCGACCCTCGGAGCATGCCAGCTGCTCGATGAGCTTCCAACCCCGGGCCCGGGAATACCCTGGCGACTCGACTCATCCGAGGCATGGCCCTAGCTCCGAACGACGAAATTTAGAACGCTATCAGAGGTTTCTCTTCTCAACACTGCACGTAGACGACATGATCGAATTTCAAAAGGCGTTTTTGTGTTCCTCCTTGACTTGACTCTCTCATCTTCATCTCATCTATTGTCGTGACCCAGCGGTGTTGTGTCTTGTTTTATCTTTCATGTCTCTTGTTCTCTTGTTCTCCTGCCCTACGCATACCATATTACCATACTTTCTCACGGAAGCAACATGATTCCCATACGATAGACCTCTGTTTTCTCATTTTATCTCACCTTTTCCTTACTTCTATTTCACTTCAACGTCTCTTCTCTTTTCTCCTTGTTTGGTTTCATTTTTTCTTTTCCATTTCCATGTTGATGTTTAAGATTCGGGCCTAGTTGAGTACGCTCTACCTGGATTGGCTACTCTTGTATTCGAGTGCTGTTGCGAATGATGCATGGAACCTGGTGGTGATTGTGTTGTGGTAGTCGGATATCTTATCTTGCATTGGCCAGATGGATGGAATTTGAAGATTCCTTTGCGTATGGCTGTGGGTTTACATCAGATATCATTCATGGCGTTATCTCTTTTCGAAAACTTCTTAAGGCTGTTCTGTTGAGTTGTGATTTTTGGTTCAACATTAAAGATGAAGTCACATTTCTTCCACCAATGTTGGGGTCTACCCTAAATAAGTCAAGTCTACGCATGTTGCTTCCCTCTTTAGAGGGTGTGTAGGAGGACAAATGCATGGATGATTAGTTCATCTTGATTTGAGTATCCGCATTCTAGACATTCTTTAGAGCTATACAATAAGGATTCCTTCAGAGTCACAGTCCTAGCAGAGCACAGCTACCGATACAATATGATCTAGAATCTCCTCTACGAGAATCACTGGCCACGGATTCAACAGTATCTACTACCTATGAAAGATATCTAAGTAAACATTTACTTCTACACACCTACTAAAGGGAGCCAAGTTCACAAGTCAAATTCAAAAATCATTCATACTATATACGTCTCCATATATACCTAACATCCACATGCAGAAATCAACTATACTATACTTCAACCATAACAAATAGCAATCAAATAACAAAACAGGCAAATATGTCGGGGGGATATCTCGAAACTATATGGTGGTTTGGGGGCATGACAACAAGCGAATGAATGTACTGTAGAGAAAGAGTAAGAGTATGCAGCAAACTCCGCCGCTAATGAGAGATGAAACGAAGGCAAGAAGGCGATGGTCGAGAAAGCAGCAAATGGAATGAGAACATTGCAGGCGGGGAAGGAGGCGGATAATGAAGATCGCATCCAGGTAACAGGCTTTGATGCACTCAACTCAGCGAGTACACAAGTATGAGCGCACGCTGTTGGAAGTTGACCACGGATATCTTCAAGTATAGCCCAAGTTACTGAGAATAGTTTTGCAGTCAGGAGCCGGCAGGGCAGCCACACCCAAGGCACGAACGAGCGCGCCACCACGAATCCGCTGAAGACCAATAGCAACCTTCCAAGCCTCAGTATCCTGCAAGACAAAAACGTATCGCTTGCCCTCTTGATCCCGCAAGCTAGCACGGAGAACATGCAAACCACCAGCACTCGGCGAGGCTAGGCGGCAAGTATTCTTGCAGACCTTGAGAAGATTGGCAGAGAACGCATCCGATTCCTCGTTGGTGGGCACTGAGTGTGCGGCGCCGCTTCGACGGAAGGAGAATGGATTGGTGGAGGGTTGTTGCTTTGGGCCCTGGGGTGTCCCCATTTGGGGACACCAGACCTCGGTCAATTTCAGGGTCCAGGCTTTGACGTCCCATTCTCGTTGCCCGACTCCACGGAGGTCGTCGTCGACGAAGAGGCCTTCCGTAGTGATTCGCAGTACGAGTCCGTCGGTGACCATGCCCTGCCCAGAGACTAGCTGGGCCACGGGTGTTTTCATGAATGCGTTGGTGAACTGGTATACACCCAGGATCACGATCTTGTCTGGATCCTTGGTGGAATAAGTGCCCCGATGCGATGGAGGAGGTGTAGTTCGCGCTGTCGATTGAGATGGAGCGTAGGAAGACTCGGAGTATGCGGATGACCCAGATGCTTGCCCGTACGGTCGTCGCGGACGGTCGTAGGGCCGAAAGGAATACGCATCGTCCTCGATTGTTGTTTTGGCTGTGGGAAAGGGTGGTTTCTTAGGCGAGGGAGTTCGAGGTGTGCCGGTTGCGCTTCCAGCCTTGGGTGGTGCCTCTTTCTCTTTCTTGCTCTCCTGAGCCTTCTTCTCAGCGTATCGCTTGGCTGCCGCTTCCTTGAGTGCAGCAAACTTGGCCATGGCCTCCTTCTGCGCCGCGGCTTTTTCGGCTGCTGCTTTCTCTGCAGCTTCCTTCGCAGCTTTCTCCTTGGCTTCTGCTTCACGTCGCTCGGCTTCCGCTTTGGCTTCTGCGGCGGCCTTTTCTAGCTTTGCGCGAGTTTCCGCAGCTTCCTTCTCAGCGCGTTCCCGAGCCTCTCTGGCTTCTTTCTCTGCCTTTTCGCGGGCTTCTCTCTCTGCTTTCTCCCTAGCAGCGGCCATCTCGCGCTCGAGCTGTTCCCGGCGCTCTTTCAACTCCTTTTCCATCGCTTCTCGTTCCCGTTTTCTCTCCTTTTCTTTTGCTTCAGCCTCCCGCTTGCGTCGGAACTCTTCCATCTTGCGTTTCAGCTCCTCCTTGCGCTTCGTCTCTTCTCGCGCCTTTTCCCATTCATCACCGTTTGGGCCATGATTGTTGTTGTCAGGCTTGGGAGGAGTTCCAGAGTCTGGTCCTGGACCATGTTCCTGTCGAGCATACTGGTTGCCTCGATAATTTCCTCCTTGCTGGCGTTGTTGCTGTTGTTGATGTTGTTGCTGACCCGATCCACCGTTACCTCCACGTTGGTGCTGCTGCTGCTGCCTAGGCCCATTGCCATAGTTGCCTCCAGAAGATTGGCCCTGGGAATTCTGTCCATCAGAGCCTCCACCGAAAGACCCAAAGCCACCAAAGCCACCACCGAACCGCTTGCCGCCGTTGCCGCTGTTGCTGTTATTCTGGGACATGCCAAAAGCCCAGCCAGCCACTCCAACTCCAAGCGCAACCACTACCATGCCAATATTGTTATTGCTGCCCACAGCCATCGTGGCCATAATGTACCAGGTCTTGACGTACGGCGCGATCATAGACCAGATGCAGACCACCAACAGGGTACTTGCGACACCTGCGATGAAGCTGTTTTGGTGGCATTGCAAGGATGGGAGATAGAGGAAGCCGGAGCCGGCGGAGTGAGGTGGAACGATGAAGATATCGTAGTTGCCCGGCGGCATGTCGGAGGCCTTGCGGTATTCGCCCTCGGTGGTATTCGGGTTTTCGCCATGAGGCGGCGGCGGTGGTGGTCCATCATCCATTGCGACTGTCGGTCGTGGATCAAATTCTGGGAACCGTTGGGATGCGACCGATTTAATTGTCGGCTCAATCGATTGTGATCTCAATATATATCCTGGGCGTAGCCAGTATCCAGACTGGTCCTCCTAATGCCTCGATGCGATGCGATGATCTGACCAGACTCTTAGTCGGATCGGTTTTCGGCGTGAATGCAAATCGATAGCCAGGTCATGTTCGTTGAGGTGGAAGATCTGCACTGAGGCCCGAGGCCACTCAGTGCTCGGGAAGCCGGTTCGATGGCAAGGATTTATTCAACAAATAATATATAGCCGGTAATGGAACCACCTGTTTCCAGCGCCGAACAGGAGGGGAGAACCAAAGAATTGGGGCGAGGCAGCGGAGAAGTGAAGAAGGTTGCTACGGGGGTCCGGGTGGGTTGTTTAGGGAGAAGTGGGAGCCGCTAACGATCGGCGGCTCCATGCAGTGAAGACGTGGCCATCACACACAGCAAAACAAACGGAACAAATGATTCCCCCCGCCTCCTGGCGGCTATCAACGATCAAATTCTTCGGGAGAGAATCTGATCTGTTTAGCAATGTGGAATTCCTTGGGGTAGCCACGCGATCGAAGGCCTTGTTATCAGTGGATGAACTAGTGGTACAGCATCGAGGGATGCCAGGATGGACTATCTACAGCTGGTCCTTGCTTAAGTCTAGACCGCATTGTTGAATGTGGGAATCTGAGAAGGGGGATTACGGGCCTAAAAAGCATCGTGAAGAGCACTAAACGTTGTCTTTATTTGATGCTCGTCCTATGCAAAGCCAGATATTGACTTGGTATACTTGTTAGTGAGAGCCAACAAAAGTATTTGTTTTGGTTTTGCCCTTTTGGGAAAGTGCCGCTTACGTCATGACGCTTTTGCCGCCTGCCCTGATGGCTGTGGCAGCCTCAGGCAAGAACTTCTCTGTTGCTGGGCACATCGACAACAACCAAGACAAACGAACAGCGACAAGGGAAACAAATGGGCAGATGAGAGGATCAAGATCTGCCTCCTGCAGAACGACTGATTTTCTATGGTCAATATCAGACCTCATTGCAATCTCCCGCTTCTTAGGTTGCTTATGTATCATCAAACCCGTGCTCGACCCAGCAAGATTCCCAGACCCTGTAATGACCTGCACCTGCAAAGCCAAGAAGTATCGTATCTAAGGGTATGTTACCGAGGGGAATGGCAAAGAAACGGGTCGATATTGCGGTCAAGCTGTTGGGGAAATTTAGTTCGACCGCAGTGGGTCCGTCGTGATTCTCAAGGAGTCGAGAGGTCAACAGTAAAACCCGGCGGAGTATATCCGTCATCGTCGGGGATGGTGGAGGAAGAATCACGTCTGATGCGAAGCAGAGTGACCAACGTGACCAAATCAGACACGAAGTGATACTGAAAACATCTGTTTCCAAATCAGTAGCCGAAGTAGACCTCATGGTTGGGTATACGGAGCATCTATTGTAAGATGCGATCCCATGATCGGAGCAGGCGATGCGGGACCCTGATCAAGCCCAGACGGCAGACAAAAGCCATGGTCCACAGTATAGGATCACATTTCAGCCGTCACCGCTGTCTGTAGATAAAAGGAAAATCTCTTCCACCAGATGGGTAAACGAGAAATGAGTGCATGGCGAAAGTAAGTGTTATAGAAATATCGAGGCTCTCAAGTCCGCCGCCCAGAAAGCCAAAGCAGCACAAGGAACGTGACCCGCTGCCGATGATTGGATGTTCGTCCCCTCGAGATCCCATCGCTCTATCTCGCTGTCTTCTTACTGGGATCGCCCATCTCTTTAGCGGACTTGGATTTAACTAAGTTTCTCACCTCGTTACTTCGCTTACCTCTTGTGGTAGTCAGGTACTACCCCCTCAGTCTTCAATTAACTCGCCCTCCCCGCCAACCTGTCCTCTTGGCCCCATTCCCAGGCGTCCATAACCTCCTCCGTTCTCCATTCTCCTATGCCGCGTCGATAGCCTCCAAGGCCCCGAATACCCTCCTCTACCTCCCTCTTTCCCCTCCTCTCTCAACCCACTCTGCCCTGCCAGGGCAGTCCATACCGCCATGTCTGCCTACGCATCTCCTACCCACGCCCAACAGGGCCACGCTGCGGCTGCGGTCCCGCGACAATTCCCCGCGTTCAACCCGGTCGCCGTTGTGACCGCACCGGCGGGCACCTTTCTCCCCGGGACCAAGGTTCAGGTGGGCAGTCATCGCGTGGTGGTGGAAAAGTACCTGTCCGAGGGTGGTTTCGCTCATGTTTACGTGGTGCGGCTGCCACAGCCGGTCAATGGCACGGAGACGGCTGTGCTGAAGCGGGTTGCCGTTCCCGACAAGTCGGCTCTGGCCAGCATGCGCACCGAGGTAGAGACCATGAAGAAGCTAAAGGGACACCGGCATATTGTCAGATATATCGATTCGCATGCCTCGCAGTTACAAGGAGGCGGATACGAGGTCTTCCTCCTCATGGAGTATTGCGGGGGCGGTGGTTTGATTGACTTTATGAACACGCGACTTCAAAATCGGTTGACGGAGCCCGAGATTGTCAAGATCTTCTCGGACGTGGCCGAGGGAGTGGCTTGCATGCACTACCTTAAGCCGCCATTGCTGCACCGAGATCTCAAGGTGGAGAACGTTTTGATCTCGCGCTCCCAGGGTTCGACCATCTATAAGCTGTGCGACTTTGGATCCTCGGCACCTCCCCGTCCGGCTGCTACATCAGCTGCCGAGGGGCGCTTGATTGAGGATGACGTGCAGCGCCACACGACAATGCAGTACCGCAGCCCGGAAATGATCGATGTTTACCGGAAGCAACCAATTGACGAGAAGAGTGACATTTGGGCGCTTGGCGTGTTCTTGTACAAATTATGTTACTATACGACACCTTTTGAAGAGGTTGGGCAGATGGCTATCCTTAACGCTAGTTACAAATTCCCCGCATACCCTCAGTTCTCGGATCGGTTGAAGATGTTGATCGGTAAGATTTCGGATCGCGGAGGGCTTGTTCGTGCGAAGAACATCATGACTGACTGGAATTCTGGAACAGCGATTATGCTCAAGGAGAATCCGCAAAAGCGTCCGAATATATACGAAGTGGTCAAGGAGGTTTGCGACATGCAAAAGAAGGAAGTGCCAATTCGCGATGTTCGTTCCTCCGACCCTCAATTAGCTGGACCGAATATACTGATCACTCCGCATTTAGATCTACTCCAATCGGTCAGTCTCCGAAGCGCGCCGAAATCAGGAACTACCTCCTACGCCAACAGAAGCACCTGCAGTGGGCGCCACATTCTCGCCTCCCATGCAGGAGACTGAGATCATTCCCGAGATTGCGCCCATGCGAAGAGGCCGGCCCGGGAAACCTCAATCATCTGCACACAGCTCTGCCAAACCAAGTCCTTCCCCATACCGCGGTGGTTCCAAGACCTCATCCCACGACCCCTTTGCGGCACTGGATGGAAATGCCAAGAAGAGTGCGGATGAACTGTCAAATCGATTCCCAACGCTGGACCAGTTTGATATCCTGCACGAGAAGGGAGACAAGTTCGAGTTTGAGCCAACCGTGAAGGAGGCCAAATCAGAGGACGAGGACCTTTCACAGAGACTCACAAATGCGTTGGCTGATGATGCTTTTGCACGAAGGGCCTCTCCAGAGCGACAAGCGCCTTCTGCAGATCGGCGATCGCAGATCTCGCCAGTGCGGCCACAGAAGCCTCAAGAAGTGTCGAATCGACAACAAGCTCCTTTATACCAGCCGACTCCTAAGCGGCCTGGAATGGTCTCTACAGGCACGATGACATCTCCCTCTCAAACACCCCGTCTGCAAGAGCCGAAGATCTCCAGCCGACCCATCTACCGCTTCCCTGCCCCAGAGAATGAGCGAAGACCCTCCAGCCAGCCCTGGACAGAAGACGAGCAGAAAGCCTCCGGATACAAGGCTCCTTCACCACCATCAGCCAATCTTAGGCCGGAGGCCAGCCCCCGGCTATCTTCTGAACGGTTATCCACCCACTCTAATTCCGCACGCCCCTCCATGGAGACTCTGCGACGACCATCCGGTTTGGAAGCGACTGATCCAGTGGGTCGGTCCAAGTCTGCTATCGCGAAGGCACGCCCTGTCTCGGTTCAAGCTTCATCCCGCTATGACCTCCCGCGTGACACGGAGACGTCACGTTCCTCTTTGGACCTCCCACACATGCAATACGAAGGTGGTGCTCCTCTCCGACCCGTCCGCACCGAGATTGACCGGGAATATGAGCGAGCTAACATCTCCTCGGACGTGGACTATCTACGAGCCAAGGAAGAGGAGGAAAGCAACCGCAAGCGCGAGAAACGGTCCAGCAGTGGTGCTAAGCATGCCAAGCGAGGAAGCTTATCTTCTTTATCACTCTCTGGAAGCAAGACATTATTCGCTGGTCGTTTTGGCGAAGCATTCCGCCGATTCGAAAGCACAAACCAGGACAAGCCCTCCACCCCGACAGCGGAAGAATATCCTCAGCACCACAAGGCTCTGATCGGCGATTCAGAGGCTTTGGACTCGCCGCCAAATGAGGGACTGTCGTCATATGAAGACGATGTATTGGAAGATGTGGACCGCGATGATATCTCCCCGGAAATGCGACGCGAGCTCGAGCGCCGCCGGCTCTCTCAGGAAGAGAAACGTGTTGCCAATGCTGCAGCAGAGTATAGGCGCCGGGTCGCCGAAGGCGATGGAAGCGGACAGCATCGATCTCGAGCCATTCTGAACCGGGTGCAAAATTTCATTGGCGAGTCCAACAAGCCCCAGGTGGCTCCTAAGACTGCAACCGGGTATGGGAAGTACACGGACGCCGGGGCTTTGCAGGCAAAGCCAGGCAATGACAATCAAGCTCCACCCTCGAGCGCTCTCCCCGTCTCTCGTACCCCCGGCCCTATTTACGGTGCCCGCGAAGGGACCATGGCCCCGCGGGACCGTCGCGAAGGTGCTAGTGCCCCTGCAGGTTTGACACAATCTGCCACCGCCACTGCCAACTCTGCTGGATACTCGTCCGTTCGTCCCCCGTCACGACCGACAGCCCCCCCAAAGCCAAAGAACCTGCGTGTAGGCGGACAGGACTCGTCCCGACCCAGCACAAGCCAAGATCGCAGCCCCTCCGTTCAAGCGACACCAACGAGTCCCGGAGGAGAAGACTGGGAAGCGAACTTTAGCCGACGATTCCCTAGCTTGTCTGGCCTAGAGATGGAGACGGAGATTGAGGTCCCGAAATACCCCAAGCTTAGAACCCGGGAGGTTTAGAACTTGGAAGAGTGTATGTTCCTGGATGTTGATAGTGATAGATGTGACTTTTTCTTTGGTTTGATGTGTCGCTGTTCTTTAGCGTGTTTCTCCCAGGTCGGGTTGTTTGCCGTGGGGAGTGTATGATGTTTTGTTGAGGTGATGCATATAGACAGAAGTGACATACAATTCATTCGAGCAGAGCTCTTTTTTCAGGTATTCTGTAGGTCTATCTGAGGGCAAAGGAAACAGACGTGTTAAGGTTGATCTTGACAAGCTAGGAGACTAATCTATCCAATTCATGTTCAAATCCAGAACATTTAGGATCTCAACCCGGCAGTTCCTAACCAGCTTCAGGGACAGGGATACCTCGATCGCCAGTAAAATTGTTTCAACGCTTTCATAATATAAAACCAAGGCCACTGGTCTGTGTGGCCGTCAGTCACTCCAAATATTCTCTCGTTGGAGATGTAATGACGAATTTTGGCTTTTAGCTGGGAGTACTGGTAACCTCGAGCCCTAATGGTTTGTAACGAGAGCTCGACTAGCTCATAATGGAATCTCGCGTTGAGTTCTGACGCGTATTCGAGGTGCCCAGCGATCAGGTCGTGGATCTCCACTGGGAGAGATAGGAGATGATGCATCGTTTAGAATCTGGTCACTGCGAAACGAAAGAGCTTGAAATTGTTCTCTGAAGGTTTTGCTGGTCGCCACTTTGTGAATGATATCGCACGAACTTGCCCTGGGATAGCGAAGGCGCATAACCTTGCTGCCACCAGGCATTAAAGAAACGCGCAGTCAGTGACACGTGACACTTTTATACATATCTGCTTTTCATATGAATCTAATCCTTTAGTTACTAAAGTAAAGGGGGTTCAGAGGGAGCAAAGCCCTGAGGCTTCTGTGATAATCCCTATAAATTATCACCCTCGAGGGGGCGTCAGGAGAGAGAAGAGTTTCAACGTTGTAGTAGATATTAGGCTGGTTAGATAGTGCTGAACGCTATCACTGTATGGTTGACTTTCCTGTCACCCTCAAGAATTCACTCTGCAGATGCTCCCAGATCTTCTCATGCGTTCCCTCTTGTCTAACCCCATTCAGCAGCTTCTGTACATCTTTACCACCACTTTCACAAACTTCATCCACAATATAAACACCACTTCCCACAACCCCATCACTACCAACAGCCACTTCCCTCCCACTTGATCCCCCATACCGTTCCTTTGACTCAAACCTAGAACTCGTCGCCAAAAAGCAATGTCTCTCTCCCGTCTCTTCAAGAGAAATATAGTTCTTCGTCGAAAATAAACCCGTGAAGTAGAAGACAGATCTCATTATACCCCCAGTGACTCCCTTCATCGATTTTGCAAGCGGTGTCGCCACGAAGCCCGGGTAATTATGTACGAAGCTGACCCCCGGAGCTAACTTGGCGAAATGTTCAAGGGTCAGGGTGATCATTGAGCAGAGGTGTCCTCTTGCTTTCCAGGGGAGGATTCTTTTGCCGGCAATGTCGTTGGCATTGATGGGGCCTTCCTTTGTACCTGCCATGACAATCATTGCTCGACCGAAAGGTGACTTTTGGAGTAAGGGCAGGAGATTGGCAATGAAGCGCATTCGGGAGTAGTAGCTTAGGGCCATGATGAGTGGGAGATGTTCGGATGTTTCTATCTGACAGTCAGTAACTGCAATCATTATCTTGAGTTTATGGATTATTGCCAACTCACCTGTACTGATATCCAATGTACCCTGACTCTGGAAGAGGATATCTATCTTTGTTTCGTTCTGTTGTATTGACTGGCACACCTCGTCTACGACACTAAGTAGACTTGGGTCGGCTTTGATAAATACGTATTTGCCATCAGCATTGATTTGATTCAGTTGAGGTAGAATCTCATCAGCGGCACTCTGTGAGCGTCCAACGAAATAGAATCGTGGTTGCCGGGCATACTTTGCAAGCTGTAAGAGTGTTGCTTTGCCAATGCCGCTGGTTGCACCGACGAAGACTCCCACTAGACCTGATGGGAGCTCCTTGGAACTAGCTGCATTGGATGATTGAACCGTGGATAAAGCAATCATGTTGTGTGTACTTCGTAAACGATATGATATCGCTGGTGTAGAGCTGGTAATCGAGGACTTTGATTTCCAATTCAAATGAAAGCACAAGGCCTACCACAGTGCAATTTATAGGCAAAGTCTTGACGATCGAGATGTCAGACAGTTAGATGATAATTGATCTAAGTTAAGATCTTTATACTACGTCATGGTATGTGATTGGCCCATTGTTGGATCGGCGATGGCTCCTCTAAGTGGTGGGCCTGAATGCTTGTCCCGATCCCGAGTCGAATGTCTATTGCGGGTCTGAAGTTGGCCCGACCTCGGCTTTACTAGAGGAAAGAAGAACAAGACATCTTAGCGGTAGTTTAATCAATAGTAAGGGGCGTACTGTATGTACTAAGCACTTCTTAGGTTGCTGTAGGAAATCTCACATATGAAGTTGTAAGATTTATTAGTATTTTAGCTTCGACTATCTATACGCAAAGTGGCTGACTGTGACAACTAAGTTAGCCAATATGTTTGCAGAAATCTTAGCCAAACACCCCATAGTTGAGCCAAAATCGAACCGATCGGTTGCTCATTGCCAGCAAACTTTATTTCAGCTTCGAGTTGCCAATGTAGACTTGTCTTCCACTCTTCCCTCCTCACCTCTCAGTCTTCCTCTTCTCCCCGCCACCACACCGCCTTTCCCCACTGAATTTCTCCAAATCCTTCTGTCGCGACACCGATTCTTGAAAGAGAAATCAACACTCGCAACCATGGCGCCAGTAATGCTGAAGACAGTCGATGGTAAGTCATGGCGGCATCAAAGAAGAGACTAGGATACTAAAATCAGACTACAGATGACATCCGCGACGTCATCCAGCACCTCTTCGAGATCCAGTCGGCCGTTCACGGCTATCTAGGCCCCGAGACACAGCAAGAGCTGGTACGGAAAATGTATGTGAGAGATTCCCAACCAACGATTCCTCGGTGGCATCCTCCTCCCTTCCACAGAGGATGACAAAAATCGAGACGACATACGATCTCCGCCAAAGCCAGCCAGAACCAGCACCGATCGCAATATTAAAAGCCCACGCAAAGAACTTCACTAAACTACCCTCCTCACTTCCAGCAAAAACCTCACGCTCTCCCTCTCAACCCTATCAACACACACTACTCTCCCCCCAACGCCGCCGAAACCGCCACCCCAAACACAACCGACCCATCCAACCCCCCACTCGCCAGCATCCAGCTCCCACCAGAGATAATCGAGTACGTCGACGCGGCACGCAACCCGGACATCTACACGCGCGAGTTTGTGGAGCTGGTGCAACGCGGGAATCAGGATCTCAAGGGGAAACGCGAGGCGTTCGCCGATTTCCAGGATGTGTTGGCAAGGGAGATGCGCAGTGCTATGCCTGAGTGTCGGGGGGAGGTGGATCGGGTGGTTGCTATGACGGGGGGAAGGGCTCAGGGCCAGGCTGGGGATGAAGATCGGGCGGATGGAGCCGCGAAGTGAGGATCTTTTGCTTTTTTGGATCTTCGGTGCTCCTGGCCTGGCCGAGGGTGGTTGTGGTGGTGATTGCTACGGACTTTGGCCAGCGCTTGTGATGGAGACGTCGTCGCCGCGGGATGTCAATTGATCGCGGTGTGCTGCACTTTGACTCTGGTATGGAAGTCCAATTCCCGCCTTAGGGTGCACTGGATCTGGCCCCCTTTTCGCCCATGTCGAATGCGTGGGTTATTTCGAGGCCGGCCACGATGGCTGGACTGGGCGATGCTGGTCCCTGGCCTGCAGGGATTTTTTCCCGGGCTCGTTCATAACGAGGACGGCGTTCCTGCTGGGCCGTGCAATTGGAGAGATTAGGTTCCTACCGGGGCGTTGCGGGACTCGAGGGCCGGTGGAATAGGGCCAGGGGACTTGAGTGATTTTTGTGATACTTTTTTTCTTTCTGGATTCCGGAATTTATTGCAAGCGAGGCGCCATGGCGTTTACGGATTTCATTTACTTGGTTGAATTGAATGTAGTGGACTAGAATAGGCACATAAACATATTGGTTGCATTTTACTGTGTGTTGAGTTCTGTAGGCACTTGGGATTATCGAGGATGTATTGGCGCATTCCACTAGTCTGTAGTATCGCCATACTTTGGGGGCCGAATAGTATCCTCCATAGAAGACAGGCAAGTTCATGCCCTTGCTGTATGTGCATGTAGTCATCTTTTTCAATGGGTTGCACAGGATCAATTGCCTTACATTTCGACTTCCTCATATCCGCTCCAGTCTCCAATCTCCATGGGTCTGACCCATATCCCCATAGGCCGTCCACGACCCATGGATGTACGGTACATACCTGTAAAAGGAGGGGTCCTAGTAGCGTGGATCAGGTCACCCATCTGTGCTTAGTAGATTGCTGTACTAGACATTCTTATAGAGGGCTCCGAAGAGCCTCCATTTCTTTCCCGTCAGGCCAGACACACGACATGTCAACAACCACTTGCTTAATTTATATGTACACTCTAGGTAGGCCAATGGCACGCCTGAAGAAAGATGAAGTCACCAGCCGTGTTCGGCACACCACGCTTGCTTTTCGTCTATGTTTAACTCGCTGGTGGACCGGGCATAGAGTGGGTCGGCGTACTTAGCCCCCATACTGGAGTCAATTGGAGTCTGGAGAGGATGCCTCTGTATTTGGAGCCCCTCAGAATCTAAGTTATGGGGGTGGTGAATCTAGGTAGGTGGAGTCAGAATGACCGACCGGGTCCAGGCCAACGTGACTCAGTCGAACGGAGGAGGAGTTGGAATCGATCATCAACATGACTGCGACAACGAGGCTCAGCTCGGAGATCCCCTCCACGTTCACCCGACAGATCATCCTCCGAAAAGCAGCGACATCCGATTGCAATTCCTGCCCTGGTCTGGTCTTTTCCTTCCCCTTCGTGAAGCTGTACAAATACAAGTCTTCCCTAACGCCCGAGGCAAAGACGATCGGCGGGCCCGACCGCTTGGGCAAGGCGTGCGCCCGCCCGCTCTCTTACGACTTTTACCAAGTACCAACCACCGGAATGGGTCTATGGGAGGATTTCGTTAGGTGGGAAATTCGTTGCGCTAGGCTATGCTGGGGTAGAGGATTCTGGGGGCAAGTGTGTAGCGATGAAGTCACGTTCGCTGTTTTTTCCTGAATTGAGGGGCGGCACACATTAACTCGCTACCACTAACTAGCCAACAGGCTTATGTTACTTACGTTAAGTGTTTACTCCACGTAACTGACCCCGGATTGCACACAGGGTTCTATATAGTGGCGGTGTATTGTACAGACAACATAGACATGAATTGTTCCTCTCCCCTTATTTACTTTGAAGTACATCATCTATTTCGTCTATAGTACTATAGTATATAGGTATCAAGTCTAGAGAGAGTATAGAGTATTTCGGCCGACTCCGGGCCATTTGTTAACTTTGTTAACTCTAAATTCCGGTTCATGTCATTTTGGCTTTTCGCTTCCCCCTGACCCACCTGAAATGGGCTGATAGTCTGAGACAGTTCTAACCGTGGAGAACTAGACTCGCGTTTACTGAAAGGATTGACTCAATCATTTCCTTGAAGTACTCAACATGCTATGAGAGTCCCAACTAAAACAATAGTATAGTAATACTTTGTAAGTAAATCATACAATCGTATTATCATCTCGCCTTACGCACCATATGTACGGAGTACTCCGTACTGTAATATCGCTTCTTGGCCCAACGCAGGGATCAGATCCTGCGCCCACCGCCCATCGCCTCTCGCGAGTCTCGTCTGCCTTGAACCGGACTAGTCTGGGATAAGTCACTCCGTGATTGAACTAGTAGTCTGACAGTCTGACTGGTTACTGGTGGTATGCTCCACTAGGGCCGGGCGCTTTCCGATCTGCTTCTTGTCCGGGGTATTTTGGCCTGTGCTAGACTGCTAGTCCCCCTCCTTGGCCCCAGCACCGACTCTTAACTCTGTGACTCTAGCCAAGAGTTCGCGTGTCGTTTCCCGTCATATATTATTAGTTTACTCACTATCCTCTCTCTCTTTCCCTCTTGGTTACTTGGTACCACATTGCAGTACAGGAGCCACTTTATGATCGCCTCTTCTCCCCCACAACCCCCCTCGACCTCTTCCCTAAATAGGCCTGACTGTCACTTTCTCACTTTCTCACCTGATCCTTCCGGCCCCATTTTGGATTGCCAGTTCTATCCCGCCTCGTTCTCACCCAATCGTCCTTCCCTTTCCTGTTACTCTCCCTTTCCTTTCCTTTCCCCTCTCCCTTTCTACCTCATCTCCCTTTGCTTCCCCTTACCGCATGTCGATGATGGCGATCCCTTCGTGATACATAATTCGCCATGGCCAACAACTCTGCCCCCGGCGATGGGATCACCGGCGGCTATACGGGCCAGTCGCTGGGCATCCAGATCGCCATCGCTACTCTCGCCGGAATTACATGGTATAACGCCTTCGAACTGGTCACCCTTATCTTTGTCACTTTCGCCCAGTATCGTGGTCTCTACTTCTGGAGTTTACTCATCTCGTCCGCCGTCGGGCTGATCCCATATTCGCTCGGCTTCCTACTCAAGTTCTTTAATCTCACCTCCGTCACTTGGCTGCCGGTCACCTTCCTGACCATTGGTTGGTGGGCAATGGTGACCGGCCAGTCATTCGTCCTGTATTCCCGTCTACACTTGGTCCTCACAAATCAGCGTACCCTCCATCGCGTGCTCCTCATGATCCTCATCAACGCGGTCCTACTGCACATCCCAACCACCGTCCTAACATACGGCACGAACCTTACGCCGGCGGGTGCGACCTTGAACAGCTACAAAACCGCTTATAATGTGATCGAAAAGATTCAAATGACGGGATTCTGTCTCCAGGAATTCATCATTTCGGGTATTTATATCTGGGAAACTGTGCGCATGATTCGCCTCGACATGGATCAAGGCAAGCGCAAGATTCAGTACCAGCTGCTGATCATCAACATGATCATTATCATCATGGACCTGGGTTTGCTCGTCGCCGAATACCGGAATTATTATATCATGGAGACCATGCTCAAGGGTGCGGTCTACAGCATCAAGCTGAAACTCGAATTCGCCGTCCTCGGTAAACTCATCCACCTGGTCCAAAACCACGTCTGGAAACCCGAATCCTTCCCCAGTCCCCGCGATCTCCCCGATTTCGTCGATGCCACCCGTGTTACCTCCGACCTTACCCACGCCGCGCCGGTACACTCCAAGCCAATTCGCACCTGGATGGATGATGATATTTCCATCGCCATGTTTGAACATTCACCCCCCGAGGATCCGCAGACCGGCTCCTCGGATACCTCCAACTCATGGAGCAGTGATACTCGCATCAACCAGGGAGGACACCATGCCATCGATTTCTCCGGCCAATATCAACACAAATCCGCTAAGCTGTCCGAGAAACCTGAGAAGCCTGGGTGAGGTGGAAACACCCCTCCAGAACATTATACTTTCCGTCTTCGATGGCTCTTTCCTTGTTTTTATATTGTTTGATGAATAACGGATTATGAGACATGCCCGACATTGCGACTTGACATCTTAATACCCTTGAACATCTCACCACTGCATCGGACAAGTTCCGACCGCTGTACCGGGAAGGATTCGATGCGACGCCATGCAATACGCCTATTGGAAGGCTTGCCCGGTTTACGTCGCATCCTCACCTGGCCAGCTGCCTTTCTCCCTCACCCAGACACCTGAACTCCAGGTACTAGATCTTTGCGGATCCGGCTAATGGCCATGTGCGGAATAAAGATCGGCAATGCGCCCTCAATACCCGGGGAACGTCGGGGAGATATCCCGGGCTGCAGGCTCTATGGATCTGTCTGTATATAAATTGACGCCTCTTACATAGCATTAGGCTTTCTTTCGTGGCTCTGCTGAGCTACATTGACCTATCATCAGAATCTACATTCAGAATATTACTATTCATCCTACATTATTTTACTTTGAATTTGCAGTGCTTTTCTTGATTCTCCCAGTTACAACGTAAGAGGCGCGGAGAATTGTCGGACGGGACGAAGTTTGTCCTCCATCTGTCTTTGGCAGCTCCACCTTTTTTCCACTTTCCTCCCAGCTACAGTGGCCGATAGTGATCACTCTTTTGTTCAATTTCTAGCAGAAAACTGACCAGGCTACACAACCATATATGATATGTAGCAGCCTGGAATATTAGAATATTAACGCGCAAGAAATTCCGATTTGACTAATGAGAGGCCTTGATTTTGATAGCCTATAAATTATGCGATCTGAATTGATTCGAGCCTATAAGCGAAGGCGGTATACAAATGCGACTTGCATGAGGGTGGCCACTATCGTCCACTGTACTCCAGTTTCCACCCCCGCGGGGGGCACCCAGGCCCACTTTATGTCTATCCACACTTCTTCAGGAAGGTCGATATGAGCAATGCAACAATGCGACCATATAACATTGCTTAAAATTACCCCTAGAAAGGTCTCAACATTCTCTTCTAGAAGAACAAGTTGGTCTTCCGAACTACCAACACCATGAAAGACCTCCTCAAGCTCTCGCTATTTGGGAGCTTCGCTACTGCCGTAGCAGCATCAAGTGGTGACGCAGTAAGTGGCGCTCCATACTTTCCAATAGCCTCATCCCGCTCACTAGTTCCCCATCCCAGCGCCTCCACGCCCGCTCTAGCGCCCCTAAATGTAGCAACGCCCCTTCGACACTATCGCTGAGCGACCCGCCCTACGACAATTACTTCTACTCGGACTGCAATGTCGCCGCACAGGCTGTTGTCACGAGCCCGCTGCCACAGAGCAATCTGTCGCTCATCGGTCCACGATTGATCGTCGCATGGCCGGCTGGTGATAGCGGCGTGTGCGCTTATTTTGCGCCGCAGAATGGCGTTAATGGCACACTGTCTATTGAGATGGTTAACTCCACGGCTGGCCAGCCCTTGGGTCCTGTATATACAGCTGGATCGAACAGCTCCGCACCCCCTACCGTCGGTGTCCAGGGCGTGTTGCGCTTCAATGCGTCGGCTACATTGACAGTTCCTATTCTGGGGAGTATCCGTACTATCCGTGATTTTGTCGAGGGACCTAGTCTGCTCCGGTCTGAGATTCAGGATGCCATCAAGTTCGTCGCGCATAACGACGGCAGCGCCTCGCTGCAGCGGACATGGCTGGACAATGTCACTTCGACAACGTTGACGTTCGCCCCTTCGAATGGCACAAACAATAAAGTGACCGTCTCCAATCGCACACTCGTCTTGCCGGCTGGTGACTACCTTTTCTCCGCATCGATGAACTACCCGCAACTCACGGTTCTTAAGTCAGCTTTCGTGTTGAACAGTGCGTCTCGCAATTTGACAAACACTATGCCAGGCCAGACGGCTGCACTGTCGTTCTTGTCGTACTCGGAGAAGTTGCTCGCTGGTGCGTGGCGCTTCTTGACGTACTTTGGACGCGACTCGATGCTCTCGGCGCTGCTTTTGGAGCCGGTGCTTAGCTCTGGGAATGCCAGTGCCATGGAGGCTGTTATTGGAGCGGTGTTGGAGCGGGTGAATCGTACCGATGGTAGTGTTTGTCATGAGGAGACCATTGGGTGAGTTTTTCACTGTGGAATCTGTGTCGAGAGGTCTGGTTTGAGGATACTGATTGCTATAGGGATTATGCGACGTGGACGAATTTGCAGAATAATATCACGAGTAATGCCATGGTCTGTGACTATAAGATGGTGAGTTTACAGTTGTATTTGGTGTAATTCACCACGGGGAAGTGACTTGTATTGACCGAGCACAGATCGATTCGGACTATTATCTGCCTGTTCTGATGCAGAAGTACTTCCTGGAAAATCCTGTTGGGCAGAAACGAGCTGCAGCTTTCTTCAAGTATATCAACAGCTTTCTGTTGCCTTGGGTTTGATTTCATGGCTAACGCGAGGAATAGCACTTCGGCTGGATTGATCAATGCTGAGAACCAGAATCTGACATGGGGTCAACTTTCCCTGATCAATGCCGAGCGGATCATGCGTCTTGCTCGTCCCTTCGCAGAGAAGCAGACGAAGGAGAACCTGATTCACCTCAAGGATGGTCAGGTCGTTGGAGAATGGAGAGATAGTGAATACGGTATGTCTGGATCGTAAATTCACTCCAAGAGAAGTAATCAAACTCACCCTGCAACAGGCATTGGCGGAGGTCGCATCCCCTACGACGTAAACACAGCCCTAGTCCCAGCAGCCCTACGCTCCATTGCCGTCCTCACCCGTCAAGGCCTCTATCCCAAGCACAAAGAGTGGTCCAACCTAGCCACCAAATATGCACAAATCTGGGAAGACAAAACCCTCGACTACTTCAAAGTGACAATCCCCAAGTCCAAAGCACAAGACCTAGTCGCATCCTACAAGAAGGAATCCTCATTCCCGGGCCCCGACCAGGCCACCTCCATCACAGACGACGTCGTCTTCCACGCCCTCGCCCTCGACGGCGACAGCAATCTCACTAAAGTAGAAGTTATGAACACGGACGACTGTTTCCGCCACTTCCTCCTCAACACCACCGACGACACCCAACTAACCCCCTTCCTCAATAATTCCGCTACCAACATCCGTCGCACCTTCCCAGCAGGCCTGATGACCTCTGCCGGCATGATCGTCGCAAACCCTGCTTTCGGTGGAGATCCTGTGTACGCCCAGAACTGGACTACAGGCGCATACCACGGCACGGTTGTTTGGTCCTGGCAACTCGCCATGATGGCCAAGGGACTTGAGCTCCAACTCGGTCGGTGCGAATTGACCTCCAACTTTTCAGTTTCGCGTCGTGAGACGGATAAGGGGACTGTCGCTCCGATCCCGGCTTTCTGTGGTGATGACTCCGTTTATGGGAATGTAAAGGCGGCTTATAATGAGCTTTGGGATGTTATTGAGCAGAATGAGAGTCAACTCTCCGGTGAGGTTTGGTCGTGGGTTTATCGGGATGGTGGTTTCCAGGTTACGCCTTTGGGAGTATTGCCGGCGCCTGGTGGTGGTTCGCAGACTGGTAAGTTTTTGTCCTCATTTTCTGATTCCCTTGATGGGTTAGGTACTTGGTGTCTTGTATCTTTTACTAATGTGCTTGCAGAATCCGATATTCGGCAGTTGTGGTCTTTGGCTTTCCTGGCTGTGACTAGGAATGCGGATTATAAATAGGCGATGGGTTGAAATGCACCTTGTACACAGGTGATCCAGACATTCCTTTGGGTATCAATAGGCCTTAATCCGTGTCAAATATTAGATATGTTTGAATAAAATTCAATGGACAAAATTGACCAACTCTCCCATGGCTCCCGCAGAATCTGCAACATGTTTACTTCAGTAAAGTAAGTATGGAGTGGGGAGACAGTAAATCCATGGAATCCTAGACCAGACATCGTTATTGTGATACCTAACGGATGCATCAGATTCACCATGGGCCATTTAGAAGCTTGGAGCCGACAACGTGGAGCTCTGGATGGGTACTATAGCTTCCATGCCTGCAGAATCACGGCCTCAAAGCTTGACCGATGCTATCCGCATCGTAAATAAAGGTATTTCCTCCAAAGATCCCACTTTCATGAATCTGGATAGGGACTATATGTTACAGACACATGCAGAATTCTCGATTTATATGCGAGGCAGTCTTGGTTACACTGCTTCTTTATTCTCCTTCCCGGGGATGTAAGCCAATCCGTTTAGGTGGACTGCAAGAAACAAGCACTGGCACATGTCCATCACTAGGGTCGAATATCGCCCGGAGGCCCAGAACAGTTGATTCAAGGCCACCGTCGGGCGGCTGTGGATTCGTCTGATTTTGGACTAAGTAGAGGAGTAAGCGGTTAATCTTTAAGGATTTTATTATGATCGCCGGAGTAGCAGTGAGCCTAATCCAGAAAATATGCTTTGGAACATTTCGGCAACATCACCAAACGATGTCAGCGCAGCACAAGTATCGGTCGACAACGCTGCATGTCGCAATCAGGTATCAATGCCATACGATGGTTGAGGCCCTGCGAAGAAGTGGGGATTTCGAAAATTGAAGAACACTCCAGACATTCACGGGCACCTCCCAATTCATTTTGCTACCTACAACGCTGATCTTGGGATGGTGCAGCTCCTAGAAAGTTCTAGATGTTCGATTCACGTCAAGGACGAGGAAGGGTGCAACTTACTGCATATCGTTAATGGGGATTGATTTATTCCATTCTTCAGCAAATGAATCCGGATGGTTCAGGCCTTTCAAGGAACCGAAGGGCAAGAATCCCGTCGCTGTAATGTAGAGATCTGATCTGCGACACGAGGTCAAGCGTTTCGGTAAATCAACGCTCAGTAGACCCATGAGGTCGTATAGGTTTAAAACTTGCTCCTGGTTGGCCCCACGGCGTACATCGAGAATGCGAGTCTCATCACGAAATTGATAACAGAGCACGCCTTGGTGTTCATATCGTCGTTAGGGCCGCCGAAAGCTTTCCTCCGAGAGCCAATAAGCTCCTCATAGGTTCTATTCGGTGTGTCCCAAGGGTGCTGGGAGATTCCCGTAAGATGAGCCAAGAAGAGCTGGGATAGTAGAGAAAAAGATGGTAACTACCCTATAATCACTTTAGTTCTAAGCCTTCTGATAAATTAGTAGCGTATTTCATACTACAATTTTTTCGCGCAAAGTGGTGTAAGGGAGAAGGGATAGTGGTACAGTGCCAGATGCAGCAAGTCTGGATTCATATTACCAGGAATAAGCGCCACCGACACTCCCTGCAACAAGAAACACATGTAATTAAGTGATTCGTACGTAGGCCGGGATAGTACCCCGGTCGGGGTAGTCCTCCGGTTAGATTTGTCTACCGTCTGGTATATGTAACCAAGGAATAAAAAATAATAGACGAATCAGAACAGAAGGAAAATAGTTACTGCTAGAAAGCAAATAGAAAAATAGATCAGCCGGATTAAGTACGATATATATAGGTACACAGAGATTAAAGAGAGCCAGCGACAATACTACGAGCGAGAAGAAACCTCCAAAGGCCTCTCGAAAATAACTTAAATTTATTATACTATAGTAAGTATTATAGAGTTATCGAGGAATGATGAGTTCAAAAGTTCCGGTAACACTGCGGTCATCCATACTTGTGCATTGGCCCGGACATGACGTCTTTCTAGCCTGTCTTGCATCTAACCACGGCGATTTCGACTATTGATTCTCGATGGCCATGGTAGCCTTGGAGTAGAGAGTCCCTTCTAGACACCGAGTTATGGACATATGTTCCCATCTGCTCTTCACTCTGATTGGATCAGTTTCAACATAAGATTCCCATAAGTCGGGCGGTGACAACGGCGAGTCCTGTACGAGATTACAGGTTAGAAGGTGTACAGTGACTAAGGTACAAATACCGGACTATCGGAAATGCTTTGATCTATCAAAATCCAAAAGTGGCTTATTTCCTGTAGTGATGACATAGGATGGAAAAAGTACATGGTCGGGAAGCACACGGGCATAGATATGGGCTGTAATGGCGGTCGACCGGGCTCTTTACTTTACTATGGGGTGCACGGAGGTAAACGTATTTAACTCTATTAGGGCTATAGTGTTTATAGCTAGTAGGCTATTTTATAACAATCTTTCTTTTATCGAGTACTATATATAGGTAAGTAGCTACTATATCCTATTATTTTGTCACGATGTGGATGTCTCTCGCCGCCGCTAGGATAAGTAGGCTCTTCAGAGGTGCGTTAGGAGGACCATGAAGAAAGCCTTTCTTTAGTCCCGTGTGGGTTGTGGAGCAGATAAAAACCCTTCTTCCTTGAGAAATCCCTGCCAATCAGACAAAGGGGTTGTTTTATCAGGATAAATAACTTGGATTTCATGATAATTGCGTGTGCAGTACACAAGAAACCCATATGTCGATGGGCTCGGTATTATCCATGGATTTCAGCTCCAGCTAACAATAAATAGAGAACAGAACGTGGCGGGGCCAAGTCGTACGACTAGCAGCGATTAATGTCCAATCCACAGACAAAACTCCTTGAGCTTCCGCTAGATGTGAATGTCTTCCTTTCACTGTCAAACCAGACTTCCCATGAACAAGGTTGAGAGGAAGTTGTTGCGACTGAATGGTCTTCTGTGGAAGGAAAACAATGGGGCTTCGGGCCCTCTGGGAAGTGAAATGCTCCAACCGCACAGCATTAGCTCCACCCCGATAGAAAAGCTCTACTTGTTCCCGATAGGCAGTCTTCAGTGCACTGAACACGCCCACATCACACGGCTGAAGCTTATGCGAAGTATGCGAGGGAAGGCGGCAGGGAATGATGTTATTTGCAAGACAAAACTTCAAGACCTTGAGGGACTCATGCGCAGCAAACCCATCGCTAATCAAAAGGCGTGGCCGCTTACCAGCACGAGCCTTGGTTTGTGGGTCAAAGACATGCTGGATCCATTACAGGTTGATGGAGCTGTCTGTGTATCCATTCTTTGAGCAGGCAAAATGCCATCCGCCGAGGGGTATTTGGTTCTTCAATTGAGCTTGAGGATTACACTCGATGGACTACGACCCAAATGCGAAATAGATGAATGACTATCTCGTGGAGGACCGATGAGCACAGACGTTGAAAGGGAGTCTGGCTGCTTGCTTTCACAACAAGGGTACAGTGCCGCCCGTCAGGTAGTGACATCCCCGGTGGGAACCAAGCACTGGAGGTATCAGTGACGGAAGTGTCGACAAGTAGCAGAGGCAAGGACCACCTTTATCAAGGTCCTCTTCAGGCCTTGAGTCACTGGATATGTGTCTCTTCAGGCTTGGGGACCACACAGGCCAAAAAACAACTCTGTCCTAAATCCATAAAGACCCCAGGTACGCCCCAACGCACTGCCCGACTTTTAACTGCTCTAGTTTTATCACTACTGAAGTATTGATACCTCTGAAGTATTAGAACGACGCAGTGAGTCCGGGCTAAGTTGAAAGGACCAGGTACTTTGTATGATGGTCTATTTATACAGTGCCCGGCAAGAAGTTCTCACACACCCTTTCCGCCGCCTGATTTACCGCCTACTTTTTTAAACCACCTACCTAGCTACCCTACCAACCGTTAAAACAACCATCAAAATAAACATCAAAATAAACAATACCCCTATTCAATAGATAGGCAATAGGTAGGCTAGTTACCCCTTCTATTCAACCTTTCAATCACCACTAATCAATATGCCTCGAGGACCAGAACTATCACCCTCTACACGATCGCGAATCTGCAGCCTTCGTACCGATGCGAAGTACTCCTACGGTAAAATCGCAAGCCTTTTCCCCTATATCCCACGAAGCACAATCGTCTCGACCTGCAAGCTTGAGGCTATTCGTGGTAAAGAGAACGACTCGTGTAAACGCACCGGTCGGCCGAGAAATCTCTCTGAAGAAGAGCGTGATACAATCTATGATTATATTCAACAAAAACCAAGCTGCCGATACTATGAACTTCTCGATTTAGTGGATAATAAAATCTGCGAGCGTACGCTACGAGATTTATTAAAGGAATTCGGTCTACGCAAATGGCGAAAGATTACTCGACCTCAGTTAACCGAAATCGACGCATTAAATCGCCTTGCATGGGCTGAGAGATATCGCAATTTTACACCAGACGATTGGGCTCGGGTCTATTTCTCTGATAAAACCTCAATTGAACGTGGTTCGGGTGCAGGTGCTCAGTGGACCTTCGTTCGGCCAATTCACCAAGCTCAAGAGGGTAAGGTTCATCAAAAACCCTGTGGGAAACAGCTTCGCCAGATGTTTTGGGCATGTTTTAACGGCGATACTAGGCGAACTAGCCTAATTCCTATGTAGGGAGATCCTGAATCTGCACGCGGTGGTGTTACTTCGAACGTAGTGCATTCAACCTATTCAACATACCTTCCTACGATCCTATCGAATCGATCTAATGCAATCTTTATGCATAATAATGCATCAACTCATACTGCGCATATTGTACGCGATCTCCTTCAAGAGATAGGTATAGAAGTGATACAGTGGCCACCACATTCGCCAGATCTAAATCCAATTGAAAATCTCTGGGGATTGCTAAAGCGCAAATTACTTGAGTGCTTCCCTGAGCTATATGATATGCCTAATAATGATGATACTAGGCGATATCTGATCGAAGCTGCGCAATCTACGTGGTCGCAAATCGATGCAGATATCCTGCGCAAGCTTAGTATTAGTATGTGCAATCGTGTGAAGGCAATTATTGAGTCTCAGGGGTGGTATACTACCTACTAGACTATGCGAATATTTTAGCATGTTGATTTTCATGAATTTAATTAATTTAGGCCGGCAGAAAATTATGTAATCTACTAAGGGTGTGTGAGAACTTCTTGCCGGGCACTGTAGTCGGCCTCTCGCCTTCTTTAGCTTTATTACTACTGAAGTATTGATACTTCCGACAGTACAGTAGATTTCGAGTTCAGTTTGACCTCGCACTCTTTGACTTGATTCCCGGAAAATAAACCCGAGATACGCTAATACTATTTAGGGTCACTGCTATATTAGTTGGGCAGAACTATGGTAGTAATAGCTATACTATCCCGGACGTATTGTAATGGATCTGTAATGGTACATCGAATCCCTTCGAACTGCTTGATAGGTCTAGCGACCTGGCAAGATTGTCTGCCCGGTGGGTGGGTATTGATACGGTATCGTTCTGTCATGAGGAAGCTCCACTTCTTCCCTTTTGCTGTATTGTGTTAAAATATACGGAGTAGTAAGGGGTGACGGTGAAAAGACCACAATTTTGCGTGGCTTTTCGAGGGAGAATCGTGGTCATTTCACCCAGCGCCTCGGACACCACGGCCGGAGCCAATTTAGGCTTAGCGTGACATCCTAAATACCTGTACATGCACAAGGATGCTCAAAGCGTGAATCAAAGGGCAAGTGTATAATTCAACGCGTTTAAATTCGAAGCTATATAGTGTTAGATAGTTATTGATTGTTAGATATAATGTTCCTCGGATGGTTTTGAGAGTGAGTTTGGCTCTCCCTTAAATGCGCATTAGCATAAAGATCATATATGAAGAGCTATGCATCAGGCACTTACTTTATCAGAAAGGGCGCCAGTAACATTGTCTACAAGAAAGATATCCAACTGTTCATTTTCCTAGAGGTTTAGTACTGATGTATAAGTTTGACCTATTCAGTGCATTGCTGCCGTCATTGACCATTCCCATCCCTTATTGGCGTCTATGTACAATACTTGCTTCACCGTATGGATCTGAAAATCTCCTTAGACTCATTAGGTTTTCATTGCGGAAGATGGCCCGAGCCCAAATCTGTTTTTATCAGGGATAATGCCTCGTTTCACAACCGAGACAAATTAAGTCAGATGTGCTCTGAAGCCGGGGTCCAACTTGTGTGTATGCCACCATAATCTCCGAACTTCAATCCCATTGAGGAGTTCTTTTCAGAGTTGAGAACCTATGTTCGGCTGCACTGGCAACCCTTCAGGATTTCCTCGAACCGCTCCCGAAGTACAGGAATGGGAGCCAGAGTCCGCAAACTATGGTCGCGGAAAACTACCATGATCATCGATGAGGAGAGCATGATAGATCTGTCCACCCTCAGCGCTATCGACAACCACTGAAAATCAGCTAGATCGCTTGAGAGATCCTCCCCGAACCTTAGCGCATGGCTAGGAAGCAAGGATACTGTCGACTTTCTTGTAAGGTCCTTTTCGTTTCCCTCCTACTCCCTCTCATTATTGTTCACTTCACGCTGTAGCTCCTCGAGCCACTCGAGTTGAGCGTGTCGGATTTGGCTTTGCTCCAGATCGGGTGAACGTAGTACATCATCCACGGGAACATGCAGGTACTCATGGTCTTGGCACCCTGGAACTATCGTACGACCATCTGCATACAGGTTGAAACACACATCACAGAGATGGACATTCCAACATTCGTGGCAGATATACATACCATCATCTATGAATCGTAAACAACCATCACAGGCACAGAAAAAGCTTCCAGCCACAGCAAAGATATATTTATAAGCTGTTCGAGCATGGTCTTGCTTTCCCAAGTTGAAGAGTGCATATCCAAGGTCTGCCAGGCGGTCGAAGTCAAGTGGAATCTCTCGTAGCTCTTCAAATAGTATGCGCACTGTGTTGCGTAATGTGTCATCTCTGGCTGAAATAGCAGTCACTTGGTAACTACCTCGGGCTTCTTCCATTTTGTTGAACAGCGATGTCGCATTACTAGCGTAATCAAAAGCAGAGCGGCCAAACATATCAATCTTGTCCGGATCAGCACTTAAGCGAAGCAAGCAATCCAAAATGTCCCCCCTCTTGTAACGGATGGCAAGGTGAAGTGGTGTAACTCGGCGTGCCCCGCAGTGATTGACAAGGTTGTCTATAGAAGCTAATCGAGCTGACACCCCGAGATCGCCTCGCACAATTGCATAGTGCAACGGCGAAAATCCGTATTCCGTGAGAGTAAATGGATTCGCGCCGTGTCCTAGTAACCAATTGGCAATGTCAAGGTGCCCGCCAAGGCAGGCAAGGTGCAAGGGAGTCTCTCCAAGCGTGTTAACTCCATGGATTGGGGGCGTGGGCTTTTCGAAAAGACATTCAATCATGGCTGTGCGTCCAAAATACGCCACCGAGTGAAGAGCTGTGTGGCCTTCCAAGTCGGTTTCATTGGGATCACAACCTTTGGTCATCAAGTCCCTCACCAAGTCAAGGCGCCCCAACGCAGCTGAAAGTTGCAAGGCTGTGGAGCCTGGAACCCGGCCTGGTGATATCTTTGCCAGTTCGTGCTCCAGTACTACACGCTCGACCGATATATTTCCGTTAGCTATTGCAATCTGTAAAGCGGTACGGCCCGCATCGTCTTTCGCATCTATATCTGCACCGCTGCGAAGAAGGAGCTTAGCAACGCTGTCGTGACCTCGCGAAGCAGCAAGATGTAGAGACGTAAAGCCATCACTGCGGTCGCTGACGTTAACCCAAACCAGCCTAATGAGCTCCACGCCGATCAAAAATGCGAAATATGTGTAGGGATAGTAATTGACTGCAAATCCATAACCATACCAGTGACAAACACCTAGACCGATCCCGAGTAGACCGAAGAGTACGCGCCATATTGATCCATGCGTACTCGGCATACCACTTGCGGCTATCGGTGCTGCGATGTAGGGCACAAATTCAAGGACTTCCAGATGATTGACCAAGAATAGGATCACGTAGATGGGAAGTGTAACGAGAACAACGCTAGCTAGCAGATTGTTCAGCACGTATGTGGTGAGACCATGCCAGTTTGCAAATAGCCAGAAGCATAGCAAAGCACATGGTGAACCCACAACGTGATATGGAATTTCTTTCCACGCCCGAGTAAGCATTGAAACGACATAGCGCCAGTCCTTAAATAAATCAAGTAGCAGACGTGCTCGACCCACGGGTGTAACGGCTGCCCAGCATATTTCCCGTCCTCCAATCTTCCCTTGTCGTGTATTCAACCAGAACCAGTCCTGTGAGCGAGAAATTATTAGGGATCCGACATATCGAAGAACTTGCATGTTGAGAGTCAACACGGCGTATAAAAGAGCCATTGTTAGGTTCGGTACCGCGCTCTCTCTAGCGTGCCATTGCTCTTCAACCCATTCAGACTGCCTGGAGAAATTAGCAGCCTCCATTGCGCTCCTCCAGGGAAACTCTCCGGAGCTAGATTTTGCATCAACTAGCCAGGCTGAATTCCCTTTTGTGGTGGGTGCGTCAAGTTCGGCCCACTTGTTTATTAGAGCTGCGCATATATCCTTGTGTCCTTCCCAGGCGGCCCAGTTCAGCGATGTCATGCCATAATCCCTCTGGTCTACACTAGCTCCATTTGCCAGCAAGGTATTCACCGTCTCCAAATGCCCGTTGCGTATTGCCCAAGTCAGCGGGGTCATTCCGTACCCCTTGCCGTTTATTGAGGCTCCCTTACGCAATAGCCGTATTACTGCTGCTGTCCGGCCGTTGCGCGAGGCCCAGTGAAGGGCTGTCATGTTGTGATCGCATGTTCGGTTAACTTTTCGATAGGGTAGGCTCAATCCCAGCAGTTGGGGCACTATCTCAGATTCGAGTAAAGGAATAATTCCACAAAAAGCTGCTAGGTGTACCAGTTCAAAGTTGCGTGGCGTGTTCCACTCGAGTGGAGAGTCGGACCAGTACGTCTTGAGCCAATTATCCCGGATAGTGGATCGTCGGTTGCAGAAATTTGGCCATCTTCTGAACATATCCACTATTTCGGTTGATGACAGACAGGCGTGTTCCGGCCAGTATCGAGCAGCATAATCTAGCAGAGGATACCGACGTAAGGGTAACGGTCTGGCTAGATACGAACGGTTATGACGAAGATTTATCCATTCATCCTTCAAAGGACTAGATTGGATATACTCAAAACACGTTGTAGCTACCCGTAAATGTACCTGCGTCGGGTCAAGGTAAAGCTCGCGAAACGGAGCGTCTCCCTCACGCAGGTTCACGAGAGAACCCTTCGCCGAGCTGTGGATAAAGCGCACAGTCTGCTCCAAAAATGCTTCTTCTGACTTGGACAACTTCAAGAATCCGCCAGTGGATGTAATGTAGTGTTGGAGCCGGCTTTTGCTCACATGTGTGGCAGTAGCTAGCTCTGTCAACGTTAATGGGCGTACCGCTATCGCAACCCAATGTAAAATGCCTGCAACGACAGCACGTTCATTTTCTGGTACTTTGATTTCGAGCATTCGCATATAGATGTTAGTCAGCTTTTTCGGAAACTGTGTCAGGGCCCTCTCAACCTGCTGCGTTGGCATTTCCATCAATTCAGGAACAACAAATGCAACCCATAAAAACGTCCCACTGGCTCCCTGAACGAGGTGTTCTCTCACGGTTCTCCGCAGATCCGCATTATACTGCCCATGGGTTGCGAGCTCATCAACCTTTTCATCAATAAACCGGTCAATGTCTGTCTTGACCTCAGGGTTATACCTAGGGTCCAGGTTTATATCGGCAACATTGGATAGCTCATGTAGTTTTGGATCGAAGTCTGTGCTGGTAACAATGAACTTCGTCATTTGGTCGAAAAAAGGCCGCTTTGTGATCTCGTTTATCCTTTGGAGTAACCATTGACACGGTTCTGTTCCAACTTCATCAAGGCCATCCAGAACACAGAACACAGTGGGTTCCTCCACCGTAGATAAGAGCACCATGAAGTTCTTCCATAGGACATCTCTGTTCGTCCTGTTGAAGAGACCGGAGCTTTGACTATAGAATTTGAAGTCTCTCAATAAATGTTTGATTAGATCCGGCTGTCGTTGCAAGAGAAGGTAAATTAAGCCGCAAAGGACAGTTATTTCTGTGTTTCTTTTATCGTCTTGGTAGTCGCAAAAGTAATATAGGACGAGAGCTTCCTTGGAGCGCGGGGCGGATCTGGCATCAATTACACTGGTCAGGTATCTCGCCATCATGGTTTTACCAACTCCTGGAGGTCCATGAAGCCAGAGGAGTTTTGATGACTTTGCATGACGCCAATCTGTGTATCGCTCGTTTGTGAATATCCAATCACACGTTCCGGGCACCCTCTGGCCCTGTGCGTCTGCCAACTTCTTTTTATCGATTTCTGGGTCGGTGCGAAAGAGAGATAATTCGCAAGCCTCGCGTGCCTCCGCTTCGCGATCAATTCCTAAAAATCATAGAAACCAAGAACTTAGCTCATTCTTGTAAATTATATTGTCATATGAGCAGAGCTTATTATTATATTGTTATTGCATGTTAGAATATCTCTGTATCGAGTTGGATAAGAGATGCTATTTTCATCATATCGGGAGTTGAGACTTGGCTGATTTACCTTGCCCGAATGTAACTGGACCAGATAGATCCCCTTGGATCTGAAGTCCATTGCCAGTAACAAAGCTTGAACCGCTGTACTCACGGCCCGATACTGCGGCTCTTTCACCATATCTCGCCTGGACCATAGGTTGACTCATCACGTATCTGATCTTGATGGTTCAAACAAAAGGATTCGGTGAAGTGGCGAGACGGAACAATTCACACCCTGGGCATTTCAAACATAAAGGGATAGTGCCATAGCTACAGCATGAGGATTTTTATAAACGTGGGATGGCCCTACGTTTGTGATCGAATAACCTTGAGATTGGTCGGTTGTTTTTCCGCCCACAAAATGTGGCGAAAGTTTGTCTGGATTTCATTCCTTGGGAGAACTCGTCCTGCACATCTAGACTGTACCAGGGCCAAGGTATACATTAACCTTAATTCGCTTTAAGGGTTCTGCATTCAGTAACTTTATCGTCATCCTATCCATTTACTGTATTTGAATGGAAGTTCTTCCATTAGATTGCATCATCATCATGGTCAAGTGCTCGCAGGTTACCGAGAACAACGTCGATCACATGAGCTCTTTCTCTTCACTTATACGCAGCAAAGCGGCCTGAGCAGATCAGACTATGCTATGTACGATATAATTATCCGCCTTTTCGAGCAACACTCTTTTTACTTCATGATATACTAATCAAAGTCATGATGGCAGACCCACTGACAATCATCGGAGGCATCGCTGCAGTTCTGGATCTGATTTCATTCGGATATAAGATCATATCTGTGGCCGCAGAACTCAAGGAGTCCACTGGGGAGCTAGAAATCAACAACGAGCGGGACATCATTGTCAGAGACATTGAGGTAATACTGGGAAACTTGCGACAAAGGAGCATGGATGAAGACCACAGCTTTGGGCGCCTCCGACAGAGTTCCTTGGTCATTGCAACTGAATTCAAATCAGCCTTGGATAAATTGAAGATTCATGGCAACATCACGAAATGGAAGACCATGAAGGTGGCATTTGTCAATATCTGGGATAAGAAAAAGCTCCAGGAGCTAGATAGTCGACTGAGAGGGCTCACCTTGGAACTCAACACACATATAACTGCCAACTCAAGGTAAACTACCATAGTAATAAATCTCTTCAAGTTGCAGCTTTACTTACTTCACCATAGTGTGTTGCTGGAAGAAATGTCTGAAGCACAAAGGAGTCGTTTCGACATCGTACAAATTGATATCCGTAATCTACAAGATCAGATTGCGGAAGCTTTCAGCCGGCAAGAAAACGAAATGATTGCCCAGCTGACTGTATTGAAAGAAGCATCCACTGGAATTGCCAATGACACGACCGCGATCCAAGGTAGGCTTGAGAGGATGGAAAAGGGCGATGAAAAGCTACGAACCACCATGGACGAAATCCTCCAATCAGGCACTGCTATACAAAAGAAGTTAACCGAGGTGGAAAGATTAATGGGATCAGCATTTCCCGGTGATGGCAGTGTACGCTGTAATGAACTGGAACGGGCTCGTGATGCTCTTCGCAAGGGCTATGATCTACTTGCCTACCACACCTTCGAGAAATCTGAAGCTACTTTGGTGAGTCAAATGTCGGTAGTATGAGTGTATTTAAAGCTTATCGACACTAGATGGAGTACGCTTCTACTCGAGAGTCGGATCCCTCTCAGGTATCAGCGACTGGCCATACCTACTCTGGAACTTCCCTCGTGATGGGGCAAGGTGTGCATATTCAAGGTAACCTCGGAGCGCCGAATACCAAGGTCGAAGGGAGTAGACATTTTTACGGTGGGCACAGCACGACTTCAGAGAGAGGGACTCATATCCAGGGCGATATTAATGACGCTCAACTCTTCTCTGTTTTAATGGGAGCCCGTGGCAAGTGACATGAAGTCACAGCATGGCGCTCAAGTTGGGCCAGTACCTGTCAAAGCACTTAGATGCCATGTATAACTGCAGAACTTCAACTGGAGCTATGAAATTTGATCAAAGAAGCTTAATGATACCGGACAGTCACTACCACGTCGATTGGGCTCTGTGTGCCAGTCATTCCATGGCACGAGCCCGAAGACAAAACGCGCTGGACGCGCGAACATGAAGAAAATAGCTTCACCATCGTCTCCAGTCCGCATGACGCCCGCGCTGCAGGGCCAAACCTCTTGTTCTCCCCATCCGTCCGTCTCATCATCTCTACTAATCGATCATGATGTCAACGGGGCTTCGGCGACAAGGCACACTCGGTGGCAGGGGATGGGGTGGGCTCCGGAATGCGGACGAAGGCAGAAGAAACTGTATAGGTCGACAGAAATTGACGTTTGCACACGGTCGTACGAGGTCGCCTAGTGCGCCTTTAGATATCGTTCTGGAGTCTCGATATGGTCGCCGTGAAACCTCGCAATCATCGTATAGGACAGATTGTCACTAGTATCATCTCGCCAACTCCCGCGGACTTCGCAATCACTGGCTGACTCGTGTAGAGGCCGAGACAGTTTGGACGTTCACGTCTGCTAACCAGTTCGATCCCGGTCTTCCTCGGTTCCGAAATTATACGGACGCTATCAGGGAAGGCTGCTAACCTCGCCCTCGATTTGCGCCCCTAAGGCAGATTTGAAGCCCCGCTGCACATGGGCAATTTTCCGGAATGAGTGAAGGGCGAATACGCCTGGACTCGCGGAAGTTGGAAGGCCGACCGCTCGTTTGACATGTCAGGGGCCGGAACTGCAGGTCGGCGCGACGAACCAAAGGCAAAAATGCCTCAATTCGAGCGTAATAGTAAGAGCTGAGCGGAAATTCGGGCCAGGTTGAGGGAACAAGCAGCGCAGACTGCGCTAGAAGACTCAAAGGGCTGAACAGGGCGGCCGTTCGCGCTGGCGAGATAGGGGGTGGCGGAGCTCGGTGATCCGGACCAATGGCAAGAATGCCTCACTCGCAAGGCGCACAAGAAGGACGGAGAGAAAGAAGGAGTAGAATGGCGAAAAGCAGCGAGACGTTGAAGCGGCGATAAAAGGGACTTTATAGAAACACGCACGGCGATAGTAATGCGCAGAGAGGGGCTAACCCCGAAACGGCACGCTAAACCCCTTTGCGTAATTCACCGTGACCGACTTATACGGAGTATACGGAGTGCAGAAGAAGTTAACGGAGTCGGCTGACAGGATGTAAATGAATACGCGCCTTTGCTCCTTCCCCACCCTAAATAGGGTATGTATAGCATTAGTATAGCTACTTTCATATGATTGGTAATATCAAGACAGTGGAAGCTAGGAACTGCTTGATACCTGCTGTAGCAAAACATAACTAACCAGACTTTACTGATTAACTGATATCTTCAAAATTGGCATTAGGCGTAGTGGAGATAGATATAGTTACTCCGGCACTGTAATGGTAGTGGTTGTTGGTCACGCTATTTTCCCCTCCTGTTCTGAGAACTAGGGATTGTGTTGCAATGAAGTACAGGATTGTCATTTCTGATTACCGATACCTAAAACCAACCCTTAGACATAAGGGCCTTGCAGACCTAGACACTGTTCCCAGTGTCCGAAATTCTTCCTAGAACACGACAATACGTACCATGACCTCCGGTCATGTCTCCATCAAATTGAGAGCATTTCTTAGGAGACTGTTAATTAGGGTGTTCTTCTTATTTCCTATCATAGGATGTGTACAGTAGCATCTGGCTAGAAAAACTTTTTTCTTAAATGATCACACAGTGCTTGTAGCATCGGCATTATGACTATAGCTGGAACACTTTTGTAGGCCGGCGGATCGCAAGGGATGCATTCCGTGAAAGGGTCGCCATTCCGTATCGAACAACTTTGACTTCATGCATCGGATCGAACCTTGATGGCTCTGGGAAGCAGACAGAACCAGAGCCTTGCCAAACCTCGCTTGCCTCTATACTGATGTCAACTGGAACTAATTCCTTGACGGACGGGCTCTGATTCGAAACCACCGAGGGGATAACTCGCAAATTTAACCCCTGGATCGTTCTCTCAACCGTGCCCTTCAATTTCTGTTCGGGCTGGAAACCAACTTCAACAATCTTTTGACCTGCAGGTCTCTCCACGTAGCCGTGAACGACCGCCGATCCAGTTTTCAAAGATAATGCCACGTTCCCCAATTTCTTAGGGAAGCCGAATTGCTCGCGGCCGCAGCAAATTGGCGAGTCATTGTCAAGGATGAGGGAAAGGAAGTAGTCAAACGTGTCGCCGTTGTATTTGACTTCGACTAAGTGGACATACTCATTGTATGGACCGAATGAGGTCATGCTGTGCTGCAAAACCATTACTGATACTTGTGGCTCGTCCTCAAGTTCTAGCATGTCCGGCACGAGATGGCGCACACATTGCAACGATGTTTGATAAGTAACAGTGAGAACAGCTTCGCTTGTATAGTCGCTGCCATCCACAGGATACGGAGGAGCGTATTGTGGAATGGGCGTATTGGATACTGGGAGCGAGCCAAATGGCATTTTGGAACCACTAAGAGGGCTAGTTAGACACGATAGAATAGCAAGAATTTCGAAGACAGGCTAAGGGAATAATATTTGTTTGGGATGGCAAAAGAATATATGCATTTTCAAGATGCCGAATGATGTCATGCCACGAACCAGTTGCTCTCACCGAAGGTCAGGCTACATTGCAAAACCATGGTGATCATATTTGAAAACCCTTCTGATTTATATGGCCAGGTCTAGATTAAGCACCGTATTTTAAAGTTAGGTAAACTGCGCATGGTGACTTGCCCGCAAACAATCTACCTTTGGCGTCAGCCGACTCGGAGAGTTGATGACCTCATTTGTTACCTTAAGTTAACCAAATAGTCTTTAGCTCCCAGATTTCTCCCATATGTCGAGCAAATCTGGGTGTCGATCGCTGGTTCATACAGCCATGAACTAACTCCATGAGCACGACCGTTGGCCTTGCGATTCGTGCTTCGAAATCTAGACTAGGCCATTGAAATATTTCTTGAAGATCATGCAAGAGAAGCTTATTGTTTCGGTGGTGATGCAAATTTTACCCCAAACTAATCCACTACCGTATGGTAAATTACATCACTTCCCAAACCCTAAACCCAACTATGTAGTGTAACCTATCCGTCTAAACCTAACACGATTATCACATCTAGATTCATCAACATAGACTAGGTATGTAGTACGATGTAAAGTCTGAGAGATTATACAGATAGTAGTCTCATAAATCGGATTTTGTTCCCTAGCATATCTCCGTGCTATTTTTTTTAGACCCACCCTTTACGACAAGCGCTGTTCTAATGCTCGAGGTTGTAGCTATAGCCTGAAACTCATCTCATAGGAATACAACCATCTCCTCGAGGTAGAGGCCGGGTTTCTCAGATTGGTGATCACAGAGGGCTTAAATTAGCAGTGGTGTCACAGTTCGTTTCTAACCTATTCGAGTTTGAGGCGCGTATATGCTTCTGATATTGTCGCAAGTTGTTGCGGATATAGATGATGGTGTTACGCGGTGCTAACTAGTCACTGTGAGTAAGTAGAACGATGACGGCCGATTATGGCTCCGTGCCACTTTCTGCTGATTCCAAGAGTATCTCGCAACCGTACCGTTACTATGCAAAGCCTTACTGCGGGTTCGGTTCCTGTTAAGTATCTTGCAGAATATGCTAGAGTGTGCGCTAAGTTAGTTAGTCACAAAATATTACTAACTATAGAGTGAACTTCCCTACTTGTAGGTTAGATTATCTTAAGGGTGAACTACGAAGTAAAGTACTAAAGGTAGTAACTAAGTAATAATGTGCAATTAATCGCTGTAAGCATATACTCTATAAGTCAGGATAGAGGCCTGTTAATTAAGCAGGAGAGAGGAACTAATCAAAATTGTTTAGAAAGGTCAAAGACTGTTTCTTAAGGAGCGTAGAACCTCCTCTTTATAGCGTAATGTCGACATAAGAATGTGCATAAGCCCTAGAAAGCCGTCGAACTTGACAGAATGCAACAGAATACGTCATCCGAATATAAGATGCGCCGATCTTCAACGATTGATTCTAAACATGGGAAAGAGCTTCAACACTCTGGCTGAAGAAAAATGTCAGAAGCAGGTACAAAAAACCGCAAACTGACGAGAGCCAATATGAAAGAAACCCATTCAAATCTCTAAAACCCAACGCTCTCACTTTTCATTAATGGAATATTCACCTGAATACTACTCAAAACATGAGCAGCTCTCAGGAAGTTTCAGCGGACGAATTTTGGGGAAAGTTTGTCGAATTAGGTGCTCTCTTCATGGAACACAAACCGGCCCATTGCAAAGCCTGTCTCATTAAAGGCCAAGAGAACCGTCTTGGGTGTCTTCACTGCTATTTGCCCGCCAAACCATCGAAAAAGGCCTTTTGAAACCCTCCCAGATATACGCCTATATGTACATCCCTTCTTACTCTTTCTCTTCTCCAACTTGGCCTTGTGTAAAGCTGTGATGGATATGATTTGCAGGCCAAAAGCCGGGGGGCATTTGTTTTGATCCCCGTGACTGCTAAGATTACGCATTAGTACACTCGTACAGACGACCAGAAGAAGCCCACAAAATATGCTGTGACACAAGGTAACCAGTTGGCATGATTAAAACTTCTGCTGAGAAAGAATTTTCCATAACCACTTTAAGTCATGCTGGTACTACCTAAAAGGAAGGAGTCTTTTTCGGACCGCCTAACCTCGGGCCTCGTGGCAGTATATCAGCTTTCAAGCTTTCATTCACAGCCGCATAGACCGGCAGGATATATTTTACTATTTCCGACGCTTGATACCAGTACAAAGACATCGAGATACCTCTTCTGCAAATCTCTCCGCCGAAATGCGGAGGATAACGACGACCTGTGGTCTCGCCCACGAAGGTCGGGCATAAGAGGACCAGTCAACCCCTTCTTTGATCTTAGCTTCTCAAACTCTTGAAGACAACGATATTATTAGTGATTATTGATCACAGAAGAGCGTCATAGCACTACTTCGATCACTCGCGATGTCGGTCTACGATCTATACTTTGCCTTTGGGAAGCCAGGTACATACACCCTAGATCACACCGGGGGACATTGTAGGTAAGTAAAGTGTATATCATAGCAAAGGGAGAACGCTTTACTGATCGGAATACAGCCAGCGCATGCCACTTCGCTACCACGAATGGACCGCAAAACGACCCATCAAAGCAATAAAAAATCTAGCATGCGACGCACACGACAATATCTTCATGGTTTGGACTCCTGATAATCGATCACTGGGTAAATTCAATCCTCTGCACTACTTAAATCTAAGAAATCAAGTTATCTGATCAGACGTTACAAGTATGCAAATCCCACCTCGACCCAATCTACCACCCTCTCCAAACATTCCTCTCCAAAGAAGGAGTTGTCAATTGTCGAGTCCAATTCGGCCCCAGCATTGGCGAATACTTCGTCACGAGCGAAAGAACAGGACGATGTCAATGGGTTTCTCCCCAATTGGACAAGGATATGACCAACGAAACAGCTCGATTCAAAATGTGTTCTCTTGGAATTTATGATTCGTACGTGGCTATTTTCACTGATGGTTCGGCGAAATGGTCTCTCGGCGAGGATTATCCAGGACTTCTTAGGATTCTGAGACGTGTTCGACAGGGGGATTTGGTGGTATGTATTTTTGCGCTGGTATCTATAAGGTTCAGGAAAGTCGAAAGTATGGGTCTGACTTCGGGCTTGTAGTTTGTTGCTCTAAATCCCTATCGAGCAAATGAGTTCTTTGTCGCTCTCGCTGATGGAATTGTGCATATCCGAGCTAGTGCGTTGGTCGAGAAACATGTTCTGGATATACTGGGTCAGTATCCTAACTTGACGGTCGTGACTAGTGATGTCATCAAGTGTAGTCGCAGTGTATCTGGGGATCAAGGTCTTCCAACCAAATACCGAACGAAGGATTTTATGAAATTTATAGCTAAGAATGTGGCTGGAGGGGTGATTTCGTCCGCAGTTGCTGCTACTTTCTCCTGCACTGTGATGTGAATGCGGTATTCACCATGGGAATATGTTCTCTATTGCTAAATCAGTGGAGCTGTATCAGTGGACTGCATGAACATCAAATAGCCGAGATAAATGGGAATGATTATCGTGCTATGGGAATGATACTGCATACACAGGATACATCAGACAACCTCCGAACTCGAGTAACGACGGAGAGAAATAGAAATGAACAGCATGACAAACGCCCGCAAAGAATCCAAAACATCAAAAGATACACTCAATAGCCTGTAAAAGTATTTCACTCATCGGTTTTCTTCCAAGATCCCGATTCATCCTGCACAAGTTCAAACTCGCGGTACCCATCGACCAAACCGTCAGTCAATTTGGTGATAGCGACCCAAGCAGGAACGTATTGCCTGGCCTCGCTGAGAGCCGGGATAAGATCGGGGCTATTGTCATCGCTCCAGAGACACGAGACGCGACCCTTGAGAGAGGCGTGATGCTCGTTGAACTCGACGTCCACAGTCCACGAGCCATCCCATGTACGGCTCCAGAGGCGAATTTCTTGCATGCCATCTGAAGATGGTTTGATGAAGCGCTTGTCAGGAGCGGAGGATCCGACGACACTGAAGTTTTTGATGGGGTGGCCGTCCATGGTGATGCGGCAAGCGCGGGTGTTCAGGCCCGAGACTTCAAAGCGGACGGAGCGAGTGCTGGTCTCGGAATGAGAGATGCTATAAGAGACCCAATCTACCGAAGGATCCCAGGCAGAGACGTCATTGCCAGGAACAACGTTTGGCTCAGCACCAGGCCAGCCGCATTGCAAGAGCTTCCCACCTCTGACGTGGGTTTTGCACTCTGCCTGGCCCTGTGCATTGGGGAGACCACGGACAATGTCTTCAATGAAGGGGCTGACACCGGCCAGGTAAGCCGTAGAGTTGCCTCTATCCAGGTCGACCTGCTGCGAGAAGAAGACCTTCATGCGGTTGGAGTCAGAGAAGGGGAAGGCGATCAAGTTGTAGATGAGAGTGCCGATGAGAATCAAGAACAGGAAGATCGGGATATGGTAGGTGTAGCGGTGGATGTATGGCAATATCGGCAGGAAGATCAATGTGATGAAAAGCGCCATGAGCAGGTACAAGACCAGTGTGGGATCACCGTCCTGGCCCGTTTGGTAAAGAGCACTAGCCGCGATCAAAGCCAGAGGAGCCAGCATGGTGATGTTGATCGGAACAGTGAGAAGCAGCTGGATTACCCAGGTCCAACTAGGCATCGATGCACTCCAAGCTTGTTCATTTCCATACACGTTGGGATCTTGCTCCTCATCTTCGTCAACCCCGTGGTTCGCCACATAGTCACCAGGGACGTTAACGTAGTTTGCAAAGGTGGTGCGCTGTCCACGCAGCAGAGATGTCGACTCGGTTGGCTCTTCGTCAGCTCCTTCGTCGTCTTCGTGCCCGTCGCCTGTGCCAAGTCTGCTGCCATAGCTACTGGGCTGTCGCGAGTCCTGAGCCAATTGACCGACATACTCTGACATCCTTGGAAGGGAAAAAAGTTCAAGGTAGGAGATCCAAGTGGCCAAAAAGACACCCGCAAAATAAAACAGGGAGAAGTAGCCACCACCCATTTGATGCTCATTTTCGAGGACGGTGGCGAGGACCAACAACGCCCATGAGAAAACAAACATCCACGTGTAAGTGTACACTCGGTGGAAGGCAGATGGCCGCGCGAAATCAGCAACGCGAGACACGAACCAAGCCAGGAAGATCCAGGCAGAGACCATCATGCTCCAAACAGCGTAGGTACTGCTGTGTATGATGAGCGGGTTGACCTTGGCCAGCATATAGGCAAATCCGACAATGACAGCGGTAGGAATGCCAATCAAGAATGGGAATCGGAAGAAGCCCCGAAGACCCTGAAGCGGAACCTTCTCATCGCTTGTCTCCAAATGCACCGAAGACCGGAACAAATACATTTTATCGGCCTGCGAAAGGGCAATGCTAGTCACAAGCAGAGTCAATGGTGCCACAATCAGCAAGGTGACAGACAGCGCGAAAAGAGTATGTAGCTGGAAGACAGCGAATGCGCTACCGAACAAATCGAACCAAACAGCGTTGGTACCTTGACCGTTGGGTACGTTCCCATCATCTCGAACCGGGCCATCGAACCGGTCAGTATCGTCAGAAACAAGACTCTCGGTGGTCGCGACCGCCCCAGAGAGCATATGCCACAGAGAGTCGATGTTAGTGTGTCGCGCATCATCCTGATCGGTATGATACCGAGCGCGGGGCTCCATAAAGGCAACATCCAGCCCGCGCAACCCCATCTCACCATCGAACACGATATAGTCAGTCTGGCTACCGACAAGCTCGAACCCATTGGCGCTGACGATAGATCCAAAGGGATACTTGGCTTTCGCATACGCCTGGGTGACCTCCGTATCCGTACTGCGGAACAGAGTCGCCCGGCCGCCAGCACCAGCGCCCTCCAGGTTGAGGAATGTATGGGCGAACTTTGCCATCGGATGCTGGCTGTACGCACGGGCGCCATTCAGGTAGTCCTCCTCGCCGTTATTGAACAGCACCACCAGGCCACGACGCGGCGCGTGGCCTGGAGAAAGGAAATATTTCACCAACTGCAGGCATGTCACGACACCAACACCATCATCCGTAGCTCCGAATCCAGTCGACACGCTGTCATAATGCGCGTTGACCAGCACTCCGCCCTTACCAGTGGGCGCCTTCCCGGGCGTCTCCCACCATTTCTCCTTCTGATCTTTGAACCCGCGAATATATACCAGGATATTAGTACCCTCAAAGTACACGCCGCTCCGTTGGTCGAAGAATGTCAGATTCGAGGTGAGGTCATCAAAGACGAAGACCTCGGGCTTCTCCTCATCTGGCTGGTAAGCTTCGGAGGGTGGGGCGGATCGCTGGATCGCGTCGATGCGCTCGAGTAGCCACGCGCGAACATGGTCGTTTTCATGCGAGTTGTACGGGTGGTAACCTCTAGTGAGCGCTTGGAGGTCCTGCCATGCCTCGGTCAGGTTCAATCCTTCGGGGCTGGTTCGGGGTGCAGCTGGGACGTTTAGGTGGATGACAAGAATAGGGATGATCAGGGCGAGGAACACCGCGGTCGTGATGATGGTCACTGGCCACGGCGTAAAGGCCAGAGGGTTTCTGGCCCTAACAGGAGCCATCGCCGGAGGGGTTCAGGCGGATGAAGTGGTCGAGGGCGAGGCGTGAAGGTGAGGTTGGAGAAAGGGAAGCGGGAATGCGGGGGCAGTGAGAAGCTCTCGGAGTTACGGTGAATTACGCTAACGTCCAACGTTACAATGAGGTTGCTCAACTCCAGCCCCCCTGCATTACCAGCTCGATTTGGAAGTTGAATCAGTCTCCTCTTTTTCTGGGAATTGCTAAAAACACGATACACGATTGCTAATTTGACGATACAACTCTTATTCTAATTTAGCGTAGTAATATTATTACAGTGATCTACATTGGGGTTCGGTTCTATAAGTTTGAAACCCTAACAAATTTTCAAAACCATCTTAGCACTAATTAGTTGGACGATATCTGTGCTATTGAGAAAGACATCTAGGAAGACATCTAGGAAGACATTTAGAAAGACATTTAGAAAGACCTTTCAAAAAAGAGTAATTGAAGCATGTCTGCTTGGTCCGTTTCTCTGGTTTTTAGACTAGGACTTTTGAGCAACTATCAGGATATCCTAATTAGAAGATAGTAATACAGTTACTGCGCTAAACCCCAAATAGGCGTGTATCGTGTGATTAGCAATCTTGTATCGACGTTTTAGCAATTACCCTTTTTCTGAACTATCTTTGGAAAGAGCATAATGCAATGTAATTCAAAAATACCTAAGTAGATAAACCACGGAATAAGGCCATTAGGCCGTGAACGCTACCGCACAATGCATTTCCCAGAATAACAGGCATCGGAGGGTAGGGGGTAATCTTCGCTGATATGGGTAGAAATATGACACTTGCTCGTTGATACTGACTCCAGGCCCGACCAAGGAAAGTCAGGCTAAAGGAAACGGTAAAACCACAAGCAGGGGATGCAAAGCAAAGCGAGGGCCTCCTGTGTAGATCGACAGAGACAGAACATGATAAGGGGAAGAAAAGAAAAAGAAGGCAGCTGGCGATAGGATGTTGAGCGAAAAGGGGATAAAAAGGAAGACAGCGGAAGTGGGTATCGTATCATTGAGGGGGGACGTCCATGTATTCATCATCGTTGTCGTTGATGCCTGTGGCATGCATCAGACCAGTCATCTGCCCCTCGTCTTCGTCCAACTCTTCATCGTCGTCGTACATAGTGGCTTCGGTTTCTTCGGGATGAGAAGACATATCTCGATTCAGGAACTCGCGAAGCCGAGTCACGCCCTCACCGCTGAACACGCAAAAGACATCTCTTTGTTGTTGAGTGAACTCTGGTGGGGCTTCTCGACAAAATGCCGTGAGGTTTTCGTTGAGGAATGCCTGCACACCGGTCAAGCTCAAGTGTGTAAGGCGTGGGCAGTTATTGATCAGAGGACGAATGCCCTAGATAAGTATTGTCAGTATCCAATAGAGGAAGTGGAACTATATAGTTGAGAACCGGCAAGGGGAATCATACCTTCATGTTCAGACCGGTGCAGTAACTGAGATGAACCCGCTCCAGGTTGCTGACCATCGGGTGATTGGCTCTGGGAGGGTGGGCCAGAGCAAGAATGCTTTGGTTGGTGATAGCCTGGCATTTGACCAGGCCAATACGGCGGAGTTTCGGCAAAGTCGCCAGTTGCTGCACACTGAGATCGGTCAAGCGATTGCAGCAAGCCAGGTCAATGTAGCGAATGCGGTTACAGGACTTGATCAGTTGAATGACCGCGCCGTCGGTGATGTTTGAGCAATGACCCAGATGGACGTAGTGAAGATTTTTGCCCAGTTTGCAAATGGCAGAGACCGAGCGATCCGTGATGAAGCGGCACTTAGCCAGCACCAGGTTTCGCAGACGAGGAGCAGCACTCACGATCCGCTCAACGGCGTCATCCTTGACATTTTCGCATGCGGTCAAATCGAGAATGCGCAGGCTGTCAAATGTCATTCGCTCGGGCAAGTTGAGGAATGCCGAGTCATTAATCTCCGTGCAGTGTGCAAGTCGCAACTCCCGTAGATGACGCAGTGTGGTCAGTAGCGCTGTGACAGACGGACTTGTCACCAGCTTGCAGTCATGCAAGTCAATCTCCAGGACTGCTGGGCAATTTTCTGCAAATGATTGGATTGACCGGTCAGTCACATTAGACACCCCGTTCAGTTTTAGTCTCTTGATTTGGCGACAATTCTGCGACACGACCAGCAGCGAGTCATCCGTAACCTTTGAACATCCTGTGATATTCAAGCCTTGCAGACGCGGACAGTTCCTTGCTACCGCGAAGAGAGTGTGGTCGGTCAGGGATCGGAGGTCGGAAACATCCAGTGCTTGTAGATGTCGGTTACCTTCCACCAGATCTGACACGCCCTTATCCGTAAGCTTGGAACAGTTCGTTAATGTCAACCGCTCCACTCGCTTGCATTGTGTGAAAGGGACCACTGTGCCATCACTGACGTCCTCTGTCAGAGCGGACAGGTTGAGCCGCTTGATGAGATCTGCGTAGGCAAAGAGGCTATCAGGCTTCCCCACGGATGACGCAACGCTCTTCAGGTTGTTCCAGTTGTTACACGACGGGCGATGCCATAGAATCCCAACGCAATTTGCAGCCCAGTTGCGAGACACCGACATGCAATTTAGCATGTCAACAGGCGACGCGAGTTTGGAGAAGATCGCGATCAAGATCTCAGGCGGGAGGCGGCCGATCGGTGGCACTGGGACAGATCGACTCGCGTGCACGTGGAGGTCGCGGAAAGTAGCGACACCGATCGATGACTGTGAGTCGTTGGCTTGAGCCATGAAGAAATCAGTGTCGTCATCTGCAGCGCGTTCCGGTGAGGTTGAGGACGAGGTTGAGGAGGGTGCTTCGCTCGAGAGGCGAGCAGAGGGGCGGATGCGAGGCATCTTGGTTGCCAGGGAGGAGTCGGTACTCGAGGGCCAATTCGATTTTCTTTTCGGGTCGTCGTAAGGGTGAAATCTCATTACTTCGTGAATGGTGGTGGTTGCATGGGCGGGATGTGTGTTTGTGTTTGTGTGGTAAGGCGAAGGCTGAACGCAGGGTAGTTTGGGATCTTCAAAGAGGCTCGATCGGGCAGGTTGCGGGCCGGCAAATCGTAGCCAGACCTCTGAGACCGGTCGAGTACTCGGGTAGCCTGTTCTGAGGGATGCGATGGGAGTGTTGTTGTGGATTATCGAGAGATGTGATGGGGTAAGAAGTGACGCGAGTTTTGACTGAGAGCTGAGGGAACCAGAGCGCTTAGACGTTCTGGTATGACGATGGTGTTTGGATCAGGTGTGAAGGAGGAAAGATGTCGCAAAAGTAAGATGCAAGTGAGAAGTGGTCAACGCATGGCCTGCACGCCCCTTGTAAATCCCAAGGGGGAGAGTTGAATGCAGGGCGAGTGTGCGTAAAAGGGACGCAGGCGGCAATGGAGGGGGATGAGGCAAATGGGTTACTTGAGTTAATGGGTGAATGGGGCCCAGTCTCACAAGCGCGGAGAGTCGGCGCCAAGCAACTTGCTTATCGATGTGATAAGATGGAGGGGAGCAGAAACAGAGAGAGAAGGGGGGGGGCAAAATGATTATAAATTCATCAGGAACAGGCAGAAGATGAAGGAAAGGCTCTTCCCTTTGTCCATTGCTACGGTACGACTTGGCTTATACTACTGCAGTATACTACAGAGGCCCGACTCGAACCCTAACGAGGCGCTTGATGTGGTCCCGTGCGGTCGCAGCTGATGATGACGATCCCGGCGGATCCTGGAAATCACGATACACTTGAGTCTAGAAACCAGACATCCTTCAATCACTCTTATTTAAAAGATCATTATAAATGTCTTTCGAATCATAACTCGTGACTGCTATGATGATTTTGAAAATTGTCGGGGTTTCAAACTTATGGAAACCCATTGTATGTACATTTGGTACACTTGGTGGTCCGCACATCCCCAGTCTCCCGTACTTCAACACGATACATCGCAAATTAAATTTCCAAGGATATCGACGGCTCTATAACTATTTCCTTCTAACATATCAGTTCCCCACACTTCGGTCGGATCCTTTCACCCACTCGCGCAGCACATTCTTGCGAATCTTGCCCGTGCTGGTCTTGGGGAGCTCCGCCACTATTTCAACCTCACGTGGGATCATGAACTTGCTAATGCCACTGGCATTCCGAGCCCAAGAGATCACATCAGCACCTTCCAGACTCTTGCCCTCCTTGACCGTGATGAATGCCTTTGGTCGCTCTCCCCAGTGGCTGTCGGGGATGGACACGACACCAGCCTCCAGAATATCGGGATGGGTGGCGAGCATCGACTCCAATGCGACGGAAGAGATATTCTCACCACCTAAGCATACAATTAGTATATTGTGTACAAAACGAAAGCATGGAGCTGATGGTCGCAGGGCCTCTTACCGCTGATGATAATATCCTTCGAGCGATCGAGAATCTGGATCGCGCCGTCGGGGTGCCAGACAGCCAGATCCCCGGAATGCAAAACCCCACCGGCAAAGAGCTTCCGAGTCGCGTCCGGGTCCTTATAGTATCCCTTGGCACAGATGTTTCCGAAGAATACAATCTCACCGATTTCTTTGCCGTCTCGCTGAACATCAGTGATCGTTCCCTCTGACACCTCGGTCTTGATTACCCGCACGGGCAGACTAGTGATGAAGCCATGACCCTGCCGGGCCATCTTCTGGTACTTCTCCTTCAATGGGATATGCTCCCACTCTGGGAGATGATACCCCTTCGTAATCGGCCCATAGGTCTCAGTCATGCCGTAAACGTGCACCGGGTGGAGGTTCAGGTTGGTCATTTGCTCGAAGAGGTGAGGCGTGGGTGGGCTAGCTGCCACAGTAACACGGACCGGCTCGGGGAGCCGTTCGGCTTCTTTCGCGTTGCATAGGAGAGTGTTAACCGTCGGGGCTGCGTTGAAGTGGCTGATATGCTCTTCTTTCAGTAGCCGCCAGATTTCGGGGTAGTCGATCTTGCGTAGACAGTAGTGGGTGCCACGAACTGCGGTAATAGCCCACGGGAAAGTCCAACCTGTAAACCCGGTTAGCTACCAGAGCTGTCATTTGGATACAGTGATTCGCGAACCCATTGCATGGAACATGGGCAATGTCCACAAATACTTGGCCCGTCCCTGGTTGAAATTCAAACCAGACTCAATGACATTAGCCAGAGCGGCCAAGTAACAACCGCGATGAGTATACTCAACACCTTTAGGCCTGGCAGTGGTGCCGCTGGTATATGCCAATGCAATTAACGATTCTTCATCAGCCGCTTGAGCTTCAAGGCCCGCCCAGCCCTGCGCTCCAGTCTCTGAATCGTACTTCAAGCCTTCTAGCACGGCATCGTCGAAGGGACCCGTCAATTCGCCTTCAGTAGCGTCGGTATCGGTGTCGACAATAATGGGAACGTTGGAATGTTGTGACCGATAGATGTCAAGGAGGTTTGTAAACTCTTGATCCACGATAATCACGTCTACATCGCCATGCTCAAAGATATAGGCGATATCATCCTGCTTTAGGCGGTAGTTCACAGCTGTATTCCCCCAATCGTATTAGCCAGCGTGCTCACTTCATCAGCCATTTCTTATTGAGAAACATACCAACGTTAATAGAACCAGCCGCGGCAATTCCAAAGATCGATTCCAGAAATGCCGGGGTATTGGGGCAAAGAATGCCAACTCTTCGAAAGCCCTTCTTTTTCAAGAAATATGCCAACCCGCGGGCGCGATCTGCGGTCTCGCTGTACGTTCGGCGCAGGATCTTATTGTTTGCGGTAACATGGTAAATTGCCTCGGCCTGGATCATTTCTCCTTAGTCAGATGCTTGTTTTCATCAGCTGGCCCAAGCAAAACGATAAAGCCAAAGGCATTGCTAGGAACATCCACGCGATTAAAACATCAGTTTACCTACATTAGGCTCAATTGCCGCCGCTCGAGGGAGGAAAAATGTGGGTGAAAGCGTGTGATGGTTGAAGCGGTGCTCGAACGGAGCTGATGCCGGAGACCCTGTGAAATGGCCCAGCAGGCCAGATAGCCGGGATGCAACGCCGGACATGATATGTGGATGGTGTGTTTATCGATTGATGCAAAGCACGATATCGGTGTTACACGACCGAATTACTCTGCGGGTCAATTCGACAGGAGCGAGGCACAGGGGAAATATGCAAAAGTAAAGTCGGTTCAGTTTGTTGGAGAAATGCGGGGAAACAGTCCGGGTTAGTCAGGCGGGTAACCTCGGGCGCCGCCTTAGGGGCCGCTGCTATTGCGGGCCGATCATTTGCACAAGCGGGTACTCGGGAATAATGACGCCTAGAAATGCTTAGGTCTAAATAACAGTCAGATTTGCAATAAGCTTGATGGTATTGGTATTCAGGGCTGCAATATAGGCTAAAGATGATTTTGAATACAATCAATGAAGCAGTCATCGTCTTGACTATTGGCTTTTGCTAGAATCCAATCCGAGGCTTGAACTTGACTAGCTCCTTTTCGGACACAAGGAATGCTTGGTTGTACCGGAGACCCGAGGCTATATACCTCGGATAGGAAAAAATGCTTTAAAAATAGAAAGGATAGATGGAGAAAAGATAGTTCAATAGAGAGCCTGAGGAAGTAAGATTGTCATCTTCAATTGGATCTGCAGATGAATTTAGATGCAAAAAGCTCTGTCAAACGCCTAGTTCCCGCTCCAGCTCTTGTACATCATATCATAGATCTCCAGATCCTTCTGGGCATCTTGAACGGTTGACTTGATGGCTTTGCCATGCATGAAAGCTTCATACATTTCCTGCAGCTCGGCTGTATAAGCATCCTCGTACGAAGACAGCATAGTACGCCGCTGAATCTCGCCGTGCTCGTTCGGCTCCTCCACCTCAACATGAATGGGCAGCCCTTTGACGTAGGGACTATCATACTGTAAGGACAAGTCAGTCTCTTCTTTCGACTAATGAAATCACGCTAAATCATGGACCAACCGCATACCTTGATCGTCACTCTCTTGTTAGCTCCGTAAACAGCAATATGGGCATCAAAGACCGGAACCCCGTCAATACCACTCTCATAAGTGGTCGAATAGCTTGATCCATCTTGATTGCGGAACGTCATAATAGCGCTGTAGAAGGGATCATTGGCAGATACACCAACGACCTTCTCAGGGAAACCAAGGACTTCACGCATGAGAGAAATATCATGAGACCCGAGGCTACCAAGGAAGCGGCAAAACTTGCGCATTTCATCCGTGATCTCCTGGTTTGGGAATGCCTCTGCATACAGCGCTTCCAAGCGTGCATCACGCTCCTCTGCCGCCCCAGCAGGGTAATCAGAATTCTTGACTTGGAATGTACCACTCTGATTGACGAACTGCGCATTAGGTCCACTGAAGTCGCGTACCCGTGCGTATAGAATTTTTGGAATAGTGGCGATCTCTCGCTTAAAGGCTTGCAGGAAGCTTGGGGCGTAGCGACGCATATAGCCCACGAAGACCCGGGCACCGCCAGGTGCATTCTTCTCGGCATCAATGATCGATTGTATCGAGGGAAGAGACAGGGATACCGGCTTCTCGATGAAGACGTTCTTGCCCGCTTTGAGACTGGCAATGGCTAGCGGGGCATGGCTTTCATCCGAGGTGAGGATGAAGACTGTGTCGACGTTGGGGTTGTCAATCACCTCTTGCGGGATGGTGGTTTTGTGCGGGACATTGAACTTTGTTGCACAGTGCTCTGTCGTGGTAGGAGAGAGATCGCAGATAGATTCAATCTTGAACAGATGCGAGAGAAGCAAGAGACAAGGCCCGTGGCAGACTTGGAAGACCTCCTGGACGGTGTGTTGTTAGTGATATGTTAATGACCTTGCGGGAGAGTTCGTACACCGGCGCCAATGATGCCAAGACCGAGTCTCTGGGGGGAAGACATGGTGTCAGAGGTGTTGAATGAGAAGCTCAATTGTAATTGACCTGCGATCTTTTTGTTCATGGAGTCAAGAGCTGAATGATCTCATCGTCGTTTGATGTTGGTGGAAGTGGGTCTCACTGAACATCCCACCATGCGGGGACCATTCTGCTCCGAACCCTCTTCACATAAAAGGCTTTCTAGGAAATTCTAGGAAATTTAGACGCGTGAAGGCCTCACACTATTGTATACTGTTTTTGATTTCAAAAGTTCTTCGAGTCTGTCGCTAGCTATCCTCAGCAGATTTTCTTCCGGCAAGATTTGTATTTCGCGATATGAGATTGGTGGCCAGTCCAATGCTATATATAGTCTCCCAGTCCATTACGTACCTATACTCCGTAGTGGTGATTAAGCGGGCATTACTTTGATCGTAGTATGTGGCGATGATGAATCCTACGTTAACAATGGCATACTTAGTACCTGGCGTATGAAGTCCCTTGGCCCTGCGTTGACATGGACGTGGTTGACTTTGCATCAGATATATATACGTGCCCGACGATGCTGATTCAAAATACGTTGGAAGAGAAGTGAACTAGAAGAGACCGAGGGAAATAGATTCATGTGATAGAAACACCCGAGTCCCAGAGAAAGTTGTCACAAACGGTGAATGCAAGACCGTCATTAGGGTTGGGGCTGAGATCCGGACAATGGAGTTTGTGGAGAAGGGTTCGGTTGTCAGGCACTACGTAACTCTAGACAAAGTCCGATTGATAGCCTTCAGATAAGCATATCAAATTGATACGAATGCGAGATAGCGTCATTGAAGGATGGACCGCATGGCTAAAGTAGAGAATCTGACAAGTGCCGCCAGTATATACGAGGAACATACGGAGAAGATGAAGAAGGCGCGCGCAAGGTAGAAGAAAAAATAAAACCTGCATCGTCATAAGATCATGTTGAACTCTTTGTGAACTCTTGAAAATTTGTTTTGGATTAAACCGCCACGGCGCGAGACAACAGCCAGCTATTTTAGACAACCTTTCATCCCGCGACTCCGTTTTTTCTGCTTTTGAGAATTTCCGAAGAAACCCAGTAGTCCCCCGCCAGATCACCGTTCCTAATCCATGTCCGTCACGACCCAGTCAAGGGCAGTGGTATTCACGAAGAAACAGGAAAACAAGATAACACAGACGGGGGTCCAGGCCCAATAGAAAAAGGTCGATCTCGGCTTGCCGTTCAAGTTCGCTGAAACAAAACCGTTCGCGATCCCAACCCAGATCCGTCACTCACAACAACCGGCCGCTCTTTATGAGGTATCTAGTAGCCGAGCTGAGCGAGCTGGCTCTTGGTCTTGCTGTCAACGTTCGCACCCTGCTCCGCCTTGGCGAGGTTACGGCGAGCGGCCTTCTTGCGCTCGTAGTAAGCCTTGCTCTTAACCTTCCGGCGCTCCTCAAGTCTGTAAAATGGGTTGTTAGTATCATTTCAATCCAATATACCATAGACCAATCCGGGTGGAAATGGTGGAATGCAACGTACCGAGAAACGACATCCTGGTACTTCCAGCCAACCTCGTGGCTGAGACGGCCAACGGTGCAGTACTTGCGGCCGGGGCGCAGGCGCAGGACACGGAGGGCCTGGGGAACGACAACGCGCTTCTTCTTGTCGTAGGGAGGGGGGACACCCTCGAAGACCTTCAGGCGCTCCATGGCAGCAGCACCGCGGGCAGTCTTGTGGGGAATCATGCCGCGGACAGCCTTGTAGAAGATGCGGGAGGGAGCGCGGAAGTGGAAGGGACCACCGCGAGTGGGGTTGAAACGGGTCATCTTGCGGAGGTAGGCGTGGTACTTCACTGTAGGTCGACGAAAAGAATCCAAGTTAGCGGTGTGTTTCGCCACAGTGTCGTTATATCCTCGCAAGGTCTTGTGTCGCAAAAAATTGGCGAAATGTCCTCCTCTTATTCCATCGCTATCTTTTTCGACCACCGCACAGAATGAAAGAAATCGGGAGAGGGTTGAACGTACGCTTCGCGCGGAAGAACTCGCCGGAGATGTTGAGGGCCTCACATCTCACAACGACGATCTTCTGGCCGTTAAGCAGCTGCTTGGCGACAGTGCTGGCCAGGCGACCAAGGAGGTGTCCTTTGCCGTCGATGACGACCTATATTCGAAACAAACAGTTAGCGATCGTGGTCGTTTCGGGTGTTCCACGCCAAAGTTGAAGATGTTGAAGATTTGAGGATTGAGAGGTGGCGGGCGAGATCGATAGCATAGCGTTCAAAGCGTTGGGGAGTTCAGGAAACGCACCACTGGTTCAAAAGAGGACATCCTGCTCTGTCACCTTTGTGGAAAGGAAGGTTGGATGGTTGTCGGCGGTTGTTGTCGTTGGAGTCAAGTTCAACGCACACAACGAAGTCGGATGGATCGCAGGCGAAGGGGGTTAAGCGAGCCCCGACTGCACCGCTGTGTGTGGATTAGTGGGTGAGGGCCGCAGCCCTAAGACCAGCCAATCGCGGGATGTGTGGATCACGTGGTGCACACAAGTCAGACCCGCCTGCCGCGGAAAGCGCTGATTATGTCATCGTTTCTTTTTCCCCCAATCTTTGGAATTGTGGTGCCATCTCACCCGCGCCTTTAGGGCATGCCGTTAGGGCTGCTAGTGGCAATGTTCTAGAAATTTAATGATAAGCCCAGGGCATAGTGATCTACGTGTGGTGTGAGACCTTATTGGGCAGGCATATGGGATGTACAGTCAGGTCTCTCAATAATGTGCTATCGACCAATATCTTGTTCTGCTGCTTGAAGGACTCAATGTCCATATCGATGGCATCTCCAGTTATCTCAATGGACTGTCAGGCTGATCTTGAAATGATGAATGGGTCCGATGACTAATACAAGTCTATGGACTGCCTGCATCCAGATCGTGGGTAGTCTAATGTGGTTGTGTGTCCCTCCGGGGTTTGAACATAATAATCAATTCATTCCTATCTCCAACCATTTGTCCACGTCATAGGCCCGATGAATAGCTGACTATATGCACATCGAGAAGCTCTAACATTGTAAGAAACGAATGCAGCCCTGACCACTCCTCCTAAGCGAGTACTCACAGATCAAGATGTGAACACATTCGACTTGTTAAAGAAGGTGTTGATCCTATAGCCTTGTCTTATGAGCTTTTCTGCAGAAAGGCACCCATGGCGGAAGCAAACCTAAGCAGAAAGAAGATATAAGCATATTGAAACACCTGCAAAGGGTGAAGAAATGAGGCCATACCCTGCAGTAGCCACGATTACATCTGCAGATCTGACCGAGGTCAATGACAAGGGGGCCGCAAAGGCAATCAGCGTTGCACTTGCAAAGGCTAGTCTCGTGTAACAGCTGTTCAGGAACCCTAAAACTAGAATCGCCATTGCCAGGAGAAGCAACATGCTGACTGTCAGAGTCACTCGAGACAGCTTGGCTGCAGCCTGCTCGGAAAAAGCTATGATTTTGTCGGACTGGTAAATCTGGCATGACAAGGTTATCAGCCCGACAATGGGATACACAAAATAATACCACCATTCGAGCTTATGTTTGCAAATGGTCTATTCCTGTCGGAAAGGATGGCGCTGCTATAAAGGCAGCATTCGCCCACGACGTTTCCGAGAAATGATACGACGGGCGATTCATCACTACGCGCACGCAGAATGGCTAGTGAAAGAGTTGTATGAATTAAAAAATGGTAAGCCGAATATTCTCAGTTTCTCGAAGCGCTGGCTAGGTACTAGTTCTCATATCGATAGGAGCTTCATCATCTCGCCGAAGAATCGAACCATGGAAACTTGCTTTGCCATCAGGTGTCCATTTCTATACCAACGACTGTATGACTAGAGTGGGACTGGGCGTGTGTAATCCGGGGGGAGTGATAACGTGTGGGGAACAGCACCTGAAGATGATTATCTAGAGTGGTACGCCTGCACTCTCGTAGATCATTCGGACTACAGATGGGATATGTCCCCCGGTTATGGGGCCCCTGTCGCACCGGTACAGTGCAAACTTTGTGCCAGCACCCGTGAGATGCTAATTCTTTCACCAGGAACCCATTCATGAAGGCCTCGCTACTCGCTCCTGGCTAGAAACGCCACTAGCCATGCACTTCAGCAAGCCGCCATTCAAGGACTTGCTGTGCGGAACAATTTCAGCCTTCAGTACCAAGCTCGAGAGATATACCGCGATAATTGGGGATAGGATCTTCGAGGAGTGGTCTGACGACTTATTCTCAGAGAGATTGCTACGCAAATCTGGATCGTCCTTGCCGAAAGAGCGACCACTCATCACGAGAGATGTTGAAAGTGCCATCAATGGTCAAGCTTCCTACGTGAATGGGACCTTACCTTCCCCTGCGAATGTGTGTGACGCTGTCGAAAGTCACATTAATCGCTTGACACCTGAGTTTCTCAAACAAGCAAGCTACGATTGCGTATTTTGGATGTACCTTCTGGAGCATAATTCACGACTCTGGGTCTGTCCCTGGTTCGACATTCGACTTCACAAAAGTTATAAACCGACCCTATCTAGAACTCCGTTGTTAGTCCATTTGTTATGCACCAAAACTGCTCAACCTGTTGCAGGGAAGCCAGGGACTATGACGACTGTCGATTTTCTTCGCCTCGAACATGCTAAATTCCTTCAATTGGTGTATGACAACTCACGTCGCAGTATTCTTGACCACTGGCCAAATTCCACGAGCCTGCAGGCCAATTACAAGAGCGCGATGCTTCGTTATCGGGCCATTATTGAGAAGTGGAACTGGTCAGATGCACCTTGGATAAAAGGATGGTCCTTACAACCCTTCCAGCTACAATCACCTGTCTCTGTGTACAAGTCAACCCTGCAAGCCATATATTTTCACCCAGAGAAGAACGAAGATTAGGAACAGGAAATTAAGGCTCTTTCCGCCGATTCGCAAAAGGCAGAGCAGGAACAGGAGAAGATGTTTCAGCCTAATATCACCATCAAAATGGTGTTCGATCAGTGGGAGAGCCACGGCTTGGGTCGAACATATGATGTCGATCCAAATATTGAGAGGTTTTCAAGAATCAGAAACAGCAAAACGCCGCATCTCCACACGGTAGGACAGATGAAACATGAAGAATGGGTAAAACTCGAGAAAAATGGCCTAAATTAAAGAGTATTCGTGCTATGTTCTTCCCTCCAAATACAGCACCCGAGAAAATATTGAAGAATATCCATGCGGCCTATCCCAGCGAGCCACAGCTGGCCGAGCCTGTTCGAGCTCGAGATGAAAAGGAAGTAAGGCAGTTGTTGGAAAGTGGAACAGAGATTGACGTTATGAATGATACTGGGCTCATGCCGCTGCAAGTAGTAGCCGCTCTGGGGTATACGGAAATGGTGCGATTACTTCTCGAACACAAGGCAGACATGAATGTCGAGCTACTTGCTCAGGGAGGTACAGAATACATTCCATGCACAGTTCTGCACATCGCAGTAGGGAGAGAGGACGCAGATATTGTCGAGTTGCTACTACAAGGTAATTCGAAAGGTCTCGGACGATTTCGACTATTCCAGCAAAGGTTTCGTGGTGGAAGGGGGTAGCTTAAAGCACGCTTAATTTGATAATTTTACCACTCACGCAGCGAGAATTACTGACAACAAAGCCCATACAGAGCCTGATATAAAATTGGTCAGAGGGACTTATGAGCCAGAAGAGACAGCATTCCATGGAAGCTGAAGCTCAAAAATTTTAGGGTAATTCCCAAATCAGATGCTTTCATATGTCAATCAATACCAGGGCGTGAGATTACCGAGATGTGGGTGGCGAAGGATCATGTATACTGAGGAGCCTAAGTGGACTCGGAGACAAGAGGCACCTGGAATTACACAAGTCTTTACATTCTAGTTGTCAAAGATGTATGGATGAACAATTGATTGATTGCAAGCAGACTTCTTCTCGCCCTTTTTCAAATTGAGACTAATGCACGGCTCTTTAGAGAGAATATCATGCCTTGTCAGTTATAGACGGTTGCAAGTCGCGTATTTCCCGCAAGGCCACCCACGGCTTAGAATCCCGAGACATTACAATGTCAATAGTAACAGACTCTTAGTTGTATGTTGTACTAGACAAGGAATACATCCGGGCAAGGCCGGCCAGCCTCCAAGTCAACTCTGCTCTTCCCAGTGCTTAGGCCCTCGCACCCTCGTCTTCAAGGAGACCGGCTCTACTAACAGAGCCGCAGCAATACTACAATCTGGGTACAACCACATATTTCAATAGTTGAGACATAGGTGTCACCTTGGCCTCACTCAAACAAGGCCCAAGACCCCTGGGCAATAATGCGTTCAGCGGGTCCAATGCGCTTACTCAAGTTCAAAGCCTGCTTGAGGCCGCCGTTAGCAGTTTACGGCCATGTGCATGAATAACGAGGCTTGGAGAGAGAACTCGCATGCCGGTTGCGCTGATTGTAACTAGGTCAGATAGTGACTCTGTCGACGTTGAGATTACCCTGTTGTTGGTAGGTAGTAGAAAGTAGAATACGGGCGAGTTAGGACCTTCCATTTTTGGATTCAGCAGGGCAATTAGATCGATATCAACTCCGATTTTAGGAGTAAAATAATTGGGTGCAGGCTACGCCTGGACGGGGCAGGGTCGTTAAAGGGCGACCTCGATATTTGCATTGCATTCAACTGCCGGTATCCAAATCATCGGACCTGGGAGCCATAGAGCCCTATATTACGCCTTGCACCTACCGAGAGCAGCGACATACATCTTCGATAGAGCGACCGCATTGGATGGATGAAAATTTGATACAGATGGACTTCTCATCCTCCGACAGGGCGAACATGCATCATATCGTAAACCCACCCCTCCTGGTCCAGCATCTGACCCTCAAAAAATGATGATCCTCGGCCCAACCCTCCTATCCTAATAGGGCATCTACGGCCGTAGGCAGCCTTCTCGAAGCAGTCTTATCACGACCACGAAAACGTGATCTGCGCACGGCAGCTGTGAGGCAGGTGCAGCATCGCATATTGTGGCTTGGGGATACTCCGATCCGGTGCATATCCTAGTGTCAACTTTTTCCGTTTAAGAAGGTTCTCCAGGAGCTTTGGCCTTCTGCATGTCGATGGTTGGTCGCTTTGATGCATATGCGAGTCCGGTGGAGGGGAACTGGCGCGTTCGGCGATGCCTGTCAGAGTCTAATGGCTTACATCAGTTTACGAACTGGGCGGGTTTGGATATGCTATTGGTAGCGGGTGTTTGACTTGTCTACCAATACTTGGACTTTCTTCTTGCAGGTTGCTATGCAGCTTGCTTCGAGGCTGCGAGGCTGGGACCCGTTGGACTGGCTGACGGACCTGAGTAATGCTCCGGGTGTTGCCCTGATCGGCCTACGAATTGAAGATGACTTGGCTTAATATCTCTGCAATAGTCAACCGCCGGTATATCAAAGACAGTGCAATATGATGCTCAATAGTACGATGAGAAGGGCCATTAGCCATCCCAGGTACTTCTACTCTGAGCAACAGAAACCCCGCACTAGTACTAACTAAGTTGCAAGTCCTAGAGCCTAGTGGTACAACATCCAATACATCATATTGTACACGGTCCATTCGCGCGCACCGTTGCGCATCTGACAGATCGGCCGCCCGCAAAAGCCGCCGCAAAAGTGTGATATCACCCCTCCATCACATCTCTCAGTCATCTGCACTGCAAATCCGCCAAACTCAAAGGATCAATTTTCCCAGTCTCGACCCCCCTCCAACCTATTAGCCTATCACCTCGGGCGCCTATATTAACACTCTCAGTGGTTACCCGCGCAACAACTAAAAAATCCCGCCTCCAACCACGAGCTGTATCCTCCACCCTCCCGCGACACGGGGTGGTCTGTTGAGCAGGAGCTGCAAAGCCGATCATCTGGAGTGCAGGAGGTGGTTTCTTCAGCAGGTTTATCGGGTTGCTTGCAGGAGGGTTGGAGGAGGGGGCGTCGTACCACATGTCTCATGGTATGCTGTTCGGTAGATCATAGGCCTATGGGAGTGGTTGACCGTTGATCTATCGGGATTAATCTAGTGCCGTGGTTTTGATTTCTAGAACGGTGGCTTCCAGGTTGAAGAGCTGATTGATGGTTTTTGATCAAATGAAACATGGTCTTGATGCAGGGGTTGATACTTGCATAGCTGATCTAGCTCGGCTCGAATTGTTTGCTGTTCCGCGTGCTTTTCATACGTCGAGTTGAGAGTAGGCCCTGCGTCAAGTTGGAGCTGTCTAGTGGTTTGCCTCACTGCTTTGTGTGTTACCTGAGACGTACTTGCTGAGAGCATTGGAGGTCCAATAGGGAATCTACCGGTGATGATCAGATCGTCAGTCTGGATCGAAATGTCGCGGGGCTTTGAGTATGGGTTGACTGTAGATGCAGGGCATAATGGAGTCCTTCAACTCTACAGTCAGTTCCTTCTAGGTAATGTTGCAAGCCCTGTGTCACGGGAAGAAGGACGCGTGTGCAACTTGACTGGTGATGCTTGTAGGATCGGAGGTTTTATGAGTATGGCTACGGCTAGAACTGGTTGAGATTGAAAGGTGGTGGTGGGAGGCTGTTTGAGTGGTGGGCCTTTGCAACTCAGTTTCCCGGGTTTGAGTCTGATGAGGTTGAATATTGAGTCTGAGCTGAGACTTGGATACATACTTGAGCGAATAGTCAGCTCGCATATCTTGAAAGGGCTATCAGTACTCTAGTCGCATGGATCAACCGATGAATGGATGAAAGGGATAGCTGCAGAGCCCATCACACTCTTTCCTATTCCGAGCGTCAAATGACCGAGACATTTCTATCTGCCATATGTAGATTATTGGGCTGGACTGGATGTTTCCCATTTCAAGACACGTGCTTCTTAAGCATCCATGTCTATATATTTTTCCGTATGTACTCTCCGCTATAAAACCACGGACTCTATAAAAAAGCCGTCTCAATCTCACACTCGCCGAGCTGCATCCAGCGGATGAGTTCGCAGGAAAGAAATCACTTGCTGAACCACCGCATCGGGTCCAAATGAATACAAGGTCGAAACGACAATAATGTAGCTTTTTCTTTGGGGGAAGTCGCAACTACCCATCGTTTGCGGTACTCTGTACGCCCACAGTAGTAGGGTGGGGGCCACTGACTATTGGGTTATTGGAAAGTGTACAGCAGAGAGGGACACGTTGGATCATGGGTCCTGGTGGGACCGGGTGGAGGGGCTAACATCGTAACTACTACGGTGAGAAGGTGATGCGATTTGTTGGTTGGTGCCCCGACCTCGGCCCCATTCTTGCATACCACGATGAGTGGCTGACCGACTGATTGCTTTTGCGATAGTCGGCTTCGTAGAATCTAGCGATTAAAGAATATTGACCGGGCGATCGTGCGATCCTGGGTTGGAAGTAGTGTCTACCTCGTGAACGGACAGGTCTCTGATGCTAATACATCGGTACGTACTCGAATTACTTCTGCTGCACGCTGATCAAGCTGAACCATCAGCCCTGAGCAGCGAGAGTGTACGGAAGAAAAGTCTTCATTCTAGCACTGCCTACTAGAAAGATTGGAATATTAACCGGCTCAGTTGGAGCATTCCAAATCGCGGGGAAAAGGCGGTGACTCGTGGTCAAATTCTATATATAGGGCCATAAGTGGAAACGCACTGAAATTCTTCAAGTTGGAGTAAATCAGTATGTACTGTATTCACTAGTTGCGACTCTGGAACGTTTAAGCCACAAATTAAGGTGTCCAGTACCCACGGAACCAGCCGGCCACGAGTTTCGGGAAACCAAATAATTTGACTATAGCCAGGGCCCCGTTATTTAATTACGTTACCTAGCGAACAAAAAAACAAAGTGTGGCGAAGAAAAATTCCAATCAGATGTTTGTACTTTGAAGTACATTTGCATATAATTTAGACTTGAAATATACATCGCCTAGGTACTGACCGAGCTGCGCAGCCTGGCACAGTCTTGAACCAATTAGATGGCTCAAGGCTGTGCCAGCTTTGACGTGGGGCGTGCGGGAGGGCGAAAAGAGACGAGGCGAGAAACAAAGCCCGCACGATGCGGGGGATCCCATTGGCTTGTCAGAACGGACAAGATCGGATGTGTTCCTACATGTCTACATTGTCCATGATTAATATTGTTGGTTGGTAGAGGGGGCGAATTCTTGCCAGGGGCGACCTGAAGTTCAGCTTGAGGCGTTGGAATCAATTCTAGGTATTTCACCAACCAACCGACTAATTTGAGCTATCACGGTAGTTACGAATGGGAAACGGGAAGAATGAAGGAAACGATAGGTCATGCTAAATCGATGGCACCAGGCGTGGGGTATGTACCCAGGAGTACCTGTCAGGAGGGCGTGTCAGTTGGAGGGGGAGAACTAAGAACTGGGAAATTGAGTAAACCTTGTAAGAAGCGGTAGATCTGCATGTCCGAGACTTGTTCTCCATAGAGGACTAGATCTGTGGCGGGGTTCACTTGTCACTTGTTACAGTAAGAGGGACTTGGGAAGGTTTCCCAGTCTGGTCAGTCGTACATCGAAGGCTAGCCAGGTCACTGACTAGCTACATACGTAACTGTGGTAACTCCATAACATGCATAGGTAGCGTCCTTGGTAGAAGAAGTTTAGTTGGGGACTGACGTTGTTGGAACTTGAGGGGTGTGAGCTCAGGACTGTGAACAATGCTGAATGCGGGGCAGTGGAAATAGCGAGAATCCCGCATCATTATTCTATGATCTATCCCGGGGCTGGGAGGATCATCACAGGCATAATCAATCATAATCAGATGTGTAATAATGACTCTCAGAGCTCTCCTCCGATCCTTGAGGAAGAGGGATCCGATCATCAAAGAGCGGGCTTTTCCCTCGTGTTGATTGACTGCCCCACTCTAGACGAACGGACGACTGGAAGGCATGTTCTCCCCCGTATGTACGGAGATACTTGGGATGTCCAATCCCAGTCCAAGCCCAGTAACTCCACGGAAATGCCACGTCCGTGTGATTGAAGGGGCCCAGGCCAATTCAGACCAACCGGATGCGAGATGCACTGGCGCTGGAAAATTGAGAAAATTGAGAGCGTATTCGGTGAAGGTGCACCAGTAAGAGTCCATCAGAACCAGTCAGGGCGGCGCATCAAGCGCCTAGCCATGAGGGCGCCGGGGGTGATGGGGTGATAGCCCTGGCCGTGGGTGGGTGAGGAGGGTGTCATCGCCTTGTCTTTTGTGGACTGGGGGGAAGACTTGAAAGGCCTTTTGAATGATTTGCACTGGAATTGATGGCGTATTAGTAGAAGGGTTTGTCCAGGGAAATGGAAAAGATGATGGCATGGTAGTGATCATCCTGCTCGAGTCCCAGTTTCATACTGCAATAGACAGACACTGTCTTGCCACTCCTTCTCTTGCTCTCTCACTGTTTCTCTCCTTCTCTCTCTGGCGTTGGGCATCCAGTACTGAACGAGGACGAAGTGAGGCGACTCAGTCTATTTGGACCATAATTCTGGAGACATTCCACGCCGAAACTTCCTCAACCGCCACCGCATTGGCGTCTCGGTAGTCGCAGTGGCGGAGTCGAGTGGAAGTGGAAGAAAGAATATTACAAGATTATTACCTTGATTACCCATTGATTACAATTATTACATACCAGGCACCACCACGTCAACCACGGAACCACGGTACCATACCAGTACATCTTGAAGTACAGTACTTTGCTGTGGCTCAATTGATCCCCATCTGTCTGGTTGGAGATTCTCATTTCTATCATATCCTTTTATCCTACTACTACTACTACTACTCCCCCCTCTTTCTGACTATCAGAACTGGTGGCCCTGAACCAATTCTGTCTGAGACACTTCCCATTATCTCCGTGCCTGGGTACCTGTTGTACCTGGCTCTGTTTTCCCTGTTTCTTCTCTCTTTAATTGGGAACGGCCCGACTTTCCTTTCGACCCCGACCGTCGCCGACCTTCCATCCAGCATTTCTAATCTCCAATCCTTCTTCTCTGCTGTCAAAGCCAAAAAAGAATTACATCAGGAATTAGATGGTCGGCTTCGGCTCAATCTCCTGACCTTTTCCCCTGATTATTATTTGCCCCTGACCTCTCCTGATCGGTCATTCCGGACCCTGCCAGTATCTTCTGGATGTGGATTCCTGTCCGATCGTCGTCCCCCAGGGCATTCCCATACATACGTCGCTCTTGCTCCACCGCCTCTTCTTCCCCTCTTCTCTAAACCACCACTGCAATCCCATCTCCTCTCTCGCTCTCTTCCCCTCTTTGTCTTCCTTCAATTCCTAACAGGGCCTCACAACCCTGTTGATGGTTGATTGGAATTTACCCGCGTACCCCTGATCCCCCCCCCCTGATTACAGTTTGCCTCCCCCCCGGAACATGATCTCGCCACCAGATCTCGACCCATATGTGGTGCTGGGGGTTTCCAAGGATGCCACCGTCACTGAAATCCGGGCGGCCCATCGCAAACGAGTACTGAAGTGCCATCCCGATAAGGTGCAAGATGAATCACAACGAATTGCCGCTCAAGATGAATTCCAGCGAGTGCAGCAAGCCTACGAAACTCTATCCGATGAGACCCGCCGCGCCCGCTACGATCAGAAGGCCAAGCTTGCAGAGCTAAAGCGTGAACTGCTCGAGAAGCGAAGACGAACCGCAGAGTCAACACCGTATTCTTCTCCGCGAGGAAGTGGGAGTGGAGGTCCTCGTGAAGTGCGAGAAGGTCGTGTCTTTGAGGAACGAGTCCCCGTGGACATCATCTTGGATGAGGAATTGCGATTCACGGAGGAGCCCCGTTCAATGTCTCGCAAATACGACGAATTTGGCATGCGATCCAAGCCCAAGCCCACCGATGACAGGAAGAAAGCTCGCACCCCAGTCAGCAGTTATCGAGCCGCCAAGGACCTGCGGGAGACGACGAAGGCAAAGCTGGCCGACCAGGCCAAGCAACGGGACCGCGAGCGCCGTCGGCAGGCCTCTGCCAAGTATGACAACTATGACTCGTTTGCCGAATCCGACAGCGGTTCAGACTCGAGTGGCTCCGAGATCTACGTGCGTCTCAAGAAGCCGACCTACCGATCCCGCGAGTCCCGCGATTCTCGTGAACCGCGGGAATCCAGGGAATCGCGATCCCGGCCAACGGAATCTGTCCGGCGTCGTGGTCGTTCCTACGATGACGACGACGATGATGATGAAGACGAGCTTCCTGGTCGATACAGCAGTCGCAAGCATGATAGCTGGCAGCATCTGGCCGAGGAGCACATTCAACGCTCCAAGCATGAAGGCCCACGGGGGTCTCGGTCCCCACCGCGACGCCGTGGTTACGAGTCAGCCGAACCAGAGATGAACACCAGTCGGCGCGCGGCTCGGTCCTCCCGCTCAACCCGGAACCAGTCGACCTCCCGCAACAACTCCTACGAGCACCTGGAATTCCCACGACGGGAACGTGAAGAATTCAAGCCTCCCAAGATGCCTAGTTCCTCTACTTCACCCGCCTACAAATCTTCTATCCGCCCCTCCTTGTTTGGAGCGCGTGCCACTACCTCGACCGGCTTCACTCGTCCCAAACGGGAGAGTTCTAGCCGCGAAGAGCCTTCCCTAGAGAAGATGGCCCGCGAGTCCATCCCCGCCCGGCCTTCCAGACGCTATGACTCCGGCTACTCCAGTCCCAGTACCCCCGAGATGCCCGCCAGGGGCACCTCCCCCAAGCCGACCGCCCGCTACAAGATTGTACCTGATTCAGTCATCATTGAGCCCTCAAAGGCCACCAAGTACCGCTCGGTATCCCCCGAGCGGGCTCGTATGACCCCTAGACGAGCCAGCACATTTGCCAACTTTGACACAGAAGCGCCACGCATAGAGGTCCGCTCTGTGCGGCCTGTGCGGCAGTACGATGATGTCGAGTACACCTCTCGCCTCCGGTCCCAGGACGTCAAGTACGCCCGCGAGATTCGACCCAACGACGTCCACGTTTCGCCGGGTCGATCTCACTACTACAATGACCACCGCCATCCCCAAGTGGGAAGACGTCAGTCGACAGCTGCATGAACGAAACCACATAAATGACGACAGCCCACGCTCGTGCATATCTTATTACAGTATCCCTTCTGCGCTTGATTCAGGATTTTTCTACATCATCATCGATTATCTCGCACTACTCCCTTTTTTCAACATCTTTCTTGTCAATATTTTTCCAGCGGTGACCGCCACTACAGCCCTAGTCCACCATCCTATTATCTCACGGAAATCCCCTGGCTCCATCCTTATCCCCCCGACAATGGGGGCATAGTACCTTCCGCCCAGGGCGATGAATGGGCTCATTCTTCTATCCCCACCCCTTTAGCATTGGGACGGTTCGGTTCGGTTCGATTTGGTTTGGGTATCCGCGCATGATCAGGCACTTCCCGGTGGGGACACAATCAATCTGGTTTTCTTGTCGGCGCTACAGGTTCGGGGGGCAATGGTGTTTATTGTTTCATGATCTCACAATCAACCATACCATACTACAACCTATCTGGCGTCTTTGTGATTTTTTGTTTTGTGATGGTTTATTATTATGGTGTCTCATGTTTTTGTTCGAGTCTCCATTTTCTCTGTTTGCTCTTGCGATTCTTTTTTTCATCTTTATCTTTAGTCCGGGACAACACATTTATCTAGAATCCCGTGAAACCTATGACCCTTGGTGGGGCGAGAGCCTTGCTAATTAACGAATTAACGCTTTTCGATATGATTATACGTGGTTTTTCTCTGGAACTTGTGTTTTTCCTGTTGTTCGTGCTCTGGTTAATTTGGTAAAATGTAGATTGGTGCCATACATAGTACAATGAATTGAATAACATAATTTAATGATTCAGTTGCTGTTCAACTCGAGAAATTTGAAGACGGGGCTTTCCCAATTGTTAATTCTGAGTCATTGCCTGAGTATGTAGTTAGTTAACTAACCCAAGCTCTTGTTTCTTGAATGCCCAAGACTGTACCCAAACATCGCCACTTTTTTGTTATTTTGGAAAGCCGTCGATGATAGGATAAACGTCGATAATATGATATTCAGTGCCCACAACAGTGTAAAGTAGTTTAGTTCATTGCAACTATATACAAGTTTCATTCCAAAGCACCCCCAATCAAATCCGTAACCAGTAAGAAATAGCAACGGGGTATTGAATAGATGGAGTACACATCTCCCAACCTAACCTTATCCTACTATACACTTCCAATCAACATGCGTGAAAACCAGATTGCAAGCAATATATCCATTACGTTCACAATAGTCTGAGCTCAAACCAGGACGTAAAAGACGCACATCTAGATTGACAGTGGTATTAGCAACGCAGAAAGATAAAGGGTATAGACAAAACTCACTATCGAAAGACCCGAGATCATCGAGAACCAGAAGAAAACATTCTACATATCGAATTTTAGTATTTCTCCCGTAAATGAAACACGGGTTTGAACTTTGTCAGAACTTACGTTGAGAGTCTTCCTTCCCTTGAAAAACCGCGACTTCTGCACTGCGACGATGGGAAGCTGGAGCATCATAGCTCCGAAGCCGTAACCGCGCAATTTTTTGGTGATACAGCTCATGACTACTTCGTGGAAAATCGAGCTGACCAGGAATGTGATGAACATGGCCACGGGTTGAGAAAAGTGGGAGCGGGATGGGAAGTAGACATGGCGGAAGAGGAAGTGGTGGACGGGGACGTTCCACTCTCGTGAGAATTCAAGCCTGATATCAGTGTTAGCTATTTGCCGAGAATTGAGGTTGTTAAAGGGCTTAGTCTCACCAGTCACACGAGTTCCACCAGTCAGAGTAGAAGTGTCGGTCAGCGAAGCGGGTCAGCTCTGCGAATGCGCCTAGCACGTATTCGAAGATCACTAGGAATACTAGTAGGAAGGTCACCATGAAGGGGAATAGTAGCATGCTGATGGTCTCGGCCAGGACGAGCGCCTTCTCGGTTACACTGTCGAGAGCTTCTAATTGAAGGTGTGCCTCGCTCAGGACAGGAACGATGAATTCCTCGCTCGTTAGTGTGAGCAAAAAGATACATCCAAATATTGCAAGAGTCTTCCATGCAATCTCATCCCAGCGGCGGTTGGGTCGGCGGGGGTACTCCAACTCATAACATAGAGTTGGGCAACACACGAAGTCTGCGTAGTTTCCAAGACTTAGGTTCTGTGGGTAGGAGATGTTGCCCAGAGGGGAGGTCAACTCTGTGGCCAGGTCTTCACGTAAACGGGCCAGAGGCTCAGTGGAATCGTCATCGTCATGCTGGGGCTTCATTGACGGGCGGCGGCGGTAAGGCTCCGGATACCGGATTGCAGCGGGAGAGCTCGGCTCAATGGGGCCTGGCTTATCGAGAGCGGCGAGACGTCGCTCAGTCTCGCTAAGATGGCCATTATAAAAGGCATATGAATGTAATTTCATGAGAATCGTCAAGAGATGGAGGGTGAAAAACACTTGGGCCGTCCAAGTCCAGAGGCGCATAAACGGCCAGCTTTGAGGCCTTTAGTTAGCTCAATGTCCCATATCCACAAGTACAGAGTGCCCACAAGTCCATGTTGGGGCATCAACCTACTTGATCCACACCGCTAGCCACAGAGCCTCTCCTATGCTTTGAAGGATCATACCTCCACGTGCCCACCGCAGCCACCTCGGCCCGCTGCGCCAGATCTTATGCATGGGCAGGACAAGTGCCGAGCTGGCCACCATGGCCAGATCAGTCAGGCCCAGCTCCCACACATTGGCCGATAACAGACTCCAAACTCGCACCCGCAACGGGTATCCAGTATCCTTAATATTGCGTAGCATAGTTGTAACCACCATAATCACCAAGCTGATCCAGAACAAGGTGAAGAAACCCCGGAAATTGTGATAATCGCTATCGGGATCGAAATGGGATACTCGAGGCACGTAGTCAATGGTATAAAAGAGGCGATTCCGAGCGCGCACTTGCTTGCGCGCCACCGCAATCGATTGCGCCGATGGGGGCGCATCTTCAGGGATGGGGGTGGAGTAGCCACTGCATTTGGGGATTGATTTGTTAGACGGCATTGCTCGAGACTCGAGATGTAATTCATTCGTGGTAGTTGCAGGCTACATACCTTGCATCTGAACTCAACCTATCCAGCATAGGAGGCGTTAGAGTCGCATCGGCCTTTGTGTCGGGCTGATTGGGAATGGCGCGCGGCCGGAGGACGGACGGGTCATGCTGGGCGACGGCAGTGGACATCCTCGGGCGGGAGAGGAAAGGATGCAATTGCGAGTATGTAAGATAAAGATAGAGAAAGGAGAGTTCACATTGAAAGCATGAACGGGAATAGGCGAAGTCGGGAGGAGGTTAGGATGTGGGATTGATTTTATGTTGTTGACTGATCTATGTCGAGATGTTCCGAGGGGGAGCCGGAAAGCCGAAAATTGGGGCGGGTCCGTCCAACTACGTCAATGGTGAGCCTTAAAACCTTAGAGCCTTGGAGCATCTGAGCCTTGTGGAGTGTATGTATTAAGGTGACCATGCCATGTGCTCTGCATGAAGTGGGCTTAGCTGCGAACTGTTTGATCTTAGGGCCATGGCATTTGGCACCAAGACCAATAGTTTACAGAGAGTACTGTTGTTCGTCATTTCTAGCTGCTTCAAAACTTGGTCCTGCATGCTCATTACGTCTGGTTGTCTTGGATCTCCTACTCACCTTCCTTAGGGACCACAACCATGGATATCCAATAACAATACTCTGGTTTTTTTCTATTGGACTAAGTTTAACCAAGTATATCAAGTCTACTTATCTTTTATGATCGAGGTGCTTATAAAGCCCTACCACTGCGATACTCAGGTACAAGTGTAAGCTACAGTAGACAGATGAAATCATGTGACCCCGAATAACTGCCGCTTACATCAGCGACTCCTCATGCTCCCATTTTAGGACTAGCGCGCTTTTCCCGCGCCAAGAAGCCAGGTCGACCCCCAAGTCACGGGCCATAATAATAACGCCAATCCAGACCGGACCGCTGAATTGCTTCAACTACTGTCGTGCGAGCTACCGTATCTGTCTTGGATCCCACCGCGGGCCCCCTTTTGGACTTCCTCCATTGTCACTTCTCTCTCCTGACCCCGCCAGGGGTTGTGGATCACCATGTCTTCCCGTAAGTTGGCCGCCTGTCACCCCTCATCGTCTCCCCTGAGGGTGCCGCAATGTGCTAACCCCCGCATGTGCAACCAGTGAAGCAATTTATCCGCAATGTTCGATCGGCCAAAACCATTGCCGACGAGCGGGCAGTCATCCAGAAAGAAAGCGCCGCTATTCGAGCCTCGTTTCGCGAAGAGAGCCACGACTCGGGCATCCGGTTAGATCTCCAACAGCCTCGTCCTCTCCCGATTGATGTATAAAGATGGTTCTAACGAGAGACTATAGGAGGAACAATGTGGCCAAATTGCTCTACCTCTTCACGCTGGGTGAGCGGACTCACTTCGGTCAGATCGAATGTCTAAAGCTACTCGCCTCGCACCGTTTCGCCGACAAGCGACTGGGCTACCTGGGAACAATGCTGTTGCTCGACGAGAATCAAGAGGTGTTGACACTAGTGACCAATTCATTGCAGAAGTCAGTGGCCCATTATTTTGAAAGCCATACCGTGTCCGTGGAGGACAGATACTGATACCCAACTAGTGACCTGAGCCACTCTAACCAGTACATCGTCGGTCTCGCCCTCTGCGCCCTCGGTAACATCGCCTCCGTCGAAATGTCCCGAGATCTTTTTACCGAAGTCGAGAACCTTATGTCTACAGCGAACCCCTATATTCGACGGAAAGCCGCCATTTGTGCGATGCGGATATGTCGCAAGGTCCCAGATCTGCATGAACATTTCCTGGAGAAGGCGAAAACGTTACTCGGGGATCGGAACCATGGCGTCTTGCTTTGCGGCCTGACTTTTGCGATCGATCTGTGTGAGGCTGAAGAGGAGGAGGAAGGCCCGGAGGGAGTTATTGAGGTGTTCCGACCGCTTGCCGGAGGTCTCGTGCGTGCCTTGAAGGGTCTTACAACGTCCGGTTATGCCCCGGAACACGATGTGTCTGGTATCACAGATCCTTTCCTCCAGGTGAAGATACTCCGGTTCCTGCGGGTTTTGGGCCGAGGAGATGCGGCTACCAGTGAATTGATCAACGATATCCTGGCCCAGGTGGCCACCAACACCGACTCGTCAAAGAACGTGGGCAATGCCATCCTGTACGAGGCTGTGCTCACCATTCTCGATATCGAAGCCGATTCTGGTTTGAGGGTGCTGGGTGTGAACATTCTTGGAAAGTTCTTGTCCAACAAGGACAACAACATTCGCTATGTGGCATTGAACACACTCAACAAGGTCGTTGCCATCGAACCGAACGCAGTGCAAAGACACCGGAACACCATCTTGGAATGTCTGCGGGATCCTGATATCAGCATTCGCCGGCGAGCGCTCGATCTCAGCTTCATGTTGATCAACGAGAGCAATGTGCGGGTGCTCGTGCGGGAATTGCTTGCTTTCTTGGAGGTGGCCGACAACGAGTTCAAGCCAGTCATGACAACCCAGATTGGTATCGCTGCTGACCGCTTTGCCCCGAATAAGCGCTGGCACTTGGATACCATCCTGCGGGTTCTCAAGCTGGCTGGGACCTACGTCAAGGAGCAGATTTTGTCTTCTTTTGTTCGCCTTATCGCAACTACCCCCGAGCTGCAGACCTATGCCGTTCAGAAGCTCTACTCTTCTTTGAAGGATGACATCTCGCAAGAGGGTCTCACACTTGCGGCTACTTGGACGATTGGAGAATACGCCGACAGTCTGCTGGAGGGCGGCCAATACGAAGAAGAAGAACTGGTCAAGGATGTCCGCGAGTGCGACATTGTTGACCTGCTCAACAACATCCTCAACAGCACATACGCTAACCAGATCGTCGTCGAGTATATCATCACCGCGTCAATGAAGCTCACCACACGTCTGCAAGAACCCGCTCAGATCGAACGTCTGCGTCGCCTCCTTTCCAGTCGCACCGCCGACTTGAGTGTCGAGATTCAGCAGCGTGCTGTCGAGTATAGCAACCTCTTTGGGTTTGACCAGATTCGTCGTGGTGTCCTTGAGCGCATGCCTGCACCCGAGATCCGCGAGGAGCAGCGAGTACTGGGCGCCCCCACCAAGAAGCGCCAGAGCAAAATCCTCCGCGGCAAGTCCACCAAGGTGTCCAAGCCTGCCGAGCACGACCTACTCCTCGATCTAATGGGTGGCTCCGATGCGCCCGTGACCAGCCCGACATCAAACGGGTCCAATACCGCCGATCTGCTGGCAGATATCCTGGGCGGAGGGGACTCGAGCACATCGTCGCCAGCACCCGCGGCAATGGGTCAGACCTCTATGAACAACGCCGTGATCATGGATCTGTTCGGCTCGAGTGGTGCCTCGCCTTCTCCTCAGCCAACCCAGCAGCCTGCCTCTGCCTCCATGGACTTGCTTGGTGGGGGTGGCCTGGGTGCTTCTGCACCCTCACCCTCTGCCTCGCCCGCACCTGTCTCCGCTTCTACGCCTGCACACAGCGTCTACAACAAGGATGGTCTTGTGCTCACTTTGCAAGTGCAGCGAAGCGGTCCCAACGCTCAAATTCTAGCCCGCTTCCGCAACGAGTCCAACTTTGACAGCTTCGCCAACGTCGGCCTCCAGGCCGCTGTGCCCAAAAGCCAGCGCTTGCAGCTGAGTGCTATCAGCAAGGCTGACCTCGAAGCCGGTGACGAGGGCACCCAGACCCTGCGTGTGACTGCATTGAATGGGGTATGTTTTAACCTTAACCCGTAAACTAATTCTTAAACATGAGACTAACCGCATTACCCTAATTCAGGCCCTCCCACCCAAGCTCCGCCTCCGCCTCCGAGTATCATCCACCCGGGACGGAAACCCAGTGACCGATCAGGTCGACTGGTCCGAGCCATAAGCAACCAGACAAGCTCAATTCACATTCTGCATCTTGTCAAGGTTTACAGCTGAAGGTTAGGACCATTTGAGATGCAAAATATTTCAGGCGGACAACCATTTTTTTAATTCAACGAGCAGCATCCCCCAAAATTCTCGCAGTTCTATACACACACAACCCCTCTAGTCACGTTACGCCTTCATATTTTGTTTCTGCTTGGCCTCTTTTAGACATTTCATGCTTCTTTTTTTGTCCTTACTTCCCACGTATCTTCCTTCCGCCATCGCTTCCTTCTTAGGATGGAAGGCCCTTTTTCTTTCTTGTACATGCTTCGTTAGCAGATGATTCAGTGCATGGACAAGTGCTGCATGGTGCAAATTGATTGGTTCTGTGTTTAGTGTGTCGTCCTTGAAGTAAAGTATGGCCATCGATGGGACTTCGTCTACGCAGTTTGAAATGGGAGTTTAGAGAACATTTGGTTTCAACGGACTGGAATTTCTGTCTGCTACTTGCAAGCATCCTAGCTAGACATCCAAAGAGAGACAAGCCTGAACAACAATGATCTTACAAAAGGAACTCAAGAAAACCATTCACACACGAAACAAATGCCCCAAAAAAAGAAGTAGAACAAGCGACCCAACGCCAGTGTATATCCAAAAATCAGAGTAGACAAAGCAAAGTACTAATGCGGCAGTAACGCCCGACGTCCAGCGTATAGAATCAAAATGCAAAATGTATCAAGACAACCCACCGGACAAACCCCGGCTTGAGCTGATGAACATAACATGAGAGTGTTTGGTTATGGTCATGTTTGTATGTAGACCTACATGTGCTCAATAGGTTCCTCGGGGAGTAGCACCTGGCCCTCCCTCCGACCTGAGGGGAGACAAGCCTTGAGAGGGGGACGGATGATATCGTTGAAGAGGAAGGTGCCGTAGACGAGGAGTCCGAAGCCAACGACTTGTAGCCACTTGAATGATTCCCAGCCTAGACCCAGAGAGACGAGCCAGATGAACAGGGTGCGGCAGGTATCGATTGTGCTGCGCGAGGTGGCAGATACAGTGCGGGTGACGGAGAGACCGAAGAAGTTGAAGCCGCTGCAATAGTTAGTAAGAGTCCAAGATAAAAATAAAAATAAAAATGGGGATGGTGCAGGGTTGGAAGGGGTTGGAAGGGGTTGGAAGGGGGTAGAAAATGTAGAGTCGAAAAGAAGAGATGGACACACCCAATGCTGATCATGATCAGGATACTAGAAATCGCCACGGCGCGATTCGTGCTGATTTCGTGCCATCCCTCCTTCATATCGAAGTAGCCATACCGACCGGCATCCGTGCTACCGACGACCACATAAGCGATAATCATACCGATCACGGTAACCGAGAATCCAAAGATACCCTCCCAGCCAACGACTTGAATAGGATCCATAGCATAATTCTCAAGAATCCACTCCTCAAGAACAAACTGCGTTGCCGTGAAGATCTGAGCAGCCGCAATCAGCAAAACACCAATAATAGTCTGTACCGCTTCAGGCGTCCTTCCATCCGCATGGACGGAGGTCCCGCCATCCTGGGTGATATCGTGACCGCTATCACCGCTGAACAGCGCACCGGCAAGGCCAACCAGGGCCACACCTAGTACTACGATGAAAAGCGCACTCCACTGGTACAGGAAGAGCTTGCGGCGGAGGAAGAGGACACTGAAGAGACCGACGAAGAGAACCAGGGCTCCACGAGTCATCTGGTAGATACTGGCGGCGACGAAGAGCAGGCCCACGTTCATAAGGGTGGTGCCCGCGATATCGCAGCAAGACGGCGCGGCAAGCAGGAGAATCCGCCACCCGCGCAACTTAATGCGATCATCAACTTCGTGTGCGGGCTTGCGGTGGTCATGGCCATTATGCGCATCCAGTGTGTGGTCCTCGTCCTCGTCCTCGTCCTCGTCCCGCACAGGTCGATACCCGCCCTCGAACAGCGGAGACGACTCTCGAGTGAGTCGAGGTGCCAAAAAGCGCTTATAAATAATCGACAATCCGACCACAATCCAACAACCCATTTCACCGACAAACATTTGGGCCCTAATCGATCGGGAGGATCATCGTAAGCCAATTTCCAGCGAGTCATAGTCATGTCCATCACGCAACTCTGCCACCCGACGATATCACCTACGTCTGAATCACTGGCTGCTCAAACAGCTTGCGCTCCTTGGGATTGGGAGAGTCACAGTTCCGTACACATTGCATATCCTTTGATCGGGGGTTATCATTAGCTGGGGACGCTCCTCGCCATGGATCTGGGCGGGCGTGTTACCTGATACTTGTTAAGAATAGTGTTGCAGACTCCGGTCACGAGCATCATCGTGACCAGGATTGGAATAAGGCCGCGGTTCACCATGGTGTCCCTATAATCGTTGGAATGGGACTTGAGGCGGGAAGGAGGGATGGAGAAGAGAAGTGGAGAGGAGAGGAGGTTGGAGTCAAACAAAGCGGAGATCGCCCTTATCGGCTGATAAGCAGCCACTGGCCAGCTGACGTGACTGAGTGGGTCCATTCCGGCTAATGAAACTATACAAATACTTAAGCAGCCCTGTTACAGTAGAGCAGATCTACAAGTCAGCAACAAAGTACAGAAATTACTGTAGGAAAATATGATAACATCAATGCCCTGATATTGACAAGGTTGTAGATAGATATTATGAAAAAAAAAAATAGACCCATTCCCCATCCTGGCAGGTAACAACAGAAAACCCCCTCTTTTTCCCCCACAGTATGAACGCCATCGCTGATCACAGGTGGGAATCACAAAAGAAAAAATGAAAAAAAAAAAAAAACCGGACACGAAAATCCAGCATCCTCGAAAAAAGGATCGCTCAAAGAAAGGGAAGTAGAAAAGGGATGAAAGAGAAAGGAAAATGGGCTGCCAAGAAATAATGAGAGAAAATAGGAGTCCCGGGTTGGGTATGGTACACACGCTTCCAGATTGCAACCCATCATCAAATAAAAAAAAGAAAATCGAAAAGGACAGAAGACCGTGTATCCTATGTACGCCAGAGGAAACCCGCCAGGATGGGAGAAAAGGAAACAGAAAATAGTCAAGTCGTAAAATTGGTCCATCTCAGCTCTCGTTGTACCGAAAATGAGATTGAGATTTGAAGAAGAAATTGGTCAAGTGCGATCAGACCAAACGCGACAGGCCTCACACTCACCGAACAGTAGAGATGACCAGGTTACCGCGGCCGCCGCGGAGGGCAAGCTCCTTCTCTTCACGCTGTTCACGTTCGAGGCGGTCAAAGTCTACCCGCACACCCGGGATGCCATCGCCGCTGTTGTCCTGGAGCTCGAGCGGGATATTCATCCACTCGGCCGTAGCCCGAGCGGACTCTTCATCATACTCCGCCCACTCGGACCAATTGATCGGGTCATCCTGGGGTGTCTGAATGGCCAGGGCCAGGTCATTCGAGTCCGGGGTATCCTCAGTGGGGTCAGCGCCAAGGAAGGCGTTATTATTGAAAGCCTCATCGGAGAACATGTTGAGTCCATTGCCATCATCAAGGTCGTCAAAAAGAGGGTCAAAAGTATCAGCAAGCTCCTGAGGAGTCATATGGGAATTAGCCCACGGAAGAGCGGGTTCCGACGGCAAGTCAAGAGCACCAGGCTTCGAGCCCGGCTTCTTGGCCTTCCCCTGCTGAGGCGTGAGCTGTTGAGCGGAAGTAGCAGGCGACGCGCTCTTAGCAACGACCTGACTCGGGGCTCGTAACATTGGAGTTGCGGTGGAGGAGGCAGGAGTCGCCAGGCCAGGCTTGACAGGAGAAGCCATCAATCCAGTGGGACCAGCACTGGTAGTAACGACCTGGTTGGCTCCCTGGTTATCCGCGGTCAAGCCAAGACCAATGTCAAGACTATCGATGTAGAATTGGAAGGGGTCATCGATGACCTCTACAACCTCAGGCTTGTGGCTCTCTTCAACGTGCTTATCCAACGCAGCCTGAGTTGGGAAGCCTTGGAAGTGAAACTGGCACTCGACAATGCCACACTTGAATGTACCAACCAGAGGGGCAGCCGCTGATTTGGCATCTGCAACGGTCTTCTTGTAACTCGCATCGGCGATGAGTGGAGCACTGGCCGGCACGGGAGATGAAGATACACCGGTTTGAGACTGCTTGCGCTTTTTAGGTGGAGGAAGTTTCAGCTTCTCGGGCGCAAGTCCTCCGGAGCCATAGGCGGGAACACCCTGGGGCGACGGCGCTCCAAATGGCGCTGGTGGCACTGGTGCAGACTGGCTGGAGGCCCGACGAGCACGCTGGAGAGCCTCTTCATGTTGCTGCTGTTGGAACTGCAACTGCTTGAGGTTGTTCGCGTTCAAGGGGGTTGTCTGTGTAGGCTGTTCCGACTGAGCAGCTGGGGTGTTTGCACGATTGAGAGCAGACTGACGCTCGTTAGTTATCCGCACGAGCGTCATTTGGAACAACTTGCGGACGAAAATGATGGCGCCAGTCAGATAGTCGGGAGTGATAGTGAAATGGTCATTGATGATCCACTCCGGGGTGTTCTTGAACTGACGCATCAACTGAATCCGCATGGCAAGCAGGTTTCTGATATTGCGCTCTTGGTTGGCTGCCTTCTGGAATCCATGCAGAACCAGGATATCTAGGCGAGCCAACACTTCCAGGGAGTCTTGCAGCTGCTGGGTCATAATCGCCTTCTGTTCTGGAGAGACAGTCACAATGTTCGGCGCCGGAGCCGCCTTGGAAATCTCGTTGTATATGTCCAAAAGCTTTGGGGGAAGATTGTTTTTCCAATTGCTTTCAGCCACTGCCCGATTGAAATACTGACCGCGGAAGAGTGCCTGCTGCTGGAGGCGCATAGTCTGTTCAACATGCAGGCGCTGTTCAGGAGTCATGGCAGCAAGACCTTCTTGTGAGAGTGCCTGATTGGGCACTGGCTTTTGCGGCACCGAGTTTTTAGCAATTGGAGTGGCTTGGGGTTGCTGGGGGTGGTGTTCATGACCGGCATCTCGACGACTATGTCATCTTGGTTTGGTCTCTTCTTCGATCTCTGATTCACAGTCGGGGCTTTGCCGCCTTTAGGAGCAGGGGCTGCCTGTTGTGGCCTGGGATTCGGAGGCTGTAGATCACCGGTCACTTGAGGAGGCTGTTGGGCAACAGGGACTGGTGGAACCTGCGTCTGCTTTTGAGGTACCACACCAGGAGGCTGAGGTACCGCCCGGCCCATAGCAAGAGCCCGTTGTTGTACAGCTTGCTCAAGCATCTGCCTCTGTTTGTTTCGAAGAAGCTCGCGAATTTGGTCGTCGGTATAATTCGACGAATTACTGCCTAGCTTCTGGCGAGCAGATTGAACATCCTCGTTTGTGATTGGTCGCATTGCGATGTTCATACCGGGATGTGGATGATTCTGAGGAATCTGCATGCCATTTTGAGGGCCTTGGTAAGCCTGCTGGATTTGGGCTTGATTTTGCTGATTCTGTTGATTCTGTTGATTCTGTTGGTTCTGCTGCTGGGCGATTTTCGTAGCTAGGATCTGGGCGAAGTGAAGCTTTTGCAGAGTCAAGAGCCGATTAAAGTCAACCCCAGTAGTGGTAACGGGATTAGTGCTCGCCCAATGCTTGATCTGAGCCCAAGTCTTGATGTGCTGTGGAACGTGAGGGTTATTAGCGACGAGGGATGGCGGGAAAGGGACCCGGTCCATCTCCTTTTGCTGGTCAACAGTCATCTCGTGGCCATTGTTCTGTTTGCGAAGGGCATTCAGCTTCATCATCTCGGTCTGTCGCTGCTGGCGCACCGCCCGTTGCTGAGGAGTCAACTGCTGCTGGTTTTGAAGGAGACCAGCTGCCATGTTCATGCCTTGCGGCATACTCATAGAGTTTCTCATTCGAGGGTTGTTGACCATTTGACCATTGAACATAGCCGGATTTTGAACATCTTGCGGGAGAGAACCTTGCTGCTGCTGCTGCTGCTGCTGCGGCTGTGATTGCGGTGCCGGTTGCTGCTGCTGCTGCTGCTGTTGCTGCTGAAGGTTGGCTCGAGTCAAATTGTTGGCATGGGCACGACGCTGGGTCTGCAGGAAAGAATGGAGCTGCTCATTCGTCAACCCGGACAATTGCTCCTGGATCGGCCCGGGGAGATTGGGAGGAATTTGAGGCCGATTTTGCATAGTGGGTTGCGCAGCCTGCATACCACCTGGGTGCTGACCCATATTCGCTGGGCGAGACGGAGGCCGCACCTGGGCAGCCATAGGAACAGGGGAGATCTGACCAGGGGGCATGCCCTGGTTTAGCATTGGCATGACAGGACTTTGTTGGGAGAATTGGGCCTGGGCTTGCGGGTTGACCTGGCCGGACATCGCCAACTGCGCTTTCTGAGCTGCTGCGTGAGCACGTGCCTGAGCTTGTGCCTGCTGAGCTTGGAATTGCTGGGCTCCGTTGGGGAGACCCTGCTGCATTTGCTGTTGGCTGAACATCTGAGGGTTCATGCCCATACCGTTCATCGCCCCGTTCCCTTGGCCATTTTGGCCAGACTGCTGTGGGAACAGATTCTGCTGATTGTTGAACGGTGCCTGGTTCATTTGCGACGAGCTGGCAGGAACCACTAACTGACCGGCTTCCTGAGAGCGAAGACCGTCAGCTTGCTGGCCCTGAATGTTCTCCACATTGCCGAAGAAAGCGTTCGGATCCTGACCCTGGGCTGGGTTACCGGAGAAAGTCGAATTGCTGCGCTGAAGATTCATCATGTTTTGAAACATTGCCTGTTGGTTCATCATCGGGTCACCCGTGAGCATGGCATCGGCATTGGCGTTGGCAGCATTCGCAGGGCGGCCCATATTCATGCCAGTACGATTTCGGAATCGTCGCAATTGAGTTACAGCCTGAGTGCGGAAAAAGTAGGTGATCGGTTCTATGCCTTGTCGCTGCAAGTAATCTCGCTGCTCCGGATTCATGTTGGCAAGATTGAGCTTGATCTTTTCAACATCCGCTGGAGACGTCTTGTGCATCATTTGGTCTGCCAACCGGATGACATGCTCGGCCTCAGGGTTCTGAAGGCCGGTGACGTCGTCGGGGAGAAGAAGGCCATTGGGAGGGCGCTGCTGAGCTCGCTGCTGTTGTTGTTGTTGCTGCTGTTGCTGTTGTTGTTGCTGCTGCTGCTGCTGTTGTTGTTGTTGTTGTTGTTGGTGGTGTTGCTGCTGCTGCTGCTGCTGAAGCATCGCTTGCTGCTGCTGTTGTTGCTGGCGCTGTTGCATGGCAGCCTGCTGGTTGGGACCATTCATGCCCATGGCCATTTGAGACTGGCCTGGAGCAACTGGCGAGGCCTGCATGTTTGGGTTCATCTGAGGAGGGAAACCGCCCTGAAGCTGGTTCTGCATGGCGGGCCCACCTTGGGGCATCATCCCGCTTTGAATGGCAACGGCGGCTTGTCTCTGGCGCGTGTCTTTGATGTGGAGGAGCTTCTCGTTGCAATCCTTCTCGTAATCGCTCTATCAAGTTGAAGACACCGAGGTCAGTAAAATTGGGATCGGAAAATTCTAGCAAGGCAGAGGGAGGTTGGGAACAAAGGAATCAAGAGGGGACGAGGAAGAGAAAATATGTGGGGAGAGGATGGGGAAGATTAGGGAGGATGGGGGGGGGAGAAAAGAGGGTAAGTGAGGCGAGGTGACGAACCCGTTCGGCAGCTTTCTTAAAGGCACCGGTTTCAAAGGCAATGGCGGCGTTGCCTGCCTGCTTCAGGTCGATACGAGGTTGAATCAATCGGAGAGAGGTGATCCTAGGCAAACAAAATGGTTAATATTTGGATGGAAGGGCGGAGAGATGGATGGAGGTTGAATGAGGTGAATCAGGCAGCGGATGGGTGGGCCGCGACAAAAAAGTAGGCGGGAAGGGAGGGGGTGAGAGAAAGTCGGGGAGTCTGTCCATGGCACACTTACATTTGGTAGACATTCATAGCTCGAACCTTGATGGGGACTTCATCTTTCCAGCCACCAAGTCGAGGCTGCATTTGCAACTCCTGCGCGACGGAGCTCATAATCAACTGGGCGTTCTCATTGCGCTGCTGCTGCGATTGTTGTTGCGACATGCCGGGCTTGACGAGGCCAGACATGCCCCCGCCGGGGTTGGAGAACTGGGCGGGATTCATGACGGAAGCCCCGTCAATGAGGATCAGGGAGCAATCCGCGGAAGAAGGTGGTGGTCGTCAGCATTCGCTAGAGAGACTAAGATTCGGAGAGAGTTGAGGCAGCGTGAGGGAGAGTCGGGGTGTCGGGAGGGAGAGTCGAGTGGGAGAGAGTGGACAGGGGGTCGCGTGGTGAAATGAGAGGAGAGGATCAAAGATCAGACGAAATTCATCGAGAAAAGTCGAGAAAAGGACGGTCGGAAGAAGGTTGACAGGAGGATTTGGGGAAGTTGAAGTTGCAGGGTCGGAGGCAAGTTGCAGATCGGTGGATGGAAAAAGAGGGAAGCCGGGTTGCTAGTGTGGAACCCGTGCTGAGTCTTCGTCGATCAGGGCGGCGGGTGGGGATTGGGGTTGGAAATAGTCCAAACGGAAAACAGGAAGGGAGGAGGAGGGGGAAGAGGGAAAAAGTTAGAACACCGCAAGAGTTGGTGAGAGAGAGGAGAGAGGGAAAAAAAAAGGGTAAGAGGCAGGAATGGTAAGAGGGTGAGAGAAGCAATGGACAGCGACCCAGTCGTGGTAACTGTACACAACCACCGAGGGGGCAAGGCGGTTTGGGCACCGGTCGTTGGCAATTAGCGGAGGAAGATGTGGCTTGTAGAGGGAGGGAGGGTAAGAAAAAGGAAAGAAAGTGCAGGGAAGAGCAGAGGGAAAGATGGAAAGATGGAAAGATGGAAAGATGGAAAGGGAAGAATTGAAGAGGATTGGGTGGTGGGGATGGAAGTGCGACGGGGATGCTGCAGCAGTTCAAGTCGCACTGGCTCAACTCACGATCATGTGGCCCCCGTATCGGTACATTACGGACTTTCTACAATGTATACAACAAATAAAACTGTACACGATAATGGACACGATGGACTGGATAAGACACACCAGAAATGTCCTGACGAAGCTGAATCCTCTCAAGGTCTGGCCCAAATAGACTATCTATAGTCTGCATGGGCTGAAAGTCTATGCTTCTCAGGAATCGGTGTACTGAAGCTATTATATTTCTACAACTTTATTCCTAAATATCTTCTGAACATGCCATATATCTGCCTATCTTGAAGGCTGATCAAGGACTTGGACTGGATGAACTGATCGCCCATCTGCCCTATCTGTATGTACTGTACTAGGCAGGCCCTAGTGACCCCTCCCTGACAACTGACAACTAACAACTAGTTTACCAGAGATGCTCCATATTATTATGATTACTATGTACCATACCATACGACCACCTCCGCCCCAGGCCCACTCGACCACCCAGCGCGATCTGTCTCGTCCTATCGTTGTGGTTGACCTTAACCATGCGACTTCTCGCTTCTTTTTTCTGTTCTCCAGCCCATTATTGGGTACACCTGGTATTTCTCTGTACATATACATCCTACTTCCATTGGAATCTTTTCGCTCTCCGCCATTCCTTTCCCATCCTGACATGATCTGCCCCCCTCCGTCGGGAGATCTGTGCACTCTTGAAACACAACCCTGCCTGCCGAGTCGTTTTGGAGAACCCCGGTTGGACTCGCTGCACGTCTTCTTGTAGATTCGTCCCTGCCTTTTTTCCCTCTCTTCTCTCTATCGACTTCATTCTCCGCGGCTCTTCAGTTCCCCTCCAATCTTCTCTCCCGATGAATTTCGTTTGATCCTGCCCAACGGTCCCCACTTAATATACTGTACCGTAATGACAGGGGCGGGTATGGTTGAACTATGGGAAAACTCTAAGCGCATTGCTTCTGCAGTTGATTCAGGTACTACTCGTGGGAACTTGGAAGGAAATATTGCTTCGATCTCAAATCTCATGCTTTGGTTCCATGATTCCAGAAATTCGACGATTCTATCAGTTGTGTAGCACCAATCAGTCCCTGGTTCCGCAGATTAGAATAATCTTGCAGCCAAACAACCCCATCGTCATAATAGTGGATCTCGTCCCGAACACAACCCAGTGGATATACTGTACGGAGTACGGAGTACACATGTAGTAATAAAGTACAGTATACGAAGTGTCGTATAACAGAAGAGCGAGACAAGATAATTAGCCATAGACATAATCAATTACTCAATGGTCATTAAAACATGAGCTCAGGAAATATTGCTTAATGATATTTGGGTCATGCAAGGGACAACACCCAGTACCTGAACTCTTCTACCACTGTACCGCCGCTCCCGACAACTAGTCCAAGCAGAGCATAAGCTCCAGATCGCCACTTCTGTGTGAGTTGCACTTTATTGGCCCTTCGAGGAGTTCTCTCATAAAAAATGTTAGAAACTTATACTGCTGCAGGTAGAATTCAAGCAAGATGATATACTCAATTTCAGAGATCCTATTGCAGACGATGTATAGTGGTCAGTTCTGTTAATTCATAATAAAATAATCGCAAACCGCTTTGACGATCCCCAAAATCCCACGATCGGCAGGTGTTCTGGCCCTGTCCTGATCCGGCCCACGCCAATTGGTCTGCGTGTGGAGGGCGGCGCGGCCAGTAGCCTAGTCCTACTTGGTGGAAGGCCAGCTAAGTACCGGGTACTCCCCACTGGGGCGGTCCGCCACCCAACGTCTGGCTTTACAGTACTAACCTATGCACGTTAATACAGTAGTTAGGGGGTACTCGGTACCTGCTGTGTAGCCTGGTACACGCCGGCAGATTACGTTGATTGCGTACCCTCAAGCTTAAGTCAGCCACGGCTCCCCTGGAAACGTCAACTGTTCTATTTCTATCTACCTACTCCATCTCCATCTCATTCTCCATCTTTTAATTAGGACTGCTCAATTACCACCAACTCCCCCTCCTCTCTATAACACAACGGAGGAATCCGTCTTTCTTACAAAGGCTCGATCCTCGTCATGAGAAACGGCTAAAGTACCTTGCTTTCATTCTTTCTCCCTTTCCCTCCGCCTACTATGTTCTCTGTCTCCGTGTCGCCCGTCTCAGTGGGCTCCAACATTTTCTTCGCCTTCGCTCTCTGCTCCATCTCCGCTCTAGTATTGCTGCTCTTGCGCCGTTTCCTGACGATCCGCTCAACCCCGGCCTATCTGCTCGTCCCGATTTTCCTTGCCCTTGCGCTCCCCGCAAGTGTGGTGCTCCTCGTCCCTATCGATCTCGCATCTAGCGCGCGCAATGGCACTGGTCCCAAGGCAATCTGGTTACCTGACCGCATGGTCCTGGTGTGCTGGCGCATCGCCTATTGGCTCATCTTCATGCTGACCTGGTATGTATATCGCTCCATCTGGATCTCCCCGGTCGCATCATGAAATTTGCGCTCGGTTTCTCTGACCTCTTCCTCGTTCTCTCTAGGGCCATCCTTCCTCTTCTCGGCGAATATGTCGACTCCGGATATCGTGAACCCAAAGCACGCATCCTCTACTCCCTCCGCTGTAATGCCCGATATCAATTAATTGTGCTTACCTGCGCCGTGGTCGGACTCATCTATATTTCCATCTCCATTGGCTTTGATCCCACCTCGATCAAGGGTACGGTCATGGCACTGGCCTACGTCTGGGGCCTTGTTCTCGCCATTTATCTCATGGGTCACGGCTTGGTCTCGATTCCGCGCAACCTGTTCCGCAATGCGAACGTGAGCGGTCGCCTAAAGCGTATCCAAGCGCATGCTCCCAAAGTGCACGACCGCTTGATGGACGCAGTCAACGAATTAGAAAGTCTCAACTCGCAGGTCGCTCAACTCCAGCAACGCAAGACTGGAACCGCTCGCGACTTCCAGGAATGGATCGAAGACCTGTCCGAGACTTCTGGCTCTGGCTCCGGCGACGTGCGAGTCCCCATTCTTGAGACCCCCGAGACATCTGGGTCCGTCCCCTCCGTCATCACGGAGCGATACCTGGCCGACCTAACCAGACGCTTACAGCGCGCTCGACACATGAAGGCGCGGTTTGTGGATGAATGGGATCGTGTGGTGACGCTGGCGGCCGACCTGCAGGCCATCATTAATTCCTCGGCATCGAAGAAGCTCGAGTTCGGCGCTGGCCCCCGCCGCTCGTCTTGTCTGCCGAAAGTCAAGTTTTTGAATCCCTACCTGCGCTATCAACTATATTCCAATGTCATCCCGGGCCTGCGCTTGGTGTTCGGTGCAATCTTCGCAGTTGCCTCGGTGTGCATTGTCTGGTCGGAATTGATCAAGTCCTTGGCTCCGCAATTTTCTGCCATTACCTTGACCGTCATCCCCAACTGGAAGGAAGAAAAGCCCCTTGGCTTTGGGAGCCAGGTCATCGCTTCTCTCTGGCTGCTGTATATGTGTTCTGCCGCCCTGGTCGGTGTCAGCGATGTCAAGGTCTGGGGAAACAGGGCCTTGGTGCGCCGCAACACGTACGGTGAGAGCGCGTGCTGGTACGCCAGTCTCGTCGCTCGTCTCACTGTCCCCATTGCCTACAACTTCTTGACCTTCCTACCCAAGGACTTCCGTCGAACCACGACCTTCTACGAGTTCCTGGGTCGTCTCATCAACCTGACACACCTTGGGAAGGGCTTTGATTACATCTTCCCCATCTTCATTCTCCTGCCCATCTGCGCCACCCTGTTCAACCTCTACGGCCGAGTCAAGAACATCTGTGGCTTCGGTCTAGCAGAGGACGATGACCTGAACGATGTCGAGAACAACCCAGCGGGGTATGGCATGGGCGGCTGGCGCGAGGGCCGCGACCTCATCGAGCGTGAACTCAACGGTTTCGGCTCCTTGGCCGTGTCCTCCCGCGGTGGCCGCTCGACCTGGGCTTCGGACCGCAGCGACGATGAATCCGTCGGCTCCTCACGACTGCGCGTCGCTACTGGTGAGGGCTCTCGGTCCCCTCGGCCTACTCAACGACCCGTCACCGCGCCCACCGTCGTCGACGGTGAGGAGGAAGAAGAGGAGAATTTTTTCCAGTCCTTCGCACACCGCGTACGAAACACCTTTGAAACCACCAACAAGCCACAATGGCTCCAAGGTGAACCCTTCCGCCTCCCTCGTTGGATGTCCGGCGACAACAACACCACCGAGGAAGGTGGTGTGACGCGGCTATTTGGCGGTCGGGCTGTCCCTGGCCGACTGCGTCTAGGTTAAGCTTGTACTTGAGTAGGCTTCCATTGGCCCTTGTATTCTTTTTCTTTTTTTTCTCTCTTTTGGGATTGCATGATGCGGTGTTTGGGCCTCCATTGTGTTGTTTCTTCAAGCTGCTGGACAGCGGTAATATAGACCCTTTTTATATGTACATACTAGCCTTTAATGGTTCATCTCATAAATTACCTCACATATGTATCGTACTTGCATTCCAAGTCTTATATCATTCGAAACAGTACAGGCTGGCCTTGAAACGTTAGCGTCACCCCGCCCCCCAAAAGGTGAGCCGCGTAGGGGACCCTGTTGGACTTTTTTCAGCCTCGGTGTAGTGGTAGTTCAAAAGTCTGAGTCTAGGGACCAGAGAGACCCCCTAGTAGATATGCTTCAACTTCTTGACTTTTGAAAGGTCTTTCTAAATGTCATTCCAATCGTCTTTTCCGATAGTAGCTTAGGTATCAATGTTGAGTCTTTCATGCTACTTGTGACTGATAAGATGATTCTGAACATTGGTCATAGTTTCTAACTTATGAAACCCCACTGTACGAGAATGATTGCAGTAAAAACTTCCATGATTCTCTCGTCATGCTTACTAGCTGCACCCAAGATGACAAGGTCTGAACATGATCGACGTCGTGAGAGCTCAATCAATCTTATTGGTTGTCAATGGATCTCCTGATTACCCGACACATGGCAGAGACGACTTAGACTATGGGTGTTGTATATAGGCCTTCAGATATATTTAGCATGCGGGACGATACTATAGATGGTTTGTGGATGATGTCAACCTTACTGTACAATTCTAGAGTTCATCTTAACCTCGATGAGAGCTGCTATGATTTTAATACAGCACTTCCGATCACAGATACTATGTTACAGCATATATCTCATGCCCTAGCAAACCAAAGCACCAGTCCATCTTCTCAACCCTCCCCCATCGACTCCTGCTTAGTACTATTCTCCAAGCAACACCACAGATATCTCAACATTTCCATTTGGCCATCCATAAAAATAATCAATTGACCCCACCATGGCCAAAGTATCAACCCAAGCAAGCAATTCAAGCAGAAAAACATGCAAAAAGATCAACCTTTGCCCTCGTCCAGGTTCGAACTGGAGACCTTCGGATTACCACCCTGTTTGAAGCAGGGTCGTCATAAGATCCATATGAGACCGACGTCATGACCAACTAGACCACGAAGGCGATTGGATGAACGGAAGCGAGAAATAATGGTATCTGAGCTACATGGCTGGGGAAAGGTGAATTTGAGTGAGGGTTGTGTGTCTGTGTGTCACGTGATTGTATGTGCCTTCTTGATTTGGGGGGTTTAGAGATGGTACTCCAGTTTATTTTTCATTACTTTAGGCGCTATTGTGTTAATCATATGTTTTTCTGTATCTGTTTGTAGGTCTGGATTTCGTTGGAAGGTTGAGTTGTATATCAGACGGACTAGCTGGGGATGGACGAAAGCTGTTTCGGTTGGACTTTCGAGAGGATAAGGTCTTCTCCTATTTTTGATTTGGAGTCTGTCTGGAGTGGGATTGAGACCTTAGCTGAACTTCCTCTCTGGGGTCCTTCGTTTGTCCTTAGGGTTGCTGAAACTCATGGGGTTGGTTTTACGGCGAGATGCTCCGGCAATATATTACGCTCGTTATACACTCTGCAGCTTTATACTGTCAGAACTATATAGTGATGATAAGCTAAGATGTACCCATTCATGGTAAACAGTACTGTCTCCAAAGTTGACAACTTTTGGTACCTGCACAGCTAGCAGAAGCCAAATCACGTCTTGGATGAACCCGACATCTACAAATCGATCATGTCCATAGTTATGAGGGGTACTAGCAATGACATCATAGTCCCGGAGTCAACATTTGAACAACAGCATTATTCTTAGAAAACAATAGAGTTCGAAAGCAGTTGGATCTTCCTTTTGTAAATGACAATGACCAATTATATAAACTTCGAGATGATGGATACCCTTGAAAGTCTGCATACCATGTGGCAACATTGTAAACAGAGTCGAAGGAATTGGTACCAACACGAGCCAAGACCGAAAAGATCGGGCGTAGTTCACAGCCTTGTAAGGTGGTGCTACGTGGCTGTGTCTTGACACCTCACACGAGCAACACTATCCAACAGCATCAAGGCTTCCCGAAGAAACACAGCTGATATTAAAGAGATGCTACTCAGCTTCTCCCATGGTTGAGCTCCACACCTCCAAAAGACGATGGATTTGATCCCGCCGTCATACAAGTCCGCAACGGACCGTGATGCATGGGCCATCATCGCCCATTACATCCCCTCTAGCGATCTATGTGCCGCCTCGTTGGTCTGCCGTCGATGGCACGATCTGTTTATGCCTTTCTTATGGGGTGACCCGGCCTCACATTTCGGTACAGAGAATGACGCAGTATATGGTAGGACCGTAATATCCCATGCCTACCTGATCTCGCGCTGACCGAAGATACTAGTGGCCCTGACCCGGTTTCGGAGAACTCTCAAGTATGCCAGGCGAGAAGTACGGGCATTAACCCACACGCTTCACTTACCTCCGGCATTATCAGAGATCTACGGTGGCCCCCGACCGGGCTGGCTGAGAGATATTCTGGAGTACTTGCCCTGCCTGCAATGTTTAATGGTCTCGAGGTTACCCTTCTTTGATCATAATGCGATGGTTGCTTTGAAGAACCATCCAAGGTCAAGTGAATATAATGTCCGCCTATTGTTAGCGGATCATGAGCCAAATACGACTTCGGCTGGTCTGGCGGAGACTATACTTCGCTTTCCTCGGTTGACATACCTGGATCTCTCGTATACCAGGTCGGCTCGAGATCAGATCGTCCTGTCTTCCCTGTCTCAGCTTGAACATCTTCAAGTGTTGAAATTGCGTGGCATTGGATTAAAGGATGCTGATGCAGAGTTCCTTGCCAACGCGATTGGAACTAGGACTCGTTTTCTGGATGTTCGGAATAACATGCTCACCGATATGGCAGTCCGTTCTCTACTGCAAGCATCGTTTAAACCACGAGACCAAACAGCCGAGCCAAGTACAAGACGCACTGGTACTTCACCAGACCGTGCTCCTCCAGCAGCTCGTGATAACCGCCAATCTGAATTCCTGAAATCTCCAGACCTGGACGAGCGATACCTCAAGCTTCTCGCCCAACCTGGCTCATATCACCCCTGGATCGAGGATATACCGTATACGGGGATCACCCACCTCTATATCGCCAACAATCCAATTACAGTAGAAGGTGTGGCTGGCCTCTTGGCTTCATCTCGTCTCCATGCTCTCGATGTCGGCACCGTGAACACCGCAGACGTCATTCATAAAACAGCCTCCAGAAATGGAATATATCCTGGAGCCGAAAAGCTGGTACCTATTCTAGGCAATATCGCCGGGGAAACGCTCACCTACTTTCGAGCTCACCATGCTGTTGTCACTGCCGAGCCTCCAGCGAAAGACTTGGCACCAAAAGGCGAATACCTTCCGGAGCTTCCTTCCAGCAGCGAGATACGACGTGAAGCTGAGCTGGATGCATCACAGGAGATTCATGAGCTACCAGGAGAGAATATTCCAGTTTTTGAGCTTGCAGACACGTCGGTATCGGAGTCAAAGGGTTCGACGGTCACGACTCCAGTCCCGTGGTCGTTGAATCCATATGAGGATGAGCCTCTTCCCTCAGTTAGACGTGGATCTGCATTCGCACCGGAAGTTGTACTTGATCGAAGTCACGACAGCAACTCCACTGTCTTCAACAGCCCATCACCCTCACAATCATACCAGCAAAATGATGAAGGCACCCTACAATCGATCTCAAACCTCTCTGTTCTGGATGACGGCACCATGGGATCAATCCCAAGATGCAGCTCTCCAAAATCGATTGATGATCCCCGTGCCCAGAGAATCCAGGAGCTGCTAGCGAAACGTCCACGCAATCAATCCCTCCCCCTCCGAGGTGGGAAAGAAAGCCGATTCCCCTACTTACACCCGTCCCATATTCCCCATCTAGAGACACTGGTCTTAACAGATGTTCCCTCGCATATACCACCCAATTCTAAGATTCTCTACGCCCTGACTCGATTCATCACTGCTTGTTCCAACGAAGCTCTACTCGCAACCCTCCAAGCCGGATCGGATTATTCCCTACCACCCGGTCAAGCACGCATGCAAGCCGAACAACAACGTTCTCGAACACTCTTCGGCCTACGCCGAATAGTACTCGAAGTCACACCCACCGATAGCACAAACCGGCTTACTACATGGAAACCAGGTGTCCAAAACTCGAGCACCGGTGACCGTGACTCGGAGGCTCTTTGGGCAGCAGCTGCAGATGACTTTAGCTTCTTCGATGATATGGAATGCGGTATTCCCGAGAATGATCCGGGCAAATACTTCCCAATGGCCGTACTCAATGAGAAGGTTTCCCTCATGCCCTCGGATGATGATACTTCTACATACTCTGGCGCGGAATCGCCTATGCCGAGTCGCCGTATCTCGCAGAGAAGTGTTACATCTGCGGTACGCAGTACACCTAGCCCATCTCGACCGGTTGCGAAAGGGTCGCAGCCCACGACCGTGAAAGAAATTGATCTTGTGGCGGAACTTGCTGCCTTCCGTCGTGCTAAGAAGGCTGAGTATGAGCAGGTCGTGCGTCGAGAGAGAGGACGGCGGAGTACTAATGGCACGGGGATATCGAGCGTACCGGCCGCGACGACACCGCAGATTTCGATGGCGCAGTTTGTTGAAGGGCATTGGAAGGGGGAGATTAAAATTGTGAGGAATCCGACGTCGAAGATGCGCAGCGGGATGGTGGATATGTACGGGAATTATTTCGAGAAGGGCTATCTTTATCCATGATTGTACTCCGTACATAGCATAGCATATACCCTATGACGACGTTATGCCTCTGCGAGTTAAATGAACACCGTTTCTACTGGTACGCGCAAATGCCTTTTTGATAAGTTTTTGATATTTTTCTAGTCTGCAATAAAGCAGACCAATCCTTGCCTCCAGTCATGCACATGCCATCGTGATTTGGCACTCATACATTCGAAGGGGGGGCACATGACACAACGAAACGCGAAATAGAAAGCACATAAAAAGAGGCGAAAAGAAGAAGGAATCCCTTAATCGCCTTCTATATATGCGCACCTCCCATCCCCAGAACCGAGTATCTTTGTCGAACACCCTAATGCCGGTTCCTCCATTTTCGTTGCAGCATTAGCTTGTCGAGCTGGAATGCCACCAGATATCCGTCGTTCAAGAGCACCACAGCGGGAAAGGAAAACAAAATAAAAAGATTCATTTCAGACTAGTTCCATTTTTATTTTGCTGGTTTGAATGGCGTTCCTCTCCTTTACATAGCCTTGGCGGCCTGAGGGGGGTTCAGCTTCTTGCCATCCTTGTTGTAGCGAATCCGTGGGGGAGGAGCACGGTTGCGGCGGCCAACACGGGAACGGACACTGTAGATGGGGAGTTAGTACGAGATGGATGACGAGCGAGGGGGCGGAGATATGTGGGTGTAAGGCGTCATACCGAACAATCTTTCCGTGGATAGCGCAAGAGACGCAGTACTGGAGCTTCAGGTACATCTTGGGGACAGAGTACTCGGCGAAGACGGAGGCATCGGAGATATCACCTGTAGGTCGAAAGAAATTATATTAGTGAATTGTTCATCGAGAGGCGTAGATAGTGAATGAGCAGGCGGGTTCAGTCTGGTTCATATCGAATAGAGACCTTCAAGGTCTTTCATCGACTCGAGCCGGTCCAGAATCCTCCTCCTTGGATGGTGCGAATGGAATGAAATATCACGTCGAGAGGATCACGTACGGATGGCAGCAGACTCGACCATGTTGCGGATGGTGAAGCGCTTGATGGCCTTGTCCTTGGGGGTGCAGCGAGCGCAGTTGGAGCAGCGCACGGGCTTGACGTGGCCGCGGCCATTCTTGTTACGACCGCTAAAGAAATTCCATTAGTGCCCATGTTCCATCGCAGTTGTGCAATTCACGATATCCAGTCTCCATTCGAGGTTGATTCGTCCGTCAATGCGCGTAGGTTGGTTCTTCCAAATTGTCTTTCATTTTCGTTCAACTCGGGAAATTTGTGGCGTGGTATCGAATTCGTCGGCGTCATTGCGGAGATTCATGTCGGATGGGAGACTGGATTCGCGGATAGATGGAGGAGGGATCAAGTCTTACTTGTTCGCCCGCTTCTTGACCATTTTGACGGATTGCTCTGTGGAAAGTCAGAGAGTCGATCTGGGATGGAAAGGAGGAAAGAGGGGGAGGGAGACGTACGGGTGTCTTGTCGGGAGTGGGTTGTCGAAGCTCGCTCACACAGACGCTCTGCCAGAATGGATGGGGTGGTTGTGTTGTGGGAAGCCCTAAGCCCTTAAGCGAGACCCAGTCACGGGTGTGGACACCTGGGTGCCTGATAGAGTTAATGGGCCTGAGTAACCGGGCGACAAGGCTGTAAGGCGGTAAGGCAATCAATCGGACTCCAAAATGATCTGATCATCACGTGGTACAGTCACGGACCACATTCCAACCCCAAAGTAGACTAGCGCCCGGATCGTACCGTTCATCCCAGCCAATTACATAAGCCGCGTGTTTACACCCGCCCCAAGCGGGCGATAGTTGAACTTAGCGTGAAAACACCGCCAAACAGCCCAAACAGCCCAAACACCCCTGTTCGGATCATCCATTGACTGCCCATTTCCCTCCCCTCGAACTGTTTGAGACTCCCTTGCTGTTGTTCCTTTCTTTGCTCATACCTGTTTCTCATTCTTGCTTGTTTGCTCCACTCTCGTCCTTCCCCTTCGTCTCTATTTTTGTTGTGTTCTTTCCCCTCCCTGGCTTGACTATGTCGCATACAGGTACTTTTAGGGGAACACCCAATAAGACAATTGGGAGAGGAAGGCTGCCCGACTTCGAGAGCTCGAGTTCTTCCCACATCCCCCGACCCCGGTCAGACCGTCCAGAATCATCCGCTGCATCCACCACCCACACTCCGTCAAGCGACGTCGGAAGTGGCACCATGAGCGCCGCTAGTAGCAGACAGCGACAAAACCAGTCGAAGCGTGATGAGGTGTGTACTTGCGGAAGCTGTATAGCTTGATATGATCCTCACATTTTAACCGCCCATCTCCCACTCGGTTTGCCGGCTAACGCCCCTGGTTTGATTTACATAGGCAATTCGCCGTAAGATGGAGGCCGACCTCAACAAGAAGAGGCACAACCCGACCAAGGCGAGAAATGCCCGCAAAGCCCCGCCGGGCACCGTGCTCGCCTTGAAGCCCAGCCAGGCTCTCCAGATCAAGCCCACCCTTAGCATTGCCGAGGCCGCCCAGTTGATGGCCGCGAAGCGGGAGGATTGCGTCTTGGTTACCGATGATGATGAGCGCATTGCTGGTATTTTCACCGCAAAGGATTTGGCTTTCCGCGTGGTTGGCGCTGGCCACAAGGCGCGCGAGGTGACCGTGGCCGAGATCATGACCAAGAACCCCCGTGTGCGCGGACTGACACAAGCGCTACCGATGCGCTTGACCTGATGGTTCGCAAGGGCTTCAGACATTTGCCGGTTATGGATGAGAACCAGGATATTTCGGGTATTTTGGATATTACCAAGTGTTTCTACGATGCGATGGAGAAGCTGGAGCGTGCTTATAGTTCGTCGCGCAAGCTGTACGATGCGTTGGAGGGTGTTCAGACTGAGCTGGGCTCGAGCCAGCCCCAGCAGGTCATTCAGTACGTCGAGGCGTTGCGATCCAAGATGTCCGGCCCGACTCTTGAGACTGTCCTGGATGGCATGCCCCCGGTGACTGTCTCTGTCCGTACCACGGTCAAGGATGCCGCGGCATTGATGAAGGAACATCACACCACTGCCTTGCTTGTGCAGGACCAAGGCTCCATCACCGGTATCTTCACCAGCAAGGATATCGTTCTCCGTGTCATTGCCCCCGGTCTGGACCCTGCCACTTGCAGCGTGGTTCGCGTTATGACTCCCCACCCGGATTTCGCTCCCTCCGATATGAGCATCCAGGCCGCGCTCCGCAAGATGCACGGTAGGTTATCCCTGAGCTCCACTGAGGATAGTCTGGGGATGCAATTTACTAACAATTGGAATAGATGGCCACTACCTCAACCTCCCCGTCATGAACGAGGGCGGCGAGATCGTCGGCATGGTGGATGTGCTGAAGCTCACCTATGCCACCCTTGAACAGGTAAGTACTCCTTTGTTTTTGCAAGAGATGCCCTGTGTGTAGACATGAAGCTTATTACGGGATGCAGATCAACACTATGTCCACTCAGGACGACGAGGGTCCGGCCTGGAACAAGTTCTGGCTGTCTATGGATCACGAGTCCGATTCTATGGTCTCTGGAAGCCAGCCGGCCCCTCACACGCCACACCGCTCCGTCATGAGCCCCGATCTGGCTCGCTCACAGTACGATAACAGCGTCTTGCCGAACGAGTCTGCTTCCCACCACGGTGGTGAAGAGCACTCCGAAGTGGCTTCTCAGCATCACCAGCACCACCATGCCGAGAATGTGCCGTTCCCTTTCAAGTTCAAGGCTCCCAGTGGTAGGGTGCACCGTGTGAACGTCCTCAGCTCCTCTGGCGTTTCCGATCTGGTCGCTCAGGTGACTGCTAAGCTTGGCACAGAGATTGAGGCCGTGGGCGGCGAGGCCGTTGTGGAGGAGGGCCGACTCAGCAACACGGGTTATGCCCTGAGCTACATGGACAATGAGGGTGACACGGTCTCGATCACCACCGATCAGGACATGCTGGATGCCATTGACTTGGCCCGTCGCGCCCACCGTGATAAGGTTGATCTCTTTGTTCACGACCCGGCCCAGCCTCCCATTCCTGCCACCCTCGACCCGCAACCCGCCAAGCCTGCCACCCCCGTCATCGAGGAGCCCAAGAGTGTGGTCACAGAGGTTCCATCAGAGGAGCCTTTGTTGAGCAAGCCCCGCCAGGCCTTCCCTGCCCACCACGGTCCCGAGGAGCAGTTCATCACTGGCGTTCCTAACGAGCTCCTCCTGCCAGGAGCCATTGTCACTCTGGCGGCGGTGATCGCGGGTGTATTCATCCTCAGCCGCCCCAGCGGTCGTTAAAAAAGACTAGCATTGTTTTTTCTGTTTCTAGACATCATCGCTCCCTTGTTCTTTACGGTCTCATACCTCCCCTCATCCTTGTCACATAATCTCGATCCCCCTCTACCATGCTTTTTGCTCATTTTGGCCACCCTCGATGTTTTCTTTACCCCAAGAGTGCATACCCCCTACCTTCTAATTATCGATATTCCGTGTCGCGTCCAGATACCGCTGTTCTCGTCATGACCAGTTGCGGCCAGTAGTTTAGCCTTCAATGCAAATACTTGTTTTCATAGGGATGCTATAGTGGCAGATCAAAAGTCCGAGTCTAGCAACTAGAGAAAAGGGACTAGCCAGACATGCTTGAAACATTCCCATTTGGAAGCTCTTTCTAAATGTCTGTCTAATCATGTTCCTTGATAGCACCGATACTGTTTACCTGGTGAGTGTTATGATGATTTGGAATATTTGTCGGGGTCTCAAGCTTATGGAACCCCACTGTATAACAAAGGAAATAAGCGGTAAAACACCGAGGATTAACATACACATTGATTGATAATTTGATCCCCCAAAATCGGGGTCGCGGATGAATCATATTAGGGTATTGATCCTATCAAGATGACCCGATCGAGATAGACTGAAATGAGCGTGTTGTAGTGTTGTAGAGTAGGTGATAATCCACCGCGGCTGTTAGGCAGCTGAGGGCCCCTGGCAACCAACACAAACTGTATGGCACCCGGGCATCAACAGTAAGTAGTGGTAAGCCCTTGGCTCTGGTATGACTAGTCAGTACTGTATGAGAGCATCTTCCTATTCACTTGGCCTTGAATTCTCCTCTCTCGTCTCCCCCTAATTTCATTCTTTCATTTTCTCCAGTCATTCCTACTGCCTTCCCCAAAGTTGATCCGCTGAACTGGGTTCCCAGCGCCTATCGCATATCGATTGCCCCCCGACTCCGTAATCATCAATCTTTTTTTTCCCTTCCTTCCCGCCCCACCAAAAACAAAACTCCTCCCCTCCTCACCTTCAAAACCACCCCTCCCTACAGCCCCTCCCCGCTAAATATCCCGCCTCGAGGGTTCCAACAAATTGGGTCGTTTTTGTCTGTTGGATCTTGGGAACAGACACACCCACCATGTCCCTGCTGCCCCAGGAGGTCCACACCGCGCTGTCCCAGCTGCTGCGCGCTCTCAGCACCCCCGACAACGCCGTCCGATCCCAGGCCGAAGAGCAGCTGAACAATGATTGGGTGCAGAGCAAGCCAGATATCCTGTTGATGGGCCTGGCTGAGCAGATTGCCGGAGCCGAGGACACATTAGTGAGTGCCACTGTCTACCTAGGGAGGAGGGGAAATCGTCGTGTGTGTGTGTGGGTGAATGCTCGACGCACACGACTGATCCCTCACGATTAAATACCTGCTGCAGATGAATCATGGAACATGCGCTGACTCGGGATTTCATTTACCAACAGACTCGTGCTTTCTCTGCTGTGCTCTTCCGAAGAATTTCTACCAAGACCCGCAAGGACCCCATCTCCGGTGATGTCAAGGAGGTCTTCTTGAGCCTGCCCAATGAGCAGCGTGTTGCGATCCGCGAGAAGCTGGTGACCTCCCTGACCACCGAGGCTGTCACTGATGTGCGCAAGAAGATCGGAGACGCTGTGGCCGAGGTGGCCCGTCAGTACACCGACAACGGTATGCAATTCAACCTAAGAAAAATCCCCTTTCGCCCTTGAAACCCAAATGAAGATAATTCCGGTTCTAACGAGATGATACCTTTGGGATATAATAGGCGATCAATGGCCCGAGCTGCTTGGTGTTCTTTTCCAGGCCAGTCAGTCTGGCGACTCCGGTCTCCGCGAGACTGCGTTCCGCATTTTCACAACTACCCCCGGCATTATTGAGAAGCAGCACGAAGAAGCTGTCCTCGCTGTCTTCACCAAGGGCTTCGAGGATGACAATATCTCGGTATGCTCGACACTTACCTGATCATCTCATGCCTCGTGCCGTCTAACTGAGTTCTTCCTTTCCAGGTGCGCATTGCCGCTATGGAGGCCTTCGCCTCCATGTTCCGCTCTATCAACAAGAAGTCCCAGACCAAGTTCTTCTCCCTCATGCCCGCTCTTCTGAACATCCTTCCTCCCCTCAAAGAGTCCAGCGAGAGCGAGGAGCTTTCGTCAGCGTTCTTGGCTCTCATCGAGTTGGCCGAAATCAGCCCCCGGATGTTCAAGGGCTCGTTCAGTGACTTGGTCAAGTTCAGCATTAGCGTCATTGCCGACAAGGAGCTCAGTGACCAGGTCCGCCAGAATGCGCTGGAGTTGATGGCCACTTTCGCCGACTACGCACCCAACATGTGTAAGAAGGAGGCCAACTTTGCGCAGGAGATGGTCACCCAATGCCTGAGCCTGATGACTGATGTCGGTGTTGATGACGATGATGCTGAGGAGTGGAACGCCTCCGAGGATGTGAGTATTTATTTTTCACTAACCGACAAGTATCAAGCTGCTAACGTTTCTATAGCTCGAGCCCGAAGAGAGCGACCTTAACCACATTGCCGGTGAGCAATGTATGGACCGCCTGGCCAACAAGCTCGGTGGCCAAGCCATCCTCCAGCCTGCCTTCTCTTGGATCCCTCGCATGATGTCTTCCACTGCTTGGCGCGATCGCCACGCCGCTCTGATGGCCATTTCTGCCATCTCGGAGGGCTGCCGCGACCTGATGACCAACGAGCTCGATCAGGTTCTTGCTCTGGTTGTCCCTGCTCTGCGTGATTCCCACCCTCGTGTCCGCTATGCAGGCTGCAATGCTCTCGGTCAAATGAGTACCGACTTTGCCGGTATCATGCAGGAGAAGTACCACGGCATTGTTCTGAACAACATTATCCCCGTCCTCAGCTCCACCGAGCCCCGTGTCCAGTCTCACGCCGCTGCCGCTTTGGTCAACTTCTGCGAGGAGGCTGAGCGCAGCATTCTCGAGCCCTACCTTGGCGACCTTCTGAGCCGCCTTTTGGAGCTTCTGCGCAGCCCTAAGCGCTATCTTCAGGAGCAGGCACTGTCGACCATTGCTACCATTGCCGACTCTGCCGAGACAGCCTTCGGCCAATACTACGACACCCTTATGCCCCTGCTGCTCAACGTCCTTAAGGAGGAACAGGGCAAGGAGTACCGGCTGCTTCGTGCTAAGGCCATGGAGTGTGCCACTTTGATCGCTTTGGCTGTTGGCAAGGAGAAGATGGGACAGGATGCTCTGAACTTGGTTCAGATTCTGGGTCACATCCAGCAAAACATCGTCGACGCCGATGATCCTCAATCGCAGTACCTGCTTCACTGCTGGGGCCGCATGTGCCGTGTGTTGGGCCGCGACTTTGTCCCTTACCTGCCCGGTGTCATGCCTCCTCTGCTGACCGTGGCTGCCGCTAAGGCCGATATCCAGCTGCTGGATGATGAGGATCAGATTGAGCAGGTCGAGCAGGATGAGGGCTGGGAGCTGGTCCCCCTCAAGGGCAAGGTCATTGGTATCAAGACCAGTGCTCTCGAGGACAAGAACACTGCCATCGAGTTGATCACCATCTATGCTCAGATTCTGGAGGAGGCCTTTGAGCCTTACGTCCTGCAGACTATGGAGACTATTGCCGTTCCCGGTCTTGCCTTCTTCTTCCACGACCCCGTCCGCGTGTCCGCCGCTAAGCTGGTTCCCCAGCTGCTCAACTCCTACAAGAAGGCCCACGGTGGCAACTCTCCCGGATTTGCCGAGATGTGGAATAAGGTGGCCGAGAAGATCATCGAGGTGCTCAGCGCCGAGCCCACTGTCGATACTCTCGCCGAGATGTACCAGTGCTTCTACGAGTCTGTTGAGGTTGTCGGCCCCAACAGCCTGACCCCGCAGCACATGCAGGCTTTCATCGATTCCGCCAAGTCCACGCTCGAGGACTACCAAATGCGTGTGAAGCAGCGGTTGGAGGAGCAGGCCGAGCTCGAGGAGGGCGATGAGGAGAACCTCGACTACGAGTATGCCGTTGAGGATGACCAGAACCTGCTCAGCGACATGAACAAGGCCTTCCACACTATCTTCAAGAACCAAGGCACCACTTTCCTCCCCGCCTGGCAACAGCTGATGCAGTTCTACGATAACTTCATCACCAGCCCGGACCCCACTCAGCGCCAGTGGGCCCTGTGCATCATGGATGATGTGTTGGAGTTCTGCTCCGCCGAATCTTGGACCTTCAAGGACCACATCATGCAGCCTCTGGCCTCCGGTCTGCAGGACGAGAACGCTGCCAACCGTCAAGCTGCCGCTTACGGTGTCGGTGTCGCCGCGCAAAAGGGTGGCGCTGCCTGGGCCGACTTTGTTGCTGCCAGCATCCCCAGCCTGTTCCAGGTGACTCAACACCCGCAGAACCGCACCGAGGAGCACGTCTTTGCTACTGAGAACGCCTCGGCCAGTATTGCGAAGATCCTGCACTTCAACGCCTCCAAGGTGCAGAACCCACAGGAGATTGTGAACAACTGGATTGAGACACTCCCCATCACTTATGATGAGGAGGCCGCACCTTATGCTTACTCGTTCATTGTCCAGTTGGTTGACCAGTATGTACCCCTTTCTTCACTGTCCATTGATATTGAACATCGAGCTAATCACCTATCTAGGCAAAACCCTGCCGTCATCGCCAAGGCTGACCGGGTCTTCGGCTTCATTGTGCAAGCCCTCGATGCTGGCACTCTGCAAGGCCAGACTGCTGCCCGCGTTGCGCAGGCGGCCAAGCAACTGGTGGCGGCGACCAACCTGAACGGCGAGTCTATTCTGGCTGGTGTTAGCCCGGAAAGCCAAGAGCGGGTCCGCAAGTTCTTCCAGTAGAGTTCCGGCTTTTTGTTTTATATCCGTGGCAACCCCTCCCCTTGTCTGCCCATCCCGGTTGTTTTTTATCATGTTTGTTAATCATTCCCCTTGGGCCATGTGAATCCGATGCTAGTAAAGACGTGAAATGTTTTGTTAATTCCCACCCAATGATGGCCTATTCCTCCTATGTTCCCGTGCCATGTCCGTACGAAATTACCACGAAAACCGACCACAGTCAACGTTCGATTGGACCCATGCGCTTGTGTATAGATGCGAGTGGCGATAATATGATCTGATCTGGATTTATTGATAGTCAATCATGATCATGATCATGGCTCCATAGCTCTTTGCCTTTCTACACTGGTACTGGCCACGGAAAATTATAAGCTACTAGACCCACGAACTTCCCTAGCAATAATCTCCTCCAGGGACGTTGTCTTCGGCTCCCCAATCAAGCCGTTCGCTCTCTTCTCATAGAGCGTACCACCTTCGGTCCAGATGCGTCGGAGTGTCACCAACGTCGCCAAAGGATTCCCAGCACCCCACGCCTCATCTTCCAACTCGCGCAGGCGCTCCAGCGATGTATACGAGACATCCCAGGGTCCTGGCACGTGGCGCTCAAATAGAGCCTGGATCTCAGCTTGGCTGGTCGTGAATGAATTGACGCAGAGTGGGCGATTGCGTGTTTTCGGGGTTGCGTGGAGGAGAGTAGATACGACGAATGTACCCACACTGTTATAAAGTAGAAGTAGAATGCCCACATTAGCCAAACAGATCCAAAAGAACGAAACACCCTGTAAAGAATAAAAACCCCGAAGAAAAGGATGATAAAACTCACTCCCCCATCGTCGTCAAACTAACCCTCTCCTCCCCCGCGCTCCCAAAAGCACCGCCCTTCTGGTCTTAACATCCCACCCACCAGCCTCCTCCAAACCAGGCGAGAAATGCAAATACATCTCGGCGAATGGACCCGTAACAACATACGAGTAATCCAAATCATGGCGGGAGATTTCATTCTCCAGGACAGCGCGCACTCTGAGTTTCTGTTGGTGGGGCTTTTCGTGGATCGAGGCGGGACTGTAGGCGATGTCTGTGCCGTATTCGGATGGGAAGAACCATTTCACGGATGGACTGGCGGCGGCGAGGCGGATTAGGGGGATTTGGTGGGCGAGGGTGTTGCGGCCTAGGGCCGAGATGACGGTTGTTATTCCTGGTTGATGTTAGTTTTGTTGTTGTGTATGAAGGGAGTATAGAAGAGAGTGGGAGGGTAGGTGTATATACATACCTTCATAAGCAGTCTTAACGGCATTTTCATCTTCAAGATCACCGATGATTACCTCCACGCCTTGCTTCTTGAGGTGTTCCCCCTTGGTCTCTGCAGTGCGCTGAGAGGTGAAGATGGCAATGCGGCCGAATTGGGAGCGTTGGGCGAGGATTGCGTTTAGGATGAAGGTGCCAATGGCGCCTGTGGCGCCGAAGAGGAGGATGTTTTGGGAAGACATGGTTTTTGTATATACTGTAGAATAGAAATCATCCAGGAATGAGAGACAGAAGGGCAAGGAGGATTATTGTTAAATTGTTTGATTCCTCGGATAGATCCGATTGTCACATCTGCTGTAGGAATGTCTCGTGTGGGGGTTGTCGCGGGGCTACGTTTTGCTTATCAATCGAGCTCGGATTTACCCGATGTCTCGTCTTTTCGCTTTCACTCTCGGGGATCAATTGCGCCATTGAGATTAATAATCCCATCTTAAACCACCATCTCCAGAATCTCCAAGACCTGCTCCTTCTCTTTTAGTGGGACTGGATTCGTCTGGCACCATCGGTCATGGAGACTGTGCTCTGCCAGGGCATCGAGTTTATCACGACCCACCCCCACATCTCCCAGAGACCGCGGCATGCCCAACTCGCGAATCACTGCGTCCAGGATATCGCCCAAATCCGAGTTTTCAGTGTTAATCGAATGAGAGCGTAGAACCTCGACCACAACGGGATCGCGGATGAGGAACTCGCGCACTCGCGCTTGTCGCTCGCGATTGGCGTTGTGCTTTGCGTTGAACTTGCACACGGCGGGGAGTAAGATGCAACTTGTTTCGCCGTGGCCAACGCCCAATGGACCAAGCTAGAACGGGTTATTAGCCATCTCCCTTTAATGCAATGTAGAAAGAGAACATACCTGATGCCCAATCCCATGACTAGCCCCCAATTCCACCGAACCACTTGTACAAGCAGCCATCGCATCCACCGATCCCAATTGACACTGTAAATGCGCCTCTCGATCCCCCCGATCCTTCTTACATCTCAACAAGCCTGGAACCAACAGTCCCAGCGCATGTTCCGCAAGTTCATCCGATGCTGGCGTCACGCCCACAATAGCGCAAAGCGTCTCCACGCAGTGATCCACTGCGCGAATGCCCGTACTCAACCAGATCGAGTCTGGCGTAGTCTCGACTAGTTCGGGGTCGAGGATGATGAGTTGGGGTCCGCGAAGTGGTGCTTGGAAGCTATATTTGCGGCGGGAGTTATCCTCTGTACCGCCGGCGAAATTAGAGTATTCACCCGCGGAGAGGGAAGTTGGCACGGAGATTATGGGGATGGTGGGTGGGTTGATTTGAGGTCGTTTGTTGGGTCCTTCGGCGAGGGATGCGAGGTCGGAGGGGGTGTGGACTTGGTTAGCGAGGGCCTGGAAAAGTAGAGATTAGTACAGTATGGAATAGAATACCAACGAAAAAGAAGAATATACGAACAAAAGCAATTATCTTCGCCCCATCCGTCAAACTGCCCGCTCCCAGGGTCAACAGTAAATCCGCCTTTACATTCCTCGCCTCCTCCACAATCTCCAATACCTCCGACCACAGCGTATGACTCTGCATGCCAATCCGACGACCGACGACCTTCCCCACACCCAGCGCCGCGGTCAATCGGTCTAGAGCATCTGTGTTTCGTGCTAGTGATCCCGAACAAATCACGTAGACTCGCGAGGCATTGAAGGTCTCGGTGACGTGGTGTGCGGCGGCGGTGGGGAAGGGGATCCCGTAGCTGAGGAGGGGACGCTCGCGGCCGGAGAATGCTGGACGGACTGTTTCGGACATTTTTACTATAGGTTGGGAAGTGATTCTTGTTAGCTGATATTGAATTGGTACTTTTTACTTCTATTGCGGGGATTCATTGGGGATATTATATCGTTGCAACAGGGACAAGCTTCTCCATGTGGGAATGTGGGGCTGCGATGGATGTGGGTTCACTTGGAGATCCTCGACAATCTACATACTGGATTTCAGACTGAGTAGCATTATATTTAGGGCAGTACTACAGCCGCCCCCCTCTTGCCTGATATTGGGGGTAGAAATAGCTAAAGGGGGGCGGGTGCCTGGCTTGAAGCTCGAGACAGTATGCGCAAACTCGACTTCGAGCCAGGGATGCCAATCCCAATCAATCCACTCTGAAAATGAATTTCCTGTCTCTAGCTTCTTTCCACTGAAGGACAGGAGAAATGTATTCTCCTAGGAAATAATTCAACTCTAACGCAGCCGGATCATCTCGTCTGCGATTGAAAAGAGCATGGGCGAAATCAATAAACACGATACTAGGTCTGTCGCTACCTGGAGAACTTGTGATGATAATATTTCGCGATTCAAGATCGATGAGCCAGATGTCCTTTTCATAGATCCGGCTTTCAAGGTCCACGATCGACTTCAAAATGCTTTGCCGAACTGATTAGGGAAAATCCCTCGGTCTAGCATCTGCCATTGTAATACCTTCGATATGCTCGACCAAAATCATTCGAACAGTCCGATTTTGCAGTGAGTCCACAGATAGACTCAAGGAGTATGACCCGTAGTATCTCTAACAGTATAGTTCATTGAGGGCTATGTATGCATTAGCCTTATGAGTGTAGTATTTATCCACGCACAGGAATTGATTGAGATGCCCTTCCTCATCGTCCAAGTAAAGTGGGTCGTATATTTTTGCAACAAGTATCGTGCCTTTCTGAGGAAGCAAGTCTGATGTTGACTCAAAGTCTAGAAGTCGGGCTGTGGACACCTGAGAATTGTGGCCATCGCCTGCTTTCAAGAGGTCGATGGCGTCTACTGGCAAAGGGGGATGCTTTAAGCATCGGTCGATGGGACGCAATTTTTCTCTCTCTGCCCTGTCGTTTTCACTGTTGATACAGCAGCCTCGCACTACCGGCATTTGACTGGGAACAGTTTGAGAATTCGCGGTGAATCTCCAACCAGCAGTATGTAGTACTGGCGGCTTGGGGAGCTCCGTCGACGGAGGTCCGAATAAAGGCGGGGGTGGTTCAAAGACGGGTATCATAGTATTCAGTGCGACAGTAATAGACCTGTCGAGACCAGCGCTTCTGCCACAAGACCACTGTATTTCAAATTTGGTGCTGGAGTTCTGCAAGGGAGAAGAATGGGCCAACTTCGCCATTCTCTCGGACCGTTAATTCTCGAAGCGCTCATGCGGCTATGTCATGCAGGAAGCGATTATCAGTCCTAACCTCGATATCTCACTGAATAGAAAGGTCTTCAATGGTCTTCAAGGATCAGTTCAAAAACTCAGTGAGTTTCAAATTAACTGGGCAAACCTTTGAGAATTAGCTTTGTACGCCTCCACTTTGGTATGTGTCCCCACCCAGCTTCAAGTTTCCCACACGGCTGCTTCGAGATGCCTGTGAATTACAAGAGGCTCCATAGATGTAGGCCCTGGTAAGTACAAAGTGGAGACATACACCATCCGATTATCCATCTATGCAATAGGTCACACATATCAACAGCCACTCAACCCATGAACCCCCCCATCCGCCGTATACTTGCACGTGCCCGTCCCAGCCGTCGTCGAATTAACCGGATACAATACCACATTATCAAAATCAATATTATAACACGGATGGGCTTTCGAACACGACACCGACGCAGTCGTACTCTTACTCGTATCAATCGTCCCCGTAAAATTCACAAACGCCACATTCGAAATACTCATCAGACTCGTTCCGGACAACGAGCCATTATTCCCATTATCCTGCGTAATTGCAGGTCCCGAGTTCGCGCCTTGAATGTCGAAGTTCGAGAATAACACGTTGGTTACACTGCCCCAGCCTGCGCCGCGGGGCTGACCGGCGCTTTCGTAGGAGCTTTGTGGGACTAGTGCGCCGACCCAGGTTTTGATGTAAGCGCTGTTGTGCATATCCTCGTTGTACCGGATGATTTTGACAGTGTCGATTTTGATGTTGGACACGCTGGAGTCTTCGAGGTATTGGCCTAGACTGCCGATGGCTATTCCGTTGCCGCCGCGACAGGTCACATTGTGGATGTTGACGTTGTAGGAGCGTGGCTTGATGGCGATGCAGTCATCGCCGCCTTGGTAGACGAAGTTGGTTAATTCGACGTTGTTTACGTCCATGGTATCTGGAAGAAGAGTTGTCAGTTCACGAACATCAAAAATAAAAATACCTAGTGGAGAACAGTACGTACCAAATCCATCCGTATTCTGCACCCAGTTCTTGCCGTAGGGCGCGTTAACTGCAGTGGCATTGCAGTAAATATTGTTGAAGCGCATGTTGGTACCATTCATGATATTCAAGCTCCACAGCTGGGGATCCTTGACGTAGAAATTGTCCACGCTGACATCGGACACATTCCAGAACACAAAAGGCATTGGCCGTCCAGGTAGTGTAGTTCCCTGTTCAGCAGTATACCACACGTTACCATTCCCATCAATCCCACCGGTGCCATACCCATCAATCTTGATGTTGTGTCCCGTGATGACGAACCCAGCATGGTGGTTCTGGAAAGCAATTGGGTAAGAGTTGTTACGCCAGTAATCCAGGTCATCGGAGAACTATATGCGGTTAGTATATTGATCCTAACCAGAAACACGTACAAGTTGGATTTACTAACAGTCCATTTTCCCCGCCATTCAATTACCACGTCGTTGATAACGGGATTGAGACGAGTTGCGATCCAGTAGGATTGGTCTTCTGGGAAGATGACTGTGCCGCCGTGACCACATTCTTTGAATGCTTTGAGGATATTGGGGACATCGTCTTTTTGATGGCCATTGGCCTTGACGATGCAGGTATTTTGGCCACTTTTGACCACAACCGCATTGGCAGCACTAGTCAGTGCAAGCCCCAAGGGGAGCACGACGGAATAAAAATCCAGCAAGCGCATGGTGAAAAGGTTTGTCTGCGTTCAAGTGCTCAGTGTGGATTTAGCACTTTATAACCGATCTCCATAAGTCAAAGCGAGGATCTGATCCCCTGCAGGATTACCGCTCGGTGACATTTGCGCCGAGCTCGCTATGCTACCCCTTGAGACCCTCTGAGGCCTGTACCGGTGCGCTAAAAGGAACAGATAATTGCGGAGGAAAGCCTTTGCGGGGAAAGTAGTAGCCGGAATAGGGTGAGATTTGCCAATTCGGCAATTTGTATGAGAATGACGATGCCATTCAAGCCACACGAGTGCTTGTTATGCCGATCTTTGCCTTGATCCTGGTAAAGTGCAATATTATTGTATGCAGATTGTTCCACCAATCAGGGGGTCTAATGTCTTACCTCCTCTATTTGGTAAATTGCTGCAGGTGTATTCTCTTGTTACCTCGTGGTATTCCTGACCGAGAATTGACATTCTACTGCGGAACACTCCATAGCCCCGCCGGTGTTCGAGTTACTATATGTAGTCCCCATATTGGGGGACTAGATCCACTTTTGCCCCAAAACCAAAGGCCAAGAAAAAGTCATTTCTCTGAAAACTTACAGGAAAATGGTACGGATCCATTGGTCTGGCTTTCTTGTGAGCTTCTGCTCTCTACTTTCTCTAAGTGAAGCAGAGTCTTGTTGGCGGAATACAACATGTTCAGGACCAACCAAGAGCGCCTTCAGCGGTGTATGGGATAAAAACATCTACGCGCCGACGTCGCGAACAGTCCGACCAGCATCAACGCTCTCCGAACTAAAATCCAATGCCATCACCAATTCTGCCAAGCCCCAGACAGCCACTCTGCACGGGAATGGATCGCTCGTGGTCTTTGACTTTGGCAAGGAAGTAGGTGGTATTGTCCATCTAGACTACACTTCCACGGGCAGTGGAGCATTGGGTCTTGCATTCACCGAAGCCAAAAATTGGATCGGAGAATGGTCCGACTCGTCTAATAGCCTATGGCATGATGGCGCCTTATACGCTAATTTCTCATCGTCGGGAGAACACACTTACGATATGCCCGACCGATTCCTCCGTGGTGGCTTCCGGTACCTGACGATTTTCCTTGTCACCAATAGCTCTACAAATGTGAGCTTGAAGGATATCACTGTGGAATTAGACTTCCAGCCTACATGGTCCAATCTACGTGCCTACCAGGGATACTTCCATTGCAGTGATGAGCTCCTGAACCGAATCTGGTACAGTGGCGCTTATACATTGCAAACCAACGAGGTCCCCGTGAATACCGGGCGTATCACCAGCGGACTCAAGTCTGGCTGGCTGAACAATGGAACCCTCGGACCTGGTGATACTATCATCGTTGACGGTGCTAAGCGAGACCGGGCCGTTTGGCCTGGTGATATGGGCATTGCGGTGCCATCGGCATTTGTCAGTTTAGGAGATTTGGATAGTGTGAAGAACGCTTTGCAGATTATGTACAACACTCAGGTAATTTGTCCAAAACTTGGGTACTGGGTTCAACTTTTATTGATATACAAGACAGGCTTCCACGGGCGCCTTTGCTGAATCTGGGCCTCCACTCAGTCAGAAGGGTTCGGATACCTACCACATGTGGTCCATGATTGGTACTTACAACTACGTTCTGTACACAAATGATACGGCTTTCCTGGAACAGAACTGGAATGGCTACCTTGCCGCTATGAATTACATCTATGGGAAAGTGACATATTCCAGTGGTCTTTTGGATGTCACTGGCATCCGTGACTGGGCCCGGTGGCAGCAGGGATACAACAACACAGAGGCTCAAATGATGTATGTTTCAACTCCCGTCTTGACAACCTGGTCTTATTTATTAACAAAACACGCCATACAGCCTCTACCGCACACTGCAGACCGGAGCATCTCTAGCCACATGGGTTGGTGACACCACCAATCTCTCCAGCACCTGGACCTCACGAGCCGAGTCCCTCAGAACCGCCATCAACACCTACTGCTGGGATGAATCCTACGGCGCTTTCAAAGACAACGCCACCGACACCACCCTCCACCCCCAAGATGCCAACAGCATGGCCATCCTGTTTGGCGTTGTCGACTCAGACCGCGCAGCCGGAATTTCGGACAAACTTCTCAAAAACTGGACACCCATTGGCGCCGTCGCACCCGAGCTACCTGAGAACGTCGTCTCATTCATCTCCTCCTTTGAAATCCAAAGCCACTTCGAGGTCCACAAGCCCGCCCGCGCACTGGATCTCATCCGTCGCAGCTGGGGATGGTACATTAACAACCCCAATGGTACTGAGAGTACCGTCATCGAAGGATATCTTGCAAATGGAACTTTCGGATACAGAGGAAGTCGTGGGTACAACTACGATACATCCTATGTCTCGCACGCCCATGGTTGGTCTTCCGGACCAACTTCCGCATTGACCAATTACATTGTTGGTCTTTCGGTGACTTCGCGCTTGGGTCAGACATGGAGTATTGCGCCGCAGTTTGCGGATTTAGAGCATGCTGAGGCTGGGTTTGTTACCTCGCTTGGTAAGTTCCAGGCTTCTTGGGTGAAGAAGGAGGATAGGTATACTTTGAAGTTTTCAGTTCCGAAGGGTACGAAGGGTACTTTGACGTTGCCGTATGTCACTGCGGCAAAGAAGCCGTCTATTACTATTAATGGAGATCGGGTGACGAAGGGGTTGACTTATGCTGATGATACGGCTACTTTTGGGGTGGTTGGCGGTGGTTCTTTCCAGGTTGTTGTTCGTTGAGATCTGGTATATCGTTGATGGACTATTTAAAACGGGCTGAATTACAGTGTGCAAATGACAAATGATACAATTGACTTAGTCAAATAGTATAGTCTCAATTAAGCCCCTAGATGCATTTTGAATACATTGCCAAAGTCCATTCTTTCTCGATATTCCACTGAATTGTCTCTTCAGTACTAGACAAAAATCGGAGAATAGGGATTAGTATCAAGCAATAAAATTTTTTCTAGAGATGGTTAATATATCCGATGTATCTTCATTTATCGCCGACTTATCATACTTATGATCAATATTGCCAGTCCCTGTACGGAGTACTGTACCTCGAGTCCCGTACATACAGTTGGTCACCCTAAACGGGAATAGCGCTGGGTTCAGTGGACTCCCTAGTCATCCCTCTCAACCAATCGAATGTCACCCGAGCCCTACCTAATAAGCGGCGTGTCATGTGACGCACAACCCACCCGCGTTCAATTTTCACCCTCACACAAGTGACCTTCTTCCCCGACCAACGACAACCCGTGCACTCGAAGCCATTCACGACAACCCAGGTCGCTCCGTCAAGATGGCTGTCCGCAACACCGGTGCGTACTCTCACTCGCCCAGCCTATCCTCAATCCCTCGCCTTGATCCATTTGCAATTTCCGCCCGAACTCTCGATCTCTTCAATGTATATACAAGTTACTGACGAAACCTCTGCAGCCCTGGCTTCTTCTCGCTCCAAGAGCCGCAAGGCTTACTTCCAGGCCCCCTCCTCGGAGCGCCGCATCCTCATGAGCGCCCCTCTGTCCGCTGAGCTCCGCGCCAAGTACGGTGTACGTTGAAAATCAAATCGAAATCGCATTCAATCTGGGTCTGGCACGAATCCGGTTTTTGGGGAGAGGGGAGACGAAAATCGGACGATACAGGCACCAGCAGCAGGAATCAGGGACACGCAAAAACTAACACAGTGTTCCCAACAGGTCCGCTCCATCCCCATCCGCAAGGACGACGAGGTTACCATCGTCAACGGCTCCAACAAGGGCCGTGAGGGCCGCATCACCACCGTCTACCGTCTCAAGTTCTGCGTCCACGTCGAGGTACTTTTGTCAAACTTTTCACCATCTACCGAATTCATCCGGAAATTGGGAACTAACCCCTTCTTTTTTTTCTACAGCGTGTTGTCCGCGAGAAGACCAACGGCCAATCCGTCCCCATCCCCATCCACCCCTCCAACGTCGTTATCAGCAAGCTCAAGCTCGACAAGGATCGTGAGGAGATCCTCGCCCGCAAGGCTAAGGGTCGTGAGGCTCGCAAGGCCAAGTCGGCTTAAGCGGTGTCTTGTGTGTGCGGGTTTAGGTTCATATTGCAATGACGGTTTAACGGCGCGGGTGTATTGAAGGAACTCCCACAGAAAAGGGAGGATCCAACATACCATTCTCAGGATCAATGTTTCTGACACCAGGTGCATTGCGATGAATGAAAAATGAAAATATCCTTTTCTTCTTCCACTTGGAGTTGGTATCTACTCGAGAAATCGTTTGTCAATTATCGAGGTAGGACTAGCTGTCCTTTTTCTTTGCATTTCTGGGATAGTCCTCTCTATATCAGAGAGTGGGCTTGTTCTCTATGCGTAGTTTTGGGTAGTAGGGAAAGGGAGACAGTTGGAGATTTCCAAATACACTGAGAGTCATACCCGATAATCTGACATGCCTGTGCCTATGAAAGCTCTTAAACTACTTGACAATCCGCCAATGCATCAATGCTGCAACCATCTGAGGCCGTATGCAAGCCGTTCCATACGCCATATTTGTGACATAGTAACTAGCAAAAGCTCTAGCGAAATTGCTCAAAGTCTGATAGAACGACGTAAAGAAATCGATTTTAAGGTATGCACGTATTCTCCCACCGAATCCTTATAATGATCCGCACCTCAACAGACACTCCACGTTATGTCTTTCACCATGTAAATTGTACTGAAATCGGCGATCTTCCCTCGAATCATTTTTTCGAATAAACCATTCTTATATATCCGAGGAATAAGACTTATTCGCGAAATCCCCACTTCATCCGTCCGTTCGCAGATAGGTTATAGATCAGACCATATCACGTGAATCCCCACACTCCCAAGTCAACCCCAATTCCGACAGCAGCCGCTTTCTATACACCTCCCCAAACACAATCCCACCACCATGTCTACTCATCTTCGAGCAAATCCCTGGCGTGCCTACCAGTGCCTTGCCCGGCAACGCCTGGGTCAATGCAATAGCACGGCCAGGTCCTTCTCCACGACACACTCTCTCCACAATGCTGCCAACAACCCACTGCGCGCGGCGGGACGCGCAAAGAGCGAGCAGGACTTTGCCAAGTCCAAGCGCTCAATTGCCCTCTCCGCCGCTGGAATGGTCGTCTGCGGTGCTGCCATGTACGGCGTCATCAAGATGGATGTCTTCGGGCTGGATGCGCTGGACACTAGTAAAGACAAGGCATCTGGAACAGAGCAGAACAAGTTCGAGCAAACATCAAGTCGATCGATGAAGATGGATGGGCCACCCGGATTCCCCAGCACAGGTGGACCATCCGTAATCCCACTGCACGGCCAGGACAACGTGGACCAAGTTGCCACTGGAACCAGCACGATCCCCTACTTCCCGACGACAATTCGACTGCCCGCTGCTTCTGAAATCGACAACAAGCAAACGGGCGATGAGCTATCCACCTCCGACGGCGACGAATACCAGCTCCTCGGCCTTGGCATCCGAACTGTCTCCTTCCTCTCAATCCAAGTCTACGTCGTGGGTCTCTACGTCGCCAAATCCGACATCACCGAGCTCCAACGCCGCCTCATCAACACAGCCATCCACCCCCAACCAACGACATAACCGCCGTCTCAGGCGTCGGTGTCGACGCCGCAACATCACTCGTCCCGCCAGAGCGCCAACAACTCAAGGACCTCCTGCTGGACGCCGAACGCGGCGACGCGGCCTGGACAGCCCTGATCAAGGACAACGGCATCCGCACCGCTTTCCGCATCGTTCCAACCCGTAACACGGATTTCATGCACCTGCGCGACGGCTGGGTCCGTGGTATCACGGCGCGCGCGCAACAGAAGAAGCCTCTCCCTGGAGCCGCAGCGCCGGGCGAGTTCCAGGACGCGGAGTTTGGGACCGCGATGAATGATTTCAAGGCTGTGTTTGGTGGGGGTCAGCGGAAGAATGTGCCTAAGGGTCAGACTTTGGTGTTGTTGCGTGGTGCGCAGGGGACGATGGATGCGTTGTTCCAGCCGGAGCCGACGAAGCCGATGCGTTGGATGGGTCGGGTTGTTGATGAGCGGGTGAGTCGGCTTGTGTGGTTAAATTATTTGGCTGGAAAGACTGTTTCGAGTGAGGGGGCCAGGCAGAGTATTGTGGATGGGTTGATGGCGATTGTGGAGAGGCCGGTGGGCACTGTTGTGCAGCGGGTTGTATGAGGTGTGAGGTGAGATTGGCATATTCCTGTATTTGTATATCCAGAGGCTGGTTTTGCCTTTAAGCTTTCAATCCTGTTTTTACTAGTTTCCCACCTGTACTCTATCTACTCAAGATTACGTGGAAAAGTGGAGGTTCTCAACTCCTAACTCGGCTCTACAACAAACTCCAAGTGCATGAACGTAAATGCAAAATTATCTATCAAAAGATCGCATGCGCAGTTCCAGTTCCATAGTCGCGTACAAAGACAGAACTAGTTATCCCTCGCGCATATCATATTCTAGAAACATCGTGTCCTGGCCTCTTTACAGGGCACCAGCATCCTTCAGCAGCTGAGGGAGCTGGCCAGAAATAGCCTGGAGGTCGGAGTTACCACCGATGTGCTTCTGGTTGATGAAGATGTTGGGCACGGTGCGCTGGTTGGAGATCTCCTGGAGAGCAGTCTGGATGGCAGAACCGTCATCTAGAAATCAGGAAGAAGGAGGTTAGTATCTTGTCATAACAATATCAAGAACATATAACAAGATGTGCCCAGCCAAGATCGAGAAGTACAGGGTACATGCAGGGTAGCATCATCGGCATTTGGTGGAAATCCCTCAACCCCTCCCCCATCATTCCCCGCGCAAAGCGCAAAAGATTCCCCTCTCCTTCCCCGAAACCAACACAAAAAATAACCGCAAAACTTAAAAGCAAATAGTAACAATAACAAAACTCACCAATCTGATCAAGCTCCAACACCTCAAACTTAGCACCCAACTTGTTCAACAAATCCTTGCTAGACTTGCAGTAGGGGCAATAAGACTTGGAGAAGACGACAACGCCGTTCTCATTAATGAGGTTCTGAGCCTTGGTCTTGGCGGCGGACATGGCGGCGGGTGAAGGGCCGGCGAAGGAGCCGAAGAGGCGGTTGAAGATGAAAGAAATGGTGGGCGAATTTAAAAAAGGAAGAAACCTGGGAAATGGTTTCTTTATATCTTGAGGAGGACGGAAAAGAGGAGGATTTGGTAATTGGATTGTAGAAGAGAACGATCGATTGGGAAGGAAGATTGCGGGATTCGGTCATCAGGGCGGCGGATGATGTCAGGTGATGTTAGGTAAGCTTGTTTGATTCAGGGAGTTTAGTCAGCTTGGGGGGTCTGGCCCAGTGTATACCTACAGTACATGTATATGCAATATATGACACTGTTTCAAAGAAATAAAAGCACTGTCAAGCTGGCAGGCTCCTACAACTTTCGCGCAATAACCACGACCCGCGGCATTGACAAGGCCACACCATGCACTGCCTCCACCGCAACATCCCTTAGCAGTTGTCGGATATTCTCCGCATCATCCACCATATCCTTTTTCTCCAAGGACAGTACAAACTCGTCCATCGTCGCCAAATGCTGCCCTCCATTTGCCGTACCAAGGTCGACGCGGTCCTGAAAATGCTCCAGTTGAGGCTCGGCAAATCCATTCTGTGCCAGCAGCACCGGTAAATTCAACACCCAGTCATGACGTCCACTCGAGTAGACGAACTGGCGCAGACGGTCAAACGCCGGCGTTGCAAGCGTGGGATCTGCCTTTCTAACATGGGTGTCTGGGTAATCGAGGTCGTCCCACTGGATGTATCCGCCCGGTTTGAGCAGGCGGGCTACTTTTTGGATGATGGGGACTGGATCACTGTTCTGCACGACGAGGATCAGGAGGCGGAGGTGGACGATGTCGTATTTCCCGACCAGGTGTTCTGGTACGGGGTCGAAGACGTTCCAGTGGAGAAGAGTGAGGTATCTAGGGAGCCATTGAGTGGGCGGAGTGTTCGAGAGATCAATGTCGTAGCCATCGAGAATAGCAGTGGGAAACTCGCGGGCGACGTCGAGGAGCCAGATTGCGGTTCCCGTGCCCACATCTGCGATAACAGGACTGGAGGCAATGGGGATAGAAGGGTGGATGTTGAATTGGAGGGACTCTTTCCAAAGGAAGAATTGGAGATTGAGGCGACAGGCCGCGTTGTGGCTTCGGCCAAGCATGTAGCCTTTGTTGTCTGCGAGATGAAAGCCGGATTCAATGGTTGTTGAAGGCATAATTGAGAGAAGGGCTGGAAGGACAGAAGAAGTGCTTGCGATCGAAATAATGTAAAACTGGGACTGGATGGCATGTATGTACTTGCTGTAGGATTAATTGGTGTGGTTGGTATATGTATTCGAGAGCGATACCTACTGGTAACTCCAGTACCCAAGGAGGGGCAACTTTCTCGACTTTACTGTCTCTGAACTAAACCCGAAACCATCAGCTTATCTCGTATAAGCAGCCCCCAAATCCTTTCAAGCTCTTCAAGCCTTCGGAATTTGGGCTGGTTGATCAATAACGGGGATAGCGCCTGCAGCGGCATCGGACTCCCCCTGGTTCCGGACCGATCGAGGTGCAGTTCTCGCTCAGCGAAGTCTATAAAAGTAGGTGTAAGACTAAAGAGCCAGTTCTTTCCTTCATCTGATCCGTCTCTCAGCTAATCATTCGTCATGCGTTCTATTCTGGTAGCGCTGGCCGTGGGCCACGGCACTGGCCCAGAATTGCAAGCTGTCTTCCAAAAGGTCATTGTGGCCCTGGCAACTCCATACGACGTACAAGTTCAATTCGTCACGTCCCCACGAACTTATCATTCTTACTCATCCCTCTTGGCCATCAATGACACCGATGTCGTCAGTGCAGAGACACTGACGGATGCGGACCATTACGAAGACTTCTGCCGTCAGGTCGTCTCCCGCGGAGCATGCGCCATATTTCGAACTTCCATCAGCGCGCAGGCACTATACATGGTTCGAGACCGGCTGCTCGCCGTGAAGGTTGAGCAGTTCAAACTGAGCTCGTCTGCATCGATCTTACTGGTGCGGGATCAGGCTCAAGGATTCTACTCCGGTTTGAACAAGATCGACTCAGCCCAGGAGACGGTCTCACGATCATCATATTTCAACAAAGGGATCTTTGAACAGATCCTCAAATTCTCGCTTGCACGAGCTCGCGAAACTTGGGGCGCCGACACCGTCATCAAGACCATCACGCTGGTGTACAAATTTCACCTATTTGACGGACTATTCCACTCATGGGCGGAGCAGTGGCAGAAAGTCTTCGGAATAGGCATACAGTTTGTCCAGGGAGATACGATGAACCGCAATCTGCTGGCATTCGGCGTCAAAGGTCACCAGCTGCTGATCTGCGCCAATGAATACGCAGACATCATGCAGACAATACTGCTGGATCGGTTCGGGTTTGGTGCGCAAGAGTCCGCGTGCGCTGAGAACGTCTATCTCTCCGCCGCGGTCAATGGAAGCCTCAGCGAGTATCAGACCGCGCATGGCTCCGCGGACGACCTGACCGGTCATGGCGTGGTCAATCCATCGGCGACCATTCGTGCAGCAGCAGCGCTGTTGGAACGTCATGGGGGCTGCCCGGGGGTTCAACGCCAAACGGATGTGACCCTGGACGAGCTGCGTGCAAAGCACATCCGGACGCTGGATCAGGGCGGCACGACCAAGACCGAAGCTTTTGTGGATGCTATGCTACAGAGGATCGCCCCGAATCTTCCTGTAAAGGCTAGCAATCGTACTTCTCCCAAGACGGCTGGCGATCTGGTGGCGCCGCCGTCGTGGGCCCCCGCCAGGCCCGGAACAAGTCGTGTTTGGTGGTGGTGGATTTCCAGAACGACTTCATGACGCAGTACAAGAGTCCCCGGGTGCTGAATCGGATCAAAGATTACATGCCACGACTTGTGGACTGGGCGCGTCGCGAGGCAATAGAGGTCGCGTGGGTGCGATTCCTTGGCGACGAAAAGTACCAACCAGCGACCTGGCGGCGGCGCAATCAGATGCAGGGCCAACGGGCGTGGTGTCAGGAAGGCAGCTGGGGTGCAGAGATCGCCAGCTGCGTACAAGTGCAAGCCCCCGAGCGGGTCTTCGATAAGAAGGCATACTATGATCCGTTCCTGGGGCCTGAATTTGCAAGCTACGCTGCGGGATTCGAGCATCTAGTGGTGGTGGGCCTTTTTGCTGATATTTGTGTGGATGCAGCGGTCCGGGGTGCCTTTCAGCGAGGGTTGTGGACTTCGGTGGTCCGCGAGTGCACCGCTGGCTTGCATATGCCTGAGGAGCAGAGCTTCGCTTACATGCAGCTCGTATATGGTTGCGAGGTAGTAGGGATCGATCAGTTGCTGTCGATGGGGCCGATGGCCAGTCTGTAGAAAATAGAAGACGAGGTAGACATGATACCTAATGGGGTAATTGGTGAATGTAACCCAGGGGCCAATATTTTCTGTCTTGGTAAAAAAAGGTTTAGTAGTTAGAAGGTGGCTTGCCGCTTGCATGGATTTGAACTTAGAACCACCCGTCTTCTTATGTTAAAACGTTGACTACTAACTAACTTGAAAGAGACTAATATAATTAACTTTGTCTGTACTCGTTGGATTCAAAAGTTGGGGTTCACCAGGTTAAGAGAAACAGGTGCTAATAGCCTTTGTCGGAATTATATCTCACGTAGAACAACGGTACCTTGAGACCTAAAGATCTTTTTGCATAGCCGAGGGTTTTTGATTGCTCTATATACTCTACTTCCTAGTGCATCATCTCGATTGTCTTGGTTGCTAGTCATCCATCCCGTCTACCTAGGTAGGTACAGTAACTCCCCGCCGGGCCGTTTATATAGCGGCCCGAACTTCCGGGGTATAAAGTGAAATACGAGATTATGCATAAGCGTAGTACTGGAGGTGGAGTAATAATGAGAGGGACTATAGGAATTATCGGTGCAGATTGATCCTCAAGGATGCGTGTCTCACACCAGCCCAAAGCAGACATCGCATAAAGGAAAAGCGGCGAGGATAACAACCTGCAAGAACGACCCTCCGCTCACCGTTGATGAGGGAACATGTCCGTAATTGATACTTTGGCCTGGTTTCAGCCAGAGATCGGCCCTCGCTTGAAGCCAAGCATCGAGTTTGTCTTCCGTCAATGGAGTGGCCTAACGGGCGAGGAATTGGAATCGCATTTACATCGAATCGTAGGTTCAACTTGTCCCTCTACCATGCACTACTAACAGCAAGACCCCTGCAGCGCGAGCAAGCATGGCCACTGGGAGAGTTTCCGTGCATCGGTCTCTGGATGTTCCTGCTCCCGGGCATCGCGGCCTTTCCCCAATTTCCTACTATCCTCGAAACAGTCCGACGGCCTCGGGCCAAAATCCTGGATCTCGGATGTGGACTGGGCCAGGATCTGCGACTACTGGCCGCGCATGGCGTTTCGACCGATCGCATGTGGGCGTTGGACATCGAGCCCCATCTGTGGAAGCTGGGCTACGAGCTATTTCGCGACGAGGGGCGCATGCAAGCCTTGTTCATTCATGCCGACTTCCTAAAAGTGAATATCGCTGGTGATGACCGATTTTCCCCGCTGAGGGGGCAGGTAGACCTGGTGCTAGCGTCGCAATTCCTGCACCTATTTGACTGGGAAGGCCAGTTGGCGGCGAATAAGCGGATAGTTGGTTTGTCTAAGCCAGGAACCATGCTCGTGGGGTTTCAGCAGGGGCGTAAACGAGCCAGGGCTTACATTCGTCCCTGGGGCATGATGTTCTATCATAACCGAGATTCATTTCTGGAATTGTGGGCATTGGTTCAGCAGCAGACTAACACCCAATGGACGGTCGATGTCAGTGCAGTCGCTTTGCAAGATTGGGGCATGCAGAATGAGGATTTGGAATGGATGCCCGAGGATCGTACAGGGATAAACTTTGTAATTACGAGAGACTCGTGAGAGGTTCTAACGGCGTCGATTAATGATCTACATCAATGGGCAATTTATTAAACTTTAACTTTGCATGGTGGCTTGATTCGTCGCCAAAATCATCTGCTATAGACTGAAATATACTAGACCTCCAGCATATATCCGTCCTGCCTCACAGACTCAAAGGTTCAGCGTCTAGATACTTTACAGGAATTGATCAAGTATCTCTCGGGTCAAAGCCACCGTCTCGTCGATCCTATTCAAAAATGGTCCACAATGGCTGGACGCCAGCTCCTTGACGATCCACGACTGCTGCGTGGCCACCATCATGCCCAATTGCGCCTCCTTTGGGACGGCGCGATCCTCCGTGGTGACCACAAACGCCAAGCGTCCCTGAAGCTCCTCGTCCGCCCAGGCTGGATGGGGCTGGGGCGATGTGAAGGACAACGTCGCATGCGGCTTAAGGTTTGCAGTCAAAGACTGTGCCAGAGCCAGATCGACATCGGCGGCGAAATTGTTAATTGGGTCGTCAGCTATATTGAGATTCGCGGAGGGCTATTCACGGGTCAGTAAGTTGATCTGGATCGTCCTCCATATATAATAGCAATAGAAGGGGTCCTCCTACTTGATCTAGCAAAATCCAAGGCGGTAGATTTCCGCCCTGGAGACCGGCACAGCTGAGACCTTTAGGCACGACGAAAGCCCCTAGGAAAAGCAATCCAATGACGCCGCCAACTTTGCCTTCTTGTGCCCGCTGCGACTTAGCTAGCCCAGTCGCTGCTGCGGCGCCGGGCATGCCAGCATAGGAGTGCATGAAGAGCAGGACATCTTTTCCTTCATCCTCGACGAGGGAACGGAGCACAGCAGTAATGGCCTCGGTGTCGGCATGACAATCAATTGTGGATGGATCCGAATCCTTAGGGTCCAAAGAGGGATACCCTGCGTAGCGAACATCATAGCCAGCAGTCGTGAGAGCTTGAAGGAATGGCTCGTAGAAAGCCTTGGTGATCCAAGCTCCAGGAATAAAGAGGATGGTGGTCATGGTTTAAAGTTTGCTGATGAGATGTTTCCAATGAAAGATTTGTTAGGAATGGGGAGCCGGACGAGAATAGCGGATCTGGCCAATATAACTATAACGAGTACTTAACTTAACCCTTCAACCACATACTAGAGGAATATTTTCCGCGCTACCTTGTAGCCTGGAGAACTTCTCATCTCCACCTCGCAGGGATTACTAACTCCATGAGCATCCTGTGCATGCGTAACTCGTCTTACCAGTAATGGAATATAGCCCCCTATTAACAACAACCCTGGTTAAACTATAGCGATCAGGATGCGAGGTGGGGTCGGAGCCAGGAATCGAATGCAACCCACGGGCACAGTGTTAAGGTCGACAGATGAGCGTGTCAAAGCATATTAACAGGGTAGTCCAGTCCTCCAGCTGCGATTTCTTTGTTCCTCTGTAGTCAATGGCCTGACCCCTCAGTCTTTCCCTCCGTTGGTTCCTTCTACTATGGATCTTACCCCACCGGTCGGCATAGATCTCGATGCATCCCATCAAACTCAGTTGAGAGCGACATATTCGGTCACTTATGGTCTAGCTGTAGTTGCTGTGGCCCTGCGCTTGCTATGTCGACTGAATATCTCCAAGATCAAATTATGGTGGGATGACTACATCATCTGTACTGCGTTGGTAGGAATTTTCATTGCTCTCCTCATCGCTTCGAGTGTTTCCATACCTTGGACAAAAATAAGAGGCCATTACTGACACTACTTTTGTTACCAGGCGCTCGCCACAGGTAACTTCATCGACATGATGATCTGGGTTCAACGGGGCGTCGGCACCCATATCTATCGCTGGGGACTACCTGGAGTCTCCCACTTCTATATCAATCTCTTCGTCTGCGAAATCTTGTATACGCTATCTCTCTGCTTCACAAAGTACTCCATATTGCTGTTCTTCTGGCGTATCTTCGGCAGCACCAACATCCGTATACCAATCTACATCCTGGCATTCCTCATCACAGCTTGGGGGCTCGGTGTGGTACGTCTTTAAGCCCAGTTCAATTCCAGGTTACTCCAGCCAGGAATCGTCCAGCTTATGATATCTCACAGATCTTAACGACCTGCTTTCAATGCGTGCCTATTCAAGGACTGTGGGACTACTCCATCAAGGCTCACTGTGGTGTGAACATCAATTCCTTTTTCATAGGCAACGCAGTCCCCAACATCATCACGGACTGGGCGCTGCTGATTCTACCCCTGCCGTATGTGTGGAAGGTTCAGCGAAACAACGTCCAAAAAATTGCACTATGTGGAGCTTTCGCGATGGGAGGATTGTATGTACCAACCCTTGTTCGCCACCGTTAATTTTCTTCTAGCATGCTAATAATAAGCGTAGTATTTGTATCATCTCAATTGTTCGCTTGGTAGTCATGTTGGAATCATACAAAACGCCCTCAATGGACGTAACGTGGGTTTTCATTGGACCTTCCACATGGACCGCTGTGGAGACCAATATAGGCATTGTGTCAGGTAATTCCTCCTTCAATCTCTCATCCTCTCAATTCACTAATCAGGTGAAGCGTGTCTCCCCTCACTCTTACCCCTCCTCAAACTCATCAATCGGAACACCCGCCGCCAGGGAGCTAGCGATAGAGACACGTATAGGCTATCTGGCCGGTACGGAAGATCACTCTCATTGGCAAAGAGCGGTTATCGCCCTCACTATAATAGTCATATGGCTGGTATAGATGTGACGACATCTGTAGATATTGAGACTTACCCACGGCACCATGAGAATAGGTTCTGATTGTGATGAATGCAGTAAGTAGAACTAGCGGAGGAAGTGAGTTTAATTGTCATCTAGCTTCTTTTGGGTGAACATTGTATTATCGAAATTAATCTTGGCATAGAGAACTCCAGTTCCACGGTCTTGACGAACAACGGCGTTGTTGACTTCAGGCTAAAATGGAAGACGTAGTCACATCTAACGAAAAGGACTAAACGTACAAAGCCAATAATATCCCCCTGATATCCATCGCTCATTGGACCTTGCTGATCATACTTGATAGCCCTGAGCAACTCAGTGAGTCTGACTCTGAGCACCCTCATCTAAACGGCGGCAGCTAAGATAGAAAAGCCCCACCTGGCAGAGGAAAAACGGAATAGTTCGTATAGCGGCCTAGGTAAGGGATTATTCATCACAGAAAAGACATTAGAGGACACACCAAGTCACCAAGCATGCCGTTTCCTTGATTTAGATACAATATACAACAGGAAACCCATTTAAGTAGTATTTGTCGATTGATTATTTTCCTTCAAGACCTCAGCTAGAACTACCAGCCCGGCCCGATAAAGACACAACAAACACACAGTCAGAGATGGATTTGAAAAGAGTATAAGGAAAAAGAAAAAGGAAAAAAGAGTAGACCGCAGAAACGCTTGCAAGAAAGGCTTGGGAATATGGCAAAAGGAGGCAGGCAAAATGTCCAGCGGATAAAGAGACAAAAGTATCGGCAAAAGATAATGGAAGAAAAAAAAACGGGAGGACGAAATGTGCCAATAAAAACACGTCAGATGTGAAGATGGTGAGAAATGAAATGATGTATCGGATGCAGAAAGCAGTATGTCAAGCAGAAGGGTGAGGATGGACATGGACAGCAAGCACTCTGTCCGTGGCAAGTCCGATGTGGTAAATTTTGGAGGTGCTTTGTTCTCAACTCGAGTCCGGTCAGGCACGAGGCGGAGAAAGCATGAAGAGGGGTCACAGGAGAAGAGAAGGGAAGAGTTGTCGAAGGAATGGAATACATGAGATGCCATGTCCCGGTGGGAGCAAAACAAAGAAGACCAAATTAAAAGAACTTCTGGAAGAGACGGACCAAAGACGAAAGGCTGAAATAACCGACTGAACACCATTCCCACCGCAGACACTGTAGAGTAAAAAGCAAAAATGGACAGAGAAGGGAAAAGGAAATATCCAAGTAGATGGTTTGAGGGTCAGAGTGTGTGGACAAGTATCTCCAGTAGATAACTCGTCGCAGGTTTGGTTGAGGACATGAGTATTGTCCGGCGATAAAAGGTGGGGAGGGTGACCGTAAAGAAACAGATTGAGAATGAGAGTAACGAATGTCCATCACATCACAATGCAACACCCGCATCCCTTCTCCGTCTTCGGCGGATCCTGTGCAGTCACCACCGGCGGGTTCCAGTTGGGATTGGGTGTCAGGCCCATTGGCGGGGTGTCCTGCACCTTCGGCATGGTGCTGTATCCAGTGCTCGTGTTTGGTCGTGGCGGTTCGGGACTCTTGATCGGCCTCAGTGGCTCCTCCACCTTCTCATCCACCTTTTCTTCTGCAGCCGGCTCCTCATTCTTCAGCGGGACTGGAGGTGCATCGTCGGGGTGGACGGCAAGAGGAGCAAAGTTCCGGTCGTAGGTAGTTGGAGCACGGCCCTCCTTCTCCCATTGCTCTTGTTGCATCTTCCTGGCGAGAGTCGGAAGCATCTGCTGGTCTGGTGGCAGGCGGGGGTCAGGCTTGTACATTGTCGCCAACCATGGTGGATCGCCCTCTGGCCGGTTGATTGCTGTCGGGGGTCGGGCCTCTCCACCGCGAGTGACTGGACGCTGCGAAGTATTCCCAGAAACAGCGCGCGTCCTCGCAGTTGAAGTCTTTCTGTTTGTAGGTGGTGCAGAAGTCTTTCGGTTGGTCGAGCCAGGAGGGCCGGCAGAGCCAGAAGCTTTGGGTGGAGTTTTCTTCGCTGGGGTATTCTGGGTAGTATTGCTGAACCCACGGCTTCCCGGGCGACTTCCCGTCGAAGGAGTAAAATCCTCCGGCTCAATCGTAGTAGGCTCACTAGCTCTGCGGCCTCGGCCATATTCGTCGTCGTCGCGTTCATCGGTTGCCGCGCGGCTGCGAGCTCCGCGAGAATCGCGGCCTGTTATGAGTGGTACGGGGCTAGTGGTCGAAATAGGGATTCTCGAGGAGCTCTTTCGAAGGCCGGGGTTGCTGTACATGCCCGCTGCAGCTTCATCTGCAGCGATTTCCTCGGGTCGGCGGAGGTCCCAGTGTTTCCGTTCGTCGTCGACTTCTTTTCCGCCGAACCCCTTTCTAGATTCCTCCCGTAGCTCAGGCCAGGGCTCAGAATGCTCGACGGTGGGCGAAGTTTGTGAAGCGGGCCCATTGGCAGCACCTGGATGAGAATCGTGACTTCTGCCCCGTCCTGCGCTCGACTTACTCTCTGCTCTCATCCGTCGGTTGAAGAGTATGGCGGCTTGCTGCAGCTCCTCGCTCTCGATTTTCGCCAATTTGTCACGATGAATCCAATTCTCGCTAATCTGTTCCGGTTGGAACCCAATTCCATCTTGGGATTCCACGTGCTCTTTGCGGGCAGTTGACTCCGGCCCGGAGCTGTCTCGGGCGCTGCCGATGTCACTTCCATGTCGGTTGAGGCTAGGATCCCGTCGTCCGCGATTCGAGTTCAAGTAAGGAGCGTCGTGGGACTGTACGGTTCGAGAGATGGAAGAGCTGCGCGAGCCATTGGAGTTGCGGTTTTTGGATCTCGCAAGGGCGGAGCTTGAATCGTGGGAGGTTCGGGTTCTCGAGGAATGCTGGGTGCCCTGCGCGGGAGAAAACAGCATATTTGTCAGTACCAAGGCCTTTTTCTTCGTTCATCTGGCCTTTTTGCTTCTCCCAATGCTGGGCCAAATTGGTGTGCGGGCAATCGCGTGCCCCCGACAAGGTCAGGGGGGAATCCAGTGGAAGAAACCTACATCAGTAGACAGCGGCACCGCAAACTCCCACTTCTCACTATCCACGCCTCCCGATGAGGTCAGGGCATCTGTCGAATACGCGGTGGCTACGCCCGCCATTCCAGCCGGGTCCGTGAGGATGTGTAGAGAGAGTCGGTGAATAAGGCCAGTCCAGCTGGAGCCCGCTTCGGAGGATTAAAGCAAACGCGGTAAAGAGAGAACCGGGTCTGCCTCAGTTGTTTATGAACGGGGATTAGAGGTCGTTCGTCTCACTCAATCCATGCCAGTGTTTAGGCGAATGGCCCGTCACGGAAACTAGCGGGAGCTGGGGATTGGCGAAAGTCGAGGAGGGTTTTTTTTTTGGCGGGAGGGTCCCTCGCGATGATGGGTAACTTGGTAAGGGGTGTGGACAGCCCGCAGTGGGGAGAGGGGGAGAGGAAAGAGACCGAAAGCAGTAAATTGTAAATACTGCAGGGGGGTGGAGAATTAGTAGAGGCGTTGCAAGCAGGTTACAGTGCAGCCAGACAGCAGCGCGCAGCTCTTGGTTGATCCAAATGGTCCACTGTTGACTGTTCCAGTAGTTGGAGAGTTCCAGTCGCGATCCACGGGTGAGAACTGGGACCGCGCCAGGCAGTTCCGTGGACCTCCAATCGGTCCTAGTCGGCCTCGGTAACCAGGTTCAACTTTCAAGAGCTGCAGACTTCCAAATAGCAGATTGAGGTGACAGGTCTATCTGTCGCTTGGGGAAGGGCCCACGAGGGGAAGTGAGGGGAGAGAGACCAGGGTGGAAGATCGTGGGATCCGTGGCGAAGAGGAGTAGAGTAGAGGAGGGGGGAAGGTGGAAAAGGAGTGGGGGAGGGAGACACAAGAGAAAGCTCGATCGTTTTCTGTTTGATAGTCCAGAAAGACTTCAGATCGTTGATCAGCTAGTCAGCAAATACCATAACCTCCAAAAAGACCAAGAAACCAGCGCCAGGACCAGGGGACGGGGAACCAAGAGAGAAAAGGCACGATGGTCAGGGAGAAGACCAGGACGGCAGTCGAAAATGGGACTGGGGCGCCGTTCAGACTAAACTGAGGGTACTAAACTAGTTTAACTAACTGGGAATAGCACAAGTCGGAACTACTGTAGACCGTGAAGTCGTGCCTCTCTGCAATGCCAGATAATTGGAGGATCGATGCAATCTGTACAGAAGATCATAGAATATTGTGCTCGCCTCCGTAATAAAGCAATAGCCACCCTAGGCTATGATAATTCCATTTAATTGTTCGGCACTTCCCATTCTTTCCCATCAACTTTGTTGAGACCAGCAGAGTCTTTTTTTACCTTGGACCGTGCGTTGGAGTCTGACCCCCTGAACCATGCTGCCATGCTGATCCCTTCGAGATCCAGCTAAGTGACTAAAGGAAGACCCTAGGAAACTTTGAACAGTTTCTTTGTTTGTCCAAACTACTAGTCAGAGAAGCTAAGTAGTACAGTGGCTGTTCAAAAGTCTGAGTCTAGAAACCAGAGAAATGAATCAACTTGAGATGCTTCAAACCCTCTTTTTAGAAAGGTCTTTCTAAATGTCTTTCGAATCATCTTTCTTGATAGCACAGATACTAAGTTGGGTTTGTATTTTCTGGGTCTCAAACTTACGGACCTCTGTCTTACAATCACGTACAAAGTACAAAGCATAAAGTACATTGTAAATATGGCCTGTCCACCTTCTTCCCCCGCCTTCCATCCTTTTCATAAAATCAATTGCGACATTCCCTGACAGTCCCTGTTGACAGGTTAGTTCATGTGCTAAGCGGGTTGACTGCTCAGAAACACGCCGATCCACAGATGTAACGGTGCGAAGCTGCCGTCCATGAATCGTGGAAAATGGGAAACGCCGCCCGCACTTTTTTCTTATAGATCACAAAATCCGGTCCCGAGGAGGCGGGTCAACATGCAGAGAATGCAAAGTGCAAGGCTGATGGGAGATTCCCACCAAATGCATGGAATTTCAATAATGGTTGAGTCTATGTGTAAGAGAGATGCCATGTTCTCCCCACGGAGAGTTCAAAAGGGTGTCCAAATAGAAGAAGAAAGAAAAAAGGCAAGATTGTACATGAAGATCTTAGGATGGCTGTCTGCCAACCTCATCCAACCGGTTCAATGAGGCTTGAGCTTCCCTAATGAGGGCCTTGCGTGCATTGCGGACAGTCTCGTTTCCATCTGGTTCAATGCCATCGGCCTTCAGCATCACCTGCGCCAAAATCGTCTCGCTCAACTTGCGGTACTCGAACTCCCGCTTCTTCGGGTCAGTTGGCGGATCAGCCAAGTATTCGTCACAAAGAGGGATCAATTCCCGCTTGAGGTATTCTGTCAATGCAGTCACCTGATCCAGTGGGGTCTTCAATGTCTTCATGCTAGGTGATGGCGACGGAGCAGCTGAGTGACCCGCGGATGTCGGTCTCGGGGGTGCCAGAGAGGGAGAGGGAGCCAGGGTTTCAGGCGCCAGTCTCTCTTCACTGCGCTTGCCTCCCTTCTTCTTCTTTTTCTTGTTGTTCTTCTTCTTGCTCGGGGGGTTCGCGGGTCCAGGTGCGTCATCCCCGTCGACGAGAGAAGATGATGACCCAGGGCGAATGACCGGGATATCGGCATGAGCACTATCATAGTCCGACAGATCGCTGGGTGTGTTGGATCCAGCCTCGGAGACAACACACAGCACCTGGGAATGTTGCTTCAGCCCTTCGGCTTTGCATGTCCGAGCATCGTCCTTCAACAGGTTTCCCTTGTACAACAGTCGAATTTGGTTCGGATTGCTAGCACCCATCTTTGCAGCAGCGGTATGGCGTAGATCACCCACGGTCAGGAGACCATCGTCGATGGCGTAGGCACGGAAATGGAGCGGGTAGATGGTGCCACGATGCTTGAGACAAATGATATCTGGCTCGTTCTCGGCGGCGCCCGCCTCATATTGAGCGCCGTATCGAGCAGGCTGCGACGGCGGGTCGACAATGTACTCTGGCGTGATGTAGCTGTAATCATCATCGCGGACCTGCGGGGCAGCAGGAGGGTAGTTCGGCGAACGACGCCAGAAGTTGTTAAAAGGGTTTCCCCAACTCATCGCGACCACGGTCAAGAGACCGAGAAGAAGCGCTGCACCGAGAGCAGTGGTTTGTTCGTCAACGTCGAATGGCAGCGCCTGCGCGACCGATCGGAGGGTGGTGGTCGAGTATGTCAGATACGGGTCCAGTCGAGGGCGGAGGGAGTGCAGGAACACGGGGAGATGGTCGCTAACGTGGTCCAAGTAGAGTGCGCACTTCTCGCCCAAGGTGGACTGAGCGAGGGGCGAGGGCAGGATAGTCATGGATCGCTGAGGGACGGCAGGACCGAGAAGGTGGTGAAGTCATGCCCACAAGCTGCTCCGAAATAGGCTGACAAGGCGGAGAGCCCGCTTTTTTTTGCCCGCTGAGGTGGTCTTGTGGCAGTCAGAAGGTTTCAGCCTAGAAGGGGGCCGTTATTGTTATAGATATGCGGAGGCCGGATGTTCATTGCCATAGATGTTCTCTGTTGCATTCATTCAGGTGAAAGGGAATCGATGTGTGTCTTGTGCGCTGTCAGAAGGTTTTACCTATCAGTGGTAGCCAGTAGACGAATTAGGCAGGATGCGATTGACGTGGGCCGGGTCGCACCTTCCTTAGAATCTTGTAGGCAAAGATTCCGCAGATATTCCATCAATGCCTTCGTGGTCTAGTTGGTCATGACGTCGGTCTCATATGGATCTTATGACGACCCTGCTCTAACAGGGTGGTAATCCGAAGGTCTCCAGTTCGAACCTGGACGAGGGCAATTCTTTTTCATTTTGAATCTAGTTCTGAACATGATCGAATATTCTTTTTTAATGATAAGGGTTTACAGATTAGTATGTTAGTTAAGTATTTATGTGCGCAAAATGAACTTTGATCTAAGGGTTATGTTTGATTTCCATGTGGTGGTTCACATGATCCCGTTCGTTTTTGTATATATATTTCGGCGTCTGCTGAGCATTCGATGGCTATCCCTAGTCCGTCTACCCACCCAGCCTACTTTCAAATCAAATCAATACGCTTGAGCCGGAAGTCTAAGAACGGAGCAGGCCTATGTGATTGAAAAGAACTAAAAACGTTTCAACATACGGTACATTGAATACTTTTGACTGCGCTTCATAGCGAGGACCCTAATCCCCCCCCCCCCAATGGCCCCTCTACGACCCCAGGGCTATAAAGCAACAAGCCGAATCAGAGCACCCCACGAACCCCATTTCCACCGATGAGAGGGAAGCCCAGTCGACAACGCATCGCTTGCTGAAACATACTGTCATCCTCCACACTAACACCCTCCTCACTCAGCATAGTCTTTCGCAACCTCGCCTGAATCACCGCACAAGATTCCGCCCACGCACAAACATTGCCCGCCAGCCCCTCAAACAGCGAGTACGGGTCATCAGGGGTCCGATAATCGCGACCAGAAGTCCCGGGTGCAGTATTATAGGGACGAGTCTCAAACGCATGAAGCATAAAAGCGAGTGCCCGGGACAAAAAGAAGTCGGATGTGAGCTTTTGGCTCAAATTGTCATCCGGTTGCGAGGAATCCTGCGTACGCTGGAAGTACCCGCGTCTGGCATCGTTAATGCTCCTCGAGTGGTACTCGAAAGCATCATGAAGCAGTAGCCACGGCCATGCGTTGCCAGAAATACCGTGGCACAGACTCCCTCCCTTTGAGAGAATGCCCTCCTCCCAAGTACGGCAAGTGGCTTGGTACAAAGTCTGGTCCCATGTGGGGTGCCAGTATGCCCGAGTCAGCCGGTCGTTCTGCAATGCAGTGCCCAGAAGTAGAAGGATTCCTGGGCTGCCGTGGCAGAATTGAACAAGTTCGGAAGGCTTCTTGGGGCCGCGGGGAGGAAGTGTCATTGGGAGATGACCATTGCTCTCAGTGCAAAGTTTGCAGAGTGCAGTGATGGTCTCCCCTATCTCAGGCATGTACTCTGATATTTCCTCATCATTGCAAGAAAGTAGGATAGGGAGAATACCGGCTGTTGTGGTAAGATATAGTTAGTGGTGGCTTGTCTCAATTGGATACGTCCGGTCTACTCACTGATTCCATGAGCGCTGTTCATCAGATATATATTAGCGTGCTTGGTCATCTCCACCTGTTAATAGTTCATACTCACGCGCCAAAGCCATAGTGACCCTCCATCCACGCATACATCAAGGGATGGGCCTCCTTCTTTCCATGCTTCTGCACGTAATCCTTCGACCCTTCTCGGCCGGCCTCGACGATAACACGAACCAACTGAGGGACCATGTCAAGGACTGAGGCAAGTGCTGCCTCAGTCTTATCATTGAATCGATGGGCACGAACATTCAAGAGAAGCCATAACAAGCCCGCACGGCCATATAACATCTCATCTCCACCCATCCTATGTTCGCCATGGGGCACGATAGCTTCATTATTTAGTGCTAAGTTGACAGCATCATGAAGGCAGGTGATGTTTTCCGGTGTAAGGCTGGGTTTGGCCTCAGATCCCCAGTTGCTCTCTGCCACAGCCGAGAGAATGTGCAGAGTCACGGCGGTCATGGGCGACAATGACCCCGCGGGCGACAGTCGTGACGGGAGCAAAGGCATATCAGGTAAGCCCGATGGGATTCTCTGGAGGGCATACTGCCGGAATTCAGAAGAGGTAGCCTTTTGATTTGCTAATACTGAGGACTGGTAATCGAGACGCAAGAAAGCAAGGGCAACGCCTGTGATGTATTAGTTACAGCCTGTACCAAGCCACAGCATCTTTGGAAGCAAGCATAATACCTGGAAAGTGTTTAAACATCCCGCCAGCGCTCCATTTGTCTGGAATGGGCTCATTTGTATGAACCAATTCCGCGCCATTATAAACAGCCTCTCGAAGCTCCCGGAGAGTCTCGATCAGGGTCGCCGGATTGATTGGGAGCGGAGTCAGCGTGTTTTCATAGTACTGAGGGCGTTCAGTCTCAACCATCGTGAAGGGAGTATACGATGTATAATAACACTGATTTGGGGAATGGCGTGCTCAATTATGAAGTGATTGGAAGCTTAGTTTACTCAAAAATGTCCCGCAATGCCCCTCAGCCAGCCTGGTCTTCAATCATGCATGAGGAGCCTCAGGCATCAGAGTACTTCGTCATTATTCCCACGAACCTCTCGATCTGCAGTTAACTAGTCTGTAGTGACGAATTGAAGTTCGCCAGCAAATTTCAGTGTCTAATTCAGCTCCACTGGACGGCCGAGAGAAGACACGTCGCGCTCTTTACGAGGCCCAGCTGCAGAGTTCAGGTGGGGTCGATCGACGATTTCTCCTCAGTCCGATAAGAGGTGCAGTAATTTGCGCCTGAAAATACAGGAAGAAAGTTGTAACGTTAGACGGAAATACTGCTTTGTAAATCATACTGCGCACCAATTGGAATCAATCAGTCTGCATTGCTATAAAGCCCCTAACTTAACTAGTTAACTAGTTAGTTAACTAACACTAGTTAGTTATATTCCTTCCTCCGGGGTCCACTGCTGCTACTGTTCTGATAGTTGTGATGGCCTGGTCACCTAAGGCAACAAGGCATGGAAGATGAGTCAGCAGGGACCGCGGCTTCTGCAACTTGCGTTGCGGCCATTCCGGACTCGAGAATACTCACGCGGTCCTCGAAGTGCGATCAACGAGCTTCTAGAAGCAATACAGAATGTCAGTGATCAGAATCCCTGCGACGTTTATAGCGAGTTCATAGAAGAGTCTGTGTGCTTGCGACAGCCATGGTCTCTTCTTTGTGACTGCAATTCCTCCCTTAGGACCCCCCTTTTTGTGTGGTTCCAAAGTGTTGAGAAGAGCCACGGACTAATATGGCAAATAGTCCCGTGATCAGCACCGCCGGACTACTATACCAACATGTCGGAAGTCCACGGTGATGCTGAGCCCGTTGCAACGGGTCCAGAGCAGATGGAGTATCCTTTGGCATTGACTCCGAGACAAGTCACTTTAAGGGATCGGGTGACAGTTGCGACGCTGATGCCGTTCGCCTCGGCGGACGATATTCCTCGACCGCTACTGAAGTATCTCTCCGACCAATTCAACAAAGAAATTGAAAAGGGAGACACTTATGCCATGACGGAGCCTATTCCCTTGGCTCAATTTGGACGGTATTGGTTTTCTAACTTTGGTGTGGTCATGTTGCTTGGTGATATCCAAAGTGTTGAGCAGACACATTCTATGGACCGGGCCGGTGCGAACTGGACTAAGATTTGCCTGGGAGGCTTCCACATTCGACCCAATTACCCTGGTCGTAGTAGTCACGTTTGTAACGGCACATTTATTGTCACGGATGCTGCTCGAAACAAGGGTGTAGGTCGGTTGATGGGTGAGGCGTACCTGGAGTGGGCGCCTCGGCTAGTGAGTATCTTCCAGTTGTCTTTGATGCTGATATAGGCCCATATTGAACCTTAGACTAACAATATTGACAGGGATACACCTATGCAGTATTCAACCTGGTCTACGAGACCAATGTCGCATCCTGTCGTCTATGGGATTCATTAGGCTTCAAGCGGATTGGCAGAGTCCCCGGTGGAGGTCAACTCAAATCCCAACCTGGAGAATTCGTTGATGCAATCATCTACGGTCGTGGCCTCAGCTTGGATGGCGAGGACTCCGTATCACAAGACCGGTTTGAAAAGATTCGATATTATTTGAAGCACTCTAAATACCCTCGGGGAGCTGACCGAGCTGAAAAGAGCCGGCTGCGAAGCGCTGCTACCCATTACAAACTGATTGGTGGTGATGATGGCGAGCCTGAGAAATTGATGTTGAAGGACAAAGAGGTTGTCTCTGATCCACAGCAGCAATACGAGATCGCCAAAGAGGTCCACATGAAACAGCATGCTGGAATCAATAAGACCACTGCCGCCATTGCAGTTAAGTATCACTGGGTACGAATCAAGGAGACTGTGAACCGAGTGATTCGAGACTGCCCACAATGCAAGGAGACGCTCAAGGCGCCGCCCATACCTGGTGCCAAAGATGAGGATAAGTCAGTTTCAGTTGAGGCCCCCGAAATGGAAGAAGAAGACGACTCGATGGATCACGAACAAACCGAGACGCCTAGTGTCCATACCGGTATGACGACCGACATATCCCAGGCCATGGACGAGGCCATGGACGAGGCACCCGACGAGTCCCCCAATCACAATCCATTCATCCACCCTTCTGTCCCTGCAAATGTCCCCGGAACAGTTCATCCTATGGCAAGCTTCAACCCAATGCCTTTGGACCCCCAGATCATGCAGCTCCAGCAACAACTACGGAGATACCAGCAGCAGAACGCCATGGCCGGTGCCTTTGCACCGGGGCCACAACATATGAATATGTCCAACTTCGATGATGCAATGCGCTACCATACTGCCAGTAACGCTTACCAGATGATGGTGGACGATGGCTCTGATCCCTTCCGACAAGAGGTGCTTGGGTTGATGAACCATCCATCACACCCGGATCTACAACATGATGCTGAACTGCTCGCCAAGTACGAATATGGGAGTCCAACGGATGGGAACTATGACTTTACCTGAGCTGGTCTCAAAAATCTGCATTTTTCTTTTCTTCTTTTTCGGGATGTAATCTGGCGTTGAGTCTGGGAGTCCACTGTTTCCATAGTGTGACTGAAGTATTCGTGGCAGGTGGGACATGGCCATTGAGACCGAACTTTTTTTGCATATTCCGGGCCTTTATTCTCTTGAGCTTCTTTCATACTTGTCATACTACCAATAAAATTCAATCATGAGGGTGATAAAATATAAAAAAAGGGTGGTTGAGAAAAAATAGGGGAAATCGTCGCTAGTTGTAGACACCATGTCGGGGCACAGTGCGGGCTGGTCACCGCCTTTGGGGCTTTCGGGGGGTTCTGAGGGGAGAATGGAAGCTCTGGGAAATTTTGGCCGTCCAAGACCAGCGAAACCCCTCCGACTTCTCCGTACCCACTAGGACCAAACTCATTCCTTTGGAAATTTATCCTCTTCTTCAAACGGTCTCGGTCCTCGCCTCGATTACAACATGGCCTTCAACGGCCAAACACCCACGATTGTCGTGCTGAAGGAGGGTCCGTGTGCTTCGTTTCCCCCCGTCTGGCAGTTTGGTGGGATATCTCGAAATAGGCTAACCATTGTCGCTTTGAACTTACAGGCACCGACGCTTCTCAGGGCAAGGGTCAGATCATCTCCAACATCAACGCATGTATTGCCGTGCAGTCCACAGTCAAGACCACCCTGGGCCCATACGGTGGTGACCTCCTGCTTGTTGACAGCAATGGCAAGCAGACCATCACCAACGATGGTGCTACTGTGATGAAGGTATGGACTTGGAATTTCTTTTCTTAACCAGACATCTAGTGATCATTGCCGAATACTGGTTTCTGACATATGACTTGGACCGACAGCTTCTTGATATTGTGCACCCCGCCGCCCGCATCCTTACGGACATTGCCCGATCCCAAGACGCCGAAGTCGGTGATGGAACAACCTCTGTGGTCGTTCTGGCTGGTGAGATTCTCAAGGAAGTTCGTGACCTCGTCGAGCAGGGCGTGAGCTCGCAGACCATCATTAAGGGTCTCCGGAGGGCTGGTGCCATGGCCGTCAACAAGGTCAAAGAGATTGCGGTGGACATGATTGAATCGGCAGAGAACGAGGACAAGAAGATTGAGACTCTCCGACGGCTAGCGGGAACCGCTATGAACAGCAAGCTGATCAAGCGCAATTCTGATTTCTTTACGAAGAGTGAGAATGCCCCCGAACCCCTATGGCTTTTCGATCGTGGTGGCTGACAATTGTGTGACTTTCTTGCAGTGGTCGTCGATGCGGTTCTGACTCTGGATCAGGATGATTTGAACGAGAAGTTGATTGGTGTGAAGAAGATTACCGGTGGTGGTCTCCAGGACTCCCTTTTCGTCAACGGTGTCGCTTTCAAGAAGACCTTCTCCTACGCCGGTTTCGAACAGCAGCCCAAGTTCTTCAAGGACCCTAAGATTGTCTGCCTGAACGTCGAGCTGGAGTTGAAGAGCGAGAAGGATAATGCGGAGGTCCGCGTTGAGCAGGTTTCCGAGTACCAGGCTATCGTCGATGCCGAGTGGCAGATCATCTTTAACAAGCTGGAGGCTATCTACAAGACTGGCGCCAAGGTTGTGCTCAGCAAGCTGCCTATTGGTGATCTTGCTACCCAGTGCGTTTTCCAGATACCTCATACTATTCATCTGCTCCAACTCCTGTTTGCTAACCGACTCCTTTTGGTGATATAGGTACTTCGCTGATCGGGACATCTTCTGTGCTGGTCGTGTTGCTTCCGATGATATGGACCGCGTCTGCCAGGCCACCGGTGCCGCAACCCAGTCGACCTGCAGTGACATCCAGGAACGCCACCTCGGTACCTGCGGAGCCTTCGAGGAGCGCCAGATTGGTGGAGAGCGCTTTAACATGTTCTCCGAGTGCCCCGCTGCTAAGACCTGCACCCTGGTCCTGCGTGGCGGTGCTGAGCAGTTCATTGCTGAGGTGGAGCGCAGTCTGCACGACGCTATCATGATTGTCAAGCGCGCTCTGCGTAACACCACCATTGTTGCTGGTGGTGGTGCTACAGAGATGGAGCTGTCCAGCTACCTGCATGGCTATGCCGACCGCAACGTTCCCCACAAGCAGCAGGCCGTGGTCAAGGCCTTTGCCAAGGCCCTCGAGGTCATTCCCCGCCAGCTTTGCGACAACGCTGGTTTCGACGCCACAGACATTCTCAACCGGTTGCGCGTAGAGCACCGCAAGAACAATCTCTGGGCTGGTGTCGACTTTGACAACGAGGGTGTTCGTGACAACATGGCCGCCTTTGTGTGGGAGCCCAGTTTGGTCAAGGTCAATGCCATTCAGGCCGCCGTGGAGGCCGCCTGCCTGATTCTGAGTGTTGACGAGACGATCAGTAAGTGGCCTATCTATCCTCGAATGTTTCCACCTTGAGGTCGAATGTGACTAACATATCCACCAACAGAGAACGAGGAGTCTGCCCAGCCCGGCGCTCCTTCTCGCGGTCTCCCACCCGGTGCAAGCCAGCGGGCTCTTCGTGGCCGTGGCCGCGGAATGCCTCGTCGATAAATGACTTAATGCCACTTCTCTAGAACAGAAGGGAAACTCAAAAAAAAGAATGGAGAGTCTTTGTAATGACCCGAACCTGGATACTAGGGACACAGCGTGTGGGCTTGTACTCCGGCGTTTATTGAACTATGAGGAAAGAGGATGAGGTTGACCTGTGCGATATGGAGAAAGAAGGAAGCCATAGAAGAGAGCAGCGTGGTAGACATCCTCGTACTCGAACTTTGATTATAGTCTCCCCGCAGTACATATTCAGTCATAGGACTACTATCTTTGCTTGTTAGTACTCTAGTACCTCTATAGTCTTTTCTTGCCATCAGTCAGAGCTCTCTATACAACTGCGAGCCATAGTAGTAATGATGCACGAGCACAGAGTCATTATTGACCCTGTAGATCATCCTTTCACTCACGATTAGCAGGCCTCCTACAGACTTGGACCTGCTAGGGTCGAGACAATTGCACAGGAAGACTGACCGATAGACGTCTGCCGTGCAGGATGTTCTACTTTACTGTATGTGATATGTGTATCTCTGCGTGCAATCCCTTTTGTGTAACCCCTATATGTCCCACGCATTTAATTCAACTCCATTACTACTAGACAATATGATAGATGTGTAACATTGTTGAAGTTTATGTATACAACACTAATTCCGAAAATTTCTTGCCCAGCATCCACACTAGCACATCAAACCCAAAGGATCATGCACCTAATAATCACCGCGACTCGATCACGGCCCAATGCTCACTCGGATTTGCTCGGCGGGGCTGGGCTATTCGGGCTGCAGGAGTGGCATCTCGGGGGCGCCGATGGCCAACAGAACTGCATGTCAGATATAAAGGTCAGACACCACGAACTGTTTTTGGAGTTTTCCTTGCTGTCTTTGCTGTCACAACTGATAATATTAATCTAGAAGATCATCGCCAGAACCTAAACATCTCATCCTTCGAAAATAATCGGACCCTCGGTTTAACTAGTTAATTGGCCTCTTGTAAGTAATGTCAGCATCTCTTGTCTAGGCTTTCCTCAATTCTGCCTCTGTTATCTGCCCTTTGCCTACACAATAAACAATTTGTGATCATTAATATATTTGGCTTATTGTTATTTTGGTTGCTTTATTTTGAAATTACACCCTATCTCCTTGATTTCACTCTCTTGATAATCTTCCGGTTCGTGCCACGGTCATGTCCGGGGCTTGGCGTCCGTCCCGGCCTTCCGATCTGTTTTGGCGCCGGATCGCCCTTCTCCACACCCCAGCACCTCCAACCTCAGCTTCCCTTGATCGCGTTCTTAGATTTTCATTTTTGACTTTTACATCAACCCACCTGGAAGTGCTTGACTCGAGTGATCGTGGTTCCCACCTCCAGTGATGTCTTATTACCCGCCCTATCAGGGCGCCCCGGGCTATCCCCCGCCGCAACAATCTTACCCCCCGCAGCAGCAGCAATACCCGTACGCGCTTCGCTTTCGTCTTCTCTTTTTCTGACCCTACTTGTTCGTGTGGAAGTAATAACGAAGTCTTCTACGCTCTACAGAGGAATGCATCATCAACAGCAGTCTTATGGCGGCTATCCCGGCCAGTCCTACCACCAGCAGCAGGCGCCGCCGCAACAGTCCAACCCATACGGATACAGCCACTCGCCGCAGCCACCTCAACAGCCACCTCAACAGCCCTACGGATCGCCTGCTCCACCGCACGGCTATAACGTACGTCTCATGGTAGATCTATCATACTATTTAAATAGGAACTGACAACGCATTTCCGCGATCAGCAAGGGCCTCCGTCCGGATACCAACAGCCGCCCAGCGGTCCGCCTATGTACCAAGGCCAAGGTGGGCGCCAGCCAGGTTTGTGGTTTCCTTCTATCTACATCTTGCGCCGGAAGCTCTTTTGATCTCAGCGATTATTGACTCGTACGTTTACTAGGAAACTATGGTCACCAGTCCGGTGGTGGCCCGCCCCCGCCTCCCACTGCCCCAGTCTCGTTCGGTAACGGTGCCCCGCAAGGATATAGCTTCCAGTACTCGCGCTGCACTGGTAAGCGCAAGGCGCTGCTGATCGGAATCAACTACTTCGGCCAGAAGGGTCAGCTTCGCGGATGTATCAACGATGTGAAGAACATGTCCACATACCTGAACCAGAACTTTGGCTATGCCCGTGAAGACATGGTCCTCCTCACCGATGATCAGCAGAACCCCATGAGCCAGCCGACCAAGGCGAATATCCTGCGCGCTATGCACTGGTTGGTCAAGGATGCGCAGCCCAACGATTCCTTGTTCTTTCATTACTCTGGTGAGTGGCCTTGTTTCAAGTCCGAGCAATTTATGGCTTCAAGCTAATCGTGAACATAATGCAGGCCACGGCGGCCAGACACCAGATCTCGATGGTGATGAGGATGATGGATATGATGAAGTGATTTACCCGGTCGACTTCCGAGTTGCTGGCCACATTGTTGATGATGAGATGCACCGAATCATGGTCCAGTCGCTGCGCCCCGGTGTGCGCTTGACGGCCATCTTCGATTCGTGCCACTCTGGCTCCGCGCTCGACCTTCCATACATCTACTCCACTTCTGGTGTGCTCAAGGAGCCCAACTTGGCCAAGGAGGCCGGCCAGGGTCTCCTGGGTGTGGTGTCGGCGTATGCGCGGGGTGACATGGGTAGCATGATGTCCACCGCTATGGGCTTCCTCAAGAAGGCTACCAAGGGCGACGAGGTGTACGAGCGCAACAAGCAGACCAAGACCAGCCCTGCGGACGTTATCATGTGGTCCGGCAGCAAGGACGACCAGACCAGCCAAGACGCCCAGATCGCGGGCCAAGCGACTGGTGCCATGTCGTGGGCTTTCATCGCTGCCTTGCGGAAGAACCCCCAACAGAGCTATGTCCAGCTGCTGAACAGCATTCGTGACGAACTCCAGGCCAAGTATACCCAAAAGCCGCAGTTGAGCTGCAGTCACCCTCTGGGTAAGTTTCCAAGTTCCTTTAACTTCTCGTCAGCTCCTGTAGATTGCGTAGCTGACCCTGCTTGACAGACACGAACCTTCTTTATGTGATGTAAAATCATCGTTGGAAGTGAATGCTCCTTGGAGCGTAGTCTAGCCAGCCGTTTTTTTGTTTTTGGTGCCTCCGGAATAAGTTTTGTTTTGTTTATTTTCCCTGTAACGACTTGCTTTCGCTGTATGTAATTCCATTCCACGGTGTCAGGGCTGTGTGTCGCTTCGCTTGGATAACCCGGTGCACCAATTGTGATTTAATATAATGAACTTTGCGACCTATTATTATCTTTGGATTTGATTTTCGCAATGTACTTCCGGGTAATCTGCTGCCCTCCCAGCGACAACGGGCAGTGGTGTGTCTGACATCATTTAGGCCATTACATTATAACGGATCCTAGATTTGCAAAACTAAAATACCTCCAAATAGACTTGATTCAAATTCCTTCGACTGAGAAATCGAAACTCGGCATCATATTGTTCATCGACGTTTCCTTACACATATACAGATGGAGGGCTGCATTGGCGGAAAACCAACCCGACATCCCACCATGACAGCCTTCTATTGCCTCCAAGACAACATTTCGTAGGTCATTTGCCACCAATGTGAGATCTCGGTCGAGCAGTTCCAGTAATGCCACCTTCTAGAGCCTCTCGCTGATTCTTGAATCGCACAGGTTGCTTGAGGTGGCTTGGTCACTCACCCAAGCATCCCAGCATAATATTTTTTTGAACGATGCAATCATATTTCCAACGCCGACGGATCTTCAGAAAACTCCAGAAACAAAAAATACGAGCTCGAATACATCTTGACCCATGAACGGCGATACTGGTATCTCCCAGAAGGAGGACTTGCACCCGAGGTCTGTGACCCTCAGGAAGGAGCAGCAGCGCAGCGATGGGAAGAGCATGGTAACCGGACCTGGGTAGGAGGCCCAGCCTTCGAAGCTCATACGGCTCGCTCGCATATGGATCGAGATGGAGATGTTAAACGCGTGGATATGGAACCGGAGTTTAACGTTGATCCGTATACGATCAACTCGCGGGACACGATTGGGGGAGAGGTTGATATTGTGGTTACGGGCGTCGAAAGAGCGAGATATGCCGAGCAAGGAGTTGATGGAGTTTTTGAGGGTGTGGAATATGATACACCGAGGGTAAGTGGTGATGAGGCTGTGGATGACACGGGGGCCGAAGAGGATAAACTGAATATTATCGTCGTCTCCTATGATGGTGATATTGATCCGATGGATCCGCATAACTGGTCGTTTGTTCGACGGTTTGCATGTACGACGTTGGTTTCTTTGCTCGGGGCGCTGGCATTGTGGTCGTCTACTATTGACCCCCGGCCTTGACCTTGGTAGCTCCACACCACCTTCGAGGTTCAATCTCTCCCAACGGGTAAGCCAAGCTGCCTCTAAACAAGTTGTGAATACAAGACTGACAAGGCTGGCTCTAGCCTTCTTTTTGATTCTTTTGGGATTCGGCGGCATGTTGACTGGGCCTCTCTCCGAAGTCGGCCGGAATCCCGTCTATATCGTCTGTCTGACGCTGTTTATCATCTTGGACTCGGTTGCAGCCATAGCCCAAAACCTGCCCCAGCGGATCATATGCCGGGGTTTGACTGGGCTCTTTGCTTCCGGTCCGCTGGTATGCTCAGCAGCGACTCTCGTCGATCTCTGGGCCCTGGTTGAGCGGGTCTACACGGTGCCTTACTATGCCATGATGCTAAAGCTTGCTGCAACGGTGGCTCCAGTACCTGGCTCATTTATCGTCCAGTCTAATTCAGTCAGTTGGCGCTGGGTAGTCTGGACAACTAACATCTTCGCAGGACTTCTGTTAGCCCTTGTGGTCCTCTTCCTCCCTGAAACCTACAGTCCGACTTTACTCCAATGGAAGGCCCAGCAGCTTCGTCGTCTAACGGATGATAGCCGCTTCCGAGCACCACTGGAGTTCAAGAAAGTTGCTCTCCGACGACGTCTTCGCAACGCACTATCCCGGCCGATCAAGTTCTTCTGGAAGAGCCTATCGTCGTGGTATTTGCCCTGTACATGTCGATCGTCTTCATCATTTTGTACACCTTTACTGCAGGCTTCGCCTTGGACTTTGAGGATAACTATGGGCTCAACAAAGGCGAAACGGGTCTGTGTTTTCTAGCAGTCGCCACGGGAGTCGTGCTTGCCAACATTCTCGTCCCACTCCAAATGAGAGATATTCGCCACGCTCGCCGACACCGCCTAAGACGACCCGAGCCCGAGTGTAACCTGTACACGGGCATGTTCGCAGCACCGATTATCCCACTATCACTGCTTTGGATGGGCTGGACAGCTCGTCCCTCAATTTCGATATGGTGTCCCCTGACGGCGGCGCTGTTCTTTGGCTTTGGCATTCTTGGAGCCGTCATCGCCTCGTATCAGTATATCACAGCAACATTTGAATATCACACTGCCAGTGCGCTGGCCACAATCCAGGCAACACGGTCAACGACTGCTGGTGTGAGGGCTGTCCTTGCACAAATCATGTATAGGGATCTCAGGGAAAGTTGGACGTTGACCTTGTTGGCGGGGATCGCGACGATATTTCTGCCGTTGCCTTACTTGCTCTTTAAATGGGGGTCTCACGTGCGGCATTGGAGTAAACTTGCAAGGGAGCATGAGCAGGTTTGATGAAGGTCTATACAGTGGGGTTTCATAAGTTCAGGACTACGACCAATGTTCAAAATTATCTAATCAGTCATGATTTGAATGATACTGTAGACTAATACATGCTCCCTAAGCTGTTAAGAAAGACGATTTAAACGACCTCTAAAAAGACCTTTCAAAAATCAAGAAGTGGAAGCATATTTGTTGTGCGATTTCCCTGGTCTTTGGATTCAGGTATTCGGACTACCGCTGTACAATGAATAAAATCGCAGATGATTTCCTCGTATTGAGGGATTGTAGTACATTGGGTGGGCTTGTACAAAAGAGGCAAGTCAAGTATGGCAAACGGAGGTTATTACCGTGTTTCAGGTCAAGCAATCACTCCCCCCCTCCGATGGCCAAGTTGGTATCCAACATAAATTGGTGAACCATTGGTGTGCCCTGGAGGACTGGGCAAACAAAAAAGAAGAAAGTACTGGGCCAGTGTTGACGCTTCGAGCTCCACGGATGGCCGGGCACACCCCTAGGCGGGGAGAGTTCAATTTTTTTTGAGATTTTTTGGTGAGATTATTTTTTAATAGAAAGATATATCCATTCCCTCTATATTATATTATTTTTAAATCTTTGATAATCTTCCGAGCACCGTTACGAGGGTATAAAGAGGGTGCTGTATATCAGGTGTGGTATGAGGGTGGGATGGCGATGTTCTTCGGTGTCCTGGGACGGCGATGCAGTAACAAGGGCGAAGTATATAAGGAGGACAAGGTTGAGGGTTCGATTCGTGGAAGGGAATTTTTATTCAGGTTGATTTTTGGGGAGATTTTGTTTGTGGCTATAGATATGGCTTGCAAAGATGCTCATACTGTACCATCAATTTGACACGTGATCGACATGGATACTGCATCTAGACATTGGTGAGAAGGCAATATTTGAGCCAAAACGATAGAGCGAAGGTCATGCAATCTGATATGATAATATCACAAAGATAGCAGGGATCCCCCGAATCAATAATTGATCGAGTCTTTGATCTAAGTACCTCCAAACCGAGCCGAGTCACGTGTATAGCCCCCTTCTTTCCCGATTGGGAAAATTTGAATCTGGCCGACGCGTCTACCACGCGTCTGTCGCGCAATACGAATGTCTCCAACCTGAGTTCAAGAGACATAACCATCTAGATACTTCCATTTTGTCATCATCTACTTTGATCATCCATTGGAATTGTCATTTGTGCCCTTGCTACCAGCAGCAAATCTTTCTTCATCATGTCAATAAGCCTCGATTCACCATCAGCCCAGCACGACTTTTCTCGAGGTCCATACTGGTATCATGAAAGTCCGTTTCTCCCGATTGGGGAAAATGAGAGAAATGAGTCTGGTTCTCCATCTCTAAAAGATACTGCCACTAGACGCCTTTTGATGGACCAGTCCGCCTTAAAACCCGAGCTATTTGAACATGTGCCATGGAAAATTGCAAAGGAGATTTGGGAATTTCTTGGAAACAGGTGAATAACTTTCTTTCGAACCTTGAATCACGCCGTGGCTCAATACTAACTCCGTCGGTAGGGGTAAACAAACGCTCTTGATGTGGAAAATCCTCACAATGAGGTACCCGGAACAATTTTCGCAGATCAGCTCGTCCTATTGTCTAAGGACTCGCTCTCCAAAAACGCCTTTGAAGGGATACATTGATATCACAAGATGTGATGCTTGCTACTGGCGTGCTGTCTTGTCTCTGTCTAGTGCCTATGCTAGCGTCGCTGATCTCGTTGATATTGGCAACCTCAAGAACCTGGTAGCCCTCGAGATCAACAACCGAGTATATGATCCGAGTATGTCAGCCAGAATGAGTACGAGAGAGGTGATTGAATTGGATGATGGAGTTGTGCGCAGTTGGGTCGAGGCTTCACAGTCCACCGGATCGCTGCAGAACCTGCAGGTTCTGAGAATTTATCAGCAGAAGAGTCTTACCCATCACATCTTCTGGATGCTTGAGAAATTGCCTCGTTTGAAGCTTGTCGTCATATATCAGTGTGATAAGTTTACACAGGAGTTCATCAATCACAAGGCCAGAACTAAACATGGGGTCCAGGTGGGAGGATGGAATGCTCAAAGGTTGGATTGGCTTTCAGACGGGAAACAAAATATGGATGCCTTGAATTGTCTGGGACCCATCTTACAGGTCTACGAGGAAGGATTGAAGCTCACAGACACAAACCGAACGCTGAAGGCTCCTATGCTAGGTTCCAACATCCCAATTATGGAGTTTGGCCTCCCTGCTCTTGATTGCAATGATCCGGAGAAGGAAAAAAGGCGAGCGCAATACGCAGCAAAGTCTATCTTCATATTCACTCGGGCAACTGAACACAATGACAGAAAAAGAGCACCAGAAAAGATCCAGCAGCCTCGAAACCTTGGCAAGCGCATAATGAAGGAACGAGGAGGCAGAGATATGGCCGATGTGTTGGGCGACTTTTTCGGGAAGTGATCATGCCAGTTGGCTAGGGTACTCGAGAGTCTCCAACCCGTGAGGTGGACATGTCCTTCGATTGCATCACTTTAATATCAGAAGACAGTGATATAGAGCGCCAGTGCAACTGTTCACCCTTATCATACTCTGGTATACTTCCACTATATGGAAGGGCTTGGCACAAATGGTGACATAAGCACATGATGTCAGAAATCGGCGCCCGTTCATTGGCACAGCCCACTCAACCCCCGCGTCACCTGCTCCCTTGACTTTCAACGACGCCGCTACTTTCCCAATTTCTTGTCAAACCGTATACACTAGACGGGATTGATCATGGCTGATAGCCAGCTTCGTCGGGAGGGTTCCGACACCTCCCTCAACGCCTCTGCCGATCCCACCAACGGTTCTGGTGTGACGTCGCCCCGATCCAGCACCGATAACCGCTCGTCACGGAACCAGAACCAGCTTCGCGTTTCACATATGCCTCCTGCCAATCACCAACATCGTCAAAGCTTGAGTGAAACTCTTCGTGGACCTCCAGGCTCGCCAAGAAATCGACGACAACCCTCCCTCACGCAGTCCGCTATTCAGAGCTTGATTGATAACCCCCCACCGCCGAAAACTGTCGATTCTGCCTTTATCGGCCGCGACTGGCGAGAAATCTGCATTGGAGAGCTGGTTAGCCCGGAGGACTTGCAATTCGTTGAATTGGACACGGGCGTTGAAGAGGCGACGAACGTGGGTTTTCCGTCGACGTGCTTCTCGAATTTCATTGCTGTGAGACTAACATTGCCTAGATCCTGATTGATACCGGTGCACCCGTACTGCTTATTCGAGAAAGCGCTCAGCACAATGCTGCCGTCGCTACATTCGACTACTCTGATTTGAACACATACCTTTTGTTGGCCGCGGGGTTGACCACCCCGCAAGAAGGACATCGCACATCGTATGATGAGCTTGCCAAGAAAGCTCGAGATGGAGAGAAGATCCCGCTTAAGGATGTCAAGGCCTTGGGCATGGAGAAGGAACCGCTTGTTACGCTGCCAGCATCCGCGAACGTTCTCACAGCGGTAGAGACCTTCGGCGGCGGTATCCATCGCGTTGTCGTGACCAAGGAGCCCAATAACCAAGAAGTGGTTGGTATCTTCAGTCAGTTCCGACTGGTCAAGTTCCTTTGGGAGAATGGCCGCAGCTTTCCTGCGATTGAGCAGCTTTACCCCCAGGCTCTGAACAATCTGCGCATTGGATCCCACAATGTGATCTCCATCAAGTAAGCCTCTCCCCGATAATTTGGACCTTGCCTTAGGCTGGAGGCTAACTGTTGTTATGATTTCAGCGGCGATAAGCCTCTCAGTGAAGGCCTTCAGTTGATGAACACCGAGGGAGTATCTTCTCTGGTTGTGGTCGATAACCATTGGAATGTCATTGGCAATATCTCTACGACGGATGTCAAGGTATATACCAAGAACAACTTGCCTGGAATAGCCGCCCACTAATATATTCCAAGCTTCTCACACGGTCCTCATCGCTACCGCTCCTTCAAAATACCTGCACGCACTTTATTTCGGTGATTCTGTCCACCCGCGGGTTAATTGAAGGCAAAGACTCTTTCCCTGTTTTCCATGTGAACCCTACCTCGACACTCGCTCACACAGTTGCCAAGCTCGTGGCAACGAGATCGCATCGGTAAGCAAGATAGCTGAAAGATGCAAGACAAAGAACAAACTAACGAGACCAGACTGTGGGTGACCGACCCGTTGTCTCCATCTTCATCAGGGCCCCCTACCCCCTCCCACTCCAGTGCACATATCCCCTTGGCTGCACCAATCTCTTCTACGACGACAGGCTCAAACCATGCACTGTCTCCACCACCTTCACCTCTTCCGACACCCGTGAGCCTCCCTTCACAGTCTCCTGGCCCGGCGACACCCCATCTCCCAACGCCACCCCAGCCCTACGGCGTCGGCAACACTGTCCCTTTCCCACCGGTCGCATCCAGCGGCGTTACTCCATCACTCGCGTCTTCAATTCCAGCATCTGCCCTACCAGGCGCTCGCTTATCTGGGCGCCTGGTTGGAGTTGTCAGCTTGACTGATATCTTGAACCTGCACGCCCGCGCAAGTGGCTTGAGCCCCGCAGATCCGGCCGAATCTCGGCGCCGTCGACGCAGCAGCTCTTCAAGCATGAGCGTTCGCCGTAGTGGTGAGATCGGTCGCGAATTGTTTAGCCGAGGTGGTGTTTAGAGTGTTATGAACGAAATATGGCTATCAAGGGACATTGATATGGGACAAATACTCATTTTCCTATTTCGGAAACCCTCAACGCCAAGACAAGACAAGATATTCAGTATAACGGATTGGGCAACAATTACTTCTTCATTTTTATTTTCCACGTTCACTCGCCTTTCAAGCGACGTAGCCACAGTCTGAGTCTTCTGTCTGCTTGGCGTCTTTCTGCCTTGATTTTCCTGCTTTTCTCAACGGGCGCTTATGAGGGAGGCCTTTTTTGTTGTTGAAATCTGGGCGGGCTCAAGCGCTCCTTCTCATCCTGCGATTTTCCTGTGTTGAGTCCTCCGGTGGGGATAGTGGATATCATCTCCTTCTCAGTCGCCCCTGCGTTGCGTGTTTGAGAATTCGTCATGTCATAGGCCAACGTCCAACCATGGACGCTCAACAGCCTCATCTATAGCCACAAAGAATCAGAGCAGTGAAAGCAAATCGGTCTGTGACCGAGTCAATTAACAAAACAAGGAATATCCCAATCTTTGAAGACCAATTCTTCGTATCCTGTAAAATTGCCTGACGTTGAGTGTGCACGAGCCAGGAGATCTCGATATCCAGCGCGTAAAAGGCGCAATCGCATCAACTTTGACGTCTAGAGTGATCTACGATGACCCGCAAGGAGATATTTCCCCTTGCCTCTTATTTGCAGCCCCGGGAACACCGGCTTTCGGAGATAGCGTAGCAGCGAGATGTATCGATTAACCTATGGGACAACCAATTGCCTTGTAGTTCTGTGGAGACAACCCATCGTTAAAGAGGTCTGCCCTACCTATCACTCTACAATCCCAAGATCGCCATTACGCACGCCCCATCCGTACCATACATCGGCACTCTTGATTTTCAGTGCCCCGTAACCAATCACGTCCCTTTCTCTTGCTCATCCTGATCACTGATCACCTGTTTACTCTGCCCACTTACCCCCCCCCGCTAGCCTGGCATGGCGGATTAGCCCGCCAATTGATACTTCGTACATTGCACCAGTAGCACAGCCGCATCGTGTCGATCATCACTCTACATTGTCGGGTCATCTGCCTATTTTAATTCTCGGCGCGGTGTCAACACGAGAGGGTACCGGGGCGATGGGTTGAATGGGCAAGGGGATCCATTATGATTGATGGATGGGGGTTGAGTACCCTGAGTTTGTTCTTCACCTTGGACGGGTTGTGGTTGGTTGAAGGGTAGCGCCGGATTGGGAAAGACGTGCTCGGATATAGTGGCTATTTCTCATTCCTTTCAATGGTTGGCAGCTGTGCTCTGGTTTGATTGATCGTTCCAAAGTACGTTCTACTAACTGGCGTATTGTGTTGCACTCATGATTAATAATCTGGAAATAGTCCCGTCTGCAGTCAAAGATCGACTATGATCTACATGTGGCGTAGCGTAGTTTATTGCGCTCCTTTATTCATTGACCATGCGACACTAAAAACGTACATTGATGGCCTCAATTTCAAGCTTGAGGGCATCAACATCAAGTATATTCTACTACAAATTTACAATCGCACTTGCTACCATCTACGGCTAGAAACTAAATATCTCGATGGTCTGATCATCTCCAGGACCGATTATCCGTGATAGATCGATCAATCGCCATCGCCCAGACCCCTGTCAAAAACCTGGTAAGGCGATAGAGCCCAAATCTCTCAGCCACAGCGAAAATCTGGAGAAAACACCGAACAGCAACCCAATCGATCCATACGATCCCTGGCTTTCCTGGTACTGGGCGGCCAGTCCAGGCCTGGCCTTTCGCTTGTACTTCCCCACTGCCCGCCAGAACCAGCTATTCTCCTGAAAAGTACTCCCCGATGTTTGATCGGGTTGTTGATTGGTCGATCGAGTGACTGCCGAGGGGTTTGCCTCGATATGGCATCATTAGGGTGATTTATTTGTTATAATTGACATGTGTCTCTATACAATAACGCTCGGCAGATATGTTGGATCGTGGCGGTGGCTTCAGAAATTGATACGAGCGAGGGCACGTGCAAGGATTGTTGTCGGTAGAAAAGGAAAGTGTATCGAGAAAGATGGAGATGGCTTGATTGCGTGTTGAATAATCAAAAAACACGCACCCAGTTCTAGAACGAGAACCGCGATAGTACAATCAAGGAATTAACCATTGGGCTATCATAGAAACTAGGCGCCCGACCGTCTCGAACATCAAAAGAAACAAAAACAAGGTAGCGGATAGCTGCATCATGCAGTATGCAAGCTGCACATTTGTTTTCCCACATGGTAGTCCCAAATGATCCAGTTCTAGACTCTCTGACAGATGGCTTGTCAGACCATCCGTCAGCAAACACTCGTGCCATTTCGACGTGCAATTGTCTTGATAAAATCCCCAATCAACCAATCCAGTGAGAAAACACTCAAGTGGCGAGCTCAATCAGACAAACGCACCCCCTCATTCCCCCTGGTAAGCTGAATCTCAATAGGAACCAGATAGATAACAGTATTTGATCCTATCCCAGCACCCTCCTCCTCCCAGCCCCACTCCGCAGAAGGACCCAAAACGAGTAACGGCCGTCCAGAAACAGAATATCCTCCCACACCCAATAGCCGGTCCGGATGCGTGCACGGGGGGTCCGAGTTCAGCAGCGGATTACTGGGTCCAACTCCACCGCGATCCATTTCAATCCCTGTCTGCCCACAGTCTGTAATCTTCTGTACCCGGTCTGATTGCTGGCTTATCCGCCTATCGGCTGTGGCCCTCGGAGCAGCGGTGGTGTGGTGATCCGTGGATACGGGTGGAGCCCACGCTAGTCACGAAAACGGATAGATGGTCTGTGCGGGAGCTGCAACCTTAACCCCGCAATTTGGGGGCTTTAGTTCGTGCTGGTCAACCGTTAAAGTAGTTAGCACATACCCTTAGTTTAGGTAGTTAGTAGGGGATAGTAGTTAGTCAGGTGAGAGACCTGGGCTGCGGGCTTCAGGTTGTTTGATTTGGGGGTTTGATAGATGAGTGATTTTAACCAGCCACTAATCATATTGAAAAAGAAGAAATTCGTCCATCTAAACAGTACATTCTACTACATATTCGATTGTCATATTATTATAATCTAACTAGGGAAAATGTTACGCAAGTCCAAGCAAATCACCTAGCAACATCAGTCCAAGTGACAACGGAGGTACAACTCCGAAAGCAGCCCACTAATTGGTAGTTTGATTAACCATCATGTAGTCCCAACCCAGATCCATTCCCTCGGGAACGCCTCGTACAGCATAACCCCAATAGCCCCCAAATGCCCAGCCCAGCCCCCCCTCCAAATCTCTGCAAGGCACGAGAGAAAAAAAAAAACGGTGGCAAGTATAAGTAAACTGGTCAACTAAGCAGTGCAATCCGAGCCCCATGAAAAACTCAATGCGAGCAATAACCATTACCGATGCCAAGCGCGATTAAAACTTCCCACCCCGCTGACGCCCCTCAATGCCTATTTGGGAAAAGCAAAACGAGCCGATCTGGGCGCTCTGATTTCCAATTCAAGTGTGCAGGGGGCTCTTCAGGCCGAGTATTCGCCATAAAACTTACTCCAATAACAAACTTCAAGGACGTTGATGGGCCTTTCTCTTGCTCGAGCATTTGAAGCTTACGACAAAAGTACAATAAGCTGTTTATTCCCTGCTCTATGCGCGCCGCGACCATGGCTACGAAAACGAGGATTTGGAATCACGGGGAATATGAAATCACAACGGGGGGGAGAAGTACCAACAAGGGTGCTGTGATGTCAGGGTGGTGGGGTAAGAGAATTCTACAGTACGTGGGTGAGGGTGCTGAACTAGTGAGAAGGAGGGAACGGCCCTCCTGGTTGGTTCATTAGCAGTAGGTCCAAGTGTCCCGCGTACCGTGGGTGGCCTGAGGTTTCACGAGTCGTGCAATGGACAAGGGATATAGAAGCAGCGATAGGCTCTGGGATTGCTAAGTAGAGTTTCTCGGGGGGAAACACTGAAGTATGTAGTAGCTTTCGAGCTTGAAGCTGGAAGGTAAAGCTCGAGCTGGAGCTCGAGCTGGCACGGCCCGTGGGAGGGGGATAGTAGACAGTGGCTCGTAGTGGAGAGGACTTCTCCTTTCATTCAGCATCTCTTTAAGCAAGATGCAAGATTTCGCCGGAATAGGTACTCGATTGATTGTTTGCGGCGGCGAATGCAACAGTACATGTGCAGTACCTGGGGACGAATCCATGGATGTAGAGATGGTGCGCGAATAGACGAAACACGCAGAATAGAAGAGTCTAGAAATGTGCAAGAAAAACCCGCAAGTTCAGTGTTCAGTTGTTGTCAAAAAGGTTTAGATTCAAAGTGAAATTTCGTCTCTCATGACAGTAGTAAATGGGAAGTAGAAAGTAAGGAAGTAGTAGTAGCAACCTGAATCCTGTCCATCCCTTGGAACTAAGCTGTAAGGTTCGGAAAAGCTGAACTGAACTGGACTGCATCTCTCCCCCCGCCCCTCCTTCCCCTTATCCCCCAGTTCCAGTACCCCTAACCGAATCCTGCGAAAGTTAACGCCTGGCTTTGGAGTACCCAAACGCATTTCTCATCATGGCGCCATTAGAAACGGCTACTCAGTCCTTGACGTAGCTGTCGCTGCGGACAATGCGCGGTTTGCCAGTGTGGGAGGCGATAGAAGGTAGATAGTAAAATGATAGATCGGAGAAAAATCGGGAAAAGATATGGAAAGACAGGAGAGGGAAAATAAAAAAAGGTTAGGTATGATACAGAGAGCAAAATATACAAGCCAACGCGACCATATACAAGAACAGAGAAAATTGGGGAATCATGTAAAATAGCCCCTCAACAATGAAATGCAAGAATAAGCGATAAGTACCAAAAAAGAAGACAAGTGTGAGAAAGGAAAGGAAGGTAGGGAGGTAGAGATAGATCGAGAGATACTTTAGCAGGAGACCGTACCGTAGTCATCCAATGCTACGAACTCATCGAAGCCAAAGGGCTCCCGCTCAGGTAGGGAAGTATTACCCAGGCCAAGAGCAAATTGGCTGAACTCATTAAAATCAGGGTCCAGCTCTTCATGGGAAACCATAACGCCATCACCGCCGTCACCCTCTGGCTTGACCACAGACCCACCTTGGCCAGTGCCTAGGGCGGTCGGAGACAGAGGGGTGTTTGGGGTAGGGCAGAATTCAGGTGTAGACTGAGTCTCCCCGGAGTAAGACTCGATCTTTGGTGAGCTGGTGTTGGAAGGGGCTACCTGGGCCAGGTGTGTGCCCTGAGTAAGGAGATGGAGGTTGTGGAAGTTGTTGCTAGGCTGAGAATGGCCGCGGGAGTGACCGTGGCCGCCACTGGGACCGGAAATGGACGCGGCCGGGGCCATGGGCTGAGCGAGATGCTGCACAGGCAATTCTGGCGCGGATGCTAAACGCTCTCTGAACTGTCGCATCTGGATGGCTGCGGCGGCATCGCTGGGCATTTGCGCTTGCTGCATCATTTGTTGCTGCCACATGCGGACGGCTTGGGTGTCGGTGGGGGTCTGGTTAGGAGTAGGGATCTGTTGTTGCATATGTGCCCATGCCATATGATTCCAGGTAGGAGCAGGGGTTTGCGCCTGGACAACGTAGGCGGGGATTTGCGCTGATGAGGAGGCCGTAGTGACCATGTGAGGAGGGTAACCATTAGAGCCGTCCATGCAGCTCATGTATGACTGGGTATTCGGATCAAATGTCGTCGTCGGGGACATCAAATAGCCTTCTCCAGTAGTCGCGGGGCTAGTCATTGAGTTGGAGTCCATGCCTTGTGGGAATGGAGACCGCAGATTCGACAGGTCCAAGCTCATCTTTCGTGACGTGCTACCTTCGACAGACGCACGCGGTGTCAGGCTCGCCCGACGGCTGGCAATAGAAGAAGCTGCGGAAGAGTTTGCCCTGGCCGCAAAGGCAGCCAGCAGATGGCGGTGGAATTGCTCTTCGATTTGCATGTTCTGTGCTTGCAGCATACGAATGCGTTTCTCTTGATAGCGTTCATCAACTTCCTCATACATGGCTTCTTTCTCGACAATCTCCTTGCTGATGTGGAAAGCCTTGCCGGTGCGCTTCTTATGCAGCATCGACGCCCGGTTAGCCGATTCCAGCCGCGCATCCAGGCTGCGGTCCTTTCGCCGCGAAGCAGCAATAAAGGCTCTAGCAGCATGTTAGTTTTTCATGTTTCTTATCACTCTCTGTGTCTATGGCATCGGAGGCTCAATGGAGGAGGTAATCCTTCCATGAGAAGAAGAACTTACCTCTCCTGATTCTCCTCCCGAGACCGGGGTACAGGAGAGATATCCTGATCGAGATCTGGCGAGGCCATCTCGGATAAGGATAGCAAAGAAAAGTGGGTAGATAAGTAAGTGATTGCTTAAACCAACGGGAGTGGTGGATGAATGTAGATCTGAACTAGGACTTTGATACAAAACCAGTGGAGATATGGAGGGGGTGATTTGAAATGCACCGAGAAGGAGGAGGGGAAAGGATGTTAAATATTAATAGCGCCCGGTGCTCGATCCAAAGCGGTTCCCTGAGTGGTTCAACACCCTGGAGAGCCGTTCCCCGATTTGACTTTCTTGGAGGGGGAGGAGGGGGGCAAGGCAAGAGCTGTCAGGACTGCGGACTGAGGGCAGGTGTCTCTTGCAGGAAGCTTGCGAGAGCGGATCCATGGGACCCAAGGCGATCGTAGTTGGGACGCCGAGAAAAGTCTCGTTCGGAGTCGAGCCATGGAATCGCCGCACTACTGGCCCCGTATGGACGCCCCCCCAAGGTGGCCTGCGGGCCTCGATGGCTCCTTATTTACGGCGAGCCCGTTCGATGGCGCCACACTGCAGAACCGTCAGTCAATAATAAGATAATAAGAATAATACGGTAAAATGGGTAGATGGGTAGATTGCTGGACTGGTGTTAGTTAGTACGAGAGGGTTGTGCCATTGGCTCCTTCTCTGGGCCAGTTCAGGGCCCCGATACTTGTTCCCAATTTCTGCACTTCACCCTGCTAGGGTTTTCCCTGGGCGGATCCTTGGGTCCCCAGCCCTTTGGGAAGAGAGATAACTTAGCCCTTTGGCCTTTGCTGGGATTTCCTGCAGGCTTGGCTGAGGGAGGAGGAAAAGGAGGCCTAGACCGGCATTGGTATCACTGGGAGTGGAGAAAAGGTCCCCAAGGTCACTTCCCCCACGATGCGACTGTGTACTGTGCAGATCCTCCCAAAGCGGGTGTCCCAACTTGAGGTTAACTGGCGACGTCGTTTTGGAAAGTGAGTGGTTTTGAAATCCCTGTAGATAGTGAAGAAACAAAGTAGAAACGGTGCAGAATTGCAGAATCCCACGTGACCGAATCCGGCGTGGAAGGTTTTCTCTCTTCTTCTTGTAGACAACCATCGACCATCGACCATCCAAGCGGGTAGGTACCACGCCATCCCAACACAGCACGATAACAATCTCCAATCCTACCAACACGAGGGTTCCTGCAGCCCGATCCGCACGGGCTCTCTTTATCCTCGTCGCACGGACTGTCCCAATGGCCAATCTAGCGGATATTCCGATTTCTCCTATGGGATAACTGAAAAGCAAGCAACGGCGATCGACCAACGCTTAGCGTCAAATCCTACGAATCCCCATCTGAGCTCATATTTGACCCGCGATATGTTGTGCCGGATTCTCTACACTCTGCGACAGTACTTTGGCACTGTAGCCACAGATCAGTCGTTTTGACTATCTGCGCGCACAGCCACTTGCTTTTCGGAGAAATCCAAGGCGATCAGAGCGCTGGCTGCTGGCGCTAGTCTGAGCGTTTTGCAAGTAAGTACAGTAGTTAGTCCTGCAGGGAGCCTATCGGAAGAGATGAATGCGCCCGTCGGCCCCGATAGTAGACCTAAGTTCCGACTGGTCCTGTACCAGTTACTCAATTGGAGTACATTGGAGAATGGTTTTATTTACTTAGTCCAAAGTATGGAAGATTGGTCCTTCTTTCTCCTCATTCCTATTTCATGCCGCAAATCGACCATCCAGCCGGCCGCCATGCAGAATTTCGCGATTAAACATACGATACAACTTGACTACATGTAAATAGCCTCCGGGCTAGCACTTGCAGAGACAAAAAAAACCCTGGTCATCCTATGGCAGCGGCAGCCTCTCTGGCCAATTACCGCGGGTTCAATGCGGGATGCTCTCCTCGGCCCTTGAGAATCGCCACCCTCTGGGCTCCATCCATGGTCTCCTTGTCCTAATGGCGATAGCAGAACATCCGTTGCTGGCCGCTGGCCGCTACCCTCTTCGCCCGGCTGAACCTAATCCGCCAAGAGATGCGTCCCTTTTGTGTGTTCGCCACTGATCCTTTTGGGCAGGTCGGACGGTCCGAAGACTTCACATGTTGTGCTGCAGTACGGAGTACACAGGAGCGTGGGGGGTTACAGAGTCCCATACTTCTTTTGTAGGGCTGTACTTGTGGCTGTGGCTGTAACGTCCAGCCCGGGGGGTTATCGAAGATGGGATAATAATTAGCTGGTCTTGAATGTTATTATTAAGAGGCTTTGCTCGATATACGGGTCTATAGTAACATCTCCCTCGATATTGTTAGGGCGAATTCTTTGCTCCTTTAAGCCTGTCCGTGCTTGTCTACAGGCTGCGGTCTTTTAATTACTTCCTAATTGAGGCCTACTTTGTCTGTCGTGTATTATTCGTTCCCCTTCTTCGTACTCGGCACTTGTTCTCCATCCTCTTTCTAGCCCCAAGATCTCACCACCGAGCAACGGTTATGCGATGTCTTTGCAGCAAACAGGAAATATCTAAGACGTAGATTAACTAAAATCCTTCATACAGTACTAAAGATCCAAGATCTCCCGATCTGGCGTCAGTTCGGGGCGAACAGTGGAGCCTCTCCACAGCGGATCACTCGGCTCTCAATAGACAGCACAATTCGCTTGCACAGATTACTGGCCACAGCATCCAGCATAGTCTGATATCAGCCGACAAAAATTCTCATAATTGAAGCTCGCAGGATATTAATTAAATAAGATAATTTCCGGCCGGCTCAGACCGCGCACAATTTGAACATCGGAGAATTGTCGGCGGCTCTAAGTCGCCCCCACCAACCTTGAACAAAGTTACAATCAACAGGCGGAAATCCATTTCCACGAGAATTATTCAATCCTGACCAATTCCTGACATTCAATGTGAATGACACCAACGCGGACATGGGCGCCGTTTCTTGCATTGTAACACGCCAACCTCACTCTTCCCTTCGCCCTCCCCGAGTAAAATCTGGAGGATCTCCGAGCCAAAGTGCCGGATCGGCATGATCGACACAACGGCCTTCCCGGAACGATCACCCGTTCCTGGGGAGCGAGCGCCACGGTGACGCTTCAACAGTGCTACGGCGACGAATCCTCGCGTTGATACAGCCGGAATTTGCTTTAGGCTATTTGGGTTTGGATTTGATACGTCTGAACGCGATGCGGATTTGGGGATTAGAGGATTTGGAGGGGGGGGTTTCTGCCTAATGGAGGCAGGGTCGGATGGAAGGAAACGACTTTAATGTTTATCAGTTAACCTAGGTTATAGATCCCAAGATCCTGCATCGGACTTGGGGTCGGGAGATGAAGTAGGAATTAAGCTTATTCCAGGTTGTGGCGGATTGGACTACGGTAATAGGGTAGGTGATGCGACTGATTGTTCGGCATGAAGATAAATGGCATTTGTATTCGGTGAAAAGCAATGCGGGGGAATTCCACGAGGTGATCCTTTATAGACAGCATGGGGGGTGGGACGCTAAGATTTCAAGGGGTTGAAATAAGGAGACAAGAAGGGCAAAAAAAAGCAGAGAACAGCACGGGGGATTGAGGATCAAGGCATAGAAGAGGGTGACAACAGAGCCCATAAGGCTCACAAACGGGTATGACGAGGTAGAGAGAGTGACCGAGCATTGTAGTTCTTCGAGAAAACCTCAAGCTCGCAGTGAATTCCTCCAGACTGGCTATTATTCCACCTGGCCGAGGAAAGACCATCCCCGGCCGGACGGCAAATGTGAATTTGAGACATATTGGCGTTTGACACCCGCCCGAGTCAGACCTTCCCAATCAGGTTGTCCGCCTTTTGGGACCGGCCTTTACCGAGGAGCTTCAAGCAAAGACAGTTTTCAAACGATTTGAGTGCGTGCCTCTGTTCAGGCAATTCCCAATGAGGGCACCATGCCTTGCTCCTCGCGAGCCTCGGCACCAAGCCTGTAGGAAACCTTGAATCGAATTTTGACCGAGTTGCCCTTTCCATTATCGATACGATCCAGGACCATTTCCTGCTTTACGCCATACTGTTGCTGCGGAGCCACTTCTCGGCCAGACTGCGGGTGGAGCTGTAGGGTATATGACTAAAGATCAATCAGTAAGACGGCACTTGAATTCTCAGGATTAATCAGGTAGAAGAGGGAAGAGGAGTTACCTTTTCCACTGCGACCTGGAAGTGCAATTCCCCAATAGGCTGGTTAGTGGTGTTGGAAAAGACAGCCTGGATGTGGATTTGCCGTGGCGCGCTTGGCACACGTCGAGCGACAAAATCAATACGTAGCTGCGAGTTGAGCACTTGCACTTTGTTCGTGGATGGCAGGGCGTTGCTCGGTGGAAGCGAAGATGCAAAGTTCCACTCGTCATCCTCAGCCGCGGGCGCCTGTCCCGTTGGCTGCGGCTGTGGAGGTGGAGTGACACCAGCCGCCAAGTCAAGCAAGGACGACGATGGAGCGGCTTGGACATGAGAAGTGGGTGGTTGGAAAGCTCCGGATGTTGGCCGAGGGCTGGCGGATACCAGCGCTGCAAATGGATCGGCTGCCTGTGGAGGAGTCGCAGTCGATTGAGGCCTAGGCGAGATACCAGGGGCTGGGGTGGACGACTGAGAGTTGGGCCGCGACGAGGTCATAGATGCGAGAATATCATAGTTGGCTTTGAATGCGGCAGGTGCTTGCTGTGAAGGTTGGGGAGAGGCTGCAGGCGGAGATGGGCCAGTCTGCAGAGGGAATCCCACTGGAATAGGTGATTAGTGACTGGGTTCCTCCAAAATAGTCCTCTAAACTTACTGCTGGAAGATCCCAGAGAAATTCCACCACCAAGAGCCGGGACCTCCTCGCCCAGAGAGAGTCCAAGAAGGTCATTCTCCAATGCACTCCCACCCTGGGATGATGGCCCGGCATTGCCATTGGAACTCGGAGCTGGCTCAGGGTCGAAGTCGATCAATGAAAGTTCATTGTTTGCATTCTTCGATACTCCGGTTGTGGTACCCAAAGTGCCTTTGGGGATTTTCGATGCCGCATCGAAGTCGCCCTTTCGGACAAGCTTATAACGCTCAATGGTCCGATGTATGCTGTCGTTGATTTCCAGCAACTTGTGAACAGCTTCCGGGTCCTCCGATTCTTCCTCGCACATCTTCTGGATCTTGGGATGCGCGCTTTGCAGAGCATTTGCAAGCTCCTATAAACGAGAGAGTTAGTAGACTAGCACATGGGCCATCCGAGAAGCGATTTGCAAATCACTAACCTCAAAGACATCTCCTTCAGGAACACCGTCGCCTGGTTGCTGGCTCTGCAACATTTCCTCCAAGATCTTAGCCTTCTGCTGCACCTTGGCGACTTCCTCTGCGGCCTTTGCACGATAATCAGTCTTGTGCCGGTTGTCATATCCAGCCATAACCTTCATTAATCGGTTAGCTTCCTGAAGATCAGCAGGTGTGCCCCGGCGGATCAACTCCTGCAGCTTCGCAGACTGTGCTTCTTTTTCCTCCTCCTCCATCTCCTCGGCGGAACGAAGGTTCTAATTGACGAATCGTTAGTACGGCTTTGCGGACGACTGCGACTGTGGAAGCAAAACACGTACGTCACTTGGGTTCAGCACCGCCGCATCTTCACGGCGAACCTCCGGGAATGCGTAGCCCTTGTACAGAAGAAGACGGTGCATATCCCGGATAAAGCCAAGGTCCTCCTTGTAGCGCGATGTCTGGCAAATAGTCTGACGCCACTCCTCAATCGATTCCAAGATACGATGTTGGACCCGCGACGGGCGCATAGGCGGCCGCTCGGGGAATCTCCGAACCAATTCATTCAGGAACTCTTTCGTACTGATCTGGAGGTGGAAGGGGTATCCGCAGTTCTTGACACAGATGTCGAGGAGCTATTTGCGTTGGGAAAGCAAGCTGTCAGCTTCGGTCCCGCACGCCAGCCTGTCATCTCCACTCCATTCGGGTCAACGTACCGCCAACGCCAACAAGGCGATATTCTGGTTCCGGGCATTGATAAGATGGACAATCTCAACGGCGGCTTCTCTGGGTCTGTCAAGGGAAACAAAACAATTAGCATTGCGCGATCTTCTCTTGTTTCGTCCTTTCCGACTCACGAATTGCCTTTCTTGGAGTTGACCAGGTCCGCGACTTCGAGGTTCAGGGCCAGATTGGGCTCGTAGTTTTGAGGATCGCAGGCATTTCCTAAATTATATTGGCAGTCAGAGAACTGTCCTAACCGGGATGCGAATGATCAATGATGTAGTGCTCAGCTCACGGATTGCCCGCTGTAGCGGTGATAGCCCCGGCTCAGCATAGGCACCGAAGCGGTCCCTAGCCGCCATACGTGCGGAAGCAGCCTCCAGGATGACGGTGGGGGAATGAAAAGGAAGGTTGATCGGATAGGATGGGATAGAGGAGTTCGAGAGATCCTCGCGCGCAGTCCGATGTTGATGTGGAAAGAAATACTGCCCCCCGCAGCTGTGGAAGTGGTGTAGTTAGTTGGAGACCTGAGGGTGGGCGGAGTAACTTGCACGTGTGGCGCTTGTGCTTCGACTGGAATTTTTTTGGAACTCCAACACAACTCAGCACCAAAGTCACAACGAGACCATATTCTCCTCGGCTCTGACATTTACGATAGCCCCCCATGGTCCGCCATAAGAAAGACAACTTCTCGCGCGGAGGCAAGAAGTCCTCGAACCCCCGCCCCCGACCGGTACCCCGCGGTGATGGTGATGAGGCTGCGCCCTCTTCGCGCCCAGCATTCAGAGCGGCATGCTGGGACATGGGACACTGTGACCCGAAGCGATGCTCTGGAAAGCGTTTGATGAAGCTGGGACTGATGCGAGAGCTTCATATTGGCCAGCGATTCCCCGGCGTGATCGTTTCGTATGCGCACACCCCGCTAGTTCTTCCCGCGCCTCGCCTACTAACAGCTGGACAATCAGGCCCAATGCGAAGAAAGTGGTATCTCCTGCCGACCGGGAACTGATGGAACAACATGGCGCTGCAGTGGTGGAGTGCTCCTGGGTGCGAGTCAAGGAAGTGCCTTGGTCGCGGATCGGTGGAAAATGCGAGCGATTGCGTACGTCTTTGCTTTTGCGCCAAAGAATGCACCGAGGAATCACTTTTGACTGACATTTGTTAATGTATAGTCCCATACCTTATCGCTGCGAATACGGTCAACTATGGCAAGCCCTGGCGATTGAACTGTGTTGAAGCGCTGGCAGCTTGTTTCTACATTTGCGGACACCCGGAGTGGGCACAAGAGGTCTTGAAGAATTTCAGATATGGAGAGGCATTCTTGGAGATCAATTCTGAACTTCTTGATCGATACGCCGCTTGCCAGACGGAAGAAGATGTGAAGCGAACCGAAGAGGAGTGGTTGGCCAAAATTGAGCAAGAATATGAAGACAGCCGTGTGGAGGGAGCAGACGACATCTGGACCGTCGGAAATACCAATCGACAAACTGCGAACCGAGATTCTGGTGATGAGCATGACGATGATGACGATGAGAGTGGAGAGGAGGGTAGTGAGGCTGAAGAAGAAAGCGAAGAGGAAGAAGACAAAGACCCGTTCGCCATCTCAGACGATTCCGAAGATGAAGAACAAATGGCCGAGATCCGACGCAAGATCCTTGAATCCAAATCATTCAAAAACCCGTCCGCAGCAGACAAGGATCAACCGGAGAAGATCGCACGGCCAGAACAGCCCGTGTATGAGGATTCAGATGCCGAGTCTGGCTCTGTTGGCAGCGAAGACGAGGATTTTGATAACATCATTAATGCAACGACTGTTACGGACCGTACTGGCATCAAGGAGATCCAGCGACGGCGTGGCAAGGAGACTGTCAGTGCTTCATTTTCGCGGACTGAGCTATCTGCGCCGAAGAGATGGTAAAGAGATAAGATTCATGGATTTTGATGCTGTTCTATTGGCGCATCATAGGAGAGGAAGGATCTTAGATTGAAACCTCTTGATAGAAAAAGTTTTTTATGACCCCGCGAAATGACAGGGCATCTTTAAGCGAGATGCGAGCTTTTCGGCTTTCATTTTGTCCTGAGATCACCTGCGAAAATACTCGACCGGATGTCTGAGCAATATTGCGCGCCTCTCTTGCCCCGGCCTCTGTCAACATATCGACAACTTGTCGAGAATCAGATTCGTCATGCAGGCATTTCTGAATAGTAGGACGGTGATGTGCATGCTCATCCTCGAGTCTCCACCCGACATTTTGAGATACTTTTCCACGTTCAGACAAAATTCCCCTACTCTTTCCACTGGACTCTATTCCCGCCGGATGAATGAAAATTAATGATATCAAGAGATAATTATGAACATGACAGATCTCCCGTTCACCAGTATCATTCTTAGAAGCCGCGTGATCCTCTGCGCTGGTCTCTGGTTATACACTTTGCCCGATAACCAGTATTAGGTGTTCCTTGACATCGTGTACACTCTTTTACGCGATGCCTCGGCCATTCATGTGTTAATGAGTGGCCAGTCGAGTTGTAGATGAATGGATTGACTTCGTTGTAATTGGGAATCCCCGGGGATCTCGTTCGGTGGACGTTCAAGTGTGTCCATGGTCGTGGAGACGGTTGTTGAGGTATAGGACGTTGATTGTTCATGTTTATAACAAGGGATAGAATAATGGTTATGGAACAGGACAACTCAAGTTTGTCGAGAGTATAGAGGATTTGATCACTATCATTTCTGTCTTATGAAGAAATAACAACATACTGCTCAGAGAAGACAGGTGGTAGTTATACTGTTGGAGGAAGTGATAGTTTCATCCCACCGCTACCCGCCTCATTGAAGGCGATAACCAACCACCACCACCACAATTTGTCGTCGCTGCAAGGATGGCAATGGGTCTATATCCACAGATTAGGTCATGCAAGGTGTAGACCCATATAGATCCTCGTGTGGTTCTTGTCTCAAACCCTGTATTCATTCAAGCAATCAAGGTGAAACATGATGGAATACCTTGCCAAAAAAAATCAATCTCAACCAATGAGATCCTTGCATGGATCTATACTGACCCGATAAGAATGGGACTGGACAGAGGAGATGTTCGAGGGTTGTATCATTTCATTTGTTAGAAAGCCGAGCGGACCTCCTGTCAAGCTGTACCAACAGCTTAAGCCTCACCATTTCTAGGCTGATTTGCCGTGATAATTCAAAAGTCCGAGTCTAGAGGCCAGAGAAACCACCTAACAGACATGCTTCAAATTCTTGATTTTTGAATGGTCTTTCTAAAGGTCATTCCAATCGTCTTTTTCGATAGCTTAGGTATTATTCTGGAGTCTTATCATTCAACTTGTGACTGATACGATGATTCTGAATACTGGTCATAGTTTCAAACTGATGCAACTCCACTGTAGCAAATTGAACTGTATTATGGAAGAGTTGACATTCTTATGATCGAACAATCGTGCTACCTGTGAGGTGCGAAGAGATGTGTGGTTTTGCGAGAGGCTATGTTATGGAGGTGAGCTTCGTCGTGCCTGCCGATGGTCAGTGTTTCACTGAACTTGGATTTACACTTACTCATGGATGACTCGATAAAATGTTCTGAAGCTGCTTTGTGTTACTATGTTCAGTCAACTCCAGAAAATTCGTTAGTAACTATCCATAAGAAAAACAAACATTATGTCATGTGTGCCTAGATCGCGTGACTGTCGTAGAAATAAACCTCGTGGATGAGTCCACCCGCGCTTGAGCACTGATGTGTCACTAAGAAACCTCACGAAACAGGGTCGCTGGTGATTGCGGGGAACGCCTCAATCATCCCGGCGTTGCCAAGGCTTTTACCTTCTACGAACAACAGGGTCTTGGAGGTTCGTATTCACGTTGATCAATTCTTACTATGACATCTCAATCTCCCTAGGCGCAGAATGTATACAAATCCAGTCAGCCCTGCCAAGCCATGTCCGTTCGCCTGACGCGGTCGAATGATGGCAGTCACCAGGGCGCTCAACTGACTGAACGAGCTTGGCCCTAGGGTTCACAGCCTCAAAAGCCTCCTGCTGCCAACGCAAGAGCGATCAGGCGGGGAAAGAATCAAGAAGAGGAAGCTAATAGGGGGTGCTGACGGGCGCTAAAGTAGATCGTCGCCCGCTATATGATCACCGCCGCTTCCCTTGATGAACCATCTTTCAGACGTCTCTTCTGACATGTGGACAGTCTACTAGCGGGGATATTTTGTCGAAGACGATCTTCAAAACTTGTCCTCACTTGGTTCGATCTCTTCCCCCCCCCCCCGACTTCAGTCTATACGTCAACAAATAGCCAAAACGGGTCACTCATTGCGAAAGCGGGTGCGAGGCTGGAAACGCATCATTATGGCGCAAGACCAGCCGGCCGAGCCATCGGCCCCAAAAATCAAACCGAGTGAAAATAGGAACGCAGATCCAGATCTCGCACCAAGACCGGCAGTGCCAGCGCGTCGCGGGTCTGCGCTCCTGAACTTCCTCTCCTCACTGCTGGGCTCGAAGAACCCGCTTGCCCATGCTGCGGACTCACACAAGAATACCGTGTGGTTGTTCGATAACACCGCCTATCAGCCTGTCTCGGATACACCGCATCTAGGTCACGCTGGGCAGTCATGGCAGGCAGAGTTTGTCGTGTGTATCTTCGAGACGGAGGGCCGCAAGGATGTCGGCAAGCTTGTTGCTGCGATCGCTGATCATATCGGTATCGATGGTGAATATGGCCGCGATGATCAGGAGACACGCCAGCGTATAGAGAAGCGTGTACAGCCCTTCTTGGATCAGGTCTCTCCCGCGCGAACGGTGAAGCTGGAAGTGACCATTAATGGGGCCAAACAAACACATTCGCTGGGTGGTTCAGACCGAAATGGCATCATAAGCCAGATTGTCAACCTCGGTGCATCCGGAGTGAGCGATGGCATGGTGGTGAGCCCACGAGCACAGAAATTCGACGAGCCGACGGCGACGATGGAAACGCGGTTCGCCGCGCCTGAGGGTTGGATGGTGATCTCGGACATTGACGACACCATCAAGCGGACGATGACACGCGAACCAACGGGTATCCTTCGCACGACCTTTGCCGAAGAGCCTGTGCCTATCGCCGGTATGCCGGAGTTCTATCGGCATGTTCAAGACGAGTTTAATCCGACGTGGTTCTACCTCTCAGCCTCGCCTTACAATCTATATCCATTCCTGCACCAGTTCTTGCATGAGCATTATTGCCATGGAACGCTTGTCCTGAGGGACTATTCGTGGATGGATATCAGCGGGCTGATCAAGTCGTTTACCGAAAACACGCAGGAATACAAGGTTGATCGGATGGAGAAGATTCATAGCTGGTTTCCCAAACGTCGGGTTCTTTGTATTGGAGATTCGACGCAGAAGGATCCTGAGGCTTATGCGGAGATGTATAATCGTTACCCCGGCTGGATCCATGCTATCGCCATTCGGAAGGTTACTGATGTGGAGCATATGGAGGAGAAGAATAAGCCAGAGCGCTTTGAGGAGGCATTTCAGAATGTTCCGGATTCTGTGTGGACTATCTTCGAGGACTCGCAGGAGCTTTATGCTTTTGTTGATGGGTTGGGGATGGAAGATCAGGCCTTGTAGATACCATGATTATCCTCGCTGTTGTAAATATTTCTCGTCTGATGGACATCCTTATACACATATTTTTGATATGAAGAGTCTTATGGCCAGAATAGGAAGTAGATATGACTTAATAACTCTCGCTTCTAAGATCCGAACAGCTCTGGTGATGGTGGCAACGCGGACCCAGCTTCCGTCATACATAGGTCAAGATGAGAGCAATGCACTGCAATCTATACATAGTCATATGGAAGGACCACGGCCATGACCGCAAGCCTAGAAGAAACATGAATGCCTTTGAAATCGATCAAACTTGAAAAGATGGCCCGAAGATTATCCCGAAACGACTACGCCCCAACATGGGAAGACAACGAAATCAGCCTGAGACCAGCAGACGATGTATCACCATCCAGCTACACGGACAGTCAAGCAGCTGACATCCCAATGCCAACCGTGAAAAAAGACAAGCGACCATCCACCGCAAGCCTACGAACACCAAGAAGCGGCAAGCGGGGATCTGAAAGCCTAAACAGCCAAAAGTTCATCCCGCTCTCCATGCGAGCCCTCTATTACTCCGTCGAACCAGCAACAAGCTCATCAACGGGATCAACCCCCAACGGACCAGTAAGCCCTAAACCACGCCGCTTCAGCAATCCAGGCACACAGCTCGTCCTAGACCCGAATTTCCCAACGCCTCAGCCCTCGCCGCAGGAGTATCTTATCAAGGTGCAAACTGCAGCGTTTTGTCATGATGAGATGCGTCTAGCAACGGCGTTGAATCCGCAAAAGACTACTCCTCAGATTCCGCTGCATAGTATCTGCGGGACGGTAATTAGTACTCCAACGCAGGATTCTGAACGGCCTGAGGGATCGAAGTTTAAGATCGGTGATACCGTCTGGGGCGTGACGAGTTATACTCGTGATGGAGGTGCGGCGGACTATGCCGTTGCTGCGGAGTCGGAGCTTGCACTGAAGCCGACGAATATCGGGGCTCAGGAGGCTGCTGCGTTGGCATTGCCTGGGTTGACGGCGTGGCAGGCGTTGTTTCGGTATGCGGAAATTGATCCCGATGCGTCTGTGAACGGCGGCAATGGCATTGAGAAAGGGAAAGAGAGTGTGGCTGAATATGGGAATGGTCAAAGAAGAGGGAGTCCTTGGGCTAATGGGAATGGGAATGGCAATGGCAACGATGGAAATGGACAGAACATGTTCCGAATGGACATATTTGGAGAGAACAGATACGACAAGTACAAGGACCGTGTGAATGGGCATCGGAATGGCGACGGCAATGGCCAGAAGAAAAGCATCTATGCCGATGGTGACGGTAATGGCAAGGGCCATAGTTGGCTGAGGAAGAGTGTGAATGGAATCAACAACCTTGTGCGGACTGCGAGTACGATTACCAGAGGAAGTGGAAGCACAAACGGCAATGGCAATCGCAATGGTCATGGAAACGGCCATGAATACGGCTACGGCAGACGCCGAAGTACCTGGCAAAAAGGAGGTGGTCTACGGAGAAGACGAGGCTCGCAGATGCAACTGCGCGTATTGATCACAAACGCACGAGACAGCGAAGTCGGTCGAATCGCCGTGCAACTCCTTCGCGCAGAGAAGCTGTTCACATTCCCCGAGCGGCCGTGGATCTGTGTGACCTGCACACCCATGGAAGCAGATATTGTCCGCGGGAGTTGGGACGTTGACGAGGTCATCGTCATTCCAAATATTCCCGAATTCGACGAGTGCGACTTTGGGAAAATATTCCGATCTCAGCGGTGGAGTCCCGTCGACGTGGTTCTGGATTGCTCTGGTGGTGTTGTCTTTCAACAAGCCCATTCACCCTCGGTTGTCAAAGATGGAGGCGCAGTTTTGACGGCCGTGGATCCTTGGCCGGCGCAGGAACCTGCCACTGGTGACCCGCTTGACAATCTGGGCAGAAGAAAGCGTGGCCTCAAGACGACGTTTGTCCCGGTGAACCCCGATGCTATCTCGCTGGAACGCATTGTAGAGCTCGTTGAGAGTAATATGGTTCGAGGGAGGCCTGAGCAGGTCACTGATCTCATGCATGCGGACCGATTATTGAGGGACCATGCGGTGGGAGCTGGTGCTGTTCGTCGTGGAGTGATGATGGTGGTTCGGGTCAATTGAATGCGGTGTAACGAGACCTTGGTTAGCCAGAGGAAAGGGGATGAAGGGTAAATGTTGTTCAAAAGTTCAGCTTGAAATTGATATTCCATAGCTCAATGAGCAAGCAATCAAGTCATCAGTCTCTTGTACGATCACGATTTGATAAACCCCCCAAATCCCAAACTAAGCAGAGACAGAGAATAACCAGACAGTAATACCAGAAGTCAATTAGAGATGGCCATGATAGAAGACAAAATGAGAAACATAGAAAAGAATCTTCAAGAAGAGAGGGAGAAGAAGACGGCCAAGTGGGGGATTTTGAATCCATGCGGGAAACTCATCGCATGCATCAAGCCAAGAGAAACAAGACCAAAGAACTAGGACAGATACCGAAGGGGCAACTAAGCAGTTGTTAGAGGCTGAAAGGTGACCTGATCAGTGAACGCCGGTGGTGACCTTGAGAGTTGCGTCAGCTTCATTCTCCTGACCAGTAGCATCCGGAGTTGTCTGTGAAAAAGAAGAGAAAGTATTTCCTTTCCAGATCCACTGAATGAAGAAGACATGAGCGAGAATTGGGAAATGAAAAAGGCAAGGACTAGAGACCAGGAAAATAGATCCAAAGCCCAGAAATATTTCATACAAGAAATGAATTTTGACCAGACAGTTCAATATGACAAAAAAAGACGCTCTGCCCAATTCCAACCCACATGATGACAAACTACATGAGTGAACAGAAAGAAGATAAGCCCCCTATGGAAAACGGAGAAGCCAGGGCACAAGGTGCAACCCACAGAGAGTTTGGAGAATGGAACGAGGCGGGGGAGATATAGAGGGGATAGAAGAAAGGAAAAGAACACTGTATTAGAAGCGACACGGTATATCCGCTCAGAGTAAGGAATCAAGTCTGGTGAAGACGCTCAGGCACGCCGCAACAATCTACATCATAAAGTTAGTGACCTGTGGAAGGGTTGATTGCAGCGGTGACAGGGAGGGTGGAGAACATACCTCCAACTGGAGCTCGCGGTCCTTATTGCCTCGGTTGACCTCCTCGTTGATCGCCTGGGCCAGGTTGGCTCCGATCGCCTGCGAACCACCCGTCCGGCGAGCGAATGGCCATTGCGAGTATTCGGCCAAAAGCTCATCCACCTGCGCAAATGCTCTCTCGCGAGCCTCATGGCTCATAGTCACAAGCGCGTTCTCCAGGACGTTGGCTGCATAAGCAGCACACACCATCGTCACCGTACGAAGGTAGCGGAACTCGGCGTCCTCGGGGAGCCACGGGCTAGGGGGGATGATCACTGTGCGGTTGGTGCAGATGTTGCGCACCCGTTTGTGAAGGTCGTCCTTGGCACCGCCGTCGGCCACGGGGTGCGTCGCCATGTCGAAAAGAAGGAAGTTGCGTTTCTCGGTTCGCAAAATGCCCTTATCCACAAGGCCCTTGGCCAATCGTTCGCGCACTTGTTTCAATTGATATCCAATCTTCATCAAGTTCCAGGTCTCACCTAAATTAGGAAGGAATCACCAATTAGCCTACGGGCCAGGTTGCCAGAACCTCTTCCATTGTCACAGAAAACGTACCACTCATCAAGTCAATCCAAGAGTTCACACTCATCTTCTCGCTCGACTTCATCATCTTCAGCGCCTCGTCCAGCAAGACTTCGCCGGTCAATGTGTCGTCAACGACCTCGATGATGCGGTCGGCCAGGGGAAAGCGTCGCCGCGACGAATCCTTCTGCATGCTGATACGGCCGCGGAGCGCAAGTTCGATAACGATACACCCTCGCAGGGCATATGAAATGTTCTCGTTCCAGAAGGACAGGTAGCCCTGGATCGCGGAACAGGCGTCAGCAATTCATATTCCCCAATCGGCCAGCATATGCCCCTCTATCACTGTCTTCTCGGTCATGCTCACCTGCTTATCTTTCAATCCCAGCAACAACACCTCCTCCATCAGGGTAAGCTTCGGTTGCTTGCTTCGTTCTTCGGTTTCGCTGAGGTCGCGGGGATCGAATGCGATCTTGTGCCCATTCTCCGCGCTGGTGAATGAAGTCTCCGGACCGCGAGTGTCCATCGCGGAACCATTCCTCGAGACAGGCGATGATACGCGGCTGTCATCTTGCTCGTCTGCGCCAGCGGCTCGACCGCCGCCTCGTCGGCGAGTCAAGCCCCCAGAGGACATGAGGATACCGGTTGAGGGGGGTGGGGGGAGCGTGGAGGAAGAGGATGAAAGAGAGCCGGGGTGGGCGTCACGAGTCTGCTAAGAGCTGTATATCTTTGTTTCTTCAATCACCGAAAGCCGATCTGCGTGCCGGTCGCAGTGGGCATTAAATGTCCGTGTCGAAGAGAGATGTCAAGAAGTCACGAGTAGACCGAAAGTCTGCCGTTGCCGCTTCTCAAGTGGGACCGCTCGGCGTCAGGGGAAACCAGGGACCGAGTGGATTAGCAGTACTCCGTAGTCGGGCAAGGGAAAGTATTCGAAAACTACAGTCGACCAATTCCTGGAGATTTCCTTGATAGTTTCAAAGAGGAAAAGAAAAAAATTGGGAAAGGAGACGAAGACAGTAAGCGTGTTTCGGGAAGGACGAGCGGGTTGGGGTCGAAGTTAGTTCGGGCCAGGCGAGGTGGCTCGTTGGTGGTAGACTGCGCCCCAGACAAGCAACTGAGACCCTTAGTACTACTACAGACTACGCTATTTACATTCAGGTATAATTCCACAATCTGATCGGCCAATGTCTCATGAACTTTCGTCCTTGATCCCGGTATACTATTGCATTTACCATTGGGCTGGTTTGACTGTCATAGCGCCACCTGGAGCATTTTATCCGTGCCAGCCTGGTCAAGCCTCACAAGCTCGTGTACCTTTGGCAAATACCAAGAGCCCGAATCAGAGTCATAATTCGTGCGGTAAAACCAAATCTAGGAGCAATCAACAAGAGAGAGGAAGAGAAGGAGAAGCCAGAGAGGAGAAAGAAGCGGCAATCCGCAATCTGATACTGCTTCAAAACTGCATTCAAGATGATATACACGATATAGAAGGATGAGAAAAAAAACACTGGCATGTGTTTCAGCATACAAAGCAGCACCTCAAGCCATAAAGGTCCACTCTCCAGAGCGAATCCGTCGGCCGACGCCACCATCCCGATTCATTTTCTATCCGACTTCCCAAACAATCGGCCCCGCGGTCTTCAATTAGGTACTTAGTGAGCTATTCATCAAATCATATATTAGCACAAGTCAAAAGCGCAATAATCGACAAAGAGGAGTGTACATACCATCGGGCTGAGCCTGGATGTACTCGACGGCCTTCTCAACTGTTCGCACGCAGTCACGTTAGCCTCCGTCGCGCCATATTAGATTCGCCACAGACCACCAAGGTCTAAGATACTTACCACTGTGGATCTGGTCGGCCTCTTTGTCGGGGATCTCAATGCTGAACTCCTGTTGGCGTGATAATTAGCAGTCTGCGGAGTGGGAGTCTTTTCCGAGGAAAAGGAAGCGAGTCGCATACCTCCTCAATGGCCATCACGACCTCAACGGTGTCAAGGCTGTCGAGGCCGAGGTCGTTGGAAAAGTGGGAAACACCGGTGATCTAGTAGTCATAGGTGTGTCAGTATAAGTGTGGCTTCCCGATGTCCCCCATTTCAGCTCGTAATGATGCCGAGGGCAACCGACGGGTAGGTCGTGCCATCGAAACTGACCTTGCTGGCGTCGGAAACCTGAAGAGTGCAAGTATGTTAGCATGCTGATTCGACAAAAATCCGTGGATTTGCAATATGTGATACGAGTTCACATCCCAAGTCCACAAAAATAACATTCTGACGCACCTTGTCGAAGTTCTTGAGCAGGTTGACTATCCGGCCCTCGATCTCATCCTTGGACAGACCAGCGGGGGCAGAGTAGAAGCGGATGCTCTGGGAGACAAGGCTGGGAGTGAATTGAGCAGCAATGGGGGAGCTGCGGATCTGGAAGGAGGCCGAGGGCTTGACAGCGGCACGGGGGGCGGAGGCCCTCAAGGAGCGGACAATGGCGGAGCGGAACATGGTGAATCGGGAGTATCAAACGAGCACAGAGGCGTCGAGTCGAGAAGAAAGAGATCGGAGTGGGATGGTGGGGAGAAAAGAGAGGATAGGATGAAGGGAGATGGACGGGAAGAGAGGGAAGAAGATGGTCGGAAGTGATGCTCCCTGCGCAAAATCCTGCCCGCCCGCCAATCAGCGCCCGGCAGAAATGAATGACCTAAGCCCCGAACGTGCAAACACCACTCCAACCTCAACTAGCACTTCCTCCCCTACCTCCCCTCCCCCAGCTACGACCTCCCTCCGCCACGCCACTCTCCTTCATCCCAATCGCCTCTCCGAGCCTTTCGCAATGGCCACCTCTCGCTCGGTAGCTCGGCTGGTCGCCTACCGCCGGTCTCCCTTCATGCCGATCGGCTCGACCGCAAACTTCTCTTCCTCGGTGTCCCGCGCAGCATCTCCAGCGGGCCCCCCTCAGCCCGGTTTCCGTCTGCCCCCGCCTACGCGCTGGGATCAGGGCTCAGAGTCTTCTCTCGACAAGGCTAGCAAGTACTTCCTCATGGCAGAGATCTTCCGCGGCATGTACGTGGTGCTGGAGCAGTTTTTCCGCCCACCGTAAGTCTCTCTTCCAGCACCGCAGACAGGTCCAATTGCATGTCCGACAGGTCAAGCAAGGCCAATTGAGCTGGGATCAACTGACACGATGTCTCTTTGCTCTTCAGTTACACCATCTTCTACCCCTTCGAGAAGGGTCCCATCTCCCCCCGATTCCGCGGTGAGCACGCCCTGCGTCGCTACCCCACTGGTGAGGAGCGCTGCATTGCTTGCAAGCTCTGCGAGGCCATCTGCCCGGCCCAGGCTATCACCATTGAGGCGGAGGAGCGTGAGGACGGCAGCCGCCGCACGACCCGTTACGATATCGATATGACCAAGTGCATCTACTGTGGATACTGCCAGGAGAGCTGCCCCGTTGACGCCATTGTTGAGAGTAAGTCTCTTGGAAAACTGTGAAGGCATCAAACAATGATCTAACTGTATCGTGCGTTATAGCTTCCAATGCTGAGTACGCTACCGAGACCCGCGAGGAGCTCCTGTACAACAAGGAGAAGCTCCTCGCCAACGGCGACAGGTGGGAGCCTGAGATCGCGGCCGCTGCTCGTGCGGATGCTCCTTACCGATAATCGACTCGCACCCTCAACCACTACTTTTTGTGGTACTCGACACTTCAAAGATGCGAATGATGAATGTGGACCCGCGAAGGCGGCACTGGCCCATTATCAGAACGCGCCAAATGGCGTTCGTCCAAAATCTAGAAAAGGGCTCTATATCTGCCCTCTTACCCCAGCACATCTTGTACATAAAACAACCCCGACCTTGTGTTATCCCTCTGTCGTACTAGTCGATTCCTGGAAAGGAAGTTTCCGCTTCTCTCGGAAACCGAGCTCCTTTGTCCTTTTTTTTTTTTTTCTATTTCCTATGTTTTGGAATAGCAGGTCTCTTTTTTATTTTTTTAAAGATCAAATTCTATTAGCGATTTTCCTCCATGATATATCCAGTAGTTCGTTTTCATTGGGCATAAGGTTCTTCTAGAACTGGCTGCACCTCGGAGCCTCCGCGGTTCGCACTGATATATATTCTGCTATCGGCTCCAGGCTTGGCATTCACTCGGTGTGCCTCTAGGTCACAGGTGTGCTAGATAGTACAGATCTCAAGGTTCGTGGATGTAGAGAAGAAATGGAAAAGGGTTGAACAAGATATATTTGTATTCACAAATAAAAAATGGATCGCTACCCATGCTGACGTACATACAAGACATAACTAGAACGACTCATGCCGCTGAAACACAGCGTAAACACCAAACACCAGAATCCCCGGATGGATATTTCCCAGATCGATGTCTTAAAACACTTTTCTTTTTCAAGTTTTGGGTATTCTCCAGCTCCTGCATCGGCATCCGACGGCAGAAGCTTGAAACGAAGGTGAAAGGGCAAGAAGGGCCTACGGGAAAGTAACCGTAGCCTCAGGAGAGAAAGGAAAACGTCAAATCAAGGAGATCACTTCTTCTTGCCGCCGACCTTGGCCTTGAAGCTACCCTCGAAACCGGGGCGGGCCTTCTTCTTGCCACCGCCAGCGGGCTTCTTGCCCTTGCCCTTGGTGCCCTTCTCGTCACGACGCTTGCGCAAGTTCTCTTCACGCTTGGTTTGACGCTGCTCCTTCATGCGAGAGACGGTGTCGATACGGTCCTTCCACTCCCGCTCGGACTTCTTCTTCGCGGTCTCCTTGCGCTTGAGAGCCTTCTTCAATAGAGAGGTGTCATCGCGAACTCGTTCACCGTGAGCGCGCTTCTTGGCGTTCAACCAGGCATCCTTCTCCTCGAGCTCGGCGCGCTTTTCCGGGTCCATTTCAGCGAGACGGGCCTTCTTGGCCTCGGCGAGCTTGAGCTGGGCAGCGGCATCCTTGTCCTTGGGACCGCGAGTCTTGGAATGGTCACGGATGCCGGACAGAGAGGCATCGGCGACTTGACCATCGGCGAACATGACGTGACCAAAGGAGAAGTTGTTGCTGGGGGAGCCGACGGACTCGGCGGGGGAGCGAGGAGATGCGAGCAAGGATCCAGAACCGCCTGGGGAAAACCGACGAGCCATAGCCTCATCCTTTTGGCGTTGCTCTTCATCCTTGGCCTTTTGACGCAATTCCTTCTTGTGTGCCTTGCGCTGTTCAGCCTTTTGCCTCCGGGAGTCAATGAGCTCTTGACGGTTGCGTGCAGGCTTGCCGTTGAAGCCATCGGCCTGTCTCTTTGCGCGAAGCTCATCGAGACGCTTTTGCAAGCGCTGCTTCAGCTCTTCTGGCGTGGCCTTCAAGGCCTTGGGCTCGGCGGATTTGGCATCGGTGGTAGTAGAGAGGGGGGACAATGGAGGATATAGAGGAGCTGCCTGATTGAGGATTGGAGGCATCGGGGGAGTTGCGGGTGGATGAGGCGGAAGAGGGGCCCTCGGGCTCTTCATGGAATTCGAGTGAGAATCCTTCCTCGGCGACTCCCTCCTCGAGATCGTCACCATCCTCGTTGTCGGAGACCGCAGGCTCTTCAGCAGCACTCTCTGTCTTTGCTGTCGGCTTCTCTGCAGTCTTTGTGGATGGCTTCTCGGTTTGTTGCAGCTTTTCCTTCTTGGTACTGTCCTTGGCCTTCTTCTTCTCCTTTTGCGCAGCCTTTTTCTGGGCCTTCTTCTCTTCCTTCAGCTTCTTGCGAGCCTCAGCCTCCTCTGACTTTGCCTTCGAAGCGGCATCGGATTTCTCAGTCTGCTTTTGCTTCTTGGCCTTTTCGCCCCGGTTGAGACCTTCCCCAGGCAGTTCGGAGCCGAGTTCTTCACCATCCGATGAGTCGCTTTCGAGAGATCCATCCTCACGCTTGCGCTTGCGAGCATTTTCATCCATTACGTCTTTGGCGGTCTTGGTGGCTTCCGGATCCAACTTTGCACGCTTAGCCTCACGGGCTTGTTCTTTCGTCTGCTTTTTCCCGTTTCCATTGGTCCTGCATGTGCAGACAGTCATTAGATAAGGAATCCTCAGAATTAAGAGAGACAGGAGGGTTGATCAGAGGGGATCAGAGAGCGCACGTACACTGGTATTGTCGTCGCCGTAGTAATATTTGGCGGGGATCAAAGACAGTAAACCGTCGAATGCCTGCGCATGGCTGCGCAGTCGGTCCTGGATTAAGTTAGTGAGATGAACTGACCGAAAGCGCTGTCTCACGAACCTCGATATCATCCATGTTCCCGTCGAAAATCCCGAATACTGAATTGAAGGCGAGTCGAAGTAACCGCTACGAAAAATTTGGGGGTGAGGAAATCTTGGCGTTCTCCGCTCGGCTCCTTCACCGCCCACGCACAACAAATTTTGGCCGCTGCGGTGGTCCGTGCTTGGTCGAGTATACGCCAGTGGAGACGAGGGACACGATCATTGCAATGTTGAACAACTCGAAAATATCAGAAGGAAGAGACTATGCGTCAATTTTGATTTTTTGATTATGACATGCATTTGAAACTTCAACCACCATCTATCTCCAGGCAGCGATTCATCGTGAGTCATGATGACCAGTCACATGACATAGTTTTCATCAAATCGCTGATCCCCTTCATCCCCTGATGTTAAATCCGAAAACCAATGGTGGTGTACACTTCTAGACTGCCACCTGCGTGAACTATAAGCCACCTTGGATACCCACACTTGATCTTCTTAATGTGTGGATAGTTCTAAATGTGTGGATAGTGCTGTCCGCCGTGTCCTTATCGGGGATCGCGTCATGTTTTCTTTTTACAACCTTTCAGCGACTATACGGGGATTAGCACCGCTTGCTTCCGCATATTGAGCCAACTCAATCTCCTCTATGCGCAATCGATCCTCCTCACCCCACCCTTCACGATTATCCTTGACTAGCCGAACAAATCCCACATCCAGAATGAGAGCTATGGCGCTGATCGCAACACCAAAATAGAGTGCTGACCGATATCCCATGATCTGGCTTCCCGAGCGCTTAGCACTTTGAACCTCAATCGTGGAGGCAAATCCCAAACCTAGGCTGTTGCCATACAGGTTTAAAGTGCCAATGATCGATCCAGCAATTCCCTGTTGATGCCGGCGGACTGAATTACTGGCAATGATCTGTCCAGCAGTATACACGAAATCTGGACAGAAGGAAAACAGAACCACAGAGGGGAAAACCTGAGCCCAGTAGCTTTGACTAACGGGGACAGTTGCCATCAGAGCATTGGAAACCAGGATCGTGCAAGTGCCGATAGCTAGAATCCATTGCGCAGCCATTCGAGGTACCAACCATGCAGCTAGGCATGCGGCTGCCGTTGCGCAAATCACGAATGGGGTCCAACCAACAGCAAATTGCAGAGGGGACCAGTTCCATACCTCTTGCAACCAGAGGACCTGGTACCAGATCAAAGTACCGACAGCCATGTAGTTGAGTAGGACTACTAAGAGCACAGTGAGGAAAGAAGGTGCCTTGAAGATCTCAAGCGGCATGATGGGGTGGGAGGTATACCGTTTTTCCCAGATAAGAAAAGCCCCGAAGAGTATGATGGATATGATTAAGAGAGCGATCTCGTAGGGTGTTTGCCAACCAACGCTAGGGGCTTGACTATATAACAGACAGGACTCATTAGCATTTGAAGACCCCATCGACCTTCCACCATACTCGGGGTCAGCAAGACTTACTTCCAGACAAAGTTGAAAAGGATCAATGAAGAGGTACCGAGGGCAGATCCAACGCAGTCAATTTTCCCGTGCTGGTCGACTGGAGTCTCTCGCATACTAAGGAGCCAAATCGCGAGTGAGGTAGCGATACCGAGACCGGATCTAGAGTTCCATAGTGAGTGAATCATGGAATTGTAAACCACTAATCCCAGATCTTTACTTACGTGAATACGAAAAACCACTTCCAATCTGTCTTTTCCATGAATGCACCCAAGAAAAGTGCACCAAAGTAACCCCCAATAGGAGCTGATGCTCCAAAAAGCCCCAAACTAAGATTCCGCACTCGTCCCGGTGGGTTCGTACTCGAAATCATGGCGACTGCATTTGGCATGATGAAAGCCCCTCCGAGGCCACCAAGGGCTCTCATGATGATAAATGCAAAGAACTCCTTGCCACAGAAGGCACTTGCCAGGGTTGTGATAGCAAGCCATGCACCCCCAGCAAGGACTAGCTCCCTGTAGCCGTATACGTCCCCCAGCCGGCCACTAATCAGCACAAAGGTTCCCTGTGTCAAGCTGTCTGATGTGTGAGCATTGGAAGCAAATATTGAACTTGAAGGGGCACTTGGGGAAAATGAAACTTTCTTACCCATAACTTGCCCCAATCCAGGAAGCATAGGTCGGCTGGACGCCCATCGACTGGGTCAATGTTTTACCTCCAGCAATCCCAGCAAAATTTACTAACATCTAACACATTGTGAGTATGCATTTGTAAAAATCGCCCAGAGCTTGTGTTAAATTCACTAACTTGAACTATGTTTGCTAGAATGAGCAAAGTAGTAAGCAGTACTCGACGGGACTTGGTTACTTTGGCTGATGGTACCCGCTCAAAAACAGTTTGACCGGCCCTCGGAGCAGGAGATGGTCCAGTGATGTCAATCGGAAGCTCTACGGACATATCTTCTGCTGGAGTGGTGGGAGACGAGCTCTCCAGTGAAGCCATTACCGCTGGGCGGGATGAGGATACAGCAACAGACTTCGCCTCCGGACGAAGAATTTGTGTCGTTGGCATGATGCCGGCTGGATTCTGGAGCCAGAATGGGATTAACAGGCCGTGGAAAATTATTTGAGGCCAGATACGGGGAGGATCAAGAAATGAGAAGAGGGTCATGTCGTTACTAATTATACTATTGACTCATGTGTGGGCGGGTGACCACGGACAACTTTCCGTTGTGTACAGGTCTATTAGAAATCAAAGTACTTTCAGGCTGATTTAGCAATTTAGCAATATGCTATAATATAAGAGAGATTAGCTTAGATTCTGCCGAAAACAGAAATGATACCCGCAACCACTTTGGCATTGGCATCCATCTTTTTTCTTTTTAGGTACTTTATAATCGCCACCAGGTCAGCTGCATCTTCCTACTCCACATATCTCAAGTGGGCCTTTTTGCAGGGTCTGTGTGGTCGAACCATGACATCCGTGCTAATTATCGGCTGTCGGCTACAACGATCGTGAGTTTTAACTCCAAGCTCTTAAAATAGCCGTGGGTTGAGGTCTAAAGTTCTAAATCTTGACGTTTAATCTAGCTACAATGTAATTGGGTGCGCTAAAGCGCCGAATAAGTATCGACCGAAGCTGGTCTATTCCATTCTGGCAGCTAAAGGAGGAAGATAAAACCATAGTGCTGTAGATTGTGCTGATTAGAAATAGCTGTTTCCGCAAGGACACGTGTACAAAACATTGAGTCGGAATTTTCCATTCAAACTACATAGTGTTCCGTACTCGATCCCTTTTCGGGGCGCCCTTCCGCCGAACCGTTGACTCAATAGCTGCAAGCCTTCGCAGAACAGTGTCGGCTGACTTCAGAAACCAAGCGAGGTCGGATCGCAGATCTGGCCCTTTTGCGCAGTAATAGTACCAACCGGTACTCCACCTACCCAGTGATATTCTCGACGGGGATTGCTGTTGAGCAGAAGAAGGTCTGCCGGCATCCCGGTGGCAATGGAACCTCGGTCATACAGTCTGTAGAGCTTTGCTGCTCCTGCAGTAGCCGCTTGAATGGCCTCGGCATTGCCAAATCCTGCATCTAAAAAGTTCTGAAGTTCACAGTGGAGCAACCGACCGAAGGGGTAATTGATGACCCCTGGAAGGCTGCCAACAGAATCTGTGCCGACCGCAATGGAAACACCAGCAGCATGCATATTGGCGAAATTGGTCTGGGTGTTGGAGTAGTTGCAGGATGCATTAAAGCCAAGTACAGGCGCCAGAGCCGGGTTCGAAAATGCAAGCCGGTAAAACTCCATTGTTAGGGTCACAAATTGGCCCTGACTGCGAATTTGACTGATCTGAGCTGTTGACAGCAGACCATCTGGGGAAGTGTACTGGATACCATCGGCCTTTGACCGAATGGCTTGATCACAGTGCTCTATCAATGTTGCATGGGTAGCTGCAAAACTACCATGTCGATTAACAAGTTGTACCATAGTGGCCTGTTGCTTCACGGTTGGACCTTTGTTCTCAGCCACAATCTTGAAGAAATTGGATCCGGTGCCGAAAGTCCAGTCAACCAAGGCCAAGAGATCTGTGTCTGGCCCAATTATTTCTGCCAATGGGACTCCAAAAGCAGTAGCATGAACGCTGCCAGTACCACAAGCAATTTCACCCGCATTAATATAGTCTGTCGTACCGAGTTGACCTTTGAGCTGGGAGCACGTTGTGTAGTTTAGACAAGCCATATTGATTGCAGTAGTAACACCGTACCCAGCAAGTTCTGCCAAATTGCTACAACTCGCAGGATGAACATGGTTGTCGATGAGACCTGGAATGAGAAACTTTCCTGTCCCATCTATGGTGTTGATCCCAGCGGGAATGATACCGCCAATAGTAACAATTTTACCATTGCTGACAATGACTGTCTGCGCGTTTTGGAACCCACTCCCATTGAAAACCTCCGCATTTTTGATGGCGAATTTTCTGTTTGCTGAAACAGAGCTGCTAACACAGTTGCTCGAGGTGGAATCTTTGGTAGCTCTTGCAATATGCGCCGTTAAACATGCCTGAGAAGAGGCAAGGAGTGATGCCACCAAGGCTAGAGCCGCAATTCTGATCATTGCAAAAGTAGATGGAAACTGAAAAGAGTCAAGTGTAGTTTTAAGCAACTAGATTACTTTGAGAGATTGAAGTTATCGTGATGGCCGCTCTATACCGCCTCTTTTATATCATTAATGAGTAGTTTGTTCCTCCCCTCATTGCCATGAAAACCGTAGCACATAGCATGCTCTCTGAATAGCGTCCTGAATAGGTACCGCAAACTGAATATCAAATCTGTAATATGCTCCTGAAATTGAAATTGAATCGAAGTTCTGGATCATGCAATCGTATACTAGAAGTAAAAACTCTGTACGTGTTGTGCGGCTTAAGCCAAGCTTATGTGTCTTCAACGCAACAGAAGGCGCAACCCCAGAAGACGCGGCTCACTAAGGACCCATCCCCGCATGTAACCCCCAGACATCTATATAAGGAGGGAAATTGAATTGAAGAAAGTCGGAATTCTTGGCTTTACGTCTCAAAGCTTCAGAATGCTTCCTGGTATGTTTGAGATACTTAAAAGGCAAGAGCGAGGTTTGAGAGTAGACATTGAAAAGCTGTAAAAAAGTATTTGTCATTCATATTATGAACACAAAGCGCCAACTAAAGATGACAACATAATAAAAGCGTAGCAATTTGGGGACGTAAATATAGCAAAGCCTGGATAGTCTCTTTTGTCTACGGCTGAGCAATACAAGGAAGGACCCGCATAGAATTGAGAGATTCATTTATGATCGCCAGATCAACTAATGTATTTGTGGGCTTTAGCCTGGTGGGACTTGGAGCATGTTGTGGGGTGATTGGAGATGAAATTCATGAAGACGATCTTGAGACTTGAGATTCGGAGCATGGAGAGTGCTAGACAACCTCATAATCTCAAGTATTTGTACAATCGTAGATTTTGGTCATCAAATCGGTCAAGGACTTGGACTCGTACAGTACACTACAATCAATTGGAACAGGATGGGAATTTGTCACCTCCTAGAGGTACAGAGCTAGCTAAGGTCCTCAATTCCGAATATGAAGCTGTTGAAATCGAGATCGAAATCCTTGAAAAGATCGTCAAAGCAGAGCCCAGCAGTATAATCATCCAAAGCTGAATCCACACCATTATTGACATGCGGATTACGCGTTTCCAAGATCCGCTCTGAGAGCGTTTCGAAAGTTGCGATGCATTGTGGAATATATGTGCTCAAATGCGCATGCTCGCGAAGAGTGGTCAACATGCTGTTCCAGGATTGTAACACTGATTCAGTGAACAGGTCACCCAACATGGCTGCAAGGAAAGTGGTTCCCGCGACATGTAGATAATAGACTCGGTACCACCACGGCAGAACCCCTATCGCTTCATTTGGCTCAATTGAGTCGAGTATCATGGTTACAATTCTCTCAGCTGTTTCCACGCACATCACGGCACATTCTCTGAGAAGACGGGGACTCAGGCCAGTACTAGTAGAAGGAAACTGTTTGGAGAAATAGCGTGCCAGCATTGGCCGGTATAGAGATATTCGAGTATGAAGAAGGCTATTTTTTTTTTTTTTTTTTTTCAGAATCAGCGGAGCCACTCATGAAAGGCAAGAGACGTAGGGATAGAAGTCAGATTGATCTGCCCACATACCGAGCATGCAACAAAAACGCCTTTGCTTGGACCAATCTGTCACCAGGATTTCGTAGATTCTCAAACTGCCAGTCGATCGGAAGACTATTCTCCCAATCGTCAAGGCAGGTGTCTAGCTGAACCGCCACGGTGTGATATTCGGGTTGCTGATAAAGTCGTGGCAGCCCCAATCTAGAGGCCACTCTATTTCGCGTTTGTACTTGAGCTAACTGAATTTGATTACCAATCTCATGAAGCTCGAGTCCACGGACGGAGTACTCATGGTCAGTACGTAACTTCTCATCCTCGCAAACCGAAGAGATTGAAGTAGTCATATCGGGCAGAGGAATCATAGACGGCACCGAAGTTCTTCCAAGGGACCAAGCAACACATCTAAAGCCATATTGAGCGCCCATCAAACAAAAGTCGTATTTTTCATTCCATGGACATGAAAACTCACTTTTCAAGCGAAACACAGGTCGCCCATACTTTTTGCCTCATCTCTCGTTCAGTATCGGAGTCCGGAGATGAAGACTTATTAGGGGGCTGGTAGGGCATGTTCTGGGAGATTCGCAAAGCCAAGCCCCCGGTCATCCAAGTCTTTTGCTGGTGAGAGGTGCAATGGAGATATCGATTCATCAGCATCAAGCATTGAACCACCTGAACTGACCCAGGCTTCCAAAGAAATTTCTCTGGGCGCAGAAATAGCCAAGCCCGCTGGAAATAGAGGGTTGCTTCTGCATCGCGTTCTTGTACAGGGGTCGTTTCTTGTCTCTGGACCGCCAAAGCGAAAACAATATTAAGTATGGAAAGCCAAATTTCATGATCTGCGAGAAGCACATCCCATGATCTTGTATAAGAGGCCTCATAGTCGTGAAAGAACCGTTCTCGATCCAATACTGGCTCGAAAGAATCAACGTGTCGCCAGTAAATGCTTACCAAATAATTGGCTTGTGGACGAGGAGGCAAGTGGGCGAGGAAGTCACGGCTTCTAGTCAGAGAGTCCAGCTCAAGCTCTCCGAATAGAGGCGCGTCCACAAATGGAACAAGATTTGAGACTGCAGGGGGAGCGAGGCCTGCCTTTTGATCATTGGCAGCTACAACCTCTTTAACCTTGCCGTCAAACTGGCAATGAGGTGTAAAGTAAGTCCGGTTTGGATCAAGATCTCCATCTTGCTCTTCACTAATGTGCTCTGGGCCTAAAGGCTCCAGCGATAATGATCGTCCATCAAGTGAATTGCTTTGGAATGAATTGAACTCATCCTTGTTAGATGGGCGGCGGGCTCCGGTACCGGGGCCGGCAGCCTTGCGTTTGCCTCCACCGTGTCCAGCTATAAGAGAAACTCGGTTGTATGCACAAACCTCACCTCTTTCCTGGCACCGGGAGCATGCTAAATAATTAGATTAACTGTTAGCCTCTTATAGTCATGATGATCTTCGGAATGGACATGGAATGGGACCGGGGACATGTCTGGTGTATACCTGGTCGACTACCGTCGCATTTCACCTTTCTGGATCGACAAACTTGACAGGCATTCGAGATTCGAAGTCGCTCCCTGCGCAACAGTGGCCTTGATTGGTGATATGAATGCTGGTCCAGTTGAGCTGTTGGTGCCATAATGAGATGTTACACTCGCTGGGTTGTTCGCGATGTTCCAGCTCAAAGAGATCACTTCACAAAGAAACAAAGAAACACGCCAAGTAGAGGCCTCTCGACCAATCAGATGGTTTAGCGCGATAATTTCGAATCCACTACGGAAAGTTTTGTGATTGGCCAAGATGCTTGATTTCAAATCGCCCTGTAGCCAATCAGCATTAATGCCGTCTTTAACTTGCCGATATTGGTACAGCATAAACAAATATAAGTTCTGAAAGCTAGCTCAAGTTGATGAAAAAATACAGAATTTACTTAGACTTACTGAGACATCAATATCTTGACTTATTCTGCAGATATGCCGGAAAAACTCCCCTCAAAATACATAGCCAGTGCTGGCGACATTGAGACCACTTATGCCTACGATGGTCTAGGTACCATGCAGGATCCGTTTGTGGTCGAGTTCTATGAGGGCGACTCTGAAAATCCCATGAATTGGTCTTCATTCAGGAAATCGGCAATCGCAGCAATCGTAACCCTATCCGTCTTTGCTGTCACGTTCACATCCTCGGCATATTCCGAATCCTCCATCGAACTTATGCAAGACTTAAAGATGGGAAGCGAGATTTTTATACTCGGCCTTTCTCTGTTTGTACTTGGATTTGCCATTGGACCAGCCCTCTGGGGTCCTTTGGTAAGTATTTCACCTTTTCTTCGAGTCCTAATCTGGCCGTCACCAAGCTAACAGTTGGTGGTGCTGTAGTAAGTCTCCAGTGTCTGATATATCATTCCATGTCCAGACAGCATATATTAGTGATACTGATTACCTGTGATATACTAAAGATCCGAACTTTACGGTCGAAGAATCCTATGGCTGGTCTCCCACATTGCTATGGTAGCCTTCATCGGAGGTTCTGCGGGGAGTAAAAACATTGCTACGCTTATGGTCACACGTTTCCTTGGTGGTACCTTTGGTGGTTCCCCTCTGGTCAACTCTGGTGGAACAATTGCAGACCTCTTCCCGCCAGCCCAGAGAGGACTTGCTATGACGCTTTACTGTGTTGCGCCCTTTCTTGGCCCAATCCTGGGTCCAATTGCAGGAGGGTTTATCTCCGAGAATGTTAGTTGGCGATGGGTTCAAGGAGTATGCACTATCTTTATTGGAGTGATAGGTATTTTTAATACTTCATGTTTGGAGTGTTAGAGACGTTTCTGACGATGAAAGGTAGGACTTCTCGGCGTGGTTTTTGTACCAGAGACATACGGACCGGTGCTTTTGACCAAACGGGCCAATCAATTGTCAAAGGCCAATGGCAAAGTTTATCTCAGCATACTCGACATCAGACAGGGGAAAAAGAGACCTTCCGAAGTGTTTCAAAGAGCTCTAGTAAGGCCATGGGTATTACTTTTTCAAGAGCCGATCGTATTAGTGGCCTCACTTTATATGGCAATCATCTACGGAACTGTATACATGTTCATGGGTGCTATGCCTTTTGTGTACAACGAAGGCCGGGGGTGGAGTGAGGGTACAGGAGGTCTGGCATTCTTGGGAATAGCCGTTGGGATCATATTCGGATTGATCTATGGCATATGGGATAATCACACCCGCTACATGAAGCTATTCACCTCGAAATCAGCAACTGCAGAATCCCGCCTACCCCCCGCTATAGTGGGAGCTATTGCTCTACCAGTGGGGATGTTCGCTTTTGCATGGACCAACTCTCCCAGCATTCACTGGTCAGCCAGCATTATTCTCACTGCGCCGTTCGGCTTCGGATGCGTTATTGTCATCCTTCCAATTGTGAACTATCTCATCGACTCGTACACGATTTACGCAGCATCGGTCCTTGCTGCGGCAGCTATATTTCGCTCTGTTGTTGGTGCTGTGTTTCCCTTGTTCACCACTCAGATGTACCATAATCTGGGGATTCACTGGGCATCATCGGTTCCGGCATTTTTGGCCTTAGCTTGTGTGCCGTTCCCTTTGGTCATGTACCACCATGGTGCTGCATTGAGATTGAAATGCAAGTATGCGTTTGAGGCAGCCGAATTGATGAGGAAGATGCAGATACAACAAGTTGTCGCTTCAAACCAGAGGGAAGAAACCGATCCATCTGGTTAAGTAGGGAAATACCGAGTTACATATCGGGGATGAAGATCATGGGTCATCTTCGGGTGTTGGCAACAATCTCTTAGTATAGTGGGTCAATATATCATAGATGCAAATCAGATTAGGACAAGGTTGACGTGGCCTTCTATCTTGTTGGAGCCACTGGGCTACTGTAGCGGGCCCCAGTCGTGGACAATGTCGCTACCATTTAATATAGGCTGAGGCTAATCGCACACCAACTTGTGCTTTCGCACGACGGGCTATTTCATTCTCGGATATGGTGGATAACAGGTATATCGAGTACCTAGATATCCTCATAATGCCTACTAAGCCTTTTACTTGAGCTATTAAAAAAATGGTTCAAAAGACATTCGAAAGATCTTTCATAAAAGATAACGTTAAAGTATTGTAAAACCGTTTCTCCAGTCTAGATATCAAGGATCTAGTGTACCTGTTCTCCACTATATCCGAAGATAGAATAGTCTGTCGTGCGAAAGCACAAGTTGGCGTGCGAGTAGCCTCAGCCTTAATATAACTCCCTGAATAAATTCAAAAGTAGGCGCTAGCTAGCAGATCTGGCCTAATTTTCTTAGTATAGATAGGTAGTGAAGGAAGTAGTGAATTTAGAGAGGAATATATAAGACCAACAGCTATTCGGAGATCTGGCCCTAGGGCTTTATGGCCTTAGGCCTCTGTTTTATTTAGGCTGACATGGTGACCGGGGTTACCAGGTCGCTTGCCCCTCTTTTCGGCTGTTTAGCGACGACGAGAACAACCTGCGACCAGGGACATTTCAAATATCTGATTCTATGAGCAAAGAAAATAGGTCTCAACGGCAGAAAATGGCCTGGCGCGACCGATTGCTGATCAGCCATACCAAGGCATCCGCTGAGCGAGCGACGCGGCGATATTTCGAAGTCATCAATTCTGCTTCTTGCCTAAACCATCGAGATAAAGCACTTGATCAACTGCTAGATGGTATTAAAGATGCCAAGAAGATCTTCTCAAACTATGCAACGACCAATCCCAGCGGCAAACGCGTGTGGACGAGAGACAGCTTTGCTAGATGCATCAACGCCAGGCTACCCGAAAACCCAACAGTGGCTATTTGCGTACCACTACTCTGGTGCACTTTCTCTATTGGTGCCTACTTTCCTTTCTCGCCACCGTCAAAAGAGCCAGAAATCGATGTCAAAGCGTTCAAGAGAGCATTTGCATTCATTGTTTCACGCGGTTATGAGCTTTTAGGGGCGAAGTCAGATGGCCAGCCTTTTTTCACAGGCACAGAAAAGTTCTACACCGACAAGGTGCCGCGACTCACACGTATCCCCTTTAGGAGCTTGGGCACTCCTTGGCCGCAATCAGGGTATCAATCTCAGGATTCGCAGGAATTACTCCAGCTTCAAGATATCAAAGATACTATTGCTTTCACGCAACCCATTATAATTGAGGATATAGGCTATGGACGAGCTACGGTAGCCGATGGGGAGTTTGAAGCCGCTGCATATCGCCTTCTGCTTGCTGACAACAAGCAGTTGGTAGTCAGAGGGTCATCTATTGTAGTAAGCCAAGCCGATTTGTAGACTTTGATTCAGCTTTTTTTGTTGCAACGTGCAGAAGATAGACGCTGGAGAGCTGGGCTGTCCTTTCACGACAGCTACCAACGCTCCGGAGACATTATGTTTTCTCGTCTCATTTCCAGCTTCATTCATCTACTCTTTCTTCCAGCTCTGGGCCACCATATTCACACTTCCCACTGTACCGCAAGCTCACCGTTCGGAGGGCAAGTCCATTCTCTTCACCAGCACCACAAACATTCTATCCTTCCTGGATATTGCCCACTTCCTGAGTGGGAAACTGCCTGATTACCGTTTTCATCAAAATGAGTCCCTTTCCAGCTCGATCTACAAGCCTCCACTTTGGTGGCCAATTTCGCCACGACGCCCGAGCTTAGTGTCGAGGAACTGTACAACATCATAGAGGCGCAGGACTGGTTCCACGTGATCCTTATCCAGGGAGAGGATTTGAATGTCGGGGGCAAAAACTCTAGCAGGCTCATCGTAGCCTTTGCGACTGAACCGGGGAAAGAGATGTGGCGACCTGAAAGGAAGCGCTCGATGCAATACGTCTGGCGAACTTCTGTGGTTCAATTGGAGCCAGATTTTGCTGTGGCGGATAGCGGAGGCATGAGTGCGAGTGCAGTGGGCGAAGTACTGGAATTACGATCACACGGGAGGGCAGGGACGGAAGACACAAGTTTGAAAATCAATCTGGCGCGGAAAAGAGTGAATGTTATGGGGCTCGGTACTGGGCTTGCGGAAAGCGTGGAAAATAAGAATGCGGTGGAATCGTCGGAAGCTACGTCGACGCTAGTAACGGCTGATCAACTTGCAATGTTATCGTATGCCTGGTAAGTCGTCGGAGATTACCGGGTCTGGAGGAAGAGCGGCTATGGCTGGACTGAAAAGCAGTTGAGGCTATTCTTTTTGACGTATGAACTGTGGAAACCCACCCTACAAGGTAGAACTGTGATTCTCACTCTAAATTCAAGATTTTTATCTCCTTTCCATGCCTCTAGTGATCAAATTGAAACAATCCACTTAATAAGCTAGACAAAACACCTTCAAAAGACCCAGAAAATACAATACCTAGAAAAACAACAATTCTCCTGGTAGAAAATCTCGTTGCCTTTCAACTAAGAACTGAACATTCCAACGCAGCCCAAGTCTTAGGGTTCCACTTTGAGTCCTTCATATTTTCACAGCCCTTCTTGTCCCAAGAATAATATACTTGACCGTAGCCATCTGACTTGCATGTATCATTGTCGTACACGGTGCAAGTACCACTCTCCACAGACCACGATTGCGGTGATTTCAGTGAGCTCTTGTCGCATGGCTCCCACCCTGCGCTACCGTCCTCTGGGAACCATCGACATGAAGGTTTATCACCGTCGAACAAACCACTTAGCCCGCGGTGTAGATTTAGACACTTGTGGGTCACATGTTCATTGTGGCCCTGTACGACGTAGTAAGTCCCTTTGCAGTTCTCTTTGCCGTAGATTCAGATTAACCAGGGGTCTGAAGTCGCACTGGTGGTGGTGCTGGTAGTTTTGGTCATTGACTGAGTCGTCTTTGTTGAATCGGTCGTACTCGTTGAAGTCAAATGCTTGCTTGCAGTTGAATCACCAGTGCTTGTCGATTTGGAGACAATGCTTTGCGTTGAGTGCTTTGAAGTGGCTGCGACGAGCTGCATCCAAGGAATTGAATTTCCAGTGACTGTGGCACGTATAAAAACAGTACTCGTTCTTGATTTCAGGGATAGACTTGTACCTTGAACTGCACTTGTGGAGACGGATGACGTGCAGAATTCGGGGGTATTGCCACATTGACCACACGAGGAGCACTGCAAGTACCGGTTAGTTATAATATTGCATATAAAGTTTCATATGACAACTTACACATTCATTCAGCGGGCATGGGTTGAGGGACTTGAGATCAGCCCAGTTGCTAGGACGCTGCGGCCCGGGCACTTGAGGTCCACACACGGTGCCCGCAAGAGAAGCTGGCATGGAGGGCTCACCTGAGCCAACACACATGAGCCTAACTGGCAGTAACAAGTTGCACCTAGACCACCCCCAATTCCGAGAATCATAGCTCTCAAACTCTGGTACACTCACACCATGGCTTTGTACAATTTGATCACACACATCTCCATTTTTGATGGTGTAAGTGTTACAAACAGCGCCATTGCTTGGTTGAGAGGATGAACCGGAAATATTTCCAGCGGAACAGCAAACAGAATTGCCTGGCACCAGGGCTGAGCAGAGCGAGGATTGCGGGTTGAAGTAATACCGCATTTGGCAGCTAAGCTACCACAAGTGTCTCCGGAAACGATGAGAATGGAGGAGCAAGTAGTACCGCGGGCCTGGATTACAGAAGACTTCAGATAAGAAACATCAGCATTAAATATAGATCTTGGTAAAATTGTTGGGCATACTGACCTCTTGATTGGTAGTTGGCGAGGCGGCTACCATGCAGATTGTGAGCAGACCGCACAGAGCGTAACAAAAAGCCGAGGTAATAGTGGCCCATGTTGCGTAGTTGGCAAGATGCATATCGTCCGAATTCTGAGAATAACACTCGAACTTTATAATTCTGATAAAGAAGCGGACAAGCATACAAACTCAAACGCTACCCGTGAAACCCTTATGCACGAGGATATTCAGTGAATTGTACCGCTCAAAGAAGGCGATCGGCTATCCTAGCCCAGTATACAGTAACAGGCTTGGCATATCAGAGCGACAACCAATCCCCGTGAGCACTCAATGGAACTTATCAGGGAAACTGACAGGGCTGTCATAATTGACAGCGATAGACAAAGAAAGGCAGTGCATGCCGCTTCTCTTTCGAGGAATTTTTCTTTATCGAAATCCCTGAGACCCTTAGCCACATCCTGAAAGACTGTCAATAGCGTCGAATAGAGATGTTGGTCACTGTAGTCCATATCCGACCGAGAAGTGACATGAAAGATTTCCTGTCGACTGCCGAAGAGGGCTACTTTGATGCTTGAGCTTAGCATGCATTTCTGAGACTACATTCATTCAGAGTCTCTGTTTCAGCATGTTTCACTTCTCGAAAGAAGTTTTTGTTGTGGCACACTCCAAAGAAAGGCCGGGGAGGCTAACGGGGAGCAACGTCAGGTCACGTGCTATACCCTGGACGAGACGTGATTTTAGCGTTTAAGGTGTCAAATCCTGCCTAAGGCCTCAAGCCCTCACATACATCCGCTGCTCCAACCCAGAGATCTTGGCTCATTTGAATACTATAAATTTTTGATCTACCCTCATAGTCGGTGGAGTGAGTACGGTCGTTGCAGGAACCGGTAGCGATATATAGTTCCGTGGCTCAGGCGGTCTCTGGCTCTTTTGGGCAAGTGCGGCGAACTAGACGCCAAACTGGGTAATATTCCCCGTCGGGATAGATGGCCTGCAATGCGGGGAACGCTAAGCATCCCCTCACTCTCGATATTTGTCCTTGGAATTCTTGGGCAATGTCTCCTCTATTCATGCGGGGCATGAGTGGATAATTGGCTCTAAGTCATCTCCCGAGCCACTCATGATTCCTGCCCTTAACTGACATCGGTACAAAAGTTACCGATGTGGGGGACATTGCTGGAACTCGATGGAGTCAAAGCAAAAAGCGTAACGCGATCTCCATGTACAAATGGTCTCAAATACCCCACGAGCGCCCGGTGTTCTCAGAGTTCCGTCTTACCGCGAAGTCATTTTCGGCCTGATTCACAATGGCGTCGGCTACTACCATGCAAGCACTGAACTATCTTGGACCGTACCAGGTCCGGGTTGAGCAGGTTGAGAAGCCCAAGTTAGAGCACCCGGATGACATTATTGTCAAAGTCACCACCGTGAGTTTATTTTTTGCATATCATTCATATTTGCTCGGCGATGGACTGACTATCAGTATAGGCTGCGATCTGTGGCTCAGACCTGCAGTAAGTACAGGTGGCGCGGATGAATGCGAATATGGTGAAGAGGATCCACGAAGCTCATTGAGTTGCAGCATGTATGAAGGACGAACTGCCGCAGAGCCGGGCATTACCTTTGGTAAGCTCATTTTCTTATCCCCAACGAGTGACATGGCGCTAACCAAAGCCAAGGCCACGAGAATATGGGCATTGTGGAAGAGCTAGGCGAGGGGGTCACACTGTTGAAGAAAGGAGATCGCGTGGTTATGCCATTCAATGTTGCGGACGGCCGATGCCGCAACTGCGAGGAAGGAAAGACAGCTTTCTGTACGGGTGTCAACCCTGGATTCGCAGGTGGAGCTTATGGTAATTATGGAAAGTTCAATGGTCTCGTGTTCTTACTGAGACTCTGGCAGGCTACGTGGCCATGGGTCCCTATCGTGGAGGTATGTAGACTTTTCAATAAGCCCCTCACCATCTCAGTCTTGCTAATTGAGAGGGATCAAGGCCAAGCACAATATATTCGCATTCCCTACGCGGATTTTAATGCTCTGAAGCTGCCTCCTGGGAAGGAGCACGAATCAGACTTCATTCTGCTGGCTGGTATGTGTCTCTGTAACTTTCTTGCTGTACTCATTTCATATCCTAATCGATCGAAACAGACGTCTTTCCCACCGGTATGCTTCCCTTTCCTCTGCGTGGTACTCATCGAGATGGATCGCTCGACTCATACTCATGTGACAGGCTGGCACGGTGTCGAAATCTCTGGTTTCCAGTCAGGTGAAAGCATCGCGGTATTTGGAGCAGGCCCTGTCGGGCTCATGGCCGCTTATTCTGCTGTGCTGCGGGGCGGGTCCAACATCTATGTCGTGGATCGTGTTCCCGAGCGGCTGAAGGCCGCCGAAAAGATCGGCTGTATTCCGATTGATTTCACCAAGGGCGACGCCGTCGACCAAATCATTGCTCACAATGGAGACATGGTTGATCGCTCCGTTGATGCCGTTGGTTACCAGGCCGTGAACCCCAACGGATCCTCCGAGAAGCCCAATATTGTACTCGAGAACATGATCCGTGTCACTCGAGCCTGTGGTGGACTGGGCATTGCTGGCCTCTATGTGCCTAGGTAAAGCCGTCTGAAGTCACCTAGTGATGTTTTCAATATTCTAACATTCACCTCATGCAGTGACCCTGGTGCGTCTGACGCCGCATCCGCGAGCGGCATGATCAGCTTGAGCTTTGGAAAGCTCTTTGAAAAGGCAAGTTCTTTCAACCTTAACGAAAATTGTTTCTCTTTCTAACTTGCCGTAGGGCCTTTCTATCGGTACCGGACAGTGTAATGTCAAGGCATACAACAGATACCTACGCGATATGATCATTGCCGGCAAGGCGAAGCCTAGTTTCGTCATCTCTCACGAAATTGGACTGGCCGACGCTGAGGATGCGTATGATAAGTTCGATAAAAGAGAAAATGGCTGGACCAAGGTTATCATTCACCCCAATGGTGGGTTTTGATCAAGAATAATGAGACTTTTTCGAGTCCCGTGTATATAGGGAAATTTTCACAATTTATGACTCTGCACTCTCTCAATATACGTGTTAATGTAAGATGAATTGTAGCCTACGTTCAGAGATATTAGAAATTCAATCTCTCATACCTCTCAACCTCCAATGACAAGATTACTGTCAACAGTTGGGACTTCCATTTGAAAATGTTCTGTTATGCAGATCCCCCAATGGAAGATCGCTATTCCATTGAAGTCAACCCTCCAAGATTACGCGATTGGAAAGTGGAATGATATTGGGCTGCGATACCTATCCCCTCATATTCTGACATCAAGTTACACATGTCGTGGGGGCTTCATACCTCACGTGGTAGTGTTCGCCGATAGTGGATGCCCTTTTGCAGAAGACACAGCGGAATTTCACAACGCGTTGAGCCTTTTAAAGGCACAATTTCCCCATTCTATAGCTATCAGCCAATCCTATAAGAGAAATGTGTTTCTCAAGGACCCACTCTAGCGGGGAAAATTGCCCGGTTTGGAGAGGAGGAAAGGCAGGTATGCTCTTGGTGCGGAGAAGTATAGGCTGCGGATGAAAATACAAGGGAGATATAAGTAAGTAAAGTAAGTCTTTCTCTACATGTTTAATTCAGAATCAATCAAATTATACTCTGCAAATATGAAAATCAACCGTCTTCGTTCTGTCTGGGGAGTTGCGCCAGGTCCCAACCTGGACAATTGGGCGCAATTGTTCCCAGATCTGAAGAAGCAAGGCTATGGTATGCTCCGTTGAATTCCGCTCTTAGAATAATCAAATGGAAGAATGCTAATCTGATATCATCCCAGTCGGCGTCGAGGTGGACATCCATGGAATCGTTCCCGAGGGCGACTTTCCACGATTGAGGGAAATTTGTGACGAGACCGGCCTCGAGATTGGCGCGATGTGAGCATCATGAGCGATAAACTGGAGTATACGGATTAAGATGCTGATGGATATGAGCCAGGGTGCACTCGTCGTGGTTTATGTATGCTGGGCCTCGACCGGTTGGTCTGAAGGCAGTGGATCACCTCCGAAATTATAGAGAGCTGCTTCAATTGGTCAAGCAGCTGCGACCGATAACCATCAACTTCCAGTCTGGAGAGTGAGTACGTCTAGATTCATAGGTACTATTAGAAGTACTCTTCGTTCATATTTGAAACTACCAGGGATGCTTGGGATATCGAAGAGTCAATCAAATTCTATCAAGGGACTCTCCAGGTCGACGAAGAACTTGGACTTTCCGGCTGTGTCACCCACGAGAGTCACCGCAATCGCTCACTATTCACGCCTTATGTGACACAGCAGATTCTAGAAGCTGTTCCACAGTAAGTGAAATGAAGTCCTCACCTCCCCTACCGGGGCTAACCGGTTTATCAACCCCGCAGACTCCGAATTACCGCCGACTTCTCGCACTGGATGGTTGGGCTAGAGAGACTCTTGGATATTGGGGAAGGTGATCGTGCTATGATTGATGCAATCATCCCACATGTGAGTCAAAGATGACAGGCCGAGGGAATCGTAACTAATAAGCTGTAAGGTGTATCACATTCACGCCCGAATCGGCACGACACAAGCGTCCCAGTGTCCGGAACCACTCAATCCTGTTTTCGAACAAGAGAGACTGTGCATGGAAAGGATTTGGACGAAGATTATTCAAAGTCGGTTTGAGCGAGATGGTCCCGACAGCATAATTACCTTCGTTCCTGAATATGGGTAAGTGTTGTTCTACATCACTACCGTTGCGCCGAGACTGGGCTAACATTGTGATAGGCCATTCCCATATCACCCCATCGGAAGCTCTAAAACGCACAGCCAGGTCGCAGATGAGGAGGGAGCGCGTTTGCAAGCCCTGTTTGAAGAACTTGCAGAAGGTCTAACCAAGGTTTGATTGAGTTGAGCTCGGCATTTGTGATGATCTTCGACCCAAATCTAGATCTTCCACGGGTGATATCGCACGACATAGACTCGGAGCAATCACGTTTACGTGCCTCGGGCTGCAGCTTATAAATTTCTTTCATATAGATTGACCTGAATCCAAAGCTAGACTTCCAATCAACAAGCCAATTTGTTAATTAGCAAGCAAGCAATAATAATCCACGGTATTGACCCACTACATCTGAGTGGGACATGATAAAGCTGTACTCTTTACGTCGTGGCTCTAAAGCCGGTATATGCCGAGTCTGCTATAGTCAACACATCCCATGAATCATTTTGTTGGCCGTTTAAGCAATGTAGTCGGATCCTTATCTTAACCCGAGTATGCAAGGGCTCCATCAAAATTACAAAGAAAAAGTGCTCGGCCGAGTCGGATCCGATTGATTCTTGAATGGCGATTTCCTCAAAAATCGGTGGCATTTATCTTGGAAATGTTGAGATGGTGATAGCCAATAAAAGTTGTGGATATCGCCCATTTTTGTTTCTGCTTCACCAGTGGTCTCCATTGCGGGCCCCACATGTCTCAGAAATACCAGGCGATGCAAGGCGCAAGCGAGTCCAGCCGACGTCGCATTTGCCCGATGCTGCAGTATGTGCATCGGTATTGTTAGTAACTGTTTCAGATAGTGGACGCTCACGTAGGTCAAATTATGGAAGATCTTTCAGACTTTCGAGGAGGGTATGAACGTTTTCTTGAAGAATTGGAATTTCTGGAGCTAAAGAAGGGGTGAAGGCTTAGGGGGCTTAATGTTTAACCTAATAAAGGGAAATAGATATCTAGACATATCCTGATGAAATTCTCCAAGAAACTATCAATGATCTAGATTCAACCTGTCAAGCAATATCTGATCCTGCCAAACCCTCCACAGACTCAACGGAAAAGGGGCTAGTCACCCTCGACATGGTCGTTTAGCATCCCAAATAGGCAACTTTCAGTGCGCATCGGCCCGCGGCTATTGGCTTATGGTGGAATCCCGGGGAAAGCGGGGAAACGCGGTGCGGGCGATGGGGACCTCCTTCCGATCCCGCGTCTCCCTAAACTCACCCTAACTCACGTTTTAACCCACACCCACGCCTCTCACCGATCTGCCCCCCTCCCTAAGCCCAGTCATCTATTTGAACTGCCCTTGCTCGCTCTTAACCCCGATCCCGATCGGCCTTGCCGCTGCCTTCGGCCGGCCTCTCCTAACTCTAGCTACCTAGAGACCCAGAGACCATGGTTCTAAAGGCATGCGATCGGTGCTACGCGAGCAAAGAGAAGTGCACGTTTACTGGTAGTGATCAGCAATGCACCAGATGCCGGCGCCTCAAGATCGCATGCTCGACCTCGCGGCGTAACAGGCGCATAGGGCGCCGGCCAGCCGCGAAGGCCTTTCCTCATGGGGAGATGCAGGTCTGGAGCGTCGATTCAGACCAGCAGATCGGGACGTGGCCACAACAACGAAGCCCGTCTACGTCAAGTAGTGAGGCCTTATCCTCACAGTCCTCACAAATCTCACTTGCTCGACGGTCCAAATCAATATCACCGTCTAATGATTCAGTGGAAGAAGTACAGACCGCTCAACGTCGTGAGACGCTGGTCTTGGCACCACCAGAGAGACTGCTGGCATCCCCTGTCACCCTTAAAACGACCTCCGATGCCTTTCGCACAGTAATGGATCCGGAGCAGTTCTCAGTCATACATATGCCATTCATGCTGGGCCCTAGCTTCGCTCCAGAATCGCAAAAGACTGTCTATACCATCTTATGCCTATCTGCCCCAACTCTAACAGAGGGTTACTTGGCATTTTTGGGGATGATGACGCGCTACCAAAGATCACTCGTCATGCGCCAACAGGAGCCAGATATGGTAAAAGCTGCAAAGGGCCTGCAACGCTTGCGGGATGTAAAAATCACCCAAGACTATGATGCAGCTTGTGCACTCTTTCTGGGTCAAACGATGTACGTGTTCAATGTACTTACAGCGCCCGATTCTTCAACGGCCCACTCGATCGTGCGAAGCGCTCTCATGTCGACGAAAGCATGGCTTCCAAGGTTGGTCCATTTTCCGATCATGGACACTATTATCATGACACCAATGTTGGTCGACACGGTCGAGTGTTTAGTACGGCGAGAGATTCCGATCATTCGAATGCCCACCACGGAGCGCATCATTGTCGATCGTTATGCGGGAGTCTGTGCAACACTTCTGCCTCTGCTTTATGATCTCTGTGTGTGTAGTCATACCATGAGGACGGGTGTTCTCAACATTGGCGAATCTCCCTCTGGGATGTATGAGCAACTCGCTGATATCGAGCGAGTCATTCTTGACTGGAAACCTCCCAACACGCCTGAAATTCTGCTCAAGCATGGCCAATATGAGGTGTTGGCAATGATGACACAGGCGAATGCCTATCGTTTGGCCGCTTTGTTGATTATTCATCGTCTTCGATATCCTCTTGGGGTGGAAGACGAAACTGCACGAGATCTTGCAAACAGCATATTCTCCATCATGTCGCATTTTGCCGAGTCAGCCGCTCAGGAAACAACAGCGTTGCCTGTAGTTTTTCCCTTGACAATGGCAATGATCGAGATTGAGGGACCAGGAGAGAAATTGTGGGAGAGACTGTCGTTGTACGCTGTTCAAAGCAGGAGTGCCACGCGACTGCAAGGATTCATCAAACAGGTCCGAGCATGTAGGGAGACTGGGTATGAAGGACTATGGTTTGATTTGGTTGATACACAGCTTCATGTTGCGATGCCCCCATAGCCCGCGTTCTGTATCGTTAGCAACTTGCAAATCTATATTTTCTTGTTTGTCAGAGAAGTGAGCATCGCCACAAGGTTCAAGTATGTACGTAAAGTGCCGATTCACGAGACCTTCATAGGTCACTAGGTGCAGGTTTGCGCCACTCCCGCCATAGCTCTGTTCTCATCTTGGCCCGACTCGGACAAGTCAAGAAAAGAACAAGTGCGAGGACAGGGATTGAGAGAGCAAAAGTATCACCAGTTGGCTAGAGCCAAGCTCACCGCTGTTCTTCTCTTGTGTTGGAATGGTCGAAAGGAAGGGGGCCAGTAGGGGATATATAGGATTTCAAAGGGCGTACAAGCCAGCTCTAAATATTCCATCGGGAGAACTACTCCGGAAGAAAGTATTGGACACGGAGTGAGCGATCAGTTTAACTAAAAAATCGGACCCATCATCCGGCGGTGTTGCTTGATAAGGATAATAAGCATACGAACATGAGGTGTTTTTCTGACAGTACCCCACCAAGCCAACAATTTTCCCTTGCTCGATAAGTAGTTGACCAGCCAGAACACGTCCAGCCCAGCCCACTTGAGTGTCAATAAACTGCATAGAGTGGCATTCTAGGCTTCCAAGTCCCCTCGTTGAGGCGCCACGAGTGCGGGCGCAGCCGGAAATGGTAAGAAGACACCGGGTTCGGCCACTAGAGTGCCTAGACACGATCCTCCGCTAGTCGACAGCTCTCCCGACTCCCGAACCCTTGACCCAACGCCGCGCCTAACCCAATTGAGCAGAAACTGTCCGGATTACGTCGTTGGGGCTTTGGATATCGCGTCAAGCCTTTTACCGTGCGTTTTTCTGGTCTATTGAGTAGTAATCCTCCGAACCATCCTGCTATGATCTATGATATGATCATGTATCCTCATCGCTTATTTTGAACCGTTTAATTCATGACGAGATAGCCCACCTGATCCCCTGGAAATTGCGGGGCCCCAGACTATATATGTGAATCGTCTTTCCCAAACAATTTGATTTCCTGTCTTCATTCTCTACTTTCCCACGATACTGTTCTTGCAGTGTTATAATTTCCTTACCTCTACGAATGGAGTCTCCCTGACACTTGCCCCACGTCAATAACAATTGAATAATCCAGCCAAAATGTCCAACACAAGACAACCGTCCATGTTTCTCTCCGGCAGAGCCCAAAAGGCATGCCAGGCTTGCCAAATCGCCAAAGTACGCTGCAACGCGGCCGATGGATCCCCATGCCAAAATTGTAGCCGAAAAGGCATCCAATGCGTAGTCAATAGAAGAATCCGACAAAAGTAAGTTCCCTGCGATTGTCCTGTTAGCCAATTACTCATTAAGTAGCAGACGACAAATGTCAACCTCGATATCGAAGTCATCCCCATCCATAAAAAGCAATAAATCCTCCCCGTCATGCATTTGGACAAGCCCTCGGTTACTTGAAAACCATCCGCTCCCGAGTTTTTGCGAGGAGGATTTTTGGAATACCTTCACCAATCTGGGCTCTTCAGCACCCTGCACACCAAGTGGTTTCAGCCACCTAGCACTCCTCCCCGGATTTATCAATCCTTTACCGCCGACGATGAGCCGGGCAACTGTTGAATGCCTCCGAGTGAACGGAGTATTGGTCCTCCCCAGCATCCAGCTGCAGAGTGCTCTTCTCCAAACGTTCGTCGAGAGTGTGTTGCCATCGATGCCAATTATCGAGTGGCAGCAATTCCTTACAATTATTCGCGACGGACATGGTGCTCATGGGTCTGTAAGCTTGCTTCTATATCTGGCTGTGATGTTTTCTGCCACCACTTTCGTGGAGCTGGAACACCTCCTCAAAGCTGGGTATTCTAGCAGGAAGGAGGCTCATGAGGCTTTCTTCCAAAGGACCAAGGTCAGTCACAGCTGATTTCTGAGACTTGGGTGACATACGCTGACCCGCACATAATAGCTTTTGTATAAAGCCAACTATGAGTCAGATCCTCTGACCATCGTCCAGTCGTTGCTTCTGATGACCTACAGATTGGATACAGCTGATGGACAAGACAGTCGCCACTGGATCAAAGGTGCAATCACTGTCGCTCGATCTATCGGCCTCTTCCAAGAGGCTTCAATGATTATGAACTTTCCCTACAGTCCCAAGCTGTGGAGACGGATCGCATGGGCATGTTATATGACGGACTGTGTGATTGCATTGAGACTGAGATGTCGAGCTGCCATCGAGCGGGCTGAATTTTTCCATACGCTTCTAACAGAAGAGGACTTTGAGCTCTACAGCCTCCCCATGGAAAACCAAATTCTGCCTCCTGAGTGCTCTTTGGTTAGGAATGTCAAAGCCCAGAAGGATCTGGCCAGTGTTTGCATTTCTACAGCAAAACTTTGCACATGCATCAGCAATGTCTTGGATCTCCAAGGCAAACAAAACAACCACACTGCCCTCTCACCCAACTCTCCCTCCGCAAGTCCCAGTGACGACTATACCGGCCGAATTTGCTCTTCAGAAATGGAGCTAGCAGATTGGGCAAACACTCTACCACCACCCTGTCAGGCCTGTCCTGTCGAGCCACACAGCATTGACGAAGAACCCACTGTCATCCTCCAACGTAACATCCTCCACATGATCTTCTACACCACCGTCGCCGTCTTCCATCAATCCCAACCTTTCCCCTCATCAAAATCCTGCGTTCAACTTGCCGCAAATCAAATTTCTCGAATTACCTCCGAGCTTTATCAACGAAATTTGCAACACCGATTACCCGTCGTTGGGATTACAGCTATCCTAGTCGCCTTGATTATTCACGTTTCTGAAATGAAAACGTCCCGCTCAGATGAGCGGAACGAAGCTATACAAAATTTCCAGCTATGCCTCGACGTTATGAGCAGTCTTCGGGAGTTGTATTGGGAGGCCAACACTGCTACTGCGTGGGCATTAAATGTTATTCAAAAAGTCGCGTTCAACTCGGGTTCTGGATATGACTGTCGATTCAGGGAAAGGTCTTCTTCAAGTGACAGCAGTTTGACGGAGTCATTTGGTACGGCCGTGCCGCTTATGAGCATATCGTCAACGGAATCATAGTCTAGCCTGGTCCGTTCAGCGTTGGCTTGTGGAAGGAAAATGTTCAAAGTTCACGTTAATGGGTCCAAAAAAAATAAGACAAATTTAATTCAATCAGAATAAAAGAGCGCACTCCTGTGTAGGCCTCTCACATCAATTTAGAGTGGTATACTGTAGACTAATGAGAGCAGGTATTGATTTCCCAAGGATTACGATCTTCCATATTTGAACGACGTGAAATTTAAAGTACTTTAAACAATTGATCACCCAACTCCCTGCTAAGAGCTTCGAACTGGTGTTAGGGCGACCTTTGCCCCGTTGAAGCTAGCCAGCGTCAACGTCAGTGCCTCTTCAAATGGCCTGTTGTCTCTGCTCTCCATAGCCTCAAATTCTTGCATAATCCGGACGATACAGTATCCCGCCTCGGTCAAGGCAAACTGCTGTCCGATGCAGATGCGAGGGCCACCATTGAAAGGGATGTATGCCCAGCCTGGCTTGAGTTTCTCCCACCTCTCCGGCCGGTACTCGTCCGCATCTGGGCCGAATATGTCCTGCCGGCGATGCATGGTGTACACACTGTACATCACCTCCTGTCCCTTGGGGACGAAGATTGAATCCTTGCCCTCTGGGCCTCCTCCGACCGGGAGGTGAGTGTCTTTGTTAGCCATGCGTACGTTGATGGGGACAACGGGGTAGAGTCGTAGAGCTGGGAGAATGCGTTAGAATTCATTGTTACTTGGGTGCGGGTGTACATACTCTCGTTCATAACCCAGGTTAAATAGGAGATGGACTTGAGATCTTGGAAGGAGGGCTTGCGACCGTCGAGTTTGAGAACCTCTTGCCTCAGCTTCTTCCAAATATCGGGCCTTCTCGCCATGACGAAAAAAGTAATACTTAACAGACTGGCAGTTGTATCTCGACCCGCCAGTAGGATGTTAAGAAGCTGGTCCGTGAGCTCTGTCTTGTTGAGTGTTCGCTTTGACAGCTCATACAAGAACACGTATTGTTGATCCAACTCATGAGGCTTTTGTGATACGCCGTTGCCACTGTCTAGAGCAATTCGATAGTCAATCGCCTTCTGAACAAATCTATCAACATATGCCCGAGCATTGACGACTGCCTGAGAAAATTCCCTGTCATAGTGTAAACCCATGAGAGATCCTAATCTACTGCGAAGAGCGAGTCCCTCCTGAGACTTGTTGAAGTCTTTGGCAAATGATGAAGCTGAGAGAGGAACAGTGTCATTCAGGGAATGAACAGATTCTCCGAATAAAAACTCCGTTGCCGAGTCGAGAGTCTGGAAAATATCAGTGAGAAGAAAACAGAAAAGTTAGAGCAAATTACCATTCGAAAGAAAAGGTCCTGCATATCCACAGTAGATCTGTCACGCGGGATCCTTTCAATCAAAGCCTTGACATGGGTCTCATAAACATTTATATCGGTGATCTGGTTACGAGTGAAATTTGGACGGATAAGAGCACGCGAGTGTTCCCATTTACTACCATCTGTAGAGAAGATACCATATCCCAATAGCGGACGCATCGCTTTGTTCCGGTAATCACCAAGTTCAAAGTCCTTGAACTTGAGAGCCAAGACTGTTTGCACATTCTTAGGCTCGACGGTGAAAATGACTTGACGGCCAATCATCTTGGCTTTGAAAGTCACACCGTAAGCTCGATGCCAGCCGCGGACATGTTCGAGGAATCGATTCTCTTTGGCGGCCTTAAGCATTTCTGTCACCATTCCCAGTCCAAAAAGACCATGGGAAACTGTATGGACTGGTGGTCTACAGCCATTCTCGCGAGAGTATTGCCAACCTGAGCCTCTCCGTTAGCTAATTCGTGAGAGAACTGAATTTCCACTGCTGCTTTACTTACCTCGGAAGAAACGGAGTGCACTTAACACCGAGAACGCCAAGCCTACCACTCCAGCGATCAACACATAGTAAGGGAGCGGAATTGAATCGAGAAGAGTTGGTGCCATGATTGAAAATTGTTCCGAGCAGGCGTCTCATGACAGTAGTATTGAGGTCCGAAACAGAAGATATTTGTACTCTACATGATTCGGCATAACATTAGGCCATGAAGTGATGGTAAATTTCAAATCATCCAACTTTGTGTGGTGAAGTACTGAGCATACAATCTAACGTTGCAGGCTACATGCATGCTGCATGGAAAGACAACTGTTAAATCCAATCAGAACTGCTTTTCACCCCGGGTCGTTGCTTCCAAAACCGGCTTAGATCGGCGTTTGAGAACATAAGCTTCAACAAGTGCGTCAGAAGGATGGAGGGGCTTTGCGGGGTAGTTGCCGCTACGAAACTATGAACGAAGGGTTTCTAAGTTGAGATTTCAGGGTGACTTCTGCATTGAGTGAATTTACTTATACCAGATAGGGTAATACTACTTAGAGTATACTACTCAAAAGAGGGATGGTAGAAGATATTGAAAGAAACTCCCGAGGTTTTGGGCGCATCTCTCTACAGCTAAATCATGAGGCTATTTGAGAACTGTATAGACGAAGGTTTGTTAGGTATCAGTCTAAAGCGTAGAGATTCTGTCCGTACTCATAAAAATGAAAAATCGAGCGACGTTCAACGCCATATAAATCCCAAGTACTCAGTGCATCCGAAGACTTGCACCCAATTCTCAAGCGGTCACTGCAGTCGGCTGTGCCTCATCGATATGCTCGGTCACCACATCCGACTTCTCATCGACCTTGTTCGTGACTTTAGTAGGGTAGAAATCAATCTTCCCTCCCTCCTTGATAACACCAGTACGATCAAGAAGGCTGCGAGCGCGGACGTACGGATCAAGCTTCCAATAGTTCGCACTGAGGCTCTTGATCACCTCATCACGGCGGACTAGCGAGGACTCCACATCGATCTGGGAGATCCAGTTCGTAGTGACGCTGAAAAGCTCATCTCCAAGGCTCTTCCGCTCATCCAGGATGATATCTCGTGTGGCAGTATCCTTCAGTCGGTCATTTTCTTGGGGCAAGGGCTCAATGTACTTGTAGTCCCAGTCTTCCTCACCACCGATCTCTTTCAGGATTTGTGATTTTGGAACAAGTTCCTCAAGTTCCTTCGCGCCGGTGATGAAGTGGACCTTGGATGCGACTACCGGGTCGAGAATTCCGTGGATTATCTTCCAGAATCCTACACCAAGGGAGACAAATTGTCAGTGGGAAAGCTTGCACTTAGTAGCGGGAGAGACTTTGAAACAAACCGGAGAAGATCCAGGGCGCATTGTAGAATATCATCGCCCCGAGCGATTCAGGATAGTTCTCTTGGAAGCTATCAATAATGAACTTGACGGGAGGGAAATCCTGCGGCAGTATGTGAGCAGGGGGAACGGCAGAAGTAGTAATGGAACCTCTGGCGTACCCAGTTTGAAAGGCTGAAAGATGTCAGGTCGAAGACAATGGCCTGATCAGATCATGTATTAGTAATGAAAATTTCAGTTCCGGAGTAAAAATGCGGCGTAAAAATGGAAGTGTCAATAGGACTGGTCCCATGGACAGGCACTACTCACCATTGATTCAACGGGTGCCACTTGTAAATAGCGCACTGACTCGATGCAATGAATGATATAGTCGAACAAACCCTTTTGTGTTTGTTGACTTGGATCGTGAGTTCGGACTCGAACGACGCAAATAGGACGACCAAATTTATCACACCCGTGCAAGTACCCCTTTCCAGTATTGAGTTGAAGCACATAACCCTCGCCATCTTTCTTCTCAGCTGAGTTGCCCTCCAGTCGCGACTTTTGGAGATTGTGCTCTTCTCCTTTGAGCAAGACCTCTTCGTCGACCTTGTATTCATTGACTCGCCAATTCAAAGACGAAACGAACTTGATCCACGCTTTGGGAACATTCCATTTCTCTGCACGAAGGAAGCGCAATAGAAGCGCGTCAGGGTGATCTTGTTTGAGGAGGGTCAAAAAGGCAGATCGTAGCTTGTCTCCAGGAAGTTTGATCAGAAGTGATCCGACTGTCTTCAGCTCGCCAGGGCCAGCGTCGAGACTCTTGAGGTTGGACAGTAGATTTGCCGGAATCGCAGCTAATTCTTCCTCCGTTGGTTGGGCAGGTGCACGACTGAGGGAGAAGAAACGTCGATGTGCTTTGTTAGTAGCGTTCGAGGAGATCGATGATCTCCGGGCTGGATCCAAAGGAGGAACATCTGAGTCCCATGACTGCATCAGAATCCGCCAGAACTGGAGAAGTTTCTGCTCCTGCGTTGAGTCTAGATTGCCCACGTATCCGGGCTCGGTCTCAATGGCGGTAGCCATGGCGAGGTCCGCTGTATACGTGAGGAAATGTCGCAAAGTGCTGGAAAAGAAGGATATTTGTGATGGTTGGTCTATTACCACCGCGGTAGGGATTTATAGAGCTGAGTGCAGAAGGATCTGCCTATGTGAATGGTGGCCACTTAACCATGAGTTCACCACGGAGCCAATAGATAGGATTTGGCGACATTGTCCAGGCGCTGATCCATGTGACAACATTTCTCTTATAGCCTAGCTACCTCGGTGGTAAGGGACGATGCCGCAGCCGTCTGCGGGGCTAATGCAGGAAGAGGGGTAAGCTGTCAGCCATGTGTGCAATAGTCAACTTATAGCATGACGGAATCTGCTGAGAATGGTCAGAAAAGCCCGGCCAAGGTTAAACTTCAAACGAGGCACGAACTGGGCTGAGCTAAATCCTAGCAATTATGACAGGTCCGGGGCTCTCAACACTCCCTCTGTCCACCACTGGGAATTGGCGCTGAAGTCAATATGGATGATCTGGGGTCATCCAGTCAAACGAAGAATAGTTCCATTTGATTGGATGGGAGATTTGTGGGTTCGTTCGGTACCCCCGCCTGCCCCTGAAGTCTCCCTGGATCCACTTTCATTTTATTGCAAGCCAGTTCGTGGTGGCTTCCAAATTCCATTGTATATGGCATAGGCATTCGAGATGGGACTTGTGAAGCAACTGAGGTCGATATTCCTCAAGAAGTAACTTGTGTCGCGGCCAAGCCGAGATGGATGAGGTGGATGCATATAGGCTCTGGCTGTAGGTCGGAAAGCAAAAAGAAAAGCCGATGACTTCGCGGCTGGACCTGAATTTCGGGACCAGGGCACCTAGCAGTAGCTGCGTTAGCTATCATGGTAAACAAAGAATCAACTCTGACATGACTCGGTTGTTCAACTCGGGATGTGATCTAAGGTAGTATCCCTGCTGAAGCTAGCGCGAAGAGACATTAGGCTGTTATAAGGGGTGCCCCTTGGCCTCAAACGGAATCACACAGTTGGCAAGCGTACGTTATAACCGGTCTGTTGGAGTTTTTTCCATTTAAAATGGTTTCAAAGGAGTTTCAGCAACCATCCAGTTCTGGGGAATTTGGATGAGGCTCCTCCCATGTTGAAGCGAGTGGGGCTAAACACACAAACACCGCAAAATCTGCCGTCACGTGCGAAGTCTCCCCGGCACCCATCGTGCAGGCTTCATCACATCACATCAATGAAAATTGGAGTCGGGGCATGGAAGAGCGGAGCAGTTTCAAAGAGCTGCCTGTCCAGCCCCAGGGCATCTTTTGGGAAGATGATTTTATCACCCCAGAACACGAGCGGCGCCTCATCTCAATCTTCCAAAATGAGCTAGAATGGGCTGATCGCCCCGGCCGTCTGTCACTCCACTACGGCTACACATTCGACTATAAGACATTTGGCATAGATCCAGACATCCCATATAAGAAATTTCCTGAATGGTTGCAGCCACTCATCCCGACTACCGAAGTTCGACCCCCTGATCAAGTTTGCCTCCAGTACTATCCACCTGGTGCTGGTATCCCGCCACATGTTGACGCACACGGTCCATATGATCAGCTCTACGCGTTATCGCTCGGCGGGCCGGCGGTGATGCAGTTTCGAAGGGGAGATGAGCGGATCGACATTGATTTGACTCCACGAAGCATGATGCAGATGGCGGGAGACTCCAGACTACATTGGACCCATGGCATCAAAAAGCGAAAGAATGATATCCTGGCAGATGGGACGCAGCGCCCGCGCACCAACCGCTGGAGCATAACTTATCGCTGGCTTAGAGATGGAGGTGAATGCGAGTGTGGAAATCCTGTGCATTGCGACACGGCCCAGCGCCGACTGGGTGTTGAGAAAGAGAAGAGATCGGTACTAGCACTGGCGGCGGAGGCCAGTGCTGCGGACAAGTCCTCTCAATAGGACTCGGTCTTCCCATTTGCCTTCTTGCAAGGAGCTATCAAGCCGAGGTCAATGACAGCTCTTTGGAAAAACAACGAATCAATTTACACCGGCTGATGGTGTGTTGAAGAGTCTCAATGATAAATCATCTATTCACAGTCTGTCTTGGACATGATATTCTCCCACTCATCACAGACCTGTAGCCTCTTCTGGAGGTCCTCGCGCATGATTCCGAACGTGTCGGATCCAATAGGCAAGCGCAAAGGAAGATCTTTACCGGCACATCTTCCCTCGCCCCTAACCGCATCCACCACGAGGTCACATCCCTTTCTTGCGTCTCCTGGCCAGGTTCCATGAGCGTTTTTGATACGTTCTCGCACCTCATTGTTCGCCTCTACATAGTCGGACAGCTTGTTTGGTGCACGGGCGTGTAGGTTGCTTGGGCACAAGATGTCAGTTCGGAAATGACCGAACGTAAGAATCGAAGTGCGAAGTCCAAATGGAGCAACCTCAACTGCAAGGTTGGTTGCAAGCCCCTCAAGGAGAGCTTTGGATCCAATGTAACTGGAAGTGGACGGCATCGTATAATATACGCTCACTGAGCCGACAAAGAGAAGAGTCCCCGTCTTGCGGGCACGCATCATGGGGAGAAAAGACCTAGTCAAGTTGATAGGCCCAAGGGCATTCGCGCGAAGGGAGCGTGTGACAAGTTCCTCGCTATTCATTATTCAGCCCAATACTTCAAAAACAGAGAGACTAGTCTGGCTGTTCGGCACTGACCTCATTTCTTCTAGAATTCCGTTCTCAATGTAGCCAGCGTTGTTGACCAGGACGTCGATGTGCCCATATACTCCCCATGCTGTCTTGGCTAACTCATCTAATTGCTCTTGGGGAGATGTGACATCTAACTCGAGCGCTGCAGCACCAGCTTCCTTTAGTGCGGACAGACGTTCAGAACCGCTAATGCCTTGACTCGCACGAGCAGTGGCAATTACTTTGTCCCCCTAAATTGATGTCAGATATGACAACGACTATCGTCTCCTGCTATTCGAACCTACCTTTGCTAGGATAGCCCTGACCATAGCCTCCCCCAGGCCGGAAGAGCAGCCAGTAACAAGCCAGGTCAATTGTTTAGCCATATTGGATGTCAGATAATCAGTTTCACTGCACAATTTTCGAGAATACAAATGGAGGGAAATGTCACATATTTATTTTCGCCGCAGGGTGTTTCACACATACCAGTTATGCGGGTAGACAGGTACAAACTGCCGCAAGCAGAGCACCACAAGAGGCTGATTGGGTGAAGCGGGGCAAAATCTTGCATGGAGCGAATCATCTCGCTCAGATCTATGCCAGCCTCAGGCCCTCATTCCTGTATCTTGTTAGGGCATCCTTGCTGAGTCTGACAGAAAAGAAACTTTCCATACAATGATTCGAGAGCAAATTATGAGGATGATCAAGGTTCATTGAAAAGACTTTCCCGCCTTAGGCGGCCTGCTTACGCCTATTATGCTACGCTCCGCACGATGAGTTCGAGTATGAGGTTGTGGGATTGAAGAACCATGGTATTTCATTGAACTAGAGAACAGGTTTTGAAATGTCTGCTTTGACGTGGAAAAACATTGACCACAATTTCACGTCGTACCATCCCAATCCATATCTTTCCCGCCTCGCATCCTGGTGACAGGGAAGGCTGTCCCTGTCAACAACAAGACCATCTAGAATTTTCAAGGAACGTTGCTCAATACCAAGCTCAGTGAGAGTTCCAAAGCTCCGGTGCCAAATATCTCTGATCGGAAATTCTCTGTAATTGTGGTTTAAGCGAGATTCGCGCGAACGTGATGGCGACGCATGTGAGCGACCTCTCGGCGCCTCTTGGAAGCGGAGATGATCAGGGTCTCAGAAATACCGGCGATGCACTCGGTACCCTCAGCCATGCTCTGCGAAGCATCCCACTCGCCATTGACGCAACGCTGGAAGGCTGTACCGCCATTGCAGTACCAGTAGTCTTCCTCACTGCATGCACCACTAAGGACTCCAGAGGTAGCAGTTGAAGAGCTGGAGGTAGTAGTGGTAGTAGTAGCAGCCGCATCAGCGGTAGAGGTGGTGGGAACGACACCACCAGCGGCAGGGCGCTCATGGTGGTTAGGCTGAGCTTGGCCAGTGGGGTCGGATCGTGAAGTAGTAGCCAGGGTAGTTTGAGATGCGACAGTAGTCTCAGCGGTAGAGCTTGCAGAGACCGCAGCCTCGGCGGAAGCACTAGTGCTAACAGCACTGGCGGTGACTGAGCTGGTAGTGGCCGAACTAGTGGTCACGGCACTGGTAGCTGTGGCGGTGCTTCCGGCAGTATATAGAGTGGGACCAGGAATGACATAGGTGGTAAGGGTGTTCCAGATATCGACGTAGATACCGGGGTCAGTATCCTTGTACAGTGCGGTACCAAGGGTGTCACTGGGTGTTGCGGTGCCGCTGCCAGTGACCTTGAGGTTGATGCACTGAGGGTAGTTTTGAGCACCATCCAGATCCTCAGCACCATGCAGGGCAATGATTTCATGGCGAAGGACATAATCACCGGCCTCAATATCGGTGGGAATGGTGAGGGTACGACTGTAGCTAGCCGCAATGAGCTCATCGCTAGCCCATGTTCCGGGAATCGTAGAATCGTCGATCAAACCACCGGCGTCGATCTTGAAGAATTCCAGAGCAGTCTTGTCAACATCAGAGCAGTTGCCATTGCAGTTTGCCATATAGGTGATAACGGGGCCATGGTGGTCGTCAGGCCAAGTGCTCCAGGTCAATTTGACAGTACCACCCGGGGATATTGGTGCAGAGAGAGCTGCCGGCGCCGAGCCACGATGACAAATGATGCTGGGATCGTCGTATGCAGTAGGAGCGACGTAGCCATCATCGGTAGCGGTGGTGGACCAGGCGATCAGCTCTGGAGGATCGGACTCATAGTAGTATGTATCAATCAGATAGCCTCCATAAGTTGTGCCATCCACATCAATGCTGGTGACATAACCGTGGCCAGCGACCAGCGCAACCGAAGCAAGGAGGAAGCTTGCAGTTTTAGAGAGAGTCATTGTTTTAAGAGTCGAATCACGCGCAGCGGAATTGGTTTGAATAGGAGAAAATGAATGAAAATGAACTTCAATCAATGAAGCTTAAAGAAATGAAAGTGTGGGAAATATATTGAAACAAACTTTTGTCCTGAGGAGCTTCATGTCAAGGAGATAGGCCCTCTATTTAAGGTCTTTCAGGTCAAGCTTTTCTACGCGTTCACTCTCGGCAATGCAGAGCCTTCTTTGACTCCATCGACGTTAGCATTAGCCATGGGCGACAAACAGAGGACAAGGAAATTGCAAGTCCCAGATTTTACCCTGGGGATTGCGATAGAGATATGATTTGGGTATGGCTGTATCAGCCGCTCAATTTCGCCTTGCATAGTGTGTTTCAAAACCTGCTGTGGCTACTGCGTACCCTGCGTTAGCACAAGTTATGCAGCTCAACCTTCATTTTCTCGTCTGCCCAATGGTTTGACTGAGCATAGAACAATAAACGACGTACAGGCCTTCAACAGGCGGATATAACTTGCGAATCATGTACTACCAACCTCCTCTTGATCACCAAAATGCGAGAAAAACACATCTTTCCGCGGATCAATTATGACGGCTCCCTTGCATCATAATGCCCTATTCGTCAGGTCACAAGGCTCGAATCAAGCTAGTTCTTGTCTGAGATTAATTAGTGGCATGGAGTTCGCCTTAAGTACCGAGATCTTGAAACGCGCCAAAGGCTAAGCGAGATCAACGATCGGGGAACCACGATTTGTGCTGTGGGGATCTTGGTTCGGGTTCGGTACATGTACCGTCGGAAGATTCACACTGACGCGTCCCCCATTGAATCGGGAAATAAGGTATCAGGTAGATTAAACAGCTTACATTCAAGCTCACTTCTCATAGATGCGGAACTGAATATTTCTTGAGCGGGTGTTGCTGACTTGCGGTTACGGCAAATCTCAGAATCTGGTGTTCCAGGTTGCCGCCCAGCCCCACCACCCATGTACCTACCTACATGACCTGTTTGTGTTGCGGGCGCCCTAATGACGCTTTCCGGGTTCTGTGATAATCTTCAGTATACCCTGACCTGAAGGAGTATTGTCTTGGATTCTGAGACGAGGACGAAGAGAGATGATGGCTACCATGACCTCTCAAAGAGTGGGCATAAGACGTCAAAACAAGGCAACTTCCACTCAATGAAGTCAGAGGACCAGGGTCCTGTCTCTACGATCTGCACGACATATCAAAGGGGAGGCTCTACGGATGCGAGCGTCCCAAAAGACGCGATCGAACTCGGACCCGTGCCCCAGGTGTACCAGCACACAACAATCACGGTGACACACGAGCCAGCTTATTGAGTTCCAAGACTTTAAACCTCAATTGCAATTGAGAAAAGCTACTTTACATCACCATAATTACTACAGAACGTCAATGTTAATTACGAGAGATGGCTCAGATGTACACCCAAACTGGTCCCATACATGAACTACACCTACGTATAGGACTAAGAAAACATCGTAGCTTAAGGTAATAGTGACTAACTGGGTATGCTCATTGTACTTATCAGGGAGATAGTCTCCAGCTGATAGTGAATTTCTATCTATGTTGATATCAATTTCTTCTATATTCCCCATATCTCTCCTTCGGTCATCGATCCGTTCCACTGTACATTCCCGGAGAGGACTTTCCTTTACCACGAGCCCACACTTGGAGTCGCATATGAGCCGGTAGCCGAGCCTCCCTGGCACTGAGTTGGAACTTTGTTGGCAGTAGAAGCACCCCAGCTGGCAGGAACAGATCCATCGCGGCGAGATGCAGCAGTTAGGAAAGCAGCGTAAGACCAGGTGAGATCGCCGGCTGAAGTTGGCGTGCCATTGTCACGGGTGAACTGCTCAGCCAAGGATCCATTGCTGGGCGTATATTTCTGAACGATAGACACAAATCCATCCGCGTATCCCTTGACGGCACTGGTGATAGAAGAGTATGTGTCGGAGGTGCTTGAGTAGTTACCGACAGCAGCAGAAGACACGAGGTCTTGGAAAAATGGCAGACTGATCTGAGTAATTGACAGAGAGCCCTGAGTCTTCCACTGATAGAGAGCGTCATAGAGCTGCTCAGCAGCTGCGAGCGTGGCCAGATACCTACAGATGTATTAGCTTTACTCATGGAGTGACAGGGGCTCTATACATACCATGGGTTGCCGCCTTGGTAGGAGTCCTCGGGATAACGCCCAACTGCGGCAGCACTTCCAGCCTTATTGCCGCTGTTGATGGTGTAGATTGAACGGAAGGAATCGACCACAAGCTTATGGTTGGAAAGAGCGCGTGCGGAGCACGGCTGGAACGTAGTGTCATCACAGGAAGCCATAGGGTCGAAGGTGTGGATCGAACTAATCAAAGAGTTTGCATCAAGACCTGACCGTCCATTGTTCGCCACGTTGGAGATGACTGCAGTGCCATTCCAGAAGTCCTGGAGGAAGCACAAAACCTGGGGTGCTTGAGAGTCACAACCATCACAAGTCTCCCCTAGAGCCTTGGCGAAAGTGCTTCCCTCCACCAGGGCGCGGTGCTGTGCGGCGATGGTGAAGAAGGAGGATCCCTGAACTTCCTCCCAGAGGTCAAATCCAGTCTGGTTCCAGTACTGGGCCACGTAGTTGAGATCATTCGATACAATTGGCCAGATGTTCGACTTGACAACGGACTGCTTTCCCTTGGCGATCAACTGGTTACCGTAGGCAATGAGAGTCGTTGCCCGCAGAGCAGGTCCATCTCGCTGGGGACGACCCCATGCGCCAGTAAAAGCAGTCTCATCAACATTGAACTTGGGCTCTGCTAAGCCTGAGCCATCGGACAGGCTTCCAGAGGGGTTGGAGACGGCCTGGAGTTTAGCCTGTGCAGTAATGTATTGCTGGATCACAGACTCCAGCGAGCTGTCCCCCGCGATAAAACGGTCAACGAGCATGTTGAGGGTCAAAGCCGCATCTCGTGTCCAAGTATAGAAGTCTGATTCTTGTCAACAAACGGAACAATATACTCATTTTTGGGGACTAACAGTCTGGGTTGGACTTGGAGGGCGATGCCACAACAATGCCAGATGAGGCACCGGATGCTCCAGTGCCATTGGCCCCGATGTTGTTGAGGACACCTTGGAGAGAAGCTGCCGACTCCGACTGAATAAACCCGCTAAGCCCCGACTGGCGACGAGAAGGGTGCAGAGCAGAGGATGCAACTGCCGGTGCAAGCAAGGCGAGAGTTAAGATATCGAGGCACAACATTGTGAGTTGAAGATGCTGATTGATGTTTTCAGCACCTTTGTTGCATCTATTCAGTCTTTATGTACCCCAAGATGTGAAGTGATCTCATCTTCTGCATCCCCATATTTCCCCAAGGAGAATGGAGATGTGAGACATCACACTCCCACCCCCTCTGTGATTTGGCCAGATGATGTTGACCCTCAGGGTTCGGGCCGATCGACCGGAGATTAATAAGGCCGATCAAGTAGCCGAACAGCCAAACGAAAATGAACGAGGAGAGCGCTTATGAATGATAATGATGATCATGGTGGATCGGCTGGGGGCAGCCTGGATGCGTGTTGCCAACAAGCGACGGACTCCATCGGGATCGACACGGAGGATCCCGAACCGAGTAAAGCAAAGTCCGACAAATGGCCGTGTTTTGTTTCAGAACCCTTCTTTTATTCTTCTATGACGTGAACAAAACAATTACCTTGATAATTCATGTGTTGTTGGCTGTGACCTTGCCATTCAATCTCTATGGATTTATGTCAGCACGAGATTGGTTAATCCGGCTCGTATCCATTGACTTCAAGCCAATTAAAGTTCATTAGTCTATGCAGAACTTCAAATAATACTCAAGGAAGTGTTCAAATTAAATGCTGACGCTCTGAGAGGCTCGAGTCGCTCTCTGCAGCCCTGTAGGTCTGAGTCAGATCAATAGAGCATATGTGTGTCACTGTCGCCCAGCCTGATTCCTTTCCTTAACCAGACTCTCCCAACGTCCACGGCGAACGGCTTCCCAGAGATCGACATGACAGCTTCAGTATCAACTCGAGCGGGCGATGTGTCCTATACTATTCGTGGAGAGGGCCGCCCCTTGCTTTTATTGCATGCTTCGCTACATGATAGCCGTGACTTTGACCCGATCGTGTTTCGACTAGCCGATCGTTTCCAAACAATAACACTTGACTGGCCTTGGCATGGTGCCTCGCGAGAGACTACAACAAAATCTCGAGATCCGAGTGCAGTCCTGATGGCAGAGGTCCTCGAGGACTTTGTCACAGCTCTTGATCTACCTCCTGCTATCATTATAGGCAATTCGGTGGGTGGTTTCGCAGCTGCAAGACTAGCCATCACCCATCCACAACGCGTTCAATCCCTCATACTGGTGAATTCGGGCGGCTTTCCATCTTGGAATGTCGTTAATCGGTTTTTCTGCTACTGCCTTGGTTTTCCGGTAGTAGCACGCCTAGTACTGCCATATATGATTCCCGCGTATATGAAGTCACAAACACCAAGTGATACAGCAATTTCGCAAAAGGCGGCATCCCAGGCGAGGACATGGCAGGGAGCTTCGATCGCAGCGGCCCTTTGGCGAAGCTTTCTTGACGATCGCCATGACCTTCGAAGTGATGCACAGTCTATCTGTGTGCCCACTTTAATCATCTGGGGATTCAAAGATATCGTTTTCCCGGTTGACATTGCACATCTCGTGCATAGGTCTATCCCCGGATCCCAGCTCGAAATTTTCGAAACCGGACATGTCGTCTTTTCTTCCAAGCCTAATGAGTTTCTTGATGTAGTGAACAGGTTTCTGCAGTAGTTTAATGTTTGCAGTTCATATGTGAGATTTGTAATATTTCTCCTAATACGGGAACGATTGCTCCTCATTTTGCTCCATAATTCCTCGCTCTTTCTGTAGCTGATCTTGCTCATCGAGATATGGGAGCAGGATCTTGTCCCAATGTGACTTGCCCTTGTAGAATGACACGGTCTCGTCCCAGTTTCGAATCGCTTCAGCCAGACGACCTGGAATGTGTGACTCCTGAGCGATTCGTGTTACTGGCTCAAAGTATGACCGAACAGTAAACACGACAGCTTTGGAGCGTGGCAGTCGGCGGAGGGTCTGTCGCTCGGAGCGGAAGTGTATTTCATCAATAGATAGCTCCTTGCTGTTTGCAGTGGCCCACGCTGTGCCAAGATGTAGCCGTTAGTAGGATGCATGATTCTTGTAACAGCGACTGACTTACATGCAACTTCTGTACCTGCTTGGTCACCCATGCGATGTGACCAGTGGAGTCCATCGTCAAGTTGAATGAAGAACTAGCGAGACGGTGAGTATAGGGCAGATGGCGGGAAACAGAATTTTAGCCGTACGTTGTTTCTCTCGACTGGCTTGTCGGGCGTGAGGTTCTGAAAGAACCGATTCATTGACTTTTGTAACTTGGCAGCATAGTGAGGAACACCAGCCTCGAAATGCAGTGTGTCGAGTGACATCCGAAACTTCTCCCTGAGACGCCAGAAGCCAGGGAGGCAAACTGCTGCGGCGTCAAGATGATATTGCCCATCTACCGTAGGTCAGCTTCTGATATACTGGGCTCATGGCTGTGGTGGTTTACCGTCGTTCTCAACCATGATAATCAAATCGTCTTGAACCAAAAGCGCCGAAGTTGCCAGTGCCTCGTCCGGGGTTGCTAAAATTCAAGATTAGTGGGAACTGAACCAGTTCGAGGTAGAAAGAAGGCTAGACATACATGCTGGGAAAGGAAAGTTTTCTTTTGTCAGACTGTTGTATACCTTGCCTCCTTCCAAGCGATAGACCTTAGGATACCGATGTGTCAAATATCGAACCAACTCCTCATATAGCTCGAAACACGCATCTCGGGTCATTGCATTATCAACATACTTCACATGAGCATTGAAGTCTTTTTTCAGCTCTGATGCCTTCATGTCATGATATCGAAGGAAATAGGAGTCCATTTCGATCCAATTGTCCCAGCTGAGCTTGCGAATGCCCATGGTGATGAAGTTTGGGCCATGTCTGAATGGACGATACAATTTGGGAGACGTGCTCAAAGTGTCATTTGTCACTGGAGTAGGTAGAGGCGTGATGAACAGATTTTCTTTTTTTTGCTCCTCTGCCTCAGCGATATGGGCTTTGGTATGGAACGGCCACCTTAAGAACAGCCAGGTGAAACCTGAGAAACCGACTCCTAGAAGAGAGAGGGGCCCTGAAGACATTGGGAAACCTCCGTTAGAGATCATCGTGGTTGATTCCGAGAAAAGGGTTCGGTCGCGCTTGCTATATGTTGCAACTTCATCACAGATAGGTATATGTAGCAAGCCACGAACCCTTTAAATAAGGATGTTATAGACAGGCTTCATCGTCTAGGTCATTACTTGATCCCGGCGTAGTCTTACTCTTGATCAACCTAAGCCACTTTTGGTAACTTTTTTGGCCATGACAAGCCACTAACCAGAATTGGTAGGCCAAACAGCCTTTGGCTAACGAGTCGGCGATTGGAGACTCGGGACGACTGATAAGAGCCCCAAGGCCCCGAGGCCATTTCCCCGCATTTCCAACGCGGAAAGTAACCTCCGCGTCTTCAGATTCTGATCACTCAGTCCTGCCAGAACAGTGGCGATTTCGAAGACTCGTGGACTCAGAGGTACGGCGGAGTGAGAAGAAGTTGAGAAGTATTTCCCGACGATAGCCTGTGAGATCCAGAACTCTCGAGGCATCACCAGTTATACGTCGGGTTGCTTGTCATTATCTGCAACTGTTTGTACCAAGCCTAATGCCAAGCTTGAACCGTTCTACTGGGCCTATCTTTCTCTACTCCAATCTTCGCTCGCGACCCCCAACTTCAGCGTCTCAGTTGCCTCCCTCCACTTGATTCACCGGCGACGAACCCCCTCGCCAACTCGGTTACTCCCCAAAGCAACAACACGCTGTGATTTCGAAGAAATGCCCACAAAGCGCCAAAGAACGGTTCAGGGGTCTTGCTGGCCATGTAAACAGCGTCGTGTGAAATGCGATCTCAGCCAACCGCGGTGTCGCCGCTGTACTCTCTCGGGGGCCAAATGCAGTTTCGACAAGATCCTTGTGCGCTGGAATTCACGGCCCACGAAAGGCGCCCCAATCTCATACCAAACGCCGGCCTCACCTCCAAAGCTAAGCCTGTCCAAGCAGGTCTTCGACAGTACGAGACTAGCATCAGGGGAACTAAAGGCTCTCGACTACTTCCAGGCAGCACTATGGCCGTTGTTATCGACAGCAACTCAGCCGTGTCCACCGCCGATCTCACTCGCGCTAGAATCTGAGCCTGTACTATTGGCAATGTGCGAATTAGCAGAGGCGCATCGACTTCTCCGGCAGGATAATAGTCCTTTTCATCAACAAATTATAACCGATAAGCGGTCGAATTGCCTGGGTTCGGTCCGGAAACAACTACGGGAATGTCTGTCAAACAACGAGTCACTTTCACGAGTACTGGTCGCCGTCTTGCTATTATACTTTCTAGATGGGTATATTGATTGTACAGAACAGTCGGCGTCGACGACGAGCCACCAGGCTGGAGTACGCGCAATCGTGGAGCAGCTCGGCGGGTTCAGTGTACTCATGGACGAGAGTGAGAAGGAGATTCCACACATGTTGCTGTCCGAATTCGCGTCTACAGATCTGACTCGGGCTTTACTCGATGCTCGGCCTCCATGTTTTCCCGCTAGGATTTGGCTCGATATCGAGCGCGGCCCCGTCTGGTGGGAGAAACAGACTTACGGCATTACCTTGGCAGCCGTATTTCGCACCATGGCACAACTAGCATTCTATCACCAGTCAATACAGAATGGTGACGAGGATCTTGATATTGAAAAGGTCCGAGATTTTGAACGGTGTCTCCAGCCGTCTTTCCAAATCTTGAGCTTAAATCACTTTGAGTGTCCGGAAGAGGATACTGTCTCCCGGGGCGAACTCGAACGAATGAACCAGACGATTGCCTTTACAAGAGCATTTCAGCATAGCGCATTAATATATCTATATCGCGCAGTCTGCGGACTACCACCAAGGCACAGCCTGGTACAACAACACGTTAATTCTTGTATGGGCTGCATCAACGAAATCAGCAGCAGCTCTAAGGCGCACAACTGTCTTATATTTCCCGTCTACGTTGTGGGTGCTCATTCATTCACTGAAGATCACCAGAAGGATATCCTTGGTAAGATTGATTGTATTTACCGGACTATTCGATTTAATTCTCTGTTGAGTATTCGTGCCGCTTTGGAAGGACTCTGGCAGTCTGAGAAACAAGAGGGCACATGGGCGGATATGTTTACTTCCTTAGGGAGGGATGTTTTAGTATTATAGGTCTTTCTAATACTGCCTGTTGATTCATTCTGTTGAGACTAAGTTTCCTGATTGATATAAAGCTATGTTAAGACGCTTGAATTAGGTTGGGTCCCTGGACGTTTTCAGACTGTATTTAACAAGCAAAAGTTTCAGGTCGCTATTTGTAGAGCACCGCTGGCACAGACTAGTGTCTCTCAATCGCTTAGGGTTCTTCACAATGGGCCAAGAGATGCGGGGCAGCTAACTATCGTCGCTCGCCATCTCTCTCAATCTGGTGTTGCCCAAGAACCTTCCCCTTTCGGTATAGTCATTAGCTACCTGACCAAAGGACCTGTAGATTCCTTTACCCAAACTACCTCTTATCATTATTCCCTGCAAGTACAAACCTCAAACCTTTGATATGGTTATTTTCACAAGCCACCTTTAAAGGACTAATAAAATAGTGGAGAGGATTTAGGGATTCGCGAACAAAGAATCGTAGAACAACAAATTCCTTCCCTCATCAACTGATCTCGTACTGGTATCTGACGACTGAATCTGGCCAGATTATATACAAGAGGAACACTTCACGGCAAGCATCAGAATGGACAATATGCCTCGACCTCAATCTCGATAACCATCCCCTCGATTCCCAGCTTTCCAATCTCCACACATGTCCAAATCGGGCGATGGTTCGGAAGGATCTTTTTAAACTTGCTGGTGACCAAATCAAATGTCTCCTCCACATTGATATGATAGCTTCGTACTGCGTAGACATTCTCCCAAGACAGGCGCGAGTCAACTTCCTTCAAAGCCTTGTCGACATTTTCAAAGGCGATGGCAACTTGTTCCTCGATGTTGGATGTAATATTTCCGCTCTCGTCCCAACCACCTTGACCGGATGTTTTCACTGTCGTGCCGATTTTGACAGCTTGGGAGTAGTGGAAGGATTCTGAGTTGGCTTCAGTCCCTGGGTAGTTGAAGAATTGTAGGGTGCACATGATAAATATTGATGATGGACTAATGAAGAGATAGGAAGTGATCTTGAAAGTAGAAGGTTGGGAGAAACGGGGTATCTTGTAAATATTTATTACTTCGACGAGGACTTTGTTTTATGAAAAGCCAGTTCTAACATGATAGAGCGGACACAGCAAACTCTCAACTCTCAGGACTTGCTTTCCACCTGAGTTGGATTGCTACTAGCAGACAACTTTGGCCCAAATTTTACCCAGATCAGGAAGTTTACCCCGCCATGGGCCGTTCGGCAAAGGAACTGATCCATCCAGGCTTTGCCTAGATGCCCTTGGCATGCCCCATAGCTCCAGAGTCCGTGGAGGCTTTGTCTCTACAGGGTAACTCAAAAGGCCCTTACCCCGCATGTATTCATACTTGCGGCTGATGCATCGGCGTGAGCCCAAATCATAGAAATTTATAGAAACGGGTGCCATCTAACTTCTCGTATGTTTATACTAGCCATGACATAGATTCCATCTTGTTCTCTGACGTATAAGCACTCAAAAAGTGGTTATGCTCCTCATTTCAATGTTGTACCACCAGCACCGGGCGGGAGTCGAGGCCCGGACAGAATTCACTTTTTATATCCGTGACTTCATCGTATGGGAAAGGGATCGTCCAAATGAGATCAAATCTAAGACAGTCATCAGTCATTCATCATATCCGAAATTTCAAAATTTCCGAGACTTTGATTCCCGAAAATGGGTCTCAAGGCCGAGAACCGAGAAAGGGTGTGCTGATCGCGAAGCGGAATCCTCCGGCGCGAGTCGCAGATCTTCGCTAGACCAAGAAATCAACAAACATAATTTTACCTACCGGTCTTCAGGATATTCAAGTGGATCATAGGAGCCCAGAAGCTCCTGAATTTCCCCCATATTCTTGTGTCGCCAGGCAATTAGGATATTGCCGGGGCCATTGTAATTCCGAATCGTATCCGCGACGCATTGTGTCCCTTTGCGCGAGCAGTGGGCATCAACTTCGAGACCAAGGTCATTTGCGAGAGGGAGAACGGTCATATAAGCTCGCCGGTGTTCTCCATCTGGGGGGGAGACTACGATTAGTTCATCGGCTGCTTAAATGTGTCGTCCCTACTCCAAAGAGCTTTTCTGCAGTAATCAAAGGCACGCGACTCACTCCACTTCACTGTAGGTGCCATAATATGCCCAATGTTATAGTCCGAGTCTTGGCCAAAGATATCGCGCAGACACTGAGCTCGCTTGATCCCGTCTAATGTCAAGCCATGATCATCTCGATTGGGGGGTTTCTCTGCATGTCGAATCATGTATACTTTGGGTGGAGTTCTTGCTGATACGGCAGCCAGGCCGAAGAAAAGATATGCGAACGCTGAACGCAGGAGCATCTTGAGAAGAAGAGAACTTCGAATGATAGCAGAAAGTGTGATGCAGAAATGGAAAAAGAAGTAGAGAGTCAAAATTGATAAAATTCAAAATTTTATACAACGACCTTAGCGCGGACAACTACTAGTTAGGTACGTCACCTATTAACCGACGATCACTTCCCTCGCTTTATACATCTAGCAATGCACACAGTGATCTGACCCATCACGGTACGGTGAGTTAGTGCTATACAAAAAGAAAAGAAAAAGTGCAAAGTGGATCAGCAGGTTCATCTTGTACAGTGACCGTCCACCGGATGGAGACGCTGAGCTAGTAGTGGACTCGGGCAGATGGCTGGCTGCATCAGCGGGTGATGAGCAGCACGAGGGTGTTCGTCCGATCTTAAGAGGCCAGAAAGATAGAAGATGTGATTGGACTTTTGTAAAGCCCACATCCGCTTGGGATTTCCATTGTTGTTGATCGCATGGATTTGTTTGTGATCACCATAGAAGGATTGGAAGTGGCTACCTGATCTTCCGTGTTGTGGGTGGTGGGGGTGAGACCGAAGGACCTTCGGGGTTGGGTGGACTAAGTATAAAATTGAGGAATATGTTGATGGATTGGCGGCACGGGACTACTATCTACAGTTTCTACGCAAAAAGATTATTATCTCCGAGACTCAACAAAACATACTACGGCCATGTTAAATTTTGGTTCGCGGCCGTCAGGATGGGTATAAGTATGGAGGTTGGACAGAAAAGGGCGAATAGAGTCCACATTTCACGCTTCATAGGGCGCCTCGGCGAAAAGTGCCCAAAGAGGCAAAGAGAGGAGGGGGTAAGTATTGTGATTGAACACTGTTGCACCTTCACAAGAACAAGATAGCGAGTGCGATCACTAGATCAAGGAGAATACATCCTTCTCGAAGCCACAGCTCTGCTTGAGTCAAACACGGTCACCAGGTCCATCAAAATGGGGACACCTCGGCCTAGCCGTGTGACAGACGCGGGCCATCTGATCTTCGTTGCGCCTGGGGAAGTCTAATTCGATGTACTGCTCTTTGATAGATGGTGCAATATTCTTGCGGCACCTATGAAAATTTGCCCAGGATAATGTGTCAAGAATCACTGATGACAGCGCCTGCGCCCGCGCTATTATTATAACTCCGGGGATGATGGGACAAGAAGGCTGCAAAGCATCAAGCTCAATGCAGGAGAGACAGATGATGACGAGGGTGTCATACTGGCACATCGGCAGACCCGAGCGGCGCATGCATGCATGCGATACTTTTCTTTTTTTCGATGCCACTTACCGCCAGTCGCCGCGATTATCTCGGCGCAGCGGGGTGTTTTGTGTGCAACCACACCCCCCAAAAGTCGGAGTGGGGGCAGACAGGCACGATGGAGAGGTCCTGTAGTATTGTACTGTAATCCGTATGTATTGTATTATTATCGAATATTGCCGCCTATGATAATCTACAGGGCTGAGGATGTTACACCGAGCCAAGAGGGCGACTATTGCTGGGGCTTAGCGCCGCTAGGCAGCGAGAATAATTTCGCAGACTGACCGTGAGGATCTCCTCGGCATTGCGCATAAATTACAGGCTGAGCGGAGTCGCTCAACCATGGAAGACCTTGGCGCTGGTAGAGCGAGGATTCGTGGTACTCAGGTACTGTAAATTATCATGGTGAGGAATAAGAAATACACCTCATCTCGGATGCCTCCGGCACCTCATCTCCTGCCATAGTAGGAAATTTATTCCATTACATCCTACTCGATCATACAAGTTGCCGAAAAAGTTATCTGACTACCCACTTACTAGAATTATGGTACCTAAATGACACAGCTAACACTGCTTTGATTTTTCAGCGATCTTGGGTTGGTTACCTTCATCTATACGATCTGCGTGGATTGAAGGACCTGAAAGTCATGTGACCAAATGACTTTCTAAACAGTACATATTAGGCAGTAAGGCATTAAGTTTCCGATTATGGTAAGAGATGAGGTGTCCGTGGCCCCTGAATGGAGGTGGCGCCAGCAAAACCCCAACGTATCAATGTAACGAATCACGGACAGCGCAGTTTTCGAGGGGAAGATCACAGAATTTCTGGAATATTCATCGTTCTGTAGGTAATACCTACTAGGGTAGGTACAAAGTTGGGTACGTATACTCCATACTTGTTAGTTAGCCGAAACTCCGTTAAGGCCGTAAGGCGTGGGAAATGAGATGAGCTATTTTCGGGGAGCCAAGCCTGTATTGTAACTGGATGACGAGTTTCCTAGCACTCTATGGATTCCCAGAATTCACTGCGAGTTGCTTCCGTATGGTACGTGTACGGGCCGCACGTGTGGAGATCCGTGGCTCAGCCTTATGAAAAGGCATAGCCACAGGCTTGTTACCCTGATGGGTTGGACGCACCACTGTTTAGTTGTTGCCTGTGGCGGTGCTCTGCAGTTTTGTACTGCCGAGCCCTGAATAGAACAATAAGGGTGAGAAAGGCATGGGCATGCACGATCAAAGTGGGCAGCAGTGCAAGGCTGATGAGCTGCGCCTCGTCGTTCCGTAAAATTGCGACCATGTGGGGGCCGTTCCGTCAGCCCTGTGGCTCCGATGCAAAGGATCATTGGATTGGCATTACAACATGTACGCAGATGTACGTATGAAACTACCCCTCGATGATACATGATACGTGATCGCACCCTCTGATCTCCACTCTTCTGACTCTGAACTCGGTACGGACGAGTATCCTCAATGTAATTGATCCCATTACCGGAGGGACGGTACCAAACTTATAAAAAGGCCACGACCCCTCCTCCTCATCCCGCTCTCACATCATCAGCTCCTTCCTCCTTTCTCCATCGCTCATCACTTGAGTCTTCCATCCTCTTCTCCAAACCTTTCCATCTTCACACACATCAACATGTCTGGCTACGGCGATTACAACAACAACCAGGGCTACAACCAGGGTGGCTACGGCCAGCAGGGTCAGGGTTACCCCCAGCAGGGCTATGGTCAGCAGGGCGGCTACGGCCAGGACAACTATGGCCAGCACCAGCAACACCAGCAGCAGGGTCAGGGTTCTTCCAACGACTACTACTCTGGATCCCAACAGCCCCAGCATGGTCAGCAGCAGGGCTACGGCCAGCAGCAACAGCACCAGTACGGCGGCGAGCAACAGGGTTACAACCAGGACTACAACCGCTCTGGGTATGTTCATTCCCCACACTCCTCATCTTCGCGACATCACGCTAACAGTATTCCATAGATATGATCAGCAGCAGGCTCCCGGCCAGGCACAGGATGGCGAGCGTGGTCTCGCTGGTGCCCTCGCTGGCGGTGCCGCAGGTGGTTTCGCTGGCCACAAGGCCAACCACGGCATCCTCGGAACAATCGGTGGAGCCATCATCGGCAGCATCGCTGAGGACGCTCTCAAGAAGCACAAGCGCGATGCCAGCCCCGGTGGTCACCCCGGCGGTCCCTACGGTGGTCCCCCTCCCAGCCACAACGGCAGCAGCGGTGGCATGATGGACCAGCTCGGCGGCTTCTTCAAGAAGTAAACAGCTTGTCTTTCTACAGGCTCCATTTTCCGTTCTGTTTACCTTGACTCGCTTGTTCTCACCGTGATGACCCCGACACACTTATGAATTTCCTTCTATTGTCTTTAACGGGAATGGGCTGGTTTGCGCATGCTTTTGTATCCATTATTGCGATGTTCCTTCCTTTTCCATATTATGCTTAAATTTCATGTGTACCACGACCGTTTTGCATTGATATCAAGAAAGGGCTCCTAGTGGAGAATCAGAATTGCATCATTTAAACGCCATGATCGGCCTTTCCGTAGCTGTAAATAATGCACATAATCTTGCCATGCTTGGCAAACTTGCCAACTCGCCACATGAACGTGGGGCCGAGTCCGACCGCCCGTGACTCAATAGGGACTAGCGTGGATAGTGTGACTTTCAGGCCTCAGGCATCAGGCCAACCAACAGGCCATCTGCCAAGCCCGACAAAAGTTCGCGCGGACTTGCAATCTTGAACACGCTTCTTGCTCCGACTAAGCAACCACATCCAAAATGATTGTACGGAAGTTGTGTATGCGGCAGAGTGAGTATTCTCAAATTGCCCTATCATTGGATATATCAGGTTAAACTAACCATCTCAATTCTCTCAAGGCCGCCAACTACTGGCCCTGAACCGCCAGGCTCCGGCCTACACTCGATTCCTCTCCACAGAGACACCAGTTGACACGGCGGTGCAAGCACCGGAGTCAATCGCTTCTGCAGAGAACCCTCTTCACGAAGTCGTCCACGCATCAAGGAATAACGCACAACTCAATCCCCGACAGCAATGGGGTGAGCTGGAGAAGCGGAGTGAGGATCACCACACCCTTCCTTCGAAAAAAGCAGAGCCCAAACAGCTAACAACGTTCTCTCCTTTCTTCCAGGGCACAAATTCAACAACCTCGGCTCCGCCGTGCAAGAATCCTATGACCCCGAAAATATCATCCGCAATCCCCCCAAGCCCTCCGACGTCACCCTCGAGATGCTCCTCGCTGCCGGCACACACCTGGGCCACTCGACCTCGCGCTGGAACCCGCAGAACTCCCGGTACATCTTCGGTATCCGCGAAGGTGTGCACATAATATCCCTAGACGTTACGGCAGCCTACCTTCGTCGCGCGGCGAAGGTTGTCGAGGAAGTCGCCGCTCGTGGCGGTATCATCCTCTTCGCCGGTACCCGCAAGGGCCAGAAGCGCGCTGTCGTGCGAGCCGCCGAGCTAGCCAAGGGCTACCACATCTTTGAGCGGTGGATCCCCGGCTCGCTGACGAACGGACAGCAGATTCTGGGCCACTGTGAGACCAAGGTCGTTAACGCCATGGATGAGGAGTTACCCGAGTTCAAGGCCGATTTGGCGGATCGTCCGTCCGTGAAGCCGGATTTGGTGGTTGTGCTGAACCCATTGGAGAATGTGGTTCTGCTGCATGAGTGCGGATTGAATAATGTGCCTACTATTGGTGTTATTGATACCGATGCTGATCCCACCCGTGTCACCTACCCGATTCCTGCCAACGATGATACGCTCCGAGGAACTTGCTTGATTGCTGGGATTTTGGGACGCGCTGGTGAGGCTGGTCAGAAGAGGCGTTTGGAGATGGCTGCCCAGGGGAAGACGGACTATGAGCCTATTACGGCGCGCCAGTTGCGTTTGGATCCGCTTACGGGTCTGGCACCGCCTGGTTCAGAGTTGGATAAGGCGAAGCAGGCTTGAGCTTAGAGGCTTTGGTCTATCTTGGTGGGTTTTTGTGTGGAGATGAGCGCCGGGTTCCTGGCCTTGTATTGTATAGATGATTCCTCGCCTCGTGGGCGTTAGCACATCATGTATTAACAAGTCATATTTCTTTTGCTGTTTTAATTTCTTGCATGTTTCATTGATTGGGTCTAAAATATTACAATTCTCATTTCATCCGTCCATTCAACTATGAGACAAGATCATTCGTAGATACGATCATTTGTAGATCTAATAGTTCAAGTAGTTCTCATATTGGAATAGTCCTTTCAATCTATTCATCTATACAACCCAACCGTAGAACGTCTATCTATATTCATCAATGGCCCTGGCAAGAGCCATCCGCCACGAGTTTCATAATACAAAAAAATTCATAACCTTTTCCACCACTCAAGCCTTGACGGTATACACAGCCCGACCCCGAGAGTCCGTCTCCTTGAAAACAATCTCCTGGCCTGAGCTAGTGACAACACGACGAGTATCACCATTGTGCAGAATAACATCCAGCTCCTTCCAAGCAGGAACAAAGCCAGCGGTCTCATCCCGCTCAAAGTGTACCAAAACGGTCTCCGCAGTCGAGCTATAGCTGAGCGTGTACACCGCAGTCTTAGGCTCCTGCGAGATACCATCGTCCTCATACCAGGTGTTGCTGAACACGGCGCTGTACGAGCTACCCTGCGGCGGGAAAATCTCCACACCACGGTAGTCATCGATCTCCTTGACGCCCTGCGAGGCGGCGGTCTCGTCATCAAGGACACGGGTATGCACGTCCTTGCCGATGGGGATGGCACCGCCGATCTTGGCGAGGAGGGGAATACTCTCGCGCCACTGGGACTCGATCTCCACCCATTGGCCGGAGGCGAGGTAGTTGTATGGAGCATTCATGTTGACGAAGCCGTAGTCGAAGACATCGCCGGTCTTGCGGGGGAGGTAGACCTTTGCACTGGTGACGCCGGAGCGGTAGACGCCGCCGACGAGGATGCTATCGCCGAGCCAGAACTGCTCTTCGCCATCCTTGAGAGTCTTGTTGTTCCACACCTCTGGGTCGGACTCGTAGCCCCAACCGACCCAGCGCTGCACGGGGGAAGCGTTCTTGTGGCTCTCCAGACCGAGGGAGTAGATGTAGGGCAGGATCTCGTAGCGGCGCTTGATGGCGTCGCGGACTAGGTGGGTGATCTCGGGGTACATGAATGGCTCGATGACTTCGCCGACGGCGTTGTTGTCGGGGGAGGTCTTGAAGCAGTTGATTGCGAAGCGGGTGGACATGCAGCCTAGTTGGATCCAACGGAGGAGGAGCTCGGGGGAGGGCTGGGGGCCTTCGAAACCGCCAATGTCGTGTCCCTCGCACTATAGGGAATCATGGTTAGGTCTCTTGGAGTAATATTTCAGGTGGTTCGAGCATGATCTTACCTGTAGTAGGGAAATACCTGCGTTCAGAGACAGAGCGTTGGCACCCTTCATGTTCTCCCAGCTGGTGACATTATCACCACTCCAAGTGCTGGCGCAGTAGCGCATGGTACCGGGGGTAGCACTGCGGGTGAGGACGAAAGGCCGAACGTTGGGTTCCGCATCCAGCAGACCATCGTGGGAAGACTTGCCCATGAGCTCGGTATGCATGGCACGACCCCATTGACCGACGCTGTTCTCGGTAATCTTCTTCGCATCCTTGTTGACCATCGTCTCGTCCAGTGCCAAAGTCCAATCATCGCTGGGAAGCGTGTACTCATTGTTGTCATTCCACATGCCGTCAATGCCGACCTTCTTCAGGCTCTTTACACCCTCGAACCACCACTTGAAAGCGACCTCGGAGGTGAAATCAATGTGGCAGCCGTCACCACCGGTGGCACCACCGGCACTCCAAAGACGCATGTAACCAGGCTTGTCAGTCTCGGGATCGGTGAAGAAACCACGACCGTCGATCAGGCGCTGGAAATCAGGGTGGGAGGCGAGCAGGAAGGGCTTGATGTTGGTGATGAGACGAATACCATGCTCGTGCATTTTGGAAATCCAATCCTGGGGATCGGGGAAACGCTCGTTGTTCCAGGTGAAGACAGTGCGAACCTTGGGTTCCACAGCGGCAATGGAGTAACCGGAGGACATCTGGTGAGCAGAGCAAGGAATTCCGTGATGCTTGAGCTTTTCAGCAAACTCAAGCAATGCCTTGTCTGCGCCATCCAGCATGGTGTACTTGTAACCACCGGAGATATATCCGTAGGCCCAACGGGGAACCAGCAGTGGGAAACCAACCAGCTCAGCATATGAACGGACAACTTCCTTGATGGTCTTACCAACGATCATGTACTGCTCCAGACCGCCATAGTCCTGACGGTAGATCTTGAAGTGACCCCAGAGACCGTCAATCTCAGCGCCAACCGACCATGAGCCCCGGCCATGCGTAGTAGAGAACAAGGCAACACAGCCTTCCGGTGTGGCCTTGATTAGGAGAGGAATATGCTTGTAGAGAGGATCGGTTTTGTAAACATCGTAGCCGAAGCAGTCGGTAGCAGTGAGCTGGAAGTTGCGGCCAGTGAGGTCCATTGGCGCAGCCTTCTCACCCAGACCAACGTGGAGAGCATTGCGGTCATGCACGGAGTAGTGAGCAACACCCGGGCCGTCGGCGACGTATGACCGGAGAGGCAGATCGCGGTGTAGAGGCTTGTTGGAGCCTGACCAAGACAGAGAAACGACTGGTGTGTGCTCCCACTCCACCTTCGCGGTGACGCCGGCCACATCAATGGTCTTCCAGGTGGCTTCCTCCTTGGCGGAGATATTGAGGCCCTTGAGATCTGTCTCGGGCTTGGTAACGTTGGGGTAGGGAGGAATTGGGCGCTCTGCAGAGGAGAATGTCACCCGGAAGAGGTTTTGGCGAACGACCTCGAAGGAGAAGTCAAAGGCAGTTTTGCCGGAGGAGCTGCGGAGATGCACAGAGGCATCTTGTTGCGCGCTCGAGGCGACCTGTTGGTAGCCCTTCGGGCAGATCTCTCTTTGAGGCATGATTGGGATATAATTCGCGAGGAAACTTCACGAGGATTGAATTGAGATCAGACCAACCTGGCAGTCCAGTTTATTTGTAACATTGAGTGCAAAGCGTGTCTCGTCATTCCCCGCACCCGATTGTTGGAGAGCTTCGCAGACGTGGGGCAACTATACAGTCGGCGATCGGGGCTGATCTCCGAGGGGAGGCGGCGACTCTTCCCCAGACAAAATGCCTCAAAAGTGAAAATTGCTAAAGCAACGATAAGTTGTAGTAGTATTACAATCTTCTGTTCCATGAGTTTGAAACACCGAAATTTTTCAAAATCATGCTAGCACTTACCAATGTGACGGTATCGGTGCTGTCAAGAAAGATGAATCGAAAGACATTTACAAAGACCTTTTGAAAAAGATTATAAGAAATATCAAAGCATTAGTCGGTCTATTTCTCTGGGTTCTATGCTCAAACCTTTGAACTATGTACTCTAGTAACTATGCTATAACTATGATATGTACTCCCATTCCTTTACTACGTATCCCCGAATTAGCGATTCTACTTTCCCCAGACAAACGCTTCAAATTGCCACTACACCTTCCACGAAAGGATCTTCCAGAAGGGCTCAGGTGACCTCCAGACGGTGCCAGAGGATCACTAGAAAGCCCGATGGACCGATACCCAGTCGCAGACTCGCACTCGTCGACCGACTCTCCACAGCGTCCGCGTGAAGTGAGAAAATGGGGCCCCGGACCAGACAAGCCGAACCGGACCATACGAGACTCGCCCAGCCCGAAGCTAAAAACGCCAACATCCCCAACATCCAGAAACTTTCATCCGCCACGTGAATAGAGTCGGTTCTGCCAGCCGAACGCCGACAGCTAATCCTTCTCCAGTAATCCCGACTTCCCCGGCCTGCACCGTGCTAACCACCCTTGTGAATACCACGTCTAACATCTGACAACAGTCTCCGCTCGTAACAGCATTCATTGGTCCGATTAACGGAAGTTCCCCGGGACGGCAAAAAGCCTGCTTCCATTCGGGACTTGGACACTCGTGTGGACAAGCGGTTCAGCAAGTCGACAAGGATGATGCGGACGCATTAGAGTTCTCCAGACCGTCTCTGCCAGACATCGGACTTGGAGTGCGGTCGACCGGGGTGATCATAAACTGAGTTTCCCCACGGGGTGCGGCGAGCCCTAATAATCTTCCCCAGTGTTGATCCTTTCCGAGACTGATATAACTATTGCCTCTCACCCCTGCTTTTTTGAGAGGGCCATCGGGTGTCTCGTTCATCTCGAGAGTCTGTTGAATTCTGCTTGGTCATTCACGTTATTACCCTTTTGACAACCCGTTGCTCAGTCTAGCAATGTCGCACCCTGGAGAGATTTCCCAGTCGAAGGGTCAGCAGGATGAGTTTGTCGAGTCCATCGAAGCCGTGGAGGCTGGCAAGGCTACTCCAGCGGTGCATGGTGATGCCCGTCCCAAACAGGACCAGGCACTGCAGTTGATTGAACATGCAGGATACTCGACTACCCTGACGCCAGAGAACAACAAACGAGTCCTGCGTGAAATTGATCTGCGCTTGCTACCCATCCTTTTGTCAATCTACTTCCTCCAGCAGCTCGACAAGTCAACCCTCTCCTATGCGTCTGTCTTCGGCCTGGTCGAGAAAGCCCATCTTCATGGCAAGATGTACTCCTGGTTGGGATCAGTGGTCTACCTGGCCCAGCTGATCTTCCAGCCCCTGGTCTCCTATCTCCTGGTCAAAGTGCCCATGGGAAAGTTCATGGCTGCATCAGTCCTGCTTTGGGGTATTTCTCTGTCTTGCATGACAGCCGCCAATAGCTTTGCTGGCCTGTTGGTTTGCCGCATGTTCTTGGGTATCTTTGAGGCGGGCATTGGTAAGTCCATCTTCTTGGAATGAAAAATGCTTTGTCCCTAATTTTGGAACATCCAGCCCCGGCATTCATCGCCGTCACGCAGATGTGGTATCGACGACTCGAACAGCCCGTCAGACTGGGCTCTTGGTACGCAATGAATGGTGTGGTCAACATGGTGAGCTTTCTTTGGACACTTGAGTGATAGACATCAAAGCGGACACTAATACAGTCCATAGGTTGGAAGTTTGATCACTTATGGCCTGGGTCACATCAAGTCTTCGGTCTTTGAGCCCTACCAGGTAAGCTATGAGAAGAAAACTTTGGGAGAATAATCGCTCAGCTCATAACAGATCATCTTCCTGTTCTTTGGTCTCATCACTGTTGGTGTTTCCGTCGCTGTTCTGTAAGTAATACCGATCATATTGGCTTGTAACATAACTAACACCTCACTCAATAGCCTGTTCATGCCCGACTCCCCCACAACCGCCAAGTTCCTCAACGAAGAAGACAAGCTCGTCGCTATTGAGAGGTACATACCCAAATCGCTCACATCATGAATGTTTGCCAGAGGTGCCGTCACTGACAAATACCCAGACTGCGCATGAATCAGCAAGGTATCGAGAGCCACGAATGGAAATGGGACCATGTCAAGGAGGCCTGCTTAGATCTCAAGTCTTGGTTTTGGTTTGCCCTGATGTTTACCATTTCGTAAGAATCACTGACCACACCCACAAAATTGTGAAGTCATTAACCAGATCACAGCATTCCAAGCGGCGGAATTACTACCTTCGGTCCTCTTATTGTCAAGTCATTTGGTTTCAATTCCCTCAACACAATCCTGCTGAATGTGCCTTTTGGTGCTGTTCAGCTTGTTGCCACCATGGGTGGTGCTTGGTTAGCCACTTACTGGAAGAAGAAGGGTCCAGTTCTGGCGCTTCTTTGTCTTCCTCCCATTGCAGGCTGTGTGATGCTTTTGCATATCGCCCACAACGCCGCTCATAGGGGACCTCTTCTTGCGGGATACTATCTTGTGAGTGATTTGTGCTTTCGGAGGTTGCATTCTTCTCTTGCTTTTGCTAATCCTTGGTTCCTGAAAAATAGATCTCTGTCTACCCTGGTATTAGTAAGTTATTAAGTACCGATTGAGACTCCTATGGTTCTAATTATTTCTCAGCTCCTCTGGTCTACTCCTGGTCTGCTGCCAACACGGCCGGTGAGACGAAGAAGAAGGTCACCACAGGTATCCTTATTGTGGGACAGTGCGTGGGTAATGTATGTAGCGCTTCTCAACCCAACAACCAGGCATTCGAAAGGTTAATCGTGGAACTTTAGGTCGTTGGTCCCACTCTTTACACCACTGAGGAGGCACCTCTGTACCGCCGTGGACTGCTCTCCAAGTAAGTGCACAAGCAACGCTACCTCGGAACTAATACTGACATTCAATAGCCTCGCCCTGTTCTGTATTCTGTTCTGCTTGGTCCTGTACGTTTCCACCTCCCGATGGCTCACTATCTTTTATACTAACGATGCCTTTTAGTCTGAACATGGGATACCTCAGAATTCTCAACAAGAAGCACGAGCAGCAACGTGTTGCCGCCGGCAAGGAAGCCAAGGTGTTCGACCACTCTATGAACGAAGTTGGAGCCGCCCACACCGACAAGGAGGGCGTTCCCGTGCAAAGCGTAGCCAACGACAATGCGTTCAAGGACCTGACAGACTGGAAGAACGAAGACTTTGTATACGTATACTAGGTGTGATGTCACAAGCTACAACACAGGGAGCAGTCGGGCGGTGCGTGTAAGGTTCTGCAGATTTTCATACCAGCTGAACATTAATTTGATCTTTTGGCATTTGTACCACTACCAATTTCCAACTACAATAAACATTTCAAACCACTGTGAATCTCCGTGGTGGCGTTAGAGTCTATTATTCTAAGTTTTGCCCCAGAACGCCGTCGGCTTCTGCCCCAGCCGTTCTCCATTAGCCGACGTCGGGGCAATAGCCGAACCCCGCGTTTTCTTCTTCCCCAGTTTTCATGACATTCGGAGATCTCGGTGAGCACAATTTGACGCGCCCAAAGTGCATTCTGGGTCTAAATATGCAAGACGAAGACTCGTTGCATGTTGTTCCCGCGCCGATCGGCAAAAAGCGCATCCCTGTACGTGCTACAGCCTCCGGGCCTCGTGCTAGTCGGGATCGGGGGATCGGATGTACTAACGCCATCTCGGTTATAGAAAGCGTGCAGCGCTTGTCGACAGTCTAAAGTGAGTATTCAAATGGCATTTGGGCTAGTCTTTGGTATTGACTTGGTTATAGGTTAGATGCGACGGGGATCGTCCGTGTGGGAGGTGAGCATCACGAGGAATTGTATGAGTCAAATGCTAACATGTTTCCCAGATGCCAAAAGCTTGAGAAACAATGCGTCTTTTTCGAGATTCCCAAAGACCCCGTGTCAGAGTATGACTGCCCCGTTGGTCTAACTGTCTGACGTGAATATTTACTGACTCATCTGCAGGAGACTCGAAAGCGTCGAGTCGGAGATGCTATACCTGAGAAGACAATTGGATGATATGCGAGAGCTTTTGCAGCGAGCTTGCGCATCCCCGACCATGAACTCCCAGCATATGTCACCCCGACAAACACGAGAGCAGCCCAAGCAAGGCCGTGGGGACAGTGCATGTCCTTCGTCGTGCTCTCAACCCAGTCATTGCCCAGACAACAGCGGCGCTTTGATTCCCAATAACACTGGGTATGCAAATGGAGCAAGCCATACCACTTATCCACGATCTGTGCCAGATCTATCTCCAACTAGCGTTTCAGTACACCCACTCTACGGATCACCCCAGGCGGAGCGCAGAGGCCATAAAAGAAAGCGCTCCTGCTTCGAGATACGCGACGAGGCTGTGGCAGACTTCATTGATAAAGGGCTCATCACGCTTGACTGTGCCATTTCTTGTTTCAATACGTGAGTCAACATGAATCTCGATTGTGACACTGTTGATCTAACATGGCATTTGCTCTAGTTTCTTCGAAGGCTGCGTGAGCATCGATACTATATACGGTTTAAATCGCGACAGTCATTGATTATTTTTCTAAAACAGGATCGATATATACCCATTTTTGATCCCGAACATGACACATTCGACTCTGTCCGGGGCCGAAGTAGTATTCTCCTCAATGCTATCTGTACCATAGGCTGTATGGTTGAAACAAGTGAGTCCATTGGTACCCGACGCATCATAGATAAGGACTTTCGCTAATCCTTGATCTGAATAGAGTCTGGTGGGCCAATGTCCGACATACTGCATGCCGAACTGAAAAAATGGATCAACGTCATCATTCAGAACAAAGGCCTCAACTCTCTCGAATCCGTGCAAGCAATGCTGATAGTTGCCTGTTACTCCGGGGACCGCCTATTGATCCTCTCCTTTGCGACGCGAATGGCACTCGATCTTGGTCTCCATGAAGCATTCGAGGAACTTACAGAAAGACTTGCAATGAATAATGAAAATTCTTACGGTGTCCCAGACCATGACTTTGAAAGAGAGCGCGTGCTCATGCGCAAGTCCAGGACTTGGTTTGGACTGCTTGTGTTGGAGCATATGTCGGTTTTCTGAATATCCCTATGGCGTGCGCTTGCTGATGGTGTACGTTTTAGTTTCCGCGTGGATGCAGGTAAACCACCTGGGATCCGCCTTGTGGGTAATTCCCGTCGATGTCGGATACTATTGAGTAACCCGTCGTCAACTATTTTGGATCTTCGGCTGTTTTCGCAAGTTGAGGTATGTACCTTAATAACCCTTACCAGCGCCCCTTTTTTGGATAGTGCTGACATGAGCGTTTGTAGCTCAACATTCTCAGAGGTAGGACTTGACCTCATTCATATCCGTCATATCTACTCTGACCAAAGCCCCGCACAGCAACCATCAATGATACATTAGGTCCAGAGACCACCCTTGACAGGCAAGGGATCTCAGACTTTGTACATGAGATGAAGATCGATCTCGATTTGTGGTTTGAGTAAGTCATCCAGGGATATTATCTTTACTATATGATGCTAACCTCAGGGAGTGACTGGTTACGAACAATCGGTAAGTACTGTTTGCTATGTACTCATGTTGCAAATGCACTAATATTATTACAGAGGGTTGTATCCCAGCTCAACAAGAGAAACCATATCTTCTCGTTGCCCTCCGTGTCCAGAAATGTTGGGCCGAGATGATGTTAAACTGCAAAGCACTTCGGGCAATGGGCGTGGAGAATGTAGCGTATGTATTGTCTACTTTGACGTTACAAAACACCGATCGCACAATGTGAATAGTAGTAACTAACTGAGCGATCGATTCAAGTGCCATGACCGTCACCGAGCGCCATATTCTCCTCGCCGCCAAAGCCGCCGCCCGAAGACATCTCCGCCTCATCATCGTCGAGCCCGAATTCTACCTAGCCAAACTAAAATATGCCATGGATTTTGTATGGGCAAAATGCGCATTCTCCTTCTTACTTCTCCTCAAACTTTCACGTCTTCTCCCGGAGCGAGAAGGAGAGCACCATGAGCTGCTGGAATACGGCGGGACACTTGTCGAAGAACTCAGCAAAGCGGGTTCACATAACCATCAATCTGGTGCAGGCAACATTTATCTTCAAATTCTCAAAGTTAGCATCGAGAAATACGGGCGGGCGTTGCAAGAGTCTCAACAGCCTAGTACGGGTGGGTCGAGCGGTACGTCGCCGTTTTGGGAGCTGTTCGATGCGCAGGCGGATCTGCAGTGGTTTATGCCTGAGCAGTTTGTTTCGGAGTGGGATTTCCCGGGGTTGAATCTTTTTTATTTTCCTACTGCGATGCAAGATTTCTTTGGAGATTTCTCATTGGCTATGTGAGTTAGTGGTGGATGGGGCCATATTCTAAACTAGGTCTGGACTAGGTAGCGGTGTTTCAACTTCCACTTGATAGTTATGCAATTTTTAATTTTCTAGAATCCTGTGGCAGGTTCATGTTTAGGTAACCCTTCTAGGGTCTGCTGCGGCGCATATATAGATATGCCGAGTGTAATACAAAAAGGGTCCATTGGAAGATGACAGACTAGTCACAAAAAAATGAAAAATCTATATAGTAAAATCGAAGGATAAAATGGAACGGACGAAAATTCTTAATCGAGTCACGAAACAGTCTACCCCCGGCTCCTCATACCAGATGCCAATTGTTACAGATAAGTGTAATCTCTAGATCCCAGGTGAATGTTGAACTTTTTTTGTGGCGCTCGACCAATTTCTCATAGTGGATGGATGGGTGTTGTTGGTATCATAGCTTCAAGTCGCAAATAAGAAGGCAAATTATGTTTTATCACGATCAGCGGATTAACCCAGAGCCTTCATGGCAAGTTCGACACTGTAGAACGTTAGTACTCAATGGTCCACAAGAGGAAGGAAAAATTCTCTGGCACTTACACAACGAAAGTACCGGCTGAGACGGGCATAGCTCTCAGCAGGGTCGGGCCAATACCCTTCCAGAAACCACCCAAGCCCTCAACGGCATAGGTCTTCTTGAAGCAGTCGCGCATGCTGGCAAACTGCTGAGTAGCACCGAACCCGTCGGTCTGCATCTTACTCTTGACCACGTCGAAGGGGTAGCTAGACAACCACAGAGCCTCACCAGCCAGACCACCGTAGGTGGCCACCTTGATAGCAGAGATATCCTCGCGCTTGACGTTGTTGCGCTTGGCATCCATGTTCATCATGTACTCGAAAGCCATGAACCAGGTACCGTAGGCCATAGCCTCACGCAGGACGGTGACGGCCTGGCCGCGGTAGAGACCACGCAGGGCACCTCCCTGAGCAGCGAGCTTCTGCACGCAGTCAATGGGACCCGAGTACAGGCGGCCAGCGCCGTGGGGCTGGGCCTGAAGGCGGATACGGACATGCTCAATCGGGCCCGAGAGCACAGAGTTGGTCACACCGGCAAACGAACCGGCCAACCAGTACTGGCCGTATGAGAGCGCGCTGTCGGCATACTTCTTCTTATTCAGCTCCTCCAGCTTGCGGCGAGCCTGGTGGAAAGCACCGAATTGCACACTGACCTATGGAAGGAGTTAGATGAGTGGGCCGTGGGAACTCTCGGGGAATTGACACTTACGCAGGCGCCGATTCCGATCAGGGGAGTCAGGGTACCCTTATAGAATGCAGCGGGACCCTCCTTCTTGAAGATCTGGGTCGCGCAGTCCAGAGCACTCTTATACTGAGAGGTGGTTTGCAGGCGGACCTTTACGATATCTGGGCCATTGGGGTTAGACAGGCTTCACTGTGGGGAAGTCAATTGTGTGCCGAGGGACACAAACCAAAGGGTTGTCCTGTAATTGAGTGAGTTAGCAATTGAATACATGAGATGAATCTCAAATAATAGTATCAAGGGCGAGGTGACATCCAATGCAACTTGCGCTTCATCAGATGGTTCTTGTCTTTCCCCGGAGTGCAGCACACTTACCCAGCAGAACCTGAGCCATGCCACCAGCAGCGCCCGCGGCCAAGTCCTTGACGGTGCGGAGAGCATCGTGGCTCTTCTCCAGATCGTCGAATGCTTCAGACTCCATGGCTACAGACCAATCGGATGATATGTCGAAATTGAAATAAGAGACAAGTTTCTCCGGATCTCTCCAGGTTCGAACGTTTATATCAGGAACCAGGGACACTCTTATCGTGATGGCGCCATCTGCCCTCTGATTCGCACGCAGCGCCGACTTCTTTGGGCGGGAAAACGGGGGTCTTTGCCGTCGGGAAACTTACGTAAGCCGGCAAAAAAACATTCGACAAGAAAGTGGAGTCGCAAGTTGCTTGGAGATTCGTTGGTTTACGAACTGGATCTCGCTGGATTTCATTGGAATCCGATGAGGAAGGCTTGTTGCTATTATCGCTATGCACCGCCGAGTAGTCTGGAGGGTATGATCTCTTCTCCGCAATTCCCCTTCCTCGGATTATGTCTGATCGTTGTCTAGCTCTCGCGCCGCGTTGATTTATCGACATCCACCACTCTATCCTCCCCGATTCTACCATCTTCACGGACATTTCGGTCCTCCGCAAGCCGGTTAAACTCTGAGAATGGCGCTGGAGATGGGAATAGTGATGGCGCAGCTCCAAGCGCACCATCGCCAGCGCCCAAGTTTGGAAACCGATGGGGCGCCAGACAGGCATCCAAGCCAACTGGCCTAAGCCCAGCGGAACAGGCCTTGCGCGATGCCATCATGGCCAGGAGTAAACCGCCTCCTCCTCCACCAGAAGCTCCGAAAGGTCCAGATCCCGAAAAAAGAATCCCAGGCACGCAATTCTACGTCAACAGCCAAGGCAAGCAAGCCTTCGCCCGCTCCGCGAACCATCCCGTCGACCACCAGCACTTGCACAACAGAGTCGCCCGACATTTGAGGGGTTCCTCCCGAACAGAAAACAGACCATCTCGAGGCAATCGTGAGTGGACTTGTCAAAGTTGCAACAAGGTCGTCTTTGCGAAGCATAAGGTTTGTCCGTTCTGCCAAACAGCGCGACAGGATGCTCCTCGACCACCCAGACAGGAACAGCAACCAAAGAAAAAGGACTGGGATTGTCCTGACTGCGGACATTTTAACTTTGCAAGGCGGGACGCATGTACCTCATGTGGTAACCCCAGGCCCGACGCGCAACCTTCGGAGACAAGTACATCGAGGAGGGAGTCAACACGCACTGGCAAGCTGCACAGTCTCGGCCAGTCTATTCTTGCTGAGGCCGGCGAAGAAAATTCGTCCTCAGCTTGGGGATCACGAAAAACTCAAAATGATCGGACAAGTCGGCACGGGGCACCAACCAGGATATCGCAAAGTGAAGGCCGCGAAAGCCGTGGGCAAGATGAGACAAAGAAGGACCGGAAGGTTGAAGAGAAAAACGAGAAAGAGAAAGAACTCGACAAGAAGGATCAATGGTCTTGGGATATGTCTGCCTTGGATCAGCTGCAATCTATGGAAGCGCCACCAACACCTGTCGATGTGCAGAAGAAACCCAAGAAACGCGATGGACGGAAGGACCGTGGATCATCCGAGGAGGGTGATTTTGATCCCGAGGACCGTAAGCGTCGTCGCGACAAGCGCCAGAAGAAGGCGAAGGAGGAGGTTACGGCTACTCCCCTTCACCTGCCCGAGTTCATCAGTGTCAGTAATTTGGCCGATGTCATCGGCGTGCGACAGGCCGAGTTCGTGGCCCGCATGGAAGATATGGGCTTTGAGGACGTGACCTATAACCATGTCTTGGACGCTGAGACCGCCGGTCTGGTGGCCGCCGAGTTCAACTATGAAGCCATTTTCGACACTGGGGCTGATGATATTGAGGCCGCACCGGTGCCCGAAGATGCATCTGATTTGCCCCCTCGCCCGCCGGTCGTGACGATTATGGGTCACGTTGACCACGGTAAAACCACTATCCTGGATTGGCTGCGAAAGTCGTCAGTGGCAGCCACTGAGCACGGTGGTATCACCCAGCACATTGGTGCCTTCTCTGTGGCGATGCCCTCTGGAAAGACAATCACCTTCTTGGACACCCCCGGCCATTCTGCATTCTTGGAAATGCGTAAGCGTGGTGCTGATGTGACTGATATTGTCGTTCTCGTCGTGGCCGCGGATGACAGTGTCAAGCCGCAGACCATCGAGGCTATTAAGCATGCCACGCAAGCCAACGTTCCTATCATCGTTGCGATCAGTAAAATTGACAAGGAAGGCCGCAACCCCGAGCGGGTAAAGCAAGATCTCTCGGTCCACGGCGTTCATGTTGAAGACTACGGTGGTGATGTTCAAGCAATTGGTGTGAGCGGTAAGACGGGCGAGGGCATGATCGAGCTCGAGGAGGCCATTGGTGTCCTCTCTGAGATGCAGGACCACCGTGCTGACACGGCCTGCAACGCTGAAGGCTGGGTCATCGAGGCGACCACCAAGAGCTACGGTCGCGTGGCTTCTGCTCTTATCCGTCGCGGTACCCTCCGGCCTGGCGATGTGATTGTTGCTGGTCAAACTTGGGCTCGCGTGCGCACCCTTCGCAATGAAGCTGGTCTGTCGATCGATGAAGCTACTCCTGGCATGCCGGTCGAGATTGACGGCTGGAGAGATCAGCCAGTCGCTGGAACGGAGATTCTGCAGGCCCCAACTGAGCAGAAGGCCAAGGACGTTGTGGCATATCGCCAGGATCGTGCAGACACCCAAAAGCTGGGTGAGGATATGGTTGCCATCAACGAGGCTCGACGTGAGCTTCTTGAAAAACGCAGACAGGAAGATCAAGACTCGGATGACGCTGCCAGCGCCCCTGTCGAGGCGTCCGGCCCCAAGGCAATCAACTTCATTATCAAGGCCGATGTAGACGGCTCCGCCGAGGCCGTTCTCAACTCAATCGCTGCTGTTGGCAACAACGAAGTTTACGCAAACATCTTGCGCTCTGGTGTTGGCCCCGTAACCGAGTTCGATATTGAACACGCAGCCAGCGCCAAGGGTAAGATCATTTCGTTCAACATGCCCATCGACCCCAACATGTCACGCCTCGCCGAACAGGAGTCTGTGACAATCATGGATCACAACATCATCTATAAGCTCATCGACGACGTGAAGGACGTTCTGAGCGAGCATCTGGCGCCTACCGTGACTCAGCGTGTGACGGGTGAAGCCGAAGTTGGTCAAATTTTCGAGATCACCGTCAAGGGTCGCGACAAGACGTCTATCGCTGGATGTCGTGTGCGTAACGGTTTGGTCAACAAGACTAAGAAGGTCCGAGTGATCCGCGGCAACCAGACCGTCTATGATGGTAAGAAAACCCTCCATATACCGAACTATCTAGAGCTATATCTAACCTCAATATCTAGGCACCATGACCTCGCTGAAGAACGTCAAGAAGGACGTTACCGAAATGCGCAAGGACACTGAGTGTGGTATCGCTTTCGACGGCTGGACCGACTTTGCTGTCGGCGATCACATCCAGTGCTACGAAGAGATCTTTGAAAAGCGTCATCTGTGAGATGATCATTGATGCTCTTTCTTTTCACAAGCTTCATGCGACTCTCTGTCGCTGTATTTTTAGACTTCGGTCCCCCTTTCCCCCTTCTCTCCTGTCTTTTTCACCTTCATCTTGTACCTATATACATGCCTTGCATCTTGGGATCGGGCGTTGTTCCATTTACACTACACCATTTGCTGGAAACAGTCACGCTTGATATGGAGATAGATGCAATCATAATACATGTACAGTATTTAGACATCATGAACTTCGTATAGCAAATTTCCTTACACGATGTGATGCACCAACACCCACATATTTAGATGCTCTCCCGGAGTCCCTACTTCGCCTTCCACCTTACTCTACCAACCCACTTCGCCCAATCCTGTACATCCCCCCTCTCCATAATCAAATCGACCGTAAAATACTCCCTCGCCAACTCCTCATTAGTCGCCATCCGATGCACAAAGCTATGGCAAGCCCGACACAACCACGCAACACTATTCAGCGTCCACTCATCATGCCACCCCCTCTTCAGCACCTTCGCATGCACACCCCGAGGAATAAGATGATGATACGACAGCGGGATCCAATCGCGCTCGCAAATCTCGCATGCCTCTGTGCGCGTGGTGCTCCAAACCGGCGGCGCGCTGGTCACACTTGTAGTATACTCGCTGAGAACTGGGGACAGGAATTCGGGGAGTTCGTTCGCGTCTGGGATTAGACCGTAGACGGAGAGGGTGTCGGGCACTGTTACTGGGATGGGGGAGCAGAGGGTGTCGAGGGTGGTGCGATCGAGGGGTATGTCTGCGTCTGCGGGGACATAGAGCGATGCTAAGTGCTCGTCGTGCTGGATTGCTGCGTATGAGAGTGTTTGGAGGGACTCTGGGAAGGAGGTGAAGGTTTCTGTAGCGATGAACTGGGACGAGCATGCGCGTTAGCTATGGAGATTCGTTGGGACGCGACTGAGGCAGAATCTGGAGATAATCAAGCTTCAAGGGTATTTACATCAACAAATTCAGCTAGTTCCTCTGGATCAACTCGCTCAGGTAGCCCAGAGTCGACCTCGAAGGTCGCTTCTTTGCGACCATTGCGCTTGGCCTTTGGTCGCCGTTTGCCGGTCTTCGGTTTCTCGGATCGGGCGACAATCGCGCTCGAGAGACATTCTCGGAAGACGCTATAGTTGTCATCGGAGGTCATTGGATAGTATTGTAGTCATGACCTTCGGCCTAGAGCTCATGGGGTAGCTCGTTGGCCTTGGTGAATGCGGAAGTGATGGAGAAGGTTGCCCCGCGGCGGAAAGATTGACATCATTGCTTCTTCTCCCTTGCTTCGGGAAGGTTGGAGAATATTGGAGAGAATTGGAGGTTTCACTGAAGCTACAGTCCAAAGATGAATTCTGAATTTCTACAGTCTGTGACATAGTATTATGCTCAGTTCAAGCAACGTCTTATACTCGCGATGAGGAGGCTAAAGAAAAATTGTCTTTCTTAATATTGGGAACACAAATCGTAGGCGAAATATCTTGCAAAAAGAACAACATCATTATCAAACGCCATATATTCTTGTGTAAGTCTCAGCTTGTATTCTCCTTCTCAATCATCACTGTCCTGTTTCATGTATGCCTTGATGTAAAACTGCGCAAACAGGTAGATCAAGGGAATAATATAGATGCTCGTAACGATAATGGTGAAGGCTTCCCCACTGTCACTCAAGCATGAGACTGCACTTTCACTTGTCGACATCTTGATTTGCAAGCCCTTGCGGATATTATCGTGGCTCTTGCCCGAGTCCAATCTCGGTGTGGATCCATTGTTGATACTTCCTGCAGTCACATCCAATGGAACCTTGTAACTCATAAACAAGTATGTGTACCCCCAGATCCAGCCGACAAAGAATTGTGCAAGTTGAAGCTTTGTCAGGGTGCGTTTGAAGCCCACAGGGACATAGATACCGAGTGTTTGAATTGTAAAGTACGTGTACTAAAAAGAAGCGACAGTCATGTTCTGTTAGCATGGCATCTTCAAGTAAGGCAGATGGATGTTCGAGAGTAGCCGCCGGGGAGATCAAATTACCATCAATGTATGGATTGCCGAGTTCAAAACTACACCAATAGCTCCCAAGGGGGACTCATATAGCACTGTTGCCCACCCACATATGATCACTCCAGCATGGTGGTATGTTTGCAACGTTGAGCTTTTCTTCCCTCGCGCAAGGATGATCAGCGTATCTACGACTTCGTAGAACTTGCTCATATAGAAGAGCCAGCCGACGTAGCTGCCTCCTGCTTCCCATAGGCTTTTGGATATTGGCAGGACTAGTGGATATTTTGTCAGATGGTTTATCGTCTTCAACTTCAAAGAAGTGATGATGGCCAGCTTTATGATAGACCATACCTCGATATGCATTGGAGTCCGTTTCACAGAGCAATTCCGCCACATGAGCGTAATAATTAGGACCCGCGTTGGCGACAGCCACGTCCCAAAGGGGCAATATGATCGTAAAGAGCGAGCAAAAAGTCCATGCTGAAAAGAGAGCAAGGAGTGCATTATGCGCCACAACCAGGGCCTTGAATGCGGAAGTTTTGGTGAAACGCCATGGCCGATATTGCCGACTGGCGTTGAATTTATTTAAGTAAAGAACCGTAGTGACATATATCGCCGTGAAAGTGAGGACAAACTTGATGTCAAGGGAAGTATAAAATATATCAGGGTCAATACGTATCCGCTGAAACAGCGAATTCGCCAATACATGCGAAGGCACGCTGGGCGGAGGCCGTGGTATCGGCTTGTAAGGCTGGCTTGGAGGAAGACTGAAAAGCTTCAAAGATGGAAAGCCGAAGTTGATCGGACTATGAGCTGAGAAAATATCCATATTGACGGAGACTTCTCAGTTCGGTTCAGAAAATGATCTTCATTGGAGGGGATATTCTCACTCTATGTAACAAGGCTTTATATACTAAACCATCTTATCAGGGCCCCTCATCAGATAGGAGCCAGGTGAAAAAAGCAAACATACTTCATGATGTACAATGAGGGGCTCGCTGTCGTGTGATGTAGATCATGAAGAAATGTTTGCGCTATTGGCTTTCCCATGCTCTAGTCAATTCTGCAAGCAAGTTATGGACTATTGTGACTTGGCTTGCAGGGTCACGTAAATCTCTTAGGTAGATTTGTGTATAGATGGGAAGTTGAACATGCTTCGCTGCCCCGCTATACACCTCGAGCATACAAGAACTGGCTCTTATGTACTCCCATCACATATTTTACTTTTGTCCATATCTCAGCCAGCCATCTTGCAGGCTATTGAAGTTTGTTCATGCATGAGTACATCATACTTGATCGAGATCGACGATCCGGAACTGAATTGTCATGGTATGGCTTGATAATATCACCTACGGTATATTGCTCGTCTAACGGTCGGCTATTTTGCCATACCTTGGTGTGTGACTGTGATGCGCTCGTATCACCTCCTTAAGCAAGACCCAGTCACACTTGGAAAACTTGTTGAGAGCCGGTTTACTCCTTGTGTCTCAGCTGAGATATGTCGATTAATTGACACGATCGTTAAGGGCTGATGGTTATATTGAATTCGTTAACCCTCGCACAGCGGTGCTGACATATAGTATTATCTTTTTTTTATCAAGATATTGAATCACGAAGAAAATTGAGAATGGAGCAACCTACTATAGAGCCATCGAGGCTCTTGCCTTCGAAGAAAATGAGTTATGTCTCCGACATGAATCATACTTTGTCAACGACCAGCAAAAGCTCAGTCGTCACCATATTACGCTCGCTTAACTGGCCAAAGACGATCTTTCTCGTTGGGATTCCCTTAGCTGCTACAATCAGTCTGCACTGGATTCCTCTTCGTAAGGAGACCTTCTGGGTTGGGCTCGCCTATGCCTATATTCGAGCTCTCACTGTTACCGCTGGTGTGTTTTCCCGAAAATCATCTACATTCTATAGCGTTTGTGCACAGACCTAACAAGACTTTTATAGGCTATCATCGCCTCTGGGCGCATAGATCCTATTTAGCCAGCACGCCCCTCAAGATCATTTTTGCCATTATCGGGGCTGGTGCTGGCCAAGACACTATTAAGAAATGGTGTCGTGATCACCGGGCCCATCATCGCTACGTTGATACCGACAAGGATCCATATAGCATGTCGAAAGGATTCTTTCATGCCCATATAGGTTGGGTTTTATTCGAACAGAGTGACCCCGTTCGTGGAGTCCTGGCTACTGGCCGTGTGGATATCAGTGACCTCCGATCAGACCCCGTCGTGATATGGCAGCGGAAGTACTATTTGATACTGTTGTTTCTTGCGGGCTACCTTGCCCCTACACTATACTGCGGTCTATTGTATGATGATTATCTCGGGGGCTTCGTCTTCGCAGGCTGCATTGCGACGGCCCTGCAACAACAAGGCACGTTCTGCGTTAATTCGGTGGCTCATTGGTATGGGTCTCAGCCTTATTCAACCGACAAAACTCCAAAAGACCACCCTTTGACTGGCTTACTAACCCTTGGAGAGGGATATCATAATTTCCATCACGAGTTCCCAATCGACTATCGGAATGGAGTTCGTTGGCATGACTTTGATCCAACCAAATGGGTAATCTGGTTATGTGCTCAGTTCGGTCTGGCCACTAATCTACGACGCTTCCCACAAAATGAGATTGAAAAGGGGAGAATTCAGCGGAGAAGAGAGAAGTTGGATGAGGAAAGCGAGAAGGTGGATTGGGGCGTGCCGCTTGAAGAACTCCCGGTTATGGAATGGGAAGAATTCCAGCAACAGGCAAGGACAGGATGCAATCTGATTGTCATCAGAGGGGCTGTACACGATGTTTCGGCATTTGTGACGGAGCATCCGGGAGGTGCAGCAATGATTACGGGTGCAATAGGCAAGGATGCAACGGAGATGTTCGAAGGGGGCGTTTACGGCCATTCGAATGCAGCCTCCAATCTCTTAGATACTATGAGAATAGCAGCAATCAAGAAGGAAGCTAATGTGGAGTAGAGACAGAGGATAAGAATGGATAACTCAGTTTCGGTTCAAGATAACTATACTACTACGAATGCATACTATTGAATGATATCAATGTTACAATAGGGAAGAAGATTATTCAAATCAACCTGTGTAATTCTACGAAAGTATCAGAACTAGCGAATGGAAGAGAGAGTGTGTGGAAATTTTTATTAAAAAAAATTCAAATGCATAGCCTTCTTTGAGACTCTTCAGACAAAGCAATTGATGATCGGCTCTTCAGGCTCAATAGATCGTCACCCATTGCCCCCGTCATGATCGTCACAACTAAGGCTGCCTGTCGATAATTCACTCATCCAAAAATTTGACATACGGGGCTTGAGGATGTGCAGCTCGCTGCATTTTCATCACATCGCTCTGACATACTGGATTTGACACGGAAGACTGAAGGTAATCCGGGGTCACTTGATCCAATCCACGTGCATATCAGCCCCATCGCGCGCAGAACGAGAACGAGTGTTCGGCAATAAGACTAGGCACATATTGATCATTTGAGGTTTGTTGCAGGAGTCCGATCTGCATACCTTTCAGCTGGCCCACGAATTCTTTGCTTTTTGCATGCGTGATGCTTCACTTCGGGGTTGTAAGATGAAGCTCATAATGCAGGAAAAGTTGCATCCCAAAATGAAGCAGTGATCGACGTTCTTGCATCACTTTCATGTCGAGGGCTTCAAGTCATATCCGCCCACCTCTACAGACAATTCATTGTCTCTTTTCTGTTTGAGGATCTCTCTTTGGGCTGTTGAAGTAGATTCCGCATCTTCCCAGTTCCGTATCATGCCCAGTGTAGCTTGAGAAGCTTACACCTGATCAACGAAATTATCACCTTGAGGTGCAGAAACCGTGTTCTCTGGCAACATTTTGCTGAATTAATATCCTATCCCTACTGAGACACATCTCGACCTATATAGTGTGTTCTCTATCGCCGCCCAGGCCAAAATCTCTTTGTGGATAAACACCCCGGTCACTACTATCTATCTGTCACTCTCACAGAGCTGCTAAGAAAGTCTCAATCATTTCATGCCTCATGAAATGAAGCTCATGAATACTGCCACTACCACATGCCTCCTAGGGGCTGCTGGTGCCTGTTGTTTCTATATTGTCATAAAACGTCTTGTCTTCCACCCTTTAGCCGGCTTTCCCGGGCCACGTCTAGCCGCAATCACTCGCTGGTATGAAGCATACTTTGACGTCCTGCGTGGAGGCCAGTTTATGTATGAAATTCAGCGGCTCCATAAAATCTACGGGCCTGTCGTGCGCATTGGTCCTAACGAGATTCATGTCAACGATCCCGACTTTTACGACACGTTGTATGCAGGGCCAACTCGACGTCGCGATAAAGACCCGTGGTTTCTATCTTCAATTGCACCTGGCATGTCATTCGCTGCGAGTAACTATGACCATCATCGTGCTCGACGTGGCGGCCTGAGCCCTTTCTTTTCTAAGGCAGCCGTTAGAGGATGGGAACCTGTGATTCACGAAAATATAGGACTTCTTTGTCAACATTTTCGACTAGCAAAAGGAACTGGCCAACTGTTGGAGTTACACACCTGCTTTGTCAACTTCGCCGTTGACACTGTCTCTCAGTACGTGTTTGGTAAGAACTCCGGGTTCGACACACTTAAGGAACCCATACTTGGGGAGAAATGGAAGAAGGGAGTGAATGGTATATTCGAGCTACTCTTGCTTGTTCGTCATGTTCCTTTGATGTATTTCTTCTCCAGAATTTTTCCCGTGTGGTTCTCGCGTTTGTTCTTTCCCAAATTCGGCCACGCTGCTGCAATCGAGCGGGTATGCTATTGCTATCTCCTAAACCCAAACGGCAGCAAATTGTTTGTGCTGAATCCAAATTTCTTCGTAGGACATCGAAAAACACACTCGAAAAGTCTACAATAGTCATAGTGCTACCCAAACTTCTATCATCGACCATCTTTTACGCAATGACAGACTTCCGCCAGCAGAGCGCACTTTAGCCCGGCTGACTGACGAGGCTAAATTCCTGCTAGTAGCAGGCACTGATGCACCCTCTCAGGTGATGGCAATTACAATATACCACGTTCTCAGCAATGTGACAATCTACAACTTGCTCCAAGCGGAGCTGCAGGCTGCTTCACCTGATGCGAGTGTGTATGCATCATGGAGTGATCTCGAGCGGTTGCCATATCTTGTCAGTCTATTCTGTTCAGCAAACTGGTGGCAAAGAACTAAACAGAACTAGACTGCAGTCATTTCAGAAGGGCTTCGGCTTTCTGCAGTAGTGACCTCGCGTCTTCCTCGCATCGCCCCAGACGAGGATTTGGTCTGCCACAGCTGGCGGATTCCCGCGGGCGTAAGCTCTTTCCCCGGTATAGGAAGGTATCGAATGACTACTAATCGTTGAGCACATCTCTATATTGTAGACTTCTATCAGCATGTCAAATCACTTCGTCCTCCGCGATGCCACCATCTTTCCCGACCCCTTAACCTTCCATCCTGAACGGTGGTTATCATCATCATCCACTTTAAGCCGGTATCTCGTGCCATTTTCGAAAGGCAGCCAGGGCTGCTTGGGGCCGAAGTAGGTTATCCACATAATCACTCTTCTCAGAGTATGATAGAAATCAACTGACCCAACCAGCATGGCTCACTCCTGGCTCTATATAGGGCTTGCTACTCTTCTGCGCCGGTTCACGCTGGAACTCGTTGACACGGACGAGAGCAATGTGACTATTGTCCGTGATTGTTTCAATGGTCAAACACCCGCTGGTAAGAATCGCATTCTAGTGAAAGTTTGTTAGAAAGTAATAGAAAGTCAGAATAAGATGGGATGAAGGCTATATCGCGAAGTCCAAAGTGGTCGTTTCGAGGTCTTTATCCAAAGACTACCACCTAGGGTAAAAACAGCCGCATAGATGTCTTCTCTTCTGAATAATCTTTCCAAATGTCTTTCGGATCATTCTCCTCGGTGTGATTTCAAAGGTTGTCTTTGGAAATATTTCCCCGTACACGGTCTGACGGCTAGCGATAAACCAACACAATATATATACAGTCTGCAAGGGCAAATGAAACCAATGACAACCTTATGGATCACAGGTAGAACCCCAGGTCGAGCCTCGTGAAACACTTGTAAAGACTGATGGGAATCCTATGACGAGCAAAATGGGAGCCTGCTGCTCATGGATATCATGCCTTTCACCCTTGATGTAGTTATGATGACATCATCTGTTGGTCTTGCAATTATCGCAGTCTCTATTCGTAGGAGAAGCTTTTGATGGGGAAGCCTGAGATGAAATATTTCATCCCATCGCTAGCTTTGTTTAAAATTAAATTCCGAGATTGGTCACTGTTGTTTTGAGGTGATTGTACCGAGGGATTAAACGCGCGCGGGGTCAAGCAGGAATATCTTGTAAAATAGCCTTCCGGCCAGGCATCTATCGCTGGCAACCAATCTTTTCCAACACTGCCCAATAATCAACATGGCAGGCAAGACAGTCGTGGCACTTGACCTCTATGGCACTTTGTTGTCAACAGAGTCCATTGCCAACCAGCTAGCGAGCCATTTCGAGGCTACCAAGGCCCAAGCCATCTCCGCACTCTGGCGGAGGTACCAGCTCGAATACACATGGCGACTCAACAGCATGGGTAAGCACCATCTGCTTTAACGTGCACGCGCGCACTAGTTGACAATCCTTAGAGCGCTACGAGGATTTCTCCAGCGTCACTCGGAATGCATTGCTTCATGCGCTAGCTGAGAGCGAAGAGCAGTTGAGCGACAGCAAGATCGCCAATCTAATGGAGGCCTACGATAGCCTGTCTATATTTCCCGACGTGAACCCAGCACTAGGCCGAATTGCAGCCGATCCTACTATCCACGCCGTGGTATTTTCCAACGGATCGAGATCAATGGTCTCCAACTCGATCTTACGGTCAAGGAACCTTGCTCCCCATGCCAGTGTGTTCCAAGACCTGATTACCGTCGACGATGTCCAGCGGTACAAGCCATCGCGAGCTAGCTATCAACACCTTGCCGAGAAAGTCGGGAAGCAGCCATCGGAGATAAACGAGCTGTGGCTCATCAGCGGCAACCCGTTCGACGTCGTGGGCGCGCGTAGCATGGGAATGAACGCGATCTGGGTTGATCGGGCTGGCAAGGGGTGGCAGGATGCTGCTGTGCCAAATCTACGGCCTTCGGCCATTGTACGTAGCCTGGAGCATATCGTGGACACGATCAAGGGCCGTCGCGAGTGACGAGAGAGAGGTCCAGTCCAAACGGGTTAAAAGGAATCACTCAAGCACCCAAGGGGGAAAAGGAATGTACAGCTGAAGAATTATTTCCAAACACTCCACGTATTGAGAAGAATTCGGGGTAAGCCAGCAATAAATTATTCTATCCTCCCATTTCCCCTCGAAGAACCCATTGCAAGGTGGATTCCAGAGTGAATAGGGAGGAATTCAGTTTATGTATGGAAAAGAAAAGAGAAAGTGCCAGGAGCGAAAAATTTGGTAGAAAAAGGGAATCCGGTGGATCGGTGACTAAGCAGCACGTGACTCATGCCTGGGTGGATCACAGGACCTCGGGCTTAGGGAGGGTCCGCTCTTATCGATAAGCAAAGCTCTGCTGCCTTTTGGAGTCGAACTCTTTCCTTGTTCGCCGAGCTTCAATCTTTTGCGTATACTGCAATACTGCAGACTGCAGGTAACCTGCAAGCATCATGCCGCAAATATGGGATCCAACTAGAGCAGCGTGGCTTTATCCGCTTCGGGTATGTGTTGATCCTACAAATTCCTGATTCTGCTAGGGAGGCGGCTAGTTACTGACTGAACATGATGGACAGGGCATTTACTACTTTGCAAGCCATCGATTCCTCTGGCCCTTATTCAAGGCCCGGTTGGTGCCAATCGTCCTCCTGTCGTCCTTCGTCTATTTCCTCCTCTTTTTCTTCACCTACCTACCGCAGGTAGCATTCCTTGCTATCTTCCAAGGTGTCGGAGCATGGGTGAATGGTGCATTCCTCGTCCTTGGTGAGGGTGCGGCAATTGTGGCTGCCTTGTTCGAGGCCTTCTTTGTGGATGAAACACTGGTCGATATCTTCGACTCAGTCCTGGTGAATGAAGGACAGGAGGAGCTTGTGCTCGCCTCACGGGTCATCTATCCGGAGGCCGGTGACCCAGCCAGTCGTCTCGGGACCCCGACGACCAGCGCCGTGTATTCGCCATTATCTTTCCGCCAGATCATCGAGTTCGTTTTGCTGCTTCCACTCAATTTCATCCCGGTTGCCGGTACGCCCATGTTCCTGGTCTTGACAGGTTACCGGGCAGGGCCGTTCCACCACTGGCGGTACTTCCAACTGTTGGATTTCACCAAGCAGGAGCGCAAAGCGAGTATCCGTCGTCGACAGCTGCAGTACACTACGTACGTATAACTAGACTTTTATACTTTGATCATGAACCCAAAAATTATACTAACTGGAATAGCTTTGGAACGGTTGCCCTGATCTTGCAGCTCATCCCTCCATTCTCCATGCTCTTCTTGATGACAACCGCTACTGGTGCCGCATTGTGGGCCTCAGATCTTGAGCGCAAGCGACAGTTGGCTAGTCAGCGACCCAACAGGCTGGGAGACGGCTATCGTGACGATTTCACAGTATAAGACAGACATAGCGTTCTTGTTTCAGCTTGGACCTTTTTCTTTTCTCTTCTCAAAAAGGCTTAGGCTAATCGCACGCCAACCTGTGCTTTCGCATGGCAGACTTTTCCTCTTCCTAGATATCCTGATAATATCTACTAAGCCTTTTACTCTCACTAATTAAAAATGACGGTCCAAAAGACATTTAGAAAGATCTTTTATAGAAGGGAAAGTTAAAGCAGATATATTTACATTGTAAAACCGTTTCTCTAGTCTAGATATCAAGGACCTAGTGTACCTGCTCTCCACTATATTCGAAAATGGAATAGTTAGTCGTGCGATAGCACAAGTTGGCGTGCGATTAGCCTTAGCCCTCAAAAATGGTCTTCTACGGACGTACGGAGTGGTTTGTACTCCGTAGACCGCCCCTTAATATACATGCATGAACCCAGACTTTTCAATAATGGTGGACCCTTAAATTGTCGGGCTTGTGTTGCCAATATGGGACAAACCCACAGTGGACATAGAATGAGCCCAATCAGAAGGGACCGCGGCGCATTTGACTTCGTCTCTCTCCTTGAATGCGGGCACGTGACTAGGCGCCGCCATCCGAGGCCAACTTGCGACGCTTGCCGCCATGCATGGTTTCTGCTCTGCCAATGACCCTGGCAGGTGTCTAAGCGAAGTGAGATCTCATGTGAGAAAGTCTGGCCCATCGTTGGCTTCGTAGTATCTTACCAAGTCAATTGCCCTCCTTCCTGCCTGGGGAACATACTCATCGCTAAAACTGGCCTGTGCCGCGGCTCACCCGCTTCTCGCGCGGAACACAAGCCGTGGAAAAAGGGTCCCCAATTGCGTGGCGCGCTAAATTGAGCGGGGCAGCATCTCGCTACTAACAATATCTTCGGAGTGCGCTCCGGTCTTTGCACTGCTCTTTTGTGCAAGTGGTCAAGGAGGTCAAGCAAGAGTTCACCCCGCAGTGCTTGGGAACCTTGGGTATTGAAGACATTCTTCCCATTGATGCATCGATGATGGCTATGTCCTGACAATCCCGAAGCCCGGTCATGTCACCTTGCTTTCACGGATGGACCACAAAACGAGGCTGCGAAAGGCCTGCGATGCCTGCAGTATTCGTAAAGTAAAGGTTGGTTAAACCCTTGTCTGATGTAGTTGTTTGACCACTAACACCTTCCCTTCCCTGTCAAGTGTGATAACAGTGGGCCACCTTGTCGGTCCTGCGCTAGCTTGGATATCCCTTGCACCTATGAGAGGCCAAGCAGACGTCGTGGGCCGCCCAATCGCCATGCGGAGGCTCTGAAGAAGCAAAAGCTCGAGTCCCCGTCAGCAGACGCATCGCCAGGGAGCATCACAGACTACCCGCAGGCGAGCACGCCTAAGGCCTCTTCCTATGCGTCAAGCATCCCCCAACCAACGCCATTTGCCTCCTCAGCAGAAGCTATCTGCTCGCTGCATACCGTGCAGTTGTTACTCGATGACTTTTTTACTTACATTCACCCTTTGGTTCCCATCCCCCACGAACCTTCTTTTCGCGCGGCATTTGAGCGCCGCGAAGATGCCACTAGTGGTACATTTCTGGCCCTGCTGGCCTCTATGATCGGATTCCTGGTTGCATCCTTTCCGAGACGACCAAAACTTCGCCTCAACACTGAAGCAGAGCGCTCCGCATTTCCAAACTCAATAGCCCTGGTCAAGCGGTGCCATGAAGTTGCCATTCAGGCCCGAGGTACCGGATATCTCGATCGGAATGCAACAGTATACGACGCAGCCATCAGCTATTTTCTAGGTGTCTGCTCTGGCTACATTTATAGCATGCGACGCTGTCGTACCTACCTAGCGGAATGTCGCACTATGCTTCAGGTTTACGACCTCTGTCGCTCGCCAACAAATCTGCCAACTCCCGGAATGCTAAGCGCAAGCAGTCATATGTCAGTTGACCAGCCAGTTGCAGGCTTAACGGAAAGCAACAAAGTCGACTTGATCACGCAAGAGCTAGGCAGGCGACTTTTCTATGTCTCCCTAGTTGGGTATCAGACACTGCATCAAATTGGATCTCAAGATTACAGGGTTCACATAGCCCCAGAAACTCCAACAGACCGGTATCCACCACTTCCGCTGGAGGTGGATGATGAGTTCATCTTTGCAACCCACGTCAACCTGCAGCCAACTGGCCGAGTATCCCAACTAGTCGGGTTCAACGCGAACGTGCAGATCTACAGCTCCTACAACTCTATACTAGCGTGGGAAATCGCTTTCGGCAGCGGTCGGGTATTCGACTGGGAGCACCAACGCTCCACACTGTGGGAGTGTCTTGAAAAGACCAAATCCGCATTGCTTGAAACTCCTCCGGAGCTTTCTCTTCTTCATCCGAAAAGAAACCCATCTGCGTTCATGTCTGAGGATGGCTCCGTGTTCAGTTATCCGGATGATCATATCCATCAGGAACGACGCGCAATCCAGTACGAAATACAGAAAGCCAATATCTACGCAAGTCAGTTGTGTACAAGGTCATATCTGGTTGATAAGTATTGGAATCTGTTTGAGATATTCAGCAAATATGGGAACTCGGATCGAGTGCCAGCTGCGAATTCTGTTGCGCAGATCAAGGTGGAGAATCCATCGGATGCACAGGATGGGACTACTGCCACCTCGTCTCAGAATACATCAGCTGTGCACCATGCACAAACAGACTACATCGGTCGCATGATGGCAGAAGAGCGCAAGCTGGTCATCAAAGACTTATTCGTGCTCCTACGAACCGTCAACGAAGTCAATATGGAACCCAATGGTGCCAGCATAGTACGTGACAGCCCTTCCACCCCCTTCCCACAATCCCACTCGTTTTACTCATCATCAAACTCAGACAACCAAAATCCGCCAAGTAGCATCCACCCTCCTCAACATGCCCAGCCACCACCCAGCATCAAAATCACCCGCCGCCCCCGACGAGCCCTCACCAAAGTCACACCCACCCGAGACAACAACCACCTCCTTATCAGGTCTGCACGTTCTCACCGCAGCAGAAGCAGAATCCTATCTCCACGCTTTCATCGATACTCTTGTCAGACTGGAAGGCCATTCATCTGCTACGACTGATTCCGGCAGCAACGCCGAAGGTGTGAGCCCTCGTACGAATGGACGAGCCATGAGTTACCTCAGTGACTATGAGCGTGATCAGGAGGAATTGAGCCAGTGGGCGAATCTGAGGGAGTATCAGCAGAAGTTTGCTGAGGCAGGGGTGTTTTTGTCGGAGCTGTAGCATAGAAAACTTTAAGATTACCTTGATATTCTCACGATCAACCTAATTCTCGATTTCTTAATACGAAACGCCTGTTCCAAGCTCGATTTGAACTTTATAGTATCATGTATCCCTCCAGGCTGAGGCTAATCGCACGTCACACGATATCCCTTTTGGATATACTGGAGAACAGGTATATCTGGATCCTCGATGTCCAGACTAGGTAAACAGGTTTTCTATATCAATATGTATACTTTAGATTTCTCTTTGCGAAAGATCTTCCTTAATATCATGTGAACAATCTTTTGAACAGTCTTCCTAATCAGCCGGGGTTTCCTTCTAGCCTATGGTTTAGAGTCATGACTGATAGAACAACTTTGAGAACATATCAGGGTGTCCAACTTAGAGAGTCAAACTGTATGTATCTGTGATAAAAGGGTTTACTCGATGTAGGTCTTATCCACCATATCCGAAAATGGTATAGTCTGTCGTGCGATTAGCCTCAGCCTAGCTTTTGGGGAAGATCGGGGTATAAGATTGAGTTTTGTTGCTTTTTACGGTTGTATCGAGGGCGCTGAAAAGTGTCTAGCTGAATATGATCTGTGTCACTCACTACCTTCTGTTCAAAAAGAAGAAGAAAAATTTTACTGTTGCCTATGGACCATCTGTGATCATTTGTAGATTGATTTTGGTAAAACAAAAAAAAGTGATTATGGCAGTGTTAGGGTAATTATCAAAACAAGCATCCTCCAATGACAGAAAGGAAATTCAGAATACAAGATCGTTTATTACACATCTCAAGGAGCCACACAGCCTCTAACTAACAACCTGAATGCGAATCGCAGTCGTAGTGGCCGTCACAGTCTCCGTGGTAGTCTCCTTCCACGACGTCACAGTCTTTGTTTCCTTCCAGGATGTCACAGTCTGGTACTTGGTGACAAATATGATACCGGAGGAAGGAGTCACGGGAATGACTGTCAACAAGCCTGAGTCATTGTCTGGATCGTCAATGGTCGTCGAGGCCTTGGGAGCGGCAGCTGCAGCCTGTGTAATTTGTGGCTCAGCGGTGGTCTGGTGGATGGACGTTGTTTGAGACTCAATCGGGGTGGTTGAGGCCGTGACAGTTATTGTCGGGCCAGGCTGGGTCACAATCACGCTGTGCGTCTCTGTGGCGTGGATCGTGTATGTCATGGTCTCTTCGGATACGGTCGAGCTGGACGTGGTTTCCGTAGGCTGGGTGGAGGTAGTAGGTGTGGACGTCGTCTCAACTTCTGGAGCAGCCGAAGTTGTCCGTGCAACGGTGGATGTGAAGAAGGCGGCTGTAGCACCCTCGGAGACATAGACTACGACTGGCTGTGTGACAACAGGCCCAGAATGACGAGTCGTCGAGCTTGAAAGTGCTTCAGAGGAAGTAGACTGCACCACCAAGGATGCCGAGCTGGCTGGGTTGCTGGGCAGTACAGTGTTAGGCAGCACTGTGGAAGACAAGGCCTCGCTGGGACTGGTGGTAGGAGCCGAATCCGAGAGTGTACCAATAACTCCAACGCTTGCACTTGTTGTCTGCACATCTGGAGCGCTGCTAGGAGTAGTAGCTGCTGCTGATACTGCGGAAGAAGCAGATGTAGGGACAGGAGGTGCCGATGTAGATCCCGTCGGTGATACAGAAGCCACTCCACTGAAACTGGATGATTGAACTGAATTTGCTGCATATGAATTTGTGACACCCGCCCCAGCCCCAAGAGTGCCTACAAGGCCACCAAGCGTGGAGCGAGCAGCGCCAGTATTCGTATAGACTGGGATATGTTGTCTTGAATCACTACTGTGTGTAGTGGAGGCTGTAACCGGGGTCGAAGATGGCACTCCCGTGGACTTTGGGGAGGTTGGGGACTGGTTTGTAGAAGGTGCTGTCAAAGGCGAGGATGAAATTGTCTCCGGTGAGGTATAAACCTGCGAGCTTGATGGCCTTGAGGCAAACGAAGTCGAACTAAGAGCCCTGCTTGAAGATTGGGTAGCAGGAGCGATGGGCGCGGAAGATGAAGTGACAGCACTGGTTTGTACTGATGTGGAGGATGTAATATCACCAACTACGGACAAGAACGAGCTAGCTGATGTCGCGGTTGAGAGAGGAGAAGTCTGCGCTGGGGTTTTGAAGGCATCAATCGTCGAAGAAGATCCAGAAACAGCCACTGAGACTGAGCTCGACGAGCGGGCCACTGTAGGTGAGGAAGATGAAGATGTGGCAAAAGAGGGCGCTGAAGTAGAAGTGGATGTAGGAGTAGTAGATGCAGTAGGTGTAGAGGATGACGTGAAAGAGTGGATGATTGAAGAGGTAGACGACGACGATGTAGTAGCCGCTTCAGAGGTAGGCGTAGAAGTGGAGCTGGGAGTGGATATCGAGCTAGATGCTGGCAAGGTAGATGTTGGTGACGTAGAGGTTGGCGAAGCAGAAGAAGACGATGCAGTCGAACTCGCCTGCTCACTAGCCGTCGGCGAAACCGCATTCCCAAACACTGCCGGTGCAAAAGTCGAACTCGACGTAGTAGGAACCGTTGAAGACGAAGATACCGTAGAAAAAGCTTCGGCAGTAGAGGACGTCAATAGCCACGAGGGTGTAACAGGGATAACAGTGATTCCCCCCTCATCTTCATCAGCGCTACCGTCCTTCCGAAGGGCAGCAGATGTTTCAACCACTGTGAAGGTAGTCGACAGCCCGGTATTTGTCGCCAGCGAGGAACTAGATGATGCAGGCTCCTGGCCTGGAGCAAGCGAGCGTGCAATCGGACCGGCCGAGCACGAGCAGGCAAGAGCCAAGAGGGCTGCGAAATGGGTGAGCAGCATATTGATCGACGAGTCTGAATAGGATCAGATCAATCGAACGAGTAGACTGGAAGGAAAAAAGATCGTCGAGCAGAATGGGTAGGCCAGAAACGAAAGAGAAAGAGATTGAGAATGGTGAAAGGAGATATGAGCGAGAGCAGGAGTGAAACGCAATCAGTAGCAGGTAGAGAAGGGCAGTATGGCCCGTCGGGCTGTTAGGCGTAAATCAAATCAAGAGAGAATCCAAAGGAATGATCCTATTCAATAGCAGTATAGGTAGTATCGAAGACTGATCCAGGCAGAAGTCTGTGTATAGCGAAAGGCAGAAATGAAAGAGAGACGATGAAGGCAACAGCCACGCAGAAGGCAGAACAAAAAGAATGAGGCAACTTGAGACAACAAGAAAAGCAAGTAAGAAGACCAAATAGAAGAGAAAAGAAGAAAACCAGCATCCTCGAGGCATTGGGCCGATGCCGCCCATTATGAACCAGCACCTGTCATTCTGTCAAGCGCATTGTTTTGGCATGGGCCGGTCCAGCCAGTTCCATTTCCCTCAACAAACCGTAACCCGCCATTATCAGGGGTCAGGGTGGAACGACGAGGTTTCAGTCTCGGTGAGAATAGAGCCTGGTAGAGGAATGAAAGAAAGCAGAAGAAGAGAAAGAGAAAGGCAGATGGCGCGCGCGACACAAAGCGCCGTTGCAGTTGACGCCGGGAGGGAAATTTGGATGCTGGTTGGTGGAGACGGGGAGGAGTGGGTCTACAACAAACAGCTCCCCATGGGCCTGATGAAGATGTGATTGGATGCAGTTCAATTAAAATTAGAACCTGCAGCTAGGAGGCTGGTTAACTCGGAGCCTCTCTCGGTTCTTTATTCATCTGCAGAACTTGGATTGAGGACCTCAAAGGTTTATTATGGTTACTTTCGTCATCTTCTCTTGTCTCCATGTCAACGCCACAAAGTTAGGGCTAAGTCCAATAACCATCAACAATCATCACGACGATACAATAATATCGATATTAATACCAATGCTGACATCTCATAGCCAACCAAACTTCTCCGAAACAGGAAACTAGGCCTTCACGGTAAATGTTCCCCCAATTCCCTCAAACGACGAGATCTGACCAAGCACATTCTTCGAATCCCCATAGTAATGCATCCGATACGTGCCACTCTGTACGGGATTCGGATCATCCACACTGTAGTAGTCATCCTCAATCTGCCACTGCAGAGTGACCTCGCTATAGCCAAGGACGGTGTTCGTGCGCTTCCAGTTAAAGACTAGATTCCAGTCGCGGTCATCCCGGACAACCTCCCAGCTCCCAGAGTCCGTCTTTCGCTCTACGGCCGCATAGGTAGACTCCTGGTGGAGATTGTTGCGCGGATTAGCGCCGACAAAGGTTGTGTTGACATAGTCCCCGGGTCCGTAGGTCTTTTGTGCGGGGTTGGACACGACGTCGCCATAGGACTTCCCGATCGGAGCATTGTCGTAGACCACACCCGTGATGAAGCTGAGTGAGTTGTTGGTGTTAATAGGTGGACTAGGGCCTGTCGGAATCGTCGGTAACTCGGCGATATCAGAGGCACTGCCCAGATAGGGGAGGTACGTGAGGGTGAGATTGATGTAGGCGGCAAGAGTGCTGGGACCATAGAGGGTGGAGGCACCCTCGTAGCGCTGAACGTTGTACTCCTCCTCAGTCGTGACATAGTGCGCGTAACTATTGGATGGAGCGCCCAGCACAACCTGTGGGTTTGACACGGAGAGGGTGTCCTTAGCAGCTTGCGTGATGGCCGCCTTCCAGCGACGTCCAGACATTGTCGTGGCTTCGCTTGTAGACACGATGATGAAGAGCTGGCCGACTCGCAGAACTTGGATATCCACGATATCGGCAGCCCAGGCATAGGGTTCGGTGAGAGTTCCCACATCGAGGAGGATGTCTTTGGCTCCCTGGCACTTTTCTTGCTCCGCGGAAGGCTGATGGATAAATGCTCGAGCGACCTTCCACAACGGATTCTCCGTAGCGGGACCGCTCGCATTCTGTGTGAAGTCAAAAGCGCCCGGCCCATCCGTCGTTCCCGCCGCGAAGGAGTATCCCAGTGCGGCGGGACACGTCTTCAAAGAGCTGCCGTTGAATGGTGACGGAAACGTGTAGCCGTTCATATCCTGGTATACATGGAACGAGCGAACATCCGAGCTACCGGTTAGGGCAGTGCCAGTGCTCCCGGAGCTTAGCTGGCCATAGAGAGCCTTGGCTGCTGAATACTGGCGTTTGCCAATTTCGAAGCAGCTCTTCGCACCGTTGTCCTTCTCGCGGAAGAAGGGACCCCGACCGTGACAGGCCTCATTCGTACCCGTAGCACGACTAGAGAGACCACTGGAAAGATCTCTCGAACGACGTGAAGATGAACCACCGCAAGTACTATCTGAGTAGGTGCACATTACGTTCGAACCATCCTCGCACCACGCACCCTCGACGTTCGGGCTCGTGTCGCCAACGTTGGATTGTGAGAATCCGATGACAGCGCCGTCGGCAAAGCGCGAGTCATTCTCCACACTCCGTTCAAAGAGATATGCAGCGACCCCCTTGTTGTCGCCAGTGACAATGGTGTTGTTGTTGTACATCGACGTGCCATGGACTGGGAACCAGGTCAACACGGCTGTAGTCTTGTTGTCAGACTCGCGGTTGAAGCGCAAGAGAGTCAGCGTTTTGTCCACATTGGCCGAGTACTTCGCTTTCTCTTCCTCGGGGTTATGGTCATAAGAGTAGGGGCTGCGATTGACATTGGCGTCTTCCAGATTGATTGACCCAAAAGAAAGGCGTCCAGGAGTCAAACTCTCATGCGCACGCTTGATGGACAAGATAGTACCATCTACAATTGCTTGATAGCTCTGCTTGTCAAATCCTTTGGTCGGGATCTGTGGCAGCAAGTAGTTCATCCATGCACCAGGACCAGAGTGGGAGTGCGTCCCCGTCAGCGCAACGTTGTGCTCGCCATAGCGCGCATAATCACCGCCAAGCGCAGCGAGTCCCTGCAGGACGCCGTGCCTCACGGCGGTATCGCCGGCAAGTGTGTCGAGAACCAGATAGATGAAGGTGTTGTCAGGGTTTTTGGGGTCTGCAAAGATGAAGGAACGAGAGTAGATTCTCTGTCGCAGGCCTGTGCCTAGCTGGTCTAGACTGGCATAGCCGTTGAAGTCTACTTCGACGACAGGGCTAGATTGCTAGATTAGAAAAAGATCCGCAGAGTATGTAGATGATTGATATTGAACTATACCCAGTCACGTCTGCCTTGCCTGCGCCCACGAGAAACAGACCATCATCTGTCGCTGCACCCGCTCTGTTTCTCCAGTGATTGAGGTTTTTGTTGAAGCTCGATACAGGTACTTGATCCGCGTGCTGCATCACGGCAATCAACTGCAGGAACACCAAGAAGGTCACGGCGACTGCGCCCAAGGCAGCGCCAAGTCGAAGATTCGCCATATTGTAGGTAAGAACAAAGTATAAGCTAAAACATCAGGGTATGCGACTATTTCACAGCTCCTCCTCTCAACAGCAGATGTCTGAGGGATTATCAGTGTTGGAGCAGAGTAAACAACCGAGGCCAGGAACGTGCGAGTACTTAAGAACCAGAGTGATAGGCTCGGAGGCACGGAAAGCCCATAATCGGGGAGGCAATCAGAGGATGAAGAAGATCATAGCCCAGACTTGGCGCAGGTAAGCCTTCGGAGCTGGACCCTAGTGAAGATAGTGGAAATGGATTGCAGGAGAGGGGGAGAGTCGCATCTCGCTAAGCGATGATGGGCGTGTGATGAGTGACGAAGGAGGAGTGACAGGGCTCGGGGGATCGTCCTGCATGGGAACCCTTTTCACATTCCGCGTGCCCAACTGGGTTTAGATTATGAGACTATCAGACTATGCATCACTACAAGACCTTGCTTTTTAAATCAGCTTCCCCGCTCGGAGATGTAAATGGTTCCGATATTTGACATATGCATGGTAGCTGATATGTACATAAGCCTCGAATCAGATGCTGGTGCTCTTTCTGGAGTAAGTCGGGTATGACAAGTAGACTTCTCGCTTACTTGGATCAGCGCCGTACTCAGGTACCAACACGATCCTGTTCGAGACCATGATCATCAAGGTTACACCGCTGTCTGTTCAATCATCTGTCATCGCGTGCCATTCGCTAGCCAGCCACGGGCTTTAAGGCGATAGTTGGACCGTCGGAGGTCCAGATGCAGGCGGGGAACCGCCAATCAAGTTTGTATCAACACCAGTCAATGTATGGGAAGTCACATGATCCCTTTTTCGAAGGAACAAACTCACCGCCTCAATCGTGATCCTGGCATTTCCATCAGCGTCAGATTCAGATCCGATCCCAGTCTGTAGGAACAGCAATTACCACCCACAATTCTCAAGATGTCTCTCATCAACGAAGCTCACGACTCCCTACCCTGTATGCTACCCTTATCAACCAATTATCACATTCCAACCATACTAATTCCCACCAGACATCGACGCCGAGCCCTCAGCCATCGCGCGTCAAAAAGCCCAACAGCTTATCAACGCCGAGCTCGCCCCAGAACACACTTCCACACTCCACCCATCTATCCCCGCCAGTCCAGAATCCAAATTCTCCCCCTTTATCCAACAAGAACTCGAGCGCAAAGCCACGGGTGCTCCCCTCACGGGCGGCATCGACCTAACCCGCTACGAAGCCCCAGAACCACCAACTCGGAATTCCGACACGGAGCCCCCAAACCTGCCCGAGTGGCGCGAGACTCTGCAAAAGGCATATACGTCCAGCTCACATCTGACCAAGCGACACGAGAATCTCGCGCTGCTGGAGGAGCACGGCAAGAACGCGTGGTTGATTGGAAACTCCCAGTTGGAGGAGATCCTGCGTGGTATGGAGAAGGAATTGGCGGATACTAAGAGCGCCTCGGAGGAGGTCAACAAGCAGCGCAAGATTGCGCAGGATGCCAGCTCCGGCGAGCTGACTAGCCTTGAGGAGACGTGGAAGCGTGGTGTTGGAGCGGTGCTGGATGTCGAGTTGGCGTCCGAGGGCTTGCGGATGCAGATTCTGGAGCAACGGCGGTTGGCGGCGCAGCAGCAGGCGCGGTAAGCTTCTTGATACGATGATTAGTTTTACTTTCTTCCCTACTCCTCGCCAAGTGGGGTGCCATGTCTTGCGACCGGTGTCACTGTGCGATGTGGAGAGCTTTTCTCGGTCCGTGCTAGACTAGACAGTTGCACGAGGTTTGACCTTTGGGACACATCTGCACTCGAAATTTCTATCGGCAGGCTTGTTGTGCAGCATCATTTCCGTCCCAGGGTATCATCGCTTAACGGAATTGAGCTGCTGTCGAAGACCCTTTCCATTCTGAGGCTACACAATTCTTGTCCAAGTGCACGCATGCGACTATCGCGTGCTAACCGGCATATTACGTTGCTGCTATTCGATCTCATGTCTCGTCGATCAAGGACAGCGGAATTACCCCAGGTTGTGAACCCTGGACTTCGCACACATGGAAAATCATGACTCGACAGCATGCTTTATGCTGATACCCAAGGCCTTCCCGGTCAAGAGACCACAGGAGTCTTGGCCTTTCTTTCCCGACCCAAGCAGGATCGATCTATTTCCCAAGCCCGATTTACTTGGAAAATGCCAAACAATCAATATACCCACAATTTCATGCATCGTCTTGCGTTCACTTCATAAAAGTTCATTACCAATAGATCAACATCGTCCCAATAAGAACGTAAGTATTACAACAGGAAATCCTCAATTAAGCGCTCTCGGTTATGCTTAATAAGTACTCCAGGCCATAAGCTTGGCTTGAAGCATGACCACCATCTCTCACAACTTCTTCTCCGGCGCAACAATCTTCACATTAACACCATCCTTTCCCACCGAAACCGAACCACCCTCCACCTTCCTCGCAACCTCAGCAACCTTCATCGCATCAGCCTTCGCATTCCAATCGACCAACTGCTTACACATCCCGTCCAAAGTCGTAATAACAGGCCGATACCCCAACCCACCCTCCTCAGGCCCCCTCCTAGCCCGCTCATCATCCGCGATACAAAACACATCCGTAATAGCAAATAGCGACGGCTGAATCTGCAACAAATCACCCGTCACTTTGGGCAGAAGCCACGGCAACAGCGCGGCTTGGATGTAAGCGTATCCCTCAACGAGATAGGATAGCAATAGGAATGGGAGCGGTTGGACGGTTGGAAAAGAGACTGGTGTCTTGGAGAGGGTTGATAGGAGGGTGTAGACGTCGGTGAAGGAGATTGCTGGATTGGGATCTGTTACTACGAAGGATTGGCCGCCGATGTTGGGGAGGTTGCTTTTTGGCGAGGATTGTTCGAGGAGACGGGCTTCGTAGAGGAGGTGTGCTAGGGAGACGTTTTCGGCGTTGACGAAGCTTTGGATTACGGGGCGGACCCAGCTGTGGTTCTTGTTAGAATGGTGATGTTTTGGTTTCAATGCATAGGTTTTTGGTTCTTGGATACTGGTACTCACGTTGGACTTCCGCCACTGCGTAGGTACAAGCCGGTAATTGTCGCGCTGGCATCACTTCCAATACCATAGATTCCATTCGCAGGTCTGATACAGCCCGTTCGGAATCCAGTGGCCGGGTCATCAGCCGAGCGAACGAGACGCTCCGCTGCAATCTTGGATACAGCGTAGTTACCGAAGAACTCATCATGGCGTTCTGGTAACTTCGCATCATCACTCAGGATCTGCATAATCCGTCGAGGCAGTGTCTCCCACGGCGCAATCCAGAAACTCGGTTTGTGCAAGGTCACTGAGCCAGAGGAAGTAGAGATGAAGCATGTGGCACCGCACTTCTTAGAAGCGTTGAGTACAATTTGGGTACCCTCGACGTTGACCTTTGTGCAGAGTGGGAGGTAGATCTCTAGACGCTCAAAGGCACGAATGACGGCTGCAGTGTGGAAGACGGTTAGAGGCAGATTGGCCACGGTTGTTGGCCATGGTTGTTCGAAGGCTGTTGACACGGCGAGTTCGTCGGTGATATTGGTCTTGATAAAGGTAACGCCAAGGTCGAGGATGTCTTGTGTTGGTGTGAGAAGATCCAGAATTCGCAGTGAAGCTGGATCCTCGCCGCGAGCAAGAAGGTGTGAAACGATCCAGCCGCCCACAAGACCTATCAGAATAGAAGAGGGTTAGTTAATGGGTTTTCTCTCATCGGTGAATTTTTCATGTTTTGCTTCTCGCTTTCTTGTATTTCCGCGCGATTTCAAACGAAACCGTACAATCGGGTGAAAACAAGCAATGAGACAGAAGCATAGAGTACAAATGAGGACCACGTACCCGATCCACCCACAACGATATAGCGGCGCGACTGCTTCGGAGGCAGAGTGTCTGTGATATCGATCGGATTTTCGAGGATCTTCTTGTAAGCCGCCTTGACTTCGTCGACTGTCCAACGGTGCGGGGAGGACTTGCGGGCCTCATCGGGGACCCGTTTCATGGCGGCGTTGACATGGAAGAGGTACAGTGCTGCCACGCCGAGAGTGGTGAAGAAGATGGAGATCATAGCTGTGGGTTGGCGATTCAAGCATCGATTTGATCCAATGTCGAGGTGAAGAATCTCATTCAGACGAAGGTCGGGTCAAAAGAGAGCGCTTCGGCGAATATGAAGCTCGAGATGGTGCACAAGGCACTCTTTCTCCGTCCTGGCGTCCACGGAGTAAAGTAGGAAGCAAATGTCGTCGGCTTGATTTAAAGGGAAGATCAGAATGAGACAAATACGGGGAAAGCTCCTGGATCGCGGAGTGTCCGACAGCAACAGGTGTCGTCAACACGAAACAAGTCAGTGACTTGCGATCGCGTGGACTTTTAAGTGTCGCGTATAGTTCGGGAAGAGAGCTAAGTGGAGCGAGAGAAAGAGAGATACGATGGTTGCGCAACGCAGAACAGCAGATCACATTGGATTTTATTGTCAAGTAAGAGAAACTCCATCTTCATCGAAGCGACCTGTCCGAATTTCTTCATTGGTAGTATTCTGAGCCACGACTCCATCATCGTCGCAATGGCTTTAATTCTTTTGGGCAGGGTCGCTTAGAGTTAGTCGGTTCGGTTAGTTCTAAACGAGGGCGACATGCAACTGTGGTTGGCTGGCCGCATGTCCAATTCTCCGAAAATACTTCGATACGTGGGGGGAGGAAATTGAAGCGAGCAGGTGCAAACTTCAAACAGGAATGGGACAGCGAGGAGACCCAGACGGGCCAGAAAGAGGGATCCAGTTGGTCTTTTAAGATTTTAAGGTCGGGCGCTAGACTTGGACGTTTCTTAGCGAACAGTCAACAACGGAGAGGCAGACTGGAGTCTGCCCTGGTCTGGCCTGGCCTAATCCACTTGGTGAAGCTATGACTAGCCAAGCCTAGTAGCACATAGTCTCAAAGACTTTGCGACAACCCCTTTAGACATTATTAGTTAGCTAGTTACTATGACACATGTGCCTACAAATTAACAATGATGATTCTTTGGGTCAAATAGTAATTGAACTGGAATATAATTACTGGACTACTGTATGACAGAGTAGGGAGTACTGTACGTAGTATGGAGCCAGCCCATCTCAAAGTACAGTGGCAGAAACAGTTCAACAGAATCTCCCTGAAAGATCTTTCAAGTTCAGTATTCACTTACCTTTCTAGTTCATTCTTAGTGCTCTTTCTACTGTAGATAGCTCAGGTATTCTCTAAGTTATCAATTTATCGTCTAACTCGTGACTAAGAAGTTCAACCACATGGAGCGCCACATAAATCTGCAGGCGATGAAAAGAGTAAGATTTTGTATTTCTCGCTGCTCCACTGCGGAAGCCTTCCGTCATTCCGCATCTGCACCCCGATATCAAAGCTCGCCAAAGAAGCAGATCGCACTGTTCTTCACCCCAAAAAAAAAGACCGAATCCATCTTGCAAACTTTCGGAACTAGCCATCGGCATGCCATGGCCCACTCTAATTAGATAATGCCCGTACGGCAGATTTTCGAACCCGAATTTGCTCCAAGTGGCCCGACCCTTCATATCAGCATATCCCGGCACATGCAGCCATCCCAAACTCTGACCGCGTGCCCAGGAATCGATCGCAACGAACTCCGACCACCCAGACCCCGCAAGCTTGGCTTTTACAAAGACTTAACTTCCTAATAACCACAAAATACATACAATATCCCCCTCCTTTTAGGCCCCGACCTCGTACAGTATGTTTGTCGCGATCACACCTGGAGATGGTGTACTCGGCAAACCGGCACGCTAAGTACAGACCGCAATATCCACTCAGGTGAGAACTCTGTATCCACCATCAACGCAAAAAGGGGGATTCCCGAGTGCAACTGGCACTGACGCCGCCCGGATTCAACCTGACAGTCCGAAATGGAGATTTTTTTACCCATGGGGAACCTCTCCACGGGAGTCCATTCAGACTGGAACAGGAGACAAGAAGCACATCTTCCGTACGCATCACTATGAGGTGACTGTAAACCAAACCCAGACATACTCCTGTAGATATACTTCAGCCTTGAGTGGCGTGTACCTCGGTCTGCTTTCCGAGATCAACACTTACCCCTCGGCCCATCTTTTGGGCCCCCAATCACACAAATTGCTTCCTGCCTACTGTTGTCCTGCAAGGCTTTGACCTTTGCCGTCGACTTCTCGCAGAATTTAGGCTTATCAATTGCTCCTGCCCCACCTGGTCCGGTTGTTGGAAAAATTTCCTGTCCACAGGGTTGGGTAGAAAGAGACTTAGAGTGCTTGCGACGGCCTGGTGCTTTAATAATTGCTGTCTCATCTTTTCTCCCTATGGGTTCTTGTGGGCTCGATCATCTCCTGCGCAGGGCCTCGTAAATACAGACGACCTGGTTCAGTGAACAGCCTATTGTTATACTGGCCGATTTCGGAGTATCTCATATGCTTCTTCTGTTTCTTGGTTGCGCCGGAAGCTTGTAACAAGATAGCTTCAGTCAACCCTATCAACGCCCAATACGCTCAAGGCACGCCACATTCAGGGACAAAGTCCCATCTAGGAGCTCCAATAAGCTTCAATTACTAGGAGACCTCTCCTACCTCCCTATCTAAACAGATCAGTGATCAACCAGGACAATGTCGTCTCAAACATCCTCTTCATCAGACACCCACTCTCCCTCCGGCGAGAAATGGCCGCGAAATACAGAGCGAACGTCACACGACTCTGATTCCATCATGTCTGTCTCTTCAGTGGATACTGAGACAGATCATGATGCACTCGGCAAGACGTTGACGGCGCGCACATCGCGAGTCTCGGATCATATGTCCCTCGCGGAGCGTGTGACAACTATCCCGACGAATATGACGGCAGATCCAAACTTTGAAGTCGATTGGGATGGTGAAGATGATCCTGAGAATCCAAAGAATTGGTCTTTCCGGTATAAGGCTATGGGATTGTTGTTCTTGTCGTGGAATACGCTAATTGTGTGAGTTTGACATGTATTCGCTGGTCCTCTTGCTGTCTCGGCCTTTCATGAAAGCAAAAAGGAAACATATTGATCTCACGAATGGAGTGCTAATGCCTGAAAAAGCGTCCTTTATTCCACATCCTATACATCAGGCGTCGAGCTGATTGGGGAGGAATTCGGTGCCTCCAAAACTATCGTCACTCTCGGATTGACATTCTATCTAATTGGTCTCGCCATCGGCTCTATGTTCATGGCTCCGCTGAGCGAAGTCTACGGCCGAAAGCCCGTCTGTGTGGGCTGTCTAGCCGTTTTCACCATCCTGATTATCCCATGTGCCCTGGCCAAGTCGGTAACGGCTTTGATCGTGGTTCGCTTCTTCGGCGCCTTCTTTGGTAGTGTGATGATTTCGACTGCACCGGGCATGGTGGCTGATCTTGTGGATGATGATCATCGGGCGTTGGCTTTTTCAATTTGGAGTATTGGGCCGTTGAATGGACCTGGTATGTGTCATTCTTTGCTCACTTCTACCCATATGTGATAAATGACATTAACGGATTATCTAGTGTTGGGCCCCGTCATTGGTGGTTTTGTTACGCAGTATCTAGGCTGGCGCTGGATGTGCTGGATTGCACTGATTCTCTCAGCCGTGGCCCTTGTTCTCGCCATTATTTTGAAGGAAACATATGCGCCCACTCTGCTCCAAAAGAAAGCCGCTCGGCTTCGCAAGGAAACGGAGGACTCGCGCTGGTGGTCACGCTATGACCAGAAGGCTAGTCTACATGAGATCCTGGCACTGAACCTCAGTCGGCCATTCGTCATGGCTGTGACTGAGCCTATCTGGTAAGATCTGACCCAGGCCACAAGGATATCCAATACCCACGAACTAACCGTCTTCAGCATCTTCTGGAACATCTACATCGCCATCGTCTACGGCATCCTCTACCTCTGCTTCACCGCATACCCTATCGTCTTCCAAAACATCCGCGGCTGGGACCTGGGTTTCTCAGGCCTAGCCTTCCTCGGTATCGGTGTCGGTGTGCTCGTCACCATCGCATGTGAACCGCTCGTCCGCCGGCTGATTAACAGCCATGCCAAGGACCCCGAGACTGGTCGCGTCCACCCCGAAGCAATGGTCTCTTTCGTCTGCATTTGTTCCGTGCTTATCCCCATTGGCGAGCTCTGGTTTGCCTGGACCTGTTCCCCAGCCTCGATCCATTGGATCGTGCCTTTGCTCGCGGGTATTCCCTTCGGCGCTGGTAACACGGGTGTTTTCATCTACGCCTCCAACTACTTGACATACAGCTACGGCATGTACGCGGCGTCTGCACTTGCGGGTAACTCGGTGATCCGAAGTGTGCTGGGTGGAGTCCTGCCTCTGGTGGGATCGTACATGTACGCTGGTCTTGGACCGAATTGGTCCGGCACGTTACTGGGTCTGTTAGAGGTTGCCATTGTGCCGATTCCATTTATCTTTTATAAGTATGGGCATAGGATTCGCATGAAGAGTACTCTTATTTTGCGGATGCAGGAGGATAAGAAGAAGTTGGAGGGGAAGCGGGCGCGGAAGGCGCCTGGAGAGGATGTTGAGAAGCAGAATGATAATGTTTAATACTTTCTCTAGGGCTTGTCATGTGTTTGGTTCTTGCCGTGGTCTGATACCCAGTCGTGTTTGCATTGGAGGTGTTTGAAAAATGTGTCGGTCAATTAGATTGATGGCTAAAAGTTTTGCATGAGTATTGCTATGCATTAATATATACGAATTAATACCACGTTAATGAATCATTTGGGCAACGTCATAATGGGTTTCATTTCTCGTAAAGGACATGATATTAAATCATCCAGTAATGCGCATGCACTGGTCCAGGTCCAGGGCATTGCGAAGAATGCGCTCATACTCTCCCAGTGCAATCGCCCCTGCGGGAAAGACCATCACGGCGTCGATGTGCACCGGTCGAGCTGTGACTCTAACGGGTGCGATGACAGTCTCAGTGGCTCCATTGGATTGCTGTGAGCTAAGCTGAGACGAAGAAAATGACGGGTTTGGTGTAGCTGCATCTCGGACGTAGCCCAGTACGTTCAGCCAGGCGCCTACTCGAAGCTGATCCGAGGTGAGGTCTTGAAGAACCGCATTGACATCCACTGTGACAGATTCAGGCTCTGTTCTTCTCCTTGGGTAGTTGTGTTCCAGAACTAGATTGCCGGTGTTGACATCATATTGCCTCACACTAGTGTGTTTGGATGTTAGATATTTTTCGTGCATATACATTGCTCGAACGTACCAGCCCAGAAAGCGGACTTTTGTATCTGTCGCCAGAGATGGGAGATCACAGAGAAACACCCAATTCGAGGGACGCGGCCCGTTCATCCCTAGGATGAAGGGAGGAAACTAAAGAAATTAATCTTCAGTTTTGGTGTGACTTTCTCCTATAAAATTAAAGGAATGAATCAAAGTAGCCGTCGACCAGTTGAGGCGGTTGCCACGTGACCCCTATCGAGTGTATGTCATCGGGCCCAGCGAGGGGAATCACTCCCCTCCATTTTGGCTTCATCCGTGACTACGTCCGCCGATCCGTGATTTCTGAGCGTATCCTGCCCTGATCACCATTCTCGACCCTTTCATTACTCGTCTCCCTCTTCTTTGATTCCCTCCTCGACCTAGCGCTATCGCCCCGGCCTTTGACTTTTGCCTGGAGCCTACCCTACCCACCGCCGCCATCTGACGTGCCGCACGAGTCGCAGGCGCACCGCGAGGATCCCTGCACTACCAGTGCTGCCTGATCCGCCCAGATAAACACCACCAACCCACCCATCTTAGAACCCAACCGACCTACGTCGCATTCCATCCGCAACCATGTGGTCCTGGTTCGGCGGCGCCGCCGCTCAGAAGCGGAAGGATGCCCCCAAGGAAGCCATCCTCGGTCTCCGGCGACAGCTGGACATGCTGCAGAAGCGGGAGAAGCATGTTGAGAGCCTGATCGCGGAGCAAGATGCCGCAGCACGGAAACACGTTGCCACAAATAAGAACGGTACAGTTGCCACAACCCCCAGGCCCCCCCCGCAAATCAAAGTTTTGGGGACGGGGCCATGCATGTTGATCGATCTATGAGGATGATAAGAGCTAACGCGGGCTTTTTCTTCGAATGATATAGCCGCGAAAGCTGCGCTGCGACGGAAACATCAGCATGAGAAGACCCTTGAGCAGACCTCGGCGCAGGTCATGCAGCTTGAGCAACAGATTTACTCAATCGAGGCGGCGAATATCAACCATGAGACGCTCCAGGCTATGAAGTCGGCTGGTGATGCTATGAAGACGATCCACAACGGAATGACGCTGGAGCAGGTTGACAACACGATGTATGTGATGAGTGTTCGAGGGGGGAGAGAGCAAAAGACACGAGTGATATGGGAAAGGATATTTTTACTGATGACTACTTGCAGGGAAATACTCCGAGAACAACAAATGATCAGCCAGGAAATTGGCGACGCTATTACGACCATGCCGCTGGGCGAGACGATGGACGAGGGAGACCTGGAGGCCGAGCTGGAGGGACTGGAGCAGGAGGCGATGGACGAGCGCATGCTCAACACCGGGCCTACGCCAGTGGGAACTCGCTTGGAGGGTCTACCCGCTGCTGGGAATACAGAGCGTAAGTTCACACGCTACGAGGTGGTGTCTCACGATTTCCAAAGAGTCGCATGCTAACGATATACAGTCAACAAGCCACACGCAAACGAGGAAGAAGACGAGGAGGCCGAACTGGCCAAGCTCAAGGCCGAAATGGCTATGTAGCGAGTCATCGGCCCTTGAATATTAACACCACGCATTTGCACTTCTCTTCGTCTCGTCTCTTTTGGTGCGGTGGAGGGGGTTCTTGTTTTCCCCCATGCATTGGATGCTTTTTCCTACCTCGTTTCTCATCTTACAAGCAAGCCCTGTATTTCGTTTCCTCTGTTTTTGTGTATCCTGGCGCTGAGAGCTCGACCTAAATTCTCCTTTCTTTCTTCCTTTATACATTTTCAATATGGCTCAGAACCTCCTTTGGGATCGTGATTGCTTTACTCGATCCATCTCACATATTCCTGTCCTAAACAACCCGAGAATCCAGACGAGTTTGCGGTGCTCTTTTCTTTTCTACTTTGTCTATTTCCTTTTGCTTCCGGTTCCTTTCTCATAATTGACTCATCTAGATATGTCGTTCCTGCCATGTAACCTGGTATTTACCATCGATTTGCAATATCATCTTTCTAACAATGTAGGCTGAGGCTAATCACACGACAGACTGATCCATTTTCGAATCTAGTAGAGAATAACTACACTGGATCGTTGATATATAGACTGGAGAAACTATGTACGCTTTAACTTTCCCTCTTATGAAAGCTCTTTCTGAAAGTCTTTTGAACTGTCTTTCTTGATAGCTAAAGTAAAAGGCTTAATAGGTATTATGAGAATATCTAGGTACTTAGTGTACCGGTTATGCATCATATCTGGAATGGAATAGCCTGTCGAGCGAAAGCGTAAGCTGGCGTGCGATTAGCCTCAGCCACAAATATTAGCTATTGAGCCTCTGTGCTGTCGAGCGTCCAAGCATTCCAATAAAGCATCAGAACCTTGGAAGTTCACTCTCGGAGTGTGAGAACATTACTACAACCTATGAGCTTGATCAAGATTGTACGTGGAATGGATGCCCAAGATAGATTAATCAGAACCACCGCGAGTCCTTCCATATTCATTACACCCAGATTCACACCAGGTCACACACAGGCATCTACTACCGGACATTTAGTAGACACTCTCAACTACCCAAAGTCCAGCTAGCCATTACATTGTCGGTTACTTGATACCAAAAGCGTCATGAACATCTCAAACCTCGTCGCGAAGGTAGAAAACAAGGTGGTAATAGCATTTCCCAGAAAGAGTAACTCCCATGGTACGTTTCCGAAAATTCCGCCATGATCGTGAATTGAAACCACTCCCATTCCCATGCTAAATCCCGTAAAAATACCCATAAAACAAACTGTCGTCCAGAAAAGTAAAAAAGAAAACCCATCATCCGCAGCAGAAATTTGTTGTAAAACCGCGCCTTCGAAGCGTAACTCCTTTTGAGAAAACATGATTTGAAGCGAACATGCTGCACCGCTCTTGGTGAGAATGAAGCATGTGCTTCGAGCAGACTAAACGAAGGACCGTCCGTGCGAGTACTTGCGCTTCAGCTTCAAGGGTACCAAGCATAACTCTTCGACGGCTGCGCGCGCATCCCGTCTTGAGACTCGGTGCTCCACTTCGACTTCCACTGAATCTCGCGAGCTGCCCCATCGATCAAAGCGTCCTTGCAGTCATCAGGCAGAAGTGCCAGGATCTCGGGTGTCATGAACTCCGCGTGCTTAGGGTTGGCAATACTGGCAAGACCATTCGGGTTCAGATTACGCAAATCGCCGTCCGGGCCGGGAACGCCCATATTCGAGTATGGCGGTGACTCGTAGACAATGTCTGTGACGACATAGCGGTCGGAGATGTGCGAGGAAACGGGCGGGAAGATGGTGGTGTTTTGGGTCTGGTCGTCATGCTTGTCTGCAGAGTCGGTGGGTTCGGCAGATACGGATTGCGAGTCCGCAGTGGACTGCTTGTTCGCGATGCTGAGCGTGGACATGAGCTCGGCTGTGGTGCGGACTTCGCTGGGAGGCACGCGCTCCCAGCGGGCGTGAGTTGGTTGCATGATCTGCGGATATTGCATGGTGTTGGTGTGGACGTCGTAAATACCGTCCATGGTGGCGCGACGCATCTCGACAAGCTTGGAGTTGAATTGGCTAGATTGATCGAGTTAGTATGAATAGTACTCGGGTTGACAGTGGTTAGACAGGTTTATGCATGGGAACTCACCTTGCGGCTCGAGCATGCTCGAACATCCAGTTCTCGTCTGTTACAGGAATCCTCCGCTTCTTGGGATCGAGAGGCTTTCCACCAGCCATTGGCACCGAAGGTGCGTTCGTATGGTAAACGCTGCTAGCACCATGCCATGCGACATACTGATTGCGATTGTATGGTTCTCCAGGAGCAGGAAGTTTATCCTCTGGAACGGCAAGATCTCCCTCCACATCACCGCGTTCCCGAGCAGCTTGCTCATCATAATCGTCGGAAATCTTCTTACCGCCAACGACGATCTTTGCGCCGAACTCACGGAACACCGAACGCGCCGTGACCACACCGATAGCACGACCCTTATAGGAATGCGGGATAATATCGCGCTCAATCAGATCGCGCTTGGCGTCGTCGTCGATGATAATCTTGTAGAGCATCTTATGCTTTTGGAAGAACAGATATGAGTCCCGGAATCCGATGCATCGCGCTGGCTCGGTCGACAGCATGTACAGCTTGTCACCGCGGTTGAGGATAGTGAAAGTGCGGACTCGGTATTCGCGGCCTCCGAGGAGATGGCCATTCTCATCAACTTTGCTGTCACCCACCGGGTTGGGAGGGAGAGCCACTTCATCTCCAATCACATCCATCATGTTTCCTTCTTTGTCAACGGGAACTTGAGTGTTGTGCACAGGTCCACGATTCCGTGCCCAGCGGCCACCGCTAGCGGCAGGGCGACCTCGTCGGCGCTTGACGGGAGTTGTGACGCGAATTGGGGTTTGGGAGCCGTCTGGCGCATCCCAGTCTGGTGGACGGTTTTTTGGGGGACGACCAAGACGGCGTTTGCGCGGGATGGCGGGGCGACCAATAGCATGAGTAGGTGTGTCTGTTGCACCGTCAAGTTGTGTGATATCATCTGCGGCAGGAGTTCCGGCGTTGTTCTCTTGTTCTTTAGATTCACCAGGCGTGTCGGCCTGTGCTTCATCCGCGTCTTGCTCGTTGGCTTCGGGCTCCATATCGGGGTCGTCGTCGGGGGAGTTTGGCTCTTCGATGGGAGGCGATGACGGCTGTGATGGAGGGGCATCTATCATTTCCTCGTCTGAGAGGTCTGGTAATGTCGGGACATTTTCTGGGGAAATAGTTAGTCGCAACGCGTTTCACAGGGGCAATTGGTATAGAAGACTGGGTGTCTTTCAAGGCTTGACCGCTCTAGGGCACATACTCATAGACTTAGCAGCCGCTTGGGCAGCTGCCCTGAGCTTTCGAGGCATATTAGCGACAACTAACGGAGTCTCGATGCACAGAGTGATATCCGTCCGATGTGCACGGCGAGGCTGTTTTGGCAAAACCAATGAGCTCGATGGCGTCACGTGAGAATTTTGGACCTCACGTGAGTTGTGTCTCATGTTCACCGCTTTTTGTAATCACGTGATTGGCGGCTAGTCTTGAGCATGTGATCAGCCTGAGCCCTACTCTTCCCATGACGTCATATTACCCCTCCCCCTCGATCAGCTCGGGCAACTCGGTTGAACTCCAACACAGTGGATCAGCAGCCCTCCTTTGGGTGGGATTCTAGACCCAACACAGCCCTCCTTTGTTTCATACTCCATTGTCCTCATCTGGTACTGGTCAGCAGTCAATGAGTATTGTGTCTGTCATTAGGCCGTTGAACACAATGCGGAGAGAGTACTCCGTAGTTACTCATCCATTGCCGCACGATGAGCTCATGCTCGGGATTCCCATACAGATTAGCCTACTTCAGCCATAAAGGTTCACCGGGCGGCTAACTAGCTCGCCGTTCTCTCCCGAGAGGATCGTGCTTGAGCACAGTTTAGACCGTTTAGTCTGGCCCCTAGCACGGACTCTATCCACTTACTTTGGATAGTCGCAGCTGCCCTACCAGACATTCAACCTTTGACGACTTGATATGACTGGCTCTGGGTGCCGGGCTTGATGTACCATTGACTACATACAGCTTTCTCAAATCACTTTGACCGTTAGTCGTACTAATTATTATTATTATTATTATTATTATCATTTTCATTACAATAATTATGGTTCTACTAGTCGTGGGAGTGCTTTGTACACTGGTCGGAATTGTCTACTGACAGCTTAATGCCAAACTCACTATCACATGCAACTATATCATTGACTACCCATTGTTTCTCTCCTCTTCAGAGGTTTGACCTCCCATTAAACAAAGACAGTCATTGAAACCTAGAAACCTGCTTTGAATGAGTTCATCACCGCTTAGGCCCGAGAGAGGTATACTGTGATCCTCTGGCTCGGACCTGAGCATACTGCGTCGACATTTGACTCTGCAGCAAGCCCTCCTGTCAAGTATGTCATTCTGCACCCTTATCAGCCAATCCGACAGCGGGCTGTTGCTCAACGCTTCCAGAAGTATATGTCGAATCCTCTGCATGCAGCGGCAACGGACCCCTCAGTAGCCTCGGGAAGAGTCTCGGGTGCATGGCTATAGATGCATGGCTGCATAGTTACATACCTGGCAATCGTGGAACAGCATAGCACCTGGCGTATGACCTGCGAATAGGAGTCTCCATTGCTATTCTCGATTTCAGGTTTAGTCCTAATGATTTACCAAGCTACACGTATCTATGCAGATGATGTTTTGCTGCCGGAGTGCAGGACCTAGTGGAAAGCAGGTAGTGGGATGTGCTCAACATACCGAATTTCTGCGTACTGTTGAGAGGCTGGTATGTTAAAGCGCTACCTCGGATAGCCCGAGAAAGTTGGATGATCTACATGAACCTACCGACTCTGATTTGTCCTTGTACCGTGGATTAGCAGACCTAATATCGACTCTGAATGTGCATCACTAGTGATTGAGGTACCAGACACGGTGATCCTGGACTGTAACAGAAAACAACCCAAGAATTAGGAATCTTGTACCATGAACCGAAACCCTGGTCAATTAATAACGAACGAGATCTTTGGGGTCAGGTTTCCGATACGATATCGAGATCCCGTTCGCTTCCCTGTCGTGGGACCTGGAGGGGAGAAAGAGTGAGGGGCAGGTGTAGATCTTCCCCCGCCCTGGACAATGGATTTTACTTTTGTAGGCGGACCAACGTCTTCCAGAGCTCGAACAGAGAGCAGCGTTGCTTTATCCTTTTCCAATCTACGATTCATGATCCTCCTTCATATTATCCCCACCATGCTGTAACAAGCTTGCATTGTTTTTGTGGCATGTATATATGACCACAACTTCGGGCAGTTCTATCGATCCATCCAGGTCGGACTGACATGAGGTTAAGACCCCTATGGTGGGTGCCCTATGACGCAGTTAGTGGAGATCACCGGGTACCTGTACTTCAATAGTCGCCCTGCTAGTTTGAAGTGCTACAGTACGGTGAGAGAGAAAGCCCGTATTCTATCGAAACTGCAGTCAGGAGTACTGTACATGAATCACGAATTTATCACATACCTCCCAAAAAGACGCGGAAGTATTTCAAGCGCCATGGGGGCAAGCCACGGGAGGGCCTGGTAGGTCGAAGGAATGTAGCGATGGACAGTCACCTTCTTCCATGCAAGGGGAAACTGGCATGACGCTGGGCGCCGCACGATCGCGATTGCACGTATTTGAAGAATTGCCGATCGGACTCGATCATGGTTACACGGGATTGGATATCCATGGATGTCTAGAAAGAAAGAGAGAGAAGAGGAGGTGACATGGGAATCGCGGGGGTGGTTCTCCATCCAGAAGATTGAGAATTGGACTGTGACTGGGTCCACTATGTTGTACTGCCTGACGAGCGAGAGGAGAAAGACGAGAATGTACGGAGTACATACTGTACTTTGTACCCCGCCTTGAAAGCGGAGATGGCGGAGATTCTCGTCTATTCGGTCGGGTATACGCGATAATGGGAAGGAAGGGAGGTCGAAAGAAATCAATTTGGTAGAGAATTCGATCAAGCAAAAGAGCAGTAGTATGTATGCATGCTGAAAGAGGCGAATTTCAAGATTGCCCACGTGCCAGTAGAAGAAGTAAGTGCTAGGCCACCCCCGATGGATGCCTTGCCTTTGCTGGACTGGAATCGCCAACACGTCCATTCTTGATCAGATTCATGTCGTGTATCGGGGGAAGAAAGGCGTCAGGAATTTTCTTAGAGTCCTGATACACTTCAGTCTCCCGTGGCTGATGCAAATCATGGGAATCGATTGGTTCACCCTGGGAACAATGATCTTCATTGTGATAATCATAATTCCATATCTGAATAACTCAAATAATTATTTTAAATAATTTCATCACCAATCAATAAATCATTGGCTGGCTGGTTCCTGCACAATACTCCGTGCTGCCATGCTGCATGCCGAGTACAGCACTGTCAGTCTACATAGTTCGAGTATAGTAATCCTAAGTATACGGAGTATCCGAACAGGAAGAATCAGTCCGCCACTCGAGAAACTCGGGAGAGGGACAGCATTCAAAAAGACTCCACCAGGGTTTTTTATTCTTTGGGTCTGGGTTCTGCCATACAAATAATAATGGCCCAATTTCTGGTTGGTTTGATTGCGGCGTATTCCCCCCCCTTCGGTCTCTCCACTTTTGAGGGATTTGCCTCCCTGCCGGTCTGCTGGTTCAACTGGATCACTGGTTAGAGGGACTCGGTCGCCCTCCGGACTGGTGGATTTGGCCGTGGAAAGAGAGGGCGAGGTCATCGTACAGCTAAACGATCATAGAAGCTTGACTCGGTCGCAACTGACTAGAGACCACGATGATAGCTCAAACTAAAGATAGGTGCTGGTCAGTAGTTTCTTTGAAATACTCACTGACCTCTTTTCTATCGACTCGAACTCTATATACAAAGAACCCTTCTCTCTACGAGAACGCCCCGTCTTATTCTAAACCAATCCCACCTGCACTCAGCTGATGGTCAGCCTTTTTTCTTCAGCCCTTTGATCATTTTTTTACTTATTTGAGTAGTTAGCCACAGCCCCCAAGTGGTTTAAAATCAGAATAAAGAGCCCAATGGCTGAATGAAGAATCTCTCCTTCTGTTTCTTTGGTTCCGACCTGGGCTTCTTATTAAAACCACCGGGTCGACTCCTTTCGAGTCTCCTCGAATCCCAGTTCGACTTGATTCTTTGAATCCATGAACTTTCTCGCGTCTCATAATTTCTCGACTATTTATAGGGAGACCACAATAGCTGTACCGAGATATTGTCTATATAATAATCTCCAACCTCTCCTCCTCCTCCTCATTGGGAGCCGAAGCCGATCGGGGACCTCCATCCCGCAATCTCCCTTAGCTCATCAATCGGGCGGCGTCAAAGTTTCTTTTTTTCCCTCTTGACTCTTGACCTACACAGTCCAACTTAAGTCCACCACCAACACCAACTCAGCCACTAACCAACCAACCCGCCATCGCCGTTTTTCTCTTCTTTCTTCCACCTCTTCCTTCCTCCGCCCCCCACCCCGCCTAACGCCTCGTCTTCTTATTATCTGGCGGAGGTCTCGTTGATGGAAACGCAATGGCTGCTGCGAGTGGAACTGAGCTGCACGCCGACGGCGACATGAAATCACCCATGTGAGTCATGCTGCTTTGAATCCTGCCATTTTGAATACTGCTCTACACCTTCCTACTCTGTTATCTTCCCTCCTGCCCTCACGACTTCATGGTGGGGGATCAATAAAAAGTCGGTCTCGGGACTTCGAGGGTTGCTCAAAAAAGAGGGTCCGCCATCCCCTCTCCCCTCACACCGCATTGCATGGACGATTATCCCCTGCAGACCTTGTCTCATGAGGCCTGATCCCCGATCTATACAATGCCAGAGTCTGGAGATTTTTTTGGGTCGAATTCGGCCTTGACATTCCCCCCACTTACTTTGGACTTGCCGGACGTTTCCTGCAAAAGAAACTGCATGATCGTCCCGGTCGCACGTGGAGATCTTGGAGATCTGGACATGACCGACCGATGAGATGTCTATATATATTCCCTATCCCACACCAGCACTCGTTGTCCGCACTTTCAACCATGGCAAATGCTAATCTTCTGCGCCCGTATAGCTCCAGCCCCGAAGACGACATCCCCGACCAGATCGGGTCAAACGGGTCCACTCCCACGGGCATCGCAACCCCTCAGCCCGATCCCGCGGACAAGCGTCTGCCCTCCATCATGCATAACTACTTCCAGGTTGGTTCTTTCTCTGGTGAAAAAGCGAATTTGCCCCGGCTCTGGTCATATCTCTCGAAGTCTTCCTCGGTGGATCCCTCTCCATCACAAACACCCACACAATTCTCCTCCACCACTACCACCACCACCACTACCCATCACCCGAGCACCTCCTCCGAGTCCTTCGTCATGATGGAGCGGGAGGATGGAGAGGGTTTAGATAAGATGGAGGTGATGCCTACCACCAACCTTCCTACTCCGCCCCATTCTTTGCTCCAGCAGGAGTCAGACGAGATGGACCTTGCGTCGAGTCTCGAGCAGACCGACGGGCCTTCGATATTTCATATGTTGAAGAAATATCTCAACCCGTCCACCTCCGTCCCTCCTTCTCGCCGTCAAACTTCCCTACCAGTCTCTAGCGTCTCTGATGACCCCGTTCTTGCCACACATTTTTCCAATCCATCTATTCCTTCTGCTTCTTCCGATGCTGCTTTTTGCCCCTCTGAAGCTCCTTTGCTCAACCACGAGATGCCGCACGTTTCCATATCTTCCGAGAACCTTGCCAAGCTGACTGGAAACGCACCCGATGGGGTGCGTCTCAAGAATACCCCCCGTTGACTCCCCGGGCCATGTCCAACGACGACCAATCGGCCGACAAGAAGTCCGTCACCTCCGCCCCGCGCGCGAGCGAGTCCGAGGAGTCGCAAGAGGAACAGCAACGGCAAGAGCAACAACCACACTCGGACGGTATGGACAGTTCCACCGACGAAATCGCTATGAAGCTCGACGAGGCTTTCCCCCGCCAATCCAGCGCCTCCCCTCAGAATGGAGCTCCTGTGGGGCCACTGAAGGGTAAATTGTTTGTGAAGATCTCCGAGGGCCGCGGATTGCGCCCCAGCTTCGATCCCTACGTCGTTTGCGTTTTCGAGTGGAACGAGTATATCTCCGGGGGTGCCCGATCTGGGGAAGAGGAGAAGAAGCGGCGGCAGATGCAATCGGATGCCGAGGCTGGTATTCCCATGGCCATCCCGATGAAGAGCCGCCAAAGTAGCTACAACAGTGCCCTGGACGGGCACGATCACAAGGGGCGAACCCCCGTGACGGATCCCCATTGGGATCATGAGGCGGTCTTGTAAGCTTTTCCTTGTTCCTGTATTCGCTGTTCCAAGTCCGCTCTCGTGCTAAATATTTCTTCTAGTGATGTACTCGGTGACCAGTCCGAGGTCGATGTTACCGTTTACGACCGCAGCAACCAAGAGGCGTTCCTGGGCCACGTGCGCCTCGCCATCAATCTGAAGGAAGACCACAGCCGGTTGGAAGGCTGGTTCCCACTGGTCGCTCGTGCTGCGGGAGACAGCCAGGTGTCGGGCGAGATCCATCTGCAGATGCGATTCGAGATGACGGAGCGTAGACAGGTGGGCCCGAACGACTTCCACATTCTGAAGCTCATCGGCAAGGGAACCTTCGGTCAGGTCTACCAGGTTAAGAAGAAGGATACTGAGCGGATCTATGCCATGAAGGTCCTTTCTAAGAAGGTGATCATTCAAAAGAAGGAGGTAGTGCACACATTGGGCGAGCGCAACATTCTCGTGCGCACTGCAATGACGGCGTCGCCGTTTATCGTTGGTCTGAAATTCTCTTTCCAGACCCCCACGGATCTGTACCTGGTCACGGATTACATGTCTGGCGGTGAACTGTTCTGGCATCTCCAGCGCGAAGGTCGCTTCCAGGAGGCCCGTGCCAAGTTCTACATTGCCGAGTTGATCTTGGCACTACAGCATCTGCACGATCATGATATCGTGTACCGCGATTTGAAGCCGGAGAATATCCTGCTTGACGCTAACGGTCACATTGCGCTGTGTGACTTTGGCCTTTCCAAGGCCAACTTGAGCCAAAACGATACCACCAACACGTTCTGTGGTACCACCGAGTATCTTGCCCCGGAGGTCTTGCTGGACGAGCAAGGATACACCAAGATGGTTGATTTCTGGTCTTTGGGAGTCTTGGTCTTTGAGATGTGTTGTGGTTGGAGTCCGTTCTACGCCGAGGATACCCAGCAAATGTACAAGAACATTGCTTTCGGCAAAGTGCGGTTCCCCCGCGATGCGCTCAGCACCGAGGGTCGGAATTTCGTCAAGGGTCTGCTGAACCGGAATCCCAAGCACCGACTCGGCGCCAATGGCGATGCGAAGGAGCTTATGGCACACCCCTTCTTCAGTGATGTTGACTGGGAGGCCTTGGGCCGCAAGCAGGTCATTCCCCCATTCAAACCAAAGCTGCAGTCCGATCTCGACACCTCGAATTTCGACCCGGAGTTCACCAATGCCCTGGAGACCAACAACTCCCTGCATGAGCGCGCAGCCGCTCTGGCTAATGGCTTGATGCCCGGGTCCACCCCTCTGTCTCCTGGCATGCAAGCCAACTTCAAGGGCTTCACCTTTGTGAACGAGAGCTCGATCGACCACCACCTTAAGCACGACCCTGCTGACCGGATGGACGAGGACCCCATGCACGAGGAGTCATGGCAGCGCACGCACCGGGCTACGAACTCGAACGATCAGCGCATGAGCGGCGTTCAGAAGACGGACGGGACGGAGCCAGGGATCTTCAACGTTGACGACAATTTTGACATGTGATTACGTATCTCCTATTGTTCTCTCTCTTTTTCCTTTCGTCTCTCATTGCATGATCATGGAGTCCTGATCCGGCATAAATTTTGTCCTTGTCCTTGTCTGGTATATGTCTCTGGATGCATATCTTGGTAGCCCGCAGCACGAGTATGGGGTCTTATCTAGTATTTGTTTCCATCACGTTTTCCTTCTCACGTTACCCCTGTTACACCTGTTCTCTTGCTTTTAACGCCTCATTCTTGTTTCTCTGTCTCTGCCCGGGTGGTGGTTTTGGTCTCTGGCTTCATTTCGACTTCGATCTCGAATTTCCAACTTGCCTCTTCCCTCTTCTGCACTCTTCGCAGCTGTTGCTCTTTTTTCCCCGCATGTATGGCTTTTTCGCGATCATGCTCGTGTTCCTGTTCCTGTTCCTGTTCCTTGTTCCTGGTCTGGTCTGACAGATGATGAAATGCCGCTTTCAATCACGGTCTTGATGATTGTGTCCCAATTGTCTTCCCACCCGCGTTCTGTTCGGCAGTTCAGCTACATACATACCCCCGTCCCTTTTGAATTCTGAGTTGTTTGGTAGTACTCAGGAGGGCTTGCATTTTCTCTTATTATTCTTGCGCTGAATTGATATTTCGCGGTTTCTGGTTCTCAACCTGGGCTTTCTTTCCTCGTAGTTTATGTATAAAACAACTAGTAGTTGGACATTTTGTGTCTTTGGTAGGATTGAATGCATAGCTGTTTTGTTTCAAGATGAGTGGAGGTGATTATATAGAGGCCCGAGGTCTCCATGGTGCTCACTGGTGTACGGTGGCGGTTCAAAAATTTGAAGCTGGAGACCAGCGAAACCGCCTAACAGATACGCTTCCACCTCTTGTCTTTTGAAGGGTCTTTTCAGAGGTCATTTGAATCGTCTTTTAGATAGCTTATGTATCACTCTTTAGTCTAATATCCAACTGGTGACTGATAAAATGATCCTAAACATTGGTCATTATTTCATCAAACTTTCCAACCCCACTATACTACCTACATCCACAAATGAAGGGATTATAACCTGCACATCTACACATTCACAATGCTATTCTCTAGATCGAAGCCACATGGAAGCCCCGAAGACTATAATTAGTCACTTTCCTCCGCTGGGTCGGTCTAGATATGTGCCGAAGTCTATGGACCCTCATACTCCTTTCAGTAATCCAGTCCTGTCGAATTGTGGGTCTCCGCGGGGAAGTATATAAATCACAACCCTGACAGGATAATGTACGATCTCATCGTCAATTTCATTTTAAACCCCATCTATTTCTCAATCCTCCATTGAAAAAACCCAAAGCTCTATTGCTCCTGCTTAAATCAATTCAACATCCATCAACACGAAACAGAAGCCATGGATCCCCACCTCTACCTCACCAACATGCCCACCCCTCAACCACCATCAACCCCCAGAAGAATCTCAATCCCAAAAACAAAAGCAACCATAATCCCCTCAACATACACAACAACCAAACCCCCAGAATCCTTCCCAACTACCGCAAACGGCACCCTAACCTGGCACACCCTAATCTCGCAACCGCAAACACCAACCTCAGACCTCTCCGCCGGCATCGCAGTCTGCCCGCCTCGCACAGGACACCTTTGTCCGCACCGTCATGTGCAAGCTGAGATATACCATATCCTAGAGGGAGTGGGCGAGGTTACGATTGATGGGGTTGTTAATAAAGTTGAGGCGGGGAGTACGGTGTTTATTCCCGGTGATGCGGAGCATGGGGTTGTTAATACGGGACTGGAGGATTTGAGGTGGTTTTATGTTTTTCCGACGGGGGCTTTTGGGGATGTTGTTTATAGATTTGAGGAGGGGAAGAGATTGGCGAAGCTTTAGGGGTATGTACAGGTTGAGCGAGAAGGAGTATTTGACATATCTACTTTAGTGGACCAGTTTGAGGACTGCTTTCTTATTATATACTATGACATGCATAAATCTAGTGGTCCGGTCATAGGGAGAGGTTGAGTGGTTAAGATTCAGTTCGTTTTCAGTTCGTTTTCAGTTCGTTTTCAGTTCGTTTTTAGTGGCGTGCTTTTTAGTCCTCTTTGCAGACCTCTTCCTAGACCTCCTCCGTGTTCAATTTTACAAATATCTTCATGTCTAATTTGCTAAGGTAGGTAAATTAGACAATTACATATATAATTACGACATCATTATGCCCCATAACATATGTACTATATCCCTACTCATAGACCATCTGCAAGGCCCAGTGGCTCAATGCTCAGCTAGCTCGACATTTAACATTCCGTGATGACAGTCTTAACGCTTGTATAGCGTGATAGAGGGCTTCCTTCAGAGTCCCTCAAGGATCTTGGGAATAAGACCCTCGTCAAACTCCCACAGTTTCGTCTGAAAGTTGACTGAAAAGGCACCACCCGTCCACCATGTACATCGAGCACCTTGAAGTTTGTATAAATCCTGATAGAACCCATTCTTGACCTCGTCAACGGAGACACGAGCATGCATGGGACCGTGTGCAGAGAAAGCAGCCCAGTTGAGCTTTTGGGTCTGGTGTGCTGTTCCAGACAAACGGCCAGCTTGCAGCAAAGTGTTGAAGCTACTCTGAGCCAGTGTCTTGGCTTCAAGAGCGGTAGTTGTTTTGTTGCCAATGATCATTACGCGGAATAAGTGCTCGAGACCGGTGTACTCGAAGTTTGCGACCATAGGCTCATCCTGGAAGACGAGGGTATGGTTTGGCGCTGCGGATGAGGGCAGATTGAAGTAGTAATAGCTCGCGTTAAAGACGGAGTTGTCGACTAGGCCCGTGAATTCGTTGGAGTAGGTGAATTTGGCTAGGGTGTCTCGCTCAAATGAATTGAGATCCAGAGGAGCCACATTATCGTCAGTAGGCTCAATGGCAACGAGGAGCCGACGTGCGACAATTTGGGTTATCTTTCCAGTCTTATGATTGCGGACAGTAATATTGACACCGGAGTTGGTGCGGCGACTGTTAATCACGGTGCTCGTGTACAACACATCATCACCCAGGTCCTTGGCAATGGCATTGTAGAGGGCCTGGTTACCCCCAGAAGTAGGTGTGAATAAGCCCATTTGACCCGTCAACCCTCGTGCCATGTCCCAGCCAAAGCTCTGCAGCACAAACATAGTAGCCACTTCGCTCATATTGCCCACTCCAAGACCAGTGGTCGAGTAGATGATAGGTGCACCGTCTTCGAGGCCATACTTGGTTAAGAATTCCCCGAATGGAATCAGAAGATCCTCGGGTATGCTGTCAGGATCAGGAAAGTTCCAGTATCCGGGTTGCAGCATAGACTCCCATGGCTTGATTACGTCGAGGAATTTGGCGATTGCTGTGATCTGCGCCGTCAGGGATGGGGGTTGAAAAGCGACTTCGGCGCCGGTATTGAAATCGATGTACTCGGTGATTAGCATGGGACTGCTCGAATTACTGCTGACTGAGATATCGAATCGGTCGAAGAAGTCCTTGGCTTTGCTCACGTTGAGGAAGCTCTGAACACCAAAGTCATACGTTGCGCCGGTCTTTTCATCCACATAAGTGTCGACCATACCGCCCTTTATGTCGACTTTCCATTAGTACTCGCCAACAGTTCGATCAATTTGGAGGAGGGTTACCAGGATGCTCTGTTGCTCAATCAATGCGATGGACTTGTTGAAGTCATCGCGCAGCCGCACGGCAGCGTAGGCACCGGAAGCACCTCCGCCGATAACCACAACATCTCGATGGAGGATATCCGGGGATCCATCGGCAGTAACAAGAGGCATAATAGCACTTAACAGGCTTATAGCTATATATGCCAGGGAAGACATTGTCACCTACTTATAGGGTTCAAGATGCTGGGTTCGAGGCGGTTGTTGGAGAGCGAAGCCTTTGTGAGAGCCACCAGTTTCAACTTTGGGAATCAGAACTAACGAGAAATCTACTTCACTCAGAAAAGAGACGACTCGCGTAAAAAGTTTCAATGAAAAAGGTATTGAACCCGGGGATGGAAGCTGCCAGTTCAATGAAAGGCTGGACAGGTACTGGGTACTCTTGAATCAGGAGAAAATGTGCGATTTGTGGGTCAGCGAAGAAAGATAAAGGATTTCAGCACGGAGGAAAGAAGATCAGCGTATTGGTCTATCTCAATTGGTGGATTTTAACATGATTATGTCGTTAGCTGCATATAGTCTGCAACCGCAATTTAAATGGATGGGAGGAGGCCTAACGGCTAAACTCTGGCCAATGAGCGTTGTCTAGGGCTACATCCGCATTTGGTCCCCACGCTACAATACACAAGTAAGCCTGCATAATTGGATATATATTTATATTGTAAAATACTTCTCCGGTCTAGATATCAAGGATACAGTGTGCCTGTTCTCTACTATATCCGAAATAGAATAGCCTACCGTGCGAAAGCACAAGTTGGCATGCAAGTAGTAGCCTTGGCTAAATCGAAGAGAGCTAAGGAAAGCAAAAAACGGGTATCATTCTCCTTGATATGCAACAATTGCATTAAATCGAAGGGAGCCTCAGAAAAACAGAAAAGCAAATAGCGGGTATCATGCTCCTTGATATGCAGAAATACCGTTGAATCGAAGGGCAAAAAATAAGAGCAAAAAGAAAAGCAAAAAAAAAGCAAAAAAGAAAAGCAGAAAAAGGAAAAGCAAGAAAGCGAATAACACCTTCGACGCGGTCTCTCCGGAGGCGACTTCTCTGCATTTTGCAGGTGCCAATTCTTATCATTGGCTGCCAGCATTCCTAGGCACCACAACCCTAATGCCACTGTCAATCGGGGTTCTTTAGCCTTTCAAATGTTTTCGTTGTTTTGGTCAAAGGCCGGCTTGCCCGAATTCCATTTCATGGACACCGAAATTTCCAATTCCCCCTTGATAGCTCTCTTGTTCTTGCCTTCCACTCTGCGGATAGCAACCAGCTCTGAGTCTGTCAAAAAAATCCATACCGAGTCTCGAACTTCTCCATGTAAAAATTGGCCTGGGAGAGGACTTGTCTGAATTGCTTTTGCCTGCAGTCATCGGTGTCATCTTTCTATTTCGATTTCCACTTGTGAGATAGCTTGAAGTCACCGGGCAGACGACCCTGTTTTTTTCCAGTGCCATCTTCACACCAAAACAACAAGTCAGGCAAGGGAGATATTTATAAGAGAGATCTATGAGAGGAAGTCGTGAGAGGAAGTCATAAGCGAGAGGTATAAGAAATATTTAAAAGAGAGAGAGAGAGAGAGAGAGAGAGAAAGAGAGAGAGAGAAGTAAGAGTTAACAGAGAGGTAGGAAGAGTCATAAAAGAGATAGAGAATTAGAAGAAATTTATAAGACAGATTCTGAAGGAAATTGATAGAGGGAGGTTGTAGAAATCAAGAATACGGATTATACTCAGGTGTGAAGTTCACATTCTAGAACTCACTTAGAAGAACTCAAGAGAATGTATTATAATTATAGCTACATATAACAATGATTTTGGAACCTTAACTCTTGTTCTGGGCTGTTTCCCTTTAGACATTGAATTTAGGAAGAGGTTTCAGAAGAGGTTTATAATATCATTTAGGAAAACTTTTCCAAAGATATTTACGGAGTTCCTCGTATTGCGTATTCAGAAATTATATAATAAGATAGCTAGAAAGATATCTACATCTAACGGGTATATCAAAATCCTATCATGAAAAATTCTTTTTAAGGCTTAAATGCATACTATCATTAAGATCCGATAATAACCACCTTGGCTAGCATTTGCAGCCATTCAGATCCCATTCTTCGGGTATTACTAACCCTTACAAGACCACAGCTCTCAGTTCTTACCCTGGGTATCCTTTAGAGTAACAATGCGGTTGAGAATAACCTGGTCAGCCGTCGACTCGCGGTCAACAGCGAAGTAGGCAATACGCATGCCCTGAAAACGCACGCAGTGCAGGTTAGACTCAACATCAGCTTCTCCAGCAGCCTTGGGCCAAGGCGCCGTCTGACGAATCTCATTGAAACCCGTCTCAATCATCGCGTGCTTGTAAATCTCCTCCGAGTTCGGATTGATATCTGCCAGGAAGCCATCCGGGTGTGCGGAGGGGTCCTCAGACTTGAAGAGGGAGTTGAAAGCGCGGATCTCGGCGCGGATGGGGCTGTTGTGTTTGGCGGACTCGCCGACCCAGTGGATGAAGGTCTTGGGACGGGGAGCAGTCTCGCCTTCGGCAGGCTTTTCGTACTTGGCGTGCACGACGGTGACGGTGCCGGTTGCGGGGTCCTTCTCGAAGGATGTGGCGGTGATGGGATAGGGGACCTTGAGGAGGCCGACGGTCTTGCCAGGGGCCAGGCGGAAATAGTCGGCGGAGTCGACTTCACGGAAATCGGAGCGCTCAATGTACACGGTCTTGGTGAAGGGGACGGAGTGGGTGCCGAAGGAAGCGTCCTTGCCGAAGGGAACCTCGACGAGTTCCTCGTGGTCATCAGGGAGATCGTCGATGATCACCTTCAAGGGCTCGGTGACCACCATCAAGCGGGGAACGGTAGTCTCGAGGAAGACGCGGACACTCTGGTCGAATCGGTGCATCTGTACGTTGGTGACAGCCTTGGTCACACCGAGTTCGTTGACGAAAGAAAGGATAGCACCTGGGGGAACACCACGGCGGCGCAGGGCAATGAGAGTGTAGAGACGCGGATCATCCCAGTCGCGGACATGGCCTTCCTTGACCAACTTGATAATCTTGCGCTTAGAAAGAACTGTGCCAGTAATGTTGAGACGACCGTACTCGCGCTGCATAGGGCGATATACATCCAGCTTCTCGTTGAGCCAATCGTAAGAGACACGGGACAACTCGAATTCAGTCGTGCAGAGCGAGTGCGTAATTCCCTCAATGCTATCACACAAGCAGTGCGCAAAATCATATGTTGGGTAGATCTTCCATGTGCCACCGCTGCGGTGGTGCTGCGCCTTCTCTTCACTCTCCGTAATGCGCCAAGCAACCAAATCCCACATCTGGGCCCTGGGGTCTTCCAGCAGAGCCTGCTTCATCCGCAGACAGGCATCGCCAGCCTTGTACTTGCCGTCCCGCATTGCCCGGAACTCGGCGAGCGACTTCTCGGGATCCTGGTTGCGATGCGCGCAAGCGAAACGTTCTCCACCACGCTGTCCGCTCTCAGACTCTCCACGTCCTGCCTTGATTTCGGTTTTCGTGCAGTAGCACATATAAGCTCCATCGCGCTTAATCAGGTCCTCCGCGAGCTCGTAGAGCTTGTCGAAGTTGTCACTCGCACAAGTTTCCCGCACCGGCGTGAAACCCAACCAGTTGACAATGTCCCGGATAGCATTATAATATCTCTCCTCCTCACCCTCAGGGTTGGTGTCATCGAAGCGTAGGATACACTCGCCACCGTGGTACTTTGCGAAACCAAAGTTGATAGCGATGGCCTTGCTGTGTCCGATGTGGAGGAATCCGTTGGGCTCGGGCGGGAAACGGGTGCGGATCTTGGGAATGGTTTCGGAAAGAGGTCGTTCGTTGTAGACGTCGTGCAAGAAGCCAACCTTGAACATGGCATCGGGATCCCGGGCCTCGGCAGCTTCCTTGGGTGCTTTGGCGGGCTTAGGCTTGTTCTCCTTGGGGCGGGAGCTGTTCTCCTTCTGAGCTGCTTTCTTTGCGGCCTTCTTAGCTTCCTTCTTGGCCGCGGCCTTGGACTGCTTCGGCTCGCCCTGAGGTTCAGCAGCGGGCTGGGCCTCCTTGGGCCGCTCAGGGAGCTCGACAGGCTTTGCGGGGTCCATGATCGGTGAATGAACCAAGAGTCTGGTCGTGACGCGCGAGCAATTGGTGGGGTAAGTAGACAACAATTTTGCGAGGGGCTGCGATGCTTATCAGTTCCCATTTCGCTTATCGGGCCGATGAAACCCCGGATGAGTCAGAGAGAATCCGGATGGATGTTGATAAGTTATCTATAGATCGAAAAAGATAAAGAAGATTAAGTATAAATAGACGGGAATTGCTTGTATTTACTCATAATGAGTCACCGAATAAGGATAGACTAGCACCAACATGAGCCAGACGTCTGGGAGGAGTATTTACTGTTGATTATACCTAGTATCGTACATGGTAAGCGCAGCTGTACATGAGTGGTGGTACATAATTTGTACAGGCCCTGAACAAGCGGGTCGAAGGTCACAAAAGACAAGTTATAGACAAAGAAAGACAGAATGCCACCTAATTACCCGGACGCTCGAGCCATGTCACCAATGAGATGCAGCGCCAGCGGAAAAAAGACACCGAGGAAACCGTGAGAGCAAGGATATAGACAATAAATCCAAGTAGAGTGGGCGACACGGCAGAGTGTAGAGCCGAGTAGCAGAGCCATGTGTCATGCTCGCGAGGACCAATCAAGCGCCGAACTCTGAGTAGACCCAACGACATGATAGGTATCGCGAGGGAGAGCGAGTGATATCAAAAATCAAAAAAAAACGTAACAAGTAGCGACCAAATGCGGGGTATATGACGTGGTAACAGATACAAGAGGGAATGAAGGAGAATGTAACAATGATTGGAAAGAAAAATGAACTCAGAAGAGCTGCATCGCACTGATGAGCTCTGAGTTCCCTGGGCGGTCACGTTCCATATGGAACCACCAATCCCGGCCCATCTTATGATTCCAGGATCCGGTGCAGGTGTCTTTATCCCAAGGGAGTGCATGGGAGGAAGCGAAGCTCATTGGAGTGATGGGGGTCGTGGGAGTTGCTGGTGTGCCCGTCGACCGACCACCTAAACTGCCCCATCCAAATCGCGACGTGCTGGAAGATGGGGAAGCAATATCATCAATCGGAGGCGGGTTGGGAATGTTCTTGCCGGTTTCAAAGCAGTGGACTCCCACTCCAGCAGCGAAAGAGAGTGATTGATTGGAGGCAAGCAATTGCTTCCACCCGATCAAGCCACCATCTGATTCTTGCCCGGTAATATCAGGGCGTAATAGGAACTTGGGAATAGAAGCTCCCGTTGCGGGATCCTTGACGCCTGAGCGGCCCATGAATGCAGGCATATGAAACTCGTAGACGGTTTTGGGGCCATCGTTCTTGGGAGGTGCATTCTTGTATCGCTCGGCGGCAGCCCAGATACCGTAATCATCCATTTCCTGTTCAGGCTCTTCTTCGAACTGGGAAGCCATTGCGATGTCTGGGATAAAGTTGTCCGAGTAATCTTGGATCAACACTGGCATACCACTTTCCGAATCCTTGGCGGCCATATCAATAAAGGTTTGTGCCCGGATTCGAGAAGAAGTCAAGTTGTTCCCAGCTGGCAGAGCCAGGGGCCGGGTACTGACAGAACCGTGTGAGCTGCGAGGGAGACTATACCTGTCCGGTCGAAGCAGTGCTTGGCCCCTGATGATGGGACGGCAGGAAGCTTGGAGCACGCCTGGAGGCTCCACATCATTGGGGGCGCGTAGGGTTTCCAGACAAGGGAATCCAGCGGAAAGAATGCTTTGAGCGAGATGGGAGTTGGGGGTGTCGGACTGTTTCAGAGGGTGCTGGAAGGGACGAGAGTCAAGTTGGGTCAGTGCAGTGCCTGGGTCAGGACAGGCAACGTCCCAATGGAGATATTTGAGACTGGATGATGCCAATATCGGTTGGAAGACTATGCCTTCTCTAGGCATAACCGGACACTTGTCGCACTGCACAAACTTGAACCGTTCGAGTTGTCTTAGGGAGGAGAGAATTTTGGAGATGACCAGCAGTGATTCCACATTCTGTTCCACCAAGACAAAGGACTTGAGCGAGCGGGACTCGGGCCGTGACGTGTACTGGACAAGACCACGGTCCGTGACACCGGGCAGGTTCTCCAAGCGCAAAGATTCCAGCGGAGGAAGGCATAGCAGCGTGCTATCCGCGAAGGCGTCCTCACTAAAAGAGGTGATGCAGAGATTCTTCAGGGATGGTAACAGATCAAACATGCGCAAGAATATGCTCGGCTCCAACGCGCCACTCCCGTTCAACCCGTACAGCATCAAAGTCTCTAAATTTGACCATGACACATGATAATTTAGAAACTCGAACATCTGAGACGGGCCTAGACTGCCGGGGCAGGAGGTGCTGCGGGGCGACATCTCTGAAACCTCCGCTGCCTCGCCCAACACCCAGATATGCTCTTTCAGTCGCTTGCGGGTCGACAACGCGTGGGTCAAACGATCGAATTCATGGTGGTACGGGATCGACAGGCCCAGCAGACGTTCTAGATTCGGGCAAACCATGACCACGGACGCGACGATATCGCGATACTCCTGCCACTGTGTACTCTGCTTCGTTGTTGTGAACAGTAAATCCATTTGAGGTACCCGGAGTTCGCGGACGAGATGGGCCAGCATATGTCGTTCGCGCAAGGTGCGGCGCAGCAGCTTCAAGCGGCTTCCTCTTTTTAGACGGTATTTCTTTAACTGCGCGGGGGAGTCATTCCCGACAATGTGAATCTGGGTATAACTGGAGTTTTGAATTACGTTAGCATGGTCTTTCCACCAAATAGAGGAGATTCCGAATACTCGACTTACAGTCGTGGTCTGACTGCCCTTTCCCATGACCGGCAAGTTAGGGATAAGGCGTGCAAGTCGCGCTGGAAGCATGTTGTACAACCAGTTTGGTGTGGCGCTTTGTGCAATATCTCAAGGCTGTTGAGGATCACGTCGTAAACTTCTTGGGGGATCCGGCGCTGGACTGGCACAATGGGCTCGGTGATGGACCCTATTGAGTCGAATTGGCGACAAGAAGAAGTGGGCGACGAGGGCGAGTATGATGTCGTCGGCGATGTCGAGGTTGTATAGTTTGTTTTGTAGGAGGATATGGAGGAGGTGCGCGAGGTGGTGACAGGCTGGACGCTCACACCGATTTCTTTATAACTCGGGGCATCTCGAGGGATCGTGTAGGGCACAGCAGGGCTTTCTGGTCTACTGGCAACAACACTCATCGTGACGTGACCCGCCGGGCATCGGAGTCGTAAGATGCTGGTCAAGGAGAAGGGAAAAAAATCCAGTGGCGCTTATGGCAGACCGCGGGGGAGAAGGAGGAATGGAATGTAGGGGGGCTTCGATCCACGGGTAGATAACGGCAGTGTCGTAATAATGTAACGAGCCTCGAGGAGATCGACAGGGTAAGATTCCAACTGAGGTCACTATTATTGTTGATTTGACAAGGGAGAAGAAAACGAGAGAAAACGAGTGGGAGAGGAAAAGAGAGTGAGTGGGTGTGATGAGTGACAATAATGAGAGGAGGGAAGAAGCCGGAGAATAGCGTCGGCAAAGGGCAGTCATGATACCACCACCACAAAGTCCACCACCTCTTAGTCTCTCTCTCTTTTCTTTAACCGCCTCACCTCCTCTTCTTACTAGTCCATGCTTTCTGCCCGCTCGGCCTCCGTGCCTCTCTTCTTCGAGGGTCCTGGCAAAAGGAGCATGGCGTCTGGTCGATCAACCCCCACATTGGCTATTTTCTGCTCGTGCTCAGCGGAGAACACTGACAGGGGGCGGTTCAGGGGTTGCGACTGTCCCTCGCCCTATGCCCGATGCGAAGAGGGATCCGCTCTGAATCTTTTGACAAACAATAATTCATTCTGTACCGAATCACATCCATTCTGCTCTTTTGTGTTTAATGGCTTTCCAATAATTGCTTTTACCAGGTGCTAATAGCTTTCTCCAGATTCCCCCAAGGTCTCCATCCTGTCGCATGGCAGACTGCATGGCAACCAAAACACGAACGTCCCTGCAGCCATGGTTCTTCGAGTGCGGTTCGTGAACTGCAGCGCTATTCCACAGGAGGAATAGCGCCCTCATTTAGTGGGTCTATTTTTATGGGGCCCGTCTTGGTTTCCCCCTTTTTTTTCTTCTCGAGGTTCTCTCAGCGTGAGTTGTCGGCGTCAAACAGTACTACATATGGAGTAGACTAACTACACTAGGCTCGTCCTATCAGTTTAGTTCCAAGGAAAGGTGTACGCACTCCATCCACTATTCATATGAATTGCACTCTACAACCTGCACCGGCATGTTTCAGCACAACGAGGCGGCCCTCAATGTTCTGTGGTTCTCGAGTTCTGTCACTGGCGGCCGAATCTTACAAGAAATGCGGCCTGAGCGTGAGACAACCTGACGCCCCTCGTTCAATCAGGCAAGCTGCCGCCAGGAACAGCAACACCACAAGATGCCAGGCACAGAAACCTGCACATATGGCGCATGTTGCCGCTCAGCAAATCCCCGAACTGGCCACCCCAGTCTCAAAAACGCGAATAGCGCCGATAACGCATGATATTAATAACCCTCTTCGTACAAACTGGCAAAGCAACCCCGAGATCGATCGATGAGGATCTGCGCCCAAGAATTCGTTTGGTGCTCCGACACCCCTGATACTACTACCAGAGTATTCACTACTACTACCTCTTACGAAGAACAGGCACGAGAGCTCCTGCAGACCAATAACCCTCGTCATGAGCGCTTCTCTCCAAAACTAATAAAGGTTACATGCGGTCACTGAACCCGGAATCCACAGAAACTTGTTCGGCAGGCCTTCCTTTGTCCGGCATGGCGGCACTCATCAGATAAACAATGTGGACATGGCAGAGCTGAAACCCGATCCAGTGGAGACACATCCACCCCCATCTTCTTTGCAACAAGAGCCAATAGCATTATCCGATCTGTCTCTCATGAATCCTACTCGAGAGGCTGCCGCTTCATCGGTATCGCCATGTGAGATTTGGAATTCAGTTCGGTTCCACCCTAGCTACCGAAACCAAGTATTGGCGGCCCGCCCGCACTTGGATGGCGAAGTATTTATCTACTATACGGGTCTGTCGGGGCCTGTCTCTGATACTGCACAACATCGTAGTGGCTCCACTTTCTAGATTTGTCCTTCAGGCATCCAGGAGCACCTCGACGAGTCCTGCCACATGGGCCAGATGTAACCGGCCGGCCTTGTCTATGTGCAGATATGGAATTCCGAACCTACGATCTTGTAGATCTCGACGAGCTCTTCTATACCCCTTCTACGTAGGACAGATAGCATATTAATCAACTGAGATTTGGTTTTTGCTTCATTGAGTACTTTGTAGTTCTACCTAGTCGTCCAGTACACTCATGGGCCCAGAGAATGTCGCCAGGTCTTCATTTGTCACACTGGTCTTCCCTAAACCCCTGCTCGTCGAGACTTGTCTATGGCCTAGAACTTTTGGCATGGTGGAAGGTACACAATCGATTCGATTTTACAGTCGGAACTTTGAAATGGACTGTATCAAATTTGACAAATGACGACATTCATCTTGCTAGAACAGACGAGTAGGATGAGTTTACAAAGACAATGAGTTAGCAAGCGGTCACTACCAGGTGTCTAAGGAAGGTGGCCGTGGCTCCGCAGTCGTCTCATCCTCATCATTATCGTTGTCATTATTGCCCTTGTCAGGGTCGACTTCATTGTGATTGTCCTCGAATTCGTCACATTCCCATGAGGAAGACTTTTGGCGACGAATTCTAGCTCGTTGGCATTCCTTCTCCTCACACTTTCTCTTTTTCTCGACGTAAGCTGGATACTCTGTTCCTAGCATCACCTTGAGTTTGGCTTCCTGGTCCTCTTCGGTCCATCCGGGGGGGTCAGCAGTATCATAGTAGAACATCCAAGACCACCAAATCTCGCCCCGTTTATGGTCCTCAGCCTGTAATGAAAGTAAGCCTTGCTCAAGGAGTTGTAAGCCGTAAGTCCTTACCAGCCCAATCAAAAGATAATGAACCCTGTCATCCTCATCTTTCATCCACTCTTGCATGTTCTCCTCTTCGGACTCCGTTCGAGAGTCCAGAGGAAAAGTATGGGCGTGATCAAAATCAATCCAGACAGCCCGATCTGTTTCTTCCTGCACAATCACATTTCGTGGGTAAATGTCATCGTGGAAGACTCCGGCCTTGTGCATCACAGATATCGCGGTTCTGAGTTGATCAGCTCGTGCAGTGGAGAAGTTGGCGGGGTCAATTTGCTGTGTGTTGGGGATGTATTCGATCACCACGCCATTCGGACGGACGGGATCTTCAACAAAAGCCTCGAGACGCGACTTCCAGCCCTCGGTCTTGGGGTCAATGTCCTTGATCAAGCCGTAGAAGTCCGGGACATAGCCTCTCTCACAGAGCCCATGCTCCTTAAGCCGACAGTAAGCGCGGCTTTCGCAGAGAAATGGATCAATTTCGCGATCATCAGAGTCCCAAGGAAACTTTTCTCGATGATGATGCTGAGTCAAGTCAGAAAAGGTCTATTTCAGGGTCATTTGCAACTCACAATTTTCACGATACAGTCCTTTTCCCGCCATCGAGCCCGGAACACAGATGAAGTCTCAGCCTCACGGATGAGCTCGACCGGCGTCACCTCAGACAAGGCTATCTCTGGAGGTTGGTAGGGGGGACCTGAGGCGACGGAGTGATGTACAGGGTCCGGCTCTGTTGAGAGGTTGGCACTGGACGCCATCTGGGACGCCTGCTGGTGGAATGAGATACGGTTGGTAGAGGGAGATCTGGGGGAGGAGAAGCAGATGAGTTGTTGGCAGAGGGGCTTTCGATACAGAAGAACCTGGTGATGCGTCAGAGTTAGATGAAAGGTGAGAGAGTAGGAGGAGAGAAGCTATTTGTATGTTGGTGTTCAGGAGGACGTTGATGTTCCTGAAAAAGCTCGAGGTTGGTGTTCGAGAAGATGTTCGTGTTTGAGATATTGGTGTGGGTGTAAGAGAGAAGAAGTTGCGATAGCAGGAGAAGTTAAGCAGAAGATGAAGGAGTACTAGGTTGTAGTATATACGAAGCTGTTTGGGATCCTCTTAGGTAATTTAGTGTAGGCTAGAATTGTGAGTCCTCGTCGAGCCTCCAAAGCTTACATTCCCGAGTCTAATACCTTCTATCTCTTGTCAACTTTCATGCGAATTAACTTATACTCAAATACAGTAACCGTCTCTCGTTAGTTCTGATTCCTAAACTCGAAACTGGTGGCTCTGCAAAGGCCCTTAGCTCTCTAGTAATCGCCTCGAACCTAGCATCTTGGACGCTATAAGTGACAATGGTTTCCCTAGTATGATAGTTTAACGGAAATAACGATATCTTAATGATGAACGAAAGTATTTAATTGCCAGGACTCGCGAATATAGCTATATTCTGACAAGTTCAAACTAGACGTTGCATCTACGAGCGTTTAAGAAATATGCAATGATTGTGTACGCTTCATTACTGCATAAATGAAATGATATCGAAATATGTTGCCAAGTCATAGCACCCCTTCAAGAGTGGCTTATAAAATGCCATGAAAGCTGTCGTGATCTTTTTGTTACCTCGTGCCTGCGATGATGATAGCAACCCACCACATTCATACAAGGGGTCTCATATCTGCCATTCTTTGACCTTCACCAGGCATTTACTGGGCCTCGGTGCCTGCGTCGCGCACAGCGTTAGCCACACGGGTAGCAAGGTCATCAGCCTCGGATCGGCTAGCGGCCTCGGCGTAGACACGAACAGCGTCCTCAGTACCGCTCGCGCGAGCGAAACTGCGGCCCTTGTTGTAGCGGGACTGCAGAGACTCAATCTTGCCCTGCAGGCCGACGGGAGACTCCAGCTTACGCTCGGCGTCGTAGGCCTTGAAGATGGAGCGGTCGTGGACTTCGACACGCACGAGACGGGAAGGCAGATCGGTGTAGGTTCCGAGCCACTCCTTGGGGGACCAGCCCTTGTGAGCGAGGATAGCCTCGACGAGAAGCATATCGGAGAGAGCGTCACCAACAGCCTGGTTGATGAGATCGGTAAGAGCCTGGAGACACTCCAGGGAGTGCTGCTGAGCGGGGGACTGGGGCTCCGTGTTCTTAATGACCTTCAGAGCGTTCTCTGAGAAAGTGACGGTACCGTGGCCGTTGGCCTCGAAGTAGACACCGACATCGAACCGCAGGGCGGCGTGGTGGAGGTGCTTCACACCAGTGTTGGTGCAAATGATGGGGAGCTTGAGCACCTTCTCAATGTAGTCAGTACTGGCACCGTTGGCATAGGCGGTCTGAACGACACCAATCTTCAGCTTCTGCGCAATACCAGCATTGCGGGCAAGATCGCCAATGAACGAGGCCGCAAGAGTGGCGATGCGATCACCGTCCAGGAGGCGGAAGACATTGCTCTCGTCAACGAAGTAATAGACCAGGCGGTCAGCGTCACCGTCCAGGGAGGCGCATCGATCGAGGGGAGCAGCCTTGGAGGAGGGAGGGGCACGCTGCTTAGTCTTGACATAGTCGGCACCACACTGTGACAGTTAGAACAAATCCAGAATCTAAACACGAGAAGGGTAATGGCGCAACCTACGTCAAAGTTCAGGCTGTCAGGGTTGATCACGTCGTCATTGACCACCTTGATGTCGAGTCCGGAGTCCAGGTACTTCATCAGATCCCGCAACTTAGGGCCTCCAACACCATTGGCACAGTCAACGGTCAAAGAACCCTGGATCTTGACGCCCTTCATGACCTTCTTGAAGGAGGCAGCGAGCTTCTCATAGTAGCCCTGTTCCGTGGGCTCACCATACTCGTACTGTGTACCGAGAGTGTTCTTGCAGCGCACGACATAGTGGAGCTGAGGAGTGGTCATGTACTTGAAGTCGATGAATTCGACCTCGGTAGCGGTCAGAGCAGCGCCAAGGACGCCTACCAGACGGGATCCAGAGGCACGGGTATCGCGAGCGAAGACAACACGGGCGGGGTTGGTCATCTTAACGTCGATCTCCTTGACAAGCTCATCGTAGACATCGGCGATCTGATCAAGCGGGGCATTTGCCAGCCTGGTTGCATATTGTTCCCACTCGGCCTAAATATAATGGTGAGTTCGGCATTTCAATTTCGCGGTCGAAGGACAGGCATATCTTACTTCGAGCATCTCACCCTGCATTAGAAGTAAATACGTTAGCATTGTTCGTCCGTTTGCAGGCGCGGTTTTTCAACATTGTTTACCTACCATAGGGTCAATCAGCTTGACACCGTTGTCCTCCGCGGGATTGTGGCTGGCAGTCACCATAACACCAATCCATTGCCCACTAAGCTTCTTCGAACGGAGGCCAGCAAGCAGGCCCACGGCGAAAACGACGGTGTTGAGGAGGTCACTGCGGCGCGGTATCGGTCAGCGAGCTTCGACGTCAACAAACGGACGATCGCGGGGGGCCGTTTGTGTGGAGGCGGGGCAGATCGATCCTGAACAAAACTTACGCCTTCATGCGAAACTGTAGGCGCAAAGCAATTTTTGTTAGCTTGTGATCATAGAGAGAGGGCCCTGCGTGCTGCGCAACATACCCCTGCGGTGCCATATTGGAAGACCTTGCCGTCGGGCTTCGAGTATTGCAGAGCTGCCTCTGTGATCGCTTTTTTGACAGCCGGGGAGGCCATTGTGGCGCGACAAGCTGTAATCAAGGTGGAAGTCGGAGAAAAGGGTAGGAAATCAAGGTGACAGGCGATGAATGTTCACAGAGGAACGTTGAAGGGGGAGGGGAGGAAGTACTTTTGAAACAAAAAAAAGGAACGAGGGGCTCGGGCTCGGGGTGAGACACGGCCTTAATGCGACGCCCGTCTCCTCTTTAGCGGTGAGCCAAGGGCGGGTACAGCACACCCCCGGCGCCTCGTTCCTGGTCGTGGCAATAACTTTCTACCCGCGACAAGCGCCGTGGAAATTACAGAAAGCCCTCACGAAGCCTAGCAATCAACAAGGTGGGGAGCGGTTCAGTAATGGATATTATTAGCAACAAATCACCGGGACTGTAGTGTGCCATTGTATTGTACATGAGAAGAAGCACCCTTTGTGCGAGACACCAACTGTTATCTCGGATGGGTATATGTGACTCCAAATTTTTCTTTGCTTTACGCCTTCAGTCGGTGTCCTGCAATATCGTCCTGCGCATCCTTGATGAGGAACCTGTCGGACAAAACCGCTACATTAGTCATAGAAAAGATAACAAAGAGGTCCAAGCAAGGGATACTTACGAGTACCACCAAGCAGTGGGAATCACAGTGCCCAAATGCCACAGGCTGTGTGCATCAATCAGGCCGTGCCATGGTGGAAAGTCGAACAACTCCAAACTCATGGCAAGAATAACCCACGCGACAATCATACCGGGCCAGGCTGTCCAGGACTTCATGTACTTCTGATAACGGAAGATACTGAACCCGGTCCACAGCAGGTTTCCGATAACGCCAACGGCCACATTCGCTGCCATGTTGTATGTATAATCCCACTTCCAGAAGCTGAGGTAGCTGACGTGCATAATGTAGAGCAGGATGCAGATCGCTGTCCAAAGGCGACGCAGTGTGGGACGATACTGGGGGCTCTCCAAGTCCAGGCGCAAAACTCGAACCACGGCCAGGAAGAGACCGTACAACACATTAGCACCAGCCGCCCAGTAATCCAACTTCTCCGTAATGTCAAAGTCCCGAGTGTGGAAGATCATGCTGAATGTCCAACTGGCCAGTCCAATGTATCCAAACATCATGTAGTATTTGCGCATCGAGTGCCAGGCGGGGATCGATTCTTGAACTCGGGACATGCCGTGCCAATGGGCTGCGAAGTTGAGAAAGGAGAACAGCACAGAGAAGGGCTCCTGCATCCCCAGAATTCTCCGGAACGGCCATTTGCCATGGAATTGAACCACGGGGTTCAACATGGGAGGGTCACGCGAGACTCGACGATCGGTAATGACATGTTGGCAGGTATAGTCGCATTCAGCTGGGCAGGTCCAGAATAACAGGCGGTGGTGCAGAGCTGGACAAGGTAGCAAGGTCAGAATGGGGGGAACCAGGAGGGAAGCCGTGATAGGTAGAGGGGAGACATACGTAGCACCGAATTGCCATTCTGGCAGTTCTCGGTTTTACAGACCTGTGGCTGTTAGCCGTGTCCAAGGGTGCTTGCTCACTCGGGTCGGGGTAAGGACAACCTTAACGCATTCTTTGAAATCAGGGAGGTGATCTCCCAGAGATGCAGACGATGGGCTAACTAGAAGGGATAGCAGAGCGAAGGCGAATAGAGTGGAAGGAACCGCTCTTCTAACGCCCAGATGCATGATGATCTGACAGCAGAGGTCTCTGGCTAGGAAACGCGTAAGCTTTGAGGAGAGTGTTTGCGGAGCTCGGGGGCGTCAATCACAGTTGAGCCTCGGTCGGGTCTTGGCAAAAGGGTTGTTGACAGATTGTCAAGGGTGACTCGAGAGAGAGGCTGACAATTGAATCACATAGTAATTCCTTATGATATTCTAAGTTGTATAGGATCATATTACATGCTTGTAGTTCGATCGTCGAACTAACTTCCAGTCTTTTTACCCAATGGCTTTCGTCCAGCCATGCCAATATATATCTGCCAGTTACACCTCCTACCTATGGCCTAGCACTTACAGTACTAACCCCGCCAGAACATTACTTGGTGGTTGTGCCACAAGAATGGAAGAAGTTCTCCACCCTTCAAACATATCAACATTGCAATTTCTCCAGTCAATGTTCTTATAGGACATATGACAATATATTGCAGCATGTCCTACTCTGATGTATACAAAGCAGCAAGCCCTACGGGAAGTAGGGCTCTTCAATCATGTGACATATCCCAAGATAGTTTAGCGTGAGCGGGGACTTTTGGAGTTTAAGCTTGGCGCTGGGAAATGCTCGAAAAAAAAGTTGAGAGGCGAGGGTGACTTCCGTGATCTCTTGCGTCTGAGATTCCTTTTTCTTCGCCACAACTCCCTTCACTTGCTTATTTCTTCATATTCATACCGCCCCTCCTCACTCCCAAGATGAGCGGAACCGAGGCCGCCAACGCTACTGGCGTCATTGCCAGCAGCGCCGATCGCATGGTTGGCGCCGAGCACGCTGAGGTGCGCTACTTCACCAGGTATGATCTCCAAGGATATGATTTCGGCTCATGAGTATTATTAAGATACTAACTGAATCATAGCTATGATCACCATGGTAAATATTCTTTGAAAATCCTTGTGGCTCTGCTATGAGTTCTTTGAAAGAGGGGTTAACTAACTTCGCTTTTTTAAACTTTGCTTAGGCATTCATGAGGAGATGCTGGTGAGTGACCGGCGTTCCATCAATTTTGGGCCAAAATCAAGTTGCTAATTCCTATTGTTCTCTATTCGCAGAAAGATGATGTCCGTACACGATCCTACCGCGATTCCATCTACCAGAACCGCCACATCTTCAAGGACAAGGTCGTCCTTGATGTTGGCTGCGGTACCGGTATTCTTAGCATGTATGCTCACAATGGATATCCTGTCAATTTTCAGTCGCTGACCTGATTTACAGGTTCGCTGCCCGTGCCGGTGCCAAGCATGTGATCGGTGTCGACATGTCCTCGATCATTGAGAAGGCCAAGGAGATTGTTGCTGTCAATGGCCTCAGCGACAAGGTTACTCTTCTCCAGGGCAAGATGGAGGAGGTCAAGCTCCCCTTCCCCAAGGTTGACATCATCATCTCCGAGTGGATGGGTTACTTCCTTCTCTACGAGTCCATGCTGGACACCGTTCTGTACGCGCGTGACACCTACCTCGCTGAGGATGGCAAGATCTTCCCCGACAAGGCCACCATGTACGTGGCTGCCATTGAGGATGGCGAGTACAAGGATGACAAGATTGGATGTGAGTAATCGTCCGGTTGTTTGCCTATATACTGTGCTAATAAGTGATTCCAGTCTGGGACAACGTCTACGGCTTCAACTACAGCCCCATGAAGGAGATTGCCCTCACCGAGCCCCTAGTTGACACCGTCGAGATGAAGGCTCTGGTTACCGAGCCCTGCGAGATCATCACTTTCGACCTCAACACCGTCACTACCGCCGACCTTGCCTTCAAGGTGCCTTACAAGCTTACCGCTCACCGTCCCGACTTCATTCACGCTCTCATCTCGTGGTTCGACATCGAGTTCAGCGCTTGCCACAAGCCTATTCGCTTCTCCACCGGCCCTCACGCCAAGTACACACACTGGAAGCAGACCGTCTTCTACCTGCGCGATGTTCTCACCGTCGAGGAGGGTGAGACCGTCTCCGGTGTTTTGGAGAACCGCCCCAACGACAAGAACAAGCGTGATTTGGACATCAACCTCTCCTACAAGTTCGAGGTCGAGGACCCTACTCGCTCTGCCGAGGGCAGCTGCTTCTACCGCATGTAAGTGTTTCCTGTGTTCCAGCATTATTTTCTCCTCTGTTGGAAAGCTGCTAACTTTATCACCAGGTGCTAATCTCTCTCTGAATTTTCTTCTACGATCTATTCGAATTTGCATGTAATTTCGGGGACATCATCCGGCACCAAATGCGCTGCAGCATAGCATGGGCACCTCAAGATTTGCACAGAGCAATTCGACATGGTTCCGGCCTCGCTTTCTGGTTTCTATCTTATCGGCGTTAGATTTTGGTCGTTTTGGGTGGCAGGTAAAAGGCATTACTACATGGCGCGATACGGAGAGGTGATTATGAAGCTCCTCGAATTTCCAAGTAGATACCCCGAGTCGATGCTTAGTTAGCAACTCCGACGCTCTTTCTCATGCCCAGTGCTCAGTCTATTCGTAGAGTAAAATGCTTCGATTACCGGCTATAGAGCTACTCATGTGGACTAAATCCTCAAAGGGCTTGCCCCCAAGCCTGGTCACAATATAGCTGGGCGTAGTTAGGAAACCATAGTTGGGTCATGGATGTCTTGGCCATCAACCCTTTCTTATTCGACCTAGACGTATTACATTTCTCTTCATTGCTACTCTTATACCAAAAAACAATACAGTCTACTACTGTCGATTTTTGATTAAAGAAATAAATCGAATCGAAGGGGGTATCAATAATGAGACTATCCTACCGAGTAGGATTTACTAATTTGATTTGACAAGGAAAGCGACTAATAGAGTTGTTTGAAAGATATATCGAAAGACGTGTAAAAAGACATGTAGAAATAGATGAAGATCGGTATATCTACCTAGTGTTGCATAATTATTGATGCGATGACACTGAAGCATTTATGGAGATCCAAAGACCAGTTGCATAAAATGGTGCAACAAGAATAGACAACGTCAGAAACAGTAGGAAAGATGATTTGTGATCGTACCTAGCTTTAGTGTGACCACGCTTACCTACTGTAAGCTGCCCCTCGAAGTGCTAACGAGACGTCGCGCTGTCGGCTACGACGGTAAGTAATCATTATCAGATCCTCGGCTCAACGCCTCCCCGCAATTACTGGACACTACTTTAGCTTGCCTCCTCTCCGCTCTTTTCCCCTTTCCTTTTGCTTTCCTTTCTAATTTCCCCTCTCAATCGTCACTTTTGTGTATTCAATATGTCCGCCCCTGGAGCTGGTCACGAATTTCCTGCCCAAGAGGTTTCTTGGCAGAAGCGCGATGTTCTGCTGTTCGCGAACAGCATCGGCGCCAAGGCCGACGAGCTACACTTCCTCTACGTACGTTTAATGGTCCGTTGGTAACTCGAATGGCGTGTTCTGACACTGTTTTTTTAGGAATTACACCCGAACTTTGCTGTCTTCCCCACCTACCCCTTGATTCTACGTATGTAGCTCATCGCGACAGATCTCATGCGGTTCATTTCTGATTTAATTCCAATTGACCAGCCTTCAAGCTCACCGACCAGGAGGTGACCGATTTCTATGCGCGCCAGAAGGCTGTAAAGATCCCTGGCGTTCCCGACTTGGATCACCGCCGCGGAGTCGATGGACAACGCAAGATCACAGTCTTGAAGCCACTGCCCCCTACGAGTGCCGGAAGGAAGTTCCAGCTGCGCAATAAGGTCATCGGCGTCTACGACAAGGGGAAGCCCGGCACCGTCATGGAGACCGAGCAATCGATCGTTGACGCCGAGACCGGTGAGGTGTACTCCAAGGTCGTGAGCAGTGGCTTCTTGGTTGGCCAGGGTGGCTGGGGCGGCCCTAAGGGTAAGCTTTGGAATGTCCTATACACATGAGAAATTGGTTTAACATGCAATACATAGGCCCTGCTACGGTGAACTTCCCCCCTCCCGAGGGTAAGAAGCCCGATGCCGTCCATGTCGTACAGACCAACTTGGAAACTGCCCACCTGTACCGGTACGTCCTCAGAAATCTTCTTAACTACCAAGACATCAAGCCCGCTCACAAGTCACTAGTCTGAATGGCGACTATAACCCTCTGCACGCCGACCCCGTGCCCGGTCAGAAGATGGGCTTCGGCGGCACTATCATCCACGGCCTATTTAGCTGGAACTCCGCTGCCCACGGAATCTTGCGGGAGCTTGGTGGCAGCAACGCTGAGAATCTCAAGGAGTTCCAAGCTCGGTTCGCGTCTCCCGTTCGCCCGGGTGACAAGCTCACCACTGAGATCTGGCGCACGGGCGATGTACAGGCTGATGGCTTCGAGGAAATTCGCTTCGTCACCAAGAACCAGACTGGTAAGGCTGTTTTGAGCAACGGTCGGGCACTGGTGAAGGTTACTGGAGCGAAGAGCAAGCTGTAAATCTTATCGAGCTGGAAAATAGTCGGGTTAATAGTGCTTCTATCTCGTTCAAATGCATCGTGCGATGACTGGCTCGTCGAGGCCCCGAATGAACCTTTTAAGTCCTTGTAGTCGATAATTGGGACATGCTAGAGCGACGATATACGATTGCTAATTCGACGACACACTGATTAGTCTACTTTAGCGTAGTAATGGTATTCCAATCTTCTAATTAAGATATCATTATAGTAGTTCAAGATTCGGAGTTTAGAAATTTGAGAATAGAGTATCTAAAAATGTTCCAATCACACTCTTTTGAAAAGTCTTCCTAAATGTCTTTCGAGAATTGTTTTTTTTTTGATAGCACAGATTCCGTTCAACTGGTGAGTAGAACTTCTCGGCGTTTCAAACTTATGGAGCCCCACTACTATTGAAGATAATACAATGGTAATAATATGACTACACTAAACCAGAATCAATCGGGTATCGTGGATTTGGCAATTCTCGAGTTGAAGAGGAAAGCTCATCTCGATAGTTAAAGGCACGTGACAGCCTCGGCCGTTGCTTCTCCCCGCTCGGACCATTTCCCCAGACCACAACAGCTGCACAATCCCCACGTTGCACCACACAAGGGACACGCATCAGGAACCTCGAGAAATGAGTGCAAGTCGCCTTGTGTCTCTCAGAGCAGCAGCTCTGGGGAATAGCTATAGGTAATTGCACAAATGAAAGCTGGTGATCGCCCCGAGACTAACATACTTGGTCAGGCCTCGAATCACGCCATTGCATGTCTTCAAGAGTGGTAGCACGGTAGGTAACCAATGGAACAAATCCCAAATCAAAGAGTCGGGAGGTTCTCTAACGAAATTTGCTTCTTGGTGTTTTTATAGGTCATTGCTTCTCGGAATGTAGCTCCTCTTGCTCGGAGTGCTAACTTACCATCTAACGTGAGCAAGCGGCTATTGTCGGATTCAACCCAACCGCAAGCCACGTTTCAAGAGATCAACGTTACGAACGATCCATTTGATGAGAAAAGTACGCAATTGGCCTATCGCTCAGCTTTGAAAAGCGGCAATGTCGTTATCAAAACCAATAGTAAGACTGGAGCGCCCTTCTGGCAGTTGTAAGTTTACCATTCTTTATGTGAGCTTATTCTTCAATCGATATCTAATCAAATTCCACAGCGGATCTCTCTATCTTAGGTTAGTTGCCCGAAGGATTTTGAAGCCAAACCTTCCTGACAAATTGGTAATATCAGAGAGAATTGTCAATGCCCCAAGTGCATTCATCCGGATACAAAGCAAAGGATTGTCGACACATTCTCGGTATGTTATAGCTGAAGATATGCTACCTGCCTATCTCTTACTTATAGTCATGTGTTTCTAGCTTTCGCCCCGTGTCCAACCCGCAGAAGTCCAGAACAAGGGCGCTAATGACATCCAAGTCAAATGTGGGAAATGACCCAGGTATCATAGTATTAATTCTAACTACTGACGCAACTGCAGGGAGCGATGGACATGAGAGCACATATTCTTGGAAGTGGCTTTCGGCGCACAGGGGGAATCTCAAACCAGCGATCAAATCGAAGGAAGTAAAGCCAAATAGACTCCCTAGGTATGTCTAGACTTTTTTGCACCTCTTGCTTTGCTAATGCTTCTCACTAGGCCTTTCAAGGCATACGACCCTGAAAAGGGTAATCCATACCCTGAAGTGGCGTACGAGGACGTGATGTCCAAGGATGCCGCAGTGTTGGAATGGTTGGAGAAAATCGTTAGTCTTCCTGAAAGAATTACAACTTTCGAGCTTCTCTGCAAAATCGGTGGCTTACCTGTATACAGTGGGTATGGGGCTTCTGCTTCGTGAAAGGTGTTCCCGTCAATCCCGAATCAACCAAAACTTTGATCGAAAGAATCGCATTTATTCGACACACGCACTACGGTATATCATTCCATGACTCTTAAAACTGTTTGTTCAATTGGCTGATCGGGTTTTAGGTGGTTTCTGGGATTTCACTGCGGACCTAACCTATAAGGACACGGCATATACGAACGAGTTGCTAGGTGCTCACACGGATAACACCTACTTCACCGATCCCGCAAGGCTACAACTCTTCCATCTGCTGTCTCATACGGACGGAACAGGTGGAGAGAGCTTACTCGTGGACGGCTTCGCGGCTGCCAAAGCGCTGTCCAAGGATAGCCCGGACTTCTACAACTCTCTAGCTAGCTCTCGGCACCCATGGCACGCAAGTGGAAATGATGATGTCTGTATCCAACCTTCCACCACTGCACCTGTCCTCAAGGTTCATCCCGACACCAAAGCCGTTTACCAAGTTCGTTGGAATAACTATGACCGCGCGCCGAAAACCAGCTGGCACGTATCGGAGCAAAAGGACTGGTATATGGCAGCCCGGGCCTACAATGATATATTGACCAAACCTTCGAATGAGATCCGGACCCAACTACAGCCAGGAACAGCATTGAGTACGTGAGATCATATCGTCAGCTTATTAATATTGGCTAACATCTCTGACTCTTAGTCTTCGATAACTGGAGAATGTTGCATGGTCGCTCCGAGTTCACTGGAAAACGTCGCATGTGTGGTGGCTATGGTATGTGTAAAGCCGATGCGTGGACATCTATTTTGAAGTTCTTGATGCTTACTAACAATAATGAGCAGTCAACAACGACGACTTCATCTCACGTTTGCGCCTTCTCAAGTTTGGCCGCCAGACCGTTTTGGACAATCTTGGAAATACCAGGGGCTGGCAGAATCGTGAAAACCCATACTCAATCTATTAGATCGAGAGCTAGGAGCTCTCGAAGCTTTTCTTTTAGATTGTACAGATATACTATCCACTCCTACTTTTTTTTCCAAATTTGGGACAGAATTCGCACGATTAGATATAAACCGCAAAGTCAGATAAATTTCGCTCGAATTTTTTACCTTACTACAAGCAAAGTTCTGGTGTTTTTTGGTTCTTCAAAACCCAGTGCGCGGAACTATTGATAATCTCACGTGATCTGGCTGACGTTGTTGGAGCTCGGCCACAGACAGCTCTTCTCCAACCTTCTACGTTCACTACCAACATCCACCTAACCTCACCCCCAACCGCCATCTAATTACTACCTGGGTTCATTCCATCAAATCCAACCTTACAGTATCCATCCCGCCACTTTCTAATATGTCGACTCTTGAGGACCTCGACGACCTCGAGCGCGAGACCAGAGACAAGAAGCAAGACCAGGGCGATGAGGATGGCAAGAAGCCCAGCGGTGATGGCGATGCCGAGATGCAAGATGCCGAGAAGAAGGAGGATGAGGAGGAGCTGCTCGATGAAGAGATCCTGCATTCAAGCACGGCGGACATCGTCAAGAGGCGGCGGATGCTGGAGAACGAGATGCGCATTATGAAGAGCGAGTTCCAACGGTTAACACACGAGCAAAGCACAATGCGGGAGAAGGTCAAGGATAATCAAGAAAAGATTGAAAACAACAGGTACGAAGCTGGATGAAGCTGTGGATGATTGCCCTGCGGAGCCTCCACCCTTGGCCCGCGGAGCTTTCGAAAACCTGCAATAAACCAGGAGATGGGTTCCATGAAGCTAATATTGAATACTATCTAATAGGCAACTACCTTACCTTGTCGGTAACGTGGTCGAGCTACTGGATCTCGACGTTGAGGCCGAGGCCGCGGAGGAAGGGGCCAACATCGATCTGGATGCCACCCGCGTTGGCAAATCCGCCGTTATCAAGACCTCGACCCGGCAGACCATCTTCCTTCCGCTCATCGGTTTGGTCGACCATGAGAAATTGAAGCCTGCTGATCTTATTGGTGTCAACAAGGATTCATATCTCATCCTCGACACGCTACCAGCCGAGTATGACAACCGCGTCAAGGCGATGGAGGTCGATGAGAAGCCTACGGAGAAGTACACGGATATCGGTGGTCTGGACAAGCAGATTGAAGAGATCGTCGAGGCTATCGTATGGCCGATGAAGGAGGCTGAGCGTTTCAAGAAGATTGGCATCAAGGCGCCAAAGGGTGAGTGTTCCCTATTACTAATCGTTACGACCTACCTAGAAGTGCTAATTTTTGGTTCCTATCGTAGGTGCCCTGATGTACGGACCTCCTGGAACCGGTAAAACCCTCCTTGCACGAGCCTGTGCCGCCGAGACGAATGCCACTTTCCTCAAGCTCGCCGGTCCCCAACTGGTGCAGATGTTCATTGGTGACGGTGCTAAGCTTGTTCGTGACTGCTTCGCCCTCGCCAAGGAGAAGGCTCCCTCAATCATCTTCATTGACGAGCTGGATGCGGTCGGCACAAAGCGTTTCGACTCAGAGAAGTCCGGTGATCGTGAAGTGCAACGTACCATGCTGGAGCTTCTGAACCAGCTGGACGGTTTCGCATCTGATGACCGTATCAAGGTCCTGGCCGCGACCAACCGTGTCGACGTTCTGGACCCTGCTCTGCTCCGATCCGGCCGTCTGGACCGCAAGATCGAGTTCCCTCTGCCCAACGAGGAGGCTCGTGCCAATATTCTGCAGATTCACTCTCGTAAGATGTCCGTCGAGGACAGCGTGAACTGGGCCGAGTTGGCGCGCAGCACAGACGAGTTCGGCGGCGCCCAGCTGAAGGCTGTCTGCGTCGAGGCTGGTATGATTGCGCTGCGGAAGGGAATGAGCAAGGTTGGACACGAGAACTACGTTGATGCCATCTCGGAGGTCCAGGCCAAGAAGAGAGATACCAACATGGGCATTTACGTCTAGGCTGGGTATTTTTCCGGTTTGAATCTCTCGGCTTCTTTGTCTCCTTTCTCATCCTGTTACCAACTTATTATTTTTCCTCTCGTCTCTCGTCTGTCATGTATGTACGTTGTGCAGCTCGAATGGGTCCGAGCCGGTAATTCGCTCTACATGCGAGCGGTTTCTCTCCAAATCAAATAACATGATGATCCTAGACTAGCCACTCTCAGAACCTTTGACGTACACATCAGCGGACAGGATGTATGATAATGCTTGCAATACACCTGCTTCTTGTAGCTTCCATCGGAAGGCAAGAGCTAGTATTTTCAAGCCTTCAACCGCCTCCTCCTCCGTTCTCAACAAGAACGTCGCCAGCATAGAAACGAAATTCGAGCACCGGTATAGAATATTACAATGGCCGGACTGAAGACCTACCGTCGTATAGTAATAGTCTGCTGTAGGAGATTCCATTAAAGAAGTAGATAGCCTTTGATTAGCAAAGTAGACAACTTGGGATAGCAAAGTAAATAACTTTTGATAGTAAAATCACAGATGGGCATTAATTCATAGGAATACAACGAAGCACGAGGCTTCAATGGGCCAGCCACACTATCCAACACATTTAACCTTCCTCTTGATCCATCTCATCGCGAGAGCGCTTGCCCTTGCCGAACCTCTTGCCTCTCGTTCCCTTCTTCTCATCAAAGTTCTTCATCTCCATGATCGCCTGGCGTTGAGCCTCGCCAACTCTCTCAGCAAGCACCATGACTTCATCCTTAGCGGCTTCATATTCCGGAAGCTGCTTCCCAAGCGCACCCTCAATCCTTTGCCAAATCTCCACATCGTACTGAGTGCAGAAGCTGATTGCTACTCCAGACTTGCCTGCTCTGGCGGTACGACCCACACGATGAATGTAGGTTTTGCTGTCAGTGGGAAGGTCAAAGTTCAAGACTACATCAACGGAGGGAATATCCAGACCGCGAGCAGCGACATCCGTAGCAACGAGAATATCCCGGCTACGTGACGTGAACTTGCCAAGTGATGCCAGTCGAGATGACTGTGAGAGCTGACCGTGGAGAGGGATAGCGCCAAAGCCAAGGGTGCGGAGAAGGAAGGCAACACGCTGCGTCTCGTGAACAGTACGCGTGAAGACAATGGCCGACTGGCCGACGAACTCATTCAACAGGTAGATCAGGTAGATATCTTTGTGTTTGTGAGGGCGTAGGAGGAAGTATTGTTGGAGGGTCGAGACAGTCTGATATTTGCTGGAAGAGACGGAGACTCGAAGTGGGTTGGAGAGAGAGGCACGTTGTAGCGATTCGACCTTTGAGCTGATAGTTGCGGAGAACAGGAACGTGCGACGCTCTCGTGGCAGGACCTTAAGAATCTTGTCGAGAAGTGGACCGAAATCCAAATCCAGCAATCTATCGGCTTCATCCATAACGAGGAACTTCAGAGTGCGCAAACTGAAACCCTTTGTGTTTTCCAGGTGATCAAGCAGACGACCGGGCGTTGCTACGATGATGTGCGGTTTCTTCCCCAGAGCGATAGACTGGGAGACCATATCCATACCACCGACGATGACTGCTGTCCGAACATTGATCGTAGAGCCGAGGGCGTCGAGAGACTTTCCGATTTGGTATGCCAGCTCACGGGTTGGGGCAAGGATGAGACTATGGAATGACGAGGGACTCTGGAATAAAGATTGAATGACAGGAATTCCAAATGCCGCTGTCTTTCCTGAACCAGTCTCTGCAAGACCGATGATATCCCGGTTCTGTAGAGCCAAGGGAATTGCCTCTGCTTGAATCGCCGTCGGGGCCTTGTATCCGAGGTTGGCGCACGCTTCACAGATTGGATCAATCACTCCGAGCTCTTTGAAGGTCTTCGGAGTGCTAGTGGGCTTCTCATCGGAGTTGGCAGCCTCGGGGGAGGTGCCCTCGTCGCCAGACTGGGAGCTCACTGAGCTAGCATCGTTATCTTCTGCAGATGCAGGTGCAGGCGCAGTCGCCTCGTCGGTCACCTTGCGCTTCTTGATTGCCGGCATTTTTGCGTTGTTCTGTTGAAAAAAAGTGCGTGTTGATCGAGATCTTGAAATAATTTAGGTGGGTCCGCAACATCGTTGATCCGTGCAGGCTCCGCTTGGATTTTTTGGAGACAGAAAAACTTCGGGCTGGCAGCCAACATCAACGAGCTCACAATTTTCGTTATTTGCCGCCCGGTGCTTGACTTTTCACCGAATTCGCAATGGCCAAGGCACGCGTCAAGAAGCGCACTCATCTCCGGGCGCAAAATGCCTCGGCGGCGGCTGCTGGTAAAGGCACTGCCTCTTCAATGACCAAGGCCCCAAAGTCCATGGTCATTCGAGTTGGTGCTTCTCAAGTCGGAACTAGTGTCAGCCAGTTGGTCAAGGATGTCCGCCAAATGATGGAGCCCGATACTGCTGTGCGATTGAAGGTATGGCGACAATTGCCCCTTGTCTTCGGATCATATCTAATGAAAATCTCCAGGAACGCAAATCCAACCGACTCCGTGATTACACCGTAATGGCTGGCCCTCTCGGTGTCACCCATTTGATGCTCTTCTCCAAGTCCAAGACCGGCAACACAAACATGCGTCTCGCTGTTACTCCCCGAGGACCGACCCTTCACTTCCAAGTTGAGAACTATTCGCTCTGCAAGGATGTTGAGCGATCATTGAAGCGCCCACGCAGTGGTGGACAGGACCACAAGACTCCCCCGTTGCTCGTGATGAACAACTTCAACTCGCCCAATGCGACCGAGGACTCCAAAGTGCCCAAGCGTCTCGAGACCCTTACCACCACCATCTTCCAGTCCCTCTTCCCTCCGATCAACCCCCAAGCCCAACCTCTTTCCTCCATCCGCCGTGTTATGCTTTTGAACAGAGAGCCCTCCGAGTCTGAAGACGGCTCGTATATACTCAGTCTACGACACTACGCCATTGCCACCAAGAAGACTGGCGTGTCAAAACGCATCCGCCGCTTGGATCCTAAGGAAATTCGCAACAGAGATAAGAAAAAGGCCGCCGTGCCTAATCTTGGCAAGCTCGAGGATGCCGCCGATTATCTGCTTGATCCTTCTGCCGCCGGATATACATCTGCCAGTGAGACCGAGCTCGACACCGACGCAGAGGTGGAAGTCGCGGAAAGCACGACCCGTAAGATTCTCAACAAGCGGGAGGCGCAGCGTCAAAGGGCTGGAGACAAGGCCGAGAAGAAGGCTGCTGCTACCCCGGGTGTTGAAAAGCGCGCTGTCAAGCTGGTCGAATTGGGCCCCCGCATGAAGCTCCGCCTGATGAAGGTCGAAGAGGGTGTCTGCGATGGCAAGATTATGTGGCACGACTTCATCACCAAGTCTGCACATGAGGTCAAGTCTCTTGACAAGAGCTGGGAGAGACGCCGCAAGGAGAAGGAGCAGCGAAAGAAGCAGCAGAAAGAGAACATCGAAAAGAAGAAGAAGGAAAAGGCCAAGGCCAAGGCTAATGGGGAGGAAGTCGACGAGGACGAGGACGAGGACGAGGATGAAGATATGGATGATGGTGAATGGCTCAGCGATTTTGACGACGAGGATGAGGATGATGAGCCTGAGGAGGACTCGGACGATTCTATGGAGGAGTGAGGGCTGATAGATGCGGTCTAGAGGTTTGACCTGGCATCCCTCTCTACAGGATCAGCGATCCTCATTTTATACCCACGAGTTTCATGGTGGTTCTGTACATTTACACGGCGTATGCGAATAAAAGTTTTAGAACAGGCATATCAGGACGCTTTTGTCTTTAATTCAGATCCTCGTTAGTATGACATGACTCGTGCAAAGCTGCCCAATGATCTCATCAGTCATGCCTCGAAAGAAACTAGATTCAGACTTACACTGCCACTGTATATGTTGTGACTTATTTCTTCAGCTTCTCGTCGACGATACGAGACACCATTTTCTCCAAGATAGCAAAGTCTCCTCCGGAAGTACCGGCAAAGTAGCCCTGGACACTCTTCTCGACGTATTTGCCCACAATGTCAATCTCAACATTGACCTCCTCGCCAGGCTTCTTGCCCGCCGTAACGACTTTCTCCTGCGTGTAGGCAATGAGCATGACCTCCCAGTATCCCTCTTCCCCATCGACAACCTTCGTGACCGTCAGACTAGCGCCGTCAAGGGTTACGTAGCCCTTCTCGACAATGTAGCGCAGCACATCCTTATCACGCGGCTGCAGCCGGAACACGAGGGAGTTACCGTCAGGCGTCACGGACAGAATCTTCGCGACGGTATCGACATGACCCTGCACAAAGTGGCCACCCATCCGGGTATCGGCTGACACCGCACGCTCGAGGTTCACATATGAGCCGGTCTGTAGAGATCCAAGGTTGGTGCGTCGCAAGGTCTCTGGCGCGACGCCCACCTTGAACCAGGTCTTGTCGAAGGCAGTGACGGTAAGGCAGGTTCCTATGGAAGACACGGTCTTAGAGATATGGCTCTTCAATATGGGGTAAAAACTATACAGTGAGCAGTACCATTGACAGCAATACTATCACCCAAGTGCGCATCAGTGAGGATCTCCTCGCAATTGGAGATGGTCAGCGACGTACCCCCGCCCCCGCTCGACGAAGTATCGAGGGGCTCCAGGGCCGTGACAGCTATAGAAAAGAGAGTAGTTAGTAACGGCGAAACACCATCGAGACAGGAGCCAATCTCACTTCCGATCGTCTCAACCAAGCCAGTGAACATTGTTGCGGACGTGACTGTATTGATTTGCAAATGAATGACAAACAAAAAGTTGGGGTCGGTCGACCTCGGCTTCGGGGCCCGCCCCGAGCGGTGTCGTCGGCGTTTTGGCGGAGTTTCGATCTATCCCAGTGCCCCATTTAACCTGCTGGAGCTCGCTGCGGGGGATTCTTAGACTATTGTTCCTTCGTTTTTTAAGCAGCTCGGTATCTGAAATTGGATAATGTCGGTTGCGCTCAGGTTAAACGTTTTTGCCCGGCGGTCGAGTCCATCCTGGTCCAGCAATGCCTTGAGGCGCATCTCGCTGTTGCGGAGCTATTCGAGCGCCGCTTCGGCGGCAGAGGGCACGCTGCCTCTTGCAGGGATTCGCGTGCTTGATATGACGCGAGTTTTGGCAGGGGTGAGTTGATATACTGCTATTATCTCTCCCTTGGTTCGTGGCCGTTAGCTGACAGAGTGATGCAATATAGCCTTATTGTACTCAGATTCTGGGTGACTTGGGGTATGTACTGCCATTGAGACTCCTATTCCGCCCTCCTATCGTCAATTTTTAATAGGTCGTGAATATTGACATTGATAATGCAGAGCGGACGTTATCAAGGTCGAGCACCCCGTGCGAGGCGATGATACTCGAGCTTGGGGCCCTCCATATGCGAAGTACGAAGATGCATCGAAGGAGGGACCTGGCGAGAGTGCCTATTATCTGGCGGTATGGAAAGAAACATGCTGGGCCATACTGATCAAAGAGAGACTCTAACGTGTTGCGCAGGTCAATCGCAACAAAAAGTCCCTTGGACTGTCATTCCAACACAAGTCAGGCGTCGAGATCCTCCACAAGCTCGCAAAGGAGTGCGACGTCCTCGTTGAGAACTATCTTCCAGGGGCACTCAAAAAATATGGAATGGACTATGAGACCCTCCGAGAGATCAATCCCAAGTTGATCTATGCCAGTATCACCGGCTATGGTCAGACAGGCCCCTACAGCAATCGGGCTGGTTACGATGTCATGGTGGAGGCAGAGATGGGATTGATGCACATTACCGGGTCGCGAGATGGCCCTCCCGTAAAAGTCGGCGTGGCAGTCACCGATTTGACTACCGGACTCTATACCTCAAATGCCATCATGGCTGCATTGCTTGCCCGGGTTCGGACAGGCAGGGGCCAGCATATCGATGCTTGCTTGAGCGACTGCCAGGTCGCTACTCTGGCGAACCTGGCTAGCTCTGCCTTGATCAGCGGTCAGAAAGACTCGGGCCGCTGGGGCACTGCTCATCGTAAGTGAAAATACCAGCGAGTGCATCTGTTTTCAGCAAAGTCTAACAATGCTTTTTAGCATCTATTGTACCATACCGGAGTTACAAGACCCTCGACGGTGACATTCTTTTCGGTGGTGGCAACGATCGTCTCTTCGGTGTGCTCTCTGATCGTCTTGGTTTCCCTGAGTGGAAGACCGATGCTCGGTTTGTCACCAATAGCGACCGCGTGAAACACCGGGCAGATATCGATGGCTTGATTGAGAATACTACACAGCAGAAAACCACCAAAGAGTGGCTGGATATCTTCGAAGGCAGCGGCATGCCATACGCAGCGGTCAACGACATCCAGGGGACCTTGAACCATGAGCATGGTAAGCCTGCCTAAGCACTAGCCTATTTTTCCTTTCTGCCTTACGAAATTGCTAATCTTTGTTACAGTTCTGGCAAGAGGCATGGTCACCGAAGTTGAACACCCTGCTTGCGGTCCCATCAAGCTAGTCAACACGCCGATCAAATACTCCGAAGCCACCCCAGGTGTTCGTACACCACCTCCGACCCTTGGTCAACATACCGATGAGATTCTGGGAAGCGTTCTCGATTATGAGGAGGCAGATATTGCCCGGTTAAAGGCCGAGGGGGTGGTTTCATGAAGTTCACCCATATTTATAAACAGGCGAGCTTCTCGGTAGATGTGGGAATAATCCCCTACAATTGTACATACATATAGAGCGAACTATATTTATTCGTTAATTCGAATTACTTCTGCTGGTTCAACAGCGCCCACTTAGGGTTAGGAACCTTAGAAGTTGGATGAGGCTACTCGCACGCCAACTTGTGTAATCGCACGACCAACTACTATTCTATTTTCGGAGATGAATCATAGCTACATCGAGTACCTAGATATCCCCGTAATACCTACTAAGCCTTTTATCATAGATACCAGGTTGGCTATTAATAAAGACTGTTCAAAAGACATCTAGAAAGATCTTTCATTAAAGGGAAAGTTAAAGCATGTATATTTACCCTGTGAAAACGTTTCTCCAGTTTAGATATCAAGGATCCAGGGTATCTATTCTCCACTATTTCCGAACCTGGAACCTTATAGTCTGTCGTGCGATTAGCCTCAGCCTAGATGTTACCCCTCTAGTCTGCCTCATACATAGAGCAATTCATCGAATGAAGAGAGCAAGAAAGTGGAAGATCGAAGACTTCTACCAAATTCCCCCGTAAATATGATTTTGGGATTATCTACGATTTACAACATGATTTCAAGAAATATGCTGGTGAGATGTGAGGGGGCCTTGCTGGCGTTGGAGGCTGTCACGTGAGGCTATACAGATCTGGGTGGCCGCAATTATCGCTTCCGGATGGAGAATCGAACATTTCCCAAGGCTTCAACGCCATCCCTGGTGATTGCCTGTACCTTCAATGAGGCAAGCATATAGGCAAGCACTCTCCAAGGCAATATTGCCATGCCCCGGTCGAACTTAAATACCTCCTCCTCAGCCTTCCACTTCTCCTTCTTCTTTTCCATCCATCCTCTCTCTTCCTCTCCGCTCATCCATCAGATCACTACCTCTTGTTCCACAGAATGAAATCATCCACTGCCGCCAAGGCTAAATCCAGCACCGATCTAGCTTCTTCTTCAGTCAACAAGTTGAAGAAAGAAGCCCTCCGAGACCAACCCCTCGCTGGGCTGCCAACAGCAATGGAGAAGTCCACGGACCACGACACCCGTACCAGCAGGACTGGGCGAGTCATCAAGCCGCCAACGGCATTTACCCCGCCACCAGCCACCGTCGCTTCTGGAAAGCGTAAAGGTGGTTCTCGAAAGAAGGAAGCCAATGTTGTCTGCATACATTGCAGTCGCGGCCATAGCCCGGCCAACAACGCCATCGTGTTCTGCGATGGATGCAATAATACATGGCACCAGAAGTGTCATGACCCACCAATTGATGATCAAGTTATCATGTTGAAGGATATGGAATGGCACTGTTGCAAATGCAAGCCCGCACCTCGCCCGGCAGCGGCAAAAAAGAGCAAGCCCGTCAAGGCCAAGAAGGCGGGTCGGATCCTGCACCCTCGATTGCAGGCAGGACCTCGACTGGAAGTCGGTGGTGATAGTTTCACCGCTGACGAGAGACGTGCATATCTCTCTAGTCTTTCACATGCCCAACTGGTTGAGTTGCTCGTCCACATCTCCACTCAAAATCCATCCGTGCCCATGTTACCAGCCAACATGAAGGATCTGCCGGCATCACAGTTCTTCTTCAAGCCGGCGAGCAATGGAACCAAGAAACCAGAGACTGCGGAACATATCACCACGCCAGGTTCAACCAAGAGAACTCGGGCCGACGAAGATCCAGCTGATTCTGACTTCGACACCAATTCTCGCAAGAGATTTCGCACAACCTCTGCTTCGGCAAAATCCCCTCCGAAAAACATCTCGCCCGAAGCTGATGCTGGGCCCTCAAATCCCCCAACCGTTTCAACGACCGCCACTCCGGACCTGATCACCCCATCCGCTTCCACTCATCCAAAACCCGGGCCCGAGACACCTTCTACGAACCGGTCACAGGGACGTCGTCTATCGTTTGTCTCCCGAGACACAACACCTGAGGACTCGGACCCAGATACCGAAGATGACTTGTCCGAAGACGCAGTTGAAGACCATCGCCTTTACCCACGAGCTGGCAATGGTTTCTCACCTGCTCTTGACCCCGAGAATCTCAAAATCCTCGACGAGAGTCCAGAGTCTCATACCTTCAGCCATAGTGTTTATGACCCTGCAAAGTCGGCACAAGAGATGAATGTTCCTCCTCGTGTCTGGCAAAGTCACATGTAGATGTCTTGAGGGTTTTCATCCTTCGCGATATCGAGTTTGTGCTTGTGGCTTGTTACCCTGTTTCTTGTTCCTTCCTATTGGACTACAGAATACGAGTGAATGAAACAATCAAATTCAAAAGAATTGAAAAAGTCACGCACATAGTCCCTAGCATCTCACATCGTAACTAATTAATGGGGTAGCTCCAGTGTACGCTAGGGTTTCATAAGTTTAGACTATGATCAATGTTCATAATCATCTTATATATCAGTCATAAGTTGAACGATAGACTAAGAAAATGATACAGAAGCTGTCAAGAGGACACCCTACGCACCCTTCGCTGACTACGCTTGATAGAAGGAGAAGACTACTATTGTCTCTTCAACGAATTTACTTGCCTTCCTAGAGCTACCAGAGCCACTGGAGCCAAGATCGATAGAGAATGATGTGGAAAGAGGGGTAGAGAGAGGTGTGGAAAGAGATGTGGAAAGGGAAGCTGAGAGAGATCTAGAGAGGGATACAGAGAGATTGAGAGATATTCAAACCCTTGTAAGGAACGAGCCGGTCTAAGCTAATGACGTCCCTAAGGAAGTCGTCACGATTACCTAGACTCCAGTACTTACCACTCAGGTCTCGTGCGAAAGTATTTTCTCAAGATTCCCTTCTTTCACCACGACCACGATCCTCTCAACATCCTCGTTACTGACCAAGATGGCGACCACTCAGCAAACCCTGGGTGCCTATCCTGACTGCCTTTCGAGTCGAGCCACCTCTCCTCACCTTTCTTTTGCTTCCCGGCAGGCGATTCGGGCCCTCTCAGATCTGCGAATGCAGCCGTTGTCTTTTTCGGCCTCTTCTCGCGAGCTTTTCTCCGAACTTTCATTTCAAAATGTTTTTATTGAAACGGTCAACCCGACTGTTTCATAGGCGCTGAGATGTTTGTTCGCTGGTCCAGCTCGCGAGAATTTAGAGCTGGCGGACCCGGTCAGATGGAACTCGGATTCACCCCCAACAACAGGACGTGACAGTGGCACTGGCATTGTGGTACCTACGGTATGTAGGTTTTCTTGCGGCAGATGACACCGACTGGAGCCGTGGCCGATAATAGCGGCGTTTCCAATACTGCCTTGAAGACCGACTATCATGCATCAACATACCCGAAATAGGTAATTCAGTCTGCTTTCGAATGTCCAAGATGCCCCCTTATCTTTTTCTACATCTCTCCCTACAAGTCGTGCTATATCTCCCTCTATATCTCCGACTACATCTCTGTCGAGATTCTCTATAGTAGCTCTGGGAAGACGAGTCAATTCGTCGAAGAGACAATAGTTGCCTTCTTCTCCTATTAAGTGTAGTCAGCAAAGGGTACGTAGGGTGTCATTAGCCAAATCAGAATTCCTTATGGTTGATATTGTTATGTTAAATACTTACTTACTTCGTAGCCTGAATTTTCAGGTTACCAGGCACCTGGCACTATCTTATCGGCCACTATGGTCGGGGCCTATCTTATCGGCTCGACTCTTACGCGCCTGCATGGCTCGGAACGTCTTCAACTTATGACACCTCCACATCTAATGCCAATGACTAGATACCGGATGATCTTCTAAAGCGTAGTGATGCACTGAATACACTCAGCAGTCGCTTCTAACCGAGAGGAGGAACATGCACACATCTTCAACTCGCACACTCGCGCTCAGCTTGAACACATCACCAAACACGGATCAGACACACATAGAGTGATAGGACAAGAAATCCAAGCTCAACATGTCATCTTCATCTCCACCAAAGATCACATCAAAAAGCACCCTCCCAACATCCTCACCCCGGAAACCATGGTCCCACCACCTCACGCTAGACACCCTCCTTCGCGTCCTAAGAAACACCCTCCTCAGCCCATTCATCGCCTGGATAATAGTCCTCTGCCTCCGCGCCCAAGTCACGCCCCCAACAGACCCAGCCTGGATAATCGCAGTCGCATATGCCACGGCCTTGACATTACTCTTCGCTGCGAAGGTCATTAATCATCGTGTCGCGCATGGTATCCCGCGCACGGTTGACTCCGCGAATGAAGTTGTCTTGGTTACGGGTGGCGCGAGTGGGCTGGGATTGTTGGTGTCGCAGATTTATGCTATGAGGGGGGCTAGTGTGGCTGTTTTGGATATAAGGGATATTGGGAGTAAAGAGCAGGATGAGGTGTTTGGGGAGGATGTGCGGTATTTCAAGTGCGATGTTGGAAACCGGACGTCGCTTGAAGATGTTCAGGAAAAGATCAAGGAAGAGGTACGTCTCTATGTGCTTTACTTAGTCATATGGTTACACGATCAGTGTTTCAGTAAATTTTGCTTTTTGTTGGGTTCTATGGTTGCTAATGTATGCTGCAGTTGGGTACTCCAACCATCATTATCAACTGTGCCGCGGCTCGAATCAATGGCCGTTCACTTCTGAACTTGCCAGCAGAAGCATTCGAGAAGACGGTACGCACCAATCTGATGGCCGCATTCTATCTCTACCAGATTTTCCTGCCGGGGATTATCGTAGAAGCGGAGAATGGTGGCACCATTGTTACTGTCAGCTCCGTGCTGGGCCAATTGTCTCCAGCCGGGCTGGCAGACTACTCGGCAAGTAAAGCAGGACTGAGTGCACTGCACCGAACCATGGAAGCTGAGTTCCGTGGCGACGAGCGGATAAAGATGTTGCTGGTAGAAACAGGACAGATGGCGACACCGTTGTTTGATTGGGTCCGCACCCCGAGTCATTTCTTCGCACCCGTTCTGGAGCCTGTCGAGGTCGCTCGTGAGATTGTGGCTGCTGTGGACAGCGGCCGTGGCGGCGTGCTCAGGTTACCCGCATTTGCGACGCTTGTCAATTGGTATGCTGTGTTGCCGGGTGCGGTGCAGCTTGTAGCACGATATCTGAGTGGCATCGATAATGCCGTATCTTCGGGTATTCAGAAACGTGACGAAGAGAGCGAGCACAGGTATCCACTGAGGTCCAACAAGAAAGCAGAGTGATGAAATAGTATGGACAGATGATAGAGCTAATTCATCCCATATGTAAATACAAGACGAATCACCCATGCCTGCCATTTATGTGTACAGACAGCTTACCGAATTCCAGAAAGGGTATCTCAAAAGGTATGAACCAAGCAAGCTGAAGGTATTTTGGGTCTCGGATAGAGCAACTTATTGCTCGCGAGCCAGAATCATCTTCTCACGCTCACTCTTTCTTGACTTAAGGTTGGTCTTAGCAGTATGCTTCCGCACATTCTCCTCACGTCTCTTGATAGCACCAAGCTCCTCACGCTTGATCTCACCAGCCTTCTTAATAGGCTTGGGCAAGTGACGTTGACGCTTGATGCGGCGGATCTCGGGCATATGTCCGTACCGCTTAATCAAAGCTTGGTCATACTCCAGCTTCGTTCTCTGGCGAGCGCTTTGGATTCCGCTGCGGTCGGAGGCATTGGCACGCCACAGACGAATGTTGCCATCGTCAGATCCGGACAAGACATACTTGCTGTCAGGAGTGAACTTGACGGAGAAGACACTATTTAACGTGTTAGTAACTATTAGGAAGATATCGCAAAGAATAGTAACATACCGTTGCATCCGCTTAGTATGGTAAATATCGCGAGAGTGGCCGCGGTTCCTCTTCCACAGGCGGACGGTGCGGTCGTAGGATGCAGTCACCAGATCCTCACCAGTAGGGCTGAACTCGACATCCATGACAGCGGCAACGTGATCCTTCAGAACATTGAGGGCACGGTCCATCTTTCTCATATCGAAAATGTAAGCGTTGTGGTCTTCATTGGCGACCGCAAAGTTGAAAGCCTCCATGGGATTCCATGCAATGGCATTGGACGCGAGGTTCAGAACCAGCTTTTGCACCGCTGATGAAGTGCGCAGATCATACATAATGATCGAGCGATCGATAGCGGTCGAACCAAGGATCGACGTCTCAGTCTGGTTGAAGGCAATCGAAGTAATGGTGTCGACGCTAGTCGGCCAATGCAGAGTCTGTGAGGGTGTGGAGGAAGGACGAGAAAGGTCATAGATGGAGATGACGGACGAAGATGCCGCAAATGATGGGTTGTTGCGATGGTGCGAGACACCAGTGAAGGCGCCGGAGCCAAGATAACTTGCGATGGGAGGCGCTTCGGGGGTTGAGTTGTAGGGGTCCCAGAGTTTGATAGTCTTGTCGCTAGCGCACGATAAAAGCTTCCGCTCGGGAGTCCAGCAGAGACCTTTGACGATATTTTCGTGTCCTTGCGTATTCCAAATCTCTTCACGGGTCGTCATATCCCACACCTTCACGACACCATCACCGCTACCACTTGCAAATCGTTCGAGTGAGCCAGGGTCCTTGGCCATACTGTAGACACCATCGACATGGCCATCACCCATCTGGCCCAAGAATGGAGCCGCAAACATACGCTCCATCTTGACGGCATTGAGAGCACGAGTGTATTCACGGGCCCGCTCAAATGGATGCTGGGCTGGATCGAGATTGCGCGCCTGGCGGACGGTGGCAGACCCGGGCGCCTGCTGCGACGCCGTCGGGCGTGAAAGGGCTTTGATTTTCTATCATGTATTAGCATTTATTTCAATTAGACGGATCATCAGATTTAGAACTCACCATGTTGAGGATGTGGTTGGTACGCAAAAAAGAGAAGAAGGCGGCAACTCGAACTTTTTTTTTCTGTTGACGGGCAGATTTGCTAAGCGGGCGGTGAGCGCCAGAGCTGCCAGCTCCAAGCTCCCCGACTCACGTTCGGCCAACCTATCAACCGCTCCGTCATCAATCACCTTCCTCGCCTCTTTGTGTTCGAACGATCTCTATCCCAAATCACCAATCCTCTTCTCATCACCTCTTGTCTTCAATCATGGCCGCCTCCCTGCAGGTCTCGCCACGGATACAGGAAGTCCGGGACCTGGCTAAGCAGGACCCTACCAAAGCCGCCAACAGTTACCAGACGATCCTCTCAGAGGGCCCAGGGTCCACAGAGGCTTCATCGCGAGACTATGAGCAGGCATTGATTGGATTGGGAGAGTTGTACCGAGATGCAAAGAAGGCACAGGATATTGCAGACCTCATCAAGACCAGCCGAGACAGCTTCTCGTCATTCGCCAAAGCGAAGACAGCCAAGCTAGGTACGTTGAAGCCATCACATACGTAACAACAATGCTAATAGTGGGAATACAGTCCGCCAACTCTTGGACCTCATCAGTGAAATCCCCAACACCCTCGATCTCCAGGTTGCCGTCATCGAATCATGCATAGAGTGGGCCATCGCCGAGCGGCGGTCGTTCCTCCGACAGAACCTCCAAGCGCGCCTGGTCGCAATCTATATGCAGAAGCAAAGTTACTATGACGCCCTCACTCTCATCAACTCCCTGCTCCGCGAGCTGAAGCGTCTGGATGATAAACTCATGTTGGTGGAGGTGCAGCTGCTTGAGTCCCGGACCTACCATGCTTTGGGCAACCAGGCTAAAGGCCGCGCTGCCCTTACAGCAGCACGGACATCTGCTGCTTCCGTCTACACCCCCCCAACTTGCAAGCTGGCCTGGACATGCAGAGTGGCATGCTGCACGCCGAGGACAAGGACTTCACCACCGCTTTCTCATACTTCATCGAGGCTCTGGAAGGATATAGCTCGCTCGATGAAGGGGAGTTGGCTACCGCAACTCTGCAGTACATGCTACTGTGCAAGATTATGCTGAACCTGGTCGATGATGTTACTCAGCTTTTGGGTTCTAAGCAGGCCCAGAAGTATGCCAGCCCCCGGCTAGAGGCTATGAAGGCAGTGGCGCGCGCTCATTCCAACCGCTCCTTGGAAGAATATGAGAAGGCGCTCTCTGACTACCGGTATGAGCTCGGTAGCGACACATTCATCCGGAATCATCTTCGCCGTCTCTACGATGCCATGTTGGAGCAGAACCTCATCAAGGTCATTGAGCCATTCAGTCGTGTGGAGCTGGACCACATCGCCAAGATGGTCGGTCTGGATACGCAGCAGGTAGAGCGAAAGCTCTCCCAGATGATCCTGGACAAGGTTATCATCGGTGTATTGGACCAGGGATCAGGATGTCTGATTGTGTATGATGAGACGGAACGTGACCAGGCTTATGATGCTGCGCTGGACACGATCGAGAAGCTCAGTAATGTGGTGGAAGGACTGTATACTAACCAGGCATCACTTCTGGAGTAGAGGGGAGAACGCAAATGGATTCATGGCAATGCGATTATGTTGGTTCATAGGGAATTATCAAAGACTATGCACGGCTGGTGCATAAGTAGACTCCTTTTATGCTCTAGAATCTGTTCAACCTAGAATTATTCATAAATATATTCTTAAGTGAAGTTCAGATAACTTTGGTCATTCCATTGATCCTATTGTTCGCGACTTTCCGAATCGGGTTAGGCGGTGAGCGCCTAAAGAATCGCGACTTCCGCCTTCACCATCCTAATCCTCCACGCACCCCATCCCTCTACCGCCCCTGCTTGCTTGATTGCCAATGAACGCTCAAATGCAGGCCAATTATGCCCGGGGCTATCCCCCGACCGCCCAGCGGTCACCAGCCACCGCCCGTCGGCCTCAAGGGCCAGGTTTGTCCCCTTTCCAACCTCCATAGTCGCGCTTCTCTAACCCCGAGGTAGCTGGAGCGATGCCCGTTCCTATGCCCCAGCATGCGGTCAACCCTCAGTACATGGCCGCACAGCGCGCGATGCCTCACCCTAATGACGCAGTCCTGCGCCGCAGCCGCAAGCCGACCGATAAGAACATTCCCGAAGGCATCGAAGACGTGATCATCGGCGAGGGCGTAGAACAATACAAGAACCTTCGCGATCTGGAGAAGCGACTCGACGCCGCCATTGTGCGCAAGCGCTTGGACATTCAAGATTCTATCAGCAAGACAGTGAAGAAGTACCGTACCCTCCGTATCTGGATTACCAACACCGTCGAGAATCAGCCCTGGCAAGGAGTCGGCAGCAACCCTGGTTCTGGTCGGTATAAGGTGCGCATTGAGGGCCGTTTGCTGGACGACGACAATGACCCCACCGTTCCTGAGGACGAGGATGAGGGTGAAAATGGCGATGCGATGGAGCAGGATAAGGATGCTGCAGAGGGTTCCAAGAAGACAGGGTCAAAGAAGCCTTCCCAGAGGTTCTCGCATTTCTTCAAGACCATCACTGTCGACTTTGATAAGCCAGCCAGCAACGCCACCGATGAAGTCAAGCCTGTTACCTGGACCAAACCCCAGGTGCCCGCGAATGCGACGTCGGCACCAGCGAATGCCGAGTTCGATAGCATACAGTTCGCTCGCAGCTCGCAAGAAAACGTGAACGTTACCATTAGCTTGGTGCGCGACGAGACGCCCGAACGATACAAGTTGAGCAAGGAGCTTGCTGAAGTGTTGGACGTTGAGGAAGAGACTCGGAGCGGAATTGTGCTTGGAATTTGGGACTACATTCGCGCCATGGAGCTGCAAGAAGACGAGGAGAAGCGACAAGTACGCTGTGACCATCGCCTACGCTCGGTATGTATTCTCCTTCCCCTGCGAAGCTCTCATGCATCAAATCTTGCTTGACGATCGAGCTAACTAAATGATCGTAGATCTTCGGCCGTGACCAAATGTTCTTCCCCCAGATTCCCGACAGCATCGGGCCCCACACCAGCCCTATGGATCCGATCAAGCTTCCTTACACCATTCGCGTCGATGAGGAATTCCACAAGGACGCTACTCCCACCATCTACGATATTCAGGTTGCTGTTGAAGACCCTCTGCGCCAAAAGATGATGGCTCTCACACAGAACCCCCAATACACAGCCGGCTTACGCCAGATTGCCGCTCTTGACGACCAGGTCGCGCTTATCGTCCAGGCTCTCACCCACTCCCGAGCACGGCACTCCTTCTACACAGCCCTGAGCAAGGACCCCGCTACCTTTCTGCGCCGCTGGGTCAACTCCCAGCGCCGGGATCTCGAGACTATTCTCGGTGATGCGAATGGCGTGGGCGATGGCAGTGGACCTGAGTTCCGCCGCGGAGGTCCCGAGAGTGCTTGGGAGACTCCCGTTGCAAAGGAGGCAGTACGCTACATGCTGGCAAAGCCTGAGGCTGCTGCACCTCGGTGATTGGCTTGATTTCGGGGTTTTGTCGCCATGGCGGCTAGTTATGTATTTTGATTCTCTCATTGTGGCGCTTTCCTGGTGTTGGGTCTGGTATAGCTAGGATATGTATGGTAGGGCTAATTACTGCTTTCAAAATCTTGATGTTCATGACACTGGCTTTCAATTCTCAACCATTCCAGTCATGGTACCGGGGTATGTCTACCTTAGGCTACAGATAATGTCCCAGACACCTGCGGGGGATTTGACAAATTTGTACACATTCAGCATGAATTTGAAAGACCTATGTAAAACAGAGTAAAAACCCACGAGGAAATAAACAGAAACCCCAACCGCTGTGTGGCGTTAATGCACGCGAGAAACACAAGCATAATATCATAGACTCGGCTTCTGAGGCTGACCTGACTCGAAGCGATCATCCCCCAAACACGAGACAGAGAGCTAAGAATAAATTACCTCCCAACTGTCTACCTATACCTCTATAAAGAAGCGTATGTATCAAGACCCTTGTAGGGGTATCTTAGCAATCAACTCAGCCCGACGCCGGCGCAACTCCTCCGGGAGAGTCGCATCAATGGCTGACGAGATTTGCTCAGCTGTCAGGGGCAGCTCGCCCCGTAGGACGGCACCCTCTTCCTCTTCCAGCTTTGCAGCGGCCTCGAGGACTACCTCACGCGCGAGATCCTCGAGATTCGCAGGCTTCTCGGCGACCTTCTTCTCCTCTGCAGCACCGGCAGGGGGTCCACGGAAGCGCTTGAGGACGGTATCCACCATCTTCGAGAACCAGAAATAGTTCAGGAAGTTGAGGATCAGGTTAGACACGACATAAGTCAAGACCAACCAGGTCGGCACGCCGCCAGCGGTGAAATCCTTGAAACGAGAGATTTCGGCATTGGCACGCGCACAAGTCTCGTCCACGCACATGGCGCCGTCCCGAAGCGTGAAGACGTTGGCGTTGATATCCGTGGGTGCTTGGAGCGGTGATGCCGAGGAAGCGGACCAGGTCTGCTGGAGCGCATACCACATGTCCTTATACACGACAATAGATTGCCAGGTTCCCCAGACCAGGCGGCAACAGAAGAAGACGGAGAGAAGCGCCATGCCGTTGTACCACTGGGCGCGGCTGCCAGTCATGTTGACTTTGTCGAGGAACCAGTGGATATTGAGGAATGGGCTGGAGAGCTCATAGAGAATGAAGACAGGAGCGTAGTAGTTGACAAAGGGTCTCTGTACATCATCAAGGAACGATGTTAGCAAAAATCACATCAAGCCATTATGAAGAAAGGCGAAAAGGATAACTGAATTAAACTTACAAAGCCAAGGCTGAACACCCAGAGCGCGCTGACGGCATGGAACAGCATCCCAATACCAAACATCGAAAGATGCTGAGCGCTGACAATCAGGTCATAAATAAAGTATCCAACAGCCAGAGCCTGAATCAATCCACAGCCGCCGGTATATCCGAAGACACGCTCACCGGCCGACATGGACCGGCGCTCGTCGTCGACGAACATAACCCACAAAGCCACGGCATTAATCAACAGACTCTGAATGAATGAGACAACATGAATATCCCAGTTCAACTTGGTGCGGGCATTAAGCGCCGGGTACGAGCGGGGAAAGAGGATCGACGACAACCACGGCGAGACCACCGAGTGGATGAACTGATAGAACAGGAAGGCGCCGATCACTTCGTGAATATGCTCTGTGAGGGTTGGACTGTTCAAAGCCAGGGCGTAGGGCTCGATGAAGTTCCGCAACCAGGCGGGCGGGGCGCCCAGGGGGTCCAGCATAGTTGCTGTCCGAGCAGTCCCTAATGCACCAGCTCCTTATCGATGTGGGGAGCTTGAGGTCGGGAGATGAGGTCAGAGAAGGAGATATCTATGCCGGAGATACCAGGAATGATTCCCGGTGCACCATCCAGCTATCGAGGGCACTGGCAGACCTCTGGATTAAACAAAAGAGGGCCCCAGGCGCAGCATAAGCTGAAGAAAAGGGAAAGAGAAGCGGAGTGAAGCTCCGGGGAGCACGAGGCCTCGGTACGGCCTCAGGCAGCCAGATTCGTTGGGACGTCACCTGACCACCTGCCTATCGTGGCAGGTGACCCGCTACTCAATTAGGGCGGCTCACACGACAAAGAACTATGAGAAGAATCTACATGACTACAGGACAGGGTCATTGAGACATCAAAAGATAATTGATAATTCATGGCTAAACACAAAAGGGATTCATACAACGAATCATACAAGCCCGTAAGAAAAAAAAAAAAAAAAACAAACAGACAAGTGGTATATGAAAAGAAGGAAAAACACATCAATCCCGAAAACTCCTGATCATCATGAAACAAAAGAAATTCAAGCAGCACTAACAGCCGACTCAGTACCAAGTGCACTGTCATGAGCAGGTTCTAGCATCTTCATGACTTCAGCCTCCACAGAAGAAGCGGTGTCAGAATTTGGTCGGTCGGTCGAATCTTGTGCCTCGTATTCATCCTCCGTCTCTGTATCTTTAGCCTCCTCCTCGTCATTTTCATCGTCGTCCTCCCGGGCAGTCCTGGCGTCATCATCATCTGACCCGGACTGGTCGCCAGATACATAGCTCCGGTCATCATCAGCGATGGAGCTGGCGGCAACGTACTCATGCCCATCGACCGTGCTCGCGTCAACGGTGCCGATACTCATGCCACTGGTGCGTCGATCTGTTGAAGCCACGCTCTCAGTGACACCACTGCACATGCTGTCGGTGCAAGTTTCAGCGTAGGAGGTCTTGCGATCTGTCGGTGCGTAGCTCGACCGGCGCTCAGTCCCAGCGTGGCTCTCTACCTCGCTCTCAGGCTCATCCTCCTCGTGGAAAGCCTCATTCTCTTTGTTGGCTATAGAGGTTCGGACTGGTAGAGAAGTCTTGCGGAGCGCAAAGTTGGACTTGACGGAGTGGCTGCGCTTCAAGCTGGTAATCCCACTGTTGGCGCTGACCTGGCGATCGACACCCCGATTACCTGTAACATGGCTCAAGCTGAGAATGCGACGCTCCTTGCCAATGTTTGGCTGGATTGGAGCGGCTCCAGCTTGAAGGCTGGCGGGCGTTCGGCGCTTCAAAGCCATGCCAACTCCATTGCCAAGAAGACTGCGGGCGTCCTTGGAATCGCGGGCGGTGCTCGCAGCGCTCATCACACTGGGGCTCCGGGGGCTGCGGGCGCGAGCACGGGAAGATCGTGTACTGCGGTTGCGTTTCAGGCTCATGCCATGGACGCTGCCAGACCGACTGAGCAATACAGAGCGGGCATGATCGAGGACGCCCTCCAAGATGCGCTTCTCCAGGCCGTCGGCACGCTCCTCCATCTGTTGCATCTCCTCATGGCGAATTTCCAGAGCAGTCTCGAGACCAGAGACCTCCTTGCTGAGCTTCGTATTCTGCTTGGCAAGTTCGTCCTTCTCGGCCTTCAGAGTGTGAAGCATCTTCAGGAGCGAGTCCTTCTCCTCGTGTAGTCCAACAATCTCGGCTTCCACCTGCTCACGCTGGGCGACACGACGCTCCAATGCAATTGCGGCATCCTCTGCTTCGCGACGCTTGCGCTCAGTGTCCTCCGCAACTATCACAGACTGAGCGGCAAACATCTCGTTCATCCGGCGGGCATTCTCCATGATGTCCTTATGCATCTCGTCAAGCTTCATCATCTGGGTAACAGAGTGCTCGGAATCCGATGGAGCAGGACGCTCAAGGAGAGCATCCAGTTTCTCGTGAACAGAGTTGCTGCCACTAGCGGCGTGGTCGAAGATTTGGTTGAGCTTCTCGTAAATTTCCTCGTTGCCGGAGCCTCGGTCTAGGAGACGATCAAGCTTAGCGTGAAGTTGGTCGTTCTTCGAATGATCCAAAAGCGTAGTGATGACCTCCTGTACTTGATTGTTCTTAGCATGCTCAAGAAGGTCGTTGAGCTTGTTGTGAACAAGATCATCATCGAGGCCCCGAGACGACTCTGGAGGAGGCAAGGCAGGCAGCATAGTCGGAATGGTACTTGGCAGGGCAGAGAGCTCCGACTTGACCTCCTCACTGGACTTCTGAGAGTGGTCGTAGTGCTGATTGACAACTTCTAGTATCTGTTGAACGGTCTCCAGAATCTGCGGGTGGAACTCGAGAAGCTTGCTCTCGACGCGTTCAGTAGCAGCAGCAGCACGCTCGGTCTCGCCTCGAGACTGCTCTTGCTGTGTCTTGACTTCATTCTGCATCTCTTCCATCCGGTTGTAGGATTCATCAACTTTCTCGAAGAGAGCCTTGGTGTCAACACCGATGCGCTCGCATGTCTCATTGACACTTGTGCCCATCTCACCAATGACAAGCTTGATTTCCTCCGCTAGACCCTTGGTGCTGGTAACTGCTTCAGTGTGCGCCATGTCACGCTCCTCACACTCCGAGAACTTGGAATGAAGAGAAGTGTGGGCATCGTCATACTTCGCCATGACCTCTGCGATCTTCTCGTCAATCTTGGCACCAAGCTCAACGATGATGGCAGCCCGCGTCTCGTCATGCTTGACCATAGTGGCTGCGTCGCGCTCCTCCTTGTCGAGCCTGCTAGCATCTTCTTCGCCACGAGCGCGCTCGAACTCTCGGTTGATGAGATCAGTCAGCTCCTTGATGCTTTCGACAGTGCTGAAGTTCTCGGCAGTGATTGCCAGGCCCTCAAGGAGCGTCTTGAGCTCAGTAAGCCCCTCCGCACTGCCATCCAGCTTGCTCTTAAGCTCGTCACCGAGTTCACCAACGACAAACTTGGCTTCCTCGATCTTCTCAGCAAGACCACCATGCTCGACCTTGCGAGCCTCGAAGCCTTGAGCAGTCATCTCGTTATTGGCTTCCATTTTCTCGCGGAAGTCGGTAACGAGGGCTGACAGCTCCTGGATCTCCTCCTTGGTGGGAAGGGTCTCCACGTCAGGTAACTTGAGTTCATCAACCTGAGTCTTGACTTCGAAGATCATGGCTTCCACGGTCTGGAGGTCGGACTTCATAAGCTTATCAGTATCAGCCTCCTCGTCCGCATCCTCGGCTTCCTTGGTCTTGGTCTTCAATTCCTCGAGAGCCATAAAGACATCCTTGATCAGGCCTTCCAGGGCACCAATATCGGCCTTGGTAGGGGCATCGGCTTCAAAGCGGCTAGATAGATTGGCGATACTCTCTTTGGCCTCCCCAATCATTGTCTCGAGGGTAGAGATATGCTGCGAGGTGGCGATCTCATCCGGAGAAGGGAAGACAATGTCGTCAATCTGGGCCTTGGTGCTCATGAGAATTTCCTGGATGGCATCGGTATCCTCCTTGCGGGCTGCAGACTCGTGCAACTCCTGGCTGGCACCCATGTCACCGAGAGCCCCCATGGCAACTTGAATCTCCTGGACGGCCATCAAAACTTCATCGAGATCACTGCGCTTGAGGGCGTCTTCGGCTGGCTCGGCAGCACGGGGGGTAGAGTCGATGGATTCAACCTTGCTCTGAAGTTCGGTGATAAGAGACTTCAGACTGTCAATATCGTTTCCAAAGGCAGCCTCCTTGGCAAGCATGAGCTCACCACCCCGAGTGGTCTCGGCATCATCAATGTCCTTTTGAGACTGGCGAATGGAATCAATGTCAAGCTTTAGGTCGGCCAGGCCATCCTTGATGGTGTCCAGAATCTCAGAGGTGTCAAAGTCAGTTGGTTTATCCATGAGCTTCTTGAGATCGTCACGGATGGCATCCATATTATCATGGAATGCGTCGAGCAGCTCGCTGGTAGCGGAGAATGTGCTTTCAGCGCCATCTTTCTTGGACAAGGTTTCCTCGCGGAGGTTATCGAAGTGCTCACGAAGAGCGGCGATGATCTCATCCTTGTCCGATCCAGGCTCGGCACGAATAACGCTCATGGTCATATCCATGCGCTCACGCATATTCTCAAACTCGGCTCGAATGGTGTTAAGAACTTCCTCGTCTCCACCCTTGGTCTTTTGCTGCTCGGAAACATCCCGGATGGCATCGAGTATCTCATCCTTGTCACTGGCGGCATTCTCCTTGACAAGAAGAGTGCCGATAGTTCCGCGGAGATGCTCAAACTCCTTCTCCAAGGCATCCAGAAGTTCAGAAGTATCAGGTGCTGCACGGACAGCATTACTCAGAGAGGCATCATTGATGGTCTTCTCCATGTCAGCCTGGAGCAGGCGGAACCCTTCCTTGACAGTGTCGATGATATCGTGTTTTCCTGAAACTTCAGACGCCGTGGCCACATAGGACTCAATCTCTCGTCGGACAACCTCGAGCCCATCCTTAATCGCATCAAGGACCTGTTCGGTGTCCCTGCCATTGGCTGCGGAGTACTGCTTGAATTCCTCCTTCATGCCATCAACGACCTCCTGAAGGCGCCCCATCACTTGGTCGCCAACATTCAAATTGGCAGCACTGCTTGCGTCTTGGAGACCAGCGCTGATAGCCTCCATGAGATCATCCTTGTTCAGCTCGATCTCACGAGTCATAGTGTTGGAGCTTTCGATGCCATCAACCACAGCGGCGAACAATTCCTCGCGGGTGATACTTGGCTGCTGTACATCGGTGCTGAGGGCGGACTTCTGCGCCTCTTGGGACTTCTCGAGCGCCTCTGAGACAGCCTCGACAATTTCCTCGCGGGAGAGAGAAGGTTGGACACTGGGGATGAGAGCCGACTCCTCGGGCTTTTGCGACAATTCAATACCGTCAGCAATGGCGGCCATGATCTCTTCACGTGAGATGCTGGGCTCCTGGGGCTTCTGTGACATCTCGATGCCGTCGGCGATTGCTGCCATGATTTCTTCACGGGAGATGGGGGAATCGTTGTTGCCGATAGTTAGAGCAGTATGCTGCGCGCTGAACGCATCATTGACAGCATTCACAACGTCCGCCCGGGAGATATGTGGCTCTTGCATGTCCTTAGCAGTGGTAAAGTGCGCCTCCAGACCATCGGAAACAGCGCTGACAATCTCATCACGGCCAAGCCCAGAGTCGTAGGACTCCCTGCTGAGCATACTTTGTGTAGCCATGGAGCCGGTAAGAGCATTGAGAATCTCGTCCCGAATTTCATTGAGATGATGGACATGCTCCTCATTCAGGCTTCGCGAAGACTGATCGGGAGCGGCGCGCTCTGCAATAGCGTGAAGGATTTCATCACGGATGGAGTGAAGATGGTGAATGTGCTCCTCATCCAAGCCTCTTGAAGCAGTGTCGTGGGCTGGACGCTCTGCAATTGCATGAAGGATCTCTTCACGCATGGAGTGGAGGTGCTGAATATCCTCCTCGTCCAGGCCTCTCGAGACCTCGGGAGCCGCACGCTCTGAGATTGCATGGAGGATCTCCTCACGCATAGAGTGAAGATGCTGGATATCTTCCTCATCCAGACCTCTTGATGGCTCGGGAACAGCACGTTCGGCAATTGCATGAAGTAGCTCTTCACGCATGGAGTGGAGATGCTGAACATGTTCATCGTCCAAAGATCTCGACGTGGGTTCCGGCTTTTCGAGGCACTCGCGGATAGTGAGAATGATCTCATCTCTAGTAATTGTAGGCGGGTGCTCGACTGGAGGAGGAACATAGTTTTGTAGGCCAGTCTGGACAGCAGCCAGAACCTCCTCGTACGTGAGGGATTGCTGGTGCTTTGGTTGGTAGTCCTTGAGACCTTCTGACAGACAGTCGAGAATTTCATCACGCTCCAGACCAAAGTTCTGCAGTTCGATCTCCGGTTTGTAGGTCTCCCATGCCTCGCGAACAGTTTCCAAAATGTCCTCCTTTTCCATAATTGGGCCATGAGGCTCGGCAGGTTCGGGCTGGGGGATCTCGAACTCATCGAGGGCTTTCTTCACTGCAGCATAGATTTCCGCACTATTCATAGCCGCCCGAATCTGAGCCAAGTCAGAGGATTGCTGTCGGCTTTCGTTGATCGTGGCGGCCAGTTGGTCTCGAAGGTCGTGAAGACTGTCGTTCACCACGGCGGCAATCTCCTGGGGAGTCGCATGTTGGGGCTGCTCTTGCGGCTCCTCGTTTTCTCGGCTCGACTCGATAGCTTCCAGCTTGCGGGCTATGTCGCGACCCATACCCAGAACCTCTCCTCGTAACTCTCGGACCAGAGCCTTGACGCTATTGGTCATACCACCGCTCTCCATGACACTGTTCTTAACGCTTTGGAGAAGAGGCAACATGTTCTCGCTCCCGGCGAGGGTCCTGTCGCCTTTCGGCACATCGAGGGCGCGTACGGTGGCTGTCGGGCCCATAATGGAGCCCACTGATGCGGATCGTGCAGACTCGGCGTTGGGGTCATTGGGTTGAGATGGTTCGCGAGATTTCAACGAGCGCACTAAGGCATTGCTGGAGGGGTCTTGCTTGACGAGGTTGAGTATTTCCTCAAGCATTTTGGTGATCTTGGTATCGGCATCCTTGCCGGAGGCGGTTGCAGCTGGACGGGATTTAATTTCATCGACCAATTCCAATAGCCGTTCCTCACCTTCCTTTGTAGCCATCTCGCGTAGTACCTTTTCGAGCAAAGCGATACTGGCTGAACCATCGGAAATGGGCGCGGGCGATCCACACAGGTCACGATCGAAGGCAAAAGGATTGGGGCTCGGCATGCGAGGGACAGAGTAGCTTCTCTTGGAGTTGGGAGAACTATCCGGTTCACTAGGGTTAGGGCCGTCTCCAGGCTTCAGTAGAGCACTGAGATCTAACCTTGTAAGATCACCATCCAACAATTTACTCGTCAAGTTAGACGAGAGATCCTTCAAACTCTTCCGAATATCTTCGTCGCGCGCATTGGTTGCCGCTTTCAGACTAATAAGATCGGTGGCATTGTCTTTGCTTCGTCGGCTCAAATTGGCCATCTCGCGCTGCAGATTGCTAGCAATGTCAGTCAGGCTATGGATTTGCGTTGCAAGCGTGTCCATTGTGTGGCCTTGAGGCTCTGCAGCGGGGCGGTCGGCGATCATCTTGGGAGGTTTCGAGGGTGACGGAGGGTCGGATTCGGGGGGAAGCTGCATGTTCTGAATGGCCAGCATGGTTGCAGAGGTAGGAGTACTTTCTCCAAGGATTGGTTTTGAGAGGTAGCGGCTGGACAAGAAGCTAGGAAGTTCTCGGTCTGCGGTCTTTGGTCTGGACGGATCGGAGGGGATCTTGGTCGTATCTTGCGACTTGATCGTGGGGTCGACAATGGTAGCACGAAGAGGTCGCTCAGGAGACCGGCTCTCGAGGTAATTTAGGAACTCTGAACGAGCATCGCCCTTTGTGTCTGCAGGCTGTAGCGACTGCATGCGCTTGTGATAATGGCCTTTTACAAGCGATCGCTCCGGGGAGGAAGATTTGTTGGGCATCGGGTTGATTGTGTAGTTGCTAGGAGCGGTATCGCTTGACTTGTCGGCGAACTTGGCCGCAACAGCTTGGATACCAGGCGACACATTGGATCTGGTCGCAGGGCTCATGGAGCGAGGGTTCAATGGCAGTGGGGGAGGCGCCCGCTCGGGATCAGAGCTGTCCCACCTGTGTTTGCGGCGCTTTAGCGACAATCTCAGATCACTCATGAGAGGCATGATGGCTGCTCAATCAAGAATCAAAGGCATTAGATCAATAATCGAGACGTACATTGGAATAGAAAGTCGGCTGGACTCGGTATGGATGCCTGGATGCCGGACCAGTTCCCGATCGCGGGAAGAAGCGTCCCGTTCGTGGGACGGCATGATGTGGATTTGGGGTCGTAAGTCGTAGAGAGAAAAGATGTCTTAGAGAGGTATTGACAGTAATCAAGAGCGGAATGTGCTGATAGAATGTGTGTGCAGGGATCAAAACAAGGGTCGTCAAGGCATATCAACACCCAAAGGGTCGCTAAGAAAAACAAGAAGTGATGTTGAGGAAAGACGGTGAAAGAGCAAGTCAAGTCTCGATCACCGGGAGATCTGCTTTTGATAACAAGAACAGTGGAGGTGGCGCGAGGAACCACTACGCGGCCACCACATCATCAAGCCATCGAAGCTCCATAGCAACAAGCAACCGATGGGGGGCAACGGGCAGCTGCTCCGTCGTCATGTAAACAAACTGTGTTTCTGCCCAATGGACTCCACTTCGCGGTCTGTGGGGCGGTGAGACCCAGTCTGTCAAGTCACCCGGATTATTGTTTAGTCCGGAATCCCCAGCATCTGGTCCCAATGGGGAAATATTCCAAAACTAGACTAGTGGCCACCAGTCGGTAAGAGACCCAATCACGGATCAGCACACAAATCACGCTTGCCCTGAACCCTTCTGCCCGCCCAAGCGAAAAAACGAACACTTCGATCTCGACTGTTCCGTACCTCGACAAACCACCCGCCAAACCTCGCCGCCACCGGGACCTTCACAATGAAGTGTACGTATTCGATCTCTACGACCTGCTTGACCGATTCTATACTGACGAGAATGTTGCGACAGTCATGAAAGTTGGCCGTGTGGCCATCATTACCCGTGGCCGCTACGCCGGTAAGAAGGTACGACAGATCCGACTCTCTCCCTCCCCCGAGCACACAAGACGGAATTTTGGAGAAGGAAAAGAAAGCACGCGAGCAAGAGATGGGCAATGATCTATTCAACGAGATACTGCGAGAACCGGAGCAAAGAATCTTCAAATGGAACTGAAAATGGAAAATTCGAGATTTGGATGAACTTGGCTGACCAGCGCATTTGTCTCGACTTTTCAGGTCGTCATTGTCCAGCCCAACGACTCTGGCTCCAAGGCGCACCCCTTCCCCTACGCCATCGTCGCCGGTATCGAGCGCTACCCCCTGAAGGTCACCCGCCGCATGGGTAAGAAGCTCGTCGACCGCCGCAGCCGCATCAAGCCCTTCATCAAGGTCGTCAACTACAACCACCTGATGCCCACCCGCTACACTCTCGAGCTCGAGGGCCTCAAGGGTGCCGTCTCCAACGACACCTTCAAGGAGGTCTCCCAGCGCGAGGACGCCAAGAAGACCGTCAAGAAGGCTCTGGAGGACCGCTACACCTCCGGCAAGAACCGCTGGTTCTTCACTCCTCTGCGTACGTTTCCCCGGCTATCGGATCAAACGAGTCGACTCGCTCCCACTCCACTCGATTCGATTTACCTCTCGATATCACATTCACTAACATTCTGACTACAGGTTTCTAAACGGTTTTGACTCGGGCGTTTTGTCGTTTTAAGCGCGCAGGGGCCTAGGGGATGGCGAGGGGAAAAAAGCATCGAGCACATTCGGTCCCTGCAACGGATTGGAAGACATATACCTTAGCTGGAAACAGAATCGGGGGAATGTATCGATGAACTCCAGTTTGCACGGCGGCGCCGCAAAGAACTGGCGTCTGTCTAAATGAAATGGAAAACATGAACAATTACTTTTTTTCATCTGCTTCGATTTTGATTCTCCAGTGCCTCCTACAGTATCTAACAGTCACCGTTATACCCGCCAACTTTTCTTGTTTCTTTCCGACTACACCTTTTGCGCCTGCGAGATTTCCACATACACTCTTGTTCCCACCCTCAGTTCGCACTTTGTTTCAGATGCCTCGGGTGGGCCTTGAATCTCTCCTCCTCATGCGCCAACAACCACAACCAACAACCAGTTGGCAGTACCCTCCCCACCCGTTCTCGTAGATCCACGTCAAAATTAGACTCCAAGTTAAGAAATGCCCAGCTGACCCGTGGCTTCATACCCATGTGATTGCATGGAAAATCTTATCTCAACCACCTCGAGAGCGCATTAACTGAGATTTACAGTTACAGCCCGGCCCCCGGGTCCCACGTCGTCGGCCTTTTCCTTTGATCATCGCATGTGAAATAGCTCGCGGCCCCAAGCATGCACAACGCGATTATCATGAGCTTCCGCGGTTGATCCTTTGACAGCGGCGACTAACATGCAGCACTGTTACAGCCGAATGCGAAGCTTTAGGAAAACATTGCGAGCGATCCGCCACTTACAAAGGTACTGTGGTCTTCCGATAGGGTCATTGGTTTAGAGCATGTACTAGGGTGCTTACGATCTACCGTTGTTATTGACGGTTTGAGCAGGTAGTATTGTACTCGGTGGCTGATGCCTACATATCTTTACCGTCGGCCCCGAAAAGACAAACAACACGCAATCGAAGACTGGCAAAAGAGTACAAAGGTGCAAAACAAACCGCGGAGTGGCGTAACTTGCCACAGCGGCTACATCGAGAAGGGATTGTCGGCCCAGAAGAGGCTAACATAGAACGAAGTTACAGTGTGCACGATGCCCAGGAGAATAATGCAAAACGAGAACGACCGTTAATAATGTAGTAGAAAGTACGTCCAGAGACAACGAAGGGAAAATATTCCGAGCACATAAGACGTGCATAATGAACTGGCTACTCCAGTCTCTAACATGACTACTGTAGCATGTCGCGAACTAATGCAAAACATACGCATCCCAATCCCTCTCACCATCCACTCGGGCTCGGGCCCACGCTATTTTTGTTTGCGCCTATCAGCTACTGTACGAACATACATTACCCAGGTCTCGTCTCTCTCAAACCTCGCGGCTTGCCACCCAGATCGGCCACCCATTGCCTGCTCTCGACTAGCACCGAAAATTTGGGGGGAGGTTTCAGCTTCGAATAATCCGGCAGCCTTCGTGCTAATACGACTACTATGTACATACTTAGGTTTTGGACTTATCGTGCCCTTCGCTGGACGAATTAGATAAACCAGAGCCATCCCTGCGAATCAGTGGACAGAGAAGGCATGAGAGACATGTGCTTGCACAAGGAATTCCAGAAATCGAGTCCAGCGATTCCGAGTTATGCAACCCGAACATACTTCCGTACTTTGTGTTCCCGTTCATTGTACGAGTTATCGACAGTCTAACTCTGCGTTTAGTATCTCTACAACGTCACCAACCACCATTCATCAACCAGGCAGGTTACGAAATAATCTTGGAAGATCATACAAGAAAACCCGTTCTTGGACCTTTTACAGAGTCAATAATCGCATTGACCAACCGAAACGTCCGCGCATAGAAAAAAAGAACAAAGTGATGACCTCAACGGTTCTCAATCGTGCAGCCCAGAATGCTCCAATTCGCCGAGAATCGGATGATTTCAGGACGAATCACCCGGCTCGCCAGTTGCACGCCCGGCGGACAGCGTCCCGGGGGGCCGATCGAGAACCCGGCCAGACCTGGAACTTAGTGTACTTTCAAGGTAGAAACGGGAAACCTTGTGCGGGTGCTTGGCATGTACGAAGTACAGTTCTTCCATACAAAGTAGGTGTAATGATATGAGCGAGGGAATGAGAGACAAAAGGAAGTACTTTAGAACCTGGACCTGAACCTGGAAGAAGCAAAGCATTGAAAGTGCCAAAAATTCTCCGAGTTCAGAGTTGAACGGATGCCAATGCTTCGCGAGGGCGCCAAGTCTGCTTCCCGTCTCTGTGAATGGGTAGATGTGAGGTGTGTTAGGTTCGAACGGACGACGCTCAGGCCAGAGGGAGTGGATACAAGGTGGCAGGGCGGGCGAGGCTGGACCTCGCGGGATAGGAGTAAGTTGGCCGGAGTCTGCAGGTGTCACGGTCGTCTAGGCGCTGGCGGTAATCAGACTAAAGCATGCAGGTTTGGCAACATGGCTGATAAGAGGGAAATCTGGCACCCCCGGAATAGGGTGTTGAAGGGAGAAGGAGAGGAGAGAAGGTGAGGATTTCAAGTGATGAGCAGTGGACAGTGCAACTCTAGATATGGCGGGGCAGGTATGTAGAGCTTTTCTATTCTTGTTTTCTAGATAAGAAGGGTAGGATTGGGAATCTTCAGATGATGCCAAGTTGATATTGTAACAATGGAACAAAAAGAGATATTTACGGGAAGCCGCAGAAGGTTGAACCGAGCCAAGTCAGTAGTAGCTATGGAGGAGTCTAGTACCTTTGGTGGAGCCTGAATGCGTCGACGTTGGGACCCGCAATCACATGCAAATCTCAGCTTATCAGAAGCTGCTCGTGTCGCAAACTCGACGAGAGCGGCAATTGCGCAAACTGGTCGAGATATTGGGCGAATAATGAAAGATGGGAAGAGATAGGAGAGTATCATTTGGTTGGTGATAAAGGAAAGTTCGTCATATTTCGCCATCAGTAAAGAGTGGGATAAGGACTAAGTTTGGGGGAAGAGGGGAAGGGCCCAAGAATGAAAGAGGCCCAAATTCAATTCACGACAACTCAAGAATCTGCATATTAGTCTGCACTGTACAAATGAGAGTCACCCAGGGACTCCTGCATGAAGGGAATTAGTTCGATTAGTTCAAACCAGGGGCCTGTGGGAGAGAAAAAAGGTGTGTGCACAGATGATGCGATTGCGCTGGGGCCCTCGAGGAGGCCAATTGCACAATGAGAGCGCAATCGAACAATCACATGTGAAAATGGCCCGTATATACTTCTGGGCAGCCCACCTGCTTGCCTCTCTCTTTTTTTTTCTTGTCCTACGGTTCCCAACTTGTCCTACTTATCAATACCTGTTCCTTCCTACATTCTCTTCTGCTTTCTCATTATCTTTTCCTCTCCTCCTCTATTCTTTTACTTGAAATCTTAATGCCCCACGCCCACTCTGACATAATGGGTCAACCAATCGTGAACGGCGAGAAAGTCCATTCTCAATTCATCGATGTAAGAGACCCTCTATCATCCGAATCTGCATAATATACCCCAGGCTAACATATTATCTCTTCCTTCTCCAGCATCTCACCTCCTACCCTGTCGTCTCCGACTCCATCTCTCTCTTCAAGAGCAACCCCTACGGCGCCAAGTCCCTCGAGCTCAGCGACACTGCCTACGCCCGCATCGCCAAGCCAGTCCTGCCCTACTTCTCCACTCCCTACAGCTATGTCGCGGCCTACCTGGCCCGCGCCGATGCTCTGGGCGACAAGGGTCTGACCCAGATCGACTCGCGCTTCCCTATCATCCGTGAAGATACCCAGAAGATCCGCGGCACTATCTACAATACCGCCGGCTTCCCAGTCCGTGTGGCTGGCGATGTCAAGCAGCACCTGTTCGAGATCTACGGCTCTGAATACAAGAAGTGTGGCGGTGATGGCGTCGTCGCTTCCGGCAAGGCCTTGATCACGACAAGTCTGGTTCTGTCAACCGAGTCATTGACTTATCTTACGACTTGGTTCCAGAAGGCCAAGGAGGAGGCTAAGGAGGTTGTGAATGAGAAGACCAACAGCCACTGATGTAGAATGTGCTTCGTCCCTCCTTGAGCGTTTGGTTTTCGTTTCTTTTCTTGCGGGGTCCTTTTTTTTAGAGAAAATTATACCTGTTTCCGCGATCATTTATACTGTTGATTTATTTTTCATGTTCAATTCTTGACTTTTTTGGGTTTGCTTGATCATCGTGCTAGTACACTTGGTGGCTCCCTCGGAAATGTAATGTGAGATGGGGCACGGATATATGTTGCCATACGATCGTACTTTACTTGATCAGCGTTACGTCATGCGAAAGATTGCCTGCCCTGAATTCTGAATATGAACCCAATTCAATTGCTGTGTAACACTGAATGTTCTGCCTCTATCCTACAAAAAATCCCTTTGTAGAATGCGTGTTTCCTCGATATACAATAGTTTCAGCATCTCAATTTCACGAGCCTCAAAAGATAAGAACCGCGCACGGACCAGCACGCCCAATCCGGCCAAATCAGTTGCCGATCGTCGCGTCGCGTCCACCAAATCCTACAACTCGACCGTGAACAAAGAAACTCATCACCCCCCACCAACCACATATATACCCTCCCCCACAGACATGTCCCAAATTCGCAAACGCCGGGCGGTAAGACACACAAACATCTCACCCTTTCACCTCCCTCCCCATCACCATCCACAATGTCCCACCCTCTAACAAAACTCCCAGCCCGACGCTGATCCCTCCCCATTCAGACGCCAACGTCCACGCAGCGACTCCGCCTCCCCAGCTGCAGACATGTCTGATAGCGATGCCGAGCACGGCGCACCATCTAGTCTAGACGCTATGGTCAAGAAGATGGTGCGGCTTGCGCTGGCGAGCGAGTACTCGCGTCTACCTATCCGCCGCACGGATATCAGTGCTAAGGTGTTGGGGGAACAGGGTTCAAGACAGTTTAAGACGGTGTTTGAGGCGGCGCAGCAGTCGCTACGGAGTAAATTTGGCATGGAGATGGTGGAGTTGCCGGCGAGGGAGAAGGTTACTATTACGCAGCGGCGGGGTGAGTTTTGAAATTCTAAGTTAGAGTTCTATAATGGCCCTTGTATCTATGACCTGTGACGGGGGCATGGCAGTACATACAATGGTCTAGAGATTCAAGCAGACAGAACACTAACCCTGTCTCGATTGATTCGCAGCCGCCCAAAAAACCGAAAAACCATCCAGCAGCACCAAATCCTGGATCCTCACCACCATCCTACCAGCCACATACCGCACACCCGCTATTATCCCGCCGACAAGAGCCCCCTCCACCAACACCGAAAGTACCTACACCGCACTATACAGCTTCATCATCGCCGTTATCTCGCTAAACGGCGGATCCCTGGCTGAGCAGAAACTCACCCGGTACCTACGCCGCATGAACGCAGATGACTACACACCCGTCGACAGGACAGACAAATTGCTCGCGAGACTATGCCGTGAGGGATATATTGTGCGAACAAAGGAATCGGATAACGGCGAGGAAATCATCGAGTTTATGGTTGGGCCACGCGGAAAGATCGAGGTTGGAAGTTCGGGTGTAGCCGGTCTTGTGCGGGAGGTTTATGGGCGTGGACCTGGTGCTGGTGCTGAGAATGGGGATGACGGGTCGACAGAGCTAGACCGTGAGGGGAGGGCGGAATTCGAAGCGAGACTCCGACAGTCTCTGGGGATTGTTGGTGTGCGTGAGCAGGATGAGGAGGAGGAAGGGCGGGAGCAGCAGCAGGCAGTTAATGGGCGTGGTGCAGGGGAGGCAGGGAGAAGTGCGAGACCGAGTGAGGTACCGAGACGGTCTTCGAGGAGAGCTACTACTGCACACGAGTCTTCCAGTGGGGAGTCTGAGACGGAGGATTCGGTGAAGGATGAGAGTGAGGAAGAAAGTGATTGATTTTGTGGAAGAGTTTGTACCATTGATTGATACCCAAAGATTGAAAATGCGCGTGATGATTCATTTGCAATCGAGTCGAGTCCTAAGAAGTACTATGTAACCTATGCAATCAATACGTAGTGATTTAGAGTGTTGATTTCATTTGATGGATGAATACGGTAAGTCCTTGTACACTGGCCAATTCTCGATCATCATAACTATGGATGTAATATGACTAGGTGTGCTACATGGTAGGACAATATCACTTTATGAGTACGTAGAAGTTAGGGTGTTAATCATCCTGGCCAACTAGGCTACCGGACTTGGATTATCCTCGTGAGTCAGACGGAAAAGAAAATTCGACTTATACTGTACATCGCTAGTAAATACAAAAATTTTGTAAGAACATGTAGTACTCTTCTTGGAGGTTATTTATCTGATCGATTGTCTTTCTTGAGCGGACCAATGCTCCCAGTACCATGCGCACGTATCACTGTGGAATAAGACCAACCATACAATAATTTTTGATCATAGACCATACCGAAACAAAGCTAATTAACCCAGAGGTCATACACATCTCCGTCACTTCAACCCTGAAAGACTAATGCAAATCACGATCCCATTGATTCCCAATCTTCGAAAACCACACATAAGCCCTACACATTCAAGAGTCAGTTTACCAACCCCCAAAAAGACCTCAATAAAAACAAGAAAATACCCAATACCTACATCCCAATTGCAATTACAATTCCGATCATTTCTTACACCCACGACTTGCAGCCAAGTTCTCGCTCGGCGAATGAGGCGTACACTTGCATTTCCTAAATTCCGCCTCCACATCAGCCTGCTTTGTTCCAGTAGTCTCCACGAAACAATCATTCCCAGCACGAACAGGACTAGGACAAATAACTCCGTTTTGCCTATCACACAATTCTTTCGTCTGCTTTGTCATCTGGCTTGGCCCCTCTTGAATCATTGCAGGCCCCGTAGACATAAACGACAGGATCTGTTGCGGCCGGATTGCAGACGAACCCATTTGCCGCGGTGGAGATGTATTCGCCGTCGAGGCAGCTCCTCCTTGAGCATTGGAGGTTGGTACCGCAAGGGGTTCCGGGCTGAAGGGCGGCAAAGGCAGTTGCGCTGAAGAGGAGAGTGGTGAGGAGTAAGATTGTGAGAGGTGGGTAATGTTGGTGAGGTGATTTTGAGGGAGGATAGAGTAGAATGGATGGAGGAGATTGGAGGTGTCACGTTTGATAGATGCAATGGAAGGCTGATCGATGCTCTATTTATGTTGTGCGCCACTCGCTCGATCTCGGTTGTCATCTCTCCATGATTGACAGAGATCTTGTGCTACTAATGGTTGTACGGAGTACTCCGTATATCGATCGATATGTCTGGTTACACAAGAATCCCTATAGTAATCCATTCCGGGAAAGAATGTACACCATAAGTTGCTTACAGATACCGCATGCAACTCTATAATTGAGTCAAGGGTACGGAGTACAGTTGTGCCTGCATCCAATATTCTTATCTAGGAGCTATTTGATGGCGATCGCCGGCGGTCATCTCCAACATCGCAGGGCATGGGCTATATACCCAAGACAACCAATAGAGTCCGATGTATCTATTCAGTTGTCTGCATAGTCATTCTCTGTGGCGCCAATATTTCATTGTGATATTAAGTATGAAAAAGCAATATTGAACTTTGTAACCACAAGCCATGCAGAGTTCTACAGCGCAAAGTACAGATATAGTCTATCTCTCGTATCGATCCGTCACTGGTATCGAGTGGAAGTATATGGCATGAATAATGACAAGGTATTTGAACAGGCCTAAGAGAGATGAAAAAATGGCAGTGAATAATATGATAGTTGCAGAAAGGATGTCATCTGTCGAGATGTTCATACTAACCTTGGCAGTCATCAGATGTATACACGGAGAATTTATGCTGTACAAGTGCCAAGGTCGGCGTTCTCGGCTTGGTGGGGTCCACCGCACAAAAGCTTTAACACCACCTAGACACGGACAAATTTCTACTTGGGGGAAACCAGCAAAGGAGAAGGGCTACATACAGAGAGCATGAATAATCAGGGTCTAGCTAGATATCTTCTACAAGTTAGGAGAGTCTACGATTGAAAAGAAAAATATGACATGAGTCACGAATCTGTATGTAGTATTTTTTCAGACTACACAGCAAAGTCTAGCTCCCCATCCAAGCAAAAGCATTTTTGTTTGTAAGAAATAAAAAAATTCATCACGGCATCTCTTGTGGTCATCCGCAAATCATTTATTTCTTGCCAGCCTTCTGGGCAGCCTTGGTAACCTTACCGGCACCAGCAGCGGACTTGTCGACGGACTTGATGACACCGACGGCAACGGTCTGGCGCATGTCACGGACGGCGAAACGGCCGAGAGGGGGGGTAGTCGGTGAAGGCCTCAACACACATGGGCTTGGAGGGAATCATCTTGACGATGGCGGCATCACCGGACTTGATGAACTTGGGGTGGTCCTCAACGGACTTACCAGTACGGCGGTCGATCTTCTCAAGGAGCTCAGAGAACTTGCAAGCAATGTGGGCAGTGTGGCAGTCCAGAACGGGAGCGTAACCAGCGCCGACCTGACCGGGGTGGTTCAGGACGATGACCTGGGCGTTGAAGGAAGCGGCAGCAGCGGCGGGGTCGTTCTTAGAGTCGGAAGCGACGTTACCACGGCGAACCTCCTTGACGGAGACGTTCTTGACGTTGAAGCCGACGTTGTCACCGGGGACACCCTCCTTGAGCTGCTGGTGGTGCATCTCAACGGACTTGACTTCAGTGGTCACGTTGGCGGGAGCGAAGGTAACGACCATGCCGGGAGAAATGATACCAGTCTCGACACGGCCGACGGGAACTGTGCCAATACCGGAGATCTTGTACACATCCTGGAGGGGAAGACGGAGGGGCTTGTTGGAGGGACGGACGGGGGGCTCAATGGCGTCGATGGCCTCGAGGAGGGTCTTGCCAGTGGTCTTGCCGGCCTTGGTCTCCTTCTCCCAACCCTTGTACCAGGGGCAGTTGGGGGAGGGCTCAAGCATGTTGTCACCGTTGAAGCCGGAGATGGGGACGAAGGGGACGCTCTTGGGGTTGTAGCCAACCTTCTTGATGAAGTTGGAGGTCTCCTTGACAATCTCGTTGTAGCGGTCCTCGGACCACTTGCAGGTGTCCATCTTGTTGAGGGCAACAATGAGCTGACGGACACCGAGGGTGAAAGCGAGCAGAGCGTGCTCACGAGTCTGGCCATCCTTGGAGATACCAGCCTCGAACTCACCAGTGCCGGAGGCGATGATGAGGATAGCGCAATCGGCCTGGGAGGTACCAGTGATCATGTTCTTGATGAAGTCACGGTGACCGGGGGCGTCTGGAAGGGAAGGAGAAGCATGTTAGTCGGCTGTCTGATATGGATGGGACAATGATGTTGGGTAATTCTTACCAATGACGGTGACCTCATACTTGGCAGTCTGGAACTTCCAGAGAGCGATATCGATGGTGATACCACGCTCACGCTCAGCCTTCAGCTTGTCAAGAACCCAGGCGTACTTGAAGGAACCCTTGCCGAGCTCAGCGGCTTCCTGTGAGAAGGTATTAGTGTCAAGTTTTTTTTTCTGAGGTAAAGCCCCACTCATGGAGGGGTAGGTGAAAATTGTGATTCCGTACCTTCTCGAACTTCTCGATGGTACGAGTGTCGATACCACCGCACTTGTAGATCAAGTGACCTGTCGAGGGGATCAGCAAATTGTTATTGTGGATGGAATCTCGATGGACGAGGCATGTTTGGATGGAGGGGATGCTTACCGGTGGTGGTGGACTTGCCGGAATCGACGTGGCCGATAACGACAATGTTGATGTGGAGACGATCGTCCTTACTGTTGAGACAGAGTCAGTAGACGTTCGAATGGAGATGGATGAGAAAAAAGGTAAAAGTCGATGGCTCATCGTGATGATGAGTTCGATCAGTCCTCTAGGATGAGGGAGCGCAAGTGAGAGATGAATACATACCCCATGGTGACGGTTGATCAAGAATGAATTCTTGTAGTTCTTTGTAAGATACTAGAGGAATCCGAAGAAATTGCTCAGAGACTACGGCGTGCGTAGAGGTACTGAACAAAAGAGGGAGGTTAGAGGAGGAAAGGAGAAAGGAAGAGAGGAGAAAGGGGGGAGGGGAAGTTATACTCACTGATGCGGACGAGGGGGGAAAGGAAAAAAAATCTGTGGGAGGGGGAGGAGGGGGAAATCCTTATATGGAGGGGCAAGCGAGCAACAGGCCAGAGGCGAGGTTTGGGTTAGCCCTTTCCATTTGGTGGACGGGCCCACCTTTTCCTCTAGTTTGCAGCCTTTGATTGGCCGACTACGTTCAGTGCGTGTGCCCATTGGGCAGGTGGGGGGTCCTGGACTCCTTCCGCTGGCGGGGCTCAGCAGAATCTTCATCGGCGGTTTGATAAGTACTGTATACCTGGACTAAATCTGACTCTTACACTACACACACCTGTACCCAATACTTCTTTTGTCTTGCTTTCCCTGGTTCTGTCCTCCTCGCGTCTCCACTCAATGCGAATTTTTTTTTTCATCGGCCTCTCCCAGCCCACTTGATTTGCCCGTGCTGGCCTTACTACGGGGGCGGCTGGTTGACTGGGCAGCAACGCATTTGGGCCAATCCCTCGTCCGACAAGAGAATTTGGTTGTCAGAGTTTACTGGGCTTTAATTTGACCTGTTGATCATCCTGATTTTTTTTTTCTTTGAGCTTGGTGTGGGATGGTAACCTCGAGGGCAGAGTTTTCCCTGCTCAGCTTATCGAGGGGCCAAAGAACCCCGCGGCCGAGGGGCACTTACCGTCACCGCCAAACTGGGACCCACCACGATGACTTCAGCCATGTCGTGCAGTTTGTATTTGCCACTTTGTATGATTAGGTAAAAAACAATCGAGAATCAAAGATGGACACGAGAATCATACTATTGTCATAAAAAATGGGTTACTGTCTTTTAATCCTGTTGCGGTCGGGGTCTCCATTGAGCCTAGTACCGTGATATCTATGTACATGCTGTAACTCCGTTAGTAAACACTCTGATAGTATGTCAATGACTCGACCGCAGGTGGGGACCCGTGGTTGTGGCCAACCCAATTTTTCGGAAGTCAATTTGGCCGAGAATCTGTGCGCGGCTCCCACTGACGTCGATCAAATTTAGCCATAATCAGCCATATCAGACGGAGTATACAACCGTACCACGCAGGAAACAAAGAGATATCACAAATCAGAAAATAATTAATGTCATTCACATGGGGCCTGGCTAATACAGTCGGGGTATCTCAATCGCTGGCTGTAGTCCTAAACGCCCATTTTTCGCTGAACCCGGTCGCAAAATGCGCCATTTTTGGTGATATCTGAAACAAACCCCCGACGCTCGTGGTATTTCCACATCCAATCCCTCCTCGATGCAAGAGGGATAAGAGAGAACACCATGAAGAAAAAAAGAAACTAGCCAAAATCAAAAGACGAGCGCGGATAAAGGTGCAAATGCTAGTAGTAGACTCAAAAGAAGAGCCCCAGCAATAATCGCTCCTTCCAGCCCCTCAGTTCTCTCTCCACCGAGCACCACAGCTCGTACACTATTCCCCGCCTGTCAGCCATGCTCATGTCCATGCAAACGGTCATCGGTAGTATGTAAGGAGCACCTACCTTCAAGAATGTAGTCATCGGCTCGTCGGCGCTACGAATCTGCAGCTGGAAGAAGTATGCACGGTCCCCGTTGCAGTTCTCCGCCGGACATTGAGCTGCAGGTAAAGAAAAAAAGAGCTGTCAGCTATACGTCCCTCAATCGCCCTGGGATGGTGCTGGGGAGATCCCAGACTGCATAACTCGGTGACTTACTCCCAACACTGTCGGCGTTGGCAAACTCGTTCGCGCCGCCAAACACGTCTTCCACCTCCTTCTGCTTCATATCGGTCTTCTCGTAGTATGACTTGTCGCCGATAATGTCTTCGTAAGGGCAGGTTCGGCACTCGAAGCGGTTGACGCCCATCGGGTACTGGGTGGTCGAGTCCGCGCGGGAGATGGTCAGCACATTGCTGCAGTTGGGGCAGACTAGATAGTACAAGAAGGATATTGTTAGTCCACGCTCGAGTAAATGTTCATGACCATCGCTGGCCCGGTTTGACGCTGGACTCGTCGCACTTGGAGAGGGTTATCACGAACAGACGAGCGGCATCTCGACGCTTCCCAAGTTGAATATAGTAGTCGGTAGCTCTTTCCCTTGAAAAACGCAAGAGAGGGTGCAACGAATCCAGAAAAGAAAAACAGAGCGCCTGCCCTCACCGTCGTCTTCAAAATCGCTGGTTGAAATCGCAAACCTCCAATGCGCGGAAAGAGCTAGGCGCGCGGCTAATTGTGTGCAGACGGCGGGGAGTCCGGAAAATCACATGATCCGGCATGTGGGATGTCCCTGGGGAAAGCAGCACCCGGGATTACGAGTGTTATTCGTGTCTTGACAAAGAGCTTGGCTTATTCTGATTCGAGCTTTTTCCGACGTGTACATACTCTCTGTTCCTGCTATTGCTTTCCGGTTTTGCGACAGCCCCAATTTCCTGCTCTCCCGCTGTTTCACTACGGAGGGTTGCCTGCGTTTCAGGTCACCGACTGGTCTCGTCCCTGATTCCGCGCAACGGGATTCCTTACCTCTTCCTAACGAGAGCTTGAATTTCGACGATTGAACACAATGGCTGATGACGAGGTGAGTAAATTGGCACCTGTCTATTCCTTGACCAAACTACTGCTAACAAGACTCGTTGTTCTTAGGGCGCTTCTCCCCGCGAGCTGGTCGTGGAAGCCTGCCGCCGCGATCAACCACACCTAATTGAGCAAGTCCTGCACGACATGGAGAACCAATCCAACGAGGATGTGGCCAAATTCTTCAACGAAGTCACAGATACCATGGGAAACCACGCTTTGCACATCTGCGCCAGCTACGGCAGCTGTATGTCGGGCCCCTCGACCTCCACTTGAATTCGACCCGTCCCATTGTTAAAGTGCAAGACTAACCGATTGAATCATTCACTCTGCAGACGATGTCATGGATGCCCTTTTTGACATCCAATACTTTGAATGCGATCCCCTCACCCGAGTCGACAAGGACACACCCCTCCACACCGCCGTACGCTTTGCCAACGAGAAAGACGCCGAGCTGGGCGCGGAAATGATCGCCATGATGTGCGAGGCTGGCTGCGACCCGCGTGTGCGCAACAAGCACGGGCAAAAACCGGCTGATCTGGTCTACGATAAACCTGCGATTAAGCAGACGCTCGCGTCGGCGGAGTATATCTTGGCAGAGGGTATTCGCAATGACGAGGGGAATGGGTCGATCCATGATAGTGCCAGCGATAGCGAATAAGCTAGATATCGTGGGTTCGGATAGTGCCGGATTGTCTGGAGAGGCTGGGATCTGTTTCTCATAGAGGCCGTTGGATAGGTCCTAGGGGAGATGTTGTCTTTGAGCGTTGGTCGGTCTGTACTTTTGTCTGCGTATACAATTTTGCACGTTAGACCTGGCCTTGTTATATTTTGCTTATTTCGAGGCTATGATGATAATGAATAAAGTCCATTGCATGTTTTGAAGTGAGAAAATGATTGTATGGGTACTGCTTAATTCCGCTAGATGCGGATGTATATATTTCGGGCAGAACAGACCAACATATTGAATAGGGCCGATGGCCTCCCCTAGACGCAACGAATAGTTATTAGATAGGGCACATTGATCAAACATCTTGAGTAAAATCCAATCCGTGGATCTGAACAAATCTAATCTAATCTAATCACAATGCACTCAAACCCACCCATCCTGCAACTTCACTCTATACTCCGCAATCATCTCAGCCGTGATATTACTTCCGCCACAAACAACAACCACTACTCTCGTCTCCGGCCTCAAATCTGGAATTACTTCCTTCAACCGCTCTCCAACCGCAACATCCAAACTAATCCCACACGCTAGCTCCACCTGCAACCGAGTCTCATCCGCCAATCGCACCACACCCTTCGCAGCCTCGGCGTCCGAGCCTACAACGCTGGTGACATTAATGCCCGCCGGCGGGGACTGGGCATTTGCAAAAGACTTTTCTGCAACGCATAGTGCGCCTAAAGAGGTAGCTTGTGACTCGATGGCAGTCAGGGATGAAAGTTTGCCTTGTCGAAGCGAGTGCGCTAATGAGTCTGCGCCGCGCGTTTCGACCGCGAGAACATGAACGTTCTTTGATGGAGAGGCTCCCGCAGTGGACGGAGATGATGGAGAAGCCTTGATATACTTCTCCAACCCCTCAATGACCCCATTAAACAACCCACCACCACCAACACTGCACACAATAACATCCGCCGGAAAAACGCCCTGCTCCCCCTCCTCCCGTGGCGGTAACTGTCTCGCCATCTCAGCAATCATACCTCCAGCACCCTCCCAAACCAACGGGTGATCGAATGGCGGGACATATACGTTCACAGTATCCGCCAAACCAGAACCAGAGCCCGGGTCTGGATAGGTTTGACTTGGGACTTGATTCTCAATAAACTCCCGCCGCAGATACGTATCCGCCTCGAACCAACTCGCCCCATGCTGAATCACCTCCGTGGCCCCGGCATCCCGTAGCTTAGCTATCATCATTGGCTTTGTGCTATGTGGAACGATCACGGTGCAGGCGCAGCCTAGATCGCGAGCCGCGTGGACGGCGGCTAGACCGGCATTACCGCCGGAGGAACTGTAGAAGTGCACATTCTTGGCTTTGGTGGCATTTTCCTTTAATTTGGAGAGGATGAGGTTGCCGATTCCCCTGGATGATGTTAGTTTCGGCCCTGGCTTTGGTACTGTGGTGAGGGTGGTGAACGAGAATAACAAACCGGGATTTGAAGGAGCCGGATGGTTGGAGAAGGTCTAGTTTAAGAAAGATGCGGCTGAAGGATGAATTAGCATCTGGTTGTTTGAAGGTTGGCTTTTCTTGGTTACAGGAAAAGTCTTCTTACCATCCTGCTTGCTTGGAGAGGGTGGCCGACTCAATGAGAGGGGTTTCGATCCATGGTCTTTTAATGGGAGCGTCCATATTGGTGAGTTCTTGAATGAATATAATAAGATACAAGATCGTGGATTGGGCGTAGGTAAGTTTTATACACCGGCTAAGTACCAAGGCTTGGTTCCCCCGCGCAGACTTGGAGCCAGTTATCGAGTCCCCACCAGTGCGGGATGACAACCACAGGGCGTGCAGTAACTAGTACCAAGAACATTCCAGTCCTTGTCATAGTATTCCATATTTACCAATCAGTAAATTATTAAGATTATAGAAGGGCAGGATTAACATAGAATACAAATCACATTGGATATCATCTAGCCCACACAAAAAAAGACAAAATCGAAATCTAAGTCTCCAAATACACGAGTGCAGGCTGTGCTAATATAGTAAAAGAAAACAAAAAACGACAAGATTGAAAAATGCATCCCTCAGCCTGGCTCAACAACTCCTGACCGAAACAGAACTTTTATGTTCAAAACAAGATACATTCCCCCTATTGCGCACCAGCATTGGCCTTCTTGGCCAGCAGGTTCAGGGCACTACCAGCCAGAATGAAGGCGGACTGGTCCTTGCTGAGAGTGTGCTGGACGGGGACCAGGAAGGACTCGCCGGTCTTCTTCTTGGTCACGCGCAGCTGGATCTCGCCCTGGCCACCGGCCTGGAGAACATCGTACAGGCCGACGGTGTCGACGATATCGCAGGCATCAATGCGGTCGTAGTCCTCGCGGTTAGCGAACGTCAATGGCACAACGCCCTGCTTCTTCAGGTTGGTCTCGTGGATACGGGCGAAGCTCTTGGACACGATCACGCGGCCACCCAGGTAACGGGGCTGCAGAGCGGCGTGCTCGCGGGCAGAACCCTCGCCGTAGTTGTCCTCGGCGACAACGAGCCACTCGATGCCGCGCTGCTTCCACTGCTCAGCAAGCTCGGGGATGGAGTGCTGGTTACCGCTCTCGTCGTAGGCAACGTTGGTCTCGCCGGTGGCGGCATTGACGGCACCGATGAGAGTGTTAGCCGAGATGTTGGGCAAGTGGCCCTTGTACTTGAGCCAGGGGCCAGCTGCGGAGATAGTGTCAGTAGTGCACTGGCCCTTGACCTTGTACAGAACCTGCAGGCCGCTCAGGTCGCCCTTGGGGAAGGGAGCGAAGGGCTCGAGGAGAGCAAGGCGGTCAGAGGTTGGGGAGACGATGACCTCCTGCGAGGCGTCGGGGACAGCAGCGCTGGGGAGGAACTTGGGGTTACCCTCCTCGAAACCAGCACTGGGCAGGTCGAAGCCCTTAGGAGGTTGGAACTTGAAGGTCTCGCCGCTGGGGGTGGTCAGAGAATCGGTCATAGGGTTGAAGGTGGTGCTGCCAGAGTAGGCGAGGGCAGTCACGAGCTCGGGAGAAGCCAGGAAGTTCATGGTCTGGCGGTTACCATCGTTACGACCGGGGAAGTTACGGTTGTAGGAGGTGAAGATGGCATTGTTCTCGCCCTTGGGGACGTCATCGGTACGCTTCCACTGGCCAATGCAGGGGCCGCAGGCGTTAGCCAGAACAATACCACCGGCCTGCTCGAAGGTGTTGAGGGTCTGGTCACGGTCGAGGGTCGCGCGAATCTGCTCACTACCGGGAGTGATGAAGAAGTCCGCCTTGGGCTTAAGACCAGCAGCAGAGGCCTGCTTGACCAGGTCCTCAGCGCGGGTCATATCCTCGTACGAAGAGTTCGTGCAGCTACCAATGAGGCCGGCGCCGAAGGTCTCGGGCCACTTCTTCTCGCGGACAGTTTCGGCGAACTTAGACAGAGGAACAGAGAGATCGGGAGTAAAGGGGCCGTTGACGTGCGGCTCAAGTTCTGAGAGGTTGATAGTAATCAACTGGTCATACTCAGCAGAGCTATCGGCCCGCAGAAGGTTACCGGGGCCAGAAGCGGCAATCTCGGCCGCGGCCTTAGCGACGTGACCACGGTGAGTGGCCTCGAGGTAGGGCACCATGCTAGGCGAGAAGGGGAAGAGCGAGGTAGTAGCGCCAACCTCAGCACCCATGTTACAGCAGGTAGCCATACCCGTGCAGCTGAGAGTCTCGACACCAGGGCCGTGGTATTCAATCACGAAGCCAGTACCACCACGAACGGTCAGCTTGCCAGCCAGGTGCAGGATAATATCCTTGGGGGAGGCCCAGCCGCTCAGCTGGCCCTCAAGGCGAACACCCAAAATCTTGGGGGCCTTCAGCTCCCAGGGAGCATCAACAAGAGCATCAACGGCATCAGCACCGCCAACACCGATGGCAATGGCACCCAGACCACCACCGTTGGGGGTGTGGCTGTCGGTACCGAGCATCATCAGACCAGGAGCAGCGTAGTTCTCCAGCACGCTCTGGTGGATAATACCAGCACCCGGAGGCCAGAACTCAATACCATAGCGCTTGGCAGCACTCTCCAGGAAGTCAAAAACCTCGGCATTGCCCCGGATCGAAGCCGGCAGATCGGTGTCGGCACCGCGCTCGCCGACAATCATATGGTCGCAGTGAATACTGGCGGGAACGGCAGTCGAGGGCAGACCGCAAGACATGAACTGGAGCAGGGCCATCTGAGCCGAAGCATCCTGCATGGCCACGCGATCCGGCTTCAACTTCAAGTTGGCCTTGCCCCGGATATCACGGCCATTGTTGGTACCGGAGAGTAGCGACTCCTCGGGGTTGTCCAAATGGGCGTACAGAATCTTCTCGGCGAGGGTGAGAGCACGCTCAGAACCCAGCACCTTGCGGACCTGCTCGAGATTGCGGACAATCTTGGGGTAGGGGGGCATACGCGACGAGGCGGCTTCGGTGGCCAGGCCACGGGAGAGTTGCGGAGACAGGCGTGCGGCCAGCTATTGCCGATGAGTCAGTTTTGTACTATTCAGAATTTTACAATCCAATTAGCCCAATGCAGCTCAGTACTTACCCTGCGAGAGGCGGCAGCCCGCTGCCATACTAGCTGGCTCACCATTCTGAAAATGCGGAGGGGTGGAAACTGGGGAAAGAATGGCGAGGTCGAGGAAGAGTTAGTTTCAAGGGCTTTTTTTCGTCGGTCGGCATTCGTTATTTGCATGCTTGTTGATTGGCTGGACATTGCGCCGATATCGGGATCGCCACGAGTGTGGGGAAGCCGATTCGCAAGAAAGAGATAAAGAGATTCGGAGATCTGATACAGATATGCTTCCACTTGTTGGTTTTTGAAGTATCTTTCTAAAGGTTATTTCAATTGTCTTTCCTGATAGTTCAGGTATTCTTTTTTTAGTCTATCGTTCAACTTGTGACCGAAAAGATGATTTTGAACTTTGGGTGTAGTTCCGAACTTATGAAACCCCACTGTACAGTACCGCCATCCATTATGATTGTGTATAGCGAGAGAGATAAATGAAGGACGTCTTCTAAATTTATCTCGAATTGGGTTCATTCTTAAACCGATGGGCTCTTCCAGGATATTCCGATTAGCCAGATCAATAGGCCATAGGTAGGTACAGTGCTAGTTCAAAAGTTCGAGAGAACGGGACAAACCAGGCATGTTTCAATGATTCTTATCCAAAAGCTCTTTTGAAACGTCTTTTCAAAAGTTCTTTCTCTAGGTCTTTCTAAAGGTCTCTCTCAGGGTCTTTAAACGTCTTTTTAAACAACTTTTTGATTATCTTTCTTGATGGCATAGATACCATTCCTCTGATCTATCATTCAACTTGTGACTACAAAGATGATTTTGAAAATTGGTCGGGGTTGCAAACCGATTGAACTCACTGTATGTGCAAGATCGTCTTTTAGATTTTTTGTGTAAGCCAATAGAAAGCACTCTCTATAGATGCTAACAGAGATAGACGTCAACTGCGAAAATCCTGTTTGTAATCAGGCCTCCCCCTATACACAGAAAATTACTTCACATCCAAGTATGACGGGATAGAAATGCTCACTAGTTTTCGTTGGAATTCTCGAATAAACTTTAACTTCAATTTCATTGCCACCAGAAAGCTAAATTAGAAGGGGATACTTCGAGATGACACTTCTCGATCTGAATCGAATCTGGAACCGCTGACCCATGCATGTTGACCTCATTTTCGGGCTCTTGTAGATAGCTCAAATCCCGCTTTTTGTTGTGTTGTATTCCTACAAAAGAGTCGTTCAGCCACTGCTGCAGCTCAGCTACCAGGGCTTTAATGAATAGCTTCAAAAGCTAGAGAAACGACTAAGAGTAAGCTGATAATTCTGATACTAATCTAAATAAAGGCATACGTCATCTATACAGAGAATGAGAAGAATTGCCATAGTCCGAGGGAAGTATAGATTTGGGGAATTTTGGACAATTCACCTTATCTTCTCATACTAATTGAAAAGAGTTCTTCTTTCAGGAGACTTCTTTCATTGTTCTTGGAATTCCAAGCTCGGGCTCATGTGTGATGTCATGCTAAGCACACAATCAGGAGCCTGAGGGATGTATCGGAATACTGTAGAAACTTAGAAACTACGTGAACTGCTCGTGGTGGGTCTACACCACAAGCCCTGTCAAGCGTATGCGTCCTGTAGGTTCATGATATACACGCCAAGACAATTATCGTTACCGCAAGCCCCTGTGAACATGATCATCTACAAAGCCCTATCACTCGCTAAAGTGATGGGTCGACCCAGTGGGTTGGTTCACTTCAATGTAAGGAATCGGTGAATGTGATTGGTAGTGGATGGCGATCGAATCTCAAGATATGGAAATTTATGATACGATCGTTACTAGCCCGGTATTATCGTTCACTTAAGATATAAGTAGTCTTGTGTATGTCCTGTTGTCGATCTTCGAATGATCAACTGTGAACACCATGTCTTCTGAAGGTGTGAAAGTTCATTATTGCCGGCCTATAATGCATGGATCGACTTGTGGCATAAAATAAACCCAAGTGTGCAGCCCCACGAGGAGTAACTGCGAGTAATCACCACCGAGGCTCCTCAATGGTTGCAAGAGCAGTTGAAGAACAGCCATGTGAACCGGGAGCAGCTGGAAAGCATCATCGCTTGCTTCAAAGCCGCCGCACGCGCGAAGCTCATTTCATTGGGGGGCAAATTGCCCCCATCCTCTGTTGAATGGGATGTTTTGTCAGAATGTTATGACCCTGGGATTGATTGTTCATGCGAAGGCTTGTATCCGGCACCTTCAGAGATTGATTTATCATCACTTGAGAGTTGTGGCTGCAAAGCAATTGAACGGACGATCAAAGTGGGAAAAGACGCCATTGGCAAGGAAGATGAATGGAACAACTCCACCCTTTTCTCTTGGGGAAAAGCTCGCAGCTGTCGTCACCGAGCTCATTTTGTCCAACGCAGATGAACAGCCCACACCATCCTCCTGTGCAGAATCTGGAAAAACCTCCAGAAAGACGTCCGGAAAGACGTCTTATTTGCCCAAATTCAGAGCCCCGGACCGGCGACCCACACAGCTTGACGATCTGGATGATTCCATCTACCATCAAATTTACCCGACACAAGAGAAAGCCCGGCTCTGCGCCGATGCCAAACACTTCTACGTCGTGTCCAGCGGTGCAAGTCTTGTTGATCCGGGTATCATTATGGCCAGTGCCGGTACTGGGAATGATTACCTTATTGCAGACTACCACGAGGAGGCAGATGATAAGACACTCGACATACTTCGAAAAGTCGGTGCTGCATCCATGGCCTTTCTCAAAATCTGTGTGTATGCCGGATTGATGAGCGACTGGCAATTTGACAACCTTTTGGCCATGACTGTACAATTTCGAGTCCTTGGCTATTGGAGAGTTCACTCAATGCCAAGGCGACCTAGCGAAGCTTATGGAAGCCGAATGACTGGTCTAATTATCCATGGACACATTGACCTTGGTCTGATGGTGGGAGTGGTGGGAGCCTCTCTTGCAACTGGTGAGACGATCAACGAGGCCGAGTTCATGCAGCTGATGGAGACCTGTACTCTAATCAACGACATGTTAGACTTTAGAGGGGACAAAGTGCAAAAGCAACGAGAGAATGTAGTCCGCCATGGTCTTCGGGGCTCTGCTTGCAAGTATTTGGACGGCAGTATTGCAAAGTGCGTAAAAGGAGCCGCTGAGCTTATTGGGCGCCGGAAAATCAACGCTGGTCATTATGAGCCTTTGCAATTGGGGTCTCATGGCATGCCATCACAAGGTGTACGAGCTGGTCCGTGGGTCCCATCTCAACGAGCAGAAGGAAGTGTGCCTTTATGAAACCACGAGCGATGGAAGTATGAGATGCTCCTGCAGGCCTTGAACAGCTATGGTACCTTGGGCAATGATGGTCCCCGTGTCACTATGAAGCGGAAGGCTCTCCAAATTTCGTACCCAAAGTACAAGCAGACACCAGAGACCCATTTTGCGTGGTTGGCAGATGCCGCGAGAGAGATGCTCAATCCTAGCAATCTCCGACGACTGGTAGATTTTGTTCACTCTGAGTAGGATGGACATCTCGGCGATGTCAATTATTGTCCATAGCTAAAGGCTGAGGCCAATCACACGACAGGCAAAGCCATGTTCGGATATGGTGAATAACAGAGGCACGTCGAGTACCTTGACTTCCTCATAGTACCTACTAAGCCTTTTCAAATGGACAGATATAGTGAAATACTATGAGTTTGGAACCCTGATATAATTTCAAGATCGTCTTATCAGTCACGACTTTACACGATAGACTATAACGAGATTTTAACCCTAATAAAGACGGTTCAAAAGACATGTAGAAAGATCTTTTAAAAAAGGGAAAGTTCAAACATATAGATTTACATAATAAAACCATTTTTAGTCTGGTCTGGTCTGGATGTCGAGGATCCCACCATATCCAAAAGAGGTGGTATAGTGTGTCGTGCGATTAGCCCCAGCCTGGGTAAAACGTCTATGCGTGTGTGTGGCGGACTCGTTCATTGTAAAGGTCTCTATTCAGGTTAAATTTTGAAAGAATGTTACAAAGCTCATCGTATAAAAACAAATTCAATTCAATTATCGAAAATATCGGCATAGCAGAATCCCTTCCCCCATATCCAATACCAGTGCCTGACTGGACCTTAGAACTTCCACAGATTGAACGCCACGCAAGTCATGAAAAACAGTACCAGAAAAGGGAAGAAAATCATTAAGTAAGAACGTAAAGTCACAGAGCATTCGAGGGCGTTTTCATCGATAATGACGCCCGTTCTTGCACACAAGTATGAATGAAGACAATTCAGATAGAAGGGAAGGCTTGTTTCTACAAGGAAAATAAGCCTAAGATTGGGACTCATCGTCGGCAACGGCCGCTCGGAGCTCCCAGACCAAGTCGTAGCATTCGGCGAGCAGAGAATTGACACTGCCTTGGCCTTCTGGGATATCGGGGCCAATGTAGAACTTGCCGTCGACCCGCATATTATCAATCGAATTGAGCTACTGTCATCAGTACGGGAACTACTAGATGACTAAGACGAAAGGAGTGGAATGTCATACCTTCATACTGTAAGGATACAGTTCGCGTGAGTTAGACACGCCTCCCGACTCCTTGACTTCAATGAGACATCTGCGAAGAGTCTGCAGCTGGTTGTAAACAGGTAGAAGTGCCTCAGACACGGGCTCAGAAGAGATCAAGAGCGCGTAAATGTATGCGTAGCTGCGTCGGATAAGGTAAAGCAACGTCTAGATGGGGTATAGAGTTAGCAATTATTAGCCAAGATTATGAAGAATACAAAGAGTTACCCGTTGCGCATGTAGATCTGCCGGCTGACTTTCAGCATCGACAAAATTGCCATTCACCCGCGCCTCGTCAATGCGATCAAGCTTTCGCTGGTATCCAAACAAATCGGTTTCTCGAAGCGACCAAGCTTGAGTGACAGAGAGTCGATCGAGCTGGTTGCGAATCTCGAGAAGGCGGTCGTACTGTTCCTGGAACCGTTCATCGATTTTGCCCTGACTGCATTACAATTAGCTGGGACTCGATAGAGATCAGAAAAAGCAAGTGACCTACCGCTCGAGGACGATTTCGGTCCACCGCCAGCAGCGATCCATCAGTGACTTCAAGTCATCGGATCCGGCCTGAACGTTGCCGTCGGCATCCACAAACTTGCCATCCTTTTGAGTATTTTCAATCTTCTTCAGCTGCTCTCGAAGGTTGTTCACTTCTGTTGCGGAGAACTAAACAAGGAAGGGGAGAATTTAGTCAGTTTGACCGTTGAATCTCTGTGCTGAATAAACGACGTACCTTGGAGCGTGTGTTAACAGCAGATGTGGACCGCAGGATAGACACCAGGGTCTCATGTGTCTGCACAAGGCCCGGCGCAAGTACAGCAAGTCCCTTTTGTAACTTTTCCAACGAGAATTGACATTGTTTCATTCGGCTTTCGAGGAGAGTGAGAAGAGCTGGGGAGTAAGTGTTGCGCCCGCGGTCAAGGGTCTCTCGCATCGACTCGAGAGTCTTCGTAATGGAGTTCAAATCTTTGGAGCTGTAGAATCCAGCTTCTTCAAGGTGATCGAGAAGGCGCTGAAGTAAGGTCAGATAAGAATTGGGTAGGATTGGCGTTTGTGAAAATACCTGAATCGTAGCTGCAAGTGAATACCTGAGCGATGTGTGAGTATGGATAAGAGGTTCGCGGGGTACATGACAACTTACACTGCAGGAGCCTCATTGTTCCTACCCACAGTCAAAAAGAGCAAGGAAATCAACTGGAAGCAGTCATCCAGGACATAGTCCACTGGGAAGTGAAGCAAAGTTAGCAACACTCTGGCATATCCAAGCGCGGCACTTCCGGCACTTACATCGGTTATGTACTTGACGACGATCCTGCACTTTGCGGGCGGCATTAAGCTTATCGACTTCTCCAACTACCTCTTCATAGAGTGGAAGAACGTCGCGAGACTTGATGTAAGATGATTTGTCTTGTTTCAGGAGAAGAAGGGCATCTCGAGTCCGGAGCAAGCGCTCAAGGATGGGCTGTTCCCGCGGATCCTGCGGGACCGGTACGGCGGGGGAGTCCATGGCCGGAGCGCAAAGGAAGTTGGAGAATAGTAGATTCTGGAGGGATCGAATGTACTCGGGTTGGCGACTAGAGGTTAAGCTGTGGCTTGTGGCTTGGAAGGAGACAGAAGAAGATTATCGCAGGGAACCCCACACGGTTGTGATGTCAGTTCGGGATTGATATTGATATCCGTCTTGCGATACGGGGTGCCCATTACTCCGAGATTATGTCATCATAGACTATTTCCGGAACGGGACTAGCGTACAAGCCGGTCTTGAGTCACGGGGAGGGGCTCGGCGCTAAACCGGATTTGGCCAAGCCCTAAGCGAGGGCTATTTCCCACACACCGCTGGGCCGGTTACCCTGTTCGGATAGGCCTTTGACGATACACTTCCTTCCCTTCTCTCCCTTCCCATCTTCATCTTCAAGACACCCAGTCCGGTCAACACCACCCCGTCGACAAAATGTCTACCGCTGAGCTCGCTGTCTCCTACGCCGCTCTGATCCTTGCCGACGATGGCATTGAGATCACCGTACGTGCACCTGTTTCCTGTGATTGAATTCAAATTCGTGGAGGATGGCCATTCCAATTTGCGCAACGGGTTTTCTGCTTCGCGGAGGACTCGAATCGCGTTGGAGGATCACGCCCGCAGAACCTCAGTTCATCACCGCGCAACGACGAAATTCTGGTCAACCGAGACTAATTGAATATCTTGATATAGGCCGACAAGATTCAGACTATCCTGACCGCCGCCAAGGTCCAGGAGGTTGAGCCCATCTGGGCCTCCATCTTCGCCAAGGTAAATCCTTGAACTCCGCGTCTTTGCACTTCGATTTTCCCGCGACACCTGAGCACACGTCGAAACGCAAAAGTCTTGAATATCCAGTGACTTACAAATGTTTTTCAATCCACAGGCTCTCGAGGGCAAGGACGTCAAGGACCTCCTGACCAACGTTGGCTCTGCTGGCCCCGCCGCCGCCGGTGGCCCCGCTGCTGCCGGTGGTGCTGCTGCCCCCGCTGAGGCCGCCGCTGAGGAGAAGGAGGAGGGTGAGTTTTACATAATGGATCCTATACACAACGTGAGCCGATCACTAACTCCCGCACAGAGAAGGAGGAGTCCGACGAGGACATGGGCTTCGGTCTGTTCGACTAAGCGCCTTCACCGTCCCGAATTTGAAGTCGTTTCCTTTTTGCTCTTTCCCTCATCTTTTATTCCGCCTCCGCCTCATGGCTTCCTCGACGATTCTCTCTTGTACTCGATACTCCACGACCCCTGCTACGAAGATCCAAATCACGGGGAAGAAAAAAAAGAAAATAGCAAAAGATTCAAACGGACATGGACATTCAATGGAGACTGGGTGCCCGGGCTACCCCCGATTCACAAAGTGACGGGATTAGACCCGGTCGGTTGCCGATGTGATACCGAAACTAGTGTTGCTTCCAGGATTATAGGGGAAATTGAAGACAGACGTTTGGCACACCTTTTTTTCTGATTTGTCCATGGCCGTGACGTAAAAGTCCGGTCTGGCAGGTGTAGAGATGCATGCTGTGTTTCCATGCTTTTCCCCCTGCTCGATGATCTAGCTCTGTTCATGTCCTCTCTCATGCGACCATGAACAAAAGAATTATCTTTGTGATTCTGCTTCAAGGTATTTTCGTAGTTTATAACGTCTTTGGCGTGGTAATATGTAGCAGATTCGTCGCTGTTTTGAGTTGTTCCCTGTTCGAGGTGGAGGGCATGGCTACCAAGCTCCCTTCTATTTCCATGGGATACATACCTGATATGTTCCTGTCTTCGAAGGATTACGGCCTTGCCTTCTGACTGGCGGACAGATAAGCAAGGTCGCCATCAACGACTCGAAGTCCAAAGAGCTCTTCACTTTTGCGATAAGCTGGATGAACTTGTCAACACAGCTGGACATTAACTACCTGAAGCTTGAAGATCGTCAAATAATCATCATTGGCGATGCATATTGAGCTCTACCGTGTTCATATCAAGCGATTTCATTGCGTCAGATAACCCCAACATCCTATTTATGTACATTGCACAGCGTATTTATCCACATCAAAAACAGAAAACGCCATGCTCGCCTTTTGAAGTTCACCAACTAATCCGACATGATACAAAGCCATTAGTCAAGCAAAACCTCCCAAAATTGACAAGCGTAGCTAATAGACATCCACCGATAATGACAAAAAATCCACTTCCCAAAAAGAGAATCGTTCATCGAACAGCTCGATCATGAGGTTAGAGTTGACTCAGCATCTTGGACGGCGTAGAGGCGGAATTGAAAGAAGATGACGGCATCTTCTGCCATGGTACCCAGCGATCCAATGAGCCAGGGTAGGTTGGTGACCACATAATCATGGTCAGTTGAGTGGCACAGAATCTATGTTGAATGTTAGTTATTTTGGCTTATCACACCAACTCGAAGAACACGTACCCCGGCGCCGTAAGTCAGATTACCCAGAAGGGAAAGAATGAAGAAAAGGAGCGAGAGACCTGGAGTTTGGGTTTAGCTTCAAACACGCCCTCGGGATTGTTGGAGCAGACAACGTACCTTCGCAGGACTGGTCCCGATAGTTCTTGTAAATTTGGGGCAATCTCGCTCTGCAGCGAAAATTAGCTTCACAAGTTCCCTTCTATGACTTTGGTGTACAACTTACCCCAGATAGCACACAGCACTGGCATATCCCAAAATCGCACCACTAGTTGCCATATCAGCTGGCTTATTGTTCTCCCGAGGCGCCGGCGCCCAAATTCCCGTCTGCCAGGCAATCGTCCACCCAGCCATTCCAACCACAAAAATACCGATCACGCTAATCAAGTTCTTGATCCACGCCTTGCGCCCGTACTCACTCTCCTCCACGATTTTGGCTAGGGGATCTTCAACCTGACTTTCACGGCGACCCGCGCCCTGGTGACCACGCATCGAACCGGACGATCTCCGTCGACCCGAGGCAGCAGGGAAGGAGTCGCTGAATCGCCGGCCGAGAAGTGGGGTGGTTGGATCGGGGGTCTCGGTCGACGAGCGCCGGCGGCGGAGGATGTTCTCGCGACGCGAATTGCGCGCCTTGTAGTAGAGGCATTGGGCGATAAGAACACCGTCTGCGATACAGAAATACACGGCAATGGCGACAATGACGGGAACTAGGCCTGCTAGAGCGCCGCCGAGGAGATTTGTTATGTCACCGATGAACCAGACGAAGACGAAGAGGAGGGAGATAGCCTCCGCGTTGCCATTGCGATAGTTCTCGATGAGTTGGGGTACCTGGAGATATTATAGGTCAGGGAGCTGTACCCATAGACTCTTTCGCTTCAATTTTGAAAATTTCCTCGTTCTTGGAGGGGTAAACGCCCCCAATTGCCCCGTGCACGCAGCACGGGGCGACACGATTGTGAGAGGTAGGAGTCATACCAATAGGAAAATCCAGCAAGTCATAGACACCGAGCCTAGTAAACCAGATGCCGCTTCACGAGGCGTCAGAGGCACTGCATCCTCCGACACCATTCTGCTCAGTATCTCAGGGAGCGCCATAATGTGTATTGCACCTTCTGCACGGAGCTCCAAAGATAAAGGGCGGCTGAGCTGATGAGCTGAGCGGAAAAATGCGATCGGGAATCTTCCTATGACGGAATCGATGCGGGTCACTCCCGAGACAAGGTGGACGGGGATGCGAGCTGCACAGGGTGCATAAATAGCAACTGGGAGTCGAATTGGGTTAGAATTGAAGATTTTTAAAGATAAGAAGAAGATTTATTTAGTGTTGCATCAGTGAATGCACGGTGCCTCGCGAAACAAAGGCCGATGACTCAGCTTGTCAATGATGTCGGGCGCGCACGGATGATAAGCACCTCGTGCGTCGGCTTGCATCATCGCATTGGCCCACAGCCAATACCATCAAATGTATATGACAGCCTCAGCCCTACATACTTTGTGGCACTTAACACACATTCAATGCTGTCAAATATAACTGAGAGGAACAGTGGCTGTATCTGACTGTTTATTGAAGAAAAAATAGAATCGTGTTCTAACTAGAGCGCTGGCACTTTATCGCCCTCAAATGCCGACAGACTATGGCCGACCGTCTCTAGATCTATAGATCTGCCTCGCTGTCTTGCAGCAACAATAACCAACCACCCAACTTTATTCAATTACTTATGCTAGAGGCCCTTAGTATCACCCAAAGTCTCTGATTTATACCAAATCACTGTGAACAACTCTTTACAAATCCTTCCGAGTGCGAGTTCTGAACTGGACAAAAAGGAAAACAGTCAACATCTCAATTGCTTATAATCAAGCGGCATAGCCGAACTTTTGGTATTTACATTAGCTGGGTATGCTGTCTTATATAGATACTCATCTCGGGACGTAGTAGGCGTGTTACAAGAAAATCAATTGTTTCTAGTAATTACTCTTGTTATGCAACATTTCAACACCCACAAAAGGGCAGATTGACTGTAAGTGTTGCCTCCCGAGATTGGATATATGCCAGCATTTCACTGGCAGCGTTTATAGTCCATGGGAATTTATTGTCACTGGAAGTTGAAAAAATGTACTCCGTCGAACTAGAAGTGCAGTGGGAACTTGTTCAATTCCTTGTATAGTGCACGGATTTAATCTGCTTGTATAGCCAGGGCCTCCAATTAAACCCTTGTCCCTTAGTTAAACAGCTAAAATCTTCATAGCCAGCAACAAATTTCCAGCCAAGTGGACACTGCCCCTGAGTCCCTGACAAAAATGATTAATGCCGAGATGATCCTGGTCAAGCATCTAGGCCCCTACCGGAAGTCGACCGGCTGCGGACTCCATCTGGAGCTACAAACCCAGACAGGCAATGATCAATGCTTAAAGTAAGTACTTGGCAAACAGGCTTTATAAAGCTCAAGCTATCAGTCATGGAAAAATTAAACTGTGGGGGGTTCCGCATAGATGAGGGTGAAACAATGTTTCAAGAGGGGCCCGGATTATACACCCTTTCTGGCCTCGGCTACGAGGTTTACTATAGGGAACTAGTGATGGGGAACTAAACAATCTACATTAAGGGTGCGCTTGGCAGCACATGAAACACTCACCATGCAAACCTGACTCTTTAACGTTATTTGCTTGAAGCATGCATCGGAATTCGTGTTCGTATCAGGCCATTTAGCCCGTTTCGCCTCTTTTGCTTCTTTTGTAGTGTTCGTCGAGACAAGGTTTAAAAAGAGTGTAGATCCCGGAAGATCTACACGATCCAAATCAAACCAAAAGCAGTAGCACCGACTTTCTTTTCTTCCCCCAAAATGCGTGGGACTTTCATTCTTTCTCTGCTTTCTGCGGCGCTGGGCGCTTCGGCTGGTCTGACCACTTCTAACTTGGAAACTCATGTCGATGTGCTGGCACTCGACAGTGCTTTCAACCCAGTTAAGGAAGCCTACTGGACTGGCTATCCTCACCACCGTCGCACTCCTTTTGCGGTGTCTCCTGATGGAAAATCTGCCTACATTGCCTATCTGGATTCTAGCGAGACCGATGTTCACGTTCAAGAGTTGGATCCCACCACTTTCGAGGCTACGGGAACTACGGTTACCGTCTCTGGTGGAAAGGAAGGTATGATATTCAATATATTTGATCTGCGTGAAATTCTAAAGACACTGTAACTAATTGAAAGCATACAGCTGGAGGTCTTGTTGCCCACAACGATGGCTTCGCTATTCTAGTGAACGAAGCCATGCCATCGGGTACCACCAATGCACCACCCAGCGATACCCCCGTCGCTGTCCTGTACCGCTACACCGAGGGCAAGCAAACCTGGAAGACTTGGCTGGGTGGTCCTGGAGTTCACGCCTCCGACGGCCTCTCTGCCTCCCCGGACATGAACGGAGACCTCGTCTATTCTGAAAGTGAAGGTCTCTACGGCGCATACTTCGTTGTCACGGATTACACTGGCGATGCCTCTGGTCACTACGGTGACAGCATTCAGTATGTCACCAAGACCGGAGAGCTAAATACCATCTCCGGTGCATCAAGCTCCTGGGGATGCAGCCACAACACTGGGATTGCTTTCGAGGCTGCCGACCAGGCTCCTTTCGCTAGTATCTGCGCTGAGGACCAGGGCGCGATCTGGCTGAACACTAAGGGACAAGGTATGATGAACGACGGAGTCAAGATCTCCAATGAGAACACCACCAACGGTGGCTCTGGTGAGCCCATGGGTGGTATGTCCGGCAGTTATAGCGCGCTGGCTCGCTTTGCCGATACCACCAAGTACATCTTCGCCTGGGTTTCTCGTGGTGCCATTGACGTGACCGAGAACACGTGGATAGGTGATGGCTACACTCACGTCAACAACCGCACCAATGGCCGAAATGTTGCCATCTCCCTGTTCACAGACAAGTACACCAAGGTCGGCGACCAGGCAACCTCGGTCGTTGGCACTGAGGATGGAGACAGCCAGGTCAACTGGGTTACCAAGGGATCAAACGACTGCTCCAATGCCCACGCCGCTACTTTTGGCAGCAGCTCGGCCCTGGTCACCTGGGAAGAGATCTCGAACCCGATCTGTGACTACATCGCGATGGGTTGTCGGGGAGAGTTTGCGGGCACTTTCTTCCAGGAGGTGAACTCCGATGGTACCACCATTGGTGATGCTTTCACGAGTACCGATGTCTACGTTGCGGGTGATATGGTCACCATGTCGGATGGTCGTATTTGCTGGCCGTATGTTAGCATGAAATGGGATCTGTCGCAGGCGGTTGGGTATGGTACTACTTCTTCGACTACTAAGAAGATGTCTTTTGCTTGCATGAGCACTGGGGAGACCACTAACACTACCACTTCTGCCGAGATCACGACCGTCGCTGCTACTAAGACCACTGCCGCCGCCGAGACCGCTGCTGCTGCTATCCAGACTACTGCTGCCGTTGAGACTACTTCTGCTGCCGAGATCACTGTCGCCGCCGTTGAGACCATCACTACCGCTAAGACTACCACGACTACTGCTCCCGCCGAGCAGGCTGTCCAGGCCGTGACTACCTTCGCCACCCAGGCGCGTCAGTCCTTGCAGCCCAGCACCGTTGTATCCACCCCTAACAGTGTTGTGAGTGCCCAGGCCATCCCAACTGGCAGCGCTCAGGATACGCTGGACTTTATTCGGGCTGTTTTCAGATTCTTGGTCGGTAGCAACTAAGTGCCAAAAGGTGTTGAGATGATTCCTGTATACTGCGCCTTCGCAGACGCTATAAGTTGAGCCATTTTACCCCCAGCTTCGATTTGTTTTTGGCCTAAGTCTGGATAAAACGTTGTTATAGCCCACAAAATACAGGCAGACAATCCTCAGAGACCATAAGATGTTGATGCTTTCTGTAGACTTGATGACTAGCTCACAGATAGATTTCAAATTGGTTGAGTTCACCGAACAATACCCAAAAGACCCAGTATAATTGACTAAGGGTTTTTGCTAACCACTTCCAGATTCTTGATCTCGTATAGAGTTGCTATAACCAACACGTTAGCTTCATATCAAAAGTAAAAAAGAAGATAAACATACTCCCTGTCGGACCTGGGCTACCACTGCTACCCTCCATCTGCAAATCAATAATAAGTTCTAACGGCTGCCCAACAAGGCCTTTGGCATATTGAGTTGTAACGAGAGTTCCGTCCAAATAAAAGTTGACTTTGACATCACTCCCATTCTCATCACGTAGCTCGGCAAGAACTGTGTGAAATTCCGTTGGACTCGGATATTTGACATTCAGAGCCTCTACTGCACTCGATGTATTGAAGGTATTGAAGCTGATATCTCCAGTACCCATCCACTCAGCAATGTCAACCTCCGGAGGCCAAGAGTTCACACCGTTCAACCAAAAAGCAGGCCATGTACCCTTTGCGACTGGGGCGATGAAGTCCGCAGTAAAGTCCAGGCCTCCGGATTTAGTAACTGTGAAATGCTGTTTGGCATACACGGTTCCAGAGTCCCATGCGTAGTCTGAGGCTCCAGTGTATACCGCCTCTAAGGTAAGAGTTCCCGCAGTTTTTATCACCGCGTTGGAGCTTTTCATGATCGCGGCGCCGTTGTGTGTGTCGCCCCATGGATAGTTGTAGTTGAAGTATTCGGCGAGCGAAGAGGTGGAGTCAAAGCAGGATTTGGGGATCAGAATGCTGTCGCGTTTGGTGAATTGGTTCTCGGGGCTTGGTAGTGCTAATGCCAGGTAGGGCAAAGTAGCAAGGAAAAAGGTCGATGAATACATCATGTTGTGAGTATGTTGGTTTTTCTCTGCTACGATTCTTTTTGCTTGTTTAGTTATTGTTTTCTGTCTGGGAATCGGCTACATTTATACTCCACTTGCAGTACTCAGCCTAGCTTGCAGGGAACACTTACAATGTAGATCTACCTCAAGTTGGATAATTTCCGTCTGCATTCCGTAGCCTTTAGACTGGAGCCCGAGTGACCTGGAAAATGATTTTCCAGGCCACCATAACTACGCATGTTAGAGACCAGAGCTCCCGCGCTGATCATGTTTCACAGATGAACAGGTTGATTTGAACCTTCGACAACCCCCGCACGGGATGGATGCCTTTATAGGTGAAGATTAACACCCCGCCGGAGCTTACCGTGGATAGGTTACATTGTCTTCACTTTGAATATTGCGATATTACCCCATTTGTTAAGGGGACTCCTGATAATGTTGTGAAAATTCCCCTGGGACGTTGTGACACGACGTATAGTCCCCCAGACTAAAGTCTCCCCGGAGAGGCTGAGAAAAACAATGCCTGGATTTTGAGGAATCGATTCCCCGACCCCATTCTCCGACCGTTTTGATATTAAAGGCGGCATAATGTTGGCTCTTAATATTCGTCCCAGCCTTGAATTGAGCAGAAAAACTTATAGTAGCTGGCTTGAGACGAAGGACAGTAATGAGAGGCTCGAAATAGACCGAGGTTGCGGTGGAAAGCACACCAAACTACACTGTTCAATATTTTAATACATAATGCACTGCATCATGTGGCCATCAACTTAACGGCGCAGTGCCGATCCCTATTAGATCTAATCATGACCATGATTTCTATGGCTAGAATTAGCATCGCACCCCCAGTCAATGGCAGATTTCGTGGACTCATGATGTTGTGACACGTATTACTCGCTTGACTCCCGAGATTTGTAATCCTATACACCTGTAGTAACCTGCTTATCATATGTAAAGTTGGATTATTGAGCCGCATCGAACCAAAATTGCCTTGGGCAAGCTCGTAGTTTACACTAGTGGAGTTAATGAGCTAGCGAGGTTAGAGCAAATGAAACGTTTCCACCATTCATTCACAGTCAGTGATCACGCTAACCTGACCAGTATTTCATTTTGTAAAAGGTTCCTGCACTTAGCGCTTTTGTGCTCAAATACGACACAGCCTCCTCTTTGCTAATCATATTGCATATAGCATGTGATGAGCTATGTATACTTGAGAGCTAGTGAGGGGTCAATCCTCTTTGTTTACTGCTTTTGGATAGGTGACATGGTTTGGAAAAATAATGATCTAATGGGCTTAACCCAACATGATAGTATTAGAGGCCTCTATGGCCACATGAGTTGATATAATGCATGCAGAGGGCCTAAGAAGGCAACACGAATGATGGGAAAAAGTTGGAGTTATGCTCCAGGTTTGGGAATAGAGAAGGCTAGCCAAGAACCTACGAGACTCAGCTGGAGGGACCTATTTTAGAGATGCCGCAGATACCGCAATTATCTGAGAAATACAGACATAACTAGCCTTGTTCAAAAAATTTTTTTTTTTTTTTCGTAAAAAGGGAGTTACTTCAGAGAAGGCTGGCAACGCATGTACTTCAACTTGAGCCTCAACTTGAGTGGGGTATTCTCAGTCCAGAGTGAAGATGCAAAGCAAACTACAGTCAGGATGACAACCCTTGCTACGCTGACGTGGCCATCCCTTTAGCCATAGAAAAGAGCCGTATATTGATGCTCGAGGCTTATAAAGGGCCTTTACTTCCCTTTACTAGAGCACAATCAACTGACTGATCTATACTACACACATTTTGATCTACCTTGAGCCTCTTGTTCACAATGCAAGTTCAACTTCCATACGATGTCGGCGCCTTCAACAAACTTCCCAGTTTAAATGAAGCCCATACTCAATTCATGGCGATGAATGGTCTCAAGGTTCTGGAAGAATTTCTACATTCCCTTTTCCTCCGGTACCAAATGACCGAGAAGTTTGGAATGACCCTTCTTCATTCGCACTTCGTCCTGAATGACCATGAGATCCTTGTTGAAGCCAACGGCACCTCGACACCTTGGGACTTACGCGGAGCTGATCCCACCCCTACTGGCTTCGCGAAATATGACGGCGCCATCAAACCCAGCTCGTGGATGGTAACCGATGATCACTTGCGTGCATTCGAATTTTATTTCGATCCCAACACTGGCACTCCAGGTATTGATCCTAGTGTCTCGTTCGTTGAAGACCTCAGCACCATCCTCAAAGCCAACAATCTTTCTAATGTCCTTGGGCTCTATCAAATTGCCGATGCTTCCACTGGCCAGATAGAGGTCACAGAGGGACGGGCAAACGTCACTTTTCCCTTCGATAAAGTGGCTCACCCGGATGTTATCAACAGCGACAAGTACATACAAACAAGTTGGCAGTTTCCGAGCACCAGCACTGGAAAGCCTCAGGCAAGAAATTGGTGTGCGAAAGTTTGCATTAAAGCTCACATAGAGCTCCATGGCGAGAAGCCTTGATCAAATACACGAATTATCTCCTCACCATTGAGAGGGGTTTTTCTAGGCATCTCTGATATAGGTCTCTTTCCACGATCAGCTACTTAACATTTCTGGGGACGAAGGCCTTCAAATCTCATTATATCTACATAAAATTCGAGAGTTTGAAAAAGAATGTAGAAAAGTAGATAATTCATTGGGCTTGCCTTTGAATGTCTGTAGTGCTACTTAAGCCCTCCAGACCACCCTAATGAGCCCACAACGGAGTACATTCCATTCGATTTCCTGTCATAATGTAAATTTGGTTTCTTCGTACCTATATTTTCTTCGATATCGCATTACATATGGAAGACATAACTTGAACATGGGAAATGCCCCATTTCTAAGTGCTATGTTCGGACAGTGCCTCTTCCTCCATCATCTCTAGCTCATCCTCAAGCATAGTGACGGCAAATTCTCCTATCACCTCCTGAATAGGACCGTGAAGAAGTCGCTGTCTAGACGCCTCAGGCTGGATTTCCCCAAGAGCTTCGAGGTAATCGGTCAGTGGACCATAGTCTACCACGTCCCCCCAATTCCCTCGATCAACTCCATATTCGTGTAGGAACATTTGAAGGGATTCCAGCCCATCCTGCAAGATCCATGACTCAAGCACCTGTTGATCACCATCCAAAGCACGTACTCGACCACCGGATGGGGCATTCTCGGCCTCATCTTGCGGAGCAGCATCGGCATCCTCTCCGTCGTCGCCCCCTTGAAGCCCAGGGAACCGAATACCACCACCGTTTTGCATTTGACCTAGAAGGTCACGGAGCCATTGCGGTCGTCCGGCTTCTGGAACTCGTGCAAGATAAGATGGCGTTGGGTCGGCCTGCTGACGGAAAGCTTCGGACTCATAGGGTGGAAGAGGATCTGAAGCAGACATCCGACCGGAGACGAAGCGGGTTGGAAGATGAGTTGTGACTTTGGGAATGTCGGACAGTACCACATGACGGGCGATATCCAACGTAATCTCTGGTGGCTCAACAGCCGCCTTATCATCGGAAAGGGTATCGGCAACCTCCACGATTAGAGAAACAGCCTCTGGTGTATTCCAAAGGTCTTTCGCTCGCGAGATGTAAAGTTCGGTGAGAAGTTCGTGAGATCCAGTCGGAGGCATCTTGCCCCAGATCTGTTTTGGGATGTGTTGAAGGTCCAACTCTTGGGCAAGCCGGTTGAACACCCACGGGTAACGAGACATGGCGTGATGAAGCTGCCGGCGACATTCCTGGGGCTTGTTCAGCCGCAAATACGCCATGACCAGCGAGCATTGGATGTTTGGAAGGTCGGCCCAATCACGACTGAACCGTGTTTGCGTACACAAGTCCACGAATTGAGTGTATTCCCGGCCACGTAGAGCAAGATGGTCAATCAGGAGCTTCATGCAGTATGGATCTGAGTCATTCAAGCTTAAAAGTAGCTTGGCCCATTCGTAGGCCGTTCTCCATGTTCCCTTCATGCCCAAGTTTGCTATGTACCTCCAGCCAACCAACCACAGCTCACGATTCTCCATCTGTAAGAAGTCTAGTCTGGCCTGACCTTCTCTCAGACGCGTGTTGAATGATGAGTGGGCCGAGCGTCCAATATTGAAGAGTGCTCGTTCCAAGAGGTCGGCAGAGACAGCATGATCACTTTGGTGTTTGGCAATCTCAGAGACCTGAAGAAGAGTCGAAATATGATAAGGATTGTATTGAAGATGGTGAATCAGGCGCTGTGGGTCCATCGACTCAACACAGAGCTCAAATTGTCTCTGTACATCCTGATAGCCCGCATTGTGAACGATACGGTAGAGTGTAACACCTGAAGCGAACTTCTCCTCAAGCTCCATGCCGAGCCCTCCACTCGGTGCTCGAGGCCATTCATCCTTGCCTTGCATCAAAATATTCCGCCGTAGTGTCACACCTGCTAAACTCTGACCTCTGCTGGCCGGACTGTATCGTCCGGTCAGGGCTCGACCAAGGTCTACCGTTTCCCGATTGCGATCCCGCCGACGACCAGTACCTGCATCGGCTGGTTGATCGAAGTTTTCCAAAACGACGTTGCCAAATAGCCGCTTCATCTCATTTGTCGCATTCAAAAATTTGGGATCGACCGCAAGCAGTTCGTCGGTGGTCTTTGGGAACGAGGCATCCTGGATATTGTTTGTCGTGGCTGCCCCAACGGCTGGCAGTTGACCATCAGTCGCGAGATCTTTCAGAGCTCGATCGATTTCGTCCAGCTCATCATCGGATCCATTATCTGGCTCAGTCACCACCGCCGCCTTAGCCTTCTTCTTCTTTTTCTTCTTCTTGCTTGCACTCTTAGGTTCAGCCGGTGCAGGCTCAGGTTCCGGTTGCTGAATCACAGATTCCTGGGTATCCTCCTCTGATTCGGCTTCCTCGTCATTGTCATCGTCGCCAGCGTTGAGCAGATCGAAAGCGTTAAACTTTGGCTTCGCGGGGCGTGGGGGTTCATCGTCACTAGATGCGTCTTCATTTTCTTGTTGTTGTAGCAGCTCCTGCTCGCGCAGCTTCTGCAATTTCCGGATTGCACGCGAGGACATCTCAAGGTCTCGCGCTCAGCGCCACGAACGATTCAAGAAGCACCTGTGTTTCCGACTGTCGCAAGTGAGAACAATCGACAAGCAAAAGATCCCGCGGGGAATGACGACAGGAGACCCAATGAGGACTAGCGTGATTCTTGTCGCATCCCACGTGACCCCTTATCTGACGGTCACGATGCACGCGCATTCCCCAGTTTCCTGGTGTCCTGTATTCGATCGCTCGGAGTTTTCTTGAACAGGAGCTCTATCTATAGTCCCATATCGCAGGGACATAATTCATCTGTTCGACAACTCGCAGAACCAATGCGTCGGGCGGCTGTTCAGGCATTCCGTACTGCTCGGCGTGCTCCAGTATGGAAAGTCACCAGTAAGCGGCCGTGCTCGCTCACCTACACTCACAACTCGGTCCGAGGCTTGCGGTCATATTCGGGAGGCCGACGCCCATCATTAGCTCCGGCGTCTCTTCAGTCCTCCATGCATCTCCGCAGGTTCTCCCTCGCCGTTATTTCAACCGTGGTTGCTTCCGGGGCGTGGTATGCGTATCGAGGGGACGGCACCGTGCAGTCACTAGCCACGCAGGTTCGAGGATTCGCCTCGAGCGCTATCACATCAGCTCACGCCGAAGACCCGTCGGAGTCGACCCGCCGTGCCCTTTTAGTCAGCAACGATCAATTCTACACTGCTACGCTCTCCGGAGACCAGCCATTATCGAAGAACACAGACGACTCGGACCGACGCGTTCTGGAAATGTTGACACCGGAACAAGCTACGGAGAAGCTCCGCAAGAATGAGGAGTCATACCTGGTGAACCGCGGCAAGGGTGTGGTGCGATATGATATTGTTCAAGTGCCTAGCAACTCCCCTATTGAAGACGACCATGCCGAGAAGATTGTCGAGGTGTCATCATCGACGGCGGCCAATACAAATGGGGAGCCGAATGATTGGATGTTCTGGGCAGTCTTTGACGGTCATTCGTAAGGACTCTCTCGGGTTAGGAAGTTTGATGACAATTTACTAATTTCAAGATAGGGGCTGGACAACATCCGCCAAGTTACGAAATGTGCTGATTTCCTACGTTGCGCGAGAGCTTAACGCTACCTATAAGGCGGCTGCGGCCGATCCTGCGGTTCTTGTGCCGTCTTCCGAGGCAATTGACCAGGCGATCAAGCAGGGCTTTGTTCGTCTTGATAACGACATTGTGCACGAGAGTGTGGACAAGGTACTAAAGTCCAAGTCGCGTCGTATGGCTGCTGAGCTCCTTGCGCCTGCTCTCTCGGGATCTTGTGCTCTCCTGAGCTTCTACGATTCACAATCAAAAGATCTAAAGGTCGCTGTTGCCGGTGACTCTCGCGCCGTCCTCGGCCGCAGAGGCTCTAATGGAAAATGGACCGCCACTGCCCTGTCTGAGGATCTTACAGGCGGTACTCCTTCTGAAGTCAAGCGTCTCCGGGAGGAGCACCCTGGCGAGCCTAATGTTACCCGGAATGGCCGTATTCTGGGCGGTCTGGAGCCTAGCCGTGCTTTCGGTGATGCCTTCTACAAATGGAGCAGGGAAGTCCAAGACAAGATCAAACAGCAGTTCTTCGGCCGGACGCCTCACCCCCTTCTCAAGACTCCTCCTTATGTCACCGCTGAGCCCATCATCACCACCACCAAGATTGACCCATCCAAAGGCGACTTCATCGTGATGGCCACGGACGGTCTCTGGGAGATGCTGAGCAATGAGGAGGTCGTTGGCTTGGTTGGTCAGTGGCTTGAACAACAACAGTCTGGTAACGGTGGATCCAAGGCCTGGCTGCAAAGCTGGTTCAGTTTCGACAGCCAGAAGCAATTGCCCGTGGAGCCGGCTAAGGATCAATCCACTGAAGGCCAGCGCCGCCCCATCCGCCAGCAGCAATATGATATCTCTGGTGCGGCCAGCCGATTCGTTGTCGAGGATAAGAATGCCGCGACTCACCTTGTCCGTAACGCCATGGGCGGAAAGGACAAGGATATGGTTTGTGCTTTGTTGACGCTGCCAGCCCCCTACTCTCGCCGATACCGGTATGTGACCTTTACACGCTTTTGTCCTATATGACTGCTGACCATTTACCTCCTCCTAGTGATGATGTTACCGTCGAGGTTATCTTCTTCGGCCAGGGTCCTGACTCCCGTACTGGTACAGTGGAGATCAACAAGGAGGCTAGCGCTTCGGAAGAGCCTCCCAAGGCTAAACTGTAAGCCAATTGGGTCTTACTTCGTCGCTATGCCTCACAGATCAGGAGTATGGGCCACGGCGCTTCAATACCGGTTGCCACTGTTTCCTCTATTTCAAATACCTCTGCAGCACTTCACATACCTGTGCCTAAGGCAACGGATTCACCGTGAAGGCTACTCACTTTTTCTGCAATTTTCGGATTTTCAAGGGACTGGGGGTTTTGTGCTTGTTCTCGAGCACAATTTTGACATCTGTACAGATCTCTGCTATCTATACTATCATACTTGAATTTAAACGAGTCCGCAAATAGCGGATGCTTTTCCATGGACGAGATATCCAGTTCATCTCGTAGCCTGGGAGTTCATTTACAAAATGAAGCAACACATGTTGGGTAAAACTTGATCACTGATAGTGCTGCGCACAATAGATCAGGACACGACGGCGGAGAAAACTCATTTCGCAAGGGTATTGGATATGAACTATTCAAATATCCTTTTTTGTTTGATCCAGACACGTGTAGCTTTGAGAATTTTCATCTTCGTTGGTTCTTCTTCGTTGTCCATAATGTACATGTTTGACGATAGGTAGTATAATACAAAAGGCCCATTCCCGGTCCCTCGCAATTCGTTGCGTGGCTATTCCATGCGTCCGTAGACTGGCGAGGCTGCAAGGAGTTGGAATGCTTGACTGGAAGCACGAATGGAAGTCGCTTGGTCCTATTCGGCTGACTGGAAATCTGCTTTGCCGCTGAAAATTTGGCGCAGCTGACCATATTAAGTTTTCGGGAGTAGAAGACTCATGATTTCGATTTGGGAAATCCGTGTTCCAGGCCTGGTCGCCGCATAAATTGGGATAGGGTATTACCCCGGCCCACCGTTGCTTGCTTGATGACAACATCTCGGCTTCATTCAGCGTAGTTTCATATGGAATGCATCCGGAGCTTCAGGGTTATTGTAACCAACATAGCGTCTGGCGGATATCGGCATTGGCGGCTTCATGAACATCTTCTTTTCCAAGATGTATGTCTGCAGCGTGGCAATACTAGAGCTACTGATCCAGTAGATCATGAGCGCGGCTGGCATCTCATAAAACCATCCGGACAATCCCACGTTCAGCGCCAGGACCTGGATGAAAACGCGCAGGCCATTGAAGGTTACGGCCCGGTACATCTCCATCCGGGGCATATCAGCTAGATCAGCGCGTGGCGTACGTTTCCAACCCGCTTGAACATTGAGAAGAATGGAGGCCGTGAGTAGTGCCGGCAAGATACCGGTCGAGTCACCCGCAAGTAGATCGGGGAACCATAGCGCACCCTCGTTCGCAAAGGTGGGCTCCATTGTTAAATGAAGGGAGTTGACGGCCGCATCGGTAGCTTCCTGATTCCCCTCAATCAATGAGAGTAGCCATGGTACCAGGCCGTTCTTGTTTCCGGACATGCCACGGATACTCTCCATGAGCAAGATCCAGACCGGCAATTGCAAGATGGGTGCGAAACGGGACTTGACGGAGATATCCCACCGCTGATGTAGAAGTTTGATCTTCTCGTTATATTCTCGGGTGGTTTCCATATTGGGCCCCTTGGAGCGCGGTCCTCCTCCCAGCTGCCTCCTCTTCGATTCGGCCCAGTTTGCCCAGGCATGCTTGAGGGGCATAATATCTCGTTCGCGCCGTGCGTTGGCTTTGGTGTACATTTGTAAGGGCAATCCGACGAGTGTTCGCACTATCAGGGCTGTGAGCGGGATCGAGGCTACCCATGGCAGGCCGGTGATATTGTGGACGCCATGGATCAGCCCGGCGGAGGCATCGAGAGCTTCGTTTATCCACGGAGCTGGTTTAGTCGGGTGAAAGTGTCGGACTTGCGAGCGTGGCAGGGCCCTGCGGGGAGCGTGCAATGCCCTGGAACGAAGCGCGTTCATGATCGACAGGGAGGCACGAGGGGATAATCAGCAGAGTGACAATTCCTGTTTCTCCAACTCGCAGATCGCAGATCGGGTCAAAAGATCACTGAAGAAGCTCCGAGCGGAGAAACATCCAAACTCGGGGAAAATCAGGTCCACTCGGTCGGTATCATGTGACGCGTATTGTAAGTTACGTTCCACGTCAACTGATCTGCAGCGGGCACACGGCCAGGTGGTGTTGATGGTTATCCTCTCCTCCTCTTTTCTTCTTCCACCATCCCTTTGAACTTCCCCTGGATACCACATTCAAATCCCGGGTACTATGCGTGGTCCCTGGTGAAAATCAGACGCAACCATGGCCATCCTGACCACCGCCATTCTCGCGCTCTTGATCGCTGCCACGACCGCCGTCCTGCTCCCTCAGCTTATAGGCCATGTACTCGGGCTGATCCTGCGCGGCGCGGGGTGGCTGATCCGCCGACGAACTCGATCTCGACGTGAATATGTGATCGCGCGGGCGCGATCCGACGAGGAAGAATTATTAAAAACACTGCGCGCAAAGAACTCAACACACTCTCTGGCCCGGAGCTCGGCCGAGGATGAGGATTGGGAGAAGGTGGATAATACCGCCGGCCCTGCTGGAGTGAAGGCTTCTAGCAGCGATGATATCGGCGCCAGTGATGGAGCAAAGAGGCCCGATGACTGGGATGGAATTATCGGGTTTTTCCACCCGTTTTGGTAGGGCTGGTTTCTTTATTTACTTTATTGTTTCGTTGAACCTATCACTGACTTGGCGATTTTATAGTAATGCTGGCGGTGGTGGAGAACGAGTACTTTGGGAAGCAGTACGTGCAACACAGAAGCGCTGGCCCAAGGCAATTTGCGCCATCTACACCGGCGATCACGAAGTCAACAAGGCGACCATGTTGGAGCGCGTCGAGAACCGGTTCAACATTCAATTGCATGCTCCAACAGTGGTGCTTCTGTACCTGACCACCCGCAAATACGTTGTCGCCAGCTCTTACCCACGCATGACACTGCTTGGACAGTCGTTGGGATCGCTGGTCGTCGCCTACGATGCCTTTACACTGCTAGTGCCTGACGTATTCATCGATACCATGGGCTATGCCTTTACTTTGGCACTGTGCAAGTGGCTCTTCCCTAGTGTGCCGACAGGCGCGTACGTGCACTACCCGACGATTTCCACGGATATGCTCGCATCTCTCGACGATCAGAGCGGGATTCAAGGTTTGAATGCAGGCGCAGGCAAGGGACTGAAGGGTACCGTCAAGCGGCGCTACTGGCAGCTATTCGCTCAACTGTACGGCTGGGTCGGCCGCCACGTCGACGTAGTCATGTGCAATTCCTCTTGGACCGCAGCCCACATTCGCAAACTTTGGGGTACTGGCAAGGACAGAGCAAGCAACGATGCCGACACTACTACTGGTAAGGGCACTCCGTCCTCGCCAGCCGTTGTATTCCCTCCCACGGCCGTATCAGAGCTAGAATCCAGCATCGCCGTGGATGCCGAGAGTGAGCAGAGCCGCCACGCTACCCTGCTCTACATCGCACAGTTCCGCCCAGAGAAGAACCACCCTCTCGTCCTCCGCTCCTTCGCGCGGTTCCTACAAGAGCGTGCCCGCAACCCGGCATATGCTGACCAACCCCAACCCCGACTCGTCCTCATCGGATCTGTCCGCCACGCTAGCCCAGACGAAACTCACATCTACAACCTCCGCCTACTAGCGCACGAGCTGCGCATCCGCGATCATACCACTTTCCTCTGTGACGCAAGCTGGCCTGCCGTCCTCTCGCACCTTGGCACAGCCTCCGTCGGCGTAAACGCCATGTGGAACGAGCACTTTGGCATCTGCGTCGTCGAATACCAGGCCGCGGGACTGATCTGCGTGACGCACGACTCCGGCGGTCCCCGCGAGGACATTGTCGTGGACCTCGGTGACGGAGCGACGGGTTTCCGCGCCGAGACCGAGGAGCAATTCGCAGCTGCTTTTGAGGCGGCGCTTGCGTTGCCGGAGTCGGAGAAGGTTGCTATGCGTCTGCGGGCGAGACGGTCGGCACAGAGGTTCACGGAGGAAGAGTTCTCGCGGAAGTGGCTGGGACAGGTGCAGAAGCTGGTTGAGGCTTTGCGATAGAGCCAGGTAGATATTATTCTTCCGTTTTGATATAGACGAATACTCATATCCTGCGTTTATGACCTGAAGTGTATTGTTTTGTATTAGGTGTTTGTCTCTACTAATGAATACGTACATCCTTAAAGAATTGCCAAAGCGACGATACACCCCTTGACTGGTTTAGTGTAGGCTGAGGCTAATCTTACGACAGCTTGTGCTTTTCATCGCCGGATATGACGAATAACACGTCCATATTGTGTACCTCGATAAATCATATTTACTAAGCCTTTAATCTTCGACATATGGTAGGATTCTATCAGTTAGAATCCCTAGTATATTTTCAAAATTATCTTACTAGTCACGACTTTAAACGATATACTATCAAGAAACCTTACTTTTTAGGAAAGACGGTTCACAAGACATCTAAAAAGATCTTTCACAAAAGGGAAAGTTGAAGCATATTGGACAGGCGCTAGCTAGATAAGTTTCTCTCATAAAATATTCTTTATAGCTTCCTATCGAACAACTTGCACAATATCTCTTCTCCTCAAACTCCCAACAACCAACAGAATTCGCTGACCAGGTATCCACCACAACCCAACCCAAAACAACTCTGTATAACACAGTGATTCATAGACTAACTCCCAAGTCATAATCTATTTACTCACACTACTTCAGTAAGTTGTCATGACTATTCTATCGGCCAGGTCGAACCACAATAACCACTTACAGTTACGGAGCATCACCAATTCACCTCAATCATCGACATCGACAACCAGTGCTATCTTAATTAAAATGGCGGCTACAAGCAAACCAGCATCATCAGCAATCCCGTACCTCTCCTCACTGCCCTTGTTCCAGCCCAACGGTTCGGACGATGCGGACACTGACGACACCGACTATGACGAGGTTGACAAAGATGATCTGGATGGTGATCTGAGCGCTGTGATTCGTGAGGCCGAGGAAGAGCAATACCTCGCCGACGAATTTGGTTCGGAAAACCAGAAGCGCCTGCTCCTGCTCTGGGGACCCTGACCCCAGCGGGCGAGACAGACGGCCAACAATCACCAGGGAACATGACCATCGAGTTTGGAGGCGGAGAGCGGGCGGAAAATGGGACATAAAGCCAATATCGAATGCCACTGGAAGTTTCCACTCATTGTCTTTTGCTGCAAGCGTACCGAGGCGGTACACTGGCAGCGCCACTGTGACCCGGTCTTCGTGCCCAGTTTGGGGTGAATTTGGGTTCCATAAGACCGGCTTCGCTAGGTCTAAGTTCCCATTCTCGTCCCGTCTTCGGAATGCCACAAGCTCTTTGTCAGAGCGAAGTCATATCGAGTCTCTGATTGCTTCACATAGCAACTAACCTGAGAGAGGAATTGGTCGAATGACTTTTGCGCTTCTCGTTGGAGCGGTCTTTGTAGCTAGAGTGCCACTTATGAGACACTTTAAAGTCTCCTGGTAGGCGACAGGTCTCCTTTCCATATACTGTCGCCTACCAGGAGACTTTAAAGTGTCCGTAGTATAAGAGACTAAGTCTGGTGTAGGCGTAGGTTTTTGCTCGGAGTGTGCTGAAGATATTCTACCTCGAGCCTCCTCCTATGAGCTAGATTAGCGAATAGACATTTTAAGGCTCTTAAAATAGTCGGCTCGACTAAAGAAACGGGTACAGTACCTTTCTTAAATTCTTTGCTCAAACACGATCATTCTCATGCATGGTCACATGATATCCCGTAACCCTCATACATGGACCAATTTCAATCACTTTTTTTCAACCAGTCCAGAATAAACTCTCAGATCGAGCGAGCTCTACAATCAAAAGAACATTACTTGTTGATGTATGATTTGATTTCAAAATGGTGTATAATACTCCAAGACGAGACGTATCTCCAACCTTCCAAATCAAGGGAAGAACAAAAACCAAACCAACAAAAGCAGACGGGTATGAGTGGTTCAAAAATCATCAAATGCGTCATGATGATAATGTTAGAGACGCAAGCAGATGGCCAGGCCAGAAGAGAAAAGAAAGAGGTCCAGCGATACCAACGCTGAAAAATCACCGTCATGAAAAAAGGCAAGTATATGCCATGACAACCAAACGAATGCCAGTATATAAGTGTAGATGTTGAACGTAGGGACGTTAGAACTTTAAAAACAATCAAAACCCCATTTCTGGCCATGGCCAAGAAAATCACAAATCAAACCAAATCATCAAGTCTCCCACCGTGTAGCAAAACGCCAGTAACCCTTCTCTATAAGGGATAAGCCAAGGAATAAAGAAGGAAGAAGGAAAGAGGAATGCCAAAAGCAGGAAAAAGCAGAACCATTGCTTTTCCGATTCCAATATCACAAGAAAACACGCGAGGGGTATAAACGAGTGAAGCGGCATCGCGTCATCATCAACTCCATTTTTGATCCACGTATCCAGGATCCCCTGGATTCATTCCGAGCATCTGGCCGCCATACATGGTGCCTTGATTATTTCCATATCCACCACTTATGCCTGACACACTACTGATGCCAGACTCGTCGTCGTCGAAACCGAATTCGCCCCCAGAGCTGGCGTCGAAGCTACTCCGGCCACCGATGTCACTGGGGTCATCGCCTGCCGCGGCGAGTTGGTCCCATTGCAGCGTTTGCAAGGCGGGGTATTGCGCAAGGAGGGCCGCAGGTAGGACAAAGTTACCAGAAGACTGGCCGTCCATGCCGGGGACCCCGGGCATAACAAGTGGCTGGGGAACGGGTTGAAGGTGACCGGCAGGTTGCTGCTGATGCTGTTGTTGTTCAGCCAGGACGCGGTCACGCTCCTGAGACTCTTCATCGAGTAGTGGCTTGATGCAGACGCGGCCAGCTTCGGACCTGAAATGGCGACCGAGGGCATCCGCACGCGCGAAACGACGACCGCAGCCCCAGTGGCTGCCCCGTGAAAGGTCACCACGGCAGACGAACTTCTTCTCACCGGAGTGGAGGCCCTCGTGGCGCTTGCGGTCGTGTTGACGTGCGAAGGCTTTGCCACAGACTGTGCACACGAATGGTCGTTCATCGGTGTGCGTGCGGAGATGTGAGCGCAGATTGTATGCTCGGGTGAACCGCTTAGGGCACAGGTTGCATTGGAAAGTGGCCGGATGCTTTTGAACGCGCTTCGAGTCACCGGGAGCAGCACCGGGGCGTCCTGGATCAGCCAAGTCTAGAATGTAGTTGCGACTCTCAATGGATGACGTGGAAAGACGCCTGTTAGACCTTGATGGAGACGCATCACGAGAGCCGGGGTTACTGCGCGAGTGGGGCGATAGCGATCGCGGGGAGGTAGCAGCGATGGCTTCGAGACTGGTTGTTGAGGTCGCGGGGGATCTTTGACGAGAAGCAGGGTGTGCGTAGGGATCTGACTTGCTGCGCACGCGAGATCCTGGTATAAATATGAGAATTGATGCGACGAAACACGAGACGGGTTGGAAAACTCACTCATCGCGGGCGGGCTCAACGAGTCAAAATTAGCAACTGGTTTGGGTGGCCCGAAGCTTGGGCTTCTGGATGGCGGCGCAAATTCTACGTTGATTGATGGAGGCGCCATTTGGGATGCCTGACCAATGTCGCCTGCGGGAATTGATCCCATCATATCATCACCTGGCATTCCATACATTTCTGTTGGGGCCGGGGGAAACTGATTGCTAGTCGAGGTATACTGTATACTCGGGACCATGTCATTAGTCTGCTGGGGCATCAGTCGTGGCGAGATATATGGGCTATGGGCGGGGCTAAAGCCCTGCTGGTGTTGGTCCGACAGCGTAAACTGCTCAATGCCGAGGGCATTTTCATACAGCGCGGGATCATTCTGCGGCACAAGGGAAGGTGAAGCATTGTTTTCGATACCCTCATATTCATGCTGAGACAAATAGGGTGAATGGTTGGCCGATGAGACCTCCGAGACCTCTGACGGTGCTCGGCGATGGGTCTGGAAGGCACTGTTGTTGTTCATCATGGACTGCCAGTCCGGGTTCACCTGCGCACTAAGATAGGCGGCCGCAGCTGGATCCAGCGAGGTATGTCGCGAATGCCGAGGAGTATAGAATGCTCCAGGAGTCCCTCCGGGAGGTGACATTGGTCCGGGAGATGACTGCTGCGGGTCTTGCGAAGAATGGTGTGAAGATGCAGAGGGATTGGAGATAGGGCTGACAAGATCAGCTGGGTTGACCGCTTGGTGCATGGCCTGTTGGCGCTGATGCATTTGCGGATCTAACAGCAGCGACGAATCATACTCGGATGCGCTAGCACTGTTAGGGCTATGGCTTTGGTATGCTGAGAAATCCAGATCCCCCGTATTTGAATTGAGCAGATTGGAGAAATTCTCAGTGAGCTGCCCTGTTTGCAGGCTCGAAACCCCTGGGTCCAGTTGATTTGCCATGTTTGGGTTGAATGATTGTGACATCCCGATGTTGGTCGTATTCAGCATTGGCGGGAAAGGCTGAGTGGATGGAGGCACGAGGCCTTGAGCTTGTGCAGCTCCAGAAAAGTGGTAATTTGCTGGGTAGCCGTAAGATTCGGTGCCGCTGATGCTGGGATCGGCATTGGAGGTGTCAAATTGCGGATTTGTCCCGTATGCGGCTGACATGGAGGGGTCCAGGGCTAGACCCACGGTTGGGTCGTGATATTGCTGTTGGGCGTGGGGTGATGGGCTCACGCTGCGATGCTTGATATCTGCAGAGACGGAGCCTGTGCCCTGGGTGTGATCGTGGGAGGCCATGGTGGCGGGGGGAGTTTGCGATACCGGCGATATACCTCTGGAGGATTATAAGGTGGGACAGGCGAAAGCGCGACACAGGGCGGCCGCGAGCGCCAAATCGGAGGGATCAAGGAGATTGGAGAGCGGCTGGAAGCTACTAGCGAAGACAGCAGAGATAGTGGTGAGATAATGGCATTCGCAGTAGAGGGACCGGCACGCGCAAAGAAGCTCTCGCCAGGGTCAGCGAGACAGTAGCATCATCTAAAGTCGAAGTTGAAGGTGAAGGTGGTGGTGATGATGGAGGGACCCGATAAATGGCGACCGCACGTGCGCAAGGCGGTCTGAGGGGGAAATGCGACAGTTTTTTTTTACTTTCCAGTACGGAGGCCCAGTTTCTTCCCGACGTGTTCGATGGCCCACCCGAGTACGACACTTCCGTAACCAGGGACAAGGCAAGGCAAGGTCCAAAGTCAAGATTTGGCCCCTGGGGATCGTGTCTCACACCGTATGGAGCAGTGCAGAAATGAACCCATACTGGGCCACTTACTCCAGGACTTTGGGACTAGTGTCGGTATGGACTTCTTTCCCCCCACATCGTGTCCACTACGATAACAGATAGGCACAAGAGCCCCTCCTTTTCTTGGACTCATTGATGGCAGTTTTCAACCTCGCCATCCTTATTCTATGGTGATTGTTGCGATGTTCCCCGACTTTTGGCATGTCAGGGTCGACTCTCCCTGCAGAAAGTCAATATCCTGACAACAAGAAGAGTTGAGAGCTACCCAATCGTTCCCTTGTTTTTCATGGTGGAGCATCACCATCCGGCTAACGCAGCGGGAGACTTTAGCTTATGTTTGCACAGCCACGCAGCTGAGTTTCATCCACGGTCCGTCCTTCCAGTTGGTCTCTGCAGTTTCCAATTCCAGGGCTCGGACCATCAACGGGGGTTTTGGGGTGAGTGATTCGCTGGCATTAGGGCAAGGCAGATTTCTCAGAGCACTCTGCCTTACGTGACGTATAATACTGCTGCACATACGGAGTACTCTAGCTACAGTGGGTTCTGACGATGTTGACGCCTGATAGCTCACTAAGCAACTAAGCCTCACACTCCAAAAATATTCGATAATTAAACTTATTTTAATCTTCAGAATGCTGCTGCCTCTGAACTCAAATACTACATTCCAGAATCCAGGAGTTTCAATAAACCCGAACACATCACAACAACAGAAGCGATGTACTTGATTCGAATTGGTCAGGTGACCGGACGAGACTCTGAGCCCGTCGACTTTGGACCCTCACTGTGATATCTCACATCCCGACTGCTCAGTATAACCAAATACCCTGTTCTCCATCTACACTGTCCCCAGCGTCGTCATACTCGCCCGCTCCTGATCATTCGTATAACTAAACAACAAATTATCCGCACAACTACTCCCCAACCCAGCATTATCCACCCATGCCGGCTCCCAGTAATAAATCCCCAACCCCCCGAAACACCCGCAACCACAGCCGCCAAATCCTTCAAAAATGTCTGCTGGCCAGCAACAGAGAACGGAATAGACGAAAGATCCGACGGGAACGCATATGCCGGACTGGGACACGAATACGGCCAATTAGTCTCGACGACCAACACGTCCTTGCCGTACGTCGAGTGCAGGTTTGTCAAACTAGTCTTCAATGCCGAGAGTGTCGCGCTAGAGCTGTAGAAGGGATAATAGGAAACGCCGATATAGTCAAAGTCTGACGAGACAAAGGTCGATTCGCTGTTCAGGACGGTGTTGTAGAAGTATTCTTGCTCGGACCAAGACCAGCCGTTGTCGAGGTGGATCATGATCTTGGGGGTTGTCGAGAGACTGGAATCCTTCACGCCCCAGGCGCCGGAGTGTAGGAGTCGGCCGATGTTGTAGTAGCTGCTGGTCTCGCCGAGGGGCCAGAGTAGGCCGCTGCGGATTTCGTTGCCGATCGAGACAATGTCGACGGTCAGGCCGTTGTCGGCAAAGGTATCGCAGACTTCCTTGGTGTAGTTGTACAGTTGCCATGCAAGCGTGTCGATATCAGTCGTAGACCAGCCAGAAGGTGTCGCCTATTCAGAGAAGTATAATATTTAGCAGTCCGTCTATTCCCATCAATCCCAGAACCAACTGCCTTCCATCACAATAACATACCTGATGACTCGGATCCGCCCAAGTATCACTCAGATGCAGGTCCAAATACGTCGTCATCCCCTGCGCCTGCACCCTCTTCGCCAACTTGATATTGTAGTCCAGATCGTACGACCCGTCACTAGGATTCACCCACACACGCTGGCGCACAGAATTGATCCCCGCACCCGCCAGTATCACCTCCAACTTCTGCGTCGTCCCTGCGGTATTCTTATACGAGATTCCCGCATTTTCCTCCACGATCAGAGACGAGATATCCGCCCCGTGGATCGATAGTGCCGCCGACGCAGGACTCAGCAGCTGCGCTGCTGCGAGCAAGAGAGTGGGAAGTAACATGGCGTTGCCGATGCGATGGACTTGGCTTGGCTTGGTAGATAATAAGAAACTACCTGCGACGTATAGTAGCTTATAGCTAATATCAGAATAACCTCACCAGTGCCCAAAGAAAGAGAAAGAATTCCAGCCATAACGACTTCCCTCCCTCCTTTTCTACATCCTCATCTCGGACAACCCTCAATCCGGACGCGTGGACCAGACGGGAGAATTCCCCCTCTTTGCCCTCTGCCCGCCGCGAAATTGCGCAGTTTGGGGTAGAAAGACTACGTGATCGGGGGATTTGTCCGAAGAAATTGGCCTGCTTGGGGTTAGTTCGCGCGATGAAACATCCGGCTGTGACGGGATAAATGAGTGGGGAATGCCTGACTTTTGCTGAAGAGTGGCGACTCGGCGAGTCTGATTGATGGGTGGTGTACGGTGGAGTCGTCAGCGAGTCTTAATCTGATCGGAGTATTACTTTATTTGACGGCTGTGGCAGGGGGTGTGGCGCCTGTCTTGAATGTATTGATGTGGGGATAAACAAGGTGTTTTTATAGAATATTGAGCCAAGACATTCTCAATCGTGTATTAAATCTAGTGATACTGTATACACCAGACAAAGAAGAAACTGTGCTATTGGTGTCTACAAATGCCTGCTTAACCAGAGACGGATCGATGTGTCCTGACCCGCTGACGATCTCGCCTTAGATTCACGCTAAACTCCCCTAGCCATCATCATTGGTGGAAGAAGAATCAAGGCAATCGACCAGGGAATTAAGAGAACTGAGGCATTCACCAGGGGCAACCCCGATATAAAGCCGTACCCCACCGGAGTATAGCTTCAATTTTCAGAGTTAAGCAAATAATAGACAAGCGAAATACTCCGCACTACGAAAAGAAAAGCACAAGCAGCCACGATATTCAAAGAACGGGGAAAAGGGTATCTTTCCCATTATTTCATTTCATCAGGTATCATTGCATCAGGCGAACAAAGCCCTCACCAACCAGTCCCAACCCAACCCAACCTAACCCAACCCAGCAATCTTGTATCATGCAGACATTCACATCCTCGCACAGAAATCCAATAACTATGGGAACATTTTGGCAGAGCACCACCCAGACAACATTACATACAGGTAAAACGGGGAAGAAGGGAAGAGGACAAAAACACACGAAAAACCTGCTTAGGGCTTCCCCGTGAGAGAACGGCCCTACAGGCACATTAGAAGAAAAGGGAAGCTAGCACCTAGTCAATGCGAGGACCGGTTGCTGCTTGTAGCAGGGGAGGAAAGACAGGGTGAATAGCCGCTGCCAGCGCAAAGTATATGTACAAGACATGTAGAATGTATGTCGACAAACTCTAGAATGTCAAAAGTTCGTGAAGTGACATGGCGGTGAACAAATTGGGCAAGGGGAAAACAAGGGGGTGATATACAACGACCTCGCAGTATACAGGAAGTGCCGAAGTGGAGAGGAGGGGGAGGGAATCGAAAGGTAGAGAGGAATGGTGGAGATTAGCACAAGGAGGTGAGGAGTGCTGCCATTATGAGCCAACAGTAGGCTTTGCCACAGGCTTAGGCGCTGGGTTCTTCCTGCCGATCACGAGTCCTTCGTCTTCAGACTCGGTCTCGTCCTCATCGTCGCAGTAGTACCTCGATTCATCTTCCTCTGGTCGGGGTGAGCCTAGCCGGCGAGCTTTGACAGTCTCGCCCGTGCGCAGAATTGATGGGACTTGGCTGGAGTCATCCGCATCTTTATCTCTGGATCCTAGGTACAACCCATCGCCGGAGAGAGATGAGGCACCAGATATGACAGACGGAATGCTCGGGTGGGACGCGCTCTGGGACATGCCGCTGGTGAAGTCATCAGCCGAGGAAGAGGAGATGGTGGCTGCAGACGGTGTCGAGTTGGTGAGGCCTCTGTTTGGAGCGTCGTTGGGGCACACTGGTTCGGGAGCCTGAGCAGGGGCAGGGACTGCTGTAGGGAGCGCGAGCGATTCGGTCGAGTACATAGCGTAGTCGACGCGATTGGCCAATGCGTGAGTCTCATCCGCACCGGTATCGATGTCGCTCCGCCGGCGGCGGAGAAGAGCGTCCATGGTGAGGTGGAAAGACTCTGCGGAGGACTTGCCAATGAGCTGCTGGGAGCGATTTCGTCGGTGTGCTGTGACAGGTTCTTCGCCTTCAATAGGCGAAGGAACTTGGGAGTGCCACAGACCCGTTGTCCGTACCTGGCCGATTGCGGAGGCATTACTCAAAGCGAGACTTGGCCCTGAATGTCGTTCCGCATTCAAGGATGCCAGAGATGCTGAATCGCCTGATGGCGAACCGCGTCTGCTGCGGCTAGTAGTGAAGACACGCCGACTGGCACCAGTGAAGAGATTCCCGAAGTTAGTCGTACCCAGGGCTTCGATAATAGAAGGTGTCCCTGTTCGTGGGCGGGATTTATGAGGCTCGGCGGCGGACTGCTTGACAGTCTTGGTCGATTCGGCAGTAGACATGGATGATTTGGCACGACGAGGAGGACCCGGTCGGGTTGGCATGGTTGGGGCAGGGGCAGGGGCATTCGGCTTGATCTCGGGAAGAGGTGTGGGGTCGAAATAAGAACTCCACGGTGCTCCCTCCTCCACCGGGCTAGCAGTGACGCTCTGGGCGAGAGGGTGCTCTCCGTGAATGGCGAACTTGGATGTCCGGAAGATTTCCTCGTCGCCACGGAGACTTGAACGACGGCTATCACGCGACGTCTTTCCGAACGTACTAGTGGTTGAGATTGACGACAAGGTGTCGGATGAATTGTTGGAGCTGCGCTTGCGACCTTCCTTGTCCTTGGACCGGCCAGAGAACCACTTCGCCACGTTGGATCGCACACGCTGGATGAAAGGAACCTTACTGACGGCACTGGTGACTTCCTCGTTGGAGACCTCAATCCTCTTGCCCTTGCTCTGGTAGCCGGGGTCGGTCTCTTCCACCCAGGCCTGGGGGTTGGGCAGACCATACAAGGTCCAGGGGTGATGTTTGATCTCCTTCAGCGTGATTCGCTTGATTGGGTCCTTGGTCAAAAGGCGTCGGAGCAAGTCATACAGTTCATCATCGATATCCTCGTACACAAGCTCATCGACTTCACGGTAGTTGCGTTGACTAGAAACGGAGACAGTGTCGTCCAAGACAGGCATGAGGCGCTTTCGGGGGACAAAGACCTCCTTCTTCACAATGGTTTGGAACATGCTGTATTCGTCGTCGGAGAGGAAAGGGAGACGACCGAAAATCATGCCGTACAATGTTACACCCAAGGACCAGACGTCAATAGCGCCGGTGATCTTAGGAACCGCTCCAATGTCGTCCACGAATTCGTCGCCAGTATAGCAGAGCTCCGGAGCGTAGAAGGCAGGTGTACCTACAGTCTTGGACAACTCTCGAGCATCATCCAACTCGGCAGCATCAGTCTCGGCAACCTGCTCTTCTTCCTCATCACGCATCGGCCGTCCTAGGTAAGAGACGCCAAAGTCGGAGATCTTGACACGATGGCTGCTAGTGACCAGTAGGTTGGCCGGCTTGATGTCACGATGAATGATACCCTGGTAGTGGAGATACTCCAGACCAAGGACAGAGTCGCGGAACGCATTGCGAGCTTCGGCAATGGTCAAACAAGGGACGTATGACAAGTCGTCTGTATCTGCAGACCACTCGGGTTCAGACGGAGCGTACCCAAAGCTACTGGATGCCGTGCTGAAGCGCCGCTCAAAGGAATAATCCATGTAGGCACCGTACATACTGCCTTCAACTGCAGCCAAGGCGTCCTGAGTGGAGGACTGACTGGGCGAACTCTCATCCACAACCGCAGTGGATCGGTTGGATCGGGTAGACGTCCGCCGCATCGTGAGCCCGAGTCCGTCTCCTTCTTCCTCGTCTGATGACTCTGCACCGTGTTCCAAACTCCATCCGGGAATGGGGCCCTTCTGGGCATCGGCGGCCTGCGCTTCAATACGCTCTCGCGCCTTTTCGCGTTGTCGACGAAGGTGTTGCGCCGTTAGGATGAACTGCTTGCTTTCTTCCAAGAAGGCCGGGGTGTCGGGAACTCCGTTCTTCTCACGGTCCAGTCGGAGCTTGTCGACATGAATGATTTCTCGGAGTCCCTTCTTCCGCCAAACGATTTCGCCGTTCTCAACATACTCTAACACGATGTAAACCTTTTGCCGGTTTGGGTCATCAATGACTTCCAACAAACTCACGACATTAGGATGCCGTGCCTTCTTTAAAATAGCCACCTCCTTCTTCACCTTGTCTTCCGCGTTGCCCAATTTGCCGAGACGACGGCGTTTAGAGTATCGCTGGACGATCTTGATGGCCACCTTTTGCTTCGTTGTCACATGCTGACCCAGTTTAACCTTGCCATGTTCACCCCGTCCAAGCTCCTCGAGAATCTCGTACTGGTTGATGAGCTTGTTGCCCGTCTTGGAGTCACGATCCACTTCGGCGGTGTGGGTTTCCTTGGGCGGCTGCAAGTGTGAGGGATGGAGATAAGGGCTGCTGATCAAGCCTTCGTCCTCGGAGCCCAGTGGCGTCGAACGGGGACTTCTCATTGAGAAGAGTCCGGGGCTGGACACGGGGGTGTTGCCCGCGGTACGAGAGACGCGGGGGAAGAGAGGGAAGGACTCCGTGGTGGTCGGCGTCGAGTAGGTGCTCCGCGACCGTAGATGTGGTGGCAGCCCCCAAGTTGGATGGATTTGTGATTGGAGGGAGGCATATGATTGATCTGGATAGACAGGATATTCCGGCTGTTGGTCCGAATGCCGGGATGACCTTCGTGAATTCCGTCCAATATTACCCAGTTGCGTGCGGGCATCGACCACGGTATTCTCATTCAGCGCCTGTAGCGAGCTCGAGGAGGAACGGGTGGAGGGGGTACGCGAGGAGGTGTAAACGTGGGGGAACGCTTGACGCAGGGTTGCTTGTGCCTCGGACAGGTCAGGGACAACGATTGGCATGGGTGCATGCTTAGTCGTCGTGCGAGTATCGACTTTGTCGTTTGCTACTGCAGGTGTAGGCATTTGTGTTTGTGCTTGTGTTTGTGACTGCAACGTCTCGTCCGATCGGTCGAAGTCCTGCTGGGAATCTTCCACGCCGCCATTCCGAGTCGACGGCTGGTCGGCATTACCCAGACCAGCCGTGGCAGATTGGTTATCCGTCGAATTCATCTTCCTTCCTTTTTCTATATGTGGTTTTGCTTTTCTTTCAAAAAGAAAAGGTTCAGGAGTGCGGGCCAAGTTTGCCGAAATTACAGTTGAGCATGGTCCTCACAATTTTATCCAGTGATCGTTCGAAGATGGGATTCGTTCAAGGGCAGTTGACGAGAGGCTTGAAAAGCACGCACGAATGGACCAGCATTACTTTCGGCGCAAGGCGATGTGGGTATGGTGGAAGGAGAGGCAGAGGACGGATGCTGGCACCTGTGTGTACCGGACAACGGGCCGCTTGAGGGAGGGGAGGATGAGTCGTCGAACGAGTCGAAAGGATCGGAGATGATCGAGGTAGACCTGCTACAGCACGAGGGATTCGGGTGTTCGCGTTCCCACACACGTGGGGAATGGCGGACGGTGTTTCAAAGGAGTGCGATCGAGGGATGATGCTATAAATAATAAGGTGGGACGTTAGGGATGGTCGGCGGACTCGCTCGGTAGGAGAGGGAGAGGGGAAGAGGAATAGAGCGAGATCGGAGAGATCGGAGGTAGGCGAACTATTTCAGAAGGAATGTGCCAGTCTGAACGGCAAGACCAGTCACGGAAGAATGGCCGTCCAGAAGGAGAGAAGATTGTAAAAAAGCGTAGGAGGAGGAGGTTGGTGGAAGAAAGGGAGGTTGGGTTGGAGTTGGGTTGAGGCAGAGAGCCAGAGGTAAAGGTGGTTCCGGGAGTTTAGCTTAGTTTAGTTGCAGTGCCCCCCCGCCCAGCTGCACTGACTCTCTCTTCCCAGTGTCGGAGTGTCCACAGTAGGAAGTATGACTACCACAAGAGAGCGATGATCGGACGCCAAGAGGAAAATTAGGAAAGGGGGAAGGGAAAGGGAAATATGAAAAAGAAATACCAATGCAATATTACCTCGACATTAATGCACGTCTGCTAATCCGCTAGGAACAATTCTGTTCTGCAGTGGAGAGACCAGGATGGCCAGGATTATGATAATTAATGGTGGTTAATTTTGAATCTCTAATTGCAGCCCATTCGTTACTCTGGATAGGATGTCGAATACGTAAGTATGTAAACTGATCCTGTATCTTTACCAGCGATAAGACTTCGCAGGATCAAAAGATAGGCGTTCTGCCCAGTTATCCCCAGTAACCAATACGGAAAAATTACAAAAATAACAGTGGGGCTTGTCAGACTTTCCAGACTGTCGAGACTTGGCCACTTTGAGCTTTTTGGGCCTTTTCGGCGCCGGCTCTAAGTCAAACGAACAGTAGCGCTCCACTGCTCGTTTACTTCGGCCGACACTCCGATTGCACAACGAAGAAGAAAAGAGGCGCGATGACCACCGTTTCCCAGTGGCGATTTCTGCCCAGTGCCCAGCGCCAAGCATCACTTCGCTCACTACCTGCAGTCGATTCAGATAGACCCTCAAGTTCCAACATTGGCGGATTACGTCGAGGACTTGGGGCTCGTCTGGGCCAAGTCGCTTTCCTTCTTGGCTTTGTTCGCGTGCCGGGGGCGAATAATATTGAAGCTCCCCTCCTCTATTCACCCGTGGATCAGTGCATTCCGGGCGGCTGGTCATCAATGCTGGGACCCTTGCCTTGCCTGATCTCTTTCCCATCTGGCTCTTCTCTTTGGCCCACCAGCATCCTAATCAGGCTAACGGTACAGAGCGCATTCAAAGAAGGTCCAGACACGATGTAGCCATCATTTATCGTCCCTGTGGCTGGTTTCTACAAAGCGATATGGACGGGTCGTCCCCCCGGCGATATCGTCAGGACCGTGGTTGCCACCTTCTGCTAAGTCAATCCTTAATTCAGCGACAATCCTGTTTCGCATGGGATGATGATCCGCTCAGGTGCTCATTTCGGCCACAAGCAGCGCGCTCACGATGATCAGAGCCCTAGGTTTTTTTTCTCCAGACTACTACTACTACTACAGTGGTCATGATGCCTCTTTCTGCTTTAGGCATGGGGCGCGCGACTGTTCTGACCACCCATTCTACCCTCATTTGCCCCCCAACCGCGAACGAGCCTACGGGCAGCTTTGCCTCAACCAATTGCTCGCAGCCGCGCTGTGATAGGGCCCTTTCAGCTGGGCGACAAAATGGAAACTAAGTTTCTGTCCATCCCAAGCTGTTGGAACTTGGGGAAGAGAAGCGAAAGTCTGTTCTTTGTTTGTCGCTCAGCAAGGCCCCCCCTCCCTTCCCTTAATTCCCACCTACCCATTGTACTCTGGTGCCAAAATCCAGTTCGAACGAGGATAATTTGCCTTCTGATGGGCTGGGACGAGCGCACGCTAACGTTTCGCGCGGACATGACGGCGAGCCAGGGGTGCAGGGGAGGTGCAGGGATTCGAAGTGATGCGACTGGGCCGGCTGGGCACTAACTGGCGGTCTTTCGTGGGGGTAAAATGGACTGATGCAGTAGTCGCGGGTTTAGTGTCGAGTTGAAATCAAGGACTGACATGTAGAGAGGTTGTTGACTTGTCGCTTACAGTAGTGCCCTTGGAAGTAGTTGGAGGGCGACAATAGCACTTTTACTGCACTAACTAACCAATTCAAATCCGCTCGACCACTCCATACTCGTATACCCCGGACCTCCCTCGCTCGGACTTGGTGATCCTCGGTCTGCACGGACATATGGGAGACCAGTATAGGACCGTGTCGGCATAATCGACCATAGCTCGAGGGAAGAGAGGGAAGACCTCCGAGAGGCGTTCTGCAAGATGCCCCTTTCGAGCCCCCGGGAATGTGCATCGCCCTCGTCCGAAACGCGGTCATCGCCCATACGAATTCGCCGTCATCGCAGGTACAGGCGACAGTACTGTACACTGTACAGAATACAGATGGTATTCCCTTCGACAGTCGACGCCCGAGCGTCGTCCGTGCGCGCGTCCGTCAAAGTTGACGCCGGATGGGGGGTCTTACGTCATGAACAAGGGTCTGGCCCGCCCTAATTAGCCTTCATTATTTCTGATTCCTCTCAGAACTATGCCTGTTGGGTACGGAGTATTTTAGTCATTAACAAGGATTTGATCCATGCTCGTGCTCTGAATGGATGAAATACGAAGGAAAATATCTCCTTGGGGTAAATACGGATTTCAAGGCACTACTAGGCAAGTGCGGCGACTACATGCAGCAACAGCTAGGTAAATTATCTCCTCTTCACTATCCCGTCAATCACTATCCTCGATATTCCCACTACGACATCAACCACTCCTAAGCTACGAAACTGAAGAGATCCGATCAGCCCGGCCGTTTAGCTTTTCACGCACAGATCAAGTCCTACAAGCGATCCGCACCATCACTCCAGACTCCTCCCCTTCAGACTTTGTGGCGTGCAAATCTCTACAGCGTAATTTGCTTCCTGTCCCCTGGGGAAGGGCACTGGGCACGTTACACCACCAGGCCCCCAAACAGTCCTAGTAGGCGGATCTACCCATATTCGCGCATCAAGATAACCACACCACCCACACCCCTTTGTCACACCGGTTACTCCGGAAATTGACATATCAAAATAATTGCAAATCACCGGGGTGCCTGATTGATATGGTCAATGATGCCTTCAAGGTGCGCCGCGCCGATATCGGGTACTACCCAACCATTTACTGGATGATAAAAGTAGCCGGGGTATCTGGCAGCCATGGAAGTCAAAATGTGTGACGGAGGGAAAATGTGTAGGGTATCAGGTTTGAAATCTCCGAGGATCAACCCAACTCTATCCTAATGGGGGCTCGCGCATGTCTATGTATGACTTAGTGTGCAGGACAGTACTAAAGCCCTTCCCGTGCCGCCTGTATAGAACTTTGCATGCATACATTCGTCCACCGGAGCCTGGTATACTAAAATGAATAGATAGAACCAACCCAGCTTTGTGAAGACTAGACAACTCGCAGCTACCTGAGACATTATTTTTTTTTCTTCAGATACTCATACTCCTTGGCTTTATATTTCCGGTTCTGATGCCCATCGTGCTCATGCGCTGTTATAGGTTGCTCACTGAGCACAATTCTCAGCGCCCTAGCCAAGCAGAGTTGCCTAATGTATTCAGCCGAAATGAATGGTCTTAACATATGCAAATATACAACCACGGACTTTCCCCTTTTCCATGAGTCTCTGATACCAAAAAAAAGTAATTAAAATCAAAATCCCGAAGAAGGTCCTTATTTGTTTCCACTCTGAAGTAGGCTGGTTGATGACGATGCAAGAGAACCGCTAGGTCAATAATGCTTCATGGGCAATGTTTGAGTCTCTACGGTCATATGCGGGGTCTCTCAAAACTAGTAGTCTTGAGTCCCAAATCCTCAGCAAGATGGAGCTGACATTTCCTTTGTGATAGCTGAATTCTCGATTATGGCTTTATCTAAATCATGTAAGCAATAAAATATCTTGCATCAAGCCATCACGAGGCTGAGTGCTGTTCGATTTAAGAGCTGCAATATTAAAGGGCTCTCAGTATACAATCCTATGCATAATTCGAATTTTAAGGCAAGAGATAAAGTCGTATGCATTCACATGGGTATCATATCATCCAGGGCAGTCTTGAACCCGTAAATATTAAGGCTTCAGGAGTCATTACAAACATGCCAAAAAAGTCAATATCAATGAACCAATGAGATCTCGGAATATGTGCCAGTCCCAGTCACTTTACCCGGTGATAGTGACCCTGTGCTGCCTAAACTTCATCGTGAGTGACATTCGACCTGAACATATTTAGCCGTGCAGCAGCCAAAGATCCAGCAAACACCGGATTAAGGGGTGCCTCGTGCTGGTCGAAAACTGTAGTTTCATTAACAGACTGCTCTTGCTTGCTCAAAACATCTTTGAGCACGTCGTGTAGAAGCTGATCTTGAGATGATTCACCTAGCAAGACCACGTTACTAAGTGACTTGAGAACCACACCATCGCATTTGACAGGCATTTTGGTGAGGACGCCAAGAGCCGTTGTGAGCTTGGCCCGGCGGTCGTGTGTGGATTCTCGTGACCCAACATCGGTCTCATGTAGAACCCGTATGTTATCATAGACTCCACACTCCTCATAGACTAAGAGCGCAGTCAAGGCGGAGCGTGTATACTCCACAGTCAGGAACGCCTGTGCTGGGTCCTGTGGGTCTGGGAAGTAGTCACAATTTCCGGGGCCGATGTCATAAACATGGATTGCTGCTAATTTGCCAGCAGGAGCCGCAGGATTTGCGGGGATAGAGATAGAGATGGATTTGGTAGCGTAGCGGAGGGTATCAAAGAAAGGTTTAGAGATAGGAAATGGGACTGTGATTTCGGCTGTTGACACTGAATCCTCGAGATACGACTCGCTTGCTATTTTCAATGACTTGAGCATCCGCGAGATGGAGTCATGTGTGGGATTGTGACCACCCAGCCAAGGTGGTAAGTAGTCGCGAAATGATTGCCAGCTTATGGCTGTCGGTGTGTCAGGGGCAATGTAAGCATGGTCCTTTTGGACATCTGCTGTCCGCATTCGTTGTTTGTAGGTAGGATTTCCCTCGATTTTGGCGACCTCTGCGTAGGAGCCGTTCGGAAAATGAATACTCGCAACTCTGTTTTGAAGGTTATTTTGTGATCAAGTCTTGCAGTGGGCATTCGCACTCGAACCTTACCCATAGTCGAGGGTTAGCTCGAAACCAACGCCATAGTCTTGCTTGGCGGCTACAAAGGCCACGGGAAAGAGGCCGGTTGCCAGCAGATACCAAATCTGTAGAATCATCGTTGGAAGAAAAACAGTCTGGATTTCTAACAGTCTTGGACAAGAAGAGCTGGCCTGAACAAGGAAAGTTGAATGAAGATGAAAGAGCTGAATCTGGGGACCGTGGTTGGGGGAGGACGACCAAATAACCGTGCCAAGTCGCCCAGTGCCCGGCGTGGGGCCACTTGGCACAAGCTTAGTACTCAACCCTTATGCATCAATTTTCAGCCCCAAGCAGCACTTCCCTCTTTTGCATTCCCCTATTCGTTGTTTGTTTTGAGAAATCTATATGATCCACAATTTGGACCGTTCGTATAGCCCCATAGGCCCCCCATATGCAGGGCGGACCAAAATCATGCCGCTCAGTAGGGGCCGAAACACGGCGCCAACTCGAGGAACTCAACGTTGAATGGCTGCAGATAGCCCAAGCATCAACGAACACCCGAGCGGCTATGCAAGAGATCTCCTTTCACTTAGCTCTTGCGGCTGCTAGTTCCACTAACTGTGGGGGCTAATAAAAGGTAACAAAGAAGAGAGATCAAAATGACGTAGTTTTAAAGACAGAGGTCGTTCGCTTCCTCGCTTGCTTCTGTTGAATAATGTCTTTTGCGCCCTGAAGTTGATTGAGTTATGTCCAAATATTTGAAAATCCATCCTCCGGGAAATATAACATCCTCATGTGAACCGGATGGATGATCCGGCAATATAGCAGAGTCTGCAAGCGACATGAGCTTGAAGGAATCGTACCCAATGTTTGCCAAATTTTATGCTACTGCTTCGGAATGAGGTCAACTAAGGGGCCAGATGCACATGAGTATTTGCTTGTTTCTGTTCTAATTCCATCTGTAACGCGGAGCCTTGTCCAGGGAGATCGCCAGGAACAATCATCGGTACGTCCCTATCCGCCTGTCCATTTCTGTACCTACTAATTGTACCGAGTTCCTAGATACAACGATCCCACTACGTAGGAGATGAAAGCGCTTCGACAATCGGCCTTGTTAGATATTAATAGTACAACCAACTGGAGGCTTAAGAACACACACACTAACCACACGAAGGATTTATACCACTTCGCAATGATTCCTGCCCCCATCGAACAGCCTCGGGGGCCATTATTATTTTAATCTCACACATAGCTTGATCCTCGCAAGCTATTGCTCGAAAGTGTATATAGTATTTGTCGTGAGACATCGAGCATGAGTTCTCAAGATTATTCAGTCAATAGAATCAGCTTTCTCCGAGTATCTAATTTTCAAAATGCGCAATTCTGTCTTGTCCTTCTGCCGCTATGCGGCCTCATTGCTGCAAATCCTATAGCCGATCTATCTAAAGGCCCGGACATCAACAACCCATCGGCATCAGATCCCAAGACACCCCCAAAGAAGATCTCGTTCCCAAACGTCCGGATAACCCCTTCCCCAAGGGTATTCCAACTCAACCGGATAAATGTGATGGGTGGCGTGGCACGGTCATAGACCAATGCGGACAGCTATGCGATTCTAGCCAACTGCGCCTGGTGGTGGGACACCACTGGATACTTTCCTGGGGAGCCTGGCAAGCCTGGCCCTTCATCCGCAGAAGATGATTTCCCAATTTCGCTCTGGGTTGATCTTGGAAGTACCACATCTCCAAGTAAAGCCGACTTTGCCAAGCTATTCTCTGCCGATGAGGAGGGCTTTGACAGCTCAACGACAACCACCACTACACATACAACGACCGCCTCGGCGCCGACGGCGACAGCAGACGACACATGCAAAGAATCATACAAGTTCTTTTGGGACCACTTCGAAATTCACGGGAAGAACTTCGACCCGTCTAAGTTCGGCAAAGATGGATCAGGCCTTAAGAAGCAGATCGGAGGGTGTGGTGCGTTGAGCGGATGGCACTTTGAAACAGATACTTCGGGTGGATGGCAATGGCATGCCAAGGGAAACCTGCCGATTGGAAGTAAGGATTGTGTTGGCAGAGCTGTTGTATCGGCTGGTGGTGAGGGCCCCGATGGTTGCAAAGGCTCTGGATTGTAGATAGCATAAACCCAGGACATACTCGGACGTTGATAGTCGAATGTGGATCCGGAGGAATGGTAGTAAGATAGTCGATAAGATACTGAGATTCTTTTATTTTGTTCGACCCACTTTCCATGGGGAATTATTCGACCACACAACCCTTAGTCTGATTTAGCGTAGTAATGGTACTAATGTCTTCGACTTTAGATATCATTAGAGTAGTTCAAAAGTCTAAGTCTAGAAACTAGAGAAACGGACTAACTAGACAGGCTTCAATTACTCCCTTTGTGAAAGGTCTTTCTAAACGTCTTTCGAATCATCTTTCTTGGCAGCACAGATATTATTTAACTAGCGAGTGCGAAGATAATTTTGAAAGTTTGTCGGGGTTTCAAACTGATGGAACCCTATCGTAGAAGATAGTAATACTATTACAACGCTAGACCAGAATCAGGGCTGTATCGTCGAATTAGCAATGGTGTATCCTCGTTTTAGCAATTCTCCTTTCCATGCCATTTGACTGCATTCTGGTATCTTGATTTAGTAGTGGAATGTAAGCTGATGATAACGACGTTGTTTACGACAACAGTAGACTTCAGTCACTTCATATTAGTTCTCTAAGTAAAGAAATTCAATTGAGATCCTTGGAAACACTTTTCAGTATCAGGTCGGTCGCATCTAGAAAATCCACAGCTGTTCTCCCAATTCGTCAAATTTAGAAATCACATGAGATTTTCTGACTTCTACCTCAACAAGCCATTCTCCAATCACACGAGATGCATGTTTTGGGTGTATATCATGACCCTGAGCTTACTTTGAGCTCATACTGAAATCTACGCGCTTTACTTCGAGCGCCATCGTAATCGCCCTAATGAGAGAGTCCCCTGTATGTTCTCCTGCGTCATATTAGTCGTATTATTGTACGGAAACCTCCATGTTCTTTTTAGCGCGGTCATAAATGACCCTAATTAGCGGGGTACACCCGGCTAAGTACATACTGTACGCCGTACAGAGTAGATTACTTGATTCACCCCAAACTCCCTAAGTGCTCTAAGCTAAAGTAACTCAGCGTCCCATTTTAACTATCGTGCACCGTCAACTCCGCAATCAATGATTGGGCGATATACCCGATACTGCCTTACTAGCGTCGATAGCTACATGGATTCCCGATTGCGGAGATGCGCACTGGGCGTCTGCTGCAAAGGCGGGCTAAATCGACCACGGTCTCCCCACGGAGCTGGAGCTAATTTCTGCACCATAAAGGGGTACAAAATGACGCTAGGTAAGATCGGAGTTTGTTCGGGACTTGAGTTTTGATATGTACGATGCGGGGTGTGGGCACTGGGGGATAATTTCGCTAGATACTACGGAGTACTCCGTAGGTACTAGATTGTAATACCGGATACTGACAGCTAAAGCACCCCATCGCAAGCTCAGAGCTTAAATTCTACGTCTAAAGTGGCACTCCTGTCTAGCTCACTAATAATGCATGCGATTGGCTTGTTTCCGAGCAACCGGTGCCGGGGATCTGCATGCCCGGTGCCGGTGTCTCTCCGGCTAGGGGACACAGGCGGCGCCGGTGTCTCTATTTGGTTCATAGGTGAGGTGGCACACAGTTACTGTCTTGCCACTCTATTCACATCTGTCGAGCTCAATTCGGATACAAGATCGGACAGGGAGGATGCACAGGCACGGTGCAGGGATTGGTGGTGGTTGTACCGCTTGGTTGAGGAGCTGTTAGGGTTGGGTTGTACTTGGTGGCAACTATATGGTCTATCTTGAACAGCCGAAAAAAGATCAAACCATGATATCAAAAAAATCACCCTGTACTCGAGGGTAATTTACTCACTTCTTGACTGGAAGAAAGTCGTCCTTAATTTCTTTTGGGTTTAAAACCAAAAAAAATCAAGGATCTACAGTTTTCTCCGGTCTCCATTCCGCGCTTTCTGGTCCGAGCCACGTAGAGAATGGACGTCTAAACCACAGTTTTTTCCTGGGTTTTGATATTCCCAGTCAATGATCGCCTTAATTTTCAGTGTTACATACTTGACGATGATATTTTGCTACGCAAGGTCATTATGGTATAATAAAATCTCCGTTTCTCCCCGTGCTGATTTCCCCGTTCATTCATGTTGTCTCTCACCCGCGTCGGAAAAATTACCAGACCAGAAGGCTCGCCAATCATTTGGACAAGGGTCCGTCGTGTGTTCTTATGATTCTTGATCTCGGTGTATACGAGGGGCTATTTAGTCTCTAGTGGATCGGACATTGGAACACCCTCTATGTACTCTGTGATAGGGGTGCAGTAGTAGCAGCCATCGTAATGCATCTCGGGACGGGAAGCCGACCACATTTCCTCAAAGGGATAAGAACATATAGGCGTGTATCATGCCATGGCTGGCTTGTAGGTGTTTCGTACGCTGAAGCGTAAATACACAATCGACATGTAGCTCACGTTATCTCAATAGCAAAGTCCAATACAAGAGCTGGTTAGTGGGAAAGAGAAAGGTGAGCTAACAATCCTGCAAAGACCCAAGCGGCATAATGACTGGGGAGGGATTATCTTGCAGACAAAGAGGGCCATGCTACTTGTTGACTCCGGATAGTCTCGAAATAAGGTCTGAGCGTTTGCACGACGGATGGTCGTCTCCAGCAGAATCAAGATGGTTTTGTGAAGATGCATGCCATCCTTGTCGGAAGATCGATAGCTGACGAACATAGACCGTGTGTACCCTGTGTTTGGGAATCTTGTCTGCCGGTGGTTTTCTTCGTTCTTGCACAGTGCCATCAGCACAGGACGATGGGCTTTTTTGCTCCAATCTTTTTTAGCTTTATCTGTCTGTTAACTGTACAATGCCTAAAGCATTTTCTTTCTTTGTCTCCCTGCCAACAGTGGCTCGTAGACGCTCGAGCCCGAGGAAAAAAGCAAAGAAAAAGACGAGTACGAGAGAATAGAGTGCAACATGCAAGCCCCTGACTTGCATTGCTGTTACTGCATGAGACTTGTTTTGGCTAACCCATGCTACGCCAGTACGGAAGAGGCTAGACCACGAGCACATCCATGCATGCGATGGACAGGTACACTGGCACGTTACAGAAGATATGTTTTGCGCATTGACACTAACCCTGCATCAAAACTAGATCTTTCACTGTGGAAGTGATTAGCATTTTGGGAATTTAGCCTTAGTTCTGAAGTAGAATGCCTGTCTATTTGTCGAACGGTGATATTGGGTACTATAAACTGGAGTAAGAGAAGCAAGCTTCACCTACCTTTGTATTTTGTTCTCTTCAACTCAATATACGGATCCTCGGCTATGCATTGTAAGCAAACGAATCATCCCAATCCGTCGAAACCCAGTCCAGATGGTAGTCCGCCAAGCCACACAGCATCCGTGATTCGGACCCTGGGACTATGAACTGGCTACACACGAGCCTGCGCATTGACTAGGTTTGAGTTCGGTTTGAGTTACGATTCTCGGCTATGAGACGTGCATGAAACATGGTACGAGTACACGCATCCAGGTCATAGTGACAGTGAGATGTTGGCGTGCCAACTTGATGGAGCTCTCAGAGTGAACCACGGTTCGTGGCAAGATGGGACCCACTGGGAGATCGGGCTTGGGACGCATTTCCATTCGCTTTAGATACTCTATGCTGGTATTCTTATTGGTTTGAATTGAGTTAATGGCTTTCGGGGATGTGTGGCACCGACGGGATGCTGATAAGGAAACTAAGGCGAGTACTGACCGGCGCGGGGAAAGGAGAAGATGTTATTTTGGCCGATTTTCTAGGATTTCTTACAGATTTTCTTTTTCTTTGGTTACAGTATCTGGGGTAGTTTAGCTAGTAACCGAGAGCTACAGTAGTTCAGATGCATTCATAGCGCAATCAGTCAACTGAGGTCGGTGAGGTTGTTGTGGCTAGGTAAAATCTAGCTCTATATATTAGAACAGAAAAGAGAATCTCAAGAAAAGCAAATCGGGACATGACAGGACATGCAGAGCTCACAATCCCGGCCTTCTAAGCCAAATAGAAAAACACACACGTCCACCGGCTCGATTTCATGCGTTGTCTTCTCGCTAACACCGAGGAAAGACTCGAATGCGTGGCGGGCCTTGATTTAGGATGAGGCTAATCACTCGCACGCCAACTCGTGCTTTCGCACGACAGACTAATTCATTTTCGGATGTGGTGGATAACAGGTGCATCAAGTACCTAGCTAGAAATTCCATAATACCTATTAAGCCCTTCCCCGAAGCTATTCAAAAGACTGTTCAAAAGACAATTAGAAAGATCTTTTATAAAAAGAAAGTTAAAGCATATATATTTAAATTGTAAAACGGTTTCCCAAGTCTGAATATCAAGGATCCAGTCTACCTGTTCTCCACTGTATCCGAAAATGGAAATAGTCTGTCGTGTGAAAGCATGAGTTGGCGTGCGATTAGCCTCAGCCTTGATTTACTTGGTAATCTAGCCCTGATTGTGTTTGAGGATTCAATATTGGCCAGTTAGAAGTCAGTATCAGAGACTTTTTTTAACATGGGCTAGACATAGGATCTCGAGAAGGAGGGGACTCAGAGGACTGATTGTGAGCTTGACCGTGCCATTGACTAGAGGGTAGTCTGTTATCTCGGGCAACCTATACGCGAGTTAGTTATCTATAAGCATGAAATTAGCGATACTACCTAGAGTGCAAAGCGAGCCTATTCAGCAGCCTAGCGAAAAGAAGTCATATCAGTCACTGGGGAGATACAGACAGACAGTAACTATGCTGCCCCGCACCGAGGCAAGAAGAAGGCCTGTCCCTCGAGTCCTTGGAATTGTAGCGCCTCCCACTATATCTTAGATTAAGTCTTTGCAGAATGCAAAGTAACAGTTACTATAGGCTATGAGTATGATGTTGCGATCCACCGGTGCAATCTGATTTGCATCCTACAGCTACAGTCACAAGCAATAAATCCTCATAATCATCCCCCTTGGCCCCATCACCATGTCCCCACCATCCGCCCCGTTGCCCCCGCAACGAGGTTGATCGCATGTTGATCTGGTGCTCGGCACTCTATTTGCTGTCTATTGGGTGGCCACTTTCTTTGTTGAGGGGGTCCTGCACGTCCTGTAGGCGTCAGCCATCACACCGTCCAGCAGAATCATTGGTGTTCTCGATCTTCGGCCCCGATCTGGCCGGGTTTTCGCCAGGACGATTACGACGGTGTGGCTGGGAAGAGGTTTAAGTGTGTTTACTTTGATAGAATGTACGAGTCAAGTGGAGAGGACAGATGACTGGTAGTAGTCTTTTGTCTTGTAGGCTGGCCCCAACAGCATTTGAACATCTGAATATCACCATCGTTGCACCGGACTTCCTCCTCTCCTCTTCTGGCACCCTTCAAAAGATCAACTGGAAGACCTGTCAACAAACCTCCCTACTTAGCGGCATTCCGGCCCCTCGTCGCCTGCCTCTGTCAACCTCGTGGCACCATGCTCGCCGATCCTGGAATGCATCGCTTACCTTGATTGTGTCTCAGATTCCTTTTCGCAAACGCGCGATGGAGCTCCGTCGCCGCTCCAAGCGCAGTGGTCCACCCCTCACCCACGCTGCCCTACTACTCTTCGACCTCGTCAACGCCATTCCATACTCTCCGTCCTCCATCTTCCTCTCTCCATCACACAATGACTCACTTGCCTACCTGCTGCAGCCCAGCAGCTCCACCGAGGGCAAGACCGAGTTCCTGTCGCTGAACATCTCCACGAACCTCGATTCCCAGAACCCCACCTACCACACTTTACTGCCGCAGACTCCATTCCAGAGTACGGAGCGAAACTCGACATTCGTCCCCGTCATTGACGATCGCGGCATCATCTCCGTCTACGCTGGAGACTGTCACGATGGGTCAGAGACAAACTGGCTTTGGCGCTTCCAGCCAGACAATACTAGCTCAATCGGCAATGGCTCTTGGACGCAATTCACGGTGAACGCGGGGGAGGGAAATACAAGACTGAATTATCTGGCGGCCGGTTTCTCATTCGTACCCAACAACACGACTGGAACGCTCCTCTATTCGTTTGGAGGAATGTGCCCCTTTGCCAACAGCACGGATGACACTTGGGTTTCCGCCGCCAACTATTCGCAATCCATGGTGGTCATGGATCCCGATTCGAGCCACAGCACCGAATTCAATGCTGCGATTACTGGAGACCGCGCACCGCCTGTCCCTGAGGCAGGAATGGTTGTCGTTCCACTTCCAGAGACGTATTCGCGGACCCAAACCCAACAAGATTTCCTGTTTATCGGCGGCCATACACGAGAGGCCTTTCTCAATATGTCCCAGCTTGCGATCTTCTCGGTGCCACAAGAAAGCTGGGCCTTTGTCACCGTCAACTCGGATTACAAGCCTAGGACGGAGCTGGCTGTGCGGGATGCTGTTACAGTGGAGCCCCGGTCTGGTCATGCTGCTGTTCTGTCGCAGGATGGGACGAAGGTCTACGTTGTCGGAGGCTGGGTAGGAGACACTTCAACGCCTGCTGATCCTCAATTCGCAGTTCTCCATATTGGAGCAGAGTATGGCGGGACCGGGGAATGGGCCTGGACTGTACCATCCTCCGAGGGAGTGGGCATAACCGAAGGGACAGGAATTTTTGGTCACTCAGTCGCCATGCTCCCTGGAGGGGTGTTGATGATTGCCGGAGGATACAGTATTCCCAAGCAATCCTCGTCGAAGCGAGCAACTTCCTTGGCAGAGCGCAACTCTCAGGTCTATCTCTACAACACAACCTCAAGCAGCTGGGTGACTTCATACTCCAACCCGTCCGCCAGCTCTACGTCTACAGCGGCATCTCACCACCGTTCCCTTTCTTCCGGTCAAAAGGCAGGACTTGGAGTTGGACTGAGTCTCGGGATACTGCTTGTCATTACCATTGCCTTTTGCGTATGGGGATATCACCGGAAGCGCACCGTACGAAGCAAGCGAGATTCACAACTCCGTGAATTGGCCCTCGGCGCTGAACGTGCTCACTTTTGGGCTCGAGATGAGCCCCATCAGGCAAGCAGTATACGAAGCTCGCAGATGAGCGAGAAACAAGACCCCGTTCCTGCTTACCCGTGGTCTGCGAACCGCAGTGTCATTTCACGGCCTGCGTCCTGGAAAGATGCCGGTGATGGAGCTGCAGAAAGGGCAGGTCTGCTGGCAGACTCCAGTCCTACTAAAGGGACGCGCCAAATGAGCCAGCAACGATCGTATCGTCCATCGAGCTACGCCGATTACCGCCGCAGCGATACCACAAGTGAGATTCACCCGATCGATGAGCGCGAAGAAGACGAGGCGATGTTCCGGGAACGCCTTATGGCAACTATCCCGAAGGAAACAAAACCTGAAGTCCGGGAGCCAGAAGATCCATTCTCAGATACTCCATTTGCGACACCTAGAACCACCATCTTTGGTGTCGGCCTAGGGCCGTTCTACAGCCGTCGGAAGGACAACGGCTCTGTATCGGACGGACGTGCCTCTCCTGCTGGAAACAGTGACCGGACATCCACCAACCTCTCCGACTCGTCAGCCTTCTCCTTCTGCTCCGCCACAACCAGACCTTCCGGCCAGGTCTCCCAGGCTCGAGCTGTTCTTGTTGAAAGGCCATTGAGCTGGGGTAGCAACGGTGTCGAGCACCTCGCAACCGGATCAGCACATAGTGACGGCGATGGCATGAAAGCGCCTTCGGTGAAGTCGATCTCAACAGACTCCTACTCAACCGCTCAAACCACGTTCTCCCACCGCCAGGCCGAAAATGAATCTCTCCTCCACGACGCAAATGAAACCATCACCCCTATCACTCCGACTGATACCTCACCCTCCAAACTCTCCGGGTCCAAACCTAGAACATCTGATTGGATGCTCAACACTGTCCGCCGCGCTCTAACTCTCACCCGTCGCGGCGGAACATCCACCCAGCGCGACGACGACGTCGATGAAACAGCCTACCTCGCTTCAGGCATCGACCGACGAAGCACCATCCTAGTGCCCGGCCCGACGCCCATCAGCAACGGCGCTACCACGCCCCGTCGTGCAGTCAGCGCCTCTGCAGAGCTCTTCCGCCGCAAACAAGGCGCAAAGGACTGGAACGCGAAGAAACGTCTATCAGAAGGACCCCTTATCATGCCGCGCGGGACACGCGATGACCTCTTCATCGGGGCACCAGGTTACCTTGGCGACGATGAGACGTGCGATGAGTACGAGGATGACTGGGATGTCGAGGGCGCAGCGGAGGGTCGCAGTGTGCAGATGACGTACACCGTGCCCCGTGAGAAGTTGCGGGTTGTCAATGCTTCAGCTCGAGATATGGATAATATCTCTGAGCGGTCTACTAGCGGTGGTGTTCGGCGTATCAGTGACACGTTAAGTCATCGACGAGTGAGCCGTTAAAGTCATCTGCCCTTGTCTTGTGGAGGTTTGACATGACCTGACTTGGTTTGATTGCTTGAACCCGCCCTTGCGTGTTTGTCTCCTACTTTTCCGCTCTTCTTTTCTCCTTGTACACTTCATTATCCAATTCCCTTCGAGCGAGAGCCGAGGTTTTACAAGATTGTACACAAGACCTTGATTTTGATGTTCACGTTTCCACGGCTTTGACGATCCGATTTTGATTTTTGGATAGCTGGCGCTTTGTTTTGTTTTCTCTCTTCCGTTGTACCCTTATTTGTCACTGTTCTACATTTTTCCTCCTTCGTGTCAACTTTATTCGTTCGTTACTTGATATCCACGAGGCGGTTGTGTTATGGTTGTCAATGCTGCTATGATGATGTTCATCGGGGCTATTACCTAGGGTTCCCATACGCGACCCTGCTAGGTGGCATTAGAGACTTTTTTTGCGGGTCTTTGTGCTGGGGAGATGGGCATGAGAATAGGGGGTGCTTGTGTAGATGATGAATGAAGAATCAAAATGGACATTTTCGATTTTCGAGACGATTTATACCGTAGTCAAGCATTGTATCGAGAACACAGTGTTGTTCCATAAGTTTGAACCCCGACAAATTTTCGAAATCATCTTTGCAGTCAGGATTTGAGCGATAAACCAAGAAATGATATCTGTGCGATCAAGAAAGTGATTTGAAAGACATTTAGAAAGATCTTTTGAATAAGAGTGATTGACGCATGCCTGGTTGGTCTGTTTCTCTGGTTTCTAGACTCAGACTTTTGAACTGCCACTGTACCTCGAGCAGAGACCGTCCCAACTTCAGGCCTCTAGGACTTAATGGACTTATACGCGTGGATTGCTGGACAGCTTTTAAAAGGCCTGTTGGCTACTCTCTAATGTACTCAATCAACGAACAATCTTCATAATCATTGCTCATGCATGTCATTCAACAATTTTGTCTCTAGTGCACGCGGGCACTTGGTATATAAACACCGAGAATACAGCTCCCCAACACACAGGAACAGTAAAACAGACCCAGAGAGGTCCAACGGGCAGTAAAACCAGGATATACTATCTATCAAGAGATGTCTCATGGCCCCATGATACATCCCTTACTTTTCTGCCCTATTTCAATCAAAGGCCCAAAAATTGCGTTCAAAATCAATCCGAGCTCCACTTAGGCACCGTTAGGAGCGGTAGCAGGCTTCGTGGGCAGAGTAGTGGACAGCGGGGGAAGACGGTTCTTGGCGGCCTCGCGCGCATACTGAGCCATCAGGGCGTCCATGATGACCAGAGCGGACATGGCCTCGACGATGGGCACAGCACGGGGCACGACGCAGGGGTCGTGACGGCCCTTGGCCTCAAGAGTACCCTCCTCCAGATCGTATTTAGCAGTGTTCTGGGCCTGACCGATAGTCGCAGGGGGCTTGAACGCGACGCGGAAGTAGATGGAGGCACCGTTGGAGATACCGCCCTGGATACCGCCGGAGTTGTTGGTCTTGGTGGTGAGGCGTCCATCGTCGGAAACGATGAAGGGGTCGTTGTGGATGGAACCGGGCACCTCGCAGCCACCGAAGCCAGAGCCGATCTCGAAGCCCTTGGTGGCGGGGATGCTCAGCATGGCGTGGGCCAGCTTTGCCTCGAGCTTGTCGAAGCATGGTTCACCCAGGCCGACAGGGACGTTGCGGATCACGCAGGTCACGGTGCCACCGATGCTGTCCTGCGCATCGCGGAACTGCTCGACTACCTTGGTCATGCGTTCGGAGGCCCTGGCCTCAGGGCAGCGGATGGGGGCGAAACTGTCCACCGTCGGGCGGTCGATGGTCTCGAGGAGCTTCAGGTACTCGGGGTTGGTAGAGGCGGTGGGGTGTTCGGGGGTTGGGGGGAAGAGGTACTCGTTACCGACGGAGGAGACAAAGGCAACAATCTCGACGTTGTGCGACAGCTTGAGGTACTTCTCTGCGATGGCGCCCGCAGCGACACGACCTGACGGGATGGTAGTTAGTTTAAGGACGTTGAGATGTTGACATTGCCTTTCTTGGACATTGTGTTACTCACCAATGGTCTCACGGGCACTGCTACGGCCACCGCCACTGCTGGCCTTGACACCGTATTTCTCGAGGTAGGTGAAGTCGGCATGGCTAGGGCGGGGGTAGAGGTCCATTGTGCTGCCGCCGTAGTCCTTCGGGCGTTGGTCCTCATTGCGGACGATCATGCCAATTGGTGTGCCAAGGGTGACTCCGAACTCTGTGCCTGACTGGATCTCAACTCGGTCCTTCTCATTGCGCGGGGTTGTGAGAGCACTCTGGCCGGGACGGCGGCGAGTCATCTGGGGCTGGATATCTTCCTCGGTGAGTTGCATGCCGGGAGGCACACCGTCGACAATGCAGCCGACAGAGCGGCAGTGAGACTCGCCATAGCTGAAGGAGAAATCGTGAGCAGTTGGGCGTTGTTGCTGTACGGAGGGGCAAACTTACGTGGTGACTCGGAAATGTTCACCCCACGTCGACATGATGGCGGGGATTAACCAAACGGTTTAGGCTCGAGGAATGGGAAAGAGAGGAGAATGATCGAATGCCTCAAGATCAATTGGCAAGACTGAATCAATAATATATCACCAAGGGGACAGGGATGATGCAACACAAAAAAAAGAAAGAGACCCGACGCCGCCGAAAATCGACTCATCGATAGTTTCCTATCCGGGACTAGCGCCACCGACTATCGGCCGCGTTGCTTTGCGATATTCCCATCTATGTCAAGCTCCCCTTGCTCCTTTCCAAATGCTCGTCCGACGATGTCTGGCCTCGTCGCTGCGCGGTAGTGCGAGACACGTCCGCTACAATTCGTCATATTCACTCGATCGCTTCTCAGAGCTCGCCCGTCGCCCTTCGTCCAATCACCAAATTTATCAGTCGCTTTCGACCGACCCTTACGTCAACCTCTCGATTGAGCATTTCCTACTAGAAAATGCCCCGGCAGACTCGAGCATCCTCTTCCTTTATATCAACCGTCCATGCGTGGTGATTGGTCGCAATCAGAATCCTTGGCTGGAGACAGATTTGCGAGCACTCTACAATGACCGCCGTCCTGGTGCGGGTCAGGACGATGCTGCTGTCTATGTTCGGCGGAGGTCGGGCGGCGGAGCTGTATTTCACGACGAGGGCAATCTCAATTACAGTGTGATCTCTCCGCGGACCACTTTTACACGCGATAAACATGCGGAGATGGTGGTCCGGGCGTTGCACCGTATTGGCGCAGTGAATACAAGTGTCAATGTCCGACATGACATTGTCATGACACCCCCGGAGACACCCACAGATAGCAATGAGCCACCTTTCCGAAAGGTATCTGGGTCGGCCTTCAAGCTGACCCGGCACCGAGCTCTGCACCATGGCACCTGCTTGCTGGATTCGCCCAATATTCATGACTTGGGCCGGTTCTTACGCTCTCCTGCACGAGGGTATATCCAGGCTAAAGGTGTCGATAGTGTCCGGTCGCCTGTGGGAAATGTATCGAGTGCGCTGGCGGACTCGTTCTTTTCTATGCAGACGGTGATAGATAATGTGGTGGCGGAGTTTGCGCAAATGTATGGTGTTCACGCTGACGTTGTCCGTCGGGCACGACGTGCGCTTGCCGGGGAGCCTGAGATTTTTGCCGGCGATAGCTGGGTCATGGGAACGGTAGGCGATGCCCAAGGAGAGCAAGAACCGGAGATTGGCAAGGGAATTGCGGAGTTGCGGGTAGGTCGTACTACATTGTGTTGATTGACACCGATTACTGACTAGGAAACAGTCACTGGAGTGGAAGTATACTCAAACACCGCAATTCACCTTTTCCACATACCCTACCGAGGAAGATCCTCGCGAGCGTGCACCGTTGCCAGCGACTCTTCCTTCTTCGGTGAGTCTTGTCATGGAGAAATCAAGTGCTACCTTTGCGCGCATCGCTAACAACAATTAGACACGCGTGTTCCTCCGTCTAAAACATGGTGCTATCATAGAAAGCAACCTCTCCATTTCTTCCGACGCGTCAGTTGCATCTGACCAGGCCAGTCGCATGCATGAGGTCTTGAGCGGCCAGAAACTCCATGAGATCACCGTTGAGCGCTGGACAGAGATGCTCCGTCAAGGCTTGAGAGGGACTGATGGTGTAGATGATGCGCATGTACAGGAGCTGGCAGATTACCTGGGTGATTTGCTAGGAGGGCAATGATACCTCAGCGTGTGACTTGTATTATATTGGCTGAATATCCAGCTTACTGTACACTAAAACCAACCCTATTGGCCTGGCCAATCCTGGCTCTAAAGCCAGTCACATATTTATGCCGTAACTTGATTTGGACGAAGTGTGGGGGCGCCAGTGTAGGTGAGAGACCCTGTGAACTCAACACCGTCCCATTCCATGACAGTGTCCAGATAACTTCAGAGCTGTCAATCCTCTTGTTGTCAGCATCGTATTGAGCCACAAACGGTTGGCTCGCTCTACAGCCTTCAGACGAAGATGTTGAACCCAACATGTTCTAATTCGACCGTCTAGATATATCCCCATAGCCACACAACATTCAAAGAAAGCACCATATGCCTCCCAGAATATCTTGTACCTGCATCTTGGTCTCGATTTCGATTGGTGGAGTATGGATTTTCCACTTATCACGAACCGTGCCGTCTTGGATGCTCGGCTTTATGGAAGAACTATATCCCTTGGGCTTGCCCAGAGACAGGATATCGACGATGAAGATGATGACTAGCATACAATCTGACTTTTTAGAAGTCTCGCTGTCTACCTATCAACTTAGTTGCAATTAGATTGACACACTCAGTTCCTTGCAATGGTAAGTATCCGTTGATTGAATAGAACATGAGTAGTATATCAAAGATATAGACATTTTTGTTCTACCGATACAGATTCTCCCCGTCGTCCACCTCGTAAGATATTTAACCAATGATCTGAGTCTTAAGGGCCTTCCTGAAGACATTCATGCACTGGTAAATACAGGCTTGTTTCTGTTTCTGATCCATCTTCTTTTACAACGAGCAACCATCTGACTGCCAAGACATGCTAAAGGCCTTCCCCCGCATCATGGTGTGTATACCCTATCAAGCAAGGATATACATTCCTGTCGGCTAATTCCACGCATTCAGCCACCATCCAGTCAAATCAGTCATTCGCCGTCACTGTCGTATCAGACCATTCATTCCGCCCATCCCCATGGGGTGCTGATCTTCCCGTGATACCGTGAACTTTATCCCCAGGACCCCCACATCCCCCGACCTCCCCACTTGCCAAAACTGGGGGTACACAAAGCACCACAGCCAAGAAGCTCTCGCTTTGGCCATGTCTGACCATGTCTGACCATGTGGTGACCATAGCCTCTTGGCTATTCAACAGTGGCTCGGATTCGTGGAGGTTTTCCCCCTCGTTTCCTCGCCTTGACTGCGTGCTCTTCCCGCTCCTTATAGGCTGAACATGACAGCCAAGAACGAAGCTGGCGCGGATGACACCTTCTATGGACAGTGTCGCAGTCTGATCGAGAGGTATATCAGTAGCCGACGGCAATCGAGTTGGTGATTTCCGGGACTGGATTTAAATCATTGCCTTTGGCCCACTTTCGCACATTAGCTGGCCTGGTTTTCATAGTCATTCTTCCTCGTTTGTCTGGCGAAGAGCTACATTGTCATCATGTCGTGGTTTCTTCAGAAGATCGTCCACAATGAGGCGATGAGAACTGATCCCAAGGAGATTTATGGATGGAGAGTTTATGCTCTGGCTTGCTCTGTCAGTGTTATGGTGTAGAATATCTCTTTGGTTTGGAGCTAACACATCAACAGGCATGCTTTGGTGGAATGCTCTTCGGTATGGACTCCGGCATCATTGGCGGAGTTCTCACTATGCCACCATTCATGTCGTAAGTCTGATCTCTCCCTTTTATCGAATCTTCCTCGAATTTTCCTCCACTGGCTGCGAAATATGCTAATCTATTCTCTCTACTCTAGTGAATATGGCCTTACAGGTCTAAGCAAGACTGCACAGGCTAATCTATCGGCCAACATCGTCTCCACTCTCCAAGCAGGCTGTTTCTTCGGAGCCCTGATTGCCTCTCCAGCGGCCGATCGATGGGGAAGAAGGTATGCCCTGATTGGGGCAGCGACTCTTGGAATTCTCGGTGTCATCATGCAAGCCGCGGCTAATGGCCATCTCGAGGTTATGTATATTGGACGGTAAGACAATTTTAGCACTCCTGGGGCTCTAACCCCAATTCAAACTCCTAAATACTAACTATGGAATCAAACAGTCTCATCACCGGATTCGGTGTTGGCTCAGCCTCAATGATCAACCCCCTCTACGTCGCAGAGAATGCCCCACGCGCCATCCGCGGCGGTCTAACCGGTCTATACCAACTCTTCATTACAATGGGAATCATGCTTGCTTTCTGGATCAATTACGGCTGTCTATTGCATATCAAGGGCAAAGCCATGTTCCTCATTCCTCTGGCCATGCAAGCCCTGCCCGCAGTTCTTCTATTCGGCGGAATGCTCCTCTGCAATGAGTCGCCCCGTTGGTTGGCCAAGCAAGATCGATGGGAGGAGGCGCGCGCGACTTTGTCTAAAGTTCGAGCACTCCCTCCTGACCACCCGTACGTGGAGGAGGAGTTCCAGGCTATCGCGACCCAGTTGGAACAGGAGCGTGCTTTGATTGGCGGCTCCGGTTTCTGGGATTTGATGAAGGAGATGTGGCTCATTGCTGGAAATCGCAATCGTGCTATGATTTCTATCTTCTTGATGATTTGCCAGCAGATGACCGGTACCAATGCGATTAACTACTACAGTCCTCAGATCTGTCAGTTCTATCCTTGATGTGAATGATACTTGAATTGCAACTAACAGTATACAGTTAAAAACGTGAGCCATCCTCCTCCTATACCTTGACAAAGTCATATCTATAAGATCCAACAACAAGAATGACCGACCCTCTAACATATCATCTCCTTCTAGTTGGGAATCGTGGGTAACGCAACCAACCTCTTCGCAACAGGCGTCTACGGAATAGTAAAAATGGTCAGCTGCGGCGTCTTCCTCGTCTTCGTCGCCGACTCCCTCGGACGCCGCCGCTCGCTTCTCTGGACATCCATCGCCCAAGGTCTGGCAATGCTGTACATTGGTCTATACGTCCGCATTGCCCCTCCAGTCCAGGGAGCCCCCGTCATCCCCGCCGGTTACTTTGCCCTTGTTTGCATCTTCCTCTTTGCGTCCTTCTTCCAATTTGGTTGGGGCCCTGTTTGCTGGATCTACGTCTCTGAGATCCCGAGTGCACGCCTTCGATCCCTGAATGTGGCCTTTGGTGCCGCGACACAATGGTTGTTTAACTTTGTTGTTGCTCGCGCTGTGCCGGTTATGTTGACTACTGTTGGTGCGAATGGTTATGGGTAAGTTCATGTTTGATACTGAACAATTGTGAGACAACGGGGTTACTGACTCGGGAAATTCCGTTATCTAGAACATACATAATCTTTGCTTGCTTCTGTTTCTCAATGTTCTTCTTTGTGTGGTTCTTCATCCCAGAGACCAAGGGTGAGTGAGACACTATTTCTGGATAGTCTTATACATCGCTAACTAATTTTATACAGGACTTTCACTCGAGAAGATGGATGATCTCTTTGGAGTCACTGAATTGATCCAGCAGAAGGCGGCTGATCCCGAGCAGGGCATTGTCACTACAGACGCGGACAAAATTGCCGGCACTCATGTCGAGCATGCGGCCCCTCCCACGCAACGATAAGAGTCATGAATTTGCGGGTAAAGGATAGGTTCGAACAAGGTTGAACAAGTGTTATTAAGACTGTAGTCAAGATAATCTACTTTAATTTTGATTTGGAAGGCCTTGCAACTTGATCTTACGGACTACATGCGCATGAAAGACAGAGCAGATGTCTATTGAGGGATATGTAGGGAATGAAAAGCGCGAAGAAGAGAAGGAAGGATTAAATAGACAAGTGTTAACCAAGGTCTATGAGGAGCCTAAAGTCTTAAGGCTTCAACAAGGTGAGTTGAGTCGATTCGGCATTACAAGGATAGAAATCGTTGTTCGAATGATTTGATTCACAGAATCAAATAGGTGTATTCACATAGCTCATATCGTCAAATCATTTACATCATAACCACTGAGCTTGGTATGCAAGGCGGCCTCAAAAACAGACATGAGAAAAAGGAACAAAAAATCGCCGCCGCTATGAATGTGACGCTCGCTGGGTCTAGCTTCCTCCTGACAAAATGGAAACAAATGATAGGGTGCTCGACTCATCGATAAACATGCAAATAAAAGATCAGGGGAAACGAGACAACAGTCTGGAACAGGGAAAAAAAAAGAAAGAAACGCAATGGCATAAGGCTAGTAGAGCGAAAGTGCCACTAGAATCATCTAACAGCCCGGGCTGGGAATCTCTGCCCTGTTAGCCCTTGCTGTGTTTGACTGCGAGTAACACGCCGGGAAGCAGGGCGATCTTCCAGACTCAGACCGCCGATACCTGGACCAAGCTCGTTCCTTCGCGGAGAAAAGGCAGAGCCAAACTCCGAGTTAGGATACCGACCGTACCGAATATTTCGGTTGGTGACATCGGTCATGGTTGTAGTGGTGGTAGCCACGGTTTCAGTATCGGAGTCTTGCTCGTAATCTGAGGGGGGGTCACTCGCCCGGAGATCACTAATAGTGAAGCTATGAGGGTTCTTCCGCGGTGTTGGGAAGCGATTGTGGCTCTGAGAAGAGGCAATTTGGTAATTCTGAGCAGGTGGCAAGGCTGTCGATAACCCCGAAGAGAAACTGGAGCTGCCGGTGGTGGTTGAAAAGGAAAGAGAAGGGGCTTCGGAGTGGGAAGTGACCGATGGTGCTGGAGGTGGGCTGCTGAATGTGGAATGGGTAGGGGACCAAGGAAGAGCTTGTTGAATTGGTGACAACGGCTGTGGGGATGACGGTTGCGGTGAAGTAGGCTGCGGAGACATTGGGACGTGCTCCTGGTGCTGTTCAGAACCCGCGACAGGTGCTGCCCCTTTGTAGGAAGCTAGTAACCCCAGACCCTCCTGAACAGCCATGAAAACAATGAGCAATTTGCCATATCGGTCAAAGTATTCACGCTCATAAGATCCTTGAGGCAGATGAGCGCCAAGGTGAACAGCCGCTGCAAGCTCAGTGATGTAGACCAAGATCTCCATGCCATTCCAATGTACCAGAGGCCGTTTCACTGCTTCTAGAAGAGCAAAGCCTGCGATGAGACTGGCACTACCCAAAGCACAAGCTTCGATGTAGTTTCCGGGAATTGAGAGCTGGTGATTCCGAGAGAATGTCCAAGCGGACAAAGACCCCAACAATAGAGCCAGTCGAAGGTATTGGAATACAAGATGTCTTGAAGGAGGAGAGTAGGATTTCTGATTGGGCGGTGGTTGCTTCCAGTCCCTCTTCGGACCTTCGGGGTCAATGTCGAAGGCACGCTCAAACAATGTTTCCAATCCAGTGGAGGTATTGAGATCGCTCGTCGGGAAGAATGATGGGGGCCTGAAAACTGGTTCCGGGCTCGCGGCTTTCAGCTGCCACTGATTTGGGGGATTGTATAAATCTCGATGGAATGGGTTTGGTTGAACAACTTGCTCAATAGGTTTTGTCGATGACCGATTGCGGAGATTCCATGCCGGGGGCTTGGGAGCAGGTGGCAGGGTGCCAGTGAAAGGAGAAGGGCCATCGAAGACAGAAGGCTTATCTCGCTGAGAGACGCTGGCTCTCGGCTGGAGAACAGGTTGAGGCGCTGATGGGGTCCACTCCATTTCATCGACTTCTCGGGGCGGAGTAGGGAAAGCCGGCGGCTTACTTGCCGAGGACAAAAGAGGAGCCAGCTTCTCCATCGGAAATCGCTGATCGAGCGGGCCAGTCGCAGGCCTCGGTGTGAGATTATCTCTCGAAGCACTAGGTCCCGTAACCGGGGATGTTCCGCCGCTTCGCAGCGGTTTCTCCCAAGAGTTATCAGACCAATCTACCAATGGTTGGGTATTGTAATCGACCACGCGACGTGAAATCACAACCGACAACAGCGTGAAAGCGATCATAAAGATATGCAACGCTGGGGGAAGCTTGGGCCCGAGAGCGCTTGCAGATGGGTCCTTGAGCAGTTCCCAGAACACGCAACGAGTCACGAGGGTGATCAGTTGTGCCTGGTAGTATTCCGCAAACCCGGCAAATCTACCAATTCGTCCCTCGACCTTCATGCGCAATTTTGGATTCCACCAAATAGATAAAAGCCCCGCGATGAGGGCAAATCCTGCAGTAGAAGCCAAGTCGAACGAGCATTCACTGAGAAGACGGCCCGTCCGTGCTGTCTGACTCACACAGGAAAGCAATGATACTGGAGTATCCGAAAACATATCTGGATCAAAAGAGAGACCACGGCTAGTCAGAACGCTCGTCACGTCCCATGCAATTTGGCCACCAACACTGGTCCAGTATCCGAACGCGCCGGCGTAAACAAGCAAGCTCTGCCAGCTGCGATCTCTAGCCTGCCGTAAAGTCTTGCTGGCTCTGCTGCGCTCCATCATGCGACGAAGATGATCTGCCTTGGCCTCGTAGCCCTTCTTGCGAATTTCCTCCAGCACTCGGGGCCCGCAAGCATCGCAAACTTGCGGGTATGTTTCCTCGAGGCCTTTCTTGAACTGGGCATACCCACGCTCATATTCTTCGTCCGTCGGGTCATCTGATGGCGGAAAGTATGCAGCAATTGATGATCTGAACAAATGCTGGTTTCGAATGCATTTTGAACAAAATGAATGGGATCCCCCGAAGTCTGTCGAGTCGAGGGCAGGGCTCGAGGCGTCGGGTCCTTGATTGAAACGGTTCGTGTCCTCGGCTGGCGGATCTGTGATATCTCCATTCTGTAATAACAAGCGACAACTCATTAGTATCTTTTCAAGGCTCTTGGCTTGTATTTGGCGAAGCGTACCTGGTCCAAATAGTTATCGGCCTCACAGTGTTCGCAGTGGAATTTGCGCACCCGCCCACGGACAGGCTGCGTAGCGCGCCGACCGCAGTAAAAACAGGTCAGACGTTTTGAAAAGAGCGCCATGACATGTTAGCAGACGCGAGTCGCAAATCAAGAACAACAGACGCGGATTGTTGCTAGTAGCAAGGGAGAGGAAGGCGGAAACCTGAAAATAATAAACCCAAGAAACAGAAACAGAAACCCCAGGCTGCAGCTGCGGCTGCACAGACCACTCGAGGCACGTGTTGCGTGGACGCGACAGCTTCAATTTTGCCCAAAAGGAAATGGAAACTCCCTTTCACACTGTGGGTGGTGACGGCTTCTTTCTTCGTCGCTTGCTTCTGTTTTGGCTACTTGCCTATTTAATCATGCCTCTTTCGCCATAGCAACCGCCTGTCTTCTCTTCCCCTCCTTCAAGCACGCATCCGCAGTGACATCATGGCCTCGACTCCACAGACTCTCTGGGATCTTCCCTTGAAGATATTCGGCTCTCTAGCCGCCATTGGGTTTCTCATCCTCCTTGTGCGTCTAAATGGAGGCTCTTGGAATGATGCATGCTCTACAGAACTAATTGTCGGGCTAAACTAGATCATCCTGGTCTCTCTTGTAATCTCTCAGAATGCCTCGCTCCCCAAAGTCCGTCGGAGAGGCACCCCTGTCCACCTCCTTGTCGTGCTAGGTAGCGGTGGACACACAGCTGAAATGTTGGCAATTTTGGAGAACAACTTTGACTATTCCATCTACACCTACCGCACCTACGTTGTGAGCTCTGGCGATGACCTTAGCACTCAAAAGGCCGTCGAGTTTGAAGACACAATTGCGCAACAGAAGGACAGCAAGGAACTGACCGAGAACTATGCCATCGTCACCATTCCACGGGCACGACGGGTGCATCAATCATACTTGACGGCGCCATTCTCGACACTCCACTGCTTCTGGACCTGTCTTCTCGTTCTACTAGGACGACACCCCAACCAGCGTCCACTCCCTACGCAGTACACTTCCAAACACCCCGATATTATCATCTCCAACGGTCCCGCTGTAGCTGTGTGTATGATACTCGCCGCGAAGTTCATCCGATTCTTCATTTATTGTTTCCGTTGGGCTTCTGGCCGGGGCTCTAAGCCCGAGATATCAAGGCTCCGGACCGTTTACGTGGAATCGTGGGCTCGCGTTCGGACACTAAGCGTTTCTGGACGGATACTTCTCCCCATTGCCGACAAGTTCCTTGTTCAATGGCTTCCTTTGGCTGGACGGCGAGCTTGGTGGGGTATGAAGGAATCGGAATACTGTGGCTGGGTAGTACTTTGAACTGCCTTCTCCGTGAGCGCTATCCTTCTCTATGACGCATATGCATACCATGCCATTCAATGGGAGATGAGTCTCAGTTAGCTTTTTACTCCAAGGAAACCACACATGATAATGAAAGGTTTACTTGATTCTCGGCATTCTGGCCGAAGTTGAACGCCGGGGTACTTTCCCCCTCCACATACCGATGTGGGGACTAGAGAACAGTTTAATCCGGGCCGCCACGAAATCTCTCTGTATGGTTAACAAGTGTAGAGTACATAACTGCGGTGAGTATAACTGTTCTCAAAGAGAACCGCTCAGCTACAAAAAGTGTGAAAGTACATGGTCAGCATCGGAATAATCCCGTCGCAGTCCCCACTGTGCCTGATAAACTATCGCGCCTGGGGTCTGCAATCGCATAATTAGCCCCGCATCCCCCGAACGGAAGTGCCCCGTCGAACATTCGCCAGGCAGTTATATCTGATACCATTGCGCATTTCGGCATTGAGTCGGACCTACTTTCTCTGCAATCCAAGTCTTTCAAACAGATCAATCCACCATGCCTTACTCTTTGAAGGGTCGGAATGTCCTGATTACTGGTGGATCGCGGTATTGCTATCCCTATTATGAACAGATCAAGCACAGAACTATGACTAATCTGAGATTCACAGAGGTCTTGGTGCTGTAATCGCTCAGAGGTTCGCTGCAGAAGGAAGCAATGTCGCTATCAACTATGCATCAAGCAAGGAGACCGCCGATAAAGTTGCCTCGGAACTGGCAGCCCAATATAACGTGAAGACGATTACTGTCCAGGGTGTATGAGTAGACTCGGCTCTTTTACTCTAAAATAAATTACGTGGCTGATTCTCTGATGGATATAGGATGCAGGAAGCCAGAGCGATTGTACCAATGTCGTGAAAACCACCATCGAGCAGCTAGGAGGTATCGATGTTGTCATTTCAAACGCCGTGAGTAGCTCTTCGTTGCTTTCTGTTAGTATACTCTGAGAAATACTAATCCCCGGACAAGGGCTGGACGAAGATGACCAAATTCAGCGACCTGGATGCAATGGACGACGCGGATTGGGATAAGGTGACTTAACACCTAAACACGTTACTCCTTGCATTAAGAAGGCTAACCATGATAGTGCTGGTCAATTAATGTCAAGAGCAACTTCCACCTTTTCAAGGCTGCTTTGCCCACTTTCAATGCCAATCCTGATGGTGGTGTCTTTATTCTGACTTCCTCAACTGCGGTACGCTTAACTTGATGATAATTAGCGCCTGGTTACTGAGACTGACATTGATTTCAGGGTGTTACCCCCAGCGGTAGCAGTATACCGTACGCAGTGACCAAGTCAGCATGTAAGCACTTCATGATATGATTAAAATTCAAACAACCCGCTGATCCTAATCCTCAAAGCAATTCATCTCATGAAGTGCCTGGCGCAATCACAGGGTCCGAAGGTCCGGGTAAATGCCGTGTGCCCCGGCCTTCTCCTTACTGAATGGGTAAGGAACGCATCAATTCTTCCTGTATAAGACGTTAACTCACATCATCCTAGGGCAAACGCTTTTCTCCCGAGCAGATTAAGGGCTGGGAGGACAGGACGGCGCTTGGGCATACGGTAAGTGATTCTCAATTTTTTTTTCAGTTTGTGCGATTTCTCATTAACTCTTATGATAGCCTGAGGTCGAGGACACCGCAGATGCATATCTCTCCATTGCGAGGAACTCTTCTATGACGGGCCAAGCCGTCCAAGTCGGTATGAGCATTGATTCCTAGCAAGAATGACACTTTGCTAACCAATCCAGATTCTGGATTCCGTTAAGAATGAAATTAGTTCAGAGGGCCTTGCGCATACAGGCGGAAATCTCAATCACTTCTCGGGAAACAAATTTATACAGGCTCTCAACATTATAAAGGGTATCAAGCTGATAGAATAGAACCATATTATACATTTTGCATTGCCCTCATATAAGAGGGTTGCGGAAAGGAGTAAACTCGGCACCGCCAGACTGGATAGACCGATCACCAAACATGCGCGCCTTGATTGCAGCGCGTAGTCCCTCGGCGACCGGTTCTCCCTCCACCTTCAAGTGGTTGATACGAAGCGCCTTTCCATCCTTGGTGAATACATAAAGCGCCCTGTTCTTCTTTGGCTCCACTGGGTGAGGAGCATTCGTGAATGGCAATCCAGGAAGAATTGCGAAAGCCTCGGATCCCTTGGGAGGGTCCACTTCTTCGACATCTGTAAGGATGACACGCTTTTGTTGAAATGAGATGGGTCCATCTCCCGGTTTGCTTGCCACGAGTGCTTTGCTCCATAGGTTGCCAAGGACTCGGTTGCGTCGGTTGAAGTTGACTAGGTCCCAATTTGCCCAGTCAACGTGTCTATCTTCAGGCATGATCTTGGCAGCATGGATGAGGTTTTGGGTGTCTTTCTCAGAAAGCCATCCTGCGTCTTGTACTGGAGGTACAAATAGGCCATTCTGGATGCCGTCAAACAGTAGCTGGGCACCTTTGACTGAAACCAAGCTGGTCAACTCGGGCACAGTACAGGACTCGGGGTTGGGAATATCGAAGCCAGGAGCTGGAGATTGAGCAAGAATTTTTCCATGGTCGAAGCTCTTGTGGTGCAATGTCTGAAGTGTCACGCCAGTCTTGGTTCTCCCTGCTAAAAGCGTGTGGTGCAATGGCGCTGGGCCACGGAAGCTGGATCATATTAGTTCTCTTGGTTCAAAACGCCTCGGTAGGTTAATTTACGTACTCTGGAAGCAGGGAGGGGTGCACGTTCAAGCCTCCATACTTCGCAGCATTCAAAATGCGCGGAGGCACGAACAGCCCAAAGGATACAGCGATAATCAGGTTGATAGGACCATTCGGAGTCTCGGGGGGCTAGCACAATTAGTAAAATAGAAACCCATAACAGAAGCTAATATTTACAGTCCATCCTCTGAATGTATCGATTTCATGAACGGGGAGAGATAGTGCAGATGCAGCTTCCTTGATTGGCACTGTTTGAATCTCTAGTTAGATCTTAGAGCAACTTCAATTAGCTCAAGAAAGTGCAACTGACTCTCGCGAATTTTCTTCAAACCCCTTCCGACCCGTTTTCCTGGCCGACAGACCACATCTATGGACGAGATCTGGTCGGGATTTTTCAAACGGTAGTCGTAGAGAGCTTTCAAGGAGGCAATACTAAAGTCGTCGGAGCCGCAAAAGAGGATCCGAAGCGGATCAAATGAACGAGTAGCATAGCTCCGGTGTGCAGGCCATCGAGCAGCAGCAGCAGAGTGCCTGCAGAGCCCAAAGGCGCTGCTACCACGAACCACGAACATATTTGGCTGGTCTTGCGACTACAGAAACCGCTGGCCAAGAGCCGTTCACTGCTCGGGACAATCCGACTTATCGATAACGTCGCCACGTGATGTCAACATGATCGTTGCCTCGACTTCGTCGCGACGCAATTACCCCACAACTGCTTTGCGATCGCTGAATTTGAGCAGCGAGCGCTAGCGATGCGATGCCTGAAACAGAGGCCGACTCTGTGATACCTGCGCAGCTATCTTATCTCGCCATCTACAACCCAACTTTGGGCCCCACGGACGAGACATTAGAGGACCAGATCGTGTTCTACACCTCGAGATCGGGCAATCTACAAGAAACGAATGATGCGACGGCCGAGGAAGATGGCAGCAAACTTTCTGGGGATGACATGAATCGGAAGCTGCGCCAGATAGGCCTGGCGCAGGGGATGGTGAGCTTTGCCAGGTGGGATTCACTCTCTTGATCTCCGCAAATGACCGAGGCTCATGTGTACCGTTATACAGTAATTTCTCCTCTGGCAAACCACTCGAGTACATCGAAACTGATAAGGCGCGGGTCATCGTGCTCGAACTGGAGAAGGATTGGTGGATAGTTGCCGTGAGTATAGCTAGGCAGATGAACAGTATGACGAACGTATCTAAGACAATACCAGTCTATCGACCTCACCCGGTTACCCGCCGATCTAACTCAAACTTCGTCGACCGATAAATCAAGTCCCCCCTCATATCAGTATTCAGCGAGAGAAATGGGGCCACCGCAGCTACTCATTCAACAATTGCGCCGCGCACACTCCATATTCCTACTTCTCCACGATTTCACTATGACCGAGCTCTACAATCGTGTTGGACGATCCTCGTTCTGTCTCTTCCTAGACCGGTTCTGGGAAAAGTTTACATTGAATTGGGAACTGCTCTTGTCTGGAAACCCGATTGTGGATATGTATAACGGCATCAAACTTGCCGCAGGAGGAGAACTGGGCATTGGTGTCGGAGAGGAAGAATGGGGTAGTGGTGAAAGAGAAGTCCTTGAAGACTTTATCACCCGAACAGATGGCCTGCTGGACTTGGTTGTCTCGAGATTTGGTGATCTGCCCGGACAAGCTGGGGGGTCACCACCGACCACTATGGGCGACAGTGAGAATGCATGGTTAGGTTCAGACTCTGATCCTCGGCCAGCTGATGGTGTAGTCTTTTCCGGCGCTGGCGCTGTGGATCGACGGTCCCTGGCTCAGTTATCCCACTGGATGGAATGGATATACCGATACGGCGACGCGGCGTATGGAATCGGGCGGGATCCGACCTCACTACGCCGACGAAAGCCTCGCAGAAAACGAGCACGAGCTCCCAGCCAACCTATCACGCCGGAAAGAACACGTACCCCAGGGATACCTCGGCCCCTTATCATGGCAATGCCACAACCGCCTCCAGATGTCCAGAAAGAGAACAGTCCTGAAAAGGGAACCGGAAACTCGCCGTCCAGCAATGATCAGCTGGCCGACAAGTCAGCGTTCGGAACGGACACAGTCATGAAATACCTCACTCTAGGATATGGTTCTGCGTGGAGCTTTTCTAACAAATCAGCACCCACGTCGACGGCATCCTCACCACCTCCTGAGAGCTCTTCGGCACAGCCAGGACAACCCACTGCTGGGAAACCACAAAATAGTGGATCTTCTTCAACCGATGTACGCACTCCGCCAGCTCCGAAGCTCCCAATGGATGGACCTCGGACTGAGACAAAAATCAATGTCCCTGGCCGCTTCGTACTAGGGCCACGCGATGATCTAGACAGGTTGGATGACATCGAAGAAGGAAGCCCAGAGCCGGAATCAGATGCTGGACGGCCTAGGAGCCGCATAGTCCATCGATCAGTTCACGTACGATTAGCAGACTCTTCAGGCGAGAGTATGAAGAAGCTCCAAGCAGTAATCTACGTGGTATGTATAATTCTACATTTATGAACTTCTTCAACCGGACTAATATTTTCACAGCATCAACCATTTATGTTCACTTTTCTCTTCGACCCAGACACCCCGGCTCTATCATCTCCCGCACTATACTCCAGCATCCATCACCAACTAGGCCCCCTTCAAAAACCACTTCTATCATCAACGTCGCTTACAACAGCCGCCTCTCGCATCTTCACGTCCGAAACGACCGGCGATCCAAGCAAACGCTTCTCAACACGCAGCCAACCCGTCTACGACATAGTATACGACCCATCAAACCTAACAATCCGCTCCTCAATCCCCAACATCCCTTGCCTCGGAACTCCCACCCGTCCAAACGAGACCTCCCAAGCCCAGAGAACTCCATCACCCTCTCCATCCCAAACCCCAAACACACCATCATGGTCACGCGTCGAGAGCATAGCAATCCACCAGCGCCTCCTCTCCACATACATCGACACCCGCCCCCGACCCCAAGAACTAGAACGCACCTGCAAAACCAGCCGCGGGTGGTGGATCGTCTGGGTCCGCATTCCAGTCCCCAGCACACAAAGTCACCGGTCACACGCCCTCTCATCTGCATCTTCCTCCACCGCGCTCTCCTCCATGACTGAGGACAATCAAATTCCAGTCCCCTCATCCCTGGTTCCAGAGCTTATTCCTGAACCGCAAGAAGCGTTCATCGTGCGTAAGGCGAGTGACTACGTTTCTTCGTCGGGCCATGCCCGTATGAGCAGTGGAGCGAGGTTCTTCCGTGATCTGGGCGGTGCATCGTCATCGAAACTTGCTGCTTCGAGGGCTGATACTACTCCGTCGAAGTTAGTGGAGGGGTTGGGGATGGATGCGAGGCGGTATATTGAGGGGCTTTTGAACTTGAATAGGTGATTTTGCTTGGCGTGTTATGTTAGGAGCAATATGTATATAGTCTCGCATTAAGCTTTATGTGTATGAAGTCATCATTGAAATGATCTGATCTTCTACTTGTGTAGGCTGCTTAACATTTCATCGAGCTGATTTATCATGGATATGCACCACTTACTCATTACCGTCTCGATTATGTATACCCGGTCCTCTGCCCGTCTATGCCACGTGCCCTATCATCGGATATCTGTAACCTTGATCTTGGTCCTGGTCCGCGGAGAAAAAAGGACAAAACGGACAAGTGCGGTTCAAGCGGAAATCGAGGTATCACATTGGTCAAATGCTTCACCCGGGATATATTCGTTAGGTAAAAAAACCATCTACCATCATACAGCGGGATAAGAATGAGAGAGTAGGAGGATACCAAGTGTTGATGCCAGGCCACCTAGATGAGAGAGGCAAATAGAAAGCATTATCCAATCTAACCTTATACAGTACCGGCTACATCCAAAAGGCAAATCTTGTCGGGTGTTATGTGTTTTTTTAGAAAATTTATACTGCCACAAGTGTAAATTTGAGGCACTTTGTCATTGTGATCCAGATTCCATAGAGTCGGATTGAAAGAAAATAGAGGGTAAATAGGGCGTAGGGGCAGGAGGAAGACGGGACAGGAAAAAGAAGAAAAAGCCCACAGGGTTATGATGAAGACAACGCCTCCCTAGACAAATTCTGTAAAATCAAGGCAAAAAAGGAGGAGAAACACAAGAAGTCTGCGACCAACGACGAAAATTGCGGGATGGGAATTGGGGGGAGGAAAAACACAAAATGGGGAGACGACAACAAAGGGGAAAAAAATTGCAGATGACTTCAGGTGGCCCGAATTCGACACTGTCCACGATTATCGCATGCGGGATCCAGCAGCCTTTCCCCCCCTCTCCTCGAACCTCTTTTAATTTCTCCAGGGGGAATCAGAATTATCCAAATTGTTCCCGAATCTCGGCTGTTGGTCGGGTTGTTTCGCTCGAGCCGGAGCGCTGCACGGCCGGGGTAGTTTACAGGATCGAGCACTTGCTCTTCTTGCCGGGCTTGCTCTTGCCGACCTTAAGGAGGGCAGCGCGGGTAGCGGCCTCGAAGACCTCACGGACACCCTCGTTGGTACGGGCAGAGCACTCGAGGTACTTGTAGGCACCAATCTTCTTGCGGATCTCCTCACCCTATAGCAGGCGCATTAGTATTCAAGGGTTCTCCTTGAGAATTTCGGAAAGGGAATCCGCAATATCAAAATGAACGTACCTGCTCGGCAGTAACGGGGCTCTGGGAGGTCTTGTGCAGCTCCTCAATGGTCTTGGGGTCGTGGCGCAGATCCTTCTTACAGCCAACCAGGATAATGGGGAGGCCCTGGCAGAAGTGGAGAACCTCGGAAATCCACTAAAAAGACCGCGTCAGCATGGCTCCGGCAACGAAGAAGCAGGTCGCTCGTTGCTCCTCGAGAGGTATTCAAAGTTTCAAGGCACTAACCTTCTCCTGGACGTTGTCGAGCGAATCGGGAGAGTCGACGGCGAAACAGATCAGGATAACGTGGGAATCGGGGTATGACAAGGGACGGAGACGATCGTAATCTTCTTGGCCAGCCGTATCCCAAAGGGCGAGCTCAACGTGCTTGCCATCGACCTCGACATCGGCGACGTAGTTCTCGAAAACGGTGGGGACGTACACCTGGAGCGGCAAGAGTCAGAACGTGTGCATGGCGAGCGGGTAGACGCGGTTTCCCGAGAGTAAAGAAGCAAGTAGCAAAGAGTATCGTTGTGTAGTGGTAGGGCGACTGAAAGATAGGAGATTCCGGGATTTTAGGTTCGGGGCATCGGAGCCCGGGGGTATGGCTCACCTCAGGGAAAGTGCCCTTCGAGAAAACGCTGAAAGAAAGTTGTGTCAGTCGGTTGATCGAAGGGAGGGGGATTCAAGGGGGAAGATGCGGAGTGGGTAGTTCTGATGTCAAAGTACTTACATGAGCAGACAGGTCTTACCGCAGGCACCATCGCCGACGATGACGAGCTTGCGACGGATCTCGGCCATCTTGACACGGGGCAAAGAGATGTTAGCAATGATAAGAGATTTCGGGAGTTAGATGAGGTGTTGGATGAGTCGACGAGCACTGTGGAAGTTGGAGACAGTGGGAAGGGAGAAAGGGGGTGGGATAGACAAGCAGGACAGGTCTATCAGGAGGGTTGGGAAAGGGACAAGTTCAGGCTGCCGGGATGGGTGGGAGAGGGGAGTGAGGAGGCCTCAGGGAGAAAGGGTGTTTGGCGTACTGTGATTCAAAGGGGGCGCAACGGCGTAGGTTTCACGGGAATAGGTGGTAGAGACAAAGCTAGCTAAAGCAAATTTGCGGCAGCTAGAAGAAAGAGAGGATGGAAGCAAGAAGATTTCCGATGGAGGATGGAGGAGAATATTTGATGACTTGGGAGGTGGAGGAGACGATAGAGGCCAGACTGCCTGGGCGGTGGCAGTACCGACCGTATCTCGTTGGTATCGTGGTATCTCGTGTACGGGATTTGACCACTTTGACGGTGGAAAGGAGGCGGAGCATTGTAATCTAATCGTAACTCGGCCGTTTACTCGATGGTCAGATTCGTGCTTCTCCATTATTTGTTGTGGTTAATTGCCGTTTTCCTCGGTATCCCCCATGTATTTTTCCAGGGGCTCCCTGGTTTTGTTATTTGGAGGGAACTCTCGACAAAGTACTCGACTTGAATGACTGCCAGGGGCTTCAAAAACCGTTCTTAGAGACACTCGAGGTTCGAAATGCGACTCTATCAAGATGTCTCGACCACTTAGCTGACATCTACTGGCTAGGCGTGCCTGATATGCACCTAGGCTAACCTCCTTCCCCCAATCGGGGCCTTTGTTTCAGCTAACATTACTACTCATTAGTTACCTTGTGTAGCTACGGTCTCTTGCGACCGGGGATCTCCCTCGACCCTCTCCCCCCGTAATACCGTTACTCGACCAGCCCTAGCAGGTTATGTATGTGTGGCTGAGCAGGTCTATTTCCAACTTTCCGCGTCACAGGTCTGAGGTCTCCGAGGCCCACTCTTTATTCTTCCCGTAGCCACAGCCACCGTGGCTGTGACATGCCTGGGTTATGCCATGGTCGGAGATTCTGATATCATAGTTGAGGAAAGGGGGAAAAAGGGCTTCTAAACTTCAACAACTCATTCCAATGGTTTAATACGAAATCTATGACTGCCTGCCACCACACACAGGTTGAAATATGCCCTGCCACATATGAGCACAGGGAGTCTCGTGTCCTAATTAGTACGATCCGCCTCGCTGTCTGCCTGCGTCTGGGCCATGGACATCTTCTCTTCTTCCTTTCGTGGGCTAGGGCTATCAGTACAACACCTCATACTATGTATGCTACTACTCCAAGCCTGTGGCTGTGAGTATCAGCTAAACGCGCTAACCCCAGATGATCGATCATAATGGGGTGGCCTAGGAGAATGTCTAAGATGACCAAGGTACTTACTTCCGGGGTACCTCAGCTGTTTTATAACACCACAGTAACTATTTAAATCTATACACTGTTTCATGGTGCGTGCAGATAACGCATAACCTGCAGGTAAACATCCTGCCTAATATTGCCTATCATTGACGATATTTCGTTTCTTTTTTCATCCAGGGATCCTTTCTCTGATTCTGCGCTCTTTGGTGCTGAGGAATAATGAATGTTAATAATGAGCTGTGTAACTTGAGTGAGGCCTACTGTAAGGCAGTGTATCCATGTTGCGTGGCTATGGATACCTACAGTTCCTCGAATGCTTGACTCGACTGTTTACATAGTGATGATTCCTCCAATGGCTTGCTACACCTTCACTCGTCCTGACACATCACCCTGCACAGGTGGCGGTCACTAACTACAAGATCCAGTGAAGTTTTGCGCGGCTGAAAACATTTAATTCATTTCTCTTCTCATCTTAGCCATATTCAAACTCACCTGATACTTCTGGTCAAAATTTACAGCAATAGGTTGTCTAAAAAGGGGGCCTTCAGCTCCATTCCCATCGGCGGACAATCGCAAATCTACCGATATGGCCCCCCACCTCCTTCACCTTCTCCTATCCAATCACTTACGCCCCTCGTATTACTTCCCGAGTTCCAGATCCACTTGAAACGTGCATCCCTGGAGTTGGCTTAGGCCTGATCCGTCGGGGAACATGAAGCGGTGGAGACCTGAGTCCAGCACATCTCCTCAAAAATCGTGAAAGGAGTTAGAGACTCAGAGCCGCGTCTCGACGTTCCAGGAACTTGGCTGACTAAAAATAGTTCTAGAACCGGGGGCCAAGTGATTTTCTGGTCTCCCTTTCTTCTATCGTTCGGAAATAGGAGAAGTCAGACTTTTCTATGTGTGGAATGGTCCGCTAGGCTACACCCTACAGCGCTTCATGAGTGGACGCGAGTTGCTAGGTTAGCGCTTTACTTCCGGCGCTATTTAGCTACTGACACATACTTTGTACCCGTCAGTCCGAACGCTTCACTACAAACACAGAAAGTAACCTTCAAACCCGTTATTCCAATCAAGAACCTGGTGCGGCGTCGTTGGTTTATTTCTGTCACAAGCGCTCCTTCCACTAGCGAAAGCCACAGGACCCCCCGATCGACCAGTATGGCTAGCGCCTCCATATTGCAGGACCCATTGCTGCAAGCTCGACATAAGCAATCTGTCACGCTCTCCAATGGTCGCGCACTGGGCTATGCGGAATTTGGATCTCTCAATAAGGATGCTACCACAATCTTAGTTTTCCATGGTTGGCCAGGTTCCCGACTGGAGAGTGCTGTATTCCACTTCGCAGCGAGTGAGTTGAACGTGCGTATTATCGGCATCGATCGCCCGGGCATCGGTCTATCCTCTCCACAGCCAAAGCGCAAGCTCCTCGATTGGCCTGTCGATGTCCGAGAGTTGGTGCGGCATCTAAAACTCGAGCGATACTATATCATCGGCGTTTCAGCTGGTGGGCCTCATGCTCTCGCTTGTGCACATGAGCGAGCAGAGAATGAATTGCTTGGAGTTGGTATTGTCTCTGGTCCTGGTCCTTGGGCACTTGGTACGAAGGGTGCAAGTATTGATCTGAAAGTTACCCTGAACCTCGTGGCCTATGCGCCATGGCTGGTTCGGTATTTCATGAATTCGAAAATCGGCAGACCTGCTCAAGACCCAGATCCAGCAAAGCTGGACCAATTAATGAGATCTCAAATGAAGAATATGCCGCCCGCAGATCTAGTATTCGCGGAGAAATACCCTGCCAAAGTGGATATCATGATTGCTGCTGTGCGAGAAAGTTTCACGCAGGGTGCAGATCCTAACGTGAAGGACGGACAGATGTTGACCTCAGAGTGGGGATTCGACTTGAAGGATATCAAAGTTAAGAAGGTCCTCGTGTGGCAGGGAACGAAAGACGTCAACGTCCCTGTCGAACGGGGGCGTTATCTTGCAGAGCATATACCTCAAGCCATCTTGCGAGAGTATGAAGGGGATACCCATATTACTATTCACGAACATGCTACAGAGATGTTGAGAGATTTGGTATCCGTATCTACTACAAAGATATAGGCACGATGTCTTGATGGTTGATAACCAAATTTGGATATTCAACGACCACAGGCAGCGTGGTAATACGTGAGGCAGCTATATATACAATTGGGACTTTCCAAGGAAAGTCGAACGAGGAGGAGCTTTTTCCCAGTAGCGATCAAAGAAAATCCCCGGCATACTCCTCGTACTCGCGCATAAAATCTTCCATGTCAAATCTATCTTCCAGCTTCCGCTCCGCCAAGATTAGCTCACCAGCCTCACAGTAACCACTTCTGAATTCAGCAAAGAGATCGGGGGTTGATTGGCAATTGGGAATAAAAAGGCGATTGTCACCGGTAACCATAGCACCTTTGAATGCTTGATATACCACATCCGGTTCCTGCCAGAGATCAACCTTCTCGCATTGCCCAAAATCGAGCAAATAAAGCCCCACCCTTCGATGCTGGAGTCCAAGTGGTTCAGCATCTGAACCTTGTCTTTGAACGATGGAAGTTCCGAGGACGAACTCCACATCATCACTGTTGACACAGGCAGACCAGTGCATGATAGCATATGCTTTGCCAACTTCCTTTGCCAAGGTTTTGACATCCATGACAAAGTCATTCATAGTGTTCAGATAGAGAGGAAAGTTCCTCAACGAGATCGAATCTCGGGCGATTGGACCGGTAGTCTGGCCCAAATACACTCGTGCGAGGCAATGCTTATTCTTGGTGTTGCCAAGAGCGCGTTCGAGCTCGGTTGAGTCCAGCTGCCCCGGAGAGCCATAAAAATGCGCTAGCAGAGCCTTTCGCACAACCTTGGGAAGAGGCAAAATTCGTTCCATTTTCACTACATCTCCATATTCTTGGTAGGCAGATGGGATCGTAGGGAAAACATCGTTCCAGAACTGATCCTCTTTGGCCCTCGAAATAAATTCGTAGGCTCGAGGAACTCGGACACGACAGGAAGTTGTCGCGCCGTAACACTGGAACGCATCGGAGACTGCAGAATGCATTTGATATTCATTTTGTAGATTAGAGGGCAGATTTTCGTTCTCCGGCTTTTCCTTTTTGAAAACTAGGCGCTCTCCCACTTGCTCAAACACGGCCCCTTGTAGCCCAACTCCAATCTCGTTGATGCTCTGAAGCTCCGGGCGAGTACGAGCCTCTTGAATCAGGCGAGCGAAGGAAGATGAAGTCAAAATGACTAGGTTTAGCGAAAGGCACTGGGTGAGAATGGCATAGTTGGACACTTTTTCAAGATCATTCTCTACGCGGAGTTGACGAGGTGATTCCCTCTCATTGGTGTTGGGATGCAGATCATGGTGTGACATAGTTGTGGATCGTTCAGTTGAGAAGACGGCGTTAAAGAGATGTTGAGTGAAGATAATAGTACCTTTCAATTTTCAAATGCAAGAAGTACTTGATGATTCCTAGATTCCAGACCAGCCACCTAGCTGGGCGACACTATCCTTTTCCAAAATCTAGGCACCCGTCAATCCCATCAACGATGAACAAACCAAGTCATTGTTTCTCAAGAACCTTAATAGATAAAAAACCAATCCTTCAGAAAAATCATGAACTGGGTATCGAGGAAGTGTGTCCATAGATGATATGTAAGGACGAGAGAGAGAGATGAAGTGGAGGAACAGATGGACCACGAAGAGGCCTAAGCCTAAGGCCCCAAGGCCTCAGTTTTGTCCTTGTTCAGGCTTTCATTATAGCGTGTCGTAGATGGTGACATTTTAATTCAGACTTTTGGAAGGAGAACTAGAAAGAAGATTAGAAAATCATGAAGCAGCAGGCTTTCCTGACGAGGTGCCTCATGGTTCAGGGATCAATTCAGGTCCACCATTATGGTGAGTCATCAAGTGGGTGATCGGCTCTGGTAGTTACTGAAAGGTGGAGAGGCTTCCAACTCAAACACCTTTCCAAACTCCGAGTCCTGAGTTTAGACCAACCTTGCTGAAAATTCACTGCAAAGTTCAAGTCCTCAAAGCCAATTGAAGACATCCCACTTTGGGATCGCTCACACAAGGGCTCACGAAGCATGACTACACCTATTTATCTCGGAATCGTGGGTCTGATAAATCTCGCTTAACTTTCATAATCTCTGATCTGGCTGAGTTACTGATGGTATGCAAAGGTGTTGGCGGTGTTGGCAATGCGTTCCTAGAGCAACTCGGACAACTATCAAACCCTCCGAAGCTTGTTCTGCTAGCCCGCTCGACGCAAACGCTCATGTCCGCGGCGCCAACGTATTCACCATGTATCCCATTCACTACGTGGGAAGATGCTGCAAAGTCGCCATCTCTAGCCAAATCAAACGCTTTACCACCGGCTGAGATTGCAGCATTCCTTGCATCCGCTCCAGGCAGGGCGATTGTGGTAGACAACACATCCGACCTCACCCTAGCACAAGCTTACCCGATCTTTCTGGAACGAGGTGTATCGGTGGTGACGCCAAATAAAAAAGGCTTCTCTGAAGACATTACACTATTTAATGACATTTTTTCCTCTGCTGTGCGGGGAAATGCCCTCGTCTATCACCAGTGTACGGTTGGAGGGACTCTACCGGTCCTATCAACGCTCCGAGATCTAGTTTCAACAGGCGATGCGATCATCCGGGTTGAAGGAGTTCTTTCCGGCACACTTTCGCTTCTGTTAGGCGAGTTTATGCCTGGAAATGGCACATCCAGCGCACAATGGAGTTTCCTGGTCTCTCATGCAAAGGAAATCGGACACACGGAACCAGACCCTCGTGATGATCTAAACGGCCTCGATTTTGCACGGAAACTTACGATCATCGCCCGGGTGATCGGTGTCGAAGTCACCAGCCCCGATTCTTTCCCAGTGGAATCATTGATCCCTGTCGAGTTATCAACGATACCGTCATCGGCAGAGGGTATTGCTCAGTTCATGAGCGAATTGCCGAAGTTCGATGCCCACATGGATGCAGCAAAGAATTCGGCGGAGAAGCAGGGCAAGATTCTACGCTATATTGGCAGTATTGATGTGACTACCGGGGCCATTGAAGTTGGACTCCGGCATGTTGAGAAGGGTAGCCCCATCGCCAATCTTCAAGGCAGTCAAATTGTCAGTATTTATACTAAGCGATATGGGACCAATCCCCTAATACTTCAAGGTGGTGGCGGTGGAGGTGAGATCACGGCCATGGGGTTGATGGCCGATTTGTTGAAAGCCATGGAGCGTTTAAAGTGATTAGTCTATGCAATATCGAAGAAAGTAGAATACATGAATGTCTCATGATGTCAAATATTTCTATGTACGGGGTTTTTGTAATTGACATGCAAAAAACCTTCACAATCAGGATATTCTGTAATTCAGCCTCATTTGACGGTCTCCTTAAGCAATTGTCTCAATACCATGACTTCTCCCTCCCATTTGGCAGCTTTCAATCGTAAATCATCTCTTTCTTTTGTCATTTCTTCCAGTCTTGCTTCAAGATCAGACATTTGATTTATCTTCTTCTGTCGTAATCTCCGAGCAGCCAATTTGTTTCGCCGTCGCTTTTCCTGAAGATGGTCCCCATCTGAGTCTTGAGAGGAAGGCGAGACACTCCTAGCCGATTCTTCAGTTGGTGTTTTCTTCTGCGGCACCGGTCTCAGATATTGAGGTTCGGGTAAACCAAAAGCTGTCACATAGTCTGGGGAAGGAGTAAACTGCTGAGGCCGGCGAACGTCCAGTAGCTGATCCGTAATGGGCAATAAAGACGGATAATATGCGCTTGTCTCGAGCGATGAAATGGGCTCATGGCTGATATCAAACCGGCTCTGACCATTTGAAATTGCCATCGGGACAGCAGACGGTGTATGTAGAGTATTCGTGTGAGTATTGTTTGATGTGAAATCGGCCATAGAAAAGCCGATTCTTGTAGGATTCGGCTCTGGTGGGAATTGTTCAAGGCTGAACGCAATCCTCTCCAATAATGTCGGATCCATGGATAGGATATCGGAAGATAGTGATCTTTGTGACATATCGGGTGCTAGAATATTGCTATGAGAACTAGTTGGAGGCATGAAGTCGGTCCATGTTGAAGCGAAACCAGTGGGTGGTGTGAGAGCTCCACTTGGTGCGGTGGTCTCTGCTGAAGAATCCCAGTCGGATAGCATCTGATTGGGACTGTTTTCGAAAGATGATCGAGAAGATCTCGTTTGGGTAGGCATGATGGTCGACACTATCCCAAGGTTAGGGCCAGAGATGGAAACAGTTTGTAGTGTTCCAAGATGGATTGAGCTTCAATACTTTGAAAAGAACTTGAGTCGCAAGTTTCGAAGATATTGAGTGGAATAGGAGCCAAGGTATGCCTGGGCCTCCGACTATGTTATATATTCTAAAGCTGATCTACGCAGCCATATCATCTCCGACGATCATCCAAGGACCGAATACTACTTTGTCCGATGGTTAGCATCTGGAGATTTTGGTCAAATCCGACCCTAGCGTAAATATGTCCGGCGCTAGTGAAATGTCTATGACTTTTGATTGGTATACTGGGGATCTGGCCCGCTACGTAGCCATTTGCGGTTAGCTCGAATTCGGGTAAGATGAAGGGGGCACGAGAAGGTGAGATCTCCTCACACCGAGCTCCATCGCCCACACGGATTTATGCAGCAAATGTTTGACCGTGAGCCAGGATGGATTCCGTGGACTTAAATGCCAATGCAGATCCGACCGCTCAACCGGCGAAGAAACGGAAGCCGAGGCCAAAGCTATCTTGTGTCCTGTGTCGACAGAAAAAGTCCGTGCCCCATCCTCTTACACTGCACCTTATCCTATGATGTTGCAATTTCTCTATCTATACCCTGATTTGTCGATTAAGTGTTTTCGTTGAGATACTAATATCGTTCAATCATGAATTGATACAAATGAAATTCAAGACTGACTGGAAATGTAGACTAAAATGTAATCGGCAGCAGCCCTGCGACAATTGCATCAAGCACAATAGAACATACATGTGCCATTTTACTGGCCCCCAAGGGTTGACAAGAACGCAATCTCAAGGAATTCAAGAGCATCTTCGTGAGATACAAACTCGCATTGAACAACTATCTGCGATCAATGTCCAGCCTCAAGGGCCAGGTCTCGCTGGAGGGAGTTCCCAACACCTCATCTCCAACACTATACAACCCCAGCCTAGATCCAGCACAGAACAAAGCCAATCAGAACTGCAGAAGGACTTTACTGGAAACATGGTAGTTGATCAAGATGGAACTCGATATGTGGATCCAACCCATTGGCAAGCAGTCTTGAATGAGGTAGGCTATTCCCTCGGACTGATACCACTTTGATCACAAGGCTAATCAAACATGCAGATTGCTGAGGTCAAGGATTATCTCCAAATGACCGAAGACTCATACTCTGAAGATCAACTCGATGATTCATTTGCTCCAGCAATCTCAGGCCCGGAGCTTTTCTTCGGCAATACAATAACTGCTCCCAAGTCTGATCTCATTTCTGCACTACCGCCTCGACCAGTTGCAGACCGTTTGATTTCCCTTTACTTGAATTCGAAAGAATCTACACTTGGTATCATACCTCAGACCCGTACCAAGTGGCCACAAAGCTGATCGATAGACAGTTCTCATGCACGTACCCACATTTACAAAAGAGGTAACCATCAAACGCTACACAGTTGGCATTTCAAGTACTCACCTCTTTCCTATCTAGTACGCTCAATTTTGGAGAAACCCAGAAGATGCTTCTATAAACTGGCTTGCATATCTTTTCAGCATTCTATGCGCAGGAGCAGGGCTCCAGTTATTTTCCACCGCCGGTCGAGCAGACGGTGAGCTCGCTGAGACTTTTGCAGAGCATCACAGACTCGCATCACAATGCCTTACCATGTCCAACTACACCTCACCCGGTCGATATACCATGGAAACCCTCATTCTCTGTGTGGCAATGGAGATTCTTAGAAGCACAGATAACCATCTTGGTCCCTCTGTTCTCCTCAGCTTGGCCACAAGGCTAGCCGTTCATGCTGGATATCACAGAGATTCAAAACATTATCCCGAGATCTCCGTGTTTGATGGAGAGATGCGCCGGCGGGTCTGGACAATTCTCTCTCTTCTTGATCATTACATCTCGCTGCAAGCTGGTCTACCGCCGACTACTGTACAGACACAATCGGACACGGAAGAGCCTCGCAACTTGACAGATGAGGACTTAGATCCAGCAGCCACAGTACTGCCTCCTGCAAGACCTTTCACAGAGAAAACAGCAATCCTCTTCCCGGTTGCGCTCAATAGAATAATGTTTGCCGACGCCGAAATTATCAGCAAGGTCTGTTCCGTCAAGGGAGTTCCCTATCAAGAAGTTCTCCGCTTGGACGGGAAACTCAAAGACCTTCACGCAAATATTCCTCCTCCTTTAAAGTTTCGACCACTGAGTGAATCCATCGCAGACTCACCAAACACCATTATGGACCGATACAATATCAACCTCATGTATCAGAAGGCCCGCTGTGACCTCCATCGTCGGTATCTTGCGCAGCATCGTCTCGACCCCGCATATGCATATTCTCGACGAGATTGCCTAGATGCCGCGAGGACGGTACTTCAGCATCAGTCAGACATTTTCGATGCGAGCAGCTCCGGTGGTCAGTTGGGCTACACCTCCTTCTTCTTTTCACCAATAGTCGCAGTGCATTTCCGTTCTGCTGCCATGATCATTTCCTTGGAAATCTCCTGTCAGTCTCGCTATGATTTGAAACAGCACCTGTCGCTTGAGCAACGACGAGTAATCTTGGACGAGAGAAAGCAGCTTTCTCAGGAGATTGAGAGGGCTTATAACATCTGGAACCATTTGCGACATCAATCTAAGGAGGCATCAAAGACAACAGACGCTCTTCATATCATGCTCAAGGTCACGAACAACCATTTGCAGCACGGTGCGACGCCTGAGCAAATACAGCCTTCGAGCCCTCCCATCGGGTTACAAGCTGCGAGCGAAGTACCAGACTACGGTAGGTGGCCTCATCCCTCAGTAATGATTTCTCTGTATCCCCATGTGGCTAATTGCTTTGTCTACTTTTCAGCGAACTCGATCCTCGCCACGCCCGTAACGCTCGAGAACCAACTCTCCTCGACGGTTTTCGATAACGAACACAGTCCATTAGATGTTGATCTCATGGACGCCACGTTCTATCTGGGACAAGATTCCCTGCCCAGCACCAATGATACGCGTTTCGCAGGCTCGAACGGTGTCGTCGACTTTTATGAAAAATACTGGGATAACCTGATGCTGCTGGGCGGAGATCATTCATTCATAGATGTACCTCAGGGCGGTGCAGATGATGGTCATTTTGATCAGGGCCTACAGTAGATACCCATGCTTGCCTTCCGTATTGTTTGTCCAATCTTACGAAGTTGAGATTTACCTGGTGTAGCACACAGGCCTCGGTTGACGGATAATAGTCTCGCAGCCCACTTTAGGTAGATTAGGTACGGACTTGGATTTTCAGATATAGGCTAGCTTCTTAGGTTGAAGTACGACCTACAGATGAAACATACCTACAATACCCTCCAAATCAAGTCATCCTTAGCATTCTCAGACTGCCTAAGTTTTCCAACCATACACTGGGGTTCCATACCTAGGTTTGGAAATACCACTGTATATATTTTGGGCTCACGGTAGGTACCGAACGGTTCCAGCTGATCCAAACTCACAAAGATATATCCCGGAGACACATTGATTTACGTGTGCGGGTTACAGCTGGAATAATTCCTTATCATTGTCTCTCCTCCAGTGTGAGATTCTGCATCTTTACCTGATTCACCTGGTAAGGTCAGGTTGGAGGTCCATGTTCCAACTCCGCTGTGGTATGTAGAGATTACATAATCAACGTAATTGGAACTGCATCACGTGGTTCAAGATGCGGCCGCAATTTTCCGTCCGCGCATTCTACGGAGTCGACGAGCAGCAACGATTTAGCCATTGCTGGCCCTCACTCGCTCAACATGCAAAAGGTCATCCAAAGGACGGCTGCTGCCAGGAAGCAGGCCCAGAAGAAGCTCTTTCGGGCCAGGCAGCAGGAGGAATTGGTGGATCGCAAGGACACAATTCGGACTCGAAAGGAATACAACCGGGCCATGATCGACAACCTCAAGGAAGCTCGAAACGCCCGCTGGGAGGACTGGAAGAAGGGAGAGCTGGCTCCGAAGCGTGATACGGGACTGGAAGCCACGACCTATGGTGCCCTTGATCCTGCCCTGATGCACCCACCGCGCATCCCGAAACATCTCCGCCGAAAGCACATCCTCTTCGCACCCGGAGACCGAGTCTGCGTTATTCGCGGTCGGGACCAAGGCAAGATCGAAGAGATCACTCAGGTCAACGAGGAAAGCGAGACTCTGCTGATCAAGAACGTCAATGAAGTACGATTGAGTCCCCTTGCCAACCTTGTTATTGTTCCATCTGTGGACAGTGTGTTTTCTCTCGACTGGAGTCACTAACTGAGATACTTTCTTCAGGCCGATATCAATGTTCCCGAGTGGGCGAAGGCTTCAATGGGAATCAAGAGCGATGTTCTTCTCCAGAACATGCCGGTGCCAATGGACGACGTTCGACTGGTCTTCGCGATGACCGATGGTAAAGCCACCAAAGACTACATTGTACAACACGCCCATGCCGGAAGGCCATACGTCGAGCGACCTTCCTGGAGCAAAGTGCCCAAATTCACTCGATACGTCTCTGGCCTGAACATTCGAATTCCTTGGCCTACCGAGGAGGAGCCGCAGTATGAAGATGGAGAATTCGACACAACACGAATGGAAGTTGAAGGAAGCACCTGGGTGCCTTCGTTGGATAACCCGCCTTTCCCCTCCACCATTATTGACGAACTGCGCAACAAATACTCTCGATTCCGAACTCGCCACGACGAGGAATACGTGCGGGAGAAGGTCATGGAAGAATATCGCCAGGAATACCTTGCCAGCCAGGCTATTTTGACACCTACTGGTGAATTGAAGAAGATGAAGGTTGAGCAGAGCATCCAATCGAGACAGGCTCGAACGGATGAGAATGGCAACTTGATGATGGACTCGGAGACCGCCAACTTCGTTGAGCGCTTCATGAGCCAGAATGCGGCTCCCAAGCCAAGCAAGAATGCTGGTAAGGCCAAGCAGACCGCTTGAGCAAGTGCGGAAAGGGTGTAAGAGATGGGCTGTTCCTTTTTTCAAAGATAGCGATGTGTATAAATTTCCACTGTATTCTAGTCTGGCATATGCGACCAATTTATTACCCTCTGGGTGCATTTTCTTTTACGGCTATTCCCAGACTTCTTCAAATCCCGAGTAAACCAGAGGCTACAGACAGTGGCGAATGTAGGGTCTATCATTTCCAGTCTATTACGCGGGCCGCCAGGGGAGAACCCTTGGATGGGTGGTTCCGCGTCCGCGCCCATTCATTCTCAATCTTAGTTTCCAACTCTCTCTTCGTCAATCTCCCCTGCACTGCTTCCCCTTTCCTGGGCAGTTGCAAAAAACCATGGCATTCGCTGCAATCAATTCCGCAGGCAAGCCCATCACCGCCATCGAGGAGGCGTTCGCGACCGAGCCCTCGCTCAAGAAACGAGTTTATGATGCGATCGGTGCGTACCCAACTGGCGGCATATCTACGCCTTCCCATCCGACTTCGATTTGATGAACACCCACTGATCAAACCTGGCTCAATTCGAAAATATAGGAGCTACGCCGCAGCACACACCTCTCTTTGAGGATCTCGCTCGATATACCTCCTCCCTGCTGGCCAGGACTGCCAAAACTGCTTCCCTTCCGCTCGTGCCGCCGCCCAGCGAGGGTCCAGCCGCGAAGAAACGCAAAATACAAAATGGGGGACCAGAAGTAACGGCGCAGGCGCCGGTCGATATCAAGGGCGATGCGCCCATTCAGTTCTCAGTCGAGGATGTCTCGTTTGCTATCCCACAACGCAAGAAGTTCACACTTGAGGTCACTGCTGGAAGCAGGTACCTGCGTGCGAGAAACCAGACCACAAAGCAGGTGGAGTTTGGAATCCCGATGGATCGAATTCGTAAGTTTTGTGTTTTCCTTCCTAAATCCTTTCATTTCTTTGACTTGAGTCCGTTTCCGTAATTGAGCATGAGTTGCTAATGTTCTTTGTCGCCCGATCTTAGGCCACGCCCTATGCCTCCCTGTGCCCGAGAAGACGCAGAAGCAATTCAACTTTTGTATCATTCCCGAGTATGCTGACGGAGTTACGCCGCCGCCTGAGGGTATGACCACATTTGAATGTATGGTCTTTACGGTACCCGATGGCCCAGCCAAGGCTGCATTCAACGGATCGGGGCAACAGATTGGGAATAATGCTGGGGAGACTGCCGAGGCTCTGATCCGGAAGATCTTGAACGACAACTTGACTACTACTAGTGTCGTGCGACCTGACGAGAGGCAATTTGTGAGCGCGATGCCCGAGGCGCATCGCAAATCCGAGAAAGCATACCACGTCAAGGCTTTCCGGGGCAGCAAAGAAGGTGCGTTTACGTTCTGATATTTTGACAGTGTTTTTGAGAATGGCGCTCTCGCTTTCACCTCAACTTTACTGACTCGTCTACCAAATAGGTTACCTTTTCCTACTTTCATCCGGCATTCTCTTTGCGTTCAAGAAGCCGCTCCTGTTTTTCTCATTTGACACCATCGAGTCTGTGTCATATACCTCGGTCCTCCAGCGCACCTTTAACCTGAATATTTTGGCGCGTCCGAGTGGCGGCACTGAGGATGATACACAAGAATTCGAATTCTCAATGATTGATCAGGCCGACTTTGACGGTATCGATACCTATATCAAGCGCCACGGTCTCCAAGACGCCAGTCTGGCAGAGGCACGGCGGGCGAAGAAATACAATGTCAACGGCGGCAACAAAACTGAAGATGGCACTGCTGGTGCTGAGGGTGCGGCTGAAGAAGAGAGTGAACTACAGAAAGCCCAGCAAGAGCTTGAAGACCTGGAGGACGAGGACGAAGAAGACTACGATCCGGGTAGTGACGATGGGAGCGATGGAAGTGGTTCCAGCAGCGAAGAAGACTCGGATGAGGACGAATTCCATGAGGATGCCGACCAGGTCAGCGACGGAGATGAGAATTTGGTTGAACAGGAACTCGGTAGTGAAGCCGAGGATGTTGGCGACGATGAATAGGCCAGCCATAGCTGGAGACGCTGGATTTGAATATTTATTCCTCTGGGACCTTGTGTCACGATACTTTCCGAAGTTGTTAGAATTGAATCGCTATTCAATGCTCTCGCGGGGCATTCAACCCTGTCCTATCGAGCATGTTGAAACCTTTTTCTTAGAAACTTTCCCTTACTAAACTCTGCTTCACCGTCTTCTGTGATGTCGAATCTAACGATCGTCTGTGGTGGGTCGAAGAAGACGTGTCCATTCCGCGACCAGGGGTCAGTCTATCTGCCTTTCTACCTGAAAACATACCCCGTAATTGCTAAATAAATAAGCGGCAGTTAGGGCTGGGCGCCTTACATGTAGGTACAAGCTAGGCCAGCTTTGTTCTAGACTGACTACAGATCTTGCTTCGATTTCCAAGGCAGAAGGTCGATCGCAGTGACTTCATAGTTTAGATTACATTTTGGACATGATTAAGTTAAATTCTTTCAGGTTTAGGGCCGGGACCATCCAAGGTCAGGTGCCAAGCCCCGTAATCTTACCGCTTGCTCTAGCCTCTCGCCTCTCGTCTCTTAAGCGCATTCCAACGAGTCCAGCCAACGGGAGCGGTAATGACGAGCAAGTGACCAAACCGAAACAATGGGGAGAGAGAAAACTCGGCTCGCAATTATAATACGGTACGGGAATCTGCTGGTACGGCGATACCCGCTCCTACAACGGAATATAGAGACCAGAGAAACCGCCCAACGGACATCCTAAAGGTCATTTGAATCGTCTTTCTTGATAGCTTACGTGTCATTTTCTAGTCTATCATTCAGCTTGTGACCGATAAGATGATTTTGAACTTTTTATAAAATCCGACTGTACAACTCCATTTAACGACGAACCATCGTAGTCCTCCTATCAGAGCCTCCCGTTCGGACCCGGCCATCTAGTCAAACTTTAGGCAGTCCGGCTCTGTGGCCGTGCCTGCAGCACTGATCCTGCAGGGTAGCGCCCAAGCCTAAGAGGAGGAAAAAAAAAACCCCGAAGGACCAACGGACAAAGCTGCACCACACTAGGCGCTCGACACAGGTACGATACCGCCGCGTCTGTGCCCTAGGGCAATGAATGTTTCACAAGCGCCCAAGGATGTTGGGTCGAGTCTTTCCCTTCGTTATTATTCCATAGTTACGTAGAGAGATAACTACCATAGGTTGTAAAGGGAAGAATGATGAACCTGGGAAGGAACAGGAATACTTTTATCTTACACCTTTGTTAACTGGTGAAGAAACTCGGTACAAAAGACCTTTCGAGAGACCCGCGAAAAAGGCGGTAACGCTCGGTAACGCCAGTACGAGGCGTGACCACCCGCGACCGCCAATTCTGGTGTCTCCCCCGTAGTCAAAGGGTACCAAATACACTCCCAATACGGAGTACTCTCCGCTCCCTGGCTTCACTCGACTTCTCCCTCTCTTCTCTTCTCCTCATCTCCACCCTCCCCTTCTCCTCCCTCCCCTACCTCGGAAACCCTCTGTTCAGTGCGACGGTTCGTGCTTGCAGTCGAGTCCTCCTCCGGGTGCTCCTTTTGTCGTTTTTTCTTTTTTTGTCGCTCCTACTGCGTGTCACTGCAAACCCTCCGGTTCTTCTCACCTCGCTCCTAGCCTCATCCGCCCGAAACCCCCCAGCTTTTGGCCTTGGAGAATCTCGTTCGTCAGTTCTTCCTCAGCAGGTCTCAATTCCACTCAGATTGCTACGCTAGCGCCCATTGCTTGCCCGTCATTTCGCCCGGTAATCCGACTCTCCTCGCTCGTCCGTTGGACCCTGCGTGCACTAGTACATCGGCCCAGCCTTGCATATTCCCATTGAGATATCGGGAATCGCTTTCACGGCCAATCAGGAATCCCCTGCGGTGTATGTTGGCTTTCTGGAGTAGCGGTCGTGTGCTCCTGAATAAACATCGTGCTGACTGCGCCTCGTTCAGACAGTGTTGAATCACGTGCCTGCCTCCCTGAAGCCGTCACCCCGTGATCCATAGTCTCGTTCCTAAGACCAGCACCGTCGCAATCCTTCGCCATGGCATCTTCCTCCTCGAATGTAGTGGGTGTCCACTACCGTGTGGGCAAGAAGATCGGTGAGGGCTCTTTTGGTGTCATTTTCGAGGGCACCAACCTCCTGAACAACCAGCAGGTGGCTATCAAATTCGTGCGTGACCTCGGTTTCTACCAATGTGTGATAGGGAATACCGTGATACTGACCGAATCAGGAACCTCGCAAGAGCGATGCTCCCCAGCTGCGTGATGAGTACCGGACGTACAAGATCTTGGTCGGATGCCGTAAGTGTTTCGAGGATGCGCGAGTCACTAGCCCCCCTTTCTTCCATGCTAACTTACGATCGCAGCCGGTATCCCCAATGTCTACTACTTTGGACAGGAGGGTCTGCACAACATCCTCGTCATTGACCTTCTCGGACCTAGTCTCGAGGATCTCTTCGATCACTGCAACCGCCGGTTCTCGACCAAGACCGTTGTTATGGTCGCCAAGCAGATGGTTCGTGCTAATTGATCTATACACAAAAAGGACTCGATGCTAACCTTTCAACCTGTCTAGCTGTCGCGTGTGCAAACCATCCACGAGAAGAACCTGATCTACCGTGATATCAAGCCAGACAACTTCCTCATCGGCCGCCCGGGAACCAAGGCCGCCAACGTCATCCATGTCGTCGATTTCGGTATGGCGAAGCAATACCGTGATCCCAAGACCAAGCAGCACATCCCTTACCGCGAGCGCAAGTCCTTGTCGGGCACTGCTCGGTACATGAGTATCAACACACATCTGGGTCGTGAGCAATCACGACGTGATGACCTGGAGGCCCTTGGTCACGTTTTCATGTACTTCCTGAGAGGTGGTCTCCCCTGGCAGGGATTGAAGGCTGCTACCAACAAGCAAAAGTACGAGAAGATTGGCGAGAAGAAGCAGACAACTGCGATCAAAGATCTCTGCGAGGGATATCCCGGTGCG